GCGCGCCCACTGCAATTTGGATTAGGGGCGATGGGGGCCGGCGAGCCGGTTGTTGATTAGAATTGTTAGCGGCTGGGCGATGGGTTCAGCAGCGTCAAAGGGCCGTGGGAAATAAAAAACCTTACGACGCGTGGGTTAGTGCGGCGCAAGTAAACCAACCGGTTGTGTATATCCGTGCATGGTGATTGGTGATTGATTTGAAGGAAGGGAGAAATGGAAGAAGCACTGTTGACTGGTTGAACTGGATTAATGGGGGAGTGCAGCAAATCCCCATCCGTCTCGTCAGAGGGTATTTTTGCCCCCTCCCTTCTTCTCTGCCACTCGTGTACGACCAAGGTCAGTGTCTGCGAGGGCCAAGCCACAGGCACCAGGCCAACATCGTTCCCGGGCGGAGCCAGCAGGAGCGCATCTGGAGAGAAAGTGGGGAGAGACCACACGCTTTGCCTGGGGACTTGGGAGCCAACGAGGGGGCGTTTAGCATGCGCTCGGTCCTCCTGGCATTCCTCGGGGATGGGGGTGCTGACGACGAAGAGAACCAGAAATTTGGGAGTGGGAGTGGGACAGGGCCTGTCCTTTCTTTCCTGTAAGAAGAGAGAGAGAGAGGGAGAGAAAAGACGTCTCCGTGGCGGGAAGCATAGAGGGGAAAGAGAAGCAGGCACGGTTAACTATACCTGGCTGGGTTAGAATGATTTCCCTCCCATCGAAAAGCAGATGCAGCTCAGCAGGGCCCCAGCAAGTGAGCAAGCAGGCCGCCGACCTCATCTCAGGACGTCTCCACCTGAGTTCAAGCGCGGGCTCAGGCCCCCAAGATCTGGGTCTTGACGTGCCGTTGGTGATCCTCGTTGTGTCTCGTCGCGCGTTTCGCCCCATCACCGCGCCCATTTTCAATAGTCTCGCTGTGTGCACTGGCCAAGTTGCCCCTCTCTCACACCTTTTTTTTTCTTTTTGCGTAGAGGCTCACACTCGGTCCTCTTGTCTCCTCTCTGGCTTGCAAAGGTTGTGTGGTCCACGGTGGATACTGGGTCATTAGTCTCTGATCAAGTGAACTGGGCTTCCTCCACTGTGTCCATCTCCTCGGAGCCCTTCTCTCTCTGTGTGTGTGTGTGTGTGTCTGGACCTTTGAGAGAGGGGGAACCAACAAGAACCAATCCCGGGAGAGATGGATCGCTGAGCCGATGAGAGAGGGGATGGGCGGTTCTCGATCGGACCCTGCTGACACTAAAATTTCCCTGGCACAAGGGAAGGGATCCATGGTTGTCATGGATTGTCGTTAGTCGAAGCTGGTTGGCTGGTTGGGGAAGGAGGGGGTGAAGAAGACGCAGAAGCGCAGAAGAAAGTCGAGGTGGAGACGAGAGAGATGAGAGACTTGGACCCCCCCCCCTTGACTAGTGACCTACACTAACTAACCCCCGACTCTTCCCATCACCTTAATGATTTAATCTTATTCTTATTTTGTGTTTTTGGATTTATTTAATTCGGGTCTATAATTCCTTATTTTTGTCTTTGTAAAGCTCTGACATACTGAGATTGTATGGAATCGTGTATATACTGAGAGAATCACGAATCTCTACTGTACAAACCTTCTGTTATTGCTTATATCTTCTCTCTCTATTTCCTCCTCCTCATGCAGCATCCTGACCCAATTTGACGCGGTTGACGGGGGATGACGGAGTAAAGTGACCCTCCGAGACTCGGAAGAGTGACGGGGCCAATCAACCCGCGGGCCCCACGGGCGATCGTCCATGGCACGGGGTCTGCTTCGATGATGATTGCACTTTGTGGTTGATTATGATGATAATTATGATATCGAGTGGTAAAAAAGAGACTGCTAATGAGAATGTAATAATCACTATACAAAGTACTGGGTAATGTACTGTAGAAAGAGAAATACTACTCCGTATAGCATTCTCTATTAGGTCCTTGTATATCAGGATACTGTACATTCAGGATGAGGATTCTCTTGGCCTGTCATATCCATTCGGTTTCAACATTTAGCATCGTCCTCCTGAGGGGCTCGGCAACGAACTCAATTTCTAGCCCCTCTCCCCAAGTACCTTAATACCTTAAAAGGACAGAGTATATTATTCTTAGTATACTCATCTTATACTAAGTTGATGTACTAAGTATGTGCTCCATATACAAATCGGCATTTCACATTTCTGCAGACCGGGGAAACTTACGGGAGGAGGCGGAATCCGTACCTGCTTCTGCTGCATCGATGGCGAAAATACAACATACTGGTATACATTAAGTATCGGGATATACTCGGTCCTTTTCAGCTACTAATTGGGATATATCGGTGTAAAGACACTCCTGTATCCCGTTTTCTCTATTTTTCTTTTTTTCTCTATTTCTTCTCTGATCGGGATTTTTCTTCTTCTGTCAATTACGGAAATCATCCACTTGCAGCAATGTTTCATCTGTCAAGATTTACCGTTGAGCTCGCGGCCCTCCGTATTTCTCCGCTTGTCCCGATGTCCAGATCCTCTTTAGTCCATTCTGTACTCTCTGGTTTTTTTTTTTCTGTGATTTTCGGTTTTTCTTTTCTGGTCTTTTCTGATTAATTTATTTCTGCTGCCTATCCATACCACTTTGGAACGGGAACCAATATTGACCCTAATTATCCTTCCTGTACAGAGTCGTCATGGCAAAGTCTAATCCATGATAATCTCCATTCTTCTAGAAGGCAGGAAGAATCTCTGCATCAGTTTAGACTTCTCCGTTTAGTGACTTGATATACCGTTTACCTTGTACGGATATCGTGGTGTATTCTGTATATCGTCAGTGAATAAATCCCAGATAATCCCTGCGCCCGAGTCCCGAGTGCCTCCCGAGCCAGTTATCGTTGCATGTCATTTTTTTTCTTCCTCTTCTGCCACTGTACGGAGTACCAAAGCACCACACTTGATAGGCAGAAGAACTACTTTGTATAGTACATCGCCTCCGGTCTTTCCCATCCTGCAGTCCGCCTCTCTTGATCTCCCGTTTTCTTTTTCTTCTCTTCCCTCTTCCCATCCTCTCGCTATCTAGCCTTTCCATATTCCTTGGTCCCAACCAACCTACAGACAGAATATGTACCGCTCTTTCTCTATATTTCTTATTCATTATTTCTTATTTGGCCTATCTTTTGCTTCGCCCCGGAGTGAACCCTCCGAACAGCTGCAGTGTCCACCCACCCAAAGTCTTCGGCTGTCATCCTCCTATCAACAGTCTCCCCCTCGAGTCCCTTCGACCCTTTCCGTTTTAGTCTTTTAGCATTTAGGATTAACATTAACCATTAGCCCTCCCGGTGCCTCGCGCGGACTCTGTCCAACCACCGTGATCGATTTCCCTCGACTCTCAGATTTCTCCCCTTCTGCTACCATCCCACCGGTGACCAACCGGCGATCGTCCTCATTTTCTGTTTCTGCACGTCTGCCACTGCTCTTCTCCTGCTCTCTCTTCTTTTTCGGCTCTTGGGTCTCCCCCTTCCCTCCTGTGACCATTCAGCCAGTCAATTGACCGGAGACTGAGTGTGTGTGTGTGTGTGTGTGTGTGTGTGTGTGTGTGCGCGCCCCCTTTCTTCTCCTTTGGATTATCATCTTTTTTATTTTCTTGTTAGACCCTTTCCACTTTCCACCGTGGTCAGTTAGTCTGGTTATACCGAATAATAATAATCTCCCGCCCTAAGTTGATCCTCTTGGCCTCAACGGCCGACCTACCTGCATGATGGACTTTCGTTTCTTTTCTTATTCCTTGGGCACTGCAACTAATCGTATTATGTTAATTAACTTAACTAGTTAGGATTGCGGATTATTCATACTAGAATAATTGGAAGAATAATCATAATCATCATAATCAACCATCATTCGAATGATGATAATCATTATTGTTTCTCGCCTTCTTCGTATTACTATTCTATTCTCGTCATCATCGTGCTGGTGGAGATACTGCTACTGTGCTCCGTACTGTCTAGATATCGTCGTATTAATCCCTTTTCATCTTTACTCTCTGTCTTTCTCTCTTCCAGTGATTTGCTCCAGTTCAACCTTGTTCCCACTACCTCCCGTGTCTCTTTCTCTCTTTCTCACACTCTCACTTCCTCTCTCTCTCTCTACAATCATCATCCCCTCCTTCCATATTCCCTGTTCATTTCCCCCTCTCCTACTTTTTCCTCTCTTCCCTTCTACTAAGCCCATTTGGATGCGCCACCCCATCACTCACTGCCTCCTTCTTCCCTCCGCTCAAACCTGATCCAACCAACCAACCACTTCTTAGTGGATCCCGCACCACAAACTGGGTCGGAACTAAACTAACTGGACCCCCTCCTCCTCCTCCCACAACTTGCAAAAGCTTGGGAATTGCCGCACCGAGGGATCCGTGGAACCACGCCCCAGTCGATCCCATCTGCTCCCAGAGATCGGTGCAACCTGTTGACTCGCTGACTCTCGACGGTCTGTGCTTTTTGGAGGCGATCCCTGGAATTCGACCAGGCCGAGGAGGGGTTAACTCAAAACCACCCATCCGCCTCGACTTTCTCCATACCCTGGTCGATCTCTTAGCTTATTTTATTCTTTTCACTTCCCAACCCCCCCTTGGTGATCGTCTTGCTATCATAATCCGGGGTACCTGGGATCAAGAAGCGCAAAAAGGGTCGCAATAACTCGACTGATCCTGCCACACCACCATCATCACTATCACCTCGTCGCTCTTACCCTCCCCCCCCAAGACTCTCAGCCTCAAATCCTCCTCAGCTCCCACGAATCAAACCTCCGACAAACCAAAACGCGACAGTCCATTCCGTGATTCTAACCTAATCACCACAACCTGCGCGACTCGCCCACCACTCACCACACACCGTCGACTAAACTTCCCAACTCTGACGTTCTCACAGCGATCCTCACCTTTATCGCTTCAAACTCCCACCACTACTGCTCTCTGATCACTCTTCCTACTCCTCCACCTCTCTCTCTTTCCTCCTTCCTTTTCCCCTCCCTTACACTCCCCGTCCCTTTCCCACCATGGTGAACGGGACCGCGGCGGTGCTGGAGCCCACATTCACCGGGTATGTGGCTACCACGCAGGATGCACTGATTTTGTTCGAGGCTTGCTTGACAGGTGTCTTGCACCATGTTCCCCGTCGGCCTCATGATCGCGAACGGAGCCACTTGGTGCGCAGTGGCAGCGTCTTCATTTACGAGGAGAACTCGTCAGGCATCAAGCGCTGGACCGACGGTGTCACCTGGTCTCCCAGTCGCATCCTCGGTAACTTCCTGGTCTATCGCGAACTCGAGAAACCCTTCCCTCCTGGGGAAAAGAAGCGCGCCATGAAGAAGGCCAATCGACGACCGGCCCCCGCCACCAGACCTGGTGAGCCATACCCGCGACACGACAGCAACGGCTCCGGCTACTCTCCCACATCGCCATCAGGACCGTTTGCCGACAACCGAGCACCACACCAGTCGGAGGTCGAGCGGGCATTGGTGGGGTCGCTGGTGGACTCGTACGGCTTCAAGGACTCTGGCTTGGTCAAGAAGACAATGAGCGTCACTGTTATGGGCGTCACGCATCACCTCGTGTCGTACTACAGCGTCGAGGACGTGATGCGCGGTGTACTCAACCCTCCGTCCATGGTCGAGTCGCTGCGCTACATTCGGCCGCGAGTCGACCTCACCCAAAAACAAAGCTTCCGCGCTCCGATCGATGACCTCGAGACTAGCGCTATGGAGAATCCCCACGACCCTTCACACGCCGCGCTCTACGGCTACCGGCCCCAGCAGATGATGGCCCCGCCCGGCGCCTACGGCATGCCTAACCCCTCTGCCGACTTCTATATGCACGCTGGCCCTTATGCCGCTACGCACGCCCCACAACAACCCGGCCCTCTCGCGAGCTATTCGATGGCTGGTTCGATGCCCGGCCAGGCCGCGCCAAACCCATACCTTCCTTCCCCCGCGGCGGCAGCTGCCACCAATGCCGCCATACCCAAGGTCGAAGAATACCACGCATTCCGCACGGGGCCCTACGGTGGTAGCATGGACAGCGTCAGTCACAGCGCGCTCTCATCCAGCATCCCTGGCATGAACTCGGCAATGTCGTCTTCGTTCAGTGACCGCAACCGCTCTGCCTCCGAACACAGTCCGTCTGCCTACCGCAATTCATCCATTTCCTCGCGCAGCGTCGCGACCGACGCGACCTCGCCCATGGATCCATCCACGCCGGGGACCTACTCGCGCAGTAGCTTCAGCCTCTCTAGCCAGTTGGATGCTAGTAACCACAATACCCCCATTGAAACACGTGGTATTGGCTCACTGGATCCTAATGTGCCGCGCCGCGATTCAAACCCAGTGCACCCATCATACTATGCCCCGGATCGCAGCCAGTACTACGTGAATACGGCGACTCCCGTAAATCACCCACATTATGCGACAGGCCAGCCGCTATCGACATGGACGACAACCGCGCCTGCACAGCCGCAAATCTAATGTGGGATTCGGCGAGTTAAGTACGGGAGTGAATTGGACTCTTCCCTGCGTTTGATATCTTATCTGTTTTGTCTACTGGAAACGAAAACGGCACCGGTGGTCCTGGTGTTGGGCTTGGGCTTTGGCTTAGGATTGTGTTTTTTTTGTGATTCGGGGGATCAGGTCTTGTCTCGATTCTCGTCCGTTCATCTGACGTGATGGAATTATTCTTTCATCGCCTTTGTCGTCACTATCAGAGTCAGATTCAACTGTTTAGGATCGGGATTCTGGATTATATCCTTCTTTTGTCTGTTTTGTGCTTTTGGAGCGCAAGGAGTCGGACGGCTTTCTGTTTACTTGGAACCTCGCTCTCATCTTTTTATCTCTTTTTTCCTTGTTGTTATTCCGGAGGTCTTCTTGCTTTATTTGGCGAAAGACTCCGTTCTGGCTCTTGAGGGGCGCGGAGGATTACTTGCTACGCTGTGCGTGGCATGAACGGCCTGTCAAGACAGTGCAAGATGGCAGGGATCATTAGTGGCGAGAAGGTCATATCTCCAGCGCTTGTACGAATACATCAAGGGCAGCAGCGGATGGCCTTATACCCTTGGTCTTAAAATCCACGGGCTTCACTCCGAGATACGGGATTAATTCCATCTCAAGCATGGAGATTGACTTTCCGCACTGGTCTTGTCCACACGATGTACTCATGATGTCTGTCCATACGGGCTTCCCAGCCCTTCCTTTATTTCCTTTCCTTTTCTTTTGCTCTGGTCTTGGCTTTTGTCATTGATGGAACGGCCCTTAGTGGCCTCCAAACTACTCCATGTGTTGGCTTTTTGCTTTTTTCCTCGCGGAGATATCTCTCATCTTGTTTCTGGGTCTGGTCTCTGGTCTTCTGTTCTTTACTTTACAACCTTACAACCCCCCTGTTCATTGTTACTGTTACTTTCACACCTATCCACTGTTACTTTTATCTGGGGAAATAACACCCCATCCAGGGCGGCGTTTTTGTGATTCCTGACGATGTGATGCAAACAGACCTCTTTCTGTTCTCTTTCTTTTTTACTTTTCTCTTCTCTCCCTTATCGTGTTACGCTGCGTTTTTTTACCTTACCTTATTCCCCTATACCAAAAAGGTTACTCTTACTTTATATGCTATGATTCTGACTTTGAGTTCTTTTTTTCCTACGTTGATATGATAATCTTGTATGGCCGTGAGGACTTCTGGCGAGATCTGATCTACTGGTGAGATATCCTGTTTTGCTTAGGGTGGAAAGAGCTGCTATTTATGGTCGAGGCTGGGATAGAGTCCTTATTTAGGTTTTATCCATGCATTGTTTCTTCTCTTGGAAACTCTCCCTTTAGTAGTAGTAGGTGGTTTGTTTCATACAGTGCGACTCTAAGCTCGGGTACGTGACATACGAATTGCATGTAGTTAATAGAAGACTGAATCAGTAGCCTGGGGTAATGTATTTGTAGTTCCTATCAAGTCGTGCGCAGAGTTATAGTCTGCATATAGCCTCCTGATACCCATGATTTTTATATAGTGATACATTGAGAGTAAATGCTCCGGGGATGCTATAATACAATGTAGATCGAGTGACCACCTATGAATACAACAACCAATGTCTTGTGATCTGAATAGCCAATATTTGTCTCGTCCAGGCCAGCTGGAGAATATCATCGAGCTGCAAGTAGATCGTGTAATCGAGTAGATCTGGCGATGTAAGTCATGGATGTCGCCGAGTTTGACAATCCAGTGTAAACCACTCCCAAAATAGCAGCACCAAGGTCGGGACTCCGAGGAGCAGACACATCTCGTGACTTACACAAGATCTTTGCAAAAATCAGAAGTATACTGGCAGGTACCAGCCGTGAATAGTGCGAAGCTCACCCAACGTATCCTCACGTCGGCAACGGCTTCCACTCGAAGATATTCTGCCAGTAATCCGAGACGCGGTCGCAGATCCCACTATACTCCTGCCATGTAACGAACTTTTCCTCCAACTCGCACGCTGTCCACTTAACCTCCTTCCAAAACGCCTTTTCGACATCCTCTTTCTGGCTAAATCTACCCACAACTTCTTCCGGGATCGTCCACGCCCGCGTGTACTCCCCTTCATCATTGAAAGCTGGATTGACTTCATGTTCCTCGAAGACCGTGGCGGGATTGAACTTGGGGAAATTGGCGTGGATGAAGAATACATCTGGCTGGGGAGCATCATCACCACGCACACGCGACTTTCCTCTCTGAACCAGGTCATGATCCTGGATAGGATTGAACTGCGCCATCGCCGACCCCGCAAACCCACCCGTTTTATCCTTGCGATGTCCCAGCGCGACAATCGGCTCACTAACCTGGTGGAAAGGCTGCTGCATAGCCGTCGCAGCCGCAAGGAAAGTCTCCTTATCGCCCTCACCAGCAGCACCCTGCGAGAGAAGCGGCCAGTAATGCGACGGACCCCAATAATTATAATACGTCGCGAGAAGAAGTGTACGCGCATGCGTCTTTTTCGACACCAAAACCTCGCCAGACTCCGTAGAGTGGCGCAAAGCGAGCGGCGGCGCAGCCGTACCGATAATCTCGTAGAACAGCGGGGACACAGTTGACCCCCAGAAATCGGGCCATGTTACCAGGCCCATGGAGCGGAAGGGGTCTGCGTGGAAGAGCGTTTCGGGTTTGCCGAGGGGAAAGGCGTCTGCATCTAGGAAGAGGATTTCCTCGAAGGAGGAGAATAGCATGGCGAAGGGCTTGAATTGGTATTTTTCTATCCTTGCGGGCGCGGCGGCGAGAATGCGCGAGAGGACGATGCATCGCGCGTTTAGCGATGGGAGGACCACGTCGCAGATGTATTCTTCGTATTCGTCTTCGTCGGCGAGGAAGACTTCCATCGGTAGCGTTGAGTTTGTCCGTCGAAGCATGCGCAGAGATATCACCAGCACGGGCAGGTAAACGCCTCCCGCAGTCGAGACTATGCCCTTTGTGCCGGCGATATAGGGCAGAGTCGGTGCAGAGTCTTCCCCCGTGATAGCAGCCACGAAGCCCGTATGCGCAGTTTTGATCGCGGTGATATCTTCGTCGTCCACGCTGAGATAGTTTGGTCGTGCGCGGGTATCGTCCGGGTTGAATCGCTCCGTCGGGGCTTTCTCATACTCGAAGATTGGCATTGTGCCTGGCGCGTATTTCTCGAGATACCCGTGGAATGTCCACCAGAACTTCTGATGGGCATCTGTCAGGTCCGGAGGGTCATTCGGGGATGACGCGGGGCCCCAATTGGGCAGGGAGGTTGGAGACTCGGAGTGCCAGCGAGAGAGGGTCCAGATGAATAGCGATGCGAGGCATAGCGCGGTGAACAGAGTGCGAATACGCAGACAGGACCGCGGGACAATCATCGCGACGAGCGCTAGAGAGACCTCGCGATTGATTGCGACGACCCTGGCCTGTCCGGAGGAAGAACTGGAGCTAAGCTACTCTACCCCACCAGCCCTGTAGGTGGATCTGATGACAGCTGTGACCCGCGATCAGGGCGCGCTGGATGCAGAGTGTACTCGGGGTACTTAAGCGTATAGCCCGGTCATGAGGGTCGCAGCGGTGCTGTATTGTTCCACGGTGAGAATGCGGAGAAGAGAAACTTGGACGCGTGAAAGGAACAGTTCGTTCGGAGGAGTCGGTTGAAACGCCAGACGCCCGTTGGAAGATTACAAGGGACCGCAGTTAGACCCTGGGCACGGGCCAGACCCACTGGAATGCAACACTTCTGCATGGTTGATTTCCTGAATAGTTTGATTGGTGGTAGGATCTATAGTGATAAGAACTTGTAATAAGCACAATAAAGACTGTTGGTTGTCTGTTACCATGGTTTAAGTCTGATAAAAATAAGGTTTACATCCAGAAGAAGTTTGATAACACAGGCAAGCCACAGTGGAGCCTCGTCGCTCAAGGGAAGATGAGGAAGAATCCGTTGTCTCTGCATCAGCCTCGATCGACTTGCATAAAGAATAATACAATGGCAGGGTTTAAGTAACCACGGAGCGGATATAAAGACCGAATGAGTAGGATGGAACTGGGCCATATATTCTTCAACTACTTTCAATGACCACAAGGTTTACTTTTTTTTACCAATACTATGTTACTATAATCGGCCACAATGAACCCTATCACCTTTACAATTGCTTTCTTCACTGTACCACGGGTGAAAGACTCAAAGAAAAAACAATGCATTCTATTCCAGGTGGTATACAAGAAAACTTCTTTGTTGAGAGCAAATATATAACCCGAGTCCCCGTCCATGATACTATAGTTCAATTCATCAGCAATCTATCACTTGATCATTCCACATCAGAACAAATTCACCATTCCTCCACTTCAAAAATCTCCAAATCAACTCTACACCTCTCACCAACACTATGCCTACCAACGCCTGGACTCGCCCTAAGCGCGGCAGCGAAGCCGCCAAAAACCATGGCTTCATGGATACCTACTTCCCCTCAAATGGCTCCGGTGGCTCCGGCGGAGGTGGTAAGTGCCGTTGCAAGCACAAGTGCACCTGCAAGAACAAGAAGAAGGCCGATCAGCCAGCCATGCTGCTCCAAGACGCTCCCGAGTCGAGCTCGAGCTCGCACCCGAGCTCATCCCAAGGCAAAAAAAAGCCCCTGATGCTTGAGTACGTTTATTCTGACCCGCGCTTGCAGCATTCGCAGGGTAGCTCTGGACAATATGATCAGGGAAGTACTCACTATTGCTCGAGATCGAGCTCAAGTCACGCATCGAGCTACCAACCGAGTCACCAATCGAGTTATCAACAGAGCCATCAGTCGAGCTATCATCCGAGTCCTATGTCGAGTTATCAACCGACTCCCATGGGGAGCTTCCAGCGAAGTCATTTGTGGAGTTACCAGGTGAGTCCCATGTCGAGTCGCCAGCCGAGTCCAAAATCGAGCCACAAATCTAGCCGGGGATCGAGCCGCCAGACCGAGTTCGATTTCAATCATTCTTGTCGTAAGTAGTTCCTGTTTTTGCGAGCATAGCCCCAGTCAACACAATTTCATTTTCCTATCTGCTGTCATGACGGTTTCCAGGATTTTCTAGTGAGAGATACAGAAGTGTTGGACCCAAGGGGTAAGTTCCACTTTGCTTCGGTTGCAAACAATGATCCCGGAAACTGGCAAGGGTTGAGTTTTATTGTTCTTTTTTTCAGTCATTTGATTTGATTTCATGTTCGTGTCTGAAGAGTTGTGATAGTTTCACAGAGTGAATGTTTGTTTATTCCTTTGTCTTTCTCCTTGATATTCATGTCAAATTGCACAACTTGATCTCCATCCTTCCTCTAGGTCATTAACATATAACGTACAAAAATTAAGATTCGACTTCTACTTATCTTTTAACCCTCCTTTGAGCGATAGCTTAGCCAAGGATGTGTATATGTTTTAGTTACGTAGTTACTCTTACCTTACCTAAATCGAACCGCCAAGTTCGCTTCTAAGATATCAATAATAAATTCAAAAACACTAGCACATACTAAGGCTTGCGGGTGCCGACACATCAAACTCAAGCTAGAAGTTTAAGACCAGTGATATCCTCGCAAGCTTTGACGACTACCTCCTGCAAATTTTCATCCGCTGTCGCCGCAAGAGGTTCACCAATCTTCTTTTTGGGCTCAAAGTATACACCGGTGAGACTTTGATCGTAATCACCTTCCGCTAGCATGATGTATGTTTCCACGCCATCCTCCAGCTTGTCAGTACCACCTTGACCACCAAGTTTCGTAGCAACATATCCAGGATGCACAGCCGTGACTGAAGTACTTTTAAACCGCCTTGCCACCGCATTAGCAAGAAGCATAACATGAAACTTCGAATCGCAGTATGCCGAGAAATCTTGAAACTCTTCTTCCCCACGCTCAAGCCAGAAAATATCCTTCAAATCGGTGTTGGCTTCTCGGTGTAGGACAGAAGCTATGAAGATAAGACGTTTGGGTTGTTTGAGGAGACAAGAGAGAATATAGGGTGCGATAACGTTGACGAAGACCATAGCCGGCACGCCAGTTTCTGGTGTCTTGCGGAATGGTCCGTAGAGTAATCCAGCATTGAGAATCACGGCGTCGAAGGTGCCAATTGCGTTTGCTTCCCCGGCCAATCTGCGTGTCTCTGTCACGCTTGTCAAGTCTGCGATCAGGACACCGGCAGCTCCGGGGCATTTTGCCTTGGCGTTGTCGGCGCGCTCTTGGCTGCGCGCATGGAGATAGACGGTGTGATTTCGCTGAACTAGCTGACGGGCAGCCTCGAGGCCAAAGCCATCCGTAGAACCTGTTATCAGGATACGGGCCATTTCTCAGAAGTTGGCGCAATTGAAATGAGGACGGTGATTTCGAGATGTTTTAAACAAAGGCACGGAGATGATCAGATGTGAAAATATTGTCCCATTGTACTTTCTCGCGATCTGCCGCTCCAAAGGTGGATTGGGGGCCGGCTTATATCCTGATAGACCTGTCCACCGCAGGCTGAAAACAGTATAGAGCACGGAGCGCTCCGTACAGTTTTGTCGGGCGAGCCGGGTTAGTTCGGAATGTCCTAGTTTTAAGAGGCCGATTCCGCTGTATTCTTGACGCTTGAATCAATCACGTCAATCAATTTAACTGGCTCTAGTCCGTACTGACACCGCATGCTGGAATCCAAGGGGATCGCGTGGGGGCATGTGTGCGAAGTTCGGCAAGAGTTCCGATCGAGATTCACGAAACTTTGACGGAGGCCAAAGGTCGACAAAGAATATACCTTGTACCTGAGGTTTCTCTCAGCTGCTGTTAGTAAAACGAATTATCGTTATATGTGTTATACTCTGAAGGCCATCTTAAATCTTTGATGTCGAAGGGTACTTCGAGAGAATTAGCTAACACCTCTCGGTTAGCAGCGGCCGATAGTGGGCTAGCGGTCAGAAACGGTGCTGCTTGGGCCTATTGGCACGTCACTAGAACTGCATGATTTCGCTCTACATACTCGTAGCGTCATTGGTGTGGGGCTCAGTCGGCGACTTCGGCATGCAGCTGCGAGCCTCGATGCCCATTCCTCTATGGCAAGTTGCTTGTCACCGTTCAGGCCGTTGGTCTCTTTACAAGACGTGATTTCGAGCTAGCTTGATAAACATACCTATCTAAAAGTTCGACTTGACTGAGGAATATCGCGCTGATAAAGATGTATCTTGTATTGTAGTGTCCATTCGCATGCACCCAATTATCATCCCAGATGTGCAGTGAGGCGTTGTACGTGCAGGACCGACAGAAATCAATTCAACTGTGAAAAGGAAACCTCAATCCCTCCTACCAAGCATTTGGTCTGGCTTGATTGAATCTCAGCAGTAGGTGCGCCATGGCAGGTTCAGATAACCTTGCCGCAGTCCTTTGACATACATGTTAAATGCCCTCCGTGCCTTTTGCATCACCTTGAACGTGAAACTTGCGTCTCTAAAATGGACAGAGACAAGCTGGACAAGATGATTTGCGTATATGAACCTGATCGTATAGCATCCGCCTAAAGCTTCCAACTCTCGGGCTTTGATCTCATTTTTCAACCTCTAGGCTTTAATATCACACGGGAGTTTGCCACAACACCAACCATGCCCAGCGTCTAGAGCACCATCGAAGTCGATATTATGACAGCCGTCGTAAGTTCGCCACATGCGTGCAGTAAATCTATATCCGCCAGGGCTAGTTTCCTCAAAGCTAGTAATTATTAGTACAGTTTCCAAAACGATAGAAAATGAAAAACATAGATAACTCACGTGATATAACATTGCCTGCTAACACAATTATTGAAGCCACCACTAAGAGTTCCAGTATAGGTAGATCCAGTGTAATAGTCAAATAGGTTGATGTTTTGAAAGATCAAGCTAGCACTGGCGTAGTAATACTGGGAGGCCTCAAGCCTGCCATGAAAGGCACAAACACACACAGCTAGTAACGGGGTAATGAAAAGACTGAGAAACTTCATATTGTGAAAATGGTAATAGGTGAAAGCTGACCAAAAAAAATCGAATATTCCGAGAGTAGAGCGTACCAGACCTTAATTAAAGACATGGAATCATGTCCCTCTTATATTCTTCTCTTATGTCCCCGTCGTAATGTGGAGTCTCCTCGGTTTCTTTACGAATTAATTCTCACATAATACCAGTTAAGATTGTCTTCGCTAGCTCATTTATTTTAGCTAATATAGTCATAAAAGATAATTATACATTAGATAACTCCGTGTTACCGTTACATAGAATTCATCCGGATAATGACAGACTACGCTATGTTTGCATAACATAGTATTACTAAACAAACATGATCTATCCTACATCCATGGCAGGGTTCAGTACATCGCCCTACCTTTTGTGCTTATACCTCATACAGAAGGTGAACCCCTAATTTGGCTGGATTAAGATTGTAGTATTCACGTCCTTCTCCTGCCCCTTCCGGTATAATGCTCTCGCCCTGGCCCCTATTCAGGCCTAGCGCCGCGGCTGGCCGCTTTTACCTCCCCAGCCAGCCACCGCTCATCTATAAAAGCCCGTTCTGTTAAGATTTGATCTACTCGCGGAGTAGAAAGGATTGTTGGTCAGTCAAGGAAGAAATGCACCAAGTAGAATCATGAAAAGACTGTTTCTTAGAGAACTTCTAAGCCTACTCTCTACCTCACATATTTCTTATACATCAATTCTCCGTCAATCGGAGGGGATACCACGTTAACAGTGCGATCAACATGAAGATCAGTAAGGACATGAAGGAAAGCCGGAAGGAAGAGGGGTTAGTGTAACATAATCTGTCCCCTATATACAAGGTTTCCCCTCAGCTGAGCTGCCGAACCCCCGCCTTCCCGAAAACCCGATGCAAGCTAAACAAAACAAGGCAGTGAGGAGAAAGGCCATAATCTCTGAATAAATTCATATGGAAAAGTGGCATAACATGTTCTCCCTCCCCGCTAGGCGGCCACGATTTCAGTGAACTAGAGCCAAACTATGATCCTCCACAGGAACTTTCATTCCCTACTCAGCTGGTGTTTCCTAAGGTAATAAAAAATCAAATTTGAAGATTGGAAATATTAAAAATTTCTTTAAATTATTATCTTGGACCGTATTCAGAGAGCAAAGAGCGTAGATTCAGGAGCTATCTAATAGCCAATTGACGGCTGTATATAGACTCCGATCAGGCAATATTTAGCTACCTAGCTGTGTATACAAATGAGTGACTAAAAGACAAACAACTAAAGGAACGTATGGGCATAAAGGCCGCAAGAACAGCCTTTCCAATACTAGCAAGCCAGCTGGATGCCTCTCACATTGTCTCGCGCTCCAGAAGGCAAGCCTCATGGATTTCTGCCACTTTAGCAATGATAGTAGACACAGCCAGACGGACCACAACACGATTGAGTACCGCCAATACAGATAGAGCAACCTTGACGTTTCTCGAGGCTGCTGTCCTCGTTGGGGTCTGCCACTGGAGCGGCGATGGCCATCGCAGTGAAGATAGAGAACATAATAACGGAGAATCTCATTTTGTTGATATGTCTATTTGGATAGCAGTAGTAAGTATAGAGTTCGAATATAGAGTATATGACTTTTTAGTAAGGAGTTAGGCAGAAATATTGATAATATTTCTTTGTGTACGGAGTACTGTACTTACAGTAAGAAGATCTTGATTTCTCAAGAGGTCACTCAATATTGATTTTCGAGGGTTGGCAGAGTATTGATTTCTTGAGGGTATAAGATGATGTTCTTAATGTTCAAGCAAAGCAATTGCGAATCGAGTCCATTTATACCAAATCTTAGGCTAGGTTTATTCTCGGGTAATAAGAATCGATAGATATGCGGTTAAAGGCATAGGCTGTTCAGGATAATCTTGTTTAGTTCTGTCGAAATGGGATGTGTTCAACACTAACACTAACCCGCCTTCGAATCTCAACTGCAGGCAATACATTGGTTATTCGGGATATCGGTCCGCTGTGTGGTTTTTTGGGCTGATGAACAGGGAAATGTACACGGTTGCATGCAACACCAGTGTCGCCTTCCGAATCTCGACTCTACTTTCCTCGAGAAAATCACCCCAAAAGTGCATGATAACCGTGCCTCCGCGCCCCGCCCTTTTTTGGGGGTGTTGGTGCGCTGCAGCCCAGTAATCATTTTGATACTATTCATACCTCCCAAATCCACACCGCATGGATAATGTCTATTCTGCTGTTGAGGAAAGGAGCTTATTAGTCTGCAAACAAGCAAGATGCGTTAGAAAAAAGCCGAATTCCAAGGCGCTTACATGCGAATTTGATGTCCTATTCCAAAGACTACGTACTCACTCAAAGGACAGGCCTTGAGACCGGACGGCCCTGTCCTCAACTGTACGCTCGATGAAGCCCAAGAATATGTTTTGATTTGATGGATAAGGGAACTTATTGATCCAAATCTTCCATCGACCGTGAGGCTTATTGAGCAATGTGTAAATGACATATTAAAGCTCAATGCCGAACCGCTTCGCGTTAGTGATATATGGGTATATCGCTTTATTGAGCGGCTCCCAGATGACTTCAATTCGATGATGATGATGATGATGATGAGCTGTCTATTTTCCCATAACACAGTCACGCTGTGCTGACTCGCGCCGGTTCATGCAATCTAAATAAGCGCTAAGGCCCACTCCATAAAGGCTACTCCTAAGGGTCACCATACAAATTCCGGCGGTTGTATGTTTTTGTTTCAATTTTATTTCACTTTTTGGGGAATTCTGGCTTAGCTCCTGATGGGAGGTATTCTTTTTATCCCGATCCTTGGTGCTGTTGGCTGAAAGCCAAATAGATATGCAGAAGATGTAGAAATCGGAAATGTGAGCCTATCTCACTCAACAGAAGCATTACTCATGCTTTTCCTCACCCTATTTCGCACCGCCCAGAAAGCGGGTAATAGAATCAATAGGGAAGTGGCCCTGTTATCTCAACCTCGGCCGGTTCGAAGGTGCTAGCTACCAGAACATTCATGATCAGCATTGGATTGACAGTGTTTGCGTGCATGGAATTTGGACTGTGAAAATGGAAAGGGTTGTTTCCAGGTTACATAGTTCGTTCATGAAATGATTTTGCCTCATGACAACTGTATGTTTATTTTCTGACCACCCAGTCCGTATCTCACGTAGAGAGGCCAGTGGAGCATTCGAGATTTGAACAAAGCATAGATTGATGGATATATAGCTAATAGAACGTATTTCATGGCTTAATTGTATAAAAAGACAAAATCTAACCATTACGACAGTAGGTTAGCCATAGATCAAATAAACAAGCGCAAGCTGTATCCCGAATGAAAGTTTCCACATTGAGCGACTCAGAGACCAATTTGAAACAATGTAGATTGACTCAATTTCAACACATTCTTTGCAGAAAGGGAAGTGGTCAATCATCATAGAAGCTGTAGTATATGGGATATGATTGTGGTGATATATGGGCATGCTTTTGGTAACAAGGGTTGTGGCGTACCTGAACCAGTCGGAGCGGTGCCGCTAGTGGGGGGAGCGATTGGTGGCGGCGGGGTGGCGGGGGGAACGATGATGCCGGAGATATTATCCAAGAGACAATATTGGATATCCATTTTGAAGTATATACTTCTCCAGACTTGCTTGACTCGGGCTCTTTCAAGACTCAATGTTTGTTTCGTTCGTTGGCTCCGATCGCTATATTTTAGTATCTGGTATAGTTAAAGTAGTAACTGTTTCCATGGATCCGATCGTGAAATGAGCTGTATCATGTCGGAAATACCAAAATTAGATGAACTTCCTCGACTTCTCATCACTTTCAGAAGGGCGCAAAGGTTTGATTTGATTACTCCTGGACGATCTTATATAACTACTAATCTCTCGGCAGGGGCTAGGGCATCGACCCTATCCCTTTTTACAAAATTTCAGAAATTTATATGGAGAAATGTCGTCATTGATGGAGCCGCCCGACACGAAGTCCACCTCGTTCATACCGTAGATTAATAATACTTTCATCAAACTCTTCGGTCTAAACAAGGACGAACATATTGATTTCATATTTTTTTCAGACTAAAAAATGTAGCTCAAAGCAACCACTGTTGAGGTCCGAATCCCATTTCCCACATAGCTGTAGGTGATTATTCAAAAGCCACTGTTCCTGGAGAACCAGGCACCAGATGCTATCCGTGCGATGCAGATCGCTCTTTGGCTGTGCCAAATTTTACTACGAGTAGCATTCACATCCATCTTCTACCAGATTCAATGCAGGTTCATGATTTTCCGTGAAACTCCATCAATGTAGCTTGAGTATAACCTGAATAGAGTTCGCATAAGGATGTTGACGGCAATTTTGGCACTCTGTGTTCTTTTTACTATATGACCAAAAGACAGCCCTAGTACTCTTCATCTGAGTCGAGCATATAATCTCACTCCATACGACAGCCATCGTGGATTACTTCCTCCCGTCCTCTCATATCCAGTCCTTGCGCTTTCTTATTGATTCTTCCAGAACCATTAAATTAGCATTGCATCAGCTATATGCAATGATGCAAGTTCTAGTGCACTACTGGTATTAGAAAGGGAGCACTTGGGGCCGAAACGGGTAGTATTTCTCACATCCCTTGCTAACAAGGCTGTCAATGATTATGCTCTCTACCCTCCTCTGACTGAAACGTGGCAGGAGTGCGGCAAGAGGATCATCCTGTGTAGTGACTACCTAGTATTGAGGTACTTGTGGATTTGGAGATAACCAGTTTCGTCTTAACGCTAATTTTAATCTTGACGCTGTCCATCTCCCGAGAGATTAGAAAATGGGCCCAGTCACCGCATGACCCTCGCTGACGAGTTCATTAGATGCTCGAGAGTACAACTTCGTTGAAACATCCAACAAGCTGGAAAATAACGGGTTGACTCGCTTGACAACCTGCGGAGCTTGGACTTGATGGATCACTTCGAGAAGCGTGGCACCCATGTAACGAATTTTAGTGAACCTATGACGACAATAAGTCAACTGTAGGTGCCGAGAGCTGATTCTCAATAGGAGAAAAGAAAAGAGGACCTCAATAGAGCAGAATCTTAGGTCTTGCGGGAGATGAACGCAACTTACACATGCTTCCCCATTCACAAGCAAAGAATCACGGCGCATTTGTTACGAAGACATTCATATTGTGCGCAATCTCGGTTTTCCGCAACGAGATCATAGTTTCCATGCTCTGCACGCCGATCATCGTCGTCAGACCGTGCCGCCCGAACCGATTTAGGATCAGCATGCGTAGGCAGTGATAAGTGAAGAACAAATTAGCGCGCTGAATACACAACTGACGGCGCATGATCTCGACGACGGCTTGATCTGGGTGCTTGACCGAGTCAGGTGAGTGCAGGAATGGAGGTAGATGACCTAGCTGACCCAGAAATGATGAATAAGGATCAAGAAATAGTTCTGATGCGACTCTGCCAGCGTGGCGATTATAGATGTACCGCGTTGGCCCAGTCGGACGAAACAATCGAGGTCCGTTAGAATGTCAGATGCCGCTACCCAGAGCTCCTCAAATACTTTGAAGGCTATTAAAAGCTATGATTCATACCCTTGTGGCATATTCCGTGGCTATGGGCTCATCATTGGTGGGATCTCTGGGTCGACATCTGAATACGAAAGTGCTGACCAGGTAAGATCGTATATACCCAGGGGATGGTTCTCGAGCATTCGGTGGTATCTTGCAGAAAGGCGGATGATCCGAAAAGCCATTACTCGAAGACAAGCTTCTAGAGGGTCCAGAACTTGTAAGGAGCGCGGATCCTGCAGCTGTATCTATTCGCCGAGCCGGAGTGCGGCACTGAAGAGATGCCACGAGAGGCGTAGTTTGCAGTCTGTATGCAGAGCACCCGCTTGGAACATGCGAATGATGAGGGATGTGGAATTTGGGCATTCTAGATCCAAATCTCGTAAAAGTGCCACATCTCACGGAAGCGTGTAGAAAGTCTGGTCCAACGACGGCTCCTTTGGGGTCGTTCTCGGTTGATAGCAAGTATGCGGTCGCTGCGCAGAGGGCAGTGACGAGAGTATATGATCGAAGATCCTCCAAATCTTCTGGCGTTGCGGAAGAAATCCTCAACCGGGAAGAACAACTGAAAACGCCGAAATTCGCGCCCAAACGTGGATGTTTGAGGCAGATGCTCGCTCTAATTTGGGCCTCACTCACGATGGGCCGGATGCTAAAAAGGACATCCATGTATATCGAGGCACACCATTCGACAGTGGCATCCAATGACCAATAGCTGTTGAGTATTTCGGATACGGAGCGTACAAGATCTTGATGGATATTCTCGATCTTGCGATTGAGGTCCATGGCGCCAGAGGATGAGGACACAATTGAGTCGGTGGCATTGGTCGATGCTCTCAGCACCCAGGTTACAACCTGCCTCTCATAGGCAGGACTAGTAGCTAAAGATAAGGGCGAGGCTGATTTTGATAGGCGCCGGGTTGGTAGTTGGAACGGCATTGAGGCTGAAGGTTCTTTTGAGTAGATAAACCTGCAAGTTCATTCAATGTGTATCTCAACCCTGAATGGAATATATGTGTAAGAGAACGGAGAGAGAACCAACGGGAATGTGCAGTGGTAGTCAGCCAGAGAATCATCCACAATGGTCCAACCACAGATGCTTCAACTTGCTCTTTTTTTTGAAAGGTTCTCTCTGAATTTCTTTGAATCATCTTTCTCAAAATCCAGGCTCGGGCTTTCTTTAATCCATTATTCAAATTTTGACTGATTATGGGATTTCAGAATTCTGTCAGTGCTTTAATCAAACTTATGCAACTCGACTGTAGTATCATGAACCATGACATCAATAGATACCAGTTTAGCTACGCTATCAACTTAAAGTGCGTATCTATTGTATTCTATACGAATATCTCCTTTCTGCCCCTTCCCAGGCTCCTGCAAGACGGGGCCTTAGCCAGCCTGCTCAATCAAACATCCCGTAGTCTCGCACTGCTTCGAGCGCAGGTGACTAGTATGGGTCGATCGTAGCTGCCGCTAGGGAGCAAAGGCGTGACAACAATCCCCGTGCCAGATTTGGCAGGGTTGCGAACATTTACATATCTTGTTCTCCACTTGATCAGTCTGTGACCTTCCTCCTATCAGCGTGGCCGGCTGAACTTCGGGTGAACCCACCCTGCTGCGGGGAAGCTTCCGTGCTGTCCCTTCTACTCCATCAGGCAGGTGAGCCCACTTCTTCGCAGACTTCGTGTAACCACGTGGACTTTCATCGCGGAGTGTCGGTCCGACCCTCCTCGCTCTGGTGCTCTCATAGATGCCTGGTTGTGACTTCAAAAAGCTGCAGGTCCGCCGAGCCTGCTGAAGAAATCATCATTTATCGATCGCAAAAGCTGCTCCTACTCTTGCACTCCTCTCACGGATAGCAATCGCGATGGCAATCTCGGCAGACGACGGCTTTGTATGGAAGCTGACCAAACCCGGGCGATGGGAACGAGACATTGACGAGGTAGAAGAATTCTACACCTCGCTGGCAAAAGCCTATGAAGGAACAGGAAGAGTCTTCTTTGCCATGACCGGGTTTATTTCATTTTCCGTTCCTGTACAGCCAGGCTCCACCTTCTTCGAAACAGAAGAAAGAGTCGAGCAGGCGCTGAGAAATGCTTGGACTCGTCTTCGGTTTGACCACCCGACTATCGCCTCTAGGGTTCAATATGATCCAGCCCATCAAAAGTACAAAAAGACGTACGAGACCTTTACCGATAGCGCATCCCAGCGTCAATGGCTGGATGATACGTTCTGTGTCGTAACAGAGAGAATATGGGGGCTTGACTGGTGCAACTTGGATCCCCCAGTGCCTGATCTACCGACACTGTTCCTCGTCAAACCTCCAGCCTTGGATGATCAGACCTTCCGCGCTGATCTTGTCCTCCGCTCGCATCACGACATCATTGATGGTATGGGGACCTTGCTTCTCTTTAACAACCTTTTTTCTCTAGCTGCCGATGCATATGAGCAAACCGACTACGAATTACCTCAATTTGGCGAGGAGTGGTCAAACCTCAGCCCGCCCCTCAGGGTAGCAGCCGGGATACCGGCCGCCCTCTCGCCAGAGCATGAGCAACATATGCGCGAAATCCTCAAACACAACGCCTCATTAAGGGAAGGCATTGAAATAGCAAGCCCACCATTCCAGCAACAAAATACCACTCCCGGAAAGCACCAACGGGTTGCAGTTACTTTATCTGAGGATGATACAGCCAGACTATTGGAAAAATGTCGCGGTCTCGGGCTCAGTATTACACATGCATACCATGCCGCAATTGCGCACGCTGTTAGAGACCTACAGGAACGCAAAGAGAGCGAGCGCATGGTACGATACATCAGCTACTGCCTGGTCAACGAGCGCAATCGCTGCAAACCCCCGTACAGTACATCAATTCATCCCGCATCAGTGTATCACTCCGTCTCCGGTCGACGCTTGGCGGTCGACCTCACCGTCCCCGCATTGGGGAGTTCCAACACTACTCCAACCGTCAATGAAACATTCCTGCCCATCGCTCAACAAATCCGTGACTACTGCCAGGATATTCGCGACAATACGGATTATATGAAACTCATCCCGGCCTTCTGGGCCATGTCCATCTCCCCGTATCCGGGGCCCGATCCTCCTGCGATTCCAGCACGGAATGAGACTCCTTCGGCTTCTATTTCCAGTATGGGTGTGCTGGACAAGGTCATTCGCCATAATTACGGTATTTTCAGCGTCTATAATCCGTGGGTCACCGGTGAGGAGCTAGGAACTGGACTTGGGCTGTTTTTGGGTACTTGGAAAGGGAGGTTGACTCTCAGCGCAGCTTACAATGATGCTTGGCATGGGAAGGAGGAAGTCTTGGATGTTTTGAATCGGTGCAATAATATCGCGTTTCAAGGACTCGGCATTAGAGAGGCACCATCGTTTTAGCTTGTCGTGCAAGGTGAAGGGGTAAAGGTGCAAAGCACTCTTTGATATTCATGTCTGGGATTTTTTACCACCGGTCGGAACTGTTGAGATTGAAGTTGGGCAAGGGAAATAATAGCAGCGTGCCTGCGATTGAACAACGAGTAAAATTTCCAGCAAGCCTAAGATAATTCCTATAATGTACGAAGGGGGTATCGTGCATATCTCGTGTTCTAGTCGGCCTCCAGTCTATAGAGAAAGAGACATTATTATAGCCACTGTCAGGTACAGATGAAGACGTATTATCAAGCGCTATACCGAAGACCGTGACCAAACCGAAACAAGGGGTCGCAGGTATCATAAGGAGTATCCGACATCGACTGCTGAATTGCTTCCATGGACGAAGGGAGACCAAAAGGCAATCTACCCTCTGGCTCACACTTCCCGAGAACGACGTCCAGGAAAGCGTCAGCGGAGCTTCCATAGGACAAAAGTCTGCAGAAGCCCGTTGAATAACCTCAGGTACCACCGGAGGACGATCAGCGTAGATGTCTACGATGACCGTCGGAACCGCGTCGACAATCTCGGCCTGATGGGCTTTCTCTTCTTCATTGAACTCCAGAGAGCCTACGTGGAACAGCGACTCGAATCCGCCAAGGCGAGGTTCATACGGAGTCTTCAGACGTAGCAGAGCAATGTCGGCATCAGTCGGGTCTTCCACAACTTGGTGACCGTATGTTTGCACGGTTTCCGTGGGAATACCTTCGAGATAGATTTTGGCTGTTTGATGAAGATTGGGGCGCAGCGGCAGGCAATTGTCTGTGTTGGTCAACAAGGTGTAGCTGCGCCGTTGCACCTCAGCGCCCAACTTGCAGAACTCCTCGTTGCCAACGATTTCCTCGGCTGCATCCTCGTCAACGAAAGGATCGTCGGACAAGCCCAACTGGAATTCTTCCTAAGTAACTCGGGGCATGACTCGCCGCCGAGCTGATCATATCCAGCTTCCATGATGCGCTGAATACGGGCCGATCGAGACAAATGCTCTAAGCCCCATGCTCTCGCTGGCATCAATTGACCCATGATCACCTTCTGGGTGACTAGCTCCCTGTCCGTACAGATGATGCCTTGAATTCCTAAATCTTCGCGTAAGAGCCCCGTAATAAGAGCTCTATTGAATGCAAAGCCTATTTCCTCGTACAATGTGCCAACCTGCATCCCATAGTAAGGCATCATCTGCGACGCACCCGCCGCGATCGCAGCCGTGAACGGTTTCAAATGATACTCGAACTGGTTGCCTGGATACACCTGTTCACAACCGTACGCGAATGTGGATCTTCCCCATCCTTCTGTAGTCCACCCCCAGGAAATGCTCCGTCATCGTCGACACAGACTGGGGTCCAAAGATAGCTCCCCCTTGGAAGCCGCGAATATAGCCGCGAATATAGGCAGAAACCAACTCCGAGGTCAGGTCCGCATCTTCCCCAAAAGCAGCGTTGATGCGCGCCCAGCGATGCTCCGTAGCCAAATCAACCTGTGGATGCAAGGCCAGTCGCAATCCAACCGCAAGATACTCCTGCCGAGCGATATTGGCGAACTTTTCGACGAGATTAGCAGACCGTAAAGCCGCTAAGCCGAGCGACTCGGGCCACTGTGAGAAGATACCTGCCTCGAACCCAGTGCCCACATTATCGGTAAAATGGTTACGCGGATCGGTCGAGCACCTTGAGCAGGTCTCACCTGGGCAGAAAGGAGAAGAGGTCTACGAAAAACAGCGTTCACCTTGGGAAGCCGCGAAGAGAAGCCCAACGGTCATCCTATGCTGCATCGTCATGTCTTTGAGTCCTTTCGTGACCGGATTTGATAATATTTCGGTCTGATGAGTGCCATGCCCGCATTTCAGTACAGCTCCCCTGAAGCCCCTAATAACCGCCCATTCTAACATGCACTGCTCATAGATCGACATATGGTGACAGCTCCAGTGTGATTCCTGCTGAATAGCTCTCCCTCTAGACCTCGATAGTGGCCGTAGGTGTTATGACAGGAGCCATGTTAGCCAGTCCAGTATCTGACCGATGGGGCCCCCATTGAGCTGAAAGGCCCGCTACTGTCCGCATATCCCCTTTCAATGGTGCGCTCCGCGAGATGTACTTCCCGTTCAGCATTTGAGCTGACCTAAAGCTTTAGGTATGCGGACAAATCATCGCCGTGGCTGGGATCAACGCCCGTATCATGATATTTACCCGGATCGGCTATCGTGTAAGTGCAATCTTCTTTTACTTGTGCCTATCTCGAAATCTCATCCTAACCCTACTCGAGGTCAAAATAGCTCTTACTCGCCATCGAAGCAGTCCCAGCCGGTGTCGGCGCTCTTACTCCTCTCCTCCTCCCTGAAAGTCCCCACTACTTCGTCAAGCATGGAAGCCTGACCAAAGCGACTGCCGCCTACACCCGTCTCTTGTCAAAAGAAAAAGCCGAGCCCCCAGTGTACCGCCTTACACGCGCTCTCGAGCACGAACGCGATGTCCAAGAAAGTGCTGAAGCTCCCTCGTTCAAGGAATGTTTTCACGGTGCGAACTGGGGACGCACGCGCATCATTTGGTATGCCAACATGTTGCAAAGCTTCGTAGGTATAGCCATGATCCAAAACGCGGCCTACTTTCTGGAGCTGGGCGGGATGAGTGCACAGAATTCCTTGAATGTCACTACCGCCTCATTGTGCCTCCTGCTTCCTGCTGTCCTATTATCGTGGTATTTGATGGCTCTGCTAGGACGCCGTACAATCTTGCTGTGGGGCGCCAGCCTGATTACGGTTTTATGGCTAGGGATTGGTATCGCATGCTGTTCTAGTACTACTACTGCTTTCTGGTCCGTTTTCACTACCCTGATGTCTCTTTCTCTCCCTCGCTTCTGCTTTTGAACTAATGATTCTATGAAAACAGGTTTGTGGGCTGCGCCAAGGTAACGACCTACTTTGTCCATGGTCTAAGTGTGGGCGGCATCGTTCCGGTAGTGGCTTCAGAGACCTCGAGTCTGCGCTTGCGAGCGAAGACCCAGGCCATGGGATTCACCGTCCAGTTACTTATCAGCTGGGTGTTTCAGTACGTGGTTCCGTATATGTATAGCACCGCGGAGGGCAATTTGGGAGGCAAGGTAGGGTTTATATCTGCTGGGCTCTCAGCCGTTGCGCTCGTGGTAATTTTCTTCGAGATCCCTGAGATGAAAGGCTTGCGGGTTGAGGAACTTGATACACGGTTCGAGCAGAAGGTTTCAACGCGGGCTTTTCAGCACGCTGCAAACGCTCTAACTGAAGGATAGCCTAGATACTGTACAGCACTAAATACTTTCCAATGTAAATCCGAGGGTATGAAGATATTTGTATAAATGGACACTCAGTTATGAACATGTATCTGGTTTTTCGCCATCAGCTCAATACTATTCCCTTGGATACTCTCAACACGCATTCCTTTTCAGTGATTTGTAAATTTTCGAAAACCCCTTCCAATCCTCCGACAGCATCCACAACCCCACCAGCAACATCATCTAGCTTAATAATTGTCTCAAACTCATCACTCTGTGAGATTTTCTTTTGCATGGCCTTGACTACCGTCACAGCGATTTGTGAATCCCAGAGTCCATCTCGAGCTGATCCAAGCTGACTCTGCATCAAAGAAAGCGATCTCTGAATTATTCGCCGATCATGGGTCCTCATGCAAATAAAGTATAACATAGCGATGATGTTTGATGAAAGAGTGAAATCTCGGTGTAAGCCAGAATCCTTGTCTTTGACGCTTTGAGAGAGAAGCTCAGATACCTGGTCGATAGCGAGACCGAACCGAGAGGTGATTTCTGAATCAGTAGATGGAATGAGATTTCCCAGAACTACAGCGTGAAACATGCGTGCTTGAGCTTCAAGTAGTGTCAGTTGCTGGCGTTGTAACGGTGGAAAGGGATGCCCGTCGACTCCAGTAGCCAATTTTGCAATCGCTTCCTCCAGCCGTTCAAGCTCATTCTTTAGTTGGAGTCTTTCACGCAGCGCTTGTGGAGGAATTCGATCTTGTGGCATGCACTTGAACTCAATATAGACTAGAAGATGTTGTAATGTCCAGTTTTGGAGGGCAAGTAAGGCATCCTCAGTGTCGGAAAGACTAGCAAACCGATCAGGGACAACATGTTCTTGCCCGGATATCTGTTCCGGCGAAACAAGGTCTAGCACAGGAACTCTTTGCATGAAGAATATGCTGGCGTGAATATCTAACCGGGAAAAGGTTGTTCTCAACTGTCGATTTATTCCATCAAGACCGGTCTCAATGCGAGGTATACTGTTCCAAAGTCTTTTCAAGAGTCTCAACCCTTGATTGAGATGCCACATCGCCTGTTGAGTCTCACCAACAAGACACTCAAAGACGTAAAATATCATGCTGCAAATGAGAGCCGTCTCCGGCGAGGCTTCTTCGAAAACAAGGTATGTCGATAGTTGCTTGTGAGATCTAGTAATAAGTTGTATGTGTTGAGGGGACATTTTCAGCTGCCTTGATCCCACTTGCAAGTAGTCCCGATACAGAGAACTGAGCGCGACAAGAGCATGGCGAATAACCGGCTGGTGTTGGCTTTGCTGCAACACATGTTGTGTCCATAGCGCTGTATCCGAGAATCTGGAAAGAGACTCGGATGTTTCGCAGCAGTAGAAGTGAAGTAACTCGCGGTCGGCTTTACTGCCTGGTACTTTGAAAGGGAGATTATAAATCTTGATTTCGCTGTTGATCTTGGGAGGGACTTCGCTACGATAGCCCGGACAGGTCCGACCGGTGCGAGTGCATCGCTGACAGCTTGGTCGAGTCTCATCGCATTTTACACGGCGACTCCTGTTGACTCGTTCAGGATTGAATCACTGCAGAAGGAAGACGAGGGTGCCGACTCACTTGCAGGTAGCGCAACCCGTGCGGACCTTTGGCATACTTCGACGCTGCCGTTGTTCACTGGCCATTCTCAGCGTCAAGCTTGTTGACGAGCTTTGTATCTGGCCGTTCTTAGAAGACAATGCGTTTTGCAAAACAGGAGTCGCTATGCTATAGTGTTAGATTTCCTGGTAAAGAGGAGGTTGAAGAAGATCTCCGCCTCAAACGTGGAGGCTTATTTGCAGGGCACAGGTGGGGGCCAAAATGTACCTTTTCTACTATGTACAAGTTGCTATTTCTAGCACTTTGTGGCTACGCTACCATATAATTGACTGGAGGCTATCTATATAAGTTTATCTAACATTGTTTAACTCTTGAGGGCAGACCTGAAGTCCTTGCATGTTCTCAGATTGGCCTCCTAGTGTAGACTAGGATAAATACGTCAAGAAATCGGTCTTGTTCTTCTGCAGGCATAAAGACCCGCAAAGTAATTTACGGGAGGCATCAAGCAAACGATCTTGAATTTGAGAAGTCTGTCCATGGACATGATATAAAAGCTGTTACAAGGAGCAAAATGATGGACAATAAAAAAAACAATCACCTTCCAAGGTGCGAATTTACCGCTTCTTGATGCTGACATCCAGGTTGCCAATGAACCAGATACCCACAAAGACGGTCAAAAGGCCAGCAAAGATGGTAAGCGGCTTGCGCAGGGCATCCATGAGGGTGTGGTCATAGGTCACCTAAAGAGAGATTATTAGCTACCGTCATGTAGGCTAGATCAGGAGCGGGTGATAACATACCATTAGTTGCGCGTCGCGCGCCTCGTCAGTCAGACTGTCAACCTCCAGGGTCAAAGTGGTCCGGCCGAGGGTGTCCATATAAGTCTTGAGCGAGGACAGGCTTGCGTGAATCTGGTTCGCGCCAGGCAGACCGTTGCTGGCAGCGCCCTCGATGATCTCGTAGCGCACATTGTGTGCGCCTTCGGGGAGAACGACACGCACAATCACGCGCTCATACTGAACACCCTCTGCCATCTTGGGACCCTGAAGGAAAGGTGCCTTGAGAACATACGAGTCGCTACCGGTAGCCTTGCGAAGGAAGGCAGACAGGTCGTTGTTCCAGCCGACCTTGAAGCTGTAGTTCCAGCCGCCGAAAATTGGGTAACGGGGCTTCAGCTCCAGGTTGGCGCCAGTCTTGGCGGTGCCGGGGCGATAGCGGCTGGTCGAGACGTTGCCAATGTCGTCAATAAAGTACGCATCGACCGAGCCGGGCAGCAGAGGGTACGTGAGCTCGCGCACAGCGGAGGTCGGGGCCTTCTGGTAAGAGGAGAAGGTCCATTCCACGCGCGAGAACTGGGTGGTCAGCTGCGAGGCGTTGTTGCGCAGCCAGTACCGTTCCTCAGTGGCCAGGTTTCCACCCCAGTGCGACACCTCCAAGTCACGCTCCAGAAGGCTTGCGGTGATGACCGGGCTGGTGAACTCGTAGCGCACAGTAACGGGGTACTCGATGCCGGGGGCCACCTTGGCCGTATCGTAGGGTCCGTAAGTATAGGTGGCGCCCTTGCGCTCGGGGTCGGCGCCAGACTTGAGTCCTTCGGTCGTGGTATAGTCGGGTACATCGGCGTTGGGGAACTTCACCTTGGTCTTCTGAGTGACGGTCTGATAGGCGGAAGGGATGTATGCGGAGAAGCTGTGGGTAAGGTATTGCTTGTCATTCTGTCCAATGGTTGCCGGGAGCGGGCTCAGGGCAGACAAGACGGAGTAGGAGATTCCAAGGGTAATCTGAGATTTTGGGGCGAGAGGCTCGGGGAAGTGAACGACGAAGTACTGGTTACCGCTGTTTGTGGGGATGCAATGATCAGTCAAGAGTTCCCAATGATTCCCGTCGAGTGCTTGTAGTGCTATGCGCAAACAACCCGATTTCAAGCCATTGGCTGGCCCAATTGATACTCACCTAGCGGAGACAGCCTCGGTAACATCTACGTCAAATCGCCCTTTCCCAGTGGCCTTCTTGTCACGCACTTCGAAACCTCCAACGCGCTCAAATACATCTGAAGGGAAGGGAATGTAGTAGTCGCTCTGTGGCTGCTTGTCGACATTCTCAACAACAACATTGACGGTCTCCCGAACGTATCCTTTTTCCAAATTGGTATTGCGAACCAAATTTGTGTTCTTGAAGACCTGCGCGGGCTTGAAGTCGGATGGAAGAGCAAGTCGAGACGGGGTGGTCAAGTTGGTCGCGGCAGCTAGGCTGGGTGCAAGCAACCCAAGCACTGTGGCGGTGAAAAACCTCATTGTAATTGAGGGTATCACGCCGGAGCACACAAGGTCTCCGAGCAGTAAATTGGATTTTCGAGGAGGGTGGGGGTGGTGATCAAGATTGAAGGTGGGATCTTAGTCGGACGAAGCTGATTATGTGTCCCCATTGTATACGCAATTAAGTACGGCAGCCCCAGCGGCCACGACGCGCACTCCGCTGCTGCTGCTCTTATCGCCCGATAACAGCTTCTCCTCATTTCTCCATCTCCAAGTCTCCGATCGATCGACATTCAATCTGGTCGTGTCGTACAATGCTTGCTTCAAGGACCGCTACTCGGTTTAGGTGCTGGAGGGGTGCACGCCTGCCTCGCGCTCGTCATCTTCATGACCTTCACAAGCACCCCCAGAGCCGATTTTTGCAGGTATCAGAGGAAGTCCGTGATGCCGTTGCAACGGGCAAGCCGGTCGTTGCTCTTGAGACGACAATTTATACTCACGGTGTGTCTTCGAACCGCCTTTTTTTCCAATGGCTTGAGGCTCTATAATCTTTGTTGAGTATCATTTCTAACACGCCACCAGGCTTCCCATATCCTGAGAACATAGCTCTTGCTCAGCTGTTGGAAACAGTGGTCCGCGATAACGGCGGAGTTCCTGCCACCATAGGCATTCTTGGAGGTGTCGCCCGGGTAGGAATGACTGCGGAAGAAATGGTTGAGCTGGCCTCGACAGCAGAGCAGAAAAGTGCTCTGAAAGTCTCCCGCAGGGACCTTGGGTACATTTGTGGCCTGGTATGTTGCCGAGCTCGACGGAGCATAAGACCAAGAAACTAAGATAATTACAGGGCCTGGCTGGGAAGAAAATCCATGGCGGTACAACTATCTCGGGCACAATGATACTCTCGGAGCTTGCTGGTATCAAGATCTTTGGTACTGGAGGTCTAGGTAAGGCTTCCAGCAAAGACTATACATGGTAGTGTCTGACTAGCTTTACAGGTGGTGTTCACCGAGGAGGCGAGAACTCTATGGATATTTCTGGTATGTTCAATGGCACTTTATAACATGCATCAACAACTAATCTCGCCTATCTAGCTGATCTGACGGAGCTGGGTCGTACCCCCGTGACGGTCATTAGTTCCGGATGCAAGAGCTTCCTGGATATCCCCCGCACTCTCGAGTATCTCGAGACCGAGGGTGTGTGCGTGGGTACTTTTGCTGATGGCCGCGAGGGATCAGTCGATTTCCCTGCTTTCTTCACGCGGGATAGCGGCATCCGCAGCCCGCGGGTCATCCAGGATGAGGCTGAAGCCGCTGCGATTGTTTGTAAGTGACTTTCCCTCCCGTACAACCCTTCAACTCGACTAACTTGGTTTCAAGATGCGCAATCAAAACTTCCGATTCACTCTGGCATCCACTTTGCCAACCCGGTGCCTCGGGAGCACTCTGTCCCCAAGCCGGAGATGGACCGTATCATTGAAGAGGCCGTGCGTCTCGCCGATGTAGAAGGCTACAAGGGCAGTGACAACACTCCCTTTGTTCTAGGGAAGATTAAGGAACTCAGTGGCGGAAAGAGCGTGATCGCCAATCGCGCTTTGGTCGAGTCTAATGTCAAGCGCGCAACGCGGGTGGCTGTGGAGCTGGCCAAGCTTGAGGATCTCGACCGAGGATCCGCAGCTCGGTGAGTTGGACACTTAGATACAGAATATACACAATGCTAAGTTTGGAGATCTTTTTCTGGATAGACACATGCCTGCTATTCCGAGTATTGTTCGATCAGACACAGCCAAGGATACTCCCAAGCCTAGCAACTCACCTCCCAAGCAAGAGGCATCCCCTCAACTACCAGAAAAGGCGGATGTACTCGTAGCTGGCTCGCTGGCAATCGACTTATCTTGTGACTATACAACCTTCGGCTCGGAGCTCGCCCAGGTTGCGCCCGTGCCACACACCTCCAATCCTGCAGTCATCGGACAAAGCCTCGGAGGCGTGGGTCACAACGTCGCGGTTGCAGCCAGCTATGTCGGCAGCGATGTCCTATTCTGCAGTGTGGTGGCAGATGATTTAAGCGGCCGAGCAGCCCTTGCATCGCTTACAAAAGAAGGGCTCAACAACTCAGGCATCCAAGTCCTTCCAGCGTCATCAGGCACGCGGACAGCACAATACGTAGCCATCAACGATGCCAAAAAGGACCTCCTCGTCGCCATGGCCGACATGGGCATCGTCGAGCTCCCAGAGTACCAGCTCAGCTTTGACGGATTCTGGGAACCTCTGATCGAACGCACAAAGCCACGCTGGGTCGTTGTCGACGCAAACTGGCGGCCCGAGGTTATCGCGAGATGGACGGCTATAGCTCGCAAACACGGAGCTCGCGTGGCATTCGAACCTGTTTCGACTGCCAAATCACGCCGCTTGTTTGGTCGTGATGACAGCGGTGCACCCGCGGCTATCGGCCCTGCGCAGACTGTGCCCAATAATGCCATCAGTCTGGCTTGCCCCAATAAACTCGAGCTGTCGACTATGTACATGGCAGCGCGCGAGGAAATGCTCTTCGAATCGTCCGGCTGGTGGTCTATCATCGATGCTATGGGCCTTTCACCTACTGGTTCACGCGAGCGCCTTGTAATGGCGACCTCTGCCAAGCTGGTGGATGAGGGTCTGCCACAGCAATCTATTCAGCTTCTCCCTTTCATCCCCTGCATCATCACCAAGCTAGGTGCAGCCGGTGCTCTTCTAACCCAGCTCCTGCCACCTAATGATCCGCGACTGACGGATCCTGATTCTGCACCTTATATTCTGTCTCGCGCGTCATCGGCTGAGGTAGCGTTTGGTGGTGTTTACATGCGTCTCTTCCCGCCTGCTGCTACTTTGAAACCTGAGGAGGTTGTCAGTGTCAATGGTGCCGGTGATACCCTGCTAGGTGTCATGGTTGCGGGCCTTGCAAAGTCCGCCTCGCCTGCGCGTGTCGAAGATCTTCTTCCCCTAGCACAGGAAGCGAGTCGGAGGACTTTGATGAGTGCTGGGGGTGTGAGCAAAGACCTAACAGGACTACAAGCTAAACTGGGCTCTATCGCATAGTGGTATTGCATAAAATAGCGTTTTATTGATATCCAGGCAAAGTCCTACTATGCATATAAGTCACAATTTGCTTCCATTTCTACTTAGATTCTCAAAATCCCCAATCATCGTAATCAGCTTACCCTTGTATCTCCGTAGTCATCTTTGGCACGAAATCCGAGTCCAATAATCCCGCCTGCACGAGTACATCTGCCTGGTCCCAATACAAACTTTGATGCACAATCCTATCAGCGAAGAAGCTAGCCACCACCACGACAACCACCTGGATATCACGGTTCGTCGGCGGTACACGGGGAAGTAGCCACGGTACTTCCTTGCTATGACAGAACGTGAACAGAATCTCGTCCACTATTCGATCTGCACCAACCGTCCTCGACAGAAGACGAATATGCTGGCTGGGTGGTCCAGCCGGAATGAAGACGTCTGTGAAAAAGGTCCTCAGATCATCCGGAGTAGATCCTGGCAGATATTAGCATCAATACAAACAGCGCACCAGATATACCACATAGAGAAATATCTTAAATCTCACCTCCAGCCTTCGTAGGCGTACAAACCACCTTCGCACTCTGCTCATCATGCATACTCGACCCCCCACCCCCTGCACAAATCAAATCACTCCCCCTCCTCAACACAATCTCCATCGCCGACCCAGACCCCTTCTGCCCCCCTCCATCCGATCTAACACCATCCAAATCCCCCATCAACCTTAACCAATACTCCTCCCAAACAGTCTCAATATCAGCCACAGGCCAATTACTCCCGGCCCCAAACGCATGCCGCAAACACCCCAACGCCCGACTCCACGCCAACTGCGAACTAATCCTATCATCATCGTGAGGCCCGTTATCAGCGATACTATAATTCGACGGCCTGTGTTCTGCGAATCCCGCCCGTGCGTCCGGGTAGGTGTATACGTGGCAGCGGTGACGCTTTTTGTAGGATACGTCCCCCTCGGAGGGGGAGATGCTAATCCAGGGCCAGAAGGTGCGGGGGTTTGGGTTGTGGCCTGGGAGGTGGATTTGGATGGGCAGGTAAGTTGCGGAAGGGCTGGGGTCGAAGATGGAACTTGTGTCTGAGCAGGCAGGGGTACAACAATCTGTGGTGTGGGATGATGATAGGGCGGCGAGTTGCTCGGTTGATGTTAGTGGGTAGTAGGCGATTAGGGCGCAGAGACGGGGGAAGGGGTTTGTTTTGGTTGTTGCGAGGTGGTGAGAGCCGAGAAGGTAATATGCTGGTCGATTGTATGCTGTTATATGGAGTTAGTAAGATCTATATCCCTTCTTCATCTGGTAATATAGAGGTGTGGGAGGAAGTATATACCAACTATAGCATATCTCTCTCCAGCCTCCAACTCATCCTCCTTCTCATGCACTGCAAACTCCAAAGACTTGCGATCCTTCTCCGCATCATCCGTACACACGAATCCAAGATAAGTCACATCAAACCCCTCAGCTTGAAACCGCTGAATAATATGAGGATCGAAAGTAGCATTATCCGAGATCAGAATCAGATGTCGTGGCGAAGGCTCCTCGACAATTGACCGCCGATTTCGCTTCCATGAATTCCTACTAGTAGTCCGATGCAAATCATGCGATCGTGATGAAATATTATTCCCATCGATACCGGGGTCAGGCACGGTACTGCCGGAACTGGTAGTTGCTCGTCTGGCGAGGCGTTGGAAGACGTTCACCATGATGGCGGATGCGGAAGGGTTGGAATTGAGATTATGCGCCGGAATAGAAGGGACCCGACTTTATAGATGACATCCCGGGTGGTCCGGAGCTCTTTATTGCTTGGATGACATCGGACAAGAGCACAATTCGACTGCCTGGATGTGCCAATACTTCGGATTTCTTGGAGTGACGTCGACGAGTGGTGCGATAAGATAGAACGGTCCGGACCAAAAATACTGTACAACAACGCGGCAAACATAGACATTGCAAACACCCACAAAAAGACATATTCTAATAATATTCTAGCCAGAAAAAGTGGTGGATTTGATATTCAAAAACAAATGCGCAAACGCTCAATCTGCCAAGGTCTATCAACTACCAAAGATTTCAGATATTCTCGCTCACCCCTTCAAACGTCACCAACCACTTCCGGTCCTCATTAACCTGCGCCGACGCCTTCCCATCATCAACGATATATCGCTGATACGCATCACGCAGGAGACTCTGTCGCGCAACCTCGCAGTCAATTCGAATATCCTCGATCAAAGCGTCCAGCGAGACATAGTCGAATTCAGGACGAATGTACCCCAGAATCAGGAGGTTGAGCTTGGTACCGTAGAAATCGGGCAAGCGGTTGAACTTGGGATGTGCGACAGCTGTCGGGGAGGGTTGTGTGAGAGGGGGCATGATGTGGATTTCCTAGTGGGTGTGATGTGAGCATGTATCCCGGAATAAATAACATGGATTCGTCGTCGACAAGAGTAGCTAGAGTTGGACATACCACCGACCGCACAGTATTCTTATAGAACGGGTTATATCCAATGCTCAACACGGCGGGCAAAAGAGTCGCAGAAGACGACTTCTCAGCACCATTCCCTTGCGCAAGGTTCTGGGGGTCTAGCGCTACCACGCCGTAGTAAACACCGGAGGTCAACTCGGGATGCTGCTCGGACAGGTCGTCGGCGGGGATATTGGCAGTGGGAATTCCTAGCTACAAAGTCCAATATTAGCGATTGTCCATTTCAAAGTCTCATCCAGGCAAAAAGCCTGTCATTTTAACAGCACGACATACATCCTTACTTCCCCGTCCAAATCCCTTGATCACCGGGCCGGACAAGCGCACGGGGTATGGGCTCTCTGGACCAGCATCAGGCCCGGCAACGGGGTCACGAGGCTTATCAGGACGCATTTTATGAATGATTCTCGAAATGAACCGTTGGGAAGACGAGCGCAAAGGACCAGGCGAGCAGCGACGAAGATTGTGTGAGTCAAGAGGCGGGAGCGCGGGGCAGGCGGGGATTCCGGGGCTTCGGAATACGAGTAAGCTTGATAAGCGGATTTGCGGGCTTGGGCTGTCCCTGTCAGAGATTGTGATTGATGATTAGGGCTGGATGTTTGGTCTCAAGTGAATGGACTGCGACAATGGCGTGCTGACAGGCGAAGCGGTTTGAATTAATGACCCGCGGGGTTGATTAGTGAGTTATCGATAAGCTGTCACACCCGAGGCATCACCGAAAATGTCCTCGACGCCGATCGCGTGGAGAGTTTTGGTAGCATGCGATATATCATAGCAGAAATTTTGAAAGTGGAATGATTAATCGCTACAATTCTACTGGAACTACCTGCACTCAGCGAGTGTACTTGATGATAAATGAATCTGAAAGTAGCATTCCCATACGCGTACAGTCTACTAAGACATGAAGACGAAGAAACGAACGTAAGACGTCCAGTAATCAATGACATTAGATCATAAAAGAACAATCCCAACCCAGAGATATCATTTGTTGACCTTTTTGAGCGCCACAAAAGCAAGAAACAAGAAACAAGAAACAAAGAATATCAACAGACGCCCCGGCAAGGCAGGAAGACCGGGACGATCAAGCCCCAGAGATATGTACTGTGGGGGCAGGGCACAAGACAAGATACTGGAACAAGGAGGTAAAGGGGGAATCATACAATCCCAGAACCAGGAGAAATATGTACCGGGATAAGGTGGCAGGCGTACGTAAGAGAGAACATGAAAAAAAAAAAAAAAAAAAAAAAAAAACGAAAACGAGAAAGACTCGGTAGAGAAGCCGAGTAAGGGTATGAAGAGAAATTCCAGAACGAAACATGCAAAAGTGAACAAAAAAGTCAAAGGGAAGTAATCGGACATCCCAAGGGGTAGCGATCAAATGCATGGTAAGAACTAGGTCAAAGGTTAGTTGATATCTCACCATTTCTGGGAGGGACAGTCTTCACTTACATTCATCACAATGAGCATCGGAATGTCGAACACATCTCGCTTGACTGTCCAGCAGTACGCGCATTCGACCTTGCCATCCTTGAAGCCCAGCTGGTTCATGCCAGCTTCGCCAGCGATCCCACCCTTGCGCAAGTGATTGTTCCACTTGCCATGCTCATCAGAGGAGCCGCCCTCCATGTCTTCCTTGGTCTTATACTTCAACAACTTGCATCGCGTCATAACACTACCACGAGAGTCACCAAACGCAAGGCGTGCAAAGTCCTCGTAGAACTCAACCACGCTTTCATCATCTAGCAGTTCCGCCAGGAAGACGGGCTGCGGACGTCCGCTGTTGGCATTCTCTAGTGTCGAGCTACGCGGCGTGAAGCTTCCCCTCGACGTTGTACCAGACTGTGGCAAGGCAGACCCGCCCGTGTTGACGTTAAGGTTCGGCTCTTTACCAAGGAGGACGTCCTTCTTCCATCCAGTAAGAATACTGAATTCCTTGCCGACGGCAGCGATCTCGCCTGTGCGTCGACAGACAATGGTCGGTGTGCCGCAGGCGTTGATGAAGTCTTCGTATTCCCAAAGTGTCCGCTGGAAGCACTTTTCCATGAAAATAAGATCATCGCGGTTCAAGGTTTTGGTGGTCGCAATGAATGAGGGACGAATAGAAGCGAGCGCTTTAGCGATGCGCACAGTCTTTTGCGGCGTGAACCGCCGTTGGATGAATGCAGTAAGATTGTGGAAACCATTCGTGTAGCCATACGGCTCCTTGACACTTTCATAGATCGACGATGGGTTGCGATGACGTCGTCGTGGGCCCACCTGTAGATCACGGTGCTTGAGGCTCGGGGTCGTGATCAGGGGTCGTTGCCCATTTGGTGCCAGGTTGCTACTCGATTTGGGTACATTGTTGTTATTGTTGAACGCGGACGCATCCTCCAGTCCGGCCACCGTCACATGCGGGCTAGCTGTCACAGATCCAGGGCTAGTGAAGTTGGCTGGACCACTCTCGATGGCAAAGGCATGAGGCGCATCTGGTTTCATGTGGCCGGACAACATGCCATTTTGACCGTACACGCCGCTTACGTTCACGTGCGGTTGTCCCGAGGCTTGACCAGCCGACCAATCATTGAGCAAGGGGTCCCCAAACATGAATGGCTGTTGATTCCCCGGACTTTCGCCAAAGCCAGGGGCGGGCGTGGAGAACTGCGCAGACCCACTGCGGCCGATCGACCCTCGCTGTCCTGCCGAGTCGGTCGGAGAATCGCCCGCCCCGGTAGCCATGTGACCGAGCATGCCGAATTCGAGAGCACCATAGCGATTCTCGAAATTCATGCTAGACAGGTCGAAGTTGAAGAGTGCTGGGTCGCTGGGGTCGAAAAATGGTCCGGCAAATGGATTCGGCGGTTGGCTAGTATCTCCCGAGAGCGCCGTAGTCGGAGTGGGCTGCTGGCCCACGGTGGAGGATAAGCTCGCATTTCGACCATTCGTGCTACTTTTCAGATTGAAAGTTGGTGATACAGGAGACTGAGTGGTGAAAGGACTCTGGCTAATAGTGGTGGTGTCTGGATAGACGTTATATGATCCTGGCTGCGGCTGGGATTGTGGCCGAGGCGTGGGGTAAAAAGTGGTAGTACTTGGAGTTTGCTGTTGCGGTTGTTGCTGTGGTGTAGACGAGGAACCATTCCTAGACATCGGTGGCATACCATTCGTTATCCCATTACCGTTGTTGCTGTTGTTATAAAAAGTGCCTCCTACGCCGGGCATCAATGCTCCGTCGGGAGCGTCGTGGAGATACTTGGCCTTCTTGCGAACGCCGTCATGGCATGCATCCTGGAGACCACGTTTGATACAACGTTGACAGGGTCGCTCGTCGCCTAGATAATCGACAACATATTCCTATTAGCCAAGACTGAAATTACCGGAAGTATACACATGCAGGGCGCATGCCGATCGGAAAAAAAAGAGCATACCGCATGTCAAGTGTGCTCGCTGGCAAGCAAAGCACGCTCTCCGGGCCTTCTTCCGGCGCGGTCGCGAGGGATCCTTCGCATTCGCAGCTTTTCGAGCATTCTCATTCTTGCTACCGTCACCGTTCATCTTGGAATCCATCTGTTCTGAATGTTCGGTGGCATCCGCAGAGTCGCGATCAAGGTCTGCGGGAGACTGGGAGCCGTCCTTGGCTTCCACGTTCATTTCGTCATGTATTCCCCAGCCACGGGAGGGGGGAGCGGAACTCGGTATCACGCGTTCGCGTACACCGATGGGTTCTACAAATTCGGTCACAGCCTCGGAGGGCTTTTCTAACAACACGTTTCACTGTCCTGATCTCAAGATCTCCAGCTGTCGGGGCGCCGGGACCATTCCCGCACGCTTCAGTTTATTCCGGACGGGCGGATCCACGTATATCCACGTATGGTATATGGCGCACTGCGTAATGTCGGTCTTCGAATCCGCAACGAACGGTCGCAAACTTCCGACTGGGTTTCTCAACGTATAATTCCACCTAAATCGCCGAGACCTGCTGTGGATCGTGGGTGGCGGATCGCGGATCTTATTGTCGCGCGCTTGCGACTAAAGCTGGCGGGGGCACAGAGGGTAGGTACCCGGTTGAGTCACGGGTGTAACGGGGTACAATCGACTCGAAGTAAGAACGGGTCGCAAAGATCTGACGCATTGAAGTGTCTCGGTTTAGTGTGGTCGTCGAGAAGTGTGAGGCGACAAGAAGCAGACGAGCAGAAAAGCAGGCGGGAAAAATGCCGCAACGGTCTTTCGGGCGCAGCTGAATTCGGGAGTGGAGAGGTACTGAGGGCGGCAAGACTGTTCGGCTGCGGGGAAGGCGGGAATTGATTTAGTTCGGACGAGTTGGAGCCGAGTTTTTGCTCAGAACGAGGAAAAGCGCGACTAAGAAGGGAAGAGAGGAGAGAGGGACAACAATTCCAGCGAGGGGGAAAAAGAGGAGAAGAGGCCCGTCAGATTTTGAGGTGCGCGGGGGAGTAGAAAAGTTGGAAATTCTAAGGGACTAGTAACTGGGAAAATGAAAATGGAGTTCACTTTGGATCGGAATGTTCCCGTGACTTTGGAAAACAGCAGTTCAACTGGCAGACTGGACTGGAATCGGGCCAATTCCTTGTACGAACTTAACCTCACGTGTACATTGTGAGGAGAGGGGCGTTCTTTAGGCTTTCTTCTCCTGGAAGTTCTTGAATCTCTTGAATCTCTAATTCTAGACCCCATGCCCTTCTCCGCGGCTGAGACGCCATCATGGAAATGTCGCCATAGCTTGCCTAACTATCGGCCTGGGGGGATATACTTACCTACTTAGTGACTTGCGTAAGACCAGCCCAATAATTCAAGATTTTCTGGTGTTTTGCTTTTTCCATTCTTTTACCTAATTAAAACGAGACACGAAGGAATGGAAGGCTATTCTAATTACGAGCCACCCAGATCGCGCATGGAGCGCCTCTAATACCTGGTAAACTTAGAACTGGTGTCTGTTCTCAAACGAGGCATTTCCCTTGAGATCTGCATTAAAGAGCGCGATTTCCATCTCAAACCAGGTACAGTACCACTATTGTGTCTACCGAGTAATAATTTGGACCTAAACAACACTAAGGGTTAGGTTACAGTACTACGGTACTTACTAGTAAGTTGTAGCTAGGTAAGATAGGATCTCACATGCTGACGTTTGGGCAGTCGCCGACTGGAGCATCGGCACTTGGGTATGGTAATTTTCGTACCGGACAATACCCGCCCAATAATAACAGGTTGTCTGCAAAACGAACATCCACGGAGGCAGTTGCGCACGTGTGGTTCAGGCAACGCCAGGCTCCTCTTTTACTAGTGAAGTATTACCCAGATCCGATATAGGCTCGGATAAGTATATACCGAATACACAACCACCAACGGAAGATCTATTCAACATTGATTCTTCACCTTCTGACCCCCCAGAATTCTCACATCTGGTACCAGTACTGACTCATAAAAAGCCTCACCCACCCCTCCGCCCAGCTCTCGCCTGTCCACGGCCCTCGGAGGGATATCCGGCTCCGTTTTATCCCGAGGCTACGTAGAAGCCCCGCGAGCCTCGGCTAGCTTTGCAAAGCTGGAGCTGGGCTCTTCCACTGAATAATCCATTGGAAAAGGATTGAGCGTTTGAATTTCAGGTTTTTCTTGTGCTGAGTGCTCAGCAATGGTAGATTGATTGGTGGGGAGTGCGTCAGGTGGTGGATGTATAGAGTAGACTGTCTCTGATGAGAAACTAGGACTACATGACGCTCGTTTACCTTTTGCAACTGGACTAGGCGGGGATCTTCAAGCGTATTTTTAGTAAAGTTCTACATAGTCTATGAGAACTGCAGTCGGAGAATTGCATTCTGGCCCAGACTCACCCCGTATATCATGGAACATCTACTGCCATGAATACTAGAACAAGAACTTTGCTGGGTTCGGCAAAAGAATGGTCGTCGAAGCAAACGTAACAAATGTAAGCCCATTACTTCCTACACAATATAATTGAATAAATATTGATGTAGGTCTACTGCGACATCAATTTCGAGCTCAACAGTCTTATTCCTACCGCGATTTCATTTGCATTACAGCCCAGCTGTAGGTAGGACAACAGCTGATTTGTTGGGCCCTGATCCTGGACGAAGGCTTCAGCACAACCTCCTAACCTCTCAGAAGCTTTCATGCTTGGTCTCAAACTACTATCACAGGATCAAGTACCACCAAGCTCGGTGTCTTGCCTGGGCTTGGCCTGTTAGGACAGCACTAAACTACACCGACAGCCGAGGAAAGATGCAAACGTCTCTGGGACCACGCAGTTGGAAGTCAGATGCAGATTCGAATGTACAATTAGAGTAATCAAATGTTGTATGTGGTGTATGTACAGGTACACAATATCTGCAAACCAGGCGGATGCTAATATTTGTATCAAAACCATCATTTTGTATCATGAACTTGAAAACGCTTTCACCGCGGCGCCCAAAATCACGTCTGAGAAGTTGCAAACCGACTCTTCTTCCGAATACGAGCGCCATATCGAAAGAAAATGTACCTATACATGAAATCAAGGTCAGAAGACAAGTTCGAAAAAAGAAAAAATTGCCATGTGAGATCTGTGCCGGGTTGGTCGTTGTCACAGCCACATGCAGCTTGGATGTCGGAATGCACTCCTCAGCCAACCTCCATGTCGCTGGGGAATTTGAAATGCAGGGGCAAAAAGCAAATTGGAGGGTCATAGCGCGGGCAATCGATGACGGAGAGAGAGGGGACGACATGAAAAGAAGAGAGAGGGGAAACACAATTCAAGAACATAAAGTAAGTGAACAACAAACAACTCACGGAAAAGGAAGCATGACTAGGGTGAGAAATGCTAGCAGTGACGTCGCCCAATGGAATCCGAGATTGTTGTACACTGCGTAGTCGTTAGCCACCCCCGGTTCTCAATGCGATCGCTTCTCGACCAGGATGTGCCCATGTCCACCCCGCGCCCTTCGAACAAGACATCCGTCCCCAACGGCTTGCCTTGCTAGAGAAATGATGCATCCACCCGGCAGGAAGGATATCTGCTGGCTGCATGCAAAGCACAGACCCTCCGGCACTGGGCGCAGGGTATAGAAAAAAGGAACTGAGGAATCACACAAACTTACTCTGAATCCCAAACAAAGGGAAGATTCCTCCAAAGCTTGACCGCATGAAGCTATTCGCGGCCAGCGCGCTCGCTGCAAAGGTCGGATATGCATCGACCAGGAATGTAAAGACGCCTGAGAAGACCAGGATTGTCCTGTAGGTAACACGAAAGCGCATCAGTATCTCAATGTCGAATGAGGGGCTTCCAAGATCCCTCAAGGCAAGAACTCAGGTGAGGTGCACTTACCCTGCGCCGAAGAGGGCACTGCCAATGATGGGTGCGATCCAATGTACATCGGGGTAGGTAGTCCAAGCAAAGATGAAAAGACCGATAGTCACCAATGGCCCACCCAAGATGGCTGAATCAATTGATTAGATGGCAGTTTCACAAGAGAGAGATCGACCGACTTACCTGGAGGCAACCGCCACTCTGGCTGAAACTCATCCTGCTCATCCGTCGAGTTCTGATAATTCCGTTCCAAGCGCATGTAATTGCGACGCCAGATAGGATCTGAAAGAATCGCAAAAACCATACCCACAAAGAGACCCATGAAACAGAGACCCCGCTGCCACAGATCAAAGCCATAAACATCTTTAAAGACCAATTGGAAGGCACCAAAGAAAAGGTACAGGATACCCAATAGGATCGCTGAAAAGATACAGAGGTTCAAGCACATTGGCTCCATGGTGAGGAGCATTATGGGGCGGTACATCGATCGCAGAACCGTTTGCGCCACTGATCGCTGCATCTTTTCGATCGGCGCTTTCCATCGGTCGTCTCCGGTTTCCTGGCGGAGTTTTTGGGCTTTGCGCCTCAAGAGCCTAATTGTGCGGGTTAGTACACGTTTTACGCCGCCACAATCTTTTGATCTGATAGGAAAACATACACTGGATGGTAGGTTTCTGGGACGAGGAAGATGATTGAAATTAACAGGACGCCGGTCCAGATTAGGAGGACATAGAAGGTCCAGCGCCTGGGAGATTTGTTAGCCCCGTACACTCAGAAAACAAAATCGAAATTTGTACTGACCATCCAGTGTAGTAGTTGATAAATCCACCGACCCTATATGGGAATGTTAGAACCCTCTCACTCAATTGTCAGATGCTGGGGATCTTACAGAGGTCCGACTTCGGGTCCAATGAACGGACTCGCGGTGTAAAGCATCATTGGGAAGGCGAGCTCATGTCGATCAAACATGTCGCCAACAGTGCCGCCAGCAACACTCAGGAAAGCACTTCCAGATAGACCGTTGAAGAATCGGCTCACGAGCATGGTCTGGGTGTTCTTTGCGACAGCACACGGGATGAGCCAGATCAGGAAGAGCGAGAATGACACGATGTAGATATTGCGCCGACCATAGAACTATTTTACTGTCAGTTACAGTCTCTTTTAAAAAGTTTCTCTATTGTATGCGCTCACCTCTGACAACGGACTGAGGAAAAGAGGACCAATACCTAGACAACACCATTGTTAGCAATCATCCTCATACAAAACATCGCTGTCAAGAATAACCAACCAAGTCCCCAAATGAAAAACGACAATCCAAGCGTCGCAACCTCTTGCGAGCAACCAAACTCCTTCATCAACTGCTCGTAGGTCGTGGTATACATGGACGAGGTACAAGTCCTGCAACAAACCGAGTCAACATCAAACCCCCAAAGTATATCGCATCCGACCACCACCCGCGAGACACTCACACACAAAGCGACCCCAATGACACAATAACCACAATCAACCACCTCCTAGCCTTGCTCATATTGCGCGGGTTCAAGGGATCACTAGCATCCCAGCCAACCGTGTATCCGGAATCATCCTCCGGCATCTCTTGCCGCGCGGCCTCACCCGCTTCCTCTTCATAACCATTACCCCCAAGACTAACTCCATCATTCAAAGACCATGAGCGTTCCAACGAGCGCGTGCGGGATAAATTCGACCGCACTTTCTTCATCTGTGAATCGCGTTGATCCTCCGGCGCAACGATAGGCGCAAAGGTCGCATCCTCAGATTTCGTCTGCTCCAGTCTAATATCGTCCTCGCTCCTCTCGCGCAGCGACAAACTACTCGAACGGCGCGAGTCAACAGCATCCCGTTTCTCGAGGTCGGCGAGATCACCGAGCGAGTTTGTCATTTTCGCGGTGCGCAGTGGCGAGCAACTTTATCTATCTTGTGTGTCAGGCCATGCAGCCAAGCATGGGAAAATTATTCCTTTGCAGAAGCGAGAGTGGTTATACGAAGTGCTGCTGGTGCGGGATCATAATAGTGAGGAAATTGTGACTGTTCGGTTCTCGGGCTTTACAAGGCTCCTAAGACTATTATTATTTGAAAACCGGTCTTCCGATACTTAGCTGATTAATCGCCGTTATCGCCAGACCACGAGCTAAGTTAACTAGTGCAAATGAAGAATGACGCGTTACGGCGAACCTCGAATCAAGACCCGCTGGACCGGGGTTACCCACTTTCGGGGGTTTGCTGCCCCGATTGTATCAGGCCGAAGTCGGCCCGAATGTTAAAGGTAATTGTAGACTCGTAGCTGTTTAGGGAGCTGAAATACTCGGAGTATTGTGTATAATCTTGTTTTATTTAGTATCATCCTATTGGGGAATATGCATCTCATGTGTCAGCGATAGCAAAAAGCAACACGACGATAGAATCTGCTATTATCCGTGTAGTGCTTGAAATTCTCCGGTTGACGGCTTGGGGTGAAGCTTAAATAAGAGTTTTTCCTTGGCGTCAAGATTACAGCATCTTGGAACGTACACATTTTTATCATTGCTTTGGCCTCTCCGACTTTGCAGACAGCTTCTATTGGCTCTACGTTGCCTCAATTTGGTCTATCAATGAACCTGCAGTCGAGATCTAGGCATGAGAACACTCTAACATAGCAATATTAATGTAAACTAGGCCATGAACTAGGCCATGGGCATTACCGCCGTTAAGCCTTTACTCAGGTATATAAATCGGCCATTTGCTGGATAAGATATATCTGGCCTCTTTTATACGCCCCATACACACCCTTTTACAGATATAGTTCAAGGATACCTCGAGGATCACAGCTGGAAAACCAATCAGTCAATCGATCAATCGATCAATCATCACTCTAGTAGCCCGATACAGCCTGACTATGAGCTTACTGGCTATGGAGGCGATCCCTGGGACTTTCCTAGGATCTGGTAGGTAGGAAGCTTTTGTCAACTAGACCGAAGGGTAGATATGTAAAGCTCGGACACTTCGCCTCCTGCTTGTAAGCCTCGGCGGTTTTACCAATTTTTGGAAATATGCTGGAAAACTCATACGGACTGACCAGCAACCCTTAGAGCTCTTTCCATCATTTTTAATGGATTACTTGGACGGGACTAGAGTGCCAATTTTCTGGATGAAATTCTTACTAGGTACTGTGGTAGCCTGGGGTTGCCTCGGCAGCTTAACCGATATGACATGGCGGGGAAAGCCAAGGGTTGAGGCACTACGGTTAATTGACCGAACACAGGCATCGATTAGCATCTAAAGGATGTCACTATAGTCGTTTCCGGATTATGCTTATTTCGGTCATCATACTCATTATACTTTATCCCATTGGAATACCTGCCTAGGGTGCATCTCCTCTCGCAGATACTTTCCAGGCGACACTTGTACAGTGCAGTCACTGAAGGTTCGAAATGAACAATATACAATTCCTCAGCGACGAGTCTGTTCATCAGTTATTGATAAATCTCATCAAAGATGAGGCAATTACCTTCCGGAATGCTATGGAGCAGACTTTCGAAGACTTCTCTGCCGCTGGCGAGCGTCAGTATCAGCCCGACCCTAGCTCTGCCACTCGGCCCAATTGCCAACAGACACTCTTTCGCCCTTTCACTTCAGATTCGACGGCCGGCACCAAGCTTGTCGTTGAGTCTGCTCCTAACCCTGACTGCAAGAGAAATCCTCTGCACGGTGTCCTCATCCTCCTGGATGGACAGGGCAATCCTACTGGTGTGCTGAGCGCCGAGGAAGTGACTGGCTACCGGACATCCATGAACGCCATGGGACCTTTCTCTTGGAGGAAACTGTTGAAAATATCGTTATTTTTGGCGGGGGAATGGAAGCACTGTGGCATGCCCGCCTGATATTGACCTTGAGGGGATTTGAGGTTAAGACCATCACTTTTGTGAATCCTTCCAAGGAGCGGGTTGATAAACTCATTGAAACAGTCTCGTAAGACAACGAAGTTGGTTGGAAGTCAAAGTGCTATTTCCAATTTATCAACACCACTGCCTCGGATTATTAGAAACAACTCAAGAATCGCCTAAGTGACATCGACTGCGTCTTCTGCACCACTCCTTCTCAAAAGCCTTTATTTCCTGCTAGTTATTTAATCGAGGGAAGCATTTCCAGCCGTCAGCCTTTTGTTTCTGCCATTGGCTCCTGGCAGCCGGACATGATCGAATTGGATCCCGCAATGCTGCACCATGCTGTAATCGCTGAGAGCGGATATAACCTTTCTAGTGGCGAGGCTCAGGGAGCGGTGCTTGTCGATGACCAGCATTAAGCTCTTTCAAACTCCGGAGAGGTTGTTCAGAGCAAGCTCACGGCTAGGGATCTGGTGAGCTCGGCCAGATACTCGCTTTGAGGAACGGCAAGATCAAACCACTGAATGGCCAGCAAGTTCAACAGACAAACCGATTTACCTCATTGTCTACAAAAGTGTTGGTGTGAGCCTCACAGATTTGACGGCCGGAAATGCTGTTTTGGCACTTAGCCAGAAGAAGACGTGCCATTTATGAAGAAACAAGGACGAAATTCTCACGATGATCCAGAACGTCAATAAATACAGCAACCCAAGCTACTGTCAACACCATACAATCTTCCATTTATTTAGCGAGAAGTTTACGCATCGCAATATTATTGGGGGCACTTTTGAGTGCCATATTCGTGGGACGCAGAAGTTGGGAGAATGACGCTGTGCTGCCAACTGTCAAGGGAAGTGCTTGGATCAATTCGTTTAAAAGATGGTGGATGCGACTGATCCTTGGCCAGTCGGGTTTAGGGTTGATGATCAATGGCATGTCAGACTGGAATAGAGGGTATAATGGACTGTTTCTCTTTAGAGCTTTTCCACGTGTAGTGCGACTAGGGGTACTAACTCATATATGACTAAATACTCAGTCATACTCAATCTTGATCCTTGCTATTGTAGATCCCTTCTGCTCATTGTTCCACGAAACAAATGGATGGAACAGTAATTGATGCTAAGGGTGCCCCGTATAGTCAAGATGAGGAAGGTTTCTTTGTTAATATTCCGATAGAACCTCGTGGCCGCACGTGCCAGAAACTGCCATGCATGAAAGTCTCCCACGTGGCAGAACTGACCGACTAACGTTCTCGGCGCAGACGCATGTTGTCGAATGTAGAAGTACTCAAGTTTATACATCTAAAATAGATGGCTTCGATTACAGTTGAGGATGTTGCTTGTTTAAAGAGTTGGCTATGTTCGATTAATAACGCTACACTACTTCAACACGAGCCCGTTCAGCAATTACACTCCAACGTAGCAATCAGACAAACGGGTAGAATCGGAAGCACCCAAGAACGAAAAAAGCAACACCCATCAGAATAATACAGGAGTCGCCAAAGCCCCATTTCACCATCCCAATCCAGAACTCCATGATAGACATCCAACGCGGTACAAAACCGCATGGCGATCCCGAAAAAATGATCGGATCTTCCAGAAACCCATAGACCGTCCCAAACTCAGCTGTACATGAATGGAAAACGTGCGCCAATATATCCCAATTTTTACCCAGTCCGTGCAAGGCATGATCAACCATGACAAGACGGGACGAGACGAGATATGAATACTCTTTTTTGTTTCTTTACAGAAGCTGGGACAGTTGGCTCATGGCACCGCCGGCGTTCTGCTCAGCCCAAGAGCCCCAGAGAGCCTCCTTGCCGCGGATCTTGATAGTAGAGCCGATGGACTTGGAGCCCTGTTCAACCTTGACAGCGTCCTTTGTGGCCAGCACCAGGACCTCGAAGAACATCTTCGTGGCATCGGCCTTGCTAGAGCGCTGCTCTGGAAGAAGGTCCTGGAACACGACAGCCTTCTTCTGCTCAGTGGCGGAGACGTCGCCAAGGCAATCGCGCAGGATGTGCACGGCGTGCTTGGTGCCGATCGAAACGGGTTCGGTGTCAATGGGGCGAATAGTGTCGTCCATGTCTTCAATAGAGGCGCTCATGCCATCATCACTCATGGGTGCGGCATCGACGATGCCATCATCGCCAGGGAAGTCGATCTCAGAGTGCAAGTTCAGACCAGTGTCAAGACCAATGCCCTCGTCGGTGACAAGAGCCTCGTCCTCGCCAATCTCCAATTCAGGAACATCAGCAGCCGCTTCCATGTCAGAAATGCCGCTATCACGCTTACGCTTGAGCTCGCCAGCTTTCTTGACGTTATCCAGAGACAGAAGTTCACGCAGCTCGGGGGCCCAGCCATGGCTGCGCTCCTCGCCAAAGATGCTAGAGACAAAGTTACCGTTCTGTTGGCGAGTCATCAAAGTGAGAAGAACAGGGTCACGAGGCAAGAACGAAGAGCGTTGCATGATAGCCGAGCGATCAGCCTGGATGGCCTTGACCTCCTTGGAAGAGTAATGAGTCTCCTTGTCGGCGACGATGACTTTTTGGCGCTTAGCACGCTGGGCGTGCTTCGTGGTTCGAGCCTCAACATCTTGAGTGGCATCACGGTTGAGCTCCTCCTCGAGCAAGTTCATCTGAGCAGAGCCGGCGTCGGAAAGCGGGCTTTCGGTGTCACGCGCAAAGCGGCTTTCTGGGCGTGGTGTCTCGCCGCCAAAGCCAGTATCGTCACCGAAATCCATGGGGCCGTCATCCATAAGCGGGTCATTGATGTTATCGGAAGCAGGGTCAAGCTCTTCAAGCGGGGCATCGGTAAAATCAAGGACCAGGTCAACGTCGTCGTGAAGTTTGCCGGCATCACTGAATTGATCCTCCTCCATAGTACGAGCGGGGGGAGCATCACGACCAATTTCAACGCTGTTGTCCATCCCAAGAGGAAGCTCATCCTCTCCGAGGTCCAGGTCAACCAAGGAGGGGTCTTCGAGACGACCAGGCTCCTGAGACATGGAACGACGGTAACTGCTATCAGGCAGAAGCTGGCTGCCGAAATCCATGGCACCCGGTCGCTTTCCTTCCAAATCGAGGCTCAGGTTCTGCGGAAATAGCAGAGAAGTATCAAGATTGGTGAAAAGGTCGGACTCGGTCAGCACATCGGGCAGGGTAATGCCACCCGGTGCGACAACAGTTGTCGTCAAGTCATTGTTGTTTGTGAGGCGGAAGGCCTATATTGCGACAGGTTAGTCAGGTCTTGATATCAAGGACTTTGGGTGTCGAGTCAGTTACGTACCATTTTAATTTTCATCAATGCTTCGTTACAGTCGTCCAATAGATAACGCGCCTTGCGGCTGTAAATACGCACAACACCCAGCAGCAGCTGGCCACTCAGTCGCAGAGCCATGGGCGCTTGACCCTGGTCGACAATGGCGCTGACACTGCTCTCAATGTCGGACTGAAGAATGTGCGACTTGGACAGTTTGCGCTCGATGTTGGCAGACAGCCAGACGCGGGCCAGCGGCCCCGTCTTGGACAGGAGGGTCTCGGAATAGAACATAGCGCGTGATGATACACCAAAGAACTATGAACAAACGAGCAGCACACCAAGAGGTGGAGAGATCAAAGCCCGCCCGGCGCGGGGTGAGGGCGTAGCAAGGGTTTGACGCGCTGTGGAAGCCGGGGAAAACAAAGGGTCAGGCGGCTTGCTTGTGGTCGGCCCTGATGTGATATCGAGCTAGAGGTAGCGTGGAACAGATGCGACAAAAAATCTAAGACAAAAGAATAGGTCGCGTTGGGAGTCACGTCCAAGATGGGTCACGTCCAAGATGGGGCGCGATGGATAAGTTGGCAGAGTAACGGGAGAGGAAGATGCGCGTCGAGTGGGAATCAGGCGTCGAGGAAGTCAGGTGAGCCCAGCCTCTTTGGGGGGGGGGACACTTATGTTAGGCAGTTTGGGAATTCGAGGGGGCTGGGGGTGCCTTGGAAACGAGGAATGCACAAAGGTTACGTAATGGCCACACTGCCAAGAGATGAGGTAATCACATACTCAGGCAGCCCGGACTCTCCGGCATCAAACAAGAAGTATATGAAAATACATATCGACATGATTCAACCTTAGAATATATTGAACTCTTATTTTAAGGGCCAACACGGTTTTAGTAAGATCCGATTTCAAGTAGGTCATTACCTTAAAGCCGGTCAATAACATTTTAAACCGTATTCTAATACTCCCATCAAAACTATCTAATGCCAACAAGAAATCCTACCTTAAGAGTAATCTCGACGGTCAGCATATATGGGCATCTATGTCTAGGTTCGATCGGTCATCAAATGCCTAAACTATCACTCGAGATAGAGGAAATATCACAGGCCTGGCCACATCTCTGCCATGCTCCATATCAGTCACGTGACTATTCTGTCTGAAAGTCGGGAGATGAAACCTTCGGATTAACTCTCTCTCCGACAGGACTAAACTACATTTGGTAAAGCATCAGCATGGACTTGGCCGCTTCCAGCGCCGAACAGTTCAGTGCTAGCGAAGTTGGCGATTCTTTGGCGAGGCTCAACATTGCAACGACTTCTCCTACTATCCTCTTTCAATTCTTCTCTATACTTTATCGTTGCTATTTCGCCTTTAGCCTCGTTGATCATCCGACTTGAAGCAACCACTTGTCGCCAGTCGGTTTCCTTCTAGCCAGTCTAGCCCCCCGTCTCAAAGCTACTGCCAGATCGCATCTCAAGAACGTTGACCCGCAACTCCCAATTTCGATCCAGACGGGATGCAAAGTGCCCTACGATAGATTCGGCGCGTCGCTTATCTTCATCCGTTCCCCCTTTCCCTTTCTTTCTTTCGGTCAAAGCATGAGAGATGTCAAGGTCCGCGACACCTGCGTTGCCTCTGCATAATGCACCAAACTCCGACTCTCCGCGTCCCTCCTCCACCACCCCATTAGGGATCCGGCCAGATGCGCCTTCATCGGTATGTCCCCGACTCAATTGCTATCGACTGTTTTCAATATGCTTCCTCGGGATTCTGTCCGCGATGCGATCAATTGGTCTTTCTTCCGCCTCTAACTTTGCCCATTCTCTGTTCTAGGCCTCAACCTCCACATACTCGTGGCTTGAACCCCATGAAACCGCCGAGAGACTACATACATCCCTATTACATGGCCTGACCCCGGCCGAGGCAGAGGTGCGCCTCGCACGCGATGGCCCCAATGAACTCCCCCATGAAGAGCCAGAGCCCCTATGGCTGCGGTTCCTCAAGCAGTTCAAGGAAACTCTCATCCTTCTCCTCCTCTCCTCGGCCGGTATATCGTTTGTGATGGGCAATTACGATGATGCTTTGAGCATCACTCTCGCAGTCACCATTGTGGTCTCGGTCGGCTTTGTCCAGGAGTACCGATCAGAGAAGTCCCTGGAGGCGTTGAATCGTCTTGTCCCGCATTTTGCCCACCTCATCCGTGATCTTCCTTCCACGGCCACTGCAACTGCGGAGCCATCCGTTGCTGGAGTAGAACTGGAGGAATTGAAGATCAAGAGCCCCGGCGCAGCATCTGCTGCCATCAAGGCATCCACCACCGTTCCCGCGGCTGATTTGGTACCTGGGGATCTGGTACTTTTCTCCACGGGTGATCGCATCCCCGCCGATATACGAATCACTGCCGCAACTGATCTCACGATTGACGAATCGAATTTGACTGGTGAAAACGAACCTGTCGTCAAGTTCTCTGCTGCACTCCACCATCATCACAAGAACCTCCACGTTCCCAAGGCCATTAGTCCTCCTCGCTCGCCATTTTACGATGCCCCCGCCTCCGGTGCTGTCGGTGCCGATGTTCGCCTTAATGAACAACACAATATTGCATTCATGGGAACACTCGTCCGCTCTGGGTATGGCCAGGGTATTGTTATATCTACAGGTGCGAAGACGGAATTCGGAAGCATCTCGGCTTCTTTGCAGGAAATCGAGAGCCCTCGAACTCCTTTGCAGCTTTCCATGGACCGTCTTGGTCAAGAACTGAGCTATATCTCGTTCGGTGTCATCGGCTTGATCATGGTTATTGGCCTCTTGCAGGGGCGTAAGCTCCTCGAAATGTTTACTATCGGTGTCTCTCTCGCTGTTGCGGCTATTCCCGAAGGTCTGCCCATCATCGTGACTGTCACTCTTGCTCTTGGTGTTCTGCGGATGGCCAAGAGGGGGGCGATCATGCGCCGACTGCCTAGTGTTGAAACTCTTGGCTCGGTCAACGTTGTCTGCAGTGACAAGACCGGTACTCTGACCATGAACCATATGACTGTTACCAAGATGTGGCATTTTGATAGCGATGAGCCCTTTGAGGTTCAGCGTGACACGACTTCTGTTTTGGCGCCAGGCCCTGCGGCGCGTACTATTCTTCGTGTTGGAAACATTGCCAACAATGCTCGCCTCTCTCGAACCCACGCCAATTCCCCGGCCAGTGCATCCTCCGCAGCTGTGCTTTCATCTACTCTAGACAGAAACTCGACCGCTGTGAAGAGTCGTTGGGTCGGCCAGCCTACGGATGTCGCTATCTTGGATCTATTGGATGTGCTGGGAGAGGACGATGTCCGCGAACGAATTAGTGCTCGTGTGTCTGAGACGCCATTCAGTTCCGAACGAAAGTGGATGGGTGTTATCATTGGCACCCACCACCCTGGTGATTCCGATGTTGCCTATATCAAGGGTGCCATGGAACAGGTCTTGGCTCGTTCAGACACTTATTTGACCAAGGATGGCCGCGAAGTCATTCTTGACGAGCCCCGCCGTAAGGTCATTCGCGAAGCCGCAGAGCGGATGGCCAGCGAGGGTCTCCGAGTGCTTGCTTTTGCCAGCGGAGCTGTCCGAAACCCCTCTCGAGGTATGAGAGGTTTTGGCAGCCGATCTGGTACCCCCACCTCCAAATGCAGCAGCCCGGCTGATGATGATGATCGCTACAATGGATTAACCTTTGCTGGCCTTGTCGGTATGAACGACCCGCCTCGCAAGGATGTGCACAAGTCTATCCGTCGTCTTATGGCGGGCGGTGTCAGAGTCATCATGATCACCGGTGACGCTGAAACCACAGCCGTTGCCATTGCCAAGAAGCTTGGGATGCCAGTCAGCGAGTCCGCAAACGCGCGCTCGGTCATTCGTGGTGATGAGATTGATCATATGAGTACTGGCGAGCTTGCCCAGGCCATTGCAACCACCTCGATCTTTGCCCGTACGAGCCCGGACCACAAGATGAAGATTGTGCGTGCGCTCCAGTCTCGTGGAGACGTCGTTGCCATGACTGGTGACGGTGTCAACGACGCACCCGCTCTGAAGAAGGCTGATATTGGTATTTCAATGGGCAAACTCGGCACCGATGTTGCGAAGGAGGCTGCCGACATGATCTTGACCGATGACGATTTCTCGACTATTCTCCGGGCTATCGAACAGGGCAAGGGCATTTTCTATAACATTCAAAACTTCATCACCTTCCAGCTCAGTACCAGTGTGGCTGCTCTCAGTCTTGTATTGTTGAGTACTACGCTCGGGTTCAAAAATCCTCTCAATGCCATGCAGATCTTGTGGATTAGTGAGTTTCCTACCCCTGTGTACACTTCATCTTGATCCGCTTTGCTAACTCATTCTTGCAGACATTCTCATGGACGGCCCACCAGCACAGTCTCTTGGCGTTGAGCCCGTTGACCCCTCGATCATGAACCGTCCCCCTCGTCCCAAGCACGCCCGTGTTCTTACCCGACCTCTCATCCAGAGAGTTCTCACCTCCGCCTTGGTCATCATGCTTGGCACTCTCGCCATCTACATTCACGAGATGGGCGACGCCACCGACGGTCAACCCCTTGGCAAGCGCTCCAGGGTTGTCACCGCCCACGACACTACCATGACCTTCACCTGCTTCGTCCTCTTCGACATGTTCAACGCACTCACCTGCCGCAGCGAAGGCAAGTCCGTCCTGCGCGGCGAGCTTCCCCTCTTCGGCAACAAAATGTTCAACTATGCCGTACTGGGTTCGCTAGCCGGTCAGGCCTGCGTCATCTACCTGCCCTTCCTGCAGCGCGTTTTCCAGACCGAGGCGCTTGGCTTCGGATCGCTGTTCAAGCTGGTCTGCCTTGCCAGCTCAGTGTTCTGGGTTGACGAGGCCCGCAAGTACCTACATGCACTCCGCCGCAGGCGCGGTCTGGGTGCTGGGTACAGTGTCAATGTATAATGTGTTTCATTGGAGGTCTTTGATGGACACATCCTAGATGATGTCCTGGTGGATGACTTGTAATTTGAATGGATTGATAATCCTTATACATAATAGAGTTTTTTCTGTGTGCATTAAGCATTTTTGGCTGGGTACCTGCATTGTTGATTTGATACGTACATGAATGAATACAGATGCTTCAAATACGTGCCTCTCTTTGCAAAAGATCCTATCATGCCGGGCTATCAAAGCATGCCAGGTCTTTCATAAGAGGCTTGACCACATTTTCTAGTACAGCAGCTTGGAACTCATCACTTTCCACGTTCATGTGTCTGGTTCCAGCTCATACTAAGCACTGGCTGACAACGTTGCAGTATCTCATCCCGCTCTGGCCATACACGCTTTCCAGACAGCGATTTGCTGTCAACAGTAGTCCAGCTATTTCGTCACCGGCGGATTCCTGGGGATTCTGTAGTAGTGACATGGGTCGACACAAGGAGAGCTCAATCAGAGCTAGCCCGAGCTGGAAAAGAGTCTCATTGCAGATTTGAGACGAGCGCAAGGACCTTTCAACCGCTCCCGTATTGACTAATTTTCGGGTCAAAGAAGGGTAGCGAATAGCCTCCGCAAGACTAGCGGCGTTCTTCGATATTGAGATATCGGCGGAGCTCAGCTCTCTTGAAGCCAGTTGCCTTGGAGCCAGTTGCCTTGGAATTGGAGCAAAGTACTGACAATTTTGCTGCTAAGTATAAGCGATCTCTTCTGGAAAAATCAAAGCCGCCATCAACGGATGGGAGGAGGTGAGATGATTCTCGGAGAAGCTCTTCAAGGGACTGGGAGTCTAGCCGTCCCTCGTCGCTTTTGAGCACAAGTAGGTCATGCCTGTATGAACCGTCGCTGAGATAGCCAAGAGGTTGTTGATTGCCACGAGATGTCACATATCGAGCAAGTGCATTGCACATATCGGATATCTGTGAGGGGGAGATCTGATGGCTAGGATCCCTGCAGAATGACGATCCAGTCGAGATAGACGGTTGAGAGAAGCCCTGCTGTGAAGCAGATGAAATTGTCTGCTGAGCCGATTGAATCTGTGTTGAGGATTGGACATGCGCTGGGAATTGAATCTGTGCTGGCTCGATAGCGACCTCATGCCATTTCGATATCGTAGCGATCATGGAGCCTGATGCTGGCGCTGTGAAAACCAACCGAAATCGTACTTTCTCTACCTCGTCGCATCTATTCACTTCCTGATCAAGAACGAATCGGGTTGTATGGACATTGCGAAACGGATATCTCCAGAATCTCTCCTGAGTGAGAGTTTCATGGATGCTGCTCACCACCTTTCGAATCATTTTGTATTGCTGAACCGTTTGGATTGCGTCTGGTCTTGGCATTTGTCGAGTCGCATTCCGGTAAACAGATTGCTCGATGAGCGATCGGAGCATGCCGTTGTGACCATCCATCTTGCGAAACAATTCCGCATATATACTTTCTGACAGGATCGTCTTGACTTTGCGAATTTGATGCATTGTGACTGAGGTTTGGAGGTAGGATGACTGACGAACCAAGTCTGTTAGTTATCAATTCCACGCTTTACAAACACCGTGCTATTATTTACGGATCCTGGAAGATTGACTCCCAATTTCTCAGCAAGCTCTTGCAAGATGTGGTTAGCTTGCTCCAAATTACTACAAAACGCAGTGTAATCACACCCAAGTTTATCTTTAAGCTTCTGCTGCACAAGTCCATCTTGCCACAGTGGATGATGTGGATTTGTCTCCAGACTGGAGATCTGATCTTGAGGAACAATACCTTCGAAGGCCATTTTGATCGCTTTGAATCAACTTGGATCGTTGGCCACCTAGGAAGCGCCGCATGGTGTTCTAGGTATCTTCGATACTTTGCTTTCTTCAGTGTCATCACAGTATCGATGCCTTTTATGTAAATGTCTAATTGCTTTAGGACTAGAGGTAAGATTACCAAAACGAGCCCTGCGATCTCAGCCCCAGAGAGCATCTTGTAGCGCAAGAGGTATCTCTTTGATTTATTCCTGCCAGAACAACCCCTTTAGGACAACTCATCTACCCTGCAGACAAAGAGCCGCATTCCACGTCAGAGGGCTCACCGCACCTGAAAGGTATAAGACTGCAAAGATTAGATCTCAAGCTCAACTTTCGAATAGCGTGGAGCTTCTTAATCCCTGAATTGGTACTGAGAGCTTGCCTTTCTTGAGATCTGCAAACGCTATGAACAACCCAGCTCTCCCAGAGAATATTTCACCTTGTTTTCTAGAACAGAAGGTGTCATCATCCGGCGCCCCATTTTCAATTGCAAGAGAAACACTAGACCCCTATTATCCTCAAGTATATCATCCGCTCGCTTTTTCCCATGAATTCAAGTCCTCCCTCCACCCTGCCGAGGGATGCAGCTTCAAAGTTGATTACTCTCAAGTCAAATCCGATCCATTCGTCCAGTACCTCCTACTATTCCACTCATTTTCCCGATGAAGATCCAAGATTGTACCATCCCTCTTCGATTATATTCACACATGCGACTTTCTGCCTTTATTTATTCCGAGAGTTATTGAATTCCGAAACCCTTGTCAATGTTGGGCGAAATGTGCCACTTTCGAGATGGAAAGACGAGCTTGGACGGCTTCGTATCTGGTGTTCCAGCACAGGGGTGTACCTGGAAGGCGACTCGACGTTGGATTATCGGATCCGTGATTCTCCGCACCTCAAAGATCCGGTTGTGAGACAGCTGGATCAACTTCGCCGTGCTCTTCGAGACTTACAAAGTATTCCGGAAATGCTTCAAGCGAGCGATTCAGATACTGAATCCGAGGAGGAAAGTACTTGAGGACGAAATCCAAGAAACGTATTCCGATCTCCTGGGTATTGTCAGTGGGCTGTTCGACATTGCCATTATGATACAGAAGCCAACTTTTCACAATCTCCTTTCTTCGAACGGGGGTGTTGTTTCTTCCTGGCGAGATAATGATTGAAATATTGTACGTGGCAAGTATCCCCATGTCAGAGCGGAGATCACAGATCGTCTGAGCTCCGCCATAATCCCGGTGTCGAGCACTCTTAACAAGCCGCGAGGAGAACTCTCGAAAGCTAGATGCTTTTCAGACTCTGAGTAACACGTATTTCGCATCGTCAAAAGGCATTGTGAGAGGATTCTTATGTGAGCAAGCATCATCAGACGTCGCTAGGTTCGAGTCCAACACCGATGAGACGACTGCACATTCTTATGACACACCTACTGAGGGTTTTCAACTGGTCTTACCACCGAGTCAGACCTTCGATGGGGCTGCATTTGAATGTCCATTATGTTTTTTCCATGATGGATGCTACCAACCAGATGTCCTGGCTGCACCACCTAACGCTCGACCTTTTGCCCTACGTTTGTATTTTCGAGAATTGTGATACAGCAGACTTCCTCTACAAAACGAAAGATGAGTGGTGGAGTCATTTGCAAACCGTACAGTAGTTTTCGTATTCAGTTTGACCTCACACTCTTTACACTTGATTCCCGGAAAAGAAATCCCAAATATGCAAGTTCTGATTGGATGTTATTTTAAGCACTTGATCTAGACCGCTTTCTACAATATTCTACGTATCTTACAATACACATTCAATATCAGAGGTCATGTAATTTACACGAAATTGGCATACACCCGCAACCTGTCTCCCCCTCTTTTCCTTTCAAGACAATCAGCAACAACTTCTCCGCGCAACGGCTTCAACCCTCTCCGATAGTTGAAACAGTCTCGAGCTTTGGAAAAATGGCCGCTGCAGGTGTATACCTTCACGATGATTATACGGTTGGCTTAGTTTGTGCCCTTCCGCTGGAACTTGCTGCTGCTACTGCCATGCTAGATGAAATCCATGCCGACCTACCTACACCTCCTGTTGATGGCAATATCTATACTCTCGGGAAGATAGGTGTTCACAATGTTGTCATAGGCTGCTGTCCTCCCGGGTCATATGGTACAACCTCAGCAGCTATAGTGGGTGTCCATATGATATCTTCCTTCCAGTCAATCCGGTTTGGCCTGATGGTGGGAATCGGAGGTGGAGTTCCTAGCACGCAAACTGACATTCGGCTGGGAGATGTTGTTGTGAGCATGCCAGCAAGTCATTATGGGGGCGTTGTGCAATATGACTACGGCAAAACAATTTATGAGGGCAAGTTTCAGTACTCTGGTACCTTAAATAAGCCTCCTCATGTGCTGCTTAGAGCGGTTTCGAGCCTACGAGCAAAGCATGAGAGTGACTACAGCCAGATTCCGGCCTATCTTTCTGAGATGGTGACCAAGTATCCACATATGTCCAGTTTTACATACCCTTGGGAGCAGCAAGATCAACTTTTTGAGGCACATTACGATCATATTAGCTCCAATGTTATATGTGCCGATTGTGATAGAAAAAGAGTTATCCTTCGCCCTACTCGAGATACAGAAGAGCCAGAAATTCATTATGGCCTCATCGGATCGGGCAACCAGGTGATAAAGCACGGCCCTACCAGAGACAGAATAGCCCGCGAGCTTGGAATACTCTGTTTTGATATAGGAGCTGCAGGTCTAATGGACTATTTCCCATGTCTTGTGATTCGAGGAATATGTGATTATGCGGACTCACACAAGAATGCAGGGTGGCAGAGGTACGCAGCAGCAACAGCCGCTGCCTACGCCAAAAATATCCTCGCTGTCGTCCCTGAGTTTGGAGATTTGAAAGTGTGATTCTTCTAGCTATACATAAATTAGATGTCGGTCCCACATTCATTAACTGTTTTGTACTGTAGCCACAAGCAAAACTTCTTTCCAGGACTATATGCTTGTAGAGGCTTTCAGAATTGACAATGGAACGCTGAATGGTCTGCCCGCTCGTTTAGGTCACAGAATTAAATCGGGCCTCGAATCGTCTTTCTCGGGCTCCCTGGCCCGTCGCTCAGGTTGACATTGAAATGTACTTAAGCACGGCCTTGCTCTACACTTCACTGCATGTGCCGAAATAATCTATACTTTCGACACATCACACAATACCCTTGGATACGTCTCAATGCCCGAGAAAGAAGTGGGAAAACGATAAGTGTAAGCAACCCAGCAGATCGTTCCGGATCTAGGTGTCGAATTGTCCTCTCCACATGATTTGCGGTTTATTCTCAAACAAACTGGACGGGGATGGCTTCAAGGCAGACAGCGCGGCGTATGGGCTGACACACTATCCAGGGGTTGACACGTAATCTGAGTTGTGTTCCACGTTTCATGTTCGATAGATTGAGATACAAGATAGGCGTGATATCAGGGCCAACTTCTTCTCGAAATCCTCTGTAAAAACTAATCAGGATACCTGGATTGTCCATGCAAGCTTGCTGGTGAGCTATGCTGTCTTTGAGACTGGCAACCAATGAGACGCGCCAAATGATACATGGAGATACAAAGTTAATACCATTCCCAACCAGGATGGGCTCTTTTACAGCGTAAGCACAGCCAAGGCGAAAAACAGGCAGACGATCACCCGGATCGCCAGATCTCCCGAAAGTCGCTAGGAGATTCGATTTATCATTACCGACTGATTACAGCACGTGCCGGTATGTGGTATGCTCATTACCCCTTTAAGTCGAAAGAGTGTGGGGTCAAACTGAATTCGAAAACTACTGTACATGACTTCAAACATGTTTCCCCGGAGCACCAAAATTGCCCTCTATGCCTCCAGACTTTCACCATGAGTTACGATGTTGAATCCCATATTGCAAGACATCTCGAGGGCCTCGCCATATTTTCTATACCTTCACATAAAATAGTTGATAAAAAAGATCTCCGGGGGGAGTTCTGCCGGAGAGGAAACCTCTTTGACTGTCAACCCTGACGTTACTGAATCCTCGGGACCCTTTGGGCCTCGCCATAACATCGGAGAGTTAGCGCTTTCCTATCCAGACCTACTTTTTTTGGACTATTCTAATCTCATCACAGACGGCCTAAATACCTCAAGTGCAGATGGAGCGGGTGTACCAACAATGGCCCATTCAGCACAACCGCGACTCTCCGGCACCATATCACGACAACCCACATCTCCCCCAAGATTCACAAGTGTCCTATGTGCGGCAAGAGCTTCAATCGAATAGACAATATGAACATTCATATGCGTGCTATTCATGGATCTACATGATCTTCAGAGAATAAACGAATGGCCCTCGATCTGTGATTCTCCCAATCCATGGCAGAGTCTCTGCTGTTCAAATTCTTAGGCATTCTGGTGGACTTCTTCCGAGATTAGGGAACCGAAATTAATCAAGATTCACTCAATCAAATACTTTCATGTGGCATTCATCCAAAATATGGAGTTTGTTTCAGCCAGTCTAGTATATCAAATGACAGGCCAAGGCCATGTATGACCATTTGGTTATAGGATATGAAAGAATAGAAGTTTGATTACTCGGTACGAATTACAGAGCTACGATTGAAGGCCAGAATGCCCTCTTGGGGGCTCAGGGCTCCGATCTCAAGCGAGAAACGTCTATCATGCATCTCGAGCACAGATCAAGGTTTCTGAGGCCGATTATGGCTATCAAGACAGTTTTCTGGGAAGGAAGCTGAATTGAATGTCCCTATCCTTAATATAACGTACAGTTTACCTCCACTCTTATCAGAGACCAATGCCTCGTCTACGCAAATTCTGAAAAGAAGCGAGCTACCAGTAATCACTCACTATCGAACCATCTACAGTACTAAATACAGTAGTAGTAAGCATAAGGTCATCTAGATAATCCCACAGCCCCCACTTAGTTCGACTACGCTTATGGATGCTCGGAGTCTCGGGAGAATGGAGTCACGCTACAGAGTCACCGCTAGGCTCTAGCAAAGGGGCTAGAAGGGAGTCTAATGCACGTTTAAAATAGCGGCATGATCCACGAGGGAGGTGGATAATAAGATGGTTAGACTAAGAACTAGGTAAGAGCTGGGGGTAGGGACAGGGGATGATGGAATGACGTCGAGATGCATCTTGAAGAGACCATAGTAGAGCAATTTGAGTCACTGAATATCTGCTTTGGACTGTTTTCACTATGTACGTATTGAGTTTTCTTTTTCTGTTTTCTTGACATGGCATTTACTCATGGATTGAATTTCGTGGACAGAATGAAGAGTGGAATTTGGACACTGCGTCTCGCAAACTGATATTGCCCGTAATATTATATCGGGGCCAAGCACGTGGAGTAGAGAGTCTGTGCGAATGGGTCGGACTGTGTGATATTCACTTCTTATTTAATTCTATCTGAAATGCATGCTGGAGAAGGGTCTCGATCCCTTTGCAGATGGAAAACTACTTATGTACGGTGTACTCCGTTACAATAATATTCTGTGGTCTCGTGAAAAAGATAAGGTGAGGCTACGATAAGGCCCGGACCCTCTTCTTACCAAGACAGCGGGCCCGGGGGGCCGGGCCCACGGGAACGGGATCGATGACTGTTGGTTGTTGATTTGAACGGGTTACACAGAGAGAGAGAGAGAGAGTGATGATTTCATAGTTTTTTAAGATTGTGATAATTAAGTATTTGGGAGATTTACATGTGACAATAATAGTCCCGTATAAGAGTATATTCTCCATCAATAGTCAGGGTCCATCCCCACGTCTCACATGTCTCGCATGTCAGACACCTGGGGAAACAAGGGAAATGAAATCATCCATAACCCATCCACTGATTATTCCCGGTCGCCTGCAGCCCGAACATCGGCCCCCATGCCCGAGACATCCCGAGCCGGAAAATATCGGGGAACCCAGTGGCAACGAACTGTCTTCTTATCTGGAGCCAATCAGAGTCCCTGTTTCATGGTTGAGTCTATCTTTCAGACTAGTCCCAAAGGAGTTACACTCTGGCCCCACTTAGCGGCCGGGTGGCAAGTGTTTATCTGCAACCAATCAGAGAACAATGATAGGGTCGACGTTCGTCCAATTGCTGGCGGGGGATAGCGACCTCTTTTTTTCACGAAAAGTAATTGACGAAATTGGCTGACGGGATTTGAGAAGGAAGAGAGGTGCGATAAGCCTAAGCCACGCTGGGGCCTCTGAGGAACTTTGGGTACGCAACAAGTTAGAACGGAATGATTGTCACTCCCGTATTTCTGGACAGCGGCAGCCAGCAGGAAATGCTCCTCCAGCGAATGCCGCCAATAAGCCCTGGATCCTGCTACTTGGGACTACTCCTAGGGACGTGGGTTTTCCACGGAGATGTACGGAGTACCCTTCATTTACAGGGGGGAGGTAAGCACGATAGCGATAGCGATAGAGATAAGACTTTTCCCTGTCGGACAGTGGCATTCTTCTTGATCGTGATAGGAAGAATAGATAGTAGATAGTGTAGATAGAGGAGGACACGATTCCGGGGAAAGTAACGTGCAGCCCGCCTGTCTCAGGCATATATAGGACCCCTTTTCGTCCTGCAGAATTGGGGGGATTGGGGGGGATTAGAGGGGGGTTAGAGGTATGAATGATAACCCCAGGTCTTCTCGAGTATACAGTACATACTACTACTACTTTGTAGTAGTCGTTCTAATCTCCAGAGGCTTGGCAAATTCTCTCCTCTTTCTCCCCCAGGACGTTTTTCTTTCCCCAGAGTTTTAGATTGCATCGCTTGCCGAGCTCAGGGCCCGTTCATCTTTTACTCTGCCGGTCACCGGAGCATCGAATTGGATATTTCTTCTGCTTTGGATACGATATGCACGACTGCAAATTGCCTAATATGGGTTACTAACGTACTTTGGTCCATTAACCGTTCCAGCCCGGCCGTAAAAAGTGGACAGAGCCAAGGCTCATTTGATCGGAGCGGGACCCATGGACGAAGGCAAATTTTGACTTGAGACCCCGTCGCCACTCTGGGTAGTGGACAGAATTGTCATTTGTCCCATTGGGCTCTGGATTTCTGATTTCTGGGTTTCTGATTTCTCTTTTTTTTGACCCTTGCGGCCAACGGAGCCGGGGACCCATTTCATGATGATGATGGTGATGATGAGGAGATCAAAAAAGAGAGAGAGAGAGAGAAAGAGAGAGAGAACAACAATACATGAATCTTTATTATTATTATTTTCCAAGCTGATTAAATCAAATAGAAAAAAGGGATTCTAATTCAATTCTACAATTTCTACCATATTGTATGAAGTGTATAGATCCCAGATCCCAGATTCCAGGTTTATCTTGGTTATCGGGAATTATCCCATTGCAGTTGTCATCCGCTCACCTCATCAGTTTTCTTTCCTTTTTCCTCTCATTTTCCCCCCTTAACCGCGCCTCCCCACGAATTTTAATTTACAGACTGCAGTGTGTGAGTGAGCTTCCTCGGAGATTTCAGATCGCCTGATCGCATTTTCTCCTCCAATTGAGCTAGTCTCGCGTGGTCATTCTCTTTATTCCAATCTCCAGCTACGCCTGTTATCGCCCTGCCGAATTGCTTTTTCTTCAACACGCTAGACTCGTGTGGTCCGATTTCAGGCCCAAGTGGATCCTTCTCCGTCTGGTGTCTGTCGATCCGAACTTATCGGCCTGGGTGGACTCGAAGTTTCGCGTTTGGCGACTCACCTTCAAACGGGGCTGAACGCCCTCCGCAAAAAAAACTGACTGGTGGCCCTGGTCTCCTTCCAGAATCTCCCGACCTGATCGGATTACGGACTACTTATTATAATATTCTTTTGCCCACCTCGTGGCGACTCTTTTTCTCCCAGTCCCCTCTTTCTCGCCTTCTTCTCCACACCCTCCGCTCCGATCTTCGCTAGAGGTTCTTTAGATCTCCAGTTCCCAATTCTTCTTTCTTACTCTCTTCTCTCTCCTCGACTATCTCCTCGCCTGCATTTAACATCCACATACACACATACTTCCTTCAGACGACATCCATTTCATACTTTCGTGTCACGCTTAGCGCCCTCGAAGCTTCCGAATTAATACCCAGGTTACACGCTCTCGACCAACCCCCGTCACACGAGCTCGCCTGAGCTCTCCCAGCGGCGCCCGTCATGTCGTTCAACGGGAAATCCGCATACGCTCCCGACTATGCCTCCTACAACTGGGTTGGCGCTCCCTCCAACTATGAGCTGTCCACCAATGCCGACCTGGGCGGGGATTCCCGTACGTTATCTACATGCCCTCCATTCCTCCCTCGGTGGCAATCATGACCATTCCGGCGATCATGACAAAATAATCAACATAAACTCACCATGTCCATTTTTCCTACAGGCACCGAAAATCTGAACAAATGGTTCCAATCCGGCGACCAGGCCTATATTATTGTGGCCTCGGCCATGGTCTTGGTCATGGTTCCCGGTCTGGGCTTCCTATACTCGGGCTTGGCTCGCCGTAAGTCTGCTCTGAGTATGATCTGGGCTTGTATGGCTTCCATGTCGGTTATTACCTTCCAATGGTACTTCTGGGGTTACTCGCTCGCCTTCTCCACCACTGCCACCAACGGATTTATCGGAAACTTGCGCAACTTTGGCCTGATGAAGACGCTCGCGGATCCTAGCCCTGGATCACCATTGATTCCTGGCTTGCTGTTTGCATTCTACCAGGTAGGAAGAGACCAGAATCCTGGCTCGCGTGAGCTGCAAGGGAGTCTTGTTTACTGACATCCATCTCCTCAACAGATGCAATTCTGTGCCGTCACTGCTGCTATCGTCATGGGCGCCGTCGCTGAGCGTGGTCGTCTCCTCCCCGCCATGGTCTTCACTTTCATCTGGGCCACAGTCGTCTACTGCCCCCTCGCCTGCTGGGCCTGGAACAGCAACGGCTGGGCCTACAAGTACGGTGTCATGGACTACGCCGGTGGTGGTCCCGTCGAGATCGGCTCTGGTTTCACCGCACTCGCATACAGCATGGTCCTTGGCCGCCGCCAGGAGCGTATGATGCTCAACTTCCGCCCTCACAACGTCTCCCTCATCCTCCTCGGTACCGTCTTCCTCTGGTTCGGCTGGCTCGGCTTCAACGGTGGTTCGGCCTTTGGTGCCAACATCCGTGCCACTATGGCCTCCTGGAACACTAACCTCACTGCTGCTTTCGGTGCGATTACCTGGGTGCTGCTTGACTGGCGTCTGGCTCGCAAGTGGTCCATGGTCGGCTGGTGTTCCGGCACTATCTCCGGTCTCGTCGCTGCCACCCCCGCGTCTGGTTTCATCTCGCCCTGGGCCAGTGTCATTCTCGGAATCGTCACCGGCATCGTTTGCAATTACTCGACCAAGATCAAGTACTGGATCCGCATTGACGACAGCATGGATGTGTTGGCTGAGCACGGTGTCGCCGGTATCATCGGCCTCCTCTTCAACGCTTTCTTCGGTGATGACGCCATCGTCGGCCTGGACGGCGTCAACGTCGGCACCGGTGTCGGCGGCTGGGTCATCCACAACTGGAAGCAGCTGTACATCCAGATCGCCTATATCGTGGCCACCGCCGCCTACTCCTTCGTCATGTCCGCCATCATCGCCTACGCCATCAACGCCATCCCCGGCCTGAACCTGCGCGCCTCCGAGGAGGCCGAGCTCCTCGGTATGGACGACGACCAGCTCGGCGAGTTCGCCTACGACTACGTCGAGGTCCGCCGTGACTACCTGGCCTGGACTCCTCAGAAGCAGGACCAGCTCGAGGATGGCCATGAGATTCCTGCCGCTGATCGCTACGGTATCGGCGAGCACTCTGAGATGATGCTTGAGGGACAGGCTCCGCACGGCGAGATCAGTCAGAGCTCGCGCGGCGGCAGCGAGGGCGATATGCATCTGCACGAGGTGAAGATTGCACCTGCTCCCAGACAGGTTGCCGAGATGACGAGCCCACACATGCATGCGCCCCCTCCAACGGATACGCCTGTTGTGTTGAAGCCTGTCGATGAAAAGTCCGATTAAGCACTGCGCTTGCATCTGCATCTCTACCTTTTGCATTTCCACCACCTCTTCCTCCTTGGACCTTCTCATCCCATCTCGCCCTTGATTTATTTCTTTCGCATTGTTCGATATCCCTCTGAGCGTGTTTCTTTCTTCGCACAAAAGGCCTGGGGCCTTTTCTTTTTCCACCCACCTACAACTACAAACCCTCTATCCTCCTCGACATCACCTGTATAACCTACAACCTATTCCACCTACCTACCCTCGAACCGACTTGACCATTGCCTATCACCCACCATATTTACTCCCTCCGCCACACCTCTTCCTCTTTCTGCCCATCTATCCATGTTCTTCAAGCAAATGTCGTTTATTCTTGTTCCGGCGCCGATGGTGTGTATATATTCGGTGTCTAGTGAGTTCAATTCTGATTATGAAGTTGGCTTTTTTTGGATTATTCGTTTTCTTTAATTCTGAGTTATGTTTCTGGTGGTGGTTGATTGGTTATATTGCAGTATAGAGAATCGATGTTAGACCTTTTTCCTTTCGGAACATTTCCATTTTTCATGGTTTGTAGACTTTCCCCTCGCTCTGGTATGTGAACCTTGTGATCCTGGGAGGGAGTAAGGTAGTAATAGAAGATTAGGTAGATGGCTAATGGCTTGAACGCTGCCATCTTTATGAATTACTCCAATGTCTTGGAAAATGTACTATCAGCGAAATTCAAGTTCAGGTCCACTCTGCTACGCTAAAATGCATTCTTGTCTTCTACCCAATTCATACGTCATGGGTTGGCCAGCGCCGTGTCGTGTCTCTGATAATTGGGTCGTAATGTGAATGGGTTGTACTACTCTAGGATTCTTGATCTTGTGTACTAGGTCAAAGCCTCCAGTCGAAGCTGTAGGTACGGATCAATTCAACCCAAGGTATGGGTGGAACATTGAAGACTTAAAACCCTCGCAAACAAAAATCCGAGAAAGGCATATCCTCCACTCCATGAATCGGACCCTCAATCTCCACTTCACCATATATACATCTCACCGTTCTCACGCTGTACTTCCCATTTCCCCGCCGGCATCCCGAAGGGCTTCATCATGACACCAACCCAACAGATAACACCCCTATACAACAGCCCATTTCTTTCAAACCCCTCAAAATTAACATCATTAGAATGCCCTAACTTAGGAGGTCAGAATGATACAAATAAATAAGAAATCTAAAAAAGATAACCGCAGAATTTAATCTGTCTCCCCACCCACCCAACCCCAGCACCCACCCGCTGCCCAGCCGAGCTCCACAGAAGCTTCACGGCACACTAACCAGACAGCCGGCCATCGAATTGTTTAGATACGGCTACCAGAGCAGCTTCGCGGGACTTTCGGACCACTAGGCTTCCGGCGAGGGCTGGAATATTGGGTTTGAATCCAATTATAACCTCTCTTGATGATGATGACATTATCCACAAGCCTCCCCTCGATCTTGATCTTTTGTGACTCCTGTTCTATATCACGGTCTATTTTATACTATCGAATTCCGGGTATGGATCAGATCAACGAGATTGAGATACTAATGAAGGAATGGATTGATGCCCATCAAGGTCTATCTTTTCAACTGGGATATTCGAGTGCCTCTATTCGAGATACATGTTGATTGGAAAGATCTTGAATAAGTTACATAACAGCATTCTTGCCATCCAGATACAACTGCCCAACTGAAAAGACAATGGTATTTATGTATAATGCAAATGCAAATGCAACACAATGCTCAAAGGTGTATTCAATCAACCCCTCCTAACCATTCCCCTAACTCTAACTCTCTCCTCCCGACTCAACTTCTCCACAACTTCCGCAGCCTCCTCACCCCGCAAAACCTCATCCCACTCATCCTCATCCATGCCCATCACAAGCGTCATCTGCACACACCTCGCAAACGCCTCACGATGACGATACCGTCCGGGGGCACCCGCACCAGCACCATACCCCACGTCCGCGGCGGCATTAACAATACCCGCGACATCACGCTCGAGCCGGGCCGCGCCCAGCGCGTTGATACGGCCCTGGTACGACCAGAGACGTTTCTCGAGGAGGCGCGCAAAGTACGCCACCGTCACGGTGAGTAGGCGGTCGAAGGCGGGGACTGTAAGGATGCGGGCTAGTGGGAGGAGGAGGTCTGTCCAGCCGGCGGCGAAGCGGGGGCGGACAAGTTCCTTGCTGCTACCGTCTGCGGGGTCGTAGTCATCGTGGGGTGTTGGGTCCGAGGTATCGGACGGATGATACTCGATGTCGCGGAAGGCGTCGGCGAGGAGAGGGCGGAGTCGGTGTTTGATCACGTTGTTGAAGACGACTTGGATGCCGTCCGAGAGGAGGTCTGCGACCTTGGCTTCGAAGGATGTTGCTAGGGAGTGCAGGGTTTGGGCGACGTGGAGAGCGGAGGATGGAGCTGGGAAGATGGAGCGGAGGTGCTCAGTTACCAGGGTTGATTGGTCGGGTGTGGTGCCCTCAGTGGATGACGGGAGAGGTTGTTTAGAGCCGGAGTTGTTCTGGACGATTCGTCGGATATAATCGACGCCGAGGTCGAGGTTGTTGATTTGGACGAGGAAGGCGACGATGGTTTGTTCGGGGGTTGGGCGCCTTGGACGGGCGCGCGGGGGTAGCATTCGTCACGCATCTTGCGTTGGGTCATGCCGATGAAGTCGGAGCCCAGGACGCGGGAGAGTGTTGGGACCACGTTGGTTACAACGGCTTCTTGGGAGGTTGCGAGGGACTGTTGTAGTACTTTGTTGACAATATACATGATGTCGTCGACGGCCGAGGTGATATGGGGCGGATCTGCCTTGAGTGGGCGTTGGAGGTTCAATGTCAGGCCAGATGGTGACTCGTCGAGCTGGAAGGCCTTTTCGACAGAGCGACGGAAGAAGAAGGTTGTCATGGCGTTGAATGGAGAGACTAGCTTGTCGTTGACCTTGCGTGCCAGAGAAGACTCCTGCAAGAAAGCAGGCAGTGCAAATCTTTCGTCATCTTTTTGATCTTGGTCATCACCTGGGGCCTGATTTGCGGGTCAGTATTTGCCCTGTGTATATACTGGAGCTTGCACTTACATTGCAGGTATCCGCCAAGAATCGACAGTATAGAGACCACCGGCCAAGCATAATAGCCATCTCATTCAGGATCCCGTCAATCTCCTTCATATCCACGCCCTCGTCCTCAGTCGGTGCAGTCACACCAGCGGCGGGAGGGTGGCCTGCCCTCTGCGCCGGGAGGAAGCTCTGCACCAAGAAGGTGAATGCATAAGATTTGATATCCATCAGCTTGCGATCCACATGCCGCTCATCACTCCAAGTGTCGAGGATGATGCCACCCTGCACGTCCGCTTCAACCTGTAGCCGCTCAATAACCCGGCCCATCTTCCGTGGACCATAGTGCCGCTCCACCAGTCCACCATGTCCATCAATAATTTGGGCCATATGTTCAAAGAGCTTGGTCAAGGCATTGGCATAGAAGAAGCCATCCTTGGCCTGAGACCCGTAATCCGCATTGAGGTTGCTGCGTGCTCGCGCCGCAACGCCCTGGCAGACATAGCGCCCATAGACATCCAGGCCAACCTCAGACCGGCCGATCAGCGGGAACAGTTTGAAGAAGCGGGTAATCTTTGCCCCGTCGTTCTCCTTTACGGCCTTGTCGAATTCCCGAAGGAAGAGCCCACACAACGATTCCGCCGCATTATCCAGAGTAACACTTGGCGGGTCAGGCACCTCCGCGGTTGGAACCATCTCCGCAGCAAATGTCCCATTGACCACAGCTGGGGGAACCTGTGCCGCCCGATGTAGATAGCTAGCAGCCGTCTCCCAGTCCTGGGAAGCACCCATTGACCCCGCCACGCCCAATGCACACGCCTTAAGCTCCGCAACCTGCTCCACGACCTCCAGTGTAGCCTTGACCCTCGCCTGCTCCAGATCCAGTCGTCGCACGGCGCTGGAGATACGCTCAGCCGTGCTCGCAGCTTCGGAGAGCATACCATGGCTGATCGATCGGGTGGTATTTGTTTGGGTTCCGATGTGCGCGCGCATCAAATCCAGTCGGCCCAATTCCCGAGACAGGTCTTTCTGCGACATCACCAGGGCATCTAGCCGAGCTGTCACGGACGCTTCTTGGCTGTGCAGACGGGAGAGCGCGGCTTTGATCTCCGCCACGGAGCTGGCATTGAAAACATCGGTTCGCGGGGGTTCGATTGCGGGGCTCAATTGTCCCGATGATGATGACGGTGATGGTGACAAGGTATGGCCATTTGCCTGGATAGGCGGCTGTGATACCGCCATCCTGGAAAATAAGGGTGCTTGGGGTCGTTGCGACCAGGAGGCTTGAAGAGTGGTTAATTGTTGATGCCAACTACGCCAGTTGGAGGCAGCCAAGTGGGGGCGGTGAGGCTCGGGGCTTTTTTTTCGGGCGTTGGAGAACGTGAAAGAGATTCAAGACAGATAGAAAGGAATCAAAGGATATTTGTTCCATTGCACAGAAAATAATTCCCGTTTCTAAGACATTGACTACGACAATTCAATATCGGTGGTCTGCCCAGTTGTTCTGGTCTGCCTTTAAATTGCTCGTGGTGCTGATTCCAACTCAACGTCATTTCCCTCCACGATCACTCTACGGAGTACTACGGAATACTTCTTCATACTCTCAATTCAGCTATCTTCCGCTCGTTGCGTTTGAACTGCTGCACTTTACTCCTGTGGCAGAGAATACTGCTAGTGTGCCGTCACTATTGGACGCCGTCGCAGACCCCGTCATCCAAAGCATCCTAGGCACTCTCGTGCTATGGGCAACGAAGAGTCAAGCATGGTGGATGATTCCACCCGTCCCTCGGTGCTGGAGGGACGCAATGTGGAGGCCGTGGCCAAGTATATCAAAGAGCGCAATGTCCAGCGTATCGTTGTAATGGTTTGTCTAACATTTTCCGATCATTGATTCCAAACATGAAATGCTGACTCCGAGACCCAGGTGGGAGCAGGTATCAGTACTTCAGCAGGCATCCCAGATTTCCGGTCACCCGATACCGGACTCTACGCCAATCTTGCATTTCTAGACCTGGAAGAGCCAGAGGATGTATTCGACATTGGTTTCTTCCGACAGAACCCCAAGCCATTCTACGCGCTGGCGCATGAGCTCTACCCCGGGCGCTATCGCCCCACTATCGCCCATTCTTTTATCAAGTTGCTCTACGATAAGGGTCTACTGTTGAAGCACTTTACGCAGAACATCGACTGTCTCGAGCGCCAGGCTGGGTTACCTGGGGACATCATCGTTGAGGCTCACGGCAGTTTTGCGACACAGCGCTGCATCGAGTGCAAGACGCCGTATCCCGACGAGGAGATGCAAAAAAAGGTCCAGCATGGAGAAGTGCCGTACTGCTTGGTACCGCAGTGTAATGGCCTCGTCAAGCCTGACATTGTCTTCTTTGGCGAATCCTTGCCCCCGAGCTTCTTCGAGAGCCGCGACCTGCCGGAACAGGCCGACCTCTGTATCGTGATGGGCACCAGTCTATCAGTCCAGCCGTTTGCCAGCCTGCCTGTTCTGTGCAAACGGGGCACCCCGCGAGTGCTGATCAACATGCAGCAAGTCGGGGGACTGGGGTCCCGTCCAGACGATGTACTCATCCTTGGGGACATTGATGCCGGGGTGCGCAAGTTCGCAAAGGCTATGGGATGGGAGGAGGAACTCGAGGCTCTCTGGGAAGTGACTAATCCCGATCCCAAGGCGCGCGAAGCCGAGAATGCGCCGGTGCCATCTCGGGACGAGCGGCTCCGACAGGAAGTTGACCGGCTTACAGCGGATGTTGAGCGCACACTCAACCTGACGGAGTCGTACCAGCAGCGCGTGCGGGAGAAACTGGGCGAGCCGAGCGAATCTTCATTTATCAAAGTGGACTCGCAAGAACAGTCACGAGAAGGAGGACTGGACCATGTGTTCCCGCACTTGGCGCGCGAATCGCGTTGAGCCGTGGAGACCAGCCCGACTCGGCTTAGACGGGGGTAGATGGAGATCACAAGGGAGTATGGAGTATGGGCATGGAGTAAGATGGGGTGATAGATCATGTCATGATGGGGAAATGGATGACTAGGATGTATGAAATGAGACACGATCCATGATCAATGATCAATGATCAATCCAACGAGGCTTCACCTCACCGCTTCAACGCCAAGCGCCGAACGCTCTGGCCCTTATCAAGACCCCAGTCAGCATTAGGATTTTCTTAGTTCACCTTGACGTCTGCGTTACTCAATTGGAGTTAAACAAGCTTGCGAGATTTACTAGTTCGGTATTGGTGGTAATTGTCGATCTTGTATCCATTTGATCGAATCTCATTCTGGACTTCCGAGGTCGCCGCGGGGATGTATGTACCTTTTGACCCGACCCATTGACCATTGACCCATAAACAAGCAAAGACACACTCAACAGATGACCCCAAATCAACTAAATAGCTGGACCAGTTAGGCCACGTTACAAATTCAAACCAAATTCTTGTTGAGAGAAAAAAAAAAACATAGTCTCGGGGAAAACTAAACACAAACCACCCCGAAAAAGGATTAATTGACTTTGGGTGTTGTCCACCGCAGCCAAATCCAGCCAAGGCAGATCCCCTGCCCCACGTCCATATCGTCATTCCTCCTCCCCCTCTCTCTCTTCCCCTTCCTTTCTTTCTCTCCCCAGTTTTCAATCTGTACACACACATCTCTACACATTCATCATGGTCGGAATTGGTCCTAAGCAGCCTCCGTCCCGCAGGGGTAAGCTTCATCGAGCTTCCATCGGCTTCAATCCCCATGCTAATCTTATCTATCCCTTCCTAGGCTCGAGGCACGAATTGCCGCAGAACCTTCTGCAGCCCATCAAAGATTTTGAGGATCAGTTCACTGTGGACGGCGCGAAGCTCAAGCAGATTGTAGCTCACTTTGTGAAGGAGCTCGAGAAGGGTGCGTTGCTCTATTGTAGAATCCGGTCACACCGCATCGACCAGGCACTAACAGCTCCAAAACAATAGGTCTGACCGTCGAGGGGGGCAACATTGTGAGAATTCACAGCTCGCGAGCATCTCTACAAACATAGACCACTGACAGATCTTTCGATAGCCCATGAATGTCACCTGGGTTATGGGCTTCCCCGACGGTGAGGAGCAAGGTACCTTCCTGGCCCTCGATATGGGCGGCACCAACCTGCGTGTTTGCGAGATCACCCTGACCGAGCAGAAGGGTGCCTTCGAGATCACCCAGTCCAAATACCGAATGCCCGAGGAGCTGAGGACGGGTACCGCCGAGGAGCTCTGGGAGTACATTGCGGACTGTCTGCAGCAATTTATCGAGTTCCACCACGAGAACGAGAACCTGGCCAGGATGCCTCTGGGTTTCACTTTCTCCTACCCTGCCACCCAAGAATACATTGACCACGGTATCCTTCAGCGCTGGACCAAGGGATTCGATATTGATGGTGTTGAGGGTCAGGACGTTGTTCCTCCTCTCGAGGCCATCCTCAAGAAGCGGGTAAGTGGCAGCCATTGTTCTTCAAAGAACGTTGTCTAAGTTTTGCGATTCTAGGGCCTGCCCATTAAAGTTGCTGCCCTGATTAACGACACCACCGGTACCCTTATTGCCTCCTCCTACACCGACCCCGAGATGAAGATTGGCTGCATCTTCGGCACCGGTGTCAACGCCGCCTACATGGAGAACGCCGGCTCCGTCCCCAAGATCGCCCACATGAACCTGCCCCCCGACACCCCCATCGCCATCAACTGCGAGTACGGTGCCTTCGATAACGAGCGCGTCGTCCTCCCTCTCACCAAGTACGACGAGATCATCGACCGCGACTCACCTCGTCCCGGCCAGCAGGCCTTCGAGAAGATGACCGCCGGTTTGTACCTAGGCGAGATCTTCCGTCTTGCCCTACTGGATATCATCGATGACAAGCCCGGTCTTATCTTCAACGGCCAAGACGTTTCCAAGCTGCGCAAGCCTTACCTTCTGGATGCCTCCTTCCTCGCCGCCATCGAAGAGGACCCCTATGAGAACCTCTCCGAGACCGTCGAGCTCTTCGAGCGCCAGCTTAACATTCGCCCCACCCAGCCCGAGCTGGAGATGGTCCGCCGCCTGGCCGAGCTGATCGGCACACGTGCCGCTCGTCTCTCCGCCTGCGGTGTGGCTGCCATCTGCACCAAGAAGAACATCGAGTCCTGCCACGTCGGTGCCGACGGCTCTGTCTTCACCAAGTACCCCCACTTCAAGGCCCGAGGTGCCCTGGCCCTGCGTGAGATCCTGGACTGGGCTCCCACCGAGAAGGACAAGGTGTCCATCCTGGCTGCCGAGGATGGTTCCGGTGTTGGTGCCGCGCTGATTGCGGCTTTGACCTTGAAGCGCGTCAAGGCGGGTAACCTGGCTGGTATCCGTAACATGGATGATATGAAGACCCTTCTGTGAGGATGCACCCGGTTTTTACTTTTGGTATTCTACACCATGTCACGTTGTGGATGTGGTCACGAAATAAAGGATAATATCCGAAGATAGGATAAAAAGAGTTGAAGAATAATGAAATATATCTGGAATAGCAGCGCTTATTTGAAGAGCTTTTTTTTGGCTTGATACCTATCGGGACTGGCTTGCGTTGTTCTTGTCGTTCGGTGATCTATGTACCTGCTCTACATGTTAGCATGGCTGTGGGCCTTGGTCAATAGAGTTGTAGGTGTGCTTGGTGGGTAGTAGTAAATACCACGATGATCGATGAATACTTGCTGTCAACTTGAAGGTCTCGATTGAATGATGTATTGCTGCAGATGTATGTCAATAGTGGAAGGTCTGGGTAAAGTACAATTCCTCGTCGGAGTTTGTGTGCATCCGTCGCAAATATATTTCCACACTCGGGCCCGACAGAGCTACGAACCACTTCTTTATTTCTACCGAATAATCAAATCAGTTGCTTGAGACAAAGAGACATTTAAACACTCAGTGACATAAACGGTAATAGTAATGAAGTACCATATCAGTGACCAGAATATTAAGTTGACATGTGGAGGTCCCAGAAACCGAAGTTGTCGAGGGCTGGTATTAACAATCAGGTACAATTCAAGGTTATGTAGGTCAGAAATCTCAGAAAAAGCAAGAAATGGGATAATAACTCAGCTGGGAGAGTGCACGACTGAAGTAAAACTCCAGTTTCTGCTATCGTGAAGTCGCCAGTTCGATCCTGGCTTGTCCCATTTTCTTTTTTCGTTGCGTCCCTTTTTTATGCCCAGACCGCAGCCATTTCTGCCACAACCTTCCGCCTCCAGTAGCAACCAGGCTTCCAAGCATTCTGACGCTACATTCCAAATGAACTCCTGCCCAGTGCCCCCTGCCCTGTCCTCGGTTACTAGCTTATCTATTTATACACTGCGTGATGGCTCCAAACCGGCAAAATAAGACCTATATAGCAGGACTTTATAAAGTATTTTAGCTACTGATATTAACAGCCCACCATGAGTACGGTGTAGATAAGATAAGGTATAGATAAGATAAACCACTCGCCCAAAAATAAAATAGAATGGGACAAGCCAGGATCGAACTGGCGACTTCACGATAGCAGAAACTGGAGTTTTACTTCAGTCGTGCACTCTCCCAGCTGAGTTATTATCCCATTTCTTGAGATACTCGCACCGCCTTGCCATAACAAGGGGGGAACACCCATGGCTGCCACAATTCCATGCCCCCTCGCCCCCGCAGAGATGTGCCTGACCACCGCACTGGACGCCTGTATATTCGCCTTTTCTCGGGTGCACACTGAACTACAACCATTCCCGGTGATCACTAAGGTATCTGGGGGAGAGTGATTGTTTAACCTGGAAGTTGGTGATAATCTTTGTCGATGCTTTGATTTACATGCTCTCTTGTACCTGACCCAGAAGACCCAGACACATTGGCAAGGCACCGCGATTCGAGTTGGAACAGGACAAGAAAAAGCAAGACCGCCATCGACTACATAGCAGGAGGTTCCAAAAATTCTCCGTTGTTTACATATTACCCTGAACGAGGAGAAACAATTTTAAACTCTACAATCATGTTCATGTTGCGAGTCTGGACTAAGTATTCTAAACGGAATCACCAATCCTCCCCATCAACAGCAACACATAAACCAGACATCAAGCTCGTAGACTTGTTGAATTGCCACCTCACTTGCGCTTAGGCATGTAAGGAGGTGGACCCAACAACGTGACCTTGGGCTTCGTCGAATCCTCTATGCTGGAATGACGCGAAGACATCAACTCCGTCCGAGGTCGCTGCTGTGGTTGCGCTTGTGGCTATGAATTGGTTAGATCTTGTTTCAAATTGATTGAACGGGCTTTATTACCGTTGAAAATGGTGCAGGTCTTATGAGTGCCGGGTCAGCCCACTTGCTGTGTTCGATACCCCCTGACAGAACTCGAGACTTCATCGCGTGTGGTGGCGAGCTGGATTCTGCCCTGGGCGATGCTCCCTTGGCGGATGCCTCTTTACGAATGTTTGAGCTACTTTGAACCAAGGTGGGCCGCTGTACCTCGGACACAGACCGGCTTGGTCCTTCGCTTCGAACAATCGTCTGAGAAACTGGAGCACCCCGTGGGGCCTTGGATATGGTGGTGTTCTCCTCAGAGGTAGTGCCAGCCTTGGAATAGTCAGTCATATCATTCAGCATGTTTTTAGTTGATGGGTAAAGGTTATGTGCGGGGGGAAACGAGTTAAAGTCTGATTGTTGTTCATGAATGAGGTATGAAAGGGAGAGTCGGACGCCAATTACCTTTGCTTTATTGAGTTGATACGGCGCATTCGAAGGAGCTGCGAACATTGGACTCTCCATAGATCCAAGAATTGGTGGTTTCGTAGCAGTCTTGGCGATCACTTGCTTGGATGGGGTCGGATTTATGTCCATGTCCAAGAGCGACAGGGGTTCACCTGGCGCGGTTCGAACGTTTCCACCCTCAGAAACTCGCAGTGATTCAAATTCCATGGTCGGTAAGTCAGGAGGAACAACCCTCTTCTTGGGGGACAGGAATGACGCTGCATCGATATTGCGCTGCTCCTTCTCATCGGAAGAGTCGGTGACAGTTGCCGAAGCACTTCGGGGTGGAGTGCGATAATTGTCAAAGATGCTAGTCTTTCCGAGCTGATCCGTCTCGAGCTCTGGGGCCACTGACTCTGTCTTTCGTAACGCAAGGCGCTGATCCTGGCTTGGGGCGGGAGTGGAAGGTCCAGGTGCAGCCTCTTCTTCTGGAGGCCTCAAAGCTTTTAGATGCGTCCGGTGGATCTCCTCAACCACTTTTTTCGAGATCGCTTCAATAACGCCCAGACTCGTGGCCTTCAGCGGTCCCAATATCGGGTCAAGTAGGTGTGCGGCTCGGGAAGATCCTACGCGATCCTGGAGATAGCCGGAGCAGTTACCGAGAAGTTCCAAAATTTGCTGCGCAATGTACGCTGTTTTCGTCAGTTCAATGACCATACATGGCAATTGGGGATCAGGGTAATTCGAACCTTGGACATCATCGCTCGAGAACAAATGGGACTCGTCTTCCGTGGGGAAAGTAATTCCTGTTAGCTCTGCCATGCCGGGGGTAAGCAACAAGTTCCGAATATGCGTTTCCGTTTCGGCGTTCACTTCCTCATCCTCGTCAATATCCAAAAGAACCGCAGTTGGTTCCTCCCTCTCTTTCCCCTTCTGTCGCTCATAAATTGGCCTTGGCTTGTCACTTGGCTTTGGACGAGCCGCCTTTGCACGACTGCTAAAGCCAGCGGTCTTCTCGAGAGGTACAGTACGACGAGATGGGGTTGAGGAGCCAGGAACATGTTCAGCGGCACTTGCGACTGGAGTAGAAGATGCAGGAGTGGCAAACATCGAATCAGCAAGTGACGATTTCTGGACAGCCTTGGGATTTGTGGCAGGCTTGGGTGCCACAGCAGACTGCGGAGTCATCACAGGCTTGGGGGCTATGACATGATTGGGAGCCATGACCTTGGGAGTCGCGGCAGCCTTGGGGGTCATGACAAGCTTGGGAGTAGTGGCCCGATTAGGAGTCATTGCCGGCTTGGGGGCCATGGCCTTGGGCACCGTGGGAGGCTTTGAAGGTAAGCCTGATGATGCCCCGGAGGAGACTGAAGGCAGAGGAAACGATGCTCGAGCGTTGGCTAGAAAGTCAGCCGGGTTGGTCAGTTTTCTAGCATAGTTTTCGCTGGTTGCATTGAAAGTCAGTTTATAGATACAGTAGAAACCGCTAGTGCCAATCAGGGCTCACTCACGTGGGTGCAGGTGCGGGTGCAGGTTTTCTCGGTCTGATCTCGGGCAATCTGGCCCTATGAGTGGCGTGGGTGTCTCGACTACTATGGCGACGTTGTGCCTCCCGGCCTCGAGTTGGACGGGAGGCTGGATCATCTGGATTATTGGAATCCAGCGCAGGATCTCGTCTGGCTGGCCCGCCAAAAGCCGGGAAGTGTGCACCAACATGGATAGCGTTTCTTCGGTCAGGTTAGTAATGTCCAGAGTCAGAGGAGAAATTTTAACGTCTACCTGATTGGAGAACCTGGGTGGCGTGATCTGGTACCAGCTACCCCTCCACCACGACCAGATGATGGTTGAGCATAAGGGTGGTGGTGATGGTCTGGTACATAACTGAAAGATCTAGCTCTAGCATGCCCACCTGCGGGATGCCGGGGAACCTCATTTCCGTGCAGTGATGCATTGAGTTGAGCACGGTGGCTCTGGCCATGCATGAGATCATCCAGCTGCTCTACCCTGCCAGTGTCGGCGGCAGTTCTGTGAAAGTCTAGAAGTTTCATTTAGTGTTAGTGAGAGTCTTTGGAGAGGAAGGAGGATGATCGTAAACATACTTGTCCATGCACTCAAGGAGGCTTGGTTCTGCTGAGCCCGCCGCTGTTCGACTGTACCAGCAATATTTGAGTGCCGATGGCGCTCAATTTCGCCCATCGCCGCGATACGCTGGCGAGTGTCATCTGTGGTCGAGATGTATTCCCGACGGGCGGTGCCCAGATCCGCCTGTAAAAACAGCCAAGTCAGTCTCTGGGGAGTCCATGCCAACCTAAGAGGCAGAGATCATCGAATTCCGGGGGTCATCTCACCATCTGTAACGCCCTGAGGCGGGCCTCCTCGGCCTCCTTGTTTCGCTTCGGATCGGGAGCCATGGCGAAGAGGTGCGGCGAAGAGGGGCGTCGAAGAGGGTGCTGATGGAGGGATTAGAGCAAGGAACCGAGGACCGGAGAACGGTGAAAGGGAGTGGTAAGAGTGTGATGGATATGAGTAGAGATAGCTGTGAAGCGATCGATTCGGGAGGATGATTTTGAAAGACACGCTCTGAACGAGTGTGTAAACAAGAGATTGTCAGGACACCACCCACTCGGCAAGCTAAGGCCCTTCGGATTCTGGTCGCCAGGAGTGGTTATCCAGACAAAGGCGCGGTGTGAGATCCTCAGTGAGTAGCGCTGAGATTCGTACCCGAGAAGTAATGGAAGGCAAGATGGAAGAAGGAGAAGGCGAGGAGTTGAGAAAGAAATGCGAGAGAGAAGCGGAGGATAAATAAAGCCACGCGCGTTTGTGGTTGCCAGAATGGCGGGAGCGACAACGAGCTGGATAGGGAAGTTACCACCCATCGGAGCCAAACACAGTCAAACGGCAGAATGGAGAGATCTCCCAACTGATTTGTGCCTCTGGCACTAGATGACTGCAACCTTGATCCCTATAAATGGCTGGTCTTGTGGAGGGGATTCTGACCCCCCATTGTATTAGCAGCAGACAGTGTCAGCAAAGAATTCCCGCAATTGAAGGCTGTAAAAGAAGTGTTATTTGGTGATTCAAGCTCTCTTTGTATTTGGCCAATATATGTACAAGGTGATGCGACCAGTGGAAAAGAAGCCATATTCTATAGATAAACGCGAGATGACCGCGGAAATGACAGTGCTACGAAGCACTGCAGGAACGACCTTCGCCATCATCTGGAGCACAATGTTAGTTTATACTCATGATAGTAGAAATGCCTTCCATGAAAGACGCAGTGAACCTACTTCGAATGATCTTGGTAACCGCCTGGATGACACTGACGCCCATGACGACGAGTCCAAATACGACACATGCATAAGCTGGTATCTTCTCCCGCCGAGACGCACTGCTGAGTTTGATGTAGCAAAGTGGAGGGAAGATGTATGCTAATGCTGCTGCGCTGGTTGCTCCAATCAGCTCGAACACACTGCCGAGATCACACGTAATCAATGCCAATGCCATCGAGGTCAGGACTAGAGCCGTCGTGAAGATCAGGTGCCGATGGGGGTTGTAAGGTTCGTCTGGGAAGTAGTATGTTGTCATAACAGAGCGGCAGACGAAGGCTTCGAGCGGAAGGGTAGTCAGCATGTTCAACCCAAAGCAACTGGCTGAGTTAGCAAAGAGAAATACGACGAGTAGAGGCCAGACCGCCTTACAATCGCGCAATGTTGACCAAGATATTATCCGACGGGAAATTGTTGAGCACATTTCCTTGAGTCTTTGAGCCAAAAGAGAGGAATCCCGCAATGCCCATGGCCAGACACATGATCAGAGATACCCCTGTAGAGTAATGGGTCACTGTCGCAAAGCGGTCGAGTGTTGGTTTCCTCAATGACCCGTAGATCAAAAGGCTGTTATGGTCTGGAGAGAGCGTCAGTGCTTGATATACCTTAACTGATTGCGAGAAACATACGGCAAACGAATGCTGTAGATGACTCGGTATTAGCAACTGACTTGTACAAGTTCCAAGGTCCGACTGGCATACCAAATGATATCACGCCCACGGCTTGGAAGAACCCCGAGTTGAATATGAGGTGACTCTTGATCTCCCCTCGCGAATCTGCGGGGACACGGAAGCCCTGTGTGATGACCGTCACCACGATCACTATCATGCTGACAAACGCCAAGGCAGATGCTTTCGCCAACTATGAATCCGTTAGCTCTAGGAATGTATATAGGGAGAAGCGGCGGTCCCACCTTTGCGATATCTCTGTATAATGAGAGGGGATAGGAGATGCCAAGAACGAAGAGCACAATGACAGCCCGGCGATCAGTAAGTAACCATAGAAAGGACATTTCCCGAAGGGACGGAAACATGGCGCCCAGGACATGCGGAATCGTGTCACCAACAATGATGCAAAACGCAACCATACCGCCGAATGCGAATGCCCATTGCGCGATGGAAATTGCTATAAGGCCACTTCTTCCGAAGCAATACTGCATAGTAGCTTGGAACGAGTCTGCCCCACTCATCTTGGAATTGACGACGATCAGGCGAATTGTCCAGTCCACCGTAATAGTCAATGCCGTTAACAGTAATATCCCCATAGCCATGCCGGCTTGGCGAAGGGCGTAGGGCTGACCAATGATCCCTGCCCCGATAATGCTGTTTGCCATGTTCATGAACGCCATCTTCATTCCGCTCCTTGGCCGCGCACTCTCAAGGTGTTCCTCCGGGAAGAAGTCGTCCGAAGTTGCGAGTGTCACACTCGGAGCCTCAATATTGGTGAGCAAGGGAACTGTTTGCCCAGTATTTCGTACCCCTGGTCTGCCCTGCCCACCGAGCTCGTAGTCTTCGTCGTCTAGCCATGGCGCGTCGCTGTCGGGGCTGCGGGCACGCCCGTTCGAATGGTGATCGCCGTCTTCCTCATCGTCCTCCTCGAGATCAAAATGGACTCGGTTTGTTGTACGAGGTGTGCGACGTTGTCCGTCTGGAGTGGGAGGTAACATTGAGGATTGGCGCTGGGCATCTGACCGAGTGCTGCTTGCAGGCAATGGGGGCGAGCCTGTCGAGGGGGAATGAACTATGAGATCGTCTAGCTCTTCTGTGGGAGAAGACAGTAGAGACTGGGCCTCAGGCCTATGCAGGCCATTCTGGCCAGTCAGGAGGTCATTTTCTTGTTCATCTCCAGGCATTGTTGACCTTGACGATCAAGTTGAATGTATCGGGATGCTCTTGAGGCCAGCATATGGGGTTGCACGTGATGCTTATCGATAAGAGCTCTTTGTTGCCGCTCCACGCGACGATTTCCAACGGCTCGTCAAGGGAGGCCAATTACGCACCATGATATCATCGAGCAGGGTTTCTAGAGTAGTGAAATATAGTTCAGCAGCATCAAAGGAGTTAGATTGATAGCTAGGGATATTTCGAAGAACACTTTGTGGCAATGATGGACAGGGCAACTGAAATATCAGTGCTAAATAATCTGGTGCCAAGCCCTTGGTGAACTCATAGTTCCATAAGTTCAAACTTGTAAATGGTGGCTCAAGTGGGCCTGAATGAAGATGGTTTCCAATGAAAAGCGATCGATCTAATCTATATCTATAGATAGGCAGTTTACGTCTTTCAAATGCCTGAAAGTATGATTTCCCCCCGTGGCTGAAATCTTCTAAAAATGGACCACTCTACGGAGTACATATCGATACATACCCATGTACGATTTAAAGCCGGGTTAACTAGGCTAGCAAACCTAAGACTAATCGTGGGCACATCTTCCCTATCGCTCCTATACAATGAAAAAAGGTGAACAACTTTGTGGCCCTCAGTTTTTCTCAGACCAGCCTGTTGCTCTATCAACGGAGGACGATATAATGGCTCTCGGTTGGTCAAACTGTATTGAGGAATACTCTGGTAGTGGCGATCACCATGACTTATCCCAACTTTGTGAGGCATGACACATGAAAGTTTAGAAGAGGGACAGTCGTGCCCGACATCGCCTTCCATGTCAGAAACACAAACATGCTTTTTTAATCACATGATCCCATCAATCTAGATATGGCATGGCTACTTCCGTACCTTAGATTATGTTTCGGCTTTGAACGATAAAATACAAACGCACAAGACCTGTAATGTTATGGATTAATACCGATCCAAAAATACGTATGCCCGCTATGCGTTGTCCCATCTCAAACATCCTAACTCGGCAAAGAGTCAATCAACCCTTAAACCGTTGCAAAATGGCGCGAAACCTGAATCTCGAAGATTAACATTGTTGCACACATGATAAGCAGCAAGAAAAGCCTGACTACATCACAATTGGCCAAACTAACAAAGAGTAGCGAGCGTTCTATTTACATACGCAAGAATATGCGGTTGTTCGGCTATCCCAATTTTCCGGCAAGGGCAAGGAGTATTACATACAAGATCAAGTCATGATGTCTTCACAAAATCAATCAAAGCAGAAATATCATCACCGCCATGACCAGCCACCACTGCCTTCTCCATCAATTGCTTCATCGGACGAATGAAATCAGCCGAGACTTGCTGGGCCGCACTGGTATCAATAATATTCTGGATAGCAACTAATTGCATAGCGATATTTGATCCCTCACTGGCATACTTTCCTTCGTCAATCTGCTTTGCCATCCCTTTAGTGTACTCGGTCATTGCTCCCAGCCAAGGAACCAAGAGGTCCGTGAACTTAACGGCGGGTGTGCTCGACCTCACGAGCGCAGTTGCATGCAGGAAGCCCGAGAAGAGACCATACATACCGCTGAGTAGAGCCACGTCATGTAGGGATGCAGCACCAGTATCCTCACTAAGGAAGATACACTTAGCTAGCACCAACAGATCGGGTTCGTGGGCCTTGAATGCTTCTTGTGACCCGCTGTACAGAATCAGAGCATAAGGTGAACCAATCATAGAAGGAGTAGCCATAATTCCGCCGTGGACGTATCGAGCACCGTGGCCAACGATCTGGTCTGACAGCTTGCGAGCTTGGTCAGGTGTTCCATTTGTGAGGTTGACAATCGTCTTTCCTTGGAGTTGGCCAAGAGCGCCGGCGAGGGTTGTTTGGACAGCAGCGTTGTCGAGGAGGCAGATAATGATCAGATCGCTTGCATTGATGCCATCCACCGCTGTTTGGGCAAGATTTGCGCCCTTGTCGAGCCAAGGGCCTGCTTTTTCTGGAGATCGGTTCCATACAGCGACTTTGTATTTCTCTTCGAGAAATCGAGCGGCCAGGGCTGATCCCATAGCCCCAAGACCAAGAATGCTAACAGATGACATTCTAATGCGACTTCCAGTGGGAAGGCTGACCTAGCTGTTGATTGATACATGCACTCAGGGAATCCCGACTTGATTTATATATGAGGTCCGTTCTATATCGACCCATGTTGGTATCTGTATGCTTAGCAGCCAAGACTTGCTTGGAAATCAGCGTGGATATATCTCGTATTTTACAAATCAACAGGGGAATGCCAAGTGCATTGACTCATGTCTTCGTATTCACAATACAAGGCATTTTAGCGACACAGGTTAGAAGTACAGGCAACGCACTCTACAGCCGAGCCGGTCAACCCTCTCTAAGCCCATTGGGTGTGCCAACGGCATCATGTGCCCTGGTGCCTCAGGCCGCCAAAAGAACATGAGCAACGCCCCTCGACTATTTCGCATCTCGTCTGCGACACTTTCAATCTGGTCATTGAATTTTTTCGTGTCCTCAATTGAAGGAGTATTTGCTCACCGTCTGAGGTGGCTGGATCAGATATGAGCCTCTCATCAACATGACCCAGCCAATTGACTTAGGGCACGGCCTGTTCCAAACTACAGGTTCGCCTCTACAGCTCCAATTCAGCGCAACGGCAAATTTCACTCAAGCATCAACTGGATTAAGTCCAAGCTCGAGAAGCAGTTTCAGCCATTGGAAAGATCTGCAGTCATTGTGGATTACAGAGGCTCCAGAACTTGAGCTGCGCATCTTTGTCAGAGCCGACCCTCTGATTGAGACCGCTGGGCCCACATTCATAGACTTTCTGGAGAAAGGACTCTGCAATTCAGAGGTATGCTCTGTATAGTGGCTTTATTGTCCTCCACCATCTACTCATAGTGATCACAGGTTTGGACCAATCTGGGATTCGACATCATCCTCAAAAGGCGCTCCAAGTTTGGAGATTCCATAGCTTCGGGAATCCACTGCCTCGAGTTTGGTCTTTGTCGAAGAAGCACATCCCATGTCTCTACCAACAGCAAGAGCATTCCTCCGATCTTGAAAAATCCCCCGGAAGCTCACACCCCTTCTAATATCCCAACGGCGTGCCTGGCATCCATTGACCTGCAACTGCGATATGCAAACTGCGACGCTGTGCAGCAATTGGAGACACAGATCATAGAGACATCGGAGCACACAACTGAAGATGGGATTGGACGTCAAAACGGATCTTCCTCGATGCAATATACCCACTCAACTGGAAAAATTGCCGTCGCGGCTTTTGCTCTGTCTACCATTGAGGACCTGCTCCTCCCCTTTGACCAGCCTTTCAATGCGGATGAGAGCCACAATTTTGATCCCATGAGACAAACATTAAAAGTCGAAGACCTTTTCCTACAGTTTTTGGATCTGGTCAATTTTGGCTTACAGAAATTGATTCTGTCGGGTACAAGTAGAAATCCCCACACCCAGGTGGTTGGCAAGAACAAACTTCAGAATCTGGCCTTGCTTGCGCCTGCAGTCTTCAATCCAGAATACCGTGAGGTGAGTGCCAGTGTGTGAAATAGAGAGACGCGACGCTAACCTGTGTGTTCAGGCGATGAAACAGAGGGCTGCATCGCTCTCGACGATCAGCAGGTCACTCGTACCGATGCTCGAAAACAGCAACAGTCCTATCATACAGAGCAAGCTGTCTGCGATAATGCGGAAGTCAACTGGTGGAAAAGAGTTCGTACCATCTGGGATGCCACATGAGACACCACTGAAAAACAACTTCAAGTCTACAATAGAGTCATCACTGTGGAGTATTGCCCAGCATCAACTTAAAAAAGCCAAGACTTCCAAAACATCTGCATCGTTCTTTGATTCAAGCTGCCTGTCAAGAAAGCCATCCATTCAGACAGAAGAAGACGATCTTCTACCAGCACCCTCGGAGCAAGACTTTGGATTTGACAGCGAGATCCTGGGACTGGACAGCGATCCCGGGATACCTCCAAACCGGAACAATCAACGGGGGTCAGACAAGCTGCTCTCCGATGGCAGCAGCATGCTTAGTTTCCAGGACTTACACGAATTAAACCAGACGACTGATACAACTCAAACGACTCAGAAAACCTTTGAAAATTTTTCCCAGACGCGCGAATGCCAGCCTTATGGCTGGGATGACATGGATATTATTCTTTCAGATGAGATTTTGATGGATGAGAGCTTTGAACAGCATGGAGATTTTGACGACATGGAACTAGTTTAGAGACGGCTCAGCCTAATTGTCCGCGAAGAGGATGTTATACTGTGCATATACTACTTTCTAATCAACAGGAATACGCGTTACTTCATTGCACCACTAAAAGGGATTCTAGATAACTATTTCAAAAGTTCTTAAGTATTTTAACTACGCACCCACAGGAAGAAACATGAATTTTAATAACGAATTCAATTTTCATGGTATGCCCTACATGCAAATCCAGAGCGACAAGAACAACAAAATGGGTCGAATCTAGAAGGGATCAACAGAGAAACATGGACAGTGGGTATCAGTCGCAGGGTATCAACATGAAAGCAACAACAGTGTATCATCGGAGGACTACAATGCAAGCAGCCTGCAATGTGAACAGTGCGTCCGATGACAAGCATGCCGACTCCCCGGCGTTACATGAGCATGGCAATTTAAGCCTTGTTCTCATCGTGAGACAGCGCATGGCTCTCGCTGGGAGAGTTTCCGGTCAAAGCATCTGTGGCAATCACCCATGAGGCAACATTCAGGTTCTCTGCGGTCTTGCGGACCGAGGGGCTGGGCTCGTAGGCCTTAATGAATACCTCATCTAGGGCACGGGCTTTGCCACCAGCGAAGTGGCGGTACTCGGTCACGATGTCTTCGTGTTCCCAGCCCTGCAGGGTTCGGAAACATCCGATCATCGAGCCGGTTCGGTGCTGGTGAAAGATATTAGATACGAATCTGATGATAATCTGATTATACAGATGATGTGAGTTGGAAGCTTACCTTGCCCTGATTGCAGTGCACAACGATTGGATGGTTCTTTGGCTCCATGAGAATTTCCATGACTGTGTCTACAGTCTGGTGGGCCGACTTAACAGAGCCTTCCTTATTGGGCACAATTGGCACACAGAGACTGCGGACACCATTTTCAGCAAGGTAAACCTTGACTGCCGAAGCGTAGCCCTCCTCAACAAAGCGGCTGAGAGTGTTGTGAGCAAAAAGGCTCATAGAAACTGGCCCAGGAAACTTACAGGATAGTCTTGATGCCAATGGCCTTCCAAACATCCAGGTGCCCTGCACCTGGATAGCCAGATCGGTACACGCCGTTGACAACTTGCGCAAAGCGCTCAGGCACGTTCAGTTGCAGAGGGAGCCCGGCTCCCAGGTCAACATCTGCATGCTCTAATGCACAGTCCGTCACCAAGTCAGCGTACATGAGGGAGGCTTTGGCCTTGCTTGGAAGGTCGATGTCACTTACCCGACTGACAGCCCCCCACAACTGGAGGGACTGCTGGCGAGGTCTCGTGTCCCATCTCCGCGAGATATTGAGCCTGAATAGCCCTCAACACGGGTGGGATAACTCGATAGATGATGCAGTGTGATATGATGAGTAGTAATGGATGAAGCTGCAAGTGGTGGAGATGAAAGAGGAGGAAGATGGAGGTGGAGGAGATGAAAGAGAAAGAGGAGGAGGAAGAAGAGAAGGAAGGGAAGAAAGGAAGGAAGGGAGATATAGGCTTGAAGATGTAAACATACGGCACATGAAGAAATCCGAGTCTCGAGTCTCGAGTGTCGAGTACGTGACCGTGTCGTGTCATGAGATTTTGATGGATGAAGATTTTGAACAGTATGGAGATTTTGAAAATATGGAACTATTTTATAGAGTACTCAGCCTGATTACCTACGAAGGAGATGGTATAACTGTGCATAGAGTTCTTACTAAAATGATATATCACTACAAACAGTCTATCAATTCAAAGTGATCTACTCTGTTTCGAAATTAAGAGCTAGTAGACTCGCTAATCATTCATGGAGAGCTATCAAACATGACTGTCGGTCTAAAGGTACAAAATTTTGGTCAAAAATGCAACCAACTCCAATCAGAACCATAGGGTAAATGCACGCTCGAAAATACCAACAGATAGCATCAAAATGCCATAGAAACAGGCCCTTTAAGTGAACAGAACGCCCGTGTAATAAACACCCGGCCTTCACACAGTTTCCCTGAGCAGAGGCTTGGGCTCGTTTCGGGGCAGCTTGGGGCGCTCATCGGAAACTTTGCTCTTGGTCAATTGGTCAGGAACCGCGAACCATAAGGCAATATTTAAGCGCTTGGCCCTTCTCACTTATGCTACGCGAGGGACTGTATGCGGCGATAAAGGCCTCATCGAGGGGTCGGACCTTCTCCCCTGCAAAGCTTCGGTACTCATTGAGAACGGCATCGCGGCCCAGCCCTGGAGCTTGCGGAAGCACGCAATCATGCAACCGGTACGGTGCTAGTGAGAGATATCAGATATGAATTTGACAGCAAAGATGATAAAACCCGGAGACTTACTTTGCCCTGGTTACAATGAACGATGATAGGATGACTCATCTTGTCCATAAGAGCATCCATAATGGTGCTAACCGTCTCATCAGGAGTCTTAACAGTCCCTTCTTTGTTGGGTACCACCGGGATACAGACGCAACGGATGTTATTCATGGCATAAAACTGCTGCACAGACTGGCAATATTCCTCTTCGACGAAGCGTCTGCGAATGTAAGCTCAAACATGGGGCAAACACCGCCAGATCCGTACGTGATCATGTCATGTCATAGACGCGCCGAAGATGAAGCAAACACACATGAAGATAGCCAAAATGATAAAAGAAAGGGAATGGAAATGAAAATAATTGATGTTTAACACTCGGTGACGAGCAGCTTCTAGCACAGCTCCATGAATGAAGCTATATCGACATGCCAACTTAGGGCTTCCTGGTTATACTTGTCCCATACCGCATGAGGTGCCTCTCCCCACTCACTCTAGCCCTCGCATCGAACTCGAGCTCTCTATTTATAAAATAAATACCCGGATAGTTGCTCATGCATACCGCGGTTATATAGGTCAGTATCGAGGATTCAGGACTGAGGAATGATGAGCTGATCAAGGAAATCAGGTAGTGATAGACTTTCAATGAGATGGCTGTTAGAATAGAGGATCAGATGATCGAGAAAAGAATCGTGATTGAAGGACACGAGCCCCGGATTCTGGTCATCAATGGGGATGTGGCTGTCGAGGCTGGAAGGCCTGGAGCAGCAGCAGTTTGAGGTGCAGTACCAGACAGGTAAATGCAACATCAAGGCTACTGAGACTCCTCACCAAGTCCAAACATTCGGATGGAATTGTTCCAAGCACTGGAAGGATGATTAGCTAATGCCCTTCATACAGACATGCCTGATATCAAAACTTACGCTTCGCACACTTCCTCCACGGTAATCTCCTTGATCGCAGCAATAACATGGGCAACGCGGGCAATGGCCACGGGCTCATTGCGTCCCTTGACCATCATACCCTTCTGCCACTTCTCCTTCTTGACCGACTTGGGTAGATCAGGAGCTCCGTTCAAGTGCTTGGCCGATGCATGCGAGGGACGGATCTCACACTGGGATGACTCTATTAGTCGGGATACTGTGGTCTTAACAAGATGATTAAGTACGTACCCAAGGACCATCAGTCTCAATTTGTAACCTTTCTAACGGAATGGCCTTCACAACTTCCAGATTCTCTTCCGTCTTCATGCTGCAGCCGTTGACGCCGATGTTCAGACCGAGCGCCACGAGCCGCTGCATCTCCTCCATCGTTCCCGTGAAACTGTGCACCAGACCACCCTTAGGAAGCCTGTCCAGCCTCGTGGCCAGCAGTCTTTCAAAGTCTTCGCTCGCGGCTCGGGAGTGGAGGAACAATGGTAGCCCGACTTCAATGGCGAGGTCTAATTGAGCCTCAAAGTACTTCAGTTGCGGCTCCTTCTTGCTGAGGAACAACCGGTCATAGTCGAGGCCAATTTCACCAAAGGCGACAGCCAGACCTGCCTCTTTGGACTCGAGGGCTAACTTTCGCAGTTCCTCGATCATCTTCGATGGGCCGCCGGGGTGCTCGTCGAAGAGCTTTGCCTGGCATGGATGCACACCGACAGTCGCATAGCAGAAGCCAGCTATGAATATGTGGGTTAGCCACCGAGAATATTCTGAAACATGTCATCAAAACACTACTTACGGTAGTCTCGGGCTAATTGCACGGCTGCTTCAGATTCAACTAGATCTGAGCCGGTCACCATGAACTTAGCACAGCCGACATCCTTTGCACGCTGGATAACATCGTCCAAGTCATCGTCGTGGGCTTTCTTCCCATGATAATGACCACGGAACATCGGATCACTCAGGTTGATGCCGATCTAATTGAAAACATTGGTTAGGCTTTTGCGGCTCAACGGGTATGTGTGCCAAGATTAAGACTTTGGGGCAAAGGATATCAACCCACATCGACATATCGGAGAGGTTTACTTGACTCTTCCATTTTTGCTGTGAGTTGTTGTGCGGATGTGGAAAAGGAAGAATATTGTGGGCTAATTTTGGCAAAGTTTGAATATTGATGTAAATGAGAAATGAGATTGTTCACTCGAGCGAATTCTGCACGATGATCAGTCTTTTATGCCTTCAAGTTCGACAACGAGGCTCTCTGCGTTACAACAAAGAGGACGCCGACTCCATGACTCAGAGGCTCTGCTTACCGGGGCTGACTCTTTGCGAAATGCACAGATAGCTGAACGAGGATTTATTGATCCCCTGGAATTTAATCGCCGAGATACCGCGACTGCCGAAAGGATTCAGAGCCCTGGCGCCAGCGGACACGATGTGCATGAGCAAACGTCAACGCTGATGTAAAAATTGTGTCGATAATCGAATACGCGCTATCAAAGCTAAGCGCTGTCTATCGTAACGACTAATTTGTGTTGACTCACGAATCTGAGGTCACCAGCCACAAGTAGGGCTTAGCTCCCGTTTGGTGGCGCAGCACCGGGTGGGTGGAGTTTACATAAGCGCGGCAGTCAGGGCAGGAACCCCGCGGAGAGAAATCCGGATTGGTGTCGGGGGTCTGCCGATGCTGATCGCTGCAGGGTCTCAAGAGACAAGAATACGTCCCAAACCGTGGCAGGTTTGTGGTTGAAGGAAAGCCTGCGGGGAAAGTGGATGCCGATTCTTGAGGCCAAGGGCAAGACAGTTCAACAAGAAATCGCGAGTGGACGCATCGGGAGACATTGTCCCGAGATGTATATCGACCGACGACATTGCTACTGAATGATTAAAAAACAAAAGCTAATAAGAAAACATCAAGAATACAAGAATAGCCTTTTATAAGCTCATTTTACCATTTTGTCTATGCAAACTACACAAAAAACCTCACTTGAGCGAATATCTGGGATTTTCCAGGCGCATCAAAGTCCGGGGTAAGTCCGGGGACATTGCCGTGGTGGAGACTCCCAGGATGCTACACGGAGAATCACCGCGATAAGAGCAGTGGTTTTTGCCTAGAGATGGCCAGAGGCCCTTGCTGAGTATTTAGCCTTCTCTGTCTGGCTGCTTTTTTCCTTTTGCGACTTTCGACTTTACCCGTGTCCACAGCCAGTGTTGCCGTCGCATACTCTTTCGCAGTATCATTCGTCTCGGCGATCAGCTTGCGACTCCATTAGGGCCATTGAATCAGTGATCGATATCATTTTGGGCAGACGGTTCATAAATACCTCGCCAGGATGGTAGATCAGAAACTTTTATCTACACAGCAGGTCTCCGAGCACAGGACACCCGAGGACTGTTGGATTGTGGTTGACAACCAAGTGTGGGATGTTAGCGACTTCCTTGACGAGCATCCAGGCGGATCAACCAGTACGAATCAATACTCATTGCTCAATTGACTGAACCAGACTAATGACTTGTCCCACAGTTATCCTAAAGTACGCAGGCCGAGACGCAACACAGGCCTACTCCGAAGTCCACGCCCCCAGCGTCCTCAAGACAAACCTGCAATCCGACAAGTTCAAAGGCGTGCTCGACAAGTCCTCCATTGACGACGCATGGCTCAAGCCACCACCAGGCGAGAACCGGAAACTTCTCCAGGACAATGAAAGGCCACCCCTCGAAACCCTGATTAACTCCCATGACTTCGAGGTGGTCGCATCCAAGACAGCCAGCAACAAGACGTGGGCATTCTATTCCAGCGCAGCGACAGACTTGATCACCCGTGATGCGAACAAATCTTGCTTTGATCGGATATGGTTCCGGCCACGCGTGTTGAGAAATGTGCGGTCTGTGGATACGAGGACGAAGATTCTCGGGGGTGACTTTAAATTACCATTGTTTGTGAGTCCGGCGGCGATGGCTAAATTGATTCATCCTGAGGGCGAGTGTGCGATTGCACGGGCATGCGAAAGTAAAGGGATTATGCAGGGCGTGAGTCTAACTAAAATACTGGCTTTCTCAAGATTACATTAATGCTAATCATTCTCCAGATCTCCAATAACTCCTCCTACACTATGGACGAACTACGCACCGCAGCACCATCAGCCAGCTTCTTCTTCCAACTATACGTCAACCGCGACCGCGAAAAGTCCGCCACCTTACTCCGCCAATGCTCCGAGAACCCCAACATCAAAGCCATCTTCGTGACCGTGGACGCCGCTTGGCCCGGAAAACGCGAAGCCGATGAGCGAGTCAAAGCCGACGAGAGCTTATCAGTGCCCATGTCGCCATCCAAGGCGCAAAATGATAAGAAAGGTGGTGGGTTGGGCCGTGTCATGGCTGGATTCATCGATCCTGGCCTGACGTGGGAAGATCTGCGATGGGTCCGACAGCACACGCATAAGCCGGTGTGTTTGAAGGGAGTGATGTCCGCGGATGACGCGCTGTTAGCGCTGAAGGCTGGTATGGATGGGATTTTGTTGAGCAATCATGGAGGCCGGAATCTGGATACTAGTCCGCCGTCGATCATTACGTTGCTTGAGATTCAGAAGCGGTGTCCGGAGGTCTTTGAGAAGATGGAGGTATACGTGGATAGTGGTATTCGACGTGGAACGGATATTCTCAAAGCTGTCTGTCTGGGCGCGACTGCCGTGGGTATGGGTCGGAGTATGTTGTTCGCAACGAACTATGGACAGGAGGGCGTGGAGCATTTAGTTGATAGTGAGTAATAACCCTGCCTTGTTTATCCAGTTGGAGTCGGAGGTTTTTCGTGGGACATTGGGTTGTGAGACTAACACTTTGTTCTCCACAGTTATGCAAGATGAGTTGGAGACGGCCATGCGTAACGTCGGGATCACCTCGTTGGACGAGGCCAGTCCCGACCTGGTACACACGGGCGATGTTGACCATTTGGTCCCGACATCCCGAGCACACCCCTACGCCCGGGCCATTGCCAAAGGCCGACGGGATTCGAAGATTTAGATAGGACACACACTGGCAATACATTGCGATTCACGGATAAGAAGGAATTGTGTGATAGGTTCATGGCTATCTGGCCCGGTGTGATCAGGAATATACCTAGATCTACTACTACACTCAGAAGTATACCATAGAAGGCGATGAATATTGCACTACCGTTGGTACTTTGTTGTTAATACTCGATCGTATGATCCAAATAAACATGGTTGTCGTGTCGTCCCACCATCCAAGCATCATACCCATCCATTTTCCCATCTATTCTCCCGGTCGCATAATGCTGTATCTTAGAATTAGTGCCAAGGATGTGTACTGTACCACAACAGGGGCAAAGAATTCCACCTCTGCACCCCCGGAATCCCACCAAACGGATTGTGACACCTGCCCAGTCCTGACCCTTACAGGTCTCTACTTCTGTACCCCTGGACATAACAGACAAGAGCAGGAGCACATAATGTAGAAAGGGCTGCGCCACAGCCCGTGAGGGGTCTGGTGATCAGCGGCTTGAGTTGGTGAGGTGGGGATTACAAGAGAGTCGATGGGTCAAGACAAAGGGGTTCCGGGGCTTCCGCCAACGGTGTGGGCTTGGTGATGCCCGTGGAAAGAGTAGCTTAGTTAAGATAGGGTAATGGCAAGTACTTGGGGGAGTATAGGGTACTTAGGACGGGTAAAATGTGCCTGTAGACGGGTGTGCTCCGCAGATTATTTGCATGCAGAAACTCACCGATTCCGACTGGGATCCATGTTGTTGAGCAGCAATCTGATACGATACGGTCAACGAGTCACAATTTGATTTGAGGAGGGGGTGATAGGTTGAAATTATGTATTTCATTCAACTCCGTACATTATCGTAGAGCATAGATCATGTACCTCATTCTACATTATTGCAGAGCATAGATCAGACTACCTAACCCCATTCTTATTATTACTAGAATATTGACTGATGATAATTCCAGGCTGAGACTTGGACTCACCGCCAGGAGGTCATGGGACTTCCCTTGTATATTGTACTACTGTAAATTATCATTTGTGGTTCAAACCGTTGAGTCGATCCTATCTTTGTTTAGCCCGGATCTGATTTGTCCATTTTAATCTTCTCTTCTCGTCCTCGAATGAGATTTCTGCACAAGGAGGATATTACGTCAATTTCGTCCATTGTGAATGGTCAATGGCTCTGCTGACGCGGTAGACCTGCAGATGTACAGTAGACGGTGAGGACCTGCGGGGAAAAGAGTCTCGTTGGTCTAGGTACCGCCAGTTGTACATGTCCTAGATGATGGTCGGGAATCGTGGCTTATCCCCGGAATCTGGGAATCGTAATCCAAGAATCGCAATAATCCAAGCCTGAGAGGACAACTACGAGAAGGAAAACCATGACGATCGGGATTGACCCCGTAGTGCACATCGTGGGCGGGTCGGGGCCTGATAATTGGGGCGGGGAGGAGGATCAGCACTCCGAATTGAGGGGCTGGACTGGGCTGGATGTTCCTAGGGAAAGAAAAGAAGCGAAAACAGAACCTTTCCCGTTGAAGAGACGAGACTCTAGGCTGCACGGTAGAGGAAGGACCGGGAAATATTTAGGTCATTTGGGTGTGTACTGGTGGGTACGGGGTAGAGTTGGTCCTGAATGTACAACAGTACTTCAGTTACTAAGGGAACTACAGGATAAATGGATGTTCTCCGTACATCCCCGTCCAGGCGGGTCGAGGGGGTCACGGGGACAGATCTTCGTCCCGCCGTGTCGAAGGGGAGATGCTGGACCTTTGGAGTACTTTTGAGCACTGGCAACTCTCTGTAGTCTGTACCTTGACTTTCGTAATGAGTATCCGTACGCCATGGTCGAATCACTATGAGATGAAACCCTACCCCTCCTTTGATAAATCTTCAGAGACTTCAAAACCTACCAGTTTCTATCAGTACTACCCCTGGCAAGTAGAGGACGTCAACACTCAAGTCTATTGGAACGTGGATCCCACTATCGATAACCGGGGAACCCGCCAAGAGTGTGGATCACCTGGGAATCTCATAGTCCCATAGCTCTCCCCAACGATTTTCCAGCTCGGTCGACTCCGCACCTTAACTAGAGTACGGAGTTACTGGCAGTACTACAAAGTACTCACTCTACCGTGTACAAGTATAAAGCCCATCCTGTTGACTCACTGCCCCTTCCGGTCATTTTTATTCCTTCCCTTTCCGCCTTCTTCCTATCTTCAACCTTTTCATCCTATACATACTACTACTCCTCCCTACACTACTCTACTTCCCATCTCACCTCCTACATTCCTCTCCTATATACACCTCTACCACGCCAGCCTATACTCCCCGGATACAAATCCCTACCATCCTCACCTACTCAACCATCACATACTACACACATCATGGCCGCTCCTCGCTCAACTTCCCTGCGTGCCTTGCGCCAGCTTGCCCAGCAACCTACTGCGGCACCCATCGCCCGTCGCGGCCTTCACATCACTGGCGTCCAGTCCGCACAACCCGCCAATCCCGCCGACAAGGCCTCCTTGTATGCCGCTCGTACCCTGCCAGACCTTAAGCAGGAGTGCCAACGTCGCTCGCTCCGTGCTGCTGGCAGCAAGTCCGAGGTATGTTCTCATTACCGCAACGCTACCCTTCTATACATCATAGAGCATAACCAGCTAACCCTCACCAACTTGTAGCTGATTGAGCGCCTCTCCAACCACGATGTCCTCCAGAGCCGGGCCTTTAGCATTGCCATGCGCCGTATCAACAGCAATGCCTTTTCTGAGTATGTCTCCCGCCCCAAAAACACCTGTAATTGGAGAAATCCCGAATCCCCTCACCACCTTCAACTCGCCTCCCCACACCGTCATAATGAGCACTCCTTTACTAACCCTCCTTCCTACAGCCAACCGACCCGCTCCTTCAACACCTCCCGCTCCCAAAAAGCCGTCGGCGACTCCTCCACCGTCGACTTCATCTATATGCCCGCCATGGCCAACTTCGAGACCCCCAGTTCCCGACCCGCCTTCCCTAAAGTCCCGGTCCTTCCCGACCTATACTCCCACCACGACACCGCGTCCCCATCCGCCCCACCCATGAAGCCTCAGATCTACACCGTCTCCGGCGGTGACATCAGCGCTGCTTCTGCCATGAGCGAGGTTGTGGATAACCATGCTGTTGAGATTGATCCGTTCTCGCTGACGGAGGCTGTGGGGCGGAGTCGTATTGGCGAGGAGTTGGCCCGGTCCAATGGGTCCGGTAAGGAGCCTGGTGTTGTGAGGGAGTTGTGGGCGGGTTTCTTGGATGATGTGCTTGGTCCGAAGGATACTGTTGCCCGGAAGTAGGCAGTGTCTGACGGGATGAGTCTGACGAATTCTTTTGGTGCGATTGCTGGGATGGCTTGTCCGAGTCGTGTCTGACTGACTTTTTCTCGTTTCTTTCTTTGTGATTTGGGATATATTATTGTTTCGTTCTCTGGATGGAACGCTAGCGTGTGATGTAATATCTTTTACTTTTCTTTTTCTTTGATTTTATATCTATATTTCCAGAATGAAGTACCATTCTACAGGCCTACAGGGCCACGATTATGATTCGCTTCCTCTCCTCACTTCTAGAGTTAATGTATTACTTTGTATACTGTACTCTAAACTATCCCCGTGAAGATAATCCCTAAGCACAGTTTACCATCAAATACAATTCAATCCATTAGAATCCAATCAGATCCAATCAAATATGATACAATTCTCGCTCCTCTTCAAAAGTCACAAATTCAGTATGTACCACCATCGTCATCGTCATCGTCATCGACCCCCGAACCCCGTCCAATTTACCGAGGTCCATCAAACCCACGATCCCTACCTGCCTGATCGACAACCTCACACCACCACCACCACCACCAGTCTATCACAATCACCCGATCATCAACACAACCCGGGCTCAATTCCGATCCCGACGGATATACACCATTCCTCCTACTTTCGTCTCCGTCCGTAGTCCCGTACAATCACCCTCCGGACCCCAATGCCCCGATCTAAAGGTCATGCGACTCATAAAAATTTATCTTTTATAAATTAGTCCCCGCAGTGTCCGGTTCGTCACGGAGAATTTCGGCGCGGGTTTAAGCTACACACAGCAGTAACTGACAGATTGGGTATTCCGATTGCCTGACTCATGTGCCGGGATTGTGGGATGGCGCGGTTACTGTTTCTTTTTGTTGGGATGAGATGTTTGCCGACGACCCGGTTGTTTGTGAGTAGTATTGTTGTCGGGCCATTTGTTAAGGCGGGTATGGAGTATGGAGTATGGTTATTTGATGTCGGAGATGGAGATGGATTTATCCATGATGTCCCGAGGTAAGGTTTAGATGGAATGAGGTCCGCTCGGGGTAGCCGGGGTTCGGGATTGAATTGTTCAATGAGACTGAGGCAGTATTCCGTTAAAGGTGAGAAAATTCATGGTCTATAAGAAGCAGTATTTCTCGTTGAAAGTTGGGTGTCGATTCAATTGAGTTATGGATTTAAAGTTGATGCCCGGGTAAAGAGAACCTTGGCTCACTCGTAGGATCCGGAGATTACTACAAGTTCTAGCAGCCAGATACCTAACAAATACGAAAATATGTTTTCTTTGTGAGAATATTTCATGATGATCTGTAAAGAATGCTCTATCCTGATCGAATTTGTGTTCTTGCTGATTGATGAGCACCACGACTTTTGGGTGATGTGGGCTAGTCCTTCCGGTCTCTCCCGAACACATTCCAGATCACGGTTATCAGATCCTTCATCGAGACTGAAAGAACAACCTTAGTCTTTCTGGAATCTCTCACACTGAAATTCTAGCATCTCTTTTTATGATCATGGACCTTTGGAATTTTCCTAGAATGGCGGAGAATCAACTAATTGAGTCAGTGGAAGTCAATTGACAATTCGGAGAAGCACTTTTATGGGACTTGATCTCATTTGACTTGATATGAACCTGGCCACCGGTCGGACAAGGACCTTACCTAATGTTTAAGCTAGATCTCTAACAAGTAGGAGCATAGATGTGATTAGAGGTGTTCCTATGATTGAAGGACTTCATATTGGCTAGCTCAGAAAAGTAGAAAGCTCGATGGTCTCGGGATTAGACCGAATCATGAGATACAGTCAGCTTAGAAGATCAGAGTACGGCAGGATCAAAATCAGGGAAGAAAGAAAAGGGCGGTGAACAGGCTGATTCATTCCTTTATTTCATAACTGTTATATGTCGATTGGCTCTAGATGATGTGGAGCAGAATACCAAGGGCCTTCGCATTACTCCGTCTCTAATGCTATGCAGTTCAGTAGCGAGGATGAACTGGTAGCTCAGACAGGAATAAGATCAAATGATGGCTTTCATGCATATGATTCGAAATTGGGCAGCCCTCGAATTGTTTACTTGATTCTCCGTGGAATCAGGCATTTCATGACCGCAACTGGGTTCCATACTGTGCATGTTATTGCACTGCAGCTGGAGGGTTGCGCGGCCAATGCAAGTATCCGCCGGTTGCCCGGTCAAGGAGTTGGATACATCGCGGTTAGCGACCGATCTGTAGGGAGGGGGGGCAACTATTTATACTTATCGGTAGGATGTTCCACTAGATATTGAAGATGTGATCGAGACCGGGGGTGGAGAGAGCAGTCAGTAGTGTAGAGATGAAAAGTCTAGACCTGTCGATATGCCTTGGGGCCATGAATTTGAAGGTTGAATGGACCAGTGAGAAGCCAAGGCAGAAGTTCCCCTGAGAACTGCTCGACTGCGAACTCATTTTTGCAAGTGCCAATTGGTGCTCCGTGCACGGCTGAGAGACATTGAGACAACTTTGGGACCAACTGCAGGGTCACACAGTAAGAAAGTAGGGTAAATTTCTATATTCAATCCGCCTGTCGAACAGCTAGCAATCACGATGATTTGTACTCCGTATACACCTCTAATCTCTATATTTAGTGAATGCATCTGCAAAGACAAGACCTCATGCAGCTCTCCACTCTCCACTTCCTTGATTATTTTCTCCTCATTGAAAGTCTCCAGGTTTGGGCCAACCACTTATCGCTGCACAACTTGTCAACGCTCAGACTAGCGCTCCGCTAGCCTCGACCAACGAGCCGATCACAACTGGGAACAGCGTTGGAGTGGGTCTTAAACTCCCCCAAGCAAGGCCTAACAGTTCACCCTAAACCCGACCGAGGTCTAGTGGCTTTGTCAGGGGAGGATTTTCCTCAAACAGCTGCTCAAGCAGTTGGCTGCAGTGGTTCTTGCAGGTGGCCAGTGGACCCCTAAGAGCAAAATCCGCCACTTTGGTCCCCCTCACGTCCATCCCACAGCAACCGCAACCTCCTTCTCGCCTTCTTTCCAACCTCCTGTCTATACGGTCTTTTTTGTTTCGTTGTCTTGCTAATTATCTTTTCTTGTCATTCTTTTGTTTCAATTCGTTTGCTTCATTTGCATGGTGCATCTTTTGCTTGTGCACTCTTCCAATCAACTCTGTCGCTTTTTGTACATTACCATTTTCCTCGGCCCCCTGACTCGATTCACGCGTCACCACTTCCACACTCACGCTCTTCGACTCTCTTCAACGGCCACATTCATCAGAATCAACGCCTATCTCAGAAAAGGATCGCATCACAGCATATAATTCGATACAAGTCCACCGTTGGAATTTCGATGCTGGCCCCATTCCACCGTTAATCGATCCGATCTTGGATCATGCGCTTCTCATCATGTCTGCTCATTGTGGGCCTGTCCACCAGTGTCCACGCCTTTTATCCCTATGAGATTAAGGTGCAAGCTTCTGCTAGCATCTCATCCCGGGATAATGATAATGTCTTTCGTCGATTCTTTCCCTGGAAGCTCGTATCGGACAGCTCGGACGACGCGGATGCCAAGCCATTGACTCTCGACATTAAGAAGGTTCCCGTTCGCCGTGCTGATACCTATAAAATCGTCAAGTCCAACACTCCGACACTAGCAAACAGTGCTGCCCTGGACCAGGATGGCGAGGACTTTTCCTATTTCTCCGTGGTGCAGGTAGGCTCGCAGAAGAAGGAAATGTGGCTCGCTCTCGATACTGGATCACCCAGTAGCTGGGTATTCAGCTCCGCCTGTACCGACCCGGTCTGCACGACTCACCACACATTTGACAAGTCCTCCTCTAGCTCCTACGTTTCGAATTCCTCAACCTTCAGTGTTGGTTACGGTAGCGGAAACGTCAAGGGCGACTTGGGACAGGATGTTTTCAACCTTGCCGGCATGGATGTGACCTTTTCATTCGGAACGGCTACCTTTGCCAACGATACGTTTTCCAACTACCCGCTCGATGGTATCCTTGGTTTAGGTCGATCACAAACTGGCGGCTGGACTATTCCATCGTTCATGGATGTCGTTGCTAAAAACAAGTACATCACCTCGAATATCGTCGGATTCAGCCTCTCCCGTGCTATCGATAACAAGAAGGATGGAGAAGTCAACTTTGGAACGGTCGATACAACCAAATTCGATGGGAAAATCTCCTACACTGCCACTAACTCGGAGGCCTGGACCATTCCCATGGATGAGGTCTACGTGAATGGGCAAGCTCTCGGCTTGACCAACAGGGCTGCCACCATCGACACGGGCACCACTTACATCCTCATCCCCCCGGCCGATGCTAAGACCCTCTTCGCTCGTATCCCGGGATCCTTCCAGTCGGAGGAAAACTACATCATCCCCTGCAACTCGACCGCAACATTGGAGCTTTCCTTTTCGGGCATCAAGTACACTATCTTGCCGGATGACTACATCGGTGCATCCAGCACTGGTGGCTGTGTGTCCACCATTGTCGGCCATCAGTCATCGGGTCCCAATGACTGGCTTGTCGGAGATGTATTCTTGAAGAATGTGTACTCGGTCTTTGACTTTGACAACGGTCAAATCGGGTTTGGAACTCTGTCCTCGTCCAACTCGACTGGAAATGGAACCTTTGTCGCACCACCTGTGACTGCTACTACTACTGCCGGCGCTGGTGCTGGTGCTACTGCCGCTGCCGCTGCCGCTACCACTGTCTCCAATTCTGGATCCACCACCAACTCCTCAATTACCCCGGCGACGACGACCACTGCGGATACAGTGATGCACACTGGCGCGGCATCTCGTCTGTCCCAGGGCGTGGGTCTCTCCCTGCTCACAGCCATCACTGGGCTGCTCTTCATCTAGAGGCGTGTAACACCCACATCATCGACCACCTCTTCGCCCTGAACAAATTCCTTCGCAAGCAGCTTCTCATCACTTCATCCCAACCACAACTCTGCCTGCCTACAATACACAATTCCGATCCGCTGAGCGCTACCGAATCCGCCAGCCCCTCGATCCCATTATTACTATGCATATTCATATCCACCGACTCTCGTTCTATCGGCGTTATCTTTATCTTCTGTTAATACTCTCTCCATCACTCCGGCTTCACATATGTTTTATCCCCACCGGACTGTTTCGACTACTTTCATTTTTATTCTTTTCCAAGTTCGGACGATACCCCCTTTTCGCAAATACTTTTCGTTTAATTTCTGCACCGGGGACGATTTCCATCGATTCATCGTCACACTTTCATTCTTATTGCATCTAGAGCTGCTGTCTCATTTGCGCATATGTTTTGTGGGCTCGCTTTTTTGTCGGGCTCGACTGGGCTGTACTATTAAAATACGATCTTGAAACTTCATTTGATGATGGAGTTTAGCTATCTTTGTAATCAATCTATCCATCAATGCACAATTTGAAAACTGTCAGAACTTCGTACGATGTGGGAATTGAATGGAGTTGACTCGGAACCAAGCTAGCTAGACGATCCGATCACATTCTTCTAATTGGAGAGTGTTTGTCTTGCTGTTAATCTCCTACATAGTTTTAGCTTGTCAGAATCGTGTTAAGCCTCAAGCAATCCTTTGTACTTTTACTGCGATTCAACCGTGGTTGAAGGATAATGAGTTGCGGCTTGCTGTCCCGGACGATTATTCGGGCGAAAATTCGGGCGATGAGACGAGGCTGTACTTTCCATAACCGGCCTATCATCAAGCCGACGGAGCAACAGCTTATATCGAGGGCTGTTCGTTCTTACTTAAACAGGGGTGATGGACACATTCTCTTCGCAATTTGCCTTTTGAATGCTTCTAATTTACACTTTCTCGTCTTGATAATATCCTCCGCTCTTCGCTACATCCTCAATCTCCAATTCGCGCCCACAATTCTTCCGCTTATCACAAATCTCACTTCGGCTCGCCGACAGCTTCCCCAAACCCTCCACCACAAAAAAAGTCACATCATGACATCTACAATCCCACCAACAATGCGCGCCTGGATCCGCCCCCAGCGCGGCCCAGCAACAAACCTCCAACTATCCACCACTCACCCCACACCACCCCCACCACCACCCTCATCCCCAGACGTCCTAATCCGCACATCCCACGTCTCCCTAACCTTCAACACAGAAATGCTAATGAACCTAATCCCATCCACACCCCTCACACGCCCCTGGATACCCGAGATCGAATTCTCCGGCGAAGTCATCGCCGCGGGAGACAACGCGCCACCCGAAGTACGCGAGCCCGGCACACACGTAATCGGGTTCCAGAGTATCCTTGGCTATGCGACGGGTCGAGGCGTGTTGGCGGAGTATATCCGCGTACCGGGGACTCATCTTGCGCGTGTTGATCCCGGTGTTGATATGGCGGCGGTGTCGGGGATTAATGGGGCGGGGAGTTGTGCGTTGAAGATGTGTCGGAGGGCCGGGGTGAGGGAGGGTCATGTTGTGCTTGTTAATGGGGCGAGTGGATCTGTTGGATCGGTGCTTGTGCAGTTGTGTAAGGTGCGTGGGGCGAGGGTGGTTGGTGTTGCTAGTGGTGGGAATGAGGAGATGGTTCGTGGATTGGGGGTTGATGAGGTACGCTTTCACTTCGAAGCCATCGAAAGAATCACTATATAAGCGAAGCAAGGATAAAAAACTAATTGCAGTTCCTAGTTCATCGACTATCGCAAACATGACTCGCTACCGGAGTACCTAGCGAGTCAATACGGCGATAAGCCATTCGACTTTGTGCTCGACTGCGTCGGCACGCAGGCGCTCTATGTCAATTCACCGGCTTATCTCAAGGCTGAAGGTGCTGTGATTAATATTGGCTTTTTGGAGGGTATTGCAGCAACGACGCTCCATGTACTGGCTAATCAATTCTTGCCTACGTGGTTGGGTGGGGTGCCGCGTCGGTATATCACGTTTAGTACGCCGCCAACACGGGACGCTGCTATTTATTTGGCGAAATTGGTGGAGGAAGGTTCTATACGGATTCCTGTGGATTCGGTATTTGATATGGAGGATGTTGTGGCTGCTTATGAGCGTGTGGCTACGAAGCGCGCGAGAGGTAAGGTTGTGATTAAGGTGCGGAGGGACTAGATCTGAACGTGGAAGGTAGGCCGTTGCAAATGTATTCTACTTTGAGCTTCAGGATTTCCACATGAATGTTACACTGTTTCAAAAGCTGTTTACTCGACACTTCCCTCCTAGGCCCTCTCCTAAGGTCTCAATTCCAGTCTAAAACCGAGTTTGAAGCCCAATGCTATCCTACAGATAAACCAAAAGAGCCTCAGACGCCTTAACTGTGAACGTCGCCTTCGCACCCGAAACAGTAGCCGTCTCCGTAGTCGCCGTACCCTGAATAGTGCAAGTTCCATTTGCAAACGTCTGGCCCCCAACAGTCGGGTTTCCACCCTGATCAACCCGAGACGTGGCATACGGAGCCGTGAGACGCTTCGCAGTAACGCTTGACGAAGACAGGCCAGAGAGAACGTATGTTTGCGAGGAGCGCGTTCCACTGGTGTAGTAGTCAGAGTTATATAGCAGGAGCTTGACGGGTTTGCCAGATTTGTAGATCGCATAAGCTGCGTATGCTGTGGTATGGCTATCCAAAGGCGCAATTTGATCGGCACCGGCTAAGGCCATGGTTGCGAAGTAGGCGCCGTAGTAGGGGGCGCCCATGTCGTATCGACCCCACCAGCAGTATTGGCCTGTTATATCGTTTAGAGAGGAGGTTGTTTGATGGGTTTAGGGGCAGTGTACTTACAGTTTCCGATGGTGCCTTGGTGGAAGTACAGGGCCTGTAGGTAATCCATTTAGCAGATACCCTATCCCGAACTTAGAGTACTAATGAGAGAAATCTTACCTTTGTACCCATGATAACGGTCTGCATAACGTAGTCGAGAATCCACAGAGCGGCTCCAAAGGTTGGACTGATACCACCTCCACCTTGGGTTGCTAGATCGATCGTCAGCAAATATTCTGTCTTTCTCAACGAGGAAAGACTTACCAGAGTTCGTTTCCCCAAAGATATGCGGTTTACCCTCACTGGTCGCAGCGGTAATTTCAGACGAATACCCACTGATCTGAGACGCGATGCTACTGTGTCCCATAAGAGTTGCCAGGTTGGCTGTGCTAGCCGACTGGGGATAATTGTGCGAGCAATATGACTTGACATAGTTATTCGCACTACCCTCAGCGGCAGTCAATCCAGCGATGCTCATGGGCGACGTGCCAAAGTAAACACCGGCTGAAATAAGACCAGTGGCAGACAAGTTGCCACAGACCTCATCCTGCCATTTGATCTCGGAGGCATAGTCGGCCGCGGCAGTCCACGAGGCACCGCCGGCAATGGGGTCGCTGCTTGTGAAGACTGTTCAGAAGATATATTAGCATGCAGTTTCTATGGGAGAAAAAATGGCACCCACAGTTTGGCTCATTGCCTAGTTCGATGGCATACAGGTTAGCTGCGTCGCCTTTAGCAAGCTTCGCGGCAGAGATAGTGTTGGCGATGTTATTCAGACGACGGTTCAGGCCGAGAATGATTTCTCCGCCGTAAGTTGCAGCCAGTGAAATGAATGACGGCCCATAAGTGAGGGTAGTTGGGGCATCTGCAGAGCTGGCAACGGTGTAATTGACTGCCTGAGTCAACGATGGATCATATGTGGCGCGGTCCCTAAATGGTCGTCAATAAAAATGATACCTAGATATGCGATATAATTTTATTGACGAACTGAGTTGTGCCTCCAATTCGAAGAGGTGGCCATGTTCCTGTCAAGTCCTTCAGGTTCTGGAGACAAGTTGTGGTTGCCGCAACATTGTTCATATACGCTGGGAACGTAAAGAATTCCAGCCTAAGAACTTGATTAGAAAAAAAAACCAAAGGGATAATAGTGATACCTACGAGACACCAACAGGGGCCGCCGACAGCTGTCCACTGGAATTGGCTGGTGGGGACGATGGAACAGTAAAGGTCAAGTCTGCAGCTGCGACACCCCACATCAACAGTGAGGAAATAAAAACGGAGTGAGCCATGCTTGTTTTCTTCAAATTTCAAGTGTTGACCACTGCAATATTTGATTTTGTTGATGAAAGAACCAAACCAGGACCAGTCCAGGGCATCATAGACATTTTTATACACATCACAGCCATCGTCATTTCAATTCTTCAGCATGAACTAGTCTGGGGAACCCCACACTTCAGCCAATACAAGCCAAACCTCCGCATCCCCCCTGAACGACATTCAACAAAAAGCTTCCCCGCCACAAAGGTTTCTTCACAATAGGCGAGTGTATCACTTCGGAATAAATCACATGATGATCGGATGCAATCATTATGCCCTAGTCGGCGACTGAAACGGCTACTGACGGTGTATTTTATCCCGAGATTTATGCCGAGGAGGCTGGATATTCATCAGATTGGACAGGGATGTGTGGCGCCACAGGATTCAATCGAATATGCCACCAGTGTCGACGTTCTATATGGTAGTGGGAAGGTGCATCCGGAGGAATATAGTGACCCACTTTTCTAGCCTTATCAATTGTATGCTATACGAGATTTAACTCAATAAATTCTCTTTCTCGTGCTGATTTATGCCGATGGATAGATATTGAGTTGAGTAACACAATCATTCAATTCCTCTATGCTACAAAATAGTTTCCCCGGATCAGCCTCGGGGCCCGATTTCAAGGTGCCATCCCGAGAGGAACTACCCCGGACTTCCAGAGGTTCCGCAGGAGATTATCCGGATATAGACAAGCGCAAGGAGGAACCCATGTTTAACGCGCGGGGACGGGCATTAATCTTTACGATAATGATGGAAAAACTCTCATGAACAGGAGTTCGCTTTACGAGCAAAATATTTCTAGTATTCTGGAATAATCAAGGAACCGAAAATTGTCTATAAGCCATCACTTCAAGTCACGCGCGTCAGATCGCTTAACATCTCGCTCGGGCTTGTTGACAATCAAAGCTCGGCTGAACCGAGCTACGGAGGAAAATCGACCTAGTACTCGGACTATAGACCACATTGGGAGTAGCTTCAGCCATCCTTGAGTTATTGCATGCTATTGGTCCAAAATTCGGTGTAAATCAGTGCGAAGCATTTGCCGCGCCCGATGGGCTAATCGCTCATAGGGCTACTTGTTTGCCAAGCGAGCTAATTATATTCGTCTACGAAGATTATGGCTTGTGGCCGGCAATTGAACCAGGCTGAGGGTATCGATTTGGGCCATTTCATTTGTCCGTCATGATTTAGCCACGAGTTTCTAGCCCGAGGAAGCTCCAAGCTCCATCCCCCATGCTCTCGCCCCCGCATTTCGACCCTTCGCGTTTTGGGGAAGAAAGAAGCGAAAAAAGTCGCCAACTGTTCGAGCTATCTTTTGAATGTTGGTACTTTAAAGACGTTCCCCCGTCTTTGAACTAATTATAAAGCCCATTCCGATCTTCTACTTTGTGCGAATTGGGATAGCGGCTCTATATACCAGCTGGTGCTATCACTTGCGCAATGGATACTATCAAGGGAAACAGTGAAGCTATCGAAGATGCTTCTGCGATGAAGCGACCCGTAACACCGGTCAAGGGCGGCGACCCTGTTATGCGCTCTCGAGAGGATGATCTCAGTGTCTGGCAGTGTGCTCTCCGATTCAAGAGAGTGTCTTTGATTGCGATGGTTGCTGCCTTCAGTGCCTCGCTTGATGGCTACCGTGAGAAACATTGAAATTCCCTATTTTTCAAAAGCTATACTGACTCGGAAAATTCAGAGATCAATCTAAACGGTGGTATCGTCTCGAACAAAGGTTTCATAAGGCAGATGGAACCCTCCGGTGTCAAAATCCTCGACGGCAAATACGTTTCAGCATGGGGCGGTATCCAGTCGGCTGGTCAGTTCGTGGGACAAGTTGTACGGATTTTTGAATCATAAACTTGAAATCTGCGCTTGGATTTACTGACAGTTTTCCTAGCTCCTTCAATATGCCACGGAGAGACTTGGTCGCAAAGCCGCTTTGTACATTATCTGGGTAGATCTGGTTATTGTGAGCATTCACCGGCCGGGGTGGGCACTCAGCGCCACAAAAGTTACTAACATTTTGTAAAGAGTATCTTCATCGAAACCTTTGCTACGAACTGGCAGCACTGGCTTGTAGCCAAGTTGTTTTCGGGCATGGGCGTGGGCATGTTGCAATGTACCTTGCCCCTCTACCTGTCCGAGCTTGCTCCAACACAGCTGCGAGGATTCTACATTAACGCATACAGCTTGTGGGTAGATTTGATCCCTTGCTCAATTTATCAATGCTGACTTTCAACTTTCTAGCTGGTTCGTTGTCGGTCAAATCTTCGCTTCAGTGGCCTTGAAAGAACTGAGCGCGGTAGACCCCTATGAGTTCCGAATTCCGATTTATACACAGGTACGCACGAGTCCCAATGGTCATCTTAAAATATAACTGACAAGTTATTTTCTTGCAAAGTGGGCCATGATTGGTGCTATCGCCCTCATCTTCCTCGCCCTTCCAGAGTCCCCGTGGTGGCTTGTAAGCAAAGGCAAGATCGACAAGGCTGCCAAAGTGCTCACATTCTGCAATGGCAAAGTTGAGGGCTATGACGTCCAAGAGCAACTTGTACGATATCTCTTTACACATGATTCAGGGCTTCAATAATAACCCTTTCTAGGAAGTCATGACTACAACCGTCACGCAGGAGCGCATTCTCGCAGAGCAGAACTCGAACGAAGGAATATGGGCTGTCTTCAAGGGTCGCAACTTGATTCGATTCATTATTGCTAGTTGGCCAAAGATTGTACAGCAATTTGTTGGCCTGTCCGTGTTCAACACGTACGCCACTTACTTTTGTAAGTCGTTCAAATAGTGTTATTTTCCAGCGTGCTTCCTTGCTGACAGACTCGACTGCTTTCAGTCCAATATGCCGGAAACAAGGACCCATTCCGAGTCACTGTTATTCTTTCATGCGTACAACTGATCTCGGTTCTTCTCACCGCTACGAGCACCGATCAGTTTGGTCGTCGGCCATTGACAGTTTATCCTTACGCTGTGACCAGTGTGTCGGTCTTGTGTCTTGGAATCATCGGCTGCTTCAACTACACTAAGCCATCTACTAGCTCACTTCTGGTAAGAGATGCCTTTTACCGAAATTTTTAGACAAACATATTAATTGTACACTCCAGGTCTTCTTCGCTTGCTTGGCAACCATGTCAACCACAGGCGCCTCAGCTATCGGATATGCCTACGCTGCAGAAGTTCCTCAACAACGTCTACGTGCGAAGACTGCAGGATGGGCACTTGCCTTTTCCAATCTCATTGCCATCATGTTCAGTTTCTGCACGCCACTGATGATCAACGGCACTGCTAAATGGGGTGTTAAAACTGGTTTCTTGTACGATAAACTGCCTGGATTATTTTTCATTTGGTTGGTTGGATTGATTGAAGCTAATGCTATTTTTCTCACAGCTTTGCTGGAACCGGAACAGTCTCGACAGTCATCGCCTGGTTCATCCTTCCGGAGTTGACCCGTCGTACTCCTGCTGAAATCGATGAGATGTGAGTCCCCAGAATCCTCAAAAGTACTCGGAGCTAATAGTTCATCCTTCGGAAAGGTTCGAGGAGAAGGTTAATCTTCGGAAGTTCAAGGGTTATGTTACCGAAGTTCAGGTGCGGGCCAACGAACAGCATCAGACTGAGGAGCTGCATACCGCATAAGCCATCAGCCCCCAGGAAGGATTAGTTTTGGAAAGGAGAGGAAATTCGCGTCTTGTGTATCCCATCACTTTGGTTTCTGGCTCGGGATCTGAAATTTACTCGCTTGATACATTTCAATTGATGGCAGAAAGGATTAAATTTGGTAGCGACACCGCGTGCTCAGACTGTCATAATCTGCTTTGCTCTGCGTACCAGCTTATAATTATGATACGGTTACTCTGATATAATCTCCAGTTCATGTATTAAATTAGGATATTTAGCGAGAGATTGGAATAGTCCACGAGCTTTACGACTGGTCAAGATTGAAGGAAGTTAATTGAAAAATTGAACATATGGATGAAATGAAAAGCGAAGCTCTACTTTTGGCTCATTCTATGAAAATATAAAAAGAACAGACACATACCTATTTACGAAGAGTTTTGTGGGACCATTTCCGAGCAATGAACTTGGACGGTAATAAACAATACCAATCCATTAACCTGTCATCTAAAACCTAAGACGGACTATAGACCAAGTCAAGATGACTCAAAACTCCATGACTTATCTCTTGACCTCCAGGAAGTTGACTGGTCACTTCGACAGGTTGATCAAGTCTAAGCTCCACATGTTTCTCATTCCCGTTACCAGGACGCCATGAGACATGCGCCACATTCTCCTTTCCTAGAGCAATCTTTGCCTCAATCGATTCACTCAATTGCAAACGCGGCTTGAAGCGTATTTTAGATGATCCCGGCGCGACTGGGCAGATTCCAGCTAGCTCAGTGCAGTATTCGTAGATTGGAACGCTACCCCACGCGTGGCAGTCCGATCGTTGGCGAACATCGTCTTCTTCCCACGTTGATAGATTATTTGCAAGCATTTGTCGCCATGGTGCCCACATTGAAGTCCAAAACTTGTCGTAGAGTTGGCCTCCAGCCTCTGCAAGCGAGCGGAACGCATAGAATCGCATCATATACGAGCACTTTGAAAACCGGGGATTAGTGAAACTCTCTGACAAAATGCGCTCTCCTTGCCCTGGAGTGGCAGCTCCGCAAAGGACGGCGAACACTTGGCAATGCTGAGAGTAAGACAGCTCATCTGCAACGTCTGCCGTAGAGTCTGTGAAAAACTCTCCATCGTAGCAGTTTTTGCGGATCGCTTCTAGAAGTTGCACAGCCCGAGTTTCATACTCTTCTGCATTTCCGGGCCTTCCAATGTGGCGAATGAGTTCGGCACCCTTCTTCAGCACGTAGGCGTAGAGCATGGTAAAATATGTGTGACGGTTTGTCTTTCGACCAGATGTTGGCACTCCCTTGTCCGGATGCTCATCAGTCGCACCCCATGTTGTCACCCAATCGACGTATTGCCAAATCTCCTCTGGAAGCCCACTCACAAGGCCCAATTCATCAATGTGTGAATCGAAAAACTCGAATACCCCGTCGATCCGTGGAACAAAGCTCCGAGCAAAGGATTTGTCTCCAAAGAACATGAAATGATCGCAAATTTGTAATATCCAGTAAAGGGAAAAGCCAGCAATAATCTGTGGGGCATGTGATGGGAAACGAGACTGAGTGAGGCCACAGGGTGTTACTGAGGCAGCGAAGTTGGTGATTGCTTGTCGCATCAATCGATCATCGCCGGACAAGAGATAATGGAATAAGCCAACAGACCGAGTATCTCCAGAGTATCTGCAGGCAGCAAATATTGTTAGTGACAATAGCTTTTGGATATCAAATGGTAGTCGTACTGAAGTTGTTCATAGAAGGGGCAATCAGAATAGCCGTCAAACATGCAGTTTTGCATGGTCCGGATAGACACATCCCAGATATCTTGGCTTTGCAGATAACCAGCTTCTTTCCAGCTAGCTTTAACAATCATGGGATAATTGACTTGGGTCGCTTCAAATGACTTGAGCTCAACCGGCTCTTCGCCAACAGTCAATTCAAGTCTGATAAGTCGGAAAGTCCGGAACCAGAATGGTTCATACGAGCTTTCCACGTCAGAAACACTGAGCACAACTTCATCGTATGGACCTATAATATGGCCGCCCTCAGCATCTAGCCGATCGGCTTTGGACCGGAAGAAAGGATATGAACGAGGTTCAAGTTCGTATCCTTCGGAGTAGGTCGCTTTGAGCTTGATCTCCGAAGGTTTGTTGGCGGCCCTGAAAGCCCATTTAATGAAAGCCGTTGAATGGCAATCGGCCTGAATCTCAAGAATGTGTGACGAGCCCTTGGGAAGAATCAAGGGGTGGTCTCCCTTGAGAAATGCAGTCCAGTCATCTGCAATGAGGCTACTTTCACACGACCTGACCATCTCGACAATTGCCGGGGTTGACTCGGGCATAGGAATCGGGCGTGGTTGAAGAGCCCAAGGTGCAATATCTCCATTCAACGTTCTGATACTGTATGGAACCGGCGTAATTTCCGCAGCTGGCACGGTGGGGGCGATACGTTCGCTAATCTGAATAGGGAATTAGCAAGTTGACAATGGAAAGCACCAAGCAGATGTGCTCACATGAAGGAAAACATCATCGACCAAGCCCGATGGAAATTGAACAGACTCGTCTGGGATAGCTTTCCAGCCCTGGCAAGATCCAAGATCAATAGACTCAGAACCAGCCTCCACATGACCAACAACTGTCAACCCTGGAAGAGCCGTCCGTTCAAATGCCATCGCTCCACGCGAGGACGCAAAGTAGCGCAGTACCACAAAGCGAATTTCATTTTCCCCAGGCTTCAAGTAGGGCGCAATATCAAGCGTATCATAGTACCAGATTAAAGGGCTGCTTCTGGTAGGACCAACAGCGACACGTACTCCATTTACGAACAATTTGTAGCGGGTGTCAGCCGAAAAATGAAGCCTCGCCTGAGTTGGAGACAATGGCAAGATTATATGGCGAACGAAATTGACGATCTTGCCTACTGTATTCAAATTGGAGGAATCCACCCAATTGGGGATCCAGATCCAGTTTGCCTGGAGAGCATTGATGGTCTTATTGAAGTGAAATCAACTGGTCAGTCCTGTTGTTTCAAAACAAGAATATGTAGACACTTGCCTTTTTCTCCTCCTTTGACACCATCTTCACTTCTGAGAATTATGATCTTGCTCGCCGTTGAATTGAAGTTAATGCGGGGGCGGGGGAGACTTAGTATTGTCGCGCCCGGTGGAGTCTCTCCAGGTACTCGGGGGATCTCAAACCGAAACAAGCACCGTCGGCGTTTGAAATAGCCTCGCAACTTTGTCGGTCCATCCTAATCATCTTTCGAGCTCGGTTGTGGGTATCTGGTTCGGAAACTCTGCGGAACAAGTCCAAAAATGGGAGTCGCGGTAGCAGAAAAGACACTTATGGTGGGCTGGGAAAATGATGATTTCGGGTTAAGTGCACAATCATGCAGCCCGCCGATTCCCACGAAACGAGTCGTCCTCGAATTAAGCTCTAGCCAAACAGGTGGATGTTCCTGCATATTTATGACGAACACTGTCATGATATAGTGCCTTCTCGAAATTCCCACGAGCATCAATATATAACCCATTCAAATTTAAGTAAAAGCGAATGTCCGTAGTTTCCTCCACTAGATGATACTGTCCATTGGTACTTCGTAGGCTCGTAGCCTACGACGCCTGCAACCAGGTGATTGGTTCCATTTTGAATAAGGGTCATTCACATTGTCATTAAACAGCTTCTGGTTGGTAATGTCCTTTGGAGGGGACAACATTTCTGAACGGCAAAACTCGCCCTGGGAAGAAAAAGTTTCACTGGCCGCAATATAACGGGTAACTCACCCGCAAATGTTGAACCGTGCTCTTCAAAGCGCATCGACAATTACCTCTAACCTTACCGGCAATGTCGATGGGCTCAGATACAGGGCACATCTTGACGGGAGATGGCTAGCATCTCCTGCATCCTGCTGCGTTTCGACATAGCAAAGAACTTACAGAGTCATGACTATCAACTTGATCAAGGAACCGGCACAGTGCCGGTGATCTTCGGCACTTCCGACCCGAGAATCCCCGGGTTGCCGGTCGCTAACCGAATTGGGCCCATCACCTCGGGCGCCCAACAGCGTCATCGCGAATACTAATAACACTCCCCTGCGCTCTTCTCACGCTTAACTCAACATACATAAACTCACACCATGTTCGGCCTTGCAGGAAGAAGAACTGTCCTTGCACATTCAAAATGTCTGACACCGAGAGCGCTCCCGGCCCGCGCCGTGGCGGTCGCTCAATCACCCTGCACCAACACCAGAGAATTCCGCACGACGCCGACAAATGAGGCGTTTAGGCCGACGTGGATGCCAATGCGTGTCAAGACCCCTTGGATTGAAGCCTTGACTCAGAGTCGTGAGGCTGCGCGTGAATCAAGGGAGGGTGTGCCGCCGCCTACACCTGTGAAGCCGGATCTCACGCCAAAGAAGATGTCGGACAGCTACTATAGTGCTGTATGTATTAAATTAAATGGAGATTACGGGAAGTGTGTTGCTAACTATGTCCGTCACAGATTCTGCCTTTGGCCCAAGATAAGTGGCTTTTGGATACCTATCTCAATGCCTCGGGGCATATCCGGTAGGATCAAGTTCCCTGAGTACTCTCGAGAACAATCACTAACAGATGACTAGTCTTGGATCTTTGGTCATGGACCTTGACGCCTTGGCCGGTGTCATTGCGTACCGCCATACTGGTGACGGCGTTAGTACTGTGACTGCGGCCGTGGACCGAATTACGATTGAGCACCCGCTTATGGAGATCTGTGATCTTGAGCTTAGCGGCCAGGTCTCGTATGCTACCGGACGGTCTAGTATGGAGGTCTCCGTGCAGGTTGCCAAGGCCCGCCCAGAGGGACAGCCGGCCAAGCCTGAGGATGTTCTGATTACCTGCGCATTCACGATGGTTTCTCTGGACGCGAAGACGAAAAAGTATGTTACAGAAATGCGATTTCTCTCTCTTTTGCAATTTACTAATTCTTATGTGCCTAGGCCTGTCCCAGTGGCTCCTCTCATTGTTGAGACTGAGGAGGAGAAAGCCTTGTTCAAAAAGGGCGAAGAGAACTATATGGCCAAGAAGGCTCTGCGCAAGCGCAGTCTGCTTGAAAGGGCACCCGATGATGAGGAGTCTGACTTGATCCACTCCATGTGGACCAAGGAGATGTCGTATATCAGTATGTCCTTGCAAGATTCCCTTCATTCCCCGATGCAACTAACACCACACCTCAGACCCCCAAGTCCCCGCCATCCGCCCCGCAAACCAAATCTCCATGAGCGACACCGTCCTCAAATCAGCCATGATCATGCAACCCCAAGACCGCAACCGCCACAACTTCATGATCTTCGGTGGCTTCCTCCTCAAGCAAACCTTTGAGCTCGCATTCTGCTGCGCCGCCGCCTTCTCACACGCCCGACCCAACTTCCTCGCCCTCGACCCCAGCACATTCGAGAACCCCGTTCCCGTTGGCAGTGTGCTGTACCTCCGTGCGACGGTGGCCTACACCGAGCCCGAGGAGCGTGAGGGTGGTCACAGTAAGTACACCAAGGTTCAGGTGCGCGTTGACTCGAAGGTGCGGGATGTGGAGCACGGCACGAAGAAGTCGACTGGCATGTTCAACTATACTTTCCTTGTGGAGAAGGATATCCATGTCATGCCGAAGAGTTATGGAGAGTTTATGCTGTGGACTGATGCGAGACGTCGGGCGCGGAATGCGGCTGCGATTGATCCGGCGCATAAGACGAGTACATTGCGGACTATCCAGGACAGTGTTACTGAGTAGATGGGTTGATTTTGGGCATGTATGCATATCATATCACGGGGCTGGGATAGTCAGGGCCGGACAATGTAAATATTATAGTCTCCAAATTCAAAAGAATCTGATTGATACAAGAAATCGTTTTCCCGAATTACCCCGTAGTATCCCTCGAGAGTAGAACGGAGCAAGTTAGATCTCATTAATTATGTACTTGTTTTCCAATATGCCCACTGTCATGCTGGGATGACCTTATAAGCAGTGTCACGTGTTTGACGAGAGGTGACAGGGTGATTTCCTAATTAGGAAGGATGTTTGCCTCGATTTTCCTCAACCTCCCAACCCAACAAGGAAGGCGCCAAAAGAACAAGAAACAATCCAACCCTTGGAAGATTTGTACCCGAGTCATTACGAATCGAATGTCCTCCACGTCCATCGCCCGTCCACAATGACTCCCTCTCACCAGGACACAATGACACGCTAAATCTTCTCCTCCTGAGATCAACTTTCAAAAACATCCACGAACTAAGCCGTCTTGTCAAAGTATAGAGGTCCCAAAGCCTTTTGGTAGAGGATTCTATGGGGTCCAGAGCTCCGATCATCAACAAGCTTAGTCCGTGGTGGTCAGGGGTGTTTGTGAGCGATTCAGATTGGACTCCATAGGGAGCAAGAGCGTGAATCGGGGTCTCATTGTCCCACGTCGCACGAGCAGGCTTCTCCGAAGATGCGCCTCAAGGCCAAAGCAGCCCAGTGTGGACGGTCAAGTACTTGTGGAACTTTTAATACAGTATTGCAAGCCTTTTACCCACTGGACCACTCGGTATTGGGGAGTTGAAAGGGGACCTGTTAAACTGGTCTATAGCTTGTCTTCTTTTCTTTTTGGGTTTGTTTGCCCTCCCTCTTGTTTGCCCTCTCAAATTACCATACCTGCCAATCTTGAAGCTATTCAGCCGCCCCGGCCATCCTCCCCATCAACACCCCCCCGGCGAGCAGGAGCCCATAATGTTATTCGTCCCCCCATCTTGATTCTTTTCCAACATGAAGCTCCCACCACACCCCATCCAACTTCTGACGTCATCTGAAGTTATACAGAAACCACCCTTTTCTTCCACAAATAAGCAATGCAATGCATACTTGCAATCTTATTCTTTTGCGGCAATCATCTCCCACTCCAATTCTAGCGGCTCCTTCCAATAGTTCGTTCCGCTGTGAACAAATCCGAGCTTTTGCAGAAGCCGCCCACTGCGCTGATTGTCTCGCTCCGTTTCAGCAATGAATCTCTTCACTCCCTTCTCGCGTATCGCCCACTGCATAATTGCATCCGACGCTTCTTGAGCGATGCCCTTTCCCCAAAACGCCGGCGATACTCCATACCGAATTTCCACCATCTCCAGCCAGTCCGGATAAGGCGCATCTCCTTCTTCACGTGGTGGAAGTGATGTTATGGTTGCATCGCGGATCCCCGAGTATCCTACCCACTGGATCTCCTCCAGGCGTGTCAGATCTGGTCCCATGAACTGTTTGAGCTCATCTGCCCGAAGCATTGACACACTAGGAAAAGGGTCTTGCTGGAAATCCGCACCGGAGCCTCCGGACTTCGGCTGTAGACGAAGCCCTACAGCAAAATCTCCTAAGCCGCGTTTCTCCCATGAGCGCTGAATATCGCGTGTCTCAATCATGTCACGCGTTTCATCGTCATTCCAGTTCCTGACGGCGAAACGCTCGCCGAAACCCATTCTACAGAAGCCAGCGTCGGCATGTAATTCTGCATACAGAGCGCGATAGGAGGTTATATGGACTGCAATTGGCGTGGGAATGACGACAAGTCTGGGTGTCAAAATGACAAAGGGTTCGGGGAGTGCCGTAGAGGACAGGTAAGCCATGGTGGATTCGAGTGTTTTGTGAGTGTATTCTCAATAGAAGCGGCGAATGATTCCCTGACGAGAGTGTTCAGGCTTTTCTTGAGAGAAGAAAAATTGTGCAGCGTTGTCGCTGCGAAGATCTGGCTTTCCGGATGTTCCCTCGTTATCGACTGTCGCGACATGTGGAGATGATCCACATAGCGGGGTCCCAGAAAGGAAATTTGGCTGATGCCGCGATTGCTTCACTGCCATGCCTGCAAAGAAGAGCACAGAGGAACTATTCAGAGCATACAGACAAGAGCTTTCTGGAATTACTGAGAATACTAAGACGACTGCATTTCTATTGAGAATTAAGATGCGGTATCACGTTCCCTAGGTGACACCAGCCCGACAAGTGAAAGAAATACCAGACACCGCCAATCCTGATAAGCGCGCTGGATTTTTGTCGCTCAAGCATCGTTCAATAGCAATCAGTCTGATACAACTGCTTGGTTTTGCAATTTCACACGGTTTACTTCTGATCAACAACGGCAGATTCCTCAATATCACGCATCGCACCACTTCAGCACAGTTAGCATGACATTCGAAAAGATTCGGAAGGAAATCCTAACTTTTGCATACTGCGACCCCAGAGCGCCCCCAGGTCTCCGACCGGTAACTGGAAAGGAAATTCCATTGCCTCAAACAATTGGACAATTAGCAGATAAAAGCCCAGCAAACTCGCAACAAAGAGCGAAGCCCCAGCTCCCTGAAAACTCCCGAGTCAGTCTCTATGCCATCAGTTAGGGGATCTTCTGATGCGAGTTTTAAGCTCACTTTGACGCATTTGTTACCACCAGCAGAATTGCCTTCTGCCAGTAGCCAGTATGCAGATGATAGAAGCAAGAAGACCACGAGCAGTGTCAAAAAGATAAGTGTATACACAACATTGGTGCGTGTCGCACAGATCATAAATATCAACATCAATACAGCCATCGTTATGAATAAAAAAGCTAGAATAATGAATCATAATCAGTCGACTGCCAGGAGAATATTCCCGAAGACAGTTGAGACTTACCATAGGTGTTCATAAAGCCCGCACTTGAAAGCCCGGCGACTGTGTCAGTGGTTGATGCTGAATAAGGAGCTATACATGTGTAAGAATTACATATAATGATCTGGATCAGAAGGAACACACCGGCTGCATTAAATGCAGGAATCATTGTGGCGGCAAAGGCAAACCAGAATCCTCCTATCAGGAAGTATGAGAAACGCGATCGAGACGCTGCGGTACATTTCTCAAGGTCTTCAAACTCACCGATGGTGCCGAAAACAACACAAGGAAAGGTATTGCCCAGGATGAATTCAAGAATACTGGTGATAAGCAGCAACAAGCCACCAAGGAAGACGATGGGTCCGCTGTTCCTGTTGCTTAGATTGACTGCAATGGTCAGGCTGACTGAATTTCTCTTACATGAATGCCACCCCGTTTCCACTGGAGCCTCTCCAAGCCATCAAACAACAAGAAATTGGAGTCGTGGTAATGACAAAACCACCAAGAGCTCTGAAATGAGCAGAATAGTTAGACCAGTTTCCACGGTATATCTTATCGCGGATGAATTGCAATTCCAGATACTCACAGCGGTGTCGGTTTTCCAACTCGCTTGGCAAGTTCAGGCTGACAGCGGGTCATAGGCGTCAAGTAAAGCTTCTCAAACTGCTCAGGTGACAGAGTCACAGATGTCGGAATTGTTGTTAGAGCATGTCCTGTACTCTCTCGGTATTGGATAGTCTCTCTCTTCTCGGTACTTTGACTGTGATCGCTGTCCATTTTGGCGTATCCTGGATGACCTTAATTGACAAAATTTGGGAAGAAAAGAGAGAATGGTATTTGCGTAGTTATCTATGTACTCAACATATCTTTACAGCTTTATATAACGACACCTCTGATAGTAATTGCCTTATCGATGGCCCAGTGCCTGCTGCTCAATTCTAAGAATATCCTACAGCGTACATGATTGGATACGGCAGAACGGATAACGATAATCATTCTAGGCACTGATCTAGAATCGCGGGGGAAAGGAAAAAGGCCATGTGCAGATTAGCTGGAAACCATGGTGTTGTTCTGGCTCTCCACACCAAATATCGACCTGAATCAAGCTAGAAGCAGATTGACTGGCCCATCGGATATGACCAGGGACCAGTAGTGGGGCAAATATTGCAAGGCTGTGCACCAAGCCACTGAGTTTATACAATCATAGTTAGCCTTGAGCAACGTCTAGCTCTATCCAACATGATACTTGAAATCTAGATGGTGGAACCTTTTGAGGGGTCCGTGCATCACTCTCCATGCGGAGGTCTTGCCTTATGCGGATCCGCATGGGGTGAAACTCAAATCTTACGATTTTCTGGTAAGCTTCTATAATGTGTGGGGAAGAGTGGGATTTACAGATCTGGATAACGGGTGTGGCTAAATCAGTAATTTCTGGAGAAATGGCAAAGTGAACATGCGGAGCCTGAACCGTAGATCATTTTTTGGATTGGGCATGGTATAGTGCTGTCAAGGCCTTTAATGCGGACGATATGTTATAGTGAATAATGACTTGAAGCTTTTTTATATCACTCATTAAACTACTTTTCTTCAACTATTTTCGTTTGTGGTTCAGAGCGCATTGAACCTAGCATTAACAACGGTCATCTTCGACAATCAACCCAATCACTCAATCGGCCTTGTGGGGCAGCATAATCCCCAAATATCAACAAAATCTCGTCCGGTCATTTACGAGATAGATCTAACTGGGTGTCAAATGCCTGAAAGTTCGGATGATATTGATACAACTTTCCGCCGGAAGAAGGCCAGGAGATCATGTTTGAACTGCCAAAGATCACATAGAACATGTGGTAAGTCGAACGGAGCTCGCCTGTAATGTTTCAACCCATCAAAAATTCTGACAGTGGTAAACCAGGCAATGAGCGGCCCTGTATGGAATGCAAGCGGCGCGGCCTGACCAAGACATGCGTTGATGGTGATCGCAAGATACCCAGATATCTCTACGATATGTCCAAAAAACCGCCCAAGATTGACCTCTACGGCGGTAGAACTCGTTTAAATGCCCCTGCCGATAGCCTAGACTCATGGGCATTACCCTCTAATCCAATCAATCGATTCGGGGCTACTTTTGAGGAACAGGTGGATCCAAGCCTGAACTATCCCACTGAACAGGGTCAAAATGACTTTGTCGATCCAGCAATACTCCACATTGAAAGTCCGATCTTGTTCCTGGGTCAACAGACTGCAAACAGCAACCAACAACCAGAAGAGGACCTTACAGCGCACTCTTTGACAATTGAAATGAGGTCACGTCCAGTCCTACCGGTTGGGTGTCATGGCAGTCATGGAGTTGAACGAAGTTTTGGTAGGAAGACAATTGGTTTCACGATTAAAAGTGGCTGGTCAAGTACATTTTCGCCGTGCGGAATGAATGAAGAGCCTGAAGGGTCGATAAATGTATCATCCAAATGAAAAAGAATTAAGTGTGATTATTCATTGAATCCCCTTCCAGAATGTGTTTAAGTTGGAAGATTGGGCGAACCTTTTACCTAATGCCTCTAAAACCATCCTTGGGATTTCTAATAGATTAGAGAGTTATCCATTTTTGACGGGCATTTACATTATTTTACGGATCTTAGCGTAGTGCGGTAAAACGAACCGACTAAGTTATTTGAAAGAATTAAGTCAAAATAAAAGACAAATAAAGAAAGAGGAGATCGCTGAGGTTTATCTCTCGGAGACAGCAATAGTGTTGCCCGAGTCCGCCAAAGAGAAGACGGAGAGATTTGCCCTGTTCGTTCAGAACAAAATAGACTCATGAAGACTCGGCCAGAAAGTAGAGGCTACCAATTTCCAGAGTCCAGAGCCATATTCATGGTCTTATGGCTCTTTTCTGTGATTGGTTTGATGAAATATTGTGTGCCTATGCGGAGCCGCACGAAAGTGCGTTTTGGCCGCAACCTCCGCAAAACCTTCCCCGCATTGTATGGGGCCATCCTCATCATCACCTATACAGTTGGTTGTAGGCAAACTTGGAAATACCTTCAGGTTTTTTCTGTTCGAATTGCTTTCCGTTGGTCCGAAAGGATCTATCAAGATGTAAGGAAGTACGAGAGAACCACTTCGTAGCTTGTCCGAAGCCAGCGAGTTATAAAGACCTTCGATACTTTTCAATCATCAATTCATTCGCAATCAAAATCTCCGTCTCAAGAAAAAGCTACACAGCTTTCAAACTTCATTATATTCAATCAATATGTCTATTCCCGAGATGCAATGGGCTCAGGTGGCCGAAAAGATCGGAGGGCCCCTGGTTTACAAGCAGATTCCAGTTCCCAAGCCTGGCCCAGACGAGATTTTGGTCAAGATTCGTTACTCTGGTGTTTGTCACACAGACTTGCATGCTATGATGGGCCACTGGCCGATTCCGGTCAAGATGCCCCTTGTTGGAGGACACGAAGGTGCTGGAGTGGTTGTGGACAAGGGATCATTGGTCAATGAATTCCAGATTGGTGACCATGCTGGAATCAAGTGGCTCAATGGGTCTTGTACCGAGTGTGAATTCTGCAGGCAATCCGACGACCCCCTGTGTGCCCAGGCAAAGCTTTCTGGGTATACTGTAGATGGCACTTTCCAGCAGTATGCAGTCGGGAAGGCGACGCATGCCTCCAAGATTCCTAAGGATGTCCCTCTTGATGCTATTGCTCCGGTCCTGTGCGCTGGAATTACTGTCTATAAGGGATTGAAGGAATCTGGAGTTCGACCTGGCCAGACAGTCGCTATCGTCGGGGCTGGAGGTGGCCTCGGATCTCTTGCTCAGCAGTACGCAAAGGCCATGGGAGTACGCGTTATCGCCGTTGATGGGGGTGATGAGAAGAGAGCTATGTGCGAGAAATTGGGCGCTGAGGTATTCATCAATTTTTAAAGAATATCCCTATCAAGGATTACAGATTGAAGCTAATAACCAAATAGGCTTATGTTGACTTCCTGAAGTCCAAGGATCTAGTGGCAGACGTCAAAGCGGCCACTCCTGAAGGCCTTGGAGCTCATGCTGTCATCTTGCTTGCAGTCTCAGAGAAGCCATTCCAACAGGCTACCGAATATGTTCGTTCTCGGGGAACAATCATCGCTATTGGCTTGCCCCCAGACGCATTTTTGAAGGCCCCTGTCCTCAATACGGTGCTGCGGATGATCAGCATTAAGGGTAGCTACGTTGGAAACCGACAGGACAGTGTGGAAGCCATCGACTTTTTTGCTCGGGGTCTGATCAAGGCCCCGTTTAAGCTGGCCCCGCTGAAGGATCTTCCTGAGATCTTTGAATTGATGGGTATGTCACACTCTCGACCAAATAGATGATATTGGTACTGATGAACAACAGAGAAAGGAAAGATTGCAGGCCGCTATGTGCTCGAAATGCCGGAGTAGGGTAAGGAGTGGATCAGGATGAAGATGGCCTGGATTATAGCTAGGAGTTGAGATGAGACAAATTGTCGGTTTTGGAGTCGAGACTTGACGTGGAATACGGAAGGTTATTTGATCGTGAACAGGGTGCGAGATTGTCTGGTGTTGTACATATTTGAGATCAATATTTTTGCAAATATCTTCCAGATCAAGGGTAGTTAATTGCTATTTGAAGATGGTTGAAAGCAACTTCAACAATGCCTAAACTTGACAGAGAGACCCCAGCAATGTGTTGGTAAATTAGCACCTAGGCATCTACAGATCCAAACTCGAGATAATACCATCGCGTTGTTCACTTCCTAGATATTAGCTAAAAGCCTCTCAATTCATATCTGAAATATTCATATCTCAATAGGAGCTAGCCTATATCCATGTATTGGCCAATGAAAGGAAGTCACTCAGGGAGCTGAGTGGTCATTGAACTGGGATTGTAAGGCTTATCCTTAGAAATTTTCCAAAATCAATCTTGGGGACACCATTGGTCATTTACATTCATCGAATCGACGTGATCTTGCAGAAGCTTTAGTCCGCAGGAGTCTCTCCGGTCGGCCAGCATTACCCCACTGTATTTGGTAGGAATCAGCACAAACAATCAGAATCACTTCTAGTTGGCCTTTGAAGACCCACTCGGTACTTTGTTTGATTCGTCCAATATGCACCTTCCCATCGTCAAGTTCGATGATTGGCTCAGCCCCGTGTCGTTACTCCGATCTTTCCCCAGAATCCCAGTTTCCTGCTGTGTAAGATATATGAGATTGCATCGTAAGTGAGGAGGATGTTGGTCACAATCCTTCCCAAGTTGACCAATTTCGACTGCAAACTTCCCGACATGATAATTCCAGTCTGCTGCTATCCAACAAACAATCATTATGAGCACTTGCATAAGCTCAAAGCGGTTTGTGGCCACATGAGACCTGGATGGTTCCGTTGACCCGAATGGTGGTGGACGTGCACATACGAGCCCCCACTTGGTCCCCGCAATTTCGTCCCCAGAGATGAACCAGCTATTTTTGCTTGGCATTCACATATCAACCTTGCCCCTCCTCTGCTAGGATCCACCAGGAGGGACGGCGGTTCGCAGTCGAGAACGGTAGTCTCGTCACCTACCAAGCAATTTCCATTACGACACCTATTACTCCATCGTTCCACTATGGAGACCTCTCGTCGAAGCCAACATCACAGTTGCGACCCGTGCCGGAAAGGCAAGAGGGGCTGCGATGCTCCGGTTTGTAATCGTGTTTTTATCTCCCAATAGGAGCTGGCTCTAACTTGAATTCTTAGAAAAATCGAAAGGAGAATGGTTTTAGCTCCTGCTCAAATTGCAAGAAATGGAAGAAGGAGTGCACCTTCAACTTCCTCTCATCAAAGCGCGTGGAATCTAAGCGAGACCACCGGAAAGCAAAATCCAGCGCTGCAGCTACAGCTACAGCTACGCCTCAAAGCCGTGAAATTCCTTCACTTCCCAGCTCTCATGGCGATATCCTAGATAATATATTGCTTTCTTCGCAATGGTATCCTGTCAATGCTGGGGGCATGATTACTCCTGCCTCAACCACAAATCGTACCTCGTTCTCTCCTCCGTCGTTGAACCAGGAAAGCAGTAGCATCATTGAGGAGATTGGAATGCAGTCGTCTGGCGATGAGCAGTTTGAGTTCCCTTCGTGGAATACAAGCGTCACAGATGATTTCTGGTTCCCGGTGACGTCCACTCAACAGCCTGTCAAACCTTTTAGCGAACTGTCCCCTAAATCGCTCGAAAATGCGTTCGATGCGATTCCGCATTTTGAAGAAAATAGTCTTGGGATGAATACCCTCGATTTTTCTGTGCTTGATATCATTGCCCCGGGATACAGAGATACCACACGCCAATTTTCAGCTTCTAAACCGAATAGGAGGCAAAAGTCTAAATTTGAGTGCCACTTTTGCATCGCCTCCAACAATACCGCCGCTGATTATGCTCGGACTACGATGACACAGAACTTGATCCGCATCTATCACGATAGTCTGGAGAATGCGTTGTCTTGTTGGCTGACGGAGCACAACTGTCCGTACAGCGACCCCTTGACTGATATGCTCCCGTATAAAGAAAGAAATGAATGGAGTTCAAGCTGGCCCAACAGAATGTGTATTCGGGTTTGTCGATTAGATCGTGCATCTTCTCACATCCGCGGCCGGAATTTGAGCGCCGACGAGGATAAAGCTGCAGCCCGGGCCCTTCATCTCTCAATCATCGCATTTGCCTCACAGTGGACCCAGCACGCGCAGAAGGGTTCGAATCTAAATGTACCAGCGGAAATTGCTCGTGATGAAAGGTCTATCCGGGAGAATGTTTGGAATCAGGCTCGTCACGCTTTGGAGCACACGACCGGTATCCCGTCATTTCGTATCATCTTTGCCAATATCATTTTCTCCCTGACTCAATGTCCTTTGGACGAAGATGAAGACGAGCGTCTGGGCCAGCTCTTAGAGAATGATGTCGCACCGATGTTTCTGGAACATGCCAACCGTCAACTATTCACCTTCCGACACAAGTTGACGAGGCTTCAACGCGAGGCGCCCTCTCACGTTAGAGAGTTGCGAAGGGAGTCTATGGGATCCACGCTGACCGATATGTCGGAAGTACCAAGGTTTTCAAGCACTGCACCAGCCGATCCCACACTCGCGAATGACGAACACCGCACCACGCTTAGCCTTTTATTCTGGCTAGGGGTCATGTTCGATACGCTCAGTGCCGCCATGTACCAGCGTCCACTGGTGGTGTCAGATGAGGACAGTCAAATCACCTCAATCATCCCTGTATCCGAACTCGAAGATCAAGTGGATCTCAACGGCTGGAACCTCCCACGAAACGAGATGCAGAAGAAAAAGGATGTATGGGGCGATTTCTTCCTCCACCAAGCAGAACAGCCTCGATGGCCATGCTCTTACGAACAAGCCGCTTCCGTCCTTTCAGAAGCAACTCCAGTCAAGGTCCTGCTTTATCGCCGCGTCACGCAACTCCAAACCCTGGTATATCGAGGCGTTGGACCAAAACGGCTCGAAGAAGTCATCAATGAGACTCTCCTGGTCTATCACCACTGGAATAATACATACCAACGGTTCATGCTGGACTGCGTTGCCAACCATGAACTGCTACCACCGCGTATACAGTCTTGGTATGTCATTCTTGACGGACATTGGCATCTCGCTACTATGCTTCTAGCAGACGTTCTGGAAACCGTGGATCGGGGAAAACTCGGCTCTGATGTCGAGCGTGAATCTCGACATTCTTCAAACTTAATCACAAAGCTGAGAAGAGAGAACGCATTTGCAGTTGGGGCTCTTGCTCGCTCATCACTTCGTGGGAAAGAGTCCATCGTTCGTGTTGATTTCCACGATTCACTCACCGAGGTCGCCTTCCTTACAGAGCCGTGGACGGTCGTTTTGATTCACTCGTTTGCCAAGGCGGGATACATTTCTGTGGAAGGAATGGATATGTCTAGTGAACAAGATTCATTATCTGAATGTTTCCGGCAGAATTGCGAATTCTGTATTTCGGCGCTTCAATATCTGGGAAGAAAGTCTGATATGGCTACGTTAGTGGCTCGCGACTTGTCGAGAAATTTGAATGTGAAGCTTAGCCGTCGATTTTATGTAGTATAGTGTCACATAGTTAGAAGGAAATAGGATGTACATGACTTCCAAGTTTCTTCTCTCAAAGGATTGCGAGCCTATGTTCTAACCAAAGAAGACATCTAGGAACACAGGTATCTTATAAGAAGTAAAAAAGCCACCGACTGCGGTCTATTTTCAGTTCCTATATACAAGGTGGACTATATACCTATATGGGTAAAAAAAAAAGGGCTTCCTTTTACAAAGTCGAAAACAAAAAGAGTCCAGACCCCCCGAACCATGCACCGACTCCACCGATCATGACAAAAACAAAACGAAGAAAAACAAAAAATACTCCGACTTATGGAGAGATGATAAAAATCCAATCCACCCAGGTAATGATGCACCAGGTATACACGAAGACTGTAACCCAAAACCAAGACCCAGGAACACACGAAAACTCCCCGTTCTGCCTGCCCTAGCCTGCTTTCCTTCGAACGATATAACAAATCACGGAAAACAAGGTAACAAGAATTGAATAATCACTGGTGGTAGATGGTAGGTAAGAGGAGATCGCGTCACATCGTTATATCCAATGCCTGAGTGTGCTTTCCTTTCTGCGGAAGGCACCTTCAAGAAGCTTGGAAGTTTTATTTTTTTTTGGTTGTGATTTTGGCTTTTTTGCCTTAAAAGACCTGGTCCCCTCCGGACGATGCGAAGGAGGACACGGGTGCGGACGCAGCGTATATAGCGTCGAGTGGATGTGACCCACCACTCTTTGGAGACAAGGCACGAGCACAAGCAAAGCTGTGAGACAGCAGTGCAAAAAAAAGCCAAACCACTTGGGCGCAGCGCGCCCAAGCAAATGTCACTGCTCACTAAGGACCTCCTCGATGGTATTTGAGGTTAGCGAACCGGAGCCCTGCGGCCCTGATATACTGCCAGATTTATCCCTAGGCTCAGGAGGCTGCTCCTCCTTCATGCACGCATTTTCAAGGATATTAGTCCACTTGCCACTACTCCCGGCATGGCTATGCTTCAGATGCTGGCGGAAGTGGTCGGCACGGAAGAATTTCTTCGCGTTGTTGCACTCGCCAAACTTGTGCACGGTCGTCAGGTGCTCGAACCGGCGATCCCAGTCGGGTCGTGGGAAATTGGGGAACTCTTCTCCGCAGTATCCGCATGAATCGTGCGAGGGGCCAGCGTTGGTTTGGCAAGATGGAGCGGTGGAGCCATGGAAGGCCGCCTGGAAGCTCGGGAGAGCGGCGCAGGACCAGGAATGACGGCGGAGGTGCAAGGAATTTTGGTGACGCTCTGCTTCGTTCTTATTCTTGAACCTGTTGTTGCAGTATTGGCAGGAGTATTGCTTTTCCATTTCGTGAGAGCTGCTTTGAAGTTAGAATTGGGAGCTATAGAATGTTTGTAAATTGGCATCGAACTCACCGAAGATCATCCGGATTGTCAAACTTTTTCGGTTTCTTGGGACAACAATCACAGATGTATAGTCCGCCCATCTTTGATGCAGGTGAAGCTTTCGGCACGCTGAGGATACTTGGCATGGACACCTTTCCCGTGGCATCGGTTGCAGGCGGTTCTAGAGTATTTGAGCCAGTCACAGATCTCGGGAGCGATTGCATGAGCGATACAGGAGAACTCGGGTTCAGGATTGACTTTTCGTGGAACGCATCCAAATCGGAACTGGGCGAGAGACCTCCCGGAGATGGCCTATCATATGGCGAGAGGCTGGTCATGCTGCTACCTCCAATCGAAAGAGCAGACGAGTAGGATCCGGAGGTTCGAATGCTGAGCGATGATGCTGCGGAAAGAGTCCTGTGACTCGGAGCATAGCTAGGGTTAACCGAGAGAGTATTCGTGAAAGGTTGTCCACTCGTCCGGCGTTGCGATAAATCACCATTGCTTGTCGCCGAGTGCAAGGTATGCCTATCGTCACCCATCGGCTCTCGTGGTGGCGAAGATGCTCGTCGCTTCATGCCTTGCCTTGAACCCTCGGGATATGGCGGCGTCGGTTCCCGAAGAATGAACTGGCGTGGCGGAGCCAGCTCATCGGTAGAAAACTCACCATCAATGTCGGAGAAAACGCCTTGGTCGTAGCTCCCACGGTTGGAGCGGCTAGGTAGACTGATACTATCTTCCCTGGAAGGCGTCGTTCCACGATATCGTCGTCGACCCACGTCTCGCATATAGTCGTAATCCAATGCCGAAGAAGGCGCATTACTCTCCACGCTCGGACTGCGTCCTTCGATATACTCCCTCCAACCAACTTTACTCCTCGGGGAAACTCCGCCTGATTGAGGGCTGCTGTACCATTTAACATCCAAAGTCGAGCCAGCTTCTGACGGTCCTGGGGATGGTAGGTTGCTGGATGCGCGCGACGGAATTGATGGAACCGTCAGTGCCGAAATTGATCCTCGGTGATCAGATCCTTGGCTGATCGAGTTGCGTGGTGAAAGAGTATTTCCAATCTTCGAAAGTACATGTTGATCGTATGCATTTGACGAGTCCTTGACGCTGCGCAGCGAAAAGTTCTGCTCGCCCTTGAGACTATAAATTCATTAGTATTTTTGCCCACCCGCTAGAGACTAAGCATATGCGACCCGGAGGATCTGCAAATACCACCAATTGCAGCGCGAACTCCAAGAAAACTTACATCGGGCCCGTAGTGTTGACGGCCATAGAATTCGGGAACCCTTCATCTGTTGGAGGTGGCGGTTCAATCTTAATCTGCGCCTCTGGACTGCGCGAAAGCGGAAATCCATTTTGTCGTCCTTCCAGTTCATCAACTGCCATACGATCACTCATCGGCGCAGAATCAGGTCGTCGATGGCCACCGAAAAGGCTCGAATTGGGGTTAATCGGTGGAAGACTCGTCGTTGAACGACTCGAATTCGCATATAGCCAACCCGCATCATAGCCATTCTCCAGATCGCGAATACGCGGCGGCGGAGGTAAAGGTGGCGGAGCAGTGTGCATGACGGGCCGAGAAGGTATAGGTAACGGGCCGTGCGATGAGAATGAAGAATTGGGCATCATATGGACGCGATCAGAGTGGCGGTCGTGATGATCCTTGTAATCATAGAAGCTATGCGATGACATTCGTTGGTCCATGCTCGTCTGATTCGGAGCAATTCACAGCGGGTGTTATGAAGCGAAGCTAGCATGAACGGGCTGAGGCTGAGAGACACGACCGAGCAGGTGGGGATGGCGGATAACGGCCGGATGACAGCCTCACGAGATGACCGAGGAAAATAAGATAGAAAAAATAAGCAAAAAAATAAGATAACCCCAAAAGGCGAATGGGTTTGAGATAATCGGAATGATAGGCAGATGGAATCCAGATAGTGTCGCAGCAATAGCCCAATCCAGTTGAGATGCAAGCGTCGTGAAACCGGCCGTGAATTCTTAGGGGGGCCGTTTAACCAGCCTCCGCCTCCGATGACTTCAAACCGGAAGGTCCAGCTTCAAATGGGTCAATAAGCGCGAGCCGACGGCGACGTGCGTGTCCAAGACACCAGGACTGGGTGTAAATAGCCCAGAAAAGCAGTGTTCATGCGGCTGGGAATGTGCTAGCAGCTAGTTGAGAGTTAGACCGGGTGGCACCGAGGAAGAAGTTGTAAAAAGCGCGGTGAGTGACCTAATATCGAGGGGGTGGCCCAGGACTAAGCGGGTAGATGAATAGGGTGTGGATAGGTGGAGGGGGGTGGAGTGGTATTAGGTGATGGGTGATGTGCGTGGATCATAGGGACAATAGAAATAGAAACAGAAATAGGAATAGGGCAAGGGTATAATTGACCAGAACCAAGCAACCAACGAGTAGGGCTGAACATTTGGCGACTTACTTCCGGAACCCTTGTTCGGCGATTCGCCTCATGGGATGAAACGTTTGCCGCAAGAGTGACACACACACAGCCCTGTCCAGAAGCCCGTCGTGTGTCCCATAGAACCAAGTTAATCGTACAGAGCGGGACCAGGGCCACTCATGCTTTTTTGTTCTTTTTGCGCTTGCAATCTGGAAATTTCTTGTTCCTATTTCAATTAGGAAAAAAAGGTAATCAAGAAATGTAAATCCAAAGGGGGAGGCGAAAAGGATGTTGTTGGGTATCGTTTCCGCGCGCACGAGGGAAAGGAACAGAGAAAGTCGAGTGTAACTAGATACCCTCAAGGTATCAATCAAGAAGAACAAGATAGAAAATATCTCGGTCTCGATCGTCTCTCTATCATTCGGGCACTCTGCCGCTAGTTGAACAATTGGACAAATGATAGATTCCCCTAGCTGGTTGCGGGAGGCAAAAGGAAGGTACGAAGCTGAAAAAATGATATGAAGACAAGTACCCCGTAATAATGCGCACTAGTTCGAAACCAGAGCAAAAGCGCGAAGAATAGGAAGAACCAAAGAGGAAAAGGGAAATAGAAAAAAAGATGTCAAGGTGTGGTGGGAAATCGGGCAGGTAGACAGACAAGTCAGGCAAGATGGCGGTGCAACCAGGTGATTGGGTGCAAGGGCATGAGCCAAAAAGTAATTAAGATGGAAGGGGAGGCAATTCCGGTGATCTCATCCTCACCGAGCTGAGCCAAGAAGGGGGAGGGTGTGGAAAGAGAGGGGTGGAATAATGAATTTAGGGAAAAAGGTGGAGGAAAGGAAGAAAGAAAGAGAGGGTGATGAATGGTACGAGAGCTGGGGGAGAGGAATCTGGAACGTCTTCAAGTCGCGAGGCAAAAAACGAGACGAAAATGGTAAAAAAGAGAGGAAATTTAATAAATAGGAATAATAATGAATAATGAATAAAGAGGAATATTGAAACATCGACAAAATTGGATGGGTCTGGTCGGACTTAACCTGCAGTTCGGGGGGTGTTGACGTGGTGGTGGTAAAAGAGGCAAAAGACGAGAAAAATAAGGGAAAACACTAAGCCAGCCGTAACGGGTCGTGTATAATTGTATATGTATGTATGGTCCGAGTACATTGTAAGCCACATACAATTTAAATACATACACGAGACAAGATACACTTTGGCCCAGAACGTGGCCGCCATTTTTTCCCGGATACAATCAGATCCTGTCATCCGGTCTCCGGTCATACAATAATGAGACGAAATTGAGTTTCTAACATTGTTTATTACTACAGTTATTACGTCTTGGGCTAATTTGGGGACGGTAGGGTTTAGTGTGGGTGGTACTGGTGGCCACGTTGGAAGAATGACCCGACCATCGGTAGGGCACAAGGCGCAAGGCATCCGGGGCTGGGCGCGAATTAAACTCTTGACGATGCCAACCACTTCTACGGCCACTTGGTCGTATCATCATGCATGCTACATGCCGTAGTGTAGGACCTTCGGTAGTGCTTAGGCTTAGGCTTAATCGGGTAATGACAAGGATGTCCCTCCCGTACTGCTAGTTAGAGTAGTACACTACAATTTCATACAAAATACAGTAGGCCCTAGTCCAGTTTAGTCCGCAGACTTATCCATCTCAGGCTAACGGACCTCAGCCTTAGAAGGAAAATGCGCGCGAGAGCCCGGGATCCCGTAATTTTACTTTGGTTCTGCTCGAATCAGAAGTCTGGGCAGACCTTTCACCCGTGGTTCCTTTTCCCATTGAACCTGGGTAATGGACCTTCCAGAAACTGGGATGTTGTGGAAAGGCTAACGAAGGGCTGGCATTTTAGATATGGGGCCTGCGACAGCCGTGGACAAATGAAATCCATTGCTGTCCCAGCCTTAACTTTCGATCTTATATGATGGGTTGTGAGGAACCAACCAGAGATGCTGGAAAGTATTAAACAAATTTTACAAGTTCCTTGCCCCTCATCAATTTCCCTGTGCTGTGAAGGACTCGATAACTCTATATGTTCAATGATCTCATGCATTAGATGTTTCGCAACAACTTTAAGGAAATTTCCCTAAAACCCGGGTTTAACAATGCAAGGGCATGACAAACTACCAAGGGAATTGGCGACGCGACCAGCTACCGACGGTGAAGCTACAACCAGGGGCTGTAGCATTGTAGTAACTAATGAAAACGGGCCGTTGCGACTGTCATAGCGCTTTCCTACAGGCCACTCCGTCTAGCAACGAGAGAATGGCCGAAAAGCTCCGTGAAGAACCATGGTTAGCGCGGGCCATTGCTGACATTCATGATGCCGAAGAGGGGCTAGGACAACGGAGTTAAAGATCGAGAAAGCAACGAACGAGGATAATAGGGGCGGCGCTGAGCCAGTAACAATCTACAAATTGGGATGTCTTGGCGGTAGGCTTATATCTCCTCGGACAGAGTGACACTACTGCAGTCGCGCGATTAAAGAAATCCTGCCGGGCGGGATTGTATTTCGTACTAAGCTGCGAAAGGGATGGACGATGGGATAAAAGCCCATGTTATCATGTAATGCTGCAGGGATCCCCGCAACGGTCAAATTGTTCGATCAGATTGACCTGCATCGGAGGATTCGGATTCCCGTAGCGTGGGCTTATTCGTTTGATATATTAATCGTCCTATTGTGTTAAGTTTTGTATCTTTGTCTTCTTTCATTTCTTCGTCCGGTCTTCGACGGGGAATACTTCGATCTTGTTTCTCCCTGTACTCCGTTGAGAGGGGCCCGGACAGGGGTGGACAGTCGCATGCAAAAAGCAAAGAGAACATTCTTTCTTGCCTCCACAAGTAGCGGACAATCGTGAGTCGTTGGTGGTGACCCACTGATTTCCTAGCGCGCTCCACTTGGGCCCAGTCCTGCATGCACTGCCACACTGACGGTCCGCTGTCACTTGGGGGAGAAGGAACAGGGGGGCTGAAAAAGTCCTCGGGCAGGGGTAGGTTTGCACAAATCAATCCTTCGATGACGATTCTGCGGGACTCGAAGTTTGGTTTTGGAACAGTGAGATGTGGCATGTTTGACAGCCCTACGTTGTCAAATGGTTGGATATTGAAGAAAGATGTGTGACATTCAGGGTAAGCTCCCGAACAAGCATTGCTGAGTCAGCAGAGCCTATGATCCATTTGGGAGAACCATGAAGATACCCGTTGTACGGAGTACAGTACACAACTCAAGTACACTGCCCTTTTAGGGTAGCGCAGGTGGTGCTCCACACCAGCTACTTTACAACCTGATCTAAACGTGTTCTACGGGACTTTGGTTTTCTTGGCCTTTTCGCCCTTGCTATCATTTTTCCAAGGTTCACTCTTCGCTAAGAGTCTTAGACACGAACCAGCCTCCAGGAGCCTCGGAGAGGTCCCTAAAGTTGGTTGTTGGTACGAGCAGCGGGGCAACTTCTGCGTCTCTAGTGGACGGGGTATACCCGGGTAAGTTAACGGGAGGACGGATGTACTATGTAGTGTTTGAGTCGGTGCTTGTTAGGGAGGTACTCGCGTAAAGAAAGATTCCTGCGAGAGTAGGGTAGTATATCGAGAATTGCAATAATAATGCTACCCGAATACAACCACATCAGTAGACATACCACCACGGAGTACTTCATGTTGTGGGCTATCATATGTATCGCCTGACAATTCGCTGTCGGTCTTGACTCGCGTGGCCTGAATAAACACCTTGGCGTCGTACGGCATTGCATATATATTCATGCCGAGGTATGGCAAAACGCTCGTAGGGGTTACTTTCGCCCAGGCCCGGTCAAATTTGACACCTCACTCTCTATGTACTTCCCAATGTGGCAATGACAACGCGGTCAGCACGAGATCCAAGGATCACACTGTATAAGGCGTCACCCTAAGCCTTAAGAGGCTGTGGTCTGAGCGACTGCATGCATCAGCGCCAGCGCCAGCGCCTCTGGTTCCCTCCTCACCAATACTTCAGGTGACGCGACGCCCCCAGCCCTGGGGGCTTGGGAATTTCGCGGTTCTATACGCGCCTCTCTCGGCATGGACGCATGTCAGTTGAACGGTACCGTGTGATTCGCGTGGTCTGGTTGCAGTTCAAGTGCTCCGTATAGATTACTTGAATGATTGTTACTGCGGTCCTCATGGACCATGGCTCTCATAGATGACTTCCAAATTTACCGGCGGCAAGTCAGAAAACCCCTTGCAGGAGCGGCTAGTCGAATAATTGGCCGGACATCGTGGTGGATTGAAGGTTGTCGGGGATAAATCAGGGCCCCACCCACGGGGCGTGAACCGCTCGGCTAGAGCTTTCCATCACCTCACCGAGATTTCTAGCGTATGCAGTGGAAAACGTACGGAATGATTCGCTGGGTATGCTCAACCACATCGCTAGCACGGGAAGATATCTAATGTAAACGGTGTAGATTCTGGATCTCTAGTCTGTGATAGTGGTGGCGAGCTGGAGAGTGGTTCGTAGAGGAGAGATTGCACCTCCAATTGGTGGAATGGTCCACGAGCTTCGAGGCCAATCAGGGTCCGTTTAGCCTTGCCTACAGTAGCTTGGAAAGACCCGTCGCATCTCTTCGCATCGTGACACAAGCTATGCTCAGATCGGCTCGTCCAATCCTTTCGAAAATGCGGAGTGAATCGTAGGTGGGTAGCTCCGGTGCACTGGGTCATGCATCCACTCTCGCAAGTCTCGTGCACTGGTCCATGAATGCTGCCAGAGATTGGCTGCCCCCAGCAGTTCGCGAGAACTCAATACAGAGTATCTCAGCTGCGGCGGTACCGATGCAGTGGATGGTGTTACTAGTCGAAATTGGGGCTGAGAAATGGATTCAAGATGTGATGGAGAGAGTAAACAATCATGATGTTGCAGCCTCAGGCAGGAATAACAGTGATATGGTCACCTGGTATAATTGTGCCCTTACCCTAATTGCCAGTTTGGGCGACGGGTAACTGTTTGAGTTGGGGCCGAGGCTCAAAGGGAAATCTCCGCCTACTCGATTGGGAGGAAAGAGTCTGCTGCATCTACTTTGTTTGATACTGTCAGAATTTGATATTCACCACTCAACTTGCATCTTCATTCACTCTCTTGTTCAAAGTATCGTGAGACCGTCACCACCAGCATGGCCATGAATCAAGTTCCTGGTCATAACATATACATCGGCGGGTAAGAAGACTTCACCAATCCTCGATACTCGCCTTGGCTATTGTTTGTCAAAGTGGGCCTTGATATTGGTACCCTTGGGCGTGCCGCTCTATTATTATTCCCTCTCTACTAACTCGGTCCCCATGTGTATAGGATCTTCTGCCTAAAGAACAAAGCTGCTCTAGCTCGAGCAGACATCACCCATGTTCTTTCTGTGCTACGACTGAACCCCGCTGAGGAAACATTCGCATCTTATCAACATCATCTCTATTCCTGTTGATGATGTTGAAGATGAGAACCTTTTAGAACACTTGCCAGCCGCTGTCCGGTTCATTCAAGCTGGTTTAGACGGTGGTGGCGGTGTTTTGGTGCACTGGTGAGTCCGTTTCCTTTTGATTCTTTTCCCTGTCGTATCGCCCTATCCAGGCTGGTCTTCGATGACCGCTCGGGTCCTTTCTTGCTTCTAGCAGCTTCTTTTTCCGGAGATTTTCCATCTGCCCGCCTGCGACGGCCTCCTACGTCACTACGTGCTATATCAATTACGATCTGCGCGTAGCTGGAGTATGTTGTGTCTTTGCATTTCCGGGGCTTGCTATTGGACGCCTTGCCTTTTCTCCGTCCCTTTTTGCCTTGCTTATTTTGTGTATCCTGCACCTCAGGATTAAACACAAAGTCGTGCACTCTCTGCAACATGCATCAGTACCTATTAAACACTAATCATGTCGATCTAGTGCTATGGGCAAGTCCCGGTCCGCAACTGTATGCATTGCCTACTTGCTCCACCAGCAGCCTGGTGCGCTCACACCACAATCTGCCCTCGAGATTTTGAGGCAAGCCCGGCCACTCTGTGAACCTAATGACGGCTTCATGAAACAGTTGGAGCTGTACCACGAAATGGGCTGTCCAGACGATGTCACAGAAAACCCTGTGTACCAGCGCTGGTTGTACCACCGTGATGTCGAAGAAAGTGTCGCGTGTGGCCGGGCCCCAGAATTGAAGTCGGTGCGCTTTGAAGACGAGCTGCCCGTTCAGCCCAAGGAAAATAATACCGGCCGCTCGGTGGAGATTAAGTGCCGCAAGTGCCGGTTCGTATCTACTTCCCAAACGGGCTACACCTGCCATTCGGGGCCGTCATCGAAGACCACTAACGTCCCTAATTAGGCGCACCCTCGCGACAACCCCATTCATTATCAATCACGAGCAGAATCAACAGAGGAGTGCCAGAGCGCCCGCCAATGTGGAATGTGCGCATGTATTCCTCCATCCGCTGAAGTGGATGCGGCCCAGTTTATTCCCGTCATCAGTTCAAGATGGCGCAGACCCCGATGCGGATTCAACCTATGATGAATACTCCGCAGATGCTCCTTTATCAGGTCGCCTAACCTGCCCTAACTCAGGCTGCGGGGCTAACATTGGTAAATTCGCCTGGCAAGGCATGCAATGTAGCTGTGGTGGATGGGTGGTGCCTGCTATCGGGCTTGCTAAGGCCCGAGTGGATATTGCGAGTCGGACAAATTTGGCAGCACGAGGTCCAGGAGAATCACCAGCATTGGGTATTCGTATGCCTCCAGGTATGCGGGCGTCTGAGACAAATGATCCTGGCTCTGGACGTGGCAACCTCTAGAATATCCCTTTTTTTTTATGACGACGATTTAAAAAAGACATCTCTGCATCTGTGCATATGGATTATTTACGAGCCAAGAAAACTTTCTCAGTGACTCTTCAGTCTCCACGAATATTTGCTTCTGTATTGTGATTTGTCCCTTGGGTTGTTTTGAGCCACCACATAAGCGTGATGATCGACAGGGTCTCTCCACATTATTGTCCGTGACGAATGCGATTGATCAACACCGCAAGCCACGCGAGAACATATTATCAATAATGTACCAAGTAGACGACTCAGGCATCTCGTGCGGCGAAGCCTACACCTCTACGACGGCCACTTGCGTCATCTAAAAGCGAGGATTGTCCGAGCGAATTTCGAACCATAGATGCCTGATGTGATCGACAGTACATTGGAATGAAAGGTGTCAGCATGAAGCAGACGCAGGAGGCTCCAAGTCCGTTGGTGCTCCGATCCCCCAATGAAGACACATGTCAGATCTCTCTAGCGGTCGAGGCCTCGTGTGATCAGATCACTATCGAATCCGCTCATTCGCTTTCCAACCACAATGCGCGGTAATATTGCCCAGACTTTGCGGCAGCTGTCTTGGAGTATACGAAGAGGCTCTAAGACAGGCCAAGATGGTGATATACGCAGGATAGCGGGCTAGCGGCTCTGCTGACCCTTTCCCCATGAACCGTGTCTCACTACTGGCTATAAATAATTGTTGAAGCTCGTGGGAGCTGATGTGAGGTTCGCAACATCAGCCCTGTTCCTGCCTAGATAAGCTGTATATCCGTGCCGCGAATCAGCCTCATCTTAGTCCGTGCCCACCAGAGCTCCCTTGATTGATGCACGGAATTTCCCTTTCTGACAGATCTCACCCTGCCTATTTTAGTGGTTGTTGCAGCCTTAAACTTCGTCAGACGAGGGTGATAGTAATGCGAGACAGTCAATACCCCATGCGCGCCAATTGGAAGATATTTCCACTATAGAAATCTAGTCTGACCAAAAGTGAGAACCAATGCGTATGTAGGGCTGCATCATCCCGAACGACATGTCAACCAGTGGCTGAATGGCTGATGGGTGCCCTCAAACCACAAACCTTGGAACATCCATCTGACTATGATCGCCAAGGGAGCAAACATGACTCGGGATCCTCAGCCGGAGGCGTTGAAGGCTTGAAGCCAGGGGTAACTCGTACTCTCGTACCAGTCAACAGGGGCATGTCACCGCCGCCCTGTCGTTCGTCGGCTCCAGCAGCTCTCCACCCTTTTCCAACAGCCTTTTCGGTGATTCGGGGAGCGGCGGCGGCCACGATTTGTAAGTTTGGATCTTGGACATACAGTACCCTGATCCATACTTTTGTTCTTTCTTCAACTTTCCCCACGAGGAATTAGCCCCACATTCCCAGAAACGCTATCACGGTTGTGCATCATCATCATCATCAACTTCAAGGTGCAAAACTGCAAGACTCGTGTTTCATCTCAGGATCAGCGCTGGCGAGACGCCAATGACGCTGGGTCGGAACCGAGCCTGGTGCTGATTTGCTCCCTCCGGGCCCTACAGGCTCCTTCAGCCTTCAGGGAGGGCGACTTTTCCAAGGTTGGGAAGAATCAGGTCGACGGAAGGAGGCTGTGCAAAGCGGGTCGTCCTTCCTGCTGCTCCCGATTGGTTGTGACTGACGCTAGCGGTGCGTATCGGTATTACCTGTTTGTGACGGTTATTACTTACGTCTTGACATGGGTCAAATGGATGGATCACTATGCGAGAGAAAAACGAAAGATGCCCTGGGGGAAGTTGTCCAATGGGAACCGGTACCATCTGGCGGGTACGTAGGGTTGTAGGTTGGTTCAGGGCAATTTAGGGAATGGCACACCACTCTGCCTTCACGGTTAGGACTGTGAGTGTTGGGGGTCATTTTTGAGACGGGTCCCTGAGATCAGCTAACTGGCAACTACATCCTTCCTTAACTGTTCCTGAATCGCAAATGTTCGTGATCAAACATTCTACCGATGGAATTAACTTACAACTTTAGCCTCTAAGCATTATGTCAGTACTCCGTACAGGCTACAGCCCAGAAGCCCTAGCATATTATACCCGCGAGCACCCGGTCACCAAGCTCTCTATACAAGCGGACCTAGCCTAAGAGCCCGCCCTATTGGCAGGCCCGTGGGCCCTGGTGGGGGTGGGGCAGTGCACTGCCTTGCAGGGGGGGAAGCTCTCAGCTTCTTGTGGAGTCTCGACAGCCAAGTGCTCCTGGACGCGATGCATACTCCAACCTAACTGCCTATAGAGGTGCAAGATCGGTCGGTAATATCATAGCTCCCTTGATCTAATCTTCCTCTCTCGATTATAGTAGTAGGTGCCTGATTAACCTTGAATTCCGTAATGGGCTACTTTCGCACTATGACTCAGGTGCCGCGATCGCCTTGCATATACCTGCGACGGCGTTTCACAGAGTTTGGGCTGTTTTAGCGGAGGGTGGCTTGCGTGGATTAGCGCCGCTTGGTCTGGCGAAATGGGACAGTGGCTGGCTAAGGGGTATGTATGTAATCTGTTATTTGGTGACTGATGTACCCCGCATCGTTCTCCTCATCATGTTGTGTGTAGGTTGATGCCTGTTGCTGGCTCTATGTTTAGTTTATGTACCCCGTACTATTGATATAGCTTGTCGGGCTGGATCGAAAATGTAGCCTGGTGTACCTTTACCATTGAAGAAGCGGGGATAGGCGGGTTCGAAAATTGGAGATCACTAATTAATTAGCATAACGCTAATTTGCTAGTTCAGCTTCATGCAGCTCAATATTTCGGTACCTCATCACGCCAAGATGAAGTATGTGTCCTCGAATACTCCATCGTTGAGTATTGCCTGCTACAATCTTTGGAGGGTTGCTAGGCATCTATGATCAAATGGTACAGTTTGACATGCTAAACTATCCATTTTCAATGGTACACAGCGGGTACACTAAACGTGTAGGGTTAGCTTAGTAGGTTGATGGTGTGATAACCGCGCTTGGGGACCCTGCGGGCATCATCGCAAAATGGACCCCAAACTAGGCAAAATTGAGCCTCATCGAAAGAACAGCAGGTGATAAGACCATCTAGTCGGTTAATATATCCATAGATCATCGTATCAGGCAGCCATATGTGGAATCAGTGAGACACTATTTGCAAGGCGCAAGCTGCAGCCTGCTCCCTTAGCCGAACGACCCTCTATCTATTGAGGCTGAGGTTCTGGCCACGAATCTCATGGTGGGGGTTGATGATGCTAGATGAGCCCGCCAAATGCTCTTGAGAAAGATATCTCCGCATGACACAAACTATACGCTTAAATAAGAAGTAAGCGCGAGTCCTGTCACATCAACACTTAACTAATAGTGATAGTCTAAGGCAGAGTCAGCCTGCCACAGCGCCGTTGAGATAGTACATGTCCAACCACCTAGGCCCAAGCCTCATGCCAGTGCGCCTCTCAGGCAGCCTTATGTATGAAATTTGGCGGAAAACTAGCCGATACCGAGATCGGCGAATACGAGCGAAGCCTACTAGGGCTGACGGGGGCCGTTTTCTGGAAGAAGAGGGGTGGAAGCTTTATGACAAAGAGAGCACGCCTTAACGGTGACGAGCTTTAGTGCTTATTCCCGTGCAAAACACCCCACCAAACAGATCCGATCTAACGTCGCGCCATTCGTCCGTACTCGAGCTCGTCCTTCGTGGAAAGCGCGGTGAGCATGACCCCTCTAAACGCGACGTAAAAGCGGGACTCTGAATCCTGATGAAGATCCTAAGCTAATGATGAAGCGTGATCCTAGTCTGTGTAAATGGGCCGAGGTGGGAGGCCTTGCATTGAGGAGAGTATGTACAACGATAAACTTGTAGACGAGGGTGTGATCAATCTGTGGACTGTGCTTTTTTCGCTTTTCGCTTTTACCTTTCTCAGCCCAACCGCAGGGCGTACACGGGGACTTCGCTCCCTCCCGCAGAATTGGACCCCTGATCGTTTCGCGAAGACGGTAACTAGGATGACGGGCGTCTGCGCTGCGCGCGTGCTCGAGTCCTGTTAGCCCTGTGGTGCGGCCGGCCTAATTAGGATGTCACATCGGCGCAAGCTTTGCTAGTTTAGTGCCTCTCTTCCCCCCGCTGTGATGACATTGGACTTGAGATGGCCTAGACAGAGGGTTACTGCAAAGCCACCCTTGGCATGTCGTGGACATGCAGTAGGATGAGATAGGTCTTGCTTGAAGGAATGGGCTTTCGCGACGTGGTTGCATCCGCTGACTTCCGTGATCGGGGTTCGAGAGGGGTAGGCATGTTGCTGGCCTGATGAGGTGTATCCTGGGAGGTGAAGGTTGACTGGATCTATAGTGGTTGTGGCTGGCTCCGTAGGCTTTAGTGCATGAGCCACGTTTGGACTGGTCTCTTTAGGCGAGCTTCCAGCACTGATGAGCGTGCCTCATGGCACCATGAGAGCGAGAGGTAATAGAGAAAGTTGGACATGCTGCATTAGAAGCATTGATGTTGCAAAAGGCCATGACTCATCGTAAACATGCGGGTGTCGATATTAGAGATCCTTGGTGGGGACAGAGGGGAAGAGAGAAGGATTCTTCATTCGCCCCTGGTTTCGTTTGGCCATCTCAATGCCTCGAAGTCGATCAATACGCATCTGATAAAACGTCCTGTAATCAATGAGTAATGGGAACCGCTATGAGCGGTTTGCAAACATACTTGTGTAGCGCAAAAATTCGAGGACCGTTATCAGGCTTCGGCTCTGTCCCCTTTTTTGATAGAATCAATCTGAAGGATAGACAACTTAGTACGACTGGACCGACTTAACGCATGATAATCGCTTCCGGACTCACCTTCTCATCTCTTTCCTTCTCATCGTTAGTCTTAGAATCGGCGGAATCTTTATCTTTGGAGTCGTCCTTATCCTTCTTCTTGTCCTTCTCCTTGTCTTTTACATCCTTGCTAGATTGCTTTTCGCGCTCCTTCTTCCGCTTTTGTTTCTCCTCATACTCTTTTTTGACCTTTTCAATTTCTTCGGCCATTTGCTGCTCTTTCAAACGCGCTGCTTCGCCCTCGGCATCGACGATGGGCGAGCAGAAGTGGCGGTCCTGGAGATGTGCGGGGCACACGTAGAAGAAGTCCTGTCGACGATGTGAGTGAGTGAGTGAGGAATTAAAACACCGATTTGATTTAGCCAAAATTGTTGATCTTTTGCCGCTGTTTATCAATGAAGGGTATATCTTGAGCAGTCTTACCTTGTTGTCAGGGGTGATCATCACGCTGGTGGACGGCTTGTAGCAGATTAAACATGCCCTTGCGGAGGTATCCGCGACTCGGCGCAAATGATAGACGTTCGTCAGAGACATGGCTGAAGATTATTGGAGCTTTGGATTCTGTAGAGCAAGCTCAACGAGGTCTGGATTTGATGTAGCTCAGACAGCTCAAGTCAAGCACAGGTGCGCTAGACATGAGGTTATCCGAAAGACGCTGTCATGTGACTTGGTCTGAGGGACGCAACAACAGCATTCAAAGTTTCTCAGAATGAGCTACGACACTCTCTAGGGAAGAGAAATCCAATACAACAGATTCAAGAAATACAATGATGATTCGATTCCTATCAAAAACGCCAAACCATGCATTTGTTCTTCCTTGAGACAACGCCTCCGAAAGATACGTAAAAAAGATAACATAATAACAATCAGATCCCAGAAGTTATGAGATTCTCGTAGATCATAGAGTGAATTCATCCTCCTCAATACCGGCGGCTTCCCTCGCCAGACGAAGGTCCTTGCCAGTGACACCGATGTCCCGCAGGTAGGGCTTGAACGCTTCCAAAAGGTCACATAAACCGCTCTGCAGGGTATCAAGCACCAACTCCACCTCGGGGACTTTCCGTGCCTCTGCTTGTGCCTGGGGCTGGCTAGAGGGAGGGAAGTAGACGTCGGTCCAGTGCGCATCAAGACCGCCCTGATGAACGAAAGCATCGAGAGACATGATAGTCTGAGTAAATAGGTTAACCACTGATGGCACATCCGTTTGCACTTTGCCGTATTGATCTTCATCAAGACTGGCAATTAGCATACGCGTCAAGGAATCAACGGCATCCACGATTGAGCCAAGAGAGGAGTCGGGAGTGCCAAATACAATGCTCGATGCTCGCTGGGAATATGTTTGTCGCAGCGGCGGGCACCATTGAAGAACTTGAACGATGATCGGGTGCACGTCTTCAGGCTTATAGGTTGTGGAAGGGCCACCGGTAAGGCGCTTCAGCTCCTGGGTAGAAGCTAATAGCTTTTGCTTGCGCTCTGGGCTGAGCATTGCTGTAGAAGCCCTATCAAAGACCTCCCGAGCGCGCGCCCGCGCCGTGGGTGTCCAGTCCGGTGACTGCCCGTAGGATTTAGCCGTTGAGCCAAAAGCCTCGCCAAACTTCTCATGGCGAGAAGTCGCCTTCGTGGCCGTTGTGAAGATGTTCTGATCTTTGGGCGCATCCGTCAACCGCGGCAAAGTGTGAAGTTCAGGCTTAGAACCGCTCGGTTGTCCAGCAGGCTTAGCACCCGGCTTAGGAGCCTTGCTAGCCTCAATGCGTTTAGTGATACCCTGAATTTCTTCTTTCGCACAGCTAAGAATCTGGCTCCATGTAGAACCGTTATCTCCGTCAATCTCATTGAAGATTGCCTTTCGGCGGTCGGGCTGGCGCTGGCTGATAAGACCCAGTTCCCAAAGAGCAAATGCCTTCACAATATGCTTCTTGGCCTTCAGACCAGACAACAGGCTGGTATTCGGCTCCTTTGCATCTGCAGTAAGGGGCTGTCCACGCTTCAGAGGTTCCTTGCCAAGGAAAATGGAAAAGAAAAGATTAGCCGATTGCCAGCAGAGAACAAGCAAAGAGCCCGAGATGAGAGATCGGATGATGAGCGGCCCAAATGATGGAGGGAAGAAGGTATCGGGCTGAGCCGCAGAGCGGGAGAAGCTCCAAAAGAGCTTGGCAAAATACAATGACAAGCTCCAGGCACTTTGGCGCAAGAATAGAAGGTAGAGGAACGGAGTAGCTCCCGCGATAATCACGCTCATCATCAGGCCACACTTGATCCGCTGAGGGAGGGCACTCTTAATGTATTTCGAGGGTGTCAGGACCTGGTGTGTGCGCTGGTCGGTTGACTTTGTAGCTCGTAGCGTAACAGGGACGGAGATCTGATCGTAGTCATAGTAGAGGTGGGCCGTAGCCTGGGCGCAGGCCAGAAGGAGGTGGTAGGTGTGGATGTAAATGGGTCTTTCGTTAAGAAGCGGTCTCTCGTGTGATCTAGATCCGGTGATCAGCAATCGTCCGATTGGAAATATTCCGTATGCATTAACATACCTGCCTCGTTTCACGATATCCAGCTGCGCCTCCTTCGAGGACGACCAGAGATACAGCTCAGTGAACCACCAAGCTGAGAAGAGGTAGCAGCAGAATGTGTGAGCAATCTGAAGCGGAAACAAGTATTTGAAGGTGCTGAGCGAGGATGGCGTTGTCCTTGAGCCTAGGTGCATCTGACTGACACGGAGGACGAATACCAAGAGGACTGAAAGGAAGATCATGACAGCGCGTAGCCCACAGGGACCGATGGGGAACCATGTCCAGAAAACTAACCCAAGGAATTGTCAGTTAGCAAAGCTCAAAGCACAAGGCAAGACAGACTCTCGAGTGGCTTGCTTGGTGGATTCGAAACACCGACATGATGACTTGTCGCCAATTGCGATTGAGACGACATAGCAGACGAGGAGCGAGAGTGCAGATGCATGGACAAACCGCCGGTGCAGCGCCGAGGTGAGGATGCGCCTATATGGCCGGGGTTGGGTGGCGGCGGCCATGGTGGAAGCCTGGGTGGGATGGACTCGTGGAGGTGGAGGACAATGGACGAGGCTTAGAGCATCATCAGGGTGAGCCTCATAGGAGCTGTGAGGGCTGTAGAATGCTGCTGCAGAGCCCGCGACAGTATGAGCTGATGGGCAAAGCCGAATACAGCTGTGTGCGCCAAAGCGATGGGTTCGGATACAAGCTGAGTTCATGATGGAATATTTTGAGCATCAAAACACGGCAGCCACAGAGGGTCATGTGATTCACTGTGGCTGGGTTCGGTGTTATCTGTGGCAGTTGTAACTAGTCCATTTTGGCTTTAGTGCGGTAGATACGTCATGTGAGGAGTTGTCCTGCAGTCCCAGGGAAGGCAGCACTTTACACAGCGCATCTCCGATAACTCTGTGCCTGTTTCGTGGTTGACATTCATTCTTTGACTATACCACACCCCCACCATGTCTTTCGACCGCCTCAACTCGCTGGAGGCCCAGCCCACCGATATGCGCCGGTCCGATGACCCGCAATATCGCGACGATCCTGGCTTCGACCATCTCGCCGAATCGCTCTCCGATCAGTTGTTCACATTGACCTCCAACATCTCTCGCTTGTCTAATCAAATCGCTCTTCTCGGCACGAAACGGGACACTGAACGTGTGCGCGAACGAGTCCACAATCTATTGGAGGAGACCCGGGCGGGGTTCAAGGATGTAGGCGACGGGCTTAAGAAGATCCAGCAATGGGAGGACGTCAATGTATGTTTCAGTCGGACTATCTACTTCCCAATATCTTGACTAATTGTCTTGATCAGCCGTCCCAAAAATGGACTCAGCAGAAGCTGTCATCTGAGTTCAAGGCCAGTCTGGATGAATTCCAGACGGTGCAACGCCGCGCCCTTGAGAAGCAACGCGCATCGGCCGTCGCAGCCCGGACCGCCATTGAGGAGGGTGACCATCCATCTGGCGAGGCGGGAGTTCAACTACAACAGCAGCTAGAGGAGCAGTCCCGTATGGCCAACCAGAGCGAGGTAGATTTCCAGGAATCTCTTATCATTGAGCGCGAGAACGAGATCCGGAACATTGAGCAGAGTGTTGGCGAGTTGAATGAGCTGTTCCGTGATGTTGCTCATATTGTTCATGAGCAGGGAGGTCAGCTCGACATCATCAGTGAGAACGTCCAGAACGTTTCCCAAGACACACGGGGCGCCAACACCGAGCTCCGCAGTGCCAGTCGATACCAGAAGAATGCACGCAACAAGGCATGCTGCTTGCTTATCATTCTGGCAGTTATCATGACCATCATCGTTCTTGCTGTTGTTCTCGGTTAGAGTTTTGTTGTCTTTGCGATCTGAGCTTGCCTTGCTATTTTGAGTTGATCATGGCGGTTTTCCTTCCCTTTGTTATGTCTGCGCACGATATCCCTCATGCATTCTATGTGCCACGGCCTTGGCCGGGCTACCCATTTTGATTACTTTTATGCTCTACTAGTTTGGTTCTGGCGTATAAGGAATGGAGAACATCGATTTGTGTTTAGTTCCACTCGTTCCAATGCAATGCGATATCGTACATAAGGGTTGGTTATACATAAATTATACAGTTGATGCTTCCCGGCTCCTGGTCTATGCTGACCATGGTCACGCTCCATCTTTGACTAGCAATATCATGAAGCGCATCCAACGGCCCTGACCAGGAGTGCTCAGAGGCCAACGAAGCTGTTGAATCTCATCTTCCAGCCCTCGTAGGTATTCAACTTAGGTCGCACATCCAGATAAAAGCTGAGTTTGCCAGGGGCAGCATTCCCCGTCAAACCAGACGGATTTCCATTGCCGACATTTGTCTTCCCTTGGTAGAAGTCGATCACATATTCGACACGTTCACCGCCACAGCGCTCGACAACCCAATCATGGCGATCGAATGGACGCTGGTAGCCGAGCCAACCGTTGATTCGGGCACGTGGGCTCAGGAATTGGGGATCAACTCCAAGTCCACGGAATGAATATAGCTTGGGTCCTCCGCACTTCTTGCTGCCCGGGTCTGTGGAAGGAGCCTTCTTCTCCCAATCGAGAATCTGTTGCCATGCGCGCTCGTTGACCGCGTTGTGAATGGGAATAATGGAAGCGACAGACGTTGCGAGTTCAGAAGCGGAAGACGTTGACTCTGGGGTATTGCCCTTGCGCATCAGAGCTTCGAAGAATTGCTTCTCGGAGGGATAGATCCAGTTGCCGGAGGCCTCGTCATGGCCAGTCTCGGCTTCGGCATTGGACGGACAACCATGCGATGCGGCATATGGGGAGGATTCGTAAGGTGTTGGAGCACCCTTGTTTCCTTCTGGACAAGTAGCTGCTGCAGCTGGGCTGCCTGCCCGGGGTATGCTGCTGACTTCTCGATCTGTGGATAATGGTCGTTGTAGTTTTGTAGAGGTTTGTTCTTGTTCTTGCGCCGGCGCGGAGGACGGGGGATGTGGTGCTTTGCCGCCATTTTGTTGCAACCAGACTTCACGGGTCTTGTGGTCGACTGGGCATGTCGCCGCAGGGAGCTCTGCGGAAGCAGAAGGAGTACTCGCGCCGGCGCCCATGAGGAATTTCGAGTGTTTGAGTGAAATCTGAGGATGCTTGGTAATAGCGAGATTGAAGATCGGCGGACTGAAAGTACGATGCGGACCGATAATTTTGCCTTCACCGCCTGGCCCACAATATAAACGCCTCCTGCCCAACGAGGAAGTCCACCCCCTATTGATTCCATTGTTGTCAAAGGAGTTGTTGAAATATTCTGCTTTATATCTCATCCGAGTACAATATGGCGACTCCATCTAGCCAGCCCGTTTACCGGGCCACCACTACCGCCCCCGTCAACATTGCGGTCATCAAGTAAGTGCTTCATTGTTACCCCTCAACAGCTCACCAACATTGGGCCATTGCATACTAACTGCTCGTCAATTCAGATACTGGGGCAAGCGTGATACCACTCTCAACCTCCCAACCAACTCATCTCTCTCCGTTACCCTTTCTCAGCGTTCCCTGCGCACCCTGACCACCGCCTCTGCCTCTGCCATCTACCCCGCCGAGGATACCCTGAACTTGAACGGCAAGCCGCAAGAGATTCAGTCTTCCAAGCGCACTCTTGCTTGTCTCTCGAACCTGCGTGCCTTGCGCAAGTCTCTTGAAGATGCCGATGCCTCGCTGCCCAAGCTCTCCGCCCTCCCTCTCCGAATTGTCTCCGAGAACAACTTCCCCACTGCCGCCGGTCTGGCCAGTTCCGCTGCTGGTTTTGCTGCTCTGGTCCGCGCCGTTGCCAACCTTTACCAGCTGCCTCAGTCTCCTCGTGAGCTGAGCCGTATTGCTCGCCAGGGTTCAGGCTCTGCTTGCCGATCTCTGATGGGTGGCTACGTCGCCTGGCGCACCGGTGAGCAGGCTGACGGCAGCGACAGCTTGGCCGAGGAGGTGGCCCCCGCCTCCCATTGGCCGGAGATGCGTGCTCTGATCCTGGTGGTCAGCGCCGAGAAGAAGGACGTTCCTAGCACCGAGGGTATGCAGACCACCGTGGCTACTTCGGACCTCTTCGCTACACGAGCCCAGAACGTTGTCCCCGAGCGCATGGATGCCATTGAGGTCGCTATCCGTGACCGTGACTTCCCCAAGTTTGCTGAGATCACCATGCGTGACTCGAACACCTTCCACGCCACCTGCCTGGACTCGTGGCCTCCTATTTTCTACATGAACGATGTCTCGCGTGCTGCCGTCCGCCTTGTGCACGATATCAACCGCGCTGTTGGCCGTACTGTGGCCGCCTACACCTTTGATGCGGGCCCCAACGCTGTCATTTACTACGAGGAGAAGGATTCAGAACTTGTTGCTGGTACGGTCAAGGCTATCCTCGGCGCCAGTGCCAGCGGCTGGGAGGGTCCCTTCTACGAGGGCCTGGCTAACCTTACCGCCCCTGGTGTCTCTCTTGACAACATTGACTCGCGTGTTCTGGATGTTCTCAAGGGTGGTGTGAGCCGTGTTATCCTGACCGGTGTTGGTGAGGGTCCCGTCACTGTTGAGGATCACCTGGTCACCGAGACTGGTGAGATCGTCTCCAACTAGGAATTGTTTGGATGAAAAGTTAATGATACAGCCATCTTGCTCAGATGACTTGGAAGATACCCCGATTCCCTTTTGCAAAGGGCTAATTGAATCCTGTCGTCGCAAGAGATGATGCAAATCTTTTTCATTGTATCTTTGTTGTTGCTCAAGACTTCCTAGAACATAATCCCCAGTATGAGAAGTCAAATATATATGGTGACTAGCGCCTTGATTTGCATAATCATTTGCACAGATACAACTTCCCGTCCCTTGTCTAAATTAGAAATCTTTGATCCCTTGAAGTTCCCTCTTCCTGCGGATATAGGTTTGTCACTTGAACGGTCCGGTCTGTCTCGCGTTCATGACAATCATCACCCATTGAACTTCTAACCTCGAATAGAAGGAATATATAAAAATGATCTCTATGGACTGACTAGAGACATAATCACGTATTGAATGCTAATTTCCTTTCTGTTTAAGGCTAGCTTGGCTGGCATTGATCGCCTTCGGTTGAAATATATCTTCAACACCCCACCTCAACATTTGGGGTTTCTGTCCACTGCCTGTACCTACGTGGCAATGTGTACGCGAAACAGAATTGGAAACTTGTACTTCAGAAATATCAATGTGGGATTGACACATGATTAGATAGATAGGAGGAAGAGAGGAAATTTGTAAATTAATTATTTGGAATGGAGACATCATGTTAAGTAGCAAAACCTGAATCAACCTAGGACACACCCGCCCATAGAAACAAAGATGGAAGTCTTTTGATACCCACGGAACACTAGAAGCTCCATATTAGGTATTATACAAACGAGGCCAATAGCCCAACCACTGCTCCAGCAAGAGGTAGATATCCCCGAACCGTATTGAGAGTAGTCCACTTCTCAATCAACCCCGAAGTCTCCGTATCAGAGATCTCAGGAGCGGAGCCAGCCTTTTCCAATAGTGCATTATTGGTACTACTCATCGCAAGCATGGTATAAGGTACAATCCCGATCGTTAAAATAGCAGCCGCCGAGAATAGTCCAGATCGACTATATGCTGTGTGTTTGAACAAGGGAGCCCCGGATCGGACCGACCAGGCCAGATAGAAGAACGAGGCTGCTACAGCCGCGGCAATGGGTGGATTCTGGGTCTTTCCATTCTCAAACATATTTCGCCATTGCTTGGCGAGGGTGGCTGGAGAGAGGTTGTCCTCGCGACGGGATCGGAGTAGTGAAGGGGTGGCGTTCATGCTGAGGGCGGCAATGTTTCCTTTTGGTAGGTGATTGTCAGTTTATGGACAGGCATGGGGATAATATGACTTGGCTGCATCTATTATGCATATGTGTATGCAGCCTACGTCTGTGAACGAGTGTGAATTGAGGAGAAGAAAAGCAAGTACATACCAGACAGCCAAGCGGCGCCGGAGATGCCAATAGCTTGCGCCAGTCGGAAGCCGAAGGGATAGGAGGCCATGATTTCGTTGAAAATGGCTGTAATTCAATAGAAGAAAATTTATGAATCAGGTAAATGAGAGATTTAGACTATTATGTTGTGTTTTATATGCGAAAGATGTCCACATTCCTGGAACCTTTTCGGAGCCGGAGGATGCCACGGGTTTTAGGTGGGCAGATCTTTAAACTTAGAGAAATCGGACGTAGCTAGATCCACTAGATGATTAATTGGTATTTAACTGTTGAATAAATTTATTAAGTGGATAAGTACGTAGTGAATTTGTTCTTTAGTTGGGCAGGGATGTAGTAGCCTTGCACTCTCTAAGCTCCACTGGGAGGCGGTCGGTCTTTGGCGGACTTTGGCGGGCTTTGGGGCCGCCGAACAGCCCCCGGATTCGGCAATGGAAAGTACAGTTTTATTTAGTAAATGTCTTCAAGGATGCAGGATCAGACAATACTCAAATATAAAAGCACGTTTAGAATCGAAGCCCTGTTTACTTTCTATTAATTCACTCTTACTCCTATATTTATCATCTTCGCCCTGTGGTATATAATACGCCTTCAAAGCACAAAATATGGCCTCGCGCTTATCCTGGCAATCCCTCCGGGCCCGTCCAGCCCTATTTTCTACTATCGCAGTCGCAGGAATCGGAGCTTATTACGGCACTAGGTCTTTTCTGTTGCCGACGGGACACGCAGAGTCTCCGGAATCCCCCAAGGTCTTCGGTGGCTTCGGTTTCACAACATTACGCCTACAAGATGTCAAGGTAGTGAACCATAACACTAAACGCCTGGTGTTCGACTTTCCCGACGAACACGCAACAAGTGGATTGACATTGACCTGTATGTTGCCGAGTATTCAATTGGAATGGTTAGCTATCCTTTACTGATATCCATAATTTCCAGCGGCATTGCTCACATACTCCTGGCCCAAGGGACAATGGTTCCCCGTGTTGCGTCCCTATACACCCATCAGCGATCTAAGTATGAATTCCAAGTCCCTTCATGAAGGTCCTATTTACTGACGAGAATCTATATAGACCAAACTGGCTCAGTCGAGTTAATGGTCAAGCACTATCCAAATGGAAAAGCCAGCACCCACCTACACTCCCTAGAACCTGGTGACATGCTCACCTTCGCTGCCACCCTCAAGGGATTCCCCTGGACACCCAACAAATACTCCCAAGTCTACCTAATCGCAGGTGGTGCCGGTATCACGCCAATCTACCAGCTCATCCAGGGCATTCTCAACAACCCAAATGACCAGACCAAGATCAATCTCGTCTTTGGGGTCAACACCGAACAGGATTTATTACTCCATGACGAGCTGGAGCAGTATAAGAAGCGGTTTCCGAGCCGGTTCAATTACATCTACACCGTGAGCCATCCCAAGGAGGAAGGGTCGTCTTGGCGGAAGGGTTATGTGACCGAGGAGCTTCTCCGAGATGTGATGCGAGGTAGGGATAAGGATACCCATGTCTTTTTGTGTGGGCCTCCAGGGATGGAGGATGCTTTGGTGGGATCGAGGAAGAGTCCCGGGGTTCTGGGTCGTTTGGGATTCTCCAAGGACCAGATTTACAAGTTTTAGTAGAGTGTTCACGATTTATGTACAATACTAGACATGTAAATGCGCTTTTCATCTAAAGGACATCCTCGCTCAGCATAAAAAGACCATTTAGAAACTTATTGCGCATTAGGTTTATCTATAGCGTAACTATCCAAACACGGGACCTAGCGGAGCTACTTTTCAACCTCACAGGATATCTGTTGCTATTCAATATCGCAAATCTGCTAGTCTTTACACTTAGGACAGAAATGTCGTATTCGTTTTGTACATGACTATGGACAAGAATAACGCATGGCGAGCTACAAGAATTCTTGTCACTCCCATTCACCGGTCAACCCAATCAATTTCCTTTAAGTCTTAGGGCAAAGACATGAACAACTTCTTCATCTTGGGGTAGTTGGGTGTTCCCAAACCAGTAGCCGGGTCCCATCCTGAAATAGCAGCAAAACCATTAGTATCACACCCCGCATTGGTACCGTTGGTGATATCGTTCAGCACCTCGGGGTGGGCATAGAGCACGGGGTTCACGAAACCAACAGTGCCCTTGCCAGCTGCGAGACGCTCCTCATTGATCTTAATAGCTTCGCGTTAGTATAGCTCGATGAAATAAGAACAGAATTAAAATCATGGGTACGTGTACATACCAAGTTAAGAACTGACGCAAACAGCGGCGATGCCAGACTCGATCCATAGTAGTGGTAGTCAAACCCATGAGTGTACGCGCGAAATCTCGCACCATTGGCGGCAACATCGGGGTATGCACGGCCAATACGGTTATACAATCCCTTGGTCGTGTTGACATTCACCTCGAACTCCGAGTAGTACGGGTAGGCCAGGTCAGCTTTCTTGAAGTACTTCTCCACAGCGTGCTTCTGGTACGCCGGCTGGGGGAAGTAATTCGAGAATCCACCCGCAGTGCTAAAGTTAGCCGCGGTACCGCCGAGATCAACATGCATGACGCTCTCCGGATCTTTGACGGTCTGGTCTGGGTAGATCATGGTGCCGCCGACGGAGGTTACGTATGGGCAGTTCGATGGGTACTGGGGGTTGAAGATCTTCTGGTCTGGGCCGAGACAGCCGTTGGCAGAGCCGTCTCCTGGGAAGGAAGCTACACCGTAGTCACCAGAGGCGAAGAGAATTGAGTGGCCCTGCAGACCGAGCTTCATGAATTCGTTGCATTGGCGCTTGGTGTAGCTGATAGGGAGGTCGGCTTCAGCTTGGCCGTAGGAGGCGCTTATGACGTTGGTGGGCTTGTAGACGCCGCATTGGAGCTTGCCTGATATCTTGTCAAAATTGTCTTCTTGTTAAGCTGAGGAGCTTGCTCGGAGCCAACCTTTGTAGCCACCTTCACGGGTATCAGGATAGACGGGGTCGATGTTGGGGTCGTTGCCAGTCTCTCCGTAGGCGCTGTATGTGCAATAAGACTGGAAAAATCAGCATTTGCAATTTCCTATCGTTATGTTGATCAAACTTACCCCATCCAGAGCGTCAAGGAAGGTATTGAAAAGATTGGTGGTCGCAACCTCCTCCGGCTCATAGAGCTGGTCATCAACCTGGTAGAGAGTGACGGATTGTGGGTAGATCAGGGAGTACCTGTTCATGGTGTTAGTTGTTTGGTAGTAGCCACAAGTGAATAAGCGCTCTTGACTCACGCCAAATCAATGTCAATATCGGACTCGCCGCCGTTAAGCGAGCTGGAAGCGGGCACAGAGAAGTTGGCTCCATCGATCAAAGCCGGGATCGGATATGTACCTTGCGGCACCCACGGGGCGTATTCCTTATAAAAGAGATCTAGATCCGACTTGGCAAAGTAATCACCCTGCTCATAGAGACCGAGCGAGTTGCCCTTGTTTGATTTGGTAGCGTCGGGGATGTCGTACAGGGCTTTGATGCAAGTGGGAGTCATGTTGTAACCGCAGAGCTGAAGATCTGAAGAGAGGGACTTCGCCTTGGCAGAGATCGAGACATCATTCAGAATGGAAGATACGGCCTCGACATTGGGCTTGACCTTGGTAAGATGAGAAGCTCGCTTTGCCTTCTTCAGCTTCTTGAGAACAGGGGTGAGCTTGACTCCTGGGGTGACATAGTCGATGTGACCTCGAAGATGCTCCGGGATGTGATACCTGTATTATGGGTTAGAGTGCCAATCCTAGATCATAGCAGCGAAGGAAGCTTACTTGTCGCATCCAATCTTGGTACTAGCACTGCTCATGTGGTTGTGCTCGTAGAACTCCGTCATAAAGAGACCTTCTGCTTCGTGAGCATAGGCATCAAATGCCAGCCAGCCCTTGTTATCCGAGTGAACCACACGGGACCGGTCAATACCAGCCGCGTGAAGCCATTCGCGTACAGCATCTACGGCTTCTGCCGACGGGGCAAACATATCATGAACCTCCTCGGCAGTCCAATACGTGCCATATTTGGCAGAGCTAGGGTGTGAGCTGTCAATGTGTTAGCACAAGGCAATTACTCGATCATCAAGCACATCACTTACACATCCATCAAATACTCATAACCATTTTCCAGGTTATTCTGGGTCAATCCAATACGAACCGGTAGGACAGCATCCCCCTCTACTCGATCTCCCTTCACCCAATCAAGGCCATGCCGTTCACGCTTCTCATGCAAAACATGTTTAATAGGCGCCGGCACAGCCTCGGAGAGAGCCGCAATGGCCAAAGCAAAATAGACCTGACGCATCAACATCGCGATACTCCAGCAGAAAGCGATCTACCCACAATCAATCACACCCTCCACGAGCAGGGGCATCGCCCCTTGAAATACAACGGCCGCGGGAGCAACGGCACCCCATCGGCAGTGTGTCTTGGTCGATAAACAAGATTCTCCACTTTGTAAAAAGGCGGGCAAGACAGCTAATTTCGTGAAGGGCGTGCTGATTGGCCATGACGCGGGACGGCCTCTGCAGGTTGAGGTACGATGAGACACATCGAGCATATCGACAGAGTTGCACCACCGCGTGGCGTGTGGCTTGAAGACAAGCTAAGCATCGCCAGCGGGGCGCACTTCGGCAGTCGCTCCACTAGGAATGGTCTGAGCGGACCTGGATCAGGATTGAGGATGTGATGCTCCCGCTATGCATTCTGTGTGTCCACCATTAACCCATGATTAAAATCTCACGGTGTACCGGTGTTATGTCCGACGTGGCGTATTACCCCCTCTCTCGCCGGATAATCGTGTGACGGGAAGAAATAACACCTAAGCGACATAGCTTGACCTTTCCGATAGTTGGAGTAACGTGTTATCGGTGGGGAAGGCTTGCGCTACTTGGCACTAAGCACGGAAGGCCGGCGTAGTGCAGGGCGGAGGTCCGACGGCTTCAATTCCCGCGAGACGCTCAGTTCGATTGAGTCGGTTCTTTGGCTTGTTCAAAGTCTTTGGTTGCATTGCAATTTGGCCCTAGTCTTTCTGCTTTCTGTTTGCCGATGGCATTGGCGGAGATAATGGGGTAAACAATGCGATTTGTGAGATGATAGGCTGATGATTGGTCACCAGAGGGCTTAATCTTATTGATCCTGGTTAGCGTTGTTCTTTAGTGCAAAGTTTGGGTTTGGGGTTGATGAACAAGAAAGGAAACATGCGATCACTATGCTGCTTTGCATGCTTTTCTAGCTGGGCTCTAAAGAGATACAGCTGCCGGAGGTTACGAAAAGGGAAGGTCCTATCGGGTAAACAGATCAAGTATCGTTTGTTCTAAAAGAGGCCTAGATCTTAGCTAAGAGTTATAGCTCCTAGCTACTGTAGTGGAGGAGGAACGAGGTCACGAAAACTTGAATTGAAATTTTTAGATGCCAAATCCTCATTTATAAGACATAACGACGTGCAATTGCCTCTCCACTTCATCGCTTACACCAGAAGAGAGGACTTGATCATGGCCTTGACAACAGGCGGCTCCTTCAAACGTCCAGCTCCGCCGAGAGTGATTCCAATGCTTTCTGCAAGAACCGCGGAGCCTCCAGTCGGCCGTGGCAGACTAGCCTCTTCATAGCCAGCATCCTCGTTGTCATCATGCTTAGGTGCCGTAGCCTGCGCAATCTCGAACACATCGTCACGGCAGTCCGTACACATTGTCACCACATCTGCCAGCGCCTTCTCAACTGCAGCGGCGCGCTCGCGCATGCCCCGGCGCAGAAGGGCGTCAACGAGAGCCTCGGCCTCCGCCATAGTCGAGTTGACACGCTCAATAAGTCGCCGGATACTGTTGACGAGGTACTCTTCCTCGTAAACTGTACCCTTCTTGCCCTTGGCACGCTTGCGCTCCTCGCGACGGCGAGTGCGGGACGTCACCCGGGATGAAGATGTCTTGCCCGTATACCGGGTGAACATGGTGCGACCGGCCAAAGTTGTTGCCTCGGTCGGTGCAAGAGACACGTTGTCAGGAATGTCAACGCCGCCCTCGCCGCCGGTGGGATCGCCTCCGAAGAAGGCAAGAGGGTCGGCGGCGCGGAGCTGCCGGAGTTCACGGACTCGTGGCACCTGCGCATTCAACTGGGACTTGCAGTCGGCCAAGAGATCGGTCATGGAGCCCATAGCCTCGGCTAGGCCAGAGTCAACGATCTCTTCCACAAGATCCTTCTTGCCATGTAGGGTCAGGAGGCGCGCAGCATCGGCAAATTTAGAGCCACGGCACAGAAGCTGAGCTGCAGTTACGATGTCGTGCAGATGCTCAGCATAGATGGTTGCGGCTGATACGTAGTCCCGAGCCTCGTCAACGAGAGTCGTGGCAAGCTCGTTGATAAAGGCCATTAGTTCTTCCTCGGGCAGAGAAGTCATCATGGCACAATACAGCGACTCGCGCCACATGTGGGCAAGATTGTAGCACTTGTATGCCTCGTCATAGATCCCAAGAGATTCATAAGCTGGGGTATAGTTAGCCAATCGCTTCGTTGACCCATGGAGAACCAGTCCGTGCTTACCAATTGCGGCATCCTTATGCTTCGAGTCATTCTGAAGGTAGTCTGCGTATATCTGCGTGATCTCTCTCAGCTGCTCAGGCTGATACTTGTAAATTTCAAGTGCCTCCTTATACAAAGCATGTCGCCTAACATAAGCCCGAATTTCCTCGTGAGCTCCCAAGGTAAACAGGTGTTTCAGAGCCTTGTCGAACCGAGCAAGATGGTTGTCGATCTCGAAATGACGCCGGATTTCAGGCAGTTGTTGCAACTTCCGGAGGAATGGAAGATATTCCCTAGGATCCTACAAGTTGTTAGCCCCAAGGACTCTCTATTCAATGCTTGTTGGATAACTTACCATCTGCGCTTGCTGGGCAACCAAAAGAGTAAGCTCAAGATCGTACAACCCCAGAGCATGCGAGTAAAGTCGGTTTGCGTCAGTCAAGAAGCACATATGCTCAATTGCATCTTGTGCTTGCTCCGAATTTTGTGCTATCAATAATGTTAGCTGTCAAAGCCTCTAATTGCTTTATTGCACAGACTTACTTCTGAGGTTAGCGACAAGCTTCAAGCCGGCCTCAAGGTCAGGTGGATCCTTGCAGACATGTGCAGTGACAAGATTTTGCAAGTTGGTGTCGATGCGGGTTTGAAGAACCGCCAGGAACGCATCACAAATTGCATTCACCTTGCTGGTTTTGCCGGCAAGCTGAGGCAGGGACGGTACGGTGGGACCGTCCGGTTGGGCAACAACGGCAGACTCGTACTTGGAGATCTTGAGAGTATCTTTATACAGTGTTTGCGAAACATCCTCCTCCCTAGTACCAAGTTAGCACTCGTTCGCTAGGTCACAGGGACGTGAGGCAAAGCTTACTTCAAACGAGAAAGGAAGTCGTCGATGAACTCAATCTTCTTGATTTGTTCAACGAACAACTGTACGCTTTCCATAAACTGCTGAGGAGCATAGTCGTGAAGAATGTTCATGTCCACCATTTGGCTACGGCACGCGAGGAAAGCAGCCCGGTAGTTCTTCCGGTCGATGAATGTGCGAATACCAGCTAACACCAAGGCACGTGGGAAGATGGTCTCGATGTTTCCGCGGGGTGCCTGTAGCACAACGGCAAAGATGGATGGGATGACAGACACCAGCTTTGATCCGCGCTCAATACTTCTGCATCTCTCGTCGGTCTCAGGTGTATCCTCGGGGACTTCCATGTCTATGAAGTTCCCATTAGCATGATGGCAAATAACTTTCTCCGTGAATATTATACATACCGTCCACACGATTCAGATGCACGAATTTCAACAAATGTTGAGACGTGGTGAACAACAGGTGGGATGGAGTCACCAAGAAAGATGTGCAGTTCTTTGCAAGGACTCGCTTGTTTGCGTACAAAGCGCCAGTCCGCGTCAGGGTTATGAGAATGCGCTAGGCAGGTTAGTCTTTCATGTCAAAATAATTGGGCAGCGAATTGGATTTACCTCATCGCCGGAGATCGACACGGCACGGGCCCAGTGAGTTTCAACAGTAGGGCTCTCGCTCCAAAGGGTAGCTTCCACTTCATCCCCGGCCACGAAGTCAATAGTGGAGTAGCTAGCAGGGAGGCCAGGCTGCTGAGCATTTGAGAACCAAAGAGTAGAATGGCCTACTCCAGCAAAGATAGAGTACAGTTCCTCAAAATCTTGCGCTTGGTGAACCACTCGAGTCTCTCGGGTCTCTAGTGTCGTGCGCTCAATGTGGCTGATACCGGGAGCATTATCCTTGAGAAGGTAGACCTCTGTTTCGTTCAGGAATACAATCTGCCTGGGCCGGCTGTAGGGTGAATCTGGAAGAGGATAGCTCGACTCCAGAATCGGCACTGGAACTGGACGACTCTTCAAAGACCACAAGAATATGGAAAAGCTCTTTTCCATCAGGACTGCCATCCGGGTACCAGATTTGCTGAATGCAACATCAATGACATTCGAGTCCAGCTGCAGCTCGTTATGCGCCATTGGGGGCGGCACACCAGCCAAACGAAGTGGAGTGAGCTTCAAGGTCTTTCCATCAATAACCGCAACAGCACCGACATCATCTGGGATCGCAGTGGAGCCGTGATGAATGTCAAATACATAGTCGAGATCGAGGACAGAGTCAGAAGACCCAGCAACCAAACGCAACGCCTTTTCCTGGTGCCACTCAAAAGAGAACGGCAGGGAGCATGCAGGATCAACAACTATAGGGATCTCCTGCTTCAGGTAATAGTGATAATTGCCTGTCGTCCAGAGCTGAACTCGGTCTTTGAACCGCACAGCAAGTACTGTAGAATCGACATTCCATGACAGCTGAATCTGTGATGCCCAAGATTGGCGTTCCTCCTCGGTCAGACGAAGTGTGAATTGCCCGTGACGCAAACCATTCCTCTCAAAGAAGACAACGTCGATACGGTCATCCAATCGTTGGATTCCCGCAATGAGATTGCCGGAGGGACGCCAGCTCAGGGCCCCCTCCAGTCCATCCACAGGTTCGCTCACACTGTCAAGAGTACCTTCACGGGAGTACACACGAATGACACGGCGAATGCCTTCATCAACGGTGTTCACTGCCACATAGGCACCGTCACCTCTCCAGCTAATTGTCGTCCTGGAGTCGTCATTGCTGCTCAGCTTACCTTCGTCGACCTTCTCAGGGACAGTTGGGTCTCGCATAGCCTTGGCTCTCTTGCCTTGGAACTGAGTCTCCCTCTTGCCCCATCCAACAGAAACATGCTGAGAGGCTTGCAAATCAGCCTCGGAGAAGGTAATCTCAGCGACATTCTCGAACTCGCGAGTCATGTAGAGGAAAGTCCGAGCTCTGGTGGTGATAGCTAGGAGCTCTTCATCCGGTGACCACGCAGCAGCTGTGATTCCAACATCGACAGAGCCAAGAATCTCGATCTTATCCTCTCCCGGGAGGGGCTCTTCGCGGACGATGATAATATCACCGCCCTCCAAAACCAGGCATGCGCTCAGGTTGTCTGCAAAGTAGTGCAGAGAAAGCACTCGATCGCATGTAAGATCAGGCAACGGGCTCGGGGCATCCCAGGATGCGATGCATTCGAGCGCATCGCGGCTCAGAGGCTCCGCGGCATTCACTTTGGGGCGCTTCCTCCGTAACTCGATGATCGGGTTGTGCTCTGCCGGACCAAAGGTGCACACAATTGAGTCAGATGATGTATCCCAAGCAGTTGCAGTCAAAGGAAGATCTCCCTCAATCTGCGTCTCCTGGAGACGCACGCTCTTCAGGTTACGCATCTTGCACAGCGGGTATCGCTTTTTTTTTCGTCTATCGCTTCCTCAATTCTACCCCGCCATAAGACGGTGTGATGGAGGACAGCTTGAAGCAAGGGTAAAAAAAAATCCCCGCAATATCAGGAACCGAAGCTCGACAACTAGAAGAGCTCAGCGTCGCTGGTCAGTTTTATGCGATGTGGTTGTGGTTCGGAGAGCAGACTACTTTTGTATCAACGACCCAAAGATTTTTGATTTTCCACAGCCGCTCAGCCAATGACTTCATCCACATTTCAACGTCTTCAGGAGCTACGCTTCACCACCTCTACACGGCTACAATTGGAGTATTTTCGGGCAAAATCAAAATTCAACGTTGTCCTCTAACTTTGTACATGGTATTTCAGCAGCTGTAATCCGCGATTCAAGATTTCCACCACGCAGTCTGCCGCCCTGCCCACACGTAGGAAATACGTATAAAGCAGCTTATTTGGTCTTGTAGGTTTGCCAGACTAGAAGACATATCTCGTTAAAACTCCGGTCGTATGATAGAAGAGCAATTGAAAGCTTACCGGCAATAGCGAAGGGGGCACCGAATCCAGTAACTAGAATAGGTCTTCAGTCAGTCTTGATGTCTCTCCAACCCGGCATTTTGCGGATCACCAACCCATGAAAGCCCAGTAGCGCCAGAAGAAGTGCTTGGTCCGAGGGTTGAAGGGGATGTTGGAGCGAGGGCCCTCGGCGTAGTGGTAGGGGCTGCCGAGCTGGGCGCGAGTGGTGGAGAAACCACGACGGGCAGCGACGGTGGCCAGTCGGGCGCGGACAGCGGAGGAGGCGTACATCTTGAATGACGAGATTAGTTTCCTGGAAGGCTTTCAGAGTCAATTGCAACACGACAGCACCTACCTTGAGGTACAGAGTGGAGGGAGTGGACGATCGGGAATGGACGGACTGAGCCAGAACGAACATCGCAAGGTGCGGAATGGGACGATCAAGATCACGTGAGAAAGAGTATATCACATGACATTGAAATGGCCGGCGGCAGGCGCATTTTATGGCCAGACCGCCTTCTTAATTAGGCACTTTCAATTTTCTGCGTAAGAAAAAGTCCAGACTTCTCTTCGTTGCCCACTCAACGTCTGTGGTTCGTCGTCAAGTTGGACTTTCGGAGATGGACGAGCTCTTCGACGTCTTTGAGGATCAGCCTCAGGCCGTTACGCCTTCGGGCGGTGCGCCTAGGCGCTCCAAGAAGGATAAGAAAGACAAGAGCAAGAAGCGTGCCGCCAACGGTGATGCGAAGAATGACGCTATTGTACCAGGTGACATGGAGGACGTGACACCTTCAGTCGCACCCGTTGTTGAGAAAACCACTATAGAGTCCGAGGCACCCGCTGCCGAAAACGGGCAACCCGAGACTAAACGCCTTCGACTCGACGAAGCTCCCCAACCCGTTGTCGCCGATTCCTTCGAAACCGAACAAGAGCAGGAGATTGCCGGAGCTGCTGGCCTGCAAGGCGGCCAAGATGCGACCTCTATCAAGGTGTCTCACCAAGTGCGCCACCAAGTTGCGATCCCGCCGGACTACCCTTACGTGCCTCTTTCCGAACACAAGCAACCGGAGGAACTGGCGAAGACATACTCCTTCAAACTCGATCCTTTCCAGCAGCTTGCGGTCAATGCGATTCAAAGAGAGGAAAGTGTCCTGGTTTCAGCGCATACTAGTGCCGGAAAGACTGTGGTTGCCGAATACGCTATTGCGCAAAGTCTGAAGAGGAACCAGCGAGTCATCTACACAAGTCCTATCAAGGCTCTGAGCAACCAAAAGTATCGTGAATTTGCGGCTGAATTTGGCGACGTTGGCCTCATGACTGGTGATGTGACCATCAACCCCACAGCTACCTGTCTCGTCATGACTACGGAAATTCTTCGGTCGATGCTGTATCGCGGTTCAGAGATCATGCGTGAAGTCGGATGGGTCGTTTTCGACGAGATTCATTACATGCGCGACATCAACCGTGGTGTCGTTTGGGAGGAGACAATCATCCTTCTGCCCGACAAGGTTCATTACGTTTTCCTGTCGGCCACTATCCCCAACGCCATGCAATTTGCCGAATGGGTCGTGAAGATGCACAATCAACCCTGTCACGTTGTCTACACTAACTACCGTCCGACTCCTCTGCAACACTACTTCCATCCTGCTGGTGCGGAAGGAATCCATTTGGTTGTGGATGAGAACGGTGTGTTCCGAGAGGAGAACTTCCAGAAAGCTATGGGCTCCATCGCAGACAAGAAGGGAGACGATCCGGCGAACGCCTTGGCCAAGCGCAGAGGCAAGGGCAAGGATAAGTCACTCAACAAGGGTGGCGAGAAAGGTCCGTCTGATATCTTCAAGATCGTGAAAATGATCATCATGAAGCGGCTCAACCCGGTCATCGTCTTCAGTTTCAGCAAGAGAGAGTGCGAAAGTGGTGCTCTTCAGTTGAAGAACTTGGCATTCAACGATGATTCTGAGAAGGAGATGGTTCAAAAGGTCTTCGACAGTGCCATGGAGATGTTGTCTCCCGAAGACCGGAATCTGCCCCAGATTATCAATCTCCTGCCCCTCCTCCGACGAGGTGTGGGTGTTCATCACTCTGGTCTTCTTCCTATTCTCAAGGAGACTATCGAGATTCTCTTCCAAGAAGGTCTCATCAAGGTCCTCTTTGCTACTGAGACATTCTCCATCGGCCTGAACATGCCTGCCAAGACTGTTGTATTCACCAGTGTTCGCAAATTCGATGGCACCAGCCAGCGCTGGGTTACTCCATCCGAGTTCATTCAGATGTCTGGACGAGCTGGTCGAAGAGGTCTTGATGATCGTGGTATTGTCATCATGATGGTTGGTGAAGAAATGGATCCTGCAGTTGCCAAGGAGATTGTTCGTGGTGAGCAAGACCGGTTGAACTCCGCCTTCCACCTTGGATACAATATGATTCTCAACCTTATGAGAGTGGAGGGTATTTCCCCAGAGTTTATGCTTGAGAGGTGTTTCAAACAGTTCCAGAACACAGGCAACATCAATACTTTGGAAAACTCACTTCGTGAATTGGAGGGGAAGAAGGCAAACATGGTCATCCCCGACGAAGGAACCATCCGGGAATATTACGATTTGCGCACGCAGTTGGATACCTTCTCTGATGATGTCCGTGCCGTGATGACCCATCCGAACCATTGCCGACCCTTCCTGGTTGCCGGCCGTCTGCTCCAGATCATGCACCAAGGCCAAGATTTCGGATGGGGTGCCGTAGTCAAGCTCTCACAGCGCAAGCCTGCAAGGGACTCCAAGGAAGAAATTGAGCCACATAAGGCTTGGGTTGTTGACGTCCTTTTGAAGCTTGCCAATGGACCAACTGTTGGCACCAAGTCCTTCCAAGACTTTCCATCGGGTATTCAACCGGCTAAACAGGGAGAACCGTCCCGGTTCGCAATCGTGCCGGTTGTTTTGAGTTGCATCCATGCCTTCGGACATGTTTGCATCTTCCTTCCGAAGGACATCAAATCTGATAATGCCCGAATCGGAGTGGGGAAGTCTTTGGATGAAGTCAAACGGCGATTCCCAGATGGTGTACCGCTCCTCGACCCCGTCAACGACATGAAGATCACGGATGATTCCTTCAAGAAATTGCTACGGGTAAGTTTTCATGCCTACGTCTGCGTTTCTTAGCTTTTTTGGAATGTTTGAGTCCTAACACAATATAGAAAATCGAGGTCCTAGAGGCTCGCCTGCTGGGCAACCCATTGCACCACTCGCCGCGACTACCAGAGCTATACGATCAATACGTCGCAAAGATTAACTTGGGCAACGAGATCAAGTCGGCCAAGAAGCAGATTAGCGATGCCATGTCGATTTTGCAACTTGACGAACTGAAGTGCCGCAAGCGTGTGCTTCGCCGCTTTGGTTTCATCAACGAGGCGGAAGTGGTGCAGCTCAAGGCTCGCGTCGCCTGTGAGATTAGTACCGGTGATGAACTGATGCTGTCTGAGTTGCTTTTCAACGGTTTCTTCAACAATCTCACTCCCGAACAGGTGGCTGCTGCCGTCAGTGTCTTCGTGTTTGAGGAGAAGGTCAAGGAGGCCGCGCCTTTGAGCAAGGATGAGCTTGCGAAGCCCCTCAAGGAGATCCAGGCACAAGCACGGATCATCGCCAAGGTCTCGCAGGAGTCCAAAATGGCAGTTAATGAGGATGAGTACGTTCAGAGCTTCCACTGGGAGCTGATGGAGGTGGTCTATGAGTGGGCACATGGAAAGTCCTTTGCCGATATCTGGTACGTACTCGTCACGCCGTGACCCTTTGATTTTTTTTTTTTTTTCAAGCCGAATTTCAAACTAACTTTCTTGCAGCGGTATGACGGATGTCTATGAGGGCAGCTTGATCCGTGTCTTCCGCCGGCTGGAGGAGTGTCTGCGTCAGATGGCGCAGGCTGCCAAGGTGATGGGTAGCGAGGACCTGGAGAGTAAGTTCGAGGAGGCGTTGACCAAGGTCCGCCGTGACATTGTGGCTGCTCAGTCGCTTTATCTGTAAATACGATATCCATGGGCGTTTCTTGTTCGGAAGTCAAAAAAGATTACCAGCATTTCATGATCATAATTTTTTCATTCATTTTGCCTCCGGAGTATAGACTAGACTCGACCAGGCCAAAGCTGCATTGTTCGCCTGACCACGAGGCTTGAGCGGCGTCTGACTGGTAAGACTACTGTAGCAGAGAACAACATTTGGGCCTTCAATAGTGTAGAAAAAATAGTCTATCGGAAGGAATCCTCATGAAGTAATCAATTTTAGTTGATTCATTACATTGCCAAATTTTGCAGGGCAAATCCGTCGTCTGCAACGTCGAGAAGTGACCTTAAAACCTGCACAGCTGGAGTGCGTTGCCGCCCGCAACGCCTTTCTTCTTCTCCACCGCTTCTCTGCCTTCTTTGCCCTTCTCTCCTCCCCACCTCACCCTTTTTGGGCACCTCTTTTTTTCCTTCTTCTTGCCCAGGTTCTCTCCTTGGTGGTTATCATTCATTCTTCAGTCGTTCCTAGATCTGCTAGTCCAGGTCCTATCTATCGCCATCCGGCTGTCATCATGAACAGTCTGGTGGCCACGCCTCCTGTCCCTCCTCATTTCTACGAGAACCCTCGATTCTCTCCCTCCCGTATAAGTACGATATTCTCCCTGGAGACTTGTCTTGATTTCTATGCCCTACGATGCTTTGTGAAAATCCTATACTGACCGGACTCCCAGTGTCTACGCCTTCATCGTCCTACACCAGCCGAAAGCGGAAAGCCGACGACGATGGCAACGATCATGATGGACGCATGTCTGCCTCTCCCACCAACTCGCCAGCCTTTACTCCTCGCCAGCTCCCTTCTTTCCGAAACATCAAACGCTCCCGACCGAATGTTTCCGGCAGACCTCTTTCTCTACCTCGTCTCCTGGAGACACTCGATACCGATGCCTTACGGACGGTGGTACGGACCATGTGCGAACGCCACCCTCAACTGGCCGACGAGGTGGCCCACACTTCTCCACGACCAAGCGTCTCCTCTACCCTGCAGGTCCTGCGAAACTACCAAGCCGCTCTTCAGTCCTCGTTCCCTTTGGGTGGCAATACCGAGTCCGACTACGCCTACAATCGAGTCCGACAGCCGCTAACGAACCTCCTGGAAGCTCTGAGCGACTTCACACCTAACTTCCTCCCTCCGAATGAGTCACAACCATCAGTTTCCTTGAGCTACCTCGATGGGGCTACCGATATCATCCACGCCCTCCCCCGCTGGAGCACGCCACAGAACAATATCGAGCGGGACTCGGCCTATGATGAGATTTGCAAAGCTTGGATCCTGGTGATTCGGGAGGCGGCAAAGCGAGGTGGAGGTATTCAGCTGCAATACGGTGGTTGGGACCAGAAGCTGGCCAAGCACAACCAGAACTCGGCTGGAAAGATGCAGGCGGCGGTTAACGAACTCGGGCTGAGCCTGGGCTGGATGAACGGACCGGACTCGCCGTCCCACGGCGCTGGCAACAATGAAATGGGCTCCATTCGAGACCAGCTTCTGTCGGGCACCTATGGCCTGGGCACACCTGTCAAGGTCGGACCCTGGTGATGAAGAGGAATTGTCCCAGTGACTCATGGCCGAATGACCCGGCAGTCCAACCATCAACAACCCAAATATTTTACGACCACTTAACTACTACCTTGCATAACAACCATATGCGCTCACGTCGCCCCTCTTCATCCGCTGCATCGACCCCGTTGGCTCTGTTGTAAGCTCCTCCGACAGTCCCATATTTAACAACACCCCGACCGGGCCATTTTCGACGTATGCCACGATCACGACCCCCTATTGCATGACCTTTAGAGAATCCCCCAGGTCTCAGAATGGCGTTTATAGTATGCAAAGGCGAATAACCTGACAAGTTTCTTTCATTTCCTTCCTTTCTTTTTTCTTCACTTGTGTTTAGGGATACTCGAGGCCAATGCGGGTGTGTTATCTCAAGCTTGATCTTGAATCGACCTGTCATCCAATCTTCGAATGAACTAAGCACTCTCACAAACCCACAATTATGCCTCCTTGAGGCTTTTTCTTTCCTTCTGCGTCCTTCTTCTTGAATTCCCGCTTGCGGTTTTCTTTCCCTCGCTTCCTATTCTTATCTTCTATTTCTTTTGTTTATCATTTTGAAATTTCGGATGGCCTGTTGCCCTTATTTTTCATGTTTGCCCTCTTTTTGCCTTTGTGGCGCTTTCTGGAATCATGTATATCCCTTCCGCTTTCCTGTTTTCTTTGTCCTGGTCTTGACTTTCTGGTTCGTCCACTTCAGCATGGATTGCGCAAACTTTTATCGTTATACGCCACAGCCACAACCGGTCAAGCATAGTCGCCAGACGTTCTCCCTTGAGGGTGAGCCAAACCGCCTCGGGCGGAGTTGAGCTCTGAGATGATCTACTCAAAGGCTTTAGTCATGTCTCCTTGGGGGTGGCAAGGGGATCTTCCCATATACCATGAAGGGGAACTCAGCAGAAATGGTTGCAAGCTAGCTAGCTCGTGAAATTTATTTGAAATAAAAAAAGACTTGAATTCAACTACTTGCACGCCCGCTGAAAGATTTGTAGTTATAGTTGCGATCATCCAATTGAACCAGAGCGCCATATCCCATTCACGTCGTGTGTTTTGGAAGGAGATTCGAGCAACAATATTATGTACAACCCACAGTTACGATCTCATTCTCTCTCTAGGGGATCATACCAAAGCACGCTTCATGACTCGGAAAAGCCAACTCGCGTCTTCCCATCCACCTTGAGCACCAGGCTTCTCAACACTAACAACGGACTCGCCATCCGTATGAGAGAGTGTATCACCTTCATCATCCTCAGCAGAGGCCAATGACAATGTATCATGGGCCCGATTCTCCCCTTCAGCGGTAACATTCGGAGCCTCCTCAAAAGTGACAATCGTCGATGTCGCAGTCGTTCCAATCCGCGTAGCAGCGGGAGCAGTAGAACCTGGAGCTGGAGCAGTAGCCGGCCACTCCTCGACCCCGAACAACGTCCACTCAACCAGCCGATCAATCCAACTCCCCAGCCCAAACCCACGTTCACGGGTAAGCCGCTGCAGATCCGCCTCATCAAACTCATCCGGCGCCTCATCCGAAAACGAGTCATACTCCGAATCATTATCATCCTCACCATCCCAGAACTCAGACTCATCATCCGAGAAGCCTCGCTCCCGCTGCAAAGACGCCATTTCAGCGCGAATACTCTCATCCACAAAATCAGGTACCAATCCTTCGCCCCGTCCACACGATACAGGACTCATAGTACCAACACCCGGACTAGACGCTTTCCCGGCCGCCACAGACGAAGCCGATGAGAGCGGCGGGATGGTTGTCATAGTCAAGCCTGCCCGACTACCACGTCGACTACCACCACGAGATCGCGAGCTACGACGGGAATAGCCGCCCGGCGTGGACGTCCCCGAGCGAGACTTGCGCAATGACGCGCCCGATTTAGTGCGGTGGTGGTGGCGATGGGAGTGCGGAGTCGTGGCGTCGTCGAGGGACATATCGACGAGACTAGTTGAACTCTCGCGCTTGGAGAGCCAGCTCTGGCCTTTTTCTTCGCGGGTGGATGAGGCGAGCGCTATTCCTGCGCGAAGCATCCATTCCGCATCGGACTTGGAGGAGGCGGCATCACCGAATTGGCGTCGCGGGTGCGAAGCACTAGCCTGTTTCTTGTGCGAAGCTTGATGGTGGTGTAATGCGAGTGCGACTTGTTTACTGTGTAGATTTGTATCGCTCAGTAGAGCTGCTCGAGTGGAGCTTTTGCTTCGGGCGTGGCGGGTGCGTGATGAGCTGCGTGAGTGTGAGAGTATGGGCGGTGTACTGGGCACCGAGACGCTGGAGAGATAGGAGGTTCGTGGTGGGGTTCTGGCACCGCTGGCGAGGTGGTCGTGGCCATCGTTGTTGTCGTTGTTGCCGTGGCGGCTGTTGAAGTAGTCTTCGGGTTCGATGTCGTCGTCGATGGGGAACCGTGGCGTGAGTGGAGCAAGCGAGACGTGATTTAGATTGGGGTAGGAGCGGCGAGAGGGGAACCCGCCCGAGTTGGAGAACTAGTTGACAGCATTGTTAGAATTGACTTGGGGAATTGAATCGGTAGACTAGTAGGTTGAAGTTCGAGATACTCACATCCATGGTGGACTTTTGATGAGCTCTAGGAGGATCAAAGTTGAGGAAGCAAAGATGAATGAACAGCCGTGGAAATGCGGAGTCACTGCACCCGTGGCATGTGAAAGTGGCCGTGCGCTTCGGCTTGGACTCGGTTGGTTAGTGGACTGTCGTTACAGTTTACATCCAAGGTTAAAGATGATCTTAAGACGAAAAGAAGATAATCAAATTATGGCATGTATATTCATCAACAAGCCATTTTTACAAAAAAGGCTCAACTATATACAACATATGCAACGTCTCCACGCTGAATCACAGTCGGGAATCATTGAAATCCAAAACATCAGCCCCCTTGACCCGCAAGTCCTCAAGAACATTGTACTCCATAATCCACTTCATCCGCTCAGACAGTGCATCAGGATTGAAGTTGTTAGTCATTGCGTCCGGCGAATCAGAGCTAGCCAACTTGCCAGCTTCGTAGCTAGTCTGTGTGACGCGATCTGTTCGGGGTTTGCGCAAGTTCTGGTAGAATTGGAATGCAGCCTCCAGGTCATCATTCTTCCAGTGACGGAGGATAGTCGCGAGAGCAATGCCCGACTCAATGGCCATACAAGTGCCTTGACCTGTAGGAATGGTGTTAGTCATGAAATCGAAATGTCCGGATATACATCGGACTTGCCTTGGTGAGGAAGAGTGGAGTGGGCAGAGTCACCCAACAGAATGATACCCGCACCCTCCTGACCATTCTTCATCTCGTACCACTTATCCAACGGATCACGAACATAAAGCGCCTGCTTCAGCATACGGCCATCGGGAGAACCCTTACGCAGACCCTCAATAATATCCTGCACCTGCGGGCACCAGTCGCGCACATGCTCCTGCAAGCTCGAAATCTCCGACCGCGACATCCAACTCTCCGAGTCCCAGGTGTCAAGCGTCTCAGACATAAACCCAATAACGGCCGCGCGATGGCTCTCAGTCTCCTTATTGCCAATCGGCAAAATCAAGACATGGCGCTTAGGACCACGGAAGTTGACAGTCTTCCGAAGCAACTGTGCCGTCTCCTCGGGCAGATCCTTGTAATCGACGAAACCACGGTACACCACCTGGCCAGAGTAGTTTGGTGTATCCGCCAGACCCATGTCCCGACGCACATTAGACTTGATACCATCGCAACCAATAACGATATCCGCATCAGCGGTGCTGCCATCCTGGAAACGCAGGGTGTACGGCGCAGCCCCAGACGCAGTATTTCGCTCAATCGACGCGAGATGCTTGCCCAAGTTCAGGCAGGACTCGGGCACGCGCTCCTTCAGCGAGTCCAGCAGGTGTGCACGGTGTAACAGGCGAGCGGGCGGTTGCGAGAATTCTTCAATGTGACCCAGGTACTCGCCAGTCTTGTAATTGTGATACTCCATATAACAAGGCAACTTGCGCGATGACTTGCGCGTCATGCTTTCCTGCAGGCCAAAGGCGTCGAGAACTCGGTTGGCATTGGAAGTGATATTCACGCCCGCACCGACTTCAGAGAACTGTGGCGCCTGCTCGTAGAGCTGGATGTTCTTCAGACCGGTGTACAAGGCAGCGTTCAGGAATGACATACCACCGAGGCCACCGCCCACGATGGCGATGCGCTTGTTCTCGAAGCCCATTTTTGGCGGGGTAGATGGAGGGGCGGGAATGATTTTAATAAGGTGGACGGATAGGAAAAGAGCAAAGAGGATGTCAATGCAAATGTGAATGTACAATGTGTGAAGAGGGGTGATGAATGCCCCTCGAGCGAGCTATATAAATCAAGCGTGTCTGGCGGAATATCGGCATCTCCCCGCCTGGAGGATTACCGATCCGATCAGTCTAAGCTGGAGGTGGCTTTTCGGAGCGTGGAGTTGGACGTGGGATAATAGCCCATCAGGTTCTCCCGAGTCTGGACTACTACTTTATGTGCCTGCGGATATCCGAACGATCGAACGGAGAATTGTATCATTAGGAATGAGGTAATTTCTGCGATTTGTTGGGGTCTTAGCTAGGTTGAGATCAGTAGTTACAGTAGGTGCTGACTATGTACTCGGTACTCATGTCAGCAAAATACATCACTTCTGGGCTATAAGACTACTGCGCTCATCTCTAAGTATATTGGATGAGCTGCCAAAGATACTAAGCTATGTCAACCAAACTGATTATCAGCTCACTATCATCTCCATTCTAACAGTATTCCTCGTTTGATCCTCGTCCCTGCGAAACACCGAGTAGCCTCAACGGGCTTGCAGCCTGCATACACATAATGGATCGGAAGCCCCGCCATTTAGGTGGCGTCCAGCATCCGAAGGCCCCACTGCTGTCGGATGGAGTCATCTTAGTCAGCGACTGACCGGAAAGCCGACTCAGGTAACGTGAGTGAAGATTGGAATGCCGAGTCAGCCGAACCTTAAATCACGGTAAGTAATCATCCGGCTCGTCATTGGTGGTTATCAGCCCTATGCTTCTTCTTACCCTAAGAAATGGTGGATTCCGAACTACGACGATATTCTTTCCGATTTAATTTATTGTCTTATCACATAGATTGAACTTCTTTTTTCTGATTTAATTACAATCCCGAAAAGTTTATTCATCCCCGGATACGCCAGGCTTGGAATCTGTTCCGGCAGGGTCAAGCACAACTCCTGGTATAATCACTTTTATTTACTCCACAATCTTGCCCTTGTTCACGACAAAGCCCTCCAGAGCCGAAATAGCCGCCCACAGACGGTTCTCAGCTTCGGGGAACACCAAGGAGCGCGGGCTGTAGAAGACCTCGTCGCTAACCTCCTCAGGGTGTCGGGGCAGGCAGTGCATGAACTTCCAGCCCTCCTTAGCACCACCACGCTTGGCCATCTCATTCGTGATCTGGAAGCCCTCAAAGGCCTTCATGCGCTTCTTGGCCTCCTCCTCCTGGCCCATGGACACCCAGGTGTCGGTCACCAGAATGTCGGCATCCTTGACGGCCTCATCGGGGACGTTGGTCTGGGTGAGCTTGCCAGGAGTGGGGACACCCTCGCCGGCGCGCTTGATGATATCCAGCATGTCGGCGGGGATTTCGTAGCCCTTGGGCGTAGCGACGGCCATATCAACACCCATCTTGGTGGCACCAATAGCCAGATCAAAGAGGACGTTGTTGGCATCACCGACCCAGGCGATCTTCAGGCCTTCCAGACCAAGACTGGAGAGGCCGTGGGCCTTGGGTGTGAAGGTCTCGTAGATAGTGAGGAAGTCGGCGATGATCTGCAGGGGGTGGAACGAATCGCACAAGGCATTGATCACGGGGACAGTAGAGTGCTGGGCCAGGTCGGCCACATCAGAGTGCTTGGAGACTCGCGCGACAATGCAAGAAACCATGGAGGAGATCACCACGGAGGTATCGTATACTGACTCATTCACGCCGAGCTGAATATCGTCCTTGCCCAGGAACATGGGGTGGCCGCCCATTTGGACGGTAGCGGCCTCTGTAGAAACACGGGTACGGGTACTCCGCTTGTTGAACATCATGGCGACAGTCTTTCCGGACATAGACCCCAACAGGCTTTGCGGGATAGCTCCAGACTTGATGGTCTGCTTGTGCGAGTGGGCATTGCGCACCAGAGTCGCGAATTCCGCGGGTGTCAAGTCAGCAATGGAGAGGAGATGGCGAGGAGCGAAGGGAGAGGTAGCAGGAGAGGTTTGTGTCTGGTGGGCAAATCGTCGGAGTCCATTAGCCTGAAGTGTTCGACTCAGGGAAGAGGTGGAGCCGGCCAATTGAGTTACACTTTGGGCGCCATAACGGGCGGCAGCTGTAAGACCGCTAGCCATGGTGGGCTGTGGGTTTGAGATTGAAGGGAGATTGGAAGGGAAGGGGGGAGGCTGTGTGTGCCTGGTGTGTGCGGCGTGCAATGGGAGAGAGAGATAGAGAGAGGGAAGGAAGGGAAATTGGGAGGCCGGGAATCGGAGCCAAAATAAAGTGGAAAGCGCAATGACTCAACTCATAACTCAAAAAGTCCGGAGATGTGCGGCCCTTCCTATTGGCCTGGGCGCCTGGCAGCCTGAACTCTCAGGTGTCCAGGTCCGATCTCTCCACACTTCCGTTATCGTGAGCTTATCGTCATCGTCATCGCCCTGCCTTCTTCTCTCCTCCACCCCCTCCTCACGTTTCCTTTGAACAGTGAGAGAGACGTATTTTACTGTCATTCTTAGCTTATAGATTACCTGGCCGTGATGGCTGACGAGGAGAGTCGGCCACTGCTGGACGAGCAGGCTAGGTCCCCTTCGCCAGGTCCATCGTCAGGAACCGCCACTCGTCCCGACCAGCCTCGCCGCTCATTTGAACTATCATCTGAATCAACACCATTACTTCATCGTCGCAACGACGACATTGTCACATATGGAACCGAACAAAGACTGTCCGAGTCAGAGTTGGTGGATGACAATGCCCCTGCCCCCAAGAATCGCAGCCGAGTGCGGTGGCCAACTGTGATATCCCTCGTGGCGCTAACCACCGCTGTCTTGGCGATTCTGATATTTGCCTTTGCTGCACCGGCAATAGTCAAGGAATACGCTCAACAAGCAGCAGTCTTCAAGCCCACCGCGCTCTCGATCGATTCTACGACAGAAGATGGCATAAGAGCTCGAGTCCAAGGCGATTTCGTCATGGATGCCGGTCGCGTGAAGACCAAGTCGATGCGTGACATTGGGCGCTTCATGACCTGGATTGCCCGAGAGGTTGAGACGGGCGAGTCAGATATTAAAGTGTACCTCCCAGAGTATGGAAACATTCTCGTTGGCAATGCGCATTTGCCATCTATTAAAGTCAACATTCGCAATGGGCATCAGACCCATGTCGATTTCCTGACCAACTTGACTGCGGGAGACATCAAGGGTCTGCATTCAATCGCTAGAGATTGGATAGAAGGAAGGCTAGCACGTTTGAGTGTGCGAGGCAAGGCAACCCTGCATTTGAAATCAGGCCTCATAGGCCTCGGTACTCAGACCTTGACGGATACCGTCACATTTGAAGGTGGGAGTCTCATGACTTGACCTATTTGGGCTCCATACTAACTGTCAAGAAGAAAATGATTTCCCTGCACTCCCAACGATAGACATCACCAAACTCAATGTGCATGATGCCGCACACGGAGCCTTAGCAGTGGATGTGCAAGTATCTGCAGGCATTGACTCTCCTGTTGCTCTTATAATTCCCTCACTCGAATTTGCAGTCTTTGTACCAAATTGCTCGCCTGGCGATCCTTATATCTTGGTTGCCGATGCCAAAACAGCCGAGGTACAAGTCCGTCCAGATGCACCAACTGTAATCAACGCCCAGGGCCTCATCAATCAACTTCCTGATGAGCTGACCAAAACATGCCCGGGAGGAAATGGCTCACCATTGGACTTTTTGGTCTCAAATTATGTACAAGGTCTCCAGTCCACTATTTACGTTCGTGGTGCAGATTCACCATCGACTACAACACCGGCGTGGATTGCCGACCTTCTACGCAGTGTTACCGTGCCGCTGCCCTTCGCAGGAAACCCGCTGGATGACCTTATGAAGAACTTTACCATGACAGACACGCATTTCTCCCTGCCTAATCCATGGGCGGAACCAGGGTCTCCAGAGTCGCAGCCCACAGTATCTGCCCTGGTAAAGGTGCTCATCGGGTTGCCGGATGAGATGAATGTCCAAGTGGAGGTCCCAAGCGTTCGCGCTCTTACGAACGTCTACTATCATGGCGAGGAACTAGGCGTCCTGAACATTGACAAATGGCAAGACGCTAACTCGACAAGGGTGGAGCTCGAGGATGGTTCCTCAGCGCTACTTGTGGAGTTCCCCATCAAGGACGCCCCATTACAAGTAACGGACAACGATCTGCTAGCGCAGGTTGTTCAAGAGATGCTTTTTGGTAGCACGGGAGTCATCCTGCATGTTGCTGCTACCGTAGATGCGAAGGTCGAGACGGGATTGGGTCGCTTCGCCGTGCACGGGATTCCGGGAGAAGGAAACGTGCCCGTTAACAGTATGTTTTCATTATCTTCGTGAACTAGAATAGTATAAATTGAGGCAGCGTATCTGGTGTTCAATTGATTGACATCCTCATAGTTCCGGCTGGGAATTCTATTGGCCAAATCAATCCCACCATCGCGTCGATGGAATTGGGCGATACCACTGAAACTTCTTTGGACGTATCTGTTCGAATGAACTTTACGAACCCAACCAACTATTCTGCGACTATTCCATTCTTTGATGTTGAGATGCTATTCAACGATACGGCTATAGCCCATGTTTTCGCCCGCAATCTATCAGTAGTCCCTGGGAACAACACCAATGTCTCGATCCAGATGACGTGGGATCCATTCAGCAACGGCGGTGAAGCTGGTGTAGAAGCTGGGCGGAAATTTGTTTCGTCGTACATATCAGGTGGGATCTCCATAGGAGATATGAAAGAATGGTTTACTGACTCGGCCCAGGAGCCCATATGACTTTGAGCATAAAAACCCACGAAGGGACTTTCCCTACGCTTCCAGACCTGGGTAAAGCTCTTTCAGTCTTCTCGTTCGAAGTTCCTGTTCCACACATGTCAATGCCTCGAGCGCCAGGCGACGAGGATGATGACGACGATAAACCTCCGCGTTTTATACAGGAAGCCACAGTATGTACTACTTTTGCATCAAATTTTACATACACCGCAATACTGACATGCCTTCATAGCTCCACTTTTTCTCTTCTACAGCTGAATTCACCGTGTTCTCCCCCTCAGTCGAGACCAGTATCACCATCACGTCAATGGATGCAACAGCATATTATGACGGCGATGAACCAGTCGGCCACATCAACTACCACCGATCATTCGATGTCCCGCCAGGCATTTCCCATTCACCTCGGTTACCTGTTGACCTAGTATTAGGCGGAGTTGGATATGATGCCTTGCGTAAGGCTCTTGGGCAGGAGTTGGTGTTGGATGCTGTTGCTAAGGTTGGTGTGCGGGTTAAGAATTACGCTGATATTGTTAATTATCATGGGAATGGGCTTGCGGCGAAGGTAAGGGTTTGAAGGATTTGGGCTTGTTTTGGGCGGTTGTCTCAGCATCGAACACGATTGATGATGCATTTGGTTCTATATTCTTATGGTGTTGCTGGCGTTTAGGGATGGTTGACTAAATAATGAAGTACACGCTCATCATTGCATCCAAAGATTCATACGTCTAATTCTACGGTCAAATATGATTAGAAAGATTGGAAAGGTCCGTTGAACCGGAAAAGCAAAGTCTTGTAACATTTTCCAATTGAAGGCGAAAGGTAGCATCGACCATGAGATTAGACAGAGGACTGAATTGAAGATCACGCAGAATATTGAAGCAGCAGCAAAGAAACCAAGATCGTATTGGGTATGTATATTTTTGACTTAAGGCTTGGAAATGCGCTTAGCCTGGGGGCAGGGTGCTGGCATCGACAACGTCGGCGGCGTCCTTCTCGAGCTCCTCGGTGTGCTCGTACAGAGGTGAACGGGGCAGAGCCATGAGACCGGTACGGGTGGACTCGAGGATACCGAAGGGACCGATCAGCTTGAGGAAGGAGTCGATACGGCTGGGCTTGGCGGAGCTGTGGAGAGGATGAGTCAGTACGCAGTGAATGGACACATTGAGGAAGGAAAAAGAGACGTACACCTCAACAATGCAGTTGTTGTTGCTGATATCCAGAACCTTACCACCGAATTGGTGAGCCAGGCGGGTGATAGCATCCAGATGCTCGTGCTTGTGACGCAGAGCCTGGCTGGGAGGCAGGTTACGGGGGTGGTATTCAACCTCCTGGAAACCATGGCCCTGGCCCTCCTTCAAGGACTCGGCGGGAGTGGTGATCTCGCGGTGGTGCTGGAGCAGCTCCTCGAAGAACTCGGGGCCAAGGATGGAGACCTTGGCGAGGAGCAGCTCGCGCTGGACCAGAGCAGAGTCGGTGTAGTCCAGAACGGCCCAGACGGGGACGAGATCATCCAGCTGGCGGCGAGCCTGCTCGACAACACCGTCCTGGCCCTGCAACACGATGGTCATGCGGGACAGATCATCGACCTCGGTCTTGCAAACCACCAGACTGTCAATGTTGAAGCCACGGGCGGCAAGGATACCGGACACACGGGACAGCACACCGGGCTCGTTCTGAACCAGGCAGTTCAGAACATGGCGCTTGGGAGGGTTGCTCGGAGGCACGGGAGTCTCGTACAGAATCGAGGAGACGGCGGTAGGAGCATCCCACTGTGGCGAGGCGTCGGCAACCGGCAGGGGAAGAGGAGAGCGGCGGTGCAATGCCTTGTAGGCAAGAGCAGAGGTCGAGCTGCTGGAGGAGGCGCGGAAAGCATTGAAGCGAGAAGCTGCGGCGGAACGAGACCGAGCAGCAGCTGTCGACTGCGACAGTAGCGACACTGACGCCGAGGACAGCGTCAATGGGCGCCTGAAAGCCATTGTATGATCAGGAACACTGAGGGTTGTGCGATGAATCACTTTTGATGCTCCGGATTCTTTTTCGCAGTTACTGGGGCTGCTCTTCCGACCTCGGGGCAGCTGACTCACTCCACACTAGCCTAATTTGGATTAGCGTAATTTGACCGCCGACAGTGTTAAGCTAGTTAAGCAACTACGCATATGCCTCGGATGGGGAAATTATAGCTCTGAAGGTCACCGGAAGGTGCTGGAGAATTGATTTTAAACAGATATAAAAGAGGCATGAGCATTTGAATTTTCCAATTCGTTCGCTCCTTAGCTTTAAGAGCCAAGGATATGTAAGGCCGAGGTTATAAATGACAGCCTTTTTTTGCAGGAATCCGGAGGGCGAATGGCCTTGGTAGCTAGCTCTATAAATATTCAAACAAGAAGTTTCACTGAGACTACAGTGAGAAATCTGAGTAAGTACCGAGATTGATCACTTTCCTTTTATCAAAGACGTGAAAGGACTTTGGTAACTAGAGTATTGATTAAGTTACTACTTTGGGATTAGCGCCCTGCATGTCCACGTGACCTGGAGCATTTTCCATGCAATTGATATTCATAGAGAGTTTAGAGTCGAACAGTCAAGAAGACCACTTCGGAAGCTTTTTGGACTGTCAATTACGGCGCACCAGAGCGGCCTTGGCGGTGAAATACCCTCAATTCAGTAGCAGCGCAATTCCTCACTACGTCTCGAGTCCGTTTCCTCTGCCCCGGAAACTTCCCCTTCCCGCCTTTCACCTTAGCCTTTTTCCAAACTCACCATTTCGGCTCTTCTACTTCTCTCGCTTTCGCCTCACATACACCTATCGCTATGGCTGACGACGACCACCGGGTCAAGCGCTCTCGCTTCGATCAAACCGACCCTGAGCCTCCTCGTCGCTCCCGATTCGATCGTCGCTCCCGATCCCCGTCTGCTAGACAATCCGAGTCAACTCGCACCCGCAGTCCACTAAGTCGCGAGCCGCGCAGTCCAGCTGGCGAGGCTCCGGCAAAGGCTTCACTTGATCCGGCAGCTGCAGCTGGTAAGTTGGATGCTACGTCATATACTTTAACAGAATTATGCAGCTAACACTTGTTGTTCCTTACTTGAATAGCTGCGGCGGCGGCCAAGATCAATGCTCAGTTGCAGGCAAAGAAGGGCATTCAGCATGTCGACGTTCCACCAGTCCGCTCGGTAATAATCCCTGATTACGGCATGACTCTGGGCTAAAGCTAACCCGCATTTTTAGACTGATAGCCCCGGAGCGCATTCGGACGCAGACGGCAAGCCCAACACCGAGATCTACGTTGCGGACGGAGACTACATCAAAGACATTGAGATCAACGATCTGCGCAACCGATACACCCTGACTAAGGGCTCTACACAAAAAATGGTAATTACTCCTGTTGTCGTTGGCTGATTCTCCAGACCCTTGTCCACTTGGTGTACAAGTATGGTTGTTTTTGCTTGGGGTCTATCCCTCTTTCTGCTCCCTCCTTTTGATCTCATATCTCTTGTGTGTGGTTGGATGAAGCTTACTCAAACCAACTCAACGCATAGCATCTTACATCCCCTCTGTGGCATCTGCTAACCTCGGCCGCGTGACTTTTAGATCAAAGATGAAACTGGCGCCGGTACGCCTTCTTCTCGTGTATTATTCGTATGGATAAAGAGACTTACCGCTTACTCGTTTTCAAGATGTCACCACCCGAGGAAACTACTACCCGGACAAGAACATGGCGACCGCTGCCGTAAGTTCTCGTTCTCTTTCTGATATTGGACCAGTTATTGATCTAGTCGGTGCAGAACCCCCCTCTCTACCTTCATGTGACCAGCACCAACAAGGAAGGCCTTGAGAAGGCTGTGCAGATCATCGATGATCTCATGAAGAAGGAACTGCCGAACCTGGTCGACGAGCGACGCTTCCGTCGGAGGGAACCCGAGCAGCAAGTAGAGCGGGACGAGTTTGGTCGCGTATGATTTCCTGCTGATGATCTGAGAAAGAAATAGAGCTCCTCTAACTTCATATAGCGCAAATGGCCCGATGAGCGGATTCCTATTGATCTTGAACCCATCCCTGGATTCAATTTGCGTGCGCAGGTTGTCGGTCAGGGTGGTGCCTACGTGAAGCACATCCAGCAGAAGACTCGCTGTCGCGTTCAGATCAAGGGTCGGGGCTCTGGATTCATCGAATCGAGTACTGGCCGGGAGAGTGACGAGCCTATGTTCTTGCACGTCGCGTGAGTGTATAAATCCCCGATTCAGCAATCATTCATACTAATTATTTTTCACAGCGGTCCCGACCCAAACGACGTTCAGGCTGCCAAGGAGCTCTGTGAAGACCTGTTGGCCAACGTTAAGGAACAGTACCAGCACTTCAAGGACAACCCGCCACAGCACAGCTACGGTGGCTACGGCCGTGGCGGCGGAGATCGCGGAGACCGCGGAGATCGTTACCACGGCGGAGGTGGAGGCAGAGATGGGGGTGGTTACAGGGACCGATACAACGATCGTCACCAGCAACATCAGCAACAATCTCCTGGTCCTTCTGCTAGCCCCACTGACCAGGCTGCTTCGACCGCCGCCACTGCCGACTATAGCGCCGCGTATGCCCAGTACTATGGATCTGCCGACCCCTACGCCGCCTATGGTGGATACCAAAACTACGTGGCCTATTATCAATACTACCAGCAAGCCGCTGCCGCGCAGCAGCAACAACAAGCCGCCGAGGGCCAGGCGCCCCCACCTCCCCCTGCCAACGAAGCACCTCCGCCTCCTCCGCCAGGCTCTGATGCTCCTCCCCCACCCCCGGGCGGAGGTAGCTACGGTGCGGTATGTGATCTCGTTTCCTAGACTCGTGCGCCCAAACTGATTCCTGACTGACATGATTTTTCAGGTCCCACCCCCTCCTGGTCTGTAAATCTGCAGTTGCAGCGCAATTGGCCACATCGATTTCGCCCTCTACGGTCCGGTAGCGGGCATGGAACAGACAAGAAGTGATTGATGGGCCACAAAAAGTGGACAAAAAGGATACAGCGATCTCGTTTTCCCTGCAAGTTTTCAAAGTCTCTTCGACCGTCGTGATGCTTTTCAAAAAAGGTGTTTTAGCTTAAGATTCTCCAGTGCTCCTCGTCTTCGATAAGCTAGGTGACGGTAATACTAGCGCCGCGCAAGCGTCGACTCTCATTATAATTTGACCGATTGTCTACTTGCATAGTCCTCTCAGCCGATAATAGGGTTGGCATCTGTCGTTGGCATTTGTCTTTGACATTGCAATGATACTGTAAATTGACAAATCTCCAGCCATCACTTGCGGGATTGGACCTGACGTTCATCAAGGACCGGCCATGAACATCTGCCGTGCATCCATCAATCGATCAAAAAGCTCTGGTCGAAAAAATTCCTACAGGTGATCTCTCCGTCCGGTGTTCGCTGCTGAACCGTCTTTATAGAACTGAGACATGTCCCTATCTCCCTCTATCGCAGCATAATATACCATTAAATCACATAATCTATTGCTGGCAAGAAGGTTAGTTTATGCTTCAGGTACCCAGAAACGAAGAAATCGCCCCAAATGACGGATCATAGATACTAGGGTAATGACAGTTTTCGGTTCATTCGCTTCCCCGTCGCTTCCCTTCAAAGGAATCTCATTTCAGTCGTTTTCTGGATTCACCTCCTTTTTCTTCTATCACTCTCGGCATATCTTTCCTTCTTGCGCAACACACTTGCTTCTCATATCACCCAACAGCCAACTATCACTTGTCATATACCAACATTTATCAGACTCATCTATTTTCGCCATGACGGACCCTCCGAATACCCCTGATCCCCTTCGTTCGTCACCCGACGCCAAGACCGCTCTTGCTTCAATTTGCGACTTCCCGCTACTACCTGCACCTGCATTTTTGATATGTTGACTAAAAAGTAATACCTTCCTCAAAATGCAGAACGGATAGCTTCATAGGTAGACTGAAATCCATTCCGATGTTTCTCTTCTCTTCACACCTTGCGTGCTTCAGCGACTGAGCTATACCAAGGCTAAGTATACTGTTTATATCCTGTTCCCTTATATCTGTCACGATGGTTGAAGGTTTTGATTGGCTTTCAACGCTCATTCAAGTCATAGTTTCGCTTGCACTCGCCATCATGGGCATACCACCGGTAGCATGGTGGCTCATGAGACACTGGGGTTCCTTCTGCGCCTTTTTACGGGAGTGTAGGAGAAGCCTCTTGCCGGGGGCCAATTCGAGAAGAACCCCTGATCCTGAGGAGCAATTTGATGACCATGGGACTGAGCTGGAAACCCTCGACGCGGACGCCCTCCCTCCGCCGTCCCCCGTCCTCCCCAGCCCTCCTCTCAGGTTGAACGGTCCTCAGTGGAGCCAGCCGCCGCCCCCGTGTCGATTTCCTCTCGTCCGCTGCCTTCGTCCTTCTCGCTCCCTGCGCCGCCCCTCGCCGTCCTCCCTGCTCCCTCGCCGTCCTTCGCCGACGCCGTGTCGAACTTCTCTCGCCCGTTGCTCCGCCGTTCGTCTCGTATCTGCCATCCAACTCAGTTCTATGGTCGTTAGTGCTACCACATGGTGTCAAAACCATGGCTCCGAGGACGGATCACAGTGTCTGCTGAAGCCACTCGACTCACCTCGAGTGGTGGAAGTATGGTGATTACAGGCGCCCCATCCAAAGCTCCCACCTTCGAGACGGCTAATCTTGATTGTGGAAGTGGGGCCACCAGCGATGGGCTCGCACTTCGCAGTGCTGGTGACTAGTAGTCTTCTGGTGAAGGTAAGACCAGCCTGAATGTATTTATAGAGCCTTGGGTTTCTGATAGAATATCAACGTTTCTCGCGGTATCTTCTCCGTCGTATCTTCTCCATTGAATGAATCATGTCACATCCGTAAAGCTAGAACAGTTAGTGTGGAAATGAATGAAGGTGAGATATCAACTAGAATATCTGTGCAAGTGACAGCTATATGGCGTGGCAGAACTTGGCTACATGAGGACGATTCTTAGAGTGAGCGACGGCGAGCGTACAGCTATCCCATCATCTTCTCATCAATGAGATCGAGGTTTCACAACACATTGCTCTATAACGTCAGGAAGCCTGTAAACTGACTCCAAAAACATGCGCGAGGCGTACGTTACCCCGCAAAAGTCCCGATTTCGTTGATTCACATGAAACTCCGAGACGAGAGAACTTATAAGGTCCGCATTCAATACGGGCCACTAGTATTTCCGAGGCTGCTTTCATGTTCCCGATATCTCGATCCATATCCGAAATACTATGTTCAGGCGTAGTTGTAAGAGTTGTTATTGGCGGGGAACGGGTATAGTTAGCAAGCGGATTAAGCGAAATATCAGGTGTATAGCTTTCTAGATCCTTAATCTTATCTGCACTAGATTGTCTGTTACTGCGCTTTGTGATAATTCCCGCGATACTATGGCCCACGATAATAATGCGGAGCTCGAACGCTGTCCCGGTCAGTGAAGACGCAGTACGTTTAGACCAAGAACACGAGCATCCTTGAGTTGTGGTAGTCACCTTAGATTCGGGCGCTGATGATGAAGATTGAAAGCTTGGGGGAAACGAAGTGACAAAATGTACGAGTAGCCAAATGTTGTCTTCAATAGGATATACTGAACTTGAGCGGCCCACACTTCCTGCATTCGGGCGGCAGTAGTGTAGTGGTAGAATGCACTACTGGTGACGCTATAAAGACTTGTAAGGGCCCTCAAGTCTTCAATCTGCTTATAGAGAGCGCAAAACATCTGCTATGAAGCGAGTTCAATCTTCAAACAAGCCCCCGAGCTCAATTAAATCAACAACTGTCCCCTTCACATCCGAAGCTGAAGGCCAAGAACGGCAGCTTGTACAGCCTGCTCTTCCTCCATTTGAGTCGGAAGTCATAACAACTGAAGCACCGGGAATGGGCGCTGATCCCTGGACTACTGATTTCGGCAGCGACACATATTGGGCCTTCATGCCATTTCTATCGCAGCTTGAAACATTGCCAGGCGTAGCTGATATCGATATCGATATCGATGACCTGGAGTAGCATATTTGTCATGGTCCATGCCATTGGTGTTGCTATTGGTACGTGATTGATGCATGACTCAGTCCCTCGTGTATAAATAAACACAATTCACCGGGCAGTGTTATGCAAGGCTCACAAGCTTACGGCAGACTATTGGATACATTGCCTATGAGTCAGACCGATCTCCTTCCAGCGGCTTTCTTTGAGTTCACCACTCTCTTGAGAATCCGCACTAATCGCATGATAAAGATGAATATGTCTAGAAAATGTCACCGGAAGTGATATCAGATTACATTCTGTGCGCTCATGGAATCGTCAAGGCTGAGATGAGATATGTGCCTCTCTATCATTACTCCATTCGTTCATGGCTAGTATCCCTGATATTCATGAAAAGTACCTACTCCGAACATCAGTGCAAAGAAATACACCGTAGCAGAGGAAACACAAGTGAATACATACAATAAAAGACAGAAAGCCGCTAGCTCAGGGTATTTATCAAGAATATTCATAGTTCATTTGTTCCATCATAAAGCCATAAAGAGCATCAGCAGCGTCCATTCTACCCCTGCGCTTTGCCAAGCCAGAGGGTCCCTCTTTACAAAAATCGCAAGCATAATCACACGGAGATGCAGATGGGTTGAGCGGGTCGGGCTTGACAACACCATATGCAGACTGCGGCTGCTGAGAGCCCATCTCTTCCAACTCGTAGTCGCCAAAGAGATCTTTGATCAGCGCATGCCGACACTTGGTGACCGTCTCGCAGTAGCGGACGACCTTTTGGTAGCTCTCACGTCGTGCCATCTGGTTCTTAAGCAGCCCGGCAACGAAAGCCTTAGGCCCACCACGGTTGCGCACATTTTCTGCGTCACGGCCCAGACGATCGGCGATTCGGTCTCGCTCTTGCGTGTTGTAGTAGACGAGAGAAGCCGCTGCCTTGCCGTCACGACCCGCTCGGCCTGATTCTTGCACAAATCCTTCGAAACTGCGAGGTGGTGTCCAGTGGACTACGAAACGGACTTGAGAATTGTCGATACCCATACCAAAAGCATTGGTCGCCACAATGATTGAGAAGGTGGGCGGCGGCTTCCCATTGCTGCCTTGTTGATATGGCTGCGCTGAAGTCCACATTGCTTGAATACGAGTTCGATCTTGCGGGTTGAGACCGGCGTGGTATGCCACTGCCGATATTGTCTCGTCAGAATCCAATCTGCTGGCAAGATCTTCTGATGTTGCACGAAGCCCGACGTAGATGATTCCGGACATGGGTGGACGTTGTGCTGCTGCGTGTGCGCCGATTCGTGCTTCTTGACGGCTTTTGATGGCCTTCAACCAAGCCAATAGATCTTGCACTCGAACATCTTCCGGAGAGATATCGTCATCTTCGTCGTAGTTTGGAAGGTACCGTACTTCGTAGTGGATGTTGGGACGTGCAGAGGGGGTATTGAAGAGCTTGAGCTTGGCGAAGTTCAGGCCCAGGATAGTAATGATATCCGATCGGACTCGGGGGGTAGCTGTAGCTGTGAGGGCCGTGATAGCAACAGGCGGGTCGTCCAAATTCTTTCTGAACCAGCTCAATTCCTGATAGGCTGGACGGAAGTCATGGCCCCATTCGCTGATACAATGGGCTTCATCGATGGCAATGCGGGTCAGTTGGCCCTGCCGGTGGACAATGGAAAGGTTGCGACGGAAGCTGTCCGTTTGGCATAACTCTGGGGTTACATAGAGCAGGCGTGTACGAGGGTGCCCGGAAAGCATGTCAGTCATGATCAAGCGTCTCTCGGCTAGAGGTGTGCTGGAGTTGATAGTTTGGACTGGAACGCCGATAGCCTGCAGAGCGTTGACTTGATCCGTCTGTCGAGAGTTAGTATATTGCACTCATAAAGTGAGAAAAGTATAAGTCTACCATCAATGCAAGAAGTGGACAAATGACAATGGTGACTTTGACAGTGTTAGTGACGTGTTGCCAAGAGGGTCGGCAAATTTGACTTACGCCCATTGCTAATTACAGCAGGGAGTTGGAAACATAGACTTTTGCCAAACGATGTTGATGCTTGGAGAAACACATCGTGGCCTTCGACGACTGCTGTGATGACTTCTCGTTGCAGTGGACTAATGCCAAGTCAGCGAAGTAAACGCGTTTTGGGCAGCCGTGCTAACCGGAACGATTTCTTGCGGAAGACACGATGCAGATAGAATTCCAAATCTGGCTTTCGCTGCGGCAGTCCTCCCCGACTAGCCATTTGGTAGCATGTCAAAGACGTGGTTTCTGAGAGTTGTCATGTGTACCTGGTGGTTGATGCTTCTCTTCCAACCGCGTCCTCGTCGCGGCTGGGGAGACGCGACATCACGTGACTATATTGATTTCTTGGGATGCAGCACTTCTCAATTGGGCAGTTAAGCCTGTATGCTTTTGGTGTTCATATATTCAGTTCTACATATGGGTAAGTGGATGTTTAGTTTCGATATTTGATTGAGATCTCAAGTCATGTACATGAGATGGAGCTGAGGGTTATAAGATCGTCTTGGACTTGGCCTTGCATTCTTCTTTCCGTACTCTTTCTTAGTCGTGAGTTTCCCAGATATCTGAGTATGATAATTCTCCAAAAAAAATCGAGGCTAATTCTCTTTGGACGATATCCCGTGGTTTTTATATAAAATATTTCGCTGAATTGAATCGGTATATGGCGGATCTATGTATAATGTACAGGTATCAATCACAATGCACCCCACCCCCTTCTCTATATTATGTTACAGTTTTGGGCGAGGACCCCTCGACAACTGCTTGTCGAGCTCCTCCTTGACAGCAAGCACGTCAGCCGCCTTGCGATGATGGGGGTGCCAAAGTCGTTCCAGTTGCAGCCAAGCCTCCATGACCTCCTTGGGCCCATAACAAGCGCCGAACGCACGCAGAATGATAACGATCATCTTGCGGCCAACAAAAACCCCGTTCTCCAGGTACTTGTCCAAATCGTCCGGCTGGTGCATGCCAATGCTAATTGGGTTGAGCTGGCCTAATGCAGACACAGACATTTTACCTCCAGCAACTTCATGGTCTGCTTTGACCGTGTCGGCGTCAGCCTGCGGCTTCCAGGAGCCTTCGGGAGCCACGTTAACGACATCATCATAATCATCATCCATGTGATGCTCGAAATGTTCATCGGATTTTCCGGACTGGGGCCTGGAGTCCGGCTGGGTACCATTGCTCGCCGATGGGAGATGCATATAGAATTCATCAGATGTTTCGGTCACTGTTTGATCCAGCTCATCTTCCAAATGCAGAGCATTGGCCAAGGGATTCTCCCATTCCATTTTTCGCGGACTTCTGTGCCTCTGTTGTGCATCCAATCTCGCCTTTGAAGTACGCAAAGCCCGTAGATAAGCATGCCAAACCAGGCGAAGCCTTTCTGCAGACCACGCCTTTTTCTGGAGGCCATGGATGGCGAATCCCTCAAATAGCATCATATAGACGATCTGGTGGGGAGGCACATCGAAAGCATTCTCCATGTCACGGAGAATCATAACAAACTTATCGAACTGACCACTCTGGCGTGCGTAGTATCGGAGAAAGATGTAGAAAGTGCGTGTGTCAGGAGTCATTGGAATAGAGTCCTGAAGAGCCTGATGATGCTCAGGGAATTGGCGCTTGAGCACTTGAGATCGCTTGAGAAAGTCACCAAATGCCCTGCTGTTGGTCCTGTACTTGGAGAGCTCGGATGAAAGGGAATGCTCAAATACCACTCGATTTGAATCCGTTGTGAGTGACCGATCAGCGCTCAGTTTGGCTGCTTGAGCGTCGATCATGCGGGCATACAGTTGTTCTGCTGCAGATGGATCACCTGCTCGAATGAATGCAGAGCATAAACTGTTCAAGACGACAGTGTCGACAAGATCACCGGCCTTGACGAACCGCCGGAAATTTTCTGTGATGCCATCCAAATCCTTCTGCACGCCAGCGGAATAAATCTTGGCAACCAACCCGAAGCGAGTGAAGTCCAGCTTGCGTCTCTTCATCTCCTGCTCTAGCCGGTCGGCAACCGTGAACTGACTGGCCTTGATGGCAGTATCATACAGGATATTGAAGACCACGTCGTCTGCTTCAATTCCAGCCACATGTTCCATTTGCTGCCAGACACCAATGGCACGTATAAGATCTCGCTTCAGGACCCTGCCGCTACCACTTCCTCGACTAGCAAAATGTACAGCAGAGGTCCACATTGAACGAGACATGCTCTTTTCCGAGGCAATCATGTCTTGTACTAAGGCAAGATAGCGCCGAGCATCGGCCCATCGTCGATTAGGAGCTTTGGCGAAAAGTCGCAAGAGCTGTCCGCGGATCCTTTTAGGTAGTTTTGCCACTCCCGGTGCGGGGATATCTCTATACAGGCGAAACAGGTATGACGTGGAAGGTGATTTCTCGTGGGATAGCACATGAATCAGCTTCGCGACTGACAGCCTGTGCAAGCCCACTTCGTTAGTGACCTCCTTCGCCTCTCTTTTTGGGTGCACTCCGTCTTTCGGGAAAACGACGTCCATAGGCTCCGACCACTCGTAGTCATCTCCCAGGATTCTTCGATATAGGTTTGAATTCATGCGATGCATCTTTTCGTCGTATGAAAGACCAGTTTCGCCCTCGGGGGTCGAGAGCAACTCCGAGTCCGCAGATAGTGTAATTGGAGACAGATCCTTTGCATGGCCAGCCGCGTTTTCGGAATCTATAATTGAGTCGAGCATCTGCGGCCAGTTTTGTCGATGTGATGCTTCGCCCGCTGCTTCCCTTGAACCGGGCCGCGTATCATCATTCCCCCTTTGTTGTTTCAATTGTGTGGATTTTGTGTAATCTTGTGCATGGGAATGTTCCTCCACAGGAAGTAGAGCAGTACTCAGCCATGATCGAGCTCGCGATGATGGAATCGAAGATCTCATGCACTCCCAACGCTTCCCGGCAGACAGTTGGCCATGTCCGTGACTGGTGACAACCTTGCCGCGAAACCTGTGAAGTTGTGTCTCTGATGTCCTCATCGATATTGTGGACAGATGTCGGTGTCGTGGTGTGTGCTCATTGCAGAAACCTGCTAGTACCAGCGAACCGACAAAAATGTCTGCTATTGACGCGACGGAGGGTCGAAGACGGCGGGTAGAGAAGCGGCGAACGGAGGCATGATAGGGAGATGGTTTCGGATGAGACATCGAAGGTCGAGAGAGAAATAGCTCGTCCAATGCCTGCTTGGGGGGGTCGCGCAGGCTCGGCGAGCTGGGAGACCTATTGGGAGGAGGCATGAGAGAGCAGACATCGTGGCATTGGCTTAGCCATGCATGTCCAAAGGAGAAGCAGGCCGATCGCACGAGATAGCCAGGACTGCTTCTCGGACCAGGAAGCAGACGGCGAGCAGATGAAAGGAGAGAATACGCCAGAAGGGAAAGCAGTACTAGTTACTGGTCAGTAGTTTAAGCTGGGGTGTTTTTCTGAAGGCCGGACTTTCTGGCTTTGCAGCGGGACCCGCCTTGACCAATCGGAGTCGCATTTGGGCCAATCCCATCTTTTTCGCTCCCGCAGCATCGCAACACCTCGTCCTCCACGTCCTGCACGTCGCTCGTCGCCCTTCTATTCTTGCCCAGTTCGAGTGATTCTCGTCCTGTCAACGACGAGATACTTTCTTTCACGATCGTTTAACCTCCCGGGACTCCCGATTGACGACAGTCCCTTGACTGTGTCCCGACGACATGGGCAAAATCAACCTCACCGCGCTCCGGGTGCGCAAGACAGCGCTCAATCAATTCGCCAGTGGAAAGATCAACAGGCTTCCCCAATGGGTCGATGTTGTTGGCGAGATTCCTCCCTCTGAGACCCTCATTCGCAACCCGCCCCCTCAACACCAGCTGGTCCGACAACGGATGAAGACCGTTGCGGGATCATCGAAGCCGCAGGTCGTTTTCGAGGTCCAGGAGAAGCGCCGGAAGTCGAAGAAGCCCAGTCGGCTGTTCCAGCCTCTGGAGCTGAAGTACGAGGAGGATGAGCTGCGACAAGACTTCTTCCGGGATCACCCTTGGGAGCTTGCTCGGCCTCGTGTGCTCCTCGAGAGCACCGGCAAGGACCACGAGAACTACGACTGGAGCCGGATTAAGCAGCCTGGAAAGCGACTGGACGGTGAAAGGTAAATTTCCTCCTACTCTTCAAATCCTCAAATCCTTGTCCTTGAAATATTGCACCCTATATGTGGAAATGCTGGAGTTCTTCACTGACAAACGTCTCTTCTGTCTGGCTAGTGTCGTCCAACGCCAGCTTTGGCTCCTGAACAACGTGCCTGATATGACCAAGACCAACGCATACGATATCGCGCGTCGAGAATTCTACCGCTTGCGACTGCAGGAGGATATTCAGCGCCGGGTTGCTGCCGAGGAGGCCGAGGCCACCGGTGCCAACTTCGGTCTGTCGTACCTGGAGATTGGTATGGACTTGGAGAACCAGCAATATGAGAAGTGGAAGGCCTGGGCTCGGACAGAGGCTCAATTGTTCGAGCAGCGGACAGCAGCTCTCTCCGGGGCCCCCGAGATCGCACTGGAGCAGCAGAGCCAGAAGGAGGAGGCCTTTACCGAGCAGCCGGATGCTGCATCGATCTAAAAGAGACCGGATTGACATTGATTCCCTAGAGTCATTGCCCTGTGTTGCATTGCTTGTCTGGGAGAGATCTGTTTTGAAATGCCAGACCTCCCTTGTTGATGGTCATGTATATTATTTGATTAGTTCTGCTGGATACTGTATTCCCATAGCCTTATATTTCACCACAGAGGTTTACTCCTTGCCATTGAGATGTCCATGCAATGAAGCTCATATCGCTAGATTGGGGCGACCAGTTCAATTGAAGCCAGACACTTGAAACGAGTATATAGAGTGATAACCGAGCGTCTCCTCTACGCAGTCTCATTTTGTTTTTTATCACATACCTCAAAAGCGATTATTGATCCTAGCATCATACCGAAATCGAAAAGAGATTGTAATTGCGAGCATACAAACTTGAAAAAAAAGATATTGTGTTATTTTGGCCCCCGGATTTCCAACCAGTGGGCCGAGCCAACGTTGAAACGCCCAAAGACGTTGATCGCCAGCTCCGTTAGGCTGCGTCTGGTCCAATCACGACACTTCCAGACTTTCCAACTTCCTCGCAGTTGCAGACTCGACTGAAGCTGGTCTGCGCCCGTTTCTTTCTGTCATATCCCTGTATCTGTGCTGTTCTAACGACGCATCCTGCAGGGCGATCGATCGGACCTCCTTGATTCCCGCAATAACAACATTCTTGGTCCAGCGTGGCTGACCTCCGCCTCAAGCCTCTGCCCGAGCTTCGTTGCGCAGCTTCCACGCTCCAGTTTCATCTGGACAACACTGCCCTGGATTGAACTGTCTTGGCCTCTTCAACTTTCGGCCAGGACCCGCCAATTTCCGTGGCTAGTGCATACGTGCTATCCTCCGCCACCGTCTACGTGCATTCGTTTCGCTTCGAACCCGCATCTCACGCATCTGACAACCAAATAATCTGGCACTTTTCGAGACTGCTTACTAGTCGACGATGTTCTGCTCACGCCTGTCTAACATCTCATATCGGTAGTGGTCAAACATTTGGGACACACATTGATCGATCGCGCAACTGCATATCCACAGCGCGCTCGCCGGCGTCGTCTGCGTTCTATAACAGCCGCAACCCCTCTATTCGACCATGCTATCCGCCATGAACCGGCCAGAAGACACGGTGCGAGGGCCACGCAGCTACCGGGGTGATACAGATGAGGATGAAGGAGAGAAGGGGCCAACCGAATCCCTGGTCCCCCCTCCGTTGTCCTACAACGAGGGCTCGCCGCGCGCAGAGGAAGATGGATCGAGGCCGGGTACCGCGATGAGCGACCACCCCGGCAGTGGTAGCAAACAATCATCCAATCAAAAGCTGTTGACTCAGGAGGAGACGATTGAACTTGCCCGGCGCGCGGTGGAAAGTGGTATTCAAGATACCAAACGGTCTTTGGCGGGAAGTGAGGCTGTTACGGATGTGGTCAAGCCGAAGCTGACCATTGACCTGGGCCATTCCCATATCGTCAGGATACCAGAGCCTGTGGTAGACATCATCAAAGATGAAGTCGAGAGGTACGTTTTTAACGTGTCGCCCTACAGACTTTAATCCGGGGATACTGCGGTTCTAGATCCAACTAACTAAGCCTCAAATTTTAATTTCACAGACTTTCCCTGTCGAATAACCATCTATTTCACATTCCGTACCGCTTTGCAGAGTGCTCCCATCTTCGATATCTCAACATCCGAGCAAATAACTTCCGGGAATTCCCTAAAGGAGTATGTCTGAGAGAACCCTTCAGTTGTCGGCATTGACGCTGATATCATCTAGGTCTATAAATTACCCTTGCTGGAGATCCTTGATCTCAGTCGGAACAAAATTAATGCCCTCCCAGATGAGATCAGCAAACTGAGATCTCTACGGGTGTTATCGATTATGCAGAACCGGTTGGATGACCTCCCAGTTGGGTTGTCCGATATGAACAAGCTACAAATTCTCAAAATAGCTGGCAACCCCCTGCGATATCCTCTCCGCCGTGTGCTGGAGGCATCGGAGGCTGAAATAGCACCTACCATGACGGACAATGAAAAGGAAGTTGCGGTGACTGCAGAGCTCAAGAGATTCTTGAGAACTCGCCAACAAGCGACAACACCCGAGCCAGAGAGCAGTGGTGATACAAGGTTGGTTAATTTGTCCAATCTCGCAAGGCCCATAAAATTTTAACATGTCCCGCATCCAGTGATATCTCCTTCGACACGCCAAAACCCGCTCCAGTCAAACGGAAACTGAGTAGTCGATTCCCCGTCATTCCCAGCACCGGCGATGGCTCCTCAGCGCCTTCGTCTCGGTCTCCCTCCATATCACGACCACCTCCAATTCCGGCTAAATCACACTTCCGCGTGGCCTCTGGTCAACAACCGGCCGGGTATCATATGCCTGGTCTTCAGCGACCTGGTGCAGTACCTCACTCTTTCAACGAACGCAATCGAAGTAACAGCGAGGGTATCATTCAGGCATCTTTTTCAGCTCGAAATAAGCGTATGGGCCTCATTACTCGAAAGAATACCGATCTCGGGACGCTGGATGAAACTCGACCATATCGAAACAGTCATTTGCGTGGCCTAAGCCATGGGTCTGTTCTCCGAGCACATCCGACAGCACCAGCTCCTGCCAGCAGCAGTAGCTCTTCAAGCCCGAGCAGCCCACGAGAACGTCGACGTCCGCGGGATGGTTGGGTCAATCGGATGTCAAGTCTCCCAGAGCACAAAGGCGAGCGAGGGTCAGACGACCCCATTATTGAGAGCGCCAAGGGCATCCTGTTTGCGCTCTTCCAGATCCATGCTCATATTTCCACCCTGATTAACGTGATTCAGCGTGACGACACACGACGCCACAGTCTTGAGCTCGTGTTTTATAATGCCTCCACTCACGTCGATCGGCTTAATGAAGCCCTCGAGAATGCCGAAACTTCATTACCTGACAGTCCCGAAGCCGCAAGGATGATCACGGAGACTGTCAAGCGTGAATGTGAGACGTGCATCGTGGCTTACACCCACGTTGGCACACAATTGCGAAACAGTGCTGCAAAGATCGTCTCAAATGGCGACTCGCGATATGTGCGCTCGCTGATGCTGATGATGTATGGCAGTCTGGTGGAATTACGGAATGCCTGCGCTAGCCTCAACGTCCCGATGAACCAGCCCCAAAAGTCAACACCGGCTCCCAGGCCAGCCATGCCAGAGCCTATCAAGGGCCCTCCTCTGGACCGATTCCAGCGATCTATTGTCACCCCCACTCGGGACCCAGCCCCTCCGACGCGGCGACTAAGGAGCGATACTACAATTCGACACCCCCAGATGGCAATGGGTGGTCCCCTATCATTAAATGCCACCAGCCATTCAGCGGCCGCATCGCCTGGCTATGCTACTCCGTCATTCAACTACGCACGCAGTCGATCAAGCAGTCGGTCAAATCTCATCAACACGTCGGTGCCGTCCTCTTTGGCGACGCCACGTTCCGGGGAGGCCTTCCCTCCCATTCCTACATCAGGCGGCGTACCTCGAATCAACCCATTGACTGGCCTAGACGAGATTGAGGAGGAACGCATATTCGAAAAGATCTTCCATCAACTCACTTCCGCGTACAGCTCTGCTCTCCAGGCTCTCCCACTTGCTCGACGACAGTTTAGCCGATGCCTTGAGGTGGCAGAGCAATCGCGCGAGTCAGACGGAATCCAAATGCTCTGGAACAATCTCATCCGCCGCTGTCGCTACTGTCTAGAAGTATCTGAGGCACTGGGAATGCGACTCTCCAACATGAAAGTGAAGGAGCCAGGTGGCGGACTACGAAACCAGCGCGAGTTCTGGCAACTGTGCAAGACCTTTATGCAATCTTTCGTCGATCTTGTGACCGACATGCGAGAAGTAAGAAGCATGCAGCTTCTCCCAGGAGATATTATCATTATACTGCGCCCGGTCCAGAAAGCCAGTCGAGAAGCGGGTCGCCTCATCGAGGCATCCCCTTGGTCATATCTCGCAGACATGGCCCCAACCCATACGCCAAGCAACTTGTATGGGCCACCCCTTCAACCCCCTCACCCACACGCGCTGCATCATACCTCGGTGTCAACCTCGGCCATTGGGTCTCACTCAACTGCGTATCAGCTGGCTGCGAGCCTGTCCCCACAATCGGTGACCGTTCCTGCCACTCCGCTGAGTGCTGCACTAGGCCCCGCTGCGCAGGCCACTGTACCTTCTACCCCAGCGAGTGCATACAGCGACAAGTTCTTCGAGGGTGACGTCTTCCAGCGAGCGGATTCGCTCCTCTCAATGCCAAATCAGGCACCCTTCTTTGCACGCCGGTGAGCGGGTACATGCACTACGTGGCAGTTATGCATCCTCGCCCCGAGGTGCTTATAGGTCGATTATTTGCTTAGTCTGACCTCTACATCATCTACCATACATCACGATTTCATGATTATACGAAGTGAATGCACGTTTCATCTTGCCTGGTGTGGATCACTTCCCTTTTTTTGGGATAAGGTCGGCTACTACATTTGTACCCAGAGCGTTAGACCCTCCCCACATCTTTTTGTCTCGAATTATCCGGATTCACAAGAATGCTGGGTCTTTTTGTCGGTTTCGGAGGAGAGGTTGCTGAATCGGAATATATACGGAGTGGCTGTCTTGACTACAAGTCATATCATCTTAGCGTTCGGGCGACAGACCTTTACCCTTGTTTACCATGATTGAACGATCATTTAACAACACATTCGCTATCAGCCTCCAGTTCTATTCTAGCTCGTAAATACCACATTCATCTAAAGACTCCACAAAATCGCTGCCGGCTGTCTTGGCTTGTGAAGCGGCTAATGTGTTGCACGACCTTGTCTCACCTGATTCGTCCCGGCCAGACCAACACCAGGATTCATAATGACTCATGGTGGCTCATGGTGAGCATAAACTGACGTTGTCTGAATGTACAAAATGTAATCATAACTCATAATGATAGCTGATGGAAACGTGTTGACAGCATCTGATTACTGATCTGTTTTGTTTACTTCGTGTTGTGGTGATGGTTCACTCTGCCCAGCGCGACGATGTAACAATATCACCACATTAGGCTGGGGTGAAGCCTTTCAAATTACACCTGATATTATCGAGCGTTCTGAATGAATATTATATAAAGAATGTGATATCTTGCACGTATGAAGAGTAGATAGAGAACAGAAACCATATACTCTACATGGTAGATATCGCCATTGAAATTTCCCGTATCCATCTAGGCTGTAAGTGCCACAAATTGTCAAAAATTCCCACATACAGCACTATGATGCTAGAATTCCCCAGGCAATGACGAAGACTTCACTCTGAAACCAGAAAAAGGGATCTCTGGTGTATTATCTTGATGTACTTTCCTTGTCGACATCGTCCGATCGCCCATACTCCCCATTTACATGATCCATGACCACACGCAAGTGCTAGATTCATCACTAACAACTCTGAATTAAATGAAACTAGTTTGATCTTCCAATAACATCATCAAGCCCATGCAACTCAAAAAAAAACAAAGATATGACCTCCGCTCAATCCTTTTCCCGTCCAACCACCACATCGCGTACATATGCAAACATCTCGCGCGGCTTGTTAGCAAATACACTATGTCCTGCTCCCTGGAATAGATGATACGAGACACCTCGCTCCTCTGCCCAATGTCCAGCCACCTTAGTCGTCGCATTCCTCCAATCCAGGCTGTCAACAGGTATGGCAACGTCGGCATAAAACAATTGCTGTGGACTCGCCGAAAATCCTTGCGCCCCGCGCCATGTCATATTCTGGATTGACAGCTCGGTCCCGATATGATTGAGCAACATATCCCACTCTCCGTTGTAGATGTGCAGTGAGATATTGTGCTCTGTAACCAGAGTTGGCAGAATAGTGTACGCCGGTGGAACTACCGATGGCGCACCAAGCAGGATGCCCAGGATAGTTGAGTTACAAGCACTGTAGGTCCCACGATCGCTAACGTGTAGCGCATCCTGGACATCGGCACGGCTGAAGTATTCAGTCAGCAGGGCTAGGCTGTTGATCGTGCTGCAGTCGTGACGGATGTCGTAGACGTCGAAGCAGGGGATTCCCGTGCCGGCGGCGGAAGCAGTATCGACAAAGTCCATCGCAGTGGAATATATGGCACAGGGACCGTAGCATGCCGAATTGAAGATGGAGGTATTCACCTCTGATGCCGTCTTTGGCGATATGCTGCACGAAGCGTTGAGAACATCCGTCATATTTCGCTTGCGTCGCCGATAATTCAGATTCTCCGGGTTCCCGGGAATATTGATATGGCCTTTCGGCGGGTAGAGCTGTGCCTGAGCGAGCACGCCATCGAAGCCGCAGACCTGATCTGCGGCTTCAAATGCTGCGACAATGTCTTTTGGCAATTTGAGCGCAGTCGCCTGCGACCGCATGTATGCCCCTATGGCAACGGAGGACATTGCCGCTGCATTCCCCCAAGACCCGTCACCGAGTGACATGGAGCGGATGTCAAGTGAATGCAAGGTATTGCTCTCCATCAAGGCGGCGGTGAAGTAAGGTATGTAGATACCTGCGTAGGACTCTCCCATGAGATGAATTTTCTTGGACTTCAGATGCGGGAAGTATGTGAAAAAGCTATCCAGCCATGCCACAAAGTCTGCTGTCACCACGTCGTTATCACGCACAGGGTAGGGATTGCTGGCGGTCGAGAAACCTGTCCCAACAGGCTGGTCCACGTATAGAACATGGCCTAGCTGGGTCCAGGAGTAGGGATTGCGCTCGAGTGAGGTCGAGTTATCGACGAAGGAAATGGGTCCGTTGCCGCCCGTTAGGCCGACGAGGGATGAGCAACCTGGTCCGCCGTTGAACCAAACTATATAAGAAGACAGAAGGTTAGCAAATGAGCCCTATCGGCCAATTTAAACCATTCTCCTATTCAACTAACCGATTAATGTATCATCGTAGGCTTTGTTCTCCGCTTCAAATAGCCAAAAGAAGATCTCGTTCCCATCCTTCCTTCCAGGCACTGGTAACCGTCCAGCCCAGTTCGCCGGCAAAGCAGGGCTATCTGGCAACGAGCGAACTTTAAAGCGAGATACTTTCGCGCTATTGAAGAATGATAGATTTGGGATCAACCGCAAAAGTTGAAAGAAGAACAAGAATGGTGCGATATTCATGTTGACGTTGGGGCTAGACTCGTAGAACTACGAGTTCTCCAGCAAAACCACCGCTCTACGGCGACAGTAGATCGAAGAATTGATTTTGAATGAAGGAATGTATTGAAACTTGAAGGCCACGAGGGATCCATGGCCCTTCTTTTTGAATGTTTTGTGCTCGTTATGGCGATGATGGCTATTGGGGAAGGTTCTTGTCGGGCGGGACGCCCATTTCCTAATTAGGGTTTGTATAGAGCGGGTGGGGATCCTTGGAAGGCGACAGACTTACCACAGGAGCCGGAGACGACCGAGAAACCCCCCACTTCAGGCTGACATGGTCAGATATTGCGTACAAAGAAAACTGCAGCCTCTTGCGCATCGGGAATTAAAAGTGCTCGGCAAGTCGAACATTTCCTAAAAGGGTGTTGAATAGAAGTAGATGTATTGGACGGGGGGCAGGCATTGTTGGCCTGGGTTTGCGGCCTGGTGAATCGGGCAACAAGACTTCTGACGGAGCAAAGCTGTTCCGGTCCGACAGTGTACTTAGCCAACAGTATCCACTAGTCCAAATACCATCGTTGTGCCCCTTTCCGTCACCTTCCTGGGTCAGATCATGTGATAAATGGACGGCTCAGGTGTCACGGCGTCAAGGCATCAAGGCACGAAGGCCATCACACCGCATCCGACCAGCCCCACTTTTTTCCACTTTTCCCCCCATCGCATCCCTGTGGGCTCAACTTGATTCGAACGTTCTCACTTGCTCACTCGCCAGTTTCGCCCTCCCCGGAGCTCCCAAGCTCCACTCCTGCGGTACACTCCATACTTCGTACTTCGAACTTGGAAGTCACCCGTTTAACGATTCAATGTTCAATGTTCAACCCAGATCCGTCTTCCTTTTCCCCGCTCTGCTTTCCCCTCCCAGCATATCCTGGTTCTCGTCACCAAACCGCCTGCAGTTCTCCATTGCTGAGCCAGTGGTTCCCCGAGAAATCGGGGGGCGAGGGCCTCACGTGGCCAGTGCGTCTCAAAGTGAGGCGTCAAAGGGGGATCAAATGGTTAATGGATGGAAGGGAAAGCCCTAAAGTCGGCCCCCTCCCGAACTATACACCGTGAAAGGGGCAAAAAAAGCAAACTATATCCAGCAAGATCGCCGATCCCGCACGATCGGTAAAAGAGAAATAGGGGATGCGACTCGATGTGATGGAGCGTCCGTCTCTGCTGATTGTCTCGAGAGGAGGCACTGGAAGCGGGTAGCAGCAGTCTCCTTGGAACGATTGGAATGTGAGCTCTGATCGTCACCCTCAGTCCATTACTACTCGTTCCTTCCCTCAACTCGTGAGGTGAGAACCACAGCCGATCTCCGTGGATGCTTGCGTCTGCCCGAATTCAGTCAGTCGAAAACGTTGGTTCTCGACAGCCTGTTGCGACGCTCAAACCCGGGCGATACTTCACCACGATGCGCCTATATCAGGCCAAGTCGGTCGCTTTTCCAATTCCTCTCGGTCTTTTTGGTCTCTTTCTCTGTTTCGCCCTCCTGATTTGCTCTCCACGCCTTAACCGGACCTAATCTGACCAATCTCTACGATTCTTCAACGGGTTAGTGTTGTTCATCCCCGACATATCGTGACAAACTCTACTCTATGTGGTCGACTTTGTTTCGCTGTGGCTGAAAACTGCGATTCATCTGGCTCCGTTCGTCGTCGGACAATTGAGACTCACCCTTATCGTCCAGTCCAAACTGCTTCTACTTCATCAATTGTTACTCATTTGCCTCCCCGTCGCCATAACCACGAGGCAGATCGCCCGCAGATCCAAGGCTCAACTGCTGGCTCCACTGCAATTGACAGCTCACTTGCATCACTTTGTCGGCAACTCGGGATTGGCTGCCTGCCTGAGGCAAACAGGGGGCGCGTGGGAAGAAAAAAAATAACAATGTGAGTAAACGTGCTCTTAGGGGCTGGACCGCTATTTCCCCCATTTTCTTACTTTTGGTTCCCTGGTTTTATTCCGTCTCGCTCCAACCAAGTGCCCTTGCCGGTGTACAGAGGGTCGGGGGATGTTGGCGTAGGGCTACAGCCTCCGCCACAACTGGCCCTCCCTGCCCTTCTTTTGTCGTCCCCAGGATTGTTCTTATCTAACGTTAGGCGCATAGAGATCAGAAGGGCCTAGGAAAGGACGTACGGCTGTCTTACCTCTCGGTCATGGATCTCCAGGGGACTAAAGAGGCTCGTACGCAGGAGGAGGGCGCCGACGGCCCGCTAGATGCCTATGGCGCTAGCAGTGGCCGCTCAAAAGAGTTTCGTAAGAACGAGAGACGCGATTCTCACGGCCATGAAAGCTCGTCCACCGTGAACACACTTCGTCGTCATCAGCCACCCTTTGCATATCCGCCCGGCACCCGCCAGCCCAGTGCAGCCTCGCGATCGGGATCGGGATCGACATCTAGCGCTGCACCTCGGCCCCGAGACCCATCGCCTTCCCCAGAGGCCATCAGTATCCCACAAGCACTAGGATTCGGTTCGCGCGACCAGCGGCTCCTTTGTAAAGCCCGCCGACAGCCTCCTGTTACGAAGCGGACACTCAGCGAACTTGATCTGCCCTGCATCATGAGCAATATTAATCTCCGGATGGACGCCAATTTCGATCGTGACCTACACTTCAAGCCCGATCTGGATGGTGAAAAGGGAAAGCGCAAACGGAAAGAGGCTGCTGACTACTGGGATTCGATGGCCATGGAGATTGCAATCTACGCATACCGCGCCGCAAACCCTGATGATGACGTCGATGAAAAGAGCTCGCGGGATGTCACGTCGAAGCGCACTTTCGAGCCTCGACTACCGGCCATGTTTGAAACCTTGCAAGAAGTCATCAAAACACTTGTTCCGGAGCGTGACCATCCTAGCATCATGCAGAACCTCGAAGTACCCCTGCTCATGCAGCAGGTCCGTAAGGGTGTCCTCGATATGGTGGCGCTGGCGACGTGGATGGCGGCTTTATTGAAGACGCATTGCGCACCGATGCGCGATGAATGGGCTGACCGGATGGTGGAGCAGATCACCGAGGGCTCGCAGTCCCAGGAGCCAAAGGAGATTGTGAATGGACTGCAGACTCTATTTGCTATTCTAGAGGCAATGAAGCTGGTGAGAAAGAATCACATCAACTCTAATCATCTGTCCCTTTCAATTGCTAACAAGCCCTCAAGGACGTCGCGAATCATCAAATACGTACGTTCCGCGTTCTTCTCATCGAGGACACGGTCCCATTCTTGCAAGAGTACTTCGAAGGTAAACTCGGCCGCGGCAGTCTCGACGTCGAGCCCGCCAGAATCTGGTATCTTGCAGCAAGGGAACGGGCTCGAAAAGAAGATGAAGCAAAGGGCCCAGACGCAGCCCAGTCGGACGATACTTTCAAGCCTCTCGAAGCTCTATTCCGGGGAATATCAGACCACCTTCTCCAGTTCAACCCACCGGACAAATACCCAGAGACTTTCCTCTTTGACACGGACCGACTATGGCAACTGCGCTCGACGATTCAAAATCTGATCAACCTTGAAATTGCATGGTATATCTTCGAGTCATATGTCCACACCCAAAAGCGGTATCTCTCCGCTCGCGACGAGACATACTCCACCTTTCGCTCGCGGATCTGGTCTCTCATGGAGGACGAACTGAGCTCTGATGGCCGGAGTGCCGGCGAAGACGAAGACCCTGATGTGCGGGGTAGCAAGCGCTGGCTGCAGAATATGCGCTGCATTGCGCTGGAGATTGCTCGATTCGCCTGCGCTGCGTGCTGCCTAGACGTCGTCGTCGCTGATGAGGTTATCGTACCGATTGAGGAGGCCCTCTTGTGGCATCTTTCGAACGAATCTGAGCTCTTCCGCTACTTTCAGAATACCATGCGCGAGAAGGTTCTCACGGCAACGATTGCTTCTGCTCGGAGGTACCTGCCCCTCTCTCCGCTGGCTATCTGTGAGTCCCAGCGAACAGCACCTCCGCCCTCCACTACGAATGGCCCCGCACCCAACCCTCCATCGTCTGCGGCTCCTACTCCTTCGACATCCTCATCCTCAACCCCATCCTCCTCGCAGCCCATGTCCGCGCAACAATATGACATTGAACGTATTGGCATGCGTCTAGGTCACATCGGTGTCCTGCACTGGCGTGTCTGGGCATCGCTTCTCTATCTACGAGACGAGATCGCCGACTCAAAGACCGAGCCGGCAGCGTTCATATAGATAACTCACACTTCACATCACATATACTCACCGACAGCTTTTGGGATGGTCTATCTGTTTAAAATACTCGTGCATCTGGTGTGTCTGTGATTCTGGTCTTCGAACTCTCTTTTGATCTGCTTTTCAGCGCTTTGCATCATCTTTACTATGGCGTTTTCCACAGGCCCATGGCCAGGCACCAGCACCGAGCAAGGCGTTCGTTGGAGTCTCCTCGTTTGGAAGCATGGCATTGGATCTGGCTTGGCTTTGCTTGATTTGTTCCTTTATGGGAAATAGACCATGGCGTTATTATTTGGTTGGCTTTCGTTCTCTTCTTTCTTGTTGTTGCTACATTATTTGTTGTATTGCACTCTTCACCCGATCTGGGAAAATATATACCCAATATTTACACGGCCGAGCTCCAGCGCAGTTTCAAATTGGATCCGAGCGACAGAATTCGTAATTATCAGATCACATTTTTCGCATGGAGATATTCATGTGTGCATTGTTGTATGGAGAGTGTGTGATAGGCAAAGGATAACATAGCCCCCGTTGTAACTCCCGAAACCCCCGGGTGCGGCAACTCGGCCCGTGCATCGATCGGCGCGATCAGCACCAACGATTCCCGACCCCGGCGCATCCCCAGGCCTCCATTCCTAACCAGTCTCCGATGCGCCATCTACCCATTGCGGTACAGTCGCAGATCAAAATCACGCCATTATCGTATCCACAACCTAATCTCACCTTAAACCCATCACCGTTTCAAACTCAAACTCAATCTGAGGCTCCCGGAAACGGAAAAACCACAACATCTCGCGGCTGTGCAGCGGGTGTGTCAGCCGCCCCTTAGCTGGTATCCCTAGGCAAGGCAATGCAATGCGCCTCACCACAGTTCTCCGCGCGTCTCGCGCACCAGTGTCTCAATTTCCCTGGCTGGCAGTGCTGAAAGTCGCCCAACTCCAGCGCATCGCGCGCGCAACGGGGATTCAGTCTTCGGGAACGAAAACAGTGCTCGCCGCGCGGATCGAGACCGCGCTAAGCCAGCAGCTGGCTCTCCCTTCGAATGAAAAGCATAGCAATGACTGGAACGTATTGAGTATCGATATGGGGATTCGGAACCTCGCTTTTGCACATTTACGCGTGCCAAGGGCTTCTCAGACGCAGATGGTGGCGCAGGCGCCACCAAGACCGGTGTTGACAGCCTGGCATCGATTGAAAGTCTCGGAGATCGGTGATCTAGATTTGCAGGGTACGGGAGTGAAGATGGATGGCGGGGACTTTGCGGAGCGCATGTCCGAGTCAGAAGCTGGATCTATACCATCTTCGCAAACCATCCAGACTAAGCCAGCGGCAGGCTTGAAGGAAGCCTTCTCACCAGATCTATACGCTGCAATGGCCTATACACTGATCACGTCCCTCCTATCTGCCTACAAGCCCACCCATGTATTGATTGAGCGCCAACGCTTCCGATCCGGCGGCGGGAGTGCGGTTCAGGAGTGGACGATACGCGTTGGCGTTCTGGAGGGGATGCTACATGCAGTGCTGCACACACTTCGACATGCACGCGGAAGTGATATCGCCGGAATTGATGTGCAGGGCATTGAACCCAAGCGAGTCGTTCGACATTGGGAGGATCTTGATTCTCATAGCACCCCGGAGGGCGAGGATGGTACAAAGAAAACCAGAGTTAGTGCTCGGGAAGTCAAGAAGGCCAAGATTGATCTTGTGGGGCGTTGGCTAGGTGCTTCCCTGGAGAACGATATTTCCCATAATTCGGGTACTCGCTCAAATGGGAATATGGGATTGGGCACCGCAGTGGATGCGAAGATTTGTCTTGCGGCAGATAGACCTGCAGTACATGACCTTGCGGGTGCGTATCTACAAAAGTGGCGAGGCGAGGGAACGAGGAAGAAACGAAGCTCTGCAGCGGGCTTAAGTAGTGAAGTTGGCAAGCTGGATGATCTGGCGGATTGTCTGTTGCAGGGTGTTACTTGGGTGGAGTGGCAGGTAATGCGAGAGAGGCTTGCCCGTGAAGGGTTGAAAGCATTTGAAAGGGCTTGAGGGCTTGTGTATAATACTAATTATGATGCTCTAGGGGGCCCGTACTTGAAGATGGCTTATATGACGATACTGTAAATGACTCGAAACATACATGATTGAACTTCAATCTACTTCTTTTCGTTAGAGCCTTGGAGCCTGAGGCTCTTAATCATTCTGCGATCTTTCCTTTTTAAGCCTTCCTTCTTTCCCTCTCCCACTTCCTCTCTTTCTCTTTCTTCATTATTACACGCCTCGGACAGTCCCTCTTGCTGCACACACACCATCCATTTGACTTCCATCATCATCTCTTATATATACAGCCTCTATTATACACACACCATCCTCACTCACAGAACTTCCTCTGTCGTTGTCGAGCATGGTGTCTAGGGTCATCTCGAAATTTATACCAGCCATACATCAAGTCGTATACAGACTCCTGGTTGGTTGAAGGCTCGTTCGCGAGCTGGACATGCGAGATAACGAACATTCCCATCATTCCAAACTTCAATATCACAGACTTGATCAACCCAGCATGGTGGGCAGAGCAAAACCCGTTCACGCCGGGCTGCATGCAAGCTCTACGTGAAGCAGCTCGCCTGCGACTCAATTTGCAGCTGGACCAAAGTATAGGCTCAGAATGAGACTACGAGAACTCGCTCCTTTGTACGAACTCCCACGATCCTGCCGTATGATGCCAAGTCCAGACTGCGTGCACTCAGAGAAATTGACTCACGCCTGTTCAGGTATTCTGAAGCGTCCACCCAGGTGTTTCATGAATGGGTGCGAGTGTACTACTGCCGAAAATACTACCAACTGGCCCGGTCTCGAGTCAGCAAGGGCCATTCATCACTGCGAATCACTGCGAACTTATGCTTCAGTCACTTGATCGCCTGGAGGAGCGGGGTACGTGATGAGCTTTGAGCTCCGGAGGGCCGTCAACGGCCCAGGTGCCAAACCGCGCACTCAATTTGTACTCTCTTGCGCAAATTAGCCTGTTCAATTTATGTTTTTGCCCCGTATGACTTCTTGACGACTTATGTGCCCTTTTATTCCTCCTCCTTCCTCCCTTCCACACGTTTCTCTCACATACCGTGCTCTGTCTTGATCAAACCGGTGGTAGAGGTACTCGCGTTGAGCTGTGCGCATCGGTGGGCACTAGAGCATGCGAAATCCATGAGTTCTGAACTATGACATCTCAGATAGTCTTGTTTCTAACTGGTTCTGATCGGTTTAGATCATTCCGAAATGTGCTTATCGTTGCCTGTATTGCGATACCGAGGTGTAAGTCCCCAGTTCAGTTCCAGATGGACCCGGTTTACTAATTGGAACCAGTGCCAGTCAGGCCCGGTCTGATGCTAGTATCCGCAAGTATATCAACAAGAAGCATGTGGTAAGTTTTGGGAGGTACTTGGTAATCCCTTCGTTCTTACACAGTCTATAACCTCTTGCTAACCCATTCCTCAGAGAAATTGCGAAATACATGCATGACATGAACGTGAAGAACTGCCTCCTCAACAATTGAGAATTCTGATTCTGAGGCAGATGGGGGAGCATGGATGTTGGAAACTTGACTATCCTCCAATTGCAAGCTTGATATGAAGATACGATCCATCAGACTGCCTGGTTTAACTCTCAGACACCGTGGCACCCAAAGGAAACCGGTACATCACATCGTTATCGACGCAGTCTACTCAGTTCGATTACGGAGGTTTCAAGGCTCGGGATGGATTTTCTTGACGGCCACCTACAGATCCGAATCCCTCTCCATCACCCCCGAAATGCCCAGGATTGGATACGATTGAATTGGCGTCATATTCTGAGAAGGTCATCAACGAGCAATCCATCAAGAGGGCTTCCGGAAGGGATCCAGGAAATCATTATAGCGATGATTCTAGCGATGATCGTGTCTCGCGAACAATTCGCTCTCTAGCACCAAAGAATATTGTGTTTTCTTGAAGGTTGCACAATCCACCAGTTTATACTTAGGATGCCGGGATGTACCAGTAGCGCAGCAGAAATCAGAAGAGAGCGTGGACGGACAAATCGGCGTCGAGATCGGCGAGACGGTTAGCAGTCGCGAAATATGTATTCTTGTCACATGGAGGAGTTTCCTCGTCTAGGGTGTGTGCTTCTCGCTATGCTTTTGGCAGCGTCAACATCGGCGTCTAGCAGCCGTGAAACTGGTAACCCCTTCCACTCTGTTCCTTCGTTTTAGGGCAAAAGTGGTAGACAAAAAAAGTTCAAGGTGGCCATTACGGAGAGATTTTAAATTGGGGATATCGAGGTTTGCAAGCACTTTTTGGAGGTCATGGACTACGTAAATGGCGATGTATACAAACAAGCGATATGCAAACTCAAATAAGTCAAGGAGTAAACTCCGTGCTTACCTCAGTCATGTAATGAAGCGGGGCCATCTTATCTCGTGGACTTTGATAGACACTGCGGGTTACTGGCATAGCCTGACATTGCAAAGCTCGTATTCTAGTATGGCCAAGATAGATTGGAATAGGTTGTGGATTGACCCCGCATTAATAATGCTGTGTATTTGTAATCTTAAACCACTGTTACCTCCTATAAATGGACTCATACCAGGTTTTATTTGGCAAAATAATCTCTCACGCCTCGTATATTATGGGTTTCAAGGTCTTTGATATTAAGAGATGTTACCGCCAAAGATTTTTGTGACAGGAACGGTACCGTGCAATTCATCTTCTTTTTGAAGGCCATGTTGAGGTCCTCGCTGACTGACCATAATTTCAGAGTGGCTACATAGGAGGAGACGTCCTATATGAGCTTCTGAGAGTGCATCCTGAATGGGAACACAGTATCACTTGTCTAGTGCGAAACCCAGCTCATGAAGCACAATTCAAAGCAAGATACCCAAAACTAAGGCTAGTTTTTGCTACGCTTGACCAAACAGCTATTATTGAGGAGGAGGTAGCAAAACATGAGATAGTCCTTCATTTTGCGATGAGTGCGGACAATGTGCCATCTGCGACAGCGATTGTGAACGGATTGCGGAAGAGGGGGGGGAGGGGTCTATATTCATACAAGCGGCACTGATATTCTTCTGGATTTGGGACATGAAATACAATGTACACCAAATCGGATTCATATTTTTAATGATTGGGAAGGGATTTCTGAGCTTACTTCTTTACCAGGTAAGTTTACATATAAAACCGTCACAAATAACTGCACGCACTAATAAATATTATCATCTCTTAAGACAAAGCTGTTCATCGCAATGTCGACAAAATTGTCTTGGCAGCTGGCTCTGATACACTGAAGACTGCGATTGTTTGTCCTTCAACTGTTTTCGGAGCCGGAAGGGGCCCTGTCTTGCGGAGAACCGAACAGATGTATAATCTCACTAGGCTTATTCTTGAAACTGGCAAGGGGCTTCAGCTAGGCGATGGGAAATCTTTCTGGAATTCCGTTCATATTCATGACCTGTCTCGTTTATATATTCGCCTGATCGACGAAGCTATTTTCGGAGGATCCAAAGCTTCATGGAACTCCGAGGGCTATTACCTCGTGGAAGGTGGGGAGTACTTCTGGGGGGATATCTGTCGCAGAATTACGAGAGAGGCGTATAAGCTTGGACTCCTGGGCTCGGAAGAGATGATGGTGCTTGATATGGAGGACCGTGCAATAATGGCGCCTGCCGGCCGTCCTGTGGCTAACTATACAGTGAAAGCCAAAGCGTTGCGGGCTAAAAAGCTACTCGGCTGGACACCCACGCAATCAATGCTCCAGGATGAGATCCTTGAAATTGTAAAAGAGGAGGCACATACACATGATCTGTCTTAAGAGCTATCCTTGAATTGAATTCTTGCCAAAGAGCCAAGCAGGGTAATCTTTTCTCTCGTGAGGTAATAGACGATAATATCGGGTCTAGCTGGAGTGCGGTTATACCGTCCGGACAGCTACGGAAGATACCAGCCAAAGCCGATTGGATCTATTTGAATCATGAAAAGCCCAAAATTTCGAATCAAACTATAAAGCTAAGTAACTGCAACCGAAGGTCCGAATGCACTCTGTGTACTCACACATGTTAGTAAAGCAAGGTACTGGAACAAGTCGCAGTGGATCATTGTAGGAAGAGAGCTATAGAACAGAAAAGAGGCAAGCACGAAAGATAAACTTGCGACCAGTGCAGATGAAGTTGTAGAGTCTCGTGGACCAGCGATGGCCAAGCCCAGCGAGGATTCAACTAGGCAGCGAATCGGCGACGGTAAGCGTGAAAGTAAATAGTGATGCCAAACTTAAGCCAAAAAGAGAGTTTTACAACCAAGGACGAGCCAGTCATAGAAGGGAAACTTAAAGAGAAGCGCAGAATGAAGCCCTAGGGCCCTAGCTGCTAAGATGGATAGAGAAAGTGGATGAGCAATAAGACAAGGTAGCCACGACAGACTCGAGCGAACCACAAAACGTCTTGGCGGCGAAAATTGACCAATCAGCGGGAAGAAACTGGTCCGATTTTGCAGTATGTACGCTGCAAAACTTTCCGGGCAGCTCACGCAGGATAGTAACCCCTTCACTCGTTCTTCAAAAGTAAGGGAGGGCCTGGGACAGGAGCGGGAAGGAGAGTGGGAGAGAGGGCCAGTTCGGGCCACGTCAGCGCTTCAGGGATGTTCAGGGCGTTCGGGTGAAGAATAGAGGCCTGAAGGGTCAAGAGGGCAAAGCAGCAAAGCTCATTACACTATAAAGTAAAGTAACATCAAAAAGAAAAACATACAACAGCCAGGATTCGCATGTGGTCACCCACCATACTACTAACTGGCCGGCGTGTGGCTTAAGTACGGCTGAGCGGACGGGAAGCCCTGTTCTCCACACCCTATGGTCGTATGTGCTGGAAATGAAGGAAAGCAAATCTATATTCTCCAGAAATGCCTGATCGTGGCTGATCGGATACCACTAGGCATAGCGTCTCTCGACTGGGATGAGTAGGGTGAGCGCGCAACAGATAGGGTGAGAATGGGCGTGAAAGGGGGTAAGAATCGCCCTTCGTCTCAAAATTTGATTGATGAAGTTGTGGATCTACTTTGTACCTTCAGTCGAGTGTAACCCATGCTTGCAGGAAAGGGTGATTGAGAACAAGGAATAGGAAAAGAAGTTGAAGAAACTATATGTGAAAGTTCATCAAGGAATTGGGTCCGGAGTTTGTATTAGCTTGAAATGGTTTGCCGAGTCCTTGACGCATAGCCACAGGAAGGGACCAAGGAATATCTTCTAGCGCAATGAATGCCCAAATCGGATGGGTGATGCTCGTCCCTTTGTTCTGGCTATTGGCAGTCCCAGGTGAGACCCTTCATCTGGGGGAGACTCGACCGCGGTGGCGAAGTTGTGTATATCGCGGCTATCGTAGGAGTTAGCTTTGCCTTTTCTTTGATCCGAGGCGCTAGCACTTTTCAGATGCTAGGTACGCTTCTATCTTCAAAATTTCCCCTACCTTTCTTTACCCGTAGTTCGCCGCTAATACAAGATACTATAGCATGACCTCGAAGCTAAAGATCCGAATATCTTTGGTCTATATGGAGGGAACTCTCGACTGTCAAGCTTGACTGAAATCTCCTTTAATATTGGCCTGATGGTGGGGCCGCTCCTTTCGGGGAGCTTTTCGGACGTTCTTGGGTATTATTATGCGAATATTGTGCTCGGTGAGTTGTTCTACAAGTATACCGTGAATGGGTCTAACCGGACCAGCTGTGATGTCTTTACTCGTTGCCATTTCCTCGTATATCTATCTCACGGCGGTGACTACGAGCGAGACCCAGACCGAGACGACCGTTTGACGATCATCCTTGATGTACAAAATGGTGGACGGTGGTATATCATGTGTAATTGACTATCGGCCTCTCGTACTATCATTGTTGTTATTCTTATCTTGTTAAAAATCATACCAGCGCCAAGAACACTTAGCATAATGAGATAACAACACGAATTCGGATAGAGAAAGGCAGAGCATAAATTTAACGTCTCGATTTGATGTTCTGAAAGATCTGATGGAAACAGTTTAATGCTAAATTCTTAATGCATAAGTATTCTACAAGACGGTAAGCAGTAGCGATATGGACGCCTTAGGGGGAGGGAGAGAATTGTCATATCGGAATGGCTTTAAGTGTGATACTTAATATGATACTCTCGCTTCATTGAGATATAGAGTTTAGGATGCCATCGTGCGTTATCTTACGACTGGCTCCACGAAGACTACTTGTCTGTACTATCTAGGCCCGCTCTAGGAATGGACTCCTCTCGAATATTCCTTCCTATATCTTCAACTTTACCTTTGGATTCAGCATGATTTACAACTCTCAAGGGATAAAGCTACAGAAGTGCCACACAAGGAAAGTCAGAGTTACGACCCGAGACTGGACTATATGACAAGAACACCTACAAAGTAGGTAGGAAACCCCCCCGGGAATTGAGATAGAGGCAATTTCCACGACCATCCCGTTGACAACGCTAATGGCGCTAACGACGTCGATTGTGTGGAGATTTTAACGGCGTGGCTGTTACTGCCCTGGTTCCGAAAGCGCCTCTACCTATGCGAGATCCTCCTCCACCTACCCTAGTTGCAATGAATCCGAAGGCACGCGGCGGCGTCACCTTCGTTGAGTGCGTCGAGATATCTCATGCCTCGTCATGCGCTGTTAGATTCTCACAGCAACTAGAGGAAGTGGATGATGATACCGTGCAGAGGCGAGCTCTGATTCTCAGCAGCTGCAATCGCTACGCTGGTCAAGCTCGTCGCGCTGTCAAGGCTGTCAGCGTGGTCAATGCCGTGGATATAATCGACCGGGTGTCTCAGAGTAACCCTATAGAACGGATTTTCTTGCAATACCTGACCTCTTGGTTCATGCATCGTTGCAAGAGTCCCCCAAATTCGGGCGAACGACCCAAAAATGGTGTCACAGCGTTCTGGGGCCAAATTCTCTGGGAATTGATGAGATTTTTCCAAACCAGTGGGCCGGTATAGGGTATTTAGGGACAGAGATGGCCCCGGGCGAACGAGCTTTAGGCGATGGCCAGGGGGTTGACGTTTCAAGCTTAATCTCTGTGGGAGTGGCCAGGCCCTGTTAGAGAAGTGACCGAACTGGAAAATCCGACAACTGAACCCTGAAATGACGATCGGACCCTATTATGACGAAACCATGGCAGGATCCGAGTCATTAATCTTCCGTTGATTAATTCCCTGTCGTGATCAGTACCGCATATGATAGATCTGACGAGACAATATGTGCTGGCGAGTAAAAGGTACCAAAATAAATGAGGGACCGGGCTGGACAACGTAGCTTGAGAAAGATGATATTAATCGCGCTGCAACAAGGCTTTCGATGAAATACTCTCAACCTTGATCGTCAAAAATGTGTCCTGTCCTGGTTCAAAATCGTATTCTGGAGGATCCGGTGTAAGTATTCAAACTTGGGGGTCTTCGAGCTCCATGGAAGCATACTCCGTACACACACGAAACCTAGTTTGCAAACGGGAGTGATGTGATGCGGCGGCGCCAACGTGCCGTCACCCCCACCGGGCCGAGCGCAGGCAAGTCGTCGACATGGGCGGCAGTTGTGATTGACCTTTTGAACTCTTTGGAACCTTCATCTATCCCCGGCGAGCGAAGTCCAGACCAGGATCACAACGAACCACGAGTCCGTCACTCCACGAGAGGAATAGTATCCCCGAATACTCATTTAGGCATATAGCGATGTGCATCATCATATAAACCCGCGGCAGAGACAATCTATCGCCCGTGCGATGCGGACCCTAGGCCTCCAGGGGGGCAATGTAGAAAATGAGGGAGTTCCAGTCCATGGCGCGGGGCAGTTTATGTGAAACTGTAGCTTGGCCGGTGTGATACGAGCCTTACCGTGATTGGAATTTTGTTTCCATACGGGACTGGGGTCGCACACGGGGTCATCGAGGGGGTGGTTGAGCAGGGAATCAACATCAGAGAAAGCAAGTCGGGCCTGAAACACTGAAACGTTGGCTGCGACGCCCGCTCGGGCGATCGGGACTGGTGCGCGGGAGGGCTGGACGAGTCAGGATCGGGGAATGGCTGGTTCTAGACGGTCGGGATCGATGGCGGGCCCGGGTTGTGCCTGGCTTGACTGCTGAAAGGCTGGTTTGGGCTGGTTTAGTCTGCTCCACTCGGAGACACTGGCCGAAAGTATGTCCTTGGAGTACTGTTGTATTTTGTCATCGACAGCCTGAATATTTGGTATTTTTGAGGACTTGCCGGTCAATCAGATAGTCAGACATCTGCCGTAGCCCTCTCATTTGTGAGATCTGGTCCTGTTTCTGTTTGATCCTGTAGTGTAACATCACCGTGTCTAAGGTTGTCGCCAAATTGTCGCAGCCAGGAAGGGACAAGGGAAGCTGCCACCCGCAATAGGGGGCAAACGGACTGGCGCCACCAGCTGTGGCTGATGGGTGTACACGTAAAGTGATAAATTGATATGGTGTTAATTGATTCAATTTGTTCAGGATCTTTCGGTAAGCGACGGTGAGATTAAAGGCCAGCGTTGTCAGGAGTAGAGTGGAGTGGAATGATTGGTGAAGGGGAAAGTTGGGCGGGGAATCAAATCAAAAAGAAGAAGAAAAAGGAAATCAGCCAGTCAGGAGGCGGTGCCTGAGGTGCCTGAGACGGTGGAGAAGAGCCAGTGAATGGGGATGGTGTGTACCAAATACCTCAGGAGTACAGAATATGGATACAAAGGACACTCAGCCAGATAAGTACTCGATACTTCTTTGAAATATTAATATAATTGTTATCATAACATATGGTAACTTTTGTCATACATAGTAAATCATGTTCAATATTTCATCTTTAATATGCACGGATACACTCTACGCTACATTAGTAACCGCCCCACTCGGCCTCTGCCGGTAATACAGAAAATGTTGATATTTAACTTGATCACAATTAGATTTCTGATGAATTCGAGTAATGTTATGTACCATTGTACATACCAATACTAAATTAATTGTCTGTAGATTAGTGCAATCTCCAAGTAATCTAAGTAATCTGCGGCGGGATTAGCCTCCCCATTTATCTTCTCTGATAGTGGCCCGCCTTTTAATTAACCACCCTGCTGCCTACTGACTTGGCTCTCTTCTTCTTTTCTCTTTCTTCAACCTCCACCTCGCCCTTTTTTTCTACCTGGTTCTCTGCGAGAATCTTTACTTTCTTTCACGTTAGACGTTGACTTTCTTTTCTCCTGCGAATCGACTTCGCAGCACCCACGCTCTTTCGCTCTTCCAACGCTCAGCCCACATTCGCTCATCCCACGTCTATCAACAAGACATTGATTGTCTAAGACTCAAAAGAGATATCCCAGACATCCACTCACTTCACACACCATGCTGTTCAACAAATTGACCTTTGCCCTCGTCGCTGGTCTCGCCGCCGTCGGTGAGGCTGAGCACCACGCTCGTCGTGTCCACCGCATCCGTAGCATCATCCACAGCGAGTCTCCTGCTCCTTTACCCACTATCACTCGCACTATTGTCCCTACTCCTGTGGAGTCGGGCTCTGATGCTACCTCCTCCGCCTCTTCATCGGTTGTCGCTTCTTCGGGCCCTGCTTCCTCCAGTGCTGCTCCATCGCGTACTCCCTCGCGCACCCCCTCGAGCATCCCATACTCGTACCCTCCTTCAGTCAGCACTGGTATTCCCAGCCAGGGTGCTGGTGAGACCGCCACTGGTGATATCACTCTGACCTACACTGTGGGCACTGGTACCTCCACCAGCGTTATCACCACCACTATCCACCGCACTACTACCGATGTGCACACGGTGACTGCTGTAAGTTCCTCTCAAATGACCCCGTATTGGCCAATATCAAACTAACTGCCTGGACTCAGACTGAGGCCCCCGATGCCAATGGCCACCAGCAGGCTGGCAGCGGTGAGCAGACCACTACTCTGCACTCCACCGCTACTGAGACCGTCACCCTCGTCGAGGTCCCCACCACCTCCGTCACTGCTGGCAGCGGCGGTGAGGGTAACTGCAGCCCCGTTACTGTGACTGTCACCGAGACCGTGACTGCTGTATGTACTTCAGCCTCCTATGTTTCAAAAGTCGTGGAACGCTAATTTGTATGGCAGAGCGGCACCACTGTCACCACTGCCCCCGGCCAGAGCCACCAGCAGGAGGGCAACGGTGAGGGTAACCACGGCCACCACGGTCACCACCACCACACCAGCGCAACTGATGATGGTGATGACTCTGAGCCCACCTCCACCCAGACTATCATCCCCACCGCTAGCTCTACTCCGTTCCCCTCCTCCTCCCGGGTCCCATCCGGCTTCGCTACTAGCTCCGTACGCATCCCCTCAGGCTCAGTTAGCATCCTGCCCTTCCCCAGCCAGAGCGGTCACCCCGGTGCTCCCTCGGGCAAGCCTAGCGGCAGCCCCTTCCCCCACAACTTCCGCCGCCGCTACGTCTAAGCGAGGATGTGTGAGATTTGATAGAGAAGACTCGCTCTGATCTGTGGGTAGTGATGTGAGCCTGCCGATGATTTGAGAGTGTTCTGGTTTTGCAGTTCTTTCTTCCTGCCTAGACTTTGCCTTTCGTGCTTTTTCACGCTGGTGCTGTACCTATTTTCTTGTGGGTGGATGGTATGGAACGGAATTGTGGAGTTGCACTTGCTTCCGATCTTTTTCGATCTATGTCTACCCTTTTTATTACCTTTCTTCTGCGAAGTGTCTTGAGGAGAAACAGCTCGATCATTTATGTGGTTGAAACCTGGCCATCTTCTCGAGGAGATGCGTTGCATCCCTTTCTCGTATCTCATTCTTTTCCAATGGGATTGATCTTTTATTCTTTCTCATCTGCTACCGGATTGCAGCCTCGTATCAATAGCCGGCCTGCGAAGTGCCCACTGCTTCATGACGGGTCTTTGATTTTCTTTGCTACTTTCTTCATCTCGCGATGTGCGCACTTCACGTCTCCCGGACGATATATCTTTTCTCTGTACAAAATTCTTAGTTCATGGGCCTCTTCGAGATTGAGAACTGATATTCTCGATGGTTGAATGCAATTCAAGTTCCACTTTGCACCATAAAGCCGCCCATATTCTCTTAGATAAAGTAGTACACAAGCCCCTTATGTACACGCTGTATGCTCTGATTTCTAGAGGCTGGCGAGGAAAAATATTAAGAGTAATGTAGGATTTACTCCTCTAGCATATCATTAGGGGGATTTATACCACATTTCTTACCCCTAATACAGTTTACCGTCGCAGGTTTCTTGCGAAAGATAAAAGCCTTTGAAAAGTGTATTCAGTTCAACTCTCTACGACGAGACATGCTACTACAAAGTATGTTTTCTTATACCCGAAATGGACGCGGAGAGTCAGAATTAGGCCTAGTACAAACCACTGCTCCTTTTTCAAGCTATCTATAATATCAACACACACATCAGATCTGCCTAACTGCGAGGAAATCTTCGCAACACCACATTACCTGTCGTCAAAATGGAGGAGGAAAGAACCTGGTTCCACCAGGGCCCTATGCGCAAACGCGTCGAGATCGGCAGCATCATTACTACCGGCAAACCCTATCCAGAAGGACGATGGAAAATCCTCGAAGTCCACGAAGAAGACGTCCGCCAAGGAGAATGGGACTCACCAAACTACGCTTCTCTGAAACTGCCATGCGAGGATGCGAACGCCGTGACGGAAAGTTCTACAGTCAAAGCTTTCATGCGGGTATACGTACAGATCCTCGAGTTCAATACTGAACTCGAGGATTCTGCAACCCGAGCTGCACAAGGCATAACGTATAAACCTGATGAACTCTATTCAATCAGAATAAAATAGTTTCGAGTTTCACACCGAAGCCGCTGGGTTATGATGTATCAAAACAAGATAGAGCAGGTCCCGTCCCTGACGGGTTTCTCATCGTCGTCGTATGGGAGATTGTCCCAGGAATTTGTCTGGGTCCATACCCTGCGACAGGACCTGTGTTTCCGAGGCTCCCAGATGTTGAAAGAGACGAGATTCGAGAAAGATTTCGTGATACTTTCCATGAATTATCATTCAAACCATCTTACAAGTGATGATTGCTTGTTAAATGTGGTGGAAATGTAGGAAAGTCTCCCCGTTGGTATCTGGCCCTCGCCCAATGATATTGGCAAATGGTTTTGGCATGCTGAATGTAAAACTTTGTAAGTTTTTTAGGTCGCGTTTGAAGGAAGGAACAAAATGTGCTCTTCAATTGATGAGTATCAGATTTAACCTGCCATGTATAGATTCTGGGTCGGATTTAAGCATCACCATAAGGTAGAGGATAAGCATTGGGCAGACGTTTTTTTGGCCTGCTATGGCTTCGCTGATATTCCTGTGAATGAAGTGGAGTCAGTTTGGGACTCGAACGGCGAAACCTCCGACTCATCTTACTAGGTACTTGGTCTGCATTCCATAGGCTGGAATTGAGCTGGGAGAAGTGGTGCAGTAGCTTTTAATAATTGCGCCGAGATCCAGTCATAGGTACTGTTGCCTATTATAGCACTTTTCTTCCTAATAGCTCGGTCTAAAATAGGGATTACTTCCTAAAAGTGTCAAACAGAGTGTCAATAAGGTCTATTAGCAAAATAGGTATATACATTTCAATTGTAGGGTTTATAAAATGAAAAATTATATGTAAATAAGACTCATTTTATAAATGGGATCCGATATTGCGAAATGGAGCTAATCCCCCAAAAAGGAAATATTATGGATTTTTCCTTCTGCCGATGTCGAGATCATTCAAATGGCCAATAGCGCTCAAATTCGGCCTTTTCCTCGACAGTTTCAGCCAATTGCTCCAGTATCATGTCTTTGACTTCTTGGAGAGCATCTTTGCAATCCTCGTATCGCTCATGCTCAATAAAGCCTTTGTCCGGCCACAAATCGCCCATTCTCTCCTTGACCTCCCCAACAAGCTCGGTCCCCGCCCCCGCACCATCGTTATCCTGTTTAATACCCTTGAGCTCTTCTTCGGAAAAAATGGAATGGGAATGGCATGTCGCTGTTGACAGCAGGTAAGTCGGTCCACGTATCTTTCAGGTCGACCAGGAGCGATTGAAAATGCGCCTCGCCGTATTCAAACATTCGGTGGGCAAGAAATATCAGCCCTTATGCTGCCGTCTTTTGGAATTCGACTACTCGGTATAGATCGGAGTTTTTTGAATGCATGAGTTTTCGCCATCCATTGGACGGTATACTGGTGTACAGCCGTCTACCGTTCTTCCGGTGAAAGCCCGGACAGTTTCCGGACAGTTTCGGGCGTGGAACCAGATCGAGTGTCTCGGGCTCGAGGCCATTCAAGTCGAGGAGAGCTGGGTCCGGATTGTGGTTGAAGAGGGGAGAGATGTGACAAGATTGCCAGTAGATGATACCCGTAATCTTTCCGGGATTATGCGGGTCTACGAAGATGTTGTCATCGTGTAAATCGTTATGCCAGAGGGAAGCTCTAGTGATCGCCTATCTATTGGTATAAGGGCATCCACTATTTGGCGGTACCATGCTAGAACAGTCATTTTCTTTTCCGTGCCTGGTCGATACAGCTTTGGGCCGCAGAACAAGACAATCTGTTTCGGAGGTTTCAAAGACTGGATTGCCTTCGCCTCTCGCATCCCGACTGCTTGCAGATACTGCGTTAGAGAAGACCCTGTAAACCTATCAGCTGCTGCACAACGATAGTACGAGCCACGACGTACATCGCCCTCTCTGGACCTCCAAAATTGAACGGCCTGCATCAAACCAATCCCGGCCCGTAGCCAGCCCAATAGTAAACTCTGAATCTCTCACTGCCTTCCCATTCTTGACGTAGTACCTATCTGCTAGGGGCTGCACGTCACCCTTGTAGTACAAGCTGCCCTAGTGCGAGAATGAAACACTCGGCCACTTTTTCTGGAGACTTGTGAGGGCAACAAGCACTTGTAGCTTCTGTGGTAAACTCATCGTGTTCCAGTCTTAGGAAAGCGGAACACCTTCAGCTTTATCCATAACGATAAACTTAGCCCCAACAGGGTGTGAGTTTGCTTGTGAGTTCAATGTGTATACGCGAGGCGTTGGTTTGTTAAGAATATTTCTGGCCTCTCGAAATGTTAGCAAGATTCAGTTTTAATGTAGTTGAAGATAGACTTACAAACTCCATTGTGGCAACTTCACTGGCAGTGGTAAAGTGTGGAGTGCCAGCATTTGGGTTCGGCACCTTGGCTACAACTTCTTGGCCATCATCCATCGACATGAGGAGCTTTGTTGAACATGCCATCGGGGTACTTCTTGAAAGAAACGCATCGAGCGGCTCCCACCGAGTCTGCTGCGACACTTGCCAGTCTATTCAGGTCGAATCTGGCCTCTCGCTTTCGATATTGATCGGCAATGTTGCTTGGTCTTGGTTTTATACAGTGAATGTAGCACCGAGGACGCGCAGATGATAGAGGTCGGCACATATTCCAAGGATTTCGATGACGCTCACCACCCGAAGAATCAATTGGCTCTCAGTTACCCAAGAATCAGACTGTCAAAATACCACCATTGCGTGAGAATAAGATCAGATCAGGGGATGGAAAGTTGATGGAAAGTTGAGACAGTCAACACGTGACCAGGTCGAGAAAACGTGACCCAGTATGTCGCAGTACCTAGATGGTGCCCAAATGAGGCCTCTTATGACTGTTGTGCACTCTCGAAGCGATAAAAATCATGGGAGGCTTATGAGATCAGTTCGTGTTGTGGTCCAGGAACAAGCCTAGCGCTACAGACTAGTCATTATTAGGCCCCGCCACCCGCCAGCCCACTCAGCCATGCTTGGCATTCATGGAGATCACTAGGAGACAAAGAAAAGTTACTGAAGCTCAATCAAGTATCATATAATTTCCATTATCCATTCATGATTAATCATTCTTTAAAGAGACATTCCCAGTGTATTCTATCTTTTATTTGGTAGTCTCAATAACCTCCCCCAGCAACACAATTCCCAGCTTCGACTTGTCCAAGAACTTCTCCTCATCGGCAGCAATCTGAGCCGCAGCATCGGGGGCATAAACCTTCGCACCAAAGGCCTGGAAAGCAGCCTGGTCGGCAAAGGTGAGCTCAGCATAGGCGTCAAAGTCAAAGTCCGACTGTTGTCCGACAATGACCGTTGCGGGGGTCAGGGTATTGCGATCGCTGGCGCCCTCTGCGGCGACCTCGACGGTGTTGCGAGCGACGTAGCTGCGCTTGTGGGAGAGAGGGAAGTCGTCGCCGGTGAGACGCTTGATGAGGTCAACGTGGGCCTCGTAGTGTGTTCTGAAGTCCTCCAGGGAGATCCCGGCCTTGCGGTACGCGTAGATGAAGACTTTGACGGACATGTTGAACAAGAAAGGTTGTTCGATTGTGGGTTTGAGGTATGGTGATGGAGGTTGAGGTTGAATTCGGATGGTTGGAAGGACTCCGAGGGTGAGTGTGATGGTTTGTTGTACAGTGAAAGAGGAGACCGGGAGGGGACTAAATAGGGGAGGAGTTGAGGTTGTACACAAACAGAAAAAGGTACCAAGGTACCATCCCAGTGATGCCCCTCTTGTGATGCTCATAAAGCAACAAGCAAAGAAATGTGGGGGCCAAACGGGGGCTGCGGGGGCCGAAAAATAGGCCCCATGGACAACCTAATAATGAAGGTCTCGCCGGGTTCCGTCACGTCTCCGGGACGAGAATGTGCATCCTGTAGTCAGACTGTACTGAAGTACTGTAGTGCTACATCACTACTTTCACAGCCCCCAAACTATCACACTCATGACTGTACGGACTTTATTTCCTGACTGTACCTTTGAGGTCGCAACACACATTCCATCTCCACTCTTTTTTTTCTTAATTGGCCCTCTGACTGACCTGATCTATTTTGGGGGCTGAAAGCTGCTGATAACCAATATGGAATTTTTAACTGCGAGTAGTACATTCAAAACCCAGGATACTTTCAATACTCATCACCATACCTGTCAGAACGATGAAAGATTACCTGAATACCATTGTGTTGGAACTGTTGTTGGATCAACATCGTTCTCCCCGGCCCCCAGCCCCCATCTGATGCCATTCAACCCATGACAACAGTCGGAATAGGACATCCAGCCGATGCTATCCTGTCGGAGGAATTGCATGTTCCTGGAGATGGGCTGGAAAGATGACACTGCCGCCTACGATTATCTCACAGGTCCGGATGTTTTGGTCATTGGAGACGTATATAGACAGACTGCTCGGTCTAGTTGGTAGCTACCTAATGGACTCACTATCATCCAAACTGTTTGCTTTTTGTCAAAGTCAAGATGCCTGGCAAGTCTGTCAAACGGGTTGCAATCAATTCACTGCACAAGCTACTCGGCTGGCATCGTCAGGAGATAGATACATCCCTTCAACTCCTCAATTCAATTCGATATCAAGTCTACACACTTTGGCTCTTTTGCTTCAATGACCTCAAAACCATGGTCTTTCCAAGTATTGCCTTTGCATACTTCCACTCAAGCCAACTACATTATACCACATTCCTCTCTCGTCTCCCTCTCATGTTTGCCTACACTTGGTTCAACCTCCTCGGCTTCACAGTCAACAACCAGCGACATCCAGGCTCAGTAGCTGAAGACAAGCTGAACAAGCCCTGGCGACCCATTGCAGCTGGCCGCCTGACTCCATCACAAGCTCACACCTTGGGTCTATTATCCATTCCAACCGCCATGGCCATTAGCGCTTTCGTCGGGGGTGGCGTAGTCCAGAGCGCCCTCCTAGCAATCTTCGGAACTATCTATAACGACTTTGGGGGCGGTGATGGCCACTGGCTTATTCGGAATTTACTCAATGCCGCCGGGTTTACATCTTTTGCCTCGGGGACACTCGAAGTCGCTCTGCAGACATCACTCCCGCGATCGATCATCCCCTGGATCTTCTTGATCGCTCTGGTCGTCGGGACCAGCGTTCATGTTCAAGATATGTACGATCAACCCGGTGACGCTGCGGCGGGTCGCCGTACATTGCCGTTAGTGATCGGCGATGACATGGCTCGGTGGAGTATCGCTGGTGTGGTGACAGCATGGAGTATCTTATGTCCGCTCTACTGGTCCTCTAATATGGTCGGATATTTAATTCCATTGGGGCTGGGAATTTGGGTAAGTTGGCGCTCGCTGACGAGACGGACGGTCAAGGAAGACCGAACCACATTCCGGATTTACAATGCATGGCTTGTTGCCTTGTATGCGCTACCGATGACCTATCAATGCACGATCTCTGTATAAATGCTTCATGGGAACCAGTCGCTTGGGCCACGAATAGATCAGTTTTCTACTTTAGCTTTACAATTTATGCGATCCTTCATCCTTCATCCTTCGATCCTCCCGCCAGAGCCGAGCGCAGTCCCGTGGAGATCGTAGCGGATCATGTCCATTTTCACTTCGTCCAGATCTACTAATCCTAGACCCCTGATTGGTCTAGAAAATGTTTGTCCGGCCCTGCTTCCCTTTTCGGTGAGCTAAGGCTGATCAAAGGCTTACGCTGGGAGCTTGATTGGGGGCGCTGCCTAAAGGCTTGCATACAACCAGCTCGTTGGCGCTAATGGGTCGCCTTAGCTGCTGATGGTGCCACAGGGCAGATTCCTAGCCTGGTAATTCGTCCTCGGTTAGGGTTACATTGAAGCCTTAATGTGCATTGTATTCTGCATGATTCTCAGTAAAGATAGTCTCACATGCAGTAGGCCTCGCAGTTCACAATTATCGCGTTCATCCAACAGTCCACTTGTCTTACCCCGCTCCGAAGTAAATCCATTCCAGACAATGTCAATATGAAATATTGAAGATGTACGTAGTATATGGATTGAATATTGATTTCAGATTCGAAAATTATCAAGTGCTCGCTAATTGAAAAAGAAAAGGATTGTAGTCGTATTTTCATGCCCAAATCCGTTCAGCCGTGCTTAGAACCGGTTGCTTGCATCTGACTGCACCTCAAACTCGCGCCACACAGCGATCTCACCCTGTCTGACGTGAACCGGGGTTGGAGGTAGAACTTTGTTATAGATTTGGGTATACTGCATATTTTGCGTATTCTCACGCTTCTCCCAATTTGGGCCCAGAGCCATCTCGGTGCTGCCCTGGCTATCGCTATGCTGTCGGCCGTGCTTCCGGGACGAGCCATAGGAGGAATCGTTGGGCTGGTAGATATAACGCTTATCGAAGCGACGACGGCGCTCTGGGAAAATCACCGGGCCAAGCATTGGCACGCAAGAGACAATGATACCGACGGCCATCTCAGCCACGGTCAGGATTGCGGCATCCGCAGTGCAATAGGTGAAGTCGTGGAGACTGCAGCGTAGGACTTGGATGATGCGAGCAAGGTTGATTGCGGAGATACTGTGACACGTTAGAGGATGTAAACTTAAGCAAAGTTAGGTACTACTTACCCCAAACTCAAGCCAAAGGTGGCTACAACAGCAGCCTTCTTTTGTTTGCTCATGTGTAAGCCCCAGATAACCGGTACTGGCAGAACCACAATTCCCACATCAAGGGCCATGTTGAATGCAGCTGCGGCTAGCTCGGCTGTTCCTTCGTCGCCACATTTTCCTTTGATGTTCTGATCCCAATTGGAAACGATTGGACGACACATTGCCAATGTTGTCGTAATACTACCGATAAAGAAGAGACCTACGACAGTCATGGCACCGTAGGCAAACATACGGAAGACTTTGGTGGGAAAGGCTTGGACATAAAAGTCCAAGATAGCAAGTCTGAAACTAGCAATAGAGATAGCCCAGAAGAACTGTGATGAGAAGAATGCCTGTTCATTCCAAGTAAGTGAGTAAGGTTTCCGCCAATTTTTGGAAATTGTTGAACGCCATACCTTCAATCCAGTCTCCATCTTTGGCTCCATCTCGGGCATCGAAAGTTGACCAATGTGGAGTCCAATACCACCAGCGATCGTGCCTTTGAGAGATCTTAGCCTTGAAAATGGAATAATTGTCGGAGTTATGGCACTTACCAATGAGCAAAACAATGCTATACGCAATAAGCATCACTAGCGACACGATACAAAGAGCATCGTGGGCTTTGATTTTCCTATGAACCACCTTCATAGAATAAAACCGAAGACCCATGGCAATCAATGCCAACAGGTTTAACACCGCAAAGGATGCGATCACAGTGATCTGCTTTGACACGAGGGTAGCCATGGTGAGCAACGATCGATGAGATGGTTTAGATTCTGCGAGGTCAGATTCGACTCGAGCAAGACGCTGGGGTCAAATATTCAGCTGCAAGACATTTCCCCGAATCGCTGTTTTTGCATCTAGCCCCCAGGGCCCTGTCATAACCCCCCGCCCCCCCATGTACATGGCTCATGCAGCTTCAATCACCAGGTGGTAGGAAGTATGCAGTAGGCAGGACAAGGGCCCCGGGGGCGAAACCAGCCCGCGTTACGCATGTTTTAGCCCCCAACAGACGCAAGTCAAAAGTCGTTTTGAGTAACTAACTCTTCAGGTAGCGATAAGACTGATGTCACTTATCCCAAGTTCAGTAATTGGGGCAGAATCAAATGGGAAAGGGTGAAGAAACTGCCCCCCGGCCGATGGGGCGAACCGCTAAGCCATTCTTTGCTCCCGTAGCCGAGTCTAATTAATAACTCGGCCAAGGCAGATAGATCTTCATGGTCTGTGGGATCCCGTGAAACTCTGCAGAAATGATCTGCGAGCTTTTAGGCCCCCATAAGCAGCCCCTCCCGCCCCTCATTCGCGGATGCGTCATGCTTGTTCGAGCTTAGTCCTGCAGATTAAGTAGTCCAATGATCGCAAAACGGGCAGTGCTGGAATGGTTCTCTGCAACCTCAGAACACCAACTGAAAATAGATCCTAGTAAGTCAAATCTGCATGATTTTAGTGCGTTGGTTTTACGCGCCGTGTCTGCCTTCGTTGCATTCGAGAATTTTGGACCTCGTGGGGGCCGCGTGGGACCATGCCATACTGTAAGGCCGTTTGATTGGGGCCATGCAAGTCTAACACTAATGATCCAACAATAATCTGACACTGGTCTGTGCCTTCTCAGGCTCAACAGGGTTCTGACGACGGTCGAGGAGAATGTACTGACATGTTCGAGTATTGTCTAGTATTCATACGAACGGATACGGCCCCCAGACGATAAGCCAACAGCGCCAACTCCCCTGTAGCGTCAGTCGTCATGGCAGTGTTCGATACTTAACTGCATAGGACTACTAAATTAGGAATTTCACACAAGCTGAGTGGTAGAAAACACCCGAAGTGTCAGATCAAATTCGAGGGCCCTGACTCACAAATATTCCACTCCTCCTCAACCGCGATAATCCAATCTTTCAGTTTGCATAGCAACAACTCCTCTTCCACGATGATCTGGCAAGATTTTCTTGCAGCAACAGCACTCGGTGTATCCGCTCACCTGGGCATATTCATTCGAGGAGAATGGCATCTTCGTGCACCCAGTGTTGTTGCCTGCCATGTAGCTGCTCTAGCCGCAGGCATCTCCCTGCATATCCATAAAAGCCCCGAAGCAGCAAGTTCTATAGCAGTATGGTGGCTACAATGCTTTTCGTATTATCTGTTTGGCATGTTCACCAGCATCACTATTTATCGTCTGTTCTTCCACCGTATCGGCCACTTCCCTGGTCCTCGCGCTGCAGCCGTTAGCAAATTGTGGAGTGTCTACAAGTGTCGGGATTCGCGAAACCACTTGTTCCTTGATGGACTACACAAGAAATATGGTAACTTTGTGCGGACAGGTCAGTGCACGAATAAGACCTAGCTGATGAGATGGAAATTAACATTCAAGGCAGGTCCCTCTGAAATTACCATCTTCCACCCCAAGGCATGGGAAGCCATGGACGGAGCTGGCAATGCCAATATCCGCTCCGATTGGTATGATATAGTGCATCCGCGTGTTTCGCCTATCTTCTCCCGTAAAGAGGAGGATCACACTGAGCGACGCAAAGTATGGAATCGAGCACTGTCAACAAAATGTAAGTTTTGTACCCTTAGCGGTGCTCTCGTTGATGGCTAATCCGCCACTCAGCAATTCGAGAGTATCTCCCTCGCATCCTCGAGCAAATCGGGACATTAGAGTCGATCATTGCAAGTGCAAACAGCCAGCCAGTAGTACCCAACGACATCATGCAATGGTTTGCCTTTGACTCTATGGGTGAATTCGCCTTCAATGAGAACTTTAGCATGATGAAAACTAAGACATGGCACCGCGCTATCATGCAACAGCGCTCTGCACTCGCTATTCTCGGCTCGCTCAATCACACCGTTTGGGCTATTCGATTGGCGTTTGCATTTCTGGCCCGCTTCTGGCGTGTGAAGGACTGGATGGGAATGATCTCTTTCTGTGATCAATGCATGGAGCGCCGGCTTCAGACTGAGGCTACACAGCCGGATATTGCTTCTCATTTTATTAAAGAGTTCCACGAAGGGAGGAACGAGAAGAATTGGGTGGCCAAGAAGCAATTGCTGAGTGGAAACACTGTTTCGGTCATTGTGGGTGGAAGGTATGTTCTTCACAAAACTGGTTGTTGAATGGTAACCTGAGCTCATTCTCACTTCGCATTAGCGACACAACTGGTCCGAGTCTGATCCTGCTGTGGTACTTCATGGCACTGTATCCCGAGCAGGCCGAACGCGTATACCAAGAGGTCAAGGATGTCGATCCATCCGATATCAATACTCTGGCAAACCTGCCATGTCTCAATGGTTTCATCAACGAGAGTATGCGACTCATCCCCGCCGCTCTCACCATGGGCACACGCACGACTCCTGAGGAGGGCATGACAGTAGACGGAACATACATTCCTGGCGGCATCAAGGTTGCTGCGCCCAAGTATACAATTTTCCGAAGTACGTTTTCGAGAAGCAACCAGCTTTCACTCCCACAACACTAACCCAATTACTTTTTGCCTCAGTGGAAAGCGCATTCGAAGATCCACTGTCCTTCATCCCAGAACGCTGGTATAGCCGACCAGAAATGATCCGCGACAAGAGCGCTTTTGCACCCTTTGGTGTTGGTAAGTTATTCTTCTCAGCCCCGATTGATGATTCCCCAATCCTAACTTGCATATCACTAGGTCGCCGTGTGTGCGTTGGAAAGAACCTAGCTCTTACTCAGATTCGCTTGGTAGCTACGATCTTGCTTTCACGATATCACGTCCGTTTTGCCCCCGGCGAGACTGGCGAGGCTGTGGAGCGCGATATGCGAGATCAGTTAACCGCGCAGCCTGGTCGCTATGCGGTAGTTTTTGAGCCGCGAAGTCAAGCTGTCTCATCTTGATTGTTGTTCGTTTTTTCATTCATGCAGCAGGAAAGTTTTGTTTTACTATGTATCTCTGAGTTCTGAGACTAGATACCCAAGTCATCCAATTGTAACCTCTGGAATTTCAAAGAAATTGCAACCTTCGAACAACCTTCGAAAAGGAAGCGGCTAAACAAAGAAAGACACTTTGGGGCACTGGCCGCTTTTACCGCTTTGCCGTCCGGCCCGGATGATTGACCAGTTCATACCGAGTCCCCCGTCCCTGGCAAGCCCCATCTCTTCCCCAGCTCTATGTATCCGAAGCTCCTCCTCCTCCGTGTCTCCGCATAAACTTATCACCAACCTTATGACTGTAATATGCCGACTCCTTCAAAAACCACTCAATCCCAATGCCTGTGCAGCTTCCCGGCGCTGAGGAATTCGTTGTGTGGTCGTTGACAAGATTCCGTGCATTGGCTGTCGTGATACAGGTCGCCATTGTGTTGTTGAGGAGTCACTCTCCAAATTTGCGCGCCCAGGCAAACCTGTGCGATGCGCTGCATGTTCTCTCGCCCATGGGCGATGCGAGAGGCCTGATGGGCCACCTTGCAAGAGATGTCGTTCGAGAGGCCAGAATGCGTGATCCCAGAGTATGTCTTGTCTGCAGGTAAACAGTCATCTGGGTCCCAAAATGCTGCAAGCGCTACAGTGCAACAGCCATCTGTGACTCAAGGGACTACGGGGAATAGATCTACAGCTTCACAAGCAACCCTGCCTCAAGAGACTCTGGCTGCGACATCTGGACGGCAATCTATGGCCCAACGGACCACGGGGTCTACAGCTACAGCTTCCCCTAACAAGCGGAAGCGCCAGATGAATCCCAAACGATGTATCGCCTTACACTCCCGATGCGAGATCATCGATGGACAACTACCTTTCAGAGACTGTCTGGAGGTCGGTCGAGAATGTGTGCCCCAGGGGTATGTCCCGTCTGCAGCCAGAGAAGGATCTCTGCCACAAAGGACCACTGTGAAGAAAAAATCTCGAAGTCAGTGCACGAAAAATCGTCTACCATGTCTTGAATGTATGGTCTCCCACAACCGATGTGAGATCATTGATGGACAACCGCCTTGTAAAAGATGTCGTGCGAGCGGCCGAGAATGCGTGCCCCAGCGGAATGGGGGGTCTACACGAATATCTATGCCCCAGGAGAATAGAGGTGCTACCTCTATACAAGAAGGTGTCGACCAAAGTATGACGGTGGCCAGAGCTCTGACCTGTGTCAATTGTCAAACCCGAGAAGCACGATGTGAGGTCATTGACTCTCCACCTTGCACCGAATGCCGCAAAAAGCATCGCAAATGCGCCTTTGAAGAGGCCCCAGCTTTAGAGCCACTTGATGCGACTCTTTTGTGGTCAGATATATCTGCCCGTACTTCTCTTCCTCCTAGTCCGGTGGTCTCTCACCAGGGTGACTTTAGCCTGAATGACTCCAGCGACACTGACTCTAGCGAGAGTGACTCCAGCGACACTGACTCCAGCGAGACTGATTCCAGCCAGAGTGGCTCTTGGTCTGTGAAACTGGAAATGTCGCAGAGTCCAGCGCCCCTTGAGCTTTTCCCAGTTTCTGCAAATCATGAAAATCGTGCTCCTATTGAAAATGCTCCAAGCGGAGTGTCTGATACAACTCACCAGACCGAGGCTCCACGCACAGAACTGGCGGTCACGCAGACAATTACTTCCGATCCCAGGCCATCTCATCATGATGGGAATATTGCGTTTGTCGATAGTGCTATAAGCGACTTGCCTGATGCAACAGAACCAATACAAGCTCCACGCATGGACCCGGTAACCATGCAACCAACTGCTTCGGAGCCCCCGTCATCTGAACCCGGTACCAATCTTGCTGCTATCGGCAATACAGTAAATGGGCTATCTGATGCAGCACCCCCGACAGAGGTTCCATGCACAGAATCCACAGCCATGCCATCCACAGTTCACCGTCCGAGGCATTCGGATCGACCGGGTTCTGCTCGCGTGCTTCAGAATCTAGCCAGGCGACAATATCCGCCCTTTCCCAGCCAAGTGAAGAAATTCTTGACTTGTGGGATGACTGCTAATTCGTTCGGCATAGGTGGTTGACCTCACAGGAAGCAGTGACTTATCTAGATCTGTATGAATCACTCGAATATGTGCAAACCTGCCGATTCACTAACTCTTTTCCAGATTTTCCCAGCACCTCGCTTCCCTTTCGCAAATCATAAACCCAGACCTTCTCTCGCATGGAAACAATGAACAATTGCTCAAATAGGATCCAATGTTGTGTTGCACTCTCCTGACGATATCCTCTCGATTTTTCATTCCTCCGGGCCCTGGAGGCTCATCTCGAAGTCACTACATTCATAATCGTTTATGGAAGCATTGCGAGGTGCTGATTCAACGCATTATGCTCGGGCGAGAAGGTTTCTCTACGACAGACTCCCGAGTCCTGGGAGCTATCGAGAGTCTTTTGTTGATATCTGACTGGCCCCCACGATCCGTGCAAATTCCACCCGATAATCCCGACTGGGATGGCGAACTGATGCTCCCAGAACACAATCGCCATAATGGAAAACGAAGCAATAGCAATGTCTTATCAATACGATGGCAAGACGATGTATTTGAGCCGGCAAAGCAGTCAGACCCGATGTCTTGGAGGCTGCTAGGCGCTGCAGTCAACCTCGCTTATGAGTTCGGCGTCTTCCCTGACGAACCTCTTGTATCTATTTACCTTGGTACTCGGCACACTGCTCGCTTTCATCGCACCAGAAGGCTTCTCTATGTTCTCCCCATCAAAGCCTGCTCTGAAGATGGTGTTGACGGGGCACGACTTGCTTTACATGCAGTCGTTTCCATCCCTCGCTCGTTGGTTTGACCGGTTCAATTCGCAGATGTCGGGTAAGATTTCATCGTCATCTTTATTATCCTGTGCCGAAATTACCAGAGAGTTACTCATATCTTTGCTCGAAACAGGAATGCCTTCTGAACTCAGCTCCTTGCTTCGGATTGAATATCACCATCTCAATGCATGCATAAGCGCCCTATCCATTCAAGCAGTAGTTGAAAGAGCACTTTTACAAGGCGCTACTCAACCCCAGACTCCCAACGCACCCTGACATAGACCTTTCATGCATCCAAAGGACCGGGATCACATCGACAAGGCGATATCTGCCAGCCGCGAGGTCCTCGAACGTGCCACAGCAATGCTTGTAGAAGGAAGACTGAGATATGCACCCCGTCGAACTCGTGTTTGCATCATTTCAGCATCGACTCTCCTTCTGAAAGCTATCAGTCTTGGTGGCAGTGCACACGACTTGAAAGTCAAGATGGGAAAATTGGATCAGTGCATTGCTGCGTTACGATTGTGCGGCATTGATGACTTGGATTTCTTGTCTCGATATGGCGAACTCATTGAACAACACCTGCAACGATTCCGCGACCAGTTCATTTTGCTGCCGGATTGTGGTGGCCCTGATCAACCTGGCGAGGGTTCCACCGCCGTGGAGCCTACTGGAGATGATTGGAAAGTGCGACCGTTCGATCCCAGGATTGCTCCATGGAAGTCGGACAGCAAGGCAATCCCGCTAGGAATTAGTTTCGACTCTCTTGATTTTTTGCTGTGAACGGCAGACCTGTGAATTGCCATTTTCCTTTTTTTTGTTTCTTTGGATTTAGCGCCACAATGTGCTGTCACGTATACTCCCTTCAATACTCAAATCAGCAACTCTTCGCCATCCTTGGGGGTTTTTTTGGGCTCTTACTGCGCTGTAAACTCCATACATCAACTGCTTACATGGCGAATGCGTCACATTTCGAGATGTGAGTAGTCATACTGTTGTAGTCGAATGGTTACTAGCTAGAGTCTATGTTGTCTGTCCACCTGACCACCATCACATGACCCGCCTCCCATATCGTTGATTCCTTTGTTCCTTGGAAGAATGACAAGACCCTGCGTCACTTTTAGCCCCCTTTCAATCTACTGTATGCAAGAGGCCATGTGACTTTATAGTTCAGCCAGGATCGTCGACTATTCTTCGAGAATCATTCCCTGCTTCATCCAGGTAACAATCGCGATTTTCCTTCCTCCAACACCAAACCCCGGTTACACGCGGAGAATCAATGGCCAATGCAACACCGGGCCGAGTACAACCACCCCACTTGCCCCGGACTCCGACAAACCAGGATATAAGAATTGAGTAACATAATCTCCCCTTACTTGCCCTTCAATATGCCAAACCCTGGAGAAGCGGGTCCTCCGGGTTTTTCTAACTTTTCCAAAGGTCACCAGGGACCCTACAGAAAGAAACATTGGCAATTGGAAAATTTATTGAAAATGCCAGCAAACCGCCAGATCTCACTCCTTACGTCTGACAAGATTATTTCACCAATTCAATGACACTATCATCCCCGCATAATCACCACATGGATGCTCGCAAGAGATCACCAAGGTAAGTTCCAAATTATTGAGGTCGTTGAGCTCATAATCAGCGTTCTTTAATTGCTCTATCAATCGTAAATCATCCAATGTTGATCCCCATCCAGCAATTCCCCTACGCCCGACACAGTCTTCCTAGAAGCATGCGACGTCTACTTCCGACACTGCCACAATAAGCCCTACGGCTTCTTCAATGCGGAACTTTTTCAGCAAAAGGCAGCAAAGAATCAAATACCCCTCCATCTTCGACTAGCATTAATCGCAACCGCTACTCGCTACTCGTCTCGCTCGCAATGGCGAGAAAGGAAACAGAGTACCATCGATGGCTACGCAAGATGCTCCTGGGAGCTTATCGTGACGTCGCAGAATGGGCTAGATGACACTGACGATGTGACGGTGATTCAAGCCCTTGCCCTTTTGGCTGTAATCGATGCTACCGGTGAGTGTTGACAAATCGATCCATATTCTGTTGAGGTGCTTCGTGCTGAATATGAATAGCTGGCCGGCGGCGAGGTGCCTGGGTAAAGATTGGCATGGCGGTGCGAATCAGCCAAGATTTACAATTGATGCTTGAACCGAGCACGAATTTCTCTAGCTTGGAGCGTGACGAACGGAGGAATCTTTTTTGGTCATTATATCTCCTTGATCGCTTCGTGTGCTGCTCCTTCCAACGACCACCCGCTATCAAAGACTCGGATTGTCTCTTGAGTCTACCCACGTATCGCAATTCGGGAAAAGGAGAGTCAACAATGACATTGAAAAGTCTACTAGACGAGAATCACCGAGATACGTCGCTTCGCCCAGGAATGTTCGGTATCAGCATTGCATTGGTCTCTGTCCTCGGGCGAACAATCAAGTGCATGATGAACTCAGAGAACAATCCAGAGAAGCCCTGGCAATCCCAATCAGAATACAGACGTATTCACAGTGACCTGGAATTCTTAAAAGAGCTAGCCGTGAACAACAGCCCCGTCCTCGCTGCACCGGGCCAAGCTCGTCCTCAAGATCAGATGCAAGACCGCGATCGCGAGCGAATTGCGCATATGGTTCTTTCTCATACTTTATATCACCTTTCACACTGCATTCTCAGCCATCCATATCTTCTCAGTCTGAAGATCCAATCAGTTCCATCGTCTGATATGCCGCCGTCCTGGCTGGAAGAAACCCGCGCAACGTGTCTGGTACACGCCGGCTCACTGATCACCGTTCTCGTCGAAGCCAAAGCAGCGGGATACATGCCTGTTCCTTCGGTATACAGCTACTGCATCCTGGTGGCTAGTACCATCCACGCGCTCTATCTACACAGCGACGATATAGCCGTCAGCCACAGCTCAGCAGAATACCTCAAAACATCCCTCGACTACCTGTGCGAAGTCTCCGAACTATGGACGAACGCGCAAATGATGGTGAGACAGTCCTTCGCTCCTGTCAACCCAAAATCAAATACACAGGATCCCATATCTAACCAACCTTTTTCCATCAGGCCAACGCCCTAAAATCCTTCGCCCTCCAATGCAGCCGCTACACCACCCTCCTCCTCCGCGAAAAACCCCTCGTCGACGAACTCACCCCCACAGAATCCGCCGTCCTCCGCTCCGTCATCGACTACTGGGCCATGATGGACCCGCATAACCCTGTCTTCGACGTAGCGGCAAAGGGACCCGATGGCCTTCTTCTCGATCTGGATCTGCCTGGTATCGATATCGGGCCGGGCTACCTGACGCCACCGACGCATGGTGCTGGTGCGGCGGGGGGATCTCTTTGGGGGTGGAGATGTCTCACTCTGCTGGACAGAAAGGTGGTGGTGGTGATTCGGTGGATCCTGATATTTTGATTCAGTGGCCGGTGTCGATTATGTCACCGATGGCTTCGGATGATGGGAGGTCGCCGAGGTGGGATTGGGATTCGGAGCTTAATGCTATGAATGATTAGATGAAAAGGTTGGGGATTTGATGTTTAGCCATTGTCAGCCTTTATGTGTTATGCTTAGCAATTTTTTGCATATTTTATCCTATTTTGGTCGTTTCTCTTGTTATACTTCTGGCTCTCGGCTCCAATTCATCCTCCGATGGAGACCTGCATTATTTGTCCCACAGGCAACCTATTCACGTACCCCATGTTTAGATATGAAGTCATAAACCACAGTCCCTGTAAGATGTTGTCACCAGTTATACCACACTCCACCTACTTCCAGTCCGGCATCTCAATCATCTCAATTGCTTGGGGAGGGCATTTGTCTCTCGCATGGAATTCCCGTGTTGGCGCGAGGAAATGCGTTCCCCTCGTGGACTGGACGAATCACAACAGAGGACGAGGTTGACCCGAGGTGGGGACAATATATTTAGATTGCTTGGCCACACAGAATCGATCCCGCTTGATGTTGTAGATGCAGGATGTACAAAAGGGTTATTTGAGCTCTCATACACTCCGACAGGGCCGGGGCTGTCCTTTGGCGTACTCATAACACTGTAAACCGAGTAGTTGGAAGAGATTAGTATCCGTTGATCGAGGGACTGTTTAGATTCTGCCTGCGATATGCTTCATCCCGATAACTGGGATGGCATTCGTAGCCGACAGGCGAGCGATGCGGTGCGAGGGGTCACCAACAACTGGAACTCAATTCACGTTTGTGTATGTACTGTATAGATTAGTCTCTCATCCATTCGCATACCTGTTTAGGACTGGTGCATCGCAAAGTCCACCAGGCCAGATTCTCAGCCGCCCCGCATCTAAACCGATCTCGATGGTTGCCCTCGACCGCCATTCTCGGATAACATGCCACTGCCCATTATGACTTCAGTGTGCCAGTGTGGCCCTCCAGACTCCACCGCAGTGCATGTTGCTGTCAAAGCCGGCAGTTCACAGCCGAAACTCTCATGGTCCAAGAGCCAAATCATGAACGATAAAAAGCGATGGATCACCTTCGGTTGAGTCTGGCCAAGCGAGGGTGTTCGCCTCCCCTCAATTTTGGGGCCAAGCCACCCTGCAAGGCTCTCGATTGTTTGCTTGCATTTGTACCCGAGAGTTGTGCTTAGGGGTGAGGCGAAGAGGGTCTTTCTTTCGTGTTGGTGGGCTTTCAAAACTTTCAATGGGCCTGTGAATGGCCGTCGACTGGAGAATCGGAATGCAGCTGGTCGGTCTAGATCCGCCGATCGTTTAGCGTGGGCGTCTCCGCACTGGATTGGTCGTAGCGAGATGGAGGATTTGTTTAGTCGAGGAAAATCGGGGAACAAAGAATAGTTGTTGAACAAAGGATTTAGGATAAAGGCATGATTGAGACTGTGAGAATATGGATTGAATACTCCGTATACTGTGTAGAAATAGAAATCGGAGCTGGTACTGTGGCTCTCTGGTTGTTCCTGACCCGCTGATTTGATTGTTTCAGTGTTGAAGCGTCTAGACCGCCCAAACCGCCAAAGGCGAACCCCGTCCAAAGAGACTAAGAGGCTAAGAGACGGGAAAATCTCCCCCTCCTCTCCTGATCTTCCCCCTCTCCTCTCCTCTCTCTCTCTCTCTATCCCGCCTGGGTCACTTTCCCACACGTCCAACCATTTACCCTTCCATGCACCCTTTCGGTCCACTACCGAAAGCCATGGTTGTCGTCCTCCCCAGAAAAAAGAGAGTGTGAGATCGCGAGACCTTCGCATATTCAATCAATCCCATATGGACTATGTCCGAGTCGCCCAAGTCCGATGTCCCTAATTCCGTCCCCCCTCGTCCCGCCATGACCTTCCCCTCCTGCAAGTCGGAATGCCTCACCGATGGTTTCGCAACGGTGCCCGACGACGGAGATGCACAGTTCCACGCGTCCGCCCGGTGCTGGAATGATCGGGCCCAGACCGCCGCCATTGAGCAACTGGTCGCTCTCAAACAGGGGCTGAGGGCCTTGGATACAGAGCTGTTCTGGAAACGGCTCATGGAGGATATCACCTCCATCACCAAGGCTCAGTATGGCTTCGTGGCTCGCCGAGTATATGGTGGTGAGCCCATGGCGGAACTGGGCGGGCGCCGGCCGTCACTATTCGGGGCGGTCTTCTACTACAACGACGGGTACCAGAATGTCGGACTACAACGAAATCGATATTTCGCCGGCGGAAACCCGCTGTTACATATGGATCATGAACGACGGTGCCTGATTCCGGAAAACCTCAAATCCCTCGTCTCGTTCGGGGACGATCAACTGCCCTTCCCCGCCGACGCGTACCTGGCGATTCCACTCTTCTCGGCTGGCAAATGCCTGGCGCATCTCGGGTTGATGTGGTCCAAGGACGGGGTACGGAGTCGAGGTCTGTCTTGGTCATTTCTGGAAATGATTCTACACTCCCTGGAGGATTTGATCGTGCAGCGACTCCTGCTGGAAGAAGTCTTCCCGGACCACGAAGAGTCTCCATTCCCGCCTCTTGATTCTCCCACTTGCCTAGATCCCGGACACGATCATATTCGAGATTCCTCTCATTTCACCGCCCATCCCCTCAAGCCGTTCGCCAAAAGTCTATCACACGAACTGCGAACGCCAATGCAAGGTGTGGTCGGCATGCTGGATGTCATGCATGCCACCGTGCGAGAGGCCATGGAAAGCAAGACCCCGTTTAAATCAGGTGGTATCTTTCAGGCTCTCAAAGAGGGCATCGAGATGGTCCAGGACAGCGCACGCCGTGCTATCGAGGCGGCTGATAACGTCGTCCATGCGTACGATCTTAATATGCAGGTTCCCAAAACACCTCAACGGGAGCAGGAAAACGGATTTCTTGACCCCACGTTTGCCACCGATACCACCGAAAGCCGGCCTAGCGTCTTTATCGACGGGAGCAATATCGCCGTCAACCCATATAAGCGACGACGAAGTCTCCCTTTGGACATGAACACTCGTCCGGCCCGAAAGCAGAGACTCCGTGCAGCATCCTCGCGACAAGAGCTCTCTCCACGTAGCGAGGAAGTCAAGAACGCCGTCCACGAGAGTGATCAAATCGTTCATGCTACTCCGGCACGCCAAATTGAAGCAGTTATGGCCAACATGGTAGATCCCCGTCCTTCAATTGCAGTCCGACGATCTGCACCCCATCTCCTCCTTGAAGGAATCAACATGAACATGCGAGGCCCGGCCCTCCGATTTACGAAACTGCGAGACCTGTTGCGTTTGGTGATCAACGAGTCTCTGCATGTGGGTGGCCGACCGGATTCAGCAACCAGTCAGGCGACTGCCTTTGGCGAGAAGATTGAAATTCGGTCCCGGTCTTCGAACGGTGAGGTCTTTACCAAAATTGTGGACTGGTCTGTTGACCCCGCATTGCCCGACACTCTGCTCGCAGACGACCGAGATTTGGCCAAGTTGATCTCTTGCGTTTTCTTGAATGCCATCAAATTCACAAATAATGGCACTATTACCGTGTGTGCTACCGTAGACTCTCGAACTAGTGATGTCCTGATTCTCGTCCGGGATACAGGCCCAGGTATTCCTGAAGCATTCCTACCCAACCTGTTCAAGCCTTTTGCCCGTGAGGATGCATCCACCACACGCAGCAAGGACGGCCTTGGTCTCGGTCTCCTAGTGGCCAAGGGCCTTTCACGGAAAATGGGCGGTGATCTGATTTGTGTTCGCTCTTCCACTACGGGGCCCGATCATGGTTCTGAGTTCCAGATCCGAGTGCCTGTGAACCAGCGGGAAGCCTACAATTGGCCTGGAACCCCCAACGAGAAAATGAGGACACCTCCTATTCTCAGCAATCACGCCCGACATGGAAGTTCTAGCAGCACTTTCATCTGGGAGCCTTCCTCGTTTGCTTCTGACTCGGTTGCTCAAAATCAACAAGTCCAGCAACCAACTCCGAGCACCGGTGACGAAAGCACGTCTCAAGGCTCAACTCCACCGCGGACACTGCCCCATGCTCGGTTCAAGCAGCCTTTGAGCCACGTACATGACAAGAAACTCGGCGAGAAATTCCCTCTGCGGTTCCTCGTCGCAGAAGACAATCGAATCAACCGCCGTGTACTGGTCAACATGTTACGCAAGCTAGGATACCGGGACGTCCTCGAGGCGGCTGATGGCAGAGAAGCCGTGCAAATCGTGCAAGAAATCTTGTCTGCCTCGTCATCCACCAACAGTTCCCCGACAGGTGACGAACCTGGTCCATCCACGCAACCGGCCACCCCCGGGATGAAGCCCATTGACATTGTCTTGATGGACCTGTGGATGCCCGAAATGGATGGGTACGAAGCAACTTCTCGCATTCTGCAGATGGTGGATGACCATCAGACCCAGTTCTCCAGTGCCGATGATGATCCTCGCCGGATGAGTATCACAACCAATTCCGACGTGGATATGGATGCGGTGACTAGTCCGCTTCGTGCGCACCGCCCTCCTACCGTGCTAGCCGTCAGTGCCGATGTGACTGACGAAGCGTTGAACCGTGCCTCCAAGGTGGGCATCAAGGGGTACATGACGAAACCTTATAAACTGTCCGATTTGGAACGACTGATCCTTGGATTCTGCGGTCCTATCGAGACAGTGGTGGCAGTTGCACAGAACATTTCTCTAGCAGCGACACTCCACCCACGCCCTGAGGACTTCTCTACAACATTGTTCTCGAGTGGCCCCAATTACCCTTTTCTTTGATAAGAAAATTGTTACCAACCGTCGAGACAAGGAGGACTTCTTTGGCATAGTTCCTCTTCTTCTCTCGACTCATTTTCACTTCTTGGCCATGCCTTATACCATATTGTGGACTTTTCATCCTTTACATTTTTACTACACCGTTTGCCCTGGACATAATGAATCATGACCCCCATCAAAATCGATCAATATCACTATCAATGAAAACCATTCGTGCACATGACTTTAACTTCGTTACCTACTCTCTACCAGCTCTAGTCATAGCCACGTACGGAGTAAACATAATTGAAATAACGGAAAGAAAAGCAATTCATTACATCCATTATCAAAATCGACATCGCTCTGACCATGCAGCTCTCAGCACTCCACCACCCCTCATTTTATTCAATGAAACGTAGACCTCTCTCTAACCACTTCGTAGCCAGGAATACACCGACATCCTGAACTGTTCGAATCAGTCTAAAGGAATAGGGTACCACCCAGCTCGACCAGCATCACCAACCAATCTCCTCCCAAAACAGAAGAAAAGAGAAACAATCCCAATCCCCACTCGAACCCCCCCAAAGATCAATATCCGCATAAACAGGGCGTGTGTGGTACAAAGAGCTCGAAGCAAGATGCAAGGCTTATAGAAAGGGCTTTAAAAAAGAACACTGGTCAAATAGTTGAAAAATTCCAAATCAACATCTGCTTTCGTTTAGGTCAGCTTCTGCTTGATGAAGAAGGACCGCAGATGCGACAGTTGCCAGGCACAAGCCGCGGAGAGGACGGCCAGTTGGATCATTGTCCAGCGGACGACGCGGGAGTTGGTGGTTTCGGATTGGTCGCGGAATTCGGCTTCGCGCTCCTGTAGGAAGATATAATGATCAGTACTGGTGGATACTTCCATACTTCCTTGGACAGGAGGTATAGCATGTTCCTATCGTCCGGAAGACGACCAGGGGGGTAGGAGTTAGTCTAATCTTACCCGCTGGTAAACCTGCTCACGACGAATATCGTGCAAACGGCTATTCAGATCGCGCACACGCTGCACGATATCCTTCATTTTATCCTTATCCTCGGTCTCGATCTTGCTCGTCTCGCCAATGGCGATGTCCAGGGTGAACTTGACGGCGCCCTGACCGCTGGACATCCAGCCCGAGGTTGAGACGTCTGTTTCGGCCAGGAAGCAGATACGGTGTTGGCCAGCGTCTGCGGCGGAGAAGGTGAAGCGGCCGGAGTGATTTTCGCGCTTGTTCACAACGCGGTGGTCATTGTCGAAGGTCTCATCGACGGTGATTTGGACCTTGAGATTGTGGTCGATCGCGTAGGTGTTGGTATTAGGGTTGATCACTTGGGTTTCGAATTTGCCTGTTCATGGGAGAAAATAGGTAAGTAAGTTCGTGGTCTGTTTGAGATTCTTGTCTGCATCGATTTCAGCTTCGCATAATGATGTGCATACCTGCTACCAGGGTGTCCTTGGGGAGATCCTCGAAGAAGCACTTTGTTTGGCGACCATCCACGTAGAAGTAAAGGGCGTTGGCAGGAAGCAGAAGAGAGAAGATAGAGAAGAGAGCCAGAACGGCAGCGAGCCATGACGGCGAAGATGCCTGATAAGCCATGGCTAGAGAGTATTTGAGCAATTGAAAGGAACGCTGCTGCTGGTTCAACTTGTCAACAGGCGGAGTGTTGACCATCTGGCACCATCGCGGCCCCACACCGCCTGCTACTTTCGTGGACCCTCCCTTGTCTGGATTCTGGAAAGCCGCGTATGATTTTCATCTCTTGACTATTTCATCATCACGCGGTGAATTTATCGAGATCGGCGGGGCATATTGGTTTTCCTTGCTGTGACACGCTACTTTGATCTTTCTATCGCCTCGATTCGCCCGAAGAGGCCTTATTCGAGCCACCATGGCCGCCGCCGCGGATGTTCGCGACATGCTGGACTTGCCCGCTGAGGGCCAGCCCAGACCGGCAAAGAAGGCGAAAGTCGTTGAGAAGCGACCGGGTTCGTGAACAGTTGTCTTGTTTTATATGGATACTATCTAACGTATTCTGCAGAGGGTATCACCCGCGAACTGTACGCGCTTCTCGGAGAACGGGCGCCACCGATTGCGATCAACGAGAACAAATACAAGGGGCGACCCAAGTTCATGAACAAGTTGCGAGTCCGGAAATGGTAGGCACATTTTCAGCTGTTAAAAGACGTGATGGAGGCTAAACTCGGCTTTTACAGGTGCATGACGCCCTTCGCGAACAACGCCAGGTCCGACGGTCTAGTCTTGAACCACTGGCAAAGAGAACACGAGTCGACTCGGCCACCTGCCCCGGAACCAAATCAGATGGAACTGGATGAGACCAAGGAAGGAGGCAAGGATGAGGCGCCCAAGCCGAAGGAGCAAGAATATGCGTTCGCCAAGTACAACATCAAAGCCCGTGTACCTAGGCGATACACGGACGAAGAGTACAACCGACACCTGAAGAGCGACGACTGGAGTCGCGAAGAGACGGACTACTTGATGAATCTCGCCACCGAATATGACCTGCGCTGGGTGATCATAGCAGACCGCTACGACTACCAACGACACCTGGACTCGGAGCCTGACGCCAACGCGATCGTACCAGCCAAGCAATACCGGACGATGGAACAGATGAAATCGCGGTACTACTACATCGCCGCTACAATGCTAGCAATCGAGCATCCACCCTCCGAGATGTCCGAAGCCGAATTCGCCCTGCACGAACAAATGTTGAAGTACGACCCAGACCGCGAGCGAGACCGCAAGGAGCTCGCCGCTCTACAACTCAACCGCACCGCAGACGAAGTCCGCGAAGAAGCCATGCTCCTAGAAGAACTGAAGCGCATCACAAGCAACGAGCAAAACTTCATCACTGAGCGTCGCGAACTCTACTCCCGCCTCGAAGTCCCCATCAGCGTCGGCAACACCGCCATGTACCAATCCAGCCAAGGCCTATCCCAGCTCCTCCAAACCCTCCTCCAAGCCGACAAAAGCAAGAAGCGCCGTTCCATCCTCGGCCCCGAAGGTGCCATCCCCAGTCCCGTCGGTCAAACCCCCACACAAGCCACTGCACTCGGCCGCGCCGAAACACCGGGCACAACCGCCGCCACGAAGGATACCAAGAAAGGTCCCGCCGTTCCACCGACACAACCCGCCGTGCGCACCCTCACTCCAGCCGAGGAAGCCCGCTACGGCGTACAACACCACGAACGCCTCCAAGGAGGCGTCCAATTTCGCAGCGACCGCGCCCAAAAACTCACCCAGGCCAAGTCGAACGTTCAAACTCAAAAACTGGCCAGTGCTCTGGCAGAACTCGAAATCCCCTTGCGCTTGTTTATGCCTACCGAGCGCGTGTGCAAGAACTTTGAGAAACTTATCCAGTCTGTTAACCTCCTTCTGGACGCCCGCAAGGTCGCCGAGAAAGTTGAGAGTGAGATTCGTGTTTTGGAAGCTGCTCGGGCTGAACGCGAGCGTAAGAATGCTCCTGAGGGTTCGAACAAGGATCCTGAGCATCCGGAGGTGAAGACCGAGGCGGATGATGGGGGTAATAGTATGTTGGGCTCCACTGCCGCGGACGCAACGGAGTCCGGGGTCTCCGCTGCAGGTGAGACTGGACAAGCAAAGGGTGATGAAGCTGTGTCTACACAGACGCCCGTGAAGGAAGACGGGAATCATAAGCGGTCCGCCAGTGTTTTGAGCAGTGTTAGTGACAAGAGCTCGAAGCGACAGCGGCGCTGAAGTGATTCCTATTCTCTATTCTGCACTTTACTCGCAATTTGACTGTATCATACTCATACTCATACTCGGCGCTGGGAATGGGATACCTCTGTACGATTAATGACATTCTAGTGGAAAGGACAGTTACCATAAACAACAACTTGATTGCTCGCCTGCCAATTAACAATATACCACTGCCTCAATCCCGCTCAATATGAATAGAGCCTGTAGAACCTCGACATCAACAAATCTTGCACTTCGTACAATCGCTTCATCCCAACTGAACCTGAACCTGAACCTGAACCTGAACGCCCATCATCGATCATCCGTCGTAACCAGATCCCACAACATTCGACTTGTCCGACTGGCCCATCGACTTCCCTCAAAGGATCCGGGCATCTCGAGACATTCCTGATACATACTCGCCAGCTCCTCCACATTTGTACCGATACTCTTGGTGGAATCCGCTCGCTCGAGACTGCCGGAGCCAAAGTTCCGGTACAGACCTGGCGACAACTGCGAGACTTCCTGCCCATGTGCATTGGACTGCCTCTTACTGACCTGGTGCTTGGAGAGTCTGCGGACCCAATTTGCGTTCCGAGGGTTGCTTGGGCGTAATAAACGAGCCGCGTCCTCGGCGTTGGAATCGTGCTCTATACCGAGATAACCCGGGTCAATGTCGACTGCAGTGTGCTCTGAGGAAGGAACATGCTGCCCCTTCTCTTGACGAACGGAGTCCGGTATCCCCGTTCTGTGGCCTCTTTTATTCTTTGGCTTTTGTGGGTTTGAATTCAGCGATTGGCTGAGGCGGGAACAATGCTGAAGAGCGGTATCTGATTGTTGACTCATGTTATTCGTGCTCTGTGGGACGTGGGAATGTTCGGATTGAGTCATTGGGGGCATCTTCGCTGCATGGAGGCTTCTTGTACTTCGCTTCTCCGATACCACAGGCCCGCAGTCTTGTTCCCGGCTATGACGGCCTTCCATGATGGCTCGTAAGTAAGGGGGCTCTGGGAATTCATTGTTGGTTTGATTGGAATCCCCTCCACTAAGAAGGCTAGTTGGGTTAACCTCGGGGGTGTTTGCAGGGTGATTGACGGTTTTAGACTGTGGCTCTGGGGTGGACGGGCCAGCTGCATGCACAAGGTCGCTTTTTTGGACCTGGTTGTGACGAATATGACCACCTGGAAGATTCGCATCACTCATCGCCGCCTCTGCCTTTTGGCCTGGAGCTTGCTGTGGATTGGGATGGCCATGCCCATGTTGCTCATACTGTGCAGCTTCCTCGTCAGGCACTGGACTATACCCATAACCGACTCGCCGGCCTCCAGACATCCAACCCACGCTGACTTTGCGTGGTGCCTCTACTCCAGGCGCCTCTTTGGACTCAACCTTTCCGTGGGGATTTAGGGAAATCACACTGTCGCAGTGCTCGCGGAACTTGCTACCAATAGCGGGACTCGCCAGAGCTCGAGCATGTTGGAGGTTGGCCTCCTCAGCCGCCACATTATATTTGCTGCCATGGACTGTAACGACGTACTGCTCGGAATTGAGGGCTAGAGAAGGGGATCGAAGAGGAGATGCATTGCCTAATAGCGAACTTGGGTGCTCAGAATAATAGGACGATCCGACCTGGTGGTGATAGATCGGGGCTTGTAGATTGTGTCCAGAGGTTATCGACGTGGTTGATCTCTGCGCCTTTGGCATATTCTCGTGTGAAGTGTTCATGAAGATGCCATATCTGTTGCTGTGGATCAATTCAGCAATCGAGGGATTGCAGGACACTGGTGTGGACGATGTAGATTGAGAAGCCAGTCGATGCGAAATACCCATGTCTTCCAGATGGACAGGTTGACCATCCATGAAGAACACGCCCGAGTCAGTCCGCTGTCGTTTTTTGGCAACCACCAGGTCCGGTAATTGACTCGACAATGAGGTTGGGCTTGTGGCTCCGTGCTTTTGATTGCTCATGTCCATGCTTTGACTATCTGTCGAACAGTTCTGATCATTGCCGCCCCGGATGTAATTGACGGGAGAAGGTCCCGCAACTGATCCGTTTCCTCGTTGACTAGCCAAGTGCATATCCGGCAAGGATCTCGCCGAATTCATGGTGTGGTTTTGATGTCCTTCAAAAGAGACCGCGTGATGGACTTTGGGGTATAAACTGCGCTGACTTCTGATTGTGCCGGGTGGAGTTGGTATGAAACGCAACCCATAGACCGACTCGGGAGGTTCTGGGATATCGTCACCTTGGCCGATTGCCCACCGTTCAGATTCCCGCTGCTCTTGACTCCGTTCGATCAAGTCACTCAGTTCCATCCGACGACGGGCACGGTGTGCTGGTGAATCTATGAGGTCGCGTCTCGGAGTCGAGATGAAATGGGCGTCGCTGTCATAACGACTTTCGCTCATCAAGCTGCTGCCATAAGCACTCAAGGCCGCAAGCTGGGTCGCCGGTTTTGACGCGGATCTTGACGACTTGCGCGGGAACGGAAACATGAACTTGCTTGGTTCATGGTGAGCAATCGATGGTTTGGACTCGCGGGAGAATCGACGCCGAATGATGTGAGAGATGCTCCCCGGGTGGTAATTCGAGTGAGGAGACGGTGTATGCTCTGATTGATGAGCTGGTACTGTGATGTGACTCGTTAAACTGACTTTCTTGGGATCATCGTAATGAAGCTTTGGCTTGATGGCCCAACAGTCTCATACCTGGTTCCTGGTGCCGCTGCGCTTCTAGATCGCTGGCTTGATATGATCGAGCGACATCCGATGGGGATGCCGGCCGTGGCTTTCGCCATGGGGGACAGTGAAGAAACATCATTTGTCTGTTGGATTGGAGGTATTTGCAGAAATGTGATGATTGTGTCTACTTGGAGTTACATCCATGTTGAAGATGAGCTGGAGGTGCCTCGATCGGGCCTTCCTCATTGAGGAATGACCCTGTCCGGTCTTGCCATATACATCAGCCATTGTAGACGGGAAACAACCAAGGAAGGACCAACGGTCATCAATGGCCTTCATATTGCAATTTTGCGGGCTGATCTGGCTCTACGTTTTCGCTGAATTCAAGCATTGTAGCGGCAGCAAAAATCGATGCCATCCATGAGCCTCGGTACCAGCATGGCCAACGTGTCATACATTCTCTTTGGGGTGACTATAGTTAGATGAAATATGATTCTCATGCTGGACAGTAATTATTATCATTATCATTATTATTTGTCTCATTTCCCTTAGCTGTATAATGTAGTCTGGCATCGCTGACTGTATTTTATGACACATCTGCCCAATTGAATCCAATTGATGTGAATAATAGGGACCGGGTTAAGGTTTTCCTCCGGTCTTCGTTGCTCACCGCGACCGACTTTCTCCCGATTTCCATGGTGGTTGATTATTATGGACAGGTGGTCAAAGTATTGTAGCTTTCTACAGTCATGGCACTTTGTAAGATTCTCGAGTGTAACACATCCATATTGTTAGGCTAGGTTGGGTAGTCAATTTATGAAACGGAAGTGTTCTGGTGGTTTAACCTATATGGACATTTCAACGGTACATTTTGGTCTCGTAGGCCAGCTAATTCTTACCAAGTAGTATGTACGGAGTACAGTTCTAGTTGCTTGTAGATCCTCTTATATGTACGGAGTACATACCACTTGACACCTAACTACTGAGAGATGCGTTTCTTTTTTTTGAGTCCATGGACTATCTCTGCCCTGCAATTGGCGCGATTTGCGTGTATGCTGCACGAGGTGCTGATAATTATTGACCGGGTTCCAACTTCCGCCCAGTGGCTTCCGGCTGACCCCGCTAATGGAGGTGGAACAAATTGACTTGTTGGCCTCTTCTCCAGCCGTGTGGTTATTGAGATACCAGGTCGTGTTCAATTGATCTGACTATGATCTGTTTAGATTTTACAGCTACTAAGAATGGCATATGTTCACAAGGTCAGGTTTTAGTCGGAGTATGTTTGTTATCCGTGGCCAAATAATAATAATAGCAAATGGCCAAATGGGCAAATGGCGTGATTCCCCCGCCGATCACGGAGACTCTTAACACTTAAATGACTGGGTCCACCCCTGAGTATTGGTATTTACCGTATGGACACTCCATAGTGGGGTCACTCTGGGTCACTCTGGACACCGGGATTACAATAGAATTACCATTCTTACCGCTCCTCGGGAATGCTTCCCCGACCGCCTAGACCTTTGACCACTGTATTTACTTGGAGTACTATGTCTTCGGAGTCCCGACTGCTCGAAAGAGTCTAAATTGTGCACGTCCCCGGTAAGACTGGTATGTACTGTAAAATACAGTGGTAATCCCCCCGTACAGTCAGATAACCACCTCCTTCTTGACAATCTGCCCCTCCATCCCATTGTGGTTTAGGGCCCCCTTCCCCTCCCTCCATTTTTCTTCTCAGCTTTTCCCTCCTCCTCCTCCTTCTCTTCTTCTTCTTCTTTCTTTCTTTCTCAAAGGCAATTGGGTTCTTCTGCATCTTCTATCTTCCCTTGAGATCCCGCCTGTACCCTTTTCCCCCTTCATTTTCACACACATCCGTCAGAATGGTTCAATCGTATGTTCTCTACTCTTATCCAGTGCTCGATAGCACCCCTCTTGTTATTATTGACTCCTGCTGACCATTTCCCAGCGCCGTTCTCGGTTTCCCCCGTATGGGTCGGGTCCGTGACCTCAAGAAGGCCACTGAGGCCTACTGGGGTGGCAAGTCCTCCCGTGATGACCTCCTCGCTGAGGGCAAGCGTCTCCGTGCTGAGCACTGGGGCCTGATCAAGAAGGCTGGTGTCGACTCGATCCCCAGCAACGACTTTGCTTTCTATGGTGAGTCACCCAGTTTCCCCTGAACCAATTGACACCAAGAACCTCTTTTCTAACACCCCCAATAGACCAGGTTCTCGACCACATCCAGCTCTTCGGCGTTGTCCCTGAGCGTTACTCCAAGTACAAGCTCCACCCCCTCGACGAGTACTTCGCCATGGGCCGTGGTCTCCAGAAGGAGGGCGTTGATGTCCCCGCTCTGGAGATGGTGAAGTGGTTCGACTCCAACTACCACTACGTCAAGCCTACCCTGCAGGACAACCAGGTCTTCACTCTCGCTGCTGAGCCCAAGCCCGTCGTCGAGTTCCTCGAGGCCAAGGCTCAGGGTGTCACCACCCGCCCCGTCATCCTGGGTCCCGTCTCTTTCCTCACTCTCGGAAAGGCCGATCGTGGCCAGTCCGTGGACCCCATTGACAAGCTCAACGACCTCCTCCCCCTCTACGTTGAGCTGCTGGCCAAGCTGAAGGCTGCCGGTGCCGAGGATGTCCAGATCGACGAGCCCGTCCTCGTCTACGACCTGGCCCCCAAGTCCAAGGCTGCTTTCAAGCCCGCCTATGAGGTCCTGGGCAACCTGGGTGACAAGGCTCCCCGCCTCACCCTCACCACCTACTTTGGTGACATTGTCCACAACATCGAGGTCCTCTCTTCCCTCCAGAACCTCCACGCCATCCACGTCGACCTGGTCCGCAACCCCGAGCAGCTCGATGCCGTCGTTGCTGCCCTTGGCCCTAAGCAGACCCTGTCCGCCGGTGTTGTCGACGGCCGTAACATCTGGAAGACCAACTTCAAGACCGCCATTGAGAAGGTCGAGGCTGCTATCCAGAAGCTCGGCAAGGACCGTGTCGTTGTTGCCACCTCCAGCTCCCTCCTCCACACTCCCCACACCCTTGAGAGCGAGAAGAAGCTCGACCCCGAGATCCGTGACTGGTTCAGCTTCGCTGTTGAGAAGCTCACCGAGGTTGCTGTCATCGCCAAGGCCGTCACTGAGGGCCCCGCCTCCGTCAGCGCTGAGCTCGAGGCCAACGCCAAGTCCATGCACTCCCGTGCCACCTCTGCCCGCACCAATGACCCCGCTGTCAAGGCTCGCCAGGCTGCCGTCACCGCCGAGATGCACAACCGCAAGTCTCCCTTCGCCACTCGTATTGCCGAGCAGACCAAGACCATCAAGCTCCCTCTCTTCCCTACCACCACCATCGGCTCCTTCCCCCAGACCCAGAACATCCGTGTGACCCGTAATAAGTTCACCAAGGGTGAGATCACCGCTGAGGAGTATGAGAAGTTCATCGAGCAGGAGATCCGTGACGTCGTCAAGTTGCAGGAGGACCTTGACTTGGACGTTCTCGTCCACGGTGAGCCCGAGCGTAACGACATGGTTCAGTACTTCGGTGAGCGCCTCAACGGCTACGCCTTCACCACCATGGCCTGGGTCCAGTCCTACGGTTCGCGCTGCGTTCGCCCTCCCATCGTTGTCGGTGACATCTCTCGTCCCGCTCCCATGACCGTCAAGGAGTCCAAGTTCGCTGTCTCCATCACCTCCAAGCCCATGAAGGGTATGCTCACTGGTCCCATCACCTGCCTGCGGTGGTCCTTCCCCCGTGACGACGTTCACCAGTCCGTCCAGGCTCAGCAGCTCGCTCTCGCTCTCCGTGACGAGGTTGCGGATCTCGAGGCTGCCGGTGTTGCCGTCATTCAGGTCGACGAGCCCGCTCTCCGTGAGGGTCTGCCCCTCCGCAAGGGCGCTGAGCGTGATGCCTACGTCAAGTGGGCCGTCGATGCCTTCAAGCTCTCCACTGCTGTCGCTCGCGATGAGACTCAGATCCACTCTCACTTCTGCTACTCTGAGTTCCAGGACTTCTTCCACGCCATTGCTGCCCTTGACACCGATGTTCTCTCCATCGAGAACAGCAAGTCTGATGCGAAGCTCCTCAAGGTCTTCGTCGACGAGAAGTTCGGTGCTCAGATCGGACCCGGTGTCTTCGATATCCACTCTCCCCGTGTCCCCACTGAGCAGGAGATGAAGGACCGCATCGAGGAGATGCTCCAGTTCCTCAGCCCCGAGCAGCTCTGGATCAACCCAGACTGTGGACTCAAAACTCGCAAGGAGGCCGAGGCTTACGCGCAATTGAAGTCCATGGTTGCTGCTGCGAAGTTCTACCGTGCCAAGTTCGCCCAGTAAACGCTGAGCGGCTCGAATTTTCTTTTACCTCACTTCCTTTAATGTGTTAATCTACGGAGGCGGCAATTCTCAACCCCGCCGTCTCCAGCACGGGGAGTTTTTATCAGGTTTGTTTTTATTTTATGTGATGAGTTTATGACGATGATACCAAAAGTTCAACATACGGGTTTCAACGGTTTTGTGGGTTAGAGGGCACCAAAAAGCGGGTTTACGGAGTTTCAACATGACTAACGATTTCAACATGGGTGCCGCCAATTTAGGTGCCAATTATTTCAACAATTGCTTTGTTCTTTCGTCCTTGCGAAGCAGTTGCTGTCGCTTGGACCTTGGAGAACGAGGAACCTTTTTTTTAGTGTAGAAATAGCTGTGAATACACTTGTTTCTCTACATTTTATGATTCTTGCTATGTCTGGAGTAGGTGGAAAGGAAAGAGGTTCGTCTGAAGTGCATGAAACCCATGTGATTTGAACTTGTTAGTGAGCTTCAGCTTTCTATGGAGTCTCAACTCCCCTGTTTCAGGTTACAGTCTACCCAGAGTGAACGCATTATTGGACCGCCTCTATTTTAGAGGATTTGATGGTAGTTAATAGTTATCTAAACCAGCTGAGTCAGGGTGTTCATACTGATTTACCTATCTATTACATACAGTAGGGTTCCATAAGTTTGAGACACCGACAAAATTTCGAACTCATCTTCGCAGTGATGAGTTGAAAGATAGACCAAAAAGATGGTACCTGCACCATCAAGAAAGATGATTTGAAAGATATTTAGAAAGAGCTTACAAATAAGAATGATTGAAGCATGTCTGGTTGGTCTGTTTGACTAGTTTCGTTTCTAGACTCAGACTTTTGAACTGCCACTGTAAAACCTTGTGCAGTAGCTTGGAGACCAAAGGTAGGTAAGACAAATGATTAGGTATACATGTATAGATGAATGGAGCATCCATGGCAGCAAGAGTCCCGACTTCGTTGATTCACATGAAACCCCGAGACGAGAGAACCATTCAAGGCCCGTCTTCAATACAGCCCACCGGCGTTTCCTCGACTGCTCACAGGTTCACGGCCTGTACCTCTTGTTGACCCACGAATAGAGGCCTGATATCCCGATCCATATCAGAAAGAGTGTGTCCAGGCGTAGTTATGAGAGGTGTCCTTGGTGAGAAACGGGTATAATTGGCAAGCGAATTAAGTGAAATACTAGCTGGGGGTGTGTAGCTTTCTATATCCCTATCCGCACCAGATTGTCTTTTACTGCGCTTTGTGATGAGTCCCGCGATAATATGGGCGATGACAACGATGGCGAGCCCGATCGCTGTCCCGGTCAGCGATGACACGGTACATTTGGACCAAGAATATGAGCATTCTTGAGGAGTGGTAGTCATTTTGGATTTGAGCGTTGAGGAGCATTGAAATCTTAGGGGGAACAGAGTTACAAAACGTGTAAATAGCCTAGAGGTATAACATGGAGTTTTGTGTGATGGGATATGTCCCTATTACAGAGTGATTACATAGTGTACTCTATCTCCATCATTGTGTATAATCATCCACTCCCGAAACCTAATCCGTGGCGGTACGTACTGAGGAAGACTGTATATACCAGACAAGCTGTATTCGGTGAATTAACATTCCCTTCGGCTCAAGTCGGCACTACTCTTTATCCTTTCACTGCTCGTATGCAGATCCGTGCGTACACATAGGCTTGAACAGAGAGATGAGTAGGGCGGAAATTGCAACTTGATGGCAAGATGCTTGCTTGTTGTATTATCTCTCCTTAAATCTGTGTGGCCCCGAATGTAAAAGGCATGTGTCCTCACATCCATTCGCACCAAGGCACAACAGCACCTCGTCCAGCAACACCCTTCTCCCCAAACTTCTCAACATACCATTTCCGGCCCCAGCGTGCATGAGGCAGCATATTGGCAACGGCATTAATCGCGAACAGCACAGCGGGCAGAGGTAGAGGCACTCCTAACCGGTCCGCCGCCCATGCCGCAGGGATAATCCAGGGAGCAGGTCGAAGCGGTGGAGCAACAGCCGCACTAGTGGCAGTGCCGACCTTCGTCGATAGAGAGAGGGGGAATACCACGACTCCAGCGAGGGCGAAGCCAGTCCACTCCAACCACTCGAACACGTAGTGTGGGTACAGGATAGACCGGAAGACGCCCTTGGCGGGTGGAATGACATAGACCTTGTGGAACTTGTTGACTCCGCCGGCAGGGGCCTTATCGTCTGATTTCTTCCCGACACGCTTTTCCGCTTCCTCCCTTCTGAATCGGAATAGTGCGGTCTCTGAGTAGATGTTACCAGCCATGCCGATAATAAACAAGGCAGTCCCCACGAAGGGGAGGATCTGAACCAGCGAGAGCGAATCAGAAGACATGGACGAAGAAACCAGCGCCTCGGCGCCGTTGGTGCGGAACCCGGAAATAGGAATTTCATAGCCGGATAACCACCCAGCCAGACAAAACGAATTCAACCAGTTAAAGCCCATGGCACTGACCATCACGAAAATGTGAATGGGCGACATACTCGGTGCCGAGAAAAAGGGTGAGATCACGGCGCGGTTGGCATAGTGCACACAGTAGAGAGTCGCAACCAGTTGGTTGATTGCAGGCAGCTCAGTCAAGGACGGCGTGGTCTGGGACAGGTTGTAGAGCAAGTTGATAGGACCGACGATCTCCATGGCGCACCAAGCTACTTGGCCAGGGATATTGAACATCGAGCTCTTAAGAGATGTTTTACCCGCTGGGTGCCAAGAAAGGAGCCATTGCAGAATAGTGCACTGTGTCTTTTCGTTAGGGGGTCATGGTTCCGAGGTTGAGGTGCATATCATATCAAGAGGTCCTTTGTTTACTCACCACCGGGAAGTACTGGAAAATAGTTAGGACAGTTGTGTATGCCGCCGGGGTTGGAGGGAAGAACTCCGCGATGGACGGGAGAGACGCCCACGAGGTGGACAGGGCGGTACCCATGGTGAGAGGAATAGAGAGTCGAATGAGGCGATTGTAAAGGAGAGAAACTACGAAGCGCGGAGGAGAAGTGGCTAAAGCTTAAGGAAAGTTTAAATTGATCCACGGGAGCGTGATGTAACTCGCCGAATCAGGCAAGCGGTCATGATTAAGCTACACGATCTATCACCTCCTAGCCAGTTCTATGTATGTCAGGGGGGGCAGAGTGGAACACGATGAGCGCATGAAAGCCTCGGATTTTGTGTAACTTAGTCGGTAGACGTGTCCATCTGCTCAGCTGCTGGTTCTTTCCTGCCCCGTCGCTCTGCCTTGAATGCCTCGATCTTAGCTTTCAGCTCGGTATCTGCAGGGTCCCATGTTAGCGCGAGATCGTCCGGTTAATCGTGTGGCTGACTTACCAGGTAACACGTCTTCTATTTTCAGGGGCACGCGGTTGAAAGGATCATGAGGATCGCTGAGAAGGTGCGAGCGGATAGTCGATCGATCGATGGAAAGCTTCGAGCTTGGCAGAATAACGGGGTCTTCCATAAGAGTGTACATGAGAGGATCTGGAGGAATGTTAGTGCTTGTTTTGATAATTGTGATGGAAGTTAACATACCCAGGAATTCGTCCGGAATCTCGCCCAAGTCCTCCTCGGCTTGTTCATCAGCCTCCTTGGCTTCTTGGGCCAGTTTGCGCAGCCGATCCCAGCGCCGCAAATCCTCATCTGGTGTCAATTTATGCTGTCGTAGGAGATCGGCGGCTTGTTTAAAAAGCTCCGGTCTGTATGAACGTCCATCGCGAGCAATGGCTGTGATGAAGTTTTGCTTGTTCATGAGGTTGAGGTAGATCTTCGCTATCTCACTGAGAACTACCTTCGGGTCAAAGCCATATTTCTCTACCATCAGCTGCACATTGCCCTCCACCTTGAGCTGGGAGCTCTTGGGTCCGGCCATGGCGTCGAGATTGTAATTCAACATATCAGCTAACCGCTGGACAATCTCCGGCATGGTGAACGAATCGGCCAGGGCGGAAGTGAAGAGCTTGAGCATGCCCATTGTCTCATTGGTCAGCTGCATGTAGGATTTGGCACTGCGCTGCGTGGTCGCCAAGTGTTCCTCGCGTTCCTGCCGAGTAGTGGGGTCCATCGAATCGCCATCACGTCTAAGTTCTTCCTGGATGTTACGGATGGTCTTGAAGGCGCCAAACGACTCGTCAAGCACGTACGTCACATCATTCAGCAGGAGGTTGACAAACTGAACGAAGAAGTCCTGGTTCTGCGTGGCTTGGTAGGACAACTTCTTCCGATACAAGGTATTCGGCCAGATGCATTTGATGATCTGGAAAATCTCATACCGAATATTGAACTTGTCAAAGAACTGAGTGTGCGCGCCAGTGTGCTCCGCCTCAATGTAGAACCTCATCACCGCATGCAGAAGGTACTCATTGGCGAAAGGCATGGAGTTGAGCAGATCAACTAGAACGCCGCGTTGGCCACCAGGGCGGTTTAGTGTCCCTCGATAGAGCATGGAAACAAGACCGGCCTTGAGATATGGGTTTTTGATGTAACTCGAGCTCTCCAGGAATGTGATGCACAGCATCACCAGCTCATCGCCCAGGCCAGCGGTGATAGTCTGAGGCATAGCCCAGCTGACAAACTTGAAATTACTGATGATGACATCCAGGAAATACTCGGGAAGATTTTGGAACACCTCAGGTTGCTGTTGCGGAAGAGGCAGGCCGATCTTCTCTTCTGGGTAATTCACTCCAGATGCAACTCTCAAGAGCCAGGCAGCAATGTGTCGAATGACCTCTATTGAGCGAACTTGCCATTGTTCGTCGAAAAGCACAGCCTGGAGGCTGTACTTCAATGCCAGACCCAGATCAAACTTATCACGGTATTTCTTGAGCGCGTTTTCATAAACGCGTAGTTGCATGGGATTTGCAGACCACTTCACCCGTTCGGCTTCAAGTTTGACGATTGTTGATTCCATATGCTTCAGATCTTTGTCAAGTTGATCCAGCCTTGAGGTCAGCGATTCACTGCCATAGTGGTGTGCAGCGATCGTCAGGAAAAAGAGCTCGCTGTTGAAATTAGAAGCGCCTTCCAATTTCTTGGCATAGAATGCATCAGAGGCATGCTGATCGGCATTAATTTTTGTCTCATCTCGCATATCGATCCGAGGGTTCTTTTGGAAATACTCTGCATGGAAAGTGTGGATTTTGCGGAAGTCAATGTTCATGATGGGAACGCAAAGTTTGTCCAGAGTCGACGTCAGGTTGAACATGAAACCATCGGATGCAACCTGTTCCGGATCAACTTGCATGGCACGTCTTTTGTGGTTGATATTCAAAGCGGTTGCAACCCAATCCAGAAATCGGTTCTTGGCCTCTGTGGATGCATGAAGAATCTTGCCTGTAATGTAGTCGAGGTCCCACTGGATCATATTCTGCATCATGCGGAGGGAGCTCTGCGAGTTCAAAATGAATCCATGGTCTCTCGACTTGGGGTTGGAAAAGTACGACATTGTCGCGCTGGGCTGCAGGGGAGAGAGCCGGAACCATGGTCCTAGCAGGGTCGTCTTCTCGAATTGAGCTGGATCTTTGGAAGCATTGAATATCGAAGACTCAGTGATAGCCGCAGCAATGATCTTATTATCGACGAGGTTTCTCAAAGCCTGCATTTGCGATTAACATTGGAAATCAAGGCTTGACGAGGGCAAAGCGACAAACCATCAAATATGGCTGAAAGGCCCCATTAGCATCCATAGACGACAGCTGGGCGCTGAGGTCTTCAACCGCAGAAATCAAAGCAGGTTTGATACTGTCATCTTCATCGAATTTCAAGCTTACTTCCTTGAGGAATTCAGGAGTGATTCCTCTCCTCGAATTATCATCAGGACTCAGCAGTAACTGCCGAGCCAATGGAGATTCCCCGGGGGATTCAATTCTGCACAAGAAATAGTCAGTACCCTTGGAGGAATTCAAGGCGAAAGATATTTTCGTACCCAAACATCTCTGGCATTGTAATCGCGAAAATACAGTAGCTCAGGCACAATCTTTTCGCTTCGCCGTATATATCCCACTTTCTCGTATCTGGGTCTGGCTTCTTCATTCTCTCCTGAATCCGGCTCCAGCAGGGAAGCAAGTAATCGAGCGGACCTTGCTTCTCCGCTTTTGACGCGGCTTCCAGGATTGCTTGGTCCAATATCCCAGTGTGCAGACGCAATTCCTTGCCTTCATCCTGCAGCTCACTTTGCAATCCCGGGAGGAAGATCCGGGGGCTATTTGTCTCAAGTGCACCCTCCTTCAGGGTGATGTTGAACAGATTTCCCAGAACCTGATGCTCAAAATCCTCAATGCGCTGTGGTATAGGTCTCGCAGGTGAATTGGTTTGGGCAGAAGACGGGCCAGTAGAGCGCGGTCGTTCAGGAACCGAGGCTGAAGTAGTTGGTGTAATCTTAATCCGCTTTCCTTCCGGCTGCTGCGAGGTCTGTGTAGTCGACGGCGGACTGTCCGTGGCCCCATCAAACTGGTTTAGTGACGACAGCGACGGCGACGGTGACTGTGCTCGAGAAGGGTTCGACGATGTCGGCGGTGAATTAGGAGGGTCGCTAGCGGAAGGACGAGGAGATGCGGCTGGGTTTTGAAGCTTCGCAAGGCGCTTGTTGCGGATCTAAGCTCGTCATAGGTACCATGTTAGCCGGTGGCGGAGGAGAAACACCATGACGGTGGACCGCGGGGGTGAGCAACGGCCGACCAACCTTTTCCGCATCAGAAAGAGTGTCGGACATCTTTGCGCGTATTTGAAACGAGGTTCAAATGTGGCCGGGGTATAGTCAAAGTGTTAAGCGGGGCGGAGCGGACAATGAGGCAGCACGATGTTGACGATAGTGTTCAAGTCGGCGACAGTTCTTTCTTCATGAGTCCTAGGACCACATCGACACTGATAGATTCCGCTACCGACAAAGTAAAGGAATTTAGTGGGGTGAGATCCGGTGTACCCCAGGTGAAGATAAAGAAGGAGGGGGACTTCGCGAGACAAATCTGGAGATTCTGTCGTGATCTCCGAGATTCGCTCGCCCGCTCTGCTGTTAGGCTGTGATGCGACTTGACTAAGCAACAAGTAGACGTTATGCCCGCTGCAACCACAGCCAGCTGGGATGATTTAGGCAAAATAGACATAAACAAACCCTTTGTTTGATGATATTCGTCAAATTTATTGAGATAAAAAGATGTGCATCCGCAATGCAATCATTAGAATTCAAATTTAGCTAGTCCAGTCAAGCACATTCGACCCCATCATTATCGTGCACAGAATATATATCGTGGGCTGTATGCAATTGAAAGACACTGTACAGAGGGACAAAACAAACGTAACAAAACCCAATAGACGCCATCCTTCGTGCTGTAGAGCTCTTCGAAAGGAGGAACAAACTGATAACATTCGGAAGCGCAAGTTCCAAGTACATAGGCTTGTCGATCCGCTCTACTTGCCCTTGAGTTGCTCTAACCGCCGGCAACTCTTCATTTCCATCGACCGCGCCTCCTTCATTTTCTCAATATCTGGGAAAAACCAGCCCTGTGCTTCTTGGATCTTTCGCTCCCGCATTTGTACCTCAGACTCGCATTCGTATCGAATCTTTGATAGGTAGTCCACCTCCACACGCCGGTCCAGTTCCCGGAATTGTTTTGCGCTGAAATCACCCACTTCTAGCGGATTGACGAAGTAATTAGCGCCGAACCTGGGTGATGTGCGGCTCATAGTATACGGGGTTTGAGGGGTATCGAAGCGATAGGAAGGACCAGCTGGAGTTGAAGAGCCAGATAGAAGGGAAGACAGGAGCGGAAGGACGAAAAGAAGGAAGAGAGGAAGCAGCTGGCGAACAAAGCCCCAGCCATCAACAGCTGGTTCTGACTCGTTGTTGTTCGCGGCGGTGCGAGGTCTGCGGCGTGGCACGCCTCCTCCGAATTGGTGCACGCGGAAACCAGGGCCGCCTCCCATGTTGAAGACGAATTGCGGTCCGGCTGAAGGAAAGTCAGTCTTGAACACATAGATAGGCAGGTAAAATGAAGCGTACCGAATGGACCGAAACCACCACCACCACCCATGCCCCCAAACCCGCCGTTAAAGAACCGATTGAACATCTCTTCTGGGGAGATCTCAGCATCGAAGCCTTGGCCGCCCCCTCGTGGGAAACCACCACCACTGAATCCACTGAATGGAGAACCACCACCACCACTAGAGGCGCTTGGTCCAGGGTTGAATCTGCTATCAGGGTCTCCTCCAAACTTGTCATAACGGGACTTCTTATCGGAGTCGGAAAGGATCTGGAAAGCTCGCGAAACCACTATCAAACGAGACCGTTAGCAGCAAGCCTTGCCGCGGAAAGGATCATGTGTTTGCTTACTTTTAAAGGCTTCGTCTGCGCCATCATATGCGTTCTTATCCGGGTGTGTCAACAAACTCAGTTTGCGATACGCCTTCTTGATCTCGCTGTCCGTTGCAGTCTTTTCAATCGCAAGGATCTCGTAAAAATCAGTTGTTCCGCATTTTCGGATTCGTAGAACTGCCGCTTTCTGCTCGGGGGTGTATGTGCGATCTTGGTTGCCCTGGTTGTGCTCGCGCGACCTCGCGGCTCCGCCTTTGGCGTCGGAGCCAGACGCCGAAGCAGATGGCATGGCGATCGGAAATCGAAAAGTATCAAGGACCTGAAGAAAGAGAGGTTGTGGAACGGCGAAAAGATAGGAGCGCTGGTGGGTGGGTTGGTGGCGCGGGACCGCGGAGACAGGGGATCTCAATTCCCTGAAAGGCCGAGAGACAAGTCAAGCCTAGATTGATCGCACAGACCGACCAGCTAGAAAGCCGAAACCGTAGAGTTCGAGCGAAATAAAAGCGAAGAGAGCGGTGGACCGGGGGGTCTTGGGGGGTTGTCGACTGAGGAAAAAGTATAGTCGAAGATAGGTGTCTTTGCCAAGCGAGGGAACGCCATTCGCGGCCTCCAGTCGTCGGCTGGTATACCACCGACTGGTCCTCCGCACCTCCTCCACATTCAGCCTCTGCAAAACCCCGACCGCGTCTAATAGAGGTCCAATAACCAATTGATCTCGCTCAAAAATACTCTAGTATCAGATCAGAGTACCTTCCAAGTCCTGCGAACCTATCAACCACAAGCGCGAACGTCACCATGGCCAAGGATTCCACAATCGAAGCAACCAAGCAGACCTTGGTGCAGCGCTTCAGAGCATGGGGTGGTAGGTGCATGTTGTTTGAAAAATATCAAGGCCCGGATATTGGTCGGAGAGATCAGAGAAAACAAGCTAATGCCCTTTACTCCAGAAAACTCATTCCCGCCGACGCTGCTCGCCTCGCTCATCTTCGCGCAACATGCCCGTCCCTTCCAGTTCTTCCCAATGATGTTCCCTCCGATTCTGCTTTTCACCAGCTACGCCAACCTCCAAGGGTTCAAGACTGAGACTGCCGGTATCAGCGCCGCCTGGTCTGGACTTTATCTACTACTGGCTGGTCGCCGTCGGCAGCCACTCATGAAGAAGTTCGGAGCTCGCGGTATTGTGCGCGGCGCGACAATGGGTCTCTGTCTGGTCAACATGATTGGCGGTGGATTGGCCTATACCCTGGGCAAGCGGGAGGAGGAAGAGTCCAAGACTGAGAACTGAGTGTGGTTGACATCGATGAATGAGTAGAAGGTTGGCATGTCTTTGGACAGTGTACGATATACGTTTCAAAAGTTGGCTTGTATGATTGAGATCAGGGTATGAAAGTCGGCGTTACTGTGGTCACCGAGGAGTTTGATATATTGATGTGCTTGTGCACTCATCTACAGGAATGAGTACAGGTTGGTTGTAAGCTACCTCATTGGCGATATACGATTGCATTCAATGTTACATTTGAGAGTCTATTCTTACTCTAATTATATTTTCGTGCCGGGGCTTTCCGTCGAGTATGGCGTTTCTGAGATCACAAATTGCCGCACATGGTCCGGTATTAACCATTCCAGGTCCTGAGGAGCAGACTGTGCTGCCTCTCGAGCTCTGGTAGAACTGACTGGTGGGTCATCAGGTTTCCTGCCCTCGATAAGCTGGATTTTCTGTGCCCATTCCCTCTGTGCACCTTCAGAATCTCGGTCCCCACGAGCAAGACTATCAACAAAGCTTTCCTGTTCTTCTCTGTTACCCCAATCATCACCGGGTCGCAGTGTTACCCTCAACCGATGTTGCGAGAACAGCGCACTGAGAGGCTGTAGTGTATGCTCTGGAGGGTAATATTTGGGATTGAAGATCCGGATCAATGTGTCGTAGCCTGTGAGGTGGACTTGCTCCAGGGGAGACGGATAATGATCCGATGCCTCAATGGCTGCTGCCTTATCAATAAAGTAAGGCTTCTTTGTGACCGCAATGTCAATTGTAGGAATATGTTCCATTGATGAGGCGGACACTGAAGGGTCCCTGGCCGCAAGATGGGACCGTACGTCATGAGCGAAGAGTTCCATCATGGCCAGGCGGTCCTCAAAGGGCGCAGGCTTAGATGGCTTATCGGCATTCTGGGTAGCAAGGAGAAGAAGTAGACGAGAGCCGGGCTCTAATTTTTCTAGGAGCGCGGAGCTGGCAATGCGGAGATGGGCGCGGGTGGGAGGATTGAATGACGAGTCCAGCACGTAGAGAATTTTGGGTGGTGGGGCATGATCAGTGGGCACTGTAGCGAGGACCTCAAATTCTTTAGTTGAGGCAGCGAACTGCTTCAGCAGTGAAGCATACTGAGATCTAAGTGCCCGAAAGGAGGCCATTGTTGCCGAGTTCATGATATTGAACAATGTTGTTGATGGCAGACAGTGGGGGATGAGGCGGGGATAAGATAAGGGGCGGCTTATCGGCTTATCGAGTCAACGAAGTACAAACCGAGGATCAGAAGAAGACATGAAGTTGACAGATGCATGCCCAAACAAATCATAGGATACTTCATATCCCAAGAGAGATGAAGGTACCAAATCTTGAGAGCCATACGTTTTAGGCTATAGTATTCACATCGTGATACTTTGAGGGTTCAATGTATTACATATCCTCTCAAAATTCATCCCGCCAAAACTCCATCGTAGTTCGACACATACTAAGACAATTTCTTATATTTTCTAGCAAAGGCTGTGTTTATATCCACTGACATGTTTAACGGGAGGCAAATTGCCAATCACACAGAAGTATAGCATTCAATAGACTGCCAAGCCATAGTAAACCACTAAACATGATCAACTATCCCGGAGAGCTTGTTCGAAGAATAAGGAAGAAGGGGAAGGCATATTTGGGGGGCGACCACCTGGTTCCCTACTAGCCCATAATGAAAAACTCTCTGGTTCAATCCCATTGCTTACAGTGTATCCAATTTGAAATTCACTTGTTTCAACAATTTCGCAGCCACTACGGAGTAGTTTAGTTGGCACCGAGCTGTCTGTGATACCGAGGTTGATCGGCCGCCAATCACCACTTGGGGTAATTTAAGATCCCGTCCCCGCCATTGGACTTGTCGCCACCAGAAGCTATGTATTGTGATACAGTTTCATTTCTACAGATTTTCAAATCAAGATCCAGAGAATAAATCAAGAAGGTTCCAAAATGAGTACCATATCTCCATTCACCATCGCTGTGCCCGACACTCAAATCAACCAGCTCCATAAGAAGCTCGAACAAGCTACTTTCCCTGATGAATTTGATACGGCGGGTTGGGACATGGGTGTTCCACTCGGTGAGATGAAGCGACTTGTTAATATCTGGCGTGAGAAATTCGACTGGCGAGCACAGGAGAAGAAGTTGAATAACCTGCTCCAGCAGTATACGGTGCCTATCTCAGTGGACGGATTTGGGGAGCTCGATATCCATGTTATTCATCATCGAAGTGGCAATCCGAATGCTATTCCTCTTTTATTCATTCATGGATGTAAGTTGTACTTTTTCTGCTGCCGTTATACTCTTTCTATTATCGAAGAACTAAAGGATGTTCTTCCGATGTAGGGCCCGGCAGCTTCCTTGAAGCAACCAAGTTGATCCCGCTGCTCATGAAAGAAGACGAAGGACCTGCATTCGACGTTGTGGTGCCCTCGTTGCCAAACTTTGGCTTCTCACAAGGTGTATCAAAGGTAAGCTTCAAAAATACATGGAGCATATGCATGAGATGCTAATGATATCCTGTAGAAAGGATTCGGTCTGGCCCAATATGCAGAAACGCTTCACAAAGTGATGGTAGCCCTGAAATATGATGGATATGGTATGGAAGACGACATCTCAGTCATGGCGAACACAATTAACAATACATCTAGTTATCCAAGGAGGCGACTGGGGCAGCATGATCGCCCGCGCTATGGCACAACTATACGCCAAACACATTCAAGCCATCCATTTGAACTTCATTCCAGTCATTCCACCATACCCATGGCGAAGTCCCCTCCGTTTCATCCAGTCTCTCGCCAGTGTTCCATTCTCAGCCAAAGACCGAGCATACATTGCTCGCACCATGGACTATCTCACGCGAGGTAATGCCTACATGAAGCAGCAGGAGAGTCGACCCGAAAGCTTGGGTTATGGTCTCCATGATAGTCCAGTTGCACTGCTAGCCTGGATCTATGATAAACTCCATATTTGGTCGGACGATTATCAATGGAGCGACGAAGAGATACTGACCTGGGTAAGTATCTACTACTTCTCACGGGCGGGACCGGCAGCTTCAATTAGGATTTACTACGAGGCTTCTGCGAAGAAACCCGAGACTACGAGTTCGACTGGGAAGCAGAATGAGCAAGTGGACAACTGGATCACCCTTGAACAGGTCTTGGGCGCTCATGCACCGCCGAATGTGCGATTTGCCGTGGCGCAGTTCAAGGAGGAAATTATTATGTGGCCCATGGCCTGGTATCATGCCATCGGAAATGTAGTCAAGGAAAAGGAGTTTGACCGCGGTGGCCATTTTGCGGCCTGGGAGGTACCTGAACTGCTTGCAGGGGATCTAAAGGAGTTCTTTGGAAGGGACGGAGCAGCTTACGAAGCGGTTCAGGGCAAAGATGGCTATTGATTTTGCTCGTGATTAGTACACTTAGTCTTGTTAGGCGTCTCAGGTTAGGCAATCTTCTCTTTCGAGGTCAAAATTGTGACGTGATGGCGGTGCTTGTATTATCATGAAAGGAGTAAGAGAAAAACATATAGTCGCGGGCTGAGTTCATTCTCGATCGGAACGCCATCTGCCCTCGCGTCACTGCTGTAGCATTTCGCCCATAGCTGACCGTCGATGGAAGCTCATCATTCAGTGGAGACCACAGACGCCGGAGTTTGCCCTCAGACCAACAAAATGCCCAATAATAACCGATTCGTACCCCTCGTGTCCATCCCTTTCTTTAATCTTGACGTCCCTTCAGTAGCCGCTGGGTGACCTTGTCCTTCTCTATAATGTACACCTGAGCGCCCCAACCAGAGAGGGCGTCTCGGTCGACGGCACTCAGTAGTGCTTGGGAGATGGTCTCGAAGAGGTCCTCGGGGCCCTAAATACCATATATTAGCTTGACAGAGGTGGATTCGAGTGGTAGACACATACAAGATCCGGCTCCCACAGACCCTCGCAGGTACCGAAGAGCTGGTCGCTCGCCGTTCCGCTGACAATGAAGTCCTTGGCGAAATCGATACACCCGATGCTGTCAAACCCGCAGATGAAGGGCTTTCCAGTTGTTGGGTTGATACCCGCCAGCACGGGACTGACAAAGAATGGACCGAAGCGCTTCTCGTACAACGATGAGCTGACCAGGTTGGCCAATGTCTGGGGGGCGATATGGCGCTCCTCGCGCAGGCGGTACATGTTGACCTTGTAGCGGAAGAGGTCCGAGACGGTGTTAACATCGGTTGCAAGGCCTGTCAGGCCGAGATAGGTGGAGGGAGCGTAGTTGAAGATCTTGGGGAAGTTGTTGGAGACGGTCAGGGCTTGCATGCCCAAGCGGAGGTCGCAGGCAATGGCGACGCAGTCCTTGCCTACCATGGCGACACAGGCACCACCATCTGAGTAAAGGTTAGTATATAGAGCGATTGGGAGTCACGGATTAAAGCTCATCATACTGATGTCGAAGGGGGAGCCCTGTTGATGGCAGGAGGTGGTTAGCTTGAGGTCCGGCAACAATGAACGGGGTCAAGGGACACATTTCCCTACCATGATTGCGGTTTTTCCTGATCAATCCAGTTGGCAAGAATTATTCTGAAGCTTCAGCAAAGATGAACCGATTGACAGGAAATGGTTGGGGAGGGAGGACGGGGGTGGTTGATGGGGGAAGGTGAGGAGATGACGGGGAGCTGTGAAGGACGCGAGAAAGCACCTAGCCAGAGCTCGGATGACGCCGCACCGCTGCCTATTCGGTTCGGCCTCGACCTTCGACTGCTTTCTTCCGCTCTCTTACCCCACGCTTTCGGTTTCTAATCCATTTAACCTTCACCCTCGTACATGGTCCTTTCAAATTCTCTTGAAAACGCAACAGCCTCGCCTTCCTACTCTTTTCCGTCCGGCTGAGAGCTTCATATATACATTACAATCATGAGCGCCCACGTCGTGGTGATCGACGCGACAGCCCGGCGGGCAACGATCAAGGCCACACCAGGCAAACACTTGACAGATATTCTACAAGAAGCTTGTTCAAAGCTTGGCTACAACGCTAGCCAATATGGCCTGAAGTATGTCACCATGAGCATACAGTTCCCCGTTAAGAAGCAACCAAACTGACGCTATTCTGCCCCAGACACAGCCGCAAACAACTAGACCTCTCTCTTTCCTTCCGCCTCTCCGGCCTCAGCTCCGGGGCAAAGCTAGAGCTTGTTCAGCTATCTCGCTCTCCTTCTATTGTCACGGTCGCGCTACAACTTCCCGAATCAGAGGCTCGCGGGGCTCCAAACGGGCGCATATTGGACAAGTTCCCAAGCTCGACTACGTTATGGCTGGTATTGCGCAAGTTTGAGGCTGGAGTAGCAGGCAGTGGCCCAGCTAGGAATCTCACTGCGCGCGGTGTTCCCTCCACTACTACTGGCAACTCTGGTGCTGGGCGGCTATTCTACGAGATCCCCGTTCTCCAGGTCTTGGGGCGCGAGCTCTCAAGCTTCACGGACCTTCAGAAAACACTTGCTCAACTGGGATTCAATAGTGGAAATGTGCTCATGCGACTAAGTTTCCGGCGGACAGAGGAGCCTCTGGAAGAAGCAATGACGAAGATTGCTGAATACTTCACGTCATCCGAGGACGAGATCCCAGCTGCAAAGCCAGGCCAGGCCTCCGCTCCTCCTACTGGAGAGGGGACCCTTGGTGAGCTCCAAGACCAGGCAGCCATACTTACACCGCCGGGGGCCATTGATGGACAGGCTGTTCCTGGCGCTACTGGGCAGGAGCTTGCAAGCTCCGTCTCCGAGCAAGCTACGCCAACATTAACTGCTGGTCGTGCCGTCACAGTCTTTTCCCCTCCCACTAGCGATACACCGTCCTCCGCCCAAATAACCCATAACGAAGAAGACTACATTCCCTCCGTTGAGCATGCAAAAGCTCATCAGCGGCTTCTCAACGAAGCCTCGCGCAACAAACGCCTCCTCACAGATGCCGAAATCGCCGCGAAGGCTGCAGCGGAAGAAGCGCGCCGGTCAGAGGTTCGCCAGGTAGACGTGAAAGTCCGCTTCCCGGATCAGAGTCAGGTGGTCGCCAAATTCGGGCCTAGAGACTCCGGATTGACACTTTACGGATTCGTTCGCAGTTGTCTTGCGCCTCCATTCTCCGCAGAGAAGTTCACTTTGAATGTTTTCTCTAGCCCGAATGCTGTTCGATCGGCGCATGCAAATACAATCCCCGAGTCAGATCAGTCACTATTGATCAAGGACCTTGGCCTGGCCGGGCGAGTACTGGTCAATTTCTCGTGGTCTGATATGTCCACCGCTACTGAGCGCCGATCGAACCTCCTGCGTCCAGAGCTACGCAGCCAGGCTCAAGAACTCAAGGTCGAGCAGCCCCCCGAGCTGGTAGAGGAGACCTCTGCTTCTGCGTCGACAAAGACAGAACCAACTGGTGCTCACGATGGGGGCAAGCCTGGCGGAGCTCGGAAGCCTGGTGCCATGCCCAAGTGGCTTAAGCTGCCCGGGAAGAAATGATTCAAGGTCAACGATGCATCTTTGCAAATGAATGATAGAGCTGGATGAATGATTATGACTTTGGAATTCAAGCCCTTCTTTCTGGAACTCTAGAACAGACATCTTGATAGATTTTATGCTGAATATGGTTTTCATGACCACCCCAACCGCCTTGCAGGACATGGAAAAATCCAATTTGCCCGCTCAGTGTAGAACTCCAAACCTTAACTACACAAGTTTGAACATCTAGTGGTCACGTTCAAGCCGTACTTAACTGATCCGCCCTGGTGGTCGCCTGCCAGGGCCTGGGTCCGTAAGAAAATCGGCAGAAGAGCCATCCTAGATAATAGCTGCAAATAGTACTACCACCACCAAGTGACAGATCCCAGTGGATCTACACAGTCATGCCCTCCTCTATTCGGCAACAACGGACTCCCCAGTTCTACGATCAAGGCACAGCATATGAAGGTATTGAACAAGATTTGTTTTCATTATGGTTTCGCTTCCGATAAACAGGGAAGGGATTCCACTTTTGCCATCCCCATGCATCCACCGATAAGCCACACAGAAAACCCCATATTCCGATTCGAAGCCATATGCTGAATGGCGGCCCGTAGGTATGATCACATCAGACCTGCCAGACTTCGACCATATTTTTCTTTCGTGTTCCCTTGCGCGCGCCAGGTATTCGAGTCGTTAACCGATAGAGAAAAAAAATAACGGAGTTTGGTGCATTTAGTGACCGGTGGTACGGCGGGCCTCGGCGATGACCTTCTGCATGTCCTCAACCTTTCTCTTGCCGCGGACGAAGGTACCGAGCTAGAAAGAAAGATGTTAGCTTTTGGTTCGGGAAAGATCGACGTTTTGTATGCTCGTCGGTTGGATCAGCGTTGGTGCTTGGGACACAGGCCTTGGTCCTTGGAGGTAGAGGGATGATCAAGTGAATGAGCCAATGCAATAGACCATTCCGGACGAGCATTTTCGTTCAGATGGAAAAGTCTTCATGCAAAGGCAAATTTGTTAGATCACACCCCGGAGCCTCCGCAATCCAAAGCCGAGTCTGCAAAGCATGACAGAAATCCAACGAGTCCGACGGCGGGCATATAGTTTCAACGGGGGAAGATGAATTCGGTAGACATACGCGCTTCTTAGCGAGCTCTGTAAATGGAATTAGCACATTGCCTCTCGGAGCGAAATTTTCAAATTGAAGATTCGGGGTACTTACTGCGGGCACGCTTGTCCTGGGCATTGCGGAGCAACTCAATCACACGGCGCTCATAGGGGGCAAGGCCGACGACCTCGCGAGCGATCTCGCGGACGAACGCAGTGCGGCGGGAAGACTTGCCCTTGGAACGGCTGATCTTGTTCTTGGGGGTGTTAAGGGGAGTGGTTTTCTATAATATCCAAGTCAGTTTGACTATCCCATAAATTGTCGGCTGCCGTGTTGTCGCCCAGGGTGCTCTGTTGGTTTCGGTGCGTGAATTCGAGGTGTGCTTCGTGTTCGAGATTTCCAGGTCCGGATGTTCTTCAAATTGATTTCGTCGCATGATTCTTGTCGGGTTCAACTCCTGTCTTTTCCTTCTCTTCCGTGGAATTTGCGTAGATGTTCTCATAACACTTTTGCGATTTGCGGTGTATTTCTGGTGGTCGAATGGACCTTGAACACGACTGGGCTCGACTCGAAAAAACGGACCGAAAACAGCAGAGACCCGGGACAACGACGACGAAAGAAGTATTGGAGATGAACGTACGTGGCCCTTGTTGGTGCCGACCACGATACCGGTGCGTTCCTGCGCCATTTGGACGGTTGGTGACTGAGGGGATTGGCGGAGTTGTCGAGGAAAGGGAATGAAGAAAGTCTTGTGGAAATCCCCTAATGCTTCGGGAACCGCACAACTGCGGGTCTTGGCACGGGCGTTGGTGCGTAGGCGAAACTTTAGGGCTTAGGGCAAGTTAAGTTACTCTATGGGGTTAGTAGGCATGTGACCCACCCGCTGGGTTGTACTGTAGTTTACAGTATTGGCCCAAGGCATGAATCTTATCTTTTGATCACGTGGTATGTATATGAGCTGGGCTTCGTTAACTTCTATGGTCATCTACCTTCTGGTAAGGTTGCTTTTTCTCTGTAAATCACATCGCTGTTATACAGCCGAGTGCCCTATTTGCATGCATCATAGTTTCACTCCCATCACACCAACTAGAGCCTCCTCCCAACTCTCCATCAAAGCACCACAGAACACTTCGACGTTAGATGGGTCCAATGTAGTCTCCAAAACGTCTTGGACCTCCTTCTCGGACTTCGCAGACTGGTCACCCTGAATGACAAGGTCAACCAATGACGTCAGCACACCTGATGCTGAAACGCGCTGCTTCAAAGCTCGTGTGTTTGACCGAACCAGTTCATAGATCTCAGATACGAGTATAGAGAGTCGTTCCACGCGCTCTTTTGGTAGCTTTGCAGACTTCGCTCCCTTTTTAACGGCCAGCGCGAGCAGCTGTGACAGCGCCTTGATTGTCTCAAGAAGGACAAAAGTACTGTGAAGATATTTCCAGGTAGGTCCAGCAGGAGTATCAGCCTCGAGGAACACGGCCGTGGAGGCGATGAGCTGGGAGGTTGCGGTCTCGCTGAGAGTGAGATCCTTCTTCTTCGATTCCAAGAAGTCCCCAACGCGACCAAGAGCAGCGTCAACTTGCTCCGAAGCTGTCAGCTTGGAACCAGCCATGAATGTGGCCACTCTAAGCAGATCCGTGTGGATCTTCACTGACTCTTTCTCTGCGGCAGTCTGATCATTCTCAGTCTCGGAGATGGACAAGCTCTCAAGAGAGGGCAGGTCCATCTCTGGACTCAGTGGCCTTTGCAGGGAAATGCCCTTCAAGATGCTGAAAAGCTGGTCTGTGATTCGGGCTGAAGCCAGCCAGTTGGTCTAGGGGTGCATTAGCTCATTTCTCGTAAACTCAGGCGTAATCATAATTCGCGCACTTACCCGTGGGAGAGGTCCCAGGCGCATTCGCTCTTCGAAGCTGGGCTTTCCTGGGTATTCACAGGACATGAAAGCGCCAAATTTCCGTGAATCAACGACTGGTGAGCTATCCCGGGCTATGGCATCTATCAGTAAGCAGGCCAAAGACGAAAAAGGTTCGCAACTTGACGGTGAACTCACCAAGCTCATCATAACGGGTCATCGGATCGCCCCCAGCAAGTCGCTGAATGCGGCGTGCATCGAGGGCATACATGCGGCGGTTTATACTCTTAGACAAGCATCTCCGAAGCTCGATGATCTCCTCGGTATTCACATAGGATCCCTCATCCAGACCCGCGGTCCGGTACCTCATAGTGTTAACCTCAGAGTTCCGGAAGAAATTGAGACCCTGGACAAAGGCTGAAAGAGGATCGAAATCCTTATACTCCGCGCCGTCCACCGGTGGCGCAGAATGAGGGTGGACCGTAGAAAGGCGCGTGAAGAGAACATGAGCTACAGAGTCATACTGGATCTGCTTGACGGACAACTTGCTGAAAGTGCTCAAGGCAAGGGATCCAGCACCGAGGAGGAGGTATACTCGGACTAGAAGAAGGAGCGCCTCGTAGTTGTGGGGCGAGTCACGGCAGAGGCGTTCCAGAATACCTGCGGCGCGAATGAGAGCAGTACCTGGAATCTGGGCCTCCTTTTCGCCCATTTCGGTAGGCTGAAGGAGACACATGGCTGCGAGAATGCAGAGATCATCAATGGGCTGGCTTTCGATGGTAGATGACGCTCCTTGCGCGCCACCTGTGGACTTCTTGGCTTTGCCCTCCTCGTAAGCGGTCTGGTAAAGCTTGAGACAGCGAGCGACAAGATCATCGATCTTCTGCTGGGAAGGCTTGCTCTCCGGTCCTGATATATTCAGACAGTAATCCAGTTTTAGAGCATTGATCATGGGAACAGACCCCTGGGTACCTGTTAGTACGTAGGCAAAGAGAGACGGAGATAGTTCGCCCAGGATTACTTACCTTCCCTTCTACAACATGGTTTTCCAGGATGTAATTTAGCATCTTGGCCAGGCCTTCCTTGTTAGGACCTATAATCCTTCGAATATCACTGAAGGCGTACAATTTATGAATGTGGTTGTCGATGTATCTCTGGCAGGCCGGAAGCAAGTCATCCTTGGCTATTTCCCCGTTGCTGATCCCGCAGATCATCGCATCAAGGTAAGCTAAAGCTGCGTTACGAGACTTGGGGCTGGATGCCATGAATGTTTCCGCAAAATTCGCCGACTCGGTCGCAGTTCTATCGAGCAAAAGGTCAGTTGGGTCTCAGCATTGCAAGATTTCAATAAACCAACCCAGGAGTGTTCGAATGCTTTGTTCCCTGAACCAACAAATTCCAGATACTCCAATCATCAAGCTCACGGAGAGCTTTGAGTTTCTCCTTGTCATCAGGAACTGTGTAAAGCTCTCTCACGAAGGAGATTCCCTCCTCCCACATCTTGCTAGAGCTCAGATTGTGCGATTTATAACCAAGGAAGGCAGTATCGTTTTGCACAATTCGAGACTTGAGGCCAAGATTTTCGCTGTCCAGAATTTTCACAATTTCGGCGTTTCGTCCCTGAGCTTCGTAGATCTTGATGAGCAGGCGCAGTTCTTCGGATGTCTGGATAGCTCGAGGAGGGCTCAATAACTGTGACTGTACGGCGCAAAAAGTCAGTTATATGCCCTGCCAAGTCTTGGATATCGATGTTTGGCGAAAGACTTACGGCCTCTGGGACATCAGCGGCAGCCTTCGAAATCATACGGTACGCCAGAGTGCCAAACAGCTTTCGATCAGTCTCCGAACTGGCATCGTCTATCGCAATCATGTGGCTGAGGAAGATAGCCCAGAAATAGTACTTCCGATCCTTGGGGAAGTTCTTTTGAAGGCTCATGGCAGCCTAAGACTCAAGAGCAATCACTTGTCAGCAAATCACGGTGGAATCTCCGGTGCAGATTGACAATCGTCCGAATTCTCAGATATACGGACCTTCTGAGCAGACTTCCAATCGTTACTCTCGAAGGCATAGGTAAACCAACGACCTTGAATCTCCAGGTCCTGGGGTTTCGCCTTCGCTGCCCTTTCCCATAGATTGCTCCTTGTCGCATCTTGCCCATCTAGCTTCTGCAAAGTCTTGAACAAGATGTCGAGGGTATCAATGTCGGTAATAGGCGGTTCCACTTTGCATAACTCGAGTGTCTCGGCAATACCGCGCTTGTGGTGGGCTTCATCCGCATGGCGCCAGAGGATATGCGCTTTCCAGGCCTATGCAAGCGACAGTCAGCGAAGCTCGGGTTGTGCGGTATGTAGAGAGCACAGAATGGGTACAGGTGCCCAATTTATTGCGGCCTTGATCCACTTACTTTCAGGAAGGGTGTATCCTCGCCCTTCTTCATACGCTTCTCGATCAGCTGCAGGGCCTGCTTCAGATTCTGCCCGTCAATGGCATCTTGGATCTGGTTGTTGCGGCGGAGGAATACCGCGTCGTTGATAGGCGCCATGGTGAAGAGCTACCCTCGGACCAAATTGTCACCTAAAGACCCAGATGGCTTGTTTCTCGTCTCCTGCGCCAAGCACAGAACACGGGCAATCTTCGGACGAGCTGGGGAATCGAGTGCTGGTCTTTGTGGTTTTTTGGCGGGGAAGCAATTCGATTGGAAGGCGGTGAGAGTTGGGGGGTCGAGGTGATGCGCGCCAATGACGTGCAGCGCCCGAGGTTCATCTATCGTCCCCACAAGTCCTGGAGTTCCAATTCATCGCGGGCAGTTTCTATCCATCTCTATCTTTTAATAACATTGGTAGTATTTATAGAGCACCGTATCCATTTGGCTGAACTTCTTTTTACAGAAGATCTTCGTCCTGGATGAACGGGTACGCCTACATACTCACACCAAGATACAAGGACTACAAAGTGAGTCTGGATAAATATATTTCAAATAACATCCATAAGTGTGTCCTACTCAGCTTCGCGCTGTGGACCAAAAAATGTGTCTACGATGAAATACATGCTTTAGATATAACTCTAACTTGCACCGGAGTAGGTAGCAAGGGAAACACAGTAAGATAGTGGCCCAGGGTAGGTGCCATGCAGGATGCATGCGAGGAAAAGATAAAAAGCAGACAACCATAGTAGGTAAATAGTATACAGCCTCAAATTGCTATCGAGGATTGACAAAAATAATAACAGCGCGCCAAGGCCCTTGAAACCGGTGGCCAGATTAAGATCAAAAAATGTAAAAAAAGAGATGCGCGGCTTATTGTAACAGAATTCCCTGTTTTAGCAACTACCTTCCCATCCGGGCGGATTAGGTGCTTCTTGCAGGCTGACGTCTGGAGATGGAAGCCAGAAGAGTAGTCTCGATGATGTGTGCTCCATGGAAATGTTGGATCAACGGGCTACACGAAGCACCGTTAAATTTTAAGCGGATCATTTTGACTGAGGAGCTGCCTTCTTTTGGTTGAGCTGCACAAGCTGTTAGCCATCCATTTGTTCAGAAAATGAAAACTTTTGCCAGTAAAGATCCTAGAATGCACAGAAACGCAGCCCAGGTTAGGTCCATGACACCAGAAAGTCACTCACCCAGTTCTTCTTACAGTCCCGATAAGCCCTGTGGGAAAATTGCTTGTTAGTCAACGTTATCTAGGCGAGTTGAGCACTCAAGTAGATCGAAAACAAGCTGTGTGGATCTCAGAAAAATCGAAAATAGAAGAGATGGCCATACTGGAAGTAGTCGCCGCACATCTCGCGATCAAAGCCATTGCGCTTCATGCATTTTAGACTCCGGTCCGCGAAGTCCTGGCACGGATCGTAGTATTCGCTGGCCGTTTTACTAGCGTCCACATGTTAGCCGCCCTTCCTGGAAAAGATGATTTGTAGAACAAAAATGAACCGAGTATGGCGATAGAGCCATGAAGTAAGGGTGTCCTTTTCAATTGCGTTTGGCCCTCTTGTAGCCATGTGGATTACAGCTTAGGTGAGGCTGGTACCACCGTATGGAGTGGTACCTTCGAAAAACAGCCAAAGATATATCAAATGGCCCATGCAAGTCCGATAATCAAGGACGAAAGGACTACAAACTTACTGTGAGAACTTCCGCTCAGCCTTCTCCCAGGCCTTGTCATGGTGTTCATCCTGGACGGTGCCGGCCGGCATTGGTGTGATATGTTTGGTAGAAATAAAATGAGCTCACGAGACCAACGGGAACACACGACAGGTGAAGTAATTCGTGGGTCAATATTAACACACGGGAGTGATTTTGAGATAACTTGGAGGTTGATTGAAGATCGGAAGGTCGGTGTTGCTCCGGCAAGAATTGGGGACGATCAGCAGGGCAGTCTTGGCGCGGAGATGACTGGCCATCGGGTTCTGATTGGTCCGCCTCCGTCTGTCCAAAAACACCAATTAAACCTATGTACTCCTCTAACAAAATGTATTGATTGGGACTTCTAAACAGTGAATTTGTAAATTTTGTAAATATATGTGTTATCTTCCTATTAGTGCTTTTAAGCTCGATCAATTTACCCAGATTCGAAATATTTCTTAGGAATAAATAGCCTTTCTGTGTATTAAGTAAAGGTTTGATCCTCGACTGGAGGTCTAGCTAGATAGACTTGAACGCCTCATCTTTCAAGTATGTCATGCCACTCTTCGTTTGTATCAGTACGGTCTGCGCGTGAAAACCCCGAGAAATGCCTAATTACAGTCAGCTGTTGACATTCGCACTCAAGGACAAATAGAGCCTACATATTGCCAATGCCCTTATCGTATATAATCTTAGACATGGTTGCCATGCTCGGGAGGTAACCATGTTTCTTCAGTTTGGTGATTTCCATATCAATTAAAACCACATCGGGCAGAGATCTCTGAGAATTACGGAAAGGTTCACGAATTCTATCACGGATCGCTTGGCGTGACTTAAGATCTAACTCCCAGAATTCTTCTTTGCTTAGAGGCTCACTGGGGACTTTATCCTAGATCACGTAAGTGATATAACCTCCCGGACTGATACTATCCTCACCTTGCTTTCCCTCTTGGTAAGCAAGGAGGTCAGGGACAAAATCGCATTCCAAGCCAAGGCGTTTGACCACAAAATTCAGCTCTGATAGCCTCTGTGGACCCCTAGTAACCGGGGCTCAATGCAGAAACCTGGTCATGCAAGAAATAAGCCCAACGCGACGACTGCAGCTAGTAAGCAGGAGACACCAGCGACAGCCAACTGTGTTGCGGCATTTTTTTTGTCCTTGGGGCAATGGTCTGGGGGTCTATGCCACGGCATCTGCGGGCTGTGACGGAGGCCTCGATACTTGCAACCGCGGTTTTGTCGATATGGACCCTACAAGGATCCGGTGTGGGCGTGGGCGTGGAGTTCGCCACCACCGGAGGGGAATACTCAAATAAGATTTAGATACTCCATCTACTGCCGGAGGCCTATGTATAAATCGTGTTCCTGCAACTGATCTTGATATTTTTCTACCTGTCTTCGTACACGTCTAGGTATCTGTGTATCTGTCATACGCTTTCTTTGTTAAATAACTAAAACTTAGCAAATTATATTCGATTGTAAAAAAAGTTCGATGTCTGCCGTCTTCAATTCGATTCAATTCCTTTTCAACAATAGACATGAGTAGACTGGATTTTTTTGCATAAGAGTGCACGGTAGAGAAACCGTGATATTTCCTGTTGTGGGTGATCCGGCACTCAGTCCCAAATATTTCCTAAATAGGCTATATGGAAAACAGGTGCTTTCTGCGCCAGTGACAACTTGCTCCCGTAATGTAATCAGGCCGAAGAAACTGAATGTTGACTAGAAGTGCCAGATAATAAGAGAAAATTTCGACTTTAGCACCTACTAACCTTGACTGGGACTGTGTTGTGATGACCTTGCGTGTAGTAACAAGTCACATGCGCCATTCCATAATGGCAGTCGGGATCCGCAGGGCTTAGGTACTGGTGGTCCTTTGGAACTAACTAATGGTCGATTATATAATCTCATGCCTGAGGCCTTCAACGACAAACACCTTTGCCCTGGCTTTGTGAGCATCTGTCTCTCTCAGTTTCAATCGGCATTCCACTTCTTGTGCCTTTACACTTACGCTCAGATATACCTCGGACTTTCGAATCTTCTGTCGTTGTGGCTTTTTCGTGCACCCCCATCAACCGCCTTGCCACATCCTCAGGAACTTTTTCATCTGACCCCCACCGCATCTCCCGGGTTTCGCGCCCCCGCGCCTCACGACTTCCAACGCGATTTTATTAATACTCGAGCGCTCTCTCCACAACTGAAGACACCCCGTCATTTCCCCTGGCCAACATGGCGGGTGGCGATGGTTCCGAAGCAGAGCCATCAGGGGTGAGAGCCCGACGATCCCCACCAGGGCGCCGCGCAGGACCTATACTGACGCATTCGCAGCTTGTCAATACACTTCAAGGGCATGTGGATGACATCCGAGCCCGCTTGCAATGTGGAATCTGTATCAGACCCCTCTACGAGCCCTTTAGCCTGGCCTGCGGACACACCTTCTGTTACACCGTGAGTGGCCACCCCTGCAACTCTTTGTCTATCTTCGGTGGAGAAACCCCTTCTAATCTCTCATAGTGCCTTACACAATGGTTCAGTGGCGGAAGATCGAAGCGAACCTGTCCGGATTGCCGGGCCCCCGTCAAGTCTCAGCCTGCGCCGGCTTATCTGGTAAGTGAGCACGCATCCAAAATCGGGTCCCACCACGCTCTAACACGTCATTTCTCTAGATTCGAGAGATTGTACACATGTTCACGAGTCGAGCAGAGTTATTGGATAAGGGGGAAACTACCCACGAGCATTTAACCAACCGGTCTGCAGAATCGGAGAAACTGGACCAAGACAAAGCAAACACACACCCACAGACCGGCGGCCTGTTCGGAGGACTCTTTAAGCCCAAAGCTCCTGCATTGAAACCCCTTGTTGATGTGGATGATGGAGTAATGCGATGTCCACACTGCCAGTGGGAGCTTGAAGAAGATGCATGTGGGGGGTGTGGATGGGTCTATCGACCGGATGAAGACAGAACCGACTACACTGAATCCGATGACGATGACTACGATGACGAGACCGATTATGACTCGATGTTTGATGGAGAAGATCCCGAAGACGACGAATTTGGGGGCATTGATGATGATGATAGTGCTTGGGGGGCTTACGGCGCTTACGGCACACCATTCCTTTTCGCGGAGAGAGAATCAGCTGCTGCTATCTTTGGTCCTCTCGCCCATGCTTTGGGAGATCATGTCTACCACCCGCAGGCTTGGGGACCTGGTCCCGGACATCACCAGGTTTATTACGATGACGAGGAGGAAGAAGATGAGGAGGAAGATGACTACGACGAGATGGACTCGTTTATTGATGACGAGGAGCGTCAGAACGGCGTGCAATACGACTCCGATCATTCAACCGTTGTCGGCGGCAACGTCCCTATGAGCCGTGCTTCTCCAACTCGGAGGCAAGGACGACCCGTCGTGAATCTCGACTCCTCGGATGTTGAATCAAGCGACCCCGAGGAAGGTGACACTGGTGGTGTGGCGTTTAGCGAAGGTTGGAATGCTCATCCCACTGAAGAAGGGCCATCGAGTAGCTCTCAATCTCAATATCATGACACACGCTCGTCTCCAGTGGCGTCCTCTCTCGTTGATGATGAAGCGTCAGAAGACGAAGACGACGATTCTGACGAAGACGAGGACGAGGATGGGCATGACAATGACGATTCGGACGATGATGATGAGGAGGAAGAAGAACCTCTTGTCAGCCGTGCGCGTTACCACCAGCGACTCGAAGTGCCTGCATCGAGTGATGGGAGTGAAGTAACAGAGAGCCCATCGCCAAGGCTTATGAGGCCTCCCAGGCACACGGGGTCTTCGGCCCACAACGCAATCACCATCGCCGACTCTGATGAAGAGCAACCCGTTGGTCCTGTACGACGAGCGGCCCAAAGGCGGCGCGCGCGGTTCTCCCCTTACTGAACACCGCCGTGCAGTCATTCGCATCGTCCGTGTTTTCTTCCTTATCTGACATTTTTCGGCGTTATCTCGTCGCGTTTTCAAAAGCGTGGCGCTCTGGATCGGATAGAAAATTTGCTGCGCGCTTTTCATGTCTCTACGCGCCCCTTTGTCTGATTTCAAGGGGGCTTATCTCTCCCTCTTTGACTGGCCTAGTGCCTCGTGGCTTCTCTGGCGCCTCTTTAAACTCTGCTTGACTTCCTCGGGTCCACCATTCTTCCTGCAAATACCCCCATCTTTTGTTTGATTTCTTTTTCCCTTGGCAACGCACGAAGTATCTCAGTGTTTGCGCCTTTTATCAAATTTCTCTGGTTGTGAGATCATAGCGAGCGAGGTGGTATCCTAGGCGCATGCATGCTTTTCTCTTCTTCAAGGGCTTATTCTAGTCTAGTCTCCTGGCTCCGGGCTTCTACCAGGGACATCCAAAATTTAGCGTGATGCAATCAATAATTCCTTCTTTTCGCACAGCTATCCCAATGCGAATCCTGTAGGTGAGAAATAAGGCCTCCCACCCAATGGAACGCAAAATGCAAAAAGGGTTGCCTTCAGTATGCAGGCGGATGCTGGTGGGTGACTCATCAAAATGAGACATCCAGCGGGGCACGAAGCGACAACATCGACTATAAAGAAGCACTGCAACTCCGTTCCATCTATGAATTTTCAGCAGCATTGATAACAGTTCTTTTCTCTTGAAGACTCCTCAACATGAGTTCCCCTCAGACTGCGCCTTATGGCCATTGGAAGAGTCCCTTGACCGCGGAGGGCCTGGCAACATGTAGTATCATGCTAAACGAGGTGGCCGTTGATGTTAGTACAAAGTCATGACTATTTGAACAAAACCCCAGACTGACAATCAACAGGAATCCACCGGTGCAATTTACTCGGTCGAATGCCGACCTGTTGAGGACGGCCGTTCTGCCATCGTGCAGCATCTCAATGGGGAATCCAAAGACGTCCTCCCGAAAGACCTCAGTGCGCTCGCATCTGTGCAAGAGCTTGGAGGTGGATCTATCTCAATGAGACCCGATGGGAAGATCTTACTCTCGGACGAAGACACTTGCAATATCTATCTGTTGGACCCAACATCAGCTCAAGCCACGCTAGTTCAACCAGCCGAGGAGGGCATCCGCTATGCAGACTTTTCCAGTCACCCGGCGAACCCGCGATGGATCATTGCAATCAAGGAGGATCACCGAGAGGCAACTCCAGAAACTCAGGCAACCCACGTCCATAATACGCTAGTGGCAATTGATATTGAGGCTGATCCAAAGGAGTCTGCCAAAGAAGTGACGATCGCACAGGGTGACGATTTCTATTCTCATCCTAAATTTGACCCTTCTGGGAAGTATGTTTCCTGGATTCAGTGGAGTCATCCAGACATGCCTTGGACAGGAACTGTGCTCCACATAGCGGAGTGGAAAGATGGTTCCTTGGAAAATGTCACGCGTATCGCGGGGGAAGCACAAAAAGAGAGTATTGCTCAACCGAAATGGGGTCTTGACGGAAAACTGTACTTTGCAAGTGACAGCACCGGTTTCTGGCAGTTGTATTCATACAACCCGGAAGATGCCCGGGTACTTGCTTTGAAGTTCAAGGGAATGGAGAAGTCAGACTTTGCAGTCGCCGAGTGGGAGCTTGGAAGGTGTGTGCCAATCCACAACGGATTCATCTCATACAATACTAACCAAGTCAAAGCGCAACATACACATCGCTGGATGAAAAGACTATAGTCGCCACGGTGATCACTCATGCTACCAGTAAGGTGGTCCTGATTGATACTGCCACTTCAACCACTCGCGATCTCGACCTTCCTTACGTGGATATTAATACAATTTGTCGCATCTCGCCAACCAGCTTTGCAGTCGTTGGGTCTTCCAAAACTTCGCCCCAGGAACTGGCGCTAGTCTCGTTCAATTCCTCATTCGAGATAACCCGGACAGTCCTTACTTCTACCGCATCGTTCGAATTGGCACCAGAATTCGTTTCAATTGCTACGGACTACACTGCTCCTCAAAAGCATGGTCCACTGACTGATGGCGAAGTGCACATGTTTTACTTCGCCCCTCGAAACCCTGACTTCCAGGCTGATGAAAACACCCTTCCTCCTCTCCTAACCTATGTGCACGGAGGTCCGAATGGTGCCGTCACTCCGGCTCTAGACCTCGAAATCCAATACTGGACTACCCGTGGTTTTGCTGTCTGCGCTGTCAACTACACGGGCTCCGTCGGATTCGGCCGAGAATATCGCGAACGTTTGTCCGGCTATTGGGGCCTTGTGGACGTGGGAGACGCAGTCAGCGCGGTCGAATTCCTCGTAGAGAAGGGTTTGGTCGACAAGTCTCGGGTTGGAGTGTATGGTGGAAGTGCCGGAGGCTACTTGACACTCCGTGCTCTCCACATGTACCCAGAGACATGGGCAGCGGGAATTAGTAATTATGGCATTAGTGATGTCAAGGCTCTGCAGGCGGATTCTTACAAATTCGAGAGTCAAGATGTGGACCGATTGCTTCTCAGCAAAACCAAGCCCGAGGATAGAGAAGCGGTACTCAAGGACCGCAGTCCATGTTATTTTGCAGAGCAGATTACGGCGCCGTTGTTGCTGTTGCAAGGAACGGAGGATATGGTGGTTCCGATTGCACAAGCGCGGATGATGGCCGATGCTATGCATTCGAAGGGACGGGTGGCCGAGGTCGTTGAGTTTGAGGGTGAGGGTCACGGATGGCATGGACAAAAGGCTATCTTCGAGTCTTACAGTCGAGAGGAAGAGTGGTGGAAGCGTTATCTAGCCTGAACATTCCAAGAAAGAATTTGATGCATCTCCGAAATGGAACAAAGTGATGTACAATTTTTATCATGTGAATCTATGAATATTAACCATCACTGCGATCTAAGTTCTAATGTTGCTTATTGTGAAACCTCAGGTGCTCTCTCTGCTCTTTCCTCCATCCAGCAGCGAATCGCCATTGAATGAGGGGACCAATTAGCGCGACAACTTGCACCGCAACGCAGACTGTGAATGCTGGCCCAACTCCAATCTTGTTGATCAGTGGAATCACGAAACTTGTACCGCCAGCTGCGAACAAGCACCTGGCAAGATTAAGGCTTGCACTCGCGGCGGCACTTCGATCATGAAACACATCCACAAGGTAGGTCATAATGACAGATTGAGTGGAAACTGCTGTCCAACCTGTGATGAAGGTCGAGATAATAGGAACGGCAATATGAACATGATTCGGATATTGAATGGTCCAACCCAAAAGAAGAATTGACAGGCATTGTAGGCCAGAGAAAAGGGGCACAAGTCGAAGTCGAGCTTTCTCGAGGGGAAAGTCCTCCTGGCTGGCAGGGGTATGGGTGGTAGTGCCCCTAGATTCAACATCACGAGAAGGTGATTGAAGCTCGAAGCTAGCTTTGACTTTGCGATAATCAAAATCGAGAATTTTGCCTGTGATCAAAGTGCCAACCATAGAGCCGACACCGTTTGCAATGAACGTCAGGCCGATTTGGATCTCTGTCAAACCATAGCGAGTCTTGAACAAGGAAGACATGGCGGTAATGCTCATCTGCCAGACTGCGTAGTAAATAGCCAAGAAGACGATGATTGGGCATGCATGTTTGGTGATCAAAAATTTGAAGGGCCCGAGAACATCGATCTGTTTTCTGGCGCCAAGCTGCGGTGGTTCTGTATCATGATTCCAATCGACCTTGGAAAGTCTCTGATAGATATCCAGGGGATACCGAACCATCAAGTTGGACGGTAACAGACTTCCATTGGCAACAAGTGACCGAAGCGTCTCCGGCAGGAGCAGAAGTAGCAAGATAAGGAAAACACCACTATAGATGGTCAAAAACCAAAAGATCGATCTCCAACCAAGAGAACCAGCAATAGCACCACCAATCACCGGTCCCACAGCAACTGGAACAAGCAACCCAGCCTGGAAGATACCCATGAAGCCTCCTCGATCAGCACGAGTTGTGACATCACCAATCACACCAGATCCTATGGCAATAGTGCTTGCGCTCCCAGTACTTTGCAGACATCTGAGCACAATCAGAGTAGCATAGTTTTTGGTTTCTGCTAGTCCGATACATGCACCGAGGAAGACGAGGAAGGTACATGCATATGCGATTCGACGGCCCTTGACGTCAGACACTGGGCCCCAGAAACTGGGGGCGATGCCTTGGAAGATGAGATATGATGTGACAGTGAGGTTCACGAGTTCCAGTGATACATTGAGGTCATCGGCAATTGTTGGCAGGGCTGGGAAGTAGATGTTGGATGCAAAACCTGAGACTTTCAAACGATTAGCGTCGAGTTCTGTCCATTCTGCATACTACCGAGGACTTACATGTTGCAGCAAATGATACAATAAAGACAATCAGCCATCTTTGACGCTTGTCAAATATCGTGAAAGGTGGCTTTGGATGAGATGACGCTGGCTTTGGTGAAGCATGTGCGTCGCCTTCGAAGGGTTGATTGTCCTCCTTCGTTGACATGATCAGTTAATTCAGTGTTGAATTGAATGGGAATTGGGGGATTATGGAGGCTTTTATTAGAAGACTTTGCCTTTAAGATGGGCTTAATGGGCGGCCCTGACCTCAATTATAAACCGGGCACGCATTTGGACAATGTCAACATTTAGGAGTTGAGCTGGTGGCGTCGGAGTTGAGGAGCGGAGTTGACGAAGCAAACAGAGAGAAATCTTATTGAGACCTACCACTTAGTTTTGGGATGAACGATCGCACAGAGGTCACGATACTGAATTTTGAAATGATCCAAAGAGCGCTGTCTCGACATTGTATCCCCAAGGAATGCTCTCTGGTGCTCAATTTGAAAATGCTCATTCAAATCAACGATTAACCCTTTCGGAGCTGAGAGCCTCAACTCCGTTGGGACCCACTTTTATGCGGGCCTTGGAATAGTGGCATCACGAACTATAGAAGCATTCGAGCCTTGATATCCTTAAGTTTCGCCCCCTAGTTCACTGAGGATGCCTCCTTCTACCTTCCAATATTATATTTCTATTACTACCAGTCACTATGTCTACCCAAGAGGCTTCAGACTCAACCGTGAGCTTCGGTCAAATCTATGCTATCCTCAATCTCGACTGGATGCCTTTACTTATAAACGCTGTCGCTGAAACAACAGAAGGCAAACTTGGATCAACAACTATATTCAATAAAATGATGCCGTTCATCGCAAGAGCCGTCGCCCTCTTACCATCTTCACGACCCTCGCTTTCAACCGCGGGCAACTAGAGCTAGAAGAGAATAAGCCTTTCGCGAAGTTGATCGCACCATTTGGCTCCTGCGAGGAGGGATCTCCTAATCTTGGCATCGACCCGCGGTTTAAACTCGATGAAAGGGATATCGTCCTTCGAAAGACCAGATGGGCTACTACCACTAGTAATAACTTGGAGCAAATCCTGAGGGCGCAGGATATTGATACTGTTGTCATTGTATGTGAAATGAGAGCTTGTTATATGGATTTAACTGACATTGGTGTTTGTTTTAGTCTGGACTGACTCTCTCAGGGGTCGTAATGGCTACCGTCTATCGACTTTTCGATCTCGATTGCAACATCTACGTAATTGCAGACAACGTGTTAGAACTCCCTCTCGACCAAAATAAGGCTTTCTCGAAGGTCATGCTTGAAACTCTTCTTCCGAGAATGAACGTTGGGGTCATTTCTCTTGCTGAAGCACCCGAAGCAATTGATGAGATCTGAATTCTATTGGAGTAAAGTCTTGATTTGATCCATCAATGCACTAGGACATGGGAAATAATGATGAGTCTGTTCAAGTATTCAGTTTTCCATAATCAACTGTGTGTACAACTTGTGACTGCGAAGAGCATTGTTCCAAAGTCGTCCATATTCTCAAGCCATTGGTTCACTCTATCATGTCTGTCAGCAATGCCAGCATCGCTCAGACCCGGAGGTAAGGGCCAAAGTTCATCAATAGTGAGATATTGCTTCGTCCATTCTGTCAGATGAACATTGTACTCCTTTTCCCACTGGCTTCGACCTTGTGCCTGCCACAAGAGTTTGTTTGCCGGGGCGGGAAGTCCTCGTAACTCCGTACCAAGAAACGTGGGAAGATTCTCCTGTGAGGAGAGTATGCTGTCGAAAAGGTACATCACATAGAGTGTGCGTCTTTTCGATTCAGTGACAATCCATTCTTCCCATCTGGGACGTGTATGGTGTCTGTCGGCCGCGCAGATAAGGCCTCGACGAGAAGTAGAACATGCTAGTTCTTGTAGATTCATCATCGCTTCACGGAAAAATGCACTAGAGCCTTGGCTGAGCCGGAAAAATAGCACCAGTGCATACATCAGATATGCCTGATAGGCGGCTAGAAGAGCCATATTATCGTATTTTTCTCGTGTCGCTGCTATACTCTCCATTTCTCGCTGAAGAACGAGAGCTGCAGTATTTTCAGTGCCCGGCAAGGGATGCTCGCTTATTCTTATTAGACTCAAGCAAGTATTCAATGGTAAACTGGATTGTTGGTCGTTCATTTGTGTGGGATGAATGAATGGGGGTATACCCCGCCCACGGGATGCACTGGCAGCATACGAGTTCAAGATTCGCCGAATATAGTTCGTGACGGCGACAGGATAGGACTTGATGGTTTGCCCCGGACCAGGAATGTAGGGATTTAACCAGCGATTGCTAATATCCTCAATATTGATGGGACAAAGCAAGTCAAGGTGCCCAAAGTTGAGACAGGTTTCGCCCAGAACATCTGCACTGACTGCTGGAAGCACGTCCTGGCGAGGACTGGGAAATGATATGCTTGTCCCATGGTTTGGGCTATAGACGCTATCAACCTGCGTTTGGCTACCAGGGGATTCACCGGAGCTCGCAGACGCTTTGGGATAGACACATGAGAGACCTCGTTTGGCGCATCTTGCGCAGGGGGTTTGGCGATCACACTTTGCCTTCGAAAGCGAACATGTATCGCATGATTTTTGTCGAGATGCAGAATATCTTGAGGTGTTCATGGTGTCATAATGCCGGCAGTTATGACAATATGCCCGTATTGTTGAAGGTCGCAAGTCGAACGCCCAAAGAAGCAGGATCAAGATGACGGCGTCTCACGTGATCTATATATAGATCATAAATTAACAAGAATGATGGGTAATATACGGCGTAAGTTAAGCATTAGCTACGGAGATCATGTATGATTCAAAGTGTCATATAAAAATAATCTTTTGGTGATTGATGATATGTAAAAATTTCTCATCAATATGTATGCATGAAAGTAGAATACAAAACCCCCAACTCCTACTCCTACTCCCAAAACCACGTCGTGCCACGCGCTGAAGAACAATTCATCAAGCCTGGGAGCTTGAAAACTTCTATACATCGGTTTCCACAATAGCATCAGTGGAAGTGAACGGAACCTCAAAGACAACAGCCCCATTGCGGCCATCAGAAGTGCTGCCCTGATCATAGTTATTGGCGTAGCACTTCCATCTGGCCAAACGGTGCTCCTTGCTGACTGCAGCTACGATGCACAGGCCTCGAGCTTCAGGCGCTGAATCTTTCTGAGACTTGGATGAAGGTTTCGTGGATGAGGAAGTGTGAGCATTCTCGGGACGACGCTCAAACACAGCAATGCCGTTAATCACACCCTTGATCAACGGCTGGGGCTCTTGCGTCTCGTTCTCAAGCTTCTTCTCGACTTCCATGTCATCGGGATCAGGGGTCGTGTCCAGAGCAAGAGCAGTGTTGAGCTGTTTTGACGGCGTATCGGGAGCAGCTCGGCCTAGAGAGCCTGCACCCACTGGACCCAGGGGAATGATTGTCCTCTTATCGTCCGAGATACGCCACGCCCGAATCCAGCCATCCCAACTGCCACTAAGGACAACATCAGTGCCTGGAAGAGTTGCGAGGGCGGTGATCCAGCGAGGCATACGCCGCATGTGACGAGCATTGCGAGCAGAAGTCTCCGGATCGACTTCAGGGGAGAGTTCATCCAATGGAGGGATAGGATCCAGGCCGTGGGCCAAGGGGATCGTGTGAAGAGGCTTCTTTTTGTGCATTGACCACAGCGAGATGGAACCCGAGTCGGAACCTGTGACGAAGTGATTGGGGGAAGGGGAGCAATGCAATCAATGTTGCTCTCGATGTAGGGTGCCTTCTTAGATGCACCACCACGGAACACAAGCTGCGACTCCTCCACGACCTTCCACAACCTGGCTGTGCGGTCCCGGGCACCAACTGAAACACACTGATCAATCGTCATGGCTGCGACTGAGGTGACGTGGTCCTGGTGACCGAAAAGAGTCTCGACATAGGCGTGGCCAGCGCCACTGATAGACCATGTCTTCAAGGTACGATCATACGAGCCAGAGAAAAGCTGTTCTCCAGAGCTCATAGTGGAGATGTGGCGTGCAAATGCTAGACTGCTGACAGAGTCGCGGTGCTGTGAGAAAGTCTTCATGGGGGTCAAGGTCTCGGCATCCCAAATGACCAAACGGTTATCGGCACCACCAGTAGCCACGAATTTGCCTGAGGGTGAGACAGCGACTGACAGAATACTGCCAGTATGTCCGGACTCCTCACCTGTCTCGGCAATCTTGCGCACACCCCGAGCATACTTAACCCGCTTGGGCTTTCTGCGCTGCGGACGAGGAGGGCGTGTCGAGGATCCTTTTGTTTCAGAGGTCGTCGGTGCGCTTGGTGTGGCCAATTCCCACTTAATCAGAGTCTTATCCTTCGAAACAGTGTAGGCGTAAGGCGGATGAACGGCGATTGAAGTAGTTGACTGGGTATCGGAGCGGAAAAATGAATGAGACGGTTCAGAGAAAGATAGATGGGAAGCAATTTGCCGGAAAGCGCGTCCTTTGAACTCGTCCTAGATAACGATTATAATTAGCCTCTGGAGCCTTGCCAGATCTAGGTCAATGTCCACATACCACGTCCTCCTTCAACCTCTCGGCAATCAAATCTCGGTCGATTTCGGCGGCGTCGAAACCGACTGTATCTTCGACGTCCTCTCGAATGTTGTCCAGGTATCGCTCAGCGAGTTTTAATCTCCGGTCTGCGGCTGTTTCGCCGTCATCAGAGTCTGATTCAGACTCTTCGCCAGATCCCACGGACCCCAATGCGCCTTCGTCATCGTCCAAGTCACTTCCAGAGATAGAATCATCTCGTTCACGGGCTCGGCGACCCCCTGCGGCGTCATTTTTGGCATCGACGCCTCTCTTTTTAGTTGCTGGAGCGGCGGCGCGATCGTCTCTCTTGCGCTTGCGCTGAGAAGCGGGAACGGTAAAGAAGGAAGACATGGTGACCTCCAAGGGAAGACCTCCAATGTAAATTCCTAATTAATTGTGTATGCGGGATGCACCTAGCAAAAGTCGTCGTCGTCGTCGCGGTCTCAGGACTTGCGGCGGAGACAACTTTTTTTTCGGAGAAAAAGGCGCTAAGCGGCGGCTGAGTCAGCAGGGTAGCTGAGAGCTCTCTATCCCCAGTCCAGGCGTCAAGCTCGCCGCGCGGTCATCAACCATCAACCAACCTTCCCGTTTTCCCACCTCGCCTTCATTCTCTTCACTTCTTCCTTTTTCTTGTCGATTTCAAAGTTGGCTTATAGCAAAGATGTAAGCCTACTATAACTATCACTCATTCAGTCGAGCTACATTCGCTAACAGGCCATGCAGGGAGGTTCTCTTGGGCATCACTGGTAAGGACTTCGTCATTATGGCCGCATCCAAGGCCATAATGCGAGGACCTACGATCATCAAAGCCGAGGACGACAAGACGCGGCAGCTCAACAAGAACACATTGATGGCGTTCAGCGGAGAAGCGGGTGACACCGGTGAGTAGCTTATGTCTAGCAAACTCTCCTCCAGCAATCGACTCCGCAAGATGGTAGAGGTTCTGACAATCAACCCCCTTTAGTGCAATTTGCCGAGTTCGTCCAAGCCAACGTTCAACTGTACTCGATGCGTAACGATACGGAGCTCAATCCCGCCGCCGTTGCCAACTTTGTGCGAGGAGAGCTGGCCCGGAGCTTGCGGTCACGAAGCCCCTACACAGTCAACCTGCTTCTTGGAGGCATAGATCCGACCACACAGACACCCCATCTTTACTGGATTGACTATCTGGCCTCGCTTGCGTCCGTACCATATGCTGCCCACGGATATGCCCAGTATGTTGCGTCCCTCGCGTGACCTCGAATCATCCTAGCTTGGGTTCCCCATGCTAATGTATACAGATACTACTGCCTTTCCCTCTTGGACAAGCACCACAACCCGAACATCGACCTCGAGCAAGGCATGAAGCTCCTGGGCATGTGCACAGATGAGCTCAAGCGGCGGTTGCCGATCGATTACAAGGGTGTATGTACATCAGCGGCCCGCTTCGCATGGTGATTAGCTAACCCTCTATCCCCATAGGTTCTTGTAAAGATCATTACGAAAGATGGTGTGAAGGAAGTTGACTTCGATAACGACAAGATCGTTCGGAGTGCTTAATGGACGACATGCTCAAGCGTTTGTTGTATCATATCCTATGACGTTTTACCCTTGATGACAGGATAATTGAAATTGGTTGGCGTGTTCAAAGCTGTAGACGTGAGACTCTGCATTCGTATTTTCGTTCGTTATTCGTAGAATTTCCTGATGATAATCTCTTGAGACCCCAGCACGAGACCATGAGATGATAACAAAAGTAATGGTGGTGCTGTTGCATGTATTTCAGGCGGCTCTCGGGGGTCCACTTCAGCCTGTTTGACGTGTTTGCATCCCTCCAAGCTTGTCGCGCGGAACTGAAGAGCAACTCCAGCATCTCATTTTCTTTAAGACTTCGCCCTCCGCCACAATGTCAAAAAGACCAGCCGAGCTGCCTCTGGAAGAGAACTATCCCGGGTCACCTGCCTCGAAAAAGGCACGGGTCGAGGATGACACCGAAGCCGATTCCCGCAACGGCAGCGCGCCTGCGCAACAACTGAACGACCAGGAGGTGGGCGCAGACAGGTGCAACGGTGCAGATATGTCAAGAGCTGCGGAGCCAGAAGACCAGGAGCTGCAGGGTGGGATGAAAGATCTTTCAGAGTCTTCCGATATCGACGAAGAGGTCTCCGCCCTTAGTGCGCCCAAACGACAGGCTCAGCCCATGGAAGGCTACGACGACCTCTATCTTGACACTGTCAACCGCGGCGTGTTGGATTTCGATTTCGAGAAGCTCTGTTCGGTCAGCCTCTCGAACATCAATGTATATGCCTGCCTCGTCTGTGGCAAATATTTCCAAGGTCGCGGACCCAAGTCGCACGCATATTTCCATTCCCTCGAAGACAACCACCATGTCTATATCAATATGGGAACGAAAAAGGTCTATGTCTTGCCGGAGGGATATGAGGTCAAGAGCAAGAGTTTGGAGGATATCAAATATGTGGTCGATCCCGTTTTCACAAAATCGGAGGTCGTAAAGTTGGATAAGGAAGTCCATGACGCCTGGGACCTCTCGGGGACAAGGTACAGACCAGGTAAGACAAACCCACTGTCACCGATGAGACATGTTCGTATACTTATTCGTGAAGGATTTGTCGGTATGAATAATATCAAGGCCAACGACTACCTGAACGTTGTCGTCCAGCTTTTGGCGCATGTTCATCCTATCCGAAACTTCTTCCTTCTTCACGAATTCCCGACACCAGGTACTCCTGAACTCGCCCTCCGCTTTAGTACTCTTGTGCGCAAGCTCTGGAATCCCAAGGCATTCAGGTCTCATGTTTCACCACACGAACTGCTACAAGAGATTGCAATGCGCTCATCGAAACGCTTCACCCTCAGCCAACAGTCCGACCCTGTGGAGTTCCTATCCTGGTTCCTGAACAATCTCCATCTCTCTCTAGGCGGATCCAAAAAGCCCTCTTCCACACCCACGAGTGTCGTTCAAGCTGCCTTCCAGGGTCAGCTTCGCATCGAAAGTCAGGCTATCACCGCTCACTCCGATACCCAAAACGCTCGCCTGGTGTTCACAGAATCTGGTGACATCAAAAGTCAGGTCACGCCCTTCCAAATCCTCACACTCGACCTTCCTCCAACTCCACTCTTCCAATCGGCAAACCGGGAGTCCATCATTCCACAGGTGCCTTTGACCACTCTACTGAACAAGTATAACGGCCGCGAGGCTTCCGAAAAGATGGCGCATCGTGTCCGACACCGCCTCCTTCATCCTCTCCCACCCTACCTCTTTTTCCATATCAAGCGTTTCAGCAAGAACCGCTTCGTTAGCGAGCGTAACCCTACTATTGTTACTTTCCCCTCCCCACGTTCCCTCGACATGTCACCGTATGTCGAGCCCAACCCATCTATCTGCCCACCCAGTGAGCCCATTCTCTACGATCTCGTTGCCAACATCATCCTTGACCCGTCTCTCGCCGCACCTGGTGCCACCGAAGATGCAGCTGATAAGGGTGTGAACGCTGCTTCTGGTGCTGGTGGCTCCTCGTCCGGAGCAGGTGCTGCCACGGAGAAGGTGTCTTGGCTTGTCCAGCTACACGATAAGGCCGTATCCGCAGAAAACGCACGCCATACCGGTGGTGCGGAGCAGCAGCAACGCAACGCGGAGTGGCTTGAGGTCCAGGATCTTTTCGTCAAGCGTGCTGAGACAGAGACTTTGTTCACACGCGAGGGCTACTTGATGGTCTGGGAACGGAGAAAAGCTCCTGCACAGAAGGCGAAAAAGTAATATATCGATTTATTCATACTTGAAGGAGTCACGTTGGATGATTGTGTCAAATAGGGGTTTTCAAGGGGGCGTTTTATTTTGTTTCCATCTACTAGATGGAGAGACTTGATATTCCATTAAAGTCATTTGCGAAACCGGTGTATCACTAGAAATACGATGAATTAACGCCAAACGGCATGTCTCCTTCCGAAATTTATCCCATCCAATATCGATGCAAAAATTCATTTCCCGCCGTAGATCATGCGAATTGCCAAAAAAGAGCCACCCAACTCAGACATGGCTATCACAAATTTCCCCAGCCACAAAATTTGCGTCCTATTCTCATCGTTGAGCCGACCAAGAACCCCCAAACACCTGCTCTCAAGGCCGCCTGCATGCCTCGCATGAGAATAATTTTGCCGCTGTATGCCAGCACCTCGGGCCATGTGTTTCCACCAAACCATAGGCCGACAGGGTAGAGATCCGATGCTCCGGTTGTTGCGGAGGGATGCAAGGCTAGATAAGAGTGCGCCAATGATCGGAGGCAGAGAGATTCGATTGGGGACAGAATAATGGTGCTAATGAGAGCGGCAAGGTGGGACGCGAGTGAGTCCACAGGGTGGGAAGATAGAAGGGTCACTCGATGGGCGCCAGAGATATTACTTGTGAATGCTTGCCTTGGGATGCGAGAGCCAATTGGTGGAAGTTGGTCACCCATGTTTGGTCGAGTTTCCGCATTTTGTGTCCTTCTGACAACCGCTGATGGTTGCCCATCTATTTCGTCCTCGGTCGGTTCTTCAACACCATCAGGGAGTATGTTGGGAATATTTGAAGCCGGGGCCTCCCGGGAAAGGCCAGAAGAAGGCTGATTTGAGGCACTGCTCTGTTGGGTTGGTCGCTGGGAGGTAGGTCCGACAGCAGGTATCTCCTGAGAGGCTGTGCTGCCTCCCACTGCATTTGTGTTAGATAGTGTATCGTGCTCTGTTGGCAGCGGGGATTGTGAAGCACCCTGCTGGGCTTGGCTCAAGATCAGCGCTTGAAGGAAGTCAGCAATTGATCGTCGGTCCGTTCCATTTGAAGGAGGGCGCAGCCCTGTGGTCCCACGGCCTATTCTTGGAAGGGGCGAATTGCGGTTCGATGTCTGGTTTTGAGCATTACGATTCCGGTTTCCTAGAAGTTCCAGCTGCATTGTAATAATGTCGGAGCTTTGATGAATCAATGAGGCCCTAACCCGTGGCGAAGTGGGCGGTGATGTCTCAGGAGACGATGGACGAGAAAACAGTGTGTTCGCACGAGAGCTGTGCCGGTCTCGTCCCATGCTACTCGGACTATCAACCAATTGTGCATTGCTTGGTGAGCTTCGCGATACAGAGCTTGGGGATGGTGCGCTTGTCCGGCCAAGCGTTGCCATTTCAGAGAAGTAATCGCTACTCATCTCCCCGGGAGATTGTGAGATCCGATTCTCGTTTGTGAGGACTTGATTCATGCCCAGATCTAACTCTGCCTCGGTCACTTGATCGTCCTCTGCGATCGTTGGCAGATCAAGGCGCGTCACATCAACCGTAGTCGTGCGAGCAAGAGCACCAGAGAGTCTGCTGAGAGCAGCTTCCGGTGTGTCTCCGGCAATATTATTCCGAAGCTGAACTTCTTCAAGCTCGTGCTGCAAGGACTCGATTGAGTTTCGCAAGTTCTGTATTCTCTCCTGATTCAAAGTATCTGGAGCTTGCTGCTCCGAGACAGGTTTTGAAAGAAGACCAAAAACGGAGAATATCCACCCTTTGAAAACAGATAGTTCGCACTTGATATCTTCAAGTAATGGAAGCCTCGCGCGGCGGGTCTCTTCCTCTGAACGACGGCCTAAAGTAGGAACCACCCAATCGATGAGGTTCTCATCATAGGCAACTCGAATTGAAAGCTCGTCAGCTAGCATGGGCTTAGGTAGTTGGCGACGGATCAGTCGATAAATTCGTTCTTCGAGATTGGGGCGTAGATAGAAAGCATGTAGGAATGTCAATACTCCGGGGGAAGCCAAGAGTCGTAAAACAAATCCGCCGATTGATAGGATTGAAAAATCCGTAGGCAGCGGCGGCAGTTGAAACAAAGACTGCTCGCCAAATGGAATCAAAAGTCGAGCGTTGGGTATCGAGTTTGAAGGTATTAGGGCCAGAGACTGGAGCAGGGAATACATGTAGGCCTCGACAGAAAGAAGGAGTACTGAGCTCCTCACTCTGCAGTGGTAATTAGCGTCTGAAGCTCCATGCCAGTATGATCAATACTTACGCCGAGAATGTGAGTATGAAAAGTGATCGAACTCCGAGTGAGAGCTTATCATTGCCTGTGAAGTCTAGAACATAGTCCCGAGCCAGAGCAAATACACGCTTCAGTGGATTGTCTCTGGCAATGGCTAGCCCGCTCGATACTGCCCATGCAGGAATACCAGCAAAGTAAAAGCCGAGAACGCCTGTGGCCCCACGTTCTGATTGAATCACATCAAGCAGGGCAGCGTGTGTGTAATGTCTGTATGTCTAGATGAACATGTTCGTGTTAGCCCTCACACACCAAAGTGACAATGTTTCCATCCTACCTGAACTCTTCCAGTCAAAGATGAGGACCACCAAGTGCCGAAAAACACAAAAAGCTGATCAAGCGTCGTGATCACCAGTCCGAAATCGTTCTCAGCGGCGATCTGGTTGATCTTTTGCTGCTCATCAGAAGGGCTAGTGTTGCGGTCCTCGCCACTGACGACTATCCCCATGGTAGAAAGAATATCATTTTTTGCTCTTCGAAGTTCTCGTCCAAGAGCCTTGGATTCTGGGTTGATTGGGTGACCCCGAGCGTCATACTGCTGTACATAGCCATCAGCCCAGACACTGGACACCCTTCGCGGTGTACTGGAAGGATCTGTCGTGGTAGTCTCTGGAGGTTCATATGGTGACCGCCCCTGGGCAAAAAGTCAATATATAATCCGTCAAACAAATGCATTATTGGACGGTGAACAGCATAGGCTATGTATTTAATATGTCATCGAATCAATCCATCGTCCTGAGATGAGCCTGTCAGGAAGACATCTCCATGAAAAATAGATTGACCAAAATTCCAAGTCGGTCGGAATCGACCAAAAGGTAACCACAGATAAGGATAAGAAACGATGGATGACAACAAAGGGGAGCGCTTACCAAAGCGAGACGGTTCAAGTAAGCCTGCCGGCCCATCGTGTGAAAGACACACCATATACGGATGGTTGTCAATACCCTTGCGATGCCCTAGCTGTCGATTTCGTCTGTCGAGCCGATTTATTGTGGATGATGCACGAAGAAGAGCAAAGAAGTGAGAATGAGGCGGCGAGGAAGGACGATCCACGTGCCTTTGGATGCGTCTGGAGCGGCAACTGCGCTTGGTGCACGGGCCCTATCTTATCGCACTGCAAACAATGCAAACTCAAAAAAAGTTGGCTGAGCTTTTCGCGACTCCGACTTTCTCAGTGGTATGGCGTGAAGTGCTGACAGGCTGTCGAACAAATAATGTCCAAGGCCATTGTCAAAACTACCTTCGAGGCGTCGCGCACGCTGCGCCCTATCTATACCGGTGGCAGCACGTCGCTGGACGCCAGCGGTCGCATCTTGCTAACTTGTGTGGGCGAAGATGCTTTGATCGTGGATCTGGAGACTGGCGACCAGCTCGCCAGTTTGGAAGGCGTAGGTTTTGATTTCTAGTCAATTTTGCCTGTGAAATTTTACTAATTTGTTCTCGAAGGATGGCGAAATTATTACGAGCTTGGCCAGTATGTTGCCTCGAAAAAGTCTCTAGCATGATCAGCTACTCACAGTTCTTCTAGTTTCGCCCTCTGCGTCGCACGCCATCGTCTGCTCTCGGTCAATGTCTATGCGCATATACTCGCTCTCGCCTTTCGATGAGACTTCCAAGACCATCGGGGCTAACCTCGTCCGTACTCTAAAGCCACACACAGCGCCGGTCATCTCCACCACAGTCGATCCAACCAGTACTCTCTTGGCTACTGGTGCTGCGGACGGCAGCATCAAGGTCTGGGATATCCGCGGTGGTTATGTCACACATAACTTCAATGATCGCGGAATTATCTCTGCTCTTTGCTTTTTCGAGGTCTCCACCTCGGAAGATGCCAAACCCGTCACCAAAAAGAAGTCGAAGAAGCAGGCATCTGGGGATGATGACGAGGATATGGAGGGTGCTGCTACTGCTACGGAGTCTACGGCAGGATTCCGATTGGCGAGTGGTTCCGAGGAGGGTAAGGTGCGCGTGTGGGATTTGCACAAGAGGAAGTCTATTGCAGCACTCGAGTCGCATGTCTCTCTAGTGCGCAGCCTCTCTTTCTCTCCGACAGAGAACGCCTTGCTTTCCGCGTCCCGTGACAAGACTGTCATTATCTGGGATGCACGCACATGGAAGACCCGCCGAATCATTCCCGTTCTCGAAAGCGTGGAAGCTGCCTCTTTCATCGCCGACAGTGGGCTGTGCGTCATCGGTGGAGAGAACGGCAAACTGCGAGTGTGGGACTGCAATCGAGGAAGTGAGGTTACCGCCGAGCAGGATGCTGGAGAGGAGTTCGAGACCATCGTTGCGATTCAGTACTCTCCGGGCCTGCCTTTCATTATGACTGTTCATGCGGATCAGACAATCCGTCTCCACTCCATTGAAGTGCTGTCCGATTATAAGCCAGGATCGACCATTGAGCCATTGGAGATCACTCGACGAATCTCTGGAAATGATGATGAGTATATTGATCTGGCTTTCGCCGGTCCTGACCGCTCCATGCTTGCCCTCGCCACAAACACAGAGAGCATTCGCTTGGTGTCCGTGGCTCCCTCAGAGGACCGTCCATCTGCTCAGGGTGAAGAGTTCTTCGGCGCTGACATTCAGCATTTGGAAGGTCACGAGGATATTATCATCTGTCTTGATGTAGACTGGTCCGGTCACTGGTTGGCAACCGGAGCGAAGGATAATACCGCCCGCCTCTGGCGCCTCGACCCTAAAAATTCCTCCTTCCAGGCTTTCGCAGTCTTCACTGGTCACGCCGAGTCACTGGGTGCGATTTCTCTGCCACGGGCACCGCCCCCTGCCGGAACTCCTGCCTATAACGACCCAGTCAACCACCCACCAGCATTCCTTATGACTGGCTCCCAGGACCGAACCATCAAGCGCTGGGAAACTGGAAAGCTTGGTCAGCTTAAGAGTGACAAGCCTCACTCTCCTAAGGCCGTCTACACTCGTAAAGCGCACGAGAAGGACATCAACGCCTTGGACATCGACTCCGCATCCGCTCTGTTTGCGTCCGCTTCACAGGATCGTACCGTCAAAATCTGGGACGTGGAAGAGGGAGCTGCGGTGGGTATTCTGCGTGGACACAAGCGAGGTGTCTGGTCGGTGCGGTTTGCCCCCAAGAACACACCCATTGTCAATACCGAAGAAGGAACTAGCACAAGCAGAGGTCTGATTGCTACGGCATCTGGTGATAAGACCGTCAAGCTCTGGAGCTTGTCCGATTATACCTGTCTTCTGACATTTGAAGGCCACACAAACAGTGTGCTTAAGGTGATCTGGCTTCCCCCTCCCCAAATCTCCAAGAACGATGAGGACGAGGATGAAGAATCAGCTAGCAAGAATGCCATTCACACGAGGCCTCTTCTGGCTTCGGCTGCCGCTGATGGTCTGGTCAAGATCTGGAATCCCTACAGCGGCGAGGCCGAGACAACCCTGGACAACCACACAGATCGAGTATGGGCCCTCGCTAGCCCAACACCCTCTGGTTCCAGAAACGATGTCAAGCCTCGCTCTTCCAAGGTCAACAGTACACCCTTTGCCCTTGTCAGTGGATCCGCCGATTCAACAGTTACTTTCTGGACCGATACAACCTCCGCCACATACTCCGCTGCTGTGAACGCCGAATCTGAGCGTATTGAGCAAGACCAACAACTTCAAAACCACATCCGCGCCGGCAACTACCGTGAAGCCATCACCATTGCCCTCCAACTCAACCACCCTGGGCGTCTGTTGTCCCTTTTCACCGCTGCCATCGACGCTGCTGAGGACCCGACCCGATCCGCCGAAGAACGCGCGACTGCAGCCAACAGCTTGACCGGTAACCCTGCCATTGACGAGGTCCTGCAAACCCTCGGCACCTCCAACCTGCGCACGCTGCTGCTGCGCGTCCGTGACTGGAACACGAACGCTCGTACAGCTCGCGTCTCTCAACGCATCCTCTACGCTCTTTTCCGTTCATACCCTGCCTCGACTTTCGTCGAGCTGGCCACGTCGTCCGTGCGGGGCAAGGATGGCCGCGCCGGAGGTGGCTTGAAGGACATCATGCAGGCCTTGGCCGCGTATACCGAGAGGCACTACAAGCGTATTGAGGAGCTGGCTGATGACAGCTACCTGGTCGAGTGGGTGCTCAATGAGATGGACGGCGGTGTCGGTCTTGGTGGTCTGATGAACCTGGATATTAAGTCCGATGATGCTGATGCAGACTTGGAGGAGCATGAAAAGGACGTGATTATGTTGGAGGCATAAAAATCTTGTGTATACCTATTCATTGGCGCATTGCTTCTGGGAGTACCTGGTTGGGAGTGGCTTTACCAAAATTTAGACTTTTGCAGTTCAAATCATCTTTCTCTGAAATTAATGCCTATGCCAAGGACTGCCAGGATATACTTCATAAAGACAGAAGAGGGATAGGGACGGAGTCTTTCCATGACTGATCTTAAGAAAGAACAAAGCCTTGAAAAGAAATTGAATTTGTCTTGGATTGAAAAGATTGGACGTAAAGGCCATAGCTTCGCTCGAACAACCATATAAAGGCCTTGAGGCCCTCTTGTCCCATTCCCTCTGTTCTAATTAGAAACCTGTCATCCCAACTCAAACATCCTACCTTCTTCTCCAGTTTGTCCACCATGGAACCTACAACATCTGAATCAAGGAGACTTCCAGTCTCAGAATCCCCAAGAAGTCCAAAATTTTTGTCAACTTCCATCTCTCCCATGTCATCGATAATGCGGGTCAATCTGAGCTACTGCTGGCAATGAAAGATTCTTTAGATACCGAATACTCCGTCACCACATACCCCGAGGATACAACCCGTCTTAAATGCGTGTCAATACAGATTCCGACAAAATTTGACGCTTCCAGGGGCGACTACAAAGTTTTGGCAGCCCAGGAGGCGCACGATGTCCCTGAAAAATTGATTGCTGATTATTTCCAGATGCGTGGTAAAAGTGGTCGGCGAAGAGAGGAAACATTAGAGAAGTTTCGTCGATTTCTCTGAAGCCCAGAGAAGATTATTGTTTAATCACTGGTGATATTCATGCCATGGTGTTTGCGGTCTATGAGAGAGGTCTGTTTCTTTATGGCCTGCTGTTGTCTGTTCACCTTTGTCTTTTCCTAATAGTTCAAGGATCATCGCTTTGTTTATTGTTCACCTCGTGATGCATAAGATGGATGATTTTGCCAATTGGTCGGACATATCGAAGTTTGTTTCAAAGGCTCATACAATACTTGCTAGTAGCTCTTTCATACGATATCAAGAAGGAATTGTTTCTTGAAGTCATATATTCTACAAGCACCTTTGCATGAGCTAATAATGGTGTCTTTTTATTCAGGGCATCTCTATGTTAAGAATTGCTTAAAAAGCCAATTTTTTTCAGTACAATGCACGTTTATAGAACCATATCATCGTCCTGTCAAATACTCTCTCTCTCTCTCTCTCTCTCTCTCTCTCTCTCTCTCTCTCTCTCTCTCTCTCTCTCTCTCTCTCTCTCTCTCTCTCTCTCTCAAAAAGCTCCGACCACTCGCCATTATCTCCCTGATCGTCCAGCGGACCGTGTGGGACAGGGGGTCCTTCCGCGGATTACAGTCGTCGTGGCTGCCTTCAATTACCGGAGCATCAATTTCGGTGCAGAGGTAACAAGGGGAAGGGGCATATTTCCGGTAGGTCCGCGACTCAGGCTGCTGGCCCGGACTTTCCAATTCAATCCCTCGCTTGGTTTGCACTGCCGAGATTTCCAGATGAATAAACCAGCGTATAATAAGTCCAGCTCTCAAGAAGACTTCGATTTCGTTGAGCAGCAGATTGTTCCGTTTTTGCCAAATGTTAAGTCACTACTTGTCCATGGAGGTTTCACTACAGAAAAGACACAGCAAACCTGGAAACTGGTTCAAGCCTGTATACAAAATATGCGTCGCCTTAATATATTGGAGTTGCATAGGGAAGCAGGAGGCTTAGTGGTGGCCGATTTGAAGATACCCTCGCTGAAGAAATTGCGTGTCGGTGGCGTTGTGAGATCAGACTCAGTTTCTTGCCTTGGAGACTTCAAGGTACATGGCAGTCTCTGTTCAGCAGTGTCCTCGGCATTTTTTGTGTCGACTGGCTCCGTTGGATCGTTTTTTTTTCTCCTGCTGACCCTGAACTACTCAACCCTCAAGGCTACCAGTCTAATAACATCAAATCTTCCTATTTGATTACTACGACAGCCCGGAGGCACTGGAAAAGCTTCTTAGTTGGCCAAAAGCCCTTTCCAGCCTTAGACTCGCGCCTTTCTGTCACGATGTCCACTACATAGACCTACCGATGATCAAACAGATGCTTCTTCAACACAGGGATAGCCTGACAGACCTCGACATTGGTTATTTGCCCGGTGATGGCACAGGAAAATTCCCTCGCTGGTCCGAGTTTCCAGCCCTGGAGAACTTAACCCTCTCAAGGTGGCTGATTGAATCATCCAGGGCAAATCCGGGTCTACCTGAATACCAAGATGAATACGGGGATTATATTATTGCGCCGGCTCTGAAAAGATTGACATTCGCTTTCGCAATATGGGAGCAGCACCCAGAACATGGGAGGACTTTGGTCAGGTGGAGGATGGCTCCGAAGGCTTGCTCAAGTTGCGCTCGAGAGAAAGGCATCCCTCCAAGAGATTAGAATCCAATTCGATCCTGAGTACTGGGGGCCAGACGCCCGTAAAATCGACTATCCGTGGGATCAGATGGACGCCTTGAATAAGGACTTCCAGGCACGGGGGATCATAATTACCTATACTAAACCAAAGGTGACACGGGAGGAATGGTCGGCAAGTCTTGTTCAAGTAAAACGTGAAATGGAATCGAATCCGCAGATTTCAGATTGAGAAATACAGTATTATGTGGCTAAACCATATCCTAGTGGTATCAACAGCTTATCTTTGGATCTCTAAATTCGGTTAGTGGAGAAGATGTATGCAGAAATGCTAATCAATTCGAAGAATCCGATCGTCACCTAATCGTCTCGCCGGCTGCGACGAGAGTCACGGTCGCGATCACGGTCATTGCGAGATGAATGAGACGAGTGTCGCGAGCTGCTATACCGATCATCTCGGTATTTCCTGTCTCGGTCCCGCTCACGGTCACGATCCTTGCGAGAATCCTTATCATCCTCGCGATCTCGACGGCGCTCTCTATCACGGTCACGTTCGCGGTCTCGGTCGCGATGAGAGCGATCATCTCTCCGGCGGTCATCATCATCGTTATATTTTGAGCGTCTAGATGAATGGCGGCCAGCAGATGAACTTCGATCACGGCGCGAGGAACCATTCCTTCGATCAGACCTGTCATCGTCGTAGTCGCGTTTACGGTATTCGCGATCCCGGTCCCCTTCACGCCCGCTCTTCTCCAAATTTCGATCTCTTCTCTCGCGCCAGTCGTCTTTATCGACTTGGGACTTGGAGGACTCCTTCAGGTCGGCGAGCTCTTCCTCGGTGATATATTCACCAGTCTTTTTGTTCCGCATAGTAACAGGCATATAGACACCTTCAACGTTGCCATCTGCATTTTCTTCGCCCTGTTTCCTTGATGCTTTGCGCATGGCTGACTTCCCCCAAGCACCAAGCTCCACTTCAGCGCCCTTTCCAGAATCCTTAGCACCGATTCCCAAGAACCCAGGTCGTCGTTCTGGAACACCAGGATTCTTTGCTTTCTTCGCAGCTGTGGCGGAACTGTAATCACCCCGTCCGATAGACTGACCATCCTTCCATCCCATTCCTCTCAATAGAGCAGCTCCAAATTCTTCCACGGGGATAGCGTTGTATTGATCCAAGGTAGCGGGTTCGGGTCGAGAAGCCACATCTGATCGGAAAGAGCTGGTCTCGTCGTGGCGTCTGAAAGGTTCCTCATCTTCGCCAGGCTTGAAAGATTCAATCACGAGGTCTGTCCGGCGCTCTACTTCACCGGTAGTCTCCCGAAGCAAAGCTTGCAAGGCTATTTGGTCTTCCGTAAGAGGCTTCTGGTTTTCAGTGGAAATTGGTTGCGCATCGGGCATAGGTTGGTCCTCTTTAGCAGTCGAGTCCTTCCCATCCTGCTCAGAGGGCTTTTGGGCAAAGCTGAGACCATAAGCCATGCTCGGGCCTTCAGTCTCCACAGCTCCTCCTGGTGGGGCCTGTCCGTTCTTTTGCGCCTCTTGCATCGCCTGCACTTCTTGTGGTAGCAAATTTTTCTTGCTCTTCTTTACATTTGTGCCCGGTCGATCGCGCCAATTGTTCTTACTCGTTACTGGAATCACGAGTGGTTGTTTCGCATTGCTTACAGCTTGGCCATCAGCAGTGATTTGGCCACCGGTAAGCGTATCGAAGCCGGCGATTTCTTCATGTTCGGGTGCTCGCTCTTCGTCAGAGGAATCATCGTCATGGTCGAGGTGATGTGGGCGACGGGCCAAGGAGCGACTCTTGTTGGCTAGAGGATCAGAGGGGCGTCCTCGAGACTGGAATGCGAAAGCAGCCTTCTTTGCAGGACCAGTGGAACTGGAGGAAAGGGAAGGTGGCTTGGAGCTACCCCCATTATGGTCGTTAAAGCCCCGCGACGAAGACATCACGCCAGGACTGTGAGTGACGAGCGTGCGGAGGTTGTTTAGGAAGATCCAAGTTCGAAGGTTTGATACGTGAGCTCTTCATGGAGGCGGTGGCAAAACTGGAACTATGTAGCCGCGCGGCTGATCAAGGCGGTCAGTTATCTTTGTTATCGATTATCCACTGACGCTTCCACACAACATAACGAGAAACATAACAGTCTATTGAGTGGTTGTTTACCAGATATTAGGAGGACTACCTGGATAGCTGCGTGGCGTAGTATGGTGAGAAGCTAAGTAGAAGCAGCAAGCGTCCGCTGTTTTACTTAGCGTCAGAGCTAAACATAGCAAAAACAAAAACATATAACAGCCATACTATGAGTATGTTTGCACGATCAGCCACTCTCTAGCGCCATCTTTCGACCGAAATTCACCAAGTTCCCTCTTCGCGCCTCATCATCAACTTCAAGATGATCAAGAGACATGTCGATATCAGGCTCTGTCTCAATAACATCGCCCATAATTCGAAAGAAGCGGATCAGCTGCCAGCGGATCCAGTCCTCAGTATTCTCCACTTCACTTTTCACTCCGGGGTCAACGTTTCAGAGCCATTGCAGCTGGCATCTGTACTATGGCATAAATATTTGAGATTTGTCTCAACAATTCCTGGCTTTCAAAGGCTTTATTAGGCCCCAGTAGATTCGGGTTCGGCAAATCAAGAGATTATCGCTTTAATCCAGTGAGATAGCGGTCGTGGCTGGAGGCTGTTCCAATCCTCTTTAGGCTTTAGCATGATGCTAGGTTATATTGAAAGCATCTCCAGCTGCTGTGTTCAGCTTGCTCTGCCCGCCAATCTTTCCAGCTCGGATAGTGTCCTCGAGCTGGTCTCCTTCCGGTTCTCTACGGTTCTGTCCACTGATCAAGTTGATCAAGCAGGCTTCAAATCCAAATGGTCAAGGATATTTGCCCCATACCTCAGCAATGCTACTGCCGAGTCTGAATTGATATGCTGTTGCGGGGAATGGCTAGAAGCAGACAAAGCTTCTGAAGACCGATTCTTTGTTTCGTTGCTCTTCTGGAAACCAGCGTCAACTCCAAAGAGTCAACAACCACAATCTCGAGGATCAAATAGCCGACATAGTGAAAGACACAACGGAGGTGGGCTCGTGCTACACACGACCGCTGCATCAAGTGTCTCGCGAAGTTTATACGCAACAAATATCAACTCTTCACCCAGTCTCGATGCAGTCTGGAATAATACACCCAGTTTTTCAGACGCCTGTGCGGCCAGAATACAGTTTGAATGACACCACATTCTCACGAGGCAATGACCGGCTCCATTTGGAATCGATGAGACAGGCAAGCCAAACCCCTCCCTATCGCATCGCTGGTGGACCCGCTGGCATTTGGTACCCTATGGGTACAATCTCTCAACATCAGTTGCCCACGATGCTAGGCTACAGCTCAGACCCTGACATGGATTGGATCTCTTTCCGCGCTCGGATTGAAAATCCGCGGGTCAATCGTCTATTCGAGGACCTTCGACGGAAGCTCTGGGGGATGGGAGACTGTCCCCGTCTCTTCTGGGGCAAGGAGTCAGGGGAAGAAGGAAATTGTGACAAGATTGCATTGTTTACAGGTACGTATGATTTCGCTTCCCTTGTCAGCAAGGATGATGATAGTAACAGGGCTGTTATGGAAGGTCGCGAGGGTTCCCAACACCAGAAGTCAGAAACCTGAGCACAACGCCGACAGTAGCAGGTAGGCCAGCATGCCAGCAGACATCAGGCCTGGACTTCGCAGCCAGATACTGTAAGCTTCCGGTGCCTCGCCGGTACTCCTTGATGGAAACATTAGGATCTGGTTGGTCATCGATCAAGATGCCGGGATCCAGTGGATATCTTGTCGCATGAGCATCGGCTATGCCCAATGATTTGAGGAGGTCATTCTTATACCGAGATTGTGTGATTTTGATGCCGTTGTTGTTTATGTCGATAGTTGTGCGAAGGTATTGCTTGATTGGGTCTAGATCCTTGATTTCTAATCTAGCCTTTATTGCGTCAAGCACGATACGGGCGTCGGTCTCCTTGCCAACGACTTTGAAGTCATCGACGTGAGTTGTCAAGTAAAGGTTTGGTCGTTCGGTTGCGATGAATAGACCAGGGTCATACGGTGATATTCGGAAGCGGATTTCTTTGAGATGGCTCGTCAGAGTGTCATAGCAAATTCGTGCAGACGGTGATATGCCATATAGGGAATGTTTTAGCTTGCAGACTAAGGTGTCCCGTTGACCTTGTTCGAAGCCGTACGGCTGTCTCATGTAGACTGTATCATACAGTTTCCCGTTCAAGAATGCCTGAACACATCAGCCTGGAGGATCCTCCAGCCGTAGTGAGCTGCAGCCGCAAATAGGATACGTGAAGTTGTTTGAGACACCACTAGGGCGTATGTGTTACGGTCTTGCTCAAAGTATGTGTCCGAGAGCATGTTTCCCCGAATCACCCATCGAGCTTTGAACTTGATGGATCCGTCTTCGTTTATTTTTTTTTGTAAACCTATTGTCCTAGAATGAGCCTAGTGCCTGGTGGCATATCAGAGCTTCGGACAAGTTCCTAATAGTTCTTTTGGTTTAGGAGGTCAATTTCTGCTTGCATAGCTGCATAACCTTGGGAAGATTTTGGCCCTTCAGTAGCTGCTTTGAACGATTTTGGAGTTGATTTGTTATGGTTAGTATTGACCTGACAGATGCAAATGCTTTTGCAGGTCACACAGGGAGATCTTGGATCGTTATCCGCTCCGTATAAATGCTGTTGGTCAATACTTTTAGGCGAGAGACTAGCTTGATCAGCTAGTTTGACCTGACCTGGTGTAGGAGATGAGATAGGAGCTTGAAAGCTCTCATTGATGACGGCATCGTTAACCGTCTTCACAATATTCTTCTCAGGAACCCAAACTTTGACAATAGTAGGCGAGATGTAGCCCACTAGATCTACCTTCTTAGCACGAGCATCAAGCTTGCTTGAGGCTTTTCGGAGCCATGAAGATGGATCTATGCGACAGACTCAAATTTCCGGATGTGTAAAATATCCAGAGGTGAACTTGTCCACGCTGTGTATGGTGTAATGTATGTTGTATAATGGGATCCTTGTGGGGAGTTGATTGATCAAATAGACAGCTGTTTCTAGAGCTTCCGCCCATAATGACCTAGGCAGCTTTGCATCGAAAAGTATAGCTCTGGCCCTTTCATATCCTAGGCGGTTACCTCGCTCACTAAGTCATCTTGTCATGGTGAGCCAGCTGGCGTCGGTTCCCATTGCATGGCATAGTGAGAACATAGATTCTGCACTGTTTCTGTGTGGAATTCTCGATCCGATCGTACGAACGTTGGTGTGCATTGAAAAGCAGTAAGGGTAGCGTACTTTGTTCGAAATACTTATGACCGGCCACTGTACATACATGTCCAGGATGGCGCAACATGATCCAACATAGTGAAAAAGCAAAGAATCTAAAGGGGAGGAATTGAGCGAGATGCAGATCTGATGTATTTCAACACGGCACAGATGTACAGTACCAGCCGAGACATGACAATACCAAACGCCATTTTCTTGACACATAGTCACCTGACAGTGAACCCCTCACTCTTATGGATCAAGTTTCGTCTTCGTATTTATCCAAAATGAGTTCATGGCGATCGCCTGTAGAAGTACAATTCCACCTACTGCTTGGTCCGCAAGGGGCGGAATACGCGACTACCGTGGACCCAACAAGAAGTTTATGTGAAACTATTGAAACATGTTCGCTGCACCAGGTTCCCCAGATGTCTTAACCCTAGCAACATTCGCCTACCAAGTCTATGACACCTATAAAGGCGCTCCGAAGAGATTTAAAGACCTCACAGATGACATCAAAGGTCTTGAGGTCCTCCTCCGGAGTCTTGGGAATAGACTTACCCTCCAACAGGTGGATACTACGGGACAAGAAAAATCTCAAGAGACTTTACTCTCGTCTGATGAAGCGACGGACTTGGAACAACTGGTCAAACAAGCTGGAAAGTTATTAGAGGAGTTGCAGCAGAAACAAGGATATGCGTCAGCTCCGAGAGGATTGAGTCGGTTTAGGTGGTCACAAGGGGAAGTGGACTCCGTGAGGTCCAGAATCACGTCTCTTTGTGCGATTATCGGAGCATTCAATAGTGGATTGCTTCCTCGTATTGTGTCCACGGTCCCCATGTGAGTTTCATCATATCCGTATCCACTGCGGTGTACTTAAAGTATTTCCCCCTCTTTTAGCGATGAATTACTGACTGAAAGTAGGGTCGAAAAACGCCAAGAGAACCTGGCTAAGCTAGATAACTTCCTTCCGAGTGCCAACAAGAATAGTCGTTTATCTACCGTCTCCGTGGTCGATCCTAACACTGCAACCCTTACCGAAGTTGAAAACGAGGTAATCCCAGAGTGGGCCAACCGAGGCCGAATGCTCGAGTACTATGTATCCGAAGCGGAAGCAGAGCAGAATCAAGATCCTATCCTGAGACAGACAGCTCATGCATCTGAACCCCTGGTCTCACCTCCCGTCAAGCGATCACCAACCACAGACTCTCTCATGGGAAATACAGGTGCCCTGTTAGGTTTAGGAGTGCACAAGGAAGAAATTGAAGTCATTTCAGCCATATACGGACCAAGAATTGTTACAGACATTATCAGAAACATTACCAATGCGCACTCGTGTCTAAAGATGACTAGAGTGGTTTTCTCAGCTACGAACGAGACGTTCGGTGGAGATCCTTGGCCTAACTGCATTAAGGCGTTCTCAATGGTCTGGCGCAAAGTGATTCGACTCGATTATGGAAACCTTTATTCAGCGCCTCAGAAGCTCTTCGCTGAGGAAGGTGAACTACTTACCATCGATCTCTCAATCCCTCTGCCTTTCCACAAAAGTTCGGCAACGAGGAAACGGGGTTCGATCTATATCTTGAACGCAAGCTGGCATAATATCGACGTGACGGAACATGTCGCATCGATAACGGCGAAGGATCCACGACCGGATATCATCGCGTCAAATCATGAGTTCTTCGTAGAGGATCCGTGCTACGGATACGAGAAGATCATGTCTGTAACGTGGACGTACTCGGATATCGCGGCTGCACTATCATATTGCGAGGTGAGGGCTGTAACTGAGAATTCTTCGATACAAATACCCCCATACCTGGATATTATTTGTGCGAATTGGGGTGGGCTGGATATTACGAATCTTGTTCGAGCGAAGATCACACCTCAGCAGACATTACACTTTGACACGAAGAATGGCGGTGCGTTTGCGTCTCCCGATCCGTTACCTGGATGGCAGAAGACGATTTCGATATTGTATCGATATGGGTCTTTGGAACCAATGCAACTGCTGGTTACAGGTGATGACTCTGGCTATGTCATGATTGACCCGGGGAAACGGATAAGACGGAATTTCTTCTTCTCAAATACTATAGAAGTCACATCAGATATCAGAATAGTGGCTGCTGTGTGGGGATTACAGCCGGTTTCCGAGAAAAGGTTTAGCACGGCTGTGACAGAGAGGAAAATGGTTTCTTGTAGCAATGACTTCTTTGGGTGGGATGGATGGGGTGGGACGCTGAAGACTCTTCAGGTGTTCTTGCAGAATGTGCATACGGGGGAGTGTACTTGTGTGAGTGCGAAAGAGGGGAGTGTCCTTAAGATGCCAACTGTTTGGCCAGAGCATTAGACAGCGTCGAAGAAGATAGAACTACTCTACCCTACCCACGGCTTCCTGCCCACCCATTGGCGGGCTGGACTCTTCCAAGCCGCCCGCCAAGAGCCGAATGCAAGATCACATACAATACTTAGGTTTATAGAGGATATATTTGGGGGATTAATAGAACGATTCCCCTTTTCATGACTTCAGCTCAGGCCACCCTCAAAAAAGTTCATGGCACCCCTTCACAACTTGAATGGAATCGAGCTGAAAATAACACCTCTGCAATACTTTTGTATGAAAGGTGCCATGGATCAAAGCAATTCACCCAATTACACAGAACCTTTTGAGAGAGAGAAAACAGTTGCGGAGACAGACTGAAGAAGAGAGTCAACTAGCCGAATAACGAAACAGGCAGTTTACACAAGCAGCCTGGTTTAGAACAGTGATGTTCAAAAATCCAAATATATATTAGGACTGGCGTTCAAGAAACCGCCTTATTGCATTTCAGCAGAAGCCTTCTTATTTTATGTCTTTAGATGCAAGGCAGGGACGAAAATTTCAAATCTTCCGCTACTTCGGCCTGAAGCTGTGAATTGCGCTAAACAAAGATGAATCATGAATTCCTCTCTCTCATCGGACATCCGATTGTCGGCCCATCTGGCCAGATCCTTGAGCGGTAATATCACTCTAGAATCAGATCTAGAATCAAAGAGCTGGAATATAACGATATTTGCTGATAAGGACGTGAAGCTGGGGCATATTTGGACTGGAAGGACCCGGTCCTGTGGACGCCGCCTGTTAAACCACAGATATACATATTCAACCTTAGATTAGGTCGAATCATTGTTGAACAGACACTGTACCTACCTAGTCGGGTCAACATATGAAATAAGTTTTCTCGCGAGCAATTGGGCTGCCTGCAAAACCGTGGGCCATCCCTACATATGAAGTGCTACTAGACAGAGGCCATAATCTAGCCCGACTTCCTTATCACAGGATAACATCAACACCTCGCTCATTGATTCTAGACCGATGTTTAGTCGTCATAAGATAAAATCCCCTAAATCATAATAACCTAATTTATCCGTTTGCAGACTTACTGGGAGCGAGAGCCGGTCTGTTTCCAAGGGATGACAGAAAACCTAACAATTAAGGAAAATTTGAATTCACATTTAACGCTATGGGGCTTTCAATACGGAAGGCCCACAATTCATGACAATTGTCCATATTGTTATCCTCCGATAATTACCGAACCTCCCTGCAACTCAATACTTTGAATCGTCCAACAGTCCGATACAAGCCTTTGGACGGGCTCATCGATAGTATAGCCCGAAACATACTCGTATGGCAGAAAGCCATATCCTGATTGACCCCACCTTATACCCCAGGAATTCTTGAACTTGAACTGGCGCGAGCTGTCATCATACCCGACTATCGAGATAACGTGTCCTCCAGTTATCCATGTACCAGGCTTTGGCATAGGAATAACCCCTGAATCAAAGGAATCGAAAAGGTTTGAGTAACAGATAATACCAATGGTAATTGGAAATCCACAAGAAATTGTAGCGCGGAAGGCATCCACGGTAGGATCTATGTTGGCTGCTTTCACCGAACTTATAGCCCCTTCACTACTGGAGGGAGCTGGCGGTTCCTCTGCAAATTTAGCAACATCATAAGGCCAGTCATTTTCGTTCGCACAGCCACATGTGGTTAATGCCTGTATTGTCGATGATATATAAGCTCCTGTATCATCGCCAACAGGCCATCCAAGAACTTTGACCCTTGTATTGTAATACAAGTAGAGCTCTGACCAGTCAAACTCGCCTTTGTGGTGTTTAGCAATGTTTTCAGCAACTGCTAACACAGCAAAAGCGGTATCAGCACCAAGGGCACCCTGATCTTTAACTGCCGAATCATACTGGCTCAGATCCTTCGAGCTCGGAAGAGTAGTTGAGTCAAACTCGGGTTTGAATGTGATTTTTGGCGCTCCTAGCCTTGCACTTGGTGGTGATGGCCTCCAATTCAGAACGTATGTCTTCTTCGCCTCTTCCTTTGTCATTCTCTCAGCTCTCTCAGCCATGGTGAAATAGGTTAGTTGGAATTATGTGGAACTAGAAAAGAATAAGAATATTTCGATAGGGGACAATAAATCTCGAAGAGCCTTGCTTTGTAGTATTGGCAAAGTGAACTCTTGAAAAGGTTGGTAATAATGGAATATGAACTAGCTCAAGGTATAGCATTCTTATATAGGTTTCTAATTCGTAAATCATTAACTAGCTTTTCAAAATATTCTATTACTAATACGAGACCGGCCCTCGCTCTCAGTAAGTCTGCAAACGGATAGATCATATTATTTTGACTTAAGAGTGGTCATCTTATGATGACTACAATATCGGTCTAGAATCAAAGAGCCGGAATCTGATGATATCTTGTAATGACGACGTAGAGCTAGGGCATAATTTGGCTAGAAGGACCTGGTCTTATAGGTGCCACCTGCTAAACCGCAGATAGATATACTTTAGATTAGATTCGGTCGATCATTATTGAACAGATACTGTATCTACCTAGTCTGGTAGAGATAAGTCCGGGAAGATTTTTCTCTAGAAATTTAATGTTTCGGTATGTTCTGGATTCTCCCTTGTGTGAAATTTATATCAATCATACCAAGGTAGAGACTAGATCTAATTCACTCTGCCAAAAGAGGACCCCATTAGCCATTACTGTAACACACAGAGGCACGACGTCATTCATTGAGTAACCGTGTGTCTAGTCCAAGTTGCTTTATTCTTGAACGTTGATTCTAATATTTGGTAAAGCTATCACCATTACACCATTAATTTGACCCTTCAGTACACGACATTATTATTGGGCACGACGACTCTTCCAGACTAGTACCATTTAAGAACTGGATTACGTTCAATTGGAAAATTGTCGGGCGGTAATGGAGTGTCGCGCCTCTATAGAGGCTTTGTTATAGTGCTTATGCCTAGCAGGTTGGTTTTTTGACCCATGCATTACTGCGGGATAAGGTGATTGGCGAAAGGTCCCTATGTTGGGCGACCAGTAGCGAATTTCCACCAGCTGTAGGGTTTTCCGTTCCCAACAAACAGACCACACATCACATCAATTTCGGCAAAATTAAAAGTTCAAATAAGAACTTGAGCCAACCGTGGTTCGCAATTCACGCGATATCTCTTCGGGTCACCCCGACTTAGCCGTGCGGATCGTTCAGCCGTCAATACAAGGGATCGGCCCGAGCTATGGGACAAGCAAGACTGACCCACGGTTCCCGATAAATCATATGATAATTCCAAAAAGATTGCGTCCAGAGGTTTTTACGCCGAAAATGGCAGGATATTCCTCGGCAGCCCTGGATGTCATTACAAGCTTTCCTGAATCTAGACCGTTCAAGACTCACTTGTGTGAACCTTAATCAAATTAAGTATTTGAATACCGTTGATGCTCTATCCTGTAGGTGACGACGTCTAGATTCCTTATGATGCCGCTCGGGTACAATTCAGTGAACACAAGATTTGCAGTCTGGAGCTGCAACTGTTCCATGCCCGAGCTATCTGACTCATAAATTCGTCAAGAAGTTCTGTAGCAGAGGCTCGTTGCACTACCTAATTAAGGTAAATCCTGTGGTGACAGGCCCCTTACAAAAATTACTATCTAGTGGGGAGCCTGTTACTGGCTATTATAGGTTTCTGTCTGAGGTGGGTAGTACCCCACACGCTCTGACTCCTCCGCTAGATTCTTGGTTTCTAAGAAGGCAAAGATTCAAACTGTTTTTTTGCTCCTCACTTTTATCTTGCTCGATTTTCTAGAAGATTTATCGCTTGGTTTATCCTCCTCTTCTGAGTGAGGGTGTGCGCTTTCGTCAACAGGCCGGTCCAGAGCCTCAGGAGGGACCAATGGTTCATTCGAGTCCGAAAGCTCGCTTTTTTCCGCATCTAACCTCATGTCTTAACAGGAAGATTCCGTAATTCTCGCGACAGTCCGGTAGTCGTCAGATAGTGGGCGAACGAAACTGCCTTCTGCATGCAAACGACTCGCGGCTCGGTGGGATCGGTATCCGCCAATGGCCAATGATAGGCGCGAAAAGCCCTTCCGTTGCGGCCCGTACTTTAAAGATGATTATTCAGTGGCACCATCATGACAACCAGCACACAGCAAGGCGCCACAAATACAGTGTAATTTCTTTACCAATTACGAGGCTTCTGTTGTGTCACAATTCAAATGCAAAGGGAATATGCAGGTGAGACGCTCAAAGGACTTGAATACCGAATCCAGGCCTAGGACGCTGCATGTGTTCATGAAAAGGTCATGGCCGCGGCATGTTCTGAAAACGAGTTTCTAGCTGCAGATACGCCGTAGTAATGCCGGAAGTTGCGAGAAGAAGCATGGATCTCTCTCATCGGACATCTAATTGTCGGCCCATCTGGCCAGACGGCTCTTGGGCGCGAAGGGAGCGGAAAGTTCCTGAAACTTTAATTTTACCACCTGTGACCATGCTCTACGATATGATCACGATTATGATCCTGATTGGAAGGTTTTAGACCAACATTACCGTGCACAACATATCTAACCAACGACAGAATGCGGAGAGGTTTGCCACTTAGAAGCAGTGCAATGCTCCACATCGTCGGAATTATAGGTGTCATTTTGGAGTGGTATGAAACATCGAGTTTAAGAGCCGGCAAATTAGAGGTCGTATATCACCTCTAAAAGGGATTCTTAATTTAAGAGGCTTTTCCGGCATTATATATTGATTCAGATAGAATCATAGCTCCTGCAGATGAGTACTCCTATGTGGCTTTCAGGTGTCGTTATCTAGTCGACTAAGACGTAAATTCAAGTCCTAATGTGTAGTCAATCTGTTGAAGGTATTGGAACAGGCATAATGAATCTATAGTTCTTGCCGAGCAAGCATGTTAAGGGTGGTCATCTTATGATAACTACAATGTCGGTCTAGAGTCAAAGAGCCGGAATCTGATGATATCTTGTGATAAGGAAGTCGGACTGGATCTTGGTCTCTGCCTGGAAGAAATTCGTATATGTGGGGCTTCTCTCACTCTTGGTAGGTCTGCAAACAGATACATTAGGTTATTATGTCCTTCTAGCCTAAATATGCCCCAGCTCCACGCCCTTATCACCAAATATCATTATATTCCGGCTCTTTGATTCTAGACCGATATTATAGTCATCATAAGATGGTCGACCACCTTTAAGTCATAATCAACATCTGGCTTTTTGATTCTAGACCGATATTTGGTCATATGCTATAGCCTCCTTAGGTCATAAAAACGTAATCTATCCGTTTGCAGACTTATTGAGAGCGAGGGCAGGTCTCGACTTAGGAAAAGAATACTCTGAAAGCTAATGATTTATGACTTAGAAACCTATATAAGAATGCGACTCCTCATGCTGGTTTATGTTTAAATATCACCGTCCTATTCAAGATTTCCTCTATATTCACTACAAGCCTCTCCTGGACATTTTCCTCTTTGAAATATTTTAACCTTTTCCTAGTTCCACATAATTTCACCCAACCAGTTTCACCATGCCTGAGAGATTGACAAAGGAAGAGGCGAAGAAGACATACGTTCTGAATTGGAGGCCATCACCGCCAAGTGCAAGGCTAGGAGCGCCAAAGTTCACATTCAAACCCGAGTTTGACTCAACTGCTCTTCCAAGCGCGAAGGATCTGAGCCAGTATGACTCGCCTGTTAAAGATCAGGGTGATATTGGTTCATGCACCGCGTTCGCAGCAGTCGCAATCGTTGAGCATATTGCTAAACGGAATGATAAAATACCAGACTGGTCGGAGCTCTACTTGTATTACAATACAAGAGTGAAAGTACTCGGATGGCCCGCTAGCGACGACACAGGGGCTTACGTGCATTCGGCAATACAGGCTTTATATACGTACGGCGACGCTGGTGAAACTGATTGGCCATACGATACTTCAAAATTCGCAGTGGAGCCTCCATTAGCTTCCTATAGCAGAGGTTCTACAAACCAAGTTGTGAAAGCAGCTTATGTTGACACTTCTGTGGATGCCTTCCGTGCGGCAATCGCCGCTGGCTACCCTGTCGACATTGGCTTTTGGTGCTACTCGAACCTGTATGATCATATGGATTCTGGACTGGTCGATATGCCAAAACAGGGAGGATACATCATTGGAGGCCACTCTGTCATGCTTGTCGGTTATGATGACTATACTCGCCGGTTCAAGTTCAAGAATTCCTGGAGCACAAGGTTTGGTCAAGCAGGATATGGTTTTCTACCGTACGAGTATGTTTCAGGCTATACCCTCGATGAGCCTAAGCAAAGGCTTGTGTCAGACTGTTGGACGATTGCCAGCATTGAATTCGACAGTGACTTCGTGATATTGTACAACAACCCTCCGGAGAACGTGCCCGCTCCTTTTGCATTGACGGCCGTTGCCGCTTAAATTACGCCACTGACTACGTCTTCGTTGTTTTTGATTAAAAAGATTTTTTGACATCCTTCATATGATTTTTATTGAGAGGTTCAACACCTAAATGCTGCTTCGTCAATGTTCTCCTTTCCTCTGCTTTTGAGTGGCAATGTGATTTGAAGTCTTCCAAATTACGAGGTTCAACACCTCCCTCTGGATGAGAGTTGATACTTTCGAGATGGTGGACTCTCGAACGAAAAGTATTATTGCTCTGCAAGTCTATATAGTACTAATGGAGATTTCGCTCTTGAGAGACCTTCCAACATTGCCTGCAAGCTGAGACTTGATTTACGTGATAAGCGACTCGTATGAAGATTGCTAGCGTAATCCAAACTCGACTCTAACGTGTAGAATAACACCACACGGTAAGTTGCACTTACGACGATGTATTCATGTTCACCGTGACATTGGCGTAACCCAGCATGAGTCTCCTATACAACGAGGGCAAGCTAGGGATCCAATGAAAAAGACTGGACGTTTGTCTAAAGGAGTGCTGCGTCCACAGTTACAGCGGAGGTAAGGCGTTCACGAAATGGTTCAATGCAATTCGATCGAGGCTGTACCAAGTGCGAAGAGAATCTTGAGCTGTTGGGCTATTCATGATCAGGGGGACTAATTTTTGGAGACACCAACGATTCCGTCCGCACTCTAAAGCGCCGGACTACGTGGCCTGTCTCGACTGTTTTGAAACGACCCGTGTAATTGTGATGGATTCCCGTTGGTCTCCTGGCTGCACAAATAGAGCTATGTCCGTGCTTTAGACTATGACAGCTTATTAGTTCATTGTCTCTCTATGGTATGAGCCTTCATGTGCAATCGATTGCAGTTTAGCATCGATTGGACTATTTTTCTAGAGTACAAGGCCTACAGCATTTAACGGTGGTCGTGCACAGAGGGTGAGTCTCACCCGGTCTCACCCCTCATCTTACCCTGTCTATTGTGCACTCACCCTCGCTCACCCTAGTCGCACGACCATGAAGCGGCGATCATCCGTTTCCCCACCAAGCTAAACTATTTTATTTGCTAGGATTGGCAAATGGTGCGTGGCTTAAGTACGGCTGAGCGGACGGGAAGCCCTGTTCTCCACACCCTATGGTCGTATGTGATAGACAGGACAGCACATAGATATAAGTAGTGGAGCAGGAAAGCCAGATAAACCGTAATTGCACTTGATAAACATGTCGAGCATACCAGATGACTTGTTGTGGCTGTGTGCTGGGTGGGTAGAATCCCCGCAGACACCACAGTTGATCTTCCTTTGTCGGATCTGAGAAGCCCTAGTTAGACGAGAATAATCCTCTTACTATACCCATGGTAAAGTGCCAGTGGCACAGCGTATGTACCATGAGAGCTTACACGATACGGATACAATCGAGTCAATACGGGGTGATAAGATTCGAAACTAATCATACAATTCGTACTCGTGAGTGAATGGGTGTAGCGAAAACCGACCCAAAATTTTCGCCCGTCCCAGAAGATAATACATGCCCAAATCCAACATAATTCAAGGACACTGGTAACCAGAAGCCAGTGCCACATTTGGTTCATTAGATTAATGAACACGCCAGAGGGGGCGGACAAGAGTAAAGGTGGAATCCGAGCACGCAGGGAAGATTTCAAGGATGGCGTGGGGGTGGTAAAAATAAAAGCAAGGTGCGCCGATGATATCCCGGACCACCAACGCAGAAGAACAGGGGGGAAATAAATCAAAGTAAAAAAGGGTAAAGGTGGAAGTATGTACATGTGAAGAGGAAGGGGTAAAGCAGCGTAAGCAGTGCGTCAAACCAACATGGTTTCTTAGCTGCTCGCTGTCTGGGCAGGGGGAGGGTGTGGGCTCTTACTTGAGCCTTGCACCGCACCAGCTTGGGCGCTGCCACTGCGCTGGGTTTGTGGGGTTGCACTCCGGCTGGCCTGGGGAACGGCCCCATTCACTGCTGGCGAGCTGGTGACGTTGACACGGTTCTGTGGATTGTTTTGAGGAACACGCATCATTGGAGAGAACCCTTGATTCTGAGGTACTTGCATGGCGGAACCACCGTTTGGCATGCCAGGCTGCTGAGGAGCTTGGAAGTTCCCGTCGTGGGGAACCTGATAATTGGCTTGCACGTTGTTCATACCGCCCGCGGCAGCGTTCATGGCGGCCTGTTGAGACATACGTTGTTGCTGATACTGGTTGAGGCGCTCAGTGGCAAGCTTGTTTACTTGGTCCGCAGGAAGATTAGGGTTGGCCCTTTGAATCTGACTCTGGAAGGTACTGATAGTAGGAACCACGCCACCCGACAGAGGGTTGGGTTGAGCCATGCGAGGCGAGGGAGTCGAAACTCCCTGTGGAGTGCCGTTGTGGAAGGATGGGCTCTGAATACCACCCTGAGCTTGTAGAGCAGCGATCATAGCAGGGTTGCTGGGGGCGCCATTGACACTGGGCACATTGAGGTTCGGAGAGTGCGATCCTTGCGGCACAAACTGTTGATTGTGGAACTGCTGCTGGGCCTGCTGAGGCTGTCCGGTCGGTTGAGGAACTTGCTGCTGGCGGGATTGCAACAAACGCTGCTGCTCTTGCAAGCGGTTCGCCTCACGTATCACTCGGGCGTTATCGGGAGATGCTTGCATCGGCATTCCAGGTCGGGCACCCACGTTCGGCATCTGACCCTGAGGCATCATTTTCATGGCCATTGGATTGGCTGGAATTTGCCCGTTGACTGGTGCTGCCCCAGCTGGCATACCTTGCATGGCCTGAGCACGAGCCTGGTTGACAGCCACATTAGGAGCCATCCCAGCAGGAATCCCGTTCGGAGCACCGTTCACCATAGCGGCATTAGGTGCGTTCGGAGGCAGATTGTTGGGCCTGCCCGGAGCATTCATCATTTGCTGCGGTGGCTGTTGCTGGTTAGGCAGCTGCCCGCCACGTTGAGCAACCATGCTAGCCCTTTGCTGAGCGATCATCTGCTGTCGGTACTGCTCCTGTCGCTCCTGGAGCTTCATCTCTCGTTCGTGCTTAAGGCGACTGAACTCTGCCGGTGAGGAGATTGGAGGTTTGGGCTGGTTGACCTCATTCGCCTTCCTCAACGAAGCGAGATGAGATGCATGCTGCTGCTTTTGCAAAATCGTTTCCCGCTTCTTGGCTAGCTTCCGCATGGCATCAAGCAATGCTAGATGTCTTGACGACCTACGCCTGTCCACGCGTAAGGGCTGAGTAGTTCGCCGACGAATGGGCTGCTGTGGCTGACCATTGTTGGCCGCTTGCTGCTGTTGCTGCTGGGCGGCCTGCTGTTGAGCCAGGACAGTACGCTGGGCAGTCTCAAGTCTCTGATGGTAAGCCCGGAAGTACTGCGTCTTAGACATATCCGCTGGTAGGCCTTCCAGGCCCACCCAGCGCTCGAAACATTCCCAAGGGGTCCGTCTCTCAGCTCCAGACGTGAAAATTGATGGTGAAGTCAGGCAACTAGAGATAAGAGACCAGTTGTAAGAATATTCCTTGACCAGACGACGGAGCTCGTCATCTTCTGACACGGTCCACTGAGAAGACTGCCGCGATTCGAAAAATCCAACCGACGGCATTGGATGCTCGGTGGGGGGCCGGAAGGAGTGACCAGGGTGGATGCGATCACGAATGGGCTTGTTCTCTGGACGGAAGAGAGCGACGTTGGTTTGCTCCGGCGGCAAATCTGCGATGCGATGCTCTGAGGCAGAACCGTATTGAGAATAGTCATATCGGGTGTGTTTACGGGGACGCTCATCGTCTTGGTGAAAAGTGATCTTGGTAGAAGCAAACTTCGAAACCGGAAGTAGGTCCTGCTTCCAAGCGGAGTCCGGAAGGTCTCTAAAGGAGGGCTTCTGAGTCTCGCGGACAAAGCGAACAGGCTCGTAAAATGGCAATTCGTCCAGTAGCTTCTCTGCCGAAGGAGTCATGTCAATAGAGAAATTGAATTCGTCAGAGCCCAATGAGAAGATAGCTGCAGGGGCCACGGTATCGTGGAGATCGTGCCGAGGCTCCTCATTGAACCCATCGCTGACCGATTCCTCTTCAGCGGATGGTACTAGATCAGGGGTAGGGTGAGATGCCGCAAATGTCTCGTCGCCTGTTTCTTCCGAGGGGGACGCCACGCCAAGCTTCGATGCATCGCATCCGACTGATCTTGGCGAGGGGATTTTGGCATTCAAACGAAGAAGTGAGCGGTGTTCGTCATCGCTATTAACGTACTCCGCACACCAATCGGCACAGCTCTTCGCTGCTGCTAGCTTCCACTTCCGCTCCTCGCGGAAATCCGTGCGCATCCATTTCATATGATCCAACATGACATCCAAATGGCTAAATGAGCGAGGGGGTTCAGCTGATCGCTTCATTTGCCGAAGAGGCCATCGATTGGCATTCTGCAGGGCGTAGATGCGCCGAAGTGTACGGCAGTCCATCTGCTCTTGGTACTCCAAAAGGTGATTGGACGTGCTTAGCGTCTTGTGGGCGGATGCGAGAAGAGTGTTGAGATTGGTTCCTCTCGGGGGAGCATAAGCTCTGTTCAAGAACAACGTGAACAGATAGTCCTGTTCCTCGTTCAACTTGGCAACCGCATCGCCCGAGTCCCAGCTCACAAGGTCCATAGACTCAGCCTTGTCTTGCAAAGATGAAGGTTGCTTGGGGAAAACGACGGTTGAAACCCTGGTTCTTTCCTTCTCCCGGTCCTTGCGGTCCTTGAACCGCATACGAGCAAGACTTTCGGGCGTCTGGGGTTCAACCGTTGCATGACTTTTGTCGTGGGCCACATGCCTTGGGGTCTCGCCCAGGATTTCGGAAACAGACTTATGGCGGATGGCTCCAGACGAAACACGAGTTGTCATTCGCAGTTGGGGTATTTCGGGTTGAGTGGGTGGAAGCGATACTGGCTTCTTGGTCTCTGTAGGTGTTTCGCCAACGGGCTGACCTCCATCTGTTGTCAATTGCTCAGTAGGAGACAGTCGTTCCGTCCCAGTAGCAACCGTTCTAGTGGAAAGCTTTGGTTCCTGGATTGCGACCAAAGGTTCCTGGTCGACATCCATTTGATCTTGATCGGCGGGGGCCTTCGCAGTTTCCTGAACGGCCTTGTCGGTCAACGGTAGGCCATTGGTACTGGCCCGTCGTAGTGACTGAGCTTCCTCCATTCGTAGTTGCTCATCTGGCGTCGACGGGATGAGACCTGGACGGGGTTGCATGGAACGGCTATCCTTGGGGCTTTGGCGGCCAAGCTTCCTGACCTCGGCGACCTCTTCTCCGGGGCTAGTATCGGGTGATGCGGCGACAGGAATAGGAGTATTTGTGGAGTAAGGGTCGATTGATGACGCTGGTGAGAGAGGTTGTTCGGGGTGTGAAGGACCTAGTGTGAGAGAGGGTCGCGCGTCCGATTTCTTGCGGGGGAGGTTGGTAGGAGGAATTTCTAGAGAGGAGGGAGCTGTTCCGGTTGCCGCAGCGAGTTGCGCTGCACCAGAAGAGACCGTAAGCTCTGCTGCATTGTGGTCTTGAGGGCCGAGACGGGTCGCTGGCACAGATATGTTCGCTTTCTGATCGGCAACGGGCTGAGTGGATGGTGCAGTCGCGGTAGAGACTTCGAGGCCTTCGGCAATCGGGAGAACGGGCGCAGCTGGTTGATTTGATTCCGGGGCAACCTGTGGGATAGATGCAACGCCAGGTGTTGCGGCCAAGTTAGACCCGCCTTGCGGACTTGTCCCAGGCGGAGGCAGAGCGGCGCGACCATCGATTGTCGGTGGCGGAGTGATCCCAGCAGCTTGCTGAGACTTTACCTCCGCGGTAATAGCAGGCGTGACAGGCTTCCTCGTCGGCGAACGCGCACGCACATGGGTAGGCAACGGCAGGGTAGCTTCGTCGAAGTAACGCCCTCTGCGGGAGGCATTAGTATATGGCGCATTTTGAATTGCGTAATATTATTGATAGAGGCGGCCAAATGCAAAAGAATCAAGTGAAGTGAAGAAGAGAAGGGACTTACTTGGTGAGGTCGTTGGCGTCGAGGAAGGCCTGTTCTTTCTGCTGGTAGAGAGAGTCGGCGGTCGCGCCCTCAAAACCCACGGTCGCATAATACAACTCGGTCAGTTTTCGCTTGCGCGACAACAAACAGTTTCTGGGCCAAAATTAGCCAAAACTCCATCGTCCGCTGGCCTTACAGGTCTCTTTCAGGAATTTTCGAATTTTGCGATTGATACTTACGCGATCTCATCGTTCTTAGACCGGAGAAGCTCGTCGCGGAGCATGAGGTCTATCTTGGGGAAACAGCATCCGATTAACGCGGGGAGGAAGGGAGTGGATTGACCAAGGTCATTCAGATTGGAAAAATCGCTCGAAATGATGAAATCAGATGTTGTTGTCGCGTGAAGCGATGGGAGGCAAGAAAGGGAGGACTTTTCTGTACGGGTTGGCACGGGAAAAAAGGGAAGCGCTGGGGAGCGGGTGGTGGTGAAGGTATGGTACAGTAAAATTACAGCGTGCCAAGGGCTTCAAGGGGAACGGGCAAAGCAAAGCAAAGGGGATCACGACCGCCTTCTGGGGGCGCAATTTAGGACTAAACCAGTTGTAACAATTTTCGCTAAGCAGTTTCTACGGTCTATTTAGTGGTAAAGAGAAAGTATCATGGTCAAGTTTGGCGATGCAGCACCAACTGGTTGAAGGTGCAACTTGTATGTAATGTGTGTAATTCTACAGCCTCAGGCTTTTCATGACCAGCATTCCACCAAGGCCGCTTGCGAACTGGTCGACACCTCAGGCACAATGACAAGGATCAGGATTTTTCAGGCATTCCACGGTGGTGATGTCAGGCAGTAAGGCAGTAAGGCATTAAGGCCAATGGCTATCCGGCCCTAAGGTGTCAAGGCCAACATCCATTCAGGCAACACGGCATCCACTTTCCTATCAGTGAAGCTGATAACACGCAGAAAAAAAATGCTACGGGAAAGCCGCTCGTCTGCTAGCCCAGCTTTTGCATCTCCCCCATAACCCATCTTTGAATTGTCTGAGACCATGGTCAAGCGCAAGCGTAACGATACCTCCAAGGAGGACAAGCCTGTTGAAACCCCCGCCAAAACAGTCAAATCGGCCCCGACCCCGTCGCAAGCTCCCGATGCAGTTGTTACCATCCAAGTGGTTACAGGCTCCTACGAACGAGTGCTGCATGGATTCACGGCTGGTTTCGCGGCCTCCACTTTGAACACCAAGGACGAAGCTTCTAACGAGTCCGATCCTTCAATTCAATGCGTCGACACTTTCTTGTTCGAGGCCCATGGTTCCGCAATTCGCTGCCTCGCCCTCTCCCCGCTGCCCAAAGCCACCGACTCGGCGGACGCTCAAAAGGTCTTCCTGGCCTCCGGATCGACTGATGAGAGAATTCAGCTGTACTCTCTTTCAGCCGCTCCCCCGCCGTGAGCGATGAATACCCTTCGGTGCCGACATTGGCCGGAAACAAAATCCTCGAGAACCCCAAGAACCGTGAGCTAGGATCGTTGTTGCACCACTCGGCCAGCATTACTGCCCTTAGCTTCCCCTCGCGCAGCAAGCTGCTTGCAGCCGGTGAGGATAATGAAATTTCCATCTCCAAAACTCGTGACTGGTCCGTTGTCTCGACCATCAAAGCTCCACACCCTAAGGTCCAAGGCCGCCCCAGCGGTGACACAGCGCCGCCAGGTGCAGCTCCATCTGGTGTGAACCACTTTGCGGTCCACCCCAGTATGAAGTTGATGCTGAGCGTGGGCAAGGGTGAGAAGTGTATGCGACTCTGGAACTTGGTGACGGGCAAAAAGGCCGGTGTGTTGAACTTTGGACGAGAGATTCTCGTGAGTGTCAAGGAGGGCAAATGGAGTAGTGGAGAGGGTCGCCGTCTGGCATGGAATGCCGCCGGTGAAGAATTCGCAGTGGCTTTCGAATGGGGTGCCGTGGTTTTTGGAGTTGTAAGTTTACTCGAGTTGATTTACACACTTTTGTGTCTCATTCTAATGTTTCAATATAGGACTCGACTCCCAAGTGCAGACTTCTCCCCAGCCCTCGAAGCAAGATTCACCAAATGAAATATATCTCTTTGGCCGGTGACGATGACGAGAAGAAAGACCTTCTCGCCGTCTCTACAGAGGATGGTCGTGTCATCTTATATTCGACTACGGTTCTGCAAGATGCCGAGGAGGGTGATGACTCTACCATTCCCCACGCTACTCCGGTGGCCCAGGTTGGTGGCAAGCAAGCAGGTCTTCCCGGTCGTATCAAGGATTTCGAGGTCTTGAGCCTGGAGGAGCAGGCATCTGAGATCAGCAACGACTTCCTGTTGGTGACTGGAAACAGCGATGGAGTCGTTCGTGTGTGGAAGGTTAATGGAAAGTCTCTGGTTCCTGCAAAGAAGTCGAAGGATACAATTCGCCAAACTGGCAAGCTCCTGACGACATATGAGACCGGAAACCGCATCACATGCCTGGCAGCCTTCATTATGCTGCCGGCTGAGGATCCTTCGACTCTCTTTGACTCGGCGGATGAAGAGTCCGAAGAGGAAGAGGAGGAATCTGAGAGTGATGAGGATGACGAGTGATTTGCTTGTGCCGGTGTTTTCGGCCATTGTATATACCCATTGTACTGTTAGACCCGGATGTATTGAGACACGCCAAATAAAAGTTTGCATACAAGTTTGCATGAAGCTATCTATTTCATTTTCATTTTCCTGGATTATTTTGAATTACTAGTATTACAGGTTAAGAGGAAGAGACAGACGTAGTATATGTAGTTAGCTGCTGTGTACACTTGACTCATAACTACTTCCAGACAACCCCCGCGGCCAAAGCCACACTGATCTTGAAAACAGAAAGTCGACCCCAGATACAAAATATTCAGCGAGATGTCGTGAAATTTCTATCACAACTAATGATGGTTAATATTCAAAGGTTTCAAAATCATCCCTAATAAACAGCCTTGGTCATCGTCCTTACGTAGCGGTAGTAGCACATTGTAGCCTCTTTGTTCCCGCCCAGCCAGAGGGACACCGCCCGCTCGCTCTCCACTGCACAAAACCCCACCACCACTACATTCTTCGATCATATCGCCGCCCACCAGCAATTTTCATCCAACCTCTCCCTCCGTCCACCACCGGAACCTTCTCCTTCTCCCGCCAGCTTTCTCGATATCCGACGGGAAAGAGCCACTCCGCTTGCTATATTTGAAGCTGGGAAGACCGCTGCTGAACGCGCGATCGATTTTTTCAATATGGCTACCAACGGCGATTTCTCCGATGAGTCCCTCCCGGGCAGCCCCAACCTCGATGCCACCAACGCCCAGGATTTTGACGACCAGGAGCCTCTCGATGAGAAGCCCCTCAAGTCCGCGATGAAGAAGTCCGCTGCCCCGCCTCCCGAGGCTCCCAAGCGTCCCTGGCTCCCTGAGCAACCCGACCCAACTACCCTGGATCTCTCCACACTCACGCCCTTGTCCCCCGAAGTCATTGCCCGCCAGGCTACTCAGAACATCGGTACCATCGGTAAGGCTGCCATAGGTCGGACGTGCCATTCGCGAGCTCGGTTACTAACCAAGTTCGAATTCAATAGGGCACGTCGCACACGGTAAGAGTACGGTTGTGAAAGCTATTTCAGAGGTTCAGACCGTCCGATTCAAGAACGAGTTGGAGCGTAACATGTAGGAGGCCCTCTATGCTCTGGACTATCGAAGTCAGCCGCTAACATTGAATCATCTTGAAAGTACTATCAAGCTGGGTTATGCGAACGCCAAGATCTACAAGTGTGACAATCCCGCTTGCCCTCGGCCAACATGCTACAAGAGCTACAACAGTGCGAAGGAGATTGACCCACCCTGTGAGCGTGATGGCTGTGAGGGAACATACCGTCTCCTGCGCCATGTGTCCTTCGTTGACTGCCCCGGGTGAGTTACTGGCAACGTTATCTTGGCCGAGAAGCTTGGAATAAGCTAATATCTTTTTTCGCCTTTCGCTAGTCACGATATTCTCATGAGTACCATGCTGTCAGGTGCCGCCGTCATGGATGCTGCCCTCCTTCTCATTGCCGGAAACGAAACCTGCCCCCAGCCTCAGACCTCCGAGCATTTGGCTGCCATTGAGATCATGAAGCTCAGCCACATGGTCATCCTGCAGAACAAGGTCGATCTGTTGCGCGAGGAGAGTGCTCTGCAACACTACCAGTCTATTCTGAAGTTCATCCGCGGTACCGTCGCCGATGGCTCCCCCGTTATCCCCATCTCCGCTCAGTTGAAGTACAACATCGACGCCGTCAACGAGGCTCTCGTTTCTCTGCCCATGCCCATCAGGAATTACAGCGAGACTCCTCAGCTTATGGTCATCAGAAGTTTCGATGTTAACAAGCCTGGTGCGGAGATTGATGAGCTTAAGGGTGGTGGTAAGTTTCGCCGAAACTCTAGGCCTATCTCACTCGTGACAAGTCGCTAATGGTTTCAATCATAGTTGCCGGTGGTTCCATTCTTCAGGGTGTGTTGAAGGAGAACGATGAGATTGAGATCCGTCCCGGTCTCGTCACCAAGGATGAGGCCGGTAACATTCAGTGCCGTCCCATTTTCTCCCGCATCGAGTCCCTGTTCGCCGAGAACAACCCTCTGCGCTTCGCTACCCCCGGTGGTCTTATCGGTGTTGGTACCCGCATTGATCCCACCCTCTGCCGGTATGTGTTGCTCACATCATTCCTTCTCTCGAACCTCACTAATTTCTTGCAGTGCTGATCGTCTGGTCGGTTTCGTCCTTGGCCACCGTGGCCGCCTCCCTGCCATCTACACCGAGATCGAGGTCAACTACTTCCTGCTCCGCCGCCTGCTTGGTGTCAAGACTGCCGATGGCAAGCAAGCCAAGGTTGCCAAGCTGGCTAAGAACGAGGTTCTGATGGTTAACATTGGTTCCACTGCCACCGGTGCTAAGGTTCTGGGTGTCAAGGCCGATGCTGCCAAGCTCAGCCTGACCAGCCCTGCCTGCACGGAGATTGGTGAGAAGATTGCCATCAGCCGAAGAATCGAGAAGCACTGGCGTCTGATTGGTTGGGCCAACATTGTTGCGTATGTATCCCTTTGCAAATTCTTTCTCCTGATATGTTCATGGCTAACCATCCGTTTCTTCACAGTGGTAACACCATCGAGCCTATTGCGCACTAAATTAGTGTGTCTCAAGTGACGTCCAGTCCCGAGTGGTCGGAAACCGGGAAGAGAGATGTTGTATGAGGAAAATTTGGCAGATGAAATGCTGTCATTTCCTTCGTCAACGGCACTCCAACCGCTCGCTTTCACTCGGGTTCACGATCCGCGGTATACGATCGCAAAAAGTTTTACGGTTATGACGAGTCGGAAAAAGTGAAGGCATGACATTTACAGATTCCCCCGGCTGAATAGAGAGGAGTGTTTTTTCCGAAAATTTTACACCGTCTCCTAGTCCAATGAGGCGCCTTGAATATACCTGCAGCCTTTCGATATGGCTTACAGTAGGATGCTGGCGGGTTTGGATTGAGACGGGGTAGGGTATGAGTCACGTTGACGAAGAAGGAGTGTACTTCTTTTTCTTTTATGTGTTCTAGGGAGTTGTATTGAAGAGGCTTCTTTTACCTGATTTTCTTTTTTCATTTGTTATTGTGTCTGCATGGCCAGGCCTGATGTAGATGGATACAGGTCTTGCTTCAAAGCCCATAGCGGGGCGGAATAAGTGCTATGGAAAATGAAGAATTTTATTGCATCTCATACTTTCAATTCAGATTTCGAAGCAAGAATCTACAATAAGTAAAGAAACAGAAAGAAATGGTTCGATACTGTCAAGTAGCAGGGTCTAAATGATGCTGGTTCCTGCATTGATCGCCGAGTCCCGGCCCCAGTAATCTGACTAAGGCAACCCGCAATAACAAAGTAGCTTCTTTGGCCTTTCGAGCATCTCTCCCTTAACAACGTCGCGCATCTGCACCATGTGGATTCTTGAGGTGAGTCTTTGATTCTAGAAATGAGTGGTTTAGTTCTCATTTCAAGGTGTTTCTTTGGACAATCGTCACTGACCGCCCCATGATCACTAGCAACTCGCGCGTCTTCTCGACCGTCCGCTCTTCCCATGGAAGAACGTGCTCGTGGGGTTCTCCCTGGGCCAGTTCGTCCTTGAGGGCCTCCTGTCTCTCCGACAGTATAAGGTTCTCCAAAAGACAAAGGCTCCTAAGGTCCTCGAGGGTGAGGTCACCCAAAAGGTCTTTGATCAAAGTCAGGTATGACGTCGCGCAACGAATAAATGGAACGTGTACAGATGCTTATCAGCGATGCAATGGATTTTTAGGCGTATGGTCGCGCCAAGGCTAAGTTTGGCATCGTTTCCGGTCTCTATGGTCAAATCCAGAATCTTGTTTTCGTCTACGGCGATATCCTTCCCAAGCTTTGGGGTGTCGCGGGCTTCGTATTGGCGCGGTACTTCCCCGATCGATTCCAGGGCGAGATCTCGCAAACGCTTTTGTTCATCTTCGGTTTCAACATCCTCAGCACTATCCTCTCGCTTCCGATCTCGTACTACAACACTTTCGTGCTGGAGGAGAAGTTCGGTTTCAACAAGCAGACTCTCAAGCTTTGGGTAACGGATATGCTCAAGGGTCAGATGCTGGGCATTGTTCTGGGAACTCCGATTATCAGCGCTGTCCTCAAGATTGTTCAGAAGACTGGTAACTCTTTCTTCTACTACCTGTGGCTCTTTGGAGTCTTCGTTCAGGTCTTCGCCATCACTATCTACCCCATTGCTATCCTACCCTTGTTCAACAAGCTGTCCCCTCTGCAGCCTGGTGAGCTCAAGACTGGTGTTGAGAACCTTGCCAAGAAGCTCAAGTTCCCCCTCTCGGAGCTGCACGTCATTGATGGCAGCAAGCGTAGCGCCCACAGCAATGCTTACTTCTATGGTCTGCCTTGGAAGAAGCACATTGTCATCTACGACACCCTGCTCGAGAAGAGCGAGTCTCAGGAGGTTGTCGCCGTCCTGAGCCATGAGCTCGGTCACTGGAGTTTGAGCCACACCACCAAGCTCTTCGGCATTGCCCAGGTATACGAGAAACCTAAGCTATCCATTCATCTTGAATCGTTTATTAATATGCTCTATAGTTCCACATGTTCTACATCTTCGCTCTGTTCTCCGTCTTTGTCAACAACAAATCTCTCTACCAGTCCTTCGGTTTTGTCAAGGAGCAGCCTATCATGATCGGCTTCCTGCTCTTCTCGGATGCTCTCGCACCCATGGACGCCGTCGTGAAGCTCCTGATGAACATCCTGAGCCGCAAATTTGAGTTCGAGGCTGGTATGTCACTTGTCCCTTCTGGTTTCACACCTAACCTTTACTAATCCTGCCTTCTCTCTGCAGATGCCTTCGCCCAGGGTCTCGGATTCTCTGATGAGCTCGCCTCCTCGCTGCTCAAGCTGCAGATCCAGAACCTTAGCACCATGGATGCTGACTGGATGTACGCTAGCTATCACTACTCGCACCCCATCCTGACTGAGCGTCTTGCCGCTCTGGGCTGGAAGGGTGGCAAGGTCACCGATCTCAAGGAGGAGGACAGTGAGAAGCCGGCCAAGGCTGCGGATCGCGAGCTGTAGCCGTCAACAGCATAGGAGTGAAAATCTTTGGGGGCGTATGTGGCGGGTGATATAAATGAATGGGTTTGCAGGGAAGCACAAGGCTCAAGGCTTCCATTATGATTCGGATTGGGCCATTTGCTGAAATTTGGCACCACTCTGTCTATTGGGCTAAAACGACACTTTTTGTCCAGACATGAAATGCATGCAGTTTTCACATATCCAACCAACCAGAAACATTTCCAGTAGCCGGGGAGGGAAACATATACCAGGGAAAAGAGGTATAACCAAGTATAGAAACCAGAAAGAAAATAAGAAAAAACTCCGACCCAATGCAACAACGCCCATATCTCAAAGATCCAGCCAGAAACAGAAAAGCAAATCAATCCGAATCAACATCCTTCTTAGCCTTAGCCTTCTTCTCCGCCAACCGTCTCTCCTTCTTCCTTCTCTTCCGCTCCTCCTTATCAACAGCAGCCGACTGCTCCTCCTGCTCCGCAAACGCCTCCGCCTCAGTCTCCATCTCAACATCCTTCATCTCCAAATCATCCTTCTCGCCCTCCTCGCCTTTCTCGTTCGCGGCCGCCGCAACGGGAACATCCAGGTAATCCTCGCCAGGATTCTGCTTCTGGACGGTAAGATCACGGCCCAGCACCTCGCCGGCCAGACCGGCTTGCACACGCTTGAGGTTGTGGAGGATCAGGTTAGGCGCGGCGGAGGTTGTGCGGGAGACGGGGCCGCTTTCGTTGACGCTGGCGTTGGGCTGGAGGGAGGCGTCTGTTCGGGCGCGCTCGAGGTACATGGCCAGAAACTCGTGCGCTTCGGATTGGGAGATTGGTTTGGTAGTGAGCACCGTGGTGGGTGGGAGGGCGACGGGGCCTTGGGCGCTCATTTTGATGGGCGCTAGTGGTCTATAGAGATGTGGTTGTGGTGTTCCAGAAGAGACGATTAGACGCTGGAGTATTGTACCTGAACCTGGGGCCAGGTATAGTGTGGATCAGGCCGGAGATGGGATCTTTGGAGAGTATTGGTGAAGTCGTTAAACTTCTTGAAGCATTTGCGACAAAAAAGTTTCGTGACGCTAGTCCTAATCGGGTAGCATCACCCATCTATAAGAACAGTACAACACCGAAACTATGTACTTGATTTTGCTATAATTAGGATATATAGTAAGATTTAGTCAATTGAAACTTGTACATATACCTAGGTTATTCTCTATCCCCTTTGTATAATTGTATTGTGGCTGTTTATTCCTAACTGTATCAACGGGCTCCGTGGCTGCGGCTCCGCGCTTAATTTTCTTTCGAACTTCCGAACCACCGCAACATCCAACTACTCGACAGCCAGCGACGACCGCCAGCCCGCTCAACCACAATTATACCCACCACAACCACTTCAATCTCCCGCATATCACACAGACAACTCAAATCAATATGCTCTGTCTCCGCTGCAGGGCTCTGCCCTCCCTCCGAACCCCGGTGTCCACCATGCGCACCTCCATGAATAAGTATGCCAAACCTCCCACGCGAGTCTCAACCAGACACTCCAGCCCCGAACCACCTCAGCCAAACCCTTTGAGTCTCTCAGCTCACTAACAAAACCATCTCCTCAATCCAGAATCTCCCAATTCACCCCGCAAACAACCACCACACCCACCACCCTCCTCTCCTCCCGACCTTTCTCCTCCACTCTCCTCTCCACGCCAACCCGCCTCCAACCAGGCCAGACTTCTCAGACTCTCTCTTCCCGGCTCAGCCCTTCGACATCCGCCCTCTTCACCCCGTCCATCTCATCACTGCTTCCTCTCCAGAGCCGTTCTTTCTCCGCCACGGCCGCTCTGGGCGTTAAGCGTAACACGTTCCGGCCCTCGCGCCGGGTGCAGAAGCGTCGCTCGGGTTTCTTGGCTCGTAACACTGATAGGAAAGGGCGGTTGACTCTTATTCGTCGGCGGTTGAAGGGGCGGAAGGCTATGAGCTGGTAAAGGGTGTTTGTATGGGGATTTGGAGAGATTGTCGTGGGACTTGAGAGGGTGAGGTACCCCCAGTGTCTTATTGAGGGTACATGACTCGTCTTGTCTCTACGGACTGGGGATTGTTGAGGCATTGAGGTATTGAGGCGGGATATGTCAGGCCAGTGTGTGTGGCTTTTTGTACCATATTTACCTTTCCTTCCGGTGGTGTTGAAACACCTGGAAGGGATGTTGTGGAGATTATACTCATTTCAGCAATGTTTTTCTGTTAGTTTCTTATTTGTTTCCCTGTAAAAGTATGTCGAGACATGTGCCATAGCCTTCGTATTATCTAGCTATTGTATCAAGCTCTACCTAGGCTATCATGTCTGCATTTCATGGAGCACGTTTACTCATCATCTTCGTCACTGTCCTCCTCTTCCGAGCCGGACTCGTCATCTTCTTCGTCTTCGTCTTCGTCATCTTCTTCCTCCTCGTCCTCCTCCTCTTCATCGCCGAGCTTGAGGCCATAGTCGTCCTCGAACTCCTTGAGAGGCTGGACAGTCGGGGTGAAGCCGATTGACTCGAAGCCTTGCTTAAGGGTCTGTTCGCGAATATTAGTACGGACTTCTGAGAATGCGGAGTAAAAGAGAACATAGATAAACATACCTCTTCCAAGACAGTACCGCAGGTAACAACAAGGTTGGCAGTCTTCGGCGCGAACAGGGGCAGGATAATCTCACGCAGAGCACCCTTGACCTCATCGACGCTGATGTCCCGCACCTTCTTGAGCATCTTCTCCTTGTAATCGCTGGGCAAGTTGCGCACGACCTGGCGGATGAAGCTGCCCTGAGCAGCGCTGACAGCGGTCATCTGCTCATTAGCATAGCCAACCACGATACTGCTGATCGCACCCTCCAGCATGAGAGGATCGAAGGGACTAGCACCGGAGAGATGGTCCTCGACAATCTGCTTGCTAGCTTCAAACGCCTTGTGAGCATTAGGAGACCGGTACACATCGAAGTTGACGAAGCTGGTGTCGATGTTGTAGGCAAAGTTAGTTCCGTATGCCAGACCCTTGCCACGGACGGCAACCCAGAGGGGACCCTCGACAGCGTTCATGTAGGCAATGGCGACCAGCAAAGCGGGGAGCTTGGGGTGGTCGTAGGAATCGAGACCTGGGGCCGTGGCATAGGCATACGAGGAGTCGACAGTCGGCATGGGGACGATGTACGAGTGTCCGCCGATGTTCTTGCCGGCGTCGCTCAGCAGAGCGCGGCGGTCGGTGATGGGCTTCAGGTTATCGCTGGATCCAAGGCGCTCAGCGAAGGGCTTCCAGGACGAGACTGGGCGGGGCAGCTTCTCCAGGTCGGCAACGACTAGAACCCGGATATTCTCGGGCTGGAACAGCGACTTGCGGATCTCCTCCATACGGCTGACGATCTCTTCAGGCTTGTCGGCAAGAAGGCGCTTGACCCGCTTAAGGTAGCGCGCCTTCACCAAGGTGGACCGAGCCCGGGCAATAGACTCCTGGGCGTAGTGGACCATGACATGAACTGCTGCGAGCATGTCATCGCCGCTGCGCTTGGAGTCGGGCACGTCGGCCAGAAGACGAGTGGTGATGGCACGGAGTCTCTCGACATCAAAGATGGAGTTCCAGCATAGCTCCTGCAGCCAGGCTATGGCATGTTCGTACTTCTCACGCTCGACCTGGAAGGACAGACGCAGCATTTCCGAGTTTCCAAGGGCGCGGCCGGTGTCCATTCCGTAGCCGACGGTGTCCTTCTCCAGCTCCACAACGACCTGCTCAAAGTTGATGGTCTTACCATCGCGCTGGACTGGGATGTTGAAGAAAGCCTCGGTGTAGATGGATAGCAAAGGCCGCAGCTGAAGGGGAACTGAATGTGCTGAGACGAGGACAGATAGCTGCACGAAGCTGCTGGGGATGTTCTCAAAGTGAATGAACAGGGGCTGGCCCGCATCATCGGCGTCGACCAGCTTCTGGATCTCATTCTCGGGATGGCCAGCCTTCAGAGCAGCACCGGAACGGGCAGTGGTGGTGTTCATGAAATGAATGGAATCGGTACCGGGAATGGCAAACTGAGCCAGAACATCCTCTGGGATCTCCTTGTCGTTCTCGGCCTTGGCCTTCTCAAGCTTGTCAGTCAGTTCCTTGAGACCCTTCTCGCCAAGACGCTCCTTTTGAGCGGCCACTCGGGCTTCTTCGTCATTCTTGAGCTTATCAGAGAGCTTCAGGGACGGGTATCCCAGGATGGAAACGTGGTTGGCATCGGCAATCCACTTGGTGATGAACGACCGCCACTGGTCCTCGTTCCAGTGCTCAAGGGCATCGTATTCCTTGAGAGATGCGACATCTCGCAGGGTCGAACCATCTCGCTTTCCGAACAGGAAGTCGGTGATGACGTATTCGGCAAAGGAGTTGGCAGAGTTCTCAGTCGAGAACTTCCAGGTACGGCGCTGGCGGTCAATGCACTCCTTAATGTACTTCATATCCAGCGGCTTGCCCATGGCATCCTTGAGAATCTCAAAGAATCTCTTCTCCACCTTCTCCAGCTTGTCGGTCTCCACACTGGTCAGAGTGAAGCGAATCTCGATGCTAGGGTGATCCTCAGTAGCATAGTAGACGGCACTGGCAATCTGTTCCTTCTCGACAATTGTGTTCTCTAGGAGAGATGCAGACGATCCAGCGAGATAGAGGAGAGCCACATTCAAAGCCCCGGCTGTGATATAATTAGCTTCAATGTTTCAAGACGCAGATGCTGGGGGAAAAAACATACATGAAATAGGATCGTTGCAGTCCGGTCCAAGGAAGCGAATCTCGATTTCGCCGAACGACTCGTCCTCTTCGGGGAAATCGACCTTTTGAATAATTGATTTCTCCAGGGCCGGGGTCTGCTTAGAGTCCGTCCAAGGCCGAGTGAAAGGCGCATCCGGGCTCGGGATGACATCCAAAATGGTATCTTCGAACTTGTCCAAGATCTCCAGCATGTTATTCTGGTCGACCTCACCCGTAATAACCAAGCAGAGGTTCTTGGGCTGATACATCTCGCGATGGAACTCGCGAATCCGCTCAGCAGTCAGAACTCGAAGCTGTTCCATCATACCACCAGTCTCATACCGGAAGCCGACGCCGGGGGGATAAGTTGCACGGCGAGCTGCCAGGTCAATCAGCTCAGCGGCATTGTTCTGCACACCTTGCATTTCAGAGTACACAACACCGGCATCATTCCCAGAGCCATCGATGTGGTGGACTTCGGTGTAGCAGCCCTCATCTGTCAAAGTGGGAGCAATGACATGCTCCAAATAGACAGGTAGAATGCGAGCAAAGCCCTCCCAACCCGCGGTATCGAGGGTGTAGGCTGTGTGATCCGTGGCTGTCCAAGCATTGGTGCTGGAGTAAACTCGGGTTGCCAGCTTGTCCAAGAAGCCCTTGTAACGGTAGTTACGAGAGCCCATGAAGCAAAGATGCTCCAGCGTGTGAGGTGCACCGGAGTCATCATGGATCTCTGTAGCAAGCACAAAGTAGCCGTTCACCTTGGGGCCCTTCTGGTCAATGACCACCACGCGCATACCGGTGCGTTGCGATTCATATTCAGTGAATTCGCTGGCGGAGTAGTCTGGCTTGAACTGCTGGAGCAGCTTGAACTGACTCTTCTGCACCGAGGGCGACATATTGATCAATGGGGCAAGCCCAGAGAAGATACTTCGCCGAAAATTAGGCAGTCTATTCTTTCGTCAGCCTCATCCATTCGTAATATGACTGTGTCACCACGTGGGCCGCATCATCATCATCATCATATCCAACCACAGCTCAGATGTTCCCGAAGCAGTGATGAGCTCCAAACCCTCCAACGCCAGTTCCCAGGGATAGGAGGGGGCATATGCACCGTGTCCACAGCGGAATCAAGAGAGCAAGAAGCAGTATAATCCCGAAGGCTGGCCAGCCGTTCACTCTGCAGCGACGCATCTAGGAGATTACATCCGACAGGACCATGTGTAACCGCGGGGCAGACAAAAATTCGGAGGGGTCTCACGCAGCGATTGGTACTCTTCCAAGAGCCAAGGGAAGAATGGAATCGTTTCAACTTACAGGAACTGGGTATGTTTCACCCGATTCAAGCCTCGTAGATAGAAGCGAGACACGATGGGGATATGTTCAGGATGAGGGAGTTGGACCCAGGCGGAGCAAAAGGTCGGGTTCCGTTTCCTTACAAAGCGGCCGCTGAGTCGTTTGTCGTTTGTTGTGTGTATAATATAATGAGGTTTAATATACTAGGGGCGGCTGCACGTATTATTCGCAGACAGACCTAGTAGGATCATAGATTTTTTCTTTTTTTTTTTTCTTTTTTAGAAGGTCCTCTTCCTCCCTGTTCACCCGCAATGATCACAGACTCACAAACATCCTGTGGTGGGGCGGTGACGCCCAAAGTCACGAGTTGGTTGTTGACACGCCGCATCTCTGGGGCTCGAATCCACCACTCCGTTGCTCCCCCGGATTGTCCAATTCAATAACTTTCGCTTCAGTATGCTACCGTCGGAAGGTGAGGTGTGCCAGGCGGTCCTGAGCTTCGTCACCGATGGCGCCTATCCTGAGGAGAATGTGGTCGCGGCCGAGTTCCCCGCAACCGCTCTTGCGAAGGAATTGGAGCTCATATCCCAAGCCCGAGAGCAAGTAGAGGTGTGTTTGAGATGCTGAAGTTGCTGTCATGCACGAGAGAAAGCCCTGAGCTAGTGCTGACCAGGTATTTTGGCCCCGATAGAACGAGATCAGCTCGCTGAGTCGCGAAAACACTACCTTCGATGCCGACGATTGGATTGTCCAAGCCAAACAGCTGCACGCCGATATCGAGCGCTCACGAGTCACGGCACGGGAGATAGTCGCCCAGCATGAGCACACGAGCCCCCTCCGATCCAAAGTAGAGGACGCAAGCGCCAAAGTGGGATTGATCGAGACGGAGATTGCTTTCAACCAGGCTGTGGCAGAGACTCTGGAAGAGGTGCAGCGCTTGTACCAACAATTGGAAAATGGACGAGCTGCGCTTGCAAATGGTCAGTTGACGGTCGCGATCGAGAAGTTGGAGTCTACGAAAGCGGCGATTAGGCAGGATGCATTCTTCACCAACACCAATGTGATGAGCATTCTCACTCTCGAAGTGGCACGGTTTAGGGAGCAGATTGAGGACACTCTGCGTCTACGCTGGCAGGAGCAGCTAAAGTTGGACCGACAACGCGGGGAATTCCAAGTGGTTAAGGGCGATGGCGCAGACTCTCTGGACAACACTATTGCGTCAATGTCCCGATTGGAGATTCTCGCTTCAGCCAGCGAGAAACTCCTGAAGGACCTCTGTGTCGCCGTTGTCGACCCAATACTACGGCCACGGGCTGATGGGAAAAGTCGCGCTGTCTCAATCACGGACACCGGCATCCGTGTTCAATCGGAGTTCTCAGAAACAACTGTTGCCGAGACGCTGAGCCGCACCACAGAAGTTCTGGATTATCTGCGACAGAACCTGCCACAGTCTATCTTATCTGAGCTCCCTCAATCGTTGATCCCATCTGTTGCGTCCAAGGCGATCTCGGGGTGGCTGTCTTCTTCGATCCCAACCACGCTCAATGGATTGGGGGAGTTTGAAGAGACTCTAGACATTGTGATGCAGTTCACCAATACAGTTCAGTCTTGGGGTTGGACTGGGATTGAGGAGCTTGTATCCTGGGTTAACCAGGCACCTCGTCTGTGGTTGACTCGGCGTCGCGTCGACTCGCTCGACAGTGTGCGCAAGGTCCTTGCAGCTAGCCAGGGCACCACTAAGCAAGTTGAGCGAGTCGAAAAGGAGCAGGTCTCTCGGGCGGATGAAGCCTTGCTGGAGACTGCCACGGACGATTGGGATGCTAATTGGGATGACGAGAAAGGGGAGGCAAGTACAGCAGGTCCAGCAATGGCCGCCCAGCCTGAAGAAGAAGAGGATGTCAGTGCGTGGGGTCTTGATGAGGACGCCCAGGAAGAAGCCGAGCCCGATGCGACTGGTGCTAGTGGAGACGACGATGCGGATGATGACGCGTGGGGCTGGGGCGACGACGATGGCGAGGAAGACCCGAGTGATCGGAATAAATCCCTACAGACTGACACGGCCTCAAAGCCTGTCAATGGTGCAGAGGCAGCACAGTCTTCTACTCCCAGAGAAATGACTTTGAGGGAGGTTTATACAGTCACCGATATCCCCGACTCGATCCTTGATATTGTTCGCCAGCAGATCAACGACTCAAAAGACATCTCACAGCCACCGTAAGTCTCTTTTGGCAGTGTTTTCTGAGCAACCAACGTCTCTAATGTGGAAAATATAGGCATTCGACCTCTCGAGTCGCTTCATCAGGTGCTGGTCTACTGGCGCTACCCACGCTGATTCTGGCCATGTTCAAAGCTACTTCCTCCTCCTTCTACTCGCTGAAGCTCGGCTCGGGTCAAATGTACCTGTACAATGACAGCCTGTACCTTGCCGGCCAAATTCGAGAGTTGATTGAAGAACATGAGCTGACCAGGCTCAGCTCTGATGTGGAAGCTCTTGAGAAATTTGGCAAATTTGCTTACAGCAAGGAGATGCAAACACAAAGCACGATTGTCACCGATCTTCTTGATGGTGCACAAGGCTTTGGACAATGCTCCGAGCAGCCATTCAAGACAGAGTGCGAAAATGCCGTGAGCGCGACTGCAGATCGCATTCGTGATGTCTATAAGGAGTGGCAGCCCATCCTGTCACATTCTGCTCTACTGCAGTCCATTGGATCCCTATTGTCTACTGTGATCAGCAAGATCATCATCGATGTGGTAGATTTGGGTGACATCTCCGAGGATCAGTCTAAGCAGCTCGTTGCTTTCTGCAACCATGTCTCCAAACTCGAGGATCTCTTCATACCCGAGACAACTGGTGATGCCGAAGCCCTACCTGTTACTGCTGTTTACGTGCCAAATTGGCTTCGTTTCCAGTACTTGATCAACATCCTCGAGAGTTCTCTTGCTGACATCAAATACCTTTGGCTGGAGGGCGAATTGGGACTCGAATTCTCCGTCGACGAGGTGGTGGATTTGATCGAGGCATTGTTTGCAGAATCTGGCCATCGCCGTCAGGCCATCTCAGAGATTAAGCGTGCCCCTCGAGGGTGATGTTGTTTCTAAATAATATCTGTCCTTACTTTTCCCCTCAATATCCTATACATATCCCAGTAATCCCAAACCATTCATTGTTATAGACAGTTTTGTAGACTCGGCGGGGCCATCTCCGCGCTTTGCGCTAGTGTGCCGCACGGGTCACCGTAATTTTTCCTCACCCGTGAAGGCTTGTTCAATTTGCGACAGCCACCAGAGCCGAGTTAAATCACCACCCTTTGGACAATATATCGCCCGTCATGAGTGGAGACCAAGAATCGTCCGCCGCTGAGGCTGTTCAGCGACAGGTTCGTGTACAGCTCACGACCCAGCAAGAGGATATTGCGCTCCCTGAGAGCACCGGTCCTATCCTCGTTCCCACTGGTAAGAACTCACACAACGTTTGTTGAAAGACTATTGTAATCTGGAGATGCTAATTGTGGTTTCGAATAGGTCTGCGACGTTATGCGCTGTCAACTCTGGTCAACAACCTTTTGGGAAGCGAGAAGCCCGTTCCGTTCGAATTTTTGATCAACGGAACATTCTTGCGGACCTCGATTGATGAATACCTGACCGACAATGGTATCTCCGCCGAGACGACTCTCGAGATTGAATATGTCCGAGCCCTTATTCCCCCTCTTCACATCGCTTCTTTCCAGCACGATGACTGGGTCAGCGCTACAGATGTGCTTTCATCAACTTCACACGCTGCGTCCTGGGCCTCCGGCGCCACCTTCTCGAAGGGCCAGGAAAGAATTCTGTCCGGAAGCTACGACGGTCTCCTTCGGATATGGAACATGTCATCCCAGACTATTGCTACCTCTCCAGCGGCCTCTGAGGGAGGACATACTGCCTCAATCAAGGCCGCCAAGTTCGTCTCGCCTAACCAGATCGCTTCGGCCGGCTTGGACCGCACTGTGAGACTGTGGAAGTATACCGAGGATGATGAGTTTGTTGGAAAAATCACACCCCAGCTCGAGTTGTACGGCCACAAGTCCGGAATTGAATCTCTGGCTGTGCATGCGCCGTCTAATCGCCTTCTGACTGGTTCTTCCGATCACAATGTTGGATTCTGGTCTACGAAGAAGGCCGATGCTCCCGCTGCTCCGGAGAACCTGCTTCCTAACACTGCTCGCACCTCCAAGCGCCGGAAGCTGAACACCTCCGTGAGCACCCCCCAGCGTGGTCCTCTGGCGCTTCTCTCGGCGCACACTGGACCTGTCTCTGCCGCCATCTTCGACGCTAAGGATTCCACTGTTGGATACTCTGCTTCGTGGGATCACTCTCTCCGGACCTGGGATTTGGTCACCGCTGCCCTTGTCGACACTCGTACCACCTCTCACTCTCTTCTTTCTCTCGAGCACCTCCCCGAGCACAGCCTCTTGGCTGCTGGTACCTCTGCCCGACACATCACCCTGATTGACCCGCGAGCCTCTGCCACTACTGTGGCAGCAATGACCCTGCGTGGTCACACCAACGCTGTTGTCAGCTTGGCTCGCGATCCCTCCAGCACGTATGGTCTCATCAGTGGTAGCCACGACGGCACATGCCGGATCTGGGATATCCGGTCCACCAAGAACGACAAGGAGGGTGTCGTTGGTGAGAGCGTTTACTCGATCGCTCGCAAAAGCCTCGAGGAGGAAGGTAAAGTGGATAGCAAGCGTGTCGGTGGTGAGGGTGTTAAGGTGTTCAGCGTATGCTGGGACCAGACTATTGGTATTGTCAGCGCGGGTGAGGACAAGCGGATCCAAATCAACCGCGGTGAGGGTGTCCTGTCTTCGAACAAGGAGTAGACTGTACATAATGACTCGGCGTTTTTAGATGTGGTTTTGGTCAAAAGTTATTGTTCATCAGATATCATCCAATCTGCCTCGGTTGCTAGGTAGTGTAGTTCCGCTGCCGCTAGGTAGATCTCCAGATATATATCTTGGTAGGTCCGTGTCTAATTTACGAAGTTCAAGCAACAGCCTACATAGATTTGAAGGGCACCGAGATGTTTTTGAGTAGTTTGTTTTTCTTTTAAATTGACATATAATACATTTATAGAGTGTACATTCACATAGCTAGCGAGAAAAAGCCAGCTCTCAAGACAAAAACGCCGTTCCCATGCCTCCCTCGCAAGATACGAGAGATTTTCCCATAATGAGGTTCGAAGAATTCCAAAAGGATGTCAGGTTTATAGCCGGCGCTCCATCCGGTTGAGCTTGACTGGGGTTTTGATCTATTGCACATTCGTTAGCTTCGAGTTCGAAGATGCCGCTCCTGCGTGTCCGATCACAAAGTCTCATGAGACCATCAAGACCATATCCACGAAGCACCCGAAGACACCGAGCATGGTATCAAGAATATCCAGTCTCAGGATATAAGAGACCGCAAAGGAGAAACAACCCACCTGAGTCCTTGTGCGCTGTCCTCGAACGGGCAGACCCAGCGCATGACGACGACCGCGGTAGGTACCGGTCTCCTTCAAGCGCTTGATGTCGTTCAAAACCTCTCGTCGCAGGTCATTCTCAATCTTCATGTCCGAAAGTACGGCGGTCAGGTCGAGAACCTGCTTATTGGCGAGCTCGCCGACGCGGCAGGTTGGATGGATGTTGAAGCGGGCCAGGAGGCGGGAGGAAGTGTGGCCGCCAACGCCGAAAAAGGTCTCGAGGGATTTCTGTTTATTCGTCCGAGTTAGTTTCCATGGTGGTGAAGGGTCAATTGGGTCGAATCAAGGTGTTGGTGTCGGAGGTGCGATGTTGTGCAGGGAGTGCTGACCTTGAGCAGGTTCCGCTCAGGGAAGTTGACACCGAGAATGAAGACCTGTGGGAGAAGAAGTAAGTCAGAGTAGATTTGACAGAGATCCTGCTAGCAAGCTTACCATCTTGATGTGCCTGGATGCCCAGCTAGACAATTGATTCTTGCTCTAATCGGCTCGCCGTCCGCGCATTGCGGGAGAAATCGACCGGCAATAAAGTTTATCCGAGAGACACTCCGGGCCACAGTTTGCAGATTGTATGAATATTACCGTATTATTGGTATTCAAACACCCAATTCACTGATAACTTCTCCTGAAGAACGGAAATATTACCATACAGTACTTCACAGCCACGGCGGCATCTCCGCACGCCATTGCAAGCTGGCCTCCTCACTCGACTCCTCCCTCTTTCCCTTCTACTTCCCACTGCATCCACCTTAAGCAGTGGCAATTCGCAACCATGTATTTCCGCAACCTTTTCTTGTCCCTCTTCTTTGTCCTGGCCGTTACCCTCGCGCTGGTTCAGGCTGAGGATGCTAAGCCCCGTGGTCCCAAGATCACCCATAAGGTAAGCAATTGGTCTCGAGATCTAAAAGGCCGAGACCCAATGCTGATTATTTCAATTAGGTCTACTTCGACATCCAGCATGGCGATGAGTCTCTTGGCCGCATTGTGATGGGTCTGTATGGCAAGACTGTCCCCGAGGTGAGTCGTTTGTCTATATACTTAAACTTCGAGGTTCAACCAGCGCAATCACTTACTTTCCATGTCTATGCAGACCGCTGAGAACTTCCGGTATGGTCACAGCTACAAAGCTCCATATATATCTTGACGCATGCCAATCCTAACGATACTTAGCGCTCTGGCCACTGGCGAGAAGGGCTTCGGCTACGAGGGCTCGACCTTCCACCGTGTCATCAAGGACTTCATGATCCAGGGTGGTGACTTCACCAACCATGACGGTCCGTACCATTATCTTGAACATAATTGATGTGAAAATTAATTCCTGTTTGCAGGCACTGGTGGCAAGTCCATCTACGGCAACAAGTTCAAGGATGAGAACTTCAAGCTCCGCCACTCCAAGAAGGGTCTCCTGAGTATGCAATCCAGCTCTGTACCCCAACAAATAACCAGATCAATAAACTCACCAAATTTAGGCATGGCCAACGCCGGCAAGGATACCAACGGCTCCCAGTTCTTCATTACCACTGTCATCACCTCGTGCGTACTCCTCATCCTCAGGGCTCTAGATCTATTCCAGCGCATGTTGCTAATCATTTCCTATATATAGTTGGCTCGATGGTCGCCACGTCGTTTTCGGTGAGGTCCTTGAGGGCTACGATATCGTCGACAAGATCCAGAACGTCCCCAAGGGCCGTGGTGACAAGCCCGAGAAGACCGTCAAGATTGTGAAGAGCGGTGAGCTCGAGATGGAGAAGTCGGAAACCGAGGACAAAGGTAGCCGCGATGAGCTTTAAGGCCGGTCCCGGCCCTTACTCTACTCTTCTACTGCTGGAGAAGGGTGGCTGATTATGTTTGTTTTTTCCTCCCCAAAGAATTCGACGACGAACCGGTGGCTGTCCCCCCAGTCGCTGACGAAACCCCGGCAACCGACGAGTCTTCCTTTTCGATGCAACCGGTCCTGATCTTCCTTGTGCTCGTGGCCGTGATCGGCTTCTACATCAGCCGTCGCCGCAGCCAGCAGCAGCAACAGGATGAGAAGGAGTTTGATGCGTAAGTTAAAAGACGATAGTTAAAGCAGGATCATCACAATGCATTTATGAGATTTGACTGGAACTTGTGAAGAGTCGTAGACTTGAATCAGAATGCATAGTCTGTATATCTGCTCTCAGTTAAGCATATCATGTAAAGACTAGATACAGTATGCACTATTAGGACTCAGCCTCCTGCAGCACCGGTCACGATACCTCGGCCATTTACATCTCGTGGCTCTGAACTTAGTCAGCCACCGCCCATACTCCAAATCTGTGCCAACTGGCTAGCAGAGTTTTTTTTTTTTTTTTTTGGGGTTGGCCACTGAATACGGTACCAATACTGGCGTCGATACATTTCAGGGCCTGCGGGACTCCTGAGAAATGACTAGTTCCTGGCCAGTGCTTGGCAAGTACCGTGGTCCCCTGGAAAATTACAGACCCAGCCAACTCATACCGGACCATACCGAGCAATACAGCGATACACAGCCACTACCGCTGTACGCACAGGCGACAGCACACGGGCGGGCGTACCCAGCAAGTACTCGATTTGCCTCCTTCCCACAGAAAACCTGCCATCGCGCTTCTCAACTTCCTACTTTTACATCCTCATCCCTTTTTACACCCTACTTATCCCTCTCTTTTCTTGTGTGCTCATAGAGTTCTTAGAATCAGGGGTTTTTGCATTTTCGTTCTTCTCTCCCACAATACCCGTTGTTTTGCCACTTGACTTTTTTCTTCTATCAAGCGGGAAAAAATCGAGAAACCTTACAACTTACCTTCTTACATCTCTCACTTGTCCTTGAAGGTTCTTTCATACGCTCTCTTTGCAAGTGTCCTGTGTTTACAGATCGCTTGCGCCTTGTCTCCGGAGAAACTTTCGGTGAACCTAGAAAAAAACTGTACGCAGACCCTTTACCCTTTCCCTCTTACACAACTCTTCTCACTTGACATCTCTCTTCCCCGAAAACTCAACTTTTCCATAACACCCTTTCCCGGCCAGCAACTAATCTGAGGTGCTCTTCTCGTCTACAGAAACACGTCAAAAATCGCAATCATGGCCGACGGTCTGCAGATGGGCAACTTGTCCCTCCAGGACTCCCAGCACGCCCCCCAGGGTGGCCCCCCTGGCCGTGCCGCCTACATCCCTCCTCACCTCCGCGGACGCCCCGGCGGTGCCAGCATGGACGGTCCTGCTGCAGCGGCTCCTCCTCCTGGCCCCGCTGGTGGCTTCTCCGGCGCTCGGTACGATATCCTAAAATCTCCCCTATCCTTGCTTCTCCATATGCTTTGCCACAAGATCTTCCGCTAACCCCGAACCGGTTCTCTAGGGATGCTCGTGGTGGTAACTGGGCTAACGCCAACGCCCCTAACTTCAGCCCTCGCGGCGGCCCTGCCAACGGTAATACCAGCTGGAACCCAAATGGAAAACTCCGGCCCTTCGATCCCTATGCTTACGGACATCCAGGACAAGGCGGCTCTTACAGTGGTGGTGGTGGTAGCTACAGCGGCGGCGGCGGTGCTTCCGCCCGTGGCTCTGGCGATGGTCAGTGGCGTGACGGCAAGCACATCGCCGGCCCTGCCAACCCCCGTTTGGAGCGTGAGCTCTTCGGTCTCGGTCAGGATGACCCCTCCAAGCAGCACACCGGCATCAACTTCTCCAACTACGACGATATCCCCGTTGAGGCGTCCGGCCAGGACGTCCCCGAGCCCGTTAACACCTTCACTAACCCCCCTCTTGACGACCACCTTATCACCAACATCAAGCTTGCCAGCTACGTTACCCCTACTCCCGTCCAGAAGTACTCTATCCCCATTGTCATGGGTGGCCGCGACTTGATGGCCTGCGCTCAGACCGGTTCCGGAAAGACCGGTGGTTTCCTCTTCCCCATTCTCTCTCAGGCTTTCCAGACCGGCCCCTCTGCTGCTCCTCAGCAGGCCGGCGGTGGTCAGTTCTACGGCCGCCAGCGCAAGGCTTACCCCACCTCCCTCATTCTCGCTCCCACTCGTGAGCTGGTCTCCCAGATCTTCGACGAGGCCCGCAAGTTCGCCTACCGCTCCTGGGTCCGCCCTTGTGTCGTGTACGGTGGTGCCGACATTGGCTCCCAGCTGCGCCAGATTGAGCGTGGCTGCGATCTCCTGGTCGCTACTCCCGGTCGTCTGGTCGACCTGATTGAGCGTGGCCGTATCTCCCTCGTCAACATCAAGTACCTGGTTCTTGACGAGGCTGATCGCATGCTGGACATGGGTTTCGAGCCCCAAATTCGCCGCATCGTTGAGGGTGAGGATATGCCCTCCGTTGAGGACCGCCAGACTCTCATGTTCTCGGCCACCTTCCCCCGTGACATCCAGATGCTGGCCCGCGACTTCCTGAAGGACTACGTCTTCCTGTCCGTCGGTCGTGTGGGTTCCACCTCCGAGAACATTACCCAGAAGATCGAGTACGTCGAGGACGTTGACAAGCGCTCCGTTCTCCTGGACATCCTCCACACCCACGGCACAACTGGCCTGACTCTCATCTTCGTCGAGACCAAGCGTATGGCCGACTCGCTCTCTGACTTCCTGATCAACCAGCGCTTCCCCGCCACTGCCATTCACGGTGACCGCACCCAGCGTGAGCGTGAGCGCGCCCTGGAGATGTTCCGTAACGCCCGTTGCCCCATCCTGGTCGCTACTGCCGTTGCTGCTCGTGGTCTCGATATCCCCAACGTTACCCACGTCATCAACTACGATCTGCCCACCGACATTGACGACTACGTCCACCGTATCGGTCGTACCGGTCGTGCCGGTAACACCGGTATCGCCACTGCTTTCTTCAACCGTGGCAACCGTGGTGTCGTCCGTGACATGATCGACCTCCTGAAGGAGGCCCACCAGGAGGTTCCCTCCTTCCTGGAGAGCATTGCTCGTGAGGGTAGCGGTTTCGGTGGCCGTGGCGGCCGTGGCGGCCGTGGTCGTGGCAGCTCCAACGCTACTCGTGACGTCCGTCGCTTCGGCGGTGGTGGCATGGGTGGTGGTCAGTCCTCCCTCGGCGGCAGCGGCTACGGCGGCGCTCCTTCCTATGGTGGCTCCGGCGGCTATGGTGGTGGTGCTGCTCCCTCCTACGGTGGCTCTGGCGGTGGTGCTGGCGGCTACAGCGGCGGCGGTGGCAGCTACGGTAACCCCGGTGGTGCTACTGGCCCCTCTTCCTGGTGGTAAATCAGTCGTGGTCTGATGATGAGGCCGTCGGGTCTGATTGGCTCCCCATTTCTTATTTCCTTATGTCTTTCGCTTGACGGATACGATCAGAACGCACCCTGAGTTCCTTTTTCGGCCTCGCTGTTTCTCAGGGACGGCTTTGTCATGACTGCCACGACTCTCCTATCCGCGTGTTTTAGATTCATGTTTTACTTTTCTCGTGCCTCGCTCTGATGTTTCGTTTCCTTTTCCGCTATTCATTTCCTTTTCCTGTATGTGTCTTATCTTGCTTTTTTATTTTCTGTCTTGCACGTTTCCAATGGCTCTCCATCTGGCCTTGTTTAGACACGGGGCGTTCGAGCAGTTTCGATTTCCTTTGCGTTGCTCCGGGTCATTTCTTTACGACGATTTCCTTTTTCGAGCAACCCGGTGATCGGCACTGCATGAACATCATAGAATGCGTTGTCTTTTCTGTCCGTCTCTCATCAGATACCCCTTTTTTGTTCGAGCGTTCCCACAGTTCGGGGAACTACGTTCGAATGACGCGTGCGCCGAGCGGAGAGTTCAACTCTCCACGAAAAGTGCTTCTTTTCTACATGTGCATTCATCTCTCTCGGTGTTGTTTTGGCTGCATCGGTCGAGTTTTGCAGCAATAGACTCCTGACAGCGTCGGTATCTAATGGCGGACCGTTATCTTGTGTTCCTGCCCTCGTGTTTTCTGCGGTCAATTCTGTTTCGAAACCCAAAAAAACTCCGCGCTTTTCTCTCCCTCTTCCTTCCTCTCTCCCGGCTATCTCAGCACGAACCAAACCAAAAGTATGCTTTTACGAATGGACGTGCATCGACGGGAGGTGCAACGAGGAGTCCAGATTTTACTGGGATTTCTTTTTTAAAAAAATGTTGCTGGACCTGTCGCAGATGCTGTGCGAGGTGGATGGATTTTCGACACATGGCTGCTTTCTTTGCATTTCATATGGCGTTGGCTTGACTGGCTTCTCGAGTAAGCCCTCTGGGTCCGTGGAGGCTGATTGTTTCTCCTCTTTATTTTTATGCATATCATTTTTTACGGATCCACGGAGGATTTGGGACGCTGTCGCTGGCGCTGGATGAATGGTTCGCTCTCAGGCATCATGGGGTTATTTCGCATGGTTCGAGTTTGGGAGGACGCAGAGGGGCCTGGAAATCTCGAGGCCACGAGAAGGAAAGCTTTCTTACCTAGTTTCAATGTTAATTTGAAAAGTGTTTGAGTCTATCTTGTTAGGTCCATGACAAGATCGTAAAGAGTAGTAGTCCTTGTAACGGCTCTCTGCTTGAGTAGGCCAAGACCTAAGTGGTGACGCGCTAGTTAGCGAAGTTCTTATACTTCGCCTACCAGGGGTAGATAGGCAATGTGTTCTCAGGAGAGACATGGAAATATCGAGAAACGTATACAAGAAACATGATTTACCAACTGGTTACCATGACACAGAGGAGTGGCCCGCTATTTGCGTCCAAAAGTGCCATCATTAGTACTCAAGGCCTGGGTGACGTGCTAGGCTTCCCTATACTTCGCTTTGCCGCTGTGGACAGTGGCTTCAGAAAGTATATACAAATATTGAAACAGAAGATACATAGATGCCAGTTGGCTGACAAGCGCTTTGTTCAATATTTTGCGACCTAAATGCTTAGCTGAAAGTGCTATGGCTAGTTAGTGCTCAAAACTTGGTGACGCGCTAAACTTGTTCCTATACTTCAACTCGTACAGCAGCGGACATGGTGGTCTTAGAAAGAAAAAAAGGTCGTTAAAATGGAATTTAGGTAGATATACTTTATTGACAAATTATTTATTAATTATTTTGCAATTTTAATACGTAAAGCCAAAGTGCTAAGCACAGGAAGAGAATCTGGTCGCGTCAAGACCCCCGTTACGCGGAGTCTCCCAAAGCGGGTAGATATCACCACACCGGCGGCACATTAGCCACAGTAGTTAAACTCTCTCTCAGCTTGACCAGCAACCTGAGGATCACTCGGCACAAATTCGTCCCTTCCGGTCCTTCCCTTCTTCCCCTTGGCAAAACCTCATTTTCCCCCCTCCACCTCTCTCTTTTTCATCGTGGATTTCATCACAACCTTCATTCATTGATATATTTTCCCTTCTCCGTCCCGTCTTTGTTCTGCTCGCGCCTCTTAAGGGGGCAACACGACTCCCCCAGCACTCGATTCTTCGGGATCCTCCCAGCTGGCCTACACCCCGACAACCCCGATCGCAATCATTGCCCAACATGGCCGAAGTCGAGCATGCCCCAATCGAGGAGTCCGTCGCTGCGTCCGAAGCTGCGGAAGACCAGACTCATAACGTGACGGCCAGCGCGACGGTCGGTACAAGACGTCAAGCTAATGGCACCATTGGCTCGGTCTACTCTGGAAACAAGATCAGGCACCTGAAGAAGGAGGATGGAATTCCTCTGTGGCGCAAAGACATCCAATACCAGTTCCTCAAACTCGTCTTTGAGGATAAGACCCCCGTGTTCACGCGATACCCCGATGGCAAGAAGAACTGCGACTTCGCGGACATTTATATCGATGCCATGGCGAGGAGTAGCAAGACCAGCAAAATTCTGAAGGACAAGCTGCAAAATGACAAGCCGGCTGCTATCAGCATGGCGATGGTTTGTCTGTTGGTCAACTTTGGTCGCATGAACACAACTCTCAACTGTATGTCTTGTTCTTCATGCATCTCCTGTTGAATCCCTTCGATCCGATTGTGATACTGATTACGGTCTTTTTGATACCTTCTAGTCTTCCCCGAAATGCGTGCTCAGTTGCGAACCTACCACTCCATCCCTTCCCTCCAAGCCCACCAAGATTCGAATGCCTACAAACAGCTCCAGGATGCTCCGCGTCTGAAGTCCATCTTGAAGGGTGCATCTGAGGACGTCGACCAACCTAATACATTGGAAAAAATCAAGCGACAGGCACTTCCTCGAACGAACCCCGTGAATCTCATCTTTGTCCTGGCGCAATATGCACCGAAGGTGTCTGAGATGCATTTCTTCCCTCCTCGCGACTTTTTCGATTTGGTCATGCGGTCTACATTAAGCAGCGAGACTCGCGCCAAGGCCTTCTTGTGGCTTATGTGGTGGTACTTGGAGAGTGACTTTACACGCGAAGCTGCGATCAACAATCCCTTTGGCGCTGGTTTAGACGGCGAAGGCACCGATGGCCTCCCAATAAAGGTTCCCGCTTTTGAGAGCTTGACGGAGGATCAGGCCAACCTGGAGAATGTGGATACACCAGAAGAATTGGAGTATGGTGAATCCAAAAGACTAGAACGAAAGCGTGAGTGTATACTTACTACAGTTGCTCGTTAAGCCGTCTCACTCACATCTTTCCACAGGTATTCTGGAAGAGGATGAGCCACTTCCTCGTGTTCCGAAGCGCTCTAGGAAAGGTAAGCTAGTATGGCGACTCTTGTACTACGTTCGCGTGTCCTGACTTTTCGGTATTTAGATTATGGTCTAGACGAGGATTCCTTTGCCGCAGACTACTCTGGTCCAGGAGGTCGTGGTTCCGCTATGTCTACCCCTCTTCATCCATCTGCGAAGCGCAGCCTGGATGATGATGACGACGACGAGTTGACTCCTGGTTACTCGCGACCACGGAACAAGCAGGCCAAGCGGGACTCTTCGCTCACTCGCGCCGTTGGTCAGCAGCGGTTGATCTTGAAGACTAGACTGGATCATACTCCAGATGCTTCACCGGCACCCCCAGGCTCTAACCATCCGGTGCTGAATCGCTTCATCGCCGAGCCGTCCCTTTCTCATGGCTCTGGACGTCGACCCCGACCACTCACCCAGCACCAGATTGCCGTTGAACAGAACCGTCGACAGCGTATCGAGTATTTACTTGCCAAGCGCAAGAGCAACGCATATCGTGTCTTGCGCCACAAGCGGAATAACGAGATCCCTTGTGTTCGATATGGTCGTCTCCTGCAGGGCTTGCCAGATGGATACGATACCGAAGACGAGGAGAAGTCATGGGGCAAGGGTGGTCTGCTCCCCAATCCCAACGAAGAGGATGATTTTGGCGAGTGCGCCAGTTTCTTCCTCTCCGTGGTTCGGAAGGCTTCGCGTCGCCTAGACAGATGGGACTACGAAGACGCCAATGGACCCAAGAAGGACCGTCAAAAGGAGCGCGAGGAGCGACAGAGGGCAAAGGCTGCTATCGAAGCGGACGTACGAGCTAGCAGCAACCGTGCTCGCCCTCGAGCCCCTCGAGCCGCTGCGAAGCGCAAGTCTACTGGCCCAACATCCACACCTGGCACTGCCAAGAAAACATCAGGATCTCGTGCCAAAGCTGGTCGCAGTCGTCTCGCTACCGGAGGCTTCGAAACCCCAGCTGCAGGTACCCCGAACTGGGATGCTGAGAATGCTGCCGGTGATGAGGATATCGAAGGCGAGCTGGATGAACTTGACCGCGAGCTTCTGGGTGAAGGATCTGGCGAGGAAGATGGTGCCCAGGGTGCCGGAGATGGAGAGGGCGATTCCTCTGACGAATCTGGTGATGACGAGGATGGCGATGAGAACTCGTCCACCTACGATGGACCCAATGGCTATGCACGACATGAAAGCTCCTCGCCTGTTCCGGAGAGCCGGCGCGATGGTGGAGACGATGCAATGGAGGAGTAAGGAATTCGGCGATTACCAAATTTGTTTTATGATTATACTATTCTGCCTGTGATTGGGACTTTTTTCTTCTGTTGGTTGAACAGTGCTTTTATTGAAGCTAATTTATGACCTCTTCTTGTGATAATCTCATTCTTCAGCGATGTAAAGCAAGACTGCCCTCCACCTTAGTAACGTCTCCTTGTCGCTGCTGCTTGCTGGAGAGAATGTTTCCTTGCCTCCAATTCCTTCTCTCCGAGCACCTCATACATCCACCATCCAGAGTACGGCCGGATTGTGTTGAGCTCCAATCGGGCCGGCTTAGTAGGCGAGGGCGTTGACGTTGCCTCGATACCAACCAACCCCGCCACCATAAAAGTGTCATAAAAGCGCCCGGCAGCATAGTCCTTGACCTTCACCGGCACAGAGATAAAAGCCGGAGGAATATCCTTCGTATCGATCCTCGGGAAGACATTTTTCGAAAGCTTCAACCCATCACGGTTATAAAGGCACTTCCCTTCACTATCCCAGAAACAGAAAGCCGTAACCCACCCAGACAGATGGCTGTAACCACTCCCAGCATCATGATGAACACTCTTACTCCAAAAGTCCTTCGTCTGCTGTGCATCTGGATGATCAAACGAAGCCACAAATGCCTCCAGAACCGGTTTCAGCAAAGAAGCGAACAACCTTGGTTCTTCGCCGAATGTATGAATCTTCTCCAGCTTCGCCAGGAGATCGACCCAGTCACTCCGTTCTCCAAGCAACGTCACACTCGGAATCCCACATCGAGTAACCATCACATAAGTGAAGTATTTCTGCAGCGTGCCCATCATGATCACCGCCGCAACGATCCTGTCATTCTCACTCGTTGTTGTAAACAAAGGCAGAAACCAACTCCGTAGCTCCTCATCAATCACGAAGTTCTGCATGAGAGTCGTCATTTGAACGGCCATCTTACCAACATCTACATCGACGATCGTCCCAGCTTCATCGGCTACAACGATGAGTTCTTCCCTGTCTTCGTGGGCGACGAAGAAACTGCGCAGTTCATCGGCATGCGCGTTGATGTAGAAGTTTAGTTGGGTTAGGATGGAGGTCCAGACATCATCTGGACGGAGAGTGAGGTGGTTATGGCTGGAGTATGCGTGGAACAGTGCATTTACTAGGCCGTTTGGATCTGGGGTGATGTGTCTCGTTGGATTGGGTGGGTGTTTGTCGAAGGAGCTGTGGAAGATTTTCTTGCAGCGGGGGAATTCGTCCGGGCAGGAGTCGCGGAGTAGTTCCTCGCCTGTTTTGACGGGGTTGTGCCTCCAGATTGAGGGGGTTTGGGTGGATGTTTGGAATGTGACGGGCATTTTGTAGTGATGGCTTTGTGTTGGAGAGTTGAGTTGTTTAGATGGGGAATTCAAGAGACAGGACGGTGTTTGAGCCTTTCCAGTAGAGACAGCGCTGGGGCTTCGGTTTCAGACAAGCAGAGATTATGTGTTGGTATTAAAGACTTGTTTGAGTTAATGAAGTGTTGATTAATGAAGCAGATTTATAGGAAGGGAACTTATTTAAGAGGCAGTGCACGTTCAAGCCAGGCTGACCTGTGAACACGAAGAGGCACCCAATCAGGTACAATATGTGACGCAGTCTATGGAGCACCGTGGCCGACACTCGATTGGGTCAAGTGACTCAAGTCTATTTAATTGAGTCAGTCTGCAGAACAATAAGGTAGGTCAGGTTTGACAGGTTTAGCCTTGTGGCACGCAGTGTAGACTTGAGGTTCGACTTCTCCAGAAGTACAGTAGTTATGGATGAAGAGATGGAGAGAGACAAGAAGAAAATGCAAATCCAAAAATGTCATTCTGGGCTCCCCTTCTCAGCTACATAACGACTCTTCTTTTCTATCTAAAACACCACATAGAATATAATGAGTCGATGAGCTAGAAATTTGCCGATAATTCCCAGTCGTCTTGCCGGAACGGCCATCCAACGAGTCCAATAGCAAGTAAGGAACCTGACTCAATCTCTTTAGCCTTTGCTTTGAGCTCATCGACATCCCAGTTCGCCCAAAGGAATTTCCCTTTCAAAAATCGCGCTTCAGGACTGGCCAGCCAAACGTAAAAGCTTGCTGGAAGAGAAACTGCATTGAAGTCAGCATCCGAGTCATCTAGTGAGCACCATCCATGGATCCTACTTACCATGATCCTCAAAACCGAGAGCAGCAACTCCTCCAGCCTCTTTGTTCATGTCAGTATCCACAACGCCAGGCTGGACATGGAAAATGCTGAGGTTTGGCCTCGTGAAAGCCACGGCGTCCCACAGTCGATATACCCCAAACTTGGCGATACTATAAGCCGCGAACTTAGGGCCGAAATTCAAATGGGCCGCCGAGGAATTGGTCTCGATAACGACTGCATCATCAGATGCATAGCGAAGAAAAGCCTGGGCGATGAGGAGCGATCCTTTCAAGTTCTGGTCGATGCTTGCTATGAAGGCTTCACTTTCGACATCCTCCACGCTGTCCTGAGGCCCGATGGTTGCGGCGTTGCTGACTAGGACATGAAGCTTGCTATTCCTAATGAAGTCTTCAAAGGCTGCATCGACTTGCTTTTTGTTCGTGACGTCCGTGGGAGCAATGTAGACTTCTAAATTAGGATATCTTTGTTCGAGCAAGGCCTTGGTATCAACTAGAGGCTTTTCTCGACGGCCCAGGAGAGCGATTCGAGAGGCGCCAGCCTCGGCAAAGTAGACAGCCGTCTCTGCACCGATTCCAGTGCCTCCTCCGGTGATCAAGACGGTCTTTCCCTTAGCAGAGAGCTCAGGGCGGGTTGGAGAAAGAGATTGGTATGTGGTCGAGTGCCATGTCGACGTTGGAGAGGGAAATGGAGCGGCCATAGTGTTATGAGGATTGCGAAGTATTCACTTGGATGAGTTGAAGAGCGAGTGAAGACATCCTCGTCCATCTATGAGACCCATTCTTATACATGTTGGGATGCAGCGAGATCAGGTCAGCACAGGATAGTACAAATTGCGAAGCCGAACATGGAGAATCACAATTTGAAAGGTCCGGTGAGGATATGACTATGAAAATAGGGCACATTTCAAGCCCAATAGGCAAAATAGTAAGACTACGGAGTTTTTGAATAGCACGTCCTTTTTACAAAATGTTCCGGCCGGTAAGCACGATGCTGCCGTAGATGCTGACAAATTCGAGCATCCTCCTTTGGGGGCGAGGCTACAGTGACCAACTTCAATGTGTATGAAGAAATACGCTTCAAGAATCTCCGATAGAAGTACATCTTTGCTTCCGCTCAACTTGAAATGGCCCACGGAGAATTACAATCTGTTCTACGGTGCGGACTGTGCAACAAACCATTTGATAAGCGTGAGTTGAACCATTACCCCGCGACGTTGCCCTCAAACTAAAGACAGGGGACTCCAGAATCCACGCTAAAAAGACATGGATACTATTGTCGGACTCGGCAAAATGGCAGTGCTCCGCGTGTTCGATCTTGTGTTTCCTGTGTAAAAGGAAAGACGCGTTGCGACAATAAGCGACCAACCTGTTCCAGGTGCATCACCAAGGGCAGTGAATGTGTTTATCCGGCCAGCTCGCACCCGGCAGTCGAATCAAGAATTCAAAAGGCTGACAGTGTGTCAATTCGACGAAGGAGTCTGGTACTCTCGCCGCCAGCTACTGATGTCACTGCTGAAAGTTCTCTGGGAGCTAGCAGCGATATCGACGAGATTATTGATGGCGTGCTCACGTCATCTCATCTGGTGTCCACGAATATTGTGGACAGCTATGTCGATGGCATCAACCAAGATATGGGGTTCTCTACTTTGTTCAATCTCCCAGAATATCAGAATGCTAGTCAAACTCCCTTGTCAGGATGGCAACCTTTTGAAGGGCAGCAAACTACCCCATTCTACAACCTATCAATACCAGCACAAGTGACTTCCAATACTAGATCGCTCATACTGCGACCAAAGGCCACAAATGGAGGAGAGGGAATTGCTGGTCTGATTCTACATACTTTGAAATCATACCTGCGAATGATGTTACACCACAATACCCTTCCACCCTTCATCCATCCACGGACCATATCCCCAGACTTTGATCGGGGCAATACAGAGCCCCTCACAAACTGTATCAGTTTGGTTCATATGATCGGAACCAATGTCAAAGGCAGTCGGAAGCTATTTTGGAAGAACGTGAGACAAGAATGTGAGCGCTTACTTGAAGATGTGAGTCGGAACCTAAATGGGTCAGAAGTAGATCGACGTCACGGAAACTGACTAGAAGTCATAGCATCTCAAACTAAGCCCTTGGGAATTGCTTACTGCTATGCAAGCCATCTCAATCTACATCTTGATTCGACTAGATGAAGGCGCGACGGAGGAGAACGATTTTGATTCGTTATTACTTGCAGCGGTATCCGTACGTCTTACATCCATTCACCTTTGCAAGGATTCTTTCTAATACGCCTACATAGGCAATGTCCAAGCAACTGGGGTGTTATGATCTTATACGCAGATCACAAATCACAGATCATGCTCCTAGTCTTGACCAAGAATGGGAAGATTGGATCTTTGAGGAATCTGAACGAAGGTCGGTACTGCCAATGATCAAGGACTCGCAGATGACTAACTCAAAGCTCAATAGACTGTGCGTTATATACCGAGTCGTGAATCTACTCGTCTATTTCGACCCGGCGGCAATGTGTGATTTGTCCTCGGATTTCGTGATAGCCCCTTTACCAGCCAAGAAAGGACTGTGGGAAGCAAATGATGAAGTCTCATGGCATGTGGAAAACAGAAGGGTTTCCAAACCACAGCCTCCTTTTGGCTTGACTAAGAAAGGCCAGGTAGTCAAGTTGACCGGAGTTGAGCCACATCATATGCATTATCTGCCTGGCAATCAGACCTTGAATATCTCCAAATCAGAAAGCGCTGAGAATTGGGAGGAGTGGTGCTCGGGTATGGACGGCCTCGGTGGGCTTGTCATGCTTGCTGCTTCATTGATAGCCTAGGCTGTTATTGAGCCATATCATTGGTTTCTATTCATTACATCCAGTCAAGGTTATTATTCTAGCCTGCATAAACAATACAGACCCATTTCATGTATTATCGATGTCTATGCATCCAGCGATGACAAAAGCACATCGAATACTTGCACAACCTCCTCTTTCTCCTCCTTTGATAGCTGTATTCGCTCTGTGAGAGCAAATCCCTCTCTTAGCCGTGCACTGACGATCTCCTTAGGTGTCTTCGTCCTGAATGCCGCTTCAATGCTCTTTGAAATACCATGAAACGGATAGGCCATCAAGCCAATACCCGCTATTATTCAAACCATTAGACATCTATGCTATCCCAACAAAAGAGGGTTGACTTACCAGAAGGCATATTCGTGGCCATTCCCAGAGCACCCCTAGCAAGTCCTTTCATTGCACCCTCTCGCCCTTCTTCAATGAACCCCTTAATCGGGTGCTTGATCATCCCGGTGATACCAGTCGTCATGCCACCCACGAAATTCTTGCCGCCGACTATCGCTCCAGACTTCCAGTCGTGGACATTGCCGTATTCTTTGGGCTTTTCGCCATACAGTTGAGGGGCTCGTCGGAAGCCCTCTGCCGCTGCATGGGGAATATCGACTATCATACCCCGGAAATAAGTCGCTGAGAATTTGCCAAATCCTTGTAATGTGGCTCCGGCCATGTTCGCAGCTGTTTGGAAAGGATCACTATTTGATCGATTCACTGAGGGCGTTGAGCCTGATGAATCTGTCTCTGATAGGTTCCCGGTACGACTTTTTTTGAACTCTTTGTACGGATTGTAGAACATCTCGCCGGTTGATTGTAGCATGTTGGTGCCGGTGGATGTGGCGGCTGATAGAACACCCGTCAAAGGGTCCCACCGGCGATTTTCGATGATGATTGGATTGATAGCATAACTGTTGTCATACGTTAGTACCTATCAACAATACAGAAGAAAATGTAAATGTCCATACCACTTGACTTGGTTTGTATCTATCCTTTTGTATTCAATCAATACATTCATGGCCGCTTTAGAAAGAGTCAGAGACTGCTTCTTTCGAGTATACGCCCATGCCGCAGGTTGGCCCGGAATAACACTGCATCGCATTCGCTTCAAAGGCAAATTGCGATGGAAGGAGTTGACAGCTGTCACCACTCCAGACTCTGTTTTCATTTTCAAGGCGATTTCTTGTGCAGCAGCTTCTGCCTCTGGTGTGAGGCAGAATTGAATTGCTTCGGCTAGATTTTGAGGATCTAGCATGGCGTGTGGGATTGGTTCAGGGCCTGCACCGGCTTTTGCGACCATGTCGCCCCAGAAAGGCTGACTATAGTGAGATCTTGTTAGTCCGACCGAACATGGAGTTCCTATGTTCATGGATGAAATAGACTTACTCGCCGAAAAAGGGTACAATTGTGGTTGGCCGGCCATTCAACAAACCACACGCAGTGGTTCCGGCGCCTCCATGATGGACCACGGCAGACACATGCTGGAAGAGCCATCCATGTGGACAATCACCGATGTAATAGACGTTGTAATCAGCTGGTCCAGCCAGCTCGCTCCAGCCCTTTGAAACGATCGCACGTACACCAGCTCTCGAGACTGCTGCGAGGACCGTGTCAATCAGTTTTTGGGGATCCTCGACAACAATACTACCGAAGCCAATGTACACCGGAGGAGGCCCCGATTGCAGAAACTCCGCCAAATCAGGCGGTGGTGTATAGTCGGGCGGATCCGAGAAGAAAAATCCACAGACATCTGATCAGAGATGGTGATGTTAGTAAATGAGGCTACCATGATATAGTCTATGGTCTTACCGATATGATCCGGCCAGTCGCGTGGCTTTGGAACTAAAGCAGGAGACCAACAGTAGGTCATGGGGATCTCCAGGGCTTCGGCCAGGCAAGGGCCCTCTGTCCTTGGGACAGGTGCCAAGTCTATTGAAGACCGGAATCGATTAATCACGTCGCCCAAGCTGGAGCGATTGTGTATTAGACAATGTTCAAAGAAGCGTTCTGGACAGCCAAACTTACCCTTGCCAGGTAAGCCATTCCACCACTCCATATGAAACCCAATTCGCTGTCCCTGGGGTTTCCATGGACCCATTTTGTAGATTGGCCAACGGATGTGGGAATGCCTTGGTACTACTCCAAGGCATAGTGAACATGAGATGGACAGGGATGCCTAGCGCTTGCGCACAATGAATATGCGCAAAACTTGGTGGATTGGCAATAATCGCATCTGCAACAAACGGCTCTTGTGTTACAGGATCATCTTCGATACAAGATCTCCAGCAGCCGGTGAGCATTTCTGCGACCATGACTTGTTTCTTTTTGATTTCTCCATCACGCAATGTTTTAATCTGCGGGATCAGGCCAGGATTTTTGACCATGTAGGCCATGAGTTGGGCTGGATCGCCTCCAATAGGGAAGAATTCCAGGTAAGACTCCTTCACGAAGTTTTCGAAAACATTGTGAGTGGCGATTCGAACCCGATGGCCATGGCTTTGCAAGGCGTTGCCTAGTGCGATAAAGGGCTGAACATCTCCACGACTGCCCACGATCTGGATAATAATGTTCAATTTTACATCACACCCGATCGGCTCTTCAGGTTGAGCCCGAGGTGGTGCATGATGTAGGTCTTCTTGTTGTTGGTTCGCGATTTGTGCGAGTGATTTTGCGAGCTTGGAATCGAGACGCACGTCAATACGTCCATCGGCTAGAAATCACTCGATTAGTTTCGCTTTATTTGGTTATCCGAAGCTGTAAACATACTATGAGCATCGCCGGATTCAGCAGTTAGTTGGGGGTCGAGATATGGGGCATAAGGTGGGGGAGTCTGGGGCGCCCCTGGCTCACGCTCAGGGCATGGCGATTTTCCCATGTTTCTGATGGTCGGAGTGGACCTAAATTCAGATTCAAAGGATGAAGGGAGGTTGTAAATTCATGCCCAGAAGATTCCGAGATCTTCGTTTCTTGATATCAGCTTGGACCCTGTTTCACGACATCATCTGGAAGTGGCGAGTCTCGGACTCGTGCGCGATGCCCAAACAGGCAACAGAGTTCCAACAGAAATTGCTTGGTCAGCCAATCAACAAGAAATCAACAAACATTCTGGGGGTCCAGCGAGATAACCTTGTTCCACTTTTGATTATCATTTCCTGTTGATCGACCTCTTTCGTGCACTGCCAGCCACTCCTTTCTTCAGGCTGGTGGACTCTGTTGGTCGTGGCAAGCGGGCCGTGCAGAGTTGATCCCCCGCGGCACAGTGATTATTATGCTGGTGGCTGTGGCTGTGCTCCAGGAGAAAGAGACCTCGATCGAAACTGGTTTTAGCATGTCATCTTGTCGCATCCAGTAACCAACTCAACCAACCTGTTTCGCCTTGTCCGATCCGGCGATGGAAGGAGGGATTCGAAACTATGCCAATTCGTCGTTGTCCAGCCTGTCATTACCTCTGCCTGGAGGGGTTCAAGGCACGGATAAGCGCAGGCTATTATTGATTTACATTCATGGCTTCATGGGATCGGAAGCCAGCTTTCATGAATTCCCAGCACATATTCATGATCTAGTGACAAGCTTACTGAGCGAGTCGCATGTTGTCTACACTCGCATTTATCCTCGGTACAAGTCTCATGGCGAATTACAAACAGCAGTGACCCAATTCAGTGCCTGGTACGTGCTCGCTCTGTCTAAAGAGACGCTCGAAAGATATGCATTAACAACCCCTTTTGCAGGTTATCGCCTCATGAAGCCGATGACCTAGATGTTATCCTTCTAGGTCATAGTCTTGGCGGGATTCTTGCCGCAGATGTTGCTCTTTTGCAGCAAGACGGGAGACCGAAACATCGAATCCTGGGGCTTGTGAACTTTGATGTTCCATTTTTGGGGCTCCATCCTCGTGTAATTCCTACGGGGATCATGGGTTCTGTTCCGAGGAAAGATGTAGCCCCTGAAGACCAACTGGCAGACGAACAAGAGTCTCTTGGACTTGAACCTGCCTACAAACCCGTCACTCCAAGCCCCAACTTTGATCCACCCTTCAGGAATGATGTTCGCCTCGTTCAACGCGGTTTCTTGAAGGGTGTCATGCATTTTGTCAACAAGAATACAGACAATCTCTCGCGCTCCATATTTGACCGTCTGGTGTCACCAGTCAAGTTTGCAAATTGCGTCAATAACTACTCTGAGCTTCGTCAACGGCATCGGCGTCTGATCGAGCTAGAGGATGCTGAATACAAGGCCGAGAGAGTACGATTTGTCAACTACTACACCACCAGTACTGGTCGAAAACCACGGAAAACTAAGGGGGAGACCGACAAAGATACTTCGAATAAGCTCGAGGAAACAACTGCAGATGAGCCTGCAGAGAAGGAGGTATCTGAAGAATTGACAGAGATGCTTGCGGAAAAGATCAAACTCAGTGATGATCTCGAACTTACACCCCCACCTCCGCCTACACGAAAACCTCCCGAGGTACCAACTGTCTTGACATCGGAGGCTGCCCCATCCACGGCAAGAATCTCACCACCCGACAACCAGAGCTTGAAGTCTGTCTCCTCAGATTCCACTCTCGCAGCACCAGAGATGAGCCCCGAGGCCAGTCGCCCCTCGATTGAAACACCAAGCCTCGCATCCTCCACGACCCTCGATCCAGAAAGCGAGAAGCTCTCTGAAAGCGTCTCCATCTCGACATCTCAATCCGATCTCAATCCAGACACCTCTAAGCGGAAACTCCGCAAGTTCATCCTCTTGCCATCTCATCATTGGAAGTATAACGACAATTCTCACTGGACCCCGATTTTGATGGAAGATATGAATGAAGTGACAGCACATCAGTCCATGTTTGTTCCGCAGGGCGCAAATTACGACTACCTTGTCGGGGATACTGTGGCACTTATCGAGCAATGGATTCAGACCGATCTCAGCCAACGATTGATGCAAGAAAGATTTTATTAGAAGGCTGTATTGATGGAATTACTTTCTTCATGGACTTACGAACTAGTCAGCTAATTAATAATTTTAATCCGAACTCTGCCAATGCTACCAGTAAAACAACACGCAATCCTAGGCCTTCACACTCAATCTGACTGAAGAGAAAGATCAAAAAAGACTGACAAATAGGTAAAAGTAGACCGTGGCCTAGCCAAAGTGGCATATCATATGTACCTCAACCCACGGAAGTTGCGGAAGATTTTGAATGCACCATGTAGAGTCGCATACATGCTGCCGCCCGCAGTGACCCAAGCAGCGCCTTGGAAGCGCAGAGAATTGAGTGGGATAGGCCTTTGTTTCCTTGAATTGTCTGTAATCGAGCGTGAGTAAAGCCCATGGCATTGACATGATGTAAACCCAACGGAAGTCCACATCACGCACCTGTAGGAATCGGCCAAGTTGGATGTTTTGGAAGTGTCCCAACCTGCTGGTCGAGGAGTGTCTGGAAGTTACTAAAGGAGGACATGCTTCGAGTATGAGCTTTGAGAGGTTTTCGCTGTGATGTGATTTAACTGGAATTTTGAGTCGTGATGACGTGCTGAGGTGGTCTTTATAAGGATTGCTATGCCCAGTAATATTGGCTACCTTGATAGCTATTAGCATCATCTGACAGCATACATAAGAGGTAGCCAAGAATTAGTTGATTGGACTTTGAAGTGCAGAGAGTTATGGTATCCTGCTATGATTCGTCTCTTGGCTGCGGGGTGCATGGTAGCCCGGGCTGGCCACCCATCGTTGGTAGGGTGGCGACTTCAACCGAGAGCTGCAAATATTATTACTAAACTATCTTATCCTTCAGTCCCAGTATTATTAAAGCTCCATTAGAGCTGATTGCGCATAGTAGCGCTAGAACAAGCATTTTTAGCCTCTGAAATTGGATCAAAAGGCCATCCCCTCACACAAATGTGATCACCGATTTTCCAACACCACCTTTCGAATCATACACGACCTGGCACGCATCTCGGACAGCCTTGAGATCTTTGTACGGCACTTTAGTTCCAACAACAGTACGCACTTTCCCTGCGTCAACCCACTCAGCAATGGAACCCAAATCTTTAGCATTCGGTTCCAGGAAGATGGCCGAGTACTTGACACCGTATCGCGATGCACGCATGGTACGGATTCGATCTAGCACGTTCAGGGCGAGTTTGACGGCAAAGGGAACTGTCGCTCTGTTGTTCTTATCAGGCGAGAGCCGCATAAGACTCGAGTTCTGTAGGGTATCTCCCGAGGTTAGGATGGCGATGGATACGATAGCTCCGGTCGGCCGCATCAGCGACAGATAGTTCATGGAGTCTCCTGTCGTGTCGAAAAGAAAGTCAACCGATTCGGCAGGAATGACAGTCTTTGGATCTGTCTTTCTGTAGTCGATGACTGTTGATGAATTTGTTAGTCTGTTTAAACAGAGTAAAAGGGAAAGCGAAAGACCTACTTTCATCCACGACACCATCACCCAGAAGTTCCTTCACTTGAGGGACCTTAGAAGTTGAAACAGTCGTGATGACTTTGCCAGCCCTGAATACATTCTTGGCCAACTGGCAGGCGAAGAGCCCGGTACCACTCACTGCCACACAAGGTAAGCTTTTGTTGTACAACGGTGCAATTCGTCAGAAACATACATCCAGCAGGTACAAATACCGTCTTACCCTCGAGACTACCAGGGTACCCCCGAAGGGCCTGTAGAGCAGTCATAGCCGCCAATGGAATCGATGCCGAGTCTTCCATGGACAGACTGTTTGGCTTCAAAGCGACAAAGTCTTCGGTTGTTCTTGCTAGCTCACTCCACGCGCCTAAGTTCAAATAGCTCGCGTCAGTCACCAAATGATTAAATTCAGATTGAATTCACATAAAATACCTCGATGGCATTCAGGAAGACGAGCAAAAACCTCATCGCCAACTTTGAAACGAGTCACTTGGGATCCGATTTCTGCAACAGTACCAGCGCAGTCATACCCGATCTTGTACGGGAAGCTGTCGCAAGGGGCAGTTAGTAAAAAAAGTCATCTATCAGAATGGCATCACGAGAAAATACCTGTCTTTCAACACCGCTTTTGACGCACCTGATGCCTTCTTTACATCGATCGGATTGATACTAGCAGCATGGACTTTGATCACGATGTCATCAGGCCCTTCCACGGTCGGCGCGGGAAGCTCGCTCAACTCGTAATTTTGAGGCGTGGCATACTTTGTGATACTGATGGAAAACATGATTAAGAGAATATTAGTTCATAGGCTATTGTAGATCGTCAATATCCAATACAATATGTAACGAACATTCGTTCTAGGCGTTGAAGTTAAGGTGTGGGTAAAGTCTAATTCGGTTCGGGCAAATGAATCCGGCCGACGGGAACGGATGAAGAGTAATCAGCATGGCAGATCATCCCTTTCTTCTGAATCCCGACCTTATTCGACTTTGGTTTGCCTCGGATGCAGGTTTGAATTATGTTGGATTTATGCATAGGGTACTGTTGGGATATTCATCATTCTTTAGCTTTCTAGCATTGGAACAGAGTATTGGAAAAGCCTGATGGGTACCATGATACCAGCTCAAGTGAGGCATCTAGCGAGAATTGCTCCACCTCATGGAATTGCTTTTTCACGCACGAAAATTTATCTGCTACAGGTATACAGTAATCTATTTGATTTTACTCACGAAAACAGTTTGATCTCCAGTGCAAGGGCAAAATTAGCAGGTGTAACAATCTTAAAGTTGCTTGCTGTCACTTCCACTCGGCTTCTTAGGAACAACAGGAACAACAATATTTCTTGAGTAAAGGAACCTCAAGCCTGAATCATTCCGGGGATGTCCGGGTCTAGATTTGTGATATCTTCTTTAGTAAATGGTTTATAGAAAGTCGCTTCCTTTCAAACTGATAGAGCTATCGCATCCTAGCTAGAATGAGTCATACATACTTAAAGAGATCATAACTAGTTTGATTATTATCGGAGGAGCTAAGAAACAGCGAGTAATAAAAACGCAAATTAGTTCAAGTTGCCAATGAGACCAAATCCAAATAATTTCCTTGACTGCTTCTTCCGGATACCCATCCCCAGTACAATTGAGCACAGTGTCTTAAGCTATACACCGTGGCAGACGGCTCGTCATTGTCACCTGGCACTTACTCGAGCAGCACTGACTATCCGCGCCACACAACTCACCATTATTGATGCACATAATATCCCCAGTGAAATCTTCCGGCAATCTGCAGATATTCCTCGCCCCTCCCACGGTGACCTCATTGCAGACAAGTGGACGATCACAGTCATTGTTGTTAGTGCAAGACACACCATAAAACCTATCCATCTTATCGAGGCACTGCATTTGATCTCGATTGTACAAGCCATGCCGACAGACCAGTCCCGGATTGCATTGGGAATCATCCATACACTTAGCACCGAATTGGCCCTCTGGCTTCGCACACATGAGATGACACATGCCGGAGAGGCAGGAATCGGGGTTGGTGCATGGCTCTCCGATGAGTTTTTTGACGTCGCACCTTCCTAGGTCTGCATTGCAGAACCATTGGAGAGAGGGGCAAACGCGGAGATTGTTGGGTCCGCATGCCATGTCTCCTATAGCTTTGTTGACGGCTTCTTGGTTCTCGCCGAGGAGGAGGTCGTTTGTGAGTCCGTTGATGTAGACATCTAGGGGGATGTGGTGGTATCGGTAGTAGTAGAGGACCTCGGATGGGATTAATTGGACGTCGATGTCCGAGCTTGGACCTACTCGAGGGACTGCCAGGGTCGCAGGGATCAGAATAGTAAAAAGGGTAGCGACTGTGGTATGCATCTTGCTGATGATGTAGCCTTTTATTGGATTTCCTTTCTGGGAGGGAAAGAGGAGGGCGAGGTGGTGAGCATGATGGAGAAGTGTTTATGAATGCCTTCTTATAGCCCTCGAAGGCCTAGATCTTCAATCTCTGTACGATGGCAATGAAGCAAAGACAGGGTTGTCTTCAACTAACTGGAGAGATATCCTATCTCCGAGTATCCGGATTCAACTGTAGCCTGCTTCAGGGTCTCTCGATAGCACTTTCTTGGTCTTCCAGGAGGGACAAGGTAACGTGCTCGGATGCTTTGAGAGATCAATGGAGCCTCAATGATTTGTCGTCCAAATATATATCCGTGATGATGCCAAATGTAACCGTTGAAGATCCTATGGAAGCCTTTCCTCTGGAAATCCGGGATCTAGTTGCTAGATCAAACTCCTGTAAGGTGCCGAAACCCAACGGATATCTAGATTTACACCGAACTACTGATTGGCCCACTGGTAGGGAAGCTCTTATTATTAAGAGCTATTGAGAAGCTCATATGGGACCGCACAGTATTATCGGCGCTACCTTAAGTGTTTTATGTAGTAGCTACGTAGAACACGCACAACGTTATGAATACGAAACGTCTTGATATTACCTTCAAGGAAGTTAACTACAATTTTGGCTGTCGACTTACTAGAGTTTGAAGTGTCCAAGTCTTGATTAACAACTTGAATAGACATTGAATCACGACTTGCCTCAATTTCACAAAAGGGAAGCCAAGTCGAAATCAGGGCGTCAATGGAAAGCAGGGACCCTTGGCCATACAGACAGCGCGATATGAAGCTTCTTCAACAAGGTACATTTTCCCCGATAGGCCGCAACCCTGACGGTGTTGTTTGATTAGCTAGCTGGTCTGCTGATCGTTACTGTTTGCCTCGAAGCTTGGCTTACACAGAGGTGCAGATGGGTGCATCTCGCTACCTCGTAAAAAGCCCCTCTTCCCGAGTCTATTGGATCACCGGCTGATGCATCTCGGAGGCTCAGGCCTAGTGAAAATGGGGGCGCCATGCGTCAGGTGGTTATTAAAAGCCTCACGGGTGATTTTGGCCGAAGTTAGTATTCTCTGAGAAGCTTTTAATGGGGAGGGATCAATAGTATGGTACGCTTCAACTGGAGGATGGAACTATAGCTACTACTTAGTAGAAGGGTCAACAGAGCTCTGTAAGCTCGAGCATCACCATCGGCAGCATCATCATGATCCCAATACGGACGGATCTACTTGAACCAGGAGTTTTGTGGAGTACTACTCCAGTATTTACAGTGACTCTCGAGTCTACAACACTCCTCCACCTTGCCCCCCTTCCCACCGTGCCACCAAGACACACATCCCAAGCTGCAGCTTGCAGTGGACTGACATGGATGCATGTGATGGCCCCTCTTTTTCTCCTCTTTTTCTGTTCTCACAGGTCTTCTTCGTGTTTCAATCCTTTTCAATCCTACTGGAGTGAGACTCGATAAACTATTCTACTACTCTAGTTGGGCAGCTCTGTACAGTTCTTGTCCAGCTGCGTGACCTCGGGAAGACCAACAGCAGCACAATCAATAAATACAAAAGACCTCGAAAACAAAGACTTTGTGGACCCCCTAAATCGTGGCTATTGGCTTTCTATTCGCTAGCCAACCGAATTCAGTGGATTCCTAAGGAATTCCCGACTGAAAAGTAAGAACAGAAGCAAAGTTCGGGTGTGCCAAACGCCGAGTCCGACCAGACTGGGTTCTAGTCAGAGTCGCCGACGGAGGAGTCACGCCGAACACTTGACCCTGACGTATTGGGGTCGCTTCCCAACAGTTTCACTTTGACTTCATATTTCTCTCAAAAGACCCAACCCTCAATTCCATTGCCTGGGATACAGACTACCAAAGGAAAATCTCCCGCTCTGCGGTAGCTCTTAGTAAGAGTGCCAACCCCCGTTATTACCTCCGCACATGTGCCGTTCCGCTCTCAACACGATTCCGCCGAGAATTTTGCTGACAACAGAGTCCCTCCACAGATCCGCGTTGCACAACCGCCAAATTTGAAGCTACCTACCCCGACTCTTTTCACACTGAGAGAACTTTACAATACCCTTATAGCGGAATCGCGTGGTTATCACCCGTGATTACATTACCACGCCCCGATCGGAGACTCTGATTTTCCCCAGAATATTCCCTTGTGCCCCGTGTCAACACGATCCCTTGCAACAGCTGTGCGAACGAACCTCAGAGCGAAAAGTCTACCTGCAACCGCCTGTACACGATGGCGGAACAGCCTCGCATCCTGCGGCCTCGCCCACGCCGTGCTTTCGAGGTCACACCTGCTTCCAATGAGTCCTCCGCACCTCCTACGCCGAGCGAACCCTCCAACGCCGATTTCCTGAACGCCCCGGGTGCGGACACGGCACCCAATTCTACCAGTGTCAGTCGCACGGGCTCAATCTTGAACCTGACCTCCTCGACTCTGTACGGCATCTATTCTCCGACCGCGTTCGACAGTCTTCGTGATGAGTCCAGCCCCTGGGGCACCGAGGCCCACACCCCTGCAGCACAACATCCCCCAGAGCCATCGCAGCGAGCAGCAGCGAAGTCTGCCATGGAGCCCCGTCGGTTGGCTCTGCGGCGGACGCGCTCGCGACTTAGCCATGGCATGTTCCGTGGCGTCGTCTTGCCTCAAGCGTTGAGCAGCGCCCTCCTGTTTGGCTTTGGAATTGTCTACGGTGTTATTACTGTGCATTTGCACGATAATCACTGGATTACTCCGGTCAAGCTGGAGAACATCCACTATTACGATTCATGGCAATACTTGGGCTTCTGGGGAATGGCGGGCATTGCCCTGGGAAATATTTTGCCCTGGCTGGATAGTTGGCGCGACAGCGAGCTCGCGGAGGATGATTCGAAGGAGGATGACGATGCGAACCGCACGCCATCGTGGGTTACTGTCGCTCGCAGTGTCGGTGCATTTGTCGGCATTGCCTTTGCTATGGTCAGTTCATCGCATCAGCCCCTGTTGCTGTTGATTCACTGCTAACATTTAATCTTTCTAGCGACGACTCCCCTGGCAATCGACCACCCAGGCCTCGGTGACCCTCGCCCTTGCAAACCCCGTCCTCTGGTACCTCATCGACCGCACCTCGACCGGCTTCCTCCTCTCCACCGCGGTCGGGCTTACCGGAATGAGCGTGGTTCTGGGATTGAAGCCAGAGCTGATCCCTGCCTCCAACGGCCCGACCTTTGGCACCACACTGCTGAACGGCACTGGCTGGGAGCATGCGTTGGGGGCAGAGATTTCACAGGAGAGCATCGCGGTCCGCACCTGGGTCGCCAGTGTCATTTTCTGCGCCTGCGTGTGTTTCGGCAACATTGGCCGTCAACTTGCTATTGGCGTTCGCAGCAGAGATACCCTCAAGTCATGAAAAGCGATCATGACGAATTCTTTTCAAGTTTGCAGGGCGTTTATCGTCGCTGCGACTGAGGAAGAGCATGAACTATTGGTTAATTGAGATGGGCATGTTTATTATTTATTACGGAAATGTGTCGAATATTATTTGATAGATGTAATACGAAAAAGCTTTCGGGCTAAATCTTGAATACTTGGAAAATGATATATGGAATGATTTGAATGAAAAAAGATTTCAATTTTGTAGATAACTTCTTAAATTTTACGTGATGATTGTACAGTCAATCATTGCAATTCCTACCACATGAACCCGAAGGCCAGGCAGGTACTGCACCCAAGATCGACCCTGTCCAGTCAAGCTGTACTCGGTCTCCATTCTCTATGACGATTTCCGTACTTCCTTGGACGAATCCTCGTAGGAACGCTTTTTGAGAAGAATGTTGTTATTTTGCGTTGTTCATGAAGAAGAAAAGAAAAGAAGAGGAAATGTCGGCAGCAAAAATTTGCTTATGAAGGCATCCAGCGATCACATGACCTGCTGACTCACTCCCGCCTGGCGATTGGGCCCCGATGCTGCACCACTGTACGGTAATTCTTCGAGGTTGATTTCCATGATTTGGTGAGTATTGATCGTATTCAGCCTGTATCACATTACCCCGACCGTCCGATTGCGGCCGAACCCCGCGGCGGGACAAATTTATTTCTTTTTCACTCTCGTTCAAGCTCTCATACCCCGTTGTTGCTTGAATTTAGGTATGTGGAATCGGATTTTATCTCCGTTGAAGCTCAATTGAAGCTTGTTTTGATCTTACTTGCTGACTAGCTCCTAGTGTCGACCAACATCATGTCTCAAAAGTCCGGTAGGCGCGCTTGGTCTTGATATTGTTTCCCCGGAATCGTGTGCACGGTAGTCTGGAGGGTCTATACCCAGAGTCAATGCTGACATGCTTGTGTTTCTTTCGAAACAGCTATCGTCTCTGTCTACGATAAGACGGGACTGCTGGATCTGGCCAAGGGCCTGGTCAAGCAGAATGTCCGTCTTCTTGCCTCTGGCGGTACCGCCAAGATGATCCGTGAGGCTGGCTTTCCTGTCGAGTAAGTGTGCTCTTTTGGTCTCGTGCAATTGAATCAAGTGCATTGGACATAGAGATGGAGTTCTATGCGATGCTGTACTAGCTACTAAAGGTGCCCAACGCTAACAATACCTCTATAGGGACGTCTCCGCCATCACCAACGCCCCCGAGATGCTCGGTGGCCGTGTCAAGACTCTCCACCCCGCCGTCCACGGTGGTATCCTTGCCCGCAACATCGAGTCCGACGAGAAGGACCTCGCCGAGCAGAAGATCTCCAAGGTTGACTTTGTTGTGTGCAACCTGTACCCCTTTAAGGAGACCGTCGCCAAGGTCAACGTCACCATCGACGAGGCCGTCGAGGAGATTGATATCGGCGGTGTGACTCTGCTCCGCGCCGCGGCCAAGAACCACAAGCGTGTGACTATCCTGTCGGACCCCACTGACTACCCCGAGTTCCTCAAGGAACTCGAGGCCGGTGATATCACCGAGGCCAGCCGCAAGCAGTACGCCCTGAAGGCTTTCGAGCAGACCGCCGACTATGACACTGCCATCTCTGGCTTCTTCCGCAAGGAATACGCCGGCAATGGCCTGTCCCAGCTCTCTCTCCGCTATGGTACCAACCCTCACCAGAAGCCCGCCTCCGCTTTCATGGTCCAGGGCAAGCTGCCCTTCAAGGTCCTGAACGGTGCCCCCGGCTACGTCAACCTGCTTGATGCCCTCAACGCGTGGCCCCTGGTCAAGGAGCTCAAGCAGGCTCTTGGCTACCCTGCCGCCGCCAGCTTCAAGCACGTCTCTCCCGCCGGTGCCGCCATCGGTGTTCCTTTGAACGAGAAGGAGCGCAAGGTCTACATGGTTGATGACATCAAGGGCATTGAGTCCTCTCCTCTGGCTCAGGCTTACGCCCGTGCCCGTGGTGCTGACCGCATGTCCAGCTTCGGCGATATCCTCGCCCTCAGCGACATCGTCGATACTCCCACCGCCAAGATCATCTCTCGCGAGGTGTCTGACGGTGTCATTGCCGCCGGCTACGAGCCCGAGGCTCTGGAGATCCTGTCCAAGAAGAAGGGTGGCAAGTACCTCGTCCTCCAGATGGATGAGAACTACAATCCCGCTCCCGAGGAGTCCCGCACCCTGTACGGTGTCCAGCTCTCCCAGCACCGCAACGACGTTGTCATCACCCCCAACAAGACATTCAACAACGTCATCACGCCCAAGGGCGCTTCCCTGCCCGAGGCTGCTCTTCGTGACCTGACCGTCGCCACCATTGCCCTGAAGTACACCCAGTCCAACTCGGTCTGCTACGCCCTCAACGGCCAGGTCATCGGTCTCGGTGCCGGCCAGCAGAGCCGTATCCACTGCACCCGTCTGGCCGGTGACAAGGCCGACAACTGGTGGATGCGCTTCCACGACCGTGTCATCAACATCAAGTGGAAGCAGGGCACCAAGCGCGCCGACAAGAGCAACGCCATTGACCTGCTCTGCTCGGGCCAGACCCCTCGCAACGATGCCGAGAAGGTCGAGTACGAGCGCGTCTTCGAGGAGGTCCCCGCTCCCTTCACCCAGGAGGAGCGCGAGGCTTGGCTCCAGAAGCTCGGCGAGGTTGCCATCTCCTCCGATGCTTTCGTAAGTTTCTTCCCCCTTGGGTAACGCCCCTTCCGCTGTTTGCTCACGCACTGACCATCCACCCTAGTTCCCCTTCATCGACAACGTCTTCCGCGCCGCCCGCTCCGGTGTCAAGTACATTGCCGCCCCTACCGGCAGCCAGAACGACGCCCCCGTCTTCGAGACCGCTGAGAAGTTGGGCATCACCTTTGTTGAGCAGGCCGTCCGTCTGTTCCACCACTAAAATTGGTTCATATTGGTTGAAGGAGTGAGGTTTCGGGTATACCCTTTCGGGACAAAAAAAAATTTAGGTTATGATGATGATAGCTTTCTTTGTTTATGATTAGAAATTTACACATATTTTGATTGAATTATTTGTCCGTTTTGGTTGACTGTTGGATTGATGTGTTGAAAAGGGAATTTTTTCCTGGATTTCTGGGGTTAGCAAGGTCGGAAGGGATGATGTTTCTCGATGTTGACACATGTTCTGTTCTATTCGCCGACGGTGTGTTGTACAAACGAGAAAAGTTAAGGTTGGGTGTATTTGGAAGGGGGTCGTATTTAGGGCTAGGAAGATGTTTAAGTCTAATTTCTCCAACGGTCAGGACCCTGAATCGATCTCGTGCCATCCAACATGGAGGGTCGTACCACCGGCAACTTAAGCTTTTTGATCTTTTGTGAGCATCTGAATGACATCTCATGTGGTGATATTGAGGATCACTTTCTCATACTGTCTGCTTTTAATCATGAAAATCTAAGGGATAATCGAAGGAGAGAGCCGAGTGCATCCCTAACTAAATCAAGGTGTTTCCAGGCGCCCCTCGGTTCTCGGAACACCTACATTCCTCCTCCATATATCAAGAATGCTAGATCCTTTTAAATCTATATTATAAACACGATTTTATAGTCCCTTCGCGTTCAGTCTCACTTATAGGCGTAGTGTTCATGCTCGGAATCCGACGTCGGGATGGCTTGTACTTCCCCTCCCATCCCCTATCCCTTCCACTGCCTTGCCCAACGAAGGACAATTTCATCGCGTCCATGTGAACCTTTGCATATTTTGATGTGGTAGACACCTGGCATCTCTCTAGGCCTATAAAGGCGCCACCACGCTGCAATGATACTTGACAGGAGTCTTGATCTCGACAGTGGCTCCGACGTATAATCCAACAACAATTTTCTCGATGGTATAAAATTCAATTCTAATTAATAGCGTCTTGCGACTCCCGACTCTTCCATCCGCAATGCCTTCATTCACATCAACCTTGATATCCATCTCACTAGCGCTCTTTACTTCTACCAACGCCCAATCTCCCAAATATTGTCCCCCCTGGGCCCAATCTATCCACCACCAACAAATCTCTCAAACGACCCAACCTTCGCCACAGCAGTCCAAGATATAACTTCAATCCTCGGCCAAGTCACCAGCAGCAATGGCAGTCTATCCAACACCTCAATATCCGTGCAAATCTTCGACGCAACGGAGTCCGGTCCATTATTGAATTTCGCTTATACAGCCGACAACATTAACACCACGCTGGGTGTGAGTAAAGTCGACCAAGACACGGTATTCCGCGTGGGAAGTGTATCGAAGTTATGGACGATGGTACTGTTCCTGATTGAAGAAGGTCTGTGGCCGTTTCAGGAACCGGTTGCGAGATTTATTCCTGAGCTGGCTCGGGCTGGGAGGGAATTACAGTGGGATCCGAGGAAGAGGAGGGATGGTATTGATTATGTGCATTGGGGGCATGTTTCGATGGGGGAGTTGGCGAGTCATTTGGCTGGGATTGCTAGGGACTGTATGTTTTTTCTCTCTGTTTTGTTTTATATGAGGGTATGCTGACTTTGATACGAATCTCTAGATGGTGTGCTTGATCTTTCGGGGATGGGTTCTCAGATGGAGCAGTTGGGTTTCCCGGCGCTTCAGCCGTCTGAGATTCCGCCTTGTGGGAATCCGAATCCTTGCAGCAGAGAACGTACGTCGAGAGTGCCTTCTTATCTGATGGTATTTTTTTGGCTAATGAGGGTGTTTATGTAGAATTTTTCAATGGGCTACTTCAAAGCCATCCCATTGTACCAACATCTTCAACCCCAATCTACTCGAACGCAGCATTCCAGATCCTTGCGTATGCATTGGAAGCCATGACCGATCAGTCATACGCAGAGCTACTGCAACGAGATATCATCGCGCCGCTAGGTCTGAATGGAACCTACTACACGACACCCAACATATCCCTCGGTGTGATTCCCAATGATATGGGTGAATACTGGTGGAACTTTGATCTCGGCGATGAAGGGCCGTAAGTCCAGTCTTCTTAACCTCGACCCATCAAATCCAAAAGCTGACACTACTCCACCTAGTGCTGGAGCCATCTACTCAAGTACAAGAGACATGGCAACTCTAGGCCAAGCAATCCTCAGTAATTCACTATTTCCGTCGTTCATCACCAGACGATGGATGAAACCCGCCACACATACATCATCACTAGATTACTCCGTGGGCGCTCCCTGGGAGATCGTCTCATTTGGTGACGAACGCCCCATAGACATTTATTCTAAAGCAGGCGATATCGGCAGCTACTCATCCATCATCGCCCTCTCACCAGACCACAATGTCGGCTTCACGGTTCTTGCCGCAGGCGCAGATGGACACGCAAAAGTTGCGTTAGCGGCTGATCTTATCTCGGTCATTCTTCTTCCTGCGCTGGAGCAAAGTGCCAAGGAACAAGCCTCTGCAAAATTTGACGGAGATTATGCCGCAACAGATGGTTTTAACTCTTCAATAGCACTCACGACGGATGATGGACCTGGACTACTGGTTACTAGCTGGGTTAATAATGGAACCGATATGATCCAGTCTTTGATGACTATGGGGCATGTTACCGATCCCGACACCTTTAGTATTCGGCTGTATCCGACTGGACTTGAGAGTCCGGGGCAGATGTCGTTCAGGGCTTTGATGCCTCCCGCTCTGTCTACGGCTGGGAATGGGCCTTTTACGTCGTCTTGCATTAGTTGGGTTGTTGTTGATGGACAGGTTTATGGTAATGTGGGCATTGATGAGTTTGTTATTAATTTGGACGAGACGGAGATTGTGAAGAGTATTACACCTAGGGTACTTCGTACTACTTTACCAAAGACTTGAAACGATGATCTAATGAAACTGTATATTTCTGTCTCGACTATGTACTTTGTTTATTCCGTACGTACTCATCCAGTCAGATTATATATCTAGTGACAGAAAGATGAACATGTTTAAAACGGTGACAATGTTTCTTGGCTATGCCAGCCTTGATATATCAAAGTCAAGGGTACTTTCTATAAGCTTGTCAGGCAGTTTGAAAGCAAGGAATCATCGATTTTGAATTTTCTTTATGTTTTCTGCAGTGATCCAAAACAGGCCAATCATGGGATGCCATGTTTGTGAGGCTGCGACCCGCATATTACCTAATGAGGTTAGTCTGCCCCGTTTAGGGATAACGCCTTATCTCGCCCCTACTCTTAAATTTTCCATCAAACATCCTTCTCAGGTTTTTTGAAATTTCATTAAACCTCAAGTCAAGATGGAAGGAATCCAAATTCAAGATGATGCTCAGCCATACTCGAGTATGGCTGGGAAGCTGGATCCCAGACTGCTGAAAGCCCTCGATGTGATGGGATTCTCGCACATGACGCCCGTCCAACAGCGTGTTTTGACGGAACTTCCCACTTGGCGCACCGACTGCCTGGTCCAAGCCAAAACAGGCACTGGCAAAACTCTTGCTTTCTTGCTTCCAGCTTTGCACTGCCTTCTGCAGCCTCACGCGGCACCTCCCAAAGGCCAGGTTGCCATTTTGATCATCTCGCCAACCCGTGAACTCGCCCAGCAAATCGCCGTGTCATGTGATCAACTGACATCGCAGCTTGCGCAGCCTTTGGAGTGTCATATTGCTGTCGGAGGAACTGCTCGGGCCTCAGCTCACTCTCGTTTCATGAAGGGAAACCCATCAATCCTGGTCGCAACCCCGGGACGCCTCAAGGACTACCTCTCTGATGAGTACACCGCCGAGAAGCTGGCGAACTTCCAAACCCTGGTCTTGGATGAAGCGGATACGATGCTTGAGAGCGGCTTCTTGGCCGATGTGAAGCAAATTTTGCAGCTCATTCCTCCTAAGAAAACTGGCTGGCAAGGCATGTGTTTCTCGGCCACGCTCCCGCCTAAGGTCAAGGATGTGGTTAAGGTGGTGTTGAAGTCTGGCTACACAAGCATTTCGACTGTCCAAGAGAATGAAACCCCAACCCATGAGCGGGTTCCTCAGTACCACGTCATCATCCCATCCGTTGCAGAGACCTTCACAGCCCTCGCATCTCTGTTGGATGTCGAGATCAACCAATGCTCCAAGATCATTGTCTTCGGTGTTACTGCCAACATGATTGCTCTCATGGCCAAGGTCTTTGGTCAAGGCTTGACCCCATTGAAGGTGTTTGAGATCCATTCCAGACTCAGCCAGGGCGCTCGCACGAGAACCACCGATCAGTTCAAGGAGGCATCTTCCGGAATACTGTTTGCCTCGGATGTCATCGGTCGTGGCATGGATTTCCCCAACGTCGACCTGGTCATCCAAGTCGGTCTGCCACCAAACGGCGAGCAATACGTTCACCGTGTCGGTCGTACCGCTCGTGCAGGCAATGACGGCCGTGCTATCATCCTCCTTACACCCGCGGAGTCGTTCTTCATGAAGGTCAACCGCCACTTGCCCATTCAGCCCCATCCCGAGACAAAGGCGGTTATCGAGGGCGCCGCTGCATACGCAGACCCCGTTACCCAGGCTATGTACAACACCGACGAAGAAGTCAAGCAGCGTGCCTACTCATCATACATTGGTTTCTTTGCCGGATCCGGTCTCCTGAAGCAGGTCCGTCTCGACAAGCCCGGCTTGGTCCAACTCGCCAACGAGCTCGCCATCAAGGGCATGGCTTGCCCCGAGCCCCCACCAATGGACAAGAAGGTTATCGGCAAGATGGGCCTTAAGGGGGTCCCTGGTTTCAACTACGCGACTGGAGGTGATTCAAACGGACGCAGTGCTCCCAGAAATCGCGGCAACCAGGATCGAGGCAACCAGAATCGTGGTAACCAGGCTCGTGGCAACCAGGCTCGCAGCAACCAGGACCGTGGCAATCAGAACGGCAATAGGCGCGATGCCCTGAGCCCTGGCGCCGGCCAAAGTGGCTCTCGAGGTGGTGTTGAGAAGAGCCGCGGTGGTCGAGGTGGCCGTGGAGGTCGTCGTGGTGGAGGTCGTGGCGGCAAGCCCCAAGCTGCTGCTGCATGAATTCGTTGAGGTCATGACCATCTCTGGCTAGAAAGGCCAGCTTTTTTCTTTTCTTTTCTTCATGAGGATATTACACCCAAGGCGTTTCGGACATTCTGTTGCATGCTGGAAATAATCACATAGACCTTAGAATTCTCAATGATGAACTCACATGAACATGAACATAAAATGATTCATCTGTGCCCTCGTTTCTTGTTTGAATAGACATAGATAACAGTCTACTACTATTGCAAGTATCACCAGGGACAGGTTACTATCAGCCGTAGCTTTGTACACCTAGATAACTAAGCCTGTCTGTCTACTATGAGCCAACCAACGACTATCCTGCTACAGAGCCTCAAACTAACCTAGCCCTAGATTGACATTTGCTTTAACCCCTGCTCAACCATAAAAGCCACACGGCCTTCAAGCCTTACAAGCGCCAAGAGCGAATAAACAGGCATAGCAGTAACCCAGTCGTTCGTGCATAGCGCCAGCGACTGAGCATGGAGGGCTGCATAGAGCCTTCCGATCGTCCTATAGAGTAGTGCATAGTAGTGCATAGACACTCCCATCCATAAGAGGCAAAATATGGCATGGCATAGCCAACCCGCCAACATCCGCCAGACGCGGGTCAGCAGACCCCATGCGATTATCTGCAGCACATCGATCTGGACATATGAGCTATTTGGTGCATGGCGCGTGACTAGGAGGAATGCTCGGCACGGAACGGCATGGATCATATAGGGCGGGGCACATACTGTACCTGTAAATCCACTCTCAGAACTTAGAGGATAATAGGCAATATGTGCATGCTAAACCTAGCAAGCAGTAGTGAAGTAGACCCGTACTCATTGTTGATCCCGATCCCGCGCGCATCCGTGTCCTAGATCGTGGTGTGGACTGTGACCTCATCGTGTGGGAGATAGAGGAACGTGGACCGGGCACCGGGCACCGGGAGACTAGTGTTGTAGGTATTAGGAGGAAGACACGAGCTAGTGAAGGTGTGTTATGTACCATAGGGCTTGGTGTAGGATAGATGCGGAGTTGTTAGGTAAGGTATGCTTTGGGTATGCTGTACGAGGTAGGGATGGAGTATTGTACCACAGCATGTAGATGCATAACATTGTGAACGACCGAGACCGAGAAGTTAGAACACGTGGGTAGGGTCATATCTGCAGTCTGTACGGAGTATGGTTATGTGCATTCCAGAAAAGAGAAGAAAACAGGTCTCTCTATGATTTACTCTGTATGAATGTATTTTGTTCATCATCGGAACATTTCAAGACCCTGACCCGCAAGCACAGAACGGAGCCAGGACGATTAACGGTTGAACTACCAGGAACCACAAGAACCACAAAGCGTGATAAGGCTGAGAGCATAACTTGTACGAGTGCGAATGAAATACGAATGAAATCCATAGATATTGTGCACAGAGCGGATCCAGAATGGTGGACCCATCTGTGTGGCTAGTCGGCGTCGGAGTTCGGGGGTTCCGTACTGCGACTTGCAAGAGTAGCGACTGTCAGAAAGAGAAAAAAAAGTTTGTTTTGAGTCTGTCCGTTCTCCGTCCCAAGTTCCCGTCTCCGAGAATGATCGCCGAGGTTCCGGATGGATGTACATGCAGTATTTGTGCAGTGATCCTTCAACGTTGAGTCATGTGGACAACTGGACACTGGGATGGGAGACTGATATGCATGAGAACACTGCATTGTATCTGGATCTGGTTTGAGTATTATTATCACTATTATCTCAAAGACCATTCTCAGGGTCCAGTTTCGAGCCGCTTAGATAACACAGTCGGGGTCTCAATGAGGCTTGTGCATTGAGAATTTGAGAAACAGCATTGTTCAGTCTCCACTCATCAATTATAGATCGGAGTTTTCTTAGTTAGCAATTCCACGTGTGGCAGTCTGCTGGTCCTTGCTTTTACTTTAATTCACGAGAACGAGTCTTCGTATTTTCTTGCCAGGACTCCAGAAGATGGACTTGTGCAGATACACATTATTGTGCATTTCATACCGCCTGCCTAGTACAACCTCACCGCCCAGTCCATTGACTGAATCGACCGGCAGAAATCCTTGGTGCCTCGGCCCCCAATTGAGGCACAATCAACCCGTAGGAATTAGACAAATAGACCAGAGAATATGAAATATGGTCACAGCTTGTCATCAGCCATAAAGACAAGATACAACATACCTTATCAACTCCGTCACTCATACCAACCACTCTCTATATTGACTATCACAATCGCATCTCGGCCAGCCCATCAACACACCGACCAGCCAGACTGACATCATCGACCTGTCAAAGTGGACCCATCGGCCTCGGAAACATCGCAACAAATCGCCGAGGCGATCACTCAGAAAAATTTTTCAATTTCATTTTTAGATTTTTCTGATCTCCCATCAAATTCGAATCCACAAATCCACTAACTGGCTGAACCAGGCAAACTCTTCGGACGAATCCGAATCCCGCATCTGATCTGACTCTGGCTGACAGCCTCATTATTGGACCAACAGTAATCTGTTGTCAATTCGTCTGTGCTATGACAGATGTGTGTGTGTTGTCTGCACTGACACTTGGTACTATGCAGCCCTGCTCGAACATGGCATGGCCATTACCTAACTCCGTTGCGCGGCTGAAATCCTCATATCACCGAGGAAACTCGGACGTGGCGGCTTCTAGACCTATCGATGGAGTTAAGCAGTGATATGCATCTTGTTTCAACATAACCTAAGGTGCTATTCTAGATTAGTGATGATGTAGCCTGGAGCATTCGACTACCAGTAAACACCATGTCATTTTCTCTCGGCGGTCGTTCATCCGCACATTTCGGCCGGGCATCCAACATTGAGACCTCTGCCTAGATAGGGAAAATCGTATTCGCGACCGTAAGCATCATCATAAGGCTGCTCGTAAAGTTGGAACTTACCCGGTGGGGAGGCTTAGGTAACAAACTACACATCCACTGATCCACACGAAACAAAAGAAAACCCCGTTGGGCTGGAAAGGGAATCCACTGCGAACCGCCGTAAACCGCAAAAGAAGTTGCAAAGCCACTCTTAGCTGGGCTTCTGGGCACGCCATGGCGAGCTGAGACGCCAATTTTCTCCCCTACGCGGCTCGTTTCATATTTTTCGTGGCTTTTGAAATCCACTCTAAGACACAGCCCTCAGCCATGATTACATGACTCTTAGCCTTGGCCTTACTGTGTCTTCTCTGACGGTTGCAACTCGCTAGATCGCGACCGGAAGAGTAAATGTTCGGATCGTGGCCCCCACTTTGATAATGGCGGAGCTGGGCAATGAGAATGCCGTTTCTGCCTTACTCCGCCATGCCTGCAAGGAGGAGTACGTGGTCGAGCGAGAGGCGAGGTAGGAGCCTACAGGGGGCTTTTATTACAGGACGTTTGGACGTCAATTGTTGCCTTGGCTGCGCAGCAACAGCACTCCACGTCGCGTTGCAGCCTGTCCCTTTTCTGGGGAAGATGCCAAGGCCAATAATCGAGGTGCCTTGAGTTGGGCTATTTTCTTGGAGGTCATTGCTTTTTACAGCCGCATGGTCATGCGAATACGAGTGAGTAATTGCTGTACCAATGCGGTGGTCCGTGACCTGTTGCTTATCAATAGTCTCGAAGCTAATCGAGTACGGAAGTACGGGGTATGTATTTAAAAGCAATGAGCGTCATCTACGGAGCTAGGACGGCGGACTAGCGGTCATTAACAGTCGGACAGTCCAGTCTGACAGGAGGAACCATAGAGAGGAACATTAGGGATCACCACCATGATATCGGATATACGAAGTGGACATTAACAATCAATTGTTATTGTCATCTGGACCGACCATGGGAATGCGAGGGCTACCCAATTTGGCAAGCGAAGAACTTGCCAATGGCGAGATAAGAAGGATAGTCATGATGATGCCGATGATGATAAGAGTCAAACGTTATTTACCTCGGAAAAAGTATTGTGTAGTGATGAATAATTGCGGGGAGGACTTTAACGCCGGTCGCTCGTGACGAGCTATGATACCGATAACAGTAGTGATGGGATCATGGATGAGGTGATTGAGTGATTGATAATAGAGCATCACCCACCATGATTGGAAATCATCATGCTGAGTCAAGCGATAACCTTGGGCGCGTTGGCCCCAAGCCTCAAATTGACCAACGAGAATGGATAACCTTAGATCATTTCACTGGAAAGGGATTAGAGTTGATTCCCCGGACATAACGTAAGGCAGAGAGAGCCAAGAAGTAAATCAATGCAGGAGCCATGGACTCAAGTTGAGTAATCGGCGAGTTGTGTATCCCGAAGTATGGAACACCAGAGGGAAGGCCATGGAATGGGATCTGTCGTATTCCGGAGAAGGGCGTAACTACGAGCCGGTCGGTCATAACCGCCCTGATCCTCCGGCTTGTGGCTTGAGTAGAGGGAGACATTGGTCATCCATGAGGGTGGGGCCTCAGGGTCTAACACTTACTGGCGAAAAACGGACTTCACCGGGTGAGTCACCATACATCATTTTGTGAAGAGAATCGACTAATGATTGCGGACAAAAACTCGGCCTTTAAGGTTACCAACAGACTAGAATGAGCAATGGCTGCGAGGGTTAAGAAAAGGTAAAGAGTAATGTTGTTATACACCGTATGTACCAGAGATGCGGTGTAGAACTACGAATTATCATTATGCAGGCCATCCCTGCTTACGCCGTAGCGAGTAAAATGTCAGCAAAAAAAATGGAAAAAAATAGCAGAATTAATCAGCGGATATTTCGGCCTCGGGGCATCCACCAAGTGCGATGCGCATAAACTCGGTGGGGATCTTCGACCCTCCGATCGGGTGCCGGACTTTAGAGAAGAAAAAAACGGATACACGGGAGTAAGAAAAAAAATAAGAATTAGAATTATCAAGCATGATCATTGTCAGGCTCCAAGGATTTTTATTTTATAACCATCTTTTCCTCCCCCAGGTCTTCTCCCTTTTTGTGTTACCACTATATCCATCCACAACAGAGCCACACAGACATCCATCAAGCAACGAACTATATACATATAGTCTACACATCCAATACCCATCCATCACCACGACGACCAATCTGGATCTACCTCAGCCCCCTGCCTTAACTAGCCTCACCGCCCTGTGACAGCCTGAGTCACCCCCAGCTTGGCAGAACGAGTCATAGTCCCTGAGCTCATAAGTACCTCAACTGCCACCACCGCCATGGAGGCTTCCCAAGTTACCTCCACTACCTCCTCTCCCCTTCCCAAGGACTCTTCCCTCGCCTCCGCCGCCTCCCCCTACTTCGAATCTCTATTCCGCCGCCGCCAACAAAAGAAGATGAGCATCACGCAAACATACTACCTGGCTCACACCGCCCGCAAGAAGCTCACCCGGGAGGCTTCGCGGGCAGACCACGATCTCCGCCTGCTGGTTGGTCACGCCAACCTGCTCGACTCGTTGATGCTGGATCTGGCCGATGCAGAGCGTGAGCAAGAACGGTGGTTCAACCATACTGTTAGCGGTGCCACCAAGACTTCTCCCCGTGAAGAGAAGTCCCGCCACATCCAATGGGCATCGACCGTGGTCGAGGAGCCCGAGGAGGACTGGAATCCGGAGGATGCGTCCGACCTGGAGTCGGATCTCAGTGATAGCGACGAGGAAGATGACTCCGACTTTGATGAGAACGACTTCGTCATCAACACCCCTGTTCGCCTGCGTTCTCCACCCCCGCCTCAGCAGCACCTCGCCGCTATCCCCGAGGCTCCCTTGGTGGAAGATGAGGACGATACCGACTCGGACTTTGAATACGATGATGAGGAGGACCTGGAGGAGCTCAGCTTGACACGGTCCCCATCCAGGCAATCACCGCCCGAGCTGCTGGCTGACTTGGACGACTCGTCCGAGGACGAGCACATGCCGCCCTCGCCGCCGCAGCCGGCTCTCGAGTCCTTCGATCAGAAGGAGCCTGCGACCGCAGCCATCCCGTTGACAGACGATCAAACAGTCCTGTTTGAATCGGGGTATTACGTTTCACGAGAACAGAGCACAATGATCGAGGCGTACTAAAATCTTATACCTCGATCTGTCTCTGTACTTGTATACCACGATATCTTGATTCTTTACTTTGTGATACCCCACGCCTGTTACGAACGAACTGTCCGAGTTGATTCTGTCAACCACACTTTTGAAAGCGTCTTCCTCATCAGCGCTTTTTTTTTTTGCGTCATATTTTCCTTATACCAGGCGTTTATACACCTTTTTTGCCGCGGTCACATCTTTCACATACTCGACTCTCCGATACCACCCATCTCATCTCTCGTGGCTACGGCCGAATCTTTTTTTTTTAATTTCATTGCTGGGAATTTGGACAGTGGCCCTTGGTATGCCACGGGCAGCTCTCCCCCCCTCCTCTGTGAGCGAGGCGCAGGTTGAGACTACCCAAAGTGGGGGTAACAAATTGGGATCCCGACCGGGGGATCGTGGGAATTGACAAGGATTCCCCCCTTCATGTATATAGATATATCAAACCAACCAAGTGTTGCAAAAAATGCATACCAAAAACATTCTAAATTTGATCGTTCTTTGTTCTTTATTCTAGTAGAGGGGTAAATTAGTACTGTAGCTGCGAGGGTATTCGCTCCCAAGGTCCTTCAAGTGTATCTTATCTGAGTCTATCTACATCACTCATCACTAAATATTTCCCCGTCGGACGACGATCAGGTATAACCAACCATCATAAACCCTCATATTCACCACTAACACCTTGTAACACAATATCTACATAACACATAGATACTCCCATTTGCCCCCTCTACATCATCCCAGCACAATATCCCGCCATCCACAACACCCCAATTGAACCAATTCACTACAAGTACCAACCACACCAACGCACCAGTGCATGTGACCCGTCGATCGCATTGCAGACGAGCGCCCCGAGCGCGTTCCCCCAATAGTACTCACTGTATGTATTCGTTTATTCCACTCTAAGCCAATACATTCTTACATGGCGCTCACCGCTGGTGGATAGATCCACGCCAAGCAGCGATAGTGCTCCGATCTTCGCGGCTAAGTCGGCATAGTCAGTCCGTTATGGGGCGGACTAGGTCCGCTAGTTTGGTGAAGGGTTTTGCTAGGGAGGATAGTGGGGGTATATAGGAGGTCACGGGATGTGCATATATTGTACGGAGGACGGAGTAGTGGTTATGGTGTGTCTTGGAAGAGTCTTGGAAGGTGATAGTGCGATTGGAAGATGGTCTTTAAGGATTCTTAGGAGTACTTTGTGGGAGATAGAGGGAACTTATTTTCTGCATGTGGTAGGTGCAGGGTTGATAGGTTATTTGTTAGAGGATTTGATTGTGCGGGTGATTACGGGTAATTATTCTCGTAGATTTGTGTTATACATCTACTGTATATGTAGATAGCCAGATGGTACATACTGTATTAGGACTCCGACAGACTGTTGAGTTTTGAGTTGCGTGCGATAATGCACGGGAGGACTCGGTACATTGAGATTGTCTACGGAGTGACCATATGTTGAGGAATACCTACAGATCACCAAATACTAACGTAGATAGGGGCACTTATAATCTCGTTAGCTTCAGCCTTCGTGCTCCGTGCTGCATACCATCCCATCGATTCCCCGTCGATCTAATAATCCACCCCTTTAGATTTAGGTTACTCCGTACTCCGTACGGAGTACTGTACCTACTATTGCTACCTAGTACTTAAGGAAATGGCGATTGACAAGGGATCTGCAAACGCATTTTCAAGCTCAAATGCATGGTATCAGGGATCGGGGCTGTCGCGTTATCTCGCGTCGTAGCTTTTCTCCAGGTGGAAGGTTACTACAATATGTCGTACCTACTGACCCGAGCATGTCAGCTACAACGGTTTGTATGTACGGTATGTCTTGATCGGGGGATATTTCGCAGCCTGACACACTGGCTGGGTTTCATTTTCCGATGAGGCGGGCTAGCCCTTGATTAGCATGGAAGGGTTAAGCTTTGACTGGCATGCCATGGGAAAGTGTAGTTCTACAATAGGAATCGGTCTGATTAGGGATTGGTCTGATAAAATAATCTTGGTCCCTTTTCATCTCTTGAGTAACTGATCTATACAAGTATACAATCCCTAACACCCAAATTTATACTTCAATACTTATACCCTAACATTCCCTACTTTATGTACATACCAGACGGAGTATCCAAATCACCCGATAACCCCTATCGCTATCGATAACCTTAGCATCTCACCGCCTACGGCTTCGGGCCAAGCCCCTCGCCGAAAGCGTCACTGCGTCCGCCTGTTGCAATTGCCTGTTACCATCAATCCTAGAGCTTCAGCAGAAAATAAGCGCATTCCGAAACATGTGGTCGCCTGAACGGATTGATAACTTATATTTCCAGCTTGATAGTCGTTGAAACTCCGCTCCTATTCTCCCCGCATACCATCCCCATCCGCATCCGCATGGCCTGATCATTTCCAGCGGCATTCGCATCTTCCCCGAGTGTCATATCTTATTGCGCTCAACTCCCAAGACATCTATTCGATCTGATTGACGGCGGAAAGAAGAGATTATCAAATTCAGCACTCACTTGAGCGCATTCCGCAGCTTGAAAAGTCATTACACGCCGAAAGCGCCGCTGATTCTTCATCTCCGCCGCCGCCAACCCCCGCCTTTGCAACAATGTCTATCCAAAGCTCCCCTAAACCTTCCTTCGAGTCCGAAGATAGCGCGGAGTCTATCCAAAGCTCAACTCAGTCTGCGGTCTCTTCTCATCGACCCAGTATCTCCTTTGACGCCAACGCACGCAGTCAAAGTCCGCGCCGCCGATCCATCCAATTCAACGTCGGCAACGCGGAAATGCAACTGCCCAATCGCTCTCACAATATCAAGGAGAGGCGGCTTTCATACGCCGATGCACCGGTCAGAGATCTAGATGTAGAAAGAGAACCGCGGGCTCTATCTACAAGTCGTGGACCTTCTCCGCCGCCGCCAAAGTACGTTGTTCCCTTTTTCCGAAAGTGAGGGGTGGTTTGGTATTCCGCGTGTACTAATTCACAATAGGACTTATGAGCGTGGTGTTTCATTCAATACCTTTGATAACCGCGATGCTTCAGATTTCTCCCTGACACTCAACTACAAGCATAAGGGGTATCAGAGTACGCGGCGGAGCAGGACGTTTCTGTGTGGCACGGACCAGAATGAATACTCCGACTTTGCTCTTAATTGGTTGATTGATGAGCTGGTCCAGGATGGAGATGAGATTGTTTGTCTTCGTGCTGTGGAGAAGGACTCGGCCATGGCGAGTGACGCTGGTATCGAAGAGGGCAAGTACCGCCAGGAAGCCAAGCGGCTGTTCGAACAAGTCATTCAGAAGAACAGCCAAGATGAGAAGGCTATCAGCTTGGTCTTGGAGTTGGTAGTAGGCAAAGTGGAGGAAATCATTCAACGAATGGTAAGCTCCTTACTCTGAGAAGTAGTCTCTGCTGATCATAAGCACTTACTGACCAAATTCTAGATCCGCATCTACGAGCCTGTCATGCTCATCGTCGGAACCCGAGGTCGAAACCTCCAGGGTGTACACAGTCTCCTCCCCGGCTCAGTCTCCAAATACTGTGTCCAGCACTCACCAATCCCGGTGATCGTCGTCCGCCCCTCGCCCAAGCGCGAGAAGAAAAAGAAGAAGCGCCGCGCGGACCCAACGCGACGCAGCTATAACCACATTCTCGAAATGAGCGAGAAACGTGGCAGTCGCGTCTTCGACGGTACCTCCAGCACCGAAGGCAGCGCCCTCAAACTGCCCGGCGAAGAAGCTGCCGTCGCATCGGCCCTAGGCCCCCCCCCATCCTACTCCCGCAACCACTCGCGGAGTTCGCTGTCGGTCTCAGACCGAAGCAGCCTGAGCATCGACGATTCGGATCCTGCCTTTCCCGTGCCTTACTCTCTAGACACGGTGCTCATGAGAAGTCCCTTGAGTGGTAGCTCTGCTAGCTCGGAGGAGATTGTGGTGGTCAGCGAGCCAAGCCCACAGCGATCTAGTTCGCCAGAGGCTCAGGCTCCGCTGCCACCAAACTCGCCCTCCGAGCAGGAGCAAAACTCACCGGACGACTCAGAGCGCCCAGAGGTGGAACTGGAGATGGCAGGGTCCGAATCGTCCGAGGCCACTGCGAAGCGGCTGTCGATCCCTGTGATCGAAGTCTCTGCGGAGAGTGAGGGGATAGAGACGGCTACGGCTGAGTGAAGTGACGGTTCACTCTTTTCCGTGAGGACATCTTCCTTTCGTCACATCTTCCTTGATATGACGTCTTTTCGTCGTATCTCCCATACCCCTCCCTGCATTGTGCTTGAAAGCACATTGCAAATACATACAAAGCCAGGTTTCACCCTCTCCATATCACATCACACCATGTTACCTAGCCTGATGATACCCCCTGCACTGCGCTGGCCTTCCCCCTTGGCGCAAATACCCCCAGGACTACCTGAGTAGTCGCAGAGTTTTCTCCCCTCCAATGAATCTATTTCTACGGGATCGTGGTTCTTGATCTTTTCTCTTAGTAGTTCGTACTTGGCATAGTTTCTGTATCTACTTGAATCCTTGTATAGGAGCGAATTGTGTAGCCAAATATCAAGTCTGGTCGTGACAAAGTGCACCATGTCATAGATGAGAGAGATAAATCAGAACCCTATTTTTCGTAGCATAATTCTCAAGCACGATACTCAAGGTCTTCTTCATATGAATCAGTCCCATTCCTTCTTACTACATCTAACAACCCCATTCCCTTCTACCGCTCTTGTCATCTCTTAAAGGAACTACCCTACCGAACGATCCGAAGAAAGACAAAATAAAAGATGCATATGCTTTTCAAGATCCTAAGAAAAATCGTCCATCACAGTCATCACAACTGACAGACTTCGGGTATTGAGAAGACACAGGATAGAAGAAAAAAAGAGATCAGCGAAAAATGCATCATCATTCCCGTCCCACCACCACTCCATCCCACCCTTTCCTGATGCATCCCCACTCAGCATAGTAACCAATGATTGCCTATTCCTCATTTACGAAGCAACAGTCTTCTCCATTCATATGCTACCAACGACCACCACCCCTTCTTCCCCACCAATTCAAGATTAATAAAAGTAGGAGGAAGAAAAATGAAATAGAAGGTGTGAAAATTGTACACTATGAAGGTCCCGAGTAAAAAAAGGAGGAAAGAAGGATAAGGGACAAGGGTGAGATAAGTAAAAGTGTAACCGACCAGTCGGGGAATGCAAGTCAGGACGGCCAAAAAAAAAAGCAGATTCGCAATGGGAGCAACATGAACAGTGGGGAAAGGCATGGGAGGATAAGAAAAAGAGAAATCTTTTGGGTGAGAAAAACAATGGAAAAAACGTTGATCATTAACACCTAGGGAATCAAATCTATGCTGCGTCCTCCCCGTCCTTGGAGGGGGTTTTTGAGGGTCGGCGCTCCGCGCTGGCGGGCTGCGACTTGGTAAGCATGGGGGAAGTAGGGTTGGACGGGGGCGAGGTTGCCATGTTGTCCCGGTCTTCCAGGGCGGCGAGGGCGCTATGAAAAAGAAACGGGGTTAGTATATTGTTCCACATGGGCTGAGGGTGGGTTTCCCATCATATCGAAAAAGACGTGGAAGTGATGACGTACCTGAAAGCATTCATTGATGAGGCAGCCTCCTTGTCCTTGCCAGCAGGGGGAGTACCAGTGCGGCTGCTTGCAGCGCTGTCATCGCTGCCCCGAACCAGGTTGCCACCGGGGCCAAGGCCCTTGCGACCGCTGCTGCTACGAGAGCCAAGCAGACTCGAAGGGCCGAAGGACATCGGCTGGTTGGTGTTGCGGGTAGCCCGCAGACGGCGCAGGTCGTCACTGCCGACCTTGCTGGAGGCGTAGTCGGGGGGAGGGGCCTGGTTACCGTAACCGAAGCCACGAGCATCACCACGGCCCATAGCTGGGCGACCACCGCCACCACCACCACGGTTGGCCTGCTGCCGTTGGCGCTCCATCTCCGCCTCGGCCTGTGCGCGAGCAGCCTGTTTTGAACATATTAGTCATTGAACTTTTGGATGTAGATTTAATGAATGAACGGATAAAACGAACCTCCTCGCGAATCTGTTGGATAGTCTTGGGGCCCTTGTCAGCGTCCTTAGACTTCCAGCGTTTAGAACGCAGATCGGCAATGTCCTAAAGAAAATCAAGTTAGTTGCATTCTCAAAATTGGATTGAAGGGCACAAAGGGGTAGACGAACCATCAGCATGAACTTCAGACGGCTAGGCAAGCCGGGCATGTCGATCATGTGGTTGATACGGGCGAAGTAGGCGTCCATCATGGCAGGACCCTTCTCTGAGGCATCCAGACTGGCACCAATAGTACGCAGCAGGTTGCACAGAGACTCGACCTCGGCCTCCTCAGGCACACCCTCGAAGTCAAGCAGACGCTTGGTACATTCGTGCATGATACGCTCCGTCAACATGCCAAGCTTGTACAGCTCACCAATGAACTTGACGAGACCAAGACCACGACGCTTGGCAGCGGCGGCAATGTAGTATTCTTCGGACAGCATAGCAATCTCGTCGGTGACACCTTCGGGCTTGGGTGGGAGGTTGACCTTCCAACCACGCTCGAACTCCTCCTGACAGCGGTTGAGCAGGTACTTGCGGAACAGAGAACCACCAGTAACTAATGCAGTAGGTTAGTAATTTGCCAACTAATAGCGAGCGAACTCAAGGGGCCTGGATCTGACACTTACCAATGTTGCCGTTCTTATCGCGGATGTTCTCATCCTTGATCTCAGCGCTCATGCTCTCCAGCATACTCTTGCAGAACTTGGCGTACATAGGGGCCCAGTGAGCCTCGTCAGTAGCCTTCTCGAAGGTAAGCTGAATGACCTGGCGCAGGGTGCGGCCATCAGACTCGTCCTTGGACTGAGACACAATCTCCAGGATCTGGGAGGAGATACGGTCGAACTTCTCAGGAGTCATCTTGTTCAGCGCGGCCTTGACCTTACGCTGCACAACATCGGGAGGCATGTGGCCCTCGCCACCAGGAGCGGGACCAGCAGCGTTGGGACCAAGGCTGCGGGGCTTCCAGCCAGTAGCACTCTGCTGCAGAGCCTTCAGCTCCATACCAGCAGTAAGAGGCATGGCCTTGTTGGTATCCTCCGGGTTCTTGCCACCGTGCTTGCCACGCTTGCTGCCAGCACCACCCTTGCTCGATGCCGCACGAATAGGGCCCATGTTAGAAGAGGGGTTGCGAGAGATAGGGCCTGCGCCCATGCCAGGCATGCCAGGACGGCCACCAAAGGGACCACCACCGAACGGACGGCCACCAATAGGCGTGCTGACGGCAGGACGATTGGTTTGGCCGAAGGAACCCATTTGGGCACCAGGGAAGGCACCGAGGCCCTTGTGAGAGGGGTTGCGACCACCCATGCTGGGGGTACGGGCAGACTGGGGTCGGGAAGAGGCATCGCTGTCACCGACAGTCTCACGAACACGGGCGTCCCAGTCGATAGAGATCTTGTCCTTGAAGGCAGCCTGGAATTGGAGCAGGAAGTCACGGCTGTAGTGGAACCGGCGACCAGCGGGAGAGTTGGCGTTGAGAGCGGCGTCGGGGGCGTTGACGGAAGAAGGGTAGGTGATCTTGCTGAGGTCCTCAAGGAACTTGGCATTCTGGAGGGACTTCATGGCGGCGCTGGGTTGAGGAGGCTCAGTGGGCTTGGGGGTGTCGAGCTTCAGACCAGCAGGCTTCTTGGCAGCGACACCGGCGGGTTTAGCAGGGGGGCCCATGGACATGTCAGACGAAACAGGAGTGGCAGCACCGCTGTCGGCGGGAGTTGAAGTCTCAGTAGCAGTGAGGCCACCCTTCTTGAGAGAAGCAAACAGATCCTCACGCTCCTTGCGGGTGGTCTCATCTTCGACGTTATCACCCTTAGCACGAGCAGCCTCACGAGCGAGCTCACGCTCTTCGGCTTCCCGTTCGGCCTTCTTCATGTTGATCTCATATTGCTCCCGTTCTTCGCGCTCCTTGCGCTCAGCTTCCTCCTTCTGGGCCTGCTTCTTGCGATTGTAGTCCTCCTCAGCGGCACGCTCCTTAGCCTCGATCTCGGCCATCTCACGCTCGATAGCATCGTAGTCAATCTCGTCCTCGTCTGCGGGGGGAGCAGGGGCGGGAGCGGAAGTAGGAGCGGGAGCCTTCTTGGGCTCTTCGACAGGGGCGGCCTTCTCCTTCAAGCTGAGGTCCTCCAGGGCAGCACGAGCGGACTCGGTGGCGTCCTCCTTCTTGGGTCCAACAGGCTTGGCTTCAACAGACTTGGCTTCAACAGGCTTGGCTTCAACAGGCTTGGCCTCAACAGGCTTGGCCTCAACAGGCTTGGCCTCAACAGGCTTGGCTTCAACGGGCTTGACTTCGACAGGCTTCGCCTCCTCGGCGCTCTTGCGGGCAGCTTCCTCGGCCTTGCGCTTTTGGGCAGCCTCATCATCCTGAATCTTCTGCCGCACAGCATCCTTCAGTTCTTGCTTCTTCTCCTCATCAGTCTTAGTACTACCCACCTTGCTCTCAGTGCGAGCGTGGTCAGTGGCGCTGGACGTGCGAGGAGGCGGGGTCGCGGTAGGAGTGGCGATCTTCACTGGGGAAGGAGTAGCACGAGCAGGAGAGGCCGGATTCTTGTCGAAAGTCTTGACGCTGCCGCTGTTAGGGTCCTTGATGATGATAGGACTCTTCTTTGCAGAAGGAATCACGAAGTGTGGCTTCGCGGGGACGGGGCTGTTCGACGACCTGCTACCAGTGTGAGTGTGACCAGTGCCGGGAGGACCAGCAGGGGCAGGTTGGCCCAGGCTCGAGCCAGGACGGTCAGTCGAAACCTGGGATGGGGTGCGCGAGAGAGGAGTCGACTGGGGTGGAGGCTGAACGGGGTACTGCTGTTGGATGTACGGGGCCTGCGGGTTGTAAGGCATGCCAGGGCGGGGTTGCGGCGACGGAGGGGTCATGTACTGCATGTTCTGCATGTTATAACCACCGGGGTAGAAGCCGTAGTTAGGGTCGTAGCTCGGAGGATAGCCCTGATTGTTTTTAACCCAGGTTAGACATTGTTCAAAGTGCCCGCTCTCCGGCGCGAGATTTGGCATGGGGATGGGGACCGCAGGGGGGCGGCTGTTTCCACGGGGGCGACCATAGCTGGCATTGTCTCCACGATTGGCACGCCAGTTGGGATTACTGTGGTGATTCACATGGTTGCTTTGATTGCTATGGTTGCCACGCCGGGCAGGTCTTGGGTTCTGACGGGAGTAGGATGGGTTTCTCACAGTTTGGGGACCCATGTGCTGCCCGTAGCCAGGGTAGGGCTGGGGGGGCATCTGCGGGTGGGCCATAGGAACTTGGTTCATCTGGGGCGTGGTGGGATGAGCGTTCGCGAGGGCCGGGCTGCGGTTCGCTTGGTGAGGCGAGTTGGGGAAGGGAGGCATCGGCCGGCCCTGGTTAGGGCCGTGGAACTGAGGACCCATGTTGGGACCACCACGGGGCTGGTTAGGGGTCTGGCGGAAGTTCGGGCCTGGTGAGTAGGGCATCTGTCCTCCTTGGTAGCCAGACTGGGAGTATCCGCGACCGCGGCCACCCTGGTGAGGGTAGCCACCACGGCCAGGGCCACCACCCATGTGGTTGCTCATATCACTGTGAGTCGACTGCGAGGACTCGCGACGGACGTGCTGTTGACCGGGTCCGAGAGGAGGCTGTGATAATGGGTGCATCTATGTGAGCAAGCGGTTGTAAAAAAGTGGGGAGGGGGAGATCAGGGACGAAAAAAAACCAGGAAAATCAAAAAGATAGGAGGGATGATGCGCGGTCGCGTTGCCGCTCCCGTTTCCCGCGCGCTTCACATGCGCCACGGCACATCACCACACAACCCAGTTTCCACCAAAAAAAAAAAAAGACAGACAGACACAAACACACAAATAGTGCAAAGAATCATCCCAAGTAAATTACACTTACGTTGTTATCACCAGCATTCTCACCGAAGCTGCCAAAGTTAGGAACATTACCCTGTGCCTGGTAGGTCGATGGTGGGGGGCGACCACCGCTGGACGCGGGCTGCGGGATGGGTGACGGGGAGGTCTGAGGCGAAGTGACCCGCGGGTTGGTGGAAGGCGCACCTAGGCCAGACTGGGCCTGGTTGGAGGCGAGCACGGCAGGGTTACCCATGTTGGGGGAGCTCTGCTGGTTGGCAAAGCCGAACTGAAGAGAGTTGGGCCGGCTGGCAGGGCCACCGTTGGGCATGTATCCAGAAGCACCAGCAGAAGTGATGGTCACAGACGGCTTGCGAGAGTGGTCATTTTGAGCAGCGGCAGGGGCTGTAGGAGCACCATTGACAATGGTCACCCCAGACTGAGCCGGCTGCTGGGAGGATTGGTTTTGCATGGGTTTGCCGTTCACTGAAGATGCAGCAGTCGACTTCCCATGTTGCGCCGAGCCACCCACGGTGACGGGAGCAGGGGAGGAGTCCGTGGTGGACTTCTTCGTGGCGGAGGCGTAGGATCTGGCTGCTGGGGCAGTCGCAGCCAAGGGGGCAGATGAAGTGACGGACGGGTTGGAGGCGGAGGTAGCGGTGCTCTGTCCTGGTTGAACGCCCGACTGAGGAGGGTTCGAGGTCATTAGACAGGTGGTATCCACGTCACACGCGCAGAGGTGAAGACTCGGAAGGAAACTTTTCGGGGTGGAGAGAGGAGAGTCGCGGGTTGAGGTGACGAAAGTCGAAAGGTGATGTCAAGTTGTGGACGGGGCTTGACGAGGCCACATCCAAACCTGAGATCTGCGGAGAAAAGGAAAAAAAATCCCAGACGTTAAAAAAGAGTCAAATCAAGTGAATGATGTGACGAAAACCGGGGCGCAGCAGGGAGATGCAGCGCGTGTACCGGAGAGGTGAGGGTGAGAGGTTCGGGTGGAATAAATCCAAAGTTGGGGATGTGTGGGAAAGGGAGAAAAATCCACCTGGAAAAAAGTTGTTTCGGTGGGAAAGGGAAAAAAAGTCTTCGGGAGCTTGGGAGAGGAAGAAGCAACGTTCGGATCTAGGCAACGAAACTCACCTTACGAAGGGGAATATCTGGATTCCAGAAGTAACAAGTCCTTTCTCAAGAGATCGGACTTGAAAAAAAAAAAGGAGGGAGAGAGAGAAAAAGGTGAGGCTTGGTGGTCGGGGAAAGATGTGTGTTATACTGTCTCGAACAAACAGCGCCGCCACCATGACATCGGCGAAGTGGCCCGGATCGATGTAAGACGCCTGAAGACGGCAAAATAGATTTCAACGTTGAGAAGTGAAGCGAGAAATACGTGAAGCGATTACGATAGTATTTGGTCTATAAGATGCTTGGAGACTTTTCTCTCCTTTGGACTCGGGATCTCCATAGTGAACTGACAATCCGGAGGGAACAATGAAGTGGATCTGTGGTTGTTCCTCCCCCCCCAATGTGGCTCCATTTCGCCACGCTTGACGTGGGAATAACAACTACTGTAGCTAACAGTACAGAAACAGTAGCTAACAGTACAGAGACAGTAGCTAACAGTAGCTAAGGAGTAACCAAAGTCATTGTCAACTAGGCCAGTCACACTCTTCATAGTTGGGTTTATTCAGTAGGTTACACTCATCTATACTCATCAGGCACTCTGAACAAGCAATTCGTTACTAGACAACCACCCTATCAGCGTCTATGGATCTGTCACAACATCTCGCCCACTCTCGATACAGCAACTCAGCCTGCTTAGTCGACCTTTTACTCGTGTCCGGTATGACTCAAATACCTAAACGAACTGGTTCAAAGGGATCAGTAGCGCATGATTCATGGGGGGTATGGACTACAGGTCCGTTCTAGGACTAGTTCTTGGCTGTGGATTATTATCGAGTTCATTGTTTCTCCAAGGGATACAGTGGTTCTCTCCTATCTTCCCCTTGACATATACTCGATCGAAAGGGATAATACCCAGTACAGTAGTTGGTAGTAGCAGTAGTAGTCAACTAATAATAACTAATTTACTTGATGATATCATCTTCGTACATTCCTAAGATCGACATCGATTCCCCCGATTCCCGCCTTGCGCGGCGCGAACTTTCTAGATGCGCAGCAGGCCATATTCTTCCGACCGGTTTGATTCGGCTGCTCACTCCCACCATTTGGTCCTCGGCTGTCAGATCATGTTCGATCAATATGCGAATGCGAGACGTGAGGTGTACACTTGCCCAGTCCACTAGTCTCTAGCCCACTGATCGCTAGTCCGGAGGTGAGGGGTATCCAGGCTGTGTAGATGCGATGATGTGCAGCAAGTATGGTGGGACAGGCGAGAGGGCCTCTGCGCTCCTCAACCGCAAATGGCGTTATCTAAATAAACTCCGTTGTTAAACCCGCTCATCCGGAGAAAAAATGAGGGCCATCTATGTATCTTGATGGTGGCGTGCGTATTTGATTTCTCATCTAGCACCTGGTATCTGGTGGATGTATGACTTTGCTGGTCTTTTGAAAATTGACGTCTTATAGCCCTCTAACCCGACAAGCAAGAAAGAAATACAGCGAGGCTAGTATCGATCATATCCGGACGTCCGAGCCGCATAGTCAGTGCCTGATGAGCCCGACGAGTCGTGCTCATTACCCAGCCAGCCCGATGTCCACCGGCTGCTCGTCCGCCGGGCACCACTGCGACTCCCCAAATCCTCATCGTCGACTACATCAAAGGAATTGTCGCTGGGATCCTTTCGCAGTGGAGCACCATAGGCCAGATCATCGTTCTCGGTATCATCCCGGCCCATCGCTTGTTCCTCCCGACTCAACGTAGAACGCAGGAAATCCAGCACCTCCCGCTGTCGGGAGATATAGCTTGCCTTCTCGGCACCGGACATGGTTTCCAACTTGCGCTGGAGAAGGGTGCCGCTGGCTGATAGCTCCTCCTCGCGTGCTTCACGAGGCTTGCCTGCAGAAGTGACGGAGCCCAGTGCAGTCCCGAGAATCGAGTACCAATCGTGGGCAGCTGCCGGTGCGGCGGCTGGCGCTCCGGGCGCAGCGGGAGCACCGACAATAGGGATATTAAATCGTGACAGCAAGGATTGAGCATAGGCAGCGGGCCCCGAGGGTGGCGGTGGCGCGGGCTGTTGCGGGGGAAGGCCCATAACTTTCTCCCGGATCAAGTCGATAGCTTTGTAAAAGTATTGCAGGCCCATTGCCTTGGCCTGCTCGTGTGAGCGACCGATAAACTCTTCGATCTCGCGTTCGTGGTGGGTCAAGAATGGATCGACGTAGTCTTGGTAGAGCAGACGAGCTCCCTGTGTCTGGGGAAGAACGAGATAGCATAGGAAGAAGAGACGGATCCAGCTATAGAAGGGGAACCTGGCGAGAAAATCGCTGTCAGCTTCTGCAGCAGCCTGGGATCATAACTGGGTGATCGACAAAAGCCATACCATCCAATAATAAATACTGTCCAAGATTCCACCAGCAACACGACAGACAGTACCACCCAGTACATCAACCATGGTGCGAGTTGGGAGGGGTCGGCGGAGCGGAGGGCCTTATAGGAAGCGAAGATGGGGAAGAGGATGGTAATCACGGAGCTATAGAATCTGCGATTAGTAGCTGCACGAGCTTGCAAACAGCTAGTTCAATGAATATGCTTGAGATAGGCACTTACGACAACAAGTCCGCAAAGATGCCGAACATGATGGCGAAGAAAGTATAGGAGACAGAGGGAGTTTGAGATAGCAAAGATCAAGAGGGGTCGACAATCGGCGGTGGGCGATCAGGCGGCTCTCTCCAACACGGAGGTTGAAGAGCTGCACAGGTTTAAATCGGGAAGGGGCGGGTTTTCTGAAACATCGACACAGATTCTTGCAACCTCCAAGAAGTCTAGATGAAGAAGAGCCAGGACAGAAAGTAGGAAAGGCGAGGTTGAAAAAGATGAACGCTGAGTCGTGGAGTCTGGTGGAGATCAGCGATCAGCCCTCTCAGGCTGTCGGGGGCGGTCATGCTTCCTCCCGATCAACGGCTCGTCTTGACGTCACGCGATTTGTGGATTCAGGTCTTCTTCATGCCCTATAGAGGAATTCATGCTGTCTGCGGAGTAATTTCTGAGGGCTAAACTATTCACTTCCAGCATTCTCAAAGCTTATTCACTACCAACCCCGCCATTGCTTACAAGTTCGGCCTCCGTGCGACGAGCTTCAAGATCGACGTGCCACTACTCCAGAGTCTCTAGTACTACTGGCTGCGGCTCTCAACAATCGGCCCAATCACCCGATGCCCAAGGCGCTTGCATGATCGCTGCCAGTTTCAATTCATTTCCTTTCACTCGCAACACTCCTTTGCCAACTCGCAATCCAGTGCATGCCTCTAGAATCGTGAATACCGAGTCCTAATCTCGAATATTGGGATTGCGCATATCCGCCAGTTTACACTTCCCCGCTTCTCTTAGTGTTGAGGGTCTCCCAAGAACCTCGGAACTAAATAATGTGTATCGCACTCATCTCAACCGCTCACCCTGAGTATTCGTTGATCGTCATTGACAACAGAGATGTGCGTCCTCCATAATTCTTGGCTTATGGTACTTCTACTAAATACAGTCAGGAATTCCTTCGACGACCGACCTCGTCGCCAGACTGGTGGCCAGAGCCAGCATCGCATGTCCTCGGCTCACGCGATTTGGCCCGAGCCACCCACGGCACCTGGATGGGAGTCACCAAGCAAGGCAAATTAGCCGTGCTCACCAACTATCGCGAAGATAAATGCGCCCAGGCCGTTGGGGTACATAGTCGTGGCCGAATTGTCAACAGCTGGCTCACCAGTCCCCCCAGCGAGGGTCAGACCACCCATAGCTTTGTGCAGGAGATGGTCGCTAGCCCCGAAGCCAAGCAAGTCGGGGGATTTAGTTTGGTTTGTGGCCGGGTCAATGAACCCCTAGCCATTGTCTCCAACCGTTCCTCCGACATGGACCAGATCACCTGGGTAGCCACGGAGAAGAACCAAACCCGAGGGCTTAGCAACACAAGTGTCGATGACCGGACATGGCCCAAGATTCTGGATGGCGAGAAGTTCATGAAGCTTGCCATTGAGGAGCATGTACAAGCCCAAGAAGACGAAGAGACCCTACTGCAGCGGCTTCTTGGGGTGCTCAGCAAAGACACCTTGCCGCGACTACCGGAAGGAACCAGTGTCGAGACTTACATCCAACATCTACGGAAGAGTATCTTCGTTCCCGTCATCGGCGCCGAGGATGATGTCAATCAAGCGGCTGAAGATGTCGCAGCTGCCCGCGTCGAGGACGAAATAAAGCAGCCTCAGGTCAAGGGACCTCTGGACCAGAACTATTCCTCCGGACCGTACGGTACTCAGAAGCAGACGATTATTTTAGCTCGGCCCGATGGTCGACTTCGGTACTTTGAGCGGACCCTTTATGATAACGACGCCAAGGCCGTGCCCATCGGACAAGGCGATCGGTCGTTTGAGTTCCACGTCGAACAATAGCAATTAGCCGGCCACGACCGATCACCCCTGCAGCGACCGTGGCTCAAATGTAGAATCTAACGTGTTATGATCATGATGAAACAAGCATGGAGGGAACGAGGGGAACCACATGGACATTTTGTTTCGCTGCTGCCTGCTTGTTATAACTAGACTTGGAAGCGATTCCAAGCGGTGTAATTGATATCAACTCCACTTATCTTGATTGTCCGTATTACATGTGCTTACATTTATATAAGCTGTAGGATTCGTATTTGTTCGCAAAGGAGCCTCCGGACCCATTCAGGCTAAGCGTGAGTGAACTATTTCACCGACCGTCATGCTAAACGGTCCGCCGTGTTTCAGCTTAAGAGGTTGTTCATCTACCCGGCACCCCATTTTTCTCTCCTTGTTTTTCGGCCTCTTCCCTAAGAGGAGAACCGCCGAACCCACTGCCCCTGGACCGGAATAATTTCCTGATATTCTTCCACTTATGACTTCAAGCTGCTGGTTCAATACGGCGCTTCACGAAATGACTCTGAACCCTCATGGGCCCTGCGTCAAACCAAGTCGACTCCACACTTCCAGATGCCTCCATCATCACAGCCTAACGGCTTGCCCGGGACAGTCCTGATCCCCGTGCTAACTTAATATTCTATGGCTAAACTATTCATTCACTAGCCTCATTCAGCAACGACGTAATGAAACTTAGATTAACCTATGGCCAGATCAGGACCGTTCCAGCCCGTTCATGCCGGATCCAATGGCCCCCAGGCCATCGCCTGTATTTACCCAGTAGATCCATCGAGGCGGATGTCCGAGGAACTATCCGTTTCTTAATTACTTACAGGGTTAGCGTCCACCAGCCTTTATTCCACGCCCGGTCGAATGGCGGTGATTTCTGTTCTCGCAGAGGGGGCCTCGAACGACGAACCCACTCCGTGTATCAGATGCTTCACTAGACTTAACCGAACCCAATGGTCGACCTTGTTTGACGCCCACCCCCTCTTCCAATATGTCGAGCTATATAATGCCTGAGATCTTGAAGTCTCCTGTCTTCTTCGGGTTTTTCTAACTCTGTTAACCTTCCTTTCCTTTAAGCATCAAGACTGGTTTCTTGATCATTTCCTTCTTTTTTACAACCACATTCTTTCATTCGACCAGCTCGATAGTCACTCTCTTCGAAACTTTACCAACCATCTTTCAAAATGAAGTTCACCAACATTGTTCTGGCTGCTAGCGCTGCTGGCATGGCCGTTGCTTACCCCAGTGGTCGTGACGTTGTTCCCAACAAGCGCAGCGTTGAAAAGAAGCGTGCTACTGGCTTCACCTGTGGGTTTTCTCCTCAATGGACTGGCAATTGGTCATTAGCAATTGCTATGAAGACGTACATAATACTAATAGCAATTAGGGGTCGGTGTCAGCGAGTCTGGTGCCGAGTTCGGGTCTGCTATCCCTGGTACCCTGGGAACCGACTATACCTGGCCAGTGACCTCCAAGATCCAGGTCCTGCGCACTGCTGGCATGAACATCTTCCGTGTTCCCTTCTTGATGGAGCGTTTGGTGCCTGGTAGCATCACCGGCTCTCTGGATTCGACCTACCTGGCCGCTCTCAAGTCTGTACGTGACAGATCCATTGTAAAGAGCTATGAAAAACTTCAAACATATACTGACCTAGGTGTTCTTGTTCACTCTAGACCGTCAACTACATCACCGAGAGCGGTGCCTACGCTGTCCTCGATCCTCACAACTATGGCCGATAGTACGAGATTCCACCCTTTCCTTTGTCCACTTCGGGCCTTGATATTAACCTCTTGAACAGCTCTGGCAGTGTCATCACCTCTACCGACAACTTCAAGACCTGGTGGAAGACCGTCGCCACCGAGTTCGCTTCCAACGACAAGGTCATCTTCGATACCAGTAAGCCCCTACCCAAAATCTCAATAACGTATTGGTAAACTAACACACTTCGACTAGACAACGAGTACCACGACATGGATCAGACCCTCGTCCTCAACCTGAACCAGGCCGCCATCGACGGTATCCGTGCCGCCGGCGCCACCTCCCAGTACATCTTCGTCGAGGGCAACGCCTGGACCGGCGCCTGGTCCTGGACCAACAACAACGATAACATGAAGGATCTGACCGATCCCCAGGACAAGATCGTCTATGAGATGCACCAGTATCTCGACTCCGACAGCTCCGGTACCTCCGCAGCCTGTGTTAGCAGCACCATCGGCCAAGAGCGCCTGGAGTCCGCCACAACCTGGCTGAAGAACAACGGCAAGAAGGGCTTCATCGGTGAGTTCGCCGGTGGCGTCAACTCTGTCTGTGAGTCTGCTGTTGAGGGCATGCTCTCTTATATGTCCGACAACACCGACGTCTGGATGGGTGCCGAGTGGTGGGCGGCCGGCCCCTGGTGGGGATCTTACATGTACTCGCTGGAGCCTACTGATGGTCCCGCGTACTCGACGTACCTGCCCATTCTTGAGAAGTACTTCGTGAGCGGCTCTTCCTCATCTTCTTCTTCGTCTTCCTCCTCGTCCACCACTACTACAACTGCCAAGGCCACCACTACCGCTAAGGCTACTACCACCACCGCTGCTCAGCAGACTACTACCTCTACCACCGCCGCCGTCGAGGTCACCACCACTCCCAACGGCCAGGTTGAGGTCTCCAGCTCTGCTACTCACACCAGCGCCAGCACTAGCTCTGCTTCCCACACCACCACTACTAGCTCTGCCTCCCACACTACCACCAGCTCGGCTAGCCGAACCACCACCCTGCCCGCCATCGCTACAACCACCCTCGTCACCAAGACCTCGTCCGCCCAGTCTTGCAGCAGCACTACTACCGCACCCTCCACCGGTGGTACCGTTCCTCACTGGTACCAGTGCGGTGGTCTCAACTGGACCGGCGCCACGGCCTGCGAGAGCGGTTTCACTTGCAAGGTACAGAACCCTTACTACTCCCAGTGCCTGTAAAGAGCGTCTCAATGAGAACGAGGCTTTCATTAAAAGGGGATTGGCATAAATCTTGATGCATTTGGTTTGGTGATTTTCTTCTTCTGGGAAGGCTTGGTCTTCACCTGTATACTTTTATACTTCGATTCTACTACTTCTACTACTTCTACTTTTCATATTTTATTCAATTGATTTCTTGCCAATCAAATCCCACTACAGTCCAGCTCATCAATGATATGAAAGCACTAATGTCCTTGAACCATTTCTCTGGAGCATATATAGTAGCTAGCAAAATTGGCTTGGCGCTTAGGTCTTTTGCCGAACCAAGCTGATATCGATATATCAATCCCCGATCAAGCAAGATATCAGCACAATGAAAGGAAGAAAAACAAAAGTAAAAGCAAAAACATACAACAGCCATACTATGGCGATGCTCACCTAGCGCCTAGCGTTCGCTCGTGGGCGGCTCGCTGCTTTACGCTCTCGGACTTTAGGCGGATTCGGGCGGCTTCAGGGGGCAGTTCACCCACGTGAATATCCTCACCTAGCGGGGTGAAGCCCGTCTCAAAATGTGCCCTTCTACATTTTGATCGAGGGAAAAATTTCACGATACGGAAGCAGAAACTATGTCCTTAGTTGCCGCTAGCTGCCATCATCCTTTTCTACTCCTTTGTTTCTCTCCTATCCCACGGCCATGTCTCTCTGGCTTCAATCCGACCGCAACCATAACGAAAAACGACCTAATGCTGGCTTACGCCAGTAAAATATGGCGAATTTAACTGACGTCGATAAATCCGAAATCAGACGGGTAGTCCTGCTGCATACAAAGGGGAAATATAAGCGCACCAAAAGTTTTCGTCAAGTTTATGTCCAGTTCTCAGTAGAATTCCAAAGATTAACTATCTTCTAGATTTATTAACCTCTATCCTGACGCCAAGAGCCTACCTAACCTTCAATCCTACAAAGTATTCCTTGTGTGGGCTGTGACGATTGAGACGTTGAGGGATATGAGATCAAGTGAAAGATCAGGAGACAATGTATGAAGGAAGAAGGAGATATCTTTAGATGCATCATTGAGGTATTTGCAGAAGAAAAAGCCAGCATGTATTTCGATTCCTGTTTTCCCTCGTCTCCTTCTTTTCTTCTTCTTCAGTCTCGATACTTCGTTGAATGATACAGCTTGATCTGGGATCTTTCTCTTGACCCGTAACACTCTAGTACTATTCAAGCCAGCTTATATAGTCTCTCCGGCGCAAATCCGTAGCTACGGCATGTTACATATTTTCGATAGTGATAATAGCTAGAGTTTAGTGAGCGTGGGAAAAGTCGTGTATTATAGAGAGGAAAACCTACTGATAGCTAAGTCTTAGATTAATACTTGTGTCTCCGGGTCGATCCTCGAAAGCGTTCTCTCTGACTTAAATACGATGAAGCCTAGCCTACAGACCGGAAAAATCATAGCTCTTTTAGAATATCTCCAGAGACATTTCCGTTAGAAGCTAGTTAATTTAACTATTCGAAGGTGTTAGCATAAGTCCCAAAATACATGAAGTCCTTCGAAAATGTACGTAAGGATAAATTCTCCTGCTAGTGCGATTGATCCGCTCCAAAAGCCGATTGCGGTTACTAGGAGAAGAAGTAATAGGAAATATCTACCCCCTCTGTATTATATCTCGAATTATCGCCTTATAGTGAAGAGAGATCTTTAGCATAAGAGTCTCTAGTGTGTTCAAGGTTAAGAGAAAGATAGTGGATCTTTGACGAATGTGACGCTCTGGCGAGAATAAAGGAATTTGGAAGATATGGTAATAACCTCAGATGTAGCCATTCACGGGTGTCTACCTCAGTTGTCTGCTCGCTTACTTTGAGGATGCTGTGTATTTAAATCTTCTCTCGCTGATCGGTTTTCCTTTTCTTCTTCTTTCTCTCCTCAGTCTTGATACCTTCGTTGAATGGTACAGTTTGATTCCGATCTTGCTCTTAACTATGACAGGATCAAGCTGTACCATTCAACAAGAGTATCAAGACTGAAGAAGGAAAGAGGGAGAAGAAGGAAAGCAGGGATCTTATACATACTGGCTCTTTCCTCTTAAACGCCTTAACAATGCATCTAATGAAATCTCCTTCCTTCATGCGTTGTTACCTGATCTTTCACATCCCTCATCGTCTCGATCGTCATGTATTGCACTAATAGTATACGCGTCTAGGTAATTATGTAGCTAGTTATCCATAATTACTATCCACTTATCATATATTCATATATAAAGTTAAGATAGCGGTATATCTCCTGTGTTATATTAGCGATTTAGATCATTTCGGATAGGAGATGGTATACCTCTGGACACTTTACTGACATCTATTCCCCTAGATATAATGGCTTATGTAGTTCCTATAACCCTTTGAATGGTAATAGTCTATTAAGGGCTCCTGGAACCCGCCTAAAATCCTTCTCTAAACGGAGAAGCACTATTACAGAATCTTCGCCATCTCCTTCTCTATTTCTGTTCCGCATCTATACTCTATACCCCCTGTTATAGGTCAATCGAAAAGAAATTAATTCGGTAACAAAGACGAAAGTATCAAGACTAGGGAAAGAAGGAAGGAAAAATCTATCTGGTGAGGGAAGTTGTTAATACACCTAAACCTCCTAATCCGGCGATGTTTACTCACGATACCAGTCTTGTTATTAAACCGACTAACTCATCAACCATCCTTCCAATCCTATCGTCTTTAATTGTCTTACGCGTAACCCCCCCTCCCCAGGCCTCTAGTTTATTCGAATACACCGATAAATGTCGATATCGCGGTACGGCCGAGCATTTAGATACTCCTCTTGAATGATCTCCGGTGCTTCACCAAAGAGTCCTATAATAATGTAAGTATTAAGACGTCTAGCGCCTTCTTTGAGCCTTACCCTTATAGTAAAGTTCGACCACTGTTATGATATATCCTGGCATGAGGTTATTCCCAAGTGTTGGTGCCTCAGGCTTCCCGGACCTGATAAGCCGGCAGGCTTTCTGTGGAGGCTCGCTGGGGCTTCGGTATCAGTACGTGTACGAACTCCTGCAGGGAACACCCTTAACAGAGGTTACATAAGCCTCGTGTTTCACCCCGCTCCCATTTCCCTACCAAGGATACATCTCCTTCCTGTTTGAGCGATGAGACTGTATATAAATTGACCCATGTTGAAGAGGTTTTACAATCCTCAAGAAACAGTCTTGACCTTTCTACACTATTGACTTGGCTCCATTTCTCCTACCTGATTGACAGGCCTCTATCCTGACTTGTAGAGCATATCCTTACAACCACCCACTATTTATTATAAAGAAATCGGCCTGTAGTAAGAAGGCAGTGCTTGTTATGAAGCAAATTTAGCTTAAAGTTCTCTAGAAAATTAAAGAAAATGGAATCGGAACTGATTATGTAGGTCGGTTAGGTTAAGACCTTATTCACTCAAAGGTCTATTAAAGTACGGTATTGCTGACTAAAGTGTTGAGAAAATTATCAGTATTAAGGCGAATACAGTATTCGGCTTTAAACGTTTCGACTAGGGAGGCAATATGCTTCTCCCTAATAATTCGGGGCCTAGAGCCACTTAAGTCGAAATCCCTCAAGTTGACCTTAGCTTCCTATGCAGAAGCGTTTTCTTTCCGAGGAAAGGCGCTCGTCTATCCCTACGGAGAAATTAGGGATAAGAGAGAGAGTTAGGACGGGAGAAAAATTAGAAGTGACGGAAATTAGAGCAAGGGAAAATTAGAACAGAGGAGAAATTATCTACGAGGGAATATTCAATTAGGGGAAAATTTAAGTAGTGTGAATTTTAGAACTATGATAATTTTCAGTTTGGCTTAGATTAAAAGTAGTTAATATTCTTCTCATAATTTTATCTGTCGGGGAAAATTCTAGCTTCTCGGTTTTAACGGAGATAAGGTGAGCCAGAAAAATGATTGGTAGTAAGTACCAAGACCAGATGTGACAGCCAGTATGGGCGTTCGCTAGCGCATAAACGGAAAAGCACACTTCTCTAACGCAAAGCGCAAAGGAGGATTTAAGCGTTGACCTTCCTTACCCCGACGACGTTCCCTGGTTGGGAGACTCGCATTATTTATTCGATCTTTCCTTTCGATGATTAGTTAGCTGCTAAGTAAACTCTATTGCGATTTGTATAACAAGCTAATGCCTATTAAAAGTACAGTGAGATTAGATCAGAGAGGAAGGAATGAAGATAGAAATCATTATAGCTGGGCTATAGGTTTACGTTGGCGGCGTTGGCGGCGGGATTGCGAGTTATGCTCGTAGGGCTTTGACATCCTCGTGAAGCTTCTGATTCTGTTCATGAAGGACATTCTGGTCGTGCTTGACATCCTGCAGCTTAGCTTCGGTGGATTCTTTGAATACGGTTTAGTGGTGGATGATGTCCTTCAGCTCGTCGATGAGCTTCTACCCTTCCCGGGTGGTGACCCGGCTAGAGTTCTCCCTAGGTATATAACTCCCATTATGCTGTCCTCTCTTTCTTGTGACTCGCGTTGGGATGTTGTTCACCCTAAGCTGGAAATCCTGGACTGAGAAAACAGTAGTCCCCTGAGTGTTCATGGGTGAGGTCTCGGGCGGCCTCGCGGGTGGGTCCGCCATCGGTCCGGGGTTAGCTCCCGCTCGGTACCCAGCAGTTTTATATCGCGATAAACGACAATCGCCTCGATTCTGATAATGCGTCCCTTGGGGATCCTGGTGCCCCGGACTAAGCTACAATTTTTCCTCCAGATATAGTGGTGACCGCAATCGACTTCTATGCCGGCAATATATAGATGGCATTTCAAACCCTAGCCACATGACGAGCCTAACTCAGGAAGATTTGCGAGAAAATTACAGGTTTTGTATGTACGCAGTAATCGCCACTCTTATACACGGCTTTATGCAAGATACAATGGAAGTTTGAAATCCTCGGATCCTTACTGCCTAGTTCTCCACCCATAAGTTTACCCCGATTTGCAAGAAATCTCGATATAAGCAAAGCAACGTATCGTCAAAAATCCTTACTAATTGAAATAGGATATAATTTATGTGTCGGGAAATATCCTCCTGTCAGGGTAAACTAGCAGTGACTTACTGCTAGCGACTGATGGATAACATCCCTTGCTTAGTGTAAACATTCTTGCGCCGGGCTGCGGCTCCAATGATGTGACCGCCGAGTATCGGCGTGTGGGATCAAGGGATGTTCTCAAACTAGACTGAGAAAGCATCGATCTACATGAATCATTGACTTTTGCTTTGGAAGCATAAACACTGTTCACTTCACTGTGTGCACGGTACCTAGCTGGTGATACCAACAAATATGTGATAATCTTTTTTTCGTTAAATCTAGCCGTAGGTTAAATCCCAAAAACTGGGTGGTCGGCAGAATACTATGTCATTACTACAGCATTTCAACCTTATGAAACATCACTCGCATAAGGGTCTAGTCTTGAAGATTCCGTGCAAAATGAGTGAACTAGTCATTAGCAATCGGGCAAGTTCTCTTCTCCATCTCTCAGTTGAGCCCGCCAAGCGAATATACATGAATTGTCAACCATTTTAGATCCGTGCAGTATCACTATGGGTCTCCCGAATATTCAGATCAGCGTAAAATAGATTATTCTTTGCTGCTTTGAGTGATACCTTGAAAATGGGTTCTGCACTCGCTTGATTTAGCATTGTTCTCGTAAATGTTCGATTCGCTCCTATATGTACGCTGTGACCTCAAGTACGGTGGAGCTGGCAGTTTCTGGGCCCGTAAATGGTGCTCCAATGTGGCTGAAACAGTTTTGCCGCCGACAAAAAGGCCCGTGCGGAGTGAGAATCAGTTCAGCCGAGTAATGCTGAATTTATAGGCAGTACTCGCCCTCCGTGAGCTACGCAAAGAAACCTTTTGTACTTCATCTTCAAGCTGCACATTCCTTTTGTCTTGACCACACTTACATCCATTACCGCTCTACCATAGCGATGGCTGAGCTTGTTGGAGTGATTGCAAGCGCTGTCACCCTCGGAACTGTTATGGCACAGCTCACAACCTCTATCACTTGTCTAAAGGGTTTCTGTGAGCAAATTCACAATTTACCTAGTGACATTAATTGGCTTGTGCGAGATATCGAGATACTTGGTCTTATCTTAAGTGACATTGAGGCCGAGTTTGTGCAAAAGTCGATTACACCGGGCCTAAACGATAGCAAGCACGTTCGGCAAAGTGTGGAGTTTTGCAGAGAAGCTGCTATTAGTCTGGAAATAACGTACAAGGATTTAGTCTCAGATCTTCAATCCGGCTCTCGAATACCTCAGTCTTATGCCATCATGAAGCTAGTGATGCGGAGGAGCAAGATAGAGAAGTACAAATCACGACTACAGGATGTGATTCGTTTACTTTTATTGTCCCAGCAATTCTACACAAGGTCTGTAATATTCCTTGACCTATTTGATGTCAAAAAAGTGACAACTTCATTTAGAGCTCTTTTGCAGACCAGGCCTGAATTGATAGCCCAAGAGATAGTACGCCAGCTGAAAAAGTCTTCAATTATGCCAGAGCCGGGCGACAATAGAATGCACGCTACGTTATATCATACGGAAAGACACTGTTCCGCGGCTAAAAAAGCCGCTAATGAGAATTCCAACAGTTTTCGGAACAAAGCTTTTGTGTGGCGTGCTTCTCTGCCGCCTTGGATAACTACTAAAGTTTTGGAACTAAGTGGTCTGAGATTCCCTGACGGCTGGAAGTGGATCTTTCGGACGTACAACACAATTCCACTCGAATCAAGTGCGGTCGCTTTCGCTAGCTCTGGCGATATTCAAGGTCTGCAGAGTCTTTTTGCCTCTAAGAGGGCTTCGCCTTTCGATCGAATTGACATAAATGGGTATACGTTACTTCATGTAAGCTCATAAATAACTCGATAAATAAAACAAACCAGGATACTCACTAGTTTCAAGTATGCGGGTGGACCAAACAGGCATGCCGTTCTCGAGTTCCTCCTGAACGAGGGAGCGGACATGTCTATTGGGGGCAACTTCAGCCAGCCTAACACGCCCCTTCTCCACTTGGTGTGGTCGGGGAGTCTTGGGGGAAAGAAAGGGCATCCTCTGCTCCCTTCTCTTCGAATACTTTTCCATCGTTTAGGGGAGACGCTGTATGAAACACCAGAAGAAACGATCAATGGGTTTATGGCAGGCTTTCATGGAACAGCTGAAGAGTTTCTTTTTTGTCAGCAGAGATACTGTCCGGATTTTTACCAAATGCCACAATGGACACGAGTCGCAGTGGCTGCTCGCGCAGCGTCCGGTGTCTGGGACGCCTACCATATGCCCGAAATGATTCGGACAGTCCTAGGAGAGGGCGCTTTGGGAGCAGAAATGCTTCAACAAGAGTGGCCTTCGGAAAATTATGCACGAAAAGTAACGAGAACAACATTGGTGCATTGTGTGGCACAGAAAATTGGCGGAAGTCAGGCTGGAATGCAACGCTGCCACAATCCTGTGCGAAAGCCATTTCACGGGGGAAAACGATTCGAAGCTTTATGGATAGAGCGTGATGAATTCAATAAACAGGGAGAACTCTATAATTCGTGGAATTGTTTGTTTCGCGAGTTCTTGCTTGCTAAAATTGATGTACACCAAATCGTCGATGGGAAGACGCCATTGATCGCATTCCTTCAAGGATATTTCTATCATGAGTGGGGCAGAACCAAAAAAGAAGGATCAGCTTGTGTGACAGCGTTGAGGTCCTGGTTGACGGAATTGCAAGCTGCTGGTATTGATTTAGATGGATATGGGCAGAAAGAGGTAAAAATTTGGAAGAGCGAAAATATTCGAAGAGACGTGTTCTCTGTCAGTGAAAAAGGGGTGCGCTGGAAACGGCTGATCAATATTGTTTATGGCGCGAACCCTTCTGACTGGAACATTTGGTTTTCTGAATCTTCCGATTCTCATGCAGGCGAGTTTTGGGATCTATTAGAGCAGGAGACAGAAGTCATGCCAGGTAGTTGGCCGGTGGAATAATCCCGCACGGTGCTTTCACAGAAGAACGGAGGCGCATACGTCTAGGTGGAAATAGTATTCATTATGACATCACGAGGGAAGAACACAGATGAACATAAATCACACTAGGATTAAGATATTTGCAGATGCGCCTTAGTTGAGTGATAACATGAAACTTGAACGATTGGTTTTGATAACGCGCCGGTGCGACCAATCGAAATCTGAGGTCATACGTCCCTGGTGCCGGAAGATTCCTGCCCAATGATTCTACGCTAGCATCATAAGGAATTCAGCAGAGGGTCGGTGCGGTGAGGGTGTGATTGAGACGGTCTCGAGGAGAAGCGCTCCAAACGGTGATAGGTCGTGGTTCGTTGGGACACCCAGCAGGATAGGCGGATACCCGGAATAGGGATCTATTCGTACGAAGGTCCATATCAAAAGTTCTCGTGCACTCTAAATTCCAGGCTAACCCTATACTAACTAGCTGTTATAAACACTGTATTTATCGGGTTTTATCCCTTCCCTCCTTGTACTCATACCCACCTTCTAGTGCAATAATTTGCTGTATATGATATGGGATACGCTCAATCCATCTCTGTATAGAATCCTGCGATATTTCATCCCATGCTTCTACCCAAGATTTCATTGCATCAGCCCTGCTTTTTGGTGCACCTTTTCTTTGGTTATATAACGCTTTGGCCAAGGCCGGCTAGGCTTAATTGCATTAAGATCAGGTGAATTTCGACACCAAAGAAGCCGTTGAACTTCATTCGACGAAATGCTGGACACAATTTCCCGCCTCATTTGTCGTACGGATCAAAAGTCGCGCCGATAACTAGAAGTTCAGCAGCGTAATCACAGGCTAGATCCCGATACAGAGCTCTTAGAGCTGGCCTCGAGAGATGTGTCTCATTATGACCACTGTGGAGAGCGCCTTCTCCTTATCCAAGAGGTTTGAGGAGACAGAACCTTCAACACTGTCCCAGTGGTGGTATAATAGAAAGAAGGTTCAATGTTACACGTTCTGGGTCGCTGTCCTGGTGCTCATTCTGATAATTATCTTTGGACTGATCCAGTCAGTTACCGGCGTTAGTCAAGCCTGGGTGTCGATAAGCAGTATCTAAATTTTCATTCGTATCGGATCGGAGCACTCTTTGCATCGATAACATATTCGACAACTTCGCCTAGAGTCTGATGATGTAGAAGCTCAGCGGGAATATCTGAGCGGCAAGCGCATTAAGGACTCTGCAGCCTGTGATACTAGCCGTTTGGTTCCTCTTCTAATTCGCTTTCTTATATATCTATCATCTTCTGCCACACGAAGAGTTCCATCACCTTTTCTCCGTTGTAGAGCAGATCACGCCTCTTTCACCAAGCACTTTCTAGTGGACCATATGCCACAAGAAAATTGATCAACTTCTGGCCAATGAGCCGGTGGGCATGGATCCTTTCCATGAATATGATGCCGCAAGCCCTCTGTAACGGGTCAATCGAAAGGGGATCAATTTGGTACCAAGAACGAAAGTATCAAAGCTAGCGAGAGAAGGAAAGAAGGATCTGAATCATGGGGGATTTCTGTTGATATGTTTCCCCATGATTGCCATGTTTTTTTGTTCACCAAATATCCTCCCTCTCCATATCACCAAGTCAACAGTCATGCCTCCGCCAACCGTCACACCCTCTACAGTAGTGGTCCATCGTGGAGAATAAATACTAGCCAATTCAATTCACATTTTAAAAAACGAAATACCTCATATGTTCCGCCACCGGAGCGCTCTTCAATTATGTTTGTTTGTATCGGAGCGAGCTACTCTCTTCTGCACCTCTTCTCTGGTCAGAATCTTCACTGCACCCTTGGAGAGAAGATAGCCTAGACCAGACCAGACGGTTGTAAGCGGTGACAGTGAATCTATTTTCCGTGATCATCGCATCAGGATCAGTTCAGTCACCAAGAAAAAGCAAATTAGGGGCCAAGACGGGAGCGGGAAGGAGGGTGTGAGAGGAGGTAAGTTTAGCGGGGGGCCACGCCAGCGCTTCAGGGTCTGAAGGGGCTGAAGAGTAAAGCGGCAAGAGCATTCGTCCTAACGAATGGCAAAAAAAGGTTGAGCACCGACATACAACAGCTAGGATTCGCATGTGGTCACCCACCATACTACTAACTGGCCGGCGTGTGGCTTCTGCTCAATCGAGTCTCGGGTGGGTGTCGCCCGGATGAGCAGGAGGGTGACGCCGCTTTTGATTCGCGTCACCCGGCTCACCCAGGGTGAGTGTGATATAGACGGTGTGAACAGGCCGGGGCTGCGCAATCCAACGCACGTACATCTGGGCTACGACTCAACATCGTTGGATAGGACTGGTCCTTCCTGCCACACCGGACTCTTGGCGTCCGCACACAGCCCCTGGATGGACAGCATTGGTGTCCACGCCACCCTTCGTTGGAAAATTTTACGTGTAGTAGCTGGCCTTTATTTAACGGGGGGTAGCCCGATGCTCGTCACGTGCCAAATGTGAATATGGCTGGTCGCTGCCATTCTGCTGTGCTTGAAATAAAGCATCAAGATGGTTTGCACAGCCAACCCCGCCTTGGTAAAGTTGAAAAGCAAGCGAGCGTAGCATGCTATCCAACGTCTGCTTTGTGGTGTCGCTAAAGTCAAAGAAGAAGCAGAGGATAAGACCGTCGTTTCCCTTCGCAAGATGTTCAAGCACAGTCGCACTGAGAACTGTCTTTCCATATCCCGCGAGCCTGTGCAGGCATAAATGTCGACGCGACCCCGAGTGCCACGATGGGAAGACTGAGTTTTCCAGTAGCCACGCACCTGTCCCCTCATGTTGGCAGCAACAGCGGTGCTGATAGATTAATCGATAGTTGAACTATCGGATCTTACGAGAACGTTTAATCACGAACTATGGGAACTGACCGGAGCTTGGATGGCCGGGGACGGTAAAGCCGAGGCCATTACTGTAGAACTCAACGAATTCCATGAATGAGTATTTAATGTGAGTGGCATTGGCTGCTCACGTTGAGATAAGGGTGCCCCTAACGGTTCAATATAAACTGCTGGGACGTGAGTTCTTCACGTAGAGTGGTAACATCAGCGCCTCGCTCTAGTAGCATCTGCACCACCATTTCGTGGCCGTTCGAACACGCGGCTTGGAGGGCATTGCCGAAACGTCCACCTTGGGTATTGACGTTGGCACCTCGATCTAGCAGCATCTGCACCACCCTTTCGTGGCCCTTCAAACATGCGTCATGGAGGGCATTATATTCCCCGTCTTGGGCGTTGATGTCGGCACCTCGATCTAGCAGCATCTGCACCACCCTTTCGTGGCCCATCGAACATGCAGCTTGGAGGGCATTGCCGAAACGTTCACCTTGGGTATTGGTGTTGGTATCTTTATCTAGCAGTATCTGTATCACCTTTTTGTAGCGGTCCTGCTATGTGTTATGGAGGGCATTGGTATATTCCCCATCTTGGGCGTTAATGTCGGCACCTCGATCTAGCAGCATCTGCACCACTATTTCGCTGCCGTTCGAACACGCGGCTTGGAGGGCATTGCCGAAACGTCCATCTTGGGTATTGACGTTGGCACCTCGATCTAGCAGCATCTGCACCACCCTTTCGTGGCCCTTCAAACATGCGTCATGGAGGGCATTATATTCCCCGTCTTGGGCGTTGATGTCGGCACCTCGATCTAGCAGTATCTCCACCACTATTTCGCTGCTGTTCAAACACGCGGCTTGGAGGGCATTACCGAAACGTTCACCTTGGGTATTGACGTTGGCACCTCGATCTAGCAGCATCTGCACCACCCTTTCGTGGCCCTTCGAATATGCGGCACGGAGGGCATTGGGATATTCCCCACCTTGGGCGTTGATGACGGCACCTCGATCTAGCAGCATCTCCACCACTATTTCGCTGCTGTTCAAACACGCGGCTTGGAGGGCATTACCGAAACGTTCACCTTGGGTATTGACGTTGGCACCTCGATCTAGCAGCATCTGCACCACCCTTTCGTGGCCCTTCGAATATGCGGCACGGAGGGCATTGGGATATTCCCCACCTTGGGCGTTGATGACGGCACCTCGATCTAGCAGCATCTCCACTACTATTTCGCTGCCGTTCAAATACGCGGCTTGGAGGGTATTGCCGAAACGTCCACCTTGGGTATTGGCGTTGGCACCTCGATCTAGCAGCATCTGCACTACCCTTTCGTGGCCCTTCAAACATGCTGCTTGGAGGGCATTGTTACATGTTCCGCCTTGGGCATTCACTGTTTCTAATAGAGCTGAATCTGTAGCATCCTCTTCCATCATGCTTCCAACGACTGACTCTAAACCCAACAGGCTTGCATAGTACAGAGGGGGTCCAATATCGTCAATAGGATCCTTATAATACCGCATTCCGTGCCACGGTCGGTCTATGTTATGTAGCCTGATCCAAGTCACAAAGGTATTTGTGTTATGCTGGAATAGTCGTTGCAACAGACTTTCGACCTTCGATACCCTTTTTTCATAATTCGTGTAATGGTGATACCAGTGCTGAGCGGTAAATGGAGCAAGTGGAAACTCTAAAACCTTTGCGTAATCTAATTCTGTGCTAGACAGTATAGGTTCCATGAGATAGACTAGACAGATCTGTGCGATCTCTGCATGCGATGGTCCGCTTGATAAGGCGAAAATTGCCGTTTTTGGATGCTGGATGCGGTCTGATTGAAGGTATTCCTGCACGGAGAAATGAGAAAGATGGACAGTCAGAATATCCTGCCCTTTATCATCTTCATCTTTAGTGGTTTTAATTAGCCCAAGGCAGATGTCACGAAGACTATGTATGTCTACTAGTAGCCGATCGTCACGATCAAGATGGGGCGGCTCATCGAGGTCAACCGCGTAGCTATGAATTAATTCAGCGACAGTTAGTGGCCGGGCAGAAAAACAAAGCATAGTTAATATTCTCCGTACGTCATCAACGCAATTCTTATCAATACCATATAGAATTCGTTCGTACGTCTTATCCAGATCCCGTGGAAGAGACAGACACTTTTTCAAGTGTTTCCTAGTCCGAAGACGGCATCGTTTAAGAGCATTCAATTGATACTCGACGTAACGGAATCTATATATGTTTTATTAGCATGTTGAAACCATAGCTTATAAGATTATTCATATAATCGCTACTTACACCCCCTGTGCGCTTTCTGCTAGTGCTTTTCTGATCTGTTTATGGTATGTTTCCCACTTTCGAAGACTCGAATCATCATTCAGTTGACATGTGATAAAGTTAGTGATATCCCTGTTAATTTCGGAGTTCTTCATAATGATCCTTTGGTCATCTCGTAGATTCAGAGATTCCCGGACATCGGGCTCATCACGGCTGGTAGTTAGGAGGTGTAGGCAAGGGAAGCACTATTTCCGTATTTCGTTTATGATGGTTAATACACCCTCTCGTCGACAACCTCGAGGACTCTCATCCAACGCGTCTAGTAGAATATACACATCGTGGAATCTCCGGACTATGCGTTCAAGATAGGCTATTAGCGCTTGTGTTGAGGGAGTTCCAGATTTGTGTAGGTCGTGTAGTTGTTTAAGGTCCCTGTCGCCGTCTCCGAACTGTCCTGATAACTGTAGCAATAACGCCCGTAGTATAGCCGATGTATCTTGTTTAGACTCGTTATTAAAGGTAAAGTAGAAAAAAGCGATTCCTACCCCTTGCTTATGCTGTTTCTCGCGAAATGTATATTGAACTGCAGTTGAGCACAGGATTGACTTGCCACATCCCGCAAAACTATTGATCCAGAGGAAGGAATTGTGTTGTGTCAACCAATTTGTAAAATGTTCGCTTTTGATAAACCACAACCCTGTCCCTGTATGTCGCTTCGTATATGCCGCGTTATGATTGATGGTTGCATCAGGGGCTATAAGCCAACCACGAATTGTTGAGGAGATATGGCTCGCATTCATCTGTTTAAGGAGCGACTTCAGCTCTGAGATCTCGTCTAGGGTCGTTCGGTGATCGTTGAGCTCTAGTAAATTTAGCGCGATGGATAGGTTTCCACGTATCTCGCGAATGTCCTCCCTAAGGTTTTGCAGGGTGCCTTTTCGGAATGGATATGCTGCACGACACTTCGCAGTTCGGATTTGCCCCTTGAAACCACTAACCGAGATATCGCGGAATCTATCACACTCAGACTGAAGCTCTTCGATGATTCTATTACATCTCTGTATCGCCTTATTGATTTTCTGAACTAACTCCCGTTCATTGTTTCGAAATTGGCGATTCCGTAATATGATACCGAGAGACCGGAAGACAACCAGAAGATTTTCAAGATTTTCTGTCGTTCTGGCTACAACGGTGTCTTGTTCTTTGTATGCAGTGTAGAAGTCAACAAGAGATTCAGTTACTTGGATGCTAAGTGAGAGCAAACCCGTAACGCTTGCTGTAACGGAGAGTCTATCCATAGTAAGGGTCGATGGTCTGCTAGGTCAAAATCAAAATACTTGGGCTTAGCATAAAGTAATATGTATGGCTTGATTAAGGAACACAGAAACAGCAATGCAATAGCCTATTCTCCCTTGGCCGGCTTCTCTTATAACTTGAAGTAGTGCGGCTGAGAGGTGGGGTTGTGACCAATCACAAGGTACCTCGGCCATTGTGTGCTCCTGACCTAGCGTAATAAACCACTAGCCTAACCAGAATATATGTCTATATCATCGTACCTTGAATGGGTCAAAATATAGTTGTATTTGTTTGAGGAGGTATCTGGAGTGAAGGATCTGAGCCAGTATTAAGGATAAACTGTATTTACTAGGCACGGCCTTGATGGGCAGAAGCACGGAGATCTGTATATAGCCACCAGATGAGCCGACGCGGTCAGGGACGAATTCCCGTCACGTGATCATCGTGGATTGTTGGAGCACTAGTCCGTACTGGGTCATGTATCTATGCTTAGTCAGCATATTGGTAGGCAAGAGGTTATGTGATAGGCCTGGTTGAACTGAATCAGTGGAAGACAGAAGATAAGCTGGAAAGGATGTGTATATGTAAGAAGGAAAGGGGTGGTTAAATTGGTAATAAACGGGGCTGAAAGGCTTGGCATTAATTTGGCCCCCGGTGTCGCCAGCGTTTTCGGGTGGTGCCAACAGCGGCACCCAAATGGAGGGTGAGGATATACAGCGAAAGCCTGCGAGGATTTAGGGGCCGGGGGCCTGTGTATGCTAGGTGAGCAGCATACACACCTAGGGTGACCCGGACGCTCACCTAGAACGAACACTTAACCTATTTCATTCGCACCCTAAATAATAAACTTTAGCCGCTGTTTTAGTCAAAAGGGCGTTTTAAGAAATGATAAAGCAGATAAGTGTGGCTTAAGTACGGCTGAGCGGACGGGAAGCCCTGTTCTCCACACCCTGTGGTCGTATGTGGTGAGATTTGTTTGAAGCAACCTATATTGCAGAAACTCGCATGTAGTCACCTACTATGAAAGCACTCCTAGCTGCACGATTTTGTCGATATTTAAGGGCCTAATTAATCTAAGGGAAATGAATTATATGCAGCTGGTCATGCGAGTGTGCCGATATCTCTCAGACTTTTTCATAATAAGGCATGCTATGCTGGCTATGATTTGATCTTGCCGGCACAAGACCAACTAATTCGCGGTGCGTTCGCTGATAGTCTTCCAGGGATGCATAATTCCAGTCCACGCTGTATGATTCGTGTCAGTAAACCTTTGCTGAGTAAGAAGAACCCTCGGAAAGGATTAACGTATACAATGATGAATCCGGTGGCTAGCACACCGACATTGATGACCGTCGATTCGCTCTTGGCACGACGCGTAGAAAATTAGGGACTCTTGTTCAGGTGCAGCTATCAAAGGCTTTGGGGTGCAAGAGACTCATTTCCCGTGAGCCCTTTTTGCCGAAGAAGAGCAGCCACATGTTCCATGAATGCCTTGTATGCTGGTTTCGGGATAGTCCTCTCTTCGTTCTCCCATAAATGGAATTCAACGTCCTCCCAAACTTGAAGTTGACGAGTACGATTCGAGCTCGGTTTGGCTTTCTGCTTTGTTTGAACAAAATTCAATACATCTGCTTGCTGCATGTTCAATTTGCGCATAAGATAGGCGATCATGATAGTTGGTGAGCGTGATATTCCGAGATCGCAGTGAATTGATATCGCCTCCGAATCAGCGCCGCTTTGCTCGTCATTTAATTCATGTTTGCACTCGATGGGTAGGGCGGGTAATGAAGAAAGCACCGGGGATGCCATCTGGTCGATGAAGTCGCAAGTATCACTCATGTGGACGAGGAGGTCCTGTGTCGATGAATCCACACAATGAACCCTTTTATGACGATGCTCTGGAACGCCTGCCTCTCTTGTAATAGTACTCTATCATACCCATTGAGCGTCAGTAAGAGAGACAATTGCATTGATGCGGTTCTCTTGAAGCATTTCCCGTTTGTATGATGCCTCGACATTTCCTAGGAAGAGGCCAGGGACAATCTGCCTCATCCGAGCCTTATATGCCATCTTCCACTTCTTGTTTCTATTCTTCTGGGCATTTTCCCCTGTTTCTTTTTCACCCATCTTGCTTTTTTGCTCCTGTGATAAAGCTAAGTGGTAACAGCTGAGGTTGGTGATTGCTCTCTACTCTAGGTTGAGGTGGATAGGTCCTGGTGTCTGACGTTGGACCCCTCCCTTCCAGGGACAAACCACCTAGGAACAGCCAATAGTGGCTGCATATTTATGCTATGATTGGCTACAACACATTCGCTCTCTTATCTTCGACCGGAGGGTTCCCCGCATTTCGTTCATTACCTATGGATGGCGAGGACTCAAGGCCAGTACAGTATTCATCCATTCCTAGAAGAGACCTACTCCGTTTCTGATGCAACGATATGCAATGTCTTTTGTTGGGCTTGTCAAATAGAATGTCATTCTTATAGGTATCGATCTGTGGAGCGATAGGTTTGCATATATGTATATCGCTAGAGGTCACTGCATCCAAGTTGCTCGCGAATTGACATTTGAAAGCATGATTACGACCATTAAACGAGGGAGCAGAAGGATTAAACCTACCACCAACTCGCAGAGAGATAATCAGTCAGGCATGAATGGAAACGAATAGAGAAAAGACAAAGTACCTAACTGATTGAGAAACAAGGATATTGATGGATGCCTCACATATCAGGCACTAGTATCTGATACGATTCTTCCAACCATCCTTCCGCATCCATTAATAGGTTGTTTGGGAGTAATTTTTCAGAAGGAGAAAAAAGGAGCTTTCTGATAGTAAAGGAATGAACGATCCAGTGAATTGTTCTACAGTATTATACTGAGAAAAAAAAGCAAGCATGTGCGAGGTCTTGCCCGGAATCGAACCGGGGTCTAAGGAATCAGAATCCTTCGTGATAACCATTACACTACAAAACCTATTCCATGGAAATGCCGCAAAATATTTGACATCATGATTCTGAAGAAGGCAATTCCCCTATCGAGATTCAAATGGATTCTTCTCGTCCACATCGCGGTATGGATCAAAGATGGAAACGAGTACGAGAACATCTTTCTACATGCACCCTATGACCACCCTCGCTCAGCACCAAAAGTAATATCTAGAACAGTAAATTACATCTGTAAATGCATATATTAAGTCGTAAACGTCGTATCACGGGCCAAATCTCTCATACACAGCGAGAAATCCGTTACAGAGATGTCAACACAAGGCCAATGCAAATGGAACCACAGTGTAAAGCCCCAAACCAAAAATGGGACTGAAAATGAGAGGGGCAATCAAAAAGCCACCTAAATGTCCAAGATCACCACCTTTTCCACACTCAATATATCAATATCAAGATCTTCAAGCATCATCCGCCTGGTGCATGCGGACAGTCAATAGATCTGCCGGGCAGCTAGTCAAAGTAATACCCCAGCGAATCTTCTGGTCAGCATTAACATCCTCGATACGATCGAAGCGCTGCAACAGACGAACAAGCACGTATCCAGCCTCCGTGAGGGCAAACTGCTGTCCAATACAGATACGTGGGCCACCATTGAACGGAATATACTCCCAACCGACCTTGCGGTTCAACCAGCGGTCGGGCTTGAACTCATCCGCATCGGGACCCCAAAGATCCTTGCGGCGGTGCATGACGTGCGTGCTGTACACGACGGCCTGGCCCTTCTTAATGTAAACGGGGGACTGGCCGTCCGGGCCACCGCCGCGTGGGAGAGTCGTGTCGCGGGTGGCGGCGCGGCGGTTGAAGGGGACGACAGGGAAGAGGCGGAGGGACTCGTTCATGCAGTACTGCAGGTACTGGCAGGACTTGAGGGTGGCGAAAGTGATGTTTCGCGGGTTGGAGTAGGTACCAAAGTTCTCGATGACAGTCTCGCGCAGCTTCTTAAAGGTCTCCGGGTGGCGTGCGAGCATCATAACGGTCCAGCTAAGGAGGGAGGCGGTAGTGTCACGACCGGCGAGGAGGATATTTAGGAGCTGTGAGCGCAGCTCGATGGGGTCGCGGGTGACGGAGACCAGGGCATCGAGGAAGACATAGTGCTGGGACTTTTCCTCGTCGACGGGGGGCTTGCCGCTTTCCACGGCCCTTAGGGCATTGCTTACAACCCGGTCCACAAAGTCGTGCACCTGTTTATCCGAGTACCGGGTTTCCTTGTTGTTCACGACGAAGGCGAGTTTCTCGAAGCGGCTGCGCTGGGCACAGACCCACTGCGACTTGTCGAAGAAGTAGGCAAACGAGTCCTCGGGTCGCTGCAGGCCTTTAATTGCACCCAATTGGCTCTCTACACTTTCACCGAATAAGAACTCGGTGGCGGAGTCGATAGTCAAACGGAAGAAAATGGTCTGAAGATCGGTCGCCGCGGTCCAGCCATTAGTAGCAACGGGCAGGGCCTGCATTGCTTTCTGCACATGTTGTTCCTCCAATTCGAGCTGACTGATTTGCTCGCGAGTGAATTGTGGGCGCAGCAATCCACGGGATCGGGACCATTCCTCTCCATCGGCGGTGAACTAAGAGATTCGGGCGTTAGAAAATAGATCCGCTGATCGGCGCATGGTAGAGGGGGAAAAAATAAACAAGATGAAATTTCCATGTGACTTACAATTCCAGTGCCGAGCAACGGGTGCATACTATGACGGCGCACCTCGCCCAGCTCAAAGTCCTTGAATTGGGTGGCCAGAACGGCCTGGATGTTTTTAGGATCAATGGTAAACACCAGGTTGCGACCAAGGTTGCGTAACACATAGGTAGTGACGTAGCGGCCCTCCTGTTCACTCACGATCCCGACACGACTCGACGACAGCTCCGGCAAGAGCTTCGCCTTGTCGGCGGCCAGCGACTGCTTCAAGGTATCGATGCCGATGGGGTCCTTGCAGGGGAACAAAGGCAGACTGCCACAGCCCAGCTCGCGAGCCTTGCGCGAGTGCTGCCATGAAGCTAGCACCATGCGAATGATCTGGAGGACCGCGGCCGCGGCCGCAAAGCCCAGGACGAAGGTATAGTTCATGGTCGCGGAGCGGCGGGAGTCAAGGGGCGAGGGTAGCTCATGGTGTGAACAGAGAGGGCGGACGAGCGTAATTATATACGAGAAATGGTGGCCAGTTGCATTTAGGATCGGGGCACTGCTGCTGGGCCTCGGTTGCAGGAAGGCTTCCCACAGAGGCTCAGGCTACCAGGTTTAGGAGGTGGACCGTGCAAGAAGGGGAGAATGGGAAAGGCGAGTCCGAGCCTGGATGATCCCATGAGGCACATGGCCAATGAGCAACTCAGAGAAGTCAGAAGCGGACTTGAAGTGCGGGATTGGGATCTTTCCTCCGATCTGATCGGCCGCCGGTTTTGCTCGGTGCAGGCAATGTCTCCGTGGGTCTTTGTTGCTTTGATACATCCACACTTTGATGGAGTCCATAGAGGCGTTTCATTGCTTCTGGAACTAACTTGTTCGGTCGTGTCCGATCGGTGAGACCATCCAGCTGCATCCTCTGTCTCCGCTAGTGCGCACGGGAAGGATCTAGTCAAGCTCCATTACGACCCACCACTACGGTTCACAACTTCAAGAACAAAGCAAATTCCAAGTCCGAGTTACTAAATATCTCCAAGGTTACAGCCCGAACTCATAGTCCCATGGAGATCGGAGATTATGCCCCCGACGGAATATGTACAACACGGACATCATACTAGTCACAAGCAAGTCGTATACTCCGTTCTGTCGTCACCTTGCAGGAGGGAGTCTCGGATTTTCGGCACAATAGACGACAAACCAGATCAGAAGATTTAAGCTTGGTGACGGTTGGAGCTAGACTGCGCCGAGTCAAGACTGTGCAGCCTGACCCTTGATGGTTACAAGGGTTGGAGAATGGGGTAAGCATAAGCAGAACAGAACTAACAAAAAGTACATATACGAATATGTACACTTGGCCACTGCCGAGGCCGAGATTATCTGATTACTGATCCTCGTGATCTCCGAACGTTCAAGAGTACACCTTCAAATCAATCAATCTCACATTCTACATTCTTGTCTATCACTCAATCATCTCAAATTATTTTGTAAACAGCATCAAAATCCGCGTCTCAACCAGAGTGATGCCTGGTCCCGGCCATTCACATTCCGACCTCCCGCTCTCGGACACTTTGTCCGCCCGATCCTACCTCGAGCTTGGCCGCGACGAGCTCCAGGCCCACGTCCAGTCCCAATCCCACCCCGCAGAATATACGAGCACCTCCAATCCATCTGTGTCGGCCCTGTCGGGGGGTCTGATCGACGCTCCAAGCAAGTCAGGTCCGCACCTGCGTCCGCGTCCGCGTCCGCGCCCGCGCGAACCACGACCAATCCACAATGACCCGAAGACGACCGAATTATTAGCAGCCCCAGGCATCGAAGACCCGCTCGATCGACCAGCACGAAAAAGAGGCCGACCAAGACTTGAGACTGCAAAAGATGCCGCTGCAATCGAAGTATGTGTAATCACCCTTCACCATGGTTCCGAGGGAGGGGTATCGGAATGGGGGATGAGCATGGACGTCGAGCGCGAAGCTGAATATCTTGCTGACATCCCACTCTAGGAACGCCGCTTGCAAATCAGGCGTGCTCAGCGCACATACCGCCAGAAGAAGGAGGCGACCATTCAAACTCTCAAGACCCGCGTGGACCAACTCGAACAGACCCTCCAGAATGTGTCAGATCTTCTAACGGCTGACGACCCGGAAGTATTCACCCGTCTCACTGGATCTAGTGACCTCTCCCGTGCTCGGCAATTGGTGCTAGCGGAGATTAGCAAGGCTCGAGAGCTGCCAGAGGATGTTGGCGATCCAGTGGGGCAGAGTGCAGAGTCACTGCGTGATATCTTTGGGTACGAAGTTTCGCATGGTCGGAGAAACATCAACAATGATGATCGAAAGTCATTGGCTTTCAATCATGGCCAATCCCAGAGGAAACAGTCCATTTACCCGCATCCACGATCTCCATCGCCATTGCTTAACCGCCTCTTCCCATCCACGACCATCTACACCTACAGCTACCAAGAATCTTGTCTATCCAGACGCCTGCAGCGGTTCTGTTTAGAGCATACATACCGATGGCTGTCAGATCCAAACTCGGAGCCCCCGCTCATGAGTCGTGTCTTCGGACTGTTCCCCTGCATCCAAGATATGCCCGGAGTACGACGCAGTTCCCGGCGCGTGCTGCAATCTGAGATCGGTGGACCGCTGGAAATAACAAAAGTACCTTTCTATACGCTCGGTGGCGCAGGCACCCATTATCCGCGCGCTAATGAAGACGGAGAACCCGTGTACCCGGTGCACGCTCGACGGCCGGGGAAGATCCTGCGGCGGTTGGCACGGATTCTGCGGCGGGGCGGGATCTCCGACTGGGACGAGGATTGGAGTGGTGACTTGGAGCCGGATATTGGTGATCAGCAGGGCGAGAGGATCAGGTCTCTGAGTGAGGAGGAGCGCCTGCGCCTCTTGGACTTAGATGGGGATTGGTTCGATTGCAACGATGTCCAGGGGTATCTGGAGTATCGAGGGTTTGTAATGGAGGGCTCGTCGATGTGGTTGGAAGTCCCAGCTGCGACTGTTGGAGTTTTGTATGGCTTTTCCCCGGACAGCGGTTCAGACTACTGCGCATCGCAGTTGTATGTCTCCCCCGGCGAGATTTCCAACAGTGACGTGAGCGGGTCGCAGGATTTGGGGCTGTCGACGTATAGGTATACCCTGAACGTCGAATGCTTCTTCGACTGTAAGCATAACTGTTATCATCCTATTAGCCGTCTGGAGATACATGAAGCTAACCCCATCACCAGTGCTACTATCCAACCTCAGGATGCTCGGTCGAGCCCCTGGCTTCCGCCTCTGGGACGTGGACGCTGCACTCCGCTCAGCAATCCACCGACGATCCTTCTGAGCCGATGTAGGCGCATCGCCTGCACCCAAACCCCAAACTCCCTATGACTTGACGAGATAAATGACCTGGCACGATATACGATAAAACGAGGGTATACTAGAGGCATGAATTAAATAGAGAATGCATTCTGTTATTGCATGATTGTCATTGGGTATATCGCATAGACGTCTGATATGACATAAAAAACCATCACCATCGTCGCTTCTCCAGGATAAACAAAAGCAAGGTTCCTCTCAGCAGATGCGGTCTATTCGGACCGCGCATTGCTGTGATATGACCCTCCCCCTCATCGTCCATCTAGATTGGTCGGGCGTTGGATAATCTAGCAGCAGATCTCGCAGCACTCGAAGCAGGCAAGGCCAGCGCAGCTATGAATCGGGTTAGCGACTAGTCGCGAGAGATAGTGGTGTTGAGTCAAGATATACTCACATTCCGCAGCAAAGGCCACCGCCGCCACCACCGCGCAGCTGCATGGACATCTCCTCCTGGCTAGCCTATACACAATATATCAGTTTCCATTCTCATTTCATTGCGATCGCGTCCAAAGCAGAAGGAGACAGGGAGGGGTAAACTTACGGGCTGCTCAGAAACAACCTGGTTGGTGGAGGGAGCGGCCGGGCTGGAGGGCTGCTGCATAGCGACAGTGTTGGCGTTCCAGGAGTTTTCCTGGGTCTGGGCCTCAGCGGGGGCAGACTTGAAGAAGTTGAAGTTGAACATGGTGATGATTTGGAAAGGATGGATTGGAACGACTGGTAGTTCGAAGCTGTATTGCAAGAGATAAGGATAAGGGGGTGGGATGAAAGAGAAGGAAAAGACCAGGTGACGCGGGTTGCGGGACTAATTTAAATAAAATTTGACATGGGGATCAGCAGGGCTGAGCTGAGAAAAAAAAGGGGACGCTAGGAAATCAATTATGGAGGTTTGGTGGTCCACCGTGATACGACGACTTAACGTCAATAATGACTGATGGATGTGGAGGATCGGCTGTTTATTTCGGGCTAGCGTCTTACAATGATTCCCCTCGTTTTGGGTTGGGGGGTTGTGATTTGTGTTAAGACTCAAGTACAAGGGAACTCACTACTGAAGATTACTGTAGGATTACTACGTCTACGATAACCAGTGGCATAGCTGCAAGGCTACGGCTACAATCCTACAGATGCAGTACCTAAGTATAGCGTCCGACGAATGTAATCAGAAACAGAATGGTGCTGCCTAGGCTATCCTTCAGGGTTTATCGACGGATGTACGGAGTACTCCGCAACAACAAGGAAATTCTGGGCCACAAAAGTACACCGCCACGGAACGAGGCTTAGAACCAAACAAGCCTCACACGTACGTGGGAACGAGTTTCTATTTTTTGACTGTTAAACAGGCACCACAGATATCGGGTAAAGATTTAATTATTGCGTGGAATAGAATCCACTTTCTACCGTAAAATACAGGCCAAATCCATGGTAAAGCTGGTGGGAACTTGTGCGAAGGATCCCCGTCAGCCCTAACCGTGTTGACCACTGCGGGAGGAGTGCCAAGACTCTTGGCAGCCCACCTGATCGGATGTTCGGATCACGGGGCTGAAGCTGACCAGGTCTAATCATGTGTGCACAAAAATGATATGTGCTTGAGCCATCTCGGGCGTCTTTACAGTTTGGCAAGAATGCCATCGGGGTTTAGTACCGACAGATAGCATTTTTGAATGTCTTGAATCGTGCGGCATCTAGACCATCAGGAGGGGGTTCGTAAGTCAGGGCTTAGATACTCGGCTACAACAAAGGACGGGGACTCAGACTCACCCTGCCAATGCCATGGTTATCCTCAACTCTTGGCGCAGAATCTTGATCGCCAGTTCAACACCTTCTTGTCCGTCATACTACTCTCAATTAGCCGGCACTCTCCATGAAACATCGACGGCAGAAGAACACATACAGCCAAGCCCCAGATGGGAATGCGACCCAGGAAACAATAGCTAGCTCCCAGCGCCAGCGCTTTAAAGATATCCGAGCCACGACGGATACCGCCATCAATGGTGATCGGGATTCGTCCACGAGCAACCGGTGCGCATACACGAAGGGCATCGAGTGTCGACGGCATGCCGTCAAGCTGGCGACCACCGTGGTTGGAAATGACCACTCCGTCAATGCCGTGCTTGATGGCTAGTTCCACGTCTTCGGGGGAGCACACTATGGAAAAGCAAATTATTAGACTGGGACCACAAAGCAAGCATTTTGTGCTGTGACGCACCTCCTTTGATCCAAATCGGCAGCGAGGTATGCTGTCGTAGCCACGGAATCGCCGACTCCCAATCCAGGCTTGGATCTATCACGTATTAGTCTCGAGGATTATGATACAGCCCAACTACACAGGAACATACCATAATCAGTACGGTCCGAGGTATCAGCTCCACTGCTGAGAATATTTGGGTACTCCATATCCTCCGGGATACGGAACTCATTACGATACTCGTTCAATCGCTTTCCAAGCACGGGCACATCTACAGACAGGAACAATGCCTTGTAACCAGCCTCTGCACTCAAATCAGCTCTCACCTACCACTCACAAAATAAAAAATCAGGTACATACTCTCAGCCCGCTCCAACAATTGAATCGTAATTGCCCGATCCTTCAACACACACATCTGCATTGCGTACGGATTGTCCAGACCCTGGGAAATAACGTCTTCCAACGGATACGTCGCATAAGATGAAAGACCCATGCAGATACCATACTTGGCAGCGGCGCGTGAAGTCGCAAGCTCACCATCTGGGTGTGCAAGCTTGTGCGAGGCGGCGGGACTAAAACCGAAGGGGAGAGAGACCTTGCTTCCGAGGATCTCGGTGGTTGTATCAATAGTGTCGACGTTGACGAGGATTCGGGGGCGGATTTTGTAACGGTCAAAGGCGGATTCATTATCTCGCAAGCTAGAAAACGGAATACGAGGTTAAGTTGGCAAGTAGCGTAGTCGGGCCGCAGGTACATACGTGATCATGTCCATGGCGCCCTCATTATAATAATCTGCTTGTATGAGCTCACTGATTATGCGATTTACAAAGCACAATTTCAACATACCTCTCACCATCCTGGTGAGCTTCATAGAAGCCAATTTCTTGAGATCGTCAATACAGCAGACATCTCGATGCAAAGCCTCGCCGCGGTGTGACATTGTGACAATTGTACGCTTGAACGCTGGCGCTCAATGAAGATCGGGAATGCGCGGATGGACGGTAGAACCAAAAAAAGCCAAGTCAAGCAACGGCAATCCAATAACATAAGTAAGCTACCCCAAGTCACGCGTCGAGTTACCTCGCTTGCATTTGCTATCCGAATTGAGAGGAGCTTGTCGGTGACCTTCCATCTGTATAGTTTGTGTTGACTTCCTATCATAGAATCCCCGCTACCCGGCCGGAACCACTTGCCTAATATGATATGACCCCACGATTGTGTTGGTTTAAAGGACAGTCGCACGAGGCCTAGACAACTTGACTATTATCGATTCTTTCACCATACTGAAACTGAAATCAAAGACCATTTTCAATAATCGGACCATCATGGCTCGAATCTTCCTGTGTGTGGCTTGCCTCCATTTGCCGAAACCATGTGCAAGCGGCATGCTGACCATTTTACTGTAGGACTGGCGCCACAGGCCTCATTGGCGGGGATGTGCTCCATGTTCTGAAGACAACCCATCCGGACTACCGCATCAGTGCTCTTGTGCGTGACAGCACTAAAGCTGCCACCGTCTCCAAGGCATACCCTGACGTGCGTATTGTGCTCGGCGATCTTGACTCTGCGTCTCTTATCGAGGAGGAGGCTAGCCAAGCCGATGTTGTTGTCCGTTAGTATCCCCATGCACCTTTTGTCAATGGTTCTTAGCTCTGACATCCCCAAGATGCCGCTGCCAACAAACATATCAACAGCGTGCAAGCCATCGTTCGTGGTCTGGCCAAGCACACCGGACCCAAGCCTGGTAAGTGCGCAACACATCTTTGTTGAAACAATATGTTGTTAACTAGATTATTCACAGGGTACTTGATCCAAGTCTCAGGTGCGAGCTTGCTCTCAATCCCAGATATCGTGAACAAGACCTTCGGCGAGGGATCGAGAAAGATCTACGGAGACATTGACGATGCCGATGAGATTCGCGACATCATCCGCAAGAACGCCGACAAGAGAGTGGTCGACAGCTTCCTTATCAACGTAACTGGCACAAAGACTGCAATTATCTTCCCGCCCATCATCTACGGGCAGGGTCGTGGACCCATCAATCAGCGCAGTATCCAGGTCCCAGAAATCTCCAGAGTGGCCATCGAGAAGAGGCAAACCTTCCAGGTGGGCAAGGGTGAAAGCACCTGGAGCAACATTCACATTTCAGATTTGAGTAATATCTTTGTCAAGTTGATGGAGAAGGCTGTCGAAGGTGCTGAGGGTGACCTGTGGAACCAGAATGGTCTCTATTTTGTTGGTGGCGGACCACAGCTGGTGAGTTGGCCCTTCAATTCGATCATTAGATGACTGGTACTGAGCCAGACTGACCAAAACAGTCATTTCGAAAGATTTCACAGCTTGTAGCAGAGTCCACACACAATCTGGGTCTGACTGACTCGGTGACTGTCGAGAGTATCACCCCAAGCGAGGCAGACGGGCTTTCCCCGGCTGCCAGCGTGTTCTGGGGGACCAATGCTCGTCAAAGTCCCCAGAGAGCATTGCAACTGCTTGGATGGACCCCGCGCGCACACTCGTTGGAGCAGGAGATTCCGACAACCGTCCGATTGGAGGCCACTCGTCTGGGCAAATTGTGAGTTCCGAAAAGGGAAGGTGGAACTGGGTAGAACTGGTAAAAGGGAAGGAGCGTGGCAGCCGATAAGGAGATAAGATGACGTTGATAATGATAGAGTTTGATAAGGCGATAAGAGGCGCGCGGGGAAGACTTTTAAGGAAGGCGATTCCGCCTCATCTAAGGTTGCGGGGGATCCAACGACCCCAGACTTCGGATGTTCATGCTTTCTTTATTCGAAGACATATCCTAGGTCAATCTATCAATTTCAATTGTTGCAACACGTCCAGACGTCGGATGTCCATACTCTGTTCGAGGCTTTGTCCTAGGTCGATCTATCCAGTCCATTTGCTGCAACTAACCGACGCTTGCCAACTATGGCGAGCTCGAAAACCACCCGCGCTCGTCGATCTCACAGGCTTGGTGGATGCAGTACATGCCGGAAAAGACGTATGTATGGCCTGAGGCATCAACATTGGATCGTATCATGGACATCTAGCTAAAAGAAAAGTACAGATGTCAAATGCGATCAGAAACGACCTGCCTGTCGAACCTGCCGAGCGCTAGGAGTGTCATGCGAGGGTTTCTCAGACCAGGTGCTATGGATGCGCAGCAACGAAGATGGACCCTATGACACTAATTCCCGCCGGGGAACGCGCCGGCACTTGTATTCCGGTAACACTTCCTCATTCAGAAATCACCAATCTGCAAGTGCACCCTAGCTGATTTTGTCCTAGAGCAATCGCGCCTGTCTATGAGCGCAAGTCTTGGCACAAACCTCGTCTCGGGTTCGGTAGACGCATCACTAGCAGAAGTTGATATTCGATCTCGAAATCCCGAACGGGCCCTGGAGAGTGATATTGTTATTGGGCCTTTTGCTGTTCTGGACTTCTCTGGCTCGCAACAATCACAGGAACAATCATCAGCCCCACAGGAAGAAGAATCTCACCCACAAAAGCCCACACTTAATGTGCAATCAGATGACATTATCGATCAGGCGGAGATACCTGCAGCGCCATCAGATGATGTTCTCCAGCAAGGGGATATACCTACCGAGATACCGGATCCCAGCCCGGTATCCATCATCGATTCTCTTTCGAATATGGACGACTTCCTTCACTGGTCAGATATCTTGAGTTTCAGTCCTGACCAATCAGGTTTCGCAACGCATCCGAGTCTGAGTGCGCCATATGACTTTTCATTCGACCTCAGCAGTGATACTATGTTGATTCCCGCAGCACTGAATCCCAATGAAGATCCCTTGCGGATGTTGACACCACAGCAGACTCCCATGGAGCTGAGAACATCAAATGAGGATATTCTGAAAGATGGACAGTTCTTACTTAAACATTTCCAAGATGTGGTTATTCCACGAATCATGGCAATCCCTTTTGGACAAAAGTCACCGTGGAAAATTTTGAACCTACCTGCCGCCGTGGTTGCGTTTGGAGACTCGACATACCTTGGCACTGAGGGGGTGAGCCATGCTCGCCTTGCAAACCTTTATGCACTCTTCGCTTGTGCAGCCATTGATCTTGCCTTGCAACCATCTGCGGAAATGATTCATTCCCCCGAGCATTGGTACCAGATCGCCAATCAGACATATCAGCAGGCCAAGGATCATATCCAAATATCTTTGCAACATGAAACGGCGGGACCGAAAAAAGCAAAATATAAGGATCAATTGATGGCTGCTAATATCCTCACACAATATGCGGTAAGCACCCTCGAACTGGTCTCGGATGACCTTGCGCTAATAAAATACAGATTCTATCTGGCCAGCAGCAGCACGCCCGATGTTTCTTGATTGACGCGGAGCGACTTCTCCGACTACGCGGGTTGTCAAAACGACGAATCTCAAAGAAAGCCCGCCTGCTGCATCATGTATACACCTGGCTACGCATTGTCGGGGAAAGCACATTTGTACTTCACGATTACCACCTCTCATATTCATGTCTCGAAAACCTTGGCACATCGTCACGTTCCCACCCTTCATCTTCCACCGCCAGCAACACTACTGCTATTGTAACAAGCGAACCCAACCCCCATCTTGACGATTTCCTCCGACTCGAAAACCAAAACTCAGATAGCGACTTGAACATCGATGAACCCAAAGACCGGGCATCTGGCTACCACGATATCCACCTCCACGATTCACGCAGCTTCCCCGAAACCCTATACAAACAAATCTACGGCATCCCTGAGACATGGCTAAGCTTGGTGTCACAAACAACGAGGTTAGCGAATGTTCTGGCAACTTGGCAGACTGCTCGCAATAACGGCAAACCCCTGCGCCTCGAAGCATGGGAGGCCCTCCAGCGGCGCGCGATGCGATTAGAGAACTTGATTTGTTCATTCTCCCTTGGCCGCGCGAGAGGCGGATCTGCAGACCTCCAAGCGACCTGCAAACCCCATGCACATATGTTGGAGGCACTCAATGGAGCATTGGTTATCTTTTTCTACCGTCGAGTCCACGATACCCATCCGGCTGCCCTACAGGGCTATGTGGATAGTGTCATTGCGGCGCTGGAGCAATGTAGCGTGTCCTTGTCAGAAGCTGATACGTCTGGTCCCGGGACTGCTTGGCCTGCTTTCATTGCAGGTTGTGAAGCTCTCACCCCCGCAAGGCGAGAAGCTATCATCAAATGGCTTGATAATGCGAGCTCTATGTGTGGGTTTACCTCGTATGCCATGGCTCGAGATATAATGACCAAACTCTGGCGCAAGCAGGATGAGCATTTGACGGCGAATCGAAGTGAGCCAATGCCAATGTGGATTGATATCTGTAAAGAAGAGCAGATCTGGCCTCTGTTTTGTTGAAATGTGACAATATTAGATACCTTGTGTCTGTACTTTATTTTATTTTCTTGTTCATACGTTTTTCCCGCCACGGTTGATAACTTGTACGAAGAAACGATGATAAACCAAATCATAAACATAACATCATGTATTTCCATTCTCATACGCATATATAAATATTAACGAAAATCTTCTATCGACAATAAATACCTCAAACAGTCTTAACACCTGCATTCTGCAGCAACTGCTTCAACTCGGCCTTCAGTTCCGGCTTCAACAGAGCAAATGGCTTGCGCAGACCACCCGTAGGCTGTCCAATTAGTTCCACACCGGTCTTCACAGCCGCGCAATAGCTGTGAGACTCAAGGAACTTGCAAATCGGGTACGCTTTGGCCCACAACTCCCGACCGCGCTTCAAATCTCCCTTCACGGCAACGGCATCCCACAATTCCACCGCTAACTCGGGAATAATATTTGCAGCACCCCAGACACCACCTGGGCAACCAGCTGCCAAGCCATAGAAAGTGAGGGTATCCCAACCGTTAAAAGCGATAATCTGATCAGACAGCGCGAAAATAAGCTCTGTCAAAGCGGGCGCATTGCCAGAGGTATCCTTAAGATACTTAACGCCGACCTTGGACAGGCCAGCGATCTCGGCGGGAGTAAGAGTCAGACCCGATGCAGGAGGGATGTTATAGAAGACAATAGGTAGATTGGAGGCATTGTGAATTTCCGCCAACATCTCGTGCAGCTGCTCCAGGTTGACGGGGTCGTAGAATGGTGGAACGACCATAACGGCCGCAGCACCGCATTGCCCGGCGTGAACTGAGAGCTCGACTGCCTCTGCGGTAGAGAGACTGCCCGTGCCGACGATGACGGGGACGCGACCAGCGGTGAATTTGATGCACAATTCTGTGAGTTGCTTGCGCTCAGCAGTGGTCATGACTGTGAATTCACCGGTGCTGCCGCCGGGGACGAGGCCGTGGACGCCGGCTTGAATGAGGTGCTCAATGTGTGCTTGGAGACGAGACTCATGGATGGCGGACTGGTCATCGGTGAAGGGGGTGATCAGTGCCACCATGATACCCTTGAGCTCGGCCATTTTTGCGGTCTTGGAGGATTTTTGGTAGAAGGATTTGAAGGAGGGGTATGAGATTGAGGGGTGATGATGGAATGATGGCTTGCTTTACTTCCTGGATCTTGTCATGTTGATATACTTGAAGTAGCCGGGATTGCATTCTGTTTTTGTGAAATGATCTATATATTGGAGATGAAATGTGGAGACAGGAAGGTGGACTGCAGTGGTCGGAATGGCTTGCCCGATGCAACTATATTACACTGCAAAGAACTGCGTTATTATTGAATGATAACGCCGATCTACGCGCAGCGAATAAAGAAGAACGTCAAGAGCGCACTCGATCGACTAGTAGATCGCTCACAAAGAGGGCCTTTCAATCGAAGAGGGCCTACAGCTAGTTCAACAGTTAATTAAGCCTATAGAAGCTGATGGGGGAGTGTCGAATAAACAGGTTGATCTGCCTTAGCAGCCAATTCAACCGGCCATGAGGGCTCCTCCTACCTGCAGTGGATATGGAGTAACTGGACATAGAATTAGCCAATGTAAAAGTCGCTAATTTAGGATTATATGATCTGTTTCTGTTGCGACATTTTATGTTAAAATTTTGTAATGGGGGTAGATTATCCGCTCGGCTGTGGATTACGGTAGGGTTCAACTAAATCCACCAAAACCACCGTTTAACTCCCATCTCGTTAAACGGTGTTAGTGAAACCTGACCGAACGAATGCACCTGAGCTTGCTCAAACATTGACTCTTTTTTTATGACGCCCTATCAACGTCTACTGTATCCCACTTTACTTTTGCTCAACCAACAATATTTACTTTTCGGCTTGTTTTCAACAGTTAGGTGCCCTTTCTAAGGTTGACTCTGAAAGCTTCAGCCTATGCCTATGCTGTAGTCTTAAGGCTGTTGATCAAAAGTCACATGATTTCGAAAACAGATTAAGGTACTCTGTGTGTAACAATTCCCGTGAGGTATTCTGGGACTGGACCCGACTCAGAGAATCGCGACCCCTGTCGAGGTCTATTGGGGGTCGGGAGTTAGGGGAGGTAGGCGGTATCGGTCATCGGTCTTAGGGATGGTCACCTGACCATGGCCTCGGTAGATGGACAAGATAGATAGATCTCTTCGCCTCCAGGTGAACTTGGCTGCTGACAAACCTCTCAAGCTTCTCTGTGTCCCTAGAGTATACCACATCAAGTTAATTCCAACCTTTGTCCCACGTCGAGACCGTATGGCTAAGATGAAACGGTCCCAGAGCGCACCGTGTGTTCCCTGCCGATATCGCAAGGTACAACAGAGTCTCTTCAAATCCAGAGAAAGGTGTCTGACAGTCGCTAGGTTCGCTGCGACCGTCGGTCGGGCACGTGCACTAATTGTGAACGTTTGAACTTTAACTGCTCCTACCAACAAGGTCCTTCTCGAGCACAAGGGGACGATAAGAACATCAGGTCCGGCCCTCCTGAGCGGCGACGTGCGAGTCAAGCATGTATAGCATGCCGTCGCCAAAAGGCACGCTGCTCAGGGGAATTGCCTGCTTGTAAGGCTTGTCGCCAACGACAACGACTGTGCCAATACGCAGCTTCAGACCTCCCTGTCGGGGCAGACTCTGCAATTAGCTCACTGTTTCCCATCCGTCGCCAAGAGTTGCTGAGCGCAATAGATCGTTTTTTTGGACACCTTTACCCCGTTCCTGCCTTTGCTTTCCTCCACGAACCGTCTGTTCGGAAACAATGTGAAAGCGGCGTCCTGGACCCGTCTCTTGCGTTGTCTCTGGCCGCTGTCACCAACGCCTATCTTTCCTCGAATAAACAAGTTTTGGAAGAGTGCGCCTCGTGGATCCGAGCTGTAGAAATGGAAATCTGGGACCGCCTCCATAGTCCGTCCATCCATCAGGCGCAATCGCTCCTCCTTATGGCCCATTACCATATCCAGACTGGGCATTTCGGACGCGCCTATATGCTGGTAGGGATGACAGCGCGGTCAACCACTGCACTTCGATTAAACTATGAACGACCGGAGCTTGATTTTGTTGCTCAAGAGACGCGTCGTCGGCTGGTATGGTCTTTGACTAGCATTGACAGTTATTTCTCGGTCGGGCTTCCAGAACATGAAACTATCTCTTACGCAAATATTTACCAGCGACTGCCATGCTCGGAAGAAGAGTTTCGCGAGGGGATCGCACAACCTACGGCAGTACAAGACAATGGCCAGGCGAAGACCAACCCGGTCAATAACCCCAACCCGCTTGCTGCATTTATCGAGGTCGGCAAAATCATGCGAGATGTTATGCGCCTAACACGGCAGCTAGCAATTTCAGACGCTCCTCTCCTTGAATTACCTGGGCTTGTGCAAAACATCCAAAATGACCTCTGGCGACTACATGCTGATCTAGAGCTCGACGCTCACTTCGCCATCTCGGAGACAATATCTCCACAGGAGATGAAGGGCTCCCGATGGTTCCTCCGGTATCTCCTGGCTTCACTTTGCTGGCACCAGGTGCACTGCGATCTCTATAGAATTTTCCTACCCGGGTATTCGGAGGCCGTATCGAAGATCATCTTAGATATGACAGACGCGGTATTCCGCGAGCACGCTGTTGATATGTGCCACATCCACGTTCGAAAAATTCACATTATCCTGGCCGGGGTTCTACAGCATATTGATGTCCCCATTTTATCATTGTATGTGGCCATTTGTGCCTATCAAGCGGCCCGGCTCTCCTTATTCTTACCGTCCTTGCCTGGTCCAAGGGCTCAGATCGCAGCACAGAATGCAGTCAGCGATGCCACCACTGCTCTATGTGTCTTACAAAAGTTCTTTTCCGACACTGTGTTTGCTCAAGATATTATCGCTGATCTACAGGATCTTATTGAATCGTCAGCCCTGTCCGAGAGTGGCCCTTATCAGTATGGTCAACTGGCTGTTCATAGTCTGATTAAACAAGCAAATTTCGTAGATGATGGTTACGAGGCCTAACTGTTTGCAGTGGCTTGCATAAAAGTGTATAATTAGTAATAACATCATTCAGCTCCCAAGTTGGCCTTTCACGGTTCTTGTAGTGCAAAATTATCGTAAGGGGGAGGATATACAAGTCAATAAATCCCAATTTCGCGGATATTTGGAAAGCCAAAGTCGTCAGCAGCCCCGGGATATAGCGTAGCTCAAAAATCCTTGATGTTTCAATGATGCCTTGACCTGCTGATGGACCGTAAATTTTCCGGGTTCGTCCTCTAGGTGTCTGGAACTAAACCCTCCAAGTCCTCCTTGCCGTCCTGAGTAGATTGTAAAATCACCAATACGAAATTATCTTGGCCGACTGCCGCCGACATCCGATAGTGAGCAGCGGCCCCACACCCCACAACCAAATCCATATCATTGGCTTTAGATCATGCCCCACAGGGACATATTGTTTCTCAAGCTTGGCGATGGATCAGGAGAGTAATTGTCAATAGGTATGGGGAATGGTGTGCTGAAATGACGCTGTCGTGCCCACCTGCCAGGTTATTTATTCTCCCCATGTCCCTGTGAGGTGAAAATACAATTTCTGGAATTGATTCAAACCTTGAGGTTCTATTGTTCGCGCAAAATGGCATTCAAAAAGCGCCCCAATATCATATTTGTTATGGCCGATGACCACGCCTCGAAATCTATATCCTGCTACGGTGCTGGCATCAACCACACCCCGAATCTCGATCGTATTGCTGCAGAAGGGATGCGTTTCAACCACTGCTACGTAACCAACAGCATCTGCACACCATCCCGGGCAGCAATCCTCACGGGGACGCACAACCACGTTAATGGAGTGATGACTCTCGACTCCAAGATCAACAAACACATCCCTAATGTCGCAAAGCAACTCCGATCGGGCGGGTATCAAACGGCTATGGTGGGAAAGTGGCATCTGGGCGAGGGAAAAGATCATGAACCAACTGGATTCGACCACTGGAGTGTGGTGCCCGGACAGGGCGAATACTTCGATCCCCAGTTCATTGGTCCAGACGGTACAACTCGCGTGCCTGGGTACGCGACTGATATAATCACTGACAAGAGCCTGGACTGGATTAAAAACCGTGATCCACAACGGCCATTCTTCCTTATGTGTCATCATAAAGCTCCCCACCGGTCCTGGGAATGCGATCCGAGGCATCGCCATCTGTACACAGATCCAGTGCGCCTCCCGGACACATTCACTGATGATTACAAAAATCGTGCCAAAGCGGCAAAGATAGCCAAGATGCGAGTGGCCGAGGATCTCACATACGGAGATCTGGGGTTAGCGCAGCCTGAAGGAACCTCCGACCTCATAGGGAACAAGATGGTCGATGCTTGGTGGTGGCAGGATCGAAAGATTCCCGCGCCAGAGGATGTCACAAAGCTACGACTCATCGACAAGAACGATGGCACCGTCTTCACCTTCAAAACGCCGGCGGAGCTAGCAAAGTTCAAGTTCCAACGGTACATGCAGCGCTATTTACGCACGATTCAAAGCATCGACGACAACGTCGGTCGCATGCTTGACTTTCTCGACGCTGAAGGCCTTGCCGATGATACAATTGTCATTTATACCTCAGATCAGGGGTTCTTTCTAGGCGAGCACGGCTGGTTCGATAAGCGCTTCATGTACGAGGAGAGTTTCCAGATGCCGTTTCTCATACGATACCCGCGTGAGATCACGGCAGGTACAATTTGCGACGATATCATCTGCAATGTAGACTTTGCTCCAACTTTTCTTGATTTTGCCGGGGTACCTGTGCCAACGTACATGCAGGGTGTTAGCTTCCGATCGCTATTGCACCAAAAAACACCTGATTATTGGCAGCAAGTGGCGTATCATCGCTACTGGATGCATCGGGACATCATTCATGAGGCATACGCCCATTACGGTGTACGCGATCAGCGATACAAGTTGATCTATTGGTATAACGAGGACTTTGGCCTCGAAGGCACGCGCCCGGGAGGCGAGGAAAAGGAATGGGAACTGTTTGATTGTCAGGAAGATCCATTGGAGCTTTTTAATCGTTACCATGACCTGGAATACCGGCAGGTTGTTGAGCGGATGACGAAGTTGCTGGATGATAAGATGGAAGAGATCGGCGATGAACCTGTTCATACTCGCATTAGCTCTGCCTAGACCAAATGACACCAAATTACGAAGAGTAAACGAGACCATAAAACAATTCTTTTTATTATAAGAAGCATTGCTTATTTCCCAGTTCGAAGAACAGCCGTAGACTTGAACCAGGGGGAGCCAGTGCATCTCGGCCGCATCATACTTCGCTGAGGGCTATTTTAGAGCACAAATATTTTTTCTGTCCAGTGATACCTGGAATAGCGGAATTTGGTATTTAAATTGCGTAGACTGGAACCAAATCGATTGGATAGAAGGACCTCGCTTCAGGGCGACTCATTCACATACTTCTGTCTGGAGCTTTCCCGACTCCCGACCGACTCCCGATCTCCATAAAGCGAGCCAGTGCTTCCACAATGTTCGGCTTGCACCGTTCTGAGTGTGAAATGAAGCCTAGTATTAACGATATGATGCCATGTTTCCTTGTATAACGCAATCAATGACTATATAATGTGGCCTTTGGATGCGGCTGCTCAGTATACCACAAACTTGTCCTGTCCATCAGTTATCAGACGTTTTTACCCTTTTTCGTATCTACCATGGTCGATCCCAAGAAGCCCAGGCAGATATCAGTCCAATTGACACAATCTCAAGCTGATGAATCTGTGGAAATTGGACGAAGAACTGAAATTGACCTCACCCTACGCAATGCCTTTCGCCATTATCGGCCTGCCGTGATGTGGTCGGCCCTAATTTCCATGGCCACCGTCATGGAGTCCTACGATATGCAGCTTATCAGCTCTTTCTATGCGTTTCCTCAATTTCAAAAGAAATACGGCGTGCTATTAGACAACGGCCAGTACAGCATCCCGGCTAATTGGCAGCTTGCTTTGAATCTGGTGGGCCTCCTTGGCTTAATGATAGGCACCTTCGCCAGCGGCTCTGTATTGGAGCGTTTTGGTGCTCGCAGGGTCATCATGGTATCTTTGATTGCGTTAACTGGCTTTGTGGCAATTACTTTTCTTGCTCCTTCGATCGAGGTGCTTCTTGTGGGTGAGCTCTTATGGTGAGTTATCTTCACTAATTTTCAATCATACTAGGCATACAGACTTCTGACCTCTCTTCTTATCTTTAAGCTCGATTCCTTGGGGTTTCTTTGCAGCCGCTACCCCATCCTATGCCGCCGAGATCTGCCCTCTCGCGCTCAGGGGATATCTCACCACATTCGTGAACCTATGCTGGGTCATGGGAAGACTGCTCGCCACGGGCGTTTTAACTGGTACACTAAGCATACATTCTCAGTGGTCCTATCGGTTGCCATTTGGCCTACAGTGGGTATTCCCCATTCCATTGGTGATCATAACCTGGCTCGCCCCTGAATCCCCTTGGTGGCTGGTTCGCAAAGGCCACCTGGATGAAGCAGAAAGATGTTTAAAACGCACCATATCAGCTCCAGCGGGTCTCATCGACACCAGATCAATCATTACCATGATGCAACATACCATTGAGATCGAACATGATATGAAGATCGGGACCTCCTATCGAGAATGTTTCCAGGGCACCAATCGCCGCCGCTCCGAGATTGCAATGATAAGCTGGGGCTGTCAACTCCTTCCAGGCTGGGCGATTCAGAACTACATTACCTACTTCTTTTCCCTTGCTGGCCTCAACTCTGGAGACTCATTCAAGATTACACTTGGTATATTTCTTCTTACCCCTCCATCCACTGTCTTCTCGTCCATTTCACTAACTCATAGGCTCAGGCACACTTTCACTCGCATTCACTGGGACCTGCCTGTCATGGTTGTTCCAAACCTATTTCGGTCGGCGCACCATCTACATGAGCGGTCTCATTGCCATGGTGCCTCTCATGTTTTCTATCGGCTTCCTTGGCCTAGCTCACCCATCCTCTGGCATCCTGTGGGCACAGTGTGCTTTACTGATGGTGTGGTTTTTTTGCTATGGTAAGATCTTCAATATCAGTCTATTACCCTTTCGAAGTCTAAGTAAATTGCGTTCAGGATGTACCATCGGCCCCATTCCTTACGCGATTGCCGCTGAGGTCGGCGCAAGTAACCTCCGAATGAAGACTATCGCCCTCGGTCGTGGAACTTACTACATCCTGTCAGTTGTCAACTCGATCGTGGCGCCGTATATGCTCAATCCAACGAATGGTAATTTGAAGGGCAAAGCAGCATTTCCGGCTGCCGGATTGACTATGCTTCTTCTGATTTGGACATTCTTCAGACTTCCCGAGACAAAGGACATGACGACGGAGACGCTGGATTATCTGTTTCACCAAAAAGTGCCAGCTCGGAAGTTCAAGGAGGAGGCAAAGCAATATCAGTAGGATTTACAGGTATTTTTGTTACCTCTGAAGATGACTATAAAGGAGCCTTTAGTTCGGCTAGTACCTTGAAAGGCTAGTATCTTGAAAGGCTAGATATGATTAATCGGTGATTTCAACAGAACCTTGAGTCAAAAACAATGTCACAGTCTAATAATCATGCTCAATGTTCCTACGAGGTCGAGAAGTGTTAGGGCATAACAATGTTAATAGATGTATCTATGGTGCTCGATGGGAACGTAATTTTGTTAAAACCAGTAATTCAATGTTTCCTGGATATTTTGCTTACTTGTACTATGTTGTCTAAAACGCTGAGGAATAATACCATACCGAGAATCGTTAGCTGGCGACAAGAAGAAGAGATCAACTATTTCGGTTGGCACTAGGATTTCTTTTATCCTAGTCGATATTATTATCGTTTCCCCAGCCGAAGCGCGACCCTAGGTGTGAAATTCTCAAGTAGGGTGCTCGTAGCGTTCGTTATTCGTGCGCCGGTCACAGGCTATAATAGACACAAAATAATGGACGAGACCTGCCAATTCTCTTGGTAGAGTTGCAGCGGAGTCCACTAGGTGTACGGATGGTACGGTGATTTCCTTGTCGGGACGGGTTGGTGATGACTCGTCTGCTGAAGTGAGTATAAGTCTTTGGATATGTCAAACCAGATAAGTATAGTCTTTATTTGTTTTATATAGGCGAGATGAAGAGATAGATGTCTTTGCAGACTTAATTTTCGAAGAGGTAAAGAGGAATAGGGGATGTGAGTGGTGAAAGAAGATCCGGAAGCGGGAAGGCAGAGAGGGGAAGGCTAGGAAGCCAAAAAAAACTTAGGGAAAACGATGCTAATCTTACGCGCTTGTTTTGACTTAAAAACCGGGTATTTCCTGATACTTAGGTACTAATAATAAGGAGAGAATTTTGGCTTATCTCGGAGCTAGGAGGCAAGCTCCTAATACAATGGCACATTGTATCCTTCTCGTGAACAATGGCTAGTACCGAGACGATCGTTGTTTAACTTGGAGGGATTATTAAAAACAGGAAGATTCCATCTAAGGATATGTTTTAGTTGTTCGAGAGTTGACATAGATGCTGAATTTGTTCTGAAGGCTCGAATATCAAGGAAGCCACGCTTGACCGTGTCGGTTGGGAAGTAGCACAAGTGAACGACGCCAGGTCAGGTCATTGCTGTAGAAAATTCCAGAAACTTGGAAAGAAGACAATCGGCGGGAAGACTTAGCGGCGGCGGCTCTCTTCGAAGGCCCTCCGGGGCTCATCTTCTTTTCCCGCATGCAACTGGCGACTCCGTGCGAGCTCGTCGTGAATAACACCTGCATGTCCTCAAACCTCTGAGCCATTCCTGCCAGTTGTTCGGAGACGGTTGACGCTTCATGTTCAAATCGGAGTTGCAGCTGAGTGACTTGGGCCATGAACTCAGCAGAAAGTGGCAGACTATGGCGGGGCTCCTGCCTAAAGAGGGTCGTATGTGGGGGTTTGCATCTGAGGGAGTTGATCCTTAGGACTGAACTAGCTCTCTTGCGAGTTTCTGGGCATGAACTCGCTACCAACCTGGTGACCAGTGCTACCATCACTAGCCAGGGCGCCATGGTTGATGCCTCCGGTACGGTTGTCGGTGATGCCATCTTCGCCGGTGGTAGGCGTGGAGTAGATAGCTGTTTAATCTCAGGGCGAATTCAGCATCAGTAGCGTACTGACTGGTTCTGTCGGCCATCTCAGGGAAAATAAGGTGACGGGCGGTGGTAGACTCGGTGCCAACGTGGGTCTGGCTGTCGTGAGTAAATTGGGGGCCCTCGGACTGCCAAGTGGTGTTGTGAGTGTGGATAGTGCTCTGCTCGTTATTCGCGCGCAGGTTCTGGGTCCCGGTGGACACGTAGTCATTGACACGGTTTCCCCATTCTGCGGTACGCAGATCAAGAACAGCACGCTGGCCGGGAGAAAATGAGAGGGACATGCGAGGGCGCTTGTTCGGACGCTCTTGTCTGCGGGCGTCAGTGTCAGTTTCTGCATATAAAGAGGCAGTTCAGGGTAGAATTATTCCGCCATTTTGATAATATCGTGATCGAAACACCTTTGTAGTTGTAATGTGCGAAGAGTAAGAGTGCCAATATGAGGCCGAGGTAAGTGAGGACGGGAAATTTTTGAGGTATGGAAGAGGGAAGGTGGAAGGTAGGCGGAAGGAAGGTGAAGAGATGCAAGAGATGAGGAGATATAAGAGGCAGAGCTCAAGGATCAGATAAGAGATACCAGGGGAAAGACCGCAACCCTTCTCGTGATCTAGGCAAACAAACAAGAATAGGCACTTCCCCAAAATGCCAGCTAGCCAGCGAGCGCAAGCCAGCACACCCAGCCTTCTAGAATCCAGTTGAGCTAGCTAGATTTCTCGTGGAATCCAGTGAGCTGTAGCATGAAGGGAGAATTTTCTTTTGAAAACGGAGATGAGGTCGAAATGGAGTTCCATCCATTGCTACCCGTCTCATCAAACACCCTACATAGCTACATAACTTATATTCGTGGAAGACCATATGAAAGAATCTCGAAGTGAAGATCGGAGACTTAAAGCAGAGACACGATGATGGAGGAAAGTTCACTGTGAAAGAGAGGTAAGGCAGGATTAATATGCGAGTACAATCGCCAAGGAAAAAAACATCGAGAAGATCCATGAATATTTGAATGAAGCCTAATGTTGAACCAAGTATCAACTTGTAGATACCTCGAGTTTCGAGTACCACATATTTAATATGAATATGGCTTGACCGTTGCACCCCGTCGGTTCAACAACCCATAGTAGATCCGTAGCAAGACGCACCCAACAGCAACGAAAAATAGCAGCGCAGCATTGGTCCAGTGACCGGTAGGATATCCCTGTGCCTTTTCGTTTGCCTTGTAGATCCAGACCCCAACAATCTGGCCGGGTGCGCCAAAAGAGATATTCAGCGCAATGGCCAGTCCAGCGGCAGCGGTCGAATGCATGTTTGATGATAGCCAGCCAAGGAGGGGCGGAATGCAAGCAAAGCTGCCGCTGGCTGCTACAATCAAGCAGCCATATCGTTGCTAACCAGAAACATCAGAACCAGATATATAGATTGCATATTAAGGAGGAGAGAAAGCTCACAGCATATGATCCGGCCGGTAAGAGGGCGGATGCGAGGAAGCCAATCGCACCCACCAGGGCGAATAAGGTGGAATGCAAGCCACGACTAAACCATGATGTTAGAAGAGAACATACTTCTGTAGAAGTTCTTTGAGGTCGAACTCACGCATTGAAATGGTCAGCGGACCAAGCCACTGCAATGGTAACCACATATGCTGTTGCATAAGGAGGAACCGTCATGAGCTGCGCACGCAGGTTCGAGAACCCAAGACCGGCCGTGATAGATGGGGTAAATAGAGAAAGACTCGAAAATGGCGTCGAGATGCCGAAGTAAATCTGAGAGTGGCACGTCAGTCTCATTCGGCTCTTGACCAAACATATTCTCCCCCTCCCAATTTTCCTTCTCGTCTCCAGCTCCGTCACATACCGCGTAGTGGGCATACAATCGCCAATCGACCAGCGTCTTCTTCGCTTCCTCCCAAGTCAACCCACTTGCCTCACCGTGCGAGCCTTCAAGCGCCAGTCTCTCTTTCGCAAGTTCCTTTTCCTCGGATGAGAGCCAGTGTGCTGTCTCTGGATAATCCGGTAGGAAGAACCAGACCAGTATCGCAGATGCACAGGACGGCGCTCCTTCAATAAAAAAGAGCCACCTCCATGCGGACAAACCGTGGGCACCATTCATCTGCCCCACACCATATGCAATCGCACCACCAAAGGCACCTGCTAGAGTAGCCGAGGCCAGGATCAAGGCTACCCGCAGGGATCTTTCCGACACGCGATACCAGAATGTCAAATAGTAAACCAGACCAGGAAACAGGCCTGCTTCAACTGTGCCTAGTAGAAACCGAACTCCTGAGAGCTCGCCATAATTGTGAACGGCCCCGAGGCCGATTGTGATGGCACCCCAGGAGAACATCAAAAAGCAATCCATCGCTATGTTGTGCTGTTAGTTGGATGATAGGCACAAGGGAGAACCGAGGGGACACGAACGCTCGGCCTGAGCTTCTTCAGAAGATAGTTGGAGGGAACCTCAAAGAGGGCGTATGCGATCAGAAAGACCATAAGCGCAATTCTGTCTCAATTGATTAGACTGTGATAGGTAGCATTGCTGAAATGCGACGTACGTATACTGGTATGAAGTAACACCGGTCTCGGAGACCAAGTCATTGTGCGTATTGGCGTTCAAAGTTTTGGCATTGCCTTCATGAAGTTAGTTTCGAAGCATCAGAGACCCACTTTGCATTTTCAGCACGCAAGCAAACGCCGAAAACGTACCAATATTCGATCGATCCAGATAGCAGAGTAGGTAAATAAACGCGGCCAAAGGAACGACACGGAGGTCCTGCTTCCAGACCAGAGCTTTCTCGCGATCAGAATACTCTATAGCAGCACTATTATCAGATACCATCTAGCGAAAGGAAAACATGTTAGCGATTTGGGGCCATGAACGGGGTTTATCAGTCGTAATGCTGCCAGGAGTCGCCATCGTACATCTTGCTGCTGCCGGGCCTCGCCCTTCTCCGCGTCTTCTGTCATGTCCATCTGGGATTTGTGCTCGTCTTCTACAGTCATGTTGCAATTGAGTAGAAGGACCACGCGATAGAATTGAAAATCTGGGGAAAGCAAAGACTTCCCCACAGAAGGTCTTATATTTTCGAGGCCAGTGGTGACGGCCGGCGGGTCCACTATCCGTGAATTGTGGAGTAACAATTTTGGATAATAGGATTGGACTTTTCAATATTCTCAGCCCCTACCTGGGGACGGAGTTTCTCCGGTTGTGTGCCTGTTTCCTAGAACGGATTCTCTCGTCGGGGCGTCGGGTCCGACGACCGACACCTTCCCCACTCCTGCTGGGAGAATGTCGGCTCCAGCTTTGATTCGCCCATTTTCATAATTCTATAGAGTATTCGGCAATGCGAATAGAACCGACGGTCCTCAGCGCCGAAACACCAAGGCTATCGGGATGAATATCAGACTCCCTCGTGGATTTTGTCAATAAGTCGAACAGTTTTCCCTGACACGCGTGGCCAAGAAAACCACTCGTTCCGACATTTATTCACCCTGGAAACCTCGCACGGAGCGTTGAATCCGTGCGGTCAAGATGCTCACGAAACGGCCTTTGAGAGTTGGCAATGCGTCGGGCGCCACAGGCGACAGTCCCAATGCCATGCGCCGCATGGCACAGGACGGCAACATTGATGTGATTGTAGGTGATTGGCTATCTGAAATGAACATCGCCTGGAATGCCATCGCCAAGTCCCAGGATCCTTCTCTCGGCTACGAGGCCGGGTTTCTCATGCAGCTAGGCGAGTCAATCGATTTGATCGTCGAACGCGACATCAAGGTAGTCACAAATGCTGGAGCATTGAATACCGCTGCTCTTGCGGGAGAGACCCGGAAAATGTGTCTGGAACGAGGGCATCGTGAGACCAAGATTGCGATGGTTTTGGGGGACGATATCTCGGATTTGATCAAAGACCCTGAAACCCGCCGCGGCCTGGTTCATTTGGATCATGCCGACTGGCAATTCGAAGACTGGCCCATGGAAGCCCACTGTGGGGTGGCGTATATAGGTGCGTGGGGAATCGTCGAAGCTCTTAATGCAGGGGCCAATATCGTGATTTGTGGCCGGGTGACTGATGCCTCTCCCGTAATTGGAGCTGCGGCTTGGTGGTATCAGTGGCACCGAGATGCTTGGGATAGTTTGGCGGGGGCTTTAGTTGCAGGCCGTAGGTGATCACATTCGGACTATCTGGAATGTTCTCGACCTCGTCTAAGAGAATTGCTGACCCTGTTACAGATCTGATTGAGTGTGGCCCATATGTCACTGGAGCCAATTTCTCAGGCTTCAAAGAGCTGCTCCCACAACTTGTCGACCTCTCGTTTCCAATCGCAGAAATCAGCGAAGATGGGACGTGCGTCATTACAAAGTGTGAACAGTATGCTGGCGCGGTCACCAAGCACAACACCACTGCCCAATTTCTATATGAGCTCCAAGGGGATCATTACTTGAATCCGGATGTTGTGGCGAATCTCCACAATGTTCAGATCCAGGATCTTGGTCCAGATAGAATCCGCGTCTGCGGAATCACTGGAGTTCCTCCTCCAGCAACCACCAAAGCAATTATTGCGGCTCCTGGCGGATACCAAGCCGAGGCCACGTTTTATATCAACGGGCTTGATGTGGCCGAGAAGACAGAGATGATGCGCAACCAACTTTCACATATCTTCCGGGATCACCGATTCAGCAAGCTTTCCATCGAGCTATATGGCTCGCCTGCGGTGGATCCCAAGAGCCAGCAAGCGGGAACGGTCTCGTTGCGCGTGTTTGCCCAAGCCAGGAATTTGGAGGATATCTTCGCATCGAAGTTTAAAATTCCAATTTATGCATTGCGTATGCAGAGCTATCCCGGTACGCATACCTCTCTCTGCACCATACCCAATCGGGGGCTATGGCAACCGCGCCTGATGCTGATAATCAATTGCAGGGTACCATATGAATCTCGACTTCCGTACTATGGACCCAAAGCCATTCATGGAAATCTTCCCGGCAACAATAAACTGCAGTCTTCTCGAGCACCGTGTGCATTTCTTACCAGATGGACCAGAGCTCCCAATTACGGCGTCACCTTCAACGACAAAACCCATGGCACGGCCCTCATACGAAACCCTCCACCCAACTCCACTATCCACGTTTGGACCAACACAGCAAGCTCCGCTGGGAAGCATCGTCCACTCCAGATCTGGCGACAAAGCAAACAACAGCAACATCGGATTTTTCGTGCGCAACGAAGATGAATACCCGTGGCTGCAATCATTCCTGACGACTCCGCGGTTGAAAGAATTGTTCGGTGAGGACTGGCTTGAAAAAACCGAAGACGGTATCGAGAGACGCGTGGAGCGATGCGAGTTTCCCGGTATTTTGGCCGTGCATTTCCGGGTCTTGGACTTCTTGGATGGGGGCATTGCGAGTTCTAGTAGGATAGATGGGCTCGGCAAGGGAGTTGGGGAGTATCTGCGCAGCCGAGTTGTGCCAGTGCCCGTGAAGTTCTTGGAAAGAGGGTGGATATAGAGTTATGTGTCTTCTGTTTTGGTCTTCTGGGGAAATTGGTGCAAATAGATGGACTAGAAAGAAACCTTAGCTATTAAAAAGGTTAACTCAAAGACATTTAGAAAGACATTTAGAAAGACATTTAGAAAGACATTTATAAAGACATCTACAAAGATCTTTCACAAAAGAGAAAGTTAAAGTAGACATGTTTCTATCCTAAAACTGTCTCTTTAGTCCAGATGTCGAGGATTCAGATGTAGATGTTCTCCACTATATCTAGGAGTAATGTGAGTTGTGCAGAAGCACAATTTATCGTGCAATTAACCTTAGCCCAAATTCATTTTAGATGATCGTTTTTACTCCCCCCATAATTGCACAGCGTGCAGTGCCATACCGCCGATCTCATGTAGCCAATCTTGGGAGAGCTGTCGGATCGGACCGTCCCCACCATATGCATCATGGAAATGCTGAAGATCTTCGAAGCAGTCTCGCAAGGCAGTGTCAACTCCCAACGGAAAGTAGGTGGCTGTAGACATCGGGGTCGTGGAGACACCGGTAGCAGGGGATATTGGAGCAGCGAGGTCCGGCCCCGGCGGCGCTATCATAGTATTACAAGGCATCCCGGCGTGATTGATCGACGCCGACGGCGTTGGTGTTGGCTTAGTGAAGAAGGCGATGACATCAGCTAGCACTGCATCGCTCAGCCGATCAAAAACCTGGTGGCAATGGCGTGGCGTGGCCCATCGCTCGGATACAGCTACGAGGACGATTGAGCAAGAACGACAGGTATTGACGACTTCAATAATGGTCGGATCTGTGGAGAGGGTGCTTCCCACTGTAGTGGCACTCGCATTTGCTTTGCGACTTCGATAGTGTCGCCCTACGGCATAGATGTAGGACAGCCCGGCCATGAAGACCGCATGGAGGGTTATCCATGTATAGTTGATGCGCTGGGACGTGTGGAGTAGGGTGTAACGTGCTATCGCCTCTCGGGACGCGTCGAAGATGGCTTGGAGTGCAGCTGGTGGACGCGCTGATATCGTGGACAAGGTTGGAGAAGGCCGATATAACATTAAGAGGGTGTTATAGTATAATAATTCGTACCACTCCGGAGACAGGAAACTGGATCGCCGAGCCTTCTCGTGGCTTTCAGGGTGCAAGTGTAGATTTTGGCTTTCGTTTCGCCACTGCTCCAGTTCTTCCGCCAGGGCCATACGGGCCGCTGCAGCAGAAGTTTCATCGCGTGCATTAGCACGATTACTGTGTAGCGAGATCATCACTCTGCCACTTAATATCCGGTATCGTGTGATGTGATTGAAAATCGCCGTTGGGGATGGTAGGACTTCATTCTCCAAGGATGAATCGCTCGACTCAATGATATTTGGCTCGGAGAGAGCGGTATCAACATCCTCAAGGTGAATAGCTAAGGGCCGGCCGAGTGTGATGCTGACTATTCTAGAGTTATTCTTAACGATAACCCAGCTGACAGCCCGGATGTCGAATCCACTTACCGATCCATATCGACGACACACCAGAAGCATCGTCGGCGAGTTTCACTCAGCGCTAGAAGATCTTCATTGTCCGGATGTCCACTCTGGTTATAGTAAGTTTCATTACGATGAAGGCCCTGTTCAAAACACATGCGAGCAGCAAATCCAACCATATGCCACAGACTGGTTGACTTCTCTTGGATTGGACTGGTCATGCGATATTGGCATAGCAGGAGTACGGCCTGTAGAGCGTGAATATCACTGCGCTGAAGGACTTCAGTCACTCGCGCCATCGCATGAGCTTGAAAGTTCTCGCTTTCAGGCAATGACTGCCAATCACATTTGTGTGCGCTAGCCATCGCGATTGCAAGCACCATGTAGAACGGAAATGCGACCGTAGCATCACCTAACACTGAGAAATCGGCATAGATGCGGTCCAGGTTTACCAGCACGGAGTGGCGATTGAGGAATGGATAGCAGAGGTAGTCATGATCGAAGTATGCTTGATGTAAACGCCGAGCGACTATCTCGGGCGGTAATGGCTCTCGCGATATAGATAGTGACGAGGCTGTTTGATTCACTTGCTGAGTAGATGTGCGATTTGTGCATTGCGGGTGGGAACCGGAAGAACCCAACGAAGCGACTCCCTGAACGAGATTTGCAAACACCACACCACTAGCAGCACTGGAAAAGCTGCGTTCCCCTCCTGCCTGCAGGGAAAGGAACGAAACCTCGTCGGCGACCTCATTACGGTCGAAGGGGAAATTCGGGCTGAGGGCAGCTGGCCGGGGACCTTCACGGCACTCATTCCCAACGCTATTAGACCGGGACGCTTGATATATCGCCAGTTGAGAGGTGAGGGCACGATTCTTCGCTTCAGCCTGCCGTAGTCGCCGCTCGAGTCGCTCAACGGCCTCTCGGCGGACAGTCGGCTCCCGAGTCCGATCGATGTAGTCGCACGATGTGCGAGCTTTCTGGCACTGCCCACAAGTGGGGACCGCCTTGTCGCATTTGGACTTACGTCGATAACACCGATCACAAGCCTGCATAATAGGAATTGGGGATATTCTCCATGCAGTCTCTCAATTTTTTCTATTTCCTGTGTTGGAGTGGAGTTGACTCGTGGGGAAAATGTGGGGAACCCTGACTGAAGGTGTCGCTTGTCGGTGCGCGGCGCCGATAGCCGATAGCCGATTGGGAGGCCTGGGGTTCGCCAAGGCAACTGCCGGGGCAGGAGACAATAGCTACCCCGGATTTCAACAAGGCTACATAAATGAGTCCGGGGTATGCTCGAGTCAGCTGTAGAAACTGTTATGACTCGTATTCTTGGTTGATACAATGAAATACTCCCAACTTCTTGGCGTGGCGGCTGGCCTTTTCAGCGCCCGTTCTTGCTCGGCGGCTGGTTGTTTAGGGCATCTTGAACCAGTGATACCGGGAACCAGTATAACCACCGCAGAAGATGCAGTGCTCAGCTCCTCACTACACAATATTTCCTATTGCCGAGTTACTGGCTCTGTTGCATATGATCATAGCAACCACCTTGTCGAATTTGAGCTGTGGCTGCCTTCTCGCGACTCGTACAATGGACGCTTTATGGTCGTAGGTAAAAACTTTCTTCCCTGCCAGATTCCATGGGGTGATTATCTAACAATAGAATTAATAGGAAACGGTGGCTTTGCTGGGGTGATTGACACGGATCAGATGGCCTCGCAATTGAAGCAGGGATTTGCAGTAGCAGGGTAGGTGTTCATGTTCACCACTGTCAAAGAGGACTTGTCTGGCTGATACTTAATCAATATAGCGGCGATTCCGGCCATCGACTATTAGATAATGGGGTTGGTGGTTCAGGCTCCTATATCCCATTTCTCAATAACATAGAAGAAACAAAGGCATGGATCCATGAATCCATTGCAATCATCACCGAACCGACTCGCAAAATCGCTACTTCATTTTACAATGACCCTCCCAGTCACAGTTACTATCATGGCTGTTCTACTGGAGGGGCGCAAGGCTTTGCATTGGCTCAATTCCATCCTCATCTCTTTGATGGTATCTATGCTGGGTCTCCTGGAAACTGGTACTCCCATCTCATGCTTTCCTTCTTATGGAACGGGCAACATGCAAAGGTAAGCTTATAACGGGCTACTTGTCTGTTTCGCTCTTTTTGTCTTGACTGAATGGCAGCTGACTAAATTAGGGAGATGCATTTATTGATCAAGCTACTCTTAACGCAACCACCGAAGCGATTCTCGATGCCTGCGATGAGCTTGACGGAGTCAAGGATCGACTAATTGAGAACCCACTTCGTTGCAATTTTGACCTTGACTCTCTGGTCTGTTTGACACACACTAGCTCATCCAAAGGATATGATACCTGCTTGGGCCCTAAGCAATTGGAAGCACTCAAGGCCATCTATGCCGGACCAATGGACAAGAGGACTAACACAACCGTCTACCCCGGGTTTAGTCTGGGCTCAGAAAGAGAGTTGCTAGCGCAGGAAACCTTACTCTATAAGGCCTATGCTGCGCCACTTCTACAGAATCTTATATTTCACAATCTTTCTTATGACATCGATACTTTCAGCTTTGAGCGTGACGTTGCACAGGTCGATGCGATAGCTGGCCCGCTTATCGACGAGATTGGAGTAGATCTCGGTGCTTTCCAACGCCGCGGTGGGAAAATGGTTGTCACGCAAGGTCAGCGCATATCCCCGAATAGAACAAGCTTTTAGTCCAGTGTGGCTAATGAGGATGCAGGCTGGACTGATCCTCTCAATGCGGCAACCTGGCCCATCCAGCACCTTGAACAGCTTCAAAAATCTAGTACCAAGAGTACTGTCGCCAGCTTCTTCAACTTATATATGATACCCGGTATGCCCATGATGAATTCCAAAAGAGCTGTTCCTTGAATGGTGAAGCTGACTCGGTCAGGCGGCGGCCATTGCGGTGCGGCAAGCTCATACCCTTATGTACCGGCTACATACCATGTCGAGGATGCACTTGTCGCGTGGGTAGAGAATAAGATCTTCCCCGACTCCATTTTATCGTCAACTCCACCTGATGGGTCATCACGGACGCGCAAGCTCTGCCCTTGGCCGAAGGTAGCGAAGATACGGAACCAAGCATACCCTGATGTAGCTGATAGCTATGACTGTGTACATGACTGAGGTGGTCAGCGAGGGCGATATCATGAGAATCCTGAATAGCCCTCAACATACCTGTCCCAGTAAAAACAAGATACATCATGAATCGTAACCGACCCACGCAACTAGAAGCAAGCAAACAAGAAAAGCCTACTGGAGGCAGGCGGCGATTGTAGTGGAAACTTCCAGCTATAAACAAATAAATGGTTCTCTCATCTTTTTACTCCTCTTCTTCATTCTTCTCACCCTCGGACCTTCCTCCGTGTCCTTTCCAAGCCACATTTTCATAACAATCTTCAACTTGCCCCTGTCAAAATTTCGGAGTAAGATGTCCCTACATTATACTGCTTAGTTTAGAAACTGACATTGAATCTGGCAGGCAAGACCACGAAGCCCTTCCCAACGGCCTCCACGCCGACCAGGCCAGCGATGAAAACGTGTGTGGCGATGCCAACTATTCCAGCGAGGCCAGTTTTGCGTTTGAGGAGATGCTCGGATGCCTCAAGGACCTACGCGGTCGATATGAGATCCCTGACAAGTTCATTGAGATGCTGCGACGGGCGCAGAACTAGAGGGACATGACCCTGAAGCAAGTCACCAGAGGGCTGGCAGAGATCGAGAGACTGTCGAAGAAGATGGAAAGTTGGACGAAGAGGACATGTAGTATATACGCCCCTATTTTAGACTCCGGTGAGACTTTTAATATCCTGGCCTAAAGACGGTAGCAAATTGAATCTGTGTCATTTAATTTTAACTAATCGGAGGAGATCGTCTGTTGTAAGGTCCTGTTATCGGGGTAGGTTAAGGGCAATTCAAGGGGATATATACGTTGCTTATTGCCGTTTTCAGAGCGTATAATCGACACTAAAGAATAAACACTCATATTTCTCATGCACTAGAAAGCGAACAAAGAATTGGATTAGGTGATAGAAAGTAAAATTTCAAAAATTAAAAGCATCACTTAAAGATAAGTTTTCCGAACAGACACCTCTAAGGGTATTTAGTCTCTCGAAATATTGAACAGTTCTAGCGCCTAAGTTATTTTTGCGACTTTTTTGACATATCTCATACTAGCTCACATATCTTCTGTGAAACACTTCCAGCACGATTACTAGGAAAATGGCCAGGTACATAAATACATTGACACCAAATTCAAATGCTTAAATTGGAACAAACAAAACTAGGTCACATTCGACTTTATGATTTGATATCTCATTATCCATTGTCCGAGATCCGCGCAGGTATAATTGAACTCGCAGTTAACTTATGCACTGCTGCTCAATTTTTCCCGGAGCTTTTTCGCAGCCAGCCCTCCAATATCAAGCATGCTGCCTCCATTTTTCAATTCAAGCACAGATATCTCCACTCCAAGGTTTTGCTTGCACCAATTCCGTATTTCGATTGCTACCAGAGAATCTACACCAGCTTCTGTGAGCGTGAGTCCAAGGTCCAGTGGCTCTTCACCCTCTTGCCGCATCAGGAAGGCTGCCACACGGTCTCGGAGCTCTCGAGCCAGAAATTCTGCGGCTGCAGGTTGCTGAAGTACAGCCGAATCAGTGTTAACCTCCAAGAAGAATGATCTCAGTCCGTTGCTGGTGGTTTCGACTTTTGTAGAGGTTGTCTCGATGTTCCGATAGATGGCCATGCGAGGATCACGTTTCCAGATGATGTGGTTCTCTGGGTGCATGATGGGTAACTGACACTCCGACATTTGAGTGACTTGGCTTGGGTTGTGGAAAACAAGACCAGTTCCCAGGTCTTCCATTCTTGCAGGGCGCGAGACTGAGGGGCTGGATGATTTAGCAATAGTCAACTGCAGTGTATCGAGGAAGTCCTGCTCGGTGATCAGTCGGGTTGATCCGGCCTGCATGGAGGCTTTGACAGCGGGATTTTGGCTGATGAATCCCACATCATTGATTGCGCCGATATCTTGGACAGATGCTTTCAATCCCTGAGAATGTCGATACTGCGCGAACGCGTCGAGGAAGGTGTTCGCAGCCGCGTAATTGGCCTGCCCATAATAGCCCATCTGACCACAGACAGAAGAGAACATGACGAAGAAGTCAAGATACTCATTTGGCAATGCATTGTGAATATTCCAGGTTCCATCCACCTTTGGTTTGAGAGCAGTGCGGTAATCCTCGAGACTCATGTCCAAGATTCCCACGTCGCAGAGAATCATCGCCATTTGCATGACACCAGCAATTGGCAGTGGCGCTTGCTGGATGGCGTTCTTGACGGTTACTGGATCGGCGACATCTCCCGCCCAGGCTTGTACTGTGCAACCCCTTGCTTCAAGCTCTCGGATGAAGATCTTGTCATTTTCTGACGTCCCCGCAGAGCGCGATAGGAAAATGAGATGTCTGGCACCATGAGTAACCATCCACGTAGCAATGGCCCGTCCCAACCCGCCCATTCCACCGACGAGGAGGTAAGCTCGATCTTGTTTAAATGATGGCGTGGGTGTCTCTACACTCCATCGAAGTGCTCCTTGATCCTCCAGAAACTTGATGACGACCTTTCCAATATGAGACCCTTGTTGCATATACCGGAAGGCGTCTTGGACCTCATTGGCACCGTAAAGGGTGATGGGATCGATGGGCCGGATGTGGGACCCAGTATAGAGATGCATCATCAGCTTCATTAGCTTCATAATTTTGGTGGGGTTGGTGACAATGTATCTGCTCAAATCGATCCCGATATACGTGCGGTTGTCTTCAAATCTATCAAGAGCCAGCTGGCCTCGACCGATCATGTCTCTTTTCCCGATTTCAATCATGCAGCCCGATGCGGCTACACACTCCCACGAGGCGTGCAACAATTCCCCCGAGAGAGAGTTCAGTACGCAGTCGACGCCTACACCATTCGTCGCTGCCATGATGTCATCTCGAAAGCTGGTATCACGCGAATAGAAAATCCGATCGCGAGGAATGGCATGCTTTTGGACTAAGAATTCCACCTTGCGTTCACTACCCACCGTGCAGTAAACGTCCAGTCCAAGCCACCGTGCTACATTGATAGCCGCGATGCCGACACCTCCCGTGGCTGCATGGATGAGGATGGACTGTCCATGTTCAAGACGTGCCTTTTCAACAACACCAAGGAGTACTGTGACATACGCGGCAGACATGGTCGCCGCATCCTCAAAGCTGAGGCAGTCCGGTATCCGCAGAGTGAAGCATCCCTGTCTCTGGACCTCCGTCGCCAGACCAACAGTGGAAGTTCCAATATAGATAACCCTGTCTCCCACATCGAGATAGTCAATGTTTGCGCCGGTCTTGCTAACGTATCCAGCCCCTTCCACGCCAAAAATAGCATCCTTTGAGGCATTATCCACCACGCCCATGGCAACAAGCACGTCTTTGAAGTTCAATCCAACAGCTTGTGTTTGAATCTGTACTTGATCTGCTCCAAGCTCAGGTAAAGCACATCCACTCCAATACAGAGATTGTAGCAGTCCATGGGTCCCAATCCTCAACACCTTTGTGGCTGGCTCAGCCGCCGTTTCTTTCAAGGCCTTCTTGACTGGGTACCAGTGGTACCGTCCAATGTGCACAGCACCATTAGCCCAACAGTATTCCATGTCTGGATCGAGGTCCCCGTCATCCTCATTGCGCTGTTGCAATTTGTTGAGAACATCAACCACTGCAACTGCCGCTTCCAAACTAGCGTGAGATTCCATCTCGAGAGTGATGAGGGGCATTGCGAGCTCCGAGCGGATGGTTCGAGTCACCCCAAGGATCAATGCTGTATGCGGATCGTCCGATTTTATCTGCGTGAGAGGTAAAAGCCAAATAGCGGATGCCTGTTGCAGAGTCCCAATCATCTGAAGGAATTGATCCCAGTCTGCTTCGCTTGGGGCTTTTAAGAAAGGCTGGTCAAGGTCAACAAAGGATATCAGATCCTGGTCCGGGATAGTATGTTGCTCATCACCCCAGTGGTAGTGCATCGTCTGGTATCCTTTGTGCTGTAGCAGTGTCTCCACCTTCAATGCCAGCGGATGGATTGCGGATGGGCCAGAAAGGAGCGTAATAGTTCGGGAATATTCAACCTCTATTGCTGGCCGGGCCACGATATTTGCATTGAGGTGATATGGCTTCTCATTGTCAAACTTGACCGTCTCGCACCCGTTGAATCCTGCGGAACGCAGCCTTGTATCCCATTCTTCAGGCGAAATGAAAGGTTTTCCGTCGCGACCGTCTGCTGCCCCTAGCCACCAGCCCGAGAAGATGCCCTTTTCAAGTCAGGATTTCTTTCACTTGCGGAAATGAGAAAAGGACTTACCATGATATAGCCCATGCTGTTGCCGACTGTAGTTATCAAAGATTAGTCAATCCTTTTGTTACAACCTTGGAAAGTGAAGCCTAAGACTTACCTGGAGAGAGCTCCTGTAAGAATAGCCGGCCCTGAGGTTTCAGTAAAGTTCTGACATTAACAAGCGTATCATGCAAAATGGGGGTGGCATGTAGAACCTGCAAGACATTGAGCGGGATTATTCCAAAAGAGAGTAGTGGTGCAGTTCTTACATTGGAGGCAATGATAAGGTCGTACTCCTCGCGCTGGAACCCCTGCTCCAGCGGATTCCTTGAGATATCGAGTACCTTATACTCGATAGCCTGGTACTCTGCGAACCTTTTATTTGCAGCTGGAAAGAAACCAGATGACAAATCTGTAAAGGTGTACTGCAAATAGAGCCGTTCCTCATATGACGAGCGAAGGTGTTCAAGAACCTTGGCAGTCAGCCCACCTGTGCCAGCTCCAATCTCGAGGACTTTCATCTGGGGTTGCATATGGCCGAGGAGCTGGAAAAACTCGCTGACATCCCACATGTCGTTGGCCCAATTGTATACATTTGACAAAGTCCCATCGTTGATGACGAGGTCTAGGAAGTCCGTTTTCCCCTCAAATATATTAACCAGCTGATCATATGCCTTCCAGATTGCGATTCCAATATCACCACAGCCGGTCGCTTTACATTGCTCAAGAATCTTGGGAATCAGCTCTCGGCGATCCTTGGAAGCCATGTTGACCAAGTCAACCGAATCCTCGACCAGAAGATAGCCCGGCTCTGCCAATCGCGCACATTGAGTCCCCAGCCACCGCCTATACCGCTCAAGATGTGGCTGCGCTGTTGAGACGCCCTGTAAGGCGATGTTAGATTCCAAGGCACAGAGCACATACAGTCTCTCACCCAACATGAGTTGTTCTCGGATGTCGTAGATTGGTCTGGTCAGTTTGCCACTGTCTAGGAAGGAAAAGTCGGGTTTCCATTCCAAAGTGACAGCCATTGGCTCTGGCCCAACACTGTCCTTCTCTAGGCATATATGCACCGGATCTTTCAGGTAGAGGAGCAAGTCCCCGTCTTCCCCGATCCCGTACATGTGACCACCAGACGAGTTTTGACTGCCGCTGGTGGAGCAGATATGTATCTTCTGACCTGTTCCATGGCCGACATAGATCTCTCCGAGGAACATAGGTAGAGGAAGGTAATCAAGAGTGCGATAGTCACCCTGAAAGATGGCTACTGTCAGTGCTTGGAAGGCCAAGTCCAGGGTGATTGGGTGGAGAGGGTATATAGATTCGGATGCCGTCTCAGGTTTATCAATGATATCCGCCGCGGACCTGGTCTCGGTAACGCCAGCGGTGATGTTTTGGAGCCCTGTGAAGCAAGGGCCATAATTCAGTCCGACACGGGCACCGGTTTCGTACCAACGGGTTGATGAGACCTTTCTGGGGAGTGTCTCCGCTACCTTGTTGAAGGCTGGCGGTGGCGTAGACGCACGACCGATTCGGACTAACCCAGAGCAATGCTTCTTCCATGTTTCTCCATCATGCGATACGATCAGAAACTCGTACCAGTCACTATTGAGGCTTGTTGTGAGGCGCTGAGGGCGAAGAGTTGTAACAATTTCGGTCGCAGCGTCTTCCTGGAGAAGTAAAGCCTGATGAAGATCCACAGACTTCGCAGTATAGTCACGTGCATCGCCCTCAGTCAGTTGAAATACGGCTTCGCCAGCTAAGGCAATGTAACAAGCAGCTGGGAATACGATATCCTTCCCAACCCGATGATCCCTCAGCCAAGGAAGTTCGTAAAGCTGAAGGTTGTTTCGCCAAGTTGGGACCATATCAGTTCCATCCAGAATTCGAATACCCAACAAGTCATGTGGAAGGTGCTTTGGGAATCGCCAATTGCTCATCACTCTTGACTCAACCCAGTAACTTTTTTCGTAATGAAATGGGTATCTTGGCAGATCTGATAGCACTATCGCATCGGTAGGATCTGAATGAGCTCTGATATCCACACCTGCTGTAAAGAGCTGGCCTATTGTTGAAAGAAACGACTCTGTATCGTTCTTATCGCGGACCAACGTGGGGACGTAAAGGACTGTGGAGTGAAGCGGTTGTGTGATTTGGCTTAGTGCGCCTCGCAGACTCGAGTGTGGCCCAACCTCCAATAGAACTAATTGAGGTGTCGTAGAAACCATAGACTTGACAGCTGCGTTGAAGAGAACGGGATTTTCCAAATTCTCTTGCCAGTAGCGCGGGCCGAATTGAGACGCCTTAGAAAGTACCGTTCCACCGTACGCACTAGAGTAAAATGGGACTCTGGGCGGACGAGGGTCAAGGTGGCCGGCGACCAAGTCACGGTATTTGTCTCCCAAATCACGCATGTGGTCTAATTTCTCGTTATTAGCAATAAACTTTGTGTGATTCCTCAAATGTGTATTGAAGCACATACCGGAATGATAAGCCATTTCCACCTTCAATCTTCTAACGAATGTGTCCTCATTCGCCTTCTTGATTTTGGCCATCACCGTCTCTAAAGCACCCACATTACCTGCCAAAGTGACACTGGATGGGCTGTTTTCACAAGCAACACTGACTCCCGGAAGCAGGAAAGCAGCCACCTGTGCCTTACCTAGCCCAACGGCTGCCATCCCCCCCTTCCGCGGCGGGTTCTTACAGACATGACCGCGGTAGAAGGCAATGGTCATGGCTTCTGTCTTCGTCAAAGATCTGGTTGAGTATGAAGCAGCTATTTCGCCACTGGAATGGCCAACAACAGCGAATGGCTTGACGCCCCATGATTCTAACAGGTCTACAAGTCCGATCTGTAGAGCAGTACAGATTGTTTGAGAATATTCTGGTTGTGACAGGACTTTTCCATCATCTGTGTGGTAAAGAACGTCTGTTATTTCCATTAGTCTGGTTTAATTTTGGTAAGTGGCTCGATATGTGTCGACTTACCTTCAATAGACCAAGAGGGGGCATGTTCAAGGGCCCTTAATACACGGTCCATGGATCGAATATTCTCTAGGAAAGATGGAAACTCAAACATCAAATCACGTCCCATATGTACCCTATACTCTTTAGCAATGACACGCGATGACAATATTGGAAAGATCGAATACAGGAAGGAAGACATACCACTGGGCTCCTTGCCCTGTAAAGACGAATGCAACTTGGTTCAAATTCCTGCACGGCGCTGGAGCAGCCTCAGACAGCAGCTGACTCCCATTTGAGACACAGAAAGCTCTGTATTTCAGTCGCTCTCTTCGCTCAGAGAGATTATAGGCAACTCTTCTCAAACGATCGGGGAACTTGGCTAGATAATTCTGGTGGTTTTTCACCATCGATTTTACAGATTCCGGATGACCAGCGGAGAAAATCAGTAGTTCTTTCCTCTGGCTCTGGTCATTGACCGTTGGTGGGATTGACTTTAGTCTTCCTAGGCCGAAAGAGGCAGCCGAGTCTATAATAAACTGGATGACAGAGTCAGTGGCTGCTGTTATATAATACAGAGATTCATCTTACATGGACGTTAGATCCACCAATGCCGTATGAGTTCACACTCAATCGCTCAGCACGATCCTTGGGCCATGGACAAACCTTCACCGGGACTTGTAGCTTTGCCGTTTTCCATGGGACTATAACTATTAGTAGGATATGGAAAAGCAGGCATAAAGGTAACTTACTCGCTGGATTGGGTGTCTTGAACTTGATATTCGGGATGATTGTTTGGTGTTCAAGCGAGACCACCGCTTTGATGAGACTCGTGAGAGCTGCGGCGCCTTCACTATGACCCAGGTTTGGTTTGACCTGCGACCTTGGTAAGTTTTCATAAGGCTACATGGTAATCCATGTATCGACTAAAAAATACGTACGGCGCCAATGTACACCCCTTCCTTGCCGAAACACCTAGCAATTGCCTCTGCCTCGATTGGATCACCCGTAGCTGTCCCCGTGCCGTGTGCCTCTACCATTGCGGTCTGAGAAAAGTCTAGGCCAGCAACCGAATATGCCTCACGCATGGCTGCCTCGTGGGAGTCGGCATTCGGGGTACTGAATCCGAGTGTCCTTCCATCAGAATTGCTGGATGATGCTCGAAGAATAGCCCGGATGGGGTTCCCGTCTCGAATCGCCTCGTCAAGCCGCTTGATATATATCGCTGTCACAGCTTCTCCGCGAGCATAGCCGTCTGCAGCTGCATCAAATGACTTGGACGATCCTTCCGGAGATAGTGCTGCTTGAATGCTCATTGCAACTGTCATTCCTGGTGCGAAGATCAGGTTTGCTCCTGCCACGATCGCCGAAGTGATGTTGCCTCTTTGGATCTCCTGCATCGCCTCGTGTAGGCCGACTGCGGCTGACGAACATGCGGTCTTCACCATCACACTGCATGTGGTCAATATACATGCGCTTCCGGGAGGGAGACGAATTATAGCTCACCTTGGCCCCTTTAGATCATATTCATATGAAATTCGATTGGCGATTGCATAATCCAGCGCGCCGATCAGTCCGTAGGAGCTGTTGAAACTGGCATCCTTTTGCCGCATATCCTGCCAATCCTCTCCGAACAAGCCCACATATGTTCCAATCTTCTTTCCCCGCCAATTTATCTCGCCGGCGCTTTCGAGAGCTTCGCGAACTACTTCCAAGCACAGTCTTTGATTGGGGTCCAGGTGAGAAGCCTCGGTCGCCGTGATCTTGAACGTAGTGGGATCGAAATTTGCCAGATCGGCGTCAAGGAAGTAGCCCTGTCGCGTGATTACTGTGCCTTTTTTGCCATGAGGACTGAAGTGGGCGTCGACATTGTATCGATTGCGGGGAACAATAGAACGAGCATCTTTCTGCTCGATGAGGAAATTATAAAGCTCCTCCTCATGGTGGATCCCACCGGGCAATCGCATTCCCATGCCGCAGATAGCGATAGGGACATTCGACCCTGGGGTGATTGGCTTCAACATATTGAGAGTCTGAAGAAGAGTCTGAAGAGTCAATACCTAGGTAGAGGGTCAATGGGTGACGAGTCTTGTAAACGAGAATTTGAGCGGAGGAAATGAGAATATGAATTACGCGCAAGTGCTTTGATAGTTCACCTTACCTGATGATATACTACTGTATTACGGGCGGAGTATGTTGATCATAACTGGGAATACGGAGCGGAGCGGACATCTGGATGAATCAGATCGATAAGAACGTGTGGGCGCCCTACAATTTAGGTAGATAATGATTACTCGCTTTCAGCCTGCGTAAGATTTTATCTGGTTTGCAGATCGCTGAGGAGTGTGGAGACCCTATGAAGAGGCTAACGATTTGCTTTCCCGCGTTGAGAACCCTGATGCGCAGGCCCGCGGTGGGGCTTCTGAATGGGCTGATGAATCTGGCGAGCCCAAAACAACTAGACGATTTTAGTGTCTCCACCACATAGCACGCGAGGGACAGTCGGACTGACATGTCGATCTTACAGGGATCAAATTTAATTGCCAAGGAGTGTTGGCGCCCCAGAAACTAACGATTTGAATAGAAGAGCGCTAAGTCCGATTAAGTCAAAGACTGTTTCTTGAAGGTCCGTCCCCTTAAGAAGCTTTAACATACGCCCTCCTGTAGCGCCTCGTACCCGACCAAATACTGTTACGGGGTCAGCCTGGGTCACCTGATTCCCAACGTGCCAAAAACACCACTAGTTAACTAACTAGTTAACTAAGTTAATGTACGGAGTAGAAGTGGAAGTAACTACTAACTACGCTAATATTCTTACCTATCCCGACCACAGTATACATAGCATCGTAACTTGTTCGGGTTTTTACCGTAACAAATACATAGTACTGTACAAGTCAACTCAGCTGAGGTCTGACCTTGTGTGACATAAAGGAAGGGTACCACGAGGTCATGCATTCAGGCCGGCTTCCCATCGAGAAGTCGCCAATCCCGGACCGATCCATCGTCATCAAAGGGGATTAGAGGTAACCATGGAAGGAAAGCAGGTTCTTGGGAACGCATAACGCGCTTCCGTTCGGCTACACTACCGAGTGGGCATGGATACCCCGCCCAAAAAGCCACCGACTCAGCAGAATCCGATCAGACCCTTGTGATTTAAGCCGATGCCCAATTTTCCGGACAGGGCCTAAGGATAAAAGGCTGTACAATTTAAAGATTTGAAACTTGCCGGTATCATCAAGACCAATATTTCTCCAAGAAAAGGCGTCTTCCTTCTGCTATCCAATTCTCATTCCAACTCAGTTCAACGTCAAATAGATGCTCCTCAGGTAATAGATCAAATCTGACTGGGCTGGTTGGAGAGATCTCCTCCAACCGTTGTACAAAATTCGATGAACAAAGGGGAGGGGCCTAATAAAAGCATCCATAATTAGCATGCGGACATCAAGGATTGCAAAATAAAAGACTGACTAGCGTGTCATTCATCCCATGAATAATCCAAACCGGAACAATACCAGTCATTTTTCCTTCCGGACTGTTCTGTTGCTGTCTGACTTTTGCTGCCATCCTCTTAACCATATTGAACATGTCTTTATTGCCTCCACCTTTTTCTTTGAGCAACCGGCTAAAGTAACATTGCTGTGTCATGCATAGGAACAGCTCCCACATCTCAGGAGTCGGTTCTTGCCACGTACGTATGCCACCCGATTGCTGTAACTTCTGCATGTATTTCCGAATCAATACTTCAGCCTGCCTAGGCGGAGGTGGTCTCATGCCCATAATCATCCTAGGACGCGGGATCCTGAGCTCGGGGACATCAAGATCAAGTGGCGCATATGTGGAAATGACAGCCTGGATGACAACTTGAACATCCGTGCACCCACTTATCGCTGCCTCATGCCCAGCCCCACCAGATAGAATAGATGATAGCTCAAGGCCCGAATACACCGCCAGAGAGCCCCCGGAGCTCTCGCCGCAGCACAATATCCGCGAGAGGTCAGGAGTAACACCCCACAAATGTTCTTCCGCAATTCGGAGCAGGTCACACTGCACCCAACGCCAGAAATAGTCCACATCACTGAGGATATCGGCCATGCTGGATTCGGGAAGGAGTCTATAGTCGGGGCGAATAATGATCGCGTCATGGGCTTGTGCGAGGTCCAGAAACCATTGTGCGAACCAAGGCTCATAGCGGCGGTGGCCCAAGATGAAGCCACCGCCGTGGAAATGGACCATCACTGGACATCTCTGCTTGCGATTGGAGCGAGATAGGAAATGAGTTGGAATGAAGAGCGTGGCGTCGAGCGAATGGTTTTTCACGACGCGATAAGGGAGATCGAAGAGAGTGAAGGGATCGAAACGGGACATCGGCATAAAATTTCTGAAGTATTTTGCGCTTGAATGTAGATTGGTGTCTGGAAAGGAGAAGGGTAAGAAAGGAATAGTCGGCAAGGAGCCCAGCGATGATGCAAAGCGCACTTTGCGTGCTTTGAAACCGCGAGAGTCGCATGAGCTGGCGCTGTCATTAGTGCCCTGGCTCTAGGCAACATTTCCAATGCCTAGCTTTCGTATTAATACAGCTGTATAGTACGCCTGGACTTGATCCACTTGGGCACCTGTCGATCCGATAAGGTGGACAATGTGGAGCCGGATCTTGTACCGTTAAACCTTTTCTTTGCACACTGCCAAGAATCACGATTCAATAGTTTGATAGACTTTGAATATCAGTGGATAATCTGTGGCTCTCAAATGTTGGCTTCAATTTCTTGGTAACTTATGTAATGCGGCCATCCAGCACCTAGTTAGTTAACTAGTTACAAGCGATATTTCCAACGCACATGACTCTCAAACAAGGGATATTTGCGCTTTTCAGATGGCAGGTCTCCCTCCACTGCCACGAGTCACATAGACCTATCCAGTTAGCACGCGAAAGGTGGAATCTTCGCAAAACCCTCATTTTTGGCTGCGTTTGACAACGTTGGAAGATATCACCCGACGACCAGGCACACTACAAAAGATAGAACGACTGAGCCACATCCCTTTTTTTTCCTCTGCGTACACTTAGTGCGCAAAATCTACCCAGTGATTCATCTTCCGTTGACATTCAGTCTTGTGTCATGGCCATCAACAAACCCGATCTAACCTTCAGCCCACTTCACCCAACATTTGGAGCCGAATGCAAGGGTGTAGATTTCTCTCGGCCAGTGTCTACAGACACCATTGACCATATTCGCGCCGCGATGGCCAAATATGGAGTCCTGGTCTTTCGCAATACTGCTCTCGACGATACGAGCCACACGACCCTAGCGCACCAATTTGGCAAGCTAGATGTTTCGACGGTGGTGAGGAACCCCGGGACACGGTATCGACTCGGTCCCGACAGTCAATTGACTGACGTCGCGAACGTGGACCAGAATGGCAATATCGAGTCAGTGAATAGCTTAAGATCGCAAGCATTCCGGGGAAATAGTCTCTTTCACGTGGATTGCTCCTTCAATCACCGTCGGGCGGGATATTCTCTCCTCCGCGCCCACCAGTTGCCTCCTCCAGGGAGTGCCGGCGGAACCGAATTCGCTGATACCCGAAGCGCATATGCGGATCTGGATGAGGACAGGAAAACTCAGATTCATGACTATGTCTTGTGGCATTCTATACTGCATAGTCGAATCTTGGCAGTTCCGGATAATTGGATCTTCAAGATTGTCGACTGGACATTGGATATGCATGGTCTCCGTCGACTTCCCTATCTCATAATTTTAGTATGTTACCAACTTTCTCCTCCGAGTCACCGAAATATATACTAGAATGTGGCCGATACCTTGTGCTCATCGTTTTTAGTTGCTAATCATTCGCTTCCTGGGATTTTGGATTCGCCTCGCGGACACTACTGTGGTTTCAATGTGCTTGTTCGGCCTATTCCGACTCCTTCTGTTGCGCCTGGCACCGGGTCCCTTGGCTGCGCGCGCTCCTCATCGTCTGGTACAACTACACAAACCGAGCCGCCGGATGAACCTGTACATTGCGGCGCATGCATACCGTATAGACGGGTGGACCAAGTCAGCTAGCAAACCTGTGATCGAGGCTTTACTGCAGCATGCAAGTCAAGAGAAATATACTTTCAAAGTAGATTGGGAAAACAACGGTGATATGATTATATGGGTACGCAATATCGAAGTATCCGATCCGCTAGAGCAACATCTAATGCTGATTTCCACAGGACAACACGTGTGTAATGCACCGATCATCCGGAGGCTCGTACCAGGGACGGTATGTCCGTGATATGCGAAGAGCCACCGTCTATGACTCTGCCTGAGCGCTTAGGTGATTTATCAGGATCAATACATTCGTATTCGTGGCATTTGGTCGGTCAGATTGCATGTGGCAAAGAGGAAAAATAAACTCAAGTTTGACTCATTCATACCTGACTTTCTTTTCTTCGCGAAGCTCCTCCTCTCTTTCATTCTCTTTTTCTTTTCTTTTCTTTTCTTTTCTTTTTTTTTTTTGAGTGGTGCAAAATTCTATTGAGCAATCCGGAATCCTTCCGAGGTTTTTTGGAGTATATGCAGAAGTATAGTCTTGCAGGAGTCCCGTAACAGACCCACAAGTGAGAACTTTCATACATACTCTACCTATTGTGGGAGAGGAGACAAGTGTAAAGAAATGACGTCAGAAGCTTATTCCGAGTAATAAAAAAGCGGTCAGGACTGAGAAGGTCAAGGAAGATCTCCTTTTCAAATTTACCGCTAGCGACGACTAGCGCTGCTAGAAGAAAACCAGAAAGGCGAGAGAAAGTATAACAAAAGACGACGATGATCAAAGTGACCTCTCACTTTGGCCCGCGAATCAGAATAAAAGTCTCAGTGAAAAATGAAAGGATTAAATTAAAGGTAGGCAGAAATGCCCCGCCAACGTCAATTTGACGATAGGCTGATCAGTGTGCAGCTAAAACGATGGTGATAGGAGCATCGTCGATCCGAACTCAATCAAATTTGGAAATTTTAATTGGTCGATCTAGTCTGATGCAGTCTTCTTGTAGTCTGTTCTTAGGCCACATCGATATCATTAATAATACCGCTGCTGTAAGTAACTAGGTAACTATTAGAATAGGTATTAACAAAAGCCAAGAAAGGATCACCGAGGCAGTAAGCAACTTCTCTCAGGCTCCCTTCTTCCAAACGAGACCAGCTACTTTCTGCATCCTTGAAGTTTTCATTCGAGTTATCAGCACCTTGAAGTAAGTGGTGGCGGTTATTTGTGTGAGAAATCCCATCCATGGCAGTCGGGGATAGTTTTCTGGCTCTGACGGCCTTCACCCTCACCGAGGCCTATTTCCTCCATCGCACCTTAGTCACCCACGAGACCTTCCGCGCCTTGCTTCTCAGCTTGCTAGTCGTCAATCTTCTTCTCAATTGTCTTTATACTATATTCATTTGGCCGTTCTTCGTCAATCCGCTTCGTCATCTGCCAAAGGTTCCGGTCAGTATTACTCCGCGCGAGCAGTCTCAGAACACATCAAGAATCGCTTCTAAGAAATGCTTCGTAGGGCTTCTTGAGTAATCTCAAGTTCTTTGACTTCCCCCGTAGGTGCAGGCCACTGCTCTGGATGAAGACCATCCCAAATGGAGGGCTAATCCACCTGCACGACATCCTCGGCCAGTCCTATCTGCTCGCCACTAATCATCAGGCCCTGGCAGATGTCATGAGCACAAATGTCTATGACTTTGAGAAGCCCTGGCGTGCGCGCAACTTCATCGCCCGCATCCTTGGCTTCGGTCTGGTCCTGTCTGAGGGCGCTGCCCACAAGAAGCAACGGAAGGCGCTGACTCCGGCTTTTAATATCAAAAATATTCGCGCCATATACTCACTGATGTGGGATAAGACCAACCAGCTTTTGGAGGAGATGGAAAAAGAGTTGAGACTTAGTCCGATGCAGGGGACTAACCTGGCTGATGGGGAGGGTACGCTCGAGATGGGGGTGTGGGCGAGGTATGTGCTGCCTAATTCCCTCTGGCCAAATGTTTGCATGACTTTTTTGGTACCCTGGTAGGTCCCTGGGTACCTACCTGCTCATAATGAACTGTGTAGGGACCTATACTATACTAAGCTATCTAAAACCTTTCATGGCACCTAAAAAATAATGCAAATGCATGATCAGAGGGGGTGAATTGTCGCGAAGGTTCGATGTACTGATGATGTTTCTCTAGTCGTTTAACTCTCGATATCATCGGCCCTGCTGCCATGGGAAGAGACTTTCGCTCGCTACAGAAAAATGACAATCCTGTGGCGGAAAGCTTTTTCCGTCTTCGTGAGCCTAGCTTCGAGAAGCTGGTGTTTTTTGCCATAAATTTCGTCCTGCCACAGTGGCTGGCGCGTCGTTTGCCGTTGCGCATGAATAAAGTAATCAACGACGAGGCCAATTTCCTTCGAGGTCTCTGTCAAGATATTGTCAGCGACAAGCGACAAGCCTTAAATATATCTAAGAACTTAGTCAAGGATCTTGAGGCTGATATCCTTGGTACGATGATGCTAGGAGGAGACTTTTCGGACGCAGAGCTAGTGGATCAGATGCTAACATTCCTGGCTGGGGGAGTAAGTTTCACTTTCAATTTTCAATGTTCTAATCGATGTGTGGTTGATTACATTGTCCGGCTAGTTAAATCGGCATCATAATATCTGCTAACTCCAACGCTTCCAGCACGAAACCACCGCGCGTGCTATCACATGGGCCTGCTACCTACTCACTCAACGCCCAGATATTCAAGAGCGTCTCCGCTCTGAAATCCGGGCAAAGATCCCTTGCGCTAACAGCCCAATAACTTACCAAGACCTCGAATCCTTACCTCTTCTCAACGGCGTCTGCCAAGAAGTCCTACGCCTCTACCCCACAGTCCCCGCGACACTTCGAGAATCTATACGCGATACTGTAATCGCTGGCACTCGCATCCCTAAGGGCACACGTGTGATTTTGTGCCCGTGGGCAATTAACCGAGCCCCAGTCTTCTGGGGCGATAACGGCGAGGAGTTCTTGCCGGAGCGGTGGATCGACAAGGACAAGAATGGTAACCTGGTGCCGAACAACCATGGTGGTGCATCAACCAATTTCGCGCAGATTACTTTCCTACATGGTCAGCGGTCGTGTATTGGGAAGGACTTCGCACGTGCGGAGCTGCGGTGTGCGGTGGCGGGTGTGGTTGGCCGGTTTGCATTTGAGATGCAGGATCCGAAGCAGGAAATTCATATTGCTGGCGCGTTGACAACGAAGCCTGTGGAGGGGATGCATTTGCGCATGCGCCGGCTTGATGCCTGGTAGTCGCTAGTCTGGCTGGAGTATCTGATGTAAATGGATGGATTACTTTTCTTTTGCCAGCACACCTTCGATGTCGTTTCAAATTAAATCAATTCTGCACTATGGGTTGCAATATTTCCCAGGACTGGGGACTCATAGAACCGTAGACCCGACAAATTAACTTCGCTGGATGAAAACATGATGATGACTCGATCCCTTTGACCTGATGCAGCCATTTAGCCTGGGCAATCCAGCAAAGACTTGAAGCTATGTGAATGGGAACCATTTGTATGTTTTTTTCCCGTGCTTCAATCTAGCCACGATGTACACTCAGCCAGTACAACATATCAGGCCTTGTTTACAAAGCTGAATGCTTATCTACCCATTAGGCAAAGTAGAAATCCCCGAATATTCCGAAAAATTCGTAACAACATCCAGTAGACCGTAGGATGGGCTTGGTGAAGCTCCTCGCCCTGCTACTAAACGTTGAAAAAAGTTTTACATCTCGAACATTAGGCCAAGCACACGATTTTGGATGAAGCATTTTCATGCCACGCCGTTATCACAGTGAAACCTCCGGATGGACTTGACATAGCGAGACTAGGCGCCTTCGGTCTGTCTCCACCAACCAAAAACAGCCGGCCTCGGAAAGTCCTTCCTTGCCCCACTTACTCTTATCCCCCCTCTCCCCCAAAACCCTCGCTATATCTTCAAGCTATCTGGCACTGTAATCATGGAGGAACATTGCGCTCTAATTTCTGTCAGCTGCCAAAATGAGTCTCTCTGTGGAAATTGTGACCCCTAATGGGCACCGGTACACTCAGCCCACTGGGCTGTTCATCAATAATGAATTTGTCTCCGCCTCATCTGGCCAAACCATTACGTCCCTCGACCCCGCGTACGTTGAAAAAGTGCCCGCTTATGCATGAAATTCATTACTGACAATCTGGGTATTCTAGAACTGACAAGCCAATTGCCGCCGTTGACGCTGCCAATTCGAGCGATGTCGACCGCGCCGTCAAGGCTGCCAAGGCCGCTCTTGTGCATGACTCGTGGAAGCTGCTCCCTGCGACGGAGCGTGGAATGTTAATGTTGAAGCTCGCAGAGCTCATGGAGTCGCACAAGGAGCTTCTAGCCACTATTGATGCCTGGGACAATGGTACGTACAGATTCAGGCTGTGCCGGAACAATTTCCCGCTACTGCACCTTGCGGATCGGCGCATGGCCTTGTCGCCCGTTTCTTTGATGCACTCCTGCGCTTCCCGATGCAAGATGCATCACATATCCCACACTGGACATACCCACTAATCTATATGTAGGCAAGGCCTACCATGTCGCTCTCGAGGAGGATCTCCCCGAAGCCATCGGCACCATTCGCTACTACAGTGGCTGGGCGGATAAGACCTTCGGCCAGACGATCAGCACCACGCCTCAAAAATTCGCCTACACCCTGCGCCAGCCCATCGGTGTGGTGGCCCAGATCATCCCCTGGAATTATCCCCTGTCTATGGCTTGTTGGAAATTGGGACCCGCCCTCGCATGTGGAAACACCGTGGTGCTCAAGCCTGCAGAGCAGACCCCGCTCAGCGCGCTGGTTCTCGGAAGCCTCATCAAGGAGGCGGGCTTTCCCCCAGGTGTGATCAACATCGTGAATGGATATGGTCGTGATGCTGGTGCCGCCCTCGCGTCTCACCCCCTTGTGGACAAGGTGGCGTTCACTGGGTCGACTGGTACCGCGCGCGAGATCATGAAAATGGCAGCTGGCAGCCTAAAAAACATCACACTCGAGACAGGTGGCAAGTCTCCACTCCTAGTCTTCCCAGACGCAGATCTGGACCAGGCTGTAAAGTGGTCCCATTTCGGAATCATGTCGAACCAAGGCCAGATTTGCACCGCGACATCGCGAATTTTCGTGCACCGCGAGATTCTGCCTACTTTCTTGGCGCAGTTCAAGGCCGCCGTTGAGAGCGTCAAGATCGGTAACCAATGGGATTCGGAGACCTTCCAGGGTCCGCAGGTTACTCGCACGCAATACGAGCGTATCTTATCGTACATGGAAATTGCTAAGAGCGAAGGCGCTACGATCCTGACTGGTGGTGCTCCCCATGTCCCTACCAACCCCGAGTACAAGGATGGGTACTTTGTGCAGCCTACTGTCATTACCGACGCGACTGATTCAATGAGGATTACCCAAGAAGAGATTTTTGGCCCCGTGGTGGTCATCTTGCCATTCGATACCGAGGAGGAAGCCATTCGCCGAGCTAATGACACTACCTATGGCCTCGGAGCGGCCGTTTTCACGACTGACTTAGAGCGCGCGCACCGCGTGGCTGCTGAGATTGAGTCTGGAATGGTGTGGGTGAACAGCAGCCAGGACTGTGACCCTCGTGTGCCATTCGGTGGTGTCAAGCAGAGCGGTATTGGCCGCGAACTGGGCCAGGCTGGCCTGGACGCGTACAGTCAGCTCAAGGCTGTGCATGTCAACATGGGTAATAAACTGTAGGGCTTGCTACTGTAAATGCCTTGAATGATACACTTTACGATAGATACTCAATAAAATCATGTATGAGACCCTTCAATGAATCCGCAAAAAAACTACTCGATTGTTTAGTTGGTAGACCATTGACTTGTGGCCCTCACGGTATGAGTCTTACAAGACTCTCCTAACTACTTTTTATCTACTCTCAGAGTATGCGAGGTCTTTTCATTAATGATTCCTGGGTTTTGCATGCTATGTTATTTCAAAAAAAAAAAGATACAGTAGATTGTTATGGGTTGGTCACCCAAAACCGTGTCCGAGGTCTCGGAGTGACATACTCAATGCAATGGTAGAACACCAAACATTCTTCAGGCCATGCCTCCTGACCATTTAATTTCGATATGACACAAACTAATGATAATTGGCGATATCTGGTTGTTATCCACTGGAGATATGAGATTCACCCCGCTTCGCCCCCGTTGCAACTGTTTCGGGAAGGCCACTCCGGGTTAGGCATGTCATTCCGACTTTCACAGCCCCCCAGGGTGATACCCCAGATTCCGTGATCTGGCAAGGAAAGAGATGAATTTCACAAATCTGGGGAAATGGTTGGGGTTTGAAAAAAGCTAATATCAGATTGTATATTTTCTGTTCATCTTTAGCGCAAGTCATGTGGCTTGGAGCGTTGCTTCATGCAACATGGCAATTATATTCGGCAGCATATAGAAGGCGATAAGGTCCTTTTCACTTTGTGCTTATCTCCCTTTAGCTCAAGAGGCATTCCTTTCCTACGCAGACCCCGGATTTCAACAAGTCCTGTCCCCATCACAACCATTCACCCGCTTCTACTGGGCGACAATTTCTATTTTGATCCACCTATATCTGCTGGTGAAAACCCGAGACCACTGGGGCAAATGTAAACGGAAGGCGATGGTCGACCACCCCGCACGCAGAATAGGTATTTCTGGGATGGGTCTATCGGTATTCTCTAGTGGCTTTGATTTCGTCTAGTTCCAAAGTAACCTTCTCCTTTTGCCAGTACCAATAATCTTAGCATCACCTTCCTGTTTCTATGATATCTGGAGTATGAGAACGACCATCATGAGATCACAGATTGTTGATATTACACCGACAACACAGGCCGAGTCTGTTCAGCGGCATGCTGATGGCAGTCTCGGTGAAGTGGAAAAACCTGACCCTACGCCGCCTCGACAGGATGCCTTTGGTGATGAGGAACATGCGGAGGTCAAGTACAATGTTTTAACATGGCGGTATGTCTCTCCTATTTTTTGAACCTCAACAAATGAATTCATTCGCTGAACGATTTTAAAATTATACAGGCAGGGTGGCCTTCTCATGGTTGCTGAGACCATTTCCTTGGGCATTCTCTCTCTTCCAGCCGCCATTGCTAGTTTAGGTCTCATCCCAGGACTCATTGTTCTCATTGGACTGGGCGTCCTCGCTTGTTACACCGGCTATGTAATAAAACCAATTCAAATGGCGATACCCTCATATTTCTAGCTTTGCAGATGCCGGTGAGATCCTGATAGGCCGATTTGGTCGTGAGTTGTTCGGTACAGGGCAATTGCTGTTCTTGATCTTCATCATGGCGAGTCATATCTTGACATTCACTGTTGCCCTCAATACTATCACTGGGTACGCAACTTGCTCGATCTTTTTCGGTGCCGTGGGCATGATCGTCTCAATTTCCTTGTCGCTGCCATGTAAACTTGCACAGGTGTCATGGCTCTCGCTTGTTTGTGAGTATTGTACATTTTCAACATCAGAAGAATGATCAATTGACAATTTACCCTCCTCACTAACATTCATCAGCATTTTCAGCGCCATTATGATTGCAATGATCGCCCTTGGCATTCAGAACAAGGGATCTATTCTCCAGCCGACCGTTGAGACCAACTTGGTTACAGAATTTACGGCCGCTACCAATATTGCGTTCTCGTATGGTCTGTAATTCTATTCCTTGACAGCTTTTTGGGCAAACAGGAGAAATCTAAAGGTTCTAACATCGCACAGTCAGCCACAGCACATTTTCTACCTTTATGGCAGAGCTCAAAGACCCAAAAGACTTCCCAAGGCCCTTGCCCTGCTACAAACTATCGACAAGACTCTATATATCATTGCTGGAGTTGTTATCTATCGGTATGCCGGTGCCGATGTCACGTCCCCGGCACTGGGCTCTGCTGGCCCGCTGATCTCCCGAATTGCCTATGGCGTCGCTCTTCCCACCGTAAGACCACCCTGGATGGCTCGTGTTAACTTAAGACCGTGATACTCACGCCTGAATTTTCTAGATTGTTATTGCTGGTGTTATCAACAGCCCACGTCGCCGCAAATTCAATCTATATTCGCATCTTCGCTGGAAGCGACCGCATGCACAAGCGTGATTTTGTCGCTATCGGCTCCTGGGTTGGCCTGGCCGTCTGCTTGTGGATCGTTGCGTGGATTATTGCCGAGGCCATTCCCGTATTCAGCAGCCTCCTGAGTCTTATTGTATGCTCCATTTTGTGCTATCAATCACTTTTTCTTTTAATGCTGACATGTAGTAGACTGCTCTATTCGGTAGCTGGTTCACCTTTGGAGTTACTGGTATGTTTTGGCTCCACATGAACAAGGGATTGTGGTTTTCCTTACCCAAGAAGATCGCTGTGACGCTCCTCAACGCTTTCGCTATCTGCGTTGGCATTGTCCTAGTCAGTTACCATAACAATGGCTTCATCAACCTTTCCATTACTTACCAATTTTTAGTGTGGTCTAGGTCTTTGCACTTCTGGAAAGTCCATTCATGTCAACCCAGGCAGTTCGAGTTTCTCGTGTGCCAACGCCGCATAGACTGCAGTACTTAGCTGTACATTTTACCATTCCCTTGTACTGATTAGAACATCGCCCTTAGTGCGAAGCGCTGTTTTTGGCATCTATAGCAACCGCGTTGATTTACATAGAGACTATAAACTGGCATCTAAGTTACACTTCAAAATGGGACATCGAACAGAAAGTACTGTCTCAATTTGTTTCAATCACGATCAAGTGTCACAGCAGGGATAGCTCTCTTTCATGCCTTTGAACTATTCTTCTTGCCAGCGTCCTCTATTAACAGTTTCTCTCTTGTCTCCATGAGCGCTTTACCCAGTAAGTTCAACCCCCACTTGCTTCGATTAGCACCCGCATTTTTCGCTCCGAACCCAACTCCCCAGATTCTATCCCGAGGGCTAGCCTCGACCAACTCTCGGTTACTAGTCTCGAGAAGCTTCTGCTTGAGGTCTGCGTTCTGCGAGAATTTGAGATAGTTTCCTTCCACAACAATCTCAAATCGATTCTGCTCCCACACTTCTTGGGTGAAGTTGGGGATCTTTCGCCCTAGATCCCGGAGGTCCCTTGGGTGTAATTTCCAACCCTTCTGAAGTTCCCGGCTGATCGGGTGACTTGGGCCAGCGAAGAGGAGTGCTTTGCGATGCATCATAAATCTAGAAAGCGAATTCGTATTAAAAGGTATCTCAAGTGTGACAGAGGAGAGCATATACTTACTGCTCTGCATTTGCGTAGGTGTATTTCTCGCCGTCATGCTCCCATGTGAATGAGGATGGCCACCATTGCCCCAAGTATCCGACGTCTCCTTCTGGCTTCCAGAAGTAGACTGCATTGCTAGTATCTACTGCCATATCTGTGCTTCGAAGTATTCGAATAGTGGACAGATTGTTGGCTAGAAGCGACCCTTGATGATAGGGTTGTGCCTGAAGGTATAATAGCTGGCAAGGTCATCCGCGGTATACGTAGTGATATTTAAGTAAATCCAAAGTGATTCATGAGTCACGTACAGGAACGGAAAATAAAGAAACGCTTGTCATACTATATGAAAGAATATACAAATACCCCACACGTCTCTGTGGCGCTACGGACTTCCTCATTTCGACCCCGACACCCCACTTCCAACAACGCCAATTCTGCCTCGTCGCCATTTCTCATTGTATAAATACCCAGTCAAGGGGACCTTATCCAACATGACTCATAGGATCGGCATAATTCGAGGGAAAAGATCAAGCCACAGAAAAGCCAAGGCACCCAATCATGAAGCCTTAGCGACAGGATGGCCGATCCATAATGAGGCTTAGATCTTAGCGGCTTGGCGGCGCCGGATAGGGCGATCACAGGAACCAACATTGACCATGATAACCGATAAGTAGAAAGACACAATGGACCGAAGATCTAGATTACAACTCTTGTTTCATGATCCTACACCTAATAATAGCATTGCCACATGGAAGAATGGAATGAGATTCAAGTTATGACACTTGAAATGGCAGATACGCAACTACGTATTTTTCACCACCCTCCTCGATGAACATTTTTCTACATGCTTTTCGTTCACCTATTTCTAGACCTCTTTCTAAATTTCTCTTTCGAGCTCGTTTCAAATTTTAGTTGAAGCTTTCCTCAAGTAGTCTCTTGTATGTTTTTCTACGAATTCTCCAGAAGGTATTTCTCAACATCATTTGGAAATAGACTTTTGATTACCTTTCCAAGATGCAATAATGTCTTCCAATCTCAGACTTTCCTAAGATACATAGGTATTTCAGGTCCGTTTACGGCTACTTAGATGCTCTTTAACTACAACTTATGATTCTGACTCGAATTTCTGCGATATTTTTGAAATGAGCCTACCACCTTTCCTATGCGTCCCCCAACTGTCTAACATTTCTGGATTCGTCGCCGGAAAGGCCGTACTTTACCTCATTTGGCAAAATAACCCATTTCAGTTAATTATTTGGCAGGATCTTCCAACGAAAAGGTATTCCAATATTCTTTCATATTTTCCTACCTCCCAGCAGTTTCAATAATTCTCCTCGTTGAGCGCTGCTTTTTACAACAGGGCTTCCACTGGGGACATGACCGATATCTGCCTTTGGCAAGACTCAGTCTCAAAGTGTGATGGGTTGTCATCTCAAACGTCTGATACAATTCGTGATGAATCCCTACACCTTGGCTCACCGAACACTCCATCAACAATCAGCCCAAGCGATTCGGCTTCCCAAGTCGTGCCAGACTTGAATGCATTCTCCTGGTATGCTAAACAGCATATGGCCGGTGATTATGACCCGAGTCAGTGCTGGGCTTGTGGTGTTATGATTGTTGAGCATTGTCACGTTATCGGAATAGATGACACCCAGGTATGGTGCTCTCACTGCAAGCAATGCCCAGCTGGTCCTACACTGACCCGGGCCCGTTCAGTCCAACAAACGGGTGGCAGCCAACTTATTTCCTCCCAACTTCAACCGCGGAGATACATCCAGCGGAGTCCTACTGTGTCCACACTGCCGCATCGTGTATGACCGAACCATCGATCCCGGATTTGTCTTCCTTCCGACGGACCTCCGGTACTTCATCGACTATGAGCTTGAAGATGCGCGAGCGCGGGCTGTAGGGGGTTCAAAAAGAGAACGTCGCGCCCCAATGGGGTCAGAGTATCAGCAGTATCAAGAGGAACAAGGACTCATCCCACGTAATCGAGTGGGTGGGCTCTATCGAAGGGTGTTCTTGGATTTCATGGGCCGGCTCGACCTGACTAAGGTTAGCACAGCTAAGACTTGGCATGGAGAGCCGATGTGCGATCCGACGTGCCATTGCTCTGATAGGCACTGCCCAAGTCAGCTTGCTCCCCTCAGTGATCCACCAGCAGCTTTTGCAGCTTCACAGGCTTTATTTCATCGACGATCCACAGGGTTCCCGCGATTGCCTCCTTGAAATTCTTATTGCTTTGGTCTATCAGCCTTCAGGACTACCCATCGACAACCTTAAAGATAGTGGCCTTATGAAGCAGGATATATCAGGGGGCGATTCTTGGTGTCCGTGTCACTCTAAGCGGCCTAGAACGCACGATATTGAGGAGCATGGCTTGGTTGAAAACCACGGCGTGGCAAAGAAATGTAAAGGCGCTGCTGAAGGTCACTGCAGAGAGCAGTCAGCCTTCCCGAGTCCCCTTTCCCGAGCTCAATAAAATAAATTGGTGGGCACGATGCTTGCTTGATTGGAGCAAGGACGGCTACGGGAGATGAAGTGGGGATTATTCTGCTGTCTCATTTTTATGAATGGCTGGTTTGCTATACAACCGGTATGAGATACTCTAGCATTTGTACAATATAAACACTTTTTTCAAGGTATCATAGCTGTCCCGCCCCGTACACCATTTTTTTACTAAGAATAACATATCGAGTCAAGAATGACGCTCTGAGTAGCTCTATTATTCCGGATGAATTTGATAATCGTTGACAACTATGCCTCTTTTTCCCCAGAGAAGGGCCACCCAACAGAAAATGATTTGGCATTTCTGCCCCTATTCTCTCATTGAAAACGCTCATGATCCTGCTGCTGATATCCCCGGCCCGTGATTGTGGGGGTTCTGTTTCTTCTTATAAAATCCATCCCTCTTCCCTCTTCCCTCTTCCCTCTTCCGTCTTCCGTCTTCCCTCTTCCCTCTTCCGTCTTCCCTCTTCCGTCTTCCCTCTTCCCTCCCTTCATCCACCCTTCTACTCTCCGACCTCTATCATCCTCTTCATTCCTTTCTTTGTTCCTCATCCCTTCCTCGCAGCCCCTCTGTCTACGCATCCCGCGCCTGTTTCAACTCTCCCTCCACCTCACTCGGCGAAGCTCAGCGATGCTGCGATCTCATTCTGGCAGATGATGAGGTCTACCATGGATCTCTCACGGCCTCTCAGTCTTTAGTATCTCATTTCCGAGCCTCTTTTGGTCATTCTATCTGACGGCAGCCACAGACATTTATCTCCCTCGTATCGGCCACGCATCCCACGTGTGCGAGGGAGAGAAGGCCTCTCTCCGTGACACCCCTCAAGTGAACCACTTGAGGGGAACCATCCAGCTGCTCACTGAACACAGCTCTCACCCTGGCTCAAACACCGCTCTCCCGAGTAGATGGGATCTCCTCCAGCGTGCAGCATCTCTGAATGTGGCAGAGTCAAGCCGCTCTTGTCCGGTGGCGGATAACCAGGTCAGTCTCCTTGTGTTGGTTTCAGCCTTCATCAATACCCCGGCCAACGTCAAGCACGCTTTCACCATCATCAACCACATCAACCACAAGTACGCTGACCGGCTCATGAACAGGACACCACAAAGGGCAGCCCAAACATACAACCGTGCTCGCTTCATTGCAGAATTAGTTTATGACAGTGGAAAAAATCAAGGATATTCGAAGGTGTTTGACACAAGACTTATGAATGTAACTAATCAAATCCCAGCTCTGTTCGTAACATCGTTACTCGGTAAAATAAATACTTAAGAATTCCATCTGATACTTCAGCCCCACCCTAGTCCGATCAACTTACTTCACGCAACATTGTCTCTCTTGGTAAACACCAGGGCCAGATCACCCGGTGTAGCTGTAAACTGGTCTCGCATTTTTCCCTCCACGTTTTCAATATACTTCTCACGCTGACCAGCAGGGAAATCGAAGCGATATTTCGTAACGAGGATCGAGAGGACTGTCCACATCTCGATCATTGCGACGTCCTTACCCAGGCAGGTATAGCGACCTATAGAAAAGGTCAATCATTAGTACGGGTACTCCTCGGGAAAAACTCCCCATATGAAAAACTTACCTTGGGCAAACGGTAGGAATGATCGGGTGTCCTTGACCAACTCGGGCTGAGTACCATCGAACCGTTCAGGGATCCATTCATTCGCGCGAACGAAGCAGCTCTCCACTAAATCCAGCGCCAACTATTAATATCTTGAACATAGCAATGGCACAAGTAGCTTCAACTTACGTCGACCCAGAACATAACGCGGGGCGACAATTGTCGTGTTCCCCGGAATAAAAGTGCCATCGATCATCATACCTTCAGGCGGAGTGTCCCGATTACCTCCCGTTGGGACAGCAGGGTGGAGACGCAAGGTCTCCATGATGACTGCGTTGAGATAGGGCAATTTCTTGAGAGTGGGCAGGTCTCTGATGCTCACGTCCTTGACTTCTTGATACAATTTTTCAGCCTTGTCAGGATTCAAGGCTAATTGGTAGATCGCAAAGACAAGAGTGGGGGCAACGGTGTCACTAAGATCTGAGGTCAGCATCTCAGGAGTATATTTCCCTGAATAATTCATCCCGTTTCGGCGATAGTGCTTACCTTCCAGCTACTATAGCTACGATTGCATCTCCTACAAGCTGTGCTTGGTCTTCTTTCAATGTACCTCTCTTTCTGGAGTCTTCGATGATCCCCTGCGCCACGTCGTGGGAATCAGGTTGCTGTGGAAGTGGGGTGTGTCAGCTAGCTCGACCCATTTTCCTTCCACGCCCATGTGGGAAGTGGAGGAAGGTAGTATCAAAAGTACGAGACATACATCAAGGCGCAGCTTCATCTGATTGGCGCACCAAGCGATCATAGTGTCCCAGTCTTTCACCACCCAGAATCCCTTGAGCAACCAGAACCCAATCTGTGCTGCCCAGGGCACGCAGGAGAAAGGGCCCAACAGAGTCATGGCTTTTCGCAGGTTGCGAATGCTGTAGTGCCAATGCTCACTGTTAATCATGTCAAAGGAGCGGGAGAAGGCGAAGAGGCCCATGATGTCGAAAGAGAACCAGTAAATGTACGTGGAAATAGGAACTGGGCTGCCCTTGGCGCTGGCAATGATAGCATCCATGTCTTTGGCGTGGCTTTCAATGTGCTCCTGGTATTTCACCATCGCACTGTTGGAGAAACCCTTGATCCAAAGACGGCGACGTTGGTCATGCCAGCCTCGGTCACGGATGGTGGTCACACCCACGTTGGGCAGGAGGAAGTCATACCAGACAGACTTGCTGGTTTTGCTGCCTGGGCCATCAAGCAAAGACAGTCCAATTGGATGGAAAACGGTAATCTCATTGGGGCCAGTCCGGACAAAGTCACCATACTCGTGGTGCATTCTCTCCAGGACCAAATGGTTCTGTCCATTGCGGCATTGGTACATATGCCACAATTTGGTCAGACCTGCCAAACGAGGACCAGGGAAGTGACGTGTACGGTGAGCAAAGAGACGATAAGCAGCAATGCTAAGCAGAAGACAAGAGACAAAGCTGCCCACGATGAGGCCGGCATGTCCGAAAGCGGCAACACTCAGGGTCTTTCTTGCCTCCAGAAGAGCCAAAACGGCATATGCAGCGATTGCAGTCTTAATAATCCGCGGTCCCTGCATATGCCATTCGTTTTTAATGAAGACAATGTGATGAACCAGGATTCCACAGACACCGACGATGGCACATCTTGCCAGCAACGGCCGTTCCGCCGCGAACGCCATCGCAGGCTCAGCATGAAACTTGTCCATGATCAAATCCATGTTGAGAATGGAATTGAAAAATCTGGTGGGAATCAAGGAGTACTCGGATAGAGAGACTCGGAAAAAGTGAAATCAAACCCCGATAAGTGCGTGTGAATATGTGGTGATCGTGAGCCGCTGATAGAGGACCTAGCCCCTTGGTAGGTTCGTAAGCATGCGAAGCTCCACAAGTAATCAACGCCAATGCAAGTTGTAATTGCAAAATGTGGACTCTTGAAATATGCCGTTGGAAAGAAAGAGAAAGAAAGTGACGTGGTTAGTGTTGGGGTTAGTGTTGCGAAGGGGGCGGAACGGTCCATCGGCGGCGCGGGTAGGTTCCTTGTGGAGGTTTTTGGAAGGAGTTCGGAGGGAAGGATAATCCAGACACGGGAAAAATAATTTCAAAATTGATAAAAAAAGATTAACTGAAATCAGAACTAAGAACTAAGAACGGCGCGGCGCAGCCAACTTGTTTGCCCCCCTCTCCATATGAAATGGGATGACAGGGGGAAACATAAATTGATCCGAGGTGCCCTTGATGCAGTTCCAACCCCTTCGATCAACCGTTTCTTTTTGGTTTGCATTTTTTCCATGCCATTTTGGTTCATGCATAGATCATAGAATGACCCCCATGGCTACGGACGTCCCGGGGATCCCCCGCCATCGGCATCAAGCGGTTAAACGCCCCTTGCCTGTCCAACGACTTTTGTCCCTCATGAACCACGCTGCAGAGCAACCAGGCCATGTCATACATTCGATCTGGTTGTTTACGTATAGCGACCTCAAGACCATCATTGCCACCAGCTTTGGATTTGGTCTACTCACTTCAATGGGGGCGGCATCCTTCGGGATTGACCCTGCACCTGCATGGTCCTTTTGCTTTCAGCGAGTGCCTCTCGTCCTGCTGTGGGCGTGGCTGAACCTTCTACCGTTTACGATCGACAATCAGCGCCAACCAGATGCTATCATGGAAGATTCGATCAACAAACCGTGGCGAACCATGCCTTCCAAACGCATGACGCCGGAACATGCCCAGGTGGTGATGTTCATTTTCTACGCACTCGCATTGGTTACCAGTATCCGGTTTGGCGGACTCGCCCAGTGCATAACGCTCATCGGACTTGGTTTCTGGTACAACGATGCGAGGGGTGCAGATTTTAGTTGCATTATACGCAATCTCATTAACGGACTGGGCTTCATGTGCTACACTTCGGGCGCGGTGCAGCTGGAGCTAGGCCCATCCCAGTGGCAATCTTTCATCCGGCCAGATGGACTGGGTCTGCCATGGCTGGCCATCATTGGCTTGATCGTCTTCACCACCGTCCACACCCAGGATCTCTATGACCAGGCTGGAGACAGTGCTCGTGGCCGGAAGACTCTGCCTCTAGTGATTGGTGACGCTAACGCACGCTGGGTGACAGCTGCATTCATGTTGTTTTGGGGCATCGTTAGCCCATGTTATTGGGGGTGGCTGCAGACTGGCCAGAGCGGGGTCCTGTTCTGGAGCGGGGCCTACATGGCAGCCCTTGCATGCATCATCGCCGGTCGTACTCTGATGCTGCGCTCCGTCCCCGCTGACAAGACCACTTTCTTGCTATGGAATTTGTGGTTGGTCAGTCAATACGCGTTACCGCTGTGCGCTGGTCTCGGACGAGCAGGTGGGGTGTGAAGAAATAACCGCGGCAGTCGACGATGCAGCAGGAGCAACAGCAGCGCCAGCAGCATCAGTGAGGGGGAGGAATGTAAAGAACATTGGAGAAAAAGAAGAAGGATTGGAGAGGGGCCACAAGTCTCTCTGATGGACCAATTGGCATTCTCGATTTAATACGAGAGAAGGCCAGCTTTTTCGGAATTTTGATTTGGAGCGCAAGGTGGGTTCGGCCCTAACCTAGAAGGTTGTCTTTTCGTGGTTGTCTTCTTCAATCTCCTGTTTATTTCCCCTGAATTTTTTGGTCCTGACTCGAGTTTGCTCTTTCTTTGTTCAAGCTCTTTCCCTCTTTGATTCTCTTTGCATGTGCTTGTTTTTGCGATTTCTTTTCTTTGCTTCGAGGCCTCTTCTCTCCTTCCGTGTTTTGTTTTAGTGTTCTGACCTCGGAGCAAGAGTTGAATTGGGTGGAGCTCCGTTGTTTGGTTGTTTGACGGGTGGATTGCCCTGCTATGCCATGCATTATGATATGATGAATTTCTTTTTAGATTGCACAGTCGTTAGCGTCAATTATCATAGACGAACAAATGTTTCTTTTTTCTCAAACAGCGCTAAAAGATCCTAACACGTTTTCTCATATCCGCGTACTTCCGGGGGTGCTTGTTTGAGATAAGTGGTTGTGCAGGCCTGGTGGAAGTCTGTTACGAAAAAGTACTCGATCCTCCGTCTTTAGTAGTACTCTGTCTGTGCGAACGGGACGTTGGCGCGCCTCGGCGGGTCTTAGCGCCATGCCCTAACGCACGGCGTCATGCATGATTCAGTTCCCTACACAGAGCAATCAGGAAATTGCCAATCGTTTCGAGCAATTACGACCCGGGCTAGACTGAGTAAAGCCATCAACGATTGGCGTGGCGCAAAATACGGAGATCACGACTCGAGGGATAGTCAAGGATTCACAGATTCCACCTGCTACTCCCGCGAGGTTAGGGGACTTTATTTGTCTTTGGTGCACAGTCCACTGTAGTATACGTTATATAATGGTAGTACAGGGTTCATATAATAATAGCAATGCGCGGATTGCTCCGCATGTTATTTGCGAGCCCCGGCCACTCCTCAGCCATAGACTGATAGAGCTTGGTCGCATGGCGCTAAAATAGTCTCATTGTGCATCCTGCATACCCCTGCTAGGCTGTGCTAGCCACGAGGGGGAGTGGTTTCCTGGATTCTAGTCAATGATCGTCTGCAGTAGCTACTGCAAAGGGTAATACTTAGCATAGGGTTTGGCGTCGGAGAAAAAAAGAAAATAGTTAGACGGGAAGATCATAACGGCAGATCTTAAAAAGTTGGAAATCACATATTATAATCCATCGATTGCATGTTGCCTCCAAGAATCCTTTACCATGGCCTATCACTGTGGAGATTTGACTTCCCTTTCTTCCTTCACGGCCGCACGGCGTTTCCCCCCACTAAGTGGGCCGCCCCTCATTGCCAACTCACTCGACAACGAACTATAGGTCAATTCTTATGAGACTTGCCTTCTTGCAAGGTTCTAAAGCCCATGTGCTCTTTACTTTCCGGCTTCGGATTTAATGAGGTCCGCCGCTCTTTCAGCCACGGCGTAAACCGTTGACATGATGTTGGCCGCGGGAATCAGGGGGAAGATACTGGCGTCGCACACCCGCAGGTTAGTTGTGCCATACACCCGTAGTCGTTCGTCAACGACTCCCCCACTCTCCGTCGGGAGCATAGCAGCTGTTCCACAAGAATGATAGGTGGTGGTGGCCGTATCACGGATGTATCTCTTAGCGCTGTCCAGATCGGTCAGGAAGGCGTCGGGATGATTACGACGCCCATTGGGTTTAAGAAATCGCGCCAGTGGCTCGGCCATGTGCAATCTTTCCAAGTCCAACAGATTGCGGGAGAAGAGGTCCAAGTCCAATGGATGCGACAAGTAGCGTGGGTCGATCGCGGGCTTGTCGCTTGGATCCGCCGATGAGATGTGGACATGCCCGCGGGAGAACGGCATACTTTGAATCAGACCCAGACTCAGAAAGTTTCCGGGAAGTAGATCTTGCCCCACGAAGCTCTTGCCACTTTCGTGTAAGTTGGCCTGTGCCAGGAACATGACATTTGAACAAGTTGGGGCCTTGGGTTGAGCGAATATCTCGCGAATCGCGTTTTGGCGATTGTCTGGCTGCGCAAGGAACCGATCCATGTACGTGGCCATGCTGTCCTGACTACCTTGGGGTCCGTCAAAGCCACGGACCGGCATATAGGCGCCAGATTGAACCCCGCCGCTTGCCATTGGACCAGTCTGATGCTCTGTGTACAACTGCATGGCGGCTTGCAGCGCGGTCGGCTCCTGGCGCAGCAAAGGATCGCCGGTGTGGACTCCTTCGACGACTTCGAAACTAATTCCAGTCATCAAATGGTCCTGGAGGTTCTCGCCCACATTTGGATTATCCACCACAACCGGGATGTTAAATTGACGGAGGATCGACGCGTTTCCAATCCCGGATAGTTCCAGAAGCTTGGGGGTATTGAGGGCCCCAGCGGAGAGAATCACCTCTCGCTTAGCGATTATTTGATGGAGTTCACCCTGAATCATTGTCTCGACTCCGGTCGCCGTCACATCGTCGGTTTCACTCGTAGGTTTGAACAGAATCTTGTGCACGAGTGCCTCGGTTATGATGTGGACATCGGGTCGCTGCATGGCGGGCAGGCCATAGCCCAATGCGGCATAACTGCGAGTCTTGGTCTCGGCATCCACGGAAGCCATTATGCTGTAGCCTCCAGTAGAATCGCCGGAGAACGGATCAGAGGTGAGTCCGTAGCCGGTGGACTCGAAAGTCTCAACCCAGGCTTTGGATAAGGGGTCTTGAGCCACGGCCGGGAAGGAGACCTTGAGAGGTCCCGAGGATCCATGATTGTCCTTGTCCAACCAACTCAGCCCAATGTGCTCCTGAGTCGTCTCATCTGGCAGTTGGAGTGTGTATGACTTCTTGTAGAAAGGTTGCAGTGCTTCCCATGTCCAGCTGGTCGCTCCCAGCTTGGACCATGCATCGATGCCTGCCTTAGAAGGGGCAATAAAGGCTTGACCGTTGATCCCTGATGATCCGCCAAGGAGCTTTCCTTGCGGTTCCTTGATGCATCGATCTCCCAGTGCAGCCTACAAGAGGTGATCAGCTTTGCTGGGACCATGAAAATGTATGCATCTTTCCTTGATTGAAGCGCAGGACGCAATAACAGAAAAGGGCTTACCTGAGGGCTAGTCTGGTATTGCCAGTCTACTTCCGATCCCATCAACGACGTCCAAAGAGCAGGGATGTTGACTCGAGGATCTTGAGTCATATCTTTGCCAGCTTCCAACACCACAACACTCGTCTTTGGATCTTCGGATAGCCGGGCCGCCAGGACAAGGCCAGCTGTGCCACCTCCGACGATGACATAGTCGGCCTCTGCTGGTACTGAGGGTGAGGCAGACATGGCTTGACTAGAATTATGTCAGGGGGTATAAAGGTAGGCAGATAGAGAAGCATGGAAGAGCAAATGTTCACTTTGTCGAACGATCTGCCCCACTGTGTATGGTGGGGTGATTGCGCAGCGGTTAAACAGCAGAATCGAACGATGGGTCTGCTGGGTCTTCAAATTAAATGCTGAGGTACCATATTGGCTTTCAACAAGAATACCTGCGAAGCCTTTTAGATTTCTCGCAATGACTATCTACTCCCCATAAGGATGGAAATCGCATTGCAATCATTCCATTGCACTACTTCCGTTATTCCTCGGTCACTCCACGCTATTCCCACTACGATTGGCCGGATATACAACTCCCACTCCAAACCGATGCCGATCTGCCCAGCCCGTATCTCGATCGGATCGTGATGGGCGATGCCTGTGCCGAACAAGAATGGCTCCATGTTATCAAGGCCATCGCCAAGGCACCTGTCAATGCAATCACGTTATTCTTGTCTAAGTGATGAATGCACATCATTTTAGTCTTAATGTCACCTCCAATTATGTGTGAGACTCCAGAGTGTGGAATTGGAGTGCTATATGTACGACATGCAACTCAAAATATATTTTGCTCACACCTCGGGCTGTCGCCACCAACCCTGCTTGGTTTATCTTCGCCAGCACAGCCTGCATATTCTTTCCGCACACTGATAGCATAATGCATCGTCGGCATCTCGAATTACCGTCGGGGTAGTTGGAGTAGATAAGGCAAGGGTGAGTGCAAAGCGATCAACCCCGTTGCACACTCATTTTTGAGAGGACCAGTCATGGGGATAGAGGGGTGACATACTTTCCCGACTATACTCCTCCGAGTGGCGTCCTATGATTGCCCTATCGATTGCCCGGGAGGAATTATCATCGTGCATCGACTATCCTGTGGTAGAATGTCAACTATTGATGTCAAACCGTGGGTTGCTCTCTGACCCGTTCGAGAGATCCCTACGATCCATACGGAGTACTCTCAGGCGATCTAAACAAATCCCCTCATTCTGACGGAAATCTTTGAAAAGAAACCCCCACATTAATGGTGAGATGATAGTCTGGGTCGTAAGAAAACAATAATAGCCGATCGCGATCGTGCCCATCTCCCTCGCTTATGACGATATGCCCCTCTATCACCCCTCTTCATCCAGCCTTCGAGGGGGCACAGTGGCACTGAGGCAGGCGGCCAAGCTCCCGGGCGCAGCTTGGGGCTTGGGACAGTTTGACTTAGTTGTTTAGGGCAAGGATCACCCGGGGGAGGCGGGAAATGGCACCACATTATTACAGCGTGATGCGTACGTTTAGTACCCCGGACGACGTTCTTGTCCACTCTTAGTCTCCAACATTTTTTAAAAGCTTAAGACGAAGCCTAGTGGCCAAAGTCCCAAGTACAAGGGACGGAGCAGGACTTTTTTGAGGAATTCCTCTGTAAATCAGTTATGAAACTGCTTCGTCTTCTGCCGTGGAGAGCGGGCAGATCAATTGTTTTGAACTGTCGCGGTCGGCTAAGATTCGCCACAAATCCTCCCCACTTAAAACCTGCCATTGTCCTCATTATTCACAATTCAGGGGCAGTCATACGCTCGCTTCCCCAAAGGAACTGGTTCTTTGGGTCGCTTCGTGCCGAAAGCTGGTTCCACTGTCGTGATCGCTTAGAACAGTGTCGTTTTGATCAGAAGTGAGCTGAAAGTGAGGCGAATGTGAGGTTTCAGAAGGCTGAGAGGGTGTAGCAGGATCTATATTAGCCTCTGTAGGACTTCCACCCCCTAGATCTTGCTGCATCGTCTCAGCCTTCTGAAACCTCACATTCGCCTCACTTTCAGCTCACTTCTGATCAAAACGACACTGTTCTAAGCGATCACGACCCGAGTCACCGACTGGTCGAGAACTATGACATCTTGGAGGGTCTGCTATATACATAGTGCCACCACCTGGGGCCCATAGGGCTTGAATAAGGGGGTCGATGAAGACTGCTAACGGTCTCAAGCGGGAGGATTCAGACAATAATGGCTAGTCCCATAAGTCAGAATGCTCCTGCCACTTCCGTGGGACTTTGTTCAATCCCTGAGGTCCACTGCGTGCAGACTAGGCTTACACGTGTCGGTTGTGAAAAGCACCTGTGCCACCCGCGGAAGATCAAGCAAGGGGGAGTAGCCCAAAAGAGGAAACGCGAGGCGCCAAGGGTGGCAGGCTATAGCGGCGTCTGGCGAATATAACGGTCGAAACTAGGTCGATAGCGCCGTTTAACGTCCATTTTTTGTGTCCTTTGGCTCTTTGAAGGGGACCAGACAGTTGGTGGAGTCGTCTTCCTCCACGCTAACGAGTCGCTGGATAGGATTATTGGCGTGGATTGGCCTTGGGGGTTACCTATTGCGAAGATTAGCGTCTGTAAAGGACCCGGCAAAATGGCCAGAAAAAGCAACCATTTGGCACTTCTGACGGTCGCGGTCCCAAAGGATTCAGTCTCCAGAGGATCCTGTACGACATTGGCGCATCGGATCCTTTGCTTTGTACAATTGACGTGCGGCAAGCAGGGAGACTCATTTCCGTTCCTTTGGAGGAGACGAGCCAAGTACTCATGACTCGAGCAATCGCTCGAGGTCAGACTTCAAAAACCTTCGACCAAGCAACAACCACATATAGATTATCGATGAATGAAGTTTGTCCCAACGGTCTTCTGCTCACCCCCATCTCTCCAAACGCCCGATTCTCCAATAATTGTCTTCAATTGTGGCTCGAGAGGGGCAGAAGGAGGGCGGCACACCCGCGCATTAGCGCCCTCCCGGAAGGTTATAGTGTAGACCCGCATCGCAGCCTGTGTTGCAGCCACTGACTCTTCACTCGACAATCCCCTGTCATTTCTTCTTCAAGCTACTCGACCCAGATCACAGTTGAACAGCCATGCCATGAAACAGTGAAAAAAAAAGCATTGAGGTCGAAGCTCCTTTCTTCCCCTCGAGAGGCTGCCATATCTATCATCTTTCCTCTCCAATTCTTGTCTCCGAATTCTACCCCTAACATCTCCTCTATCTTTTTCCACTCCCGCGAGCTCCGAAAATGACTGTTTCTAAAGGTGTCGAGCCATGGGCCGAGGGCGCAGAAAAATATAGGGGCCAACGCCTCTTACCCCACGTTATTGACTATTACGCCCATCATGAACCCGATCGCGTATTTGCTGCCATTTCTGAGTCTGAGAGCATTGCCAATGGCTTCCGGGATGTTTCTATGAAGACAATGGCTACGGCCGTTGACCACATGGCTTGGTGGCTAGAGCGAACCCTAAGAGGCAGCAAAAAACGACGGACATTGGCCTATGTTGGCGCAGCCGACTTGCGATATGCGATTGTGCTGCTGGCAGCTATCAAATGTGGATGGAGGGTATGTTTAATGTCAAAACAAAATGGGCTTGTTTGCTGTCAATTGCTCAAAACGATCTGTTTTTTGACATTTTTCTTTCTGCTACGTACAGACGATTTTTATCTCGCCGCGCAACCCCGCGATTCTCAACCTCGGCCTGCTCCAGCAGGTCGACGTCAGTGCGCTTCTATACGCAGACGTTCTACGGTCAATGGCCAAAAGCTTGCAGAAATTCGACCCTTCAATGTCCTGCAAGCAAGTGCCTTCAATGGCCGATTTGATCAAGTCGCAAGCTCCACCATACCGCTTTGAAGCCTCATGGCACGATTTGAAAGATGACAAGTGCTTGATTTTACATTCATCCGGATCGACAGGTACAGCGATGATCTCTCCTAAGTTTGCTGCAGGGCTGCATCTAATTAATATCGCAAAATATAGGTCCGCCTAAGCTCGTGTATCTCACCCATTACACCTTTTCTTGCACTGATAACGACCCCAAAGTGCCCGTGCCAGAGGGTCGACGACCGCAAAATGCAGCGCAATTCCACTTTGATCCGCCCGGGCGCTTTTATTCTTGCTTCCCACCATATCATGTAAGATCGCGACTTCACTGTTCTTGGCATCTATGCAACTGACATTGGGATAACATAGATGGCTGGTGTGCAATCATTTACACTTTTGCCGGCTTTCTCACAAACGGCAACTGTTATAATGGGCCCGCCCATGATGCCTCCCAGTGGTTTCTTGGTGGATTCGATCATGAAGCAGCAGGAAGTTCGAGCTCTTTACCTGCCTCCCTCGGTGATTGAGCAATGGGCAATTGAGCCAGCCGCTTACCAACAAGCAGAGAATCTAGATTTTGTGCTATACAGTGGCGGACCCTTGGCGAACAGCGTTGGAAACCGCCTCGACCAGATCACGGATGTCTGCCAGATGTACGGTTCACTCGAGATGGGCCAAATCCAAATGCTCGTGCCCAACCCGGGAGAGTGGGATTACTTAGAACCCAATCCTGCCGAAGAATGTGATTTCCAGGAAGTGGATGAAGGGGAGGGCGTCTACGAGCTGGTGTTGCACCCCGACAAGAAGTTCATCGGCCAGCGCTCCCTTGCGCACACATTCCCTGATGTCACGAACGAGTGGCGGACCAAAGACTTGTTTAAGCCTCACCCGTCGAAACCAGGGCTGTGGCGCTTCCATTCACGCACTGACGATATCATCGTATTGGCGAGCAGCCATAAAGTATGGCCTATCCCCATGGAGAACACTTTGGCTGGCGACCCCCTTATTGGCGGTGCTTTGATGGTCGGCAATGGTCGTCCTGAGGTGCTCCTTTTGGTTGAACCACGGCCCGGACCGCAGGTGGACCGAATGAGCAAAAAAGAATTCATTGACGCTATCTGGCCTACCATCTCGCAGGCGAACGCGAATGCACCCGAATACGGCAAGATCCGCCGGTCGCGAATTGTTCTCAGCCAGCCAAACCTGGGATTCTTCCGAGCTCCCAAGGGAACTATTTCGCGGAAGCCCACTGAGTCGCTGTACGCTGAGTACATTGCGGCCGCCTTTATTGACGGCACTACGGATGAGCAGAGCGAGATTGGCATCCTGGAGAATCACTGGCTTGACGAGGCCAAGAGGTTCATTGGCTCCGTTGTGCACGATATTCGACCGGATATCACTCTGAGAGAAAGTGACGATTTCTTTGTCGCCAAGGCTATGGACTCGCTCACAGTGCTGGAACTCGGCCAGAAGCTGAGGTTGGGTCTTATCCGACGCATGAATCCGGAAAAAAACACAATCAACTTCTGGCTTCGTACGGTGTTTGAAAATCCCTCCATCGAAGCTCTGGCCAAGGCTACGCTTGATGCTGTTTTTGGTCAAGTAGACTCTGACGAATACAACTCTCGGGGTTTCAACCTGGAGCACGTATTGGAGGAGTGTGTAGCTCAGTTACCCGAGCCCAGTGGGTTAGAGCCAGAACTTGAGCTTCCCACTGAGGATATCAAGGTTGTGCTGCTCGGCTCTCGAGGCCGTCTGGGTCCGTATATTGTCAGAGATCTGCTGAATGACCCCCGTGTGGCTGGCATCAAATGTCTTGACCGAGGTGGCAGTGGCCAAGCAGAATTCCAGCGCCGTGCCGATGAGCTCGGCATAGACGTGGATGCTAGCAACGCGCGATTACAGTTCATTTCCATGGAGCTCTCCCATCCCAACTTGGGCCTCTCCCAAAATCAGATGGACGAAATCCTGCACCACGCCGATGTGATTATTCACAATGTCTGGGCTGTCAACTTCGCGCTCTCGCTGTCTTCTTTCAAACCCGAGATGCTGAAGAGTCTCAACACAGTCATCGAGATCGCAAACAAGGCCCCGTCTCGACCTCGTATCGTGTTTGCATCCAGCACGGGCACTGTATCGGCATGGGCCAAGGCCGTGGCGCCGAATGTGCCCGTCCCCGAGGAGGTCATCAAGTGCGCTAGTGCCGCAACTTTGACTGGTTACGCCCAATCCAAGCACGTCGCAGAGCGACTACTAGCCGCCGCCGGTGCCAAGCTCAAAATTCCCATTTCCATCCTACGCATTGGCCAAATCGCCGGCCCAACCACCATTGGCGATGGCGGCAAATGGGAAAGTCACGACTGGATGCACTCGCTCGCCATCCTCTCCAAGGCCTGCGGCTTGGTACCCTCCGATGTGGCGGAAATTGACTGGGTCCCCGTCGACCAAGTCTCACGCATAGTGTCCGACATCACGCTACAGGAGAAACACGAAGGCGAGACCGGAACGCCCTTCGTCCAATTATATAACGTCCTGCACCCGCGACCAATTCAATTCTCCGTGTTCGCGGATGCTCTGCAATCGTGTATCTCTTCCTCGCGGCAGGTGGGATTCCACGCCTGGGTCGATCATCTTTCGGGTCTGACCCCGGATAAGCTTTCCAAGGAAGCAGAGACTGAGAAGACGCGCATTTTGCCCTTCTTCCAGGCGATTGCGGAAGAGCAATACCCCAAGTTTAGTCTTGAGAAGGCCAAGAAAGCCAGTGCTGTGATGGCAGAGATGAAGCCTATTGATCAGGAGCTGTTGACGAAATGGTGCCAACAGTGGACGAAGACTTAGGTTTACTGGCATGGTGTGGATGTTGAGGTGATGATCTACTGAATGACTTGATCATGGGCGATGGCCCTGACAGAGGCTTTAACGATTTATGAATAGCATTATGTTTGAGCACTTGATTAGCGAAATACAAATCTAATCATGATCCTTTGAATTTAACGTGCATAAAAATACTTTTTCTTACGAAGTGAAAACTGTAAAATGAGGGCATGATTGAGAAATTATGGAGCTACTCTTCCGGTAGAAGATCCTTGTGACTCGGGGTCATCAAAGCATTAGGACATCAGAAGCAACCCTTTGAATATCCTCAGTTCCATGGTCTCCAGAAGAGGCCAGATGGATCCCAAACATTGGCCAGTCTCTTCAACTCTGTGACCCTATATTCAGAAAAGACTTCTCCTAGTTCCATGTCCAGGTTAATATTGTTCAAGATAGTCCGCGGGATGTCTGTGGCGTCATTCTGCCTATACAGAGCTTTGATACTGGCGGCAAAGTCTGCTGCAGCTGGCCGAGTCTCTTGCTTGGTAAACCAACTGATTACCACTGCCTGAATTCCTCTGTCACGAGCATCGAAGTATCGGTCTCGTCCTTCCGATGTGCCCTGGATCTCAAGCTGTTTTTGAGTGTTGACGCCATTCAGAATCATTGCCGTGCGCTTCGCATCCTCGTATTGAGTGGTGAAATCAAGCCATTTGCCGAACGCAGCTTTGATAGTTTCGGCTTGAGTCTCCTTGATCCACGCAGCCTGAATGTTTTTGAATCCGCCATGTACATCATTCTGACTGTTTCCATCATTTATCTTGGACAATGGCGTCAAGACGGCCTGTACCATGATAGCTTTGGCGACAGTCTCATCCTCGAACAAGGTTGAAGTGCGTGCCTCCGCCTCCTCTGGCGGTCCAAAGTATGTCACCGTGAGAATGACCATTGGTGCACCAGGTTTGGGGGCAGTCGGTGGTGCCCTTGCGAAAACTAGTAACGTAACCATTGGCGGGGGAGGAGGTTGCAGTTGATCAAACAACTTCGCGGCAAATTCGATCTCTGAAGCTGGGAAGATGAGTCTGCGGACCCAGACTTGATTCTCCGATAATCGAAGGTTCTCCAGGGGAAAGATTCTCATCGTCAAGGAAGTGATCACACCAAGTCCATGGCCTGCTCCACACAAAGCGTGGAAGAGCGCAAGATCGTCGCCAGTCGATGAGGGCGAAACATCCACGATCCTCTTGTCTGAAGTGACAAGACGGATAGAAAGGACATGGTCAATCATCAATCCATGTAGTCCAAGCAAGGTTGGCTATATCACCTTGAATCAGAACCACAATTCATGCCGCGCGATCAATAGTAGATGGGCAACTTACATTGCCTCCACCCAGAATACATCCAACAACGCCAACCGCATTGCTGTTAGGCCAGGTAGTATAGAACCCACGCTCAGTGCATGTCTTGATCAGATCGCTCGTCACAGCTCCACCTCCCACAGCGACTGTTTGATTATCGCTGTCTACCTCAACCTTGTTGAATCTCTTCAAGTCAAGATAGAGGGTCTTCGAAGTGATTGGGGCTAAGAATCCATGTCCTCCACCAACAGGCAATAACTGAAGAGCATGCTCTTTGGCATATTCTATAGCTTTGATGATGTCTTCCTCGGTGTTTGGAATAATAGTGAGTGCAGGGCGTTCAATGATTCCAGTTGAAGACCATCTGGAAACCGACTCAAGAACCGGCTTGGAAAAGTCCTGGGCGATAATATCGCCTTCCAACTGCGGGAGATCGTTTATGTTCATTGCTACTATGAGTATGGATGCAGAGTGGGAAGGCTGAGGTGAGAAGGAAGGCTACGGCTGAATTTAAAGAGATGTCAGCATTTACAGGTGGGTACTCATAAGCTCAACAGCACCAATGAGCCTACGTATCGAGGGCTTACGGGACTGTAAAGAAGCTGCGTCAATGCTTCTAGGTATACAAATACCGTTATGGGAATGCTGAACATGCGGCATTATTTGAAGGGTGGATTTCTATTTTCGTTGCGTATTCCGTCCCGGGGCGCCTGAGATTTGCCTATGGAGAAGGTGGGACGCTAGGGTTGACTACTGAGGATCCCCAGGGGCCCAGACCACACTAACATTAGCTTCCCTAAATACATGGTTGCCTTGGCATTTTCTTTTCACCTCCGGAGATTAGGTGCAGAAGAGTAGTTGATGTGATATGCAAACAGATACATTCCAGTGAATCGTGATCTATTCGCGATCTATTCGCGATCTATTTTCAAATTTTGTAACATATGCTCCATGATTTTGTTCAATACTTATTTATGGAAATCTCCTTCCAGCATCCTAGATCTTCCGCTTCAGCAATCCACGGAAGAAATCAAAGCTGTTACTATCACTCTGCAACTGCCAGACCCGGCCAGTCGGACGATCATTCCAACCAAGTTCCTCCGCCAGGAGGAGGCCATAGTCACGGGTGATTCCTTGGATTCGAGCACGAGCACCACCTTCCTCCTCCAGCGTGACAATCTGGTGCATGTGCAACCAATCTTCGTAATACATCGCTTCAAAGCCGCGGTCAAAACCTGTCCGAAGGAACCGCGTGTACAGATCTTCAAAAGTGGTGAGAATCCGTGCGAGGAGCTTCTCGAGTGTGATGGGAGAAGCGGCCGCGGCGCCGGGGGAAGCGTAACGTGCGGCAAGGGCAGTGAGGGCGGTAGTGGGTGAGGCGTTTGTGGCGTTGATGCCAATTCCGACAACGGAGATGTATTCGTTTGACATGAAGTGGGAGTTGATGAGGATACCACAGATCTTTGTGTATTTCTTCTGCTCGGGGTCTTCCGGGTCAAGAGCATCTAGAAAGATGGGTCAGTATGGAACGCACGCTTTATCGCACAAAGGTCTTCAACATACAAATATCATTCGGCCACTTCAGCTTGACCGGAAGATTCTCGTACCCCTTGGCGTAGCTCTTGATTCCTTTGACCACAGCCATAGCAGACAGATACTGAATGAAAATCACGGGCGCAGACTGGATCTTTTCAATTGGGTGTCGTACAACCGTTGAGAATATCAATGATCCGGCTGGAGAGATCCACACGTTAGAGCCCCGTCCACGTCCAGCGACCTGGACTGTTGCCGTGGCAGTGAACCCATGAGGTAGCCGGCGAAGCAGTTGGGTGTTCCTGTGTAAAATCAGAATCAAGTTAAATTAAGAAACCGTTTACAACTCACTTCTCCATGATTGTGTTGGTACTCGTAATGACCTCGCCGTACATCAGGGTCGATCCAAACTTCGAAGCGCCCTCCCGTGATTCAGACTGATACTGGCGGAGATTGGCGTAGAATGCGTGGTGGTTGAAATAGGGCGTCAACTTGGAGGCAGGCACATCATCATGAATCACAAGTCGCTTGATAATTTCCTTATAATCAATAATGCCCTCGTTAGTTTTCGAGGAACCATCAGGAAGAGCGTTCTCCAGGTCATTTAAATTCCAGGTCCCCGGTCGCTCAATTCGGAATGTATCGTTCTCATCCTTTAAGTATTCTTTCTCGTTCTCGGTGGTTAAAGCTTGGGCAAGCAAGGAGAGAATCTCCAATGGTCCCTCGGCATCAAGACCGGAGACATGCAAAGAAGATAGCGATGGTACAGTGGTAGAATCTTGCGCGATCTGAAGTCCCAGTTTGGACAGACATGCCTTCAAGAAATCTGTACGCTCCTTGTCATCAGCGGCCAGCGCGTCAACGAGCTCTTTATACTCAGGGCCGTTTGCCTTGGGATCGAGGTTTACAGCCGCGAATCTGCACAATATTAGTGACTGGCTGTTCCATCGCATCGATATCACATACTCTGGATGCGGTCCCGTCAAGATGGCCGCACCGTCTCCAACTTTGCAGTAGACAACGGCGGCAGCGCCCTCGCCGGGGTCTACATTGAGCTTCTCGGAGTAGCTAGCCAACACCTCCACACCCTTGTCCTTCAACAATGGAGCATCTACAAAGACACCGCCACCATTGTAGTAAGAGCGGAAATGTGTAGGTATGGTACCAATGCTCAAAGCCTCCTTGGAAACATCCAGTCCGACTGCCCTTGCCCCAGCCTCGCTATGATAGACGAAACCAGGGAATGCACCACCCCGACAAGTTCCTGGGAAGAATCCCAACTCGCGGTCGCCAATGACCTCCATAGTCTTATCGCCAACCTCGAACTCGCATCTCCTGCACCCGTAGTAGCCGCCCGCACACAGACCGAGGTACTTCCCCCACGGCGCACAAATTGAGTAATGCGCCGATTCCCCTCGCCATTGAGTGTGCGTCCATAGCCCAGATCCGCTCCACCAGGTATCACCAGCAGGGCACAGGTTGCCGTCCACGGCTCCTTCAGGAGCATGTCGCCCGTGACGGGGGTGACTGCATAGTTGGGTGCTAGCAGGCGGCGCAAGGTGTAGAGGCAGTGTCGGACGGAGTCGACGGTCGTTCCGGTTCCTGTCGGGCCATTGTCGGTCAGAAAACGGCTGAGTTGCCAGGCAGAGTGAGTGAGCGAACCGGAATAGACCAGGACATTGAGTCTTTTGCCCGTCAGGTTGGCATTATTACCAGTGGGCGTCGCCATTGTTGATTGTCGGAGAGGGAAATGATGGGAAGCTGGGGATGGCCGATAAGATAAATCCAGTTCTCCATCCCGCCGAGGCCAACCGATCATCTCTCCGATCTCCGAGTCTCTGATTCGATTCTCAATCTACATACGATTCGAGACCATGTCGAACAACGCGGAACAGCCAAAGGTAGTCCCTGAAGATGATGACGAGCCTGATGATTGGTATTTAGATCTGTTATACAGCATATGGGGTGATCGGGAGAGCTAAAACTGTCGCAGGAACAAGCGCATCTTCAGCACAGGCTGCCATAGTGAGCAACTCCAGCTTTCTTCCTCAAGCATTAAACGCTGACATATAAAAGCCGAGCAAGACAAGATGAATGATTGCTATTACGTAAAGAAAGATTGGCGTGCATGCAGCAAAGAAGTGAGTTCAATCTGGCATCATGTGCCATCCAGTCCTCGAATACAACTTCAACAATGCCCCAATTCGTTCAATTCACGTCCTTTTATCTTGTCCCGCTGCTTGAATTGAAACCGTATGTTTCTATCCTTGAAATGGCCTTTCCCTAACAACCATACCAGATGGAGGCCTTTCGCGAATGCTGGAAGCGCAAGGGCAACGACGAGCGGACACAAACCAAAGATGCATGAAGCATCCTCAGCATAACTGAAGACCATCCTGTACTATATATCCTCATCTCAATTGAAACGCGATCGCCCCTCACGACTTCTCTGCCAACGCTTTCCCTCGTAGACTCGATCTTGTCATCCCAGTCTATATCACGTGACTTGTCATATCGCTGTGACTTCACAGCTTGCAGCTCTCCAGCTCCCTCCTTTCTACCATCCGCATCATGTCAGCCCTACGATACCGCCCCTGGCGGGCATTGAAGACTCTCCAGAATGCAAATGCTTTGTCCCAAGCTTCGCGTACCAGAATCAGCCCCTCCCAGCCCTCCCACCTCATAACCAAGCGCGCCATCACCTACAGCTCAACGCGGTCCCAAACCCCAACCAACAACAACAGCGCAACCAGCCAGACACCGCGATCAACCTCCTCAACAACCTCCTCTCCTTCATCCTCTTTGACTCAAGCATCCCGCGTCGCAGCACCAACCCCCAACCGCACAACGACAGATAACATCTCCAAGAGCGGACTCGCCGATAAACCATTGGAGCTCGAGGCTGCGCCAGAGGAAAAAATCGACTGGACACGATCTTTCCACGGACTTTCCGCAGAGCCATTCCCCAAGGAAGCGGCTGATATTTTGTTGGCTGAGACTGCCCCCGAGGAAGTAGAGATTAAGCCCGATGGAATCGTCTACCTCCCCGAGATCAAGTACCGTCGTATTCTTAACAAGGCGTTTGGACCGGGTGGATGGGGTCTTGTCCCGCGGAGTGAGAGTATTGTTACGCCGAAGACGGTGACGAGGGAGTATGCGCTTGTTTGCAATGGCCGGTAAGAAAGAACATCCATATTGAGGGTCTAAGCCTGTTTCTCATTGGGTATCCCAAGCTAATAATTCTGTTTCTTCAGACTTGTCTCCGTCGCCCGTGGTGAGCAGGATTACTTCTCCCCCGATGGTATTCCCACGGCTACGGAGGGATGTCGATCCAATGCGCTGGTGCGATGCTGCAAGGACCTCGGTATTGCGAGTGAACTCTGGGATCCGCGCTGGATCCGGAAGTACAAGGCGAAATACGCACGTGAAGTCTTTGTGGAGCACATTGTCAGCAAGAAGAAGTCGAAGATCTGGACTCGCAAGGATGACCCCGTTGGGTATCCTTGGAAGGAGAGTGGAAGGTAGATAGGAGTGGGAGGTAGATAGTGGATGGATATCGATAGAGCGATGTTGTGCGGCTTTATTGTGGTGAGATAGCCCTAAGGATCGAAGGCTATTCGGGCTTCTTTGTATCATATTGTCATCTCTTGCTTATTACCCTACTACCGTATCAGGAAGGTGTTGGATGGACTGCATCTCTACTTTTGAATCTTGTTGGGCGGTCATTCAACACGATTTGCGCTGAGTAACGGAAGGGTTTCATCTGAATAAGACTTTGTTCTCATCCGTAGCAAGATATCTCGAAGATTCTATGTTCTTCAGGGCCAGCCGAGTGGTATATCTGTTCCATGCAGCAAGATATATAACGGTGATCTACGCAGACGTGGAGTTACTACCTATAGAAAATGTGGACATTGGAAGTCAATTCCTCACGCTCACTCATTAACATTAAGATAAATACCATGAATTATAGCCATACATTCTCATCTCCACCCATCAACCCCCATCACTGAAACAAAATAGCAGCCCCCAGCCCCATCGCCGCCATAACAACCCCAACGACACCCACAATCCCATTCGACCCTTCCTCATGCCGAACACCTCCCAACCTCACAGCCGCATTCGACGTCGCCTTTGACCCCGTCGCCTTCGCTGCCGAAGTAGCAGATACCAGATCCGACTCCTTATGCACCAGAGTAAGCATAGCCACGTACACCATACCCGTAAACTGGCTAGCGTCACTACTAGGGAAGGTGAACGATCTGGTCTCGTTTTTGTAGGTTGTCGATGTGGGTCCTTCACTGACGGACGTGATTATTTTTGTACCCGATGTGTATGTGATGGTATTTTCAGTGTTTTCGTAGAAGAGGCCGACGTCGCTCCAGCAGGCTGCGGTGGGTGTGTAGCTTGGTTCGATGGAGTAGCAGCCGCCGCCTTCGATGTCTGCTGTGAAAGAGCTGGTAAGGGTTGTTAGCATAACTATGACCTTAAGGGATACCCGGGCCTGATATGTATAGTTCTAGTAGGGAGTGAGATGTGATCATACCTTGGACAACAAACAGCCATCGTCTGCTTCGGCTCAAGAACACCCTTCAACATCGAACCAGCATTATCTCCCGTCGGCTCCGTAAAAAACCCAGTCTCAGTACCCGAGCGACTAAACGTCTCAACAACAGTCGTCGTACTCAAAGCCCCCGACGAAGAAAGCGAACTACCAGCATCGCGCGCCGCAACACCAACAGTCTCCCAGCCCTTAGGACAGTACAAACCCGGCGAGTAATAGCCCCCGATACCCTCCCAGTACCTGCCGTTAGGCGGAGTCGGGAAGGGAGATTGCGTGGTAGTGGGCGCGGGCCAGCAATTGTCATCCGTGCCGATATTATTGGTGCATTGGACGGCGTAATTGATGATGACTTGGCCGTTGTTGAAGTTTCCGAGCCTTCTCGCGTCGGGGCCGGTGCAGCTTGGGACTGGGGTGAATGTTGTGGTGAGGGGGCCGTAGTTGGTGAATGTCCATAAGCCGTCGGAGACGGAGATGGGGGAGTTCATGATTGTTGGATACTCGTTTGTTTTGGAAGGTAAAGGCGTGAGAAGATTTAGTATTGATGAATGGATCATATCAATCTCAGGGGCCCACGAGCTTCATTATATAACTACAGTAGTGAGCTAATTAGTTAGTTAACTAGTTAGATGCAATCAATCTAATCTGACTCGACATGAACAAACCCCGGTGCATCATCCAGCCAATCATCACAAAAATGAGGCTGAAAGAGCAATCTCCGCTACCCTCGGTTCCTCGCTAAGCACTGAAGCAGGCTTGGCTTGGACCCAAAAGTAGACCAAATCAGTTGGGCCGATGGGCTCTAGTGCCTATTTCGGTTAGTGATGTCTTTCAGAGTCACATAGTGAACGGAGAAACCCTGGACTGGGATCATTAGCCCATTACAGGACTGTAGAGCCCATGGCTTAGTTCTTTGATGGTGTTTTTAGGACGGTGCTCGGGCTGTGGCTAGCGACTTAGCGCGCCCAGAGGTGGATGGGCTCCGGTCACTATTGGATTTGATGAGGTTGCGTTGCATAAGAGCAAGGCGTCCAAGGGTGACGGTCTCAGGGTTTCGTCGAGTCACCCTTAGTCCTGGTCATTCTTAGTCTTGAAAATTCGGTGTCCGATTAGCTGATCCTTGTCGATTTCCACGTCCGGGCTGCTTCGAGGGAGAAAAACCTTGTCTATCTGCACACTTCACAGCGGCAGCTACTGTTAGACCAGTGGTCGTATGGATGCAAATATGCTTAGCTTGTGACTCAAAGTCTACATATCACCTACCAGCTACATTAAACGCAGAATAAATCCTCTGAAATATCATCCAAATCATCCATTAAGGCTGACTTGTAAAATAAAATAAAAAAGTGTAACTCAGATCAACCGATCAACCAGCCAAACAAGGCCTGTATCATACAACACAAAAAAAACCAAAGAAAATTTTGATAAACCCGGTAGGGAAATGAGAAGAAAAAAACCAAAATGAAAGTAAGACCCCATCTAGATATCAACACCCAACAATGAAAAAGAGATTTTATCAAAGAGAGAAATCGAAAGGAAAAAAGGACAATGCCGCATGCTAACATCAAATCTCACCTCCGCAATCAAGCTTCATGCTCACCACCATACGGATTCTTCCTACCAGTCCTAAACGCCGGCGCAGGCGCCTGCGGCTGCGGGGGCGAGTAGATAGATGGCGGGGAGACGGGGTCGTACCGATCCGGGACATCATACTGACTTGACGAAGCAGTCGCGCGATCAGGCGTGATTCCGTTCAGGGGCACGGAATCATAGGCGCCCTCGTGGCCGTAGTAGGACTGGGCGAAGGAGCCGATTTGGTGGGCACCCGGTTGGGGTTGGGAGGTGGGTGCGTGCGTGGTGGGTGGCTCGTAACGTGTGCTACCGCGGGAGCCTGGGGGAGCAGGGGTGTTGAGGATTGGCACGCCGCTGTGTGAGGGGGTCATGCCTGCTGCGACGGGGGAGAGGGGCGGGTGCATTGTGTCTTCGTCGTGGTAGGAGGCTCGTAGGCCGGCTTTGCGGTGGCCGGTTGAGAGGCCGCGTGAGACACCGGTGTTGCCGTCGTAGACGCTTAGCTGTTTGCCTTGGTTGGAGGTGTTGGTTGTGGTGCGGTAGAGATCGTCATTGGTATCGCGGCCGGGGTCGACGGCTGGGACGACGGGGGGCGGGCGTTCAGACGGTCTGCGATGGCGGCTTCGCGCTGGGTGGCGGCCATGGAGCCGCGGTGGGTGACGGAGCCGGAGGAACGGTTCTGCTCGAAGCCGGTGGTTTGCGCCTCGTAGTTCATCATACCGCTAGCAGCAGCGGCGGCAGCTGGGGTGAGACCGCCAGCTTTGCCATCTGCACCAGCACCAGCGCCGGCGTGAGCTGGCTTGTTGTCACCAGCACCAGGAGCACCATCAGCACCGTCCTTGTCATCACCGTCATCCTTGGACTCTTCCTCGGGAGCTGCGGCACCAGGAGCCCGGATAGGGACCTTGCGCATAGCCAGGACAAGAGCACACATGAACTTGGAGCGACGGGCAGCACGGACAGTCTCATTGGACCAATTAGACTTGTGACGAATATCAACATGGAGCTCGAGCTTGTCCATGTCACCCACGCCGACAACCTCGATATCAAGGTCAGGCTGGAAATCACGGCTGTTGGCCGGATCACGGACGAAGGTCTCCATCTCCTCACGCAGGGCCTGGATCTCAGCGAAGCTGGTATCAAAGCTCACAGATACAGTAAGTTGCTCATGCATGGCATTGGCACGGGTAAAGTTATCAATCCACAAACTGTTCAGAATGTTGTTGGGCACCTGGGTCATGCGGTGATCACCAACAGCGCGGAAGACACTGAACAGTAGGGAAATACGCTCGACGATGTAAGACTTATCACTGATATCGACACGGTCACCGATATCGAAGGGGTGCTTGACGAATAGGAAAATGCAAGAACCCAGGACTTCCTGGGCGGTAGTCGAGAAGACGAAACTCAGCGAGAGCAGGGAAGTAGCGCCGGCAGCGATGACGGTGCCGAAACCAGTAGTAACGAATGAAACAAATACCAAGACACCGACCACGAAGGCGACAGAGAGCAGCAGGTTATCCAGAACGTGGATGGCCTGGTCGACATCGTGCATGCTGTGGTTCAGCGACTTGCGCATACGACCGAACTCGCTAATCGTGAGGATCATCTCATCCAGACTGACGTCGCCATTGCCATCCTTGTCCAAAGCAGCAAAGCACTCTTCAGCTTCGGCCTCATGGTCAGGACCCAGAACTTCCACAATATCCTCTAGGAAGAGCGCATCACGGCCCTCGACCACAAACGACATCCAGATACGGCGAGCCAGCGCCGCGGCACATCGCTTGCGCTCGAGTGCTTCAACAACAATTGAGTGAGTGGCTTGCGGGTTAAACACTTGCTTTCCAGTAAGCTCCGAGGCAACATTACCAAAGGCCGCAGTCACCTTGTCACCAATCCGGCCGACATTGTGACCGACCTGGCGACCAACCTGCTGCATCATACGCAGGGGCATGATAGAGCTGCGCTTGCTAACCTTGCCATTAGACTGGGCCAGGAGCGAGTCGAAGATTATGGCGTCCTCGTCCTTGAACTCGGGGCAGTACATGGGGAACATGTTGCGGGAGGCCTCGAAGAGGAGACCAACCAGGAAGACATTGTGCTTGGACTGCTTGATCTTGGCATCGAATTGCTTGCGGTGGTAACTGATGGAGATGAGCTGAACGAGAGCTTTTTCACCGAGGAAAATGAGACTGCAGACGAGCAGGGCGAAGAGAATGTTCTTGACGCTCTTCTCCCAGGACTTGACACTGGTGTCCTCGCTGTCTTGCTTGCTGGGATTCAGAGTCATGATCTATGCAATAGATGGTTAGTTTCAGTAGTTCATCCCATGACAATGGATGCAGACATACCGGCAGGAAAGTAACCAAGGAGACAACCGACCACAACACAATCGTAATCGGAGTCTCCAAAGCCCGCAGGATAAGCGCATACTTGCGTGTACCCGAGCTAACAATACCACACAAGAACTGAAACACGTAGGGAATAAACTTGGCAAAGATCTTGCACACCCACAAGCTCACCCAAACGACCTCAATCCAAGTAAAAAACCAATAGATATGCACACCACCAATCTTCGCATCCGGCGCCACTGTCGCGCCGACAATAATCGGAATTGCAAATAACACGCCAATAGGAACGACGTAAATCATGTAACGAGTGACAATAGAAAAGTTGTAGATAGCCTGGTAGATACGGCCCATGCGATTGATTGAACCATCCTCCGGCGACTCAGAAGGTTTCCCCGTGGCCTCAGTGATATCTGTATCATGATGATGGCGACGACGACGGCCGGGGCCCTTCAAACCATCCTTCTCGTCACTCTCGAGACCATTGATAGGCACCGTTGAGCCAGCGTGCGAGCCCCATTTCCGGGCCCCGTTCTGACCGCGACTGGTCGTTTCGGTGAGAGGGATATCAATCGTCACGTCGTTCGGATTCGACATGGCGTCTTGTGGGAGGTCAGGAATTTGTTGAAACCGATGTGTCGACAATCGCTTCGGTGCGATCCCCAAGGCACCCTTCATCGCAAGAGAGAAAGAAAGCAAGCGGGGAACCGAGGGTAGGAAAGCCTTTTATGGGATGGAGCTGTAGATCGATGCTCAAGCTGGTTGGCCCGATTGAGTGTGAGTGGAGGAGGACTTGGTGGAGAAAACGCTGGGCTGGGCGAAGGAGAAAAAAACTCGGCCGTTTGGGGCGGTTTGGTAGTTGGAGATTGGCGGTTCGTTTCGTGTTTCTGAGACCAGACCAGACCCAGACCCGACTACACTACACTACACTACAGTAGTATAGTGCTGGATCGGTACTTGTTTCTGTGAGATCACCTTTTTTGCTCGCCTCCAGGGCCAGCAATTGAGAACCAGAATTGAGCTGAGACGGTCTTACGTAGCTGCTGGGCCTTTCGCTAAGATGTGGGTGCCGACCAGTGGTTGTGTCCAGGGTGGGTGGACGATGATCCTCCACTTTGTGTGTGCGCGAGCGCAAGATGTCGTAGGCTCGACGCGGTGGAGAATTGAGATCGGCGATGGCCGAGGCGAGGTAAGGGAAATTGAAATGAAAAAGAGTGTGATTAGACAGGTAACGGTTGGAGAAAAAATACCCAATTGTAAACCCTCCAACGAGTCGAGGGATCCGAGAAAATGGTTCGGGGATTTTTTTTTTTTAAGATTTGCTCCGGGATCAAAAAACGAAGTGTGGAGAGAAGAGAGAAAGAGAGACAGGGACCGAGAGCCTAGAGGAGTCCCTTTCAGCCCTTTGGGGCCCTGGTGCGCGCCATTTCAAGCCACCCAGTTTCACCAGCGTTACCAAATACCAACTGTGCACCAGTGTTTCCTCTTAAAAATGTGAGACGCGCTCATTCCTGTTGGGGCCTGGGCCACTAGCACACTGTAGTCCACTAGTCCATTACTGCCATGACAGCCGCATTCTTAATGAACTAACTCATCGTGATGAACTGGTGATTGTATTCTCCTTAGTCTAGACTCCATACTCCAGTAGTTCATCACCACTGCTAACTCACTCATTACATCTTCTATATATCATCTCCTATTCTATTTTTACTCTTCTCTTCTCTCCCTGTTCCTGATCCTGAATCCTTCCACTAATTCGTCCCAAATTTGCCTCCCCGTTTGGTAATCCCGTCGTGGCACCCATGGAAATGCAGGTCCACCCGTCTCCACCGGGTGTCCCAAAGTGATCATCCAATTATATCTTTAGATCTACAGCGGGGCCTGTGATTCCAGGGGCCCAATGCCAGGGGGAGTGGACAAATGAACAACTCAGATCCATGATGAGCATATCTTACAACAAGACAGACAAGAGATGGACTCGATAGGTCTAGACAGACATTGGGTTTATCTAAAACTATTACACCATAATGGCCAGAATATTCAGGCATAAATCTGGCAGAACTCAGCTTATTCAGCATGTGCCGACCTGCCCAGCCTCTATTCACTGCCGCAGGCAGTGGCCAAGTGTACACACGCACGACCATTTCAGTGTATGGGTTCTACCTCCAAGCGCTACTACGCCCATTCGTGCTCTGCTGGAATTTGAATCTAGTCGCGGCTTGTATACCAAGTAATTCCAGCCATTCAAAAGCCGCTACCGGACCGGCCATACTCATTGCATTGACTATATCGTCCGGCGTACCCGGCTAGATTGTAGTCTGAATCTACAAGATCATTTGAAAGGCACGGGGATATCCCAGGCATGGGCCACTGGAAAAGCGTAGCTCTGGTATTCTTTGTCCCTTCTGGCTGGGTCTTGATACGGATTTATTATGGGCTTTTGAACGGACTCGGCGCAACGATCAAGCCCTGTTCAATTAGAAGTCTGATTGTTTCACACTGATCGATACATATGTCGAGGGGTGCTATCGTAAGGACTTCAATCACATGGATGTTCATGGATGTCTGTTATCGATATTTTAGGTGGGCCTTCGCATCTCTATCTCTCTTCTAAGGTTGTTGATGGGAAGCAGTATTACCACTTCTCTATGCTTAGTAGTGGCGAACCCGAATGCGATTCAAGGATCCTATGCAATCGATGGGATGATATGTTAAGATAGGTTGTGGCGGCCTGTTAGTCGCGTTTTCTTGGTATCAGGCGTTGTCAGACTGCCTTCATTTACAATCTCTGGATGGAATCTCATGAAGGGCTATTCCCCTTTCTTCCTTTGCTCGTCAACATTCTCAGGCCAACACTCTCTTCCCTATTCAGCTGCAAATTAACATCCTTCTTCCAAAACACTTCTTTCAATACTTCAGGCCACAGCTCTCACACCAACACTCTCTCACCACAGCTCTCCCGGGGTGTTCTTGGCATGCCTGTTGAAGTCCTTCGGGACTACCATCAGTCATTTCAATCTGACTGGTCTCTTTGCTCCCAGTGACGTGACTTTATCAGAAACAAGCAGTATTTATAACTTTAGGTACATAGCAGAATGTCACAGGAAGAGACTGATAAAATTCCGAAATAACATGGGGGCATACGAGAGTGTTAGGAAACTCGTTGTTCTTTCCATCCGATGCAATAGTTGATGAGCAGCATCGTATCCCTAAGAACTCTGGGCGCACCCCCTGCGGCCTTAATTTATGCCTGATTTACTTCACTTTTGCTTAAGCCCGTCAGGACGGTCGTGCCTTCCAGCGCACCCAGACGCTCCCCACACGCGGAAGCGGATGGGTTGCAGCGTAGCGAAGGGCACGGTTAGTGTTGTGCGAATATCAAGATCCGATGAAACACCATATCCATTCCTCCAGCCCTATGTACATTACACCTCAACTGAACTACAGTACGAGTCCATCTATTTCCTCATCACGCCCTCGACTCCATCCTCATCCTCTCCAACGCCTCAACAACCTCCACCCCAGTCCATCCCCCCTCCAACCCCCTCACCAAAACATCCTGCTCACACTCCGGCGCCATCCTCCCCGGCGCAGGCGGTCTCCGATCCAAATTTGTCGGAAACGGATATCCCTCCCCCAGCGCCTGCACCAAAGCCCTCACCTCCCTCGCCTCACGGCCCCAAATACAGGGATCCAACCCCGAATCCGCAATCTTCTTGCCCGCCGCCTTATACTTATCAACCAGGAAATCCCAACAAGACGCCACGAGCGGAATCGCATCCACCGACTCCATAGGCTTCCCAAACGCAGAACTAATCTGCAACAAGTTCGCGACGCGTCGGAATCCGCCCGCGGAGGCGTCCATTATATTCGCGCCCGCAGCATGGAAAAGCGCCGGATTGAAAAATACCCCGTCGCCCAGTGAGAGCGGTAACGCGATATAGTTCTCTTGAAAGAAAGCCCGGAACTCAGGTCTTCGCCAGGCCATGTACCCCGGCGAATAAGTCTGACTAAACGGTAAAAAGCGCGTTGGTCCCGAAGCCAAAGGCATATCGGCATGCGCAACAGCGCCCTGCAAAGTGAGAAATTGCGAAGTCACCTGCGTCGCGGCAGGGAATCCCGCACAGGCATCACCGTCCATGAAACCCAGATGATAATCGCGGTGCGCTTCTTGCGCCGCACCACCGGGGTGCACGGCATTGACTTGTGTGGTGACGCGGTATGCCGAACCTAGCCAGGCATTGCAGACAGTGGCCAGCCAGGGATTGGCGTAGTATTCAGCGAACGAGGCTGGGTCTTCGAGGGCGTGTTTGGAGAAGGCGTTCCAGATACGGTCATTTGTGCCGCTGGCGGCGAAGTGGTCGCCCTTGGAGGTATTTGAGGCGCGTTCGCGTGCGATGATGCGGTCGAAGGCGGAGTTTGTGGCGGTTAGGATGGAGGCGTATTTGGTAGGTGTGTACATTCCTCGTAGGACGAAGACGCCTGGTCCGCTGTGGAGAATGTGGTGCCATTCATCTTGGAGGTGGGAGGTTGTTTCGGCTGTTAGGGGTTGTGCGTCGAGGGTTGTAATGTCGTAGATAGGGACGTTGTGGTCGAGTGCGCTGGCGAGTGGGTAGGTCGAGGTATCGATGGAGCGAGAGCAGATTTGTGTAAACTCTTCTAGTGAGATTGAAGACTCCTGGGTGAGCCGTGCGGGGATGTGTGTATGTCCATTCACTGCCATATTGTCAAATTGATCATTCATCGATCATGAGTTCGCGAATTGAGTAGCTGTCCAAGACTCTTAAGTAAATAACCGGCGGAATTCAATCTCCAGTGGCTCCATCGACAGGCGTCCCCGCATCGGCATCCAAGGCCGAGTGTCAGACCCGCATTTCTCTCCCACCAGCACAGTCCACGTTGTGCACAAAACACCCGAACTACAACTTTATCCGGAAATCGATTTCCGCGACCACACCAAGAAACAAAGACAGAGATAGAATCAAACAAGACAAATTACTTCTAGACATGGGTATCACAGCGAGCAAGCAGTATAAATACACGGTCTACCACAAGTCACTGAAAACAAAAAGAGCCAAATGCACAAGCCCCACGGACTTGATGACCAAGATGTATAGGACAGCCACGGCATGATAATCCCCGTATCCGTATTCCCAGGGGAGCTTCCAAACGCCAGTAGCCAGGAAAAGAGCCAATAGCCAATAAAAGAACAAGTCGAATCGCCACAAGAAGGCGCCAGCAAGAGGAGGTGACCAAAAAAGAAGAAGCAATTAACAAGGGGAAGCCGCACACACGTACACACACGAGAAAGGGCCAAGGTATCTCCAGATCAAATAGCTCATGCAAATAGCGAGAAGAAGGATGTGCTCAATAGTCGCCGTTCGTGCCTCATGCGTCATAAGAAAGCCTCGTAACCAAGGAGACTCAACCCCAATGGCGTCGAGATCAATCTATAGGATCCGTGAAGGATCTTTTCAGATGGTCTCAACGAGACCAGGGGAGATTGATATAACATAGGAAATTCGTGAAGTAGGGGCCAGCTGAGTTCAGCCATGCTCGATTAGGGAGAGTAAATCACGCATTCATCATGACAACTCCCAAATCCGAGGTGAGAACTGTATCGGAGGAAGTGAGCTCAGTAGAGAGCGTCGGTTCACTCAGAATGAGCTGATTCTCAGACATGGTCTCTACCAACGCGCTAGGCCGACCGGTGACAGTGAAGAGAACCTTGAACAGGAAGGTTGGGCTCGAACACTCGCTGTTGGCGGGCTGAGGCTGGTGACGCGTGTGGGTGAGAAGAACGCGGATCAACTCCCGTAGAGCGGCGTCGGTAGATGCATCGTGAATCGTGTCGATGCCGTCGATCACGCAGACGAGCAAGGGCGGTACGAAATGCAGCAGTGTGTCCACCAAGGCTAGAGCCGCCTTCCAACTGGAGATCGTACCATCAACCTGGCGAAATCGCTCGGCACTCAGATCAAGTAACGAGTCGCTGTCCACGACGGTAGGTAAACAATCGATTAGTTGGCGAATCAAGCTATATGTGAGGGCAATCAAACCCTGTTGGTGTGTAGTAAGGCCCTTCACGACTTTGTCTGGTAGGGTGCAAAAGTGGGCAATGACTGGAAGTCGCGCTCGGCGGGAAAAAGACACAAAACAGGCCGAGATTGAAGCCACGGGACTAGGATAGACGCTGGACGGGGTTCCCCCAACAGCAAGAGCCTGAGAACGTGGGTTGGTAACCCATTTTTGAAGAGTCGCGACCACGCTGCTTTCGACAGCTACTTGAACATCGGGGTCCAGGTCGGCGACCTGATCGTCGTTGTCAAAGAACCCTTCAAGATGTTTGGAAGCATTTTGAAGCTCCAAACGAGCAAGACGACGTTTGGACACACGTGACCATTCAAACGCAGAGGCCACTAAAGATGGTCCTAGATTAGTATAGTTGGACAACAGAGTATGACGGTACCACCTACCAAGATCAGGCGCGGCGGTGGTCATGCAGACGATCCCACTGTTATGCTCATTGACCGGGCGGAGCTGGTCATTGACAGCTTTCAGCATCTCCGTCAGCAGCTGGTCCCTCTGCCGTCGAATTCGAGCCCGCTCCTCGGCATCCTGCTGGATCTCCCAAATCAGGCGGCGTGTAATGGTGTTCTGCGCCGCTATCCGACGATCGGTTCCCTGCCGGCCCACCTGGCTCAGTTGAGATTCTTCCCAGAGAGCACGCGGACTATATGCCGCGTCGGATTTCTCGTCCATGTCCACGTCCATGGCGTCGGATGAGTCGGTGAGGGCCCGGGCCTGACGTTGAATGCAGCTGACGAGGTGATGAAATTCCGAGTACCCATCCTGGCTATGGCTCTTGAGCAGTTCGCACGTTGATCGTCGGATAAACCAATCAATGAACTCGGTCAGGAAGAAGAAGCACAGAGCGTATATTTTGGCGACGGGCATTAGATGGGTTGAGGGGATGAGAGGTTCAGAGGGTAGGTCCAGGGCGCTATGGATGTTCAGCAGAGCTGTGATTAGTGCCTCAATGACATGAGGGTAATGTGACGATGCCTGTGGATGACATTGATGATGGTTAGCAACGCCACTACTACTCTTCTCGCCTCGTGTCGCCATGAGGGGAGGGGAACCGTCCAACCCACCTTGATCACCGTCTGTAGCACGCTATAAAAGAGAGGGGCATGGAAGAGGTCGGCATCTGGCAGCACAGCCAACAAGGTTGCATGTGTTTCTAGTGTCGGTACAAATTTGTCGCAAAGGTCTAGGGCCTGGCCAAAGACCCGTTTACGAGGTTGAGATCTCCAAAGGGACTGCGTGTTTCGTATAAGGGCGACGAGATCGCCTACCGATGGGGCCCGGTCGCCCCGTTCGACTCGGTCGCCGGGCGGGAGATGGCGAACAAAGGTTTTCCAGGTCTGCGCGAGTTCGTTGTGTTCGACATCGAGATCGGCAATGACCGGGTTTCTATGAAGCCATGGGCAAATGGACGTTAGACGGGGTAAAGATTAAGGATGGGAGCCCCAGGAGTCACGGTTGGGGCGGGCATGTGAAGGGCTCAGAAATTATCGAAGCTCCGGGGGGAGGCCCAACGTACGAGGAGATCGGCTTCCTGTCAAAGCACCGCTCCCAGTCCCTGGTAAAGGACTCGATGGAAGAATCGGAGGGCATGGTGCGACGCCTATCGCGCCCGAACAGGCACCCCCAGAATCAAGGACGAGACCTTAGTAGGGCGGCGACAGGAGAATCAAGAGAGGGAGCGGGTGGGTGTGTCGGATGTGGTGAACAGGCTGGGGTAGGAGGAAGAAAGTTTGGCGACCAGGAGTTCCAGATGGGTTTGCTTAGGTTGGCGTGGTTCTCAGGCTGTCATGGGTGAAAGCGGGAGTGGATCGACTTTGGGAGTGGAGTGCCGATCGAAGGGGGGAAAGTTCGAGTTTCGAGGTTCTCGGAGGGTGTTCGTTGATGGTCGAGAGTTGAAACAACCATTCAGCGGAGGTTTAGGGAGGGAGGGGAAGGAAGGAGGAAAGATGAAGAGGACGGATGTAGCCGCTGAGAGGGGGGGGGGGGGGGGGGGGCAGATCAACCGACAGGCCAAAAAGCACAAAAGTCCGGGAGTCGGAATGAGGAAGAAGGTACGGAGAATTGTATGTGTAGAAAGGTAGAAATAAGTAGGAACAGTAGTATATACGAGCGGACACTAGGAACTGGGAAAAATTGGGAACTGGAACTGGAACTGGAACTGCAAGATGCTATTAATGGAAGACCCAAGAGGAGACCAGACTGGAGACTCTAGAAAGAGACTAGACTATTACAGATAGAGAGACAGAGAGACAGAGACTCCAGACAAAAGACAAAAGACAGAGCGAATCGACCAGACCAACCCAAATGTCCTTCTCTTTTTCCCTCTTCCTTTTTTCTTCTTCCTTTTTTTTTCCCTCTGGTGGTTTTGGGCCGATGAGAGCCTCGAACCTCCCCCACTTGGGCCTCCACAAATCACAAGGCTCCGCCCAAAAGCCCCGGCTGGACCTTTTTGACCCCCTTAGAGTAGAATGGCGTACAGAGTACAAAAGAGCCTGTAGATAATTTATTCTGTGTCTATCGCCTACTGTTTACTATTCTACACAATTCTCTATATGCTCTATAGTATTAGCTACTCATATCTCTTTCATACTTCCAGCTATATCATCCATTGAAATCACTATCCCCCACAGCTCCTCCACCTCGTCGGCGTAATCAATCATCAAATCTCCTCAAATCATCAAAACCTGAATGGGCTGCGCGCGTTTAAGGTTTAGGATGCCGCCCGGTTCGGGATGCGCCCTTTGCGCCTGTCTTTTCTTTTGCCGCCGCGGCCCATGCTCAACTGGAGTCGGGAGTGCCGTCCTGACTAGTGATTATTATACTGGGGAACAAGAAAGATGGGCCAGTTTATAAACGATGGAGACCGGCATAATATATGCTTCACATATACCACACATTACATGCTACAAGCTACATACTCCCATGCGATTACTCCTGTACTTTGTACAGGCTATATACTCCCGATCGAGATAAGAAGAGGGGGGAGACCCTCTCCGTATACGGCGACATACCTTCGTCCCCATAGCGCCCGGGTGGCTTCTCCCACCCAATCTGGCCCAGGACACCACCACTCATATCCGTGCGCACAAACAACAGACCTGCATGGATCGCCATCCCGTCCGGTCGCTCTCGCGCTTCAGCCTGTGGGGGATGGTCCGCAGATGAAGAAATCTCGATGAAGCCTGGGATGAAGGTTCAAGGTTTCGGGCTGGGAGGTTGATTGTGGACGAACTAGTTACTCATCAACTTACCTGCTTAATAACTTGAACCGCAGAAAGGAAGAATGTCTTAGTTTTGATGTCTTGACGGAAAAACTCATTCCTACCGCGGTTTAGTCCGTGAGATTAGTTGGCCATCATTAACTGGGGCTGTTATCATTGGTTAGGGCCATGTGGTTGACCAGGTGCTGTGTCTCAGGACTTTCAGCCAGGTGGCCTGAGGCTGTCAGGCTTGCTGAAGAGGGGGTTTCTCCGCGACCGGAGACCGAAGACGCGGGAGGAAGGGGGAAGAACGCCTGTTAAATAGTTGATCGCTTCGCTCGCAATCTGCAGAGGCTACCGATGTGACACGTCGGAGGTGGCTGTCACTCGTCACAAAAGAGGTGATAGCACTGAAACGCAACAACGAGCCCGAATGAAGATCATTGTTCTTCCATAGCCTATCAATCTGTGGATCTCCATCCTTTGATGATCCTCGATATTTCTCGCTAATGAACAATACCCTTGCATTATTCTGTTTCCTGTATGGCCTGAATATTGTATCTCTAGGCAAGGCGATCTCAAGTGGCCAGGTAGAGTCGTAGATCGATTCATTCGGTACATTTCGTCGTGAAACGCCATGATTTTGCACGATGACCATCTACCATGAGCCTCGTAGCCTACTATACTAAGCTGGATCGAAGCAAAGCTCCATATTCAGAATATGGCAGGTGTTGCGCATCCCATCTATCCTGTCGGGCACTTCTCGGAAAAACAAAGTCAAGCCTTCCCCCAAATGGGTTGCAAGCTGAATCACGACTGGTTGTCAATCACAGACAGCCTTGGGGTATGGTGGATCCTTTCGGTTCACAGACCCTTCCTAGGCTCCTTCTAGACGATCGGAAGTGGTGCCATGATATCAACGCCCAGGGCCTTCGATCGACACCCTGCAGGCGACTATTGGCGTGTATTATTTGTCAGGACTCGGGACCAAGGCGCAGCGTCATCATTTTGTCTGGGCTCTGGGATGATCGACCATACGATGGATCATGGCTGTGTATATGACAGATACTGAAGAATTGACCGTGGTACGGAATCATCAATCATGAGATTCAGATGATCACCATCGTTGTGGCTTGGATTATGATTGCTGCTCCCGTTAATTGTCGAGTTGGTTTCTCCCTAAAGGGGAAGTTGATTCATCATGTCGAATTGACAAATGATGTACTCCCAAGGAAGATGCAAGAACCAAAAACGCAAGGGTTCATGTGCCCCGTTCAACCCATGGAACGGGGGTTCCTAAATGGTTATATGGGCTGTTGCCCCGACTAGCTGGGGGTGGAAATGTTTCCCATCCCGGTCCAGAGTGGCCATTACTCTTTAATAATGAATCTTCTGTCTCCAGCATTGCCCTCTCGTAAGCCGACCGTTGTTCAAACTCCCGTTTCATTCGCATTCGCTTTTGAGGCGGCGAGTGGCTACCCCGTACTCCGTCCGTACCCCGTACAGTCCACAATAATTGTAATGTACATTAAGATACAGTACGCAATCAAATCGGACGGGAAACATTTAATATTACCCAATCAATATTCACCCACAGCCCCCCAAGCGTATAGCGTATCTTCTTCTTCTTCTTCTTCCCCCGTTATCGTATCGCCCATGATCAGATCTCCCCATCTCCCACTTTCTCCACGGGGATCCATACTACGATCAGCCTTAGCTCTCCCCTCTTTCGTTCCCTGTTTTTCCGTTTCCTTCTTATGCAACTCCACTCCCCTCCACGGATTCTCTCTATCGGTTCATCCTCATTTTTGTGTCTGTCCCATCGTCATTACTGGGCATCCACACTGCATCCCACGGCATATCCACTGTCATCCTCTAACCCCCTCCTCTTCAATTCGTCTCTCAATTCCTCAGCCCCCCTCCTCTCTCGGGCTGCTTCTCCACGACTTTCAACTAGGAGGGCCCTGACAAATGATCCCAGTCCACCCCCCACACTCCGGACTTCCGCCGCCTCCCGTAAGAAACGAAACATTCTCACTCTCACCACGCGGCAATGGGGCTGTGGTATTCTTATTCCTCTTTCTTATCCTTCCTCTTTCTCATCATCTTGCCTGTGTTGGCGGACGTCTCGGTGCTGCCCACCAACAATACACACGATCTGGCCTGGTCCAGCTCCGCGAGCTTCCGCATCCAGGGTTCCAGTCCACTCAGCGGTCACTACCTCGCCCCATTGACGAATTACCTCGCCAATTTATCTTCTAGCCAGGCCCAAGTAAGACTGTCTCGGATTGCAGAGTCCTCTTCTTTTCTTCCCTCTTCTCCCTCTGTCTCCTACTTAATCCCATTGACCCAACTTGCATGCTAATTGCCCTACCTTCCAGGGTTTTAACGTCGCTGGCACGTTCGCTGAGGTGACTGCCACTAACTCTCTGGGCAATCATAGCACCCAGATTGCGTGTATTCCTTGTGACGACTCTTCTGTAAACTATCCGGGAGAGTTGGGTGTCGACCAGACAGTCCAAAGTGTGATTACCGCTGCCCAGCCTGCTGCAGCCATCATCCTCTACAGTACATCTGCTACGCACTGCAGCTTGTCCACGAATGATCAAGCCGAGGCATATCGCTATATCTTCACGTTCAACGATTCCACTGCTGTCGCTGCCCTCAATCAAACCTTGACCACCGCTGCCAACAAGACTGCCACCATCGTCCCAATGTCGTATCCAACCACCACGACGGTTGATACCAGTGCCAGCGGCACTGGTGATAGTCCCAACACAGGTGCGTCGCTCATCCATCCCGTAATGCCCGTAATGCTTACGTCCCGATTGAAATGACTCGTATTGATTTCTCTCCGCAGCGATGATTATCCTGTATAGCATCACAGGTATCATCACAGCCCTGTTCCTGGGCATCATCATCACCGGCGCCGTCCGCGCTCACCGTCATCCCGAGCGATATGGGCCTCGCCGGATCGCCGGCCGACCTCGGCAAAGTCGAGCAAGAGGTATAGCACAAGCCATGCTTGACACCATCCCCGTCGTCAAGTTTGGCGATGACGAAGCCGTCGATGCCGCCAAGCGGGACGTCGAAATGGCCAACGCGGATGATCCCGCCCGCGAGCATTCCCCTCCCCGCTCGGATAGCATCTCCGACATCGGGCCGACACCACGCGAGTCCGAACTACCAACCAACAAGCATGCGGTCACCGAACAGCCAGTCCCGACTACCACGACTGAATCGAATCCCAATGCTGCCCCAGATGGTGGTAACTTCTCCTGTCCCATCTGTACCGATGACTTCATCAAGGGCCAAGACCTGCGGGTCCTCCCATGCAACCATCAGTTCCACCCAGAGTGTATCGACCCTTGGCTTGTCAATGTGTCCGGCACTTGTCCCCTTTGGTAAGTTCCTTCCCTAATCAAGGCCTTCTTTAGCGACAGCCTTAGACATCATTGTAATGAACAAAAACAACTAACAAACCCCCTCCCTAGCCGCATCGACCTCAACCCACCTAAACCCGAGGAGAATGCCGAGGAAGGCGAGATTGCCGACACACAAAACGCGGACAACGCAGCTGACGACACCACAACCGCAGCTGCCGCCGGCGCCCAAAGTAACAGACACTCCCACCGTCTAACAAATTACCTCCACGGGCCCCTCAACGCCCGCCGCATGCGCAATGCCACCGTGGAAGAGCGTCTCGCCGCCCTCCGTCGCGTCCGCGAAGCCAACCAAGGCGAAGTCACCGGCGACGACGCCGTAACTCGACCAGCCCGCAACCGCCTATCAACTCGACTCCGTGATCGATTCCGTATCCGCACACGCGCTCACGGCGTCGATACCACCAGCCCTGTCGAGAGTGGTGCGGCGACTCCCACCGTACCACCGGCTGCACACACCACCAACAACTAGTCAGGTCATCGGCTTGCGAATACCAACACCAACACCAATGCATGAATAACGACACTCCTTGCCTGCGCTTTTCACTTCTTCCATGCATCCTTGAACACCCCTTTTGATGATACGACGCTTTTTTTTTCTCTTTTGTCATTTTGATATTGACGGCTCATACACTGCGAACCTTTTGCACCGGCGTTTGGGAATATGAATTGCACCGAGGATGTCTGGATCTATCACGAGAATATTGAAGGTGGTGATCATGGATTTGGATTTGGATTTGATCTTTTTTACACATTTGGGTTCCAGAAGAGCGGCGTTTTCATGAGACTGGAGGAGAAAAGATTTGGTTTTTGTGTTTTTTGGTTCTCATTTTCGTGTCTGTGGATTTCCGCTTCGGATTCTCTTCTCTTCTTGTCAAGTTGTATATAGGATATGTATATTTGACGTATAGGGTGATTGTAGATCCCGCATTTTTGCTGTGCAAATGAAGATATGCAGACTTTATGGACCCCTGTAAACTTATGTAAGGGTTACCAAACTTGCCTTGCTGGTCATGTCGTTCAAAAAAAAAGCTCTTGGCCTTGTTCTTCATCGCCGCTTGGCCTGATGGGGCCTGGAGAGACTAGTGTGCAACCAGAGGTCTTATATCTGTTAGTTGTCGTTACGTTCCTTCCCGCTCTTGCTCTTGCCAATGTCTCTGATACAGACGCCTTTCCCCGATGCTTCTACCGTTTCTCCTCCAAGGCTGTTTGCAGATGTTTTTTTCCGGTCTCAGGTTCTGTCCTTTTGAGGCCGCCGGAGAGCGAGCAGTCATTTCTAGACTGTTCTCCTTCTTCTAGTCTGTCGACCATAAGAGGGCGGTGTTTTCCTATTGTCCTGTGACTGTTCCCTACTCCACCTGTTATCTAGATTTTCAGATACTGAGTAAATTTCTAGGTTGACTCTTGTGGTTTTTGAGCTCTCTCTCCGAGCTCTCTTCGATCACGATTGGCCAGACAACGAAACACGACAGAATTACGCACAGGAATCCTTACAAGGAAGAAAAGGAGGAGAAAGTTCAGAAGCACGAGAATCAATCAAGGAATTTGCTTGTTCTCTGATTATCCAGATAACAGCAGAGAAAGGAAAACACTATCGCCCTTCTATGTCAATGTCCGTGCTTGGGATTCTAGCTAGCAGAGTGAGTACTTTTGACAAGCTCTGTCTTCGACACCGGTCATGGATATATATCCGGGACTGGACTTTCGCACTCTACACTCTAGAACTCGAATGCTTGCAGATGAACCTTCCCTCTACCTATTATTATATGTAACACAGAACCTTATTCCTGGATGTTTTTATTAGGCTATAAATCAGGCAATCCCATCCGGCGGAACAAATTACCCAATTACTCCAACCCGGGGGCAACGATCACCCAGACTTGGCCGACTTGGCGTGGGGAAAAGCGCAGAGGCTCAGGTCCCGGAGAGCAGACCGCGCAGTGCGCCTGTGGAGCGCGCTGGCGCTGCCCGGGGATTTTCGAGAGGGGCGTTTTGAAAAGTGTGGAGAATTTCAGTTCTATTAAGTATTTTTTGTCTTCTTGCTGCTGCTTATTATTAACTTGACCTAAAAGTTGGTACACGAATAATACGAGGAGCATGGTTTGACTCGTCACGATGTCTCTATTGAAATTTCGCCTAAATTACTCTTCTGAGATTTCCGGGGGGAATCAGGTACCACCCATAAAAACCTAACCTGACATCATCGCGAAAAGTCGGGGAAAATCCCGGAGACTAAGAGAGAGAAAAGTCGAGAACGGCTGGAGTCGGAGATGGTCCGCCGGGGGAACCGCCACGAGGTGAGGAGCGGGTATAAATTGCTATTTACTCTTCAATCGCCGATCCATACCGCCGCGACGAGGATGAATCTGTTAATTGTAGAGTAGAGTCGTAGTTGACGAATTTGCTATTGTGCTGGCTAAGTTAACTAGCTGACTGGCTGAATGGATCGGACGGACGGGACAAGACTGGACTGCATCAGTTGCATACTGAATACTGTATGTCTGTCGGATGTCTTATGTAGTAGTGCATATTCGATATTCCTGCGGAGGCCCGCGATCGTCGGCATTTTACCTCTTGGGTTTACCATTTCCCCTGGTCCCTGGAGAAATAATAACGGCTCTCCAAATTTCTTGTTTCTCCTCAATCCTAGGGTGGTGCCTTAGGTAATAGGAGGCTATGGGGGGAAGATGAGGAGAGGAGATGGTTGTCAGTGAGTATAGGGCTGGTTTCTCCTCACGGGGGGTAAATCGCCGACAAGAATCCAGCACGGGCAAGAATATTCCGAGATTCTAGTCAAGTCTGACTACAGATCAGAATAACAATAATTAATCTTTATTCCTGGTTGTAGTTATTAATTAACTTCAAATTCAATTAGATATACCCTTGAAACTCCAACTTGTAGGAGTAAAATTGCTAAACACTAAATATATCACTCCAAACATACCTCGATTTTATGCATGCTATGAGTGCTGTCACTGTCAGGTCGGGATATTATTAACATTCCACTGATTCCAGAAGGGCCAGGAGGGGGGATCCACTGCGCCTTTTTTCCTGCTCGGCGTGATGACACACGAGCGGCGCGGCGAGCCTGTCGGGAGGTCCGCTGAGCAATCGTGATTGTTTTTTGGGCTCTAAAACGGGGGCCCAGAATCATCATATCACAGGGCCTGTAGTTGTGTCGAGGCTGAGAGCCGGGTATTAATATTCTTGCCAGTAATTTGACTTGCATTATTATTACCGAGCCTGATCTGTGTACAGTAGAGTAGGTAGCTAGCTTATCAGTCGTAGGGTGGTGCATACATGCATAGATTAGCCGAGAGGAATGTACCTGCAAGAGATAGTAGATACAAGATCGTAGACACAATAGATAAGCATACGAATCCATTTACTCGCACATGCTCTCTCCAGCGTGCAAAAACATGCCCCGTTTAAGTAAAACGAAGCATGTGAACTCCACAGGGTCTGGCGGTGCGTCATGCGACGAAGAAGTTACGGAAGTTCCTCGGCTTGTTGGAAGTGCGCCCGAGGGATTGGGATGAGACTTCAGGAGAGAACAGGCGCCGAGGGATTTATTTGGATGGAGTGGGTGTGATAAATAGTTTATGAATGTCTTTTCATGATTCTTTTCTTCTATTTCTTCTCTCTTCTTATTCTGGGTATATTCACAACCGAGTACTTGAGTACTTGACTATCCTGATTTAACCGCCCCGGGCGTCTCCACCCCCTCATTCCTCTGCCTCTCTCCTCATCTCTCAATCCGGTGAACGCAAGCAGCAAGGTTTTTGTCCTTTTGGGTTTCTTCGGTGGCCAGATTCCGGGGAAAAAAGGAGTCATTGCTGCAGTGTGACTAAATTAGGGTCCTTTGCATTGAGACTATTATTATTATTTACCGGATCGGAAAGGGAAATTGGCAAAAATTGGAGATATTTCGAATAATATTCGATTTTCATTTTTATTATTTAGTCAAACCCAGGGATCAGACAACGCAACGTTTCCATCATGACGACCTCCCGTCAACATCAAAACCCCGCCACCTCTTCTCCTTCTTCTCCTTCTTCTTCTTCTTCCTCCTCCTCTGCTATTACTGCCCGCGATCGTCTTTCCTCCCTCTCCTCACACATCATGGGTTCCAACGGCAATCCTTCCGTCTTCACTCCGGCCGCCGTCGCCGCGGCCCCCGAAGATCCTCTCTTTGGCTTGATGAAGGCCTATCGCGAAGACCCCTCCGATAAGAAGGTCGATCTGGGCATTGGCGCTTACCGTGACAACAATGCGAAGCCCTGGATTCTGCCTGTCGTCAAGAAGGTGGGTGTCTCTTGGAATTGCGCATCTACTACTAGATCCGGATTCCTTACATGATAACTGCTTTTTTCTTTGCTTCTCTACGATTAGAGTTTCATGGCAATCGCAAACTTATTTGACAAGATAACTGACTCAATCCTTCTCTCTCTCTCAGGCTGATGACGCCATCCACAATGATCCCACCGTGAATCACGAATACCTCTCCATCGGCGGGTTGGCCGACTTCACCTCAGCCGCACAGAAGCTCATCGTCGGTGCTGATAGCCCCGCGATTCGCGAGAAACGGGTATGTCGAACCGAGCGCATCGGCCACCTCCTACAGTTTCCTCCTACAATATACTACCCTGAAAACATGAAACAAGATAACTCCTCCAGAGGTCAATGCTAACGCGCTACCTCCTTCTATAGATTTGCACCCTCCAGACCATCTCGGGAACCGGCGCCGTCCACCTGGGCGGCCTCTTCCTCTCCAAGTTCCACCCCGCACAGCCCAAGCCCACCATCTACCTCTCCAACCCAACCTGGGCCAATCACCACCAGATCTTCACAAATGTCGGCCTCACCCTCGCCAACTACCCCTACTTCTCCACCAAGACCAAGGGCCTCGACTTTGACGGCATGATGACCGCGCTGCGGGCAGCGCCGTCCGGCTCCATCGTCCTCCTCCACGCCTGCGCACACAACCCCACCGGCGTCGACCCCTCGCAGGAGCAATGGAAGCAAATCGCCGCGCTCATGCGCGAGCGTCGCCAATTCCCCTTCTTCGACACTGCCTACCAGGGCTTCGCATCGGGCGATTTGACCCGCGATGCATGGGCCATCCGTTACTTTGTCGAGCAGGGCTTCGAGCTCTGCGTCGCGCAGTCGTTCGCCAAGAACTTTGGTCTGTACGGTGAGCGGACGGGTGCGTTCCACTTTGTTTCTGCGCCTGGCGCGGATGCGTCCACTTCTATCCAGCATATCGCTAGTCAATTGGCTATCTTGCAGCGCTCGGAGATTTCTAATCCCCCCGCGTACGGTGCGCGCATTGCCAGCAAGATCCTCAATGACCCCGTACTGTTTGCGGAGTGGGAGGAGGATCTGCGGACGATGAGTGGGCGTATTCAGGAGATGCGTCGTGGTCTGCGGGAACGGTTGGAGAAGCGTGGTACACCTGGTACTTGGGATCACATTACGACTCAGATTGGCATGTTCAGCTTTACTGGGTTAAGTGAGACTCAGGTTAAGATCTTGCGGGATAAGTGGCACGTTTACATGGTGAGTTTTCTAATGCGTCTGCTGTTTTGGCCTCGATTCGAGTATGAATTCATTACTGACTTCCATCTTCCCTGCAGACCAAGAACGGCCGTATCTCCATGGCTGGTCTCAACACAAATAACCTGGATTACTTCGCCGAAGCCGTGGACAGTGTGGTCCGCGAGACCTCCTAAGCCCACCACATTTACCCGGCTCAAGCGAATATAATCCGGTTTGGCGTTTGTCTCTTTCTCTTTTCTTACATTTGATTCCTATTTCCCCTCCCATCGGCACATTTCCTGTGCTTCATATACGCACGGATCGTGAGGGACACACATTTTTTCCCCTTCCTCCTCATTCCTTAGTGGATTGTTGTATGCCCTCTCTTATGCATCACTATCACATGTAGATCTACGGCTCGGAATACCAGATGACTTTTGGACTTCTTTTTATGATTTGTGATAGAGATGTATATCTCCGTATCGTGCCTTTCTAGATCTAGACTTGATCAATTGACTTCGATGTCCTCAAACTCGGTCGGAATACTGCGCATATTGCTCGTCTCAAGGGTGAGCTTAACACTGGGTCTATTTATTAAAGCACTGTCATATAAACACAGTCAAGGATGCGGTATGATGTATGTCAGAATAGTAGTTGATGCAAATAATCGCTAAAACAGAGCACCTCATATAGACACCCAATCTCTTAAGAGCCTGCCGCTCTGAACTTCACCTTCCAAGTTCTCTCTCTCTTTTTTTTAAAACACTAAATCCCACACCACAAGCCACGTACACAAACCCACCGTCCCCCAAAACACCGCTTGCGCCGTACTCCGTCTTTCCGTCGCACGCTTAAGCTCCTTATTACCACGACCCACATTGCTCTGCGTCGTATCCACGTCGCTGACCAATTGCGAGATATACTCCTCCTGCGTGGCGAGATGGGAGACGAGGGTTTCTTGAAGGGAGGATATTTCCAAGAGAGATTTTTCTGCGTTCCTAGAAGGGTAAATTGTGGTTAGTTGCGGACACGGACGAAGGGAAGTAGATGCATAGCCAAGAGATATGCATGGTAAGATGATAACGGGAGAAGGGAAGGGCAAAACGTACTGTACTTTCCCCAACGTATCCTCATAATGCCTTAGCATAGTATCGTTCTCCTCCGCAAACAACTGTAATTGCTCCGGGGATAACTGCGCCTCGATCCGTGCCGTTTCCGCCTCACTCAAGATCATCGCATCAGGCGCTTGCACCGACGATGTCGAAATATCCATCGTCCTATCCACAGACCCATCCCCACCCTTCGTCACACCAGCACCAGCAGCGGTACTAGCACTCTTATACAAAACACTCTTCTCCTTCTCCCTAACCCTCTCAATCCTCTTCTCCACCATCTCCCTCTGCACACCCACAACCCCATCCAACCCCCTCCTCAAAAACCAAAGTACACCCTCGCGCACCCCCGCAATCATCTTCGCCTTCTCCTCCGCCTCAATCTGCTCCGCGGATTTCCCCTGCTGCGCGGAGGACTCATCGAGCGCGCTGCCGCCGCCAGCCCAGCGCCAGAGGAGTGCGCCTGCGGCGCTGTGGCCGTATTTCTTGCGCAGGATGGAGGCGGAGGTTTCTTGGCGGAGGGATTCGGCGGAGGAGAGGTTTGTTATTGAGCTTGCGAGGTCGCGGAGGAGGAGGGCTGTTGAGGTGTCGATTTCGTCGCGTTCAGGGTCGGTGAGGTGGTTTGTTTGGGAATGAGAGTGGGATTGGGAAATGTAGATAGAGTGGTTGTGGGTGTCTTTGGTTTGGCGGCGGGGGTTGGCGGTTGTGGTGAGGTAGGCGTGGCGGATTGAGTGGAGGTATTTAAGGAGGGAGGTTATGTGGGAGTTCTAGGTGAGAGAGTTAGTATTTCTTTTGTTTGTAGGTGGTCTTGCGGAGTGGACTTACAATGCGATGGGCCTCCTTGAGGAACTCATCTGCGACCTCGGTTGATGGGGTTCGGGTTGCTGGAGCTGGGATGGGGCGTGCATTTTTGGCGGAGAGGATAGTGCTTAGTGTTGGTGTGATATCGGTCATTCTGGCGGAGTGGAGAGGTGTGGCATGGGGTGCTGGGGAGAGTTGAATGTAAGGGAAAGTGAAGATGAGAGAGATGGAGAAGGTGAAGGTGTCCAGCTGGAAACTCCGCGGTGGGACCCGTCAACATCGTCATCGGTCATTGTGATTGGCTGGCCCCGGGTGCTATACACTTGGAAGGAAATGTATACAGTCCCTTCTATGTACATCTAGTTTTAACGATGACCAGTCCTGCCATTAGATACATTGCTGCTAACGTCTACTATCAATTCATATTGCGTATTTCCATGCCAATCAAAAGGGTATAATCAAAACCAAAATGCTAAAAATGCCCCCATGCCAGACACCTTGACAAAAAGACTTCAGATCAAATCATCAATCGTTCTTCCACCCAAACCTATGACCCAGAGTGATTAGTATATCGACGACAAAAATTCTCCCCTTCAGAACAAAACTTACCTCCATCTTCCCCATCTCACTCCCTTCCCTCCTCGCCACCTCCCTCGCACTAGCCAACAACAAATCCAAATCCTCCTGATCAACCATCGTGATCATATCCCCATCATCCTGCACCCTCATCTTCAACCCACCCTGAAACCCAAACTTCTCCCGAATCTTCCCCTCAAACTCCGCAAACTCCACCGTCGGCCCGATCATGATATACCGAATATCATCCGGCGCATGCACCTTGGTCCGGAACCGCCGCACCTCCGGCCGCCGCGAGTTCGCTCGTCGCGAGTATCGCGCTGGAGATCGTGTGCGACGTTGTTGCATACTTTGCGCGGGTGAGGAGCCAGGACCACCAGGCGCGGTGCCGAGGAGTTCGAAAGAGCCGTCTTTGATGGGTTCGCCGTCGCATGCGTCGCTGCCGTATTCGTCTTCTTCGTCGATGAAGGCTGGTGGTTGGTGGCGGCCGCGACCCCAGCCTGCACTGGAGAGGTTGGCGGGACTGGCGTAGGTGTGTGAGTCTGGGTGGGCGTATTCGGGCTGTTCGGGGAAGTTGAAGTAGGGGTTCGGGGTGGGATTCGAGCTGGTGTCGCTGAGGTTTCTGCGGTGACCTTGGGACCATGCCCCACGGCTGGGTTCACCGAAGCCACGCATGTTCTGGTGTCGAGATGCTGGGCCTCGGGGCTCCGATGCGGTGCGTGTCGTTCCAATGCGTGGCTTTTCTGCAGTAGGGGCAGACTCTTGCCCCGGGGCTCTACGGTCGAGGCTGGCTCCTGTGCGTTCGAGGTCGAGTCGAGGTGGCCGGCCCATTCGGAGGGAGGAGGATCGGTGGTGTGAGGAGCCCGCCACAGAGCCATTGCTTGTTGATCGGTCATCTGGGGGAGGTGTTGGAGGAAAGACATTGCGATTAAGGGGTGGTTCAGATTGCTGACGGGTGCGACTGCTTATGCCTTTGTGGACGAGGTTTGTGGCCGCCCAGGAGACGCCTTCACGGTCCTCGAGTGCGCCTTTGTCGATGATCATGGGCCGCCATTGGTGGTCTGCGCCTTGGGATCGATCTGATGCGGCGACTAGCCGGGCCTTGCCTAGGTAGTCCTTGCTCTTGAGGTTTTTGACCTTTGCTGCATTGGGGCGGTATAACACGCCCACGGGAATTGAGAATACGGTATATCCCTGCTCAGTGTTAGCGTGGTCACAACGTAGGGAAAAGCAAATGCACAAGGCAAATTTAAAGAGACTAGTGCACCATACATCTGCATTTTCACGAATAGCATCGTCAATCACGTCATGGTCTGACGTGACTTTCTCCTTGGCCGCGTATGAGAGATCCTGCATGCCGGGGACCATCTGCTGGAGGTAGACATAACATAGTCCACGGTTGAACAAAACCTCACATGAGTACAAGCGGAACTTAAGACCCAGCTGCTCATAGTCAATAGAAGTATTTCCACGCAAATATAACAAAGTGTCGTTGAAATTGGCCAATGCCTCTTCAAAGTCACCTAACAGGAAGTTTGATACACCCTGCTGGAAGTAGGCAATCGCTAGATATCGGTCCAGCCCGACAGCTCGTTGATAACACTCTACCTACAGAATGTTAGCCGTTGCCTTTAGGTAGTATTTTATAGTACTGAAATAGGGCTTTCACATACTGCTTTATCGTGTTCTCCGAGTGTTGCATAGATCACTCCGCAATTGAAGAGGATCTTGGAAGTATCTGCAATCTGATCAAAGTGCCGTAAAGCCTCTTCGAACTCCTGATTGTCGTATGCATCCAGGGCTTGCACCCATGTTTCTATCTCCTGTAGACCATGTTAGCATTCCCGCATTTATACATCATCATCTTCTATTGTTTTATAACATACTTGCTTCAACGACATCTTGCCAACATATGGATGTGCCTAGGAATGTATCGTCTAGACACTGAACGGGTTGATCCAAGGGAAACAATATGAAGGAGTGTAAGTTCCCCTCTTCACCCACAGCCAGAAGATACAGAGAGGAGTAAGAGAAATCCGGACTGGAATCTCCGTACACCGCTGATCAGCTGTAGGCCACAAAGAGCACGTCACGCCTCCCCGGGGGAAACTCGTGCCGGGATGACTGATACTTATTATAGCCCAGCTCCCTGTCGCCCGAGGATCCCGCCAATGTGATGGGCGGCCCTGAGCACCCGAACTATCGGGGATGCCAAGACGAGGTATGAAAATAGGAATAGGAACAGGAACAGGGTCGGTTCCGTTTGAAGGGTATCAACAAGGTCAAGGTGCGGGGGGCAGGAGGAACCAACAGTGGGGCTAGATCCTGATTAGGTTGGTCGCACGGGAGATTATTGACAGAAAGAGATAATCTGCAGTACGGTAGACGGGGATGGTGTGAGCTCTCGGAGGAATTGCTTGGAATAGGTTGTGATAGTCGTGATGCTTATGTTGATAGGGAAGTCGGGTTAGGATCAGGAGTGTTGTGGCGGACTGCGGGTTGGCGGGGAAAGGTGGATGAATGGAGGTGAATGGATGGAATAGGATGAGACTGAGAGATGGGATTCGAGCACGAATCCCACGATCGGTAGTATATGTATTTATAGAACCCCGTTTGGGTCTCGATGGAGATTGCAATGCTCTCAAAAACTGGTGGCTGGCCCTGGATCCCCAATCTGACTCGACGCAAATCACTCCAATCCTGCGATAGTCGATAGAAAAAAAAAGAAAAGAACAACTTCCGATCACGGTGCGCTAGGCGCGGGGTTAGTATCCGACCCAACAGTGTGGATCCATCAGGCGGGGGGCTGGAAGATTGGTAGAATGATTCAAGCAGTCGATGAGGTAAAAGATGATGGTGCCAGGGGGGGGGGGGTGAGGGGTGAGAAGATTCAGGAGAAGAATGAGCAGCAGTGGACTAGGGGGGAAAGAGGAAAAATGCACCAAGAAAGTCCAGAAGAAGCAACGAAAGCAGAAAAGAAGTGAAATGATGACGGCCGAGCATCTGCAGAAGGCTGCACAGCGGGGCAGGGATTGGGCCGGGCAGTCAACATCGTTCAACATGGGACTACTCCAGACTCTGTATATTTTACGACTACTACTACGACAAACAACCCTGACTGGTAGCCCACTATCGTCGCGCTACCATGCGCTATTCATCCGCTAAGGCAAAGAACCTGGGACGACGAACAAGGCCGGTCAGCCCGAGGATTGGGAAGCGCCGAGGGGGAGGCGTGATGGGCCAAAAATAACTTGCGTTGCACCTGCAGGAATTATGCACGCCAGGTGAGCAATGAGCATGCTGGATGGCCTTGAACTTGGGATTTGTTGCGTCCACCGCAACTGTGACTGGGCGCTTATTGCGAATGTCGAGGGAAAGAGCTTCTGTATGGCTAGTTAGCGTGCCTCTCGCAAGTGAATACCATGCAACGAATGGACTGGCGGGCCCAGAGTGGCATGGTGCTTTCCTTTAGAGTTTTGGCCTTGGCAACCAACCGGCAGAGGAGAATTATACCTGGCAACAATCCTCCGAGATTGATCTCGCTTGATAGGGAGTCTCATTTCCACTCGATTTCGCCTGCCACGTCGCGAATGGTTCAGTAGAGGCTGGTGAGATTGTATTGGCCAAGTTCAAGCGGATGACGGACAGTCTTCATTTCCGGGCACGAATCAATAAGATATAACCGATCGGACCCATCACAAAGGCGCACCGTTTTGACATGACCGGGATGAATTAGGTCGACGAACGGGCCGCGGGAGGTTCCATGGAAGACCCCCTGTTCACCTGTGCGGGTGCGGGGACCGTGATGGGGACTGGGACCATATGGCATTTTTCGGTAGAACGAACAAGACCAGATTAGGTAGAAGGCCCAGTCAACGGCAGTTTGGCGAGTCATTAAACCACGAGCATCGGGATCGGAATGGCTCCGGTGCGCCTCATTGGTGTGAAGGATGGAGATACCCCCGCCACGGCGCTTGCAGTGCTTTATTTAGACTTGAGTGAACCAGGGTAGGTGAATGATGATAATGGACTCGGGTCCTTGGAAAAATCGGTCACCGATGATGGAGAGCGCATGGGTCGTGTAGTGATTCGGTGATTGATGGGGTTTGAAGGTAAAGTTGGTGAAGTCAAATGAAGAGGAACAGTATGAGAGATCCCGTGACTTGATGATAGCTTCTCATTAAAACCTACTCTATGGACCACTTATAGTAATAAGTCTAAGATATTTATCAGAGCAAATAGCAAAGGCGTCTGGATGATTTACCAGCCCCCATAATGAGTCATGGTGTTTCCGTGGTACCGAATACGAACGATTTGGGCTGGTGCGATTATCTTGCGTTTATAGAGACAACAGGCCCAAATGACAAGAGGCACAGACCCAATTGAACCAACTTACCATGACAAATCGCTTCATTCTGCCCTCTTCTTCTGTGGTACGATGCCCAGATCGATTTGATCTTCTTGGCTCCGACGAGGACCAACTGCCCTTTTGGGACCTGCTCACGGCCATCTTGACAAGTAAATCGGATCCTATTCATGATATTGCCTCGCTCATTGAAGCGCTGGAAACAATTGCTCTCTCGCTGAGAGGAACTGTGACGAATGAGAATCATAATGCGCTCCACGAGTTTATGGCTTCATACCTCAAAGATGAAGCGAAACACGAGCAGTACTTCACCAAAACTTGGCCATTTTTAGTGGACTTGGCCTTGGAGATGCCTATACTTTTTCCCGACAGAACGTTACCATGTCTTTCACCAGCACACGGTGATAATGGAACTACCACAGCCACTTTCTCACGACGACAAGTTGCATGTCTGGTAGTCCATCAATTTCTTTGCTCGTTACCCCCACATCCCTGGGGTACAGAGTCATTTGTCGATTTAAGGCCCTGGTATTCCCAATCAAACACATCTCATACAGGCGCTGTCCATGCGTATCTGACTGCACTGTTTACATACTTTGAGCATCTTCAACAATCAATAGAATGTCATAAACCCCGAATTGATTTGTCTACGGATGAGTGGCCTATCACGTTCACAGTTCGATCAATTGGAAGCACTGAGGGGTATCAACTCCTTGAAAGCGAGGCTTCGAGGGCTTACCTTTCCTCGACATCAATCGAGATATGTCATCTGGAGGAATCACATACTGCACCCGCTTATCTTGGTCTTCCCCAAGGAGCATGTGTGATCTCAGCAAACAAATGTTTTGGCTATGGGCCGACAGGTACACAAGAAGAGTTGCATGTCGGCATTTCCCCGGAATCGTACCCTGCCGTCCTCCTCGCTCATCCATTATCTGATGACCAGGTTCTCATCTGTCGCGGTGCTGAGCCGATGGTTTCTATCAGCGGCTACGGCAGAGATGCCAAATTGGATCAAGTTCTGCCTTCTCCCGACTGCTCCCTAGGAGACTTTTATTGCTGGAAAGATCGAGCGATGCTTTTCATGGACGCTTTGGAAATGGACATCCTTGGCGCAGAAAACAATTTTCCAATCCCGGACATCCACCCTCCGACACGGGTATCCAGGGACATGATTTCAAAGGCATATAATGCATTCCGCAGCGATGGCAAGCCATATGGTCATATTGTGACTGGTCTCTGGGGCTGCGGAGCCTTCGGCGGAAACAAGTACGTCAAGTGCCTCCTACAGTGGTGTGCAGCGACCTTGGCTCAGGTTCCAGTTCTCAAGTACGTGTTTTCAGGCTCTGAGCAAAAAGGATTTGCCGAGGAGTTTGATCAGTTTGTGATAAGGATGAGGGGGGGAGAATTTCACCGCGCAGCAGGTCTTTGAAGCTTTGGCGGGGCTGAAAGATTGCGGCCATGAGGTCAGCGCAGATGGAGTTTTTGATTATATTGTAGATCAGCTTGGTACCAAGTAGCAGAAAGAGGAATGGCTCGAAATGAAGTAGGTAAAGTTTCAATGTCAAAATGATACTACTATGCTCAAAGTGGTTGCCGGGTCCGAATTGGGAACTTCACCATCGTCAGAGTTGACAGAACGGACCCTACCCCCACAACATTTGTATATCGGCCATGGCCCACGGTGTGATTTGTCTGATCCCTCTTGACCCTACCACCTCTTTCTTTCATTTTTTTTGGCCTTTTCAATCGAGATAGACGAGAAACATGAGCACGAGTCAAATTATCCGACCAACACACGGCCACTTTTCTGAAGAACGTCCCCAGTGGCGCCTCCTCAGGAGCAAATCAAGCCAAAGAGCCAGAGCACCATTTCATCCAATTCAAGCTAGCACAACGGCACAGAGCAACGAAGAACCTCTTCCGGAGCCTCATAATCTTCCCGAGGCTGTTCTTCTAGAAGATATGGCGCTCTGTGCCGAACAGGCACAACTCACGCCATCGGGACTTGACAAAAACCCACCAGTCCAATCCGACTCCGAAGCTGATAACATACCTGCTACACCTAAATGTTATCTACTCACTCTTCCGCCGGAAATCTTTGATGAAATTCTTAAATGGCTTGCCGTCAGCGATCAGCAATCCGTTGCATGGACCAGCAAAACCTGTTTCCAAAAGTACATTCCAATCCTGCAGGACTCAAGTCAGGAGTTTCCGCCACCAGTTGAAGACTATCTACTTCTCCAACGCAAGCCACAAAGAAAGAAATCTGAGATACCATGCTGTCCTCCGGAGGAGAGGCCTCGGGAGCCCCATTGCCTTGACTGGTGGAGAATACGACATACTGAGTCCTGTACTCTCAAATTTAGCAACGGTGTAAGGCTCTGTCCTTGCCTTATCGTCGGTCCTAGGGTCTTTGTAAACTTCATCAGCAAGTTGAAGCGAGACCAGTTCCGCTCAAGAGTTGTGAATTTCTGGGAATACGGCATACCGATCAGGAACGACAAGACCGATTTTCAGCATAAATGCACAATTTCGCATATCCGGCAAATGGAAGTCTCACTATTGATGCAAGTTTCAACAGTTTCAGACGAGCAATTATTAGTATTCACTGAATATCGTATCCATGTCTGGACTGTGCCTTTGTCAAATACAATGAAGCCTCTTCACATTTGTCCCCATGAACAGGACATCGTGCCATGGCTTCGGGCATACATTGACTGTCAAGAGAAAGAGGCTATCGGGTGGCAGGCTGACTACGAGCTTTGTCCGTTTTGTCAAATTATGATTTGCCGTGGTCAGGGACGTCGTGATTTGGTGGTAAGGGTACGAAGTGGGTTGCATCAAGAGCCTTTGGCTAAGCACTGCCGATATGTTTCCTTTGAAGACTTTCCCGTCCGACCATTTGATTTTTCTATCCGCCATCAGGTTCAAAGATGCTGTGCAAAAACTACGGAGGAGCAGTTTGAGATTTGGGGTGGAATGGCTCTTTGCTAGTGGAGGAAGCTTTTGGCTTGCTTTAGTGGGGTGAAGGGATATTATTTGACTCCCATGGAATTGAATTTGGGCTTCACTAGGCCGACTAGTGAAAATTTCTAGGTAGCTATCAATGTCTCTTTCATGTGAACAAAAGCTATCAAACCCTTCTTCCACCAAGGAGGCCCTCGTAGTAGATTCTTTGGCCTTATCACTCCAAGAACATGAGCATATATTGCCGTCAAATATTTTTCTGAGATGGCAAATCTGTGCCGTCGAGATCAAGTCTTCTGACCATCCTGAACCTTCAGCTCGTTTTGCGTAACTTCATCGCCTTGGCTGCTGGTGAGCCGATCCAGAGGATATCCCGTCATAATTTCGGCTTGAGTTGTTTTGCGGCATCGTTGCTTGTATTTTCTCCATAACTCAGGCCAGTCCAGCCACGATCGAAACACAAGGACGATAAACCTGCAAATCGTGTAGGCAGCCGTGAGTACTTGGATGATGTGGAATTTATCCATCAATGAAGCAGGTGGAAGAGTAAAAATACACAATTTAATGCAATATGCAGAGTGAATGGCGATAAAACCTTTGTGATAAGAATTTGGAGATATTATGAGGAGAGAGTGTGGTAGGTACCGACAGATCGATCCTCGAGATAAGTACGCTTGATACTGTAGCGCCGAGAATTTATGGTGCTTTGACTTGACAGGACCCAGCTAGGCTCAGGATACAGTCATATAAAGGAACTTCTTAGAATATAATGAAAGTTTCTAGATGATACATAGACAACGGTGCCTGTATCTAGTTCAAACACACATTTCCTCCTAGAGGCATCGATTCCGTACCATGGGGTAAGTAGGTCTTTATGCATAACATGGAGTAGATAAAGAGAACATAATAACTATCGAATAATCACTCGTCGAAATACTACAGCATCTATACATGATCTCAGAGATTAGTAGCTACTTGCTTACCCAAGTCACGTGCCAATCTACTTCCCCGGATGTCATTCAGTAAATAGGCTAGTTAAAGTGCAGCCATCAGCGGTCAGCGGAGGGATCTGATCTCGGACGCCAAACCGGACCAGGGATTAGTTCGCCTTCCCCTCATCTCCCACCCCCAAAGCACACACCACGCGATGGGCAACCCCTATATTCACACCGACGGGCGCACACTATCAAACCTTCTTGTACTATCAAAATAATATACCCCCCATCCTCTATCGCCTGCAATGGCGGAAATCTACGATACCGACCGGTTCGCGGAACTCTATTATCCATCAAATACAGCGGACCTCCTGCAGCTTGGCCTTGCCGCAAGATTCATAGCCAGCTTATTCGAGGCCCACCAGGTCACGTATGCCTTTATTGGAGGATGGGCGGTATATCTAAGAGGGGGCCGGCGGAGGACACAAGATATTGATATCACTGTTGCTACGACGATGGACCATTTGAAACAGATCCTGACCGCGCAATCTCGGTACTTGCTTGACACTTTTTTTTAATTATTTCTCGCGCAGTCTATTATTCTCTCTTGGATGATGGCTTTCTTTTTTTGATTTATTTTGCTTTGTTTTAACCGGTTTTGCCCAGAATACATTTTCCACTCACCCACGGCCGAACATCCGTACAAGTCTTCATCGACACGGGTCGGAGCGTGGATGGCGAGTTCCCTCACGTCCCAGACTTGGCAGTCAGCATGGACATAGTGATCAGTGGTAAGCCTGACACGTCCTTTCATCGGCAAGAAAACAATAACACGTTGTTAATATCTAGGGCCATCCTTAGGACACTTGGGGACGCCGGAGGATCTACAATCCTCACGCGAACCCATCAACCCACATAGACCCACGCCGTTGGGTTCACCGGTGTTAGTGTTGGGACTGGTCTTTCAAATATATGCCAAGTTAGACGCGTTTTTCCGGCGAGGCGAGCAAGGGAGTAAGGACTTTTTGGATTTGGAGTTTTTGTTTACCCAGTATGCGGCGCAGATCCCCACGTTTCGGGATTATTATGATTTGGAGCATCGGAGGTATTTCTGGACTCAATATGCGGAGGCGTACATGGCGTTTCCCGATCAGGTTGAGAATATGAGATTATTATTAGGCGTCTGACGCCTGTATGTGCATTATGGCCGGTCTTTAATTCAATTTGGAGTATGCACAATCTTCAATAAAAACAATATGATTATTTCATTTGATTCATTTACTTCATTATATAAAAAGGTTTCTAACATGACATGCGTTTCTGAGTCCATGGGTCTGGCGAGCCTTTAAGGCGAAAGCGGGTGTCAAAGAGATTGTCTGGAGTCGTCCAGCCCAGCCTACCTTTCTTACTGCGAACCCTGGACTCCCATTTCTCTCGCTTGTTAATTGTTTGCGTAGGGAAATAATGGACAAAGAGCCGTCCTTTTCCGCGAGCCGCCTCCGTGGCGACTTTATTCATACGGGTTGTCCATTCCAGGTCGTTGGGACCATCAAGGTCAAGATGTCTCCGTCCCCATTCTTCGGAGACATTTGACCCGTCGATGCAGTCACAAAGTGATACATCATCATTCATGTCCAGGTAGCTTTGCATTAAGATTGGTAGTGTTGGGTATGGTAGGCCGGTGAGGCTGCGTTGTATTTGGAAGGGACCGGAAGGAATGTGAGCGTCGTGAGCAGGCACAAGGACAAAGTAGAAATGAATGCCCCTCCCTTTGAATCGGTGGTAGGTATGGTCTAGCGAGAAAGGATGTGAAGTCGAGTGTGGAGGTACAGGGTGAATCTGGTCGGATATAAGTTCGGAGGAAAGAAGAGCAGCAGCTTCGTTGACTTTGTTGTCGGGGACGCAAAGATCCCATTCCTATGCAAGTTCGTTTGTCAGCCTCGGAGAAAAGTCCGTTTAAAGCAGAAGCAAAAAAGAACATACATCTCGAACACGCCCAGCTCCATAGTAAATCAGGGCCGAAACGCCAACAATACAGCATTCGATGCCATGCTCCTCCAGAAATCGAGTTATGCTCAGGATTTCGAATGTTCCATGGCCTCCGCACGAGGGGACCTCGTCTGGAGAGTAGGTGGCGGGGTCGGCTACAGGCAAGGACGGTGGAACTGGAGGGTTGATATGAATGTTGGAAGCTAGCATTGCGAGGTGCACCAGATGGAGACAGAAGTGCCCTTCTAACGGACTGGAAAAAGAAGTTTGTCTTCAAGTCGCGGGGAACCCAGATGCTGCGGCTCCACGTGATCTTCCCTTAGTCACTGAATCTAGACCCGAGGTATCCTGCACGCTTTTATTTTCTTTTCTTCACCTCCACGACTAGGGGATAACCTTAACTTAAGATCGACTCGTGCGATCTGATACCTCATATATTGGTACAATAAAAATAGAAAAGAACAGTTGATAAGGCTTTTGGTGGGATACAAATGAGTGAGAATAGTCCCCTCGTTTTTGAAGAGCTGAGAAAGAGGCACGTTCGATGAGGCCCCACCAGGATAGCTTGATTCGCCCCCGGCTACTAACGGTTCTGATGATTCACATCGGCTCGATTCGTACAGTAGCGTGGCGAGACGTACATATACTAGATCAGGTTTCCTGCATGTGATCTTGCCCGTGGATACTTTAGCTTGGTGACATGTCGACTCTTGATTTTGGATGTATAGAACTCTGGAGTCCGCCACGTCGATATGCATTTGGGTCGTTTGAAGCGACAAGCCCCGCTTGCCCAGCCTGTATGATAGTATGCACTTTGCAGAACACGAGTATATTCACTTTCTCTCGTCTATCTTTCCCTCATTTGTATAATAATGGGTATTGGAAGAATGCATCGCATCTGTCGTAAATCATCAACTTCGGCTCACTCCTTCCCCCCCCCCCACTTCCCCACAACTTGATAGCCATTCTACTCCGTACAAGTCCACGTCTTACTGTGGGTATGGCCAAGGCTTAAGCCATTCCCTGGCTGACCTGCTCCTGTCGCTCCTGCCAGACATTCTTTCCAGAGCAAGAGCAGACCATCTTATCATTATCCCACACGCCAGCACTGCGCGCAATAACACCCACCAAGGTGTTCTCATCCTCGCGCTGGAATGGTCCCTCCTTGCTCTTGCCAACGACCATACTCCGCCCAATCAGTTCCCAAACAGCAACGGGTCGGTCGAGGAAAACATTGCCGCGGCCCTCATTATCAACATCGACCGTGCCGAAGATCCCCCGCGGCTCCTTCTCAACCGGGGCTGTGGCGTCCGAGCCCAGGACCTTATTCTTCAAAGATTCCCAGATACTCCCGGTCGATTCAGCACCTCGAGAGATGTCTCCAGCCTCACGGATAGTAGCGTAGTATTTTCCAGACGAAAGACCGTTGATTGTCAAGTCAACAAGAGTCATGTTAGGTGAGACCTGGACCATGCGGGCCAGGCCACGGATCTTATTGGCGACGGTAGTGGAGTGTGTTTCGAGGATACAGACAGCGGAGCCTGAGAAAAGTGATATTCAGTAAGTGTAGCGTAGAAGCAAAAAGTAGATGGAGCCAATGCGTACTGTCAGTGGTGCCACTTCCGCGCAGAATCGCATCCCGGCCTGTGTTTTGAATTGCAGTCACGATCGAACTCGGCGGGGCGGTGCCTTCAACGAAAACAAGTTGATCCTTCAGGTTGGCTTCAACCTTCTTGATACCTGCATGTATGGAAATAGGGTGTAAGAACGGAGCTCAAGAAGAATGGGTCGCATAGATCGGAGACCGTACCATCGAGTTTGCTTAGAGTGGTGGAGACATCTTTCACGCATCCCTCGCAGGTCATAGGGACCGAGAAGGTTGTCTAATATTTATTGCTCAATCAGTACACGTCTTCATCGAAATATTAGCCGTGTCGGGGGAGACCGACCTGGAATGGCTCAATCATGGCGGGGAAGAAGTAGATGCGACGCCGAGGGCTCGTGGGCAATCAACAAAGGAAGAGGTGCAGAATCTGCGAGAGAAGTTGGATAGCAAACAGGAGTATGCGGCTTTGAAAAAGAGGAGTTCACAATGATCCCAGTAAATATGTTCAAAGCATGCCTGACTGAAAACCCCAAGAGCCGGCAGTCGGCGGCGGGGGTCCGATTTGGATTTCAAATCGGAGCTGTTCTTCGGCCCGCCTCTTCCCCAGAGACACGAAACGTCATTCCGAACCAACTTCGCCTTCCGCACACCTTGCCCCCTCCCGCGCCCAGCACGACGCCGCGAGGAAATCATGTCAGCCGCGAAATCGCGCTGGGCAGACAATGACCCAGAGACGGAAGCGATAATTGCCCAGCGCAAGCGCGAGAAGGAGGAGAAGCGCCGCACCAAGGCGGAAAAACAGCGCCAGCTTGAGGAGGCCAGCAAAGCCCCAGCTCCCATAGAGCCAGCCGATGCTGACCAAGGGGTCAATGGGGAACAGGGACCACCAAAAAAGCGAAGGAGATTGTCAAATGACCCCGACGCGTCTTCGGCGGCAGGTGAAGTCTCGACGAGTGCAGAGCTGAAGAAGCAGTCGAGCTTGCTGAGGTTCCCTGTTGGCGAGTGGGGACCTTGTAGGCATGTTGACAACTTTGAGCGATTGAATCATATCGAGGAAGGCTCGTATGGATGGGTTTCGAGAGCCAGAGACATTACGACGGGTGAGATTGTGGCGCTGAAGAAATTGAAGATTGAGAACTCGCCGGACGGGTTCCCGGTGACGGGATTGAGGGAGATCCAAACGCTCCTGGAGGCGCGGCACCAGAATGTTGTCTATCTCCGGGAAGTGGTGATGGGTAACAAGATGGATGAGTGAGTCAAATTACCCCAGTCATTTTGGAAGGTTTACGCTAACTAGCTGCTTTTCACAGCGTCTTCCTAGTGATGGACTTCCTTGAACACGACCTCAAAACCCTCCTTGACGACATGCGCGAACCGTTCCTCCCATCCGAGATCAAGACACTACTCCTGCAGGTTGTGGGTGGCCTTGAATTTCTACACTCGCAATGGATCATGCATCGTGACCTAAAAACCTCTAACCTCCTCATGAACAACCGTGGCGAGATTAAGATTGCCGACTTTGGTATGGCACGATACTACGGTGACCCACCACCCAAGTTGACACAGCTCGTCGTGACTCTTTGGTATCGAGCACCCGAGCTGCTGTTGGGCGCGGACAAGTATGGCACGGAGATTGACATGTGGAGCATCGGCTGTATCTTCGGCGAGCTTCTCACCAAGGAGCCCCTGCTTCAAGGCAAGAACGAAGTCGACCAAGTCTCCAAGATCTTTGCCTTGACGGGACCTCCCAATCAGCAAATCTGGCCAGGCTTCCGATCCCTGCCCAACGCGAAATCTCTACGTCTTCCACAAACTTCGGCTTCACCTGCTGGGAACCCGCCATTGCTACCTCGCTCCAGATTCCCCTACCTCACAAACGCGGGTTTGAACCTGCTGTCCACGCTATTAGCGCTGAACCCAGCTTCCCGTCCAACCGCACAGCAATGTCTAGCACACCCGTACTTCCGGGAAGACCCTCGTCCCAAGCCAAAGGAAATGTTCCCGACCTTCCCCTCCAAGGCTGGTATGGAGAAGCGGAGGCGCCACCATACACCAGAGGCTCCTAAACGGGGTCAAGATGCCCCTGAGCTGGACTTTGCGGGTGTGTTTGGTGGGGCAGCTGGAGGTGATACAGGCGAGGCTGGTGCTGGATTTTCCCTTCGCCTGGGATGAACAAGTTATAGATCCAGAATTTTATTTCTTTTTTGAAGCCTTTTTATGTCGCCCGTGGTCAGTTGACACGGCAATAATGCCGAACGGCGCGGGCATACCATGACAACCCATCTGCCCCTGCCTGGATCAACAGGATGTACATAGTGGATAGGTCACTTCATGAGCAATTGGGAGAGTGAAGGCTTGCAAAACAGATCATGCCAGACCTCACTTCAATAGAATCGATCATTCGTCTGTCACACCTTCCAGGTGAGTGGGCACAAAAGTGACGAGCTCCTTTGATCGCCTCTGGATACGATATTGAAATGATGGTGAGGTCTCTATGCTATATACCTCAAGCTACAAGAATACGCTGTTGAATGATATGTCATATCCCAATAAACAAGTTCGTGGTGCCCAAATAACATCTGCATTGTCTTAAAACATGACCCCTATCAATGGCCCCATTACACGCTCTCAAATCCGACCAGACATAAAAGTCGTCATAGCCGCCTGATCGCCCAGTCCATTCTCGGTTATTCAAAAACTTAAGTGCTCTCAAATGCCAATCCACCCCAACATTCGAGCCCGGCTGTTGACCCTGAAGATAAAAGCCCTAACTTCATTTCCCTTGATGGCATTCACATGGAATCCCTTATTCGGATCCCAGTCATATCGCATCTGGAAATCGACGTTGCCTGTAAATACACCGTTGATGCCGCAGATGCCGTCGAAGTTGCTGAATTTGACGTTCTAGGGATGAAGAATGGTTAGTCGTAGACTTTCTATAGGAGGATTCTAGTAGGTAGGGTAAGATAGTGTACCATCCAGGACCAAGATGTTACGCTCCTCCTGCCATTGCTTACAGTCGATTTCGAAAACAGATTACCCCATGGACACACTGGCTTTGTTTGTCGGCCCGTATCCGAGTATGGACTAGTCGGAATTAGGAAAGGCTGTAAACAATTGTCTCCTAAGAATAAACAATAAACCTATTATAAAAATAGAACGACTGAATAACGTAGAATACAGTATATTACACGTACCTCCCATACAGTGCCACCTCTCTCAAGAATTGCTAGAATCATACGCACTTCATGGCACCGAAGACTACCATCCTCAAGGCTACAATTTTTGTCAAGTACAGGATACTGTAGATCGAAATCAGATTCACCACTTACATAGAGATTCTTCCTCGAACCCTGTTTCGCAACACCACTATACTACAGTTCATATTCCACTGAACCTCTTCCTGGCAGTTTTCCAGTACACTAGTAGATAACAAGATATATAGTCAGCATTCATTAATATTTTGGAACACGGTATCTGCCCACTTATCTTTCTGCCAGTGGGCGGAAATATTGTTTTCCAATACTAATGAACTGTAAAGCTTCTGCACTTAGATTGTTCAGCCTCTAGAGTGACAACTATGGATAAGCGAGGTGTACAGAGACAGTACCGGTGGGTTTTGTTTGTTTTTCTCTTGTAACAGACTTGGCTGTCCGATAGGGGACTTTCACCTCCTGGTTTCTGACTGGTCGAAACTGTGCTACCGTTGAATCCGTTATATATCTCCATCATTAAGCGTTCGTGGTAGTAAGCTCAAAGTACCATGTGTGCCATTTCCGCCACTTTTCGTCATTAGTATACGCACGGGCCCGCTGTTGCCTAGAAGTCTAAACCCATACAGGCCAGTCTTTTCTGCACTCACCGGTTCTATATATGAGGCTTGTTTGTATGCCTTTTGATTGGCTAATAGATATTATTCAACTTCTTACGCTATACATTAACCTTTCGCTATTGTCAGTTTTGGGTTTAGTCTGTATTAGTTTGGCGGCTCCGCAACCTCATCCTCATCATGAGCCTATCGCTTCTTTTCGCGACCAGTACGGAGTACTCATCCTTAGGTTATTACTAGGCAGCAACGGCACAACTATATCAAGGATACCCACAGATAGCAGTTGAAATGACATATAAATACGTCTCAAACCCCCACTGCTATGGAAAGGAAAATCTTATCACACTGCCCGAGATATCAAAATCAATACACTGGGTACCAAGCGCCAATCAAACAAACTCAGTATTCAGACATTTCTTTTTTCCCAACGCAAGATGCCAAAGTTTATGCTTCTCGTCCGCGCTACTCACGACAGCGAGTCCGGAATACCACCTTCAACAGCAATTATCGAGGAGATGATGGCTTACAATACCAGTCTATCCGAAGCTGGCATCCTGCTTGGTGCAGAGGGTTTTCTGTCTTCTTCTAAAGGTGCCCGTGTCAGCTTCACACCGCAAAACGAGTCGTCAGTCGCTCCTGGTCCTTTCACGATTGAGTCAATTATTTCAGGGTTTTGGATCATCAAGAGCAAAAGTCTTGACGAAGCAATTTCCTGGGCACGCAAGGCACCATTCCGCGCCGAAGGAAGTGCTATTGAAGTCCGACAGATTGCCGGCCCAGAGGACTTTTTTGGTAATCAGTTGACCGATGAGCTCAAAACCCACGAAGAGGAGCTGCGGCGACGGACGGAGGAAAGAGCTGTGGGAGAGTAACTATGAAGAAGTTATAACGAAAGAATAAAACTTCCCATCGACTCAACGCGGCTTAACAGGGATGGCTTTATTTGTTTCAGTTACGAAAGTTTGATATTGTTAAATGGCCTGTATTGTCATTCTTTCTCCCTTTACTTTGAATAGTAGAGTAAAACGTGTGACAAGAAACGAGTGGACGAAGGCATTGGGGCAGTAGAAAGTGGGGGCGAAGAGATCACACTTATCTGACCAGTGATAACGATGCGTAATATATAGGCGTATTTTAGGCCTACGCATATCAGACCGGCCATAAACCAACACGCGGTTGCCAAGACATATTTGGCTCCTTGGGGATCACAGCACATGTCAGCGCGTAGACCAACAGAGGCCATGTGGTGTACATGTGGTGGCGGGGAAGCAATAAGTATTGTCCACAACTCATCAGACTCCCAGGCTCTAATAACAGATTGCATCAGACGTGCTATGCTTACTTGTTTAATTCACCTATTATTCAGGGAATCAACACTAGTCAATACCACTCCAATCTGGAGCACGCCTGAATGGCATTCAAGCACATACAATTTAACTTGAGTGTCTGCCATCCTTGGATGAAAAAACCTTTTGTCAGAGTATGAAGCATTTCTCTCAGAAGCTCGGAGCCACAAGGGACAAAAGCGGGGGTAAAGGCATATCTGAGTGCATATTCGACAGATATACCTTGGTGCTCACGTATATGTGTTTAGTTCTTGAACAGCTTGATCTGACCACCCATAACGTCCCACGGTATCTACCAAGATCATGGCCGACAGCTGAGGCCTCGAGCCCTGTGGTGGCTTTTGTCCTGTCTTCTAAACTTCCAAATCGTCCTAATCTATAATGAGATCGGTAATAAAAATCGGAGTTCGTGTCTATCCGGGAATTGATTAAAGAGTCAATCCTTGTCTACACTGGAAACATATGTATGGTACCCAAATCGGGATTGTGAATCGTCTGTGCCTGCCTATCTTCTCATGTAAAAAGAAGGTTCGGGAGCTTTTTCAAATCTCAAAAGAGCCTATATCTTGGTGCTCTCTGGTGTTCTCTACCATGAGAGCAGTATTGCGGCATTTTTCCGGAGTTACTGTCCTGCATTGCAACAATATTTGAGCCTCCAAGCTGCCGGAAATGGGCGCCTGTCGGTTTCCCGAGCCCTAATTTCCCCCAAATGCTAATTGATCGACAACAGAAACAAGCTGAATGAAGAGTCGCTCTTGAAACGACGGTCCTACCTAATCCATGGACCTGAAATCTGGCCTAGAAGAAGGAAAATAGGGCGCGACTAATTAATCATATGTTGTTCGATTGAAACTCATAGAGAAAGGGCAGACTGGGAACTTCCCCCGTCTCTCTTCTCCAGCGGATACCTAAAGATACACCAATAAAAATGCAGAATGTCGATATGAGAGACCAAGCAGAGTCCTTGCAACACCAAGCGGCCCTTAGCACATGAGCATAAAGTATGAAAGACATCAAAGGCATGATAATTCACAGCTGTCGTGAGTTGCTCGGCGTCTCAACCATCACGCCTGGGCTTGAGAGCTCGGAGGAGCATCTTCATCTGGCTCGCCGTCATCTTGCTCCTCACTCGCCTGAGCATCTCGCCGGAACGAACGCTGCATGGTGTTGGAAAAATCGGCCCGAGTCAGCTGGCGGACTCTGCTGGATGAACCACGGCCGCTACCAGAGGCGTAGAAAATTCGTCCATCACCAGCGACATGTTCTCCCTTGACGGGCAAGTCACCACGGTCTGGGTAGTAGCTGCTATTCTTGCCATCGGCCATCCAGTATTCGTCTCTGTGGGTCGCTCTGAAGAGAGCCTCCTCGTCGATGGGAGAGTCAAGTGGTGACCAGGGAGCAGAGGAAATGGAGGTAGGCGAAGTGTAGTTTGCAGAGTTGATAGCGCTGTTGTCCTGGTTGTAGCTGGTAGAGAGGTCCGAGTCGCACTGAGAGTCGGCGGCACCCCAGAGGCCAGGATGTGGGGGAAAGGGTGGATCATTAACAGGACGCTGCTGATCCTCGGATGATCTTCGCAGGATCTCAGGGCGGCTCACTTGGGTGGAAGAAGATCTCGAGGCAGATTCCTGGCATGGCTGTCAGTTTATGTTCGATGGATGAGATTTTCTCAAATGTGCTTACATTTCTCTCAGAGACGTGAATTCCAAACGAGTGGCGACGCCGATCAGACTGGACCTCGCGAGTCCCAGTGTTCTCAGTATTGGCTTGAGCTTGTCGAGCTTGTCGAGTGTAGTCATCCATGTTGCAGGGGAAGGTGATCGAATCTTGCACACAGTGGGCCGTCACTACACGAGGACAGGCGAGGGGTGTGAAGGAAACCAAGGCGTTCCCTTTGTGAAAATTGTTGAGGATATGGGCAAGTCCCGTGTTAAGATGAGTGTCCAGACTCCAGGGTAATTCTGTGGGATGGTGTGGCTGGCTGTTTGGGTTGAGATGGGAAGAGGTGGTGGAGGCAATTGAGGGAAGGTGCACAGTACTCAAGGTGGTCTCGCTCTCCAGTCTGGGGAATTCGGGGTCAAGCGTGGGGCTCAACTCGTTTTCTCTTACCCACTGCTCCAAAAGTTCGTGGTATAATCCGGGAAAAGCAATCTTCACATTGGCTGAACACTTCCTGGACTCCGAGACAGGGGACTCACAAGCCTGAGGTTCCAGGGAATCATCACCAAGTAGCACTCTCTCTTGTGTGACAGGAGCCTTAGTTCTGATGACCAAAGATCCTCGTTGCTCAGGCGTTTTTGACCCTGCAAGACTTGGAGTACTGTAATCGGGCAATGCCAATGACTCTGAGGAGTCATTGCGTTTAAGTTGCATCTCCAAAGATGGTACGTTTCGTGTCTCGCTTAATTGTCTCAGCTCTTCAATTTGCTCGCATGCGCATTGTTCATGGTCCAACCAATTCTTCATAAGATCTCTCTTCTGTTCTGAATCCACATTCTGCTTGTAACACTGCAGACTTGTTCCACCTAGATTATCCTCATCTGTGGAGTTGGCAGACAACGACCCTGGGGTGTGTCGGTCTTCTGAGGCAACAGAGGGAGTCAAATAATCGGCACGGTCTTTCTGTATATCTTCGATAATCGATGGATTTGGTTCTGCAAACGTCTCCTCGTCCGGAATATGAGACGTTACGATGTTGTCCTGGTAGGACTCGTATGCGAATGGCTGATCGGCAGGCGTACTCACAGTTTGGTCAAAGGCCGGTTCTGAATCATCTACCAGGACACAAGAACTTGTTCTAGGCTGTGGTGCAGAGACAGTATTTTTCAGGGGATGGAAGGAAGGAACCTGCTTGACAACATTTCCATCCAGATCATCCAGGGTTCGTGGCTGAGCTCGGCCATTTCGGTACAGATCAGTCCCAAAATTCAGATCTTCCTGGGTGCTGCTTGAGATGTCGGAAAATCCATGGGTCCTTCGATGGGTGTGGCCCTGCTTAGGAAGGGATTTGGTCTCATTTTCAAAAGGGTCATTGCCTTGAGGAGGTGGTCGACCGAACAGGCCTGCTCTAAGAGCCAAAAGCCCAGACCGTGCCTTGTGGAGAGTTCTTCGTGGAAAGGTTGGGGTCCCATCAGTCTGCCCAGGGAAATCCGAGGAGGATGTCCGAAGTTCAGAGCGACGAAATATCCGTCGTAGATGCGAGCTCTGTCGTGAGCTATGAGTACCAAAAACAGGATAGTGCACACTCTCCAAGCAGGTTGGCTCTTGTTCTCGAGGCTCAAGGATGCTGCATTTCTCACTGAGTGAACCGGCCTTCAGGGAATAGTGCCAATATCTTACCTTCCTCTCTTTGAAGACCCGCGGAATGAAAGTGACAGTGAAAACGCACTGCTGTGACGCGTTAGGCGTTCATGAAAGCCGGCGTCATTCGAACTCTTGTCCGTGTCCATGTTGGCAAGCGATGCAAGCAAATGGGCTGTACGTATGTGCCTGGAAAGGAACGGTCGATACACGAAATTGTGCGTATGGTAAAATGGGAGGGTAAAATGCTGTCTGAAGACTTGCAAAAGACACAAGAAGAGAAGCAATATACGGCAAAACAAATCGCGAGGCAGGAAATCATCCAGTTTTCCCAAATTGGCAAGACCGCCTCTTTACTATCTAGTACTTTTACGCGGACACAAATACGTAGATTACTGGTAGGAAACAGGGTAAAGACGTGTCTTCGAAACACGTATTTGTACAATAATGGTAGAGTGATGATGGTTTCAAATTTTGAAGGGCGATTGAAGCGTGAGTTGTTACCCAATGTGTCGCAGGTCATGCGTTGTTGTGGTGAGTATAGAGAACCTCTGATAAACGGGGTTGTCAACTGGCAGGTGCTGATCACCGATCCACTTTGCCCGAGCTTCTTTTCTCCGTTCTCATCCTCCCTTCTCCGCTTCATTATTTCCTTCGACCCCCCGCCATACCCACAGTACCCTTTGGAGATTGTGTCATATTGTGTCTCATAGTTCTCTTGTTTTCCAATTTCTCCTCTTATCGAAGATGGCCAAGAAGCAGCCACAGCCGCGGCAGACTGCGGTCTCCTTCGACGCGATCATTCAATCCGGTAATCACTTCTGCCCTCTCAATGCCTGGAACATCGGATATCTAACCTCCATCGCGCAATAAGATCGCCGGAAGAAGCAAAATGAGCAGCTTGCAAGCCAGATCCTCGGCAAGAACAGAAATGAGAAAGGCCGCCGAGCAAGCGCGCCAGGCCCAGGCGCGGTAAGCAAGTTGCCGAACTCGAAGCCGGGGAGCTTAGCCAGTCGCATCGGAGTGCCAAAGGTAATCCCGATTTTTCGCATAGCACATGCATCTCAATTCCAATAGCGATTCCTGACGTCTTGCCTGCTTCTGTAGCGATCTGCATCAGTTTCCGCCCGACCCAACCAGGCCAACAAGGTCACCAAGGCCAAACCTGCCCCTGTCACAGCCCCATCCACACGAAAGTCCACAAAGCCCACAAATCAACGTCGCCCGAATGTCGAGAGAATTCAGGCTGCCATCCAGTCCGGCAATGACCAAGCTACAGTTCGTCCCGCTCCCGCGGGTATGACGATTAAAGGCGCTTCCGGGCCCTTTGTAGTCATTGGCAGCAACTTTGCCCCTGGAACGACTGCTGCAGACATCCAGTCTGCGATTGAGCCCATCTCTGGCCCAATGCTGACCTGTCGAGTCACCTCGCACCACCCCACTGTTACCGCAGAGTTTGCATTTGGAGAGAAGTGGTGCGCCGAGAACGCAGTCGCCAACTTCCACAACCAAAGAGTAAGCGGTCAGCAAGTTACCGATAGTCAATATATCTATTCTGACACAAGTTACAGGCCGACGGAAGACTTTTGTCGCTCAAGTTACAGCCAGCTGGAACCCAAGTAGGCACTCCGGGTACCTCGTTCAACGACCTTCGAGAGCAAGCAGATCGCGAACGCAGGAATCGCCGCGCAGAACCGGTGCTTCAGGATGGCCGTTATGGATTCGACGAAACGGGCGGCGCTCTCAACTCAGAGGCAGGGCTTTACAGTGACGAGATGATGGTGGATGCTCCGCAGCAGAAGAACCAAAACCGGCGGAGACATCGGCGGTAATCCACTGGCGCAAGGAACAGACCGCGGAGTACATTGCTTAGAATGTGCCGTCTACGAACGGGACCATGGCCCTGGTGTACAATTCTTGTTTATTTCGCTTCTCGGATGTATCCATTCTCATGACATGTATGAATATCAAGTAATTATTGACTGAGTCGCACGGAAACTCAAGGCTCTTCACTGAACACGCCTCCTGGTGCTGGTGATAAGGATAAGATCACGTGGAGCGGAGCTTCTGCGGAGATTGGCAGATTTGGAGACGGGGAAATACAAACCTGCGATACTAACCAGCAGCCAATTACAAAATATTTGACCGGGGAATTCGAGCTCCGATGATTAAGCAAACTTAGGTCACCCGATTTCAGAGCTATTGGCAGGTTTCCAATTCAACACTTCTCAATATGAACGCTGCTACGCGGCGCGCGGCGTCAAATGCCCTCCGGAGGTCTCGTACGTCGATTTTCTCGACATACTCGCGCCGATGGAACTCTACATTCGCGGAGAGGCAATGGTCTACACCACTAGCGCGCACATTGGCCAGTGCGATGAAGGTATTTTTATCTCCAAAAAGCCACCTGAAGCCCTGTGCTAACAAATATCGGTCTCTCTAGGTCACCGGGCCGATTCCCATCGCCGCATTTATGCGCCAAGTGTTGACCTCCCCAGAAGGTGGTTACTATACCTCCCGTGAAGACGTGTTTGGAAAGCATGGTGACTTTGTTACCTCGCCGGAGATCTCACAAGTGTTTGGAGAGTTGATTGGCATCTGGGCTATTGCAGAGTGGATGGCACAGGGGCGGAAGCGGAGTGGTGTTCAGTTGATGGAGGTCGGACCGGGTAAGGGAACCCTTATGGATGATATGCTCCGGGTGAGTTGCTGTGGTCAAAACAGGAAAATGAGGTCGCATGGACTAACGAGCTATGATCCTCGGACAGACGTTCCGGAACTTCAAGACCTTCACATCGAGTATCGAGGCTATCTATCTCGTTGAGGCGAGTGGTACATTGAGACAGGTGCAAAAGCGCCTTCTTTGTGGTGAGGAGGCTGCTATGGAAGAGACCGATATTGGACACCGGAGTACTTGCAAGTACTTTGATGTACCCGTAATTTGGGTGGAGGACATTCGTCTATTGCCGCATGGTGAGTTGCACAAGTTATTGAAATATTTGCAACTGCCACTGACAAATATAAAATCAGAGGAAGGAAAGACTCCCTTCATCTTTGCCCACGAATTCTTCGACGCGCTCCCCATCCACGCCTTCGAGTCTGTCCCCCCAGCCCCCGAGAACGAAACGCCACAGGAAGTTCAGGAGATCATGACTCCCACGGGCCCTCAAAAACTCCTCAAGCCGCTCAAGGTGGCAAACACCCCACAATGGCGCGAGCTTCTAGTCACATTGAACCCCAAAGCCGTCGAAGAAAACATCGAAGGCGAGCCCGAATTCAAATTAACCAAGGCCAAGGCCTCCACGCCTTCTTCCCTCGTCATCCCCGAGATCTCCGAGCGCTACCGCAAACTCAAGTCCCAACCGGGCTCGACCATTGAAGTCAGCCCCGAAAGCAGGATATACGCAGCTGACTTTGCCCGCCGCATCGGCGGTGATACTATCCCCGCAAAGCCTTCGAAGAAGAACCCTGTTCCCGAAGCACCTCAAAAAACGACTCCTTCCGGCGCAGCACTGATTATGGATTACGGCACCATGTCAACTATCCCCATCAACTCCTTGCGCGGAATTCAGCACCATAAGAATGTTGCTGCGCTCTCGTCTCCCGGCCAGGTGGATGTCAGCGCAGACGTCGATTTTACTGCTTTGGCTGAGGCTGCTATCGAGGGAAGTGACGGCGTGGAGGTGCATGGACCCGTTGAGCAGGGTGATTTCCTTCAGGCGCTGGGTATTGAAGAGCGTATGCGCCAATTGTTGAAGGGTGTTGGGGATGAGGAGCGCAAGAAGACTTTGGAGACTGGGTGGAAACGCCTGGTTGAGAAGTCGGGCGGGTCTATGGGACAGATTTATAAGGTTATGGCTATCATTCCGGAGAATGGTGGACGTAGGCGACCTGTTGGGTTTGGTGGTGGTGTTCAGATGTAAGTATTTCGAGTGACCTAGATATGAAACCGGGTGATGGTCTGTAATATCATTTGTACATTATTGGAACGAAGTCTCGTCGCAACTATGAAGCCCTTCTTAAATCTAAGCCTAACTCTCAGCGCCATTGGACTCATTAATGAGACGGCCATACTAAGCTTCCTCGCTTCTAGGGGGCGTAAGGTAGCGGAAGGATTTGACTGGGGTATCTCAAAGCCAAGCTCAATCTAAATTCATTCAAGGTTGTATCTATATGGTCATATCTCATAAACAATGCGGGCATGCATAACAAAGCATCTCACAGCCGTACTTCAGCAACATCAAATCATAACCAATTTTTCAAAAATCAATACTCTTGCCAGATATCCGCAACATAAGCCTCAGTCAGCCGCTCATCATCCCCATACTTCTCCTGCCACTGCACGAAACCACCATCCAATATATAAATTTCTTGCTTTTTGCTCTCTTCCTCACCTAGACTACGCTCGCGCTCACGGGCATAACGCAGAGCCGCAGATGGACCGCGCTGTTGGCTTAAAGCACAGTGGAAGACAACCTTCTCCACGTCCTTGAGGGTGCGGAGAAGCTCTGGTAGGCGGACGTCTAGGCTGGAGGTGGGGATCCATGTTGAGGACTTGATGTGTCCGCCAACATGATCTGGATATATGTGTTAGTCGTGAGAGATGGGATTATTCGGTTGCCGGTCATACCTGAGTCCCGGACATCGATAATGGCTAGTTGGCTGGATGTAGGGCCGGAGAGGAGGAGTGCCGCTAGAATGTCGCGGCTCATGCGCGGTAGGGTCGCGATGGAAATAGATGACATTTTTGTAGATTGTCTGAGCGTACCAAGTTGATCTTTTAGTTATTAAGGTAACTGATCAACTGATAGCAGTGAGGTTGTAAAGTCCCCACGTCGTTACTCTTTGAGCGCGCGACGGAGGTTCACGTGATCTATAATTTCTCCCGATTTTCCCAGCGTCTCGCCGCTCCGCTGCTCTCTTGCACTTCCACGCCAGACTCAATCTCCCACACCTTTCTCCAACAAAACGAGTCCAAACTTACCAATTGACCTAGCCAGTCTGCTACGACTGCCCAGGTAAAACCATGGACACCCGCATCCTGGCCCGCGGCCTCCGCGCCAGCCCAACAACAGCATGGCTCCTCAGCTCGCGCCAGCAGCAGCAGCCCATCATCCTCAACACACTCCGCTACAACTCCACAACCTCCTCGCCACAAACGCCCCCCTCCTCCTCAGAACCCACACAAACCAACACATCCGTGTCCTCGGACACCCCCAAACCCGCACCCACCAAAACCGTCGCCTCCGACTTCGACGAAATCCTCAACAAGCTCGACCTCGGCAACCGCAGCACCCTCAACTCCAAGGGCGAACCACGCCGCGTCTTCTCCGACGCCGTCTCCCGCTCCGTCGGCGGCGTCGGCTCACAGACCTTCAAAGACCGCGCCGCTCAGCAGCTTGCCTCGCGCAAGTTGGAGCTGAAGCTGGGGCCCACGCTGGGTCGTCAGGTTCATGTTGAGCCGGAACGGGGTGTGGATTTGCCTGCTGCCATTCGTCAGTTGGAGATTACTTGCAGTGTGAATAAGATTAAGGCGAATGCGCATGAGCAGAAGTTTTATAAGCGGAAGGGTGCGGTGCGGAAGGAGTTGCGTCGGACGAGGTGGAGGAAGCTTTTCCGGTTTTCGTTCCAGGAGACTGTGAAGAAGATTCAGCGGATGCAGGCTCAGGGTTGGTAATTGGATTACCTCCTGTGGCCTTTGGATTTGGATTGAATTGGATTGAGGGATTGGGAGAAGGAGATTGCTCTGCTTGGTTTGTATATATACCGAGACTTGATGGGAGCTTGAGGCCCGAGGCCCTAAACCTGGGGACTGTTGTTTTTCTACATGTATAACTACCTATGGAACTATTTCCCGTCTTGTTTTGTTTGCATTATATATGGAATGCATTGGATCCTGTCTTGATTTTGGACACTGGCATATACACTGTACACGAATCCTTTCTAAACAAATATACAACACAACAGATCAACCAGTCTATACGATACTGCACGCCCATCAATCCCTCTTCCCAGTGGTAAAGCCTCCATACCCAGTACCTCCACCACCACCAGTTCCCACGCCATTGGTAGTAGCAGCAGAGTATCCTCCATACCCATTGATACGTCCACCATTACCAAAAGTCACACCAGGACCCTTTCCCTTCGCAGGCGGAGCTCCCAAAATCCCATCCCCCCGCCAGCCCGAACGACCACGCCCATTACGCTCCCAGTACAGCGCCACCAAAGCACCAACCGAAGCAGCCAGGAAGAACAAGAACAACCGCGAGAAGAACGAGCCAGCTCCAGAACCCTGCGCCGCCCTCGCCCCGCTCATCTCCAGGAACGACTCCGAAGCAGGACGCTCCGGCCATCCAATGCCCGCGCCGCCTTCAATCCAGGCAACGTGGAACGAGAAAGTCAATGGCTCGCCGCGCACAACCTTCGTCCCATGACCCGCTGTCCACGGTTCCCGCGCAGCCTGGGCAACAGTCACAGCCTCCTCGTCCTCGTCGAGCGAGACCTTCTTCGCCGCAGCCTCAAACTCCGGCGTCGAGTACGCTGTCCCAGCCACCGCGTATCCAGGCTGCCCAGACTGGCCATGTTTCCTAGCCTTGGCCGGCTGCGCCGCCGCATCAGAAGCAATATTGTGCATAAGCATGTTCATATCCGTCCAGATATGCAGGTGGCTGAGCTGCAAGGTACCCTGCAGCGCGATAGTGATCGGGGTGAAGGGCGGGCCATTCTCGCTCAACACCGCAAGCGAGTCGACCTCGCCGGACGCGGGGTCGGGATCGGTACGGTCCTTCGGCGCGGTGTTACTGGACGTTAGGGGTGCTGTTGGTACGCGACAGGTCATGGGGGCGTCGGAGTGCACGTAGAATTCGAGGAGGTGGTAGAGCGAGTCGGAGAGGGAGGGGATTGTGCATGTTATTGTTTCGGAGGTCCCGTAGTGGAGGGATAGTGGGCGTGAGGTCTCGTTGCAGGTTACGAAGGGAATCCATTGAAGTTTGCCCAGGTCATCTGTTATCTGTTATGTTGTTAGTCGTGTTTGTTTGGTGATATTTGGCCTCAGGAGTAGGTTGGCGCATACATGTTCTCCTTCCCTGTACACGCGCATCAATTATTAGCATTGATTATTCTTGAATATCACCCCATGCTTTTAAGAACAACTTACATCGTCCGATTCAGACATGATACTGGAATCTCCTCGCCCAGTCTATATCCCTCCCCGCCAGTGGCGCTGGTTCTTCCCGCTGTTGATCCCATTGGTAACAGCGTGCCTGCGAGGAATAGCAGGGCCATTTGGGAGGGAACACGACTCAATGGTCGCGGAGCAGACATGCTGGCGAGTTTCTCGACTCTTGCAATGCGAGGGAACTGCTCCGCGGTGGCGAGTTGATGACGGGAAGGAGACAACGCGGAGAAGACACGGAGTTGTTTCTGCCCGCCGCGGACTGTGGAGGCGGGCCAGGCCAGCAATTATCCATTCCAATATCTTACTTGCAACACACATAAAAGCGACTAACGATTCGATCGCATCCCCTGTGTGATTCATTTACTATGAAAGAAGGCCCAACTAATTGAATATCATTTGAATTTTGGAGAGAAAAGAGGATAATGAAATAAAGGATCAAAGAAATCGTTCGTTGCTCATCACAGCCGCATCACATCGTCCACAAGGGCTCGACGCAAGCCTATTTATAAAACAAAAGCACTCTAGGCCAGGTTAGCCTTGGCCTTGAAGGCCAACAGCAGACCGCTGGTAGAGCTATCGTGACCAGCACCCTCGCCAGCAGTCTCCAGCTCCTTCTGGATCTTCTTGGCCAGGACCTTGCCCAACTCGACACCCCACTGGTCGAACGAGTTGATGTTCCAGACGGCACCCTCGGTGAAGGTGAGGTGTTCGTAGTAGGTGATCAGAGCACCCAGGGTGGCCGGGGTGATCTTCTTGGCCAGGATGGAGGTGGTAGGGCGGTTACCCAGGAAGGTCTTGTGGGAGACGAGGTTATCGGGGGCACCCTCGGCCTTGACCTCCTCGGGGGTCTTGCCGACCATCAAGGCCTCGGATTGAGCGAGGAAGTTGGAGGCCAGCATGCGCTGGTGCTTGCCACCCTCGACGGGGTTGTGAGACTCAATGGCCATCAGGAAGTCGGCAGGGATGAGCTTGGTGCCCTGGTGCAGCAGCTGGAAGAAGCTGTGCTGGGCGTTGGTGGCGGGCTCACCGAACAGGATGGGACCGGTGGTGTACTTGACATACTCGCCAGAGCGGGTGATGGCCTTACCGTTGCTCTCCATGGACAGCTGCTGCAGGTAGGCAGGGAAACGGTGCAGGTACTGGTCGAAGGGAGCAACCAGGTGGGTCTGGGCACCGAAGAAGTCGCTGTACCAAACGCTCAACAGACCACCGATGGCGGGGATGTTCTTCTCCAGAGGGGTCTCGCGGAAGTGCTTGTCCATGGCGTGGGCACCGGCAAGGAACTGGTGGAAGTTGTCGTAGCCGATGTACAGAGCCACAGACAGACCGATGGCGCTCCACACAGAGTAACGGCCACCAACCCAGGACTCGAAGCCGAACATGTTCTTGCTGTCAATACCGAACTTGGTGACCTCGGCCTCGTTGGTGGAGAGGGCAACGAAGTGCTTCGCAATATGAGACTCATCCTTGGCCGTCTGCAGGAACCAGCTCTTGGCAGTATTGGCGTTGGTGGTAGTCTCAGCAGTGGTGAAGGTCTTGGAGGCAATGAGGAACAGGGTGGTCTCGGGGTCGGAGTGCTTGAGAGCCTCAGCGACGTGAGTACCGTCAATGTTGGAGACGAAGTGAAGGGTCAGGTCGGGGTGGCCGTAGGGCTTCAGGGCCTCGGTGACCATGACAGGGCCGCTAGAAGAGGGCTTGTTAGCTACGTCATTTGGAGACGAAGACAAAAGAAAACTTACAGATCGGAACCACCGATACCAATGTTGATGATAGTGTTGATCTTCTTGCCAGTGTAACCCTTCCACTCACCGCTGCGCACCTGCTCGGAGAACTCCTTCATATGCTCAAGAACAGCATTGACATCCTCGACGACGCTCTTACCATCTACCTGCATGGGCTCGTTGGAGGTGTTGCGCAGGGCAGCGTGGTAGACAGCACGGTCCTCGGTGAAGTTGATGTGGTCACCACGGAACATAGCATCGCGGAGCTCCTCAACACCGGCCTCCTTGGCCAGCTTCACCAGCAGAGACAGAGTCTCCTCGGTGAGGAAGTTCTTGGAGAAGTCGAACAGAATGTCGGCATTGTCAACGGTGTTGACAAAGGTGTGGCTGAACTTCTCGAAGCGCTCGGGGTCCTTCTGGAAGTACTCCTTCAGGACAATGTTACGGCCGACATTGGCGTGGTGCTCCTGGAGCTCCTTCCAGGCATTGAGATCGGAAGCCTGAGCGAAAGCAGGCATAATGACAGCGATGAATCTGTAAGTATTTTTGCGCGGCCGGGTTAGCGCGGGGTATCCCCAAGGGAAAGGAGGGCGACCCTTTTTAAAGATGAGAAGCAGGAGACATACGTAGCACAAACAGGGTATCACAAGATCAGGGGAGGATTGTTTTGACAAGAAGGTCTGAGGGAGAGAAGAAAAGAAAAAGAAGATGGCGTCAATCCGTCCGGCGTGTTGGGGTCCGGCGGAGGGACAGAGGGCAGGAGGGTACGTGGGGCACACCAGCATCATCATTGCCGCATTCGGGGCTGGTCTGGAACGGGTTGGTTTTCTAATCAGCCATGTAGTAAGACTAACAAATTCAATTGCCGACTCTTTTATTTGTTATGATTATTTAACCGTACATAATCCAATTGTAACCGAGATCATTCATACTTCTATCTATTAGCACTTGAAATTGCAATCCTATGTCATGATTATATGAGGGGCAGGCTTACTTTACCCCTCCTCAGTCTACTCCAGTATTATCTATGGAGACCTTATGATAATTAGCCTATTCTTACTACAAGCACAATATGAGTGTACTCCAGGCTTATTCCCCATCCCATTGACCGGGTCCCAAATAAGAACAACCCTGAAACCAGAACAATCCATCTCCGACTATCCGGGCTACCGACCAGTCCGCTGGCTAGGAGCCCCCACTACTCCTACTTCTATTACTACAACTCCGGACGGTGCTACTCCGAGGAGTTGTCGGATGACCTGCAAAAAGCCCGAGGTCCTATTTTTCCAGGGGCAGTCCAGGTGACCTAATAGTTAATGAATCCGATTATGCTTTGCTTATTATTTAGTGTGTTAAGCTTGGAGTAATCCTACCTAACCTTACAATCTCTAGTCTTCCGATAACAACCGATGCGGATGCCATCACGAAGAAAGAAATATAATTCTTCTAGGTAGGTTCCTGCCAAGGATTAGTTGATTTCCAATCACTTGAGAGTTCAAAAGATCTAGAATTTTAATTTGATGAGTTAAATACATATGGCTTCAGTCGTTAGATAAATTTATCTGATCATGTCAATGTTCAAATCACTGTGCCTGCCAGAGTATATTTCTCTAACTATATTCATGTTCTTACATCTGAGCCTTTCGTTGCAATTATTAGATACTTAGCTATAATCGAAGTTTCTTGCGTATGAAATATATGACAGGCAATATATATCCTGTCGAATCTTAAAACAATGTACAATAAGATCCATTGATCAGATCTGGGAGCTCCCGACTGGCCATGGTGGCCATCAACTCTACTGCCAATCGCCAAGATCGACGCACGGACCCGAACATCAAATCCGCAACTGACAACTTTCTTTCCTCCACACGCGCGCATCTGGAATTCTGGACCAGCTCAATCATCTCGACCCGAAACCTAACCTCTCCAAGTTCAACGTGTGCCTAAATACAGCCTCTGCAGACTACTTATTTCAATCACATAGTATTACCCGACCTGCGCGGTCCAGAGCGCCTCCGCCATGTACAATCCTTACCAACAACGTGAGTTTGCGCCTTCAGATCTGTCACTTGCGATTCTGCTTGATCGACCTCGCAAGTTGAACAAAATACTAACTTAATCCTCTAGCTCCGGGCATGTATGGACGAGCTCCTGACTATGGAGCCTACCCCGGTGCACCCCCGGGCATGGGTAAGTTGAAAGTGAAGGTACCCAGCACACTGAGCATCATGAACTGACCAGCTTCAGCGCCTCCTCCAGGGATGGCCGCGCCCGGCACCGCTGTACTCCCAGGCATGCAGCAGAATAACAACCAACAGCCTGGTCGCCCCGGCGGCTTCCCGGCCAATTTCCAACCGCCCCCGAACATGCCCAACATCAACTTCTCCGCACCCGTTATTCGCCTGGGTACTTCCGGCCCTGCGAAGCCTGCTGCCCCCGATATGGGCCGTGAGCGAGGATCAGATGGCCCGGGACGTCGTCCCGGGTTGGGATCATCTGGTGTGGACGACCGACGCTACCATGGCCGCGACGCGATGATGCAGCTGCAGCCGCCGACACGGGATGAAATCGTGCGCACACTGTTTGTTGGAGGTATTACTGAGGGTGCGGGTGGTGATGATGGCATTGAGCGGATTTTGCGGTCTGCGGGTAATCTGCGACGTTGGATCCGGGCGACCGATGCCGACGAGAAGCCCTGCCGGTTCGGCTTTGCGGAGTTTGAAGATCCAGAGAGCCTTGAGGTGGCTGTGGAAGTCCTGAAGGAGGTCGAAGTTCCCGTGAAGCGCCAGACACCTCGTGCAGAGGGTGAGGAAGAGCAGGAAGTGGAAAAGAGCACTCTTCTGGTACGTTTTCATTTCTTCGCCGTCTGGCGTTGAGACGCCGCTTACTAACTATGCTACTAGGTTGTTGTGGACGAGAGCACTATGACCTATCTGGAGCAGTTTGAAGCCACTCGTGGCGAAAGGGATCCCAAGGAGCTCCAAGCGCGCTTCGATGCCGCTCGCGACAGTCTGAAGAGGGTCCTATCAGAGCTCTTCCACCCTGCCAGCCCGACCCAAAAGGAAGAAATTTCCGGACTCGACCGGGAAGGCGATACCGAGATGAAGGATGGAGAGACCGCGAAGGACGGAGAAGTGGTTACGATCCCCATCACTGTCGAAGATGAACTGGCCGACATCCCTCCAGAGATGCGCGAGAATGTTGCCAAGGAGATTGCGGCGTTCCGTGATCGTAGTAACCGCCGCGATATTGAGCGGCTGAGACGCGAAGAGGAGATCGAGTCTATGGAGCGTGCTCGAAACTCTGGCTCTCGCATCAGCCGTCTTGGTTCCCCCCCAGCCTCAGCTCCCAGTGGCCCTGCGGGCGGTGCCAATGGCATCCCGCTTGGCCCCCGTGGCGACCGTAACGTGCCTAATGCCCCGTCTGGACCCAAAGGATTTGGTGTACAAATCCCCAAGGATTACCAAAGGGGTGTGTCATTTGTAAATGGCGGGGCCATCAATGGATCTCAAGTCTACATTGACCGCGAGGACGAAGACAGCGACGCAAGCGACGAAGAGCTCGAGCGGCGCCGCCAGGCCAAGCGTGATGCCGAGCAAGAAAAGCAATTCCTCGACCAGGAGCGCCGCTGGCTCAACCGCGAGCGAAGCCGAACGGCCGCCCTGGAACGTGAAAAGAAGCGCGACAAGGAGGAAGATGGAAAATTACAGGCCGCTCATGACGAAATGGAGAAGCGCCTCATGGACTGGGATGATAATGTGGAGGCCAGCCGCAAGGCCAACGAATACTATGCCGATCGTGGCGCTTGGCTCCGCAGCCGCGCTGTGTTCCGCTCTCGCGAGATCAGCATGGACGATGCTGATCGGGCTGCCGAGGAGCGCGAGCTAGCCCAGTCTGCCAAGCAGCAAGAGCAGGCACGCGGCATGGCCGACGATTTCCTGGCCCGTCAAGCGCAGGAACTGGAGGCTCGTGCCCAGGCGCCGGCCCCTCAAGAGGAAGAGCCGCAACGTTTCAAACTGTCTCTTGGCGCTGCAGCACAGAAGGCCCAGGCCGCCACCGGCCGCCGCACCGTTGCCGAAGTCGAAGGCCTGCTGGAGGACGAGGAGGAGCCCGCCGGTACGACCCGCCGCCAGCTTATCCCGATCAAGTTCGACTCCGCTGCCGAAGCCGCGGGACTCTCGGACGAGGAGCGTGCTCAGGCCGCGCGCCAATTGGCAGCCGAGATCCCGACCGACAAGGATGGACTGTGGAAGTGGGATATCAAGTGGGAGTTTGTGGACGAGGCCGTTATCAGCGACCAGATCAAGCCTTTCGTGGAGAAGAAGATCGTCGAGTACCTTGGTGTACAGGAGCAGATGCTGGTGGATGTTGTGGAGGAGCATGTGCGAAAGCATGGCTCTCCTCAAGAGCTGGTGGAGCAACTGGAGATGGTAAGTGATATCATTCTGGTCTGTTGTGTTTATTTGACATCGCTAACGTGTGTTTCTACAGGCATTGGACGAGGAAGCCGAAGTGCTGGTTCGCAAGCTCTGGCGTATGCTCATCTTCTTCTCGGAGAGCGAGAAGCGTGGCCTGTCGGCATAAGAACTCGATGCTACAGGCTGCCAATCAGGGATCGGATAATCTACTTTTACATCGGCTCGGAAAAAGAGCCGCAGCGGATAATTTCCACGGGCGAATATCGCATACATATTAGTACTATACAATGGACTTTATCCTCTTATTTTCCGAACTATCTCCCGAGAAATGAATTGTATAGGTATTCTTCTCAAGGGCAACGTGTATCCCGCCAATACTTACTATCCCAGTCAACGTTGACAGTCGCGGATAAAGTCACGCGTCCTCATCCCCAGAAACGCGGAGCTACTCCGATTTATGGGATCGACCTGCTATTGGTGGAAATTCCGATTTCCCCGTTTCCGGTAAACACCCACCAATCAGACTGCATAACGCCTCAAGAGGAGGAGGGGCGAGGGGAAAACTGCGGGCGGCGCGGGGGGTCACAGGCTCTCAATGGGTGTCTATATACGGGCCCAATGTCGCAGTTTTTCCTGTTCTTCCGTTGTAATTCTCTCGTTGCATTTTTTCCCCCTTCTCCTATATACCCCTCAGTCCCGTCATTGTCTCAAGTGCAAGTCCTTCTTCGTGCATAGATCTGTCCCGAAGTACACCCCGCAATTTCGACATTGAACACCGTGTTTCCTGCCATTGACCCTGCTAGAATACGGGAGACAGTCTGCAATTGATTCAAAAACACCTTGATTATTGTCGTCTTAAATTATCCTTCACCATGGTTAAGATTACTGGCTTCACCACGCGGGATGTGCGGTTTCCCGTAAGTGTTTGCTACCCCGGGATCTGAGCTTGCTATTGCCAATGGACTGTTGCTAACCCCTTATACTAGACCTCGCTCGACAAGACTGGATCTGATGCCATGAATGCCGCTGGTGACTACTCCGCCGCCTACTGCATCATCTACACAGACTCGGACTACGAGGGTCACGGCATGGTACGTCGCGAATGCGTCATTCTCCCATCTCATAGACTCATAGATTGGCGAAAACATCTAACGCAATTCAAACATCTAGACCTTCACTATCGGTCGCGGCAATGAGATTGTCTGCGCTGCCATCTCCCTTCTTGCCCCGCTCGTCGTTGGCAAGGACCTGGACGAGCTCACCGCTGACTGGGGCAAGACCTGGCGCTACCTGGTCTCCGACAGCCAGCTGCGCTGGATTGGCCCCGAGAAGGGTGTCATCCATCTGGCTCTGGGTGCCGTCGTCAACGGCCTCTGGGATCTATGGGCCAAGACACTGGGCAAGCCTGTCTGGCGCGTCGTTGCGGACATGACCCCCGAGGAGTTCGTGTCCTGCATTGACTTCCGCTACATCACCGACGCTATTACCCCCGAGGAGGCGCTGGCCATGCTCAAGGAGATCGAGGGTGGCAAGCAGGACCGTATTAAGGAGGCTGAGGCTAGCCAGGCTGTGCCTGCGTATACTACAAGTGCTGGCTGGTTGGGATACAGTGAGGAGAAGCTGAAGAAGCTGCTTGATGAGAGTGTTGAGCAGGGATATAAGCACTTCAAGTTGAAGGTTGGTGGTAGTCTTGAGGATGATAAGCGCCGCTTGAAGATTGCCCGTGACGCTATTGGGTATGATAAGGGTAACATTTTGATGGTGGATGCCAACCAGGTATGGATTGACTCTGTTCAAATCCGTGAGAAGATTGAAACTAATATAACTCCTCTTCTTAGGTCTGGTCCGTCCCAGAGGCCATCACCTGGATGCAAGAACTCGCCCAGTTCAAGCCCTGGTTCATCGAGGAACCCACCTCCCCCGACGACATCCTCGGCCACGCCGCCATCCGCAAAGCCCTCGCCAACACCCCCCACGGCACCGTCGGCGTCGCCACCGGCGAGATGTGCCAGAACCGCGTTATCTTCAAGCAGCTCCTGCAAGCCGGTGCCCTCACTGTCCTCCAGCCCGACGCCTGCCGTGTCGGTGGTGTGAACGAGGTCCTCGCTATCCTTCTGTTGGCTCGCAAGTTCAACGTCCCCATCGTCCCCCACTCCGGTGGTGTCGGTCTGCCCGAGTACACACAGCACCTGAGCACGATCGATTACGTCGTTGTCTCGGGTAAGAAGAGTGTGTTGGAGTATGTGGATCACTTGCACGAGCACTTCGTGCACCCATCTAGCGTTAAGGATGGATACTATGTTACCCCCATGGAGCCTGGGTATAGCGTTGAGATGAAGGCTGAGAGCATGGATGAGTTCTCGTTCCCTGGTGAGGAGGGTAAGAGTTGGTGGCGGTCGGAGGAGGCCAAGGTTATCTTGGAGGGTCCTCGCATTGTTTAAAGAAAGGGTTAAGGAGCATTACGTCATTATGTGTATTCATGTCCATAGCTTTGTTTTATAAAATCTGATTCTCTTTTCTTACATCTGATTCACAAAAAAAATCAACAGCATGTCCAGTCATACAGTTCTTCTCAGCCAATCATCTGCTTCACCTCCCCCAAGGATCGGCAATTGGCCAGAACACGTGAGCGCTCTCCACTCCGCTGCTATCAGCGTTATCAACCCTGCGATATCCTCCCAGGAAAGCCCAGAACATCTTCAACCAACAACCACACCATGAATCCCCAGTGCCTACGAGCTCTACCACGAGCGCCCTCCAGCGCATCAGTCGCCCTGCGCCATCCACCCCGCCCCGAGCTCACTCGACTCTACGCTACACAGACCGGCCCACGGCCAAAACGGAGAAATATCACAGTCCTCTCAGACGACGGGCGATACGATTGGGGTGAGCTAAGTGGGCGGGAGAAGGTTTCACGGGCGACACAGCAATCATTCAATTTCGTGGTTGTGTTGGCCGGCGCTGTCCTCACGGTATGAACTATGACCCGGCCCTGCCTTGTCCTCACCACGTGCTCTGGAGGGTTAGCAAAGACTTCGGAGAAATTTTGAGCAAGCGCTGACTGGTTGTGGTTAATATTAGGGCGGTGTCGCCTATCTATTTTACACAGATGTTGTTTCCCCGAATAGCCGGACGTGGCAGTATGAGAAGGCCGTTGAGCGGGTGAAGGATGATGCGCGGTGCATAAAGCTTTTGGGTGATCGGAGGGAAATTAGGGCCCATGGGGAGACGACGAATAGTCGCTGGGCACGGAATCGGCCTATCGCGTAAGTAGAGTGGGAGTGCTGCGCAGTAGTTTCGAGTTGAGAGAACGAGATTGGAAGCTAACGTGGAGCGGGCAGATCTACTATTGAAAAGGACCGGCTAGGCCGTGAGCATCTTCGGATGAACTTCCACGTATGGCATTCAAGTTTGTACCCGGATTAAACCAAGTATTTAGACTAATTGTTGTCTTCAGGTCGAGGGCCCACTCAACTCCGGCATCGTTCACGTGCATATGATGAAGCCCTTGGATAAGAATGAGTGGGAGTACCAGCTTCTTGCTGTAGATGTCAAGGGCCACTCCCGTATCATCTTAGAGAAGGCTTCTGAAAAACCAAGTGTGGCCAGCTCGCTGAAGCTTTTCGGTATCCAGTGGCGCTGAGCTGCATTGAACTATGTTCGTTCAACCTCTCAACATTTTCTTCGCATATTGCCTATTCGCTGTGCGCTGCAAGGCGCCGAGGAAATTTGACTCGTCAGACAGTCAGCTCCTGGGAAGAAGTATCAGGGAATCATGAGAACCGCTTGTTGATGGTTTGATTTCGCTTGGTTTAGCTCGAGCATGTTTTTGTACTTTTACGAAGCTACTCAGTCTCAAGGTTTGACCTGCTTCATGTATCATATCACACCGCTACAACTGGCTCAACGTCGTTGTACCCTGCCCAAAATTATGGCACAATAAAACAAACACCCATTCATGGTGTCTTTTTGTTCGTATTCTCACTACCACCTTGATTTCACGTTTTTTTCGCCATAGTCTTGGCCATTTTGATTGTCCCTTCCTCCTCTCGGGTTATGACTTACCTGATATCGTAGCTAAGGCTCCTCTAACTTCGGACCAACTTTGTTAGTGGGAGTACGGTCCCAAAATAAGATCAGTACTCTTTATAACCCTCAATATCGCACGGCACTATAGGAAACCTTGAGATCTGACTGATAAAGAGCGCTGTCTCGTATACATACTCAAGCACCCATCACCCGTAATACTCCCATCCCTGTATCCGAGAAACCCACAATCAGTCGCCAATCTCGCTTGGATAAAAACAAAAGTACAAAAGTCAATGGTGAATTGGGCATTCAGATTGGGCGGGCCGCAGCCACTCGATCTGCGGTCAGATTCAATAACACAACCTGGAATCTTCCCCGCGATCTTGGTTCTCCACTTCTACTCTATTCTTTGAGATCTGTCGTCTCATTTCTTGTTATTGGTAGGGGATTTCTTTGATCGATCGTGGTTGGCGCAGCTGTTAATATTCCTTTGCACAGACTTGACAAGCATCACTATCTTTTCTAATTTCGCTCAAACCTACAGAATATGGCGTCAAGCAACATAGGGTCTATTGCAGATACACTAGCCAAGGGCGATGTACCGGTTCCATGGTGCAAAGAGTTTGAAAAGATGATTAATGGCAAGAAGTTCGTTTATTCAGAACATCCTCGAACTATCATATACGTCCTTCATTCTTGAGTCCTGGATATGCTGACCGGGACTATCGATTGCAGCTTCACGACGTCAAATTCAGAAAAGCTCATGGAATATAAGCTCTCAACACTCCACAAACTAAACGAATTCAACGATACATCTATACCGGACGACAGCACACTCGCCTTACTGAAAAATAGACGCATGGTAGTAGCAAAGCGCATGTTCGGCCGATTGGGTAAGAATGCAAGTATCGAACAGGCATTTTTTGTGACATGGGGATGTAATACATTTATTGGCGACGATGTCTATATCAACCGCGAGTGAGTCTATCTCTCATACTCATGATCTATAGCACACTTACTAACGAGAAGTCCTTCTGATAGGTAAGTGGACCAGATATCGATAATCCATCACTAGTGCTTATCCTAACTCACCACAATCAAATCCTCAGTGTATCAATCTACGACAACTCCCTCGTTCAAATAGGCGATCGCGTCCTGATTGGACCCGGTGTCTGTATCTGCACGGGCACACATGCAATCGATGCTAAGTCACGGCAGGAGAATGAGGGTACATCATTTGCACTTCCGATCATAATCGAGTCCGATTGTTGGATAGGTGCGAGAGCTACGATTCTACCTGGTGTACGCATTGGGAAGGGGACCACGATTGCGGCTGGGGCTATAGTTACGAGAGATATTGAGTCGGGGTGTGTTGCGGGTGGAGTACCTGCAAGTGTTATTCGTCGACTTGAATAGGGTGATTGTCTGGATGCCTGGGGTTTGAATCAGCGTGAGATAGACGCGCTTGTTGCTAATAATCTGTTCTGCTATTGATCTGCTTCTTAGCTTGAGTTGGCATGGATATTGGGGAGAATTTGTTTGGTAGTGCTTGAAAATACTTACGCACTAGGACCTAATACGGCATCAATAATCAGTGATTCTTTGTCTCGAGTTTTGTACGTCTTCTTCCAAGTCAAAACAACATCCTCGTACTTGTTCAGTGTGGTGTGCATAGTTCCTAGCACTGAGAAGTGAGTGCAATAATGTTGAATGTATAAGAGATACCTTCATTTAGATTCCTAGAAACTCAGAAAGTATCTAGTACTCTTGATGATGTGATGAGTCGGGAGAACCCGCTCTAACAGATAACCGATTATGTGTTACTATCCTTGCAGTCTATTTAAGAGAATAGAATCGAAACTGACGAACTGAGAGAGGGTGGAATTTAGGTCAACTGCTGGAATGAACTAATATTTTGGATCCGCTCTTGCCACAAGTTTGAAGGGATGCTAAGATTTACCTACTTGGCATCCGTGATTTAGCTACTACTGCCTGGAGATGACGGCGGCCTACTTTTTCCTTCTTCTCTGAGCCGCTGGAGTACTACAGAAGACTATAGGACGCAGTAATTCTTGATTAAACAGACAGATGGTATACTATGGATTGATTCTGATTATGCTCAGAGTTACTGTACTTAATTCCTGATGGCAAGGAAGTACCAGAATCGTTCAAACCATCTAACTCGAGACACAAAACATTACTGTATTTGTTTTATGTTTCTTTGTAGTCAAGACTAAATTTTCGCGGCCAGTTGATATTATCGAATTTTACCGACCTTATCCTTGTTCTTAACACCACTGTATATTGAGCTAAATGTTAGCGCTTACTCTAGGTAGACCATGCCCTATCGCCATTGGCGAAACGACGCCATGCCCCTCACCTCGGACAAAATCCACCAGCCGCTTGTCACCTGGCAACAATGTTTCCAGCTGGGCACCAACGATAAAACACTAAGAGTATCCGCTGCGGAAATGACTTTCCTTTTGTAGTGCAATCCAACCAACAGAACACCGAGTGCTGTTACATAGAGTGGACGATAAAGCGTCATTGTGTTTCATCGAATTTCCAAAAAGTGGCTTTCTGTATCGTGCACATGTCTGCCGTTGAAATCAAGGACGATTATAACATCCAAGAAGCATGGGATAAGGCCTGCGGGGCATTTGCCCAGATCACAAAGGTCGATCTCACCACGTCTCCGAAACTCACCGTCGACGAGATCCTGGACCAGATCCGGATTAAGCAAGATGCAGACGACGAGAAAAACAACAAGTTCAAGGCTGCCAAGGATGTAATAGGCAAAACACTGAAATTTATCACGGTGCTTGGGGGTATAGCTGCCCAAGGTGCTAGCATGGTGAGTACACTCACGGGCAGAGAGGTCACTACTTGCAACTGAAACCACATTCCAGGTCTTCGCGCCTAGTAGTCTTTGCTTCAATGCAATTTCGTATCTCATTGATACCGGAGCTAAATACAAGCGCATTTTCAGTAGTCTAGCTGAGCTCTTTCGACGGATCTCCGATGTATTAGAGCGCTGCAAGATCTATATGCGATTGCCGGGAGACGCTGTTGACATTTCCCTCCGCAAGATCATTAACGAAGAGCTGATGTGTTTTGTCGACATTTGTGCGTTGTCTATCAAGGTGCTCAAGGGGAACAAGATCCTCACTGCCCTTAAGGTGTTTGCCTTCGATAGCGATGAAGGTGTCAGGGGCCAATTGGACCGACTGGCTTTGCTGGTTGAAAGGGAATCTCAGATGCGAGCAACTCTGGGATTCGAGTCACAGAAGACTAGCGAAAGAGCGATCGTCGAAACCCGAGATGGAACTAAGAAGGTCACTGCCTCAGTTGACAAGCTGCTCACCTTCGAGAGAAAGAGAGACGCAGACAATATGGCGCAGCGGCTCCTAAGCAACATTGATGCAAATCTAGGCACACCCAGCGAGACGTACAAGACCATCCAGGCGATTTACAAACGTCGCTTGAATGATCAAGTTCAAGGGAGTGGACAATGGCTTCAACATGACCCTTTGTACACGGCGTGGGCAGATGCCCGACGGTCGCGGTTTTCCATTTTGGGGGTCACGGGAGATGAGGGCTATGGCAAGTCATTCGTCTTTGCGGCTATCGTCAAGCACCTGCAAGAAGTGTACTCTGAGGCTACAGAGGATATGACATGCACCTCCATTTCCTACTATATGTTCGATCAACAAGAAATGAAGGACCTATCTCTGATCAAGGCCCTCGAAGTTCTTGCATGGCAAATTGCCAAAGCGGATATGGTGTATCGCAAAGAGTTGGGCTCGGTCAATACAGCTGGTATCAACCAGATTGGGAGTCTTTGCAAGCAGCTCTTTGGCAAATCCTATAAGACCGACTCAACATTCTTCCTCTTGTTGGATGGAGTCGATCAGATGGACAAGCAACATTTGAAGGAGTTTGTGCAGCTCCTAGAGGAATGGCAGAGTACTGCTTCCACATGGCATCAGTTCACTCTTCGTGTTCTCCTAATTGGACGGACGGAGACGATGGACAAAATCAAAGCTCAAACTGGAGACGAAATTCCAGTCATCGATGTGGCGTCTGCGAATCGTGACGATATGATCAACTTCATCAACGACCGGATGAACAAGATGGACATTCTCGGTGGATCGTCCGACCCAGTGGTTGCCCTGCGCAGCGATATCTTGGAGACCCTGACGAATAAGACCAAGGGCGATTTTGTCAACGTCGGACTCCTTTTAGACGAGATCAGCGGCAAAAAACGCCCCAGCGAGATTCGCGACATTTTGACCCGGTCGGGAGAAAGTCGATCTGACACGATTGCTAGAAAGATGGAAATGCTCAACGAGACGCTCAACGACGAGGATATCTCCGATCTCAACCATCTGCTCACATGGGTCGTGTTTGCGGAGTGGCCACTCACCCTCGAGGAGCTGGAAGCTGCGCTCTTCCTGAAATCTCGCGAGCCTTCTCTGCGACCTCTCGCAGAGAATATAAGAGATCGGTATTCTTCATTGCTTTGCATTAGAGGTACATACGTTTATCTTGTCTCCGATTCGATCGAGGATTTCTTGCGTACAAAACCCGATTCCGAAGGCACTAGAGACGATCAGAATTTGGATACCATCGGCGAAGTCAGTGAGGCCGAAGTTAGAATCGTGCGACGATTTCTTGAGTCCGTCTGCGACCCGAAACTGTTCAACAAATTCGGATTCGATGAATTTTTTAAGCGCAAAATGAAAGGGAAAACTGTTCGGATTGGGGTGGACATTGAGACGGCACACCTGATGATCGTTTCAGCGTGTCTGGAGGTTATTTGTTCGAAAACATCGCCAAGTGTGAATGCTTTGCTTCGGTATGCGGAAAACAATTTGGGCGAGCATCTCAAGCAAGCGGACCCTTCATTAACACAACCGCATCAAAAGATGGCACTGGGCCCGCAGTTGGTGAAGATTTTTGCAGATGACGAGGTCATCAACCGATGGTGGACGGCGAGCAGCCACCAGCTGCCGGACCTATGGATCTATGACGATAAATATGCGGAAGTCACGTTGAAATGGCTGCAGGACTCTGCCGTCACCAAAAATATCTCTGAGGAGGAGAGGAAGTGGGTCAGGAGTCTGAGTTCCAAATCTGAGCTTGATGCAGATCTCCTTGAGCATATTGCAAGAGTCATTGCTCGCAATTGGCTCCAGGACGGCCAAGGGAACCTTTATATTATGCTCAATGCTGTGCGTGGGTACATCACCAAGGTATTTTATACCCATACCCTCCCTGGAAACGATCAATAGCTGACTCTTCTTCAGATCGAGAATCGTAAAGACCCTAAGATCGAAAGATTGATCACCAACTCGGACGCTGAGCAAGTTCAAGCCTCCCAAATATTAGATGCAGCAACGTGGGCTCAGGCGCAGATTGGTCTCGATACTCTAGGCTATGAGGAGAACCGTAATCTGGCACGTACTCTGCGAGCCTTTGACAAGTACGATGAGGCCATCGAACATTTCAAACTTGCATCGACACTCGCGCACGATAATTGGCTCTCACAGTGGGGACTAGCAGACTGTTATGCAGGTCGGAAGGAGTTTACCACCGCTATCGAGATTTTGGAGGCTACAAAGAAAGGCATTGAGAATGGAGAGATAGGAAATGCTGAAGAGCTCAGAGATGAGCTAGCGGAGATGAAACGAGACCTAGCTGGATGGAACAAGGAGGCTGGCCGAAGTGAAATAACTCTTGCTATTTACGAGAAGCTACTTCAAGAATCCCCTCACGACTATAACACAGCTCTTGCACTCATGACGCTGTTGCACAAGCAGGGAAACTACCAGCGTTTGTTTGAGCTTTTCCAGTCAATGGCAGATTCTACAGACGAGGACAGTGGCTTCGATCGGCAGATCCAGAACTTTCATACGCACCATTATCAGGGAGATTACCATGAAGCTCTCTTCGCATCAGTTCGCAGCGACCGAGAGTTTAACATCGTTCTCAAAGGCTACGAGGCAGCCATTACTGCTGCCAAAACACGAGTTGCGGAGGAAAAAAAGGCCCGCAAGCCCAAAGAGGAGTGGTATGCACTAACCTGCCAGATTGATCTGATGCATTATATTGCACTTCTGTACTGCAGCAACAGCGCCGAAAACCACGACCGGGTGGAATTGGCTATCAATCAGTGGCTACAAATTCTGCATATGAATGGAACCGATGACTTGTTTATTGCAGATAGACAAACGCTTGCCGGTTCACAGCTCGCTATCGTCTGTTTTGAGAAAGCTCTACAGTACCCAGACACTGCTGCAATTTACCTGGAGCACCTAGAGAATGTCGCAGCGCTCAAGAGGGGGGAGTATGATCTTCATGATACATATCCGGCGCGACTTCTTGCTCGGTATCACGCCCTGCAAGGCGATGAACAGAAGATCAAAAATGTTCTACGTCGCCACATCAAGCTGAACCTTGACCTTCTTTCAGATGATGACCCACTTAATGACTGGCAAGGATACAACGGTTTAGCGATGCATTTTATGTTCGCAGGCCATGATGCTGATGCTCTCGCCGCTTGGTCATTAATAACTCCCAATGATGCCATGGGGAACGCTGGAAATCCTGCTACATCTGACACAACCGAGGGGAAATTGGAGGGGCCCTTGAGAGACCTCTGCGACGGTGGCTGTGGCACCTACTGGACGTTCGCGGACAACTTTTACGTCTGCAAGTACTGTGAATACATCAATTTCGACCAACAGTGCTTGGACAAGATGCGGAATGGGACCCTCGGGGTTAAAATTTGTAATCCGGATCACGAGATGCTGCACGTTCCAGCCTATGATTCAGTTGAGCGCCAGAGAATCGGCGCGGGCAACGTAAAGGTTGGTGAGGAGATCCTGCCGGTTGATGAGTGGCTGCAGCGGATTCGCAAGGAATGGGGAATTAAGTCGGCTGAAGAGTTTAGACAGGGATGATGATTTCACAGATGATTTGGTATTTTAGCCAGCTATGGGGGCATTTCAGCCAATATTCATGTCTTTCGTCGATTGATCAACCTTCTCATCAAAGATCATCTGCTATCCCAGCAATGTAGTTATCAGTCACGTTGTCGGAATAATAATAATCTATCGTGGCGGCGATCCGCAATCACGTGCGAGAGGCAAAATTACGGTACGGTATATTTGCAGTCGGGGCGGTGTACTGGTGGCCGATCCACCGCCGACTCGGGGCGGCAGAAGTGCAAATTACCAAGGACAAGGGTCTCGACTTCGACCACGTTCGCCGTTCCCGATTCATCTCGGCTTCTTTGTGGCTACACTTCAAGACTTATCCCCCTTTCCTCCCCTCTTAGAGTCTCACTCACTCGCCCACTATGAGTGCCTCAAAGGCGGAGTCTCAAAAAATCTTTGAGAAGTTGAAGCTCAAGCCCGCAAACAAGGTGCGCATCAACACCCCGCCTCAGTCTGCCCAACCTGCGGCTTATTTGGCCATTGTCCACTAACACTCTTCTCGCGAGTAGATATGCTTTGACTGTAATTCCAAGAACCCGACCTGGTCGTCGGTCCCCTTCGGTATCTACCTTTGTCTCGATTGCTCGGCTCATCACCGTAATCTTGGTGTCCACATCTCCTTTGTTCGATCCACAAACCTCGACCGTACGTATCATCCGCCGATATGGTTTTATTCGCCAATACGGATAAGCGAACATGTGCTGATGGCTTATATGTAGAGTGGCAATGGGAACAACTGCGAGTTATGAAAGTTGGTGGAAATGAGTCGGCAACCAAGTACTTCCAGTCTCACGGAGGATCCGCTGCGTTGGCGAGCAAGGACCCCAAGACCAAGTACACATCCACTGCAGCTGTCAAGTACAAGGAGGAATTGAAGCGACGCGCTGCGGCGGATGCGCAACAGTCAGTACCCTCAACCCCTATTTCGGCGACTTGTTATGGGTTGGCGGGATGTTGACAGTACATCATTTAGGTACCCCCACGAGGTTGTCATTACGGATATTCCTGCAGGCACTCCATCAGACGGCTCCGGCACTCCTGCCGGTGACCAGGATGACGACTTTTTCTCGTCGTGGGACAAGCCCTCGATCAAGCGTCCCAGTAACCCCCCTTCCCGCACTGGAACCCCACCTGTCGTGAGCCGCACCAGCTCGCCCTTCCTGAACGCCGGCGCGGGCGCCAATGGCTCTCGCTCGAAATCTCCCCTGTCTGCAACCGAAGAGAAGGTCTCTTCTCCCGCCCCGACTGCTATCCGCGCAAACACCGCTGCCCGCAAGACCACCACGACCGGCGCTGCGAAGAAGGGTAGTATCCTTGGAGCCAAGAAGGTGCCTAAGCTCGGAGCCAAGAAGGTTGTTGCCAGTGATATCGATTTCGATGAGATGGAGCGGAAGGCCAAGGAGGAGGCCGAGCGCATTGAGAAGTTGGGATACGACCCCGAAGCCGAGCAGGCCGAAGCCAAGGCCGCTTCAACCCCGGCGATCACCTCTCCCACCCCGATCAGCCCCAGCCGAGCTGGATTTGGCGCTACTGGCAAGACTCACGAGCGCAACTCTAGCGATGTCGAGCGGTTGGGCATGGGAATGAGCAAGCTTGGCTTCGGTCAGGTCTCGAAGCCCGCGGCTCCCAAGAAGCTTGGCTTTGGAGCCGTGGCCCCTGCCAAGTCTAAGGCGGATGGTATGTTTCGATTACCAAATTGGTGCCGAGTCATGATACTAACAATTAAATAGAGGAGGAACTCGCCCAGGCGAAGACTCGCTTCGGTACTCAGAAGGGTATCTCTTCGGATGAGTTCTTTGGCCGTGACCGCTTCGACCCCAACGCCCAAGCGGAAGCCAAGCAGAGACTCACTGAATTTGATGGTGCCACTTCGATCTCCAGCAATGCCTACTTCGGCCGGCCCGAGGATGACCTTCCTGCGATTGATGACGGTTACGGAGACCTGGAGAACGCGGCCAAGGACTTTGTTCGACGATTCGGCATCACCGCCGGTGACGACATCGAGAACCTGTCGCATCTTGTCGGCGAGGGAGCCACGAAGCTTCAAGGTGCTATTCGCAACTACCTGAACAGCTAAACGCGAGGCGGAATCATTCTCCTGATTATCCTTCGTTCTGTCTCATCGAATACTTAGCAAGCTCATTAAATCCCTCCCCCTAACCTCTATTCTCTGTGATGCGTGACGTATACCTCTTCGTCTCTTTACAGTTCTCGCCATCACTTCCCACAATCTATTTCTTGTTGCCCGTTATCTCAAGAGATCCTTAGGTCAAATTGGAACGGCCTGGCGCGATTGATGATTGACCTGACCAATAGCTCTCGTTGTGTCCGCTTCGACCTTATTGTGCGCATTTCCGCAGCAACGCATGGATGAGTCAAGACTTTTTTTGTTTGTTTCCGTTTTTATGTTCTCCCCGTTTCTACCCCCCTCTACGTTTTCTTTGTTTCGTGCGTGTCCTGGTAGGATTTGAGTTAATTGAGAAAATACATGGCTCTTTCTTTCTTTCTTTCGAAGCCCTTTCCTTGTGATGTTATACGGCTATAGATAAAAGTGCATGACAAATATATCCGATCGATGCCAATACTTGGCGAACTTGTATATGGGTTTAATAGGCTAGCATCTTAACCGAGAATATACCTCGGTCGTCTTTTCTCGATATAATAATCTCGTACTCACTCAGCCACGACTCCGCATCTATCCCAGCACCCCCGATTTTGGAAATCCACCCATCGAATCGAATGCCATTGAAAACTCCATGATGAATGAAGAAAACACCTCGCCCAATAATGCAATGTTGAAAAAAGAAACCACCAATCTTAGGCCGTCCAGTAGCCTACCAAACCGTGACAATTATATGCACACCACCTCCACTCAAACACGATAAATCGCATCAGCAACCTTGGTCACCTGCCACATCTCATGCACATCATGCACACGCACAATATCGGCTCCACCGGCAACACTAGCGGAAACAGTCGCAGCCGTGCCCCAAACACGTTCCTTCGGCGTCTTCACACCAGTAATATGACCAACGAACCTCTTTCGACTCGGTCCCATTAACCAAGGGAAACACTCCAGCCCTTCAACCTGTCTCAATCGATCCAGATCCCGTAATATCTCAAGATCATGCGGCTGGTTCTTCGCAAAGCCCAATCCCGGGTCGAGGATAATCCGCCAACGCCGGATACCTGCTTCTTCGGCGGCGGCGATGCGTCCGCGTAGCTCGGTGGCTACTTCGGGGATGACTCCGCCGGGATACTCGGTTAATTTGGTCATGGTTTGCGGTGTACCGCGCATGTGCATCAGGATGATGGATTTGCCAATGCGCGCGGCGGTGGGGAGCATTTCCGGGTCTAGCAGGCCGGCGGAGATATCGTTGATGATATCTGCGCCGGCGGCGCAGGCTGCTTCCACAACGCGGGCGCGGTAGGTGTCAATGCTAATGGCGATGTTGGCTGCTTCCGGGATGGAGGTGCGGATGTGGGTGATTGCGGGCACGACGCGGGCTATTTCTTCATCTGCGCCGACGGGGGTTGAGCCGGGTCGGGTGCTTTCACCGCCGATATCGATGATTGTTGCGCCGGAGGCGATGAATTTGCGGACTGTTTCGGTGAGTTGGGTGAAGTCGGATGGGGAGTGGGTGCCTCCGTCAGAGAAGGAGTCTGGGGTGAGGTTGAGGATTGCCATGACGTGGGTGTTGCGGGTGGGATCCGTGGCGTGTAGGGATGGGAAGGTTGAAGAGATTGGTGTTGTTGAGTGAGGTGTTGGCTCTGGTGGTGGGAGTGCTTTGAGATATTCGCTGTATGTTTGTGTGTTCTTGCCTGGTTGAGGAGGTCGTTCGTGAGGGATTAATCTGGGTATGTTAGGATGAATTGCTTTTCTTTTTCCGATGGAAGGTGGAATTGGGACGTACTGGCAGAGTGGCCGGAGGACAAAGTCTCGCTCTAGCATGAGCTTGTGTGGGACATCGAGGCGTTCGTGTGAGAATATCTCTTGGTCGTATAGTAGGATGTCCAGATCAATTGAACGTGGGCCTTTGTCGATCAACTTCTTTCGGCCCAGCGCATTCTCGATAGATTGAAGTGTATCCAGAAGCTCCATCGGCCCGAGAGTGGTTTCAACCTGTTTAGAATGAGTGACTTGTCCTTATTATCAAATTCAAACAGAAATAGATTGTTTACCTCGCAGACTCCATTGATAAATGTATCCTGTTCCAACACATACATCGGAGTCGTCTCAAAAAGCGAGCTAGTCCTCCTAACTTTGATATTGGCCCTGTCCAACTCGAGACAAGCCTTTTCAATCATTTCCACCCGATCTCCCACATTACTCCCCAGCGCGATAAAGGCGCGGTGAACTTGAGATCCACCCTGGACCGAGTGCATGTTGGAGTCCATGCGCGGCTCTGTTCCGCTCGAAAATCTCCTCGCGAACGCTTTAAAGTGTGGCAGCGGGGTCATACACTTCGATCTGACATTTTCAGAGCCGTGAGAAACAGGCACTGGATTCCCCATGGAAATTGGCCCTGCTTGAGTCTTAGTATACGTGGGTTTGCAATGAGTAAGCGCGATACAAGGAGGTCCAAAAAGAATGCGGGGACATCCTGGTCTTTTTTTTCTGCGCGATACAGATAAATGACAGATAAGGCCGGTATGGCCGTGGGGGAGTACCTACTTGAGCTCACCGGGGAAATTGAGCTATATCTAAGGAGCACATGTTAGAAATTGACTCCATATTATGGATTATGAATTGAGATGTAAGTGTAGACGTACCTGTTTATACAAGACCCATTCAATGGCCGAGTGTAATGCCTCGACGCGTCCAGAGACCCCAGCAATAACGGGAAGCTGCTAGCCGATCGCAATGGTCGCCATGAATGCGAAATGCCACGAGTACCAGCGTATACGGGAGCTCCTCGAAGGCGCAGAGCCACGGAGCTCATGCTGATGAAAAGGAAAAGAGAGAATGAGTTGTCAGCGAATCACTGGGAGCCTAAACCTTGGGAGCTGTCTCTCTCTCGTCCAGTCGCGGTCCCGTGCATGCAAGTCATCCGTCACCTTTTGGTGGCCTGAGTGCCTTGATGCCTTGACACCCGAAACACCAGGCACACATATAGTCTGACCACTTTGTCTTACGTAAGTGTCCAGCCCCACTGGCAGTGTAGTAACCTGTGGCGCCCGGGACCCCCGCCCGGCTAAGACCAGCAAGTGCAGGTCGTGCGAGTTGAAAGGGACCGAGGCATTTGAGGAGTGTCTGTGACAGGCCGAGGAATCGCCTCCCTTTATTTAGAGCCTTTGCTTTTCCCCAGATTTTCCCTTTCTCCATCTCTCCAAATTTTGCATCACATCGCATAGCATCATGGCTTCCCCTCGTGAGTTTCTCTATAGTTTTGCTGTTATTCTTTGTTCTTTCATTCTCTATGCACGTGCTAACTATGTCATCCCCACAGAGGTCATCCGCACACCCATCACCGATCTGCTTAAGATCAACCACCCCGTTCTGCTGGCTGGTATGAACGTGGCCGCTGGCCCTAAGCTGGCGGCTGCTGTCACCAATGCCGGTGGTCTGGGTGTTATCGGTGGTGTTGGTTATACTCCGGATATGCTCCGTGAGCAGGTCGCCGAGCTGAAGAGCTATCTGAAGGATAAGAATGCTCCCTTCGGTGTCGACCTGCTCCTCCCCCAGGTTGGCGGCAGTGCTCGCAAGACCAAGTAAGCATACACCTGTTCTTTTGTGCACATAGGAAGACCACCAGGCTAATGATACACCCCCACCTACAGCTACGACTACACCAAGGGCAAGCTCAACGAGCTCGTCGACATTATCATTGAGAGTGGTGCCAAGCTCTTCGTCTCCGCCGTCGGTGTTCCCCCCAAGGCCGTCGTCGAGAAGCTCCACGGTGCCGGTATCCTCTGCATGAACATGATCGGTCACCCCAAGCACGTCCAGAAGGCCCTCGACGTCGGTATCGATATTATCTGCGCCCAGGGTGGTGAGGGTGGCGGTCACACCGGTGATGTCCCCACCACCATCCTCATCCCCACCGTTGCCAAGCTGGTCCAGGGCCGCAAGAGCCCTCTGACCGGCCAGCCCGTGCAGGTCATTGCTGCCGGTGGTCTGTTCAACGGTAACTCCGTCGCTGCTGCCCTCATGCTCGGTGCCTCTGCCGTCTGGATCGGTACTCGCTTCATTCTGTCTGAGGAGGCCGGTGCCCCCGTCGCTCACCAGGAGGCTGTCCGCACCGCTGGCTTCGAGGATAACATCCGTACTATCATCTTCACTGGTCGCCCCCTGCGCGTCCGCAAGAACGCTTACATCCTGAACTGGGAGGAGAACCGCGCCGACGAGATCAAGCAGCTCACTGCTAAGGGTATTATCCCCGTCGAGCACGACTTCGAGAACCTGCCCGATGATGTTGATGATGACACCCTGGACAACGCCCGTCCCTTCCTGATGGGCAAGGTCGCCGCTGTTGTGAACGAGAAGAAGTCCGCCAAGGCTATTGTTGATGAGCTCGTTACGGATGCTGCTGCTCTCCTGAAGAAGGGCAACCAGATGGTCTCCAAGTTGTAAATAATGATCCCCCCTTTTTGTTCTTGTTTCTATTCGCCATAGCTTGGCTCAAGAGGTATACAATTGAAATCTAGCCTCCTCAATAAACTTATCTACTCAGTCCACCATGCTCTTTGAATGTAATTAACCAAGCTAAAGATGGACTTTGTCCTGAACGCCCTTAATTACAAAATAGGAAATGTTGTGGAAATGCGAGGGATTTAGATTCAGTTCAAGCAGCAGTAAGATAAAACATGAGGCCCTCGACCTCCTCTGTTCAACTTTCACCCACCTCGTGTTCACGATAAATCCCTCCCTGTAGAAGACGGCCAAGACCAACAAGCGGCTTTCACGTGCCAGAATAATGGGCTCGAAGGGTGTGATTGGTTGGTTTGGGATCGTTGTTTGGGACACGAATCAAAGTGGAGGTGGATGTGGAGCATTTTGACGGTCCAGAAAATGTTGGTGATTGTTTTTTATGTGGCAGTGGATGTATTGTAGAAGAGAAACCAATTGATCTGTGGTCTGGATTGAACGTGTCAGTCTAGCTAGTGGAAGAGAAGTTCGTGGATATGAGAATTACCCACTCTGTCATGAAGCACCCATCGAAATTGGTAAATTCAGCGGTAAGCCGGGCACCCGAATTGATAAAGTGGATGAGCGGAGACGACAAGTACCGGACTGACGAGGCCACGAATGATGTATGTGGGAAAGACAGTGATTGAAGGTCAATGTGTCATGTGGTTGGTATGACTGAACCCCTTCTGAATTTGTCCTGACATGCAAACTGGTCCACAGCTACATGACGCCTGTTCAGAAGGAGCAAAGCCAACTTGGGCGGATATTTGGAAGGGTGAAAGAACGATAGTAGTGGCAGGTCGTGGTAGTGACTAGACCCCTTCTGAATTTGTCCTGACATGCAAACCGGTTTCCCAGCTACATGACGCCTGTTCAGAAAGAGTCGAGTCAACCGGAAGGGAAAAGTTTGTTCGTTGATCGATGTAAAACAATGTGAGCAGTTGGCAAATCTCGCCAGCAGAGTGCAAACGAGGAGGCTGAGATGTCTGTCAGTGGAGACACGGTCCCCCCAGCTTTCCTTCGAGAGGGGGCCCACGCGGGTACCGGTCGACCACACCCTACACAGGCTCGATACCAAGTCCATGATAATCGAGGCTCACTCAAGAGCGTTAGTGTAGGCTCCTAGGAAAAAGAGTGTCAGCAAGTTGTGGGGAGGTTGTAGATAGAACAGTGCTCGTGCCCCTTTCTTTGACTCTGCAGGCCACCAAAATGAGCGGGAAGGCAGCGATGTCAGGAGATGATATAGGTCAAGTGATCGAAAAATGGATGTATGAAGGCGTCGAGCGTGAAGTAGCTGTAGAACTGTGCGCGATCAAACTCTCTGAGCAAAGACTGCCAGCAGAATACAAATCGAGGAGGCTGAGGTCAACGAGCTAAGGGGGTGAAGGCCATGTTAATATGCCATGAAGTGAACATGGTGTATTGATGAAGGTGATGATGGATGAGATAAGTCATGATGGACGACACATGTCAAGGTGGAAGAGACGTGTCAAAATGAAAGCGACGTATCAAGTGGAAGTCCATATAAGGTTGAGTCCCTGGCAGGTGGGCCAAGGAAAGATGGATCAAAAGTCTTCAGGAAGTGGAGAGGTGGAGGTGGAGAGTTGGGGAGTTGGGGAATTGGGGAGAGAAGAAGAAGAAGAGGAATCGGGGAGGAGGAGAAGAACATCTTTATGCCCCAGGGCAAGGCGAAAAGAAGGGCTCTTCCTTAAACGGGGTGTTTGCTCGCCGCCGCGCCCTTTCCAGGGCAACATTTGTCGTGCCTTCCTAAACGGGAAATGTGTTTGCCCTCATGCCCATGTAATGTGAGTGTGGAATCAGGGAAAAGCTGGCCTTGCCCTGATTTCCTCAACCGTCGGGCCCCCAGTCTCATCATGAGCCTCCAGGGCCAGCTTGGGGAATAGCTGAATCAAGACTTAGCTTGCCGGACAAGAAGTTTCAAAAAGATATACAGACCAGCAAGAACGAAGCATCATGGAAGCTTGCCTTCGACAAGACACTAGATATAATGCCATGAACCAGATAGGTACTGTTAGAAGTTCTGATTTGACATAATTTGACATACTCTGCTGGCACGTCTGTGGCTGCAGTTGACACTGCAGCCCATAACACGAACCATCCTGATTTCACAGACAGAATATACTCAAAAGAGTCATTCATATACCCCGATGCCCATAATATACCTATCTAGACTGGATTCTGTACAATCGTCCTTAGAAGAGGAACGCCTGAGTTGCAGGCTCTAGACCACACCATCCAAGCTCTTTCGAAGGAACCAAGGAACTAGAACCAAAGAAAATTTGACGGAATGGAAGAAAGCAAGATAGAGGAGGAACGGCAAATTAGCAATACTGCTAAATGCTTGGTGGGCGGAACGTCCGAGTACTGTGAATGTCACGATGGGTGCCAATTTGTTTGGTCACGAATATCACATGAACTTACCAGCGTACTAATGCGGAAAACGTGAAGATATTCCTTTTTCGTTGTTCTGTGAACACCGTCAACATTCTGCAGTGGCCAGGCAAAAGTGGGAGTAACAATAGCCCGACAGGCGTTCAGTCCAAAATATTCTTCCGATCGCAGTATCTATCCCCCGAGACTAGCTATGTAGCTTCATTAGATACTGAAGATGGTTAAACTTTACTCAGAATCGGAAATTTACCTTCTCTACTCTACATGAATATTTTGAGTGGTGATCTCGATATATTAGGCCTTCGATGCTACAACCTAGTAACAAAATCAGTAGGCGGTATAGCATGGATGTGAGCGGTGTAATGGTCGAGTCCTGGGAGCTGTAATTACACGAAGCCACTGTACATAAATTGCAGATGAGTCGACTGCGACACGAGTAGATGACCTGCCAATCAGAAAAGCAAAAAAAAAAATCGAACCAGGTCTCGAGAAGGGGCGGGGGCGGACCCCGCCATTCCTTCACCCGCAACCATCCTCTTGTGCGGGTGAGAATCGATCGATACGGACATCGTCCTGCCAGCGATTTGAATTGCTGTCCTGCCCTTTCCTCTCTCTTTCAAGCTCTCCTTCATGCTCTCTACACAAAATTTGTGGCCACAAATCCAAGTCTCTTATTAGCATTCGGATCGAATATTGTAAAATACATGAAATTGGTAATTGAATAAATCATTTCGTGCTAAGGTTAATCATCAGCCTGTAACAGACAAGTGTCTAGTGTTGAATAATGCCTTGTTTTATGATGAGCGTTCAGTGCAAAGGCAGGCGATATGCGAGCGTTAACTCACTGTACACAAGATTCCATTCCTCCTCAGCCAGGTTCTATAGCGTGGATAAGAGGGGCTTTAGACCTATTCTCACGCTTTCACGATAACGTATAATGGTTAGCCAGATCTCAGTAAAACGGTACTTCTGCTAGTCATTGATCTCGCTATGCAAGTTACCAGCGCAAGTATAGGCTCCCTTGTGCAGACTTTGACCCCTCTAATCGCGGGGTATTCGAAGCGTGCTGAATATATTTGGAAATTGTAACCTCGACCGCATTCTAGACCCGGTCTAACGTAGTAAATAGACTGTGTAGATTAGGCGATATGGCAAAATGAGTCTTTCTTCTCGCGAAATAAACCCATGCTTTGCTTATTTATTGAGCTGATATAACCCCATTCCTCCCAGTCCATTCTTGTATCTCGTTCTATTTCGGGTACACGGTCAAGTGGTGGCTGCCCACAATGGCCGGAACGTTCGATCATGTGGGGCAGCAACTTTCGTGGGAAGTCAATTACATGGTTGCTGCAATAAACCGTAGTTTACGATTAGTTCACGAGAACGACGGTTCATCATGGATAAACCCGGCCGGAACAGACTCTTGACGCAACTCTGTTGGACATCCAGCCATGGATTCTGAGAACTACATGGGAGCTGGAAGTAGCCGTTCGAATGGCGACTTCGTGGAAATTTCATGGAACCTAGGGTGATAATGAAATCATCCACCCTGGAGCAATTGAAATATCTATCCACCTCTTCCTTTGTAAAATGCCTTTAGAAGAATCTTAGCAAGCACACCAATATGGACGCTGAGATCTCACCATCCTTCCAAGCGAATCCTCTAGGCTTTCTCTGGAAATTCTGCAAGAGCGGATTTATTATGACCAAATCCCTGTTCCAAGCAAGAGCATATCGCCGCAAAAGGCAATTGATCCTCTATTTGGCTAGCTTCAGCATACTTTCGGGAATATTTCTCTACTCTCAAAGTTCAGCTTTCTCTACGGTCCATCGAGCATACATCAATCAATCGTCTTACCGATTCGGATCCTTAGGTATCCCTTTTACTCAAGGTCCATACGCTATCGCTATATTTCTCGGCACCGAATTTGACGCAGAGCAATCCGATGACGACGAGACAGACCGCTATTTTATCGGCGCCCGCACACTAGTCTATCAGCTACTTCATGCACCCAGTACAAGGCTTACAAGTCCGGTATCTGTCGTAGTCTTAGCTACTGAAGGGGTACGCGAAAGCAAACGTCAGCGACTACGATTAGACGGCGCAACTGTCATCGACATTGAAAGATTACAACACTCCGTCAATATTGACGTCCCTTTTTATCATGAAGTATTTGATAAGCTTCGAGCATTCGATCCATCCGTGATGCCGTTTGAGAAAGTCGCCGTATTGGACGCGGATATGGTGATTACGCGACCACTCGATTTACTATTCCAAGACATGAACACTACTCAGTTCCCGCTTAACACAAATTCGACAAATTTACCCGCAGATTTACCAGAGCTCCCAGATAGCTATGCACTAGCAGCGACGCCAGACATCCCAGGTCGAGAGCCTGTCTTTCCTCCAGACGTTGATAACACCCCGGGTCGTGATTATTTCAATGCCGGTATAATGGTATCCTCTCCTAACGACAAACTCTTCCAATACTATATTGCGCTGCTTAATCGGCCTGAACTGTTCGGTCATTGGTTACCAGAGCAGGATCTTCTCAATGTTGCTCATAGCTGGAAGGGACCCATGCCTTGGAGACAGCTTAATCTTTCGTGGCATTTGATGTCTCCTAATGAGGCTGACTTTAATGCTGGAATGGCTATTCTTCATTGTAAATATTGGCAGTTTGGTGGTGACCCATGTCATAAGACGGCCATTGCGCGCCGCTGGCAAATGCAGGGATATTGGGAGGGGAGGGAAGGAAAATGATGAAGACCAAATTCCGGTATCATGCGAGAGAAGACTTTGTGAATATTGGCTTTTGATGTAGCTCTGAAGCTACACACCCCTTGAAGCAGTGGCCTCCCTCCCTAGGCTTCAGCCTCGATCGTTGGGCTGCAGGGCTAGAAATTGATAGTGCTTATGCAGAGCATCTTCTGGTTTCCTCCTTCTGCTTCCTAGGCGGCTTTGTTAGATGGCCTATTTAGGCCATTGGCTGATTTTGCGTCTTCGGGTTCCCGAGAGGTTTGTCTAGACAGTGATTGATAAGTGTTTTCCTGCTTCCTGAATTCCTCTGCGTAGCTGTGCAGTTTTGCCATGAGGTTCTGCGCCCGAACGCTGCTTGCTCCTCTTATTCTTCGTGTCGTCGTCGTTGGATGCTTGCTACAATGTGACCACACTAGGTTTGGACTATATAAAATCGTCATAGCGAACTCCGCGGTAGATAGAGGATTATCCTCGTTAAAACGATCGGTAACTACTCAGTTATAATCTAATATCCGACTACTTCGATCCTTTAAGAATTATTTATATTTTATAACCGAATTATCTTCGCTATCGCTTCGTTCGTTTTTGAAGAATACCAAAGAAATTATTTTTAGGCCTGTTTGAGCATTTAAGCAAAATCTGAGGCTTAGGGTTCATGGCATATGCCAAGACTCATATATAGCTCCGTTTACACGAAGAAACCAAGATATCTATTCCTCTATAATTTTAAACAAAGACAAGAATCTATCCAAGTATCGTAGATTATGACTATAAATATGGACAGAGCCTTGTTACAAATTTCAATCGACATGTAGACAGACATGTAGCCAGACATGTACACAGACATGAAAAGAGACACGAAAAGAGACATGCAGATATAGATAGAGATAAGGGCATCGTAATCATTAAAAATCACCCTGAACAGTAATTCAATTTGACACTTCCCATATTCTACGAATGACATGTGCCACACAATGTTGTCATTACTTCGGTGGAGATGCTAATATTTCAATAGTCCAAGTGCATTCGGCTTGATCAGGGCCAGGGAAAGGCGCGGGCCTGCGGCAATTGCATGTGGAATGGAGAATACAAGCATTGCAGCCTATGGCGACATGAGCAGACACCTGAGACCCTGGCTGCCCTCAGTAGTGGACGCTGTCGTAGAAAGTCCATCGACGAGAAGCTCCAAGCCGACTAGGCCAATGTCATCGAAGGCCGTAAGGTCATCGAAGGTATTGCTAGTCAGCTTAGGGAAGTTCACCGGAGCCTGCAGGAGGGCCACAGCGAGAGCAGTGTGCGAATGATGGACCAGCTACTAGACCATTTCGACATGGCCATGAACTCGACTGCGGCTTCTGTTGATAACCTATCCAGCTCGTGACTCCTTGGCAACTCTACCAGCTCTAGCACTAGCCAGTGGAGGCGTCAGGTCGCGGACCTTTCCTTTGCTCAATGCCTGTTTCCGAGATTTGCACTAGCTCCTAGATATCGTCTTATGATATCAAATGATTCAACATATCTCTTTTTAACATCTCTTTTCAGACCCCGTTCCTAAGATCTCCTTTTAGATCTCCTTTTAGATCTCCTTTTAGATCTCCTTTTAGATCTCCTTTTAGATCTCCTTTTAGATCTCCTTTTAGATCTCCTTTTAGATCTCTTTCTGGATCTCCTTCTGGATCTCCCTTTAAATCTCCCTTTAAATCTCCTTTTCAATCTCCTTTTCAATCTCCTTTTCAATCTCTTTTAATATTGATTAAGTTAAAGAAATTCCAATTGGTCGTACGATTATGTCAGTTTAGTTTTGTTCAAAAGACTAGATACTAGTATACTACAATCGCGCTTATTCTATACGTTGTCACGTTGAATCAAACCACTTTTATCGCCAAGCCTTATTGACCTGATCAAGGATTTCTGACAACATTAGAATCAAAAGCTAAACATAGTCAGAAAAAAGGCACTGAATTGTTATTTGTGACCCCACGCCTAGCTGTTACCTACATAAGATCTAAGGTGTATACCCGGATACAGTAGCAGGGGCCGAGGCCGATCCCGAGAAAGGCAGGGATATCCAGCACCCGATAGTAAGCATTCGGAAAGCTGCGATACTTTTAAACATGAACGGGATTCTTTCGTTCCGGCAAGCGCGAGGAGGAGCGAGTGGCGGACCGACTCGCCAACATCGAGTCGGCGTTTATTCAATGCATCGGAGAGGTCCAGGAGGAAAGAGGCGACAGTTGTGTGAAGCACCATGGCCCTTGGGTATGTGCATCCTTCTCTTACTTCGATGGTCCAAATAAACAACAGTCACTAACATTTCAATAGGCCAAGTGCGTCAGACTTCGTGATGGACAGGGCGACGCGCTCGCATGTGCAAATTGCCGTTGGAACGGGAAATTCAGAAGATGCAGCCTGTGGCAACAAGAACAGACCCCCGAGACCTTGGCTGCTCTTAAGATTGGACCCCGGCCGTCTGTCGACAACAAAATTCGAGAGGCTATAATGTCGATTGCCCAGTGCCGCGGGCAGATGCAGAAGGTGGCTCGCACTCTCAAGGAAACCGTTGCAGACCCATTTCTTGGGTTTGCCCGGACCCAGGTTCGGATGCTGAATTCACTCGCGTCCCAGCTTGACGCAAGCCTTGCGGCCAGCCAGATTTCCCATGATAAGCTGATCAGCTTGGGAATCTTACCCGCTTCCCAGTGAGGCCCTGGACAGTTGTTTTCTTCCATGGCTATTCTCGCGTTTCTCTTCAGCTGCTTGATATTGTCCCATGATATCAAATGATTGTGGAACATATTTTTCTAACATCTCTTTTGAGATCTCTTGTAACATCTCTTGTAACATCTCTTGTAACATCTCCTTTTAGATCTCTTCCCAAGATCCCTATCGATATTAATTAAACTTAAGAAGCTCTGATTGGTCGTACAATTATGTTAACTTACCTTGGTTCAAAAACTAGGTACCAGTACACTACAATTGCGCTTATTTTATACACTATCATGTTAAATTGAACCACTTTTTCGCCAAGCTTTTAAACCTAATCAATGACCCCCGACCACCTGGGGTCAAAGTCCGAGTATGGTTAGAAAAAAGGCGCTGAGTTTATGACCTCACGTCTAGCTATAGCCTGCATAAGCTCCCAGGCATGTGCCCGGATAGAGTCACCCAAGCGGGCGCCGAGGCCGATCCCGAGAAGGCAGGGAGATCCAGCACCCGATAGTAGGAGGCCCGAGCCTTCGGAGAGCTCCGACACTTTCGAGTATGGACACAAGTATCGGCATCATCACTGGCAGCGTCAGTAGACGGCTTGCATACGCAAGAAGCAAAAATAAGCATAGCAAGGTTAGGTTGGAAACTTTGGAAGGATCGGGAGAGTTTTCTTGACATATCCGCACTGGCCCGCACGATCCATCGTGATATGTATCGAGACCTGAATCAAGCAAAGGCTTTACGATATAGTATTGCTTGAAAATCCGGGGGATAGGAGGGGATTGCACCAATCGCGTTGCGAACGGTGATCTCCGGTCTGGATGTATCGTTTAGAGTTGGCGGGAGGAGGGGAATCTCCCATTACCAACAATAAAAAAGAATCCGGGGGAGGAAGATGCGGAGAATCAGCGTCATGCATTGCTTTTTGTAGGAATGCAACCTGTAAGGGATGTTCTCGCGGGTGGCCGACCGGCTCAACCTGCTGGATCAGGGTCCAAGGAGGCACGGATAGCGTTCGGGGGCTGTTTCCTGGACGAGTGCTGATGCCGGGTAGCAAGATGAGCCTCGGGTGCATACTACATATGCATATGCTATTGGGGGCTTGTGAGTTGCCACGGAGTAAATTGAGTTGCGGCATGGGCCTCCCCCGCACGGTTTGAACTGGACAATTCCTGCTGAGCGTAAAGGGAGAGTGATATGCGAGTCAAGCTTTCCAAGTCGGCGGTTCCCTTGCAGATGCAGGATGCTTCGAGGCTTGGTTTGGGTTCGAGGTTCTTGGGAGACAAGGATAGCTAGCAGATACTACTATCCGGAGTATTCCAGATGGAGTATAGGGGGTGCATCGTAGATAAGTCGCAACGGTGTAGGATCGCATAATAGACCCAGTCAGCACAAGTCAGGACGGTGACAGCTATCGGAGCGTATCTCATTAGGATCTCGCGCGCACGGCTCTTATCGATGGTCCGACCGGCCAATGCGACCGGAAGCGAAGAGCGAAAGGGTAAAACCGCGGCTTGCTGATAAGCTGGACAAGCTCGGTCGAGTCTCTCATTGGATCGTGATGGATTGTGGAGGGCCAACGTGGGTTTCCGATGGTTTCACTGGACGAACGGGTGCTGGCTCGTTCTGGATAGACTCCACTCGGCTAACCCCTGTAAGGCTTGTCATTTGCTTCTTTCTGGAATTTCTCCTGGGGCCCACGCGACAGAAGGAGGAGCCCGGCTATCTTTTTTCCTTTGCCACTCGTCGCGACGGTGGGCCGTGGGGCGACGCGCACTCGAGAATTTTGAGCCGAGTGACACTCGAGTGAAAAAGGACTACTATATAACTCGCCTCTCCCTTGCAGTGGAACCAAAGAAAAAAAGAGAGAGAAAGATGTGAACAGCCTCCATCCTTTCCACCCCCCTTCCTTGTCTTCCCCTCACTCTTGATCTGTCAAGATCAACTTGAGCCTGCTGTGCTCTATACACTCACCTTCCTCACTTTGTGGAATAGTGTCGCGTGAACTTTTTTTTCACGGTTTTTTCTGGTTCCTCGAACGAAGATAAAAACCTCACCCCCGAAACCACCATGCGCTCAAAGTTCGGAATGGGTTCTCGGCCCGACGTCGAAAAGGGTCCTCAGGTCGATAACACCCTAGCCTACGATAGCAACAGCAACGAGAACTATGACAATGTCAGCGATGGCGCGGTCCCCGGCGAGAGCTTCGAGTATGGAAACTCGCTCTACGCTAAGCTCCAGCGCATTGCCGGCAAGTTCAACATTGAACAGCGTGGAATTGAGCGTGTGCCTGAAAACGAGCGCACGGATACTTCCTACGTCAACATTGGCAGCATGGTGGGTTGATCTTGCGATTCTCTGCGGTATCATATACCGTGGGGGTTAGTCTTGGGAACTATGCGACTGACCAGATTCCTCCCTTCAGTGGTTGGCGGCCAACATGGTCGTGAGTTCTTTCGCCATTGGTGTGCTCGGCAAATCGCTCTTCTACCTGGGCTTTGTCGATGCTATCCTCGTGTGCCTGTTCTTCAACCTCCTCGGTGTCTTGACCGTGTGCTTCTTCTCCTGCTTCGGTCCCGCGTTCGGTCTGCGTCAGATGGTGCTGTCCCGCTTCTGGTTCGGCTGGTTCCCCGTGAAGTTCAGTAAGTGGCCATATCCGCAGAGAAGATGGCCCTCAATTCGGCGATGGCGAATTGAAATTCGAGAGCTAACATAGCTCTCCGCCTATAGTCGCCGTTCTCAACGTCCTGGCCTGCGTCGGCTGGTCCGCTGCCAATGCCATCGTGGGCGCGCAGCTGCTGAACGCTATCAACGGCACCGTCCCTGGCTACGCCGGTATCCTGATCATCACCTTCTGCACCCTCTTCATCACCTTTGCCGGTTACAAGGTTGTCCACAAGTATGAAAAGTACAGCTGGATCCCCACCTTCATCGTCTTCCTCATTGTGCTGGGCTGCTTCGCCCATTCTGGTGACTTTGTCAACATCCCCATGGAGGTCGGTGTCTCCGAGCTTGGCGGATGTCTCTCCTTTGGCTCGACCGTCTACGGCTTCGCTACCGGCTGGACCAGTTACGCCGCCGATTATACCGTCTACCAGCCCTCCGACCGCAGCCGCCGCAAGGTCTTCTTCTCCACCTGGCTGGGTCTGATCATTCCCCTGCTCTTCACTGAGTTCCTGGGTATTGCCGTGATGACCGCCACCGCGCTCAACGACGGCAACAACAAGTACGCCACTGGCTACGCGGACTCGGGCAACGGCGGTCTGATCAGCGCCGTGCTTGATCCACTGGGTGGTTTCGGCAAGTTCTGCCTAGTCATCCTGGCCCTGTCCATTATCGCCAACAACTGCCCCAACATCTATTCCGTCTCCCTGACCCTGCAAGTCCTGAGCCGCTACACGCAGCGCGTGCCTCGTTTCATCTGGACTTTCCTCGCTTCCTGCGTCTCCCTCGCCATCGCCATCCCCGGTTACTCCCACTTCGAGACCGTCCTCGAGAACTTCATGAACTTCATCGCTTACTGGCTGGCCATTTACTCCGGTATCGCCGTGGCCGACCATTTCGTCTTCAAGCGTGGCTTCCGCGGCTATCGCCCCGAGATCTACGATAAGCCCGACAAGTTGCCTATCGGTATTGCTGCCTCGGTTGCGTTCTGCTTCGGTGTTGCCGGTATGATCGCCGGTATGAGCCAGACGTGGTTTGTCGGTCCTATTGCCAAGCATGCTGGTGAGCTGCCTTACGGTGGTGACGTCGGATTTGAGCTTGGTTTCGCTTTCTCCTTCGTTATTTACTGTGCTTTGCGGCCACTGGAGCTGCATTTCTTCGGTCGGTAGTTTGGGACGGATTTTCATGTATATATTGGGTTGTTATGTGTGGGGTTTTAACCGTGGGGTGCTGGGATATCTTTGGATTGTTTTGGATATAATAATCGGTTGCATTGCATTTATCATGCATTTTTTTTAGTGGAATAGCTCTTATGATCGAACTCGAGTTTATTTGCATCATGCAATCCTGTGTGTTCCGTGTTGATCGTTTCTCCTATCCGTACAATTTTTGCAGTTACAGCCTGCAACCTCATGTCCTCGCTACTTCTTTCCTTCCCCAATCGCGGGCCCCGTCAACGACAGCAAGTCAAATCCAAACACAAACTCCCACAACCAGTCTGACACTGATTACTCACCCACTCAAGACTTGGCCGCCTCTTGTTACTACTCTCCCCTTCCACAATCCCCGTATCCACCCCCGAGCTATGCGTAGCCTGACCCACCGTCGAAACTTGCCGACTAGTATGAATCTCCGGCTGAAGCGTCACAGAATGAATCCCGTATGCATGGAAACATTCCCGAATCGTCTTGGCGAGACTATCGAAATCAGAAATGATATCGCCGTCGAGAACCACGTGCGCACTGGCGAGGGATTTGGTCTGATTCAGGCGCCATATGTGGAGTTCGTGGACTGCTAGGACGCCAGGGACTTTTTGTAGGTCGTGTTTGACGTCGTCGTGGTCGACGCCTTGGGGGGCACTTTGGAGGAGGATTAGGCCGGAGTGTTTGACTGTTTTTGAAGTTAGCAATGTAGCTTTTGAGTGTGGGGATGTGTTGGTGAGTTCGTACTGAGTGGGATGGAGGAAATAAAAATCATAATGGCGATGCCCATGCTCACGGCTGGATCGGCGTAGAATCGACCACCGTAGTTGGCGAACCAGATTACTGCTGCTGCGATGATGACTCCGAGATTATTTGCGCAATCGCCGATGACGTGGATGAGCACGCCCATCATGGCGAGATCTCGATGTGGTTTGCGGGAGGCTTTCTGTGCATGTACATGGTGTTTGTGGTGGATGTGCTGGTCGAGTTAGATCTAGGAATGACTGGTGGCTCAGAGGGAGCGGTCCTCACCTTTTCATCCATTAGGCCGATGGAATCTGGATCTGTGTCTGTAGAGGCTTCGGGTGCGGAGCCCTCGCCGCTGTCTGTGCCATGGGTATGGCTATGGCTATGGCCATGATCATGCTCGTGGCTGTGGCCGTGGCTATGGCCATCGCCATGGTCATGACCGTGTTCTGCAAGCTGGTCAGTATAGATTCAAGCTAAGTACCACTCAAGGGTATAGCGCATAGATCGATCATACCGTGCAAGAAGAGCACACTGATGAGATTCAGGCCAAAGCCCACGCAACCCATGATCAGGACGAGCTTGGGGGTTTCAACCTCTTGTATACTGTTAGCATCACCGATAGCTATATTGGCCGACGATATACTCACCTTGCAAAGAAATAAACCGCTCGATGGATTGCAAGAAGACGCTAATGCCCAGACCGAATAGTAGGACTCCATTGAAAAAGGCGCCTAGCAGCTGAATCCGTTGCCAGCCAAACGTGAGTGCCTTGGGAGGATCGGTTCGCTCGGCTACCTAAAGGGAATGAGTATAAATGCGTAGATTTCTTGGGAGGGTACTCACGATTGCCGCGACGAGGGCGATGATGAAGCCGACCAGATCATTTAGCTTGGGGGTGTTAGTCCAAACATGCTCCTCGCAAAGGTCCAGGTCCAACTTACATAGTGAAAAGCATCAGCCACCAGGGCCAGAGAATGTGTGTAGAACCCAACTGTGCAGGATATGATTAGCCTCGAAGTTTATAGCTTAAGCTTCGACTTCGCTCTGCAGGGGCACAATCCAGTCCGAATACAGCTCAAGTGGCAAGCCGAAGAGAAACACATAAAAACGTACCTGAAATCTCAGCAAGGAAGAAACAAAACGAAATGCCGATGACGGCACTCAACCGCTGGATGCGAGATATTTTCAACGTCATGGCTGGAGCGTATTCGTGGTGTTGCAGAATTGTGGAGTGGAGTTGGCCGTGAGGAATATCAAAAGTCTAAGAATTAAGGTTTCCTCCACAAACCTGGTTTTTTTCGGCTCGTGTGACCTCAAGCTAAACAGCTCCAAGTGAAAAGACTGGACAGACACACATCAAAACTAAAAGTGAGGCGGTGATCGAAGATTTTGTTTTCTTTCATGCGCCACCGTATTTGTCAAACCTGATCCATTGAATAGAATGAGTGCCTAAGGCTAACCGCCAAGCAATCCAATCGGCGAATGCTTCAAGCTGTGTGGTGGGTACCCGTGGTGACCAAAAAAGCAAAAACTAATAAACGGACTCGTCAGGTCCAGTTATATCGATGGCTTGAAGATCCTGAAGAACTTATCACGTTAACTCAAGTTTGACAGGCATCTTCAAGATGAGGCACTTGTGCCAACACTTCCTCGTATTCAGTCGGAATTTCCCAAGATCCCGGCAGTTACAAACTCGCCAAGCCTCCAGTCACTACGGAGTACCTTGAGCGGTTTCTGCGTTTTCTCCCGATCCATCTATATATCTATGCCGATCACACCCGGTCGATCCATTTGAATACCATATCCACTGCATAAGACATATCGACCATGAATCAAATAGCCCGTCCATCCTGCCTTCGGCAAACCAGGTTTGCCACACTTTCTGTCCCCCTTGGACATCGATATTTTGCAAGCTCCCCTGTCACACGAGCCTGCGAATCCAACCAATCGACCGAGTCTAGCTGCCAGAACACGAAATCCTCGCCCCCAGCCAGTTCTCTCTCGACATTCTCAAAAGCTTTCTGGGCATGTCGTTCAACATGGCGCAGGGCTGGCATCAACACCCTACGCTGTCTAATCGGCTGCACAGTCGGTGATTTCTCCGCGCTGTGGACGCTACAGTCTTACTATCCCGAACTCGGGATGAATACTATCATGCTAGCATCTAGTTCGTCGCCTTCCCATACCAGCTAAAGTTCCATACAAAGCATGCTGACTATAAAATCCAGTGGCTTCTGGTATCACAACATCCATCATCCTCGAGACGGTTCTACTCCGCCGCGGTGCAGACCAGCTCTCATGGACGATGGCTGCCCGAACTGCGATGGGAATGAGTATGGTCTCCATGTTGGCAATGGAAGTCGCCGAGAATGCAGTCGATTACCATCTTACTGGTGGAGTGGTTGCATTCCAGGATCCGAAATTCTGGGCGGCCGCTGTCTTGTCGATAGGGGCTGGGTATTTGGCTCCATTGCCGTATAATTACCTACGTCTGCGGAAATATGGGAAGGCTTGTCATTGAAATATGGGTAGGAAATGCTAAGAGATTTTGTGCCTTTGTATAATAATATGCGGAGGGGAAGATGGACAAGAAAATTGCGTTTCTCCATTTTTAAATAATGAACATATGGCGAGGATGCACAACTCCATTCTTGGAAGTTGCGGATTTATCTCTTCGTACATCTCTTTCGCCGGCTTTTTCAACAGCTCTTTCGACAGCTCTTTTCAATCTCGCTCTACATCTCGCTCTATCGATCTTAGCCCCGATTTCTCTAGTAGCTCTAAGAAGGCGAGTAAATTCTTCGAAGGGACAATAGCGGGCTAGGTTCTTCTCCTTTCAAACGTAGTCAGCGAAGGGTGGCAAGATATCAGAATTCCTTACGCATGATATTGCTATTAAGTAACCTTTATTTCCAGGTTGCCGGGCACCTATGTAGATTAGTGGGTTTTCTACGCAAAAAAGCAAGCACCTTTCAATCCCATTGCATCTTCAAGATCAAGTAAGTTCAAAGACTAGCAAAAAAGCGGCATATTCGGTTTTGAGCTATGCGTGGAGTAGCTGGCCTGAAACCTTGGGCAAACTCTTGGGCTCCTTTGGGCTTGGTATTTCGTATTCCTGCAATCCCACGAAGGTCAATGATTTCACGAGGCACTGTCCTTTTTCGCCATCTGACGAAATTTGCAGAGATGGCAATACGGATAGGATTCGGTCACAGGAAATCTTGCCATTCTGAACGTCGCAAAGATCTCCTCCTGGAATTTGACGGAAGCTGTCCCAGTCACATATCCAATGTGCCGAGTCATCGAGGTTGGTCCTGTCCTTTTTGTATTGGCCAGGGCGAATCCAGGTCCATTCGTAATCCTTGGTAGAGCATCGCAGTATGGTAGCGAGACGGATTGCAGGGACGGATTGCAGGGTCAGCAATCTTCTGGTAGAATTCCAAAACCTGAAGAGAAGAACAGTCCTCTTCAGAAGTACTGGCAATGACGAGAAGCCTCTTGATAGCAAATGAAAGTTCAAGTTCATAAGCTCGCGACGGCTGGCGTAGGGATCAGGATTTGCATACGGGCGGTATAAGATTCGCCCCCATGATTTGACAACTGCTGCAACCATAATATTCTCAACTCAAGTCATGGGAATGATACTGAAAGGGGAATCAAATCAACGACGAACCTGCGTTGGGTTCAAGAGAGGAGAAACTCTCAAACAAATGTCTGAGTATAACTTGCGTGTCAATGTCGGCACCGACCAGCACAGTTTGGAAGACACATTTGTATAGAATGAGCCAGATGCTATACAATAATAGCAGTTCTCGCTCGCATTCAAAGTTTTCTTTATCATATCCAACCAATGGGTATAGGTCCTGGCTGTACGATCCGTCTTGCACGAAATGCCCGACTGCTTGCCAATTCAAAGCAACTCGCGGGAATTTAGGAAACCCCGAAACCCATTGACTAAGAGATCTGTATATTCTCCGAAACCTCTCAGAGACTGCCTCATAGCTCATAGTTAAATGAGTCTTGAGCTGGCTGATCTCCGCCCTGCATGCTGCAAGATCTCGCTCGAGCCCCTGTATGCGATTTTTGTCGTTCAGGCGCTCTGTAAGGCTCTGATCCTTCTGATTTTGGACTTCCTGGACAATGGTGTCGAAGTCTTGGGATAGCTCGGGTTGTAAAAAGGAGGCCATGGTGGCTTCAGCTCGAGGCGAGACCCGAGAAGCCTGAAAGGAATTTCTGAGTACTTTCAGGGCACCACGGAAAGGATTACAGGAAGGTATCTTGATGAGTAGATATTCTGAGGAAAGGTTTAGTAAAGATTTTATACGCCAGAAGTCAAATGAGTGAGCTTACCGAAGATGAGTGCGTTGACAGGAGAAGCTGAAGGACGAGGTGAGAGGAAGGAGCGGGAAGAATATAGGCATAAGTGAAGGGGAAAACCCGGGGGAAGCAGTATCAGCTCTCCAACTCTCCGACTCTCCAGTCTGGAAAGAAGAGGAAGAAGGAAAGATCCAGCAGGACGAGGAGCAGGTCATTTATAGATCTGCCAAACAAGCAAACGGCCTCGTTCTAGAAGCCTCCACTCATGGAACCGGAAATCTCCATCACTAGAGACCCATTCTCGAGAATGTATCACTGTGACCACCAAAACTGGCTCTAGAGTGAGCTGTAGGTGATAGGCTAGGGCTATCAACATGTGGAAATAAGAATGGAGGGAGTTGTTTCTTCGGTTGTTGGAACAAAGAAGAAGGGAAAATCATGGAATTTAACAAGACCTGATTGATACGAGCTGGGACTGTGGATGAACGTTAGACTTAGTCAAGCATTGGGAGGCAACAGCCGCAAGCGTGACCACTGACTACATCCCGTGCCTTGATCGAACATGTGCATCATGTTTTGAAGATGCAACTTGGTCAAGCTTATGAGGCCATGACCTTCGTCTATGTTATCGCAGTACCAGCAATGTGGTCCGACAAAGCGCAAGCTGAACTACGGAAATGCGCAATGGCAGCTGGTATGGGTGAACTTTCGGACATTCGCATAATCTCTGAGCCCGAGACAAGGCTATCTATGCTCTTCGGGCAAATGGTCCCAACGATTTCCTGGTCAATGACACAGTACTCCTTAGATGCTGGAGGCGGCACGGTTGATTTGATTACTTTCACGATCGAACAAGTTTCCTCAGCTCTGCGCCTCCGCGAGCCTGCGGCCGGCACGGGAGCATATTGTAGGAGTACGCTCCTGACCAGACGTTTCGAGGACTTCCTCCGATCGAGATTCGAGTCTTCTCCATGTTGGGACAGTGACACATTGGAGCAAGCCATGTCACGATTGAAGCCTGGGCCAAGAGAAGATTCACGGGCACAGAAACGATGAAGTTCCATTTTCCCGTTCCTGGGATTGGTGATGATCAAGACCTCAATGTTCACCGAGGCTTCTTCCTTGTCACTGTGGAGGAAATTCTTAATCTCGCATTGAAGCAGATAAATTCCTCAAAAAGTCCTGTCAAGGCTGCACTCGTCGTTGGCGGATTCGAACAGAATTACTTTCTTCGTGAATACCTCAAAGCGAACATTCCATCGGGCATCGGTGTTCTTGCTCCTCCTGATGGCTGAACAGCCGTGGTCAGGGGTGCTCTGGCCGAAACACTCTCCGAGGTTTCATCTTCAGCCCCTCAGGTTACCATCTCATCCCGTCTCGCTCAAAAGCACTATGGGACTATTCAAAGCGTCCCGTTTGACGCCGAAGTACATGACAAAGATAAAATGTAAGTACAAGATCCATGAAACATAGATTACCGCTGAATGCTTCAGGTTTATGGACCATTTTTCCGGCAAGTACTACATTAGTGTGATGAAATGATTCATCTGCAAGGTAGGTTGAACATGTCAGTTGGTCTGATGAATATCAAGCTTAAATTCACAGGGTGACGAACTCAACGAAACGAAGCCTATCATGACAAATTGGGTCCATCATAGCCTTAAATCAACCGGAAGGCCCATGACTTCACAACAAAGTTTCTACGAATACGACACAACAGAAGGTGTCGGGCCGCCTCTGTATTTCCGAACCGGTTAGTGGAATTTGGAAGCCGATTGCCTTGACAAAGTTCAAGATCATTAACAGCTTCTAGGAATGCGACGCCACGCTACACTGAATGCCAAGCTTGATGCAAAGGTCCGCAAAGGTATTCCTATCAAACATGGCGCAGATGGCGAGGACTATTATGCTATGGAGTATGATTTGCATGCTCATTACTTCTCCGCGCATTGTGAGGTCTCGTTCTGGTTCGAGGACAAGCACCCAAGGTAGCGTCAAAGTTACCTACCTTTGAAGACTTTCTGGTCATTACGTAGCTTGATCTCTGGGCTTCGGAGCATCAAGATGGGCATTTTCTGGGTTGCATTTGGGGGATCTGAAGTTGAAGCGAGGGGAACCAATGCGCATTTGGAATTAGGTAACATGGAGAAGTGAAGCAGATATTCCAAATTGATATACATGGAAAACCTTGAAATAATCTCATATATTTCCCTTCATAGTGTCGTACAGGACCCCTGCTTTATGTCGTTCAGGTGGCAAGTGTAGGCCACAAGTCTAGGTGGGGCTTTGAAAGATTCAACAAGTGATTAGGCTGAATACCCATTATATCGCTATGGCGGCACACGTAATTAGGTTCTGGCCTGACTTTTGTCCAACGGGTGCATTGGAGATAGACTTGATATGGAGGAAGTCTAGAAGGTCTGCGCCTCGTCAAACCCCGCGGAGGGGCAGGCACCAACCACGTGACCCGTACCACACCAGCCACGAGCTGCGCCACAGCAAAATCGCCGCGAATGAAATCCACAACGGATTCGCCTTTGAAGAAATCCCAGAAATTGAGCAGTTGCCGCATCACACAACCACACACCATGTCTCGACTCGGGAAGTGAGTATTTGCACACCCAAAATTTCCCTGCATCCCACGCTAACCATTTTTTTCTTTCAAATCTACAGCAACGCCGACTGGGCCGACGATGACGAGTACGATGATCCCTCAGCGCTGCCCGCAACACAAATTACCGAGAACAAAGACGGCACCAAGACGGTCGTCTCCTACCGTTTCAACGATGACAACAAAAAAGTGAAGGTCACCCGCAGGATCAAGGCCACCGTTGTCCGAGAGCATGTCAACCCACAGGTGGCCGAGCGCCGGTCGTGGGCCAAGTTCGGTCTCGAGAAGGGCCACGCGCCGGGCCCCTCCTTCGACACCACCTCCGTCGGTGAGAACATGGTCTTCCGTCCCAGCACAAACTGGAAGGCTCAGGCCGCCGATGCCGAGAAGAACCCCGAGCAGGGCAGCATGAAGGACCAGCTCAAGGACAAGAAGGTCAAGTGTCGTATTTGCAGCGGCGAGCATTTCACAGCCCGCTGTCCCTTCAAGGACACCATGGCTCCCGTCGAGGAGCCCACTGGTGGTGCGGATATGGACGCAGACGATGCAGGTGCTGCTGGTGGTCTGGGTGCTGGTTCCTCCAGCTACGTTCCTCCTCACATGCGTGGAAAGGCTGGTGGTGCTGCCGGCGAGAAGATGGGTGGTCGCTTCGAGAAGGACGATCTGGCTACTCTCAGAGTTACAAACGTATGTCCTTTTTGTCCCAACAGTGATTCCTGGTTCTATCCTAACATATCCTCTTTCATCCCTACAGGTCAGCGAGTTGGCAGAGGAACAAGAGTTGCGGGATCTCTTCGAGCGGTTCGGTCGTGTCACCAGAGTTTTCCTTGCCCGGGACCGCGAAACCCAGCGGGCCAAGGGCTTCGCTTTCATCAGCTATGCGGATCGGGGCGATGCTGCTCGCGCTTGCGAGAAAATGGACGGCTGTATGTTTTACCCCTTTCATCGCTCTTTCAAGGCCATGGTCTTGGTCATCTCGAAACACCAGAACTAACCATGTCTTTTTCTCCTTTTTTACAGTCGGTTACCGCCACCTTATTCTTCGCGTCGAGTTCGCCAAGCGCACTACTTAGATTCGCTTCCCGTTTTCCCTTTCACGACCCATTTCTTGGCTGGATTCTCTTTTCTTTTTATCTTTCAGGCGGGCCTCGCTTTATGCTGAAGCTCTTTCCTTTGAAATGTATGATTGATTGATAATGATGATTACCAAAAGACATCCACCATGTCAGTTACTTGCATTCGTCAGTCTATACAAAAGCAATGGTTTAGAGATTCTTGCATGATTTGTTTGGCGTGGGCCCTTGGTTGGGTTGATTTCCGCGATATAGAAGTGCTTGACAATGGTCTTTAGGCAAATGTTCTACATTGTTATCATTACTATGGCTGGTATCCATTTAACAGGTTTAGTTTGATAAGTTGCTTTGTGCTCGTGGCGACTGCCAGTGTATGAGAAGTGGCAAGTCCTCGACGCAGGTCCGTACACCGTGTAGATGGACGCCAACTACGAGAAGAATTTTGAAAGATGTAAACAAGGTATTCATTGCCTATGGCCTGTTGCTATGTTTGGGCATTTATCTAGGTCATCGCCAGCCACTCTACTGACCCCTCATCTGAAAGTGTCTGGTTTATATCCCAGCAGCGCCATATTGTAGCTATACAGCAGCCCCTGATACCCTAGAAACATGACATGCCAGCTGTACTATACGAGTGACAAGGATCTCCGCCGCCACTCAGGGGGCCTGTCATCTGGCTAGGCCATGACTCGAGCACGAAAAGGGAAGGGCCTGGAACATGTCGGTAGAGATTGTTGCTGTCAGTACCCGTGTCTCGTGTTCGAGGCATCGACGAGGATGTATCTGCACAATCAACAAAACGGTAAATGCCAAAAGCACGTCGAAACTCCACATGTCAACAACACCCAACGGTCGTGAACATCAGGGTGCAGGGTTAGTTTCCCAAACGGCATGAAGGCAAGGTTACGACCCCAACTGCACGGCCAGTACGCCGTCATCGCCTAGATCACAGATCCTGTACTCAATTGCAACGGTGTAGATCTATCTAGATCTTGCGCGAGCCTAGCCCAGACCATCTAGAGGCCCATACAACACCCCATTATACAAAGATGGCACAGTTAACTCCCGATGCCGAATTGGGTTGCATCATGTAGTATCGGTGATTCATTTAGGAGAGAGACTTGGACCATGGAAAGCTTACCCTAGCGGCAACCGTCCATCGGCACCCGGCCCCGCCGAGAAAAAGGATTCTCCATTGACAGGGAATTAAGCACATTTTTTCCTATCTCGATTTCTTTCCCCTTTTTCTTCGTTCTTGCTATTGTCGTATTGTTTGTTTGGCGTCATGCTGGGCCCTCGTCGAAAGCTTCAACGTATCACTAGGCCACCGAATTTTGGCCTGCCACCCCACCATGGCGGCATGCTGTATGACAGGACGACACATGTGAATGGCGTTCATGACGTTCCGAAGTCCCAGTGACATTTGCAGGAAGATGCTGGGTGTTAAAATGGAAGGATCCACTATCGTGAGAGGCCTTGAAGCAATCGACCAGAAGGGTAATTCTTGTCTCGTCTACTGCCCCGTCGGCTTCGTGCCGCTGCGCAAGTTTTGACGTGAGACGAGGATTCCCACTGGGGTTGGCTGCTGCGTGTCGGGGAGTGCTGGTGGACGATGGAAAGGATGCCACGGCATCGGGGAGAAATCGCAGGTACGCATCCTCTGGCCTGCATGCAGAATGCCATGTGAAAAGCATGTTGCCCTCCTGACAGATATCATGGGGGAGTTCCGGTCGCCATTGTTCCAATGATTGTTGAGAATCTGTGGTAGGATCCTGGTTCAATTAGCACGAGCTGCTTTTCCTCTCTTGCTCTTTTTGTAGATGTCGGCAACCGTTGCCCAGCTACTTGCCGGCCTCGTCGTTGATATTGGTCTCAATCTTTCAGCCCGGGTTCCGTTGGGCTTGGCCAGCTGGAAATCTAATTCAATCAAAGGTCTAATAGGACGGTATACCAACAGAAGACTCCAGCTCTACCCTTTGTGATGACATTTGAACAACATAATGGACATTGCGATGCACGATTGGATCTCTTGGATGCCTCGGAGGCCCGGGATCGACGGGTCCGCCACGGGACTTCCCAAGATCCATGAACAACAGGCATGAGGAGCTACAGTCACGGAAAACAAGGGGCCCATAAACAGACAAGCTGGAATATCAGCGACTGATGGCCCCCTCTTGGTATGTATCCATGCAAAGCCTCATCGCTGGCCAATGGTTTGCCCTGTCTTGCGCCCGGAGTGTAAAACGGCCCCCCTCCCTATTCTCGGTCTCTCATGCAATCACGTTCCCGACCTCCCGATGGGATGCCCATACAGAAAGCGTTATCTCCATTTTGACTCTGACGCGCAGATGCAAACCTGGGGGAGGGAGGGTGGATCTCCTGCTGCTGATCTTCCCTGTCAGAAACATGAGCATCCGGCCGGGTGCAGCCCAGAAATAGGACGCGGAAGAGACCACGGTTTGCCATTGACTTTGACCAGGGCTCGTCGTACAAAAGACCAAAATGGTTTGTTTCTGTTGTCTCATCGCGGCGAAATAACAATTTCATCTTTACCAATTGTCATCTTGTTTTCTTTGGCTGTTCTGCGAGGACGTGGTCTGATCCCTGGACACCGTAAGTCTGGGGTCATTGCGCCCAGCCACCTCCCAAGCACGAAGCTCCAAGAGAAATCAAATCAAATCAGATTCAAGACATGTAGGTTGTCTCAGAAGTATATGCAACCCTGAACAGCCTCAGAACTATCGGAGCTAAATATCGGATGATTGACCTGGTCCGAACCTTGGTTGGATTGATGAGTTCATGCAATGGCGTGTTGATCCACCGAGAAAACTCAAATATTCCATTCGACGAATTTGGGTAAAGGAGACATGGGGTGGGAAAGCAGGAATTATCACCATAACCGCTCGGATTGTACTTCGTGATTCTGTAATAAGATTTGAATCATTAGCTCCCGGAGCTTGCACTCTTCGGGGAAGGACTGGACAGGTACCTGCAGTTGGAGAGAGACTACTGGTAGGAGAGCTTTTCCAGGTAGCCAAGGGACCGAGCATCGGCTTTCGGACAATTTTCTCTGCTCAGGAGCTCGTTCTCTTTATGTATCTCAATAACATATGCCGTAAAGACCTATAGTGTCATGTAGAGCTGCACCCGAGCAAACTCTGTTCCCCTCTGTTCGTCTGAGCCTTTGTGATAGACCGGAAAAGGTGGAGCCCCGCGAGTTTGGGCGAGTGGAGTCCGGCACGGGTACGGGACGAGAAAGTGGAGCGAAGGATTCGATCTGATATGCACGAATGGGCGATGAAAGACTCGAGTAGGGAACCCCGAAGAAAAAGAAACGCCCGACTTGTAGCTTCACTAGTTTCTGGAGAAAGATAAGATCGGGATAGCTAAACGACTTCGTAAAGAACCCCGCCTAAGATAATGCAGGAAAGATAGGTACTTTTGCTCTAGACTAGGGAACAAACTATGGAGCGATCCTTGAGACGACATGCATTCCTGATGCAGACCTGGACCCCTGGTACATCCACTGTACCAATCGTGTCTGTACCAAACCCCACAGTTCAGCAGCACTTGTACAACGCCTTCTTCGTCAAGAGCAAGTCCACTGGACACACCTGCAGAGTCATGAAGAAGTCATAGGCAGAGTCTCTTCACTCAGGACTCTTGAGACTTGTATCTCTCGTTCACCGCCTCCCCGCACGTGTCGTGGCATCCCTGCCCAAAGCGCAACAATTACAGATGATCCTCGCCTGGCAGTCAAATCAGCATTCCATCCTTTTCCAAGCGCAGGCAGCCACAAGCATGGCTTGCTGGCCGAACATCGGCCTTGCTCCCACACGAGGAAACATTGAGCTCATCCGATCGGATCCCTTTGGGAACGAAAAGAATGATGACCTCGCCTTCCTGCACCTACTGCCGATTTTGGTACTTTTCCGACTCGGACCCGAGACCCAGCCAGAATGTGGTTCCGTGATGATGGACCAGCTGCACAACATACCCTCCCATAACCACCCTCCCGGTGATAGTTCCCACTAGTGACTGCCACTGACTGGTTCCCAAATCGATCAATACAGTAACGATCCACCAATCGCAGTGGGATCGGCTGCTTTTCCACCATCTTGCGATTCGCCATCTCAACCAACTAGTCTCCTGCAGGATGGCCGATCGCCCAGCCACTAATGCGGTTTTGTTGAAATCGACACCATAGGGGGAAGAAGGCCCCCACTATCGAGCCTACGATCTGTGGGATCTATGAATCTCAACACACCAGAGTCCACTTTCACCCCTAAGAGCATCCACTGAGAGACTTCCTATCTGTTCCCCCCAACAAGACCACGCAGAGAGATTGAACAGTTGCAGCAGCAGCTGTGGAGCTCCATTCTGGAAAATGCAGCCTGGTACGGACCGCAAGTCTACCGGGCTTTCCCGTTGCAGATGCGTCAGACACGCCTTCTTCAGTAACTGTTCCCTTCCTCTCTCCTACTAAGTACGGAGTAGTATGGAGTACTCGATAATTGGTGGGGAAAAATAGGGCTTTTCGCCGGTCTCGGTCGCCTCAGCTTCTGCCTTGGATCTTGATCACGTTGGCCACTGGAATTCTAGGCGCCCGGCGCGCCCTCCAGGCTGCTCTTGGGGGTGGAAAAGTGGAATCGGCCCCATTATTGTTCCCTTGATGCGTCGCTTTAATTTATTCATTTGTTCGCCATTCGAGGTCTGTCGGTGAGGGCATTGCCAGCATGCACCACACAGCTGGTCGAATGAAACTTGCCGATTGTTTGGCATGCCCTTTCGTCATGCAAGCCGTAATGCTCGTGCTTCGACTATCTTTTCTCCATAAAGGAATGAAGAAAGTAGCAAAAGATAATCGAAAAAGACAAGGCTAAAAAAAAAGGAGTTCCGGGGACGACTCCGACAGGTCTCTGGATTCCTAGACCCCCAACCTCATGGGTCTTGGCCAGGCAAATGGCTTGTTTCTTGGGACCAGACGAATAATGATTTCCATTTGTATTGTTATTGAGATCCGGGGGCTCTCGTTGGTCAACACGCTTTATTTTGGCCTGCAGATCCTCAAGGTTCGATACATCACCCAGTTGTCAGGCGACTCTGGGGGCGGCCAGAGAATCATAGAATGAGGATGTCTGCACGCCTATCCCGGGGGGAGGTTGATCATCTCCTCTATCCTTTCTAGGTTTCATCGTATTTGGATTTGCCTGCAGTATCCCGCCTGTCGGGTGTTCACACTAGGACATCTGACTTTATTCGGGAGAGCGTCCCGTAATGGAAAATACATCCAGAACGCTGGTCATTCGCTCCCGTTCGCCCCAATGTCCTGAAAGGCTGAAGTACAATACTGGAGTCCTGAAGTACGACGCCTTTACCCACCTTTATTCAGCCAGTGTCCGTGCAAAGCTTCTCGTCGGCTCCTCTCAGGGCACGTAACATGGAGATTCTGACCAATGCCATGCTCCTTGAACAATCAAACTGTCTGGAGCTCGGGCCAATGATTCGATGCTACAGTTTCTTTCCTATGGATGACTCCCACCCAAATTATTCTACCAGCAGTCGGGGGTGGCAGGGATCTTGAAGAAAATTTCCCCTCCACATAGAAATAAATAAATAAAAGAAAAAGAAAAAGAAAAAGAAAAAGAAAAAGAAAAAGAAAAAGAAGAAACAATAAAAAAAACAAAATCAGATTAACAACTATTCCGGATATCCTGGACCGCTGCCAATTATGGTTGGACCCCTAATGCAAATTAGCTGCTGCCACCCACTGTAGCGTTGCGGATACAACGTATTCCCACTGTCCCTGGCAGGCCCAGAATCCTAGCTCTTTCCACAGGAACTCGTGGCGATAATGGTCGCCTCTCGGCTGGATCGTTGACTTAGCTTTCAGTCTATTCTGGGGAGTAGGAGGGTCAACCTCTTTGGTCTTTACCATACCTCATCCGTGATCTACTTCCAGTCCTCCAGCAACCGGGGAGGAGGGACTAGACATCCAGAGCGGGCTTGATCTGAACAGGGTTCATCGACCTGAAGTACTCCTGTACGCAAGACATCGGGGAGGGCATATTATCACGGCCGAAATCAAATATCATCAATTGGATGCGCACCCATTTGGCACCATCTAATTCTCTTCAACCTCGTCCTGTGCTTTTTGTCCAGCCCAGCCACGAAACACTCGCCCTACTCCTTTCTCTCCCAAAGGAAATTAATCTCTGATTGTTCAAGACCTCGTAAAAGGAGGCCTTTACACTTGCGTCCGGAGGAGGGGGTACTTTCTTATCTAAGAAAGGACCTATAGCCTCTCTCGTCCCTATTAGCCTCGTTGTTTTCCGATTCTTTCTCCCCTCTCTATCGAGAAATCAAAGGTACTCGGCAATCGACGCTATCCTTGATCCTGGGATCCCGGGCAGTTCGGCAGTCCATCCAAGTTAGGGTTGCAGTACTTGCAGCATACCTGGTGGACACTGGACACGGTCTACTCTCTCTCATCGGTCCATGCCAGTTACCTTTCGTTACCTGTCAAGGCCCGCCCTACCTTGATTGATTTGCGGACGCAAGTCACACTGGATTACATCGGTAGGTTTCGATTTTTCCCGTTTCTTCCTTTTTTTTCTTCCACTTGTTCTATTCACTTGATTTCATATTTTGTGATTATTATTTCCCTTTTGGTCTTTCAATCTCCCATCTTGTTTCTCAAACTGTGTCATTTTCTTTTCCTTTTTTTGGTCAACCTTGTTTCCAAGGCTTGTCAATTTCTTGACTATCAGAGTGTGCTTGGGTCTTCATGATCTAGTTCTCTGGGTTACGCTAAGATCTATACACTCTTGGATTGTTTCATTGAAACTGGAGAACAATGCCCTATGACAAACAATGCGAGGGTCTCCCGAATAGGAAACGTATGCTCTACTCGTGACGCATCTCTCTGGCCGGGTCTAGCATCCGCCTAGAGATACTTACTGCGTTTCCGCGTTTCCATCAACCGGCCAGAGGCAACTTCACTCATCCTCTTCAAGACATGCTCTTATTCTGGTCCTTGCCCACTGTCCTCTTTCATCATCTCTATTCTGTCTAAACCCCTTTCCATCCTCTCCTTATCTGTATGTGGGTGTTGATTCATTCTTTTCCATTTACACGTTCCGTCTTACTTACCTTATTACTCCCCTTAAAGAACCACTACGTGCTATCCTTGCCCTGATCCTATCTTGCAAACTCTCCCTTCTCGTTGTCCGTCGACGAGGTCCACTAGAGCCTGATTCTTTGATCTCCTTCCCTCTTCGTGAAATACACTCCGCAAACTCCCACACGCTCTTGGCTTCTCATTGAACCTTGCCCAAAACTTCCAAGACAACGAGTCATTTCATTGCGTCGTGATGTGAGCAACAGCAGCTGGAAAATGAAGGCAAAATGATCCTGCTCTGGAACCCGGTCAACTAACCCACTTGATTGCTCTAGACAACGGTGCCTCTCACCATTTCAGGACGCCAATCGCAAAGGCAGGGTCCTTGAGCAACTGGTATCAGCACAATCGCAATGAACCCTTGTAAGTCTCGTCAACGTGGACTATTTTGTCCCTCGTTCCCATTCCATATCGTTCTTTCACAGTTGTGCCGGTGGCTCATATCAGCGCTACCGGCACGCTTCCGTCTCGTGTCTGAATAATTATCTCATACTTTATGTCAATCAGCTAAGAACCCCCTTCTAGCCACTCTGCTTTCCGAACCCTTTGCCATGGACTGCCCAGTCACCACAGATGGGGACTATATCAGCTCCCAGGTAACAGGGTTTCCAGCCGATGAAGACGACAACAGCCAGCGAGTCGGAGGCCTCGCCTCCATGCCTGTCACTAACGGCGTGCGGTACCACGCACCGCAGTCTGCGATGCAAGACTTGCAGTACGTTATTTTTCCTTTCTTCTTTCCCTTTCTTTGCGGCAGTTTCAATTTGGACTGCCCTTGCGCTCCACTCGGCCCTCTTTCAACATAACAACGACATCCCTTCCCTGGTCGCTGCACTTCCTCCGGGTCCGGGCAGCTTGGACTTTAGTCCAGCCTGTTTCGGTACCTTCCATACTGATCTGCTGCGTGCATGCGTTTCGTCCAATGTTTCTGTCGTTTTTCTATCTGAACCCGTGTCCGTGTCCCGTATTGTGATTTTTGGTCCAGTGCCTTGTCTTGAGCATCTGCGGGTTGATTTGTGTCTTTACGCATCATGCTCTCCGTGCTGTCCCCGGGTAGCTATGAGACTTTTGTTTATTTCTATCTGTCTTGTGTTCTTGATGCAGTTGGCTCTGATCAATTCTGCGGTGATGTGACGTGCTAAACAAATTGTGTCTACCTTCTAGTTATCCCAGCTCAACTGCACTCGCCATGACTCCTCCCGATTCCTGTTCCGGTATGGTTTGGTCTTTGATTCATTGTGTGACTGTGGCTGATCTTCTAACTGACTGCTTTAATCCCCACTCAGACTCGTTCTCCCCAACTTCTGGTCCTCTTTTCCCTCATATGGCCCAACACCAACATCCCTTTGATCGCGTGACAGATTTTCGTCGAGTACCATCTCTGTGAGTTGCATTTTCTCGCTAACCCATCGAATAATTTAGACTTATTGTTGTTTCTTTTACATCTAGTCAACCCCTTACTGGCATGTCAGCAACTATGCAAAGCCCAATGCACTCTGTGAGCTCGATCTCGGCATTGATGGGACGCAGCAATGCCTATTCATCCTCATACGCACTCCAGCGCGGTATGGGCTTGCCATTGAGTGGAATCAATGATGTCTCTCGTGGTCATGGATACTCAGGCACTCCTCGTGGGCTGGATATTATGGACCGAAATCAGACAGCCTTACTCCAGCAATCTCCAGTCGAGTCCCCACAGCGATCACATGCGTCGGCAGAGGCACCTCCATTCGAGGACACGAGCATTCTCGAATCAATTGTTACCGACTTTGGAGGTACACAGCAAACTGTCAAACCCGAGGTGTATGCGAAGATTGGGCGTGGGTTCTTCCCATCCGATAACAAGTGGACCTGCTACCGACGGAATTACTTCGCTGTCACCTGCAGCTTCAGTCTGCATCCATATCCTTCAAACGTTCCTCTCTACATTCGCCATGCAGATCAGACTCTGGAGCCAATTCGTGGCTTTGCAATGTCTATTTCTGCCATAGTCAATGGGCAATATGGAGAAACTCGAGAGCTCGTACAGCATACGCCAAAAAGAGATAAGCTGTCAGAGCGTCCACCACCTCGAGTGGTCCTACAACCTTCGCCACCTCAGTCCCTCACATCTGCTTCCGCTGGAAACAGCACTCATGGTTTCCCACTTGGCTCGCAATCTTTGGACTACAATTCCTCGTTCGCCGGCGCGCCTCAGCCTCCGCAGTCACATATGTTTGAGCGGATCCAGTTCCAAAAGGCTACAGCTAACAACGGCAAGAGACGCGCCCAGCAGCAATTCTACAACCTTGTCGTTGAACTACAAGCCGAGGTTGCGGGCCCAGTTAGCGGGGAATCACAGTGGGTTCTCATCGCGCGTCGACACTCGCATTCAATGGTCGTGCGAGGACGTTCCCCGGGTCATTACAAGGATGGCCGACGCGATAGCACAACAAGCATGGGACCCGAAGGAGGCAGTGGAGATAGCAGTGGCAATACCTTGGCCCACGTAATGGGACAGACAGCACGCTCGCATCTGCTTATGTACGACTCACCACATCGAGGAAGCTTGCCCTACGGACGAACAGACTATCGCCAGATGCCAACTGCTGAGCACTCACCGTTGAGTGATAGCCCGCTCGTCTCATCCTCGTCCTCGTCGGCCTTCGACTATTCCATGATAAATGACACCATGGACCCGATGGACACGCTGAAGACCGACCCCTACCAGGACCCATTCACAGTGGTGTCTAATAACCACCGGTCTAGTACGGGGAGCTTTGACCCGGTCTACTCGACGTACAATGGGTACAGCACAATTCATAACAGTCGTAGTCTCTGCACCTAGATCGGGATACTTTGACCTAGCTCGGCATGCCAAAAGGAAGCTTTTATTTTGTCAGAGTATTTCTCTCTGCATTTAATCTTATCTTCCAAATGTCACTTAGGTTGCGAGTGAATTGATTTTTTTATTTGCTACGGAGCACTGGGAAATGGGACATCACGGATTGGTGCAGAACGGCGCGGGAGATCGAATATGAATTCAGGGATCCTTGAATTTCTTTCATTATGTGGTTATTTTACCTTTACCTTTATCTCCATTTTTAGCATGTCATCTTTTACTATTTGAAATTGAGAACTTCGGTTTCTTCTCCTTTTCTCCTTCCTTTTCTTGCAGATCTACGGCTTGTATTTTGCTCTATCAAGAACCTCTGGAGAAGACCGATGAGTAAAATTGTATTAATCGGAACTACATCGGTACCAGAGATAGGAAGGTTCTGAGTCCTAGCCTGCAGCGTCATGGGGATATTACAAAATTACTCTTGACCATGAATTTTACTTTTTGACCATGTCATTTTTAACCAGCAAAGGAAGATTTTACAGATTGCCATCTCAAGGTCCTCAAAATCCACCAAGAGAATTATTTCACCTGCATGTATACTATTACTCTCTCCCTTTCCTGATAATGGCCCGAGTTCAACATGCTATACAAAGTGCAAGCCCTCTCAATTCCCCGATTCGCTCTCGCCGCCAGGGACCGTTATTCCTGCGGTGCTAGTCTAGCTCCATATCCTGCCTAGGCTGGGGGCAAGGGACTCGGCCGGTCCCAGCTGCGATGGACATGGGGTAGAATTCTTTGTTATGGGGTTTGTTTCCATTCTTAGTCCTACTTTTTCGCTACTAACGCACCCTGGTCAGCTTGCCAGCGGGTAACAGGGTCCAAGGTCTTATTGCTGTAGTCCTTTACTTGCATATTATGGTCATCGAGTAAGCAGATTAGGAGGGGCTGGATGGTGTGTTTCAGCGGGGAAATGAATTGGGGGAAGTGAAAGAGACCAGGGTGGCGTTGGCTGCAGATTTGTTGTTTTTGCTTTTTCTGTTTAGGGCTTTGCAGTCATCAAACGAGATGATCATGGCAAGGCGCAGGGAGCCAATCAGATACTTTAGATCATGTCCTCTTTAGGCAGGACTCTGTTCTTGTATACTGTAAATACTTGATCTTTAAGGATACTGGTTATTTACAAGCCTAGGAAATTATCAAGTTTTTCTAAAGGTGTTGTTGTTTCTAGAATCTGATACTTGCATCTATTTCCGAATCTAGGTATGTAATCCTGCTTGTATACATCTAGGCAGCAAGGATTCTAACCAGCCATGGGGGGGGCTCTCCGCATGTAGATATGTATGGAATGTGCAGATCCCAGTCTGATCGCCTATCGGGATGAACGGTGCGTGCGCAGGTGATTTATTGCATCTCAGCTCAGCCTGGTTCTCTGGCTCTGGCTGGTTCTGCGGCTATTACGACACATGCAGGGTGCCTCATCTTTGACTTTCCCGGTGGCGAAATGCAAAACATTTCCAACTTAGATTTGTCAACATTACTTGACACTTTTGACACCTTTGGCTAAATTTGGTGGCCGCAACTCTGCTAGTTTTCCTAAATAGATCGATAGTCGAGGCTTGACAGGGTTATACCCAGAACACTGCTACTACTGCACCTCATGATGTATTTGCGAAGCTATCGTAGACAGATTTTATCTACTAACTAAGTTTACCTGTTCGTCCAATCACTCAACTACCCTTGCCATAGTCCAAGTCACCTGCCCCTCGGCATGTTCCGGTAACTCATGCCACTTGACTGTTATGTAGGTGCCCTGGTTAGCGGCCGCGATCCTGGTCCTGCGATGCGAGTTAGTGGGAACCTCACCTGGGCTACGGTACTGTAAGTCTGGACTGGAGTAGATGTTCATTTTCATTCAGGATGTCCTTCAATTTACTCATACCCTTTGATTCTTGTATACTGACTCAAATTCTTGCCAAAAGGTCAACTCAGGTCTTATCATATGCTTTAGTGGCAACACGAAAAGTCTACCAATGTTGCACAATAAGCCAAATAGGGAATTTTCCTCTCTCATACTCAGTATAGCCTCTGTGAGCATGTCAAAGACAGGTTTAGATGCTTTGATAGGATCATAGCTGACACCACCATCACCCGATATCCCACGCCCCTTCGGAATGGGGCTAAAGTCAGTGCCCTAACCATCTGCACGTCGTACAAGGGCCATCAGCCGAAAGAAGAATCCACTCCGCACGGTCCTTTGGCGGTTGATCAGAATAATCGAAATCTCTCGGTTTGATCAATTCGTACTGTATCGTATTAGTAGTTAGATACTGTAAGATGAAGCCTCACAGATACCAAATTGATGAAAATAGGGCTTCATTTTCTTGCCCGATCAAGACTTGCATTGGCCCGGCCGTTGCAGAGGATTTTCGGATCTGAGAAGGTTTCACGACAGATTTGGGGGCCGCTGATATTTCCGAAGGATTGAAGGGAAATACTGTCTGGATACTCGCGAGGCTGCTTGTTTTATTTTTATTTTTTTGGGTTGGATGAAGATGAAGGGGTTCAATGGCACATGTACTTAGACTAGATCAATCTCCATTAGATCTCGCCAACACACAAAGTCCATGTCAATTGACTATTCATTTAATCAAGAAAGTATGTATACCCTCATACAGTAAACAATTTGGATCCCGGGTTGTCCGTAAAACAACACCCACGTCCCAACAAACCATGCAAGACCAGGATGCCGCTCCCATGCTTCAAATACCCCCTTCCTGACTCCTTCCAGTTTCAGACATACAACCCCCGGAACAGACGAAAAGGTCCATCAAAAGAACCACCAGGTTTGCTTTGCTACAATTCATAGCTATATAGCAAAGACACTCCACTCCACTCCAGTCAAGTGTCTTCCCTGCATCTGCAAAAGATATACACCATACATATCTGCATGAGGCTGAATCATCCCTGTCCACCGCCAACAAACAGAACCCAGTCAGTCTGCCCCCTCGTAGACCGTAGACACAATGCACGCAAACTACACTTTGCTAGACCTGGTTGGCTAAGTTTGGGAATGACTTGGCTTGGGCTTGGGCGCTGCAGATGAGGCTTCGATTTGAATTTGTCTGATGCAGAGCTAGTTCTCGCTTAGTGACGGGTTAGATGCTTGATTCCCATCGGGGAGATGGATGGATGTGGCCGTGGATTGTTGCACGTCACCGGATTTGGGGCTTGTGGGTGAACTGGGCTTGTCTTACAATTGGGGTCGGAACAGAGATCTTGTTGGGTGTGAGACTGGAAGGTCTGGTTTAGTCTTAATTGAGATTTACGCTGATGGGGACATTCTGTTATGGTGAAGTGGGTAGAAGAAAGAAGTGCAAGGGGACTTGTGTAATCTTATCTTTGTCGATGTAGATAAATTGGGGTAAAGTTGCGACGCGATGTAGACCTAAGTATGCGAAACGGGGCATAATCTCGAGTCAATACTCATACTTCGCCAGTATCCCGATCATTCCCCATCTTCCATCACCAATCCCTATACTCTCAAACAAACCCCGTCAAACGTCAAACTCAATCCCAATGACAAAGAAACAAAACTCAATTAACGACCACATAAACAAGGATACACTGCAAGCCCAAACACCAATACCAAGCTAACCCAAGGCCCACCTGCCGCTCACGCAACAAATTCCAATCCAACAGCATCAAGCCCGGAGAATAAACCAGCCACTGATTGGTCTCTTGACACTCAGTCCAGCAAAGTCTTGATCTGGACCGGGCTGCCACCTGCTTCGCTTCTTCTTCTTCTGCGCGCTGCTGCCAGGATTGAATATTCCGATGTGCAGGCGCCAGCGGCAACGCAAAGCGGGCCCGTCGAAAACGCGACACAGACGCGAACGCGAGCGAGAACGCAGAAGCGTCTAGGATGTTGTCTCCGTGCCTCTGGTTCTATCTTCTTTTCTCCCCGAGGGTCGCACGATCGGAATCTTTGATGATCAAAGCTTTGAATCACAAGATCAGAGAGGCAGTATGGTGTTCGCCTTACACAAGGACGTACTGTAGTATCCGATTGACCACGGGCCCGGGGACGAATGACATCACCGAAGAAGAAGAAAAAGAACGGAGTCAAGCTCTGACCTCGGTCTCCCATGGAATATCTGAGTCCTGAGTCCAGAGTCCCGAATCGCACGCCCTCTTCCCATTCCCGATCCGACGAGATCAGAGCGGCTCGGTCTTGTGACTTTAGGTCCGCTCGGAGTGGCCGGGGTACTCGGCCATTCCTCACGTAAACAATTTCGACTCCTGAAAAGAACAGATATTGTCGAAATATCCAAGAACGAATCCAAGTGGCACTTGCGCAAAGCAAATAGGGCCCAGTGCATTGAAAGTCATGACACCTCAATGCGCCCGCTCATCCTTTCCCTCCCCACCAACCCTCGAAATCCTCACAGCAAGCTGCTTATCCAAAACCTCCTGCTCATCCTTCGTTGCCTGCATGCCAAGTGCGCTTTCAACCTGCGGCGATGTCCAAAGACCAATCGTTGCCCAGGCCATCACGCCAACGCCGAATAAGGCCCGTGTTTTCGGGGTGAGGGATCGGTAGGTACTAAAGACAAAGACGGTGTTAGACACAGACTCGTCAACAATGCACAATTGGATACTCTCCAGGTATGGGGTGTGGCATACCTCCACAAAGACATTGTTCTGGATTTGCGAATGGCTTGTTAGCTGGGGTGAAGTAAGGTAACGTCGGGGTGTTGATGTTAAGCTCCGGATATTGAATGTCACGTGGTGATGGGAAGAGGCTAAACCGAGTTGGGTAATTGGGAGTCGGGACTTGGAATGGACTTGAGGCCGAGGCTCTCCCCGTTAAGATCGGCCGCTAGGGTCACAAGGGGAGGAGGGTTGCTGCGAACCTCCCAAGATGGTAGTAGGTCTCTGTCAGGTACCTGTACCACGAGGGATGGGTGATCGGCTGGATTCGGTGGGTGCTAGTGTAACGGTGGCTTCGTACTAGGGGGTGCAGAGGTACTTTTGATACTATGGACTACATGGAATCGTATCCAGATAGAAGACCCCGTTTATAGGATGGAGAATGGAGTGAAGAAACTGTAATATATTTCGATCCAACCGGAAAAAGTAGCAAGCCCGTCGCAATGTCATGTCCGCATTATCACTATCTCGTCTAATCGTGGGCGAGGGGAGAAGGTAACAGGAAAGTCATATATTAACAAGACAAGGCCCAGAGAGATCGCAACAAGGACGCAAAAAACACACGCGGTAGAGGGTAACAAGGAGGAAGAAAGACGCAGAATTAAAACCAAGGAGAATAAAATCACATAGGGGACTTCATGCCAAGTCAATCCCACCTTTTTATTTATTTCTTGCCGTAGGCCTTGTCAATCTCGGCCTTGTACTTGTTCACGATCTTCTTGCGCTGCAACTTCTGAGCAGCAGTCATGTAGCCCTATGATGCTCGTTAGTATCGGCTCGATATTGGTTAGTGGTGGCGTGGCACTTACGTTTTGAGGAGTCCACTCCTCGTCGGAGAGTACAACACCGTTGACGATTTCAATCCCCCGCAGACCACCGGCACGCCCAGAGCTCTGCAATTGCTGCAGAACTAGGCGCTGAATCTTCTCGTTGTGCACGAGAGCTTCAACCGAGTCACCCTCAATGCCGTTCTCACTGGCAATCTTCTTGAGGGCAATCTCGACGGGAACAATGATAGCAATCGGCTTGTCTTGGTCCTCCGCAGCATAGACGCAGATATTACCAACAACAGGAGTGGAGCGGTACACGGACTCGAGCTTCTCCAGAGCAATGTACTCGCCGTTCAAGGTCTTGACCAGGTTCTTCTTCCGGTCAATGATGCGCAGGTGGCCGTTGGAGTCGAACTCGCCAATGTCGCCAGTCATGAACCAACCGTCCTCGGTCAGCGCGTTCTTGGTCTCCTCATCGTTGTCGAAGTATCCCGACGTCACACTGCCACCGCGGATGAAGATCTCACCCTGAGGGGGGTTGTTCTTGGTCAGGTAGCCGGCGTCGGGGAAGTCGACCAGCTTGATCTCGATCGAGGCGGGGATCTCACCAAGAGCGCTGGGGTTCCATGCCATGGGGTCGTTCAGAGCACCCATGGCCGAGGTCTCAGTCAGACCGTAACCACCGATCATGGGAGCAATGGCCATGGAAAGGAATCGCTGGGTGTCCTTGGAGATGGGACCACCACCGTTCATCATGATACGGAGATGGCCACCGGTAGCCTCCTTGAGCTTCTTGAAGACCACGGAATCCAGAATCGAAGCACCGAAGCCAGCTCCGGGGAAGCCGTTGGTCAGCAGGAAGTTCTTGGCGGCCATGGCACCCCAGAACATGCCCTTGATGAGGAAACTGTTTTTGTTCAGGTTGTTCAACACACCCTTCTTGACCGACTCCCACACGGCCGGAACACCAACCAGAATGGTAGGCTTGAACTCGCGAATATCACCCTTGCAGTTGCGCATTGAGGCATCGGACAATGTGCGGGGGTTACCGTATCCCATGCAGCCACCCCAGAACAGACACAGGTTCTCAAACATGAACTCCAAAATGTGTGCTTGCGGGAGGTAAGTGAGCAGCGAGTCGTTGGGGCCAATGTAGGGTCCCACGATTTCGTTGACACCAGCGGTGGCAGCAATGACATTCGCGTGGGTCAAAGGAACACCCTTGGGCGGGCCGGTCGAGCCAGACGTGTACATGATGCAGCACAAGTCCTCAGCCTTGGGCGGCACCGGGTCCACGGGGTTCTCCTCGCCAGATTTGCGCAAGTCCTCCAAGCTGAGCACATTGATGTGGGCAAACTCATTCTTCAGCTTATCCAATTCCTCCTGCTTGACCTCGTTGTCGGTGTTGTAAATAACGTGCTTGATCGAGGGAATATCTTTCAGGACGTGAGTCAGAGACTTGATCAGGCCGGGATCGAGGAAGATGGCTGTGGAGGAGGTTTGGACCAGAGAGTGCTTGAGGCCCTCCTCGCCCAGGGTATCATAAGCAGTGACAATAGTGATGGATTGTGAGGCGGCACCGTGCGACATGGCCAGCCAGTGTGCGCTCGTGGCTCCGTACAGATGAAGACGGCCACCCTGCTCCATGCCCAGCTTGCGCAGGCCCGCACCGAGCTGGAGACAGAGCTGCTCGTACTCGAGGAAGGTCTTGTAGGTGTACCCGCTCATCTCGAAAAAGGTCCATTGCTTGTCAACCTCCTGCTCTACGCCATCTACCATCTTCTTGATCTTCTTGTTCTCCACATGCGTCTTGATCAGCTTCCGGCTGGCCACGGCTTTGTTGTTGCCGAACAAACGGGCGGAGCGCCGGAAGTTGTCATACGTGGTCGCGACGTCCTCAGACGGGCGCAGGATGAGACCGTTCTTCGCATTTGGGTGGCGACGAGGAATCGTCTCGCCTTCCTTCTTTTCATAGCCGGCCGCCTCGACCGAGAAGGGGCCCTTCTTGGCCATGCGCGGCTGGATGTGGAGGTCGCGCTTTGACATGGCGACGGATTGCTCTCAAAGGAGGGATAGACAAGGGGAGATTAAGGGGGAGAAAGTCTCGAAGAAAGGTAGGATCCGAGATAGGATCAAATCGAACCTGTCGAGGGGAGGATTCCACTACTGTAGGGACAGGACGGGTGGCGTTAGCGTCTTTCTGGGGACTGGCAGGACCACCGGGGCCAAATGGGGAGGTGTACGGGAAACTAGGGGCGAAACGGTCCGAAAGACTTACCCAACTGCCGAATTTAGGAAGTTGCAAAAGCTGCAGTTCAAGCAGAAGGATATGATGTTAGAGAGTGGGTGAGGGAAAGAGAAGGAAGCTCTGGAGCTTTGAGGGGGCGGAAGAAGAGGGTTTGTTGGGACGGGGAAGCTCGCAGGGATCAGGGCAGACTGGGCAGGACAGGACAGGTACCTTTTGCCTTTGGGACCTTCTTGCGATGTGGCCGGGCTTTGCGGCCCAGGATGACGCACCTCGTAAATAGTGTCGGCAACCCAGTTGATTGTTGTCTGCACAATGCGACTATTGTTTCTTAGTGCTGTGCCTGGAGACAACGAGGAAGGAGTGGATTTTTTGTTTTTAAGTCCTCGCGAGGGAGTATTCTTTAATTAAAAGGAACTAGCTAAGGCTCTCTCTGTTGTTGCCGCGGTTCAGTACCCATGTTCGAGTCGTAGTCCGTAGGCATGTTCCACTTGGTAATGCCCTCCGCTTAGGAAGTCAGTGCGCAAGCGACACGGTCACTAATTAACCCAAGCAGTTAGCGTCGTGTAGTTCCGTACCTTAGTCCCAGCCACCAGCGTCGGGTGGATTTATGGGGCCTGGAGGACAAGGCAAAGGTACTCGGAAGGACTTAGCGTTTACCCGCGGCAACAAGTAGAGTGGACACTTGAATAGCTACTACAGTCGTAGCGAAGCAGAAGAGTGGAATCAGAGTGGCTCTGGACGGGAGATGTAAGAACACTATCTCTGTTAGTTATGCACATGAAATATCTCATTGTATGATCATAATCTCTCTCTCCTTTTTCTCTCTCGTGTTCCTTCAAAAGCAAATCCCCTCATAGCTCTCGGTCCCGTGATCTCATCCAGTTGAAGCGCAGAGAAAAAAACTTCCAGCGCCACCAGCAACTCCCAAATCCAAAATCCCACAATCCCAAGACTTGCCATAAACCTTCAAAGATCCAACGGACCAATATGCACCCTCCAATCGCCGACTTTCTCGGCAGCACTGCCTGCGAGGAGGTCACTGATGCTGAAGAGGGTATGTAGCTCCCCCTCTCTTTCTCCGCCACATCCAATCATTCCAACTCAACAAAAAGCTGCCCTGCAGAGGCCTTCCTCCTGTTCAGTCTGGCCATCCCCACAACCAACCTGGGGTTCGTCGATTCCCGCGCTTCGTCCCTTGACGTGACGATCAGTGGCAACGAGTACACCGTTCATCAATCCCCCACACTGCTTTCCTCGTCTCGAGCGGGAGGCACTACTGGCGCTGGTATGTACCTTTTTCCATTGTCCATGCCATACATTCATTCCATCGATCATCAGCTGCTCGGAGCTTTCTACTCGGTCGCACTGCCCCCTATTCGCACAAACTCGTGCTTGACTGCTGTGCGCTTATGCACGGACTCGAACAATTATCCCCGCAGTCTCTCTCTTATCTTCCGCTCCCAGGGACAACGCGGCTGGGCCGAGGCTCCGGAGCCTCTGGACCCTTTTTTTACTTCTGTGCTTCTGGGCCTGCCTGTGAAGCCGGCCGAACGGTCTCCTACCCATTTTACCCTTTATTACTCGTCCCTCTTTTTCACATCTCACTGTCATCTTCCTCTTTTATCATGAAAACCCGCCACCTGACCTTCTTCCCAAGGCTGACAATCCCAACAACTAACCATCTGACCTTCTTGCCTAGTTCTCTGGAAAATCACTCCTCGCTTTGCAGAATGGATTTCCTCCCCAACAAACCCCCTCTGGACACATTCCCTCTTATCCTCGCGCTCGGTGGTGGCTGAACTGGGCTGTGGCATCTCGGCGCTGGTCGCGTTGGCCTTGGCTCCCTCTGTACAACATTACCTCGCCACGGATCAGGAATATGTGCGGCGCGTGTTCCGGACTAATCTTGATACCAACGCTTCTGTGACATCAGCTGGGTCTGCATCTGGCCAACAAAAGGGCAGCAAGACCAGAGGCAGTAGTAGATCCACGTCCAAAGGTAAGCAGCCCTCCAGGACCGCCAGCAATATCACATTCACCACGTTGGACTGGGAACTCGACCAGCCGGAGCTGCTGAAAGAGTGTATCGAGTCACAATCTAGCGGTCATGCCGGAGAGGACGAAGGCGGAGAAGAAGAAGATCCAGGCTTCGACCTTCTGCTTTCTTGCGATTGCATCTACAATGAAGCCCTAGTCGCCCCGTTCGTGCGCACCTGTGCCGATATTTGCCGTCTCCGGCCCGCCTATGAGCCCTCCAGTGAGGAGACGTCGCAATCCAGTCTTCAACCGACAGTATGTATTGTCGCGCAGCAACAACGAGCGCCGGAGGTATTCGAGACGTGGTTGCGGGAGACTCTGCGCGAATTCCGTGTCTGGCGGCTCAGTGATGAGGTCCTTGGTGATGGACTACAGGGAGGTACTGGGTATCTTGTGCACCTGCTGCTGGCAAGGGAGAAGAGTTGATCAACTTGATCTATCTGCCATAATAACTAATCGAAATAGACTATAGAAATAGATTTGTACAGTTCTCTCACTAAATGTTGCAGTTCCCCTTACCTTAGTGCTGCCAGTTTGTTTGATATAGTAGCCTGAGGCATAAAGCTTCAGCGTAACTCGGTTCATTCCTCATTGACTTCATTGTCCTCTCCTCCTTTAAAACTCCTTCCGCCATCCTCGCCAGCAACTCTCAGTTCTGACTTTCAATTTCCCCATTATAGTATATACTCAACCTCCAGGCCTCTTCCATTCCACACAATTTCTCTTTTAACTCCTTTCATACCCCTATATAAACCAATCCTTACAGAGACCTCTCCATCATACTCTCTCAATCAAGATTCAGTCCTCACCCCAGTCTGAGCGATCTCCTTCCTACTTCGTGCTCCACAGCGATTCTGGTAAGACTTGCAAAGACTTCAAGCTGTTGCAAATCCCGAGAGCCCACTCCACAAAGAAGGATCCTACAATGTTCGTCCTACCGACAAAACAGACGCAGAGAAGATGGATGTCACGAAACGGCACGGTCTTAATGGATGACTTTGACTACAATGCCGGTATGAGCTTCAACACTGTCACTAAGTCTCGCATCAGCGCCTCAAAATCAAGGATAACATCATTATCCCTAATCGACCTCAGCTCACTTTAACTCTAGACCATCTAGGGAGAGTCGAGGCCAACATGCTCTCCCTAGGTCGTCATGGTCACTTGAAGAGCGGTCACCCTCTTGTATCACGAAGCTGTGATCCTGGGTCGATGACCACCTTGAGGTCGCATTTCCTGGTTCCAATATGCTATGGTTATGAGTCAGCCTCACTTTGGCACCTACCACCAGGCCATCCAGCTGAACGCAAAGACTGCAGATTTATTTGCTAGATCGTCATGACTGCTTGGAGATCTGGCAGCTCTAGCTCCAACAAGCTGTGAATGATCTAGCAGTTCTATTCGAGACGTATCGACACAAGACACGCGGCAAGTCCGTGTCTCCTCGTTAACTCGGTCATGCTGTTCTCACATTGCTGGTTCGGGAGAATCTGTCTATATAATACAGATTTCTGGGTCAGAAGGTCAGTCAAGGTGCTTTGGAGAGACGGACCGATACACTACTCCTCTCACTTCTTTCTTACCTTTCACTAAAATCCTCTTTAGATCCTTACACTTCTCATCTTCACATTCCCTCATCTACCATTATCATTCACCTTCTCTCAATGCCTACCTCTTCTTACTCCTCTTGCCTTCTTATTGAGAAAGTTAAAGCGTATCTAGATCGAAGCGAATGACGATCCAGGCTCCCTCCCCAGCCAGTGTTGGCGACGCCCTTCGTCGGAAAGAGAGGGCCTTGAGGACGAAGACATGAATACTCGCGACTAGTATGCTGTTGAAGGAGACAATGACATGGAAGACTAAGACCTGGGTAAGTCGCACTAAAAAGCAATTCGTTGTGAATGTGTCTCCCTCTCTCAGTCCTGAAACCCTCGTTGAATGGCACAAGTTGATTTTGATTTTCCTTCTGGCTATAACAGTTATCTCATTGCGAGGCGGAAGTGATTACACTCTTGTCAGTAGCTGCCTTAACATTGCTTAGGTTTGTTGATACGATACTCATCGCCCTCAGTCACCACTGACACGATTTGAGTTGCTTTCTCTTCCGCTATCCCGTCGTGTGCTCTCGCTTTCTTCGTCACACACGAAGCTGTCATCGACATGGTTGACAAAGACTGATGTGCGACTGAACGACATGAACCTATTGGGTTTCTGGAATTCTCGTTACCGCTTGGAAATTTTTTAATTGATGCATCATGTCCTCCTTAGAGTTCTCCTCTTCCCTTTTCTTGTTCCAACATCGAGTGCCAATCGGAAAGAGAGGGCTTTGAATTATCGCGAAAGCTCGACAGCAATGTCAACCTTGGAACGCCTTCGCCTCTTGGACAGGTATCAGATCAGTGATGCCTTTACCAAGCGGTTGTTTTCCCAAGCAGCTCCAAGCTTTGTTACGTTTTTGTCACCATTCAATGCTCCAATTTGTTACTATGGGTCAGTATATCCGATCGGACTCAACGAAACAATCACTGAATTAATGTACAGTCTCATCGGACTGAAGCTCAAGGACCACCTCCTGACAACGCCCCAACCTAACCAGAAGAAGTCATAGTCGGTATTCGAAAGCAATTTCAGAGTCGAGGATGGACAGCTTCCTTAGACTCTGGCCAGCCAAGTGCACTGTTAACTTCATGGAGGCTTACATCTTACCAAAGGTGAAAAAATGACCTGTTGCTCTTCCCTTGATTTCCGGAAAACTATCGCCGGTTTAGTGAATGCCTTGAGATGGTGCGTCCACTTGAATGTTTCGCTGCTTGATGTCGCTGTCGAAGAAAGAAATTACGGCCAGGAAGGCCAAAAGGCTGGAAAATGCCACGAAGAAAGTGCATGGCCTGCTGCGTCTTCTGCGTTCCCTTTAAAGTTGGCTGGCTCTATATGTCACTCCTGAAGATCCACGTCACTTTTCCTTTTCAGTGTCTGCCACGAGTCTCTTACTCTGGCAGCTGTCATTCCTTTGACGCGTTGCCTGTCCTGCTCTTCCTATAAGGGCCACCTTGCTGGCCAAGACCCGTGCTGCGGACTAACTTTGTCCAGCAGTAAGTCCCGCTAACAGTTCAAGAGGTTCCCAAATAAGAGCAGACTGACGCGAATTGAGTAGTGAACACTCCCTCCAGCATGGAACTTCCCGATGAGACAGACCCTTTTTCTGGTCAACACATTTGAACCATGCCCTCCATCAGTCCTCGGAACTGAGCGTGATGGCTCTGCATCTGTCCCTAACTCGAGGTTAATTCACTACCATTATTTCGTCTTTCTACATGGACTACTTCTGATGGTTTGAATATAGACAGGTGGCACTACACTGGGATTTCTATCCCTATATCCACTGCAGAGACAGTGGATGCGGGGCAAAGTCAGGATGGGAACGATGTCCATGTGAAGAATGCGTCTTCTACCACGGGGTGATGCCGTCGTCCTCGATCACATCCAGTTCGTTCCTGAGAATAAAAGAGAGAGCGATTGTCCGTGACGCCTATCTTGCCTCTACATTGTGGGACTGAGAAAAGGAGGAAGCGCTAAGAACGGAGGGAGGAACGGAAGAGTGGTAATTTGTCGCGGGAGAAAGGAAGTGCTCTTCGCGCGTGCTCTTCGCGCTTCCACCATCATTTACGCCGACAATCATCAGGTATACGGTTTGAAGCTCAAGAAAGACCTCGCGGGCGCACTCTTGTTTGACCTTCCGAATTACAACGAGCGGATCTGTTCTCCGGCTGACGATTTCTCGTCCAGCGAGCCTGTCTCTGATGCACTCCATACCATCCCGAAGCATGCGTTTTAAGGATTACCCATTCACCTACGGCAAGGACTTTTCCCCTTAGGAAGCCAGCGGTCGACCCAAAGGTCCGCCAACCGGTCGAGTGGGACCGGATGAACGCAATTATGGACTTCTGCGTCAAGACCCGCGCCAAGAGGCGCGCCGGACGCGAGGAGGAGCGCATGAAGACTGTGTCCGAAGTGGATAACATACCATCCTTGTCTAGTAGAGACCACCTAGTTAGATGAGGTACCCCTCATTCATTCTACTTATAGGTGTAGTAGGAATAGTGTTGAATGGATTTTATACTCCATCACAGTTATACTCACTAAAGTAACACCTAGTTTTCAAATTTAATGAGTATTGCATTAAAAGTATCGTACTAAGACCGAACTTTTGTACCGGAATCAGCCTTTGAAGAAGAATCTGTGCAGGAAGTATGAAACATATCGGCCGATCGATGTACCAATGTACGCCCCCAAGCGCCAGAGGGATATGCAACAAGAAGATAACGCCGAGGGGGAAACAGAGTATTAGGAAACAGAATAGACGGGGATCGGGACAGACTATTCAAGCTGAAGAAGTGGTCTTCCCGAATAGTGCTTTGAATTTGGGGGTTGGCAATTTCTTCTCTTCATCTCCGACTGTATGTTGGATTTCTTTATCGGTATGAGAAGATGGGGAAGGTTTTGCGGTCGTGAACATTTAATTGGAATTCGAAGATTCCTTCCAGGGTTGCAATGTACCTGAGCAAGGGATTAGTCAAAAGTCAACATAGTGCTGGCAAAAATTGACACTTACAATGTTCTTCCATCAGCGCCCCAGCCAACTCCAGCTGTGGCGTCTGGCTCTTCGGCCCCAGGGCCGTGAATGAAACTTCGATCGGGAAGATCATTGATGATATTGCGAATCCATCGAGGGGAATGAGTCTGTTCGAAGCCCATCATCTGCTGACGTGCCCGCTGCTCTCTATGACCCCTTTCAGCGATCGACCGATTGTGCACCTCGTTAGCAATCTGGCGTTGACGTCGCAGCCGCTCTGCCGCAACATTGGCTCTGATTTCATAGTTTGAGAGTCGCGAGGTGTCATATCTTCTTTCTGGGCCAGACTGTCCGGCCTGCGGTCGGTCGACACGTCGAGGAATAGAGCTCGATCGTGGGGGCCGTGAACGTCGGGGATCGAGGCTGGATGGAGTGATTGGCTCCGGTGGCTGCGGAGGAGCAATACCGCGAGCTTCCATTTCTTGGAGGACGTAATCAGGATCAGTGTTGAGCCGACTTAGAGCATCCGGGGATAGCTCTGAGCGCGAGCTGGAGGTCCAACTGAGAGTGGCGCTGGGCTCGCGCTCGTGGTTCGACGAATCCAATTCAGGTGGCCGACTGCTTTGAGACAGCACCACCGAACTCCGGCGCCCACTGCGAGGTGAAAGATGGGTAGTACTGGGGCGGGGAAGATGACTATCTTGAGTGGTCTCGGGGGATTCAGAAAGGGGTGCTGAAGACATATATCGGTATCCATTACCGATCTCCTCTGAGGCACCGTGATAGCGGCTATGAGCTGTATGGTGTGGATGGAGGCTTGATCTCGCCGGCGGATCTGGTCGCTCCGTCAGGCCCATTTCCTCTCGTGCGTTCCACCGAGCAGTGTTGAGGAATTGCATGATCAATCGCTCGCGTGCTGTCAGATCATGAAGCAGGCTCTCGCGAGACGGAAGACGTCCGGAGCCTTCGCGACTGTGCAGGAGATCCTCGGCATCAAATCCCAGCCGCGATGTGATTTCCAGTTCATCATCTGAAAGGTCATCATCGAAGCTGGTTGCCAGTGGAACAGTGCGGACCTCTTGCAGCTCGGGGCCATCGGCATTCAGATATAGAATTTGCCTCCGCCAGAACGATTGACGAACATCGGCAACCCCAGCTCTGCCATGACCCTCCAGCCAGACCAAAAGGTCCCAAGGCTCGGGAGAGAATGTCATGCATCGCACTGCACCGCCTTCGGTGCAGGATCTGGAAGCTTTGAATTGGCAGATCACGGGCTCCTCGTTGTCCATCTCCCGTACGCGGTCCATATCTAGCACTGTAATGATCCCGGACTGAGATCCGATCGCGCACAGGTGACTGGATGGAGAGAATGCAACGGTAAAGCAACACGCATCGTCCGATCGCGGCCCAATATCCATTTCGATGCAGCGAGATAGCTCCCACTCCCAGCCTCCGACCTTTCCACCGGACTCAACGGTCACCTCCGATTCCCAGTCACGAATCACATCATAGAAATAGGCACGGTTCTCGTCGCCTACGGCTGCAAGTACTTTGTGGTCGGGGGAGATGATTGCATAGTTCATGCAAGAGGGATGGTGGAGAACCTTCAACACCTTCGCACGTGTCAACGAGTAGACGGTCACGGTTCGGTCGTTGTTGCTGTCGAAAAGGTCGGTCAGCTTGAGACGCAGGAGCTTAGTCGCCACAGCAGAACGTAATTACCTGAGGACCGTGACATCTTCATCTGAAATCCCCTCGCGGTCGCCCGGGAAGTGGTGAATCGTCACCGAGTTAACAATACTACCTCCAAATTTGTGCAGCTCAAACTCCGGCATCATCCTCCGAGGTGAGCGGCGTGTCGACGTCGGGCCGCCACTCGTGGTCTCTGGAGACAGCAGCCCCGAAGGCGGCTCGAGGTCGAGTGGAAGCGCGCTATCCACATCAGAAGCTTGGTGAGAGGATGGCTCTCCGTGCAATTGTAGACCTCTCTCATCCGTTCTGATAAAAGCGCATTCACCATTCTCCGGGCCCCCCACAGCGATCCACCCATATCCAGCCGCCAAGCATCGCGGCTCGAACGGAATGACAGCTATGCTCTCTCTCTTCTGTGCAGCGATATGGATCGCATAGACGACTCGTTCGACCACGACATAGATGCGATCTGGATCGGCAGTGCTGATGTAGTGGCGCAGTTGCGTATGGCTATCGGATCGATCGATCACGTCAGTTGTGGCAAGCACATGGAAAGCGGGGACACGAACAAGTTAGGAATGCGGAAGGGGAAGAATCGACGTTTATTGGGGAGAATGAGAGACTCGGTCGGGCGATGTCTAACACAGCAGTAGTCCATGTCAGTCATAAGAGTCAAATGAGCCAGCGACGTACCAGCTTTGAAACATACGGGGGGGCGTCGGAGGTGGGGAGAGCAGAGATAACGACTTACACGGTCGAGTCCGAGGTCATGGTGACAAGCTAAGCCCGCGCTGACATTGTCTACACAAGCGAAAGCAAGCAGGGGCATCAAGGACCCCGTAGCAGTTGAGCAGACCAGAGAGTTGAGATGTGAATGAGCCCAACGACGAGTCAGTTCCAGTGTATGCGCTTGCAAACGGATGACGTAAGACTTTTGGAGGTGAAAGCCGGGGGAAGACCAGCCAGTGCCGTGTGCGGGTTTCAGGGTCCGAAAACGAACACGGTACGATAGAGAAGTACTTTTTACTTGGTAATGAAATGGTACCTCAATTATATCCAGACATGATTAGAATGGAATTTGTGAAATCTTCAATCTATAGAATAGAAATGCCGACTCAAAGTTTCGGATGAATGAGGGCGATCAATTCAGCTAGAAACACTATCTCAGACTGCGAAACACTGAACATATATATCTGGGACCTCCCGTATTCTTCATTAATGCAGGGTAAATTAGATAATGCTACCTACAACTGTATCTGGTATACGGATCTTCCCCCCTAAGAGGCCCCGTAGGGCAGGGCTCCAGAGACCATACCCAATGACCCCAGCCGGAGAAGATCTCATGCTCCGGCCATCCATAACCCGACCGACCTTCTGTCTATTTTGCAATGACTATCTAAGACCAGACAAAGTTATGGTCACACGACACCCAGTCCCGGAGACCAGAGACCCCATTTTTGTGCCCCAGATGCGAAATTGATATTGTCTGGACTATCGCACCGGGATGCAAGATCTTAAACTAGCCGGACCAGGATACTAGGGTATTCTGGAGCATTCGGGGAGATTTGCCGGTGGCCGAGGCAAACCGAACAGGAAGGGAAAGAGCTACGGGAGATACCCCCGGGGGTGTAAGGTGTGCAGCTGGGTTGGAATAGGCCTGAATGATATCAAGCGCTGATCAGATCATAATAAACAAAGATACAATTCACTTGCTCAAAATGTCAAACTATATAATCACAAAATATACAAATCTACGCATCATCACCGTCGTTTATACTTCGTCGTCATCCGGCACTCCAGTCCACCCGGGCGGTGAGGCTCAGGATCTCCGGATCATCTGATTGGCTGTGTCCCCGTGATTCGAGCAACTTCGACGACGGGCCGAAGCTCTCCGTGCAATTTCTACCCTTCCTGTTCTCCCGTTCTCTCTCCTTCTTTTCTCCATTCCCCATCCTCCCTCTCTCCCCCCTTTAAACACTCTATCCACTCAGCGATTGATTCGTGGGAGTGTTTTCACTTTTTCTCTGTTTCTGTATTATTTAATTCACATCACAATGCTGTCTTCCCGCATTTCTCGCGCGGTAAGTCTCCCTTCTTTCCCGTCGGGAAAACCATCCAAGTTTTTGAGTCACGCGCGTCGCAACAGCATCAACTAACAAGAATCGCTTCAGCTTCCTCGCGCTGCTTTCGCTCGCACCCCTGCCTCCAGACTCCCTGCCGTTCGGCGATGGAACTCCACGGAAGCTGAGGGCGGCAAGGTGAAGGGCCAGGTCATCGGTATCGATCTGGGTAAGTAGCTTCAAATCGCGCATTGCATCATTTGAATTCTAATATCAATCCATCTAGGTACCACCAACTCCGCCGTTGCCATCATGGAGGGCAAGTCTCCTAAGATTATTGAGAACGTTGAGGGTAGGTGAAAATTTTTTTCTCCTCGCCGGCGACCTGGCCCGAGCCTCCCAACCAAAACATAACGGGAATTCGGCCCATCCGCCAGGCTTCTTATCGCGATTATTTAAATGATTTTTGATGACTAACTCAATTTCCAACAGGTGCTCGCACAACCCCCTCCGTTGTCGGTTTCGCCCAGGACGGCGAGCGTCTCGTCGGTATTGCCGCTAAGCGTCAGGCCGTCGTCAACCCCGAGAACACTCTCTTCGCTACCAAGCGTCTGATTGGTCGCAAGTTCACCGATGCTGAGGTCCAGCGTGACATCAAGGAGGTCCCCTACAAGATTGTCCAGCACACCAACGGTGACGCCTGGGTTGAGGCCCGCGGCCAGAAGTACTCTCCTTCCCAGATTGGTGGTTTCGTCCTCAACAAGATGAAGGAGACCGCCGAGGCCTATCTCGGCAAGCCCATCAAGAACGCCGTCGTTACTGTCCCCGCTTACTTCAACGACTCTCAGCGTCAGGCCACCAAGGATGCTGGTCAGATTGCCGGTCTGAACGTTCTCCGTGTTGTCAACGAGCCCACTGCTGCTGCTCTTGCCTACGGTCTTGAGAAGGAGGCTGACCGTGTTGTCGCTGTCTACGATCTGGGTGGTGGTACTTTCGATATCTCCGTTCTGGAGATCCAGAAGGGTGTCTTCGAGGTCAAGTCCACCAACGGTGATACCCACCTGGGTGGTGAGGACTTCGATATTACCCTCGTCCGCAACATTGTTGAGCAGTTCAAGAAGGAGTCTGGTGTTGACTTGTCCGGTGACCGCATGGCCATCCAGCGTATCCGTGAGGCCGCCGAGAAGGCCAAGATTGAGCTGTCTTCTTCGCTGCAGACCGAGATCTCTCTGCCGTAAGTCAATCGCAGTCTCACAACCCCTACGAACAAAAAACTAACGTCAAATAGGTTCATCTCCGCGGGCAGTTCCGGGGCCCTGCATATTAACCAGAAAATGACCCGTGCTCAGCTTGAGGCTTTGGTTGGTCCATTGATCGATAGGACCACCGAACCTGTGCGCAAGGCTCTCAAGGATGCCAACTTGAAGTCCAGCGACATCCAGGATATCATCCTGGTTGGTGGTATGACCCGTATGCCCAAGGTCACTGAGTCCGTCAAGTCCATGTTCGGCCGTGAGCCCTCCAAGTCGGTTAACCCCGATGAGGCTGTTGCCATTGGTGCCGCTGTTCAGGGTGCCGTCCTGGCTGGTGAGGTTACCGACGTTCTCCTGCTCGATGTGACTCCTCTGTCCCTCGGTATCGAGACCCTTGGCGGTGTGTTCACCCGTCTGATCAACCGTAACACCACGATCCCCACCAAGAAGTCCCAGACCTTCTCCACCGCTGCCGACATGCAGACTGCTGTCGAGATCAAGGTCTACCAGGGTGAGCGTGAGCTCGTCAAGGACAACAAGATGCTGGGTAACTTCCAGCTGGTCGGCATTCCTCCTGCCCACCGTGGTGTCCCCCAGATCGAGGTTACCTTCGACATTGACGCTGACTCCATTGTCCACGTTCACGCCAAGGACAAGTCCACCAACAAGGACCAGTCCATTACCATTGCTTCCGGCTCCGGTCTCTCCGATGCTGAGATCCAGAACATGGTTGACGAGGCTGAGAAGTACGGTGAGGCCGACAAGGAGCGCAAGGCTGCTATTGAGGCTGCCAACCGCGCCGACAGCGTCCTGAACGATACCGAGAAGGCCCTCAAGGACTTCGAGGACCGTCTCGACAAGGCTGAGGCCGAGACCATTCGCGAGAAGATTGCCACCCTCCGTGAGTTCGTCGCCAAGAACCAGTCTGGTGAGGGCACCGCTACCGCTGAGGAGCTCAAGGCCAAGGTCGACGAGCTCCAGACTGCCTCCCTGACCTTGTTCGACAAGATGCACAAGGCTCAGAACGAGCAGCAGCAGCAGCAGCAGGGCGGTGAGCAGCAGGGTGAGAACAAGCAGTAAACTGCTTGCCTCTCTCATGTTAACCCTACTGTTTCATCCTCGGTCACCTCGTGTGGCTAGTGTATTTTTCTATTTTCCTTTTTCTCCATTTCTTTTTTTTTTGTGTTAAAAGACACCCTGATTTTGTCCTCGCATCTCCCTTTTTTTCGCATCATTTGTACACATATCTCAAAGGCTCTTTTTATCCCCCTTCTTGTTCTGGTGTATCGGTGTTTGACTACCAACTTGTATGATCTATTTTCCCTTTTACCTTTTACCTTCTTCTGTTGCCCATATACCCTCTGGATTCGACCAGAGAGTATACCGGGATTGTCTACCATTGTATCTAATGACATTGACGGCAAGGGGGCCACCAAAAAGGATGCGGGCTTTGGCTTTTTCAGGTGCATGTGACAATAGAAATCAGACATTCTCCTCTCGCTTTTTCATTTTTGACTTTTTTCCCTTCTCAACTGTAAGACTGTAGATTGGGCAACCTGCGTGCAGCTATGGAAGAACGGGGCAATTAAAATCTCACATCTCACTCTACATCTTACTGCACTTTTCCCCTGTGTATGGCTCTCAGAGTGGCCACGATGATACTCCGCCCATCCAATGTCCCGACCATCGACGAATGAGACTAAAGCGCGGCTATGTGCTTTTCTGACCCGAATGCACCCTGCAAGCCCATCCAACTACCCCCTCCTCCTATTGACCCATACAATCAATTGTATAGTCAATGAAGTATGGATGTGCTCCGGCTGCGAGCTGTAGACCAAAGTACACCACAAACAATAATCTACCCCAATATGTGCTTGGCATTTCTAGGTTATGTGCCCCCAAAAGTTAGTCAATTAATATCGACGAAATATGTAGCTACTACGGAATAGTAGAGTCTCTGTTGAGACACGATAGGTCAAAAACAGACCGGGCCACTGACACACGGGGCCGAGCGTTGAAAGCTTGGAATTCATTGTGGTCGGGTGCTTAGCTCGAAACGCGTTCTAGAGTCGAGCCTTTTCAAGTTCTCTACAGTATGTATGCACTGATGCAGCCAATCTATTCGAAAGAGACAGGCCTGGAACAAGGTTGTGTCTGCGCATGGTCAAGCTAGTCGAGCTAGTCCTAGATGGACCAATTGCATCTATAGTCTCGATTCCTTGCATGAGAGCGGCTGCGGCCTGGCAAGATTTCCAATCATATGCCAAGTGAGACGATATATTATTGTTTATTATTAGGACTGTACTAATAACCTTAGTATTACTGATTTTCTAAACCTGATTTATGACATTAATGCTTAGTACTAAATTCTTCTCGGTCTAGAGTTCCTGGGCGATGGGCACAACAAAAACAAGACGCTGAAGAGGCCGGTGCTCATTTAGTTGCTGCACTTGGACCATTTACCTTGTTTTTGGGGCCTTTTAGTGTGAAAAATTCAATAACTATGACATTATCACTTGAAAGTCTATCATCATCTCACAAGGAATAATGTCATTACGCTGGCCGTAGAGCTAGCTAGCTCCCTGCGCCCGGTAAGAATTCAGAACCTTGCTCAGAATGTACCCCAGAACAAGATCGAAAGAAAAGAAGAAAAAAGCTAGCTTAACAAGGTACCATGCAGAAAACAAAGAATCATCCTTCCTATCATTAATGATTCAACAGGGATGCGACACGAGAGCATATCCACATACAACCATGATTCCCCGGGCCAATCTGGATTCGAGCAGTCGGTGACAGAGCGAAGCAGTAGTGCAGGCTTCCCTGCAGCGGCGCGCAGCATGGACAAATCATCGTTGTACACACCAGTTGGGCTTCCAAAGTGGGGTATTTTTTCTAATGATGATGTTTGTGAATTACGAGGCCAAAGATCCTGGCAGGGGTGGATGGTTAGTGGTGGCCCTTGGTGGATGGGGGAGGGCGGGGCCGTCTATACTCCATGTGAGCACAGTCGATGGATCATTGGAGTTTTTCTTCAAAGGGGAGGGTGTGCTAGAGACTCGAGGGCTTGTTCTCTGACTGCCTCTCCCTTTGACCTTCCCTTCTTCCAGTGTACAGCTCATCAATAAACACTTAATCCTATCAAGGACATGGTAAGCAAAATTTGAAACGCCGACGCTATTTGCGCTGCGGTCATTCGTCGATCAGCTTTTGTTCTTGTGAGACCGTCGGCCCTTAGCGCGGCCCCTAGTGTTGTGAATGATTTATTTTCTATTGTCTCCACTTGGACTCGATTTTCTGTCCAACTGTGTTTGGTACTAAAAGAGATAAAAAGAGTTTTTCTGGACTATGTATTCTAAAACGAACTCAGCCCTGGCGTCTGCTCCAGATTTCTTGTAAGGTGGTCATTTGACCGTGGGAGCTGGCTAATAACTACCATATGGGGAAAGAAAATAATAACAGACTTTTTTTACCCGTTTCTCTGCTTGACGAGTTAACGGAGTCTGTTGACTTCTCCGTACAGTACTCTTTATAGATCATGATGTTTTCTCTATCTACTCTACTCCGTATGTAATTATTGGAATGGACCCGTAGTTGTACTGTAGTCAGAAACTGCCTTGATCGGAGCTAGGTTGCCGGTCAGAGCCTTCGAGGTGAGCCACTTGGCGCGCTTGGAGCAAACCCGTTCCCTAGCTTCGGGTAAATTTCTAAACTTGATTGTCTATTCGGCAGTTTCATGGATATGGCCGTTGTGTGTGTGTGTGTGTATGGGTGGTCTTTTGATTTCTTTGGCTGGATGGTTTAGTCTACTGTGCCAATCCTAAAAAAGGTTGAAGCGTGGAGATGGAAAACAAATCGACGTCAACGGTGGCTCGACCACGATGCATGTCTATACTGCTGTTTAGCAGTGCAGTAATAATGGATAAATGATATATAGGCACCGTGCTGTTGGTATTGGGTATTGGGTACAAGGGGTAGAGTCGAGATTGTGTGGCTATGTGAGGTCATATGGATGTACCCTGTACATAGCTGTGTAACCTCTAAGTACTAGCCATAGTCTATCGCCAGTAGTCTAGATAGCTTTGCCTTCAAGTACAATCATTAATTAGTTGATTTTCCAATTCCAGCCCTACATCATCTTTTTTTACCCCTGAATAAGAAAGCTCTCCTTTTTCTTCTGCAGGAGCATGGGAAATTGGAACGGCCCATCCTATTTTTGTTGGAAACCCCATTGAAACCCACAGTTTCCAGCAGCTTCGACCAGGGAAACTCGCCAGGGTCACCAGTCAGTCGGTTCCTTTCCAATTCCCCCCTGTGTGTTACATAATGATCTCCCGCAATGACTGTGCTAGGGCTTGGCAGCCTTTACGGTAGATCTGCGGCTTACCATTGGATAGTTGAGACCGGAATTATTCGCTAGCCACTCACAGTCAAGTACATGATCACACTAGTGTGAGAGCGGCTGCCAGAATTTTGCAGGTGGGAGAAGAAAATCTGGCTTCCAGAGTCGAGACACTCTCTGACTGACTAGCTTGCCCTGCTTTGTTTAGCCCTGACCCCATTTAATAGTAATATTCCCCGCTTAAGAGTGTAAGTTTGAGGTTTCAAGCGCGCTAGCTAGCTAGTGACTGAGCTAACTTGTTCAGACTTCAGAGAAAGTGATGGATCAACGATGTTCGTCATTCTTGCTCCTCTTTTCTCCGGGCGCACTCCGGTAATTTTCTTCCTGTTCGTTGAAGATGGTCATAGCTGCGGCTTGCAACTCCCGAGTATGAGCACCGACCTACAATTCAAAAGTGATCTTTTAGCTTGGATAGTATACAAAGTACAGATTCTTGGAGTAGTCTCATATAGATCTTGATTAGTATAGTATTATAGTAAGTATTCTTACTATAAGAACGATTATTACATCTTATGAGAATTCCTCTGAATAGTTTTCCTAATCCCATTATATACATTCAACAATAATCACAGGTCAGACAGGGGGTGTTTGAGACTGGTCACCTCGGCCACTCGTTCCAACAGGAAGCGTCGCTGCTGTTCCCCTTTATGCGCCGTACCTTTTTGTTTTTTGTTGTCAAAAATAATAAGAAACTTCCAAAGCTCCCGTCGCCAGTACATTTGGGCAGGGCGTTCCAGAGTTTTCTCCCTCTGTGCCCCCTGCCCAGGAGTGTTTGTTCGTACAATGCGCTCATCCACACGCCCAGTGGAGTCTATAGTGGGTAAGATATTATTAAACAGGATGTGGTCAACTGACTTGGAGGCGTTTTCGGGATGGGCTCGAATTTTATAACGCACAGTCATACACTTTTTTCCTTGTTTGATTTTGATTAAGATCGTTCATTAATTTTACCTTTCAGACGTCTTAGATTATCATCTGTAAATGTTGGAAGGACTAAAGTTTTGTCACAGGCACACTAAGTATAGTAACTATGGGAAGATCGAGGGCGGGACTTTTGTCAACACTAAACATACTCCGTACGGTACGATGTGACAATTTTTACTTTGAGTCTAAGAATTAAAGGGGACTAGTGCCAGGGATTCGCGCAATTCCAATCTCCAGGAAATGAGCCATTGTGATTGTTGTGATTTGATTACATCGGGTCACTAGCGCCGAGCCAATCCATGGAATCGCCTCCCTTTTGATCCAACGGGTGGTTTTGTTTTTTTTTTCTTTCCTTCTTTCCCACTGGAATGGTACTTTGGCACTACACAGCTAGATGTGCTACTTCAAGCTCTTGTATAGGAATAGTACTCCGTACATACGACCGTACTCCGTACTATTGCTCTGCTTTCCCACTACGCATCCCACCGCATCCTTCAAACTGGTTTTGCTTCGTTCTACTTGCAATTAAGGGGGGTCGAGATGTATGATGATACGGCCATTTCAACATCCCCGGAAACTCTGAACTAACCATGACTGGCTCATGATCTAATCATCTCGATTAATTAGGTCTGGGTCTAATAATAATGAAGATGGTGATACGCTGGTCAACGGTCAACCCAAATCCCGCCAATACCAAATCTAGTCAATCAACTCCATCGTTCTGCTCCCCCTAAACCCCCCTAACAAGCTCGTATCTAATTGCACTGATTCCTGGTGGTAGGCTAACTTAAATGGGAGAGCTGAATGGGCCCTCAAGCTGTTGGGCTTGTTCAGCTGGGCCTCCAGTACTTAACTTAGTATTCTCGTACAGTACTAGGCCTATGGGCGATCCCCTTACTTCGCCGTTACGGGAAATTTCACGATAACGGGGATGCAGCCCCAGGGTCGCGCTAGTGGACATTGCCATTTCTTATTTTTCTTTTTACTATTATTATCAAGATTTGAATGGATGGCTTGTTCGATGGGGACGTCTGGATGTCAATCCTTTCCTAACCGTCGACCCATAGATCGGAAAATGGGGCTTTTTTCTTCTGTCGATTCTGGTTCTCATTGCCCACACCCAGTCCTGGTTTTTTACTTCTTTTTTTTCTTTTCGGTACTCTATCTCCATCTTTCTCTCCAACCCTGTCCCTGGCACGTTTTCTGATTCACTATCACGACTTTTTCTAGCTCTGCAGAGCTTTTCTCTCTAATAGCTCTCCATCTTTGTAATTAAGGGCTCGAAACAAGCAACGAGGGGAAAGCCAAAAAAAGGGAAAGAAAACAAAAACACTCTTGCACATCACAGAAGCATACAGAGGCACGGAAACCTCTTCATAATCAACGAGAGACATCGTCATGACTGCTGCACCTCCGGTGCCTCACGCTGTCCCTGAGGGCCTCAATGGGGCTCCCGGTCATCTCGCTCACAGTCTGCCTCGGTATCAAGCTATCGCCATGAATCCCAATCCGCCTACTCATCCACCAATGCCCCCGCCAGACCAAATGGTTCAAAATCATCACTTTCGTCACTATCCACCGCCATCTTTGCACGACCCTCATGCCGGTCCGCCTCCCCCACCACCACCAGCGGCCTTGTCGTCTCTAGATCAGATCGAAGCTCGCTTGCGTCAATTGGAACACGAGGAAATGAACCGGATGGCAGCTCGGCATCACCTCCTTGCAGTGCGCAAGCGTGAAGATGAGGAATTCCGGAGAATGACTGAGAGCGCCGAGGCTGAGGAGGAGGTATGTGATAGTATACTTCAAGATTCTTGAAGCGTGTGCGCGAGCGGGTCGAATACTAATTGCAATCTTGCAGGATCTCCGAAGACAACGCAAGAGGATTAAGAGGGAGTCGATGGGCCTTGGACCGAACCAGACAATGGACTCGCCGCCGATGCGGCCAACACCACCACGCCGATTGTCCGAGACGAGTGCGGCTACGACTTTGGCATTTTTCAAGCAGCAGAGTCCTCCAGAGCCTCGTCAAACACCGTTACCACCTGTATCACGCACACCACAACCTCCACCTATGCCTCAATCTATGCCTCAACCTACTCATATGCATCCTCAACCTCATCACGCTCCTCCACCTCCACCTCCACCTCCCCAAGCTCAGCACCCACAACATCCGCATGCCCACCAACATCAACACCAGCACCAACACCAGCACCAACATCAACACCAACATCAGCATCAGCATCCAACTAACCCCCACGATGCAATCAACGGCGCAGGATCCATCCGGCGCAAACAAAAGTACACAATCAAGAACGTCGAGGCATGGGGCGAACGTCACGGCCGCCCAGCAGCACACGATCCTTCCGGCCGCGCTCTATGGAAGCGTCCTTCAGACGGGAGTCTGGTCTATTTAACTTGCCCGATCCCTGGCTGCGGAAAATCCGACTTTGTCACGCTGCACGGCTTCATGTGCCACTTGACGAAGAAGCACAAGGACCGCACGCTGGGCAGCCAATCGCGCGCGCTCGAGATGTGCGGTCTCGTCTACGACCCGAATTCGCCTTTGCCTCCAGTGCAGGCTTCTCATCGCGGTTCGATGGAAGATAGCCCAATGGACGGGGGCCACGATGACGAAGGCCATGACCCCGAGCTCGACTCCGAGCCTGAGGATAGCGAAGAGCCCCGCGACGAAATCTATCGAGTCAAGACCGAGGTGTCAGAACGGTCTCTTCATGACCCAGAAGATACACCCGTCTCGCAAGATGCCTCGCCTATACCGTCTAAACCAGTCATGAACGCCTCGATCAAGCAATCGATCTCGTCCATCATCGACCGTACCCCAGAATCCGAGCCCCGGGAAGCATTGGCGTCATTGACACCTTCTGAACCTATCTCGCAAGGCCCAACGCTCGCCTCCATGGAACAGTCTATTCCTGCAAAGCGGAAATACGAGTACTCGCCCGAGAAGGAGAATGCAGAGCCGAAGGAGGGCTCTGCGACGGAGTAGAGCTTGTTTTATTTTTTTGTTAATATCGATATCCATCGGCAGTACAGTTGAATCTGTTGATTTCATATCACATTTTGTTCTGTCCAGGCTGTACAGTCTATTCGAAACTAATAAGGCCTCTCTCGAAGAGAAGCCTGTCACATCTACCCAACCACTCCTATTTTCATTCTCAATCATCTTCAGCATGTCGTTTGTATTGTTCATATCAAACAGTCCATCATTGCATTGATCTCGATGTCGTTCTTTCTTCTTTCAATACCCTTTTCTTGCCTTGTTCTTTCATTTTGTTTTCATTATCATATCCTTATATTTCGTGTCTCCGTGCCCCTCGCAGGGACTCGTGTCTTATCTTTCAAGCCCTTTTCTTGGACCCTTTACTTCTGGTTGATAATAATGTCTTCGACGCTGTTTGTCTACTGGCGTGTTGCATTCGCATTCGCATGTCTTGGGGTGTTAGATTAGTGGATCGTGGATCTCACCCTTTCATTTGTCCATATCTAATTGCATGCTGAGCTTACTTGTGAATGATATACGAGGTTGTGGATGTGAATAGGTTCTGAAACTCCTTCCTTGTATTATTTTTAGATAGGCTAGTAAACAATAACTTTACATCTGGGCCTGAATTGACCATCTCCTTGATCAATTTCTGTTTCAGCTAATTGCTGGAGTTGCTGATGACATTTGGTATGGTTCATATGTGGATCTTGGCCACTGTTCCATGCGATGTTGTAGTTCCCTGTCTTCACAATGGCCTTCGCCAGCTACTCTCAGAACATATCCACTCGGTTCCTTCAATAGCAGTAGAATTGTCGTCTATGGTCAGGAAGCATGTCGACCTCAGCGGCCCTCGCTATGATATCTTTCCGTGCAAGAAGAGCCTTCATGAGAAAGGCATGTTAAATGAAGAGCATATCCAACAAGAAGGGAGCAGCGACAACCAGCGTTATTCCACCTTCGAAACACCTTTGTATCAATATCCACTGCTCTCGTCCAGGATACCCGAGTGAAGCGTACCTCCACAGACGAACTTGAGTCCTGAGGTACATGAGTTTTGTGCACGCTTAGTAGAGTACCGAATGTGCAATGAAGGGGCTGGTCGAGGATCTTCGCAAGTTATTATTTGCCTTGAACATTGCACAGCAGATTGTAAACAGTTGGCCCTGAGAATGGTCCTCTTTATGGCTGGCATGGCGGCACTTGGCAGTAAGATCCGAATGCTGATATCTTTCATTGAGGAATCTTGGTGACAGAGGCCAAGTGTTTCGGAAGTCGGTCTTCAACGTGCCCCGCTTGGGATATGCGTTCTGCCAGGTTTGTGAGAAGATGCTTTTTGCCTCGGCCGCGATTTTGAGAAGATTTGTTTCTCGAGAAAAATGGAGTATAATGAATGGATATACCGAAGCACGATGCGCGATGCTTGACATAAATACATCATAAGGTATTGAATGAGTTCACGCATGTATTCGCGGGGTTGGAGATGAAGTCGTTGGACCTGCAGGATTTCAGTAGGTTAGAGCACGAAGAACGCTTTATTGCCGAGAGCAGGACTTCATCAGGGATACATGAGGATGGATTTGGACATAAACATACCAAAGCTTTGAGGAGGAAGATGATAATTCACCCATACCCTCGATGTGCTCCATTTATACTCTCAATATATCCACTGTTGGTGGGGTTGGGCGTCTGATAAGCCTGTGTCTCTTTGACAGAGGAGGGATTCATGTTAAGTAAGGTTCTTCTCAAGGTCGCTCGGCGTTGAAACCGGGAGAGAAGGGTGCTTTTTGACCGCCGACGAAGATGGCCGCATTCAAAGACTCGACAGCCACTACCAAAAAGACGGGCCGCTTTGGATAGCTGACTGACATGTCAAGTCCAAGCTCTCGTTGAGAGAGCTTGAAGTCTCCTGGAGAGCCGAGTGTCTTCAAAATTTCACGAAAATGAGAAAGTGGACCTCTCCAAACTTCAAAACGTTATAGTTGTGATATATACTAATGGAATCAGGAAGCAGACAAAGAAGATTTGTTGACGAGAGATGTGTAGGAAGCGAAGTTGGCGGGGATTTTGGAGATCTAAATAGTGGAGCGTCATGTGATTTTACGAATCAGAATAACAAACAATATACAAATGGAATCTGTGCCTGAGAATACAAGGAATCTATTTGAAGGCCGTAGGGAAAGTCTTTTACTGTAGGTATACATCATATCACCGCTTGGATATACCCGCCTACGCTTCACCGCCAACACCTCACCGCCCTACACTACGTCAATATCCGGGACAAAACTGCCCATCTATACCGCCCTCACGAAGCTGCCGCGGGGAGCTTTTGGCATTCGTGCTCAAATTCCATGGCTTTGTTTCTCTCGTGCTGAATTCCCTCTGTCGAGAAAATATCACTGCGACTTTGGTCAAGTTGCTATTGCAATACCTCTCGAGGGACCAGGGCACGTATTCCCACCTTGTCATCATCAAAGCCACACACCAAAGTGGGGTGGACCGTCACTACCGAGCTGAACATCGAGAAACCCAAGGAAGACCATTTGCAACCCATTGGTCTATCCTCCTTGAGAATGGCGGAGTCACTCGCTACTGCTATGGAGCAGCTGAGGCTGACAGCCCAGGATGTGAATCCAGATTTGATCCAATCTCGACTGGAGACTCCGCTCGCTGAGCCAGACAAAAACACACAAGCCAGTACCAGACCTCGCAAGCAGGCGGCCAAGAGTGGAAGTGAGCTATTGGCAGAGTTGGAGGCTGAGTTCTTGACACCGTCTTCCAAGTTCAGCTCCAATTGGCTCAATCAGTTGCAGAAGTATCGACCCTCATGTCCGTGGCTACTATCGAAACTCAGCTAATGACTTTCTTTAGGCGATGGGACGTACCTGCAGATACCACGGACCTCTTCGAGATAGCCCCGACACAGACACGAACGGTCACTCGATTTACACGAGAAGGATTGGAAGGACGGGTGACAGGCTACCATGAAGTGACGATTCCCGCAACGAGTGATACCGCCAAGAACTCGACTTCTCTCCTCCGTCGTCCTGCTGGTCGTGCAGAATTCGTTAGGGGTGCGGCCGGATTCTTCCCGTTCGCACCTGGTGGCTTGGATGCGGTCGAGGCTCTCGCTGAAATGGAGGCTGATGCCATGACTACGGAGCAATCACGCACTCACGGAAAGAAAGCTGGCCTCGATCGAATTATCAACTTTGGATCCGAGGGCGGTCTCTTGACAACCCCTCCTGGCTTTGAGCGTGGTCACACATTTGCGGAGGCAAAGTCCAAGGAGGCTGCAGAGGGCGATGAGGAAGTCGAGCATGCTCTTCTTCAAGAGGAAAGCAATCTCGAAATTGAAAAGCCTGAAACTACGCCCGAGGCCGATGAAACCGCCGATGGTGGTGCTGAAGATGAACTCAGTGACTCGGAAGAAGAGGACATCGATGCTCTATTGCCAGTTGAATTCCCAGCCCTCGAACCGCGCAATCAACTCCTTGCAGGCATTCAAAAGCAGAAAGGAAGGGAGTGGGCCCATGTCGTCGATGTGAACAAGGAAATTACCAACTTCAGCGATCTGGTTCCGGATATGGCCAGAGAATGGCCATTCGAGCTGGACACCTTCCAGAAAGAAGCTGTGTATCATCTTGAGAATGGCGACTCAGTATTTGTGGCTGCTCACACCTCCGCTGGCAAGACAGTCGTGGCTGAATATGCCATCGCGCTGGCAAATAAACACATGACAAAGGCCATCTACACCTCTCCCATCAAAGCACTGAGCAATCAGAAATATCGTGATTTCAGAACAACGTTCGATGATGTCGGTATTCTCACGGGTGATGTCCAAATCAACCCCGAGGCCAGCTGTGTGATTATGACCACCGAGATTCTTCGAAGTATGCTGTACCGAGGCGCCGATCTCATCCGTGATGTTGAATTTGTCATCTTTGACGAGGTGCATTATGTCAATGATCTCGAAAGAGGAGTGGTCTGGGAGGAAGTTATCATCATGCTTCCGGAGCATGTCACCCTCATTCTTCTCTCCGCCACTGTTCCCAACACCTACGAGTTCGCGTCCTGGGTTGGTCGCACGAAGAAGAAGGATATCTACGTGATTTCAACGCCCAAGCGGCCCGTGCCATTGGAGCACTATCTGTGGGCTGGCAAGGAAAAGTTCAAGATTGTCGACTCCAACAAGCGATTCATTGAAGGGGGTTGGAAGAAGGCAAACGATGTCCTGTCGGGCAAAGATGTTAGAGCCAAAAAGGAAGCTGAAGCTCAGGCTCAGGCTCAGGCTCAACGCGGTGGACCCCAAGGACGAGGGCGCGGACGCGGACAGGATGGAGGCAGAGGAGCCCCTCGAGGCGGACAACGTGGAGGTGGAGGAAGAGGGCAAGGAGGTGGGCGTGGACAACCTTCTAATCGTGGCACGGGTAACATCGCTCGTACTGGCCGTGGAGGTGGTCGGCAATCCGCTGCCCAGGATAAGAATACTTGGGTCCACCTCGTGTCACACCTTCGCAAGGAAGATCTGCTTCCAGGCTGTGTTTTCGTCTTTTCAAAGAAACGATGTGAGGAGAATGCGGACTCTCTCAGCAACCAAGACTTCTGTAACGCGACAGAAAAGAGCTTGATCCACATGATGATCGAGAAGTCGCTCACCCGCCTCAAGCCGGAGGACCGAACCCTACCTCAAATCCTCCGGTTGCGCGAACTGCTCAGCAGAGGTGTTGCCGTGCACCACGGAGGTCTTCTTCCAATCATGAAGGAGATTGTCGAAATTCTCTTTGCAAAATCCTTAGTCAAGGTTCTCTTTGCCACGGAGACGTTCGCCATGGGTCTGAATTTGCCAACCCGAACAGTGGTTTTCTCCGGATTCCGCAAGCACGACGGGAAAGGCTTCCGAGACCTGCTGCCTGGAGAGTACACTCAGATGGCAGGACGTGCCGGACGCAGAGGTCTCGACACTGTGGGCTATGTGCTCATCACGAATAGTGGCAAGGAAGAGGCTCCGCCCGCCGGGGCTTTGAAGAAGATGATTCTCGGCGATCCAACCAAGCTCCGATCCCAATTCCGACTCACCTACAACATGATTCTCAACCTTCTCCGAGTAGAGGCTCTTAAGATCGAAGAGATGATCAAGAGGAGTTTCAGTGAGAATGCCACTCAAGCCCTGCTACCGGAACATGAAAAACAAGTCCAGCTCTCCGAGGCCAGCTTGGAGAAGATCAAGCGGCCGCCTTGTGAGATCTGCGACGTTGATCTTGCTGCCTGCCACGCGGCTGCAATGGAGTACGAGAGACTCACTGCAGAGTTACACAGCGGTCTGCCCACAACTCCCGCTGGTAAACGACTCTTTGAAGTTAAGAAGCTCGTTGTGTATCGAAAGGTATGTTTTGTTTGAGTATGAAGTTTATACATTGGAGAAGTACTGATTGTGCTCTAGGATGGATTACGCACTGCTGGAGTAATCACCAAAGAGGGTGTCACCACTGGCACCATGCCTTGCATCACTGTACTTGAAATTGGCACCGTCTACAACCGGCGTCATCCCAGTGATATTCTTCCATTCCTTCCCAAGTTCCGTCCCTATTTCCAGGAATTGCCATCCAACGGCGCCTCTATGCACCTCAAGATTTGCAAGATCCCGGTGTCGGACGTTGAATGTATCACTACCACAAGATGCAAGGCTGGTGGACCAATTTGGTATTTGAACATTAAGAAAGGTGAGTGTTTGATCCTATTTAGGTTGACAAACTGAGCTAACTATGAAAAACAGAAGCGGTAAAGTTTGCAGAGAAAGAGCTAACCAAATTCACTTCATCCTGGCTTAGTGATCGATGGAACGAGATTGATTGGGTCCGCATCAAGGAGTTGCAGTCGCGGGACATCATCGATCAGCGGAAGGCTCAGGCGCAGTTCATCCAGTCGTGCCACTGCCTGCGATGCCCCAAATTTATGGACCACGTGAGTGACAGACCCAAAGTGGGGACACCTCGTGGCATATGCTAACTTTATCTCCTCCAGTTCGAAATGCAACATGACGAATGGCAAGTGAAGGAAAACATCTCGCAATTGAAGCAGTTGATGTCAGATCAAAACCTCCAACTCCTTCCGGACTATGAACAGCGTATTCAAGTCTTGCGAGACCTCGGCTTTGTGGACGACCAGTCCCGTGTGCAATTGAAGGGCAAGGTGGCTTGCGAAATCCATTCCGCCGACGAACTGGTCTTGACGGAGCTGGTCCTTGAGAACGTTCTCGCCGAATACGAGCCGGAAGAAATCGTTGCGCTTCTTTCGGCATTCGTGTTCCAGGAGAAGACTGATAGTACTCCAACCCTCACCCCTCGATTGCAAAAGGGCCAGGAAGCCATTATTCGCATTTCGGAGAAGGTCAACAACTATCAGGTCTTGCACCAAGTCATTCAGTCTAGCGAAGACTCCAATGATTTTGCCAGCTCGCCTCGATTCGGTCTTGCTGAGGTGGTCTACGAGTGGGCCAAGGGCATGTCTTTCAACCGCATTACCGATCTCACTGATGTGATGGAGGGTACCATTGTCCGAACGATTACTCGGCTGGATGAAACTTGTCGCGAGGTCAAGAATGCGGCCAAACTGGTTGGCGATCCATCGCTGTATACCAAGATGCAGCAAGCGCAGGAGCTGATCAAGCGCGATGTTATTTTCGCAGCCTCCCTCTACATGTAGAGGACGGCGTGGGCCTGTCATCCAAAGGTGGCGGATTTGTGTTAGTATTCTCTGTCTGACTATTGGGCAGCGTGATGCTATCGCGTCGTTCATGATAGAGTTGATGATATTTTTCTGAGAGTAGAACCAATGTAATGAGTATGAAATGTAAAAAAAAAATCAAATAAAACAGAGTTACTCCAAAGCCTTTTACCTCGTAAAAAAAAAGCATGGCAAAGTTGTTGAACTTTAACCGGGCGGGCGGCTGGAGTATACAAAATCAGTTGTGCGGCCGTTGATTAGCTGCGGGGCGACCGCCCGCGAAAATCCCAGAAGAATAATTCCTCCCACCCTCTCTAACACTTTTTTCGACCTCCACCTCCTCCTTCGCCTTGGGCTTATTCGTCCTTTGCACCCCTCTCGAACCTCCCTACCTCCCTCTCGTCTCCTCTCGTCGGCGCCGGTCCGTTTCCCCCGGGGTTTTCTTCTTGCGTGGAGTTACTTTTTTTCTATCTGTGATATTTGGCGCTGGGGTGCCCAGGTGGTGCGAAAACATGGACGTTACGGCTCTCCGAGACCGTATCCAGTCGACTCTAGACCCGAACACGAGCACTCGTCAGCAGGCCGAGTTGGACTTGAAATATGTATGTTTGTTGCTGTTCCTGGTCGAGGGGCCGTTGCCGTGAGACTTACACCCCGTCTTCCCCTCTCTAGGCCGAGCCACAGCCCGGATTTGTCAATGCGCTGCTAGACATTCTGCAGTCTGAGCAGAACAATGCTGTTCAGCTGTCTGGTAAGTGACTCAATGAGTCTCTGTTTCGGTGCCACCAAGGCTGGTGTCTAACCTGCCCCGCTTTCTTCTCTCTAGCCGGTGTCTACCTCAAGAACCGTATCAGCCGCGGATGGGCCCCCGTCGAAGACAACCCGCAACGTGCTCCCATCCCTGAGGCTGAGAAGCCGAGTTTCCGCGAGCGTCTGATCCCTGCTCTGGCCTCGACGCCGCCCAATGTTCGCGCTCAGCTGGTCCCGCTCCTCCAGAAGATCCTCCAGAACGACTTCCCCGAGAAGTGGCCTGGTTTCCTTGATCTTACTCTTCAGCTCCTTGGCACGAACGATGCGAACACAGTCTACGCCGGCTTGCAGTGCCTTCTGGCCATCTGCCGCGTGTATAGGTTCAAGGCCGGCGAGAAGCGAGAGGAGTTCGATAAGATTGTGGAGCACTCGTTCCCCCAGCTGCTCAGCATTGGACAGAGGTTGGTTGATGAGGAGAGTTTGGAGGCTGCTGAGATGCTCCGCATTGTGGTGAAGGCTTACAAGCACGCCATCTACGTAGGTGACCCGCGCAACGCTAAACAGGCATCGTATGCAAGAAGCTGACACTGATTGTTTTGTTTTTCTCCAGTTCGAGCTCTCTCCAGCTCTGCAGACTCACCAGGCTACTGTGGACTGGTGCACATTGTTCCTTAGAATCATCTCCAAGATTCCTCCCGCCAACGCTATGGCGGAGTCGAAGGAAGAGCGCGAGTTGAACCACTGGTGGAAGTGCAAGAAGTGGTCATACGCCAACTTGAACCGTCTTTTCATCAGGTAAGATGCGCGCGCTACCCTTTTTCTGCGCTCACTCGTCGCAAAAAGGTCATGCTACTGACACGCGAGTTTTCACCCCCACTAGATACGGCAACCCCACCACGATTACGAAATCCTCCATTCCCGATTATACACCGTACGCGAAGACCTTCATTTCCACCTTTGCCCCCGAAATTCTCAAGGGCTACCTGCAGGAGATCGACAAGTGGGTGTCCAAGTCGCAATGGCTCAGCAACTCCGCCCTTTCCTATACTTTGGTCTTTATGGAGGAGTGCGTCAAGCCCAAGGCTATGTGGGAGCACCTGAAGCCGCACATGGACAACCTGATCGCCCACTTCGTTTTCCCAATTCTTTGCCAGTCGGATGAAGACATCGAGCTGTTTGAGGAGGACCCTTCGGAATATCTCCACCGCAAACTGAACTTCTACGAGGAAGTTTCCGCTCCCGATGTTGCGGCTACCAACTTCCTGGTTTCTTTGACCAAGAACCGCAAGAAGCAGACTTTCTCCATTCTGACTTTCGTTAACAGCGTTGTCAGCAAGTACGAATCTGCAGCGGATGACCAGAAGCAGCCCCGGGAGAAGGAAGGTGCTCTCCGAATGATCGGTTCCCTTGCATCCGTCATTTTGGGCAAGAAGAGTCCTATTGCCGACCAGGTCGAGTACTTCTTCGTCCGCCACGTTTTTCCCGAATTCCGCAGCCCCCACGGGTTCCTTCGTGCCCGTGCTTGTGACACCCTGGAGAAGTTTGAGCAGCTCGACTTCAAGGACCCGAACAACTTGATGATCATCTACCGGAACATCCTGGAGTCTATGACCGATCCCGAGCTCCCCGTTCGAGTTGAGGCCGCCCTTGCTTTGCAACCTCTGATCCGCCACGACGTTATTCGCACTTCCATGCAGCAAAACATCCCCCAGATCATGCAGCAGCTTCTTAAGCTGGCCAACGAGGTCGATGTTGATGCTCTGGCCAATGTCATGGAGGACTTTGTTGAGGTCTTCTCTGCCGAGCTGACTCCATTTGCCGTTGCCCTGAGCGAGCAGCTGCGCGACACCTACATGCGCATTGTTGGTGAGCTTTTGGAGCGGAATGCCACCAAGGCCGGTGATGATGAAGGATATGGGGACTTCCTGGATGATAAAAGCATCACCGCTCTGGGTGTCTTGCAGACCATCGGAACCCTCATTCTCACCCTGGAGAGCACTCCCGATGTGCTCCTCCACCTTGAGACTATTCTGATGCCCGTCATTAGCATCACTCTGGAGAACAAGTTGTACGATCTGTATAACGAGGTGTTTGAGATTATCGACAGCTGCACCTTCGCTTCCAAGTCGATTTCGCCTACCATGTGGCAGGCATTCGAGTTGATTCACAAGACCTTCAAGGCTGGCGCTGAGCTGTACCTGGAGGACATGCTCCCGGCCCTCGACAACTACGTCTCCTACGGCTCCGACATGCTGGTCCAGAACCCGGCCTACCTTGCTGCCGTTGTTGGCATGGTTGAGGATATCTTCCGTGACGACAAGGTTGGCGGTGTTGACCGTATCTGCGGCTGCAAGCTCGCCGAGACTCTAATGCTCAACCTCCGTGGACACATTGACCAGTACATTCCTCTCTTCATCGAGTTGGCCATGGTTGTTATCGATGCCGGTGAGGCTCGCACCAAGTCTTACCGCATCCACCTGATGGAGATGATCATCAACGCCATCTACTACAACCCGGCTCTCAGTTTGCAGGTCCTGGAAGCCAAGGGCTGGACCAACAAGTTCTTCAGCACCTGGTTCTCCAGCATTGACCAGTTCCGTCGTGTCCACGATAAGAAGCTGTCCATTGCTGCTATCAGCTCGCTTCTGACAATGAAGGCGGCTGATGTTCCCGCCAGCATCCAGCAGGGCTGGCCGAGATTGCTGCAGGGTGTTACGAGACTCTTCCAGACCTTGCCTGCCGCTCTGAAGTGTATGTTTATCCCATACATCCTTTTCCTTGAGTTATTTTGCTAACTGTTTGTACAGCGCGTGAGGATGCTACTCGGGAGTCGGACTTCACTCTCGACGACGAGGGTGATGAGGACGACGAGGAGAATGACTGGGATGGCGAGGTCGAGTGGAACGAGGAAGAGGTTGAGGAGGCTGTTGAAGGTGACATTGCCGATGAGAGCGCTGCTTATCTCGACTTCCTCAACAAGGAGGCCCAGAAGTTCAGCCAGTTTGCCGATGACGACGACGATGAGCTTGATGAGGAGAGTCTTCTTGAGACTCCTCTGGACAAGGTTGAGCCGTACGGCATGTTTAAACATGTCTTCCTGAGTACGTGATAACCCATATCCCCCGCGTCTTTGAACTTTGCTAATCCTCCTTATAGACCTCCAGTCTGAGCAACCTCAGCTCTACGAGAGCTTGACCAAGGTCCTTGGCCCCGAGGAGCAGCAGATCCTTCAGGCGGTGTTCCACGAGGCTGACGCCAAGGCGCTGGCTGCTGCTGCCAACGCCGAGGCCGCCGCTGCGGCAGGCATGCAGTCCAATGGCAACCAATAGATCTGGAAGATGGAGTGAAACACTACATCTATCCTTTTGATCGGTATTGTTCTTTTCCTACCCATCGTCACGAGACATATGCCCATTTCATGTCTTTCCTCCCAATGTTTAGATCATGCCTGTTTTCCCCGTCTATCTATCCATGTTCTGTTTTTTATTGTTTTTTTTTTTTCAATCTCGTATCATGTCTACCCTGTTGATGTGCTTGCAAAAAGTCCCCTCCCCCTTTCTAATCCACCTCCATTGCACAGATTCCCCAAAGACATCCTCCATATCATGATATACTACATCAGCCATTACCGAGTTCAGACCATGTCTTCTTTTCTGTAGTTTGTGTCTGTAGACAATGATTTTCATCAATGAGATCCAGGTAAATAGTAACGTCACTGGGATTTGTGGACGAAGGATGCTGTATAAACCACGTGACAAGTATGGAGTTGGTTTGGATGCGATGATGTCATCTCCTTGCATTCGCATCAATCGCATGCCGCATTCAACATGCAAGAACATTCAAGCTGGGACTGGCTTCTGAACTCAGCTCCCAGGAGAACCAGGAATAACAATCATAGTTCGTCCTTGTGGATCCTACAAACTTGAGTCAGCCTAAAGTCCACGTTGTGGTTCGAACGTCATCATGATGAAGTCCCCAGCTACCCGGTTTAGGACTGGTCACGTCAGCTATGTAGACATAGATACCGATCATTTTTAAAGGAGAGACTGCCAAAATCATTTTAACATTGACATCCCCATCTAACTAGTTTCATTGCTCATATCTTTGAACGAAGCTATCAAGGTACGTACGGTACACATCAAACCACAACTATCACATTCGAATCTCCGAATCTAACATAACCATCAAACCCTAGAACCCAATCCAGTCCACATTCACTCCTCAAACAACTTATTCCAAAATGTCCGCTCCTCGCGAAGGCCGCCAATCTCCCGAGCCAGAGACCCAAACTGGCGCTCAACTGCGTGATCCCCCTTCCCACGGTAAATTGGACGACAACTCGACTCGCCCAGCACCGGAGTTTTCGCACGAGAGGGCCGCCGATCAGAAGGGACCTTCATTGCCGGGGAGTAACCCTACGCATCGTCTTGAAGAGATTGAGGCAGAGAAGTTTAAGAGATGAATCAAGGGTGGGGAACTTGTGTGTGAATTTGACTTTGGGAAGGAGAAGGACGGAATGGATGAGGTTTGATGCTATTGGGGGAGGTTATATTGTATGCGATCAATTTGAATATAATGAGATTATGAATTACATGGCGTGATCATGATCTATGTAGGAAATGATGTAGTAGTGTATAACTACGAATCTAGTGAAAGTATTGCTATCATGATAATCGTATATGTTCATTCGCTCGCTCGCAATTCAGATACCAAGAACTAACTAACCGCAAAGTACGGAATCATCGCAATCATAAGCTCGTCCCAGACAACAAAGGCGAAAAGCCGCAAAACCTTTCATGGCGATCTCAGCACAAGTGGCATGTATCAATGAAAAAGCATAGACACGGAAACAGAAAATATCACGCCAGCGTGGGATAACCATCAGGTCTCAAGCAAGAAAACAAGAAAACTAAGCCTTGGGCTCGGCAGGGGCAACAACACCAGCGGGCTCAGAAGCAGGGACAGTCGCGGGGGCGACACCAGCAGCCTCGCTGGCAGCAGGGGCAACGCCCTCAGTCTCACCACCCTTGCCCTGCTTCAGATCTGCCAGACGACGAGCTTCATTGTGAATGTCGCGCACCTGCTTATCAGTCTGAACGTAGAAGTCACGCAGCTTCTGGCCGGAGGGGTGCTCGAGGGCCTTCTCGAAGTACGAGTGCAGACCGCGCCAGCCGGAAACAGCCTTATCGGAGATCTTGTAGCTATCGTCGATACCGCGAGCGCGCTCGGTGGCGTTGAACTTCTTGTCAAAGTTGGACAGGGCCGAGGTGAACTTGGTCGAGAAACCGTGCTTCTGGTCCAGAGCGATGGCCTTCTGGATAGCGCCGTCGCTCACGACGTACCCGTGCGCCAGGTACTCGGCGATAATGCGAGAGCGTGGCTTGTCCTCCTGAGCGATTTCGTGCTCTTCGTCCTTCTCGGTGGTGGATGCGCCAGCGGCTGATGCGCCGGCCAGAGTGTCGATGCTCTGCGCGGCCTCGACGTGCACGGAAGAGGTACCCAATTGAGTCTGGTCGAGCAGCAGGGCAGTCTTAGCAGCTCTGTATGAAGGGAATTTCGTATTAGTATGAAGTGGTTGGTTTGCTGTGATAAGGGGGGCTATGGTGCCATCATGAAACGCTGTGCGGGGTAGCTTACGCCTCCTTCTCGAAAGTCACACTGGCGGACTTAGGGGCATCGGCCTCAGATGAGACGGGAGTAATGGACAAGCTGGTGATCTTTCCACTGTAGGCAAGATGTTAGCGAAAAGGAATTTCTCAAAGGGTTTCTTGTTTTCGAGTTCTGAGCTCTTGCGGGGCAGGCTGGCAGCCACATACCAGAAGCTGAAGAAGTCGCGGACCTCCTTCTCGGAGGTCGTGTGCGAGATGCCAGAAACGTGAACGGTGGAAGCGCCAGACATTTCGATTAACGTGGAGTTTTGAAAGTGAGATTATTCGGGGTTGAGAAAGTTAAAGAGAGGAACAGGGAAAGAGAGCTTGGTGAGGTCAGTTATTTATTGCAAGTCTGCGCCACAGGTGACGTAGGGTTGGAGCGGCACCGCCTCATGTCATTACCCGAAGAGGCCAATCAGAATGATTCCTAGGGGAAAAGCTTCCTTCTAGGCAGAACGATTCGGATAAAACACTACTACTACTACTACTACTACTACTACTACTACTACTACTACTACTTCACCACAACGCTAGGTAACGGTGAATTTGCCGCCGAAAACCTCAAAACTTGACGCTATTTTAAGCGTCCTTTTTACCAAATTCTTGGTCATTGATTTCGCATGTGATTCATTTCAGCCCTCTGTTTACGCATGCTCCCTGAGCACTCATGGACCAGAGAGTATACATTCACTATATGCCCCTATATACACCAGATTTTGTCCGCCGGGTGGGGCTTTCCTGCCTGGGCTGCCGCCGCTATAATGAGGGCGATCAGGCTCAGGCTCAGACTCGCTGAGTAAATGTCAGCACGCGCTGATGCTCAGTGATCTGATCAGTGCAGTCATGTGATAACTCAGTGACCAATCAGGGGTGCTCAGTATCGTCGAGAGCTACTCAGCGACCGCTCAGTGATCACTCAGCCATTGCTTAGTCACCAGCCCTCATTGTCCAGTCAGAGAGCCGTACTCATTTCCTTCCAGTCCAAGTCAGACTATACCTAAAAAGGACATGCCTCATAGGGTCATCTATTTTGTGAACACTAGCGCGTAATGTGAAGTCCTTCCACCCTGGACGTCTCCATTCAATCAAAGAACTGCGCCATTAGCCCCAAGTCAAAACAAAATTGACCTGTCCTGTTCAAGATTAGGCTGTTTAAACCAGCATTTGTACTATTGTGTATCATGTCAACATGTCATGTAATCAAATATATAAAAGGAGAATTTGTCCCCTCCACTGTCTCATCACACATAACATGCATTCTTTGCTTGCAGCCGTTCCTCAAAGTCTGCTTCTTCACCTTTGAGCTCACAATCAATATCCGGTTATGGGACAAAACGGCTTTTTCTTTAAGCGCAATGAGAAGGCCAAAGAAAGGCGCCGTCTCTTACGGCAGAGGAACGGCTATATTCCTGGAGCCCACAAAGAGGAAGATGCTATTCGAAATAAAGATAGGAAACTTCCAAGAACCAAAGTATTACACTAACAAACCTTGAATCTCTGGTTTGAGTGAGTTTTAAATTCACAGTGTCGATGGCACGGCTGATTATTTCTTAGCTGTGGTAGCAGAAAATTCGACAACGGCATTGACGGCAGGAGTAATAAACTCGAAAAAGATGTTATGGCACTTCGATGCGTCAATTTTACTGTTAGAGCAGGCGAGAAGGTTGCGATACTTGGGCGGACTGGGAGGTAAATTGAACCCCCCAGCCTTGAACATTGTGCGATAGAATATTAACACCACGGAAGTGGAAATTCTTCAATAATACTTCTCTTGTTACGCCTCCTCGATCCACTTCCTTCCGAGGATCAAATAATCACCATTGATGGTATTCCTTTACCAAGCATAGACCGCAATGTCCTTCGCTCCAGGATCATTGCACTTCCGCAAGACACGTTCTTTCTGCCGGGTAGCAAGACCTGTCGCGCCAACCTAGATCTATACGGCAATGCGTCTGTGACATAGTGCAAGGATGTACTGAAAGATACTGAATTTGGCCCCTAATCAAGGAGCGTGGAGTTTTTGACAAGCCTATGGAAGTTGATTCTCTCCGTCAAGGGTAAAAGCAATTTTTCGGCGTTGCAAGAGCTGTGCTTCGGGCACGGAAAAGATCCAAAGTACTATCATCGCAAGCTTCTGAACACATAAATAGGGGCACGAAGTCAGCTGGCATTCTTCTTCTACACGAGGTTACATCTAGTGTTGATAGCGTAACGGATGCTCGGATTCAGGGCATTATTCACAAAGAGTTTGATAGGTATATGATTAGCTGCTGCTCATAGGGAGAATACCGTGTAGGACTTTGATCGGATAATTATCATGGACAATGGAGCGATTAAGGAGAGCCGGATTCTGCGCGTACCGTGTTCTCTTTAAAGGCAACCACTTACTTGAAGCTTTCGGCAGGCCGCTGGAACAATAATCTTAAAACTGCTTGCAAAGTGTTTATCTCCCTGTGGCATAGGCTCTGTTTAACACAAGAGTGGGTGGATTATAAGAAGTTCATAATAACATCTCGCTGTATACCTCTTGAGTATTCCTCGCTCCGAGATTTGGACGGAAGACGTATAACTTTCAAACAACGATCAGATCTGGTTTAGCTCGGGGCTAGCCACTTTAAAGTTAGCTCCTCGTGAGAAAATAGCCTACCTCTACAGCGATCCAAATGAAAATTTCGTTCTTTAATTTCCTGTTCCAGTAGACCCTGAAACTCCACGTGACCGATAACCCAAGGCAGTAAGATGTGAAGTTCTACTAAAAGCAAAAGCACCACAAACCACCGTTTAACTTACACCTCGTTAAACAGTCCTAGTTGTCTAGATAAACGTACCTATGTTTGCTTAGCCGCTAAAGGTCAATAGCTAAATATTACGTTTAGTTTCATTAACTGACCCGCCCTATAAATTTCCGCTTTAGACTGTTTACTTTTGCTTATCTGGCAATATTCAATTTTCCTCTTAGTGTTCAACGGTCAAAAAGGGCGCTATTCGAGGTCAATTCAAATCCTACAGCTTTTTGCCTATACTATAGTTAAAAGGCTATTGATTTAAATAGTTATACATATTTAGTTTCCATCATTATACTATCCGCTAGCAAATATGCTCAAATAATAGTGTTTAAAATAGTCCCTTATCTTTCAACGGTCAAAGCCGCGGGTTACTAGGGCAGATTATAGATACAGTATTACTATTGTCGACACAATTGCACATTTTAATTATCACTGTTAAAGTTATAGCGATTGTTTACTGTACGTGTCGCAAATACATTAACGGCTATCAAGGATTTCCAGAAAAAATATAGTCTAGAATGCATCGAGGATCTCATATAATATACGACAGCAGTCGATCATTATAGTATTAAGGCAGCAGTAGATCAGAGAACAGAAATGTATAGCGAAATTCCTATAATCTAGCTAACAAGATATGCTGTACTAAAGAGGCTCAACGCTAAGGTTAAAGGGGTACCAAATGCACCGGTTAACAATTCATTACAACAGAACGCATTCAAGTAAAAGATTGATTCCCTCTTCTTCCCTTCTTCTGTGCATCTTCAAAGTAACATTAACGGCAATAGAGTTAAATCTCAGACTTCGGGGCACAATAAGGACCAGAAACATCTTCGCAACTAAGCTTGCTCTTCGTATATACGCTAAAAAGACCAATAAACAAGCTAAATCGTCGGCGTTTATCTTTAATAGTTATATCTCCCCTAGGGTCTATACTAAGCCAGGGATCGATCGAATATAGATAGCACTCTGTTCTCTTATCTAGAGGTGAGAGTTGATAAAAGTATACAGCGAGGTCATCTAGCTGTTTAGACGTGAGGTAGTAGAAAGCAAGCATAGTTTTAGGGAAGTTTGGATAGCCTTCACCCGTTTCGCAGGACACTAAAGGTGTTAAATGTTAAACTAGTCTTAAGAAAGTCTAGTTCGCTTTAGAAATAAAGCCGCCTATTGACGTCGAGACAAGGTTCGATTGCGGAGAGTCGCAAGGACATTAGAGATAGTGAAATCCACTGCTATAGATACAATAATCTATAACTTAGGGTTACCTCCAGCGCTAAATAGATCCCCTCATAAATCTACAAGTCTAAAGGCGGGCCGTCTGAGTCACGAGCGAACAAAGGTAGAAGGAGCTGTATTAGGGAATTATATACATTATCTTAGTCAAGATGTGATAGATGTGATTTTACGCTCAAGATACCCAAAATTTCTCCTCTGCCCAGGACAAGATCAAAGTCTAACATCGAAGTGCTAAAATACTGTAAACTGTCAAGTTGCGAAGACATCAAAAGTTCAGCCGCCGGAGGTGACTGGCCGGCTAGAAGAAGAGATTATTCGTATAAATAGAGAAACGCCGTTCTCTTTCAGTGAGGTGTAAATGTACCCTAGCAGGTCAAGCCATCCCCACAAATAGCCTATGGTGTCCGTACATGATTAACAGAATGTGTCGTGCCGGATTGCCGCATTTTTGCTCTGTAACAGGATGAACAACAAGGCTGGCGCTTAGCAAGAACACGTGAACAAAAGGGCAGCAGTGCAAGAACAAAAAGCAAGAGGGTCGCCTCTTTCTTCAGGAGTGTGCTCTCGCAGGTTAGTAAAGCAAGGCATGGGAATAAGCTACGCAGACGAAAATACAAATACGGACCTGAACAGTTATATTCCGACATGATGGACTATCACAAAATATGTAGCTATGTAAATGCCAGATTGGCAAGAGACGACAAGAGATCAATTTCAATCCCATCGAGAGCAGAAATTTTAGAAACGCGATACCAAATCATGAAACTAACTTAGGAGGAGGCCATTTCCATCAACATTCCAACGGTGCAGAGACAATATGTCCTGCCGCTGCGCTTGGTATTCCGCAAGGTCTCCAACGGCAATACCCTTCAGACTACTAATTGTGCCTCGTAAAACTTTGCGGAAATTTCTCTACTTTTTGATCAGCTCCATAGAACAGCGAGAAAAGTATCAGCAGAGAGAAGTAGGTGAGGCAACAAAGCTAAGATATGATCGACCTCTGACTAACCTGGTATTTTGTATCAAGTGTCGCAATACATGACTCATGTGCGCGAATGAATGTTTCAAGACCAGTGCAAATCGCACTGCTTGCAGGCTTGTCGGTTCTCTCGGCAACTGTCAGAACAGCAAATCCAGCTTGAAGAATGTAAATTCCCATTAAATACGGCATGAACGTCAGTCCTGGATCACACTCCAAAATTAATTCCATCGCCTGAGAAGCAAGGCCTGTGTAATGGCAGAGCTGGGCGAGACGAGCTCCATGTCGCTTTGAAAAATCCGGATTCAACATGGTAATGATGTCCCACTCGCCATAGGTTAAAATAGCCAGCACATTGACTAAGAAGGTGCTGTAAGCTGTGGCTACCTCCGTTCTATTGAAATATCGGTGCTTGTCGCGTAGCCCTGGAGAACCTTCTGCGACCTCTAGGGCTTCGCTGTTGGCATGAAGACAGGACATAGATCGTACTAACTGTTGCAAAGCGCTCTTCACAACTTCTTCAAAAGATTGAGACTCGAAAGAGGCATATCGGGGGTTGAGCCGAAGATGATGGAGTTCCACAATATCGCCAAGGACCACCATGCACGGTAGGAAAAACTCAAAGAAGCCGGGTCCACTAATTGTAGTTGGAGGACCAAATGGACGCTGTGGAGATTGAGCATCACTGAGGTGGTGTTCCAGATATTGCCACTTTTCGTCCTCTAAGGGGTGATAAATTTGACATTTGGTATCCAAGAGTTGGAGCGGCACGTTGTAACACAAAGATAGATGTCGATCCATTGCATAAAGTAACCACCACGTTCTTCGTCGCTCTTCCTTTCGCTCCTCACGTGCAATCAATTCCTGCTCAGTCATGGTTGCACCATGTTTTACTGAAAGATGGTCATCTTTCTCTCGGTTCAGTCCGAGGACCAAGGCCATCATTCTGGCCTTCTCGAACCACATTAAGCAGTCAATTTTGCAATCACTGCCTGAGAGTACTACCGCACACAGAATGCAAGCAACAACATGATCTAGATCGTCGTTACCATTCAAGTGATCTCTATTCCATTTGTGGTACGACTTCGAGGCTGAGCGCCAGGTGGCTGTATCGGAGTCAGTAGCGGCCAGAAATCCCAAGTTCGAAATGACCCGAACTGAATCGGAGGAATTTTGAAGCCTTGAAGAAGTTAACTTGGGCGCTGCGTTACCAAGAAGTTGGATGGCGATTTCCAGTAATTCATCGCATATCTCGGCCCTGGAACCGTTTCGATTGCGAAAGACTTTCTCGTCACAGGTCTGAGCGGCCACGAAAAATATCGCTGCAAGCAGCGCCGGGGAAGTTGGCCGAGGCTCTTTGCGTCGCAGGATTGATCCTTTGCGAAAAATGGTTGCAAAATTATAGGGAGAGCGGGTGTCAAAACTTGAGAGGCAATGGTCGTTGAAAAAATAATCAAGCAAAGCGGACGCTTCAGATGGCGATATAATATGGTTGACATAAGGTAGTATTGGCCGCAGGATAGTGTAGGGATGCAAAAAATCCGACCCAGTGGAAGAACCTTCTGAGCCATCTGATAATTCAATATATCCCGTCAATGAATCCTCTCGGGCTGACTCATGCGAGCCCCTTGCGTTAGTTTCGCATAATAATGACTGAGCGGTCAAATCTTGATGCAGGAGGGAATCAGGCAAAACCCAAGGGTGATCCGAAAGCAGGGAATGATAGAAGGTGATATTGTCCGGGCACACTCCCACAGTCTCGGCCATCTGACTGTACTGGTTTGTTGGGAGACCCGATGAAACCGAAGATGCCACGAATTCATCAGTCACCCAGGCAGAGTCACTTTGCCTGACGTTCTGAGGATTTGGCTCGACAGGAAATGCCCCTGATGGAGTCGGAGAACCGTCTCTCTGAACAGGCACAATAAGTGGAATAGAAGCTTCTGGCTGCGTTGACCCTGCGGGTTCAGGAATAGAGATTTCGCGAGATTTTTGCCTCGAAATTCTTCCAGGGGGCCGCCCTCGAGATTTCTGTTTCTCCTCGTACGTGCAGGAGCGATAGTAATCTGTTGGACCGACGCGCCCATGGGTCGTCGGCGGGCACTTAGCAGCTATTTGAGGAATCTTTGATGGTTATCACAATTTAAATGCTTTCTTCATACCTTGACATCGAGTGCTATTTCGCATCGAGTAAGCTTCGGCTACATATATTGAGACGGTTTGGCCATACATAAGTTCCAAGGTCGATGTCCAGGATGGGAACTCAAAGGGATGAAGGACGGCGTACGTACCACGGACGATTTCCATCACATCGGCAACGTGCCAGTCGACATTGATCACATGCTCGCCTGGTACGAGGGGGGAAGAGTTTCTTGGTCTGCTGGCTCTGAGAAGCCGCTGTTGGGGAGGCCATGTCCGCGCATTCGGAAAGCAACGGAGAGTTCTCGCGGTTATCCCTGTGAGTGATTGTTCCGATGTGAGGGAGAAAATGCTCAATCTCAAATTTTTGGTATGTGGGAAACAGAGATTCTGTTTTTTGGGCAGGAGAGGAAAATGGCAGTGAAATGGGGTTGACGACCGGGAGGGTGACGCCAGCAGGGGCGGACCGTCTAGTCCCCTTATGTATGCTTATTTCCACTGGCCCACCCGTAGCCTCGTGTTCGTGATCCATGCATACCACTTGGTGAGTCGCCACCGTAGGCGATTCCGCGACCTACGCAGCGTACAGGGGTACATTGCTACTCTGGAAATTTACCGATTATCACTAACGTAATTCCCGCATGAGCGGGACACTCGGTTGAGCGGGACACCCACCCCCATAAGAGAATTTCAAAGTCGATTATCTCAACCAGCACGCATTAACTCAACTAAATATAGCGATTATTACATGTATTGATACTGTGGCCAGTCTCCCTAAACCCGCTACACCTAGGCGGGGCCCTAGTACGTGGTGGATTTGCCTGACTAGGCAATTCGCCCTGCGCATGCGATACTACCCCATCAGCTTCTACCAGCTGGTTAAGCTGTTCAACTAGCCGTAGGCCCTCTTCGACGGTTAAACCCGCTTCACAGGGTATCTGCCTAGCTGATAGATTGCGCCTCTTAATGATCTTCTCATTCGCTGCGCGGAGATTCGCATTATCCTGCAGAGTTAACGCGAGGTTGTGTAGCGAAAGATAGTGGCCCTTAAGAATCTGATCTACCACCAATTTCAAAGGGCTTGGAGGGCTTTTTGACCGCCGATCTATTAGATCTTTCATCATTCTAGCCTGCTTTTGTAGCTGAGCTACTGTTCTAGGCGTTTTTGGTGTGAATTGGCTAGAACTGCTGCTTGGCTGCTTGGGGGTGACGGAGTTCGTAGAGAGATATTAAGCTTCGAAAGCACTCTCTCTGCATCGACTGGTACTAGGCCACTAACTGCAGAGCTATTCTGAATAATAGATAGCTTTTGGAAGGCTTCTAGCCGTGCGTGTTGGTAATTTTCTAAGAAATCGCACTTGTCGATATGGTTGTATCTTGTACGCGCAAGATCGCTAACAAAACGGCTATACGCCCTCTTAATCACTGCAAAGCAGCCAATATCTAGTGTGTTGACTTCGGTGTTGCGTAAAGGCTAGCCGCTGCGCGAATAGATTTGACACGGCCCATTTTTTGGAGGTGGGCGAGGTCAATGCGATCATAACATGCAATCACTTTGGATGTGGTTTGTCTTCGTCGGTGGTGTCAATTGAATCGTCGCTGTACTCGGCCAAGCTATAAGCTTTAAGAGCGACCGTACCCCAGACCCCTTTTCTCTCGAGCTCTGTACATCCTCTGCGTTGTAAAATCATAGCGACTATTTTCTTCCAGCGGAGCCAAGCAACTCCATTGCCCCCTCCTTCTATATTACATACTGGCCAATCCGAGCCAAACATGATCCTTGCAGGACCAAATGAATCAAACACGACGTCGGTCCACGGCTGAAGACGCTGCACAATGTTTTCGTAGTCTGGTTCAGCAGTAGATAACTGTGGACGAAGCTCTGAGAAAGCGCCGGATAGCTTGATGTATGTCTTGGGGAAACACGCCATAGCAGAAATCTTGTCTCTCCATCCAGTAAAATCTGGCTCGGTAATGATTTCTGCGGGTGTGCTTTGGAGGCTTAGATTCGGTTTACAAAGGTGATCTGTAAGAAGATTAGAGATTTTGAACAGAGGAGTACATAGACTTGGAAAAAAAGCGATCGCCAGCACATACCCAGGATTATGACCGTCTGTTGATTTGTTTCCACACCATCATAGACCATTTGCATCATTTTAAGAGCTTCTTCCAATTGAGACAACCCTCTTGTTTTTGTATCAAGAGTCAAGTCGAACGCGAGATCCTGCCTCCCGAGCCACTTTACTCCATCTATGAACCCAGTATGGATCATTACACCTGATGGACGATGCTGTACCAGATACCGGGCTCCACAAAGTCGGTTCCAGACACGCTCAGTTTCAGTCCGTTGCCGAGCCTGTGCGAAGTACTCTTCTAGGAGACGCGCGCCACCAGGGATCGGGGCCCAAGGCACAAAGCCAAGGCACAATTTATTATCTGCCTTTTGATGTCCGTCCCCCTTCACTGGCGTACCTGATATGATCCTCGTGGCGAGCGAGATTTCATCAAGCACGTGAAGCCAACCTTTCCCAATCTCATTTTTGTCCACGGAGGAAATCCGATCGGTTTCTATGAAAATGAATCCCCGCAGAAATGTTTCCTCGGCATGCCCAGAGATGTTGGTTGATAACGGCCCTGCACTGCGGTACTCGTCAAGACAATGCTGCGACGCTAAAGGATGCTTGGGCTTATGCCAGGCGAGCGTGGACAAATGAGATTCAGGAAAGAGGTGAACATGGGAATCCACGAGAGGGATCGCCATGAGGGCTGAGTCGGGATGCGTCGAAGAACTCAGGATTGAGGACTTTGTGAGGAGCGTTGAAGCTGCGGGTTGAGTGGAAGAGCAATACAGAATCCTGATGCAACTACGGAGTATTGCCCAACAGCTTCCGCTCTGACTTTTCTTCTTCTGGCCTCCGCTCCGTTGAGCGGAAAAAAGGGCCGTAGTAAATTAGCCGTCGGGATTTTCTGCGGCCTTGCTGGGGCCGGAGCTTCATTGTTCCAGTTTAGGGAAGCTTAAAATAAATCATGTAAGCCCATCATGAGAAATGTTGATCTGCAAATGTCTATTTCCGCCGTCCTCAGTGAGAGTGCACAAGACAGCACGTCAACCTTCAGACGATCCGCAACTTCAGCCTATAGCGACCTCAAGCGTGAAGAGATCGACAGCCCAGAGGATCTGCTGCAAATGAACGGAAATCGTCGAGTTGCACAAATAATTCATCTTCGACCAGAGGCTTTAGCAGCATATAAAGAATGCCACGCTAACGTTTGGCCCGAGGTGTTACAGCAAATACATGATTGTAACATGCGCAATTGTAAGTCAACAACAAATCGATTTTGATGATTCACCTTGTGAATATGTATCTACCACAGTAGACCGTCATAATCAGAATTTGCTGATCTTATTCTATTCTTTCGACGCCGAACTAGATTCCATCTTCTTTGATCAAGACCATACACTTTTCGCCGTGTTCACATACGTTGGTGAAAACTTTGAGTTGGATCAGGCTAAGATGAAAGCGAACTTGAAGGTGAGAGAGTGGTGGCAAATGACAGACGCAATGCAGGTATGGCAGTTTTCTACCCAATCGAGGGAAGATCCCAATCCCAAAAAAAAATTCGCAAAGGTATTGATGGTAAGCAGACAAGTTTGATTCCCGGTGCTACTGGCAGTGTGGATGGGCCAGGCTGGTGGAAAGACCTTGAGGAGGTTTTTCACGTCGATTGAATACATTTCGTTTTCCCAGAACGCTCGAAATTGGCCCGAATCTGTCAGTGAAACAGTATCATAACTATAAACAAAATCCAAGATGTTTTCCAGGAACACAATCTGCGGAAGTGCGACCCTCATGCACCCAGTCTGCTACAGACACTACCCTATGCTGTAGGCTGTCCATACCGAGAATCACAATAGAACACAGGACGCTGCGAGGCAAGCATGACTTCATTTCTTGTATATTGAGACCTCCAGTCGCACTGAACACGATGAGATGAAGGAATTCCTTGTTGCGCCGGTGCAAAATTGGGATCTCATGTATGTCCTGTTATTCAGCGGCAGGTGCCTTTTTATGTATTTGCAAATCTCAAGATAAGTCAGCCTTATTTATTGACTGACGATAGAGTCATATATACAATTCCTCACACCTAAAAAGAGTATCCCAACCACTGATGAAGGATCTTTTGTACGCCCTCATATAGAGGCTGATCTAGCTTGAGTTGAAGGCTTTGGGGCAATAAAAAGGTAAATGGAGATCCAGATCTCTCGAACGTAGAATTCAGCTTCGAGACTTTGTGTCCAAACACCTGTCTGGCTGCTGCAACATTTTCTGTGAGCTCTAACTCTGAGCTGACTCCAGTGATGGTGCTTACCCGAAAGCTCTCAGACGACGCAAGCAGTGCTTGTGAGATCGAGAAACGCATCGACAGCGCGGAGAGGCTCTCGCCATGAGCCTCCACCCATTCCGCCGCCTGCTGCGCCAGATATCGAAGCTCGGCTGGGGCAGGATGAAAGTCTCCAAGTGAGCCCTGCGGTACACCACCCGAGCGAAGGAGACCGATCGCCAAGGGACTGGAGTTACAGACGCAGGATACACCCTCATTCAGTAGAGCTTGTAGACCTTCATCATCTGATAGCAAACGAGTATTTTGCAGGGTTAACTGTGCCCAACTCTGAACTATATCCAATGGACGACCGTACAGTTCGCGAGCTGATCTAGATAGCTTGACAAGAACATCAAGTCTGTATCCCGAAATGCCCACGTATCGAATCAGTCCTTGCGCGACTAATCTGTAAAGTACTCCCAGAGCACCCATGACGTCGTTCTCGGTAACGAACTCCACATCGTGACAGAAAACAATATCCAGGTAGGAAGTCTGCAATCTCTGTAGAGACCTCCGCACTGAATACTCAACCCAAGTCGGCGAGTAATTGAACTCCTCTGCACTGATTCGCCCGACTTTCGTCATCAGAATATACTCTTCGCGAGGGTATTTTTCAGTGACGGCGGGTTGCGAGAGTGCATCTCCAATGAGTTCCTCCGACGGGCCGTAATATGGAGATGTATCAAAAGCGCGAAACCCTAGCTCAAAGGCTGACTTGATGATGGATCGAATGGGCAGACTCCGGGGATTCGCGTTGACCTGGTAGTTGAAGCCACCTCCGCCAAGTATCAAAGGTGGAATGATCTCTGGGAGTTTGCAATCTCTTCGCTTTTCCATGTTGAGTGGTTAAAATAGAAACAATGAAGTCTCACAGCAGGTAATTTTCCAGAAAACAAGAATGGTTAAATTTTGGAGGATAGACCAATAGAAGAAATCTGGGTAAATTGCTCAGTTACTTAGGAATGGACCTCCAGACATATGCCTGTACTACCACAGAGGCTCTGGCATTCCTTTGTATCCTGTCTACGGAGTACGTATCTACCGTTCGGAAAATTTTCTGTCGCCGGAAAATTTTTATTATGGGGACAAAAGTCTATTCATTAGAACACAAGGAACTACGGAGCAACCAAACGAATGGAATCTTTTCGATGCTTTTTATTACACATGCTCCAAAGCCTGAAATCTCTTTCTTTCTCGCTTTACTTTTGCTTCGCGAAACCCCTGTTATGTAATTGCTCCGGTGTGCAAGTTAGTTACACCACGGAATAATACAACCGCTCCTTAATATCCGCGGGTATTTATTTGGACAGATATTTTGCATCCATTTCGCCCACTAAGCTCACGGGAGTAGTTTATTAGTAAGCTAACGTGGTTCGCACAATTCCTCATCAAAATAATGATATTACAACTCGATATGGTTTGGTGGCCGTGGTGTCAGGCCTTGTTGTACACATAGTTGTGTATGTATGAGATAGAGGAAGAACAACCATGGTCGCTATAAAGTACGGAATACGAAGAACAGGCAGGCACCTACATGGCTTCCCCATCTATGTTCGGACAAGTGACCTGAGGACCCTGGTGGAGCCGCAACCTTCCGATGGTTATGCCCGACGGGAGCTCTGCAGGGGGGATCATATAGATGTTTACGCAATGTCTTACCATCCCTCTTTCCCTAATTTTCCTGGTTCTTGCACCTCCTTCATATTTGGAGAAGAGAAGTATATTTAAATTGAGCGTGAAGACCTCAAGGAACAGTCTCTGAAGCAATTGGTTTGGTGCATTTCTACTACCTGATTGACAGGCATTCTACCCTGCTCTGCAAGGAGATAATATCTTTACAACAGAGATCAGTCTACTGAAAGGACATCGCAAACAATGGAAGGTGGTTCTGCCTCCTCGAACTGAAAAGCCGCCGCCAGCCTGATACCATTCATCCATGTTCAAACGGAGTCCTTTTGCACCAACAACCACTTGAAGCTGGTCGTAACCCTGTGGAGTCCAGGATCCAAACCAAATCAACGGTGAACAATGCAACGCTGTAACGCCAGCTGGCTATTTTTAGCTGTACGGTCTTTTCTAACACTGAACGTGGTTGATAGCTTTGTACTAACATTTACTGCTTCAGTCTGAACCTAAAATGATGTCGGATCTACAGTGTAGTCGTTGCTAAAAATATTCAGATCCGATCATGAAAAATTTGTCCTAAATAGAGCCGAGAATAGTTGTATAGCTATTTCAGTTATAAGGAGCTGCCTCATCCTCCCTGCTCTCAACGTCGAAAAGACGCAGCTTCTCTTCGCTAGGACACCAATATCCCTTTGTGCCTTTTAAAGGTTTCGAGCCCACTCGGGACTGAATCCTCTAGGATGTGCTCTAAATATTGCCCTTCTTCTCCTAGATTTCTAATTAATTCTTTCCTCCCGAATGTCTGGTTGATGCTTCACCTGTTATAGAAGAGACATAATTACCTTCTCACTGTGCTAAATTTCTCTGCCTTACTGTTTGACGGCTTCAAATGGTTTTACCGTAGCATAATAACGACGACACCAAATTTAGACAACCGAGTAGTAATATCAAAGCCCCATGCTGAGAGATTTGGGGGCACCCAAGGAAGAGATGTCTTCTGTGAAGGCTTAGGGTTTAGGGTTTTACCATCTGCAACCAGTAGAAGCGATTAATTTTGGAGGATATACCAATAGAAGAAATCTGGGTAAATTGCTCAGTTACTTAGGAATGGACCTCCAGATATATGTCGAGTTTTTTCGGACTTATAGGGAAGCTTCGATTCGCTCTGGATTTGGCTTTCTTGAAGTTTATCTGGCCTTTTTTTTTTTCTTTTTTTGCTTCTATTACATTTAAACTGCTCTCCAGTGACAACAAGCTTCATATTCTTATCTTGGGCTAGGATTCTTACCCTTCAAAGCTCTTCGATTGGCTAATTGCTAATTCCGAGGCCTACTTGCTTCGCTGGGTGGTGACCTCGGTGACAGTCATAGTGTCTGGCGTTGCTCCATAATTTTACATCGATAGCCAATACATGCCCTTTCACTTTTCGTATCTTCTACATCGCCTTGAATGATCCTACCTTGTCTTCATTTAACTTCAATTTCTACCTCGGCCATCTCCCTGATGAGGTTCAGCATCCCTTGTGAACTGAATCAAGCAGCCATTCGCTTCTACTGGTTGCAGATGGTAAGACGCTATCCTTTATCATAACTCCACGCGGGACTCGAGTTCAACATGAATCTCACTTAGCTGTCTCTGATACCAGACCGGTCCAAGCGCCCCCCTGCCGTCACCCGATACCCTCACTTTCATCTCACCTTTCGATACCCAATATACACTATCCTTGATATCCTCTCATTCTCTCACGCCAACCTCTTCAATTCCTCACACTATACATACGACAGGTTCTGAAGCCGTCAGCTCGGGCCAAGAGGTCGCTGAGCTCAGGTCACTGAGGTCAGCTCTCGGATCCGCTGGTATATATCCAGCATCATTACATATTCATTCACGGATTGTCTCATCAAATTCTCTCAAAGGTAATATGCAATTTGCGAGTTGGGGCTGGGAATCTTGGACTTGGCTAACTTCTGCAAGATGTCGTTAGAGAGCCCTCCCGAAACCCCGTCTCGGCAAAGGGTACGACAGTCTATACAAGGCCCCATTGCACCCTTGGTCGGCCCAGAAGGACAGGAAAACCGACCCTCTTGTTGGGCCCAAATGGCCAAGGAGCACCACTGAGTATGTGCAAAAAGGGAGACCAGGGACCCCCGGTCGATCTTATACCGGCTTCACGAGCTTGAACTCAAGAGAGAGCCTACAATGAGGGAGCCCTCGAAATCGTACACAGGACAACACTTCGACAGCTTGATTGGCTCAAAAAAAAAGCGAACATCGAGGCTCTACATAAATGATTCAGCAGTATCTCCCACACACGCAACAACTTTTTCTCCTTACCTCAATTACCGAGATCCTCTCCTCCCGATCCTCCTCGCCTTTCATCTCGCTACTTCCCCCTCGTTAATCTCAGCTCTTTACTCTCCTCTCGCCGCTCTCGATCGCTGGTTCAACTTACCGTTCCCTCATCCTCACTGCTCTCTCCTCGTCGACCCTCCCCCTCCCCCACCACATTTCAATCGGCTATTCCTTCAGTGCGTCCACTTCACTTCTCCTTCACTCTTCGCATCCACGTCCTCTCGCCTACAGCTTCTACTAAGCTTGAGGCACTAACCCCTGGCGCTTAACTCATCCCCCCAAGATTGCACTGTGCTCCCTCTCGCGCGCCAAGGAACTGGCAAAATGTCAAAGTGAGTCCACCTAGAACACAGTCTAAGTCTATTACTGACTTAAGTAGTCGTTACACAGGACCAAGAATACCCCCACACAGCCTTTCTTACGGTCAATCTGATGTCGTGCCCGTGACAACGGGCGGCGCTGTGATAGATCGGCCGCCCAGGCAGCTGGCAACCACGATCAAGAGACTGCAATTTTCGGTTGCCCAGCAAGGAACCGAACTGAAATCGGAGCTGCTTAAGCGCCTCGACAGTCTACCAGCACGTCGAGAGCCTGTCTTCCGAGCTTCTGCCCCGAATACGCCGAACCAGTCCTACGGAAAGATGACCAGGATGATCGCGAACGTGGAGGCTTCGTTGATGCAAGTATTTGGGACCCCACCAGACAAAGAATGCCTCCATTGTCGGCGCTCCAACGGCATTTTCCATCAATGCATCCTTGTCCCGTGTAACTACCCACTGCGCCAACTGTCACTGGAACGGGAACTCGACAGGATGCAATTTCTCTGGGGGGACAGCACCCACTTCGGCAGTCGTTCATACCGACGACGCTTCGCTCCCAGACCCCACTAACGACAATCCGCCCCCGTATCCCGGCAACGACGATTCTGTGAACGTCGATCCCCCTACCTCCCAGGCGCCAACACCCATCCCTCGACCTCCCAGACCCCGGCCCCATCGGCCCCAGAGCAGCTGACGGCTTTACAACGTCAGCATGCTGACCAGGAGGCCCGTATGGAACTCTGGGGGCGACTTGCCGAACGCATGGAGCGGGTCATGAGAAGGCTGGAGCGACAGTCGAACCCAGATCGCCACCGCCGCGGACGCCGAGGCTAACGCAGGGAATTAAGAAGAACGACAAAGTTGTAGCTAGATTTCCGTTCATGGCATCATTATGATACGAGCATCTACGAATGGAGAGGGGTATTCTAGTCTGAGATGGCGGTAACGTAGGTCAATAATCCAGGCCTTTACTTTCATATCTCCTCGATACTCTCTCCTTTCTCTAATACACACTTGCTGTTCCACTTTCTTTACCTTTGTATTTCTAGTAGCATCTTATGTTATTGACGAGATGAAAGGAGCACCATCATAGGATGATTGATTTCAGGCCATATACTGATCCATAGAAGGCAAACCTGCTAGATAGAAATCAAGGAAAGACGGTCTCTCCTGTTCATCGTCTGCAAATTATCACTTTCTTCGACCCATGATGAAAGCGACGTGTTACCATGTGGTGTTGTCATTGCCAGGGACGGTTAACCTAAGAATGAATTTGTAGTATTTGGATCGTGAAATGGCGACCTATTCCACCCAGAGATTTTCACTACTCAAATCATTGTCGAACCCTTTCGAACCCTTTCCAAAGGAAAGTACACCGGGCTCCTCCCTGACCATTATGTTCGCCATCTTCACAGCTGCCCTTCTCTTGTCACTCCGCATTCTTTCGTTCTCTATCGAAATCTCCTTGAATCTCCTAATCATATTCGGACACGAGTGCCCTTATCTGCGGCAATTTAGAGCATTAAGCTTACTTCTAGAAAGGGCCCTGGGGCAGTACAGAGGGGTTTGATTAGTCTTCGGGGTAGTAGGTTAGAAACGAATGAACTGATCATCCATTTTACTATTTTATGCAGTTTTCTACTCGATTGATAGACATCCTTCTTACATAGTAGGTAGTATCGAGGGTAAATGAGTATTATTAGGGATCTTCCTTTCAGTACTATGAGTTGGAGAAAGGCTTACGTCTTTCGACACCTCTTTCGATAATTCTTTCTTTGTCAAGTGATGTATGTGCTCTCACGTAGAAATAATATAAATCCCACGATGGAGACAAACTTGGCGACTTGGTCCTTGCTTTTGGTCATTGTAAGGGTGAATATTGAGGTGAGAGGGAGACCGAATGGTAGGAGGCCGCTGCTGGGCGCTCCTAGAGCGTACTTATGACTCATCCATCGTTGCTCTAAGTTAACGTTAGTTAACTACAGTAGTTAACTAACGTAGTTCCTATACGAGCGGGCCACCCAAAAACACTATACTAAAGGCAAGATTCTTTCCCTGTGCTGAAATGTGCAAATGCACCTTTTGCCAGAGTGCCCTGTACCTTGGGCGGTCTTCGGGTGAAGAATATTCAGGTGGGTGAACTGCCGCTTGCTACGAGCCTGAAGCACGCCTGGGTAAGCGGCGAGTCGCCGGCACCAAAGTATGGGCGCTAGGTGAGGTCAGCCATACTTTTGGCTGTTGTATGTTTTTGATTTTGGTTGGCGCAGATGTATATATATTGCAATTGAATACCTATATCTCGGGGCTGAAAGTTCACCATTTAGCTTATGATGGCGCACCAGTGGTTGTCCAACTGGCGGGCCGCCGTCTGAAAGTCTCGTATAGAGCCCGGATACATGAGCCAGTCCAGAAAAGAGTGCGATACAAAATATAGGTAGTTGAAAATATTGGAGCATTATGCTTATGATCTAACCTCCGTAGATATCTATACACGAATTTGAGTTGGAGAGCTTCGTAAGTAGCTTTCCAATCAGCTCTATCCCAGATAATTTCAGCTCGGAATAATAGACTACGCCCCTCCATATCTAAAGCACTATAATCCCAAATGTTTTGCACACCTGGTACTATTGCTTATAGTATCATGAATTGAACCTCTCGTGACTTGGTCCACAGTGTTAAAAGAACTGCAAGTCTTTTCATTTGCGGCGGAATAGGGGAGCGGATCAGTTTTACAATCTTCCGTATTAGCTAGCCATTCAGACACACGAATGGTTCTGCCCGAACTCGATATTCCCAAGAGACCTTCCGTACAAATATCCGACGGCTATTTCTTCATTGGCTGTCTACATTATCCACATCACATGGCCTCAACATCATAAACTTTGGCATTGAGCGTTGGATTTTCCCATGAGGCTTGGCTTCGAGCAACTCTAATCCCCTTCCTGTGACCCTGGAAAATATGTCCCGACGGATCGCATCTTGCGGATCTCGACGGGAGCACCATGGATCCAATTGAGAGCTACAAAAGTAAGATCTCTCCCTACTGCAGATTCCCACCAACTCTTTGAGAAAGGATCATATGCACTTCCAGGCTCTTGGTTCTTTGCATCATAGCTTCTCTTTCCAATACTTAACTGTAATATTTCGGTATTGCAAACTTGGACAATCACTCAACTGCTCACCATATTCAGCTACCTTCATAAAGTGTTAGAGACTCCACCATGCCGGGCGCGGCATTAGTGGCAACGGCGGACACGTCGCGCATCGAAGCGCCAGTCACACTGAAGGCATACCTCATGTGTGCCTTTGCAGCATTTGGCGGCATCCTTTTCGGGTACGATTCCGGATACATCAGCAGCGTTATGGGAATGCGCTACTTCATCACTTTGTTCTCCAAGGATCAAAATGCCACTGCGATATCGTCATCACGAAAATCGTTGATTACATCTATCCTTTCCGCGGGTACTTTCTTTGGCGCTCTCGCTGCGAGCGATATGGCTGATTATTGTGGCCGACGGACTACGGTTATGATCGGATGCTTCATCTTCGCTGTCGGTGTCAGTCTTCAGACCGCTTCCACATACACCAATCTCCTCGTCGGTGGCCGTTTGGTTGCTGGACTCGGTGTTGGTTTTGTTTCAGCAATTATTATTCTCTATATGTCCGAAATTGCCCCCAGGAAGGTCCGAGGCAGCATCGTCGCAGGATATCAATTCTCCATTAATGTTGGTATATTGCTTGCTTCGTCTATCGATTATGCAACGCAGAACCTTGACAGTACGGCATCTTATCGTATTCCGATTGGAATACAGATGCTGTGGGCACTGATTCTCGGTGGCGGCCTGTTCTTCTTACCGGAGTCACCTCGTTTCTTCGTGAGGAAGGGAAAGCTCGACGAGGCCGCTCACGTTCTGTCCCGGGTTCGTGGACAACCCGTGGAATCGGAGTATATTCAGAATGAGCTTTCTGAAATTGTAGCAAACTACAAATATGAACTTGAAGTCGTTCCTCAGGGCAGTTATCTGGCCTCTTGGTTCAATTGTTTCAAAGGCGGGTTGTCAAATCCTGCTAGCAATTTACGTCGAACCATTCTTGGAACTTCACTACAGATGATGCAACAATTCACCGGTATCAACTTTATCTTCTATTTTGGGACGACATTTTTCCAGCAACTCGGTACTATTTCAAACCCCTTTTTCATCAGTTTGATTACTGCTCTTGTCAACGTCTGCGCTACCCCGATTTCGTTCTACACAGTAGAGCGTTTCGGCCGACGTCCGATCATGCTTGTTGGTGCGATCGGAATGGTCATTTGCCAGTTCATTGTTGCAATCACTGGTACTGTCGACGGCTCGAGCAAAGCCGCCGTTTCCTCCATGATTGCTTTCATATGTATTTATATATTCTTCTTTGGTTGCACTTGGGGACCAGGACCCTGGATTCTCGTGGGCGAAGTATTCAATCTTCCTATCCGTGCCCGAGGTATTGGTCTTTCCACAGCATCTAATTGGTTTTGGAATTGCGTAAGTGTTGGACCTTCTCATCTTGGGATACTCGCTCGCTAATTCTGTGATGTAGATTATTGCCGTCATAACTCCGTATCTGGTTGACGGGGACAAAGCCAACCTCGGAGCGAAGATCTTCTATCTCTGGGGCGGTCTCTGTATTACGTGTGTTGTGTATACCTATTATCTCGTTCCAGAGACAAAGGGATTGAGTTTAGAGCAGATCGATCGCATGTTCGAAGAAAGCACGCCCCGCACTTCCTCCAAATGGGTACCCCACAGCACTTTTAGTGCCGATATGGGTTTTGTGAAGCGAGAAGGATCTGTGAGTGAAGTGGAAGAAGTTAAGAATACGGAAGTGTGATTCAGTTAGTCTTCTGATGGGGAGTTACGAGTAAGCTTCTGTTGTCGTTGCTCTTGTAAGTCCATAGGCACAACTATATACATAATATTTCTTTGTCACACAGTGATACAGCTTCCCACAAAAGTCAAGAATCCATTGAACAACATCTTTTGCGGTTTTTGCTGCCACAATTGCTACATCTTCTTGGCAGCTGTACAACCTTATAGGCTGCTGCTTCTCAAGTGAGACACGCTCCGTCTCCTTTGCAGCTTTTTTGTTGGTTGAGCAGCGATTTTTTCTATTTGTACCATAACATCTCAGCTGACTGACATGATATAGGGTCGAGTAGCCCACTGACCAACACGTTTTAAGAGCCCCAGGTCCCTTATGCCGTAGGTGATCCCAAGTAAGACCATGGCTAACGTGATAAAAAACAATAATCTTGTGGATATAGCCTGCACAGCATAAGTAACTGGTGCCTTCATAAGCAGGCCTTTTTCCTTGACATGAAGATGAGATATGAAGAGTTTGAAATTTAGGCACACCACGAGCACACTTAAGGAGTGGTAGGAATGGATGGTTGATGAGAGGCGAGACCAAAAAGCGGCTAGACTTTCGTTTATAGAGAATAACTATATGTACAGCACTTGAGGAATCAAGCCTGTTGCTTAGCTTATTGCCCAGTTAAGTCTAAAGGTTAACAATTATCAGTAGGGTATAGTGTGAGGCTATGAAGACTCAGCTCTCAGCGAGGCTGTCGCCAAGAAAAATTGCGCATAGGCAAGCTGGATTATTTTACAAATGGAATGATCGATGACGATAGGATTGGAAAAATAGCTAATGAGTCTGCATGTTTTAATCTCAAGAATTTTGATCGCCGCTTTTATTTTCTCCTGATAGCCACCATCAAGGCCCTTAGCGCAGATGTTTTATTGGTTTGAACGAGGTTGAGGGTCGCCTCAATTCCGCTTTTATACTTATACCGGCGCTATTGACGTTTACCGCCCAGTGGTCACTGTAGCTGAGATATTACGGAGGAAGATAAATTAGCCTTCACATTAGTTTGTGTATGTTATATAACGGCCCTCAATTTGAAATGGCTGGATGCGTTCAGTGACCTTGGTAATAGGACTCGAGGAAAAAAAGGGAATTAGAGTTTGGAGGATATTTCGTTATCGTTAGTACTGTACCTGTAGTAAACATGGTCGGATTGGGATGATTGAGTTCCCCAATAAACTTCCCTACCCATTGGTTCTATGCTTCTTTATTTCCTCAATCTTTTCTCCTGTATTTTGTTGATGCGTGTCGACAAGAGAGCTATGTTAAGACGCCCCTTTCCCTACATGGGGTCTCTGACGGTCTTTTTCAATCTCAACCCATTACCTTGCGTCTCACCTTCCTGTTTGAACATAACTAGCCTAATATATAATGAGATAAATTCCTCCACACAGTATCTCATCAGTTGGCCCGATAAGCTGGGGAGCGTTGCCATGGCATGGGTTGAAGCCAGAATTCGTATTGATGATACCAATGATAGGCCGGGATAGGGCGTCTTCAGAATAGCCAAGTGCTTTTATGAATACTTTGCGGAGGAACAGGGAAAAATGTGCGTCCCTATAAGAGGTAAGACCTTGGCGAAGACCTGAGCTGGTATCCAGAGGGTGAGAGAGATCGTAGTCGTGCTTGACCACGTCGGGCTTGATGGGTGGCGCTATTTTGTTCAAAGTAGGCGCAAATCACCGCTTAGAATCATTCGAGATCATTGGACTTATTTAATAATTCCAGGGAAGAAGTTCATATGCTTGACGTTCGCTGGTAGGTAACAATAGGAAGGATCCTCAAGAAATGTCCTAATGGGTACAAATCCCAATAAACCTTCAGGGCCCTCAGACCCATCTGGGCCTGGAGGAAATAACCCTTTAATACTAAAGATAGACTTGATTTACACTAATCAAAAATCAAAAAATAATCTAAAAATAATAATCGATAATACATGCAGATTATTAAGAGAAAATAATTTTTTCTTCATTTTTATGCATACTAATTTTGACAAACCTACTCTTATGAAAAATATAGTTTCACAAAAGACAAATATCTGTGAATTACCAAGAGCTGGAGTATGTGCATCAGGTTTACGTCTATATTGCATTTTGAACTCATAACCTCTATTTCTAGAGTTTTCATTCTCAATACCAGATTCTACACCTTAATGCAGCTAATACAAAAGGTAATAAGAAATGTAATGCAAGAATCTGTTTAACGTTGCATTATTAGCAAACCAAAGCTCTATATCAGCTTTATCAACAAATAGAGTAGGTGATTGTTTATTAACTGTAGCGATAGAGAGGCGAACGGCTCCGTTGACGGAGCTGCTCCGCACGACGGAAGGCATCCGGAACTGGAGCAATGGCAGAAATACCTCACCATGACAGTATAAGTATATGTCCAACATATTATCTTAGCAAGTTTGTCACCACCAACTTCTACTACGTTTGCTCCCAACTATCTTTTCGATTATGTTCCGACTGGACGGAAAAGTTGCCCTAATTACCGGCCTCGGCCAAACCAGCAAGGATGGTTGGGGCATTGGCGCAGCAATCGCGATGAAGCTCGCGCAGCAAGGGGCGTCCATTTTCGGAGGAAATAGAACATTGGCTACCGCTGAAAGAACCAAAGCTCGGATCGAGGCTGAGGGGGGCATTTGCCATGTTCAACAAACCGATGCCACCGATATCGCATCCGTCGAGGCTCTGGTAAATGCCTGCCTCGAACGACACGGCCGCATTGACATCCTGATCAATAATGTTGGCAAGTCAGAACCAGGCTGTCCAGCTACCATGCAAGAAGATATCTGGGACCAACAGGTCGATCTGAATCTCAAGAGCGTCTATCTCACAACGCACTTTGTCCTCCCTATCATGGAGAAGCAAGAGACCGGTGGCGCAGTGATCAATGTCTCGAGTATTGCAGGGTTACGCGACATTGGAAAGCCCCAAGTCGCCTACTCAGCCACGAAGGCCGCCATGATGCAGTTCACCAAGGCAACTGCGGTTATCTATGCCGATCGACGGGTGAGATTGAATACTGTCGTTCCGGGTTTGATCTACACACCATATACTCGCGAACTCGCGAAGCGCTATGCCCCCGGGGGCGATGAAGCTGGCTATATGAAGATGCGAGACGACCAGGTGCCAATGAAGAGGATGGGAGATGCTTGGGATGTTGCCAATGCCACGCTGTTTCTCGCAGCGGACGAGTCGCGATATATCACCGGTCAGGAGCTGGTAGTAGATGGTGGGATCACATCCTCGACGGGGCGAGTGTAATCTCCACATCCCAATTTTAGAGGATCTCAAGTTGTGTTATTTGACCTGCCTTGTGTGTGATTTACTCGGGGTCTTAAATGGGGATATTTGAGCCCCAGAAACTAATTTCACCGAAGAGAAATATAAAATAATGTACCGGAAATTTGACTCTCAATGAATAAGATCCATGTTCTCAATTGTAGATCAGAGAAGCGTCAGATACATGCCCTAGCCTATCATATTATTGATCTTGGAAGCAAGTGATGCGTGAATTACTTCGATTGAAACGTTTCATTTGATTGATAACTCATCTTCACCTGACGATTTTCGGAATACTTTTGACGCTTTATATAGTCAACTTCAAATTTCTAGATCAGCATTATAGATAATTTACTGGAATATTTGATGTCGCTTCCATCGTAACTCTGAATCGAGGAGAGGGGCCAAAGATCAGTTTCATTGGCTACGCTAATGGATGAGACACATTTCATTGGTTTGGAGTGGCGACTTTGACGCGAGAGCTGTCTTCGGAATCCGTTCACGGGAATTGTGTCGGATGGCTCCCGCCTCCCGTCTGGCAGCAAGTATATTGCCGACTGTGAGAGCAAAGGACGCAGCCTCCTACCGCGCCCTAAACAAAACCATATTCCAATCGATCTTCTATTGGCCCTTCTACTCTCACTACTTCTGAAATTCAACACTGTACCTGAAATTTGCCGACGCTCGCGTGCCCAAGATGACTTTGGTCCATATTGGTAAGTTCTTTCACCAAGGCATTCATGTAACATTCCTCATTCTCATAATTCGACAGTTCTCTTCAAGTTTCGGCATGAAATTACCGAGGAGCATAAACGCAAATTCGTCACAGAGCTTAAAACGTTGAAGAACTTGTCTTGTGTGAAAGGAGGACGGCTGCTGGTCGGAGGGCCTAGCGTCACCCACCCCATTGAGCGCAGCAAAGGATTCCAGATCTCTCTAGTTAGCTTCCATGAAAATCTAGAAGCTTTGTCGGAATACCAGGCGATGTCTCTCGTTTTCAACAACTCCTCTCCGGCGCTTCCCGTCTGGGGCGGTAGATCTAAGCTCACGGGGGTATCTCCGATCGCGTATGGTGCGGCGATTCATCCTCGACCCGGCTCGTGCCCTTAAGGGTGTAATGCTACCTATAGGAGGTCCTAAGGATTTTGCGTTCTCCATTATGATGGACGTGTTTCTAGTGTGCTGTCCGGGTCTGCTTTTGCGGACCATGTGACGTACCCCTATGACCCAACTAAGCCGGCAGTTGTCGGCCATTTTCTGGTTGCAATCAAGCCCGAGCTCTTCATGGGCCTGGAGGAGTTCAAGTCGCGTATGGACTATTTGTACCAGCGGGTAGTGGGATGCGACAAGATGGAAGGTGTAGACCGCATCTACTATCCTGGAGAAATCGAGTAGATCGCTCGGGATACACGATTAACAGATAGTATTCCGTTCACCCAGGCAGAGATAGATGCGTTGGATGAGGAGGCAAAGACGATGAGAGCGGAGATATTGAAGTTGGATTGAATTACTAAAGGGTCTGATAAAAGCATTTATCTGATTTGAAACCAACTTTACTTTCCGCTGTTTGAAAAAGGCTTTGGATTTCTTGCGTGAAGAAACAGTCAAGATCCTGATTTTCAACCATCACGGAATTATTCAAACTGGCAACACGGAATAGGTTCTTTTACCGATGTGGGCACGTTTGACGACGATGGTGCAATGACGGTACATATCCGAAGGGACGGGAGGGCTCCGCTTCTTTACAATTCAGTGAAAGACCCAAAAACGAACTCGCCATATGATTTCAAGAACTTCATAAAAGCCAAATAGTCTGCTGCCCATATTCCTGAGCATGCCAAAAACTGTCTATGATCAATCTACTTGACGCTAGGTAAGCTTTTTATTCTCTCTCTGTTGCTGTTAACTATCAACTAATATGCTTTCTGAGAAGCCCGTGATCTCATTTCCCTCCTTGTCACATTTCTCATCAACCGAAGTTCGACACCATTCTGCCAGATATGGAAAACACGATTTCTCATTTTTGTGCCGTTTGGGACCGCCAACGAAAAAAATAGTCCTATTTATGCTTTGCTTCTTGATGGCATTGACATTTTTACTATGCTGGGCACGGAGTCGTACGTGCCACGCTACCTGTACAGTTGCTTTATGTCAACTCAAAAAATACTGTTCATGGAACACTGTCTGCATGCGTAGTGGATTGGGCGGCAGGAATAACAATCGCATCTACAGGTCTCGATGTCACAGGTGTCAGTACTGATTTGTCAGTATCGTATCTCTCAAAGGCTCAATTGGGAGATATTCTGGAGATTGAGGGAAAGATTTTGAAAATTGGAAAGACGTTAGCGTTCACTACGATAACTATTGGGGAACGAATGGTTGGAAGAACAGTGGATATAGTGCACGGTTCGCATACAAAACTCATCAGATGTCGATACATCGGGGAAAGTCTTAGGTCGGAGACGGGCAATCTTCAATATCTCTCTCTGTCATTAGGACATTATGAATCCCATTATGAATCCAGAAGAAACATTGAGAACATAGTATTATTGAATAGATCCCACGTGTTCCAGTAATAGATACAATGACAGGTCAACAATCCGAATCCACAATTATCCGAGTTCTGGTTCCTTCTCCTTCCTCTCTTTGAAAAGGTCTTTCTGCATGTCTCGAAGATGGTCTTTTTAGCTAGTTCAGGCATCGTTTTTCGTCTTATCATTCAACATATGCCTTGAGAACACCCTTGTACTCATAGTCTAATTCAAAGATACTTGATGATGTTGAGGCTTTCAACTATTTGCCCCTATCACATGTGTAAAGTCAATCTAGAGTGGATCAACTCGAGATCAGCTAGATCAAAAAAGCAAACAAAGATGGCAAATCAAATCAAATGTGGATTTATGACTGCCTGCAAATTCTTCCAGCCCGGTAGGGATAATCATAGTAACAAAAGAGAAATAGCACTGCACCCGGCAGTAAAAGCACTTTAGAAGATCCCTCAAGAATCCCCAAAGGGGGGCGGAGTCTCCGTCGGCGTCATCGGCTCCCCATCCCTCTGCTTCTTCAACACATTTTCCAACTCCCGAACCCGCTTTCGCAGCTGCTCATTTTCCCGCTTGATCTGCTCCAACTCCGACTTGTGCAAAACAGCTTCTTCGTACCGTGAGAGGGGATTGCTTGACAATCCCAGGTGGGTCTGGGAGACTGAGTTGCGGTGGGGATAGATGGATGGACTTCCGTATTGGGTGAATTGGTCGCCGTGGGAATATTGCGGGTGGGAGGGGATAGACCCGATCGACGGGCGGCGTGATGTGAGAGACGGCTCTCGGCTTCGAACTGTGCGAGGGTGAGAGGTGTCGTTCGACCGGGAAGGTATGCTTGTCTCGCGAGAGGGGGCAATGCCCGTCACGCTGGCAGCTTGCGAGCTTTGGGCCGCCGTGTGAGAGCTCAGGCTGGAGGATGACCGCTGACGTCGGGAGGAGTGGGTGTGTGTGGAGCTGCCCAACGACGGGGATGTATGGAACCCATCGATAGGATCGTTCATGGTCGATGTGGAGGAGGCTGTCGATGCCACGGAGGCTGTCTGTTGGCGGAGGAGAGAGAGCTCCCGAGTCAATCGATTCACCTGGAAATAGTCCAGCGTAAGCATCGTCGGTTGAACAATGAAAGGGTCATATGTGGTTCGGACTGACCATTGCTTCCTGCTCCTTCTCTAGAACCAAATGTAAGTCCGACGGGGTGATGGGCTTGGGATGACGCAACGGTCCTACTTGGGTCAGTTTCGTGATATGTACAACACAAGTCTCTGGACATGGCTTACCCTGCGCCGTACTGTTGATATCATGGTCATTCATCCCCAAAGGCGGACTCCCCTGGTACAAGACAGGACTTCTATGAGCCTGACCCGAGCCTTGGGAGTGTCGAGGAATAGAGGAAGGAGGGCCCATCACAGGTATACTGGTGGTAGCGGCGCGAGGCCGATGGGTGCTTTCAGTAGCCATGAGGTCGGGGAACAAGGCTGAAAAGAAAGAAGAAGAAGAATGGTATATCAACAGACGAGCTCCTCTGAACCCGCAGAAGGCATGCGAACCCCAAAAAAATTCAGGACCGCGGCCGAGCTATTAAGTGCTTTTTTTGCCTGGTTGTCGGGCAGCGATGAGGTGTGGCTGAACCAAAACACTGCCCCTTGATCGGAATGCCATGAAACATTCCAAGAGGGGATTTCGGGGTGCAGGTGAGCTCATCTGACGCAGGAGGGTCGATACGGAGGAAAGGGGAAGGAGGAAGGAAGGAGAAGACCGGAGAGCAAAGAGAGAGGGGGGGGGGAGGATGAGCGACACAGTAGATCCCTTCTGATAGGCAAAGATACTATCGGTACACAACCACTCAGAGCGCAGCGGACAGACGGATAGAGTAATATGAACGGGCAGTGGTTACTATGTCCCGTTGTTTTTGTTGCCGTGCTGCGTTTGTTCTCATTGACGATTATCATTGGACCGTGCGTGTCCTTAAGATGTACATATGCATAAGTAGTATGCGGCATTAAGGTCTCGACATTCTCCCGTAGTGTTGGGAGCTGGATGATCACCAGATCGTCTTACAGCCATTTCACCGTTAGGCGTATTCAGCTAGGTTACGATAATTTATCTACTGTACAGAGTATTTACAGACTAACTACTATGCATACACAGACACGAGTATGGGGGTAGCTGGCTTAGAAAACTGACAAATAAAGAGGTACATACTTGAAGGTAGCTAGTGCTCGGACCTCTGAAGAGTGCAATAGTATTCGCAGTCATAATGGCTTGGCTATTACAGTACTTACTCTAGTTCGACATAACATGATAGTTAAATACATGGTTACATACCATGGATGGTCCAGAATACATAGTTCCAATGATTCGGGTATTTGTTATAGTGGTAAGTCATACATATTATCAGGTAGACTAGTATATGATCTATCTGATGATTATCAAGACCAGCGTCAATAATGATATCAACATGAAATAACTGGCATCTCCTCACAGCTCCAGAAACAACAAAAACAAGAACAAAACAATAAGCTCCACTCGGCGGGACGTTGATCGGCAGGTTACATAATCGCGCCCGAAACAGCAAAACATCAACGTTGAACTTCGCGGGGAAACCAAAAAGAACTTCAGGAGCACTCTAGCACCCTTCTCTCGACGGTCCGCGGGGCCAACGGGGAGCATCTTGAATCCCTGACCTCATTCCAATTCTCCCTCCTCCATCCCCGCCAATAATATACACCATGGCCCAGTCCAACGAACCCTCTACCCACATTCCGCCTTTCGCAAAACAGCTCGCTCCTTACGTCAAGCCCCGTCAGGAAGCTCTCCGCATCCGCCAGGCATTGACGTCGTACCTGCGCTCCTTTATCGTGTTCGCCGATGAAACCGACCCCTCGAGTTACAACCAGTCTCACCTGGCCCTATGCGCACCCACCGCGACCGATGTCAAGCGCATCCCTGCCGATCTCCCGGGCCTCCGAAAGGAATACTTGAAGGCACTGCAGGCTAATGTCGCCGCCCGGAAGGACTACCGCGCAGTGTCTGAGGACATCGTGGCCCTACGACGTCAGAAACGTCAGCGGGCGCCTAAGAGCCGCCCTGTCGAGACGGTCGATCCGCAGGAACCCGGAGATCTGCAAGAATATCTTCAGCTCCTACGTGATCGGCGGCGGCATACCAAGCTTCAGGTGTTTCAGCACTACCTAGAAGAGTTGAAAGCGAAAGAAGCGGATAGATTGGGAGATATAGATACCAGGGAAAGTTCGAGTCAACAACAACAACAGCAAGTTCTGCACCAAACAGAGGGAGTCAATGCACCTATGTCAAATCGCAATGGCGGCGGCGCGGATTTAGAGGACCTGGTACACAAACTTGAAAGGGCGGTTGTGCGTGCTCGAACTCGACTGGACCAGGAGAGACGTTTATTCGAGAAAGTCAAGGTACAGCAGGCCTCGAGGAATGAGGCGTCTTCAGACGAGGTCCCTCTGAAAATACGAGCATTGCAACGGACACGCGATGAGCTAGTACAATGGGTTGAGGAACGACTAGTCACTGAAGGTGATCCGGATGAAAGTCTCATCCAAGACCTCGATCCCGAGGAAATCGAAGATGCTCAGCGACTGCTAGAGTACCAGAAGGTACAAATCAGCGAGCAATATGCTCTATATCTCCAAGCGCGGCGAGATCTCCTCGACGCGGCCTCTCGTGCTTGTCAGCCTGTGGCCGTGACCGCACCCTCGAAACTTCCCACTCGACCAACCTATAAACCCGAGCTTTTCTCAGAAGAAATCCCAGCGCCAGACCCACTAGACGTTCTATCCTACACCAACGAAACCCTCCTACCACTGTCTAAAAGCCAAAAGGCCCTCGCCCTCCAGAAATCCTACCTCACCGGACTCCTCGCCAAAGAAAAATCCACTACTCTGCGCGCGCTCCACCGTCTATCTGACGAAAGCCACCTCCTCCCCGAATACCCCATCCTCGCCCGACAACCACGCTTCAAGCACGCCGTTGCAGCCCTCAACCCCCGCCATTCCCCCCAGTCCACCGACCAGCCCGACAAAGTAGTCGATCTGGCCGAAGCATGGGCGTTTGCCTCTGACGCCGCGGCAGCCAATGAGCGAGACTATGTACAGCAAAAGGTCATGCTGGGGATGGAGGTTGCGCAGGATGCGCGGAAGTTGCTGGATGATGTTTATGGAACTCTCAATCAGGATCTGGGTGGTGCTGAGGGGGATCCAGATGTGTCTGATATCTGGGCCTCTGAGGCTCGGTCAACGCGTAAGGCTGGGATGGGCTTGTCGGGCGGGTCTCGATTGGAGAAACGGCCGAAGGGTCCTTGGTCTGGCTTGAATGGGCGTGTTGGAGTTGAGTGAGCGTGAAAGAGGTTGGGCTGTGGATGTTACCGCCGGCTTTGTATAACGTTTTCCATGACAGGATACAGGACTTGAAACAGCAGAATTGAACTAATCCAATGTGACATCAATGACCGCAATGTCTAGTGAGAATTACTTCCATAAAATATCCGATCTAAAATTATGTTCCTGGGGCCACCGAATATATATTGCGGTGGGTCGCGTACTTTACATGCCCCAGATAGGACAAGATATCTATCTACAGGCAACCAGTCTCTAGGTTCATTCATTCTGTACTGACAGCTTGGAAGTGCCTCAAGCTAGATCACTTGCACCCAAAGCCCCTGGCCCAGCAAAGACTGAAAAGTGGTCCCTATCTCACCAGGGTCTAGTCCGAGTCTTGGTTATCGTCAGAGAAAAAAAAAAAAAAAAAAAACGCCAATGACGTAGGGCACCAAGAGATCACGGCAGCCAGTGCACAGCATTGGTAGCGGGGCCGGGCCGGTAGTGGGCGATCGAGGGTGTCAACAACCATATACGATGGTCGGTGTCAATGATAATGTTAGCGTGGTACTTTCACCCCTTCTTCATGACTAATACCCTCTCCAACCGCCTTCCGAATAGGGATTAGGGCAATACCATATGTTTCAAACCCTTCCACCTAGCCACCTAGCCACCTACCTTCCTACCTACCTACCTACCATGGAGACTAATCACGAAAGATCCGATCATACCCCCCAGGCCCCCCAGGCCCCTCATACCCCTAGCCATAAAGCTAGTCGTGATCAGCGCATCGCAGCGCGTACACTGCGCGCTCAGGGGCTTACCTATAGCCAAATTGCATCAAAACTGGGCATTACCCAGCGTCAGGTCCAAAAGGCTTGCACTGATGAGAGGCCTACACCACGTAAGGCCCCTGGCCGAGGTCGAAAGCTATCAGAAGAACAGCTTGATGAGATAATCGAGTTTATCTCATCTTCGAAAGAGACACGACGGATGCCGTACTCTAGGGTTATAGAAGAACTACAACTCCCTATTAGTTCTGTCACCTTACGAAGGGCCTTAGCTAGACGTGGATATCATCGATGTAAGGCCCTTCGAAAGCCTCCTTTGTCCGACCGTACACGAGCACTGCGTCTAATCTGGGCGCTAGAGCACGTTAATTAGACGCGTGAGCAGTGGGAAAAGATATTATGGACTGATGAGACCTGGGTTACATCGGTCTATCATCGACGGATCTATGTTACGCGTCGGGCTGGTGAGGAATTTGATGATACTTGTATACGAGAGCGAATTTCTCGTGCACCTGGCTGGATGTTTTGGGGCTCATTCTATAATAATAAGAAAGGCCCTTGTCTATTTTGGGAGAAGGAATGGGGCACTATTACTGCTGCTCGATATACAGAGCGAATTGTGCCTCTTATCGACGGTATGGTTTCGCTGGCTCGCAATCATTTAGATCAACATCTAATTGTAATGCAAGACGGCGCACCATCTCATCGAAATCTCTTAACTATTGAGGAGCTTCACGATCGTGGGATATACCCTATCGACTGGCCACCGTATTCGCCAGATCTTAATCCAATTGAGAAGGTTTGGGATTGGATAAAAGATTGGATCGGTGATCGATATTTGAAAGACTATGATCGTAAGCTATCTTATGATCAGCTACGCGAGGCTGTGCGAGCTGCTTGGGATGCGATTCCTACAAGCTTTTTAGACCAGCAGATTGATCTGATGCAGAAGCGCTGCCAGGCTGTTATCGACGCGCAGGGGGGTCATACACCTTACTAGGCGGTAATATATTGTATTATAGTGGTTTAATTACGTGAAGTCGTAATAAAAGGGTGGCAGAATATTAGTCATGAAGTAGGGGTGGAAGTACCACGCTAACATTATCATTGACACCGACCATCGTAATTTATCTGTTCAAGAGATGGAACACTAAAAAGATTCAATAATTTTCTCGTAAGGGAAAATGTGGCCAGTGCAAGCGAGCGTCGATCCCCAGTGGATAAGCCGACGATAACGAGGGCGTCTCCAGTGCGACCGTCCGGCATCGGCATCAGGGCGCACTTTTAGTGTCCACTGGGCAAAACCTTGCATATTATTCAAAAGGCTGGGGGGATCTGGAGGATTCGTTGAATAGCAATTGAACATATTTGTATACAATTAACAAGATTCGAGATCAATTGAGTCTGTATACCATAACTACAGACTATATATACCCCCATTGCTAGCAGCCGTATCCTGCAAGTTGAACTATGTATACTCCGTACAGCCAACGGCACTGGTATGCCCCAGTTTATCCACTGGTTCCTTTTTTGGGGCCCTTTTGGGATTTCGATAGTCCACGGGCCAGTTAGGAGTGACTCATCCTCAACGATCGAGCACCAAAAAATAGAACAATTCGAGTCACAAATTGAATTCAATTCTTGCCAATCATACTATTTTCTTCTATTCTCCAATTCTCTTCTTCTTCAGCCTCAATTGCTTCCTTACTTGCTCGTGTGCTACATCCCACCTCATCTTCTTTTTGGCTGGTTCTTCAAAAAAAGTGGAACCGGTTGACGGTGAAGGGGAACAGCCAATTAGCGACTCGGTGGGGGAAAAAAAGACCTCCGACAAGTCGGGGCACTACTAACTCAACCTTCTACACAAACGACTTCCCCAGCAATTGAACCTATCCCAGATTCGCTTGAGCGGCGCTATGGTTCTTGCTGCGCGTTGTGGGCAGGCGGCGACGCTGCTGCGCCAGCGATGTCTCGCTGAGGCTCGTCCTGCTCTTTCTCTCCGCTCCTTCACCTCCAATGCCTCCATTCGCTCATCGGCCGCGGCCCTGCGCCTGCAGAAGCTTCCCTCCGCTGGTCGCTCGCAGCAGCTGCGCGCCTTCTCCAGCACCATCAACCGTTTGGCTGCTGCTCAGAGTGCTCCTTCGTCCGAGTCGTACCTCGCTAGCGGCGTTGTGAAGCCTGGCCGCAACCTGGTGGATGTTAAGAAGGTCCTGGTCATTGGTTCCGGTGGTCTGAGCATTGGACAGGCTGGAGAGTTTGATTATTCCGGTACGTTTGGAACATGTTGAGAGAATAGAGATTTCTGGAATTGCTGCTATTGAGCTCGCGGACTGAACTTCCTCGTACCCCCCCCCCCCCTGGATGATGACTCGAACGCTTCAGTAGAGCTCTTCCGCGGGAAATGCAAAGCTACACCCTACCTACCCACATAGTTTCTCGATGGGAAAATTCAGATCAACTGACAATTGGCTCTTTTGACATACAGGCTCCCAGGCCCTGAAGGCTCTGAAGGAGGCTGGCGTTCAGTCCGTCCTTATCAACCCTAACATCGCGACCATCCAGACCGACCACAAGCTGGCCGACGAGGTCTACTATCTCCCCGTCACCCCCGAATATGTCACCCACGTTATTGAGCGTGAGCGCCCCGACGGCATCTTCCTGACCTTCGGTGGTCAGACCGCTCTCAACCTGGGTGTGCAGATGAACCGCATGGGTATCTTCGAGCGCTACGGTGTTAAGGTTCTGGGAACCAGCATCAAGACTCTGGAGACCAGTGAGGACCGTGACCTGTTCTCCCAGGCCCTCAACGAGATCAACATTCCCATTGCCGAGTCCATTGCCGTCGGTACTGTCGACGATGCTCTGAAGGCCGCCGAGGAGGTCGGTTACCCCATCATTGTCCGCTCCGCCTATGCCCTTGGTGGTCTCGGTTCCGGCTTCGCTGCCAACCCCGATGAGCTCCGTGATCTGTCTTCGCGCTCTCTCTCTCTTGCTCCCCAGATTCTCGTTGAGAAGTCCCTCAAGGGCTGGAAGGAGGTCGAGTACGAGGTTGTTCGTGATGCTGACAACAACTGTATCACTGTTTGCAACATGGAGAACTTCGACCCTCTGGGTATCCACACTGGTGACAGTATCGTTGTCGCTCCCTCCCAGACTCTGTCTGACGAGGAGTACCACATGCTCCGTACCGCTGCCATTAAGATCGTCCGTCACTTGGGTGTCGTTGGCGAGTGTAATGTTCAGTACTCTCTCCAGCCTGATGGCCTTGACTACCGTGTCATTGAGGTGAACGCTCGTCTCTCGCGTTCGTCTGCTCTGGCTTCCAAGGCTACCGGCTACCCTCTTGCCTATACCGCTGCTAAGATTGGTCTCGGACACACTCTGCCCGAGCTCCCCAACGCCGTTACCAAGACCACCACTGCCAACTTCGAGCCCTCTCTGGACTACATTGTCACCAAGATCCCCCGTTGGGATCTGAGCAAGTTCCAGCACGTGAACCGCGACATCGGCAGTGCCATGAAGTCGGTCGGTGAGGTCATGGCTATTGGCCGTACCTTCGAGGAGTCGCTCCAGAAGGCTATCCGCCAGGTTGACCCCAAGTACCTTGGTCTGCAGGGTGACCACTTCGAGGACCTCGATGATGTCCTGGCGAACCCTACTGACCGCCGTTGGTTGGCTGTTGGTCAGGCTATGCTCCACGAGGGTTACACCGTCGATCGTGTTCACGAGCTGAGCAAGATCGATAAGTGGTTCCTGTACAAGATCCAGAACATTGTTGACTGCAACAACGAGCTGAAGGAGATTGGCAGCCTGTTCGGCATCACTGCCGAGACTATGCTGAAGGCCAAGAAGCTCGGTTTCTCCGATAAGCAGATCTCTCTGCTTGTTGGTGCTTCCGAGGATGACGTTCGCGCCCGCCGTAAGTCCTTCGGTATTACCCCCTGGGTCAAGAAGATCGATACCCTGGCTGCCGAGTTCCCTGCCGACACCAACTACCTGTACACTACCTACAACGCCAGCTCGCACGATGTCACCTTCGATGACCACGGCACTCTGATCCTTGGTAGCGGTGTGTACCGTATTGGTAGCTCCGTCGAGTTCGATTGGTGCGCCGTCAACGCTACTCTCTCCCTGCGCAAGATGGGCAAGAAGACTGTCATGATCAACTACAACCCGGAGACTTACTCCACTGACTTCGATACCGCTGACAAGCTCTACTTCGAGGAGCTGAGCTACGAGCGTGTCATGGATATCTACGAGCTCGAGAGCGCTAGCGGTGTTGTTGTCTCTGTCGGTGGCCAGCTGCCCCAGAACATTGCTCTGCGTCTCCAGGAGACCGGTGGTGCCAAGATTCTGGGTACCGACCCCCAGGACATTGACAAGGCAGAGGACCGTCACAAGTTCTCTCAGATCCTGGACAGCATTGGTGTTGACCAGCCTGCTTGGAAGGAGCTCACCTCCGTTGCCGATGCTGAGAAGTTCGCCGAGTCCGTTGGCTACCCCGTCCTGGTCCGCCCCTCTTACGTCCTGTCCGGTGCCGCCATGAACGTCATCTACAGTGTTGACGAGCTCAAGGAGAAGCTCCTCAACGCCAGCGCCGTTTCCCCTGACCACCCCGTCGTTATCACCAAGTTCATCGAGGGTGCTGAGGAGATTGACGTTGACGCTGTCGCTTCCAACGGTAAGCTCCTGGTCCACGCTGTCAGTGAGCACGTTGAGCCTGCTGGTGTCCACTCTGGTGATGCTACCCTGGTTCTCCCCCGGCCAACCTGGACGAGTCCATCATGAACCGCGTCAAGGACATTGCCGAGAAGGTTGCCAAGGCCTGGAACATCACCGGTCCCTTCAACATGCAGATCATCAAGGCCGATCAGGAGGGTGCTGAGCCTCAGCTCAAGGTCATCGAGTGCAACCTGCGTGCTTCTCGTTCCTTCCCCTTCGTCAGCAAGGTCCTGGGTACCAACTTCATCGACGTCGCCACCAAGGCGCTCGTCGGCCGTGATGTCCCCGAGCCCGTTGACCTGATGAAGGTGAAGCGTGACTACCTCGCCACCAAGGTTCCCCAGTTCTCCTGGACCCGTCTGGCTGGTGCCGACCCCTTCCTGGGCGTCGAGATGGCCAGTACCGGTGAGATTGCCTGCTTCGGTAAGGACCTGGTCGAGGCCTACTGGACCTCCCTCCAGTCCACCATGAACTTCCGTGTGCCCGAGTCTGGTGAGGGTATCCTCCTCGGTGGTGATGTCACCCAGCCTTACCTGTCCACCATCGTCAACTACCTGAACCCTCTCGGCTACAAGTTCTACGCAGCCAACCCTGAGGTCAAGGCTCACCTTGAGTCTACCTGCAAGGACAACGTCTCCGTCACCGTCATTGAGTTCCCCAAGAAGAACAAGCGTGCTCTCCGTGAGGTTTTCCAGAAGTACGACATCCGTGGTGTCTTCAACCTGGCCAAGACCCGTGGTAAGACCCAGCTGGATGAGGACTACGTCATGCGCCGCAACGCTGTCGACTTCAGCGTTCCTCTGTTCATGGAGCCCAAGGTATGTTTTACTTCTTTTATTGCCCTTCTATTGACTCAAATATGCTAACTCAAATCTCCCACAGACTGCTACTCTCTTCGCTCAGTGCATGCACGAGAAGCTCCCCCGCGCCGAGGGTATCCCCTCCGAGGTTCGCACCTGGTCCGACTTCGTTGGTGGCAAGGAGGCGCTGTAAATGAATAAATTAACACCCCTTGCACAAAAAGCCGAAAAGCCCCTTCTAACCCGTCGCGCACCCATCGACGGGCCTGCCTCGCCGGCTATAAAATCTCACCGGGCTCTCTTCCACTCCTCTACCGAGGATTGACCCGCCCTTTCTCTGGACGGCGTAGTGGGTAAGGCATCTTGTTGATAGATGGCGTGCATTTCTTGAAGTTTTTTTCTACCTATCCGGGTTCCAGCTGTTTTTTTTACTCTTTTTTTTAACTCTCTGTCTGGCTTTCCCTTACGGCGGAACAAGGTGGGAACACAGAGTCTTCTTCAGTTGCTCTGTTGTGATGGTGATGGTCATAAATGTATCTGCCTGACAAGGATTGGGTCTGTTTGTCTTTGTTTACTATTTATCTGTCTTGGGTTCTTTTGATAGTAGTCGATTTCGATTTTGGTTATCTGTGTTTCAGCGACAAAAGAAATATTGTTCCTTCTTTATATCTCTGCTCTACAATGGTACTTGTATCCACAACTGGGTATTCTTCGTAAACATCCGGATCTTACAATTCGCCTTATTCCAACCAGCTTCTTGTCTCTTTTCGTTCATATCTTGTGCACAAGACTCGTTAGGCGCGTTATAAATTAGAATGGACTGCAAGCCCCACCAAATCCCGATGACTAAGCCCATCAATCAAGTCCATCTCTCGCATCAAAACGGAATCATTTATTCAACAAAAACACCACAAAATGTCCTCCCAAAGTCACCTACCCTCGGTGACGACCAAGACCGTCCCTGGTCCTGCCCCAAATGGCATGGGCAATGGCCTCTTCGCCACCACCGACATCAAGGTTGGAGAGGATGTTGTGCATGCGAAAGTGCCGTTTGTGGCGGTTCTTGACAAGCCGCGCCTGGATGATACATGCTCCGCTTGCTTTGGGAAGAGGCAGATGGAGACTGGGACTGAGTTGAAGGCTTGTACTGGATGTCGAATTGTCAAGTATTGTGATCGGGTGAGTTTTAGTTCTAGTTGTCTTTGGAGGTCGGGTTTTCTATTGTTGGATTGGTTGATTGGGATGCCAGTCTAATCTATCCTTTGCTGTTTTGTTGTCCTTGGTGTTTGGCGCACGTCCTCTTCGCGAAAATGTGAATCTTTTTTTACTGACTTCTAAACAGACTTGTCAAGCTAAAGATTGGAAATTTGCTCATTCTTTGGAATGCTCTGTCTTCCAGAAGCTCAAGCCCCAGGTGTTGCCCAATAATGCACGGGCTCTCCTACGGATGGTTCTCCGCACCTGGAAGGGGAAATATACTACCCAGGAGCTTGGAGTCTTTACCAATCTTGAGACGCATATTCAAGATATTCAGGAGAGCCAAGCTCATCTGGACCGGCTCAATCTCACGTCCAAGGCTGTCAAAAGTTACTCGGAAACGAATATGACCCAGGAAGCCATCATGGCCTATGCGGCGAGAGTATGTGTCCCGTTGGATGCTTCCAGGGGTTTTACACTTAATATTCGAAACTAACATGCTCATTTAGTTGGATATTAACTCGTTCAATCTTACTACGGCCATGTATGACCGCATCGGACTCTACTTGCATCCTTATGCCGCTCTGATCAACCACAGCTGTGACTACAACGCCACAGTTGGGTTCGACGGAGAAGAGCTTTTCGTCAAGGCCATTCGACCCATCAAAAAGGATGAGCAAATCTTCATCTCCTACATCGACACCACAACCCCGAACGAAGTCCGCCGCAAGGAACTGTCCGAACGATTCTTCTTCGACTGCAAGTGCACAAAATGTACCAAAGGCACCGACACCCCCGAAGACAAATTCACCACAACCCCCAAGGACCCATCCACCCTCGAAACTGCAGAAAAACAAGCCCTAGAACTCCTACAAGAAGTAACAAAATCCGACCTAAACCCCGAGGAAGAAATCAAAAAAATGGAATCCGCCATGCAGATCCTCAAACAAACATCCAATTGGCCCTTAACTCGCCAACCCTACCCAGCCCTACGAGACCAACTCATTCTCTCCCTCCTCTCCATCAACAATTTCAGCAAAGCTTTCCTCCACACCGCAATCCGATATCTCCGCATCGACCCCGTCCTTTTCAGTCCCGCCCATCCGATCCGGCAACTCCACGCTTGGGTCCTAGCTAAACTGGCTATCTATCTCTCGCAGGAGGGATTTGAGAGTAATTCCAAGGAAGCTTCGTTGATACAGCAATCAGAACTGAATTTCCACTACGTTCTGTGGTATATTCTTGCTGACCTTGCTAGTCGCCAGGGGGAGAGTTGTACGGTTCCTAGTTTTAAGAGACTTGTGGGAGCTAATTTTGCCCAAGTTCATAATGAATTTAAAGCGAATGGGATGGATCCTAGTACGTCTAAGGCTGTTGTTAGTGCGGAGTGGAAAAAGTTGGAGAGATTGGTTCAGGTAGCACTGGATCAAGAATAGTGAATGATACTATGTTTTTTCTTTTCTGGTGATGATACTTTGAGGCGGCGAGTCGTTGCCTATAAGTTCTGGTGACAACTTGGTGGCTCTAGAATCGGGATGTTTGCTCCTCATTTACCACGCAGTTTCGACTGATACCTGAAAATTAGAGAAGTCAACGGTGATGGCACTGGAATATGCTAGTTTGCACTTGGGATGAAAGGTCCTCGATACGCAACGAGCCATATTCTATCCTGTTGACTTCCATGATAACCTATCGAAGCCTTGGTAGCTACGTTGCCTGTTGCCTTGAAAACACCTTCTAAATATTTAAGCTACTTTAATCTCTCTCAAATTGGCCTTCTTCCTCTCCTCCAACACCATCATACATTCATCCAAGCATATGACATATGTGTCTCAAAGTAAGACCATCATACCAAAGCACCAATGACACTCAATGAAATAACCCTGAGCACAGAACTCGTTCCACCCACGCAAGTCTCTCCATTAATTCATTCGCACATTGCAAAACGCCTACACAAGATGTCCAAGCTCGCTGGCGACCTGCGTCTTAAGACCGACAATACCGAGGCCATGGACGTCTTCAACGCTGACATGCGGTGGCCCCTAACCAAGGCGAATAGCCCCCCACTCTGGCAGCGGCGTGGGCACTCCCATATGTGCCTAATTTTCATCCCCGATGAGTGCCCGAAGGAAGTTTACGGCCAGATGCAGCTGAAACATCATGTCCCTCATCGCTCTTGATATTTGCTTTCTACATCTGCTGTTTCTAACGATTTGCATAATAACAGGTGTCATTCAACAGGGATTTCTATCCCTACATCCACTGCAGAGACTGCAAATGCGGCGCAAGGTCAGGCTGGGAAAGATGCCACTGTGAAGAATGCGTATTTGACTATATGGTGAAGCGGTGGTACCCCGATCCTGAATCACCCCCAGTCTCGTTACTAGTAAAAGGAGGTACTGAGCGACTGATCCATAACGGCTATTTTGCGTGGGACTAAGGAAAGGAGGATTCCATAAGGCCTGCAGGCAAATCAAATTTTCGGTATCGTAATACTGTTGTGCCTAGTAGAAACCAGTAGGATGTGTATTATTAGTACCTACCCTTTATCCATTCTACTTATAAAGTGTTGTACTGATGTTAGATGGATTTTATAGTGCGTTATAGGAGGTCAGGCTAAAAATGTGAGCAAGAGCATCCTAGCCACCCTTGAATCATCCAGTTTCTTCACCTTCCTCCATCATTCCATCCGGAAGAATTATGCTCTACGTCTAACAGGCGTGCATGAAACCAGAGTCACCCCTAGGAGAGTCGAGTGAGGACCTTCCTAATATAGTAACTATGGCTATGTCCAACTGCCCCTAGCAAACAAAATCCAAGGAAAGTAATCTCGAGAAAAGAAACCTCTTCTATATCTATAAGTTGAGCCCTTGATCTCCGGTTCCCTATACGAACATCCCAACGTGCTCGGTCTGTACTTTTTGTTTCCCCAACGGCATTTCGAAGGGCTTCATCCGGACACAACACTAAACAATAACACAGTTATACTACAACCTACTTCTTTGAAAAGCTTTAAAAATAACATTTACGTATAGCCCTGATTAAGCTTATCAAAAGATATAAAAAAATATAAGTTAAGAGAAAAAAATCCCAAAAAGATAACCGCAGAATCAATCTGTCTTCCCACCTGCCCAACCCAGAACCCACCCTCTACCCGGCCGAGCTCCACAGAAGCTTCACGGCACACTAACCAGACAGCCGGCCACTATCCTTTCGAACGGCTACCAGAGCAGCTTCGCGGAACTTACGAACCACTAGGCCACCGGTGAGAAGGGTTACAATTTTGAGTTTGAATCCAATCATAACCTCTCTTGACGAACAGATATGCTTGTCTCAGTTCACGTGACTAGCTAAAGGCAAGGAGCAGCTTAGGCGCAATTACTTGTTACCATGTCTCAAGCACCCAGGAGAGAAGGTCATATAACAGTTTCAACTTACGGTGAAGTCATGGGCAAGTCTAAAGGTATAGGTTGCGGGTATGACCATGCATTGAGCATCGTTAAGTACAGCAAAATGTAGACAACCAAATGCAAAAGGTGTATATATACAATGTACAATGAAAGCGGACCAAATCCTCTCCGCTGGACCAATCACATCAGGCTTGATCGGCCACCAATCTCATTAGCCGCCTCGCCGTTAGGCATCTCTCCATTGCGGCCGGTGACGAACTCCCGGTAGATACCCTGGAAGCGTCTACGCTCGGCCGGGCTGAGAGAGGCACGGGTGGAAGTCAGGGAACGCTCGATGTGTTCCCACCGGACGATGATATCGTCCCGCAGCCCATCAGCGTCAGAATCAGCATTAGTGCCGTTCGCCACCGGTGCAGCAGCAGGGGTAGAACCGGCAGCGGCCGAGCCATTCTCAAGCTGGCGCTGGCGGCGGCGGGCGTTCTTAATGGCATCTAGCTTGGCAGCTACGACAGCCGGAGGGGGCAGAGAGACTGCTCCAGAAGCCTCTTCAGACGACGAGTAGAGAAATTGGATGAAGGACCTGGTCGAGGTGCTGACCGATGAGCTCTTCGCAGTGCCGGACTTTGCACCAGCCTTCTCGGCACTGGAACTGTCGCCGAGGGCGTCGTGCACGGCTTCCAGGTGGGCGTTATACACAACAGCCTGGAGATCAGCGCCGGAGAGACCCTCGGTCCGAGCAGCGACTTCATCCAAACGAGAACGAACCTCATCATTCATCTTGAGCTTCTCACTCACAGCTCGAATTATGTCGAGACGGTCAGCAAGTGCGGGCATATCACAAAGCAAGGACTTGTCCAGACGACCTGGACGCAAGAGCGCTGGGTCAATCAAATCAGGTCGTGACGTGGCTGCCAGTACATAAACACCGGATAGGCCCTCAGCACCGTCCATTTGTGTCAGAAGCTGATTGACAACACGATCAGTGACACCCGTAGAGTCATGACCACGCTTCGGCGCAATACTGTCAAACTCGTCGAAGAACAGAATACACGGGCGGGCGGCTTGAGCGCGCTCGAAAAGGTCACGAACGCTCTTTTCACTGGCACCAATATACTTGTTCAGAATCTCAGGACCCTTCACACTGATGAAGTTCAAACCGCACTCGCCGGCGACGGCACTCGCGAGAAGCGTCTTACCGCAACCAGGATAGCCGTATAAGAGCAGGCCAGAGCGCAGTCGCAATGGGCACTGTGCGAAGATCGGTGCATACTTGGTTGGGTACTGCAAGGTCTCCAACAGCATCTTGCGAGTCTCAAACAGACCGCCAATCGCGGAGAACGTAGTCGTGGAGGAGGTCAAGGTAACGTTACGCAGAGAGGCTGGTGTGAAACCCTTGAGCGCGCTGTCAAAATCTTCAGTCCCAAGAGTGATCATCTTCGACTCAGAGGCTAAGTCGGAAACGGAGCGAATCAGTGCTTCATTGCGTGCACGAGCAACCAACAACACCAGATCACCGGGCGCATATCCATCAGTTTTACCAGCAAGCTCGAGGAAATCAATGTCTCTGCTGAGAACGAATCCATCGCCACCGGAGGAGCTAGGCCGACTTCCAGGATTTGATGGATCCAACCACGAGTCTTGAGTGTTTTGAGTGGAAGAGCTCGTTGATCGGATGTGGCCATTGAGATGTTCAGTGGGCTTGTCTTGGCTAGTCAACTTCTCCAGAACCTTCCGGCGTCCCTCCTTGTCTGGAGCTCGCATATTGATGATCTCGCGGACCACGTGGCCGCCAATGATGACGTTGTTCAAGGACTCCTTGGCCTGGGCCGTGGCTAGCAAGACGACGGAAGAGTTCATGGAGCAGTATTCCCGAACCATGGAGCAAATAACCTCACTGTTCTGACGGCTGCGGCCGTTATCATTTCCAACCTGCATCTCGGTCTCCACAGGACAGAGCTTGTCAAGGTCGTCAAGGATAACAATGGCTTGACCACCGAGACGAGCACACCAGGAGGCGGACATGAAGAGGCGGTTCAGGACCTCTTTAATATTGGAGATTCGTGTCTCGTCCGTGACGAGTTTGCGGCAAGAAAAGTACTTCACATTGAAGAGATGATCCTTGCGCAATCGATGAGCTAATAGGTGAGTCAAAGCAGTCTTTCCTGCTCCAAGTCCTCCGGTCAACAGAATAGACGAAGACTTTGTCAGGTTTGTGAGCGACTGGGAGATGATCGAGTCAATACCCACCAGTTGGGGGACGGTATCGGGAATCGAGTCCTCGGAAGGCAATGCAGATGAGCCCGCATCCGATGGCTTGGGTATCTCTGCTTGCACTTCAAGGTTCAGCTTAGCTTCGGAACCTAGAAGCCACCCAAACATCGGTTTGGTCTCTTCGGGACCACCCTTCAAGGGAGGATCAAAGCGGAGAATAGCACCGTCAAATGACGAGACCGAAGGGTGGTTTTCAACCTTGGGAAGGACCATTCCATCAGTCAAAGGACCAGAAAACAGCCCAACGTCGGAACCAGTACTGCCATAGATGACCTTGAGACGCTCGGCTAGGGCATCCCGAGAAGCTGCCGTATCCGCGCCAAATTTCAGTCCATCCTTCTTCTTGGATCCATCGGTCATAAACGGGTACAGCTTGAGGGTCTTGACTGCCGACCTATGAAGTTGGGGAGGAGCGGCCTCGACACGAACGATCCCACCCACCATGTTCTCAGCACCAAGCGACGTGGAAAGCAAAGTGGAAATCGCCACGTGCTTGTTGTCGGGTGCCTCCTCCCATGGCAGCAGCTTGGCTACTAGCTTGGTTGTGGGAGAGCCCCCTTCATTTGACTTTTGTTGTTCTTGTTGAGCAAGTTGCTGCTGAGGATCCACAGGAGGCTTGAGACCGGCCGGCTGGACGATGGAAACGCACGCCCAGCTTGTGCCCCGTAGTTCATTGGATGCCAGCAATTCGGGGTCAACCCAGACCCGGAACCCTTCATTTTCATCCTCTTCCATTTCTGCGTCAAAGTATTGATCGGCTGCTAGGCGTTCTACGCCTCGCAAATACAAGGCACCTCTGGAGTCAGACCGGCTGCTCTTGGGGCGAGCCGTGCTACCGGAACTGCGGCCACCGGTGCTCTTTCTGCTGCTACCAGCATTGCTGCGGCTATCTCCTCGGGGCGATTTTCCGGGTTTTGATCGAACTTTGGGAGCAACTATCACTTCAGCATCCGGTGCTATTTTCGCAAATGGAGATGTGGCGTCCGGGGCTGGTGTAAGGGAAGTGACAACAATGTTAGCGGTCGAGGTGGGTGAAAGGTGCAATGCGAGCGGGTGCATATGCTCTGATTGCGCTGCATTGTAGGAGGGATTGGGCAGCGCGCGGATCTGAGATAGGAGGTTAAGTTCCAAGAATGTGGCATGAAGCTCGATGACTAGGGGAAAATGAGTCAGTCAAGTGCCCAATATGGATTGTAAAGTCCTGAACATACTCTCCCAGTCTTCTGGTGTCAATGGCTCGATGTTGATTGTATGCGCGACAGGTGGATCAAGGTGTACGAGTAGCCCGACCTGTAAGGAGTTAGCATATTACCCCACGTGAAACACGGCGTATGCCGCGGGGAAGAATGTCACACCTTTTGCCCTTCGGTCAGACCAAGAAGTCGTCCGAACGTGGTATCTAACTCCACAGTAGATATCTCCTGCTCTCTGGAGAAGCCACCACTCATGCCTTCCCGACCAACGACCGGCGCAAGCTTCCGCTTGCTCGGCATGCCCGTCCAGCCCAAGTAGCAAGACCGCTGTGGCGGCGCACCATTGATCTTGCTGGTGGGGGATTTGTACTGCAGTTCAATGATGACATTCTGCGCGGCCTGTGTGATGGGTACATTAGTCTGAGGTATATCACACGACTGACCGAGCTCGGTAACTAACCGTATTGGCATTGACTAGCAAGGCGACTAGTGACGGTGGTAGATTGACGAGGCAGTTCTTGAGAGGGACGAGAGCGACTTCTGCCGTCGTGGAAGGCTTCTTGGGCGCCATGATCAGGGCGCAAATGTGATTGTAGGAAGCACAGAAGGAGAGAGTAGTATGAGGGTGGGATGGTCGCAGAGTCCCCGGACTCCCTCCACACCCGTCGGCCGCCCAGCAAGTCCGGCCAACCGAGGCAAAGTGGCCTGTCAGGTGACTTGTGCCGGACGGACTTTCCCGCGCTTTCGGAGGGTTGCCCCAAGAAGACGGAGAATCTGATTATCCGACAAGAGCTACACGTGGAACGCGAGCTAGCCCCAAGACGGATTAGTGCATATTTGGCGCGTCTTTTCGCGTTCGCGTCTCGTTTTGCCCAGCGGCTGAGTTTCTGAAGGGGGCAGCAGTCTTAGCTCCGGCCCTTTCCTCTCGCGGGAAGCCCACTTTACAACCACTTTGCGTTCTGCGAATTTGAGCGCACTCCATCCCATCCAGCATGGCTTTGCTTCAATACCAAGCGCCGGTTGACTATGCCGCGCAATTGGATGGCTTCAAGGATTTCCTTCAGCATTTCAAGACCCTTCAGTCGACCTCAGAAGCTGCCGCGACCGAGGCGCTGGAGGATCTGAACATTGACGGAGACCGCAGCAGCGATGAATACGACTTTATGGATGATGTTGACGACGAGGGCGCAGACACCCGTGGCGCAAGGAGGCGCCGAGAGCCGAAGCTCAAGTACATGCAGATTCTGCAGGATATCGCCAATCGCGATGTCTCGAATATTGTCATCGAGCTAGACGATTTGGACGTCGTGAGTCAGCATGAAAATTCTGTCTCCCTCACCTTCGTCGCTAACATGGCTCTCCTATAGTTCGAAAAAGCTCTTCCCGACGAGCAGCAGAATCTGAAGCTGGTCGACTCTATCCAGAAGAATACAAAGCGCTATATCGATGTTTTCTCGCAGGCTGTGGATGCGGTCATGCCCAAGGAGACCAAGGAGATTACGTATGTCTGCGATTGGCTACGGCATAATGCAATGGGCGTATCAAACTAATTCAGTGTAGATTCAAGGACGATGTGCTGGACGTGATCATGTCCCAGCGTGAGAAGCGCAACGAGACCCAGGAAATGCAAACGGAGGCCGATATGGATGTTACCCCCGTGGCATCCCTCTTCCCACCAGAGCTGACTCGACGATACACTCTCAACTTCAAGCCTCTCACACCCTCCGGTTCCAGCAGCGACCGTGCCGGCAAGGCGCTTGCTGTCCGAAATGTGCGCGGCGAGCATCTCGGAAGCCTGATCACGGTTCGCGGTATCACCACCCGCGTCTCAGACGTCAAGCCCGCCGTTCAGATCAACGCCTACACTTGCGACGTCTGCGGTTGTGAGGTTTTCCAGCCCATCACTACCAAGCAGTTCATGCCTCTGTCTGAATGTTTGTCGGAGGACTGCAAGAAGAACAACACCAAGGGCCAGCTGTTCCTGTCGACGCGTGCTTCCAAATTCGTTCCTTTCCAGGAGGTCAAGATCCAGGAGATGGCAGACCAGGTGCCTGTGGGCCACATTCCCCGCACCATGACTGTTCACTGCCACGGAGCTCAGACTCGGCTATTGAACCCTGGTGATGTCGTTGACATTGCTGGCATCTTCCTGCCTACTCCCTATACTGGCTTCCGCGCTATTCGTGCCGGTCTTTTGACTGACACCTACCTGGAGGCTCAGCACATCACCCAACACAAGAAGTCCTACAACGAAATCGGCATGGACAGCCGCACCATGAAGAAGATCGAGCAGCACATGAACTCTGGCAACATGTATGAGTATCTCTCGCGTTCTATCGCCCCTGAGATTTTCGGACATCTTGATGTCAAGAAGGCGCTGCTGCTTTTGCTGATCGGTGGTGTCACCAAGGAGATGGGTGACGGTATGCACATTCGTGGTGACATCAACATCTGCTTGATGGGTGACCCTGGTGTTGCCAAATCCCAATTGCTCCGATACATTACCAAGGTGGCCCCCCGTGGCGTATATACCACTGGTCGTGGTAGCAGTGGTGTCGGTCTGACTGCTGCGGTGATGAGAGACCCAGTGACTGATGAAATGATGCTGGAGGGTGGTGCCCTGGTTCTAGCGGATAACGGTGTCTGCTGTATCGATGAGTTTGACAAGATGGACGACTCGGACCGAACTGCCATTCACGAAGTTATGGAGCAACAGACCATTTCCATCTCCAAGGCAGGCATCAACACCACTCTGAACGCTCGCACCTCAATCCTGGCTGCTGCCAACCCGCTGTACGGCCGCTACAACCCCCGTATCTCGCCAGTCGAGAACATCAACCTTCCCGCTGCTCTTCTCTCCCGTTTCGATGTCATGTTCCTGCTTCTGGATTCCCCATCCCGGGAGACGGACGAGGAGCTGGCCAACCACGTCACTTACGTCCACATGCACAACAAGCACCCCGAGAACGAGGACTCCGGTGTCATGTTCACACCTCACGAGGTCCGTCAGTATATCGCCAAGGCCCGTACTTACCGTCCCGTCGTTCCTACGAACGTCTCCGACTACATGGTCGGTGCCTACGTCGCCATGCGCAAGCGTCAAAAGAAGGACGAAGCCCGCAAGCAGCAATTCTCCCACGTCACCCCTCGTACTCTGCTGGGTATTGTTCGTCTCTCACAGGCTCTGGCCCGTCTTCGCTTCAGCGAGGAGGTGGTTCGTGAGGACGTTGATGAGGCACTCCGCCTGATCGAGGTTAGCAAGGCCTCTCTTTACAACGATGGCGAGTCCGGAGCCGATCACACTCCCAGCAGCAAGATCTACACTTTGATCCGTACTCTGCGGGAGAGTGGTGCCGCCGCTATTGGTGATGATGAGGACAATGCTCTTAGCGTGAGACGTATTCGTGAGCGTGTGCTGGCTAAGGGCTTCACCGAAGACCAACTCACCACCACCCTCCACGAATATGCCGAATTGAACGTATGTTTCCGAATATCCAGGCTTACTTTTAAAACGACTGCTAACTCTATTTTCTACAGGTCTGGCAAATTGCTGGAAACGGCTCGCGCCTGGTGTTCTTCGACGGCGATGATGAGATGCACGGTTAATGCGGTGTTTTAATTCTTTTCTTCTTCCTGTTTCTTCTCGAAGGTCGACTGGGCTTTTTGCGTTCCTCGAGATGCATTCGGTGGACCCGGTAGATCTTAGGGCCATGGGTGTTTAGGTGTCTTGGTTGGATTCTTCGTGGGGCAATAGGAAGCCGGTTCTGATGATATGTTTGGGCAATCAAAAGATCTTTATTCCCAAATTTACTTTACTATAAGTTGTGTCTTATCTACGCCTGTATTCAAGACTGTAGTATAGAAAAAATGGTATTCATTATTCTCAAGGAATGGCTTGCCATGTTATATGGCCCTGAACGCCCATCATCTTCTATGGGCTGTACTTTAAGACTCTGCTTCCTTCCAATCCATATTCCAATCTCCCCCTAACCCAAAGTATTTAAATTAAGCCACAGACCATTCGACCAGATCAATGGAGCACAGGACTCAAAGCAAGCCTCTCAGACAGTGCAGGCGTACTCCTTCACCTCGTGGCACAGATTCGAAGGCGCAGCGTACGGGTTATCACACAAAGTATTGCAAACAGTGTTCTCCGGAACAAAGACCAAGAACTCGTAGTTGGGCATGTTCAGACGGAACTGAGAATGAATATCATTGTTGTTATGGGAGGCCTTGTAACCGGCACGGCAGGCACAGTGGAATCTCGTGCCCGTGTTGATACACGAAGTAGTAATGTCGCAACTGTTCTGGCCAGAGATGGGATTGCAGGTACCGCAGGTAGGTGCTGGGTTGGCCAGGGCGATGGTGGCAGCGGCCAGGAAGGCAGTCAGGGTGGCGAGTTGCATGATGATGATTGTTTTAATTTAGGGTAAACGATTGGATAGAGACTAGAGTAGATCTGATAATCTTTGGCTTTGGCTTGGATATTGCTCAATTTGATGTGGGGATGGCACCATTCCTGGGGTAAATTACCATGCTTTTATACTTGATTCTGGACTATAGTATCGAGTATAGGTTGTTCGTTCAGACTACCTAGAAATAGATCATCTTACCATCACTATACTTCCCTGTTCAACATATCACGAGGCTGCAAGCCTAGGACTGTCTCAGTTCGGGAACAAACTCAACCCAGGCAGCGTATCCCAAAGCATCATTCCTATTATTGAAGTGTGCAAGTATTAACTTTTTCAGCCTCGGATAGGTCGGGGAAAACCAGAGGACCAGCCCGATCCGGGGCTTGGCCGTGGCGCGAATACGAGATCTGGAACAGTATCCCGAGAAACCACCAATGCTTGTCGAGATAGCTGATGTCGAAGGCTTGCCAGCTCAAGGCGCGGGGAGGCGCACGACTAGTGAGTTTTTCGGATATGGCAACGCCATGTGTTGGATACCCCAGGATATTCTTTGTGTCTTAGTGTCTTGAGGGGTGCAGGTGTATGTCTCAGCTCGAACCTCCACTGTAGCCCTAAATGTCACTCTCGGATTTCGATCCCTACTCGTTCTTTGATGCCTATGTATAGACTCGATTGCGGGGTAGAGATTCGACCTGTCACTGCAGCGGCTTACACCGCTTAGACGTTGATGTTTTGGGAAGCTTTTAGGTTGTTCTATTGGCTATCCTATTAGTTCTTGGCTAGGACGCCTTGCCCAGCAGTTGAATATAACCATCATCCAATATGTCATAGCTATGTCCTCTTTCTAGGGGTCAAAGGAGACGGACTAGAGGTGGTAGCATAGAGAGGAATGAAAATCAAGGCATTTGGCAATAGTTCATATCAGCGGCAGTAGTACTTCAGGCTCTATAATTACCTCAATGGCTTGCAGTTCGTTCTACATTACCCATTCCGGATATTGGCGTGATCCACTCTGCCTGTATGATTGGTCTTGTTCCAAATGTATTTTCTGTGCCCAATAACCTGCATAGCCATCGAAGTATACTACCATGGCAGGACAACATGATCGACACGTCTAACTCCATTATTTGGGCATCATAGATCCCATGCTTACATCCCGGTACTCGGCAATTATTGGACGCCTTATTCCTATGTCAAAATCCGAGATTCTGGATCTGCTCTGGTTGTGGTACCTCGGGAATGGCATGACTGTATACGAGCTGACGGCAGTAAGCTATAGCTGGAGCAGTTGGGCATACATACGTTATTGATTATTGCTCCTGAAATATAAGATGAGATCTGGATCAGGGTCTTCTGTGTGACTCTGGAAACCTTACATACCCGGTCTCAACCGATAGGTTCGATGTAGGTGGAGAGAACGCATTCCGTCAGCGGGGAGTATATGCAGGGCAAAATAGGCCGACTGTAAGAGTATAGGTAGATGGAGTGATGTCGTTCAAAACGCTTCATTGATATGGTTGAGGCCGTAGCCTAAGACACCTAACCTAGTAGACAAGATTGTCCCGTCTACAAAAAACTAGGCCAATCATCGGACGGACGGCGCAGACTAGAGGTGTGTCTTGGAGCCTTCTGGTTCTCCAATCAGCCGCAAAAAACTAGGATGTACCTCATCGGTCAAGTCGCTGGCCTGCATACTCCGCCCCTTAGCCTCGAAAGCCCGTCGCGAGCACTCTCGGGTAATACAGCTACCTGCCCAGGCAGCAAGAAGCAAAGTAGTCGTTGGGGACATGCGCCTGCCCTCAATCTCCAGCTCGGCCTGGACGTCCTCCTTGCTCTGTGCCTCCTTCTCATTATCTTTCTCACCCGAGTCCCATAGTTTATCGTGGTAAGCCGCTCTCCACGCCAGCATCGTCCCCAATGAGCCCGTCAGGGTATCTCCCTGCCCACCGCTGCGCTTCAGACCACCCTTGATATCGGAGATGATACTCGTAACTCCATTCGAGATCACATCATGGGGTCCCTTTTGAAGAATAGTCACGCCACCCAAAGCCCTAGACAGCTGCTCGCACGCATCTGACTCTTTGCTTGTTTGGTCGCCATCGCCTCCGCCCTTTGCAATGTCTGCCTGGCTTTTCACTTCTATGCCCAGTGCTTTTGCGAGACGTCCAAATTCGACCACGTTCGGTGTCAGAATACATTCTTTGTACCCCTTGACCAGATCTGGATCTTCGGTGACGATAAGCAACCCATCGGCGTCTAGCACGAATGGGATCGATCGTGATCGTGCTTCCTTGATCACTTCTGCAACAACCTTGAGTGTGACTCGGTCACGGCCAAGACCTGGTCCGATGACTAGTGAGTGCAGGCGGGAGAGCATGGAGATGATAGGGCCAGCTAGTTCTGGCGCATTAATTGACTTGGGGTCCTTGACAGAGTCGGTGCTTGGCAGTATCGGGTGAACCATCAAGTTTGGAGAATAGCTTTTGACAACCTGTGGGCGCAAAATGAATCTCTTGTGTTCGGAGATGGGGTGAGCAGAACTTACTGGTGCAGCAGATTGCTCACAGAGGACATGGCTCTGGAAAGTGTCAGTTCCCATGATCCTCGGAGTATAGCGTCTGGGTACAATCATACCATATCACAGCCTAGAGCCATGTTAGCATATGTTCTTATCATACAATCTCATTCAAGCGAGAGAAAACATGCCTAGTTTTGCTGATGCCATCGCAGAGAAGTATGGAGCGCCAGTGTAGCTTCCACGGTCAGTCCACGAACCCATGCAAGTCGATGGTCAACCTACTCCACACAACCTCCTATGACTGCCACACGTCCCAGTTGCCCTGCAATCGGTCAGTCACTCCCCAATACCAGCTGTTCCTGGCCAAAGAGCCTTGCGAGATGACAACAAACCTTTGTGAAATTTCTCGAGCATTGGAGGCACCATCCTGCGGACCTTGCCAAACAGGATCTTCGAAGACGTTGATACATGGTGAACGGACTCCATTGTGTATACAAACCCGGAGGAACTGCCAGTAACTAGACAAGATGGAGTGTTGTGATATGAAGATATGAAGCGGCAAGCGTGGGAGAACGAGTGATGTCACCGCCAAGTGGGGCCAACAGCTGACAGGTTTGTACGCCCAGAACTACTTGATCGACGATTACATCTTTTGAGACCAAATTACATCAAACTGATGGTATTTCAAAGCACAAAATGAATGCTAATCAGATTTGGTATTGGTATGACGCCCGCTATAATGGTGTTCACAAACGAAAGAATGGAAAGAAAGGACTGTACGCTCCCCATCTAGAGACACCTCGAAGAAATAAAACGCTCAGAATGCTCAGCCAGAACCCTCCTCCCCAGACATATGAAAGTGTAGAAATAACCCGTGGATGCATGTAGAAATAACATCACCGCTTGGTACGGGATGCCAGTGCTGCCAACTTCTTCTGCCGCTCCAGCTTCTGTTGCTTCGCGGCCATCTCCGCTCGCATTTCTTCCTCATCCTCCTTGCGAGCAGATCTCAAGGCCGCATCTTCTTCCTCCCTCATGTCGTCAAAGCCAGCTTCCATGTCTGACGATGCATCAGAGTAGAGGTTATCGTAATCGCCGTAGTCCCCAAAATCGCTTTCGTCTTCCTCGTCGGTTGCCAGATATTCATCCATTCGACGTTTGCCATTCGGCCGACGGTCAGTCGTGCCACGGTGAGATTGCCGACCTGCCGTTCCACGATACCCGGCAGGCTCGGGTGTCGGGGCTGGCTTGGCTGTACCTTTGTATGAGAGAGGCTCGGGCGTACGGCGTTTGACGGTAGGTTTGCCAGCAGTAGCCGGGCCAGGCGCGGGACGCTTTCCCGAACGAGCAGCTTTCTCTTGTGCCTTGGCCTCCTCCAGTCGCCGTTTGCGCTCGACTTTGCTCAGTCTCTCTTTTGATACCTTTTGGTGACGAAGCATGCCCAACTGTGCCGGGGCTTTATCTTGCATTGCCTTGGCTTGCTTCATGAGATCGGCGAAGGATCCCTTTGGTGGCGGCTTAGATGAAACTGGCGCCGGTTTAGTTGCCGCTGGTTTGGCTGCGGTTGTTGTGGCCACTACCGGTTTGGAGGCCGTTGGTCTGGTCACTGTCGGTTTTGCCACTGTTGGCTTCGGGGGTGCAGCTCTCGCGGGTGGAGCTGTGCTAGTTGGAGTTGTGCTGCTCCTGGGGACAGGGTTCAGCGAAGCAGATTTGACCGTAGCCGATGATACGGCTCCTGGTATGACCTTGGAAGGTGCAGACGACGCTGCAGGTCGGCTAGAAAGGACCTTGCTAGCTTGTTGGCTCTCGGGTCTCGAAGGTCGAGGCAGTTGGTCCTCGGCCTTGCGCTTTATTCCCGTACTCGCATTCCCGGCAGGTGGTGCGCGGGGTGCTGCTCCCACTCGTCGATCATCTTTCTTGACCGTTGAAGATGAGGTCGGAATCGCGGGAGGCTGAGACAGCGGGGCTTGGGTAGGTTTACCCGACTGGAGTGACGAGAGAACAGAGTCAAGGAACTGTTCGAAGTGTTAGCTACCAGATGGGTAATAAGACCAGGAACGGGTAGCTTACACTCATGTTGAGAGCTTGAAGCAAAGGAGGGGATTGGAAAGCTTTCTGTTGAGAGTTGGAAGAGCAAGAAGTACCAGTTACCGTCGATGGTTAGTCCGACTGGGCAGCTTCATGACTCCGAACGCGATACCATGAATGGTTATGTCGCCGGAGGACCGGTAGCGCAGTCTTTGTAGGAAAATGGAAGATCTAGGTACCACGGGGTACAGCGCAACAGACAGAAGCGCTCTAGAACTTCTCAGAGGGGCGAGGAGTGGTTGAGCGGGGATAGAAGATCAAAGAACCGGGCATGGTTCACGCCGAGATGGCTATATATCACGTGAACTCTACACAAGCCACACTCGCTTAGGTTTTCTGCCAGGCGGTGACACAGCCACATGAGCCGCAGCGCACTTTTCCCACGATTTCGATGGCCCGCTATAACTTCTTGTTCCTCAACCACCTTCAGAACTCGACGTTGCAGTCTCCGCCCAATTCGCGGTTAAATCGATTGTTTCTCAGTTCCCGTTAACAGAACACCAAAGGTATGTCTCTTACAACCTTGCCTCCTCTCTGCTTCGCAACACGCGCCAGCGCACACAACGACTTCTTTTCGCATCCAACATCTCGACCTCAACGCTGACAACAAATTTTTTTCGCAACAGTCCATCAAAATGAAGCACCTCGCAGCTTACCTCCTCCTCGCCCTCGCTGGCAACGAGTCCCCCTCTGCTTCCGACATCAAGGAGGTCCTCTCCTCCGTCGGCATCGACGCTGACTCCGAGCGCCTCGAGAAGGTCGTCGCTGAGCTCCAGGGCAAGAACCTCCAGGACGTTAGTGACACCCACCGCAACCCTACATATGAATGACTGAAAGATTCTGACTTTGTGATTTATAGCTGATCGCTGAGGGTTCCACCAAGCTCGCTTCCGTCCCCAGCGGCGGTGCTGGTGGTGCTGCTCCCGCCGCCGGTGGTGCTGCCGCTGGCGGTGCCGCCGAGGCTGCCCCCGAGGCCGCCAAGGAGGAGGAGAAGGAGGAGTCCGACGATGACATGGGATTCGGTCTCTTCGACTAAATGCCTTCCTCAAAAGCGCCTCAAAAATGACGAGTTGGGGGAACAGACATCTGGATGGAATGGCCAGTTTGCGAATACCCTTCAGCGACTGGTTCCTCAAATGTGCATTGTTCAGGCTGTTCTGACGCAGTTACGAATTTTCCATATGAGCTAGAAAAAGCTCTTAGCCAATACAGATTCATCTGTCCTCCACTATGTTTCTTTTCGTAGAATGTAGTTGTTAATCCCAGTCTGAAGCGGCTCCGATGCCATGGGCAATACTCGCATCGTCATGAGCCTAGTCATCGGTTTCGTTGCGTATTCAGCCTGTAAATCGCATACATAATGTTGTATTTGATATCCTACAGTCCTTCTGATATCTGGCTTTGGGCTAGAATTCAGGGCTTCATGGCCATTTGGTAATTTGGTTACACATTGAAATGATCAAGAGAACCTCTCCTCACCAAGAAATGAGTGTAAATTGCACGTTTCTCAATGTACCTTGAAATAGATTACCATACGTGACACAATCAATACATTTGAACCAAAATGGGACTAGCGTTTTAGGGCTTAACCTACCCGTCGCTTAGGCGAGCCCTGCCCACCTCACCAGTCGTAGTGTAGCGGGCGACCGATCAAGCGACACGACAATCCACCCGACAACCCATCTTCCTTCGCTTTTCGAGATACGGTCGAAAAGCGAGCTCCAAGGAAACACCGCAAAAATGGCTGACATTGAATACGTGAGTCGCCCGATTTTTCATCATCCTACGCCCAACACCTTTGATGCTAACAAGTTTTATTTTAGAACGCCGAGGAGGCTGCCGGTACGTCGTCAATAAACTTCTATCCCTTCGTATCCCTATTCGCCTATGAAAAGAGTCAAACAATGGAAATATTGGAACGAGTGTGATGGAACTACGACCCCAGGATGAAATGCGAGATGGGAAGATCAGATGGCTTCGACGCAGGGGGATGGACTCGAACATACACACCACACACAAGACGAACGAGAATCCCGATCGCTGACAGAATGTTCGCCCTACAGAGATCAAGAAGAGAAGACAGTTCCGCAAGTTCTCTTACCGCGGCATTGACCTCGACCAGTACGTTTGATCCATCGACCCTCTCCATTCGTGAAAACTCTTGCAGCATGCGCCTGGCACACCAGGGATCCGACGACAAAACGCAACGATCTACGTTGATTGTACGGATGTTTCAACGAGTCGCTTGTGTGTTGGGTGCCATCGCTGCAGAGAACCACGGATCGATAACTTTTGGAAAAAGGATCGCAGTCTAACTGAACCCCTTCACAGGCTCCTCGACCTCTCCTCCGAGCAGCTCCGTGATGTTGTCCACGCCCGTGCCCGCAGACGCTTCAACCGCGGTCTGAAGCGCAAGCCCATGGGTCTCATCAAGAAGCTCCGCAAGGCCAAGCAGGAGGCCAAGCCCAACGAGAAGCCCGACCTCGTCAAGACCCACCTCCGTGACATGATCGTTGTCCCCGAGATGATCGGCTCCGTCATCGGTATCTACTCCGGCAAGGAGTTCAACCAGGTTGAGATCAAGCCTGAGATGGTTGGCCACTACCTGGCTGAGTTCTCTATCTCTTAGTACGTGCCAACCACCCACTTGTCATGGTCTTTTGAAGCAGGTGCTAACAATCCCACAGCAAGCCCGTCAAGCACGGTCGTCCCGGTATCGGTGCCACCCACTCTTCCCGTTTCATTCCCCTGAAGTAAACGATTCGAACGATTCCCCTTGGAGTGGCGTGTGGTGGAGATGGTGCTTGGATCGGAAAAAATGGGAGCCAGTATCGTCCCAACTGGATTCCTTTTATTCAGCTTGTATTTCCAGAGCGGATCAGCTGTTTCCATTTCAATTTAAGAGCTTGTCGGCATGAAAAAAAAATCATTTGGGATCTTGCCCCCTCTCAAGTCTTTGTCGAATCTTTCGGCAGAGCAAATGGATAGGACCTCTTATATCCCTGGTTGCTTTTTTGGGTGCTAGGGAAAGGAGTTCAATTTACGATATGATTATTTCAAGTTTGCGTGACGTAGAGGCGTAAGACCCAGCGAGACTCTAGAGCAGCAACGCCTTTTATTTTCTGGAAGAAAGACGGCAATACATTGGACGAAGAAATAAATCTCAGTGCATCCATGCCCGGACGCGATGCGGATAGCAGGTTTCCATGCAGTTCTTGCTAGGGAAGTGCTGCTATCTGTGATTTAGGTATTTCTGATTATCGACTTAGTCCACAGCTACAATCTAGACTAATAAATGTAAGCCGTATACACCGGCGAGAGGCGTAGATATTAGTAAATCTCCGGTTCAGGATATATTCCGCACTCATCCGCGATACTGCTCGACACTATCTTCCCAAACACAACCAACAATCCTCGATCCAAGGACACCCCAGGTTGTGCAGACCAACTGATAATAGCCACTCGACCGATAGTTACCAGACCAATCACGATAGGGTCTTTACTAGACCGTGACGATGGAGGTCGGATAGTCGGAGATATTGCGGATCCATTCTCCACCAAACCGTTGGGAACGCCGACAGCGCCGAGGCTTGATGAGTTATCTTGCTGGTGTTGCTGACCATTGCATACAATACTAGAATTGGTATCATAAACTATTGGCTCTATCCGTGCTAGATATACATGTATTGTATAGCTAGCGGCTTCAAGTCATCAGCCTCAGCACTTTCTAGCCCAAAGCTTAGTGTGTCAGGAAAATCCGTTAAATCCGAAGTTCTTCGGTTATCATTGGCCTTGCGGCGAATGTTACCAAGGGGGCCGAGGCTGCCCGCTCCAAGAACCGAATAGTGCGGAGAAACCCCAACCTTAAGGGACCCCAATTCCCTTTCTTTCTGTAATCATTCTTACTCTCTGCTTGTGCCTACTCTTTGCAATTTCAGTTTTATCTCGTGCTTTTATATAAGCTAACTTGCCTGTCGCGTGCCGATTAATTCCTCGCCCTTGCACACGGATCGGCACTTGGCTTTTCCCCGCAATATGCCTGTCTCTTCCAACTACCCCACGATCGATATTCCTAATGTCGACCTGTGGTCGTTCTTGTTTGAGCGCAAGGATAGGCCATTCCCTGATGATAAGAGTGAGTCATTAAAACTTCATTTTCTACAATCCCCCGCCTTTGCTAACACCCTCCTAGTCCTCTACCAGGATGCCGACACTAAGCGCCACTACACCTACCAGTCCCTGAAGGACGCCTCCCTTGAGTTCGGAAAGGGTCTGAAGGCCACTTATGACTGGCGCAAGGGCGATGTGCTGGCTCTCTTCACTCCCAACAGCATCGATACCCCGGTGCTCATGTGGGGTACCCTCTGGGCGGGCGGCATTATCTCTCCGGCCAACCCGGCCTACACGGTTGATGAGCTCGCCTTCCAGCTGAAGAACTCGGGCGCAAAGGCACTTGCAACACAAGCCTCGGTGCTGTCTGTTGCCACGGCAGCTGCGAAGAAGGTCGGCATCCCGGAAGATCATATCATCCTGCTGGGTGACGAGCGGGACCCAGATGCCCGGTACAAGCACTTCACCTCCGTTCGAAACATCTCCCGCGCCACTCGGTATCGTCGGCAGAAGATTGCCCCTGAGACCGATCTTGCTTTCCTGGTTTATTCATCTGGTACTACTGGTGTGCCCAAGGGTGTTATGCTGTCGCATAGGAATATTGTCGCCAATGTTCTCCAGCAAGTAACTGGCGAGGGCGGAAACTTGAGCTGGAACGGAGGTCCTGATGGGAAGGGTGATCGTGTTCTGGCCTTCTTGCCTTTCTATCACATCTATGGTACGTCTATGAAGATTCAATCGTACAATAAATGCCTTTTGCTGACAGACGCTTTCTAGGATTGACCTGTTTGCTCACCCAAGCATTATACAAGGGCTACCACCTGATCGTCATGGCCAAGTTTGATATCGAAAAGTGGTGCGCACACGTACAAAACTACCGCGTGACTTTTAGTTACATTGTGCCCCCAGTAGTGCTTCTACTAGGCAAGCACCCCGTCGTCGACAAGTACGACCTCTCGAGTTTGCGGATGATGAACTCTGGTGCTGCACCACTCACCCAGGAATTGGTGGAGAACGTATACGCTCGCATCAAGGTTGGAATCAAGCAAGGCTACGGTCTGAGTGAGACCAGCCCTACCACTCACTCCCAGCGCTGGGAGGATTGGCGCGAGTACATTGGTTCCGTAGGACGCTTGATGCCCAACATGGAAGCCAAGTACATGACCATGCCCGAGGATGGCTCCGAGCCTCGCGAGGTTGCCACTGGCGAGGTCGGCGAGCTTTCGGTGCGTGGGCCGAATGTGTTTTTGGGATACCACCAGAATCCCGCCGCTACTCGTGAGTGTCTGACCGAGGATGGGTGGTTCCGCACGGGTGATGTTGGCTACCAAGATGCCAAGGGCAACTTCTACATCACGGATCGTGTCAAGGAGCTCATCAAGTACAAAGGCTTCCAAGTGCCCCCCGCCGAGCTGGAGGGTCTTTTGGTAGACAATGAGGCTATCGACGATGTCGCCGTGATTGGCATTGAGAGTGAAGCCCATGGTTCCGAAGTACCTTTGGCCTGCGTTGTTCGAAGCTCGAAGAGCAAGTCCTCTGGCGCGAGTGAGGCGGAGGAGGCTGCCAATATTGTGAAATGGCTGGATAGCAAGGTTGCCCACCACAAGCGTCTGCGTGGTGGTGTGCGGTTCGTGGATTCGATCCCTAAGAACCCCAGTGGTAAGATTCTGCGCCGTATGCTGAAGCAGCAGTTCAAGGATGTGGGCAAGGGTCCCAAGGCGAAGCTGTAGATTTACTTTATCTGTTCGATATATACCATACAAGATTCGCAATTACATAGACTGTACCTTAAACAGTATCATATGTAAACAAATGTAATAATAAACCCCGAAAGTATTTCCATCTCCTAAATCTCCCGATTTTCACCTAAGAAACCCCCTCGAATCCACCCAGACACATCTATCCTCTACCCTCAATCAAGAAAAAAACCGCTTAACCATACCCTCAACATCCTCCCCCTCAACCGCATCAACCTTCTCCCTCGCAACCCTCTCAACAGCCTCCTCAACCCCCTCCTCCCCATTAACAAGATCAATCCACCCCTCAACATCATCCCTCGCCAACACCAAATCCGCCACGATCGCAACATCCTCCCTCGTCACGCTCCCGCGTCCCTTAGCCGTAACACCCAACTCCACCTTCCTCGTAGCAGGTTCATCCGTCAAAGTGCCCGGCCGCAAATTAATAGCCTGGAAAGGACGCGTCGCGGCAGGTTCACGCTTGCGCATGAATGCCAGCGCCGTCATGTATTCGTCGGCTTCTTGCTTGGCTTTGGCGTATGTGGGCAGGATTTCGGTGTTTGTGCGGACGACCCCGGCCCATTGGTCGTCGGGCATCCAGTGGGGTTGGTTCTTGCGGCTGCCTAGGTAGGAGATCATTAGGAATTTGCTGACGCTGGTTGAGGCGAAGGAGGCGGTCATGAAGTGTTTGGCGGCTTCTTGGTCGATGGCGATTGTGTTGCTGGGGCCGCCTTTGCCGCCGGCGCCTAGATGGGTTTGTTAGCCTACGTCCTCTTCCCAATTAAAAGCATCATCGATGTAAGATTGTTGTATATTTTCAATCTTGGAACGAATCGCGGTTCGGTTCATCGCGGATGCGGGGAGAATGAGGGGCAGCGTACCAGCAGACCAAACCACATAATCAGGCATCACCTTGTTAAGAATCTTCTGAGCATCGGCCGCACTCTTAATCTCAGCCAAACTCGAGATCAACACATTGAGATTACCCTTGCGGCCGTTGCCGAGGGCTAGAATGTCTTTCTCGTGGTCGGGGTTCCGGACCACGCTGGTGACGTTCCAGGCGCGATTTAGTAGGAGGGGGGTTAGGTGGAGGGCAACTTTGCCGTGGCCGCCGAGGAGGAGGACTTGCATTTTGGCTTATTGTGATGTAGTTTTGAAATGGTTTGAAAAAGGGATAGAGAGATTGAAGGGGGTAATGGGTTGTGGGTGGTTTGTTCAGAGGGCTGTTCAGCTACTGTGGGGACTGCAGATGCAATGGCGTCATAGAGTATGAGGCATGCGAGTGGCTGCTTTTATCTGATTTGTTTGTAGATCTACACTTCCTCTGGTCATGATAAAGCCTGAGGGCTATACATCTGGACGAAATGAACAAGTATCTTCAAGCATCAATGTATTCTACCCCAGTAAATCCTTATCGTCTCTTGCCAGCTATCATTGCCCACAATGATAGGCCAAAGTATCCCATCAACACTTCCAACTGATCATACACTTAGCAAGAAGCACCAGAAGGGATATTCTCACACTTAGAGCTCGACTCCCCACCAGTAACATCCACATTCGACCAAGTCCAGTCCGAGCAACTCCCGTCACCGCACAGAATATAAACCGGAGTAGCATCGCTCTCAACAGAGCCAATAACCTGCTGCACAGTCAAGTCGGTAATGGGAACACCAGTGGTAGGGGTGCCGGTCGGGCTGCCATTCTCGTAGTCCTGCTCAATGACAACGCCGTAGTCGGTGATACCCGAGAGCTGGATGTTGTTGAATGTCACGCCTGAGACTTTGCCTGCGGCGCCGGAAATGGTTTTGATGCGGATGCCGTTGGCGGAGTTGGATACGGTTGAGTGGGAGATGGTCACGTTACTGACGGTGTTGTCGTCGCGGCCGCCGACGGAGCCGATGGAGAGACCATGGCCGCCGGAGCAGGTACCACCGGTGAAGACAATATTCTGGGAGAGAGGTTAGACGACTATCACAGTATAGATAGTTTGGGGAAGAATGTATGATGAAGTAAAGGTGCAGCGGGAGATTAAGTAGGATCTACTTACGGTGCCAGAGTTAACAGCCAAGCAGTCATCCTGATTCTTAACAACAGCATTACGGATAGTAACGCCGTTACTCTCGCCAACATCAAAAGCATCAGTATTATGACCACCATTATCATCACCATCCGAGTTATCGATCGTGATTCGGTTTCAGGATCAGGTTATCAGACTGAACGCTAAAGGCCTGGACGGGCGTGTTCTTGACATTCAGGCCAGTGATGGTTGAGTCATCCAGATCGTGGGCATAGAAGAACTTTAGCTTAGTCTTGCCTCCATTGGTACCCTCGCCATCCCACCAGCGCTCTCCACCGCCGTTGATGGTGTGGTTGGAAGTGCCGGCAACGACGATGTTCGAGCCGGAGATACGGATGAGAGGTCCATCCCATTCCTTGTAGCCGAAAGTGGTCTCGCCATCAAAGATGACCTGCACATAGAATAGTCAGATGGGGCATGTTACACGGGCTGTGTTCATGTTCTTCATACCTTGGTGCCAGACTCCAGGTCTGACAGGTCCAAGGTCTCGCCAGCGGGAACTTCGATGTTATCCAGCACAACGGTAGAGCACGAATTGGCGTTAGCACTCGCACTGGCAGCCGAGCTGAAGGTGCAAGAGCTGGAGGCACGCTTGACCAAGGTGGAGACTCGGGTTGGGGCAGCGGTCGCAAGAGCTGCGCCCAGAACCACTATGGACACCATAGACGAACGCATTTTGAAGAAGTTGTCTGATCAACAGACAAGTGAAAGAGTGTAAGGAATGAGACTGGCTCAATGACAAAACAACGAAACAAGAAGAGGGACAAAAAATGACTTGAAATGAGAACAGAGTAGAGCGAAGAATTCGGCGCCATCTTGATATATGAGGACGCTGAATGATTCAGGTAGTGATAGACAATATTTATCCCTTATTAACTGATGAATATGAAACATTGGAATAAATGATTCCACCCATCAACAAAAGTCCCCTGTCCCTGAATGTGGGCGATGATCAGCGTATACAAAAGTGCAAGAGACCAATCAAACCCTGACATGTCTCCACAGTGTTCATCATCGCCATCTTTAGAGCAGTCCGCCTGCTCCGATATTTGGCAATGACGGGGACTGGTCCACCGAAATCTGACCAGCTTGCTGACAAGAGGAAAAATGTGCGAGTCTTTATCAGTAGTCCACGTCCTTGCCGAAATTTCGGAAGAAGGTCGGGTGAAGTTAAGGACCGGTCGGGGCCTTTGTTTCAGCCTGAGTTAACTCCTGTAGCTGGTGAGCCAATCGTGCCGTGGTGCTGGAGCTTGATCAGGCACTAGAGACGCCGTTGCCGTGTGGGGCAATGCTTGATGTCTCACTTTTGTCCCACTGGCGTGGGCTCATCAATCTCGTGCATGACTGTCCTGAAAGTGCGGGGTGTGGACGAAGGCATACCGGTGTGGCTGCACTCAAATTATGGGGTCTTGTCTCCTGATTGCTGGAAAGAGACCAGGGGCCGCGCTTTCTCTTGATCAGATCTCCATTCTTTATTGGGCAATGCTCTTTTCGCTCTCAATTCAGACAGAGTGGAGCGGGTATAACTTCGCATTGCTTGGTAGTGAAGTTGCAAGGTGGCTGTAACCGTATATCCCGTGTTTGACCAACAAAGACAACGCGATTCTAAGTGATGCTTCATTTGTGTTGTTGGGCAATTGGTGACGAATGTTGTAGAACGAAGCATTCAAGTCAACTGCTCGGATAGACTCAGGTGGAAGAAGCCGACCAGGCTCTTTCCAAAGCATTTCTCACCTTGAGTGTCGAATAAGCCTGCTCTTCTTGTATGATCCTAAGCACTTCCAGAAGTGCCTCTTGTTCCCGGGGAAGTTCGAAGTATTCACCACACGTTGAAATCCCCATTAGTGCCTCGATAAATGCTGGGGGTGATTTGCGGTTGCACATTGCTATCCCACAAAGCCGGAGCACGATTTCCCTCAACCGCCTCCCTAATTCCCGATGACTGGTCATTGACCCTGGGCCTAAACGAGGTCGAGTAGGGTCAAAGACCGCAAGGAGAATCCGTGCAAGCTCCAGATGTGCCGTTCCAGTGCGATGGTATGTATTGAGATGCCAGATCTCGGGAAACACTTCCCCACAACTAGGGTCCGCGAGGCGACAGTGAATTGGCTCAAATGAAGGAGGTAGTGAACTACTGAATTTTCGTTCGTACCGCTGTAGCTGCTGCCAGCGCTGGATACCGCTGTGGTGGAAGTGATAGATCTCGGATGCGCTCCTGCTCCCGTAGCAATACTCAAAGACGTCGGCGCAAAAGACTACGGCACGGTGTGCCCAAACAGCATCTTGCGCCGGTAATAAATCCCGAAAGCTTTCGTAGTGTGAGAGCTGAAAATGCAGAGAACGTTGCTTCATGAATGATGTAAAGAGTTCCTGGCGTAGAGCAACCGCAAATACTGCTCGGCGCAGGCTGATAGTGTCGTCCCCTGCTTGAAAAATTGTGTGACCAGGAGTAGACGAGACTGCCGGGTATTCTGGAGACGTTGATTGCGACATTGCTGGCGAATGGAAGTCTGAATGGAAAGCACGAGCAAGCGGCGAGTGGTGTGTCGGCACCTGAGTTGATGGAATCTGAGCGTCGATGAAAATATTCAGCATGCGAAGAAAGACTTCAGAGTCCTCATCGCCATAGCTGAGCGGCCCATTCATTTCTTCATCTGTGCGAAGAATGACCGCTGCTGCGAGGAGATTTTCATTGTGCACCTGTTCAGGGTCCAGACTGAGCTCGAGTAGATCTCGGATGCATTCATTATGATAGTGGACTGGGGACTCCTGCGACAGCTCCGGAAGTATATGGCCTTGCCATTCGATGGTTCCATCTTGCTTGCGGTATCGAGCCAGTCCGCACAAATGGCGAGCCGACGTCGTCAATATTGCGTTCAGTAAGGGACGACAAGATCGAGCCCGTTGAGGGACCGCATTGGTGAAATGATATTCCGGGTCGCAGAGGTCGAATCGATGTGCGATTTCCTCCGTGTAGTATCGAAGGAGAATTGCTTGGACACGAACACTGTGATGTGATTCTCGTGGAGAAGGCCCCTCAATGGGCGAGAAATGTGAAGATATAGATCCATGTAGCGTATATGAAGGAGATACAGTAGGTTGTGTAGGGCCCGGCTCGGCAGCCTGCGTGTCTGCTAATCGTGAGATAGCAAGCGGGGTCTCAGAGACCTGTGTGTCATGGTCTGCCCCAGTAGTTTCCAAGCTGATGTCTCCTGTATACGGACTAGATGGATGCGATGAGTTGGCGGCATCTTCGACCATAGATCTGGTCTCCGAGTCCTGTTCGAGGCCATATCCGGCTGTCAGGGTTTCATCGATAAACTGTAGTTTTGCTAATTATCCGCAATTGCCCTCGTCAGTTCTATATTCACAATTCTCTTTGTCCGGCAACTCATTACAGCACCCAAGACATTGATCACGTACAGAATCTTCGACCCTTTGGCGTAATTAAAGGGCTTGTTTTGGAGTCCCACGAGAAAACATGGTGGAAGCGAATCGGTTTGTTTCGTTTACTTCCGCCGATACAAGACAATTGTAACCGCTTGCATTGGCGACATATTGTACCGTCATACTCGCCTAGGCCAAGGTTAGCATGTTATAATTCAAAAGATGATGAGGCATTTTTCCGGCTTGCATTTGACATGGCGCTCTGTAGATCAATTATCAGCCAGAGTGCTACTCGTCGCATGTACGAAAATGAGACTTATCGACAGTTCCTGCAAGGTTGACCTCTATTCCGACTTCCGACTTGTTTTTGGTTGTTCTTCATCTCCCAAAACAAGCCGGCGAATGGTTGCCTCTTTAGTTAATTCTCGTGGGTTTTGTGTTCCTAAAGCAGAAATCACAGGAGCGGGAAGACGGGAGGGGTGGTGGAGATCCATGATCTGTGCTTATCTAAGCATCCGCCCCCGCCCGCTCCCAGCTGGAAACAGACATGACAAGCGGCGGCCAATTGCCTTTTACATCAGATAGGGAAAGTGTTCTCCCCCCGCAAAGCTGGACAAAGTTTAGCTTGGCCAAGGACAGGTTTGAAGCTGCAAGACCCCCTCCTGTCCTCCCTTCCGTTGCCCCATGGGGCCCCAGATGAGATTCGAGATTAGCTCATGATGGATGATACCCGGTCATGGAGTGACGACGGCTATCGAGAGCATCGGGCTGAGGCCGAAGAGCCCGAAGATGTAGATCCGAGTGCCGACACCCCTCTCCTGACTGCAGACAATGAGGTCAATCCGTCTATAAAAGACAGGAATACTCGCCGACAACACTCGATTGCCTACCAGCTTGGAGAATACTGTCTTTCTCTCATCAACGCCATGATGGGCTCTTCCAAGGATGGCGCTAAGTCCTCTGAACATGAAAATGTCTCGCCCGCCAACCCCGATGCTTGGGTGGACTCTGTATCGTACGGCCCTGGCGGCATGCGTGGTCTCTTCTCCAATTCCTATGTGTTTGGAGCTGCCTTTTTGGCCTCTCTGGGAGGGTTTTCGTTTGGGTATGATCAAGGTGTGATCTCGATCATCAATGTCATGGATAACTTCCACCGGGCATTCCCAGAAGCCGCGACGGCATTCGGAACCTCGTTCATGACCTCTATGCTCTTGCTTGGGGCTTTTATTGGTTGCTTTTTCATGCCATATCTCTGTGATAAGATTTCGAGAAAATGGGCTTTAACCGTGGTGGTTGTGATATTTGATATTGGCGCCATCATGCAGACTGCTGCCCAGAGCTATGGAGAGTTGGTCGCTGGCAGAGCCATTGGAGGAATTGGTGTAGGAACCCTGGCCATGGTATGTCGCCTTCGCGCCCTTCTCTCCTTCTTTCTCTGAGGGTGTCCAATGATAAAATGGCTAATAACGATTCATGTAAGGCCGCCCCTCTTTATATCTCAGAAATATCTCCGCCCGAGCTTCGTGGAACTCTCCTTGTGTTAGAGTCCATTTCGATCGTCTCGGGTGTCGTGATTGCCTTCTGGATCACCTACGGCACACAATATCTCACCAGCGAGGCTTCCTTTCGGCTCCCCTTTGCTCTGCAGATGGTGTGTGCGACTATCCTGGGCGTCGGAATCCACTTTTTCCCTTACTCGCCCCGTTGGCTAGCTCTGGTCGGTCGCCGCAACGAATGTCTATCAAGTCTAAGTAAGTTGCGCAAGCTCCCGCCAACCGACGAGCGGGTACAGACCGAGTACAAGGGCATCATTACCGAGGTCGAATTTCAAAGACTCGTGATTGAAAAGACGCATCCTGGTGTCACGGGCTTTCGCTTAGAAGTCAATTCATGGCTGGAATTATTTCGCCGTCGTAACTGGCATCGCACGGCTGTCGGTTGCGGTATCTTGTTTTTTCAGCAATTCTCTGGAATCAACGCGTTCATCTACTATGCGCCGACGCTCTTTAAGAATCTCGGTCAGACGGACCATATGAGTCTGATCATGTCTGGCATCTTCAATATCTTGCAGCTACTCGCCGTCATCATCTGCTTCCTCATCATCGACAAAGTCGGACGTCGGCCACTTGCGATATTTGGTGCTATTGGCAACACGATCTGCTATGTGGTCATTACGATTCTCTCAGGATTGTATTCCCATGATTGGCCAGCTCATCAAGGTGCCGGGTGGGCAACAGTCGCTATGGTTTTCTGCTTCATCCTAGTCTATGGAGTCTCGTACTCGCCCCTTGGATGGGCACTACCATCCGAGGTATTCAGTACCGCGACCAGATCCAAGGGCGTTGCATTATCTGTGTGCGTGAACTGGCTGTCCAATTTCATTGTCGCCATCGCCGTCCCGCCTATGATGGAGTACAGAGGCTACCAAACCTATATTTTCTTCACGGTGATGTGTCTTTTGGCCGCAATTTGGGCGTTTTTGTTGGTTCCAGAGACCAAGGGAAAGACTTTGGAGGAGATCGATGAAGTGTTTGGTGGCGTTCAGGGACAGGAGGAACAGGCTATTATGCGACAAGCAATAATCTCGGTCAACGAGGAGATTGTGTAGGTCGCGAGACCCTCACTTTCTCGATGCCTACGTTTGATCTGTCAACGTATTTGTCCACGGAGATATGTGATGTTATTCTGCTCTAGATATCATCCATGAATGAAAATGTAAAAAAAGATTCTTTCTCCAGATCAAATGTCCCGTCTCGGGATATATTTCCAGGGCCAAGAACCACATGGGCAATGTATCGAGTCAAGCAACCGGGCACTTCCCTGCCTACCTTTCAACAACTAAGCTATTTAATCAGGACTCACTGTCCGAGCGTGATGCAAGTGTTAGACTTACTCATGTCCTCGCAGTTTGCAGAGCCAAGAGTTGGCCATCCGGAAGCTTGCTGGCAGACGATCTGATTCCGCAGATATAGTTCGCACACCCCAACATTTTTAGACTATGTTCGAAATATGTATATACAGAATTCACGAAATTTGTATCGATGAATCATGTTCAATCCGGCAAAAAATCCTATTTGGTTGAATCGTGACACCGGTAATTTATTAAGCTCTGTTAGTATGAAAATGTCTCGGCAATGACATCAAGATTTGATCAAAATGAGGCCATATTTTAGTGGCCTGGGATCAGATATTGGACACCAGGTTCTAGATCACCGTGCACTGTCTAAGATAGATTACTGAGACAGTAATTGAATTTTTGTACAGGCACAGTAGTACTGTAGGGCCATAGTGTAAGCTCTCCAGTATGTACAGTAATCAGTTGTCCAAAAATACGAGATCCAACAGCAGGCTCCACCAGACCCAAGAACCGTTGTCTGTCGTTCCTTGCACTTGTAAAGTGTAATTAGAGCGCCGAGAAATCTCCACTGAGTTGTAATCAATTTACACTGAGCCTCGACCTGCTTTGACAATGGTGCTTTGGGCGCGAAGGAAAAGAAACTGGGATGGGACCGAGAGCGACAATCGTGAACTCTACCCTCCAGGGGGTGTATTCACTTCGCGGTAGAGAGCCCATCGACGTAGGGAGAAGAGAACAAATCGATCTTAGTATAGACTGTAGCAATCAGAAACGAGGGTTGTCGTGCGTCGTGCGCACCGACAACATCAGCCCTAGCAAATTTCTCGTGTGGGATGAAACAACGATTTCGTAAAGAGACCTGGCCATTCGCTCTCGCCCTTCGCCTGCGGCAGCCCCAATTATCAAGATTACCGACCTACTCCGTAGTCTTTTCTTTGTGACGTTCAGTGCACAGGCATCTGGCCCGTAGCGATCGTGTGCTTTCCTCTCGAACCCGGGATTGTCGCTCCGAGAATTTCTGCCTTGGCCCTGTACGATTGAGATGCGATCGGGTTGAGGGCTCCGAGTCGATCCATGCAGGAGAAAGGAGTGATTTACTATCAATGTGTTGCGATCGATCGCCATTCTATATCGTCGAATATAAATAAATAGTTATATGTATACCGGATTACGGAGCATTTATTTGTATTGTATGCAGATAATAATGCTCCGGTGATCAATGTTCTATGCAAGAATGGAGTCCCGTAACTCCAGTGTGTTAGTCGAGGTGATAGATCGAAAGCACTTCTACGGAAATTTAATCTCAGGGCAGCGCCTCTTTCGCACGAGGAAAAACGGGGCAGACGGAGGGGCTTGTCCAGTGGAGGAGGGGGAATGGGAAATCAGAAAATCGAATTCAGGTCCCCCCGTTATTTAGTTACCAGTGGAGTCCCCCTTGTCCCGGCTTTTTCCCCACAGACCAGCTACAAATCCTTCGGCTGGACAGTTAAGTTCTGACTGATTGTTCATTATTCAGGTATGATCGAAGAGCTATTAAAAAGGGTTTGAACGGCATTATGGCGTGCATGATTGAAAGAAAGAATGGCTTTAATCGATCGATCAATTCAATGTAGTCAAACGCCATCATCTGCACAAACATTGCCGTTTGGCCCAGGGGGTACAGATCCATACCATGGCCCCTCTTGGGCGGCATCAAAATTACGAAGCCAAGCCACCCAATTTGGGGCTAGTCAGGGGTACCACTTGGGCCCCAGCCAATCTCCCACGACGGGGAACTTCGTTGCGGGTTTAGGGCGCCGCCATCGGGAAACGCCAGCCTGTCATATGGAGCAGGATGAAGACTTGAAGTATTAACAGGTACGGTATTAAGGTTGAATACTGTAAATTTAGTATTCCAAGGCTCTAAGGCCTCCGACAAAATCTGATCTGTTGGTCCTCCCATAATTATTCGACAAACTCTCTGGCTTCTAGCTTCCTGGTCTGGACAAGTCTTCTCCTGCAAGATGGTGGGCATGTAATTAATTTATCGGAAATCTACTCCGCATGCTTTCATCTCGGTATCTGTAGTTATAGTTGTATTTGAACAAATAAAGTAAGTAGACTACGATTGCCGAAAATTTTTTCGCGGGCCCGAGATATGAAAAAATAATGTCTCTTTATCCGAGTTCTGATCAGCACACTACATATCCATCTTGGGCCACCCTATTTGCCAGTTTTTATTTGACTGTGTGTGCCTCGGTACTGAAAACAATTAGAGCCGCCTCACAAAATAAAATTTAGGGCCGCATAAGCAGCAAAGGACCGCCCAGTGGACCCTTCTACATCTGTACAATGAAGATTATGAGAGAATGGATGAAGTACGGCCGTAGTATTGTATGTGCTTGAAGAAGATTATTCACACAAAGGCTTCATGCCTGCCAAGCGAAGCAATTTCAGGGCCCACAGCTCGTTTTTTCTCCCCTTTAAAGGCCCCTTCGCCAAAGCTAGCAGGTCCTCCGCAAGTGGTCCAGATGCTCGCTAAAGCGAAAAAGCTTTGCCCACATCAGGCCCAGCAACGGCTGTCAAGCCTTTCCCCCCTCAAAACGCGACCCAGACTAATTCGCGCTAGGCGATGTTTGTCCCCAGTTGTTCCCTTTTTCGGGTGTCGGGCCCGATGTTCGTGGTCTTGCTTGATTCCATGATCTGTGCTTTTTGGAGCATGATCTCATAGTTCCACAGCGAGGTCCTGTTCTCGGAAGCGATGATGCAAGAGGTGTTCGGCCTTATGGAGTCAATATTAACAATATACGAATTACAATCGACAGTATCCAATATTTGTCGCGCTGCAGGGTGGGGAAGAGGTAAAGAAAGGAGTTGATGCTCACCTGACTGTTGCTTCTTATGACCGGAGGTATAGATCCGCGGGGGACCAGAAAACAAAAAGTCAAATCAAGATATGCGATCGCGAGAACGAACTATGGGTTTGTATACTGTGGATACAAGATGGAAAAGAGGTGGTACTGCATTTTGATAGCTTGATCAGGCGTACAACCGGACAATACGTTCTCACTAGCAAGCTGTGGGAGATGCGCTGCACGACGCAGGAGGTTCTGCAGCATCGGAGAAATACGTCGAGATTGGCTAATTTTAACGACGACTGGCTGCAAGCCATGTAGCCGTAAGCCATGGCTTTCTTCACGAGCGCGGCAATTCAAGATATAATTGCATTGTGGTCTCTCGTTACGGTAGGAGTTCTCGCCTCATGCTGCGGCTGTCCCGCCCACGCAAGGAGTTTGATCGCATTATCGGTCGCTAATGCGAGAAGAAACAACAACAATCATGGTAAAGTTTGGATATCATCACATCATGGTTCATGATTCGTTTATTGTTTATCGAGCTTGCAGTGTCTCACTGCCTATACGCAAAACATGAATCATTTCCCCGTAGTATATCATCGACCAGGGAAGAGAAGCAGGGTACATGTCGGACTTTCCTATGCAGGTAGCTCCCGATCCGAAGCCCCAAAACGAGCATCAGCCAAGACGACTGGCCCTTTTCATCCACTCGTTTAATTGTACGGAGCAATATTCAGGGCATCAACGATCGTCCAGTCCACTGTTCGTGGATGCCCTTGGGCTGTCCCGTGTCCAAACTCCTGGAACGACTAGAAGGACAAGGAGCTCGACTAGAAGGGCTAGTGGGACTTTTTCATTTATTAGTTAATTGGAAGCCCGGCTTTGAACTCCCGGAGCGTAACGGGCCAGGAACCGGTTAGGACCCTGGTCATTCATTATTTACCCTGGTACATAGATTCGTTCTTTATTGGGTGTTGTTGCGATTACTACAGTACTACACGACTCTTTTGAAGACAGGTCTTGTTGACCTGGAACGCGTCGCAACTCTAAGCCCCGCGTTGGTATGGGCCGGCTTAGCCATGCGGCGCATCCTCCGAGTCCCCATATCGCAGTGCGACTGGGATCCTTCACAGTCGTTGAAGTGGCGGTTCCGCCCCAGATCCACATGCCGCCGGACACGCGAGGTAAAGGAGAGATAGTCAGTTATTGCATTCAACAATGACTATTTAGTATGATGTACGGAGTATAGTTAGTTAGTACTATGTATAGAGGTATGGAGTATTTACACTGGAGGCGTATCCAGTAAAGTGACGAGTGATACCAATACCGCGCAATACGCAATACACTGCAAGGGACGATTCAATTGGCCCCTCTTCATTGCGCCCTGTTCTCCCCTTGTCCCCTCCAATTCCCAAATTTCCCCTCCAATTTTAACCCCCCAAATCTTGGTCCTTAAATTACCAGGTACTGGCCCCCCGATCTCGCCCTTGGTAATAACTGGTAACCACTGGGTCATCAACAGTACCCAGAGAGGTTATTGAAGGGTACCAAAGGGTAATGAAGGGTACTGGACAGTAATTGGCACAGTAGCCAGGAGCTCTCCGCCGTAACCCATGGAAGCAATCTCGGGAAGCCCCTTGTTGGACCTCATGGGCATTGCACTGCAGATGACAGGACAACCTTGATTCAATAATAAACAAGAGATTCTAAACAAATAAATATCAACAAGCCATCTTCAACATCAGATCCTTCGTCAAACTCCGTAACGGGATCGACTGAACGGTGGGCACCTGGATTGAGCCTACGAGGACGATCCGGATCCAGATTCCTTTCTTCTTATTAATTTTAATTTTAATTAGTCTGTTTTAGTCTTCTCATAAAAAAGTAAAAGAAGAAAAAAAATTCAAAATTCAAAATCAAAATGGTCCCAGTTTCTAGCCCCGTACCGACTACGGAAAGTCAACTGTAATCTACGCCAACGCCAACGCTAACAACTCTCAACGCTAGGGTACTTTTCTCTCCCCATTCCGCGCATCTTCTCTGTACTCATCGCATTCTTCGACGAGGTCCCTCTCTCTCTTCTCCTCTTCTTCCACTCCTTAATCTCTCGTTATTACCATAATACTTCGACCATCGTCGCCCTCGTCTCTCCTTTCAAAGTCTACTCGCCATTGCACTTTCGACCGCAAACACCCCTCCCTTTGCAGATTCCAATCGTCTCCCCAATCAATTGGCCCCATTTCTTTTTTCTCTCGTGTGATCAGTCCAGCCATTTCGCCGCTGTGCCAGAATTGCCGCTTGATTGGTGCTTCATCCCCTGCGACCCGACTGCTTTTCGGCCTACTGTACGCGAATACCTCGAACCGCGGGAACTCGTCTTGACGCCCACTACTTGCATTTCGTCTACTTCAGGAGTCATCAATCCATCGCTCCATTGCTCTCCCCCGCCAATTTCGCACTGTCTTGCGCCAAATGGCCATGCCGCTCTTCCCACTCTCCGGATAAGGAATTCCCAGTGAGTCGGCCGCAGTAATGCAATTCGAGGCAGAATAAGGCCCGAAAGACTGACATCCATGCTCTGAACTTGACAGTCACTCACTCATTCCCCCTCACTCGTCATTCGCTTTGCTCCGAGGATATCTACGCCGGTAGCCGCTCGTTAACTCGCCGGTAGAGTCTCGGGCACTCTTATTTCATAATGCATCGCTTTCGCAAGAATAAGAAGGTCAAGGAGACCTTGGATGAGTTGGAGAATGGGCCATCAACATCGAGCTCGCCCTTTAGTTTGAAACCCTCGAAGAAGAAGGATGCGGAATTGGCACAATTTCAACTGGACTTGTCGGGCGCCCTCCCTTCCTCGGATGATTTCCGCACGAGTCTGCTCATGCCAAAGCTGTCCGCTCGATTCAGCATGTTGAGAGAACAGGATGACCCAGATACGAAACTCGGAAAGGCCAGCGACGATAGTGTTCTGTTCCCCAAGCGAGCCTCGCGATTGAACCTCTTCGGACACAACCCCAGCATGTTGACGGATATCGACGAAGTATCATCCAACGATGGCAGCCGTCCATCAATTGCTCTGGGACGAGCCGACTCTTACGCCTCGGGCATGGAAGCAGGCTACGGTACCGACGACGATCGCTCGCAAAGCGGTAGCATCATGAGCCGAGCCCGTCGTGCGGAAGGAAACAACCTCTTCGGTGGCCGCCAAAAGGTCTATCGCATTCCGGTTCGCTCGCCTACGGGGACATCGCCCAGCTCAACGGAGCCTAATCGCGGTATGGGCAAGTTTGTCTACGAGCATGACCTGAACATGTCTGCTTTCCAGAAGATGCGGCACAAGGAGAGGGAAGAACAACGACTTGCAGAGGAGGCGGCCCAAGAAGAGGCAGCCCAGGAGGCGGCGATGCAAGAATCAGAGGATGCCACTTCGAGTTTCTCTACAAAACGCACTACCTATTCTTCGACGGGATCTGGGCCTACCACTAATGCCCGCACGTCAACTGCTGCCACTTCGATCGACGAAAACCTGCCTATTGCCTCTCAATTGTCAACGGCCTCCACGCCAGCTTCAGAATTCCCAGTCGATGCTCGCCCGCCATCCGCAATGTCGACGCCTCGCAATGGCTCTGTTCGGTCTCGTCGCCTGTATGGGCAAGGCCTCACTCAGACGGCCCAGAATCAACAGACTTCGACTTTGAGCCGCCTGGAAAGCCTGAGTCGTCAGCGTGCCGGGACCCCAGACCTGCTTCCGTTGAACCGTAATTACTCTCGCAGCGCCACCAACCTGCGTGATCGCCTTCAGAAGCTCAACATTACCGGACCGGCTACTACGTCTCGGCCCACGAGTCCTCCTTCCTCGGCGACCTCACCCAAGCAGCCCACAGCCCCAGAGCCTCCTGTGAAAGACCGTACTTCGCCCACTCCTGCTAGCTTCGGGGCCGCGCCTCCTCTGAGTCCGCCAACGAGCGAGGGTGAGGACAGTAACAACCTACTAGCAGCAGCACTCAACCCTGAGGATCATGGAAAAGCCACTGCTATGGGCCTTTTCAACCGGCCTGCTACGGGATTCGACGAGCAGCAGTTTATGCGCCGCCAGCTGCAGATGCACCAGGGCCGCAGCACTCCTCCCCCACGACGTCCGTCGCCCCCTCGTCGTCCTGCGCCGCAGGAACCGGCTGGCCGCTCGCGAGGTCTTTCCAAGTCTAGCTACCGTTCTCGAGCCGAGTCTGCTTCTTCCCATTACAGCAGTGATGCGCAGCACGGCATTGAGCACTCCCGGGCATCGAGCGTGGAGGCCTCGCCCGGCCGCCCAGGCTTGACAACTTTCTATGCCAATTCGACCGCCAGCGAGTCCGGAGATGAGCACGATGATCGTCGCTCGTACGAAGTTTCTTCGGTGACCACTATGGCCACCGACTTTGGCCACCCGCTGCAACATGCCAGCACCGCCTCTAAGCCTCCAACTCCCACTGGCGAGCACCTGGAAACTCTTCCAGAGGTTAGATACTCTGATTTGGGCGATCTCAAGCCTATCGAAGAGGACGAGAGTCTGGAGGAGAACGATGCCCCTTCTCAGGAGGCAGGAGGCAGCATTCCTCAGCGGCCAGATTCGCCAACATTTGGCCTTAATGGCTTCATCCAATCTCACCTACGCCAAGTGAGCAACCAATCCTCCATCTACCCTCCCCCGTCTCCAGGTCTGCCGCCGCAAGAACCCAATTCAAACTATCTCGCTGCTGAGGAGCCTATCTCTGGGGCAACTACTCCAGCAACTACCCCTGACGAGACACCATCGACCCTCGACATGGAACCTTCGAGCCCGAAGGCTCTGTCGCACCAATCCTCCGAAGTCACTGCGAATCGCTCGAGCGGTGACTCCTCTGATGCTAGCGCTCTGCCCGAGCATGGCTCCGGGGTTGCACACTCCACACACTGGAAGGAGGAGCTGGCTTATCATCACCGTCGGGACGGAAGCACTGAGACCCAGAGGGAGCGCGAAGAATTCGCTATCGAGCTGGCTGAGCGGCGGCGCAAGGTCCAGGAGAAGCTGCGCAGCGTCGCAGAGAGCGAGAGCCGTTCTAGCAGCCCGACTCCCGGTCGCCAGACTCCCGACCTAGGTGGGATCAAAGCTGGCAATGCTTTCTCCCTCCTGAAGCACAAGACTGGCAAGCAAGGCGTCCCGAAACTGGACCCCAAGAGCAAGATGTATGGTTATAACAGCGGCTCGACCCCAGCCCTGGTGTCAGAGGATTCATGGCGCGAGGAGGAACGGCCCTCTTTCAACCTTGGCCGTCACTCCAACTCCAGCTCTCCCCAGGTTGGATCCGAGAGGTCAATTCGGTCGCGTATGCCAGTGATCGGTCGCAGTAGCAATGAGGATTCTCGCGAATCTAGTCGCAGCCGTGGTCCCTCCCCACACAACGCCTTCCGCTCTCGTTCTGGCTCTGACGCCTCTGGTCGGTCCAAGAGCCGAACTCGCTATCGTGAACGTGATGACCTCGAAACTGTGGATGAGGGTGCTGTCATTGCTCATGATAACTTTGTCATTCCTGACAACTTTGAGCCTCCTTCGGTCTCTAGCTCAACCCGCCCGTCGATGGAAGTCGAGCCTGTTGGGTATGATCGTTCCTCATCCGCCGCATCTGGCAGATACCGCAGCACCAGCCGTTCCGGTACCTCCAATTTCCAGTATGAGCGGCCGTTTGCTTACCAGCAGTCGCACCCTCCCTCCATCATCGGTGCCACGCCTCGAGCTCCACCTGCTGCTCCCGCGTACTCTGCCAACGCCACCCCTCCGTTGAATGAGGATCAATCTCCTACGGCGTCCATGCCTGCCATGCCCAACAATGCCCATACCCTGCCTCAACGTGCGCCCGGACACGGCCTGCTCCAAAAGCGCAGTGTCAACAAGAAGCTCATTTCCGAGCCAACCTTGGTGTCTTCCACATCCAATGTGCCGCTTGTCGGTCTCCCCACTGGCAATTCTATGTCATCCGTCTCTTCACAGCCAGGAGCCACCCCGCCCCCACTTCCGCCCATGAACCCGCGTCGCCGCCGTGGTACCCAAACCATTCTCAGTGCCTTCAAATCTGACAAGCACGAATCCCGGGTCTCTTCTCCAGCCCCTAGCATCTCCGACGAGCAGAGTTACTTCCCTGACGACGAGAAGCGCCCACGCTCCCGCAATCGTTTGCGCAAGACATCCAGCGAAGGTGGCAATCTGAATGCCAGGGCACGCCAGGAGGCTATGGTGAGCCCAGCTCCTGCTGTTCCCCAATACCCACCGCCTGCAGTCCCTGTGGATGGTGGCATGTTCTAGGACAGGCAGGTCTTTGTCTTCTATTTCCCGTGTTTGCCATACCGACGGTTGCGTTTCTTTGTCTTGGCTACATTTCATTACCGCATCTTGTCCCCTTTGGCCCTCCTGCTGTCCCGTGTCCTTCCCTAAGTTGACATCAGCTCTTTCTGAACCTTTTTTTTGTTTCGACTGCTTTTCATCTGAACTTTTTACGACTATATACCACCTGGTGCATTTCTTGAGCGTCTACTAAGCTGAACACTAACACTGAATCTTGTCATTATTGTGTGCCCATTCGTGTCTACTTATTTTTTTTCCTTTTATTTGGCTCCTGTTCTTTCGATCACATATCCCCGAGTTGGCGGTGTAACTAGACATATCTGTATGATTGTGTTAAAAATGGATACATATTATTTTTGGAATCTTATTCAAGCATAGGGTAGAGCATTTGCTAATCTAAACACTCAAATTAGTGTTCGAAAAATCATAAGGGCGATTTACCAGTGTTGTCATGTCACGTGTGCATCCGAATACCTAACTAACTTAAGGGAGTCAAATTAAGGTTGCCATGTGGTAGTCACGTGGTTCTATAAGCCCTGAACAACAACGTCAAGTATAAAAATGCTTAAACGTTTCCGCAATATTAACGGAGTAGTTTGCAGCAAAACAGACTTGGTAATAAATTAAACAAGCTATAATACTTGCCCATAGTTCCAACACATAGGAACTCTTCAATTACCCTGTTTAAATGGGCTGAAATTCTCAAACCGTACTCCTGGGAGATAATAGGAACGAAGTACTAAGTTAAACACGTATTTAGTCGAAGATATAACTCAAAAAGCACAATTGTGCTGTATAGAATGATCTACTTACTGCATGAATACTCATATACACTATTCACTTTGCAAACTTATGATCATTGCCTAATCAGAGCTCGTTTTTATTTGTTCCGTTGGGTTCTATGTCGACTGCTCCCGCCGTTTATGGCGCAGCCTCAATATAAAGTTCCGAAATAGCATCAATCCAGGCAGATGAGTCGTTTATGAGTCGTAATATTGTGGCCGCTTAGTCGTTATATGGCGGCTGGTGATTTAAATTCGGATTCTAACCTTGCCTCGATCTTCTCTCTTCATCCCATCCTCCTCCTTCGAAAATCCTGCCATCACAAAAATCTCACAAGAATCTTTTCATCGCCCAAAGTTGCGCCAGGACGGTTTCGAACGCGAACTACTCTATACTCTATCATTTCTTCACGCAAGCTGACGGGTTCGAACGTGATATTCAAAACTCGCAGCCATGGCTCCAGCTCCCTCTCGGATTGCCGCACGTGAAGGCGATACCTTTCGTGAGAAGGGACAAGGACCACACTGGACCGCAAAGCTGCCTCTTCGTGTTCTACACGACTGGAGTTTGTGTGGTGGCCCTACTCCTGGAGCTCCCGTTTCACCTCCGCGTTCCCCTCTTCGCCCTCGCGGTCTTCCTCGCTCGCCCTGGCATCCTGATCTTTGTTCTGAATCCAACACCCGCACTCATACTTCTCATCAACTCCATTCTGAAAATCATCAAATCCATCAAAATAATCCTCCTGATTATCGTGATTCTGCACAAGATCACGATCATCAGTACTGCCACCCTCATCCTCACGGTCGAGACCACCCTCACGGTCAAGGCCATCAACTCCATCCTCCTGATTATCGTGATTCTGCAAAAGGTCACGATCATCAACTCTGTCACCCTCTCCCTCACGCTCAAGACACTCGTCACAGTCAGGACCACTCATCTCGCCACATCTATCCTCACGGTCAAGACCATTCTCACCTCCCACGCGCTCATCTCTACGCTACCTCCGAGACTACCACTGAGCCTAGTACTCCCGACTACTCCCCTCCCGAGTACTGGCAACCTCCTCCAAACGAGCCACCTCCAGCCTACTCCGACTTTCAACCCTTCTCCTTCTCTGGTCAGCTTCCACAGATTGCTAACGAAGCATCTGTTGACCTTGCTCACGTCGGCCTCGGCATCGTGATTCCTGACGAGGCTCGTTGGTACGAAAACGAGGAAGAAAACCGAGCTGCCCAAGCAGCCCTCGACGAGTTCCTCGAGAATTACATCGAGCCAACCGTCGAAGAACCAGTCGACCTCGCTGTTGAGAGGACTGTCAATCTTCCCCTCGACCCCACCACTACCTGTGAGGACAGTAAGTTGATAACACTATCCGCGCTCTCAACTCTCACATGTTCTAACCACATTTACTACAGGCTTCTCTTACTCTCCGCTCTCTGTCGTTCCCAAGAAAAGGGTTCGACACCGCGTCCACAGGAAGAACAAGCACGAACGCAAGAAAGCGAAGAAGTCCAAGCGACCCATGATGGGCCAGGGCGCCTCCAGTCTTCCCGTGCCCGTTGAGGGATCTCCCGCGCCCTCTGACGGCTCTACCGGCATTGCTTCCCCCACTAGCATTGCCGAAACCATCATCATGGCGTCGGACGCCGACAATGTCCGTTCGCCTCCCCCCTCTCCGTCGCCTCTGCCCACTGATCAGGGCATGGGTCCCCGTCCTGCGGCGCAGGGCCCCGTCCCCCAGGCCCCGCCAAAGAAAAAGAAGAAGAAGAAGGGGAAAAAGGCGAGGAAGGCCGGCCAGGCCGGCGGCAACATCACGGGGCCATCTTTGGATGCCCAGCTCACGGATCCGGTTTCTCCTACCCCGGAGCCGGTCGTCTCTCTCGTAGGGGCCACCTCTGAGGTGGAGACTCCTGCCGGTGTCATCACTGCCGGTCAGGATAGTTCTCCCTCGGAGGCCCCTTCTCCCACCGTCGTCAATAGCGGTGGTGAGGCCACGACTGAGTCGTCCACTCCTGTGAAGGAGTATACCGGTCCGTGCATCGTCGACACGGAGCGGTGGCGCCAGCGTCAGCTGGCTCGCATTTCGGAGATGAACGCCGATGCGAAGCGTTTGTACGAGGCTCGAAAGGATATCGGCCTCCACGCTGTCCCCTTCGAGGTTGGCGATGTGTTCCCTCACTCTGTCTATCAGAGTGAGAACAGCTGGGCTCAGTGGCCGATGGAAAGTCAATCGGTGCCCGCTCAGTCCTCACACGACGGTGGCAACAAGACTGGGTACATTCAGCCCATGTCTGGCGTCGTTGCAGGTGCTTGCGGTTTTTACCCGACCTGCCACCATCACCACGATCAAAGTGGTCCCCGCCACAGCTGCTGCTGCCTTCATGGCCCAGCAGACTGCTGGTATGTTGCCCCTGTGCCTGCCGGTCCTGCCGCCAGCCAGGAGCTGACGTCCACGGCCGTGTCGCCTAATGAAGCACGCCGTGTGTCTCAAATGTCGAGTCCCAAGTCCTCAAGCTTGGGTGAGCCTGTCAGTGAGCCCATCGTGGAGTCGGTGGCCTCACTGGTTACCGCCAGTCCTGCTGCAAGCACCGACAACGTTCCCGTCACGAACGTCATCTCCACTCCAGCAAATGCAAAGGAGATGGGTCGGTGCCAGGTTTACCTGGGTGGAGTCCCAACCCCGGAGGACTTAAAGACTCCCAGTCTGTACTTTGACGCCAAGTCAAAGAACGTGAGTCCTTTCTCCGCCTTGGCCTCGAACGAGTCGAAGCCGGCTTCGCGGGCTACCAGCCGCAAGCCATCGACTTGTGGCAGTCGCGGCCCGGAGACGACTCAAACTGGGCACCCCGACGAGACTCGCAGCCAGGCTTGCACAACCGTGCCTGCCGACACCCGCCGCCACCAGTCAATCCAGACTGAAGCCCGCGCTGTTGGCCCTCTTGTGTCCCAGTTGGAACATGTCCAGGCACTGTTCGGTAACCCTGAGTTTGCGGACATTCAGCTCCTGCTGAGCCCCGGCCCGTTCCACCCGCCCATTGTCTACAATCTTCACAAGGCCATCATCGCTGGAAGTCCTTTCCTGTACAGCGTCATGGCGGCCAAGAGATATCGAGACGGGCATGTGGACCATATGCGTGCCTTCACTGGGCCTTCCTTCACCTGCTCGCACGCTTTCACCATGGCCCTCCAAACTCTCTATGGGACTCCTCTGGTCACCGACGAGACCCTTCGACAAAACACTCTACAAGGACTGGGTATTCCCGACCCCGACGACTTTGGAATGGGCCCATCCTCCTTCTCCATTGAGCGTGCCGTGGTCGACTTTGCCCTTTGCTACGCTGCCGCTGGTGCATTCCTTGCCCGACGCGAGATTACTGAACGAGGCATCGACATGGCCATCAGCCACCTTTCCTGGGAGACTGCAGAGTTTATCCTCAGCTTCGCCATGACCCCCCTCTCTTACATGGTGACCTGCCCTGATGTGCCCTTCGACCTCGCGCGCGGCCTCTCCTGGTAGCCACGGCCTCAGTAACCACGGCCCCGGCACTCCACCCGTTGGAGTCGATCATTTCCACGACTTCCACTATGTCCAGGCGGAGCGAGCTCAAACTGCCGCCCTGCGTTTCATCACCAGCGCAGTTACGCTGGACTTCCAGTTCTACCGACGTGCTCAGTCATGCTACACCCCGAGCCGCATCCCACCCGCTCTACACACCCTCCCAGGCTCCCTCCTATCTAACCCACGTCTGGAGGAAATCCGATTCGGCGACTTACCCTCAATCGCCGACGAGCGCCCCCCAGACCCAGCCATCCTCATTCCGTCCGCTATGTTGATCACTCTCCCATACCGAGTTTTCATGATGGCTCTTGAAATCATGAAGAGTCGCGGCAACCTGAGTCCCGAGTTGATGAATGAGATTGTGGAAGAGCGCGAGTCACGTCGCCTCATGGCACTTAACATCTCTACTGGTATTCCACCGTGGGAAGTTGCCCCCGAGGCCTTTGCTGAGCTGGAGTATCGGGAATTCGTCAAGATGGACCCAACCGACCACATCGGCGCTAACAATGCGCGTCTGCTACGTGCTACTGTCGACCGAGTTTGGGTTGGACGTGACGTGCCCGATAGCCCGCTCCTGAGACCCATCGGTAGTCCTGTCCTGGGTCGTTCGCCTTCTTTTGGCCCCGGCTCTTCCACCCCGAGCAATGCTGCCTGAACACCGGCCGCATGCTCCGATCATTGTTTGATCTCTGTTTGAGTCTCCGAGATCGAAAAGAAAAACTCAAAAATCACAAAAAAAAAGGTTCGAGGAATGGAGAGATGCACAGTGAACCAACAAAATTCACAGTGTTGATATGATTGAAATGAGAACATGAGAATACGAGAATCGACCTGGTTAATACAGCCTGTATGATTATGAGATTATTATCTTAGCAGCCATGGCCACAATGAATATCAAAGTCCCAAACAATTGTTTCTTTTCCATTGGTATCGTAAATCACAAAAAAATAAAGCACTATCTACCCAAGGTATCACACTCTCTATACAAGTAACCCAAAAGCGCAGGTTTCATAGTCTATGCCCACTAGCTAGTCACATCTTATCGGGGAAACCAAAGTTCTTGCCGAAGGGAGGGAAGACAAAGCGCTGGAAAGACTTGGTAGCAGCCAGTTCATCGGAGTACTTCTTGATGGTCGCGACGTCCTCGACATCCAGGTGAATCAGGTCCTTGCGGTTAGCCTCGATACGAGCGGGTGTGACGGACTTGGCGAGGACGGAAGAGCCACGAGCAACTAAACGAGAAGGCGAGGTTAGTTAAAAGGCCAATTCTTTTCGAGAAAATGCATCAGAGAGGAAGTAATGCAGGGGGTTAAACATACTGTGCCAGCTAAGCAGAACAGTAGCCGGAGAAACACCACGCTTCTCGGCAACCTCGACGATAGGCTTAGCCGTGAACAGGGGGCTACCGGTGCTACCCAGGGGACTGTAGGCGGTAATATGGATACCCTTCTGGTTACAGAAGTCGACAATCTCCTGCTGGGGCAGCGAGGGGTGGTTCTCGATCTGGTTTACGGCGGGAACGATGGTGGCCTGAGGGAGAAGTTCCTCCAGGTACTGGACACTGTAGTTGGAGACGCCAATGGCGCGGACCTTGCCGGTTCCGACGAGCTTCTCCATGCTCTTCCAGGTGGTGACGTGGCTGTGGTCGTGGACGATGTCGCGGGAGCCGTCTGCTAGTTTGGGGAAAATGGGGTGGTTTCCTATGGATGTCCGTTAGTTTATTTCCTTTTTCCGTTTTTGTTCAGAAATGCATGTAGATGGGCCGGGAAAGGGAAATAGTACCGTTAGGGTTCATAGCCAGAGGCCAGTGCATCAGGTACAAATCAACATAGTCCAGACCAAGGTTCTTGAGGGAAGTCTCGAGTCCCTCCTCGACACGGGCGTGGTATGAGCACCACAGCTTTGTAGTGACGAATAGATCCTCGCGCTTGACAATGCCTGCATCAATGGCTTCCTTGATTCCCTGGCCGACCTCGTGCTCATTGCCATAGCACAGGGCTCCGTCAATGTGGCGGTAGCCCGACTTGATGGCGTGGCTAACAGCGCGAGCAACCTCGCCAGGTCCGGATTGCCAGGTACCCAGGCCCAGAGCGGGGATCTCGGCACCGGTGTTCAACTTGAAGCGGACGTCTGCGGCGGCCATTGTGATTGTGATAAGATGTTTTTATGGGGTTATTGGGATTGGAATGAGAGAATGGACGGAATTGAAAGCAATGGAAGATTAATAGAAAGAGAAAGAGAAAGAGAAGAAGGGAAAAAAAGAATCCGTAGTAAGGAGGAGAGGGGCTCGATGTAAAGATGCCCCGAAGTGTTTATCCCCCCCACGCAGCCCACGCAGCCCACGCGGGGGGAATTCCTTTTGCCCCGCTGGAAACTGACCCGGCCCCGGTCACGTTCGCTGTTCTTCCATCAATCATATTGGACTGTACGACACAATATTACTACAACATGTACTACAATAAGTGATATAACCCCCCATTATCTCTCGTCTTGTCAGTAATGATGGGTGTTCATCCATGATTCTTTCTCCTGCTGCAATAATGAAATGATGGAGAAAATGCCCCGCGTCGGCAACCGGGCAAACGGTCGGAGATATCCCGAGTCCTAATAATATAATAATATTCTAATAATAATATACTATTATAGTAATGAAATATCCTATAATCCTCATTCATTCTTCTCTGTCGGGTAACCAGCGGCGACATTCACCCAACTGGCCACTGACTGCCAAGACATTAGTCATCCGTCGGAAACTGGAATCCTGCTGGCCTCCACGTGACTCTCGTCAGTGCCGAGTGACATCAACTTCCCCACGATGTCTTGACTTGACCCAATCACAACTCATATCCATACAGTCATCGGGTGGGGGCACAGTCCAGAGGCCACCAGACTGCCCGAACGGGTTCAAGTACGGATTCTGGAATCCGTGGTCTTGACTCCACGATGCTTGTCCACACAACTCATGCCTGCAAATCATGGTCGATCCCCGGGGAATATTGCCAGAGTCGACCCGTTCTGGTCCCCTCCAAAACATGCTGCACATCGGAAACATAGATGCGATTTATGACCATTCCCTATATATGGTTCTCGATCGCCTCCAGGGAATGAAGCTATCATTCTTCAATACAATCATCCTAGTCAAGACAATCTGGTGAAGATTCTGCAAATTCAACCCTGACAGTCGAATACTTGCACATCATCCATTGCAACTAAACACCAAAAATGGCACCCGTCGCCATCGCCGAGACTCCTGCCCCCGTCTTCAACAAGAACCGGGATGGCCAGGCTCTCGAGGAACTCTCCGATGCAATCGACGAGGTCAACGTCCTCAAGGCCAACATGAAAGAACAAAAGGAAAAAGACCTGTACGAAGAATCCGAGTTCGACAAGGGCAAGGACAAGACCGCTTTCCGCCAGTACGAAGACGCCTGCGACCGCGTCAAGAACTTCTACAAAGAGCAACACACCAAGCAAAGCGTTGCCTACAACCTCAAGGCCCGCCATGACTTCCACAGCAAGACCCGCGCCGAGATGACCATCTGGGAAGCCATGGAAAAACTCAACACCCTCATCGACGAGTCCGACCCAGACACCAGCCTCTCCCAGATCGAGCACCTCCTGCAATCAGCCGAAGCCATCCGCCGCGACGGCAAGCCCCGCTGGATGCAACTGACCGGTCTGATCCACGACCTTGGCAAACTGCTCTTCTTCTTCGATGCCCAGGGCCAGTGGGATGTGGTCGGTGACACTTTCCCTGTGGGCTGTGCCTTTGACGAGCGTATCATCTACGGTCGTGACTCGTTCAAGGATAACGAGGACTTTGGTCATCATGTCTACGATACCAAGTTCGGTATCTATAGTCCCGGCTGTGGTCTGGATAAGGTTATGCTCTCCTGGGGTCATGATGAGTACCTCTACCACATTGCCAAGGAGCAGTCTACCCTGCCTGATGAGGCTCTAGCTATGATCCGCTACCACTCTTTCTACCCCTGGCACAATGCCGGTGCTTATCACGAGTTGATGGATGACCATGACAAGGCGATGCTTCGCGCTGTCAAGGCGTTTAACCCGTATGATCTGTACAGCAAGAGTGATGGCATCCCCAGCGCGGAGGAGTTGAAGCCTTACTATATGGAGCTCATTGATGAGTATTTCCCCAACAAGGTTGTCCGCTGGTAAACCCAGTTCAAAAGAGAGGATAGATGTGCTGCACAGTATTTAGACATATGTCGTTTCATGTTCTCCTGTTGTATGATATTCCCATGTTTTCATTTTCATTTTTTTTTTTTGTTTATCATCATGCAAGCGAGCTTATAAATATATTTGACGAATTCAATGAATGGGGAATCATCGCCTTCCAGAGGAAGATTGGACTAGGCCATCCTGCGCAAAATATTTTCCGTCATTAAACATGGTACTTTAGTAACCCAATAGGCACTAGAGGGCATGGAATAGTCGAAAACGTCCTAGTCTTATCAGATCATAAACAATTCAACAACCACCTGCCCGAGTCAGTTAGTTCGCCCCGCCGATCTGTCTTACATTTTAACATGATCACCACCCTAAACTCCCCCCTTGAGATTGTGTAATATCGAGTCAATTAAGCAAGCAATGCCCTACTGGAACCCGAGAATCCAGTATGGGAACACTAGTTTCTCCGTTCGAGGCTGTTGAGATAATGATCAGATAGGATTACTCAACTAGGATGCACAAGTTGATCTCTATTTCATCATAAATTATCTCCTTGTTTACAAGAATCTGGCCAAACGAGGCCCTGCCAGTAATTACTGATGTACTCCACAGCGCATCTCCTCTCCTCATCTTTCCACGTCATACTCATCTAACCTTCCGAACCATTAAACGCTCAGGGCAACCCATGGCACGAGTCTCGAAAAAGGGGGGACACTAAACCATAAACCCGTTTTCGTGAATTACTCATATCTCTCAAGTCAAAGTTTAATATTCTCCTTTTCTGCGTTTCTTTGGGGTACCGCACCGTTGGGCCGTCAGATAATCCGTGGATGATGTCACTATTCGACTGATGAGCGTGGCCTGGCCCAGGGCGTAGGGAAACTTTATTACGAGATGATCCAAAATAGTCCAATAGTCCCAAACTAACGCGCCTTGCAGTACTTGTGGCAGGAACTTTAATCAGGCGAGGTTTCGCCGACCGGAGTGGGAGAGGAAAGTCTATTTGTGCCAAGATGAAAGTCGTAAACTAGTCAAAGTACAATAGTACAATAGGATCGCCTCCACTTCAAGTCTCCCTTTTCCTTCTTTGCTTTCCATTTCACTCTGTGCCCATGCGTGAGTATTTGGGTTATATGGGAAACTCGTCACTTTCCTAGTCCAGTCTAAACCTATTAGCTGTCTCGATGCTCCCTGAACCGCAATGAGCCACCTCGCGCGTTGACGGCTTGCGCAGTCAACCATACTCACTCAATTCGCAATCAATTTGACTTGATTCAACCCATCACAACACTCTCTCTTCACGAATCCTTCACCCTCCACGAACCCAAAATGGCCGGCGAAACCGGTCCCGTCGACATATCCCGAGCCCTAGCCATGCTAATGGCCGGCTTCTTCACCCTCGCCTGCTGGAACGTCATCGAAATCGCCTACTCAATCCTAACAACCTTCCATCGCTATTCCGGCCTCTACTTCTGGAGCATGGTAATAGCCACCCTTGGCATCCTCCTCCATGCTATAACCTCTTTCCTCCGCTACTTCGCGCTCGCCCCGAACTTCCCCATGTGCTTCCTGATCTGTCTGGGTTGGTACGCGATGGTCACCGGTCAATCCGTGGTATTATATTCACGACTTCATCTCGTGACAACACACGAACATTATCCGCGGTGGATTTTGTATATGATCGTGTTTAATTTCTGCGCTTTGCATATCCCCACGACGATCCTTTTTCTCGGGGCGAATAATGGGGTTACTAGTTTCGTTGAGCCGTTTAATATTTATGAGCGGGTTCAATTGGCTGGTTTTGCGGTGCAAGAGACTATTATCAGCGCGCTTTATGTTTGGGAAACGACTACCTCGTTACGACCGGTTTTGGCGTTAAAGGGTCCTCGGGGTAGGAAGGTGGTTATGAATGTTGTTGTTGTGAACGTTATCGCGGTGTTGTTGGATGCTTCGCTGCTCACGACTGAGTATACGAATCACTTCGATGTTCAGACGACTTATAAACCGGTTGTTTATAGTATCAAGCTGCTATTGGAGTTCACGGTGCTGAACAATCTGCTTGCGGTGATTCGGACGCCCCCGTCTTCGATTCAGGAGGTGAATGTTTCGGAGGTACAGAGGGATGAGGCTCATATTGGGCCGCTTCAGAGTGGGAATCATTTGGATCTTACTGTTGATCCGGAACGGTCTTCGCCGAGTGACCGACGGGGTTCGTCGAGGGAATCGTTTGTTAAAACTCATGAGTTTTGGGTGGCGAATGCCCATCATGGATGATCTGCTCGACATACTGTGTATCAATACCCTGTATACTATTCGTTCTATCATTTTGTTCACCAAAAATATACCCTTGGCGCTGCCTTCATCCAGAAGAAGCTCGGAAATCATTATCATTGCATGAAAATCCTCATTTGTATTTACCAAACCACATACTAAATCACAATCTATAGGTCTCAACCGATACATCCATCAAAATCCCCTTGTGCTTACAACCTGGCAACCTCCGTCCGCTCCCCCTGTTCATCAAAAAAGATCTTCTTCCCCGAAACCAACGCCTCCTGCAACGCAGCCCCAATCCTCACAGCCTGCACAGCAGCCCCCAAATCCAACGGCAACGCCGTCCTATCCAAAACCGAAGCCGTAAACTCATTCGCCTCCGTCACAAAGGCATACTCAAACCGATCATAATAAGTCTGCGGAATCTCCCTCCTCACACCACTATCATCGAACACATGCACATGATTCATCGCCGGCTGCGTATTCACCGTGACTTTACCCTTTGTCCCGATGATTTCAGTCGTATCTTCCTGGCCAGCGGCCATCATGCGCGATGCGTAAAAGTAAGCAATCCGACCATCGTAGAATTCGACCAGACCGACTGCATTGTCGCGGTCATTGTGTTTTCGGAGATCTGGCTCGACGGCGGTGATTCCTACCGCGGAGACGGATTTGACTTTGCTGCCGGCGCCGAAGAACCAGAGGGCTAGGTCGATGTCGTGGATGGAGCAGTCTACGAAGATACCGCCGGAGAATTGGGCGTAGGCGACGAAAAAGCCGGAGGGATCGAGTTTGTCGCATGTTTGGCTGCGCAGAACGGAGGGAGAACCAATTGCGCCGTCGAGCATTTTGGTGTATGCGTCGCGGTAGGATTTGTCGAAGCGGCGTGAGAATCCGCACATTACTTTGAGATGGGGCTTTTTGGAAGCTGCGTCCACGACGGATTGGGACTATATCCAGGGCACAAGGTAGTGTCAGTTAACATTAAACATGCATTGCCTCGAGAGAATTATGGGAATGAAGGATGAAGGAAGGGTGCTTAACTCACCACCTCAACACTAGTCGACAGCGGCTTCTCACAAAGAACATGCTTGTCGGCATTGATCGCTTTAATTGCCTGCTCGGCATGCACTGCAGTCGCCGATGCAACCACCACAGCTTCAAGGCCTTCCTGCTTCAGCATGTCGTCGTAGTTCTGATATAGCCGCACGCCGAAGGGTTCCAGGTGTGTTTTGGCCCATTCGAGCTCGGCAGGATCAGGCGAGCTAGCAGCAACCAATTCTGCTCGGGGCGTACGCTCGAGGAAGTTCAGGGCATGGCGTTTGCCCATACGACCCAGACCAGCACAGCCGATCTTCATTCTGTGGGCGGACATTGTGTAGGATCTATAGGGATAGAGGGAGAAACGTAATTGAGAAAGAAAATGGCAAGTCGTTTCCGGTCGTGAAGAGAAAGACACAAAGATAAAAGTCAAAGCGATTGGAAGAGTTTGAAATAAAGAACAAAGCTGTCTACACCGACTATTAATGCTCGGAGCTCGGAGGTTGATATCGATGATCATCGGATGCGGAGAATGAAGTCCGAGTGGTTCCCTGGAAACGTGGAGTAGTCGGAAAGTGAGTTCCAGCAGCGTGACGGAGCAACGCCGAGATTTATGTTCAGCTCGAAAAATAGAAACACAGTGAAACATGAACAAGAACAAAGAGAAAAAATAAACCAGACACCACACGAAAATCAATACCAAAATCTCGTTTATTCGTCCTTGGCTTCTGCATCCGCCTTCTTCAACGCCCGTCGTGCCTTGCGCTTCTCAACCTCTTCAAGGTCGACAAACCCGTCTCCTCGCAACCATGCCAGTGCCTTTCGTAGACCCCTGCCCTGGACAGCTGATGGGTGAGCCTCGAGGATTGATCCCATGAGAGCCCAAGACAGCACAAACAGCCACAACTCAACAGCCCGGCCGCCCTTCCACAGTCCGTGCTTGACACCAGTCTTCCAAGCCGAATCTACCGCAGCGCGGAAGAAATACATAAACACGCTGCGGCTGTTTGCCAAAAGTGCAAATGGAAGACCACCCAGAGCACCGCTAAGGAAGAAGCGCTTGGTCGGGAGTGTCGAGCGGGGCAGGGTATTGTTCAAAAGGCAGACGCTGCCCCAAGCAGAACCCACGGCCGCCGAGAGGACAGCAGTCATGGTAATAATTCTCTTCGACAAGCTATTGATCGAAGTAATGGGCTGCGCCAGGACAGTCTTCAACTTGGGAATGGTCAGCGCGAGACTGACGGCGGTGAGGAACCGCGCCAAGGGGGGCACCGAGAGGAGGATGTGATGCACGAATGCGGTGTTACAGCTGGGGACGCTTGGGTGGAGCAAAGCGCAGGATAAATGAGCGATCGATGGGTGAGCAGGCCCAGTAATCGGGGAGATGGACTTGACCGATAATGGCAGTGTATTAGGGTCAGACGGGTGAAGGGTTGGAGAGATAAATGCCCTATAGCGAGTAAGCCAATGTGCTTTAAGCAACCAGGAGTCCACCGCAACTTACGGCCAACGCAGGCTCGCAATGGAAGCAAGCGAGTCCAAGATCTGATCCTTCTCCGGCCAGGAAACGCCCTCTGGTAGTGCCTCCGGTCGGCCTGGAATGTAGCTCGGCGAGAGCCTTAGAATGACATTGCCAAACCACTATAATTTTGTGTCTGTTAGTCATTTGTTAACTAATAGCACTCGATACTAAACATACCTTTGGTGTGTTTTCTCGATCAAAGACAAAGGCATGGAAGAGCTGTGCACACGAGACTGGCATCAGCAGCCAGCTGCCGAACCACCACGGGCGGTTATCCAGCCACCCCTTCGAATCCATGACATTATAAAGGAATTCTAAACTCCTTGTTCCCGTGTAGATTGCCACAGTCAGCCGGAGCTGGTCCTGAGGGCATATTCCCAAAGCGAAGCCTGCCACACTTGCGCCCACGGCCGGTGAAAACCGCGACGTCAACGCGCGCGCGACACGCGGGTTTCGCTCACGGAATGGTTTCGCATCATCGGTACACAAGTTGGCCCGGATTCGAACGAGAAAACGGTAAAGCAGACGATGGAGTAGAAGCACGAGGGACAGGGACAGAGAAAGGCGGAAGTTGGGAGAGCGGAGTAGCGGGGTGCGGACTTTCTTCCTGAATGACGTCGAAAAATATTAGCAAAAGAGAGCCAAGGAAGAATATTTTCGAAAAATGCATCTGTTGAAAGTATACTGACTGCTCTGTGGTCTTTCGTATCCGACTGATAATCGTTTCCACCAGCTTCAGGGCAGCTCCAGTGCCAACAAACACCCGCAACGACGCGCGAACGGCGGCCTCATTGCGTCGGTTCTTCGAGTGGGCGATCGCATCATATTGCGACGGCGAGATCAATTTCCTTTGGACACCTGGGGCCCGTTTACCCACCAGGCTGTAGAGCGCCCGGTATTCTTTGGCACTCAGACTAATGCGCAGAGCAGTGCGAACCACGGGGTGGATATCGGGCGCATCGGGGGCATCCGGCGCCGGGGCAGTCGGGGTGGCATCTGGGGCTGACATATTGGAGGTATTCCAGTTGCGCCAACTTCAGTCACCCATAGTTGTCAAAAGACGTGGTAGGATGAGGAGGGGGGAGGTCTGGAGAGGAAGAGGTCATAAGGCGAGGCCCGAGCTGCAGGGTAACGTGAATTCCGGGGCAGCTTCTCCTCGTCTGGCGGACCGACCTCGGCAAAGTCAATCTCGAGCTTGGTGCCCGCAAGATCGCTTAGGAGACAGTACAGTCGTTTCAGAGTAGCTGAGTCTTGATTTTATATCTTATCAACTAACAGATCTATACTGGTCTTATCTCCGAATTTAACAGTCCGCTTAACTAGTATGCGAGATCTCGCAGTGTGGTCTTTCCCCAGATTCTACCCCAGTCACATGGGGGACTCGTAACCTTAACTAATTGAACACATTGCAAGGACCAGATTAGATCAACGAATTTACATGGAAATATCCTTACTTGAGATTCTTGCAAAGTCTTCAATCGTTAAGATAGTTTAAGTCTTACATCTAGACAGGGAATTGAATGCGATGAACCTCGATGACGGACTCGGTCTGACGGAAACAGCAATATTGAACAGCAAACACTCCGTGGAATCAAATAAGCAAACGAAGAATGTGACAACAAGGGGGGTACTCTAAATACACTGAAAAGAAAAAGATAGCAAAGAAAGATTATGCCTCGTATGAACGTGTCAAGAAAGACGGAATTCGTCGTATCACATCATAGCCAGACCTGAGAACCTTGAATGAAAAAAAGGATGGTTCGGTTCACAGGCTCGAAAAATGCAAACTGCCACTTTACCAGAAACTGCACCAACCGATCCAGTGCTGACAGATGTTCTCCACACTGGTGGCCTGCGCGAGAAGCTTGTCCACCTGGTCACTGATATTCAGTTCGTCTTTCTGTCTGAAATCAGCACCAGTTAGCTTCTCCTTGACTCGGGCTAGGACCTGGAGAGCGCGAGCGTTCTGTGCCTCGCGAGCTTCAGTGCCGCCGTCCTGGATATCGAGAATGCCACCGTCCATGATTGATGGTCGGCGGGGGCGAGACACGCTGTTTTGTTGCATGCCATGCTCGAAATTGAGTCCCTCGATGAGTGACTGGCGACGTTCGGCGGTCAGAGTCGATCGATCAGGGGACTCTTGCGCACCCAAGCGCCAATTGATCAAGGGGTCGTGGATAAACTGGAATAGCCAAGTCAGTAGATTTTCGGCAGTAAAGAGACAAAAAAAAACAGGGAAAGAAGGGACAGATAATTTAAGAAAAGAGCAAGACTTACGGCTTCCAAAACAGCCATGAGGGAATCCTTGTTCTCCCTAAGAACACGCATAACGGCCTCGCACGTAATGCGGTAGCTTCCCTCAATGTTGCTTACTTCCATGGCGAATGTCAACATACGAGTCAGGCGGAAGGGAACCCGTTCGGGATATTTCTCGCGGTGCATGGCCACTTCGAAACAATCACCGAAATCGATATGAACCACACGGCCAGTCGTGCGGTCAAGCAACAAGTTGGAAGGATGACGATCACCCAGACCAAGGATATAACCAACCATGGACATAACACCCAGGGATCGGGTGTAATTGGTGCGTCGCTCAAGCCAGGCTTCGGAGCTCTTGCTCTTGAGCCACAAGACCCGATAGAGATCTTTGCCGGTAGTATTGTCCATGGCGTATCCGAAGACCTCAACCTTCTGCATGAGCGTGAGGCTGTCATAATCCGGAGCCATCTGAAGCATGATCCTATGCTCAATGTTGAGGAGAATGCGGCGGCTTTCACGATACTCCTTGATGAGAGCATGCAGGGTATCACTATTGCACACCCATCCGAGTAGGCCAGAGTTCTGCGACAACGGGATAGCGGGGAAACGCTGAACGGACAAATGGCGTTTAAAGCTTTCGCTATCGTTGTCCAGAAGAGTGTTGACCAGCCCGAAGAGCTGCATGACTCTCTCGTCTTGTCGAATATCTTCGTGGCCCTTGAGTGCATACATGTAGGAGAGACCATTGCTGCCTGTGAGAGTCATACGTCTTGGTCGCTTCTTCGTCTGCAAGACATGTAAGATCGGATCAAAGCTGACGATGCAAATAATCGGTCGACCGCTCTGGTACGTTCCAGGCACAGCGAGGTCCAGACCGTTGCAATCCTTCAGGCGAGGAGAGACGTATTTTAGGTCAAGGATCGACAATTGCGGGAGCTGTCTGCTAATCTTGCGGAACACAGTGTAGTAAAGGTCCCAAGCTTGGTTCAGATCGCCAATTTCCTCTGTCTGTCGGTAGAGCATGCAGTAATGTTTAGCTTCCGCTAGATCGCGTCCGAAGGCTTGGGCAAATGAAACTTCGCGAAGAGTCTCGGCACCCTTGTCGAGCATGTCATGAAGAGGTGCAAGTGTTGCAAACATGCCCTCGACATTATGATCACCGAAGTAGAGACGCGACGCCTCCTCCAGACCTTCGTGCCACAGCTCATGCCACAACACAGCGACTCGGATCAATTCATGACTAACGAGATCGGCTTGTTCGACAAGTTTGGCGCTGTGCTGGCGCATACTTTCCATGATATTGCTCGCAGACTGTGAGCGTCGGGCAACATTGGATTTCATGGCAACTGTCAAAGGATACACCAGAGCCTGAGGATGTGTCTTGCCAACCTCAGCGAGGAGTCTGTGAACTGCACCACGGACTCTGATGTTGGGCTGGTTGATCCGAGCGATAAGTTGCGGTGTGACAGAAAGCCAAGTGTCAATGTTGACTGTGGTGAAGCCTTCGGTGACAACGGTGTTGACTTCATGGTCGCCACCGTGTGCGAACCACAGGGTCAACAATCGCAGTGTGTCCTGTAAGGAGGATGCTGAAGACAAAGCGATTGACCGCAAGAAACCACGAATGGCAGGGATGGCATAGTCATGTACATACTTGGGAGGCGGCAAATACGACTTCTTCTCTTCATCCTTGGCTGCTTTGGCTTTTTGGATATCGCTTTCGATGGTCTGCACAGCTTCAAAGTTTGCAAGAGCCCAAGCGTGCCAAGCCTTGTAGGAATCGCGGTTGTACTGTGTGGCCGCTGAGTAGGCGCCAAGGACATCTTGAGCATTGTCAAGTTTCCATTCCGCCTTTTGGAGAGTTCTTTGCCATTCTCCCTGTCTGAGGTAGCTCTTGGAGAGAAGTTTTCTGGATTTTGCGGCATCTCCGACCCGCTCGCGCAGGCTGACGGCATCCGGGTGGTTGGGGTCTGCCATGCCGTTGACACCATTCATGCCATGATTCTCGTTTTGCGAGGCGAGGAGGGTATTGAACTTGGAAAGGTCCTCGCTGAGTTCCATGTTGAATCGTCTCAACTCATCAAAGGCTTCATGCTGGTTTCCATTGGCCCAACGGAACTTCAATCGAGCATAGATCACCTCAGGAGGTACAATGGTGCGCGTGCCATTGGCATCACGGATGACTGTCTCCAGAGATGCGAGGGACCGTTCGGCAAGGCCCATGCGGTTGGACTTGCGGCAGAGATTGGCGAACTTGATGGACATGTCCAGATTCTCGCGAGGCGCAGTAACCAGAGCCCTGACCTTGAGCATACGCTGCCACACTTCTACGTTTTGCTGACATCCTCGCAAGCGCTGGTTCCAAGTTTGACGCATGGCTTCTTGCTTCTCGGGGTCACCAACGTGTTGTTTATAGGTGATGATCTCCTCCAGTTCAGCAAGCATCTGAACGCGGACAACCACGTTGTATGCCCGGTTGTATGACTCTCCAAGCAAGGCCGAAAGTTCGGTATCAAGGCCATTCCGCGCTTTCTCGATGTACATGTTCGCCTCATCGAACTGGTTGCGATGGATGGCAAGGATGGCGCCGAAGAACGATCGGTCGGGGGACTGTTCTTTCATGACACCCAGGTACGAATCCATCAGCTCCCACTGGCCACGACCCCATGCTGCGGCTGCAGCAAGTGGAGCGATGGCTCTGCGGTGCTCCAACGATGCCTGGTTCCACTTCTCTTGCGCAAGATCGGACAGAACCTTCCATTCACCGAGAGCGTGCAGACAGCGCATCTTGCCCATGGTAATGCCGAAGGAATCCGGATCAGTCTTCTCGCGTCGTTTGTAGGCAGCCAGAGCTTCATCCCAGCGCTGCAGCTTCTCGAACCATGTTTCCTTTAGCTCGACATCACGGTATGCCTGTGCCTTTCGCAAAATACCAATTGCTGCGTCGGATTGCTGCAACTGATTGTTGATGGTTATCAGAGCTTCGACAGCGCCGGAGTTTTGATCTTGCTCAAACTCGAGTTCCTTGTAATGCAGGGCCTTGGCGAAAGCATGGCACTTAGCGGCATACTTGCCCAGAGTTCTGATATCGATGGGGAGAGCTTTGTCATCATGTTCCATGAATTCCGCAAGGTTGAGGAGAATCTGCAATATTTCCGGCGAGATGTTCGGCGACGTAAGGGCCTTCTCAATGGAGCGGACCAGTTCTTCTTGATACTGGTCGTACAGCTCAGTCCAGCAAGACACGAACGCAGCGTTGAAAAGATCTCTGGCCAGCGGCTGGTAAATACCTGCCAAGCTGGCGCATGCTCGCAATGCAGGCGAGGGCGATTCTTTCAGGAGTTCAACACTGAAGCGTCGAATCCATTCTTGCCAATCTTCACGGGTGGACTTTTGCGAAGCATCCCAGGCATTCTTGAGATGTTGCTGGTTAACAACGATCTTCTTCTGTCCAATCTCCGCGAAATTCGTATCATCGGAGGGGAATGAATAGTTCTCCTCGGGGTTGAGGTCCTGCGGAAGTGGATCGCCCTTCTGAAGCTTTGTCACCAAGATCTGATAATTGACGTGAGTGATCTGGTGCTGCTTGAGAACCTTGCTCAAGAGATGGATGTAGTGTGTAAAGTCCTGGCCAAGCTGGAAGATGAGGGCACAGATGCAGTCCATAGCAGTTTGACGCAAGACGCGGTCGCCAGTGGCCACGACTCGCGACAAAGAATGGACCATGAGGGAAGCGAAGTCGGAGACATTGACTTGGCGCGACAGTTTCGTCAAGCTGTCAATGGCAGACTTACGAATGCTCTGCGGATTCTGCGGTCGTTCAAAGAGACGTACGATAGCAGGAATGATGAGATGCATGTACTCTTCCCCACTACTGCCGAATATTAGCAAGGCATGAAGAATTTTCTCCGACGGCTGACGGCGTGGTGTGGTGTCCTTCTCAAGCGTGTCTAGCATGAGGGGGATCAGGCGAGCTAGGTACTTCCGGAACTCTCCCTCCAAGGACCTTGAAATAGCCTCGATCAAGGCCAAGATCGTACCCTGTACCTGGTATGACGCATCCCAGAATTCACGGATCACGTCAATGATCTCCGGCAAGAATGCACGAATGTGCTGACGCACAATGTTAACCAAAATAGCCATCTGGTTGAAATAAGATTCGAGTCGGCTAGCAGGGGAGCTCCTGATGACCGAAATGAATGCGGGAACAATCTGTCCCAGGAATGGAACACACTTCAAGCCCAGTGTCTTGAAAATGGTAACGATCGCATCAATGACTGCCGAATGGTATTGAACCAACGAATTTTCTTTCAGGATATTCTGAAGCAATGTATGGATGACCACCGTGGGGTAGTATTCCTCGTTAGATGGAGTAAGACCCTGCATGATCAAGGCAACATCCGAGGCATTTTGAACCTCATTGATATGGTGAACATCGGGCTCCACATCACTGATCTGCTGGTACTTGTAAGGATCCAAAGCACCAAGCACACCCACGAGCTTGATGGTCTCTTTCCGCAAAGAACCTGTTTGCTCTGTCTTGATGATGTTGATCAAGACGTCAAGCAAATGAGGGTACTCAAGATACGGATCAATCACATAGCCAGCGTTTCCGGCCAATTGCCCAAGGGTCCGTAGGGCTGCCTCGCGCTTGGTATGGGAGGAAAGATCCTGAAGCGACTCCAAAATGATGGGCATGATCTGTGGTAGGTAGCGTCTCATCTCGCCACCACCCACGTTGGCAAGCTCTCCCACAGCCTTGAGCGTCGTGGCGGCGACGCCAGGATTGCCATCGGTTGTTTTGGGCAGCAGTGCTGTAACCATGGGATCGACGTACGATCGGATCAGCTTGGTTGCATTGGAGACAAACAAGCTGATGAGCTGAGCAGTCTCTTCCTTTTGGCGGGCAGTGTTCGCAAATCCCAGTCCAGTAAGAAGGTTGACAAGTAGCTTCCGCAGTGGGGGAAAGACATAAGCTGGGTTCACGCTAGACAGGCGACCGATGATGCAGATAGCAGCTTCCTTGACTTCAAAGACCTCATCATTAACCGCTAGGAACAAGCAACGAATGTTTTCGGGGCGGGCCAAGTGACGATCAAACTTCCGATCTAGAGACCAGAGAACCGTGCGTCGGATCTCAGGGTCCGGGTCACCGATACCAACCGTCAACAATTTGTCAATGACTTCACTGACAACTTGAATTGAGTGACCACTAGTCTGGTTGATAATCGGGTCATGCACGAACAGCTGACAGCATGTGAGGGCCGATGCTTTTCGGATATCGGGATTATCATTCTCCACATAGTTGATCGCAACGTCACGAACAAATTCGTTCAAGATGTGACCAGAGAAGTCGAAGCTGCCAAGTGTGTGAAGAGCGAGCGCAATTTCGGCATCGGAGTAGCTTTCTTGGGGGCCAAAATCCCTAGCAAATGCCGGCATAGGAGGGAGTCGGTTTTCAGGGCAGCCAAGTGGTCGGAACGATGTGCCGCAGAGTATAATACTCAACATGTCAAGAAGTTTGTCCTGGATAATGGGCTTGATGGGAGGGATGTAATGGGCCATATCGACCAGGGCTTGCGTCAGTGATTTGCTAAGACCGCATGCAAAAATGGCGTCAAGCAACTGCTCCATGTGGCTGTTGAGGGTTTGTCCGACTGCCAGCGAAAGCATACTAATACACTCGAACATGGGAGCTTCATCAACTCCCGCACGGTTTCTCCTGTTGCAAGTTAGCTGGAATGTCCTTTTATGGAAATTAATATCAGGAAGACTCGTCACTCACGCCTTCATTGCAAGTCCCTCGCGGATGTATATGATGATTCCATCGAGGTATCCGCTAATGGCAGGTCCCACTGCATTGGCAATTTTGCCAATAGCAACGAACGCCGCGTTCCTTTCTTTCTCTCTCTTGAGTTGGGCTTGAAGATAAACCATGGATTTGTGTAGATAGGATTCGATGAAGTCGGCAGGGGCGTAGGAAGCAAGGATGGGGATTGTGAGGACGACTTGGTTGCGGATCTTGGAATCTCGGTGATCCTTAAGACGTAATACGATTTCACAGGCATTTCGATAATGCTCCTTCATGAACATTGTACCTTTGAGGAACAGCTCCTTCAGAATGAGGAGGGATCCGTGAATCCAATCCATATTGTGGGACTTCAGCCCCAGTAAGGCTTCTTCATATATTCTGGCGAACCATGATTGGCGGACAGATGAATCTCGGGCCACGATGATCTCGAAGCACTCTCCCACGGCCTGTGCAGCCGTCTCTCGAATGAGCACTTTCGGATCTCGAAGTGCGACCCAGACCAGTTCGAAAATCTGAGGCACGAACCCATAGAGTAGTGTGGGGGAGCCCTTGGCTAGCTCCCGAATTACCAGGACGGCTGCAAATCGTCGACTTTCCTGTCGCTCTGACTGAAGCCACTCCAGGGCGGATTGGATCTCGCTTTCAACCAACTCGGCCGTGAGTGCCCCACCAGGTTTGGCCAGCCGTCCAAGTGATCGAGCTGCGCACACCAACACCGCATTATCGTTGCTTCGAAGGGCGCTTCGTAGATAGCTGGCAAATCGAGTGGTCTTCTGAGCAGCATCCACCCCATCAAAATCGATCAGTCGGTCGAGCGCGAGGAGACCGCCCACTCGTTCATTGGCGTCGCTGCCAGTTACCACCAGCTGCGCAATCCGCTGGCTGACGGCGTTGTAAAACTCGTTGAATTTCTCGGAGGGCCAATCTGTAGGAGGCGAGAGACAAAGATGTTAGCCAGAGCCTATGAGCTCACAGAGTCCATCGAAATTGCGATTCACCTCGAGAGACGGCAACCACATTGTCGTGGAGCTCGAAAGCAGCTCGGGCCTTGATATCATCGTTCTTCGACTTCAGATCCGCAAATAACCGCTGGGTCACGTCAGTGATAGGACTCGCTTGCGCCATGTTTGCGAGCGAGCCCGCAGAGTGGACATTGGAAGCCAGCCTCTAAAACGTAGATGTAAAGCAGAGGTGGCAGGGTGCATGGGAGGGAGAAGTGGAGGAGGGTCAGGTGTGAGCCTCAGGTCGAAGCCGGGGTGCACAGACCACGGGACCACGGGGCGGGCGCAAGCGCGGGTCCTGCCTGGGCGCGGCTTGCTCAACTTCGTCAACTGGTGTCATCCACTACTGTTGGCTCCCGATTCACTTTCCTCTCACATCTAGTTCTCTTAATGACTGCTTCAACAATACTGTCTCAGCTATGCAGCGAATTGCTCCAGTAACAAAAAAGAACAAAAGTGTCGCAACTATGAGAAGTGTACAATTACCTCGGATATTAGGTCAAGCTACCATATTAGCCGCATACAAGAACTACAGGATCAACATTTCCTTCCGTGTAACATAGCACAGACCTTTACAGGAAACTCCAGCTCATTCTAGACTCTCTTGCTTGCTATTTCTAGTACACTAGCACACTACTATAGCGGCAATGTGTCGAAGGACATTCAGCCCCCGATCATCCTCTATCAGGACCACAAGGTATCATGCAAACTAAAGAGTAATCTCAGTGTTGGACGCCTAGAAGCTGTGGATTTCAGGCCAGACTCTTGGCCATCAGCTGGCAGGTGTTAGGTCGTACAGCAAAGGTGAATGTAAGGGATGCGCCCAAGTCTGCACTTTGAGATCTTCTTAGATTACCGTAGAGCCAATGGGGTCTCCCCGCTCAAGATACCGTGTATCGGCACAAGGTGTAGTCTTAGTGCATACACCTTAGCTATTTCGTCGAACCTGGAAGAGCTAGGCGTGGAGCAGTGGTAGATTGATAAATAAAAAGAAGAACGTAAATCTTGCCTCCGCCATGATTCGAACCCCGGTAGGCAAAACTTCACGATGTGCTCCTACCTCAACGAAGGGCAGGGAACGAAAAAAAAACTGGTAGCTTCTCTTTGATTGAGCGTGTCATCCTTAGTGCAGGGGCCATGCTAATCTTCTCTGTATATTTTCATTTGACCAAATGTCCCGAAGGACATCAGGAAGGACCCAAATTGTAACTATATACCCTCTTTTGGCAGAATCTTGACCGCCCTGCGGGAGTTAGTCAGCGTGTGGGACCTGCTTCCAATCGATCGAGGCATCCATGTCCAGTACTACAAAAGTTCTGTACAAATCAGAGCCAACAGACAAAAAGGCTTGTGTTACACCACTGCCCAATCATTCATACAATTAATACTCACAAAGGGGTCATTCGAATTTGGAACTACTAGTAAAGCCTGCACTATGTGGGTTGAGGTTAGGTTAACTCGTTGCATAACCTACGGAAGCGTCGCTCTGCGTTTCCGAAGTCAACAGCGGAAATATAACCGACTACATCGCCGGAGCGAAGTCCACACTGAGAGGCAGGGTTACGCGGCTTTATCGAATCATTAAATCCTGAAACTAAACCCTATTTTTGCCTTGTAATGCAGACTCTTCAGGCTTATTTGTAAGCAGTCGTGGTGAACTCTTGCCCTCTATCTCCTGCGTGGGGGCCCATAGTGGAGAGCAATGACGGGATCGAGGGGTATGGCCTCTGGGGGAACCATAAAAGCCGGAGAGTTCCTCAACTGTCTAACGCACCTTTCTTCTCCCTCTCAATTTAGATACTCGAACAAAGCGATTATTCTTAGACTCTGATTCCAATCCAGCAACAATGGTGAAAGTTCTCTTGACTGGTACGCTCCCTCGCGGTGAACTCCTCCACTCACTCCACGTCATAGATCTAACCGATTCCAATAGGCGGTAGCGGCTTTATCGCCGCTCACATTGTTGACATTCTGCTGCAGCATGGGTACATAGAATCGGACACAAACGATTATTTCATGACTATTCTGATTCATTCAATCTAGTTTTGATACTGTATTTACTGTGCGCTCCGACGACAAGGGTAAACGAATCCTTGAGAACCACCCAGATGTGCCAAAGGAGAAGCTTTCCTACGTGATTGTCAAGGATGTTGCTCAAGATGGCGCGTTCGACGAGGTAAGAGGGTGATATACATATTCATAAGATCTCTTCATCTACTAAGCCGCCGAAACAGGCTGTCAAGTCTAACCCTCCATTCGACTATGTCCTTCACACCGCATCACCTTTCCACTTCAACGTTCAGGACCCTGTGAAAGATTTCTTGGACCCCGCGATCAAGGGAACTACTGGCATTCTGAAGGCTATCAAGGCCTATGCTCCTACCGTGAAGCGTGTTGTTATCACCTCGTCATTTGCTGCCATCGTGAACCCCAAGCAGCACCCGAAGGTTTACAGCGAGAAGGAATGGAACCCAGTTACCTGGGAAGAGGCTTTGGATCACGCCAACGTCTACCGAGCTAGCAAGGTAAGTGCCTCTCACACGAAAGAACCGCGGGCTGGGCTAATCAAGCGTCTTATTACAGACCTTCGCCGAAAAGGCCGCCTGGGACTTTGTTGAGAAGGAGAAGCCTAACTTTGACATCGCCACTATCAACCCCCCACTTGTGTTTGGTCCTATTGTCCACTATCTGAATTCGCTCGAAGCCATCAACACATCCAACCAGCGGATGCGAAACATCATTCAGGGCCATTTCAAAGAGCAGATTCCTCCCACGGGCACGTTCCTCTACGTTGATGTTCGTGATGTGGCACTTGCACACGTTCGAGCCATCGAGGTCCCTGAGGCTGGTGGTAAGAGATTCTTTGTCACTGCTGGTTTCTTTTCCAATAAGGAGATTGTGGATGCGGTGCGCAAGTCCCACTCGGAATTGGAATCTAAGCTCCCCGCCAAGGACACCCAGAGTGATTTCCCATCGGATATCTATGAGATCGATAATAGCAGGTCAAAGGAGATCCTGGGAATCAAGTATCGGTCCTTCACGGAGACTGTGGCAGATACAATCAGCTCTCTGCAGGAGGTCGGCGCTTAGTATCATGGCGCGGTCAGTTTCAAAGGTTATATCTATATGACATCAATGATATAGAGATAGTGCTTATTTTTCGGAGTTATGTTCAAAGAAAGTAATTATGCGATGTATGGTAAATAGTGGATGCTGTCTGGTCCGTCTCCACACTATCGGCGGAGTTGCGTTTTCGGCTTTTGTAGGCCACCGTATCGACTTGGCCCGTGGCTCCGGTCAACTTTTCTCGCGCGATCCCAACCAGCTCCATTCAACCAGGCATTGAACAACATGGCGACCGCCAGGCTATCGCCAACGGCGAATCTTTTGCGGAAGTCACGGCTATTTGCACTTCCTCAAGCTCTGCAGCCTCCTCACGATCCCCCATCGTCCAAGGCTGTTTTTGAGTCGGAAACCGCAACACTCCCTCACCCTATCCGGGCTTCGATCGTTACGCCGCAAAAGTCGCTTGCCCGAGGCGATTGGGGTCTGAAGCGAGCTCTCCCCGCTAAGTCGACATCAGAGAAATCATCGAGACCCATTGTTCGCCTTCATGCCCTCGATACCTACGAACATGTCACCGACTTCGAGTCCGCCGCCGATCACACGATGACCCTCGAGAAGTTCCAGGAGCTGCACATGCCCATGTCCTTGCCTGCCAAGGTCAATTACGCGACAAGCATTGTCCCCAGACACCAGAGCCCGTTCGAGACGCATGTCGATAACACCGAGACCAGCAAGGGTCTCGCAGAGCCCGGAGCCAAGCAATACCGACACTCTGGCCCGTGGCTTGCTGGCATGACCCAGGCCGAGTTCGCTGCGTACTTGAGCCAGATCACCCGCAAGAAGCCCGAGTTGCTCCAGAAGCTGCGTGAGCGCTTCGTGGCTAAGCGTACCGCGGAGGCCCGGAAGCAGGCACAGGACAATGGAGCGGACTTGGAAACCCTCCAGCCGCCCAAGGTGACCGATGAGGAGTTCCAGACGTACATCAAGACCCTGCGTACCGATCCATTTGCCCTGGGCCCGGTCGTCTTTGAGTTGCTGGATCTTCCATCATCCCCTGCCGTACCGAGCGAGCGCATTGGACGGAAGTACTACCAGTCTCCCGGAACCAAGCTTTCCGCGCCTGAATATGCTGTGACTGGCCCTCCTAAGACACACCCGTCTGCCGGTCTATCATACACTCGCTCTCACGCTTTGACATATAACCACCCGCAATACGGTCCCCAGGCTTACCAACGACCTGTGGAGGCCCGTATTCTGCGTCCCAAGGGTAGATTCCGTGGACGTATGTCGCGGGCTATTGCGGGTATTGGTGGTATTGCCGTGGAAGACCTGAACGCCATGACCTTCATGGACCAAGGTTCTCCACCTGGTCTGACCTTCTTCGATGCTACCATCCCTGGAGGTGCCAAGTACTGGGTTACTCCGATCCGCGCCGCTGTCGACTCCGAGGGCAGAATTGGGCTGTCCTCCTACCGCGCGGGTGCATCCTCCAAAGCTCCCTACGGTATTGAAGACTACAAGAAGCCAGGCCCTGCCAGCATCACTGATGCTGCGCACCGCCACGCTAACATGGTTCCTCGACTTGACCGACCCCGTTACCAGCAGCGGCCGCAGGCCGGCAGACAGCCCATGAAGGGTACCGAGGATATTGCTCGCCTTCTCATGAATGATCTCAAGGCAGGTGCGAGGAGCAAGGAGCAGAGCTCTTGAGTGTTAGACTAAGATTTGGCGAGCGAAACATTTCAAAGAGTTGTACGATTAGACCGGGGAGGCTTTTGTAAAGCTACTTTTATTACCCTTCTGAAACCTGTGATATAAGCAAATGCATTCACTCTCATTCTCTTCATTACGAACACCGCCTAGCTCGATCTAACATTCATCTAAGCAGTAATAAATAATCATCGATTGTTGTTAAACAGAATGATACATACACTATTGGGCATAGTTCATTTCACCGCCCGGCAGTATTCTATTACATAAGGCAGGATTTTATCTATCTGCTCACGTGACTGATTAGGGCTGGATTAGGGCAAGGACCCGCACAGGAATTAGCGAAGCGCCTCTCAAGGTTATCCAAGTTCGGGCTTCACTTTGATTCCTTGTCACTGAACATCCGTCCAGCCAACATTCGCCAAAATGGGTCGCGTCCGTACTAAGACCGTTAAGCGGTCCGCCAAGGTCATCATTGAGCGTTACTACCCCAAGCTCACCCTCGACTTCGAGACCAACAAGCGCATCTGCGATGAGATCGCCATCATTGCCTCCAAGCGTCTCCGCAACAAGGTACGACATGCAACCGCGACCGAGCGATATTGAACGAAACACAACTTGCGATTGCAGAAATTGACTGGAATTCTTACACAGATCGCTGGTTACACCACCCACCTGATGAAGCGCATTCAGCGTGGCCCCGTCCGCGGTATCTCCTTCAAGCTTCAGGAGGAGGAGCGTGAGCGCAAGGACCAGTACGTCCCTGAGGTCTCCGCTCTGGATGTTTCCCAGACCGAGTCCGGCCAGCTCGACGTTGATGCCGACACCAAGGACCTGCTCAAGAACCTCGGCGTAAGTTGACTCTGGCCTACCAGCGATATATTCACCCCTCCATATCGGTCTCCTAACATTTTCATTTTCACAGTTCGACAACCTCAAGGTCAACGTCGTCGCCGTTTCCCAGCAGCAGCAGGCCGAGCGCCCCCGCCGCTTCGGTCCCCGCTAAACCCAGCATGCTGGATAAGCACCCCGAAAAACAAAAGTCTTTTTGTCTTCGGCCGACTCCTGGCGTGTCCCCGACCCTGGCTATTACGGCTTTAGCTAGAATGGTGGCTTTCTATGGATGAGGAATAAAAATCATGATTCCCGTTGACAAAGGTGTCGCCGATTCTCCTGACGGAGATGACGCTTGATTGCCAATTACTTGTCCCTGTCCCTCGCGTACTTGCTCTTGGGTGGAACATTTGTTCCTCCAGGGTGATACTACGTAGGAGCCGTTGAACATTTTTGTGTTCGATGGTCTCAAAGACCAGTGGTCACGACTACGCAATGACTTGCCCTTCTCGTCTTGCTGTCGGAGATCAATATTCATCTGGCTATTGCGTAGAATTTTCCTTTTTATTCAAACTGCGTATGGTTTTATATCATATGCATACAGGGTATAGAACTAGTAGAAGTAGAAACGCCACAAAACATGCCATGGCCTCTGTGCCATCCACTCTAGATTTGGTCAAGCAAATCGCCCTGGTCGAGGTCCATTGCGTCGTTGTCTCGTCGATCCTGGGGAACATAACCCTCGATCGAGCCACCCTTGGCATCCTCTGGCCGCCACTGCGGAGCACTTGCAGACGGTGTACTGCTTTGTGCCTTTTCCTTGATTTGAACATCCACGCGGCCTCCGCGGAATGGCAAACTAGTATCCCCACGCTCCATTGCAAGTTCATGCGCGCGCTCCGGATCTTGGAGATTCATTTTCTGCAGGTCCGCCGCAACAGCCGCGGCCGATGTCGAGCCTTGAGTCCTCCGCTTTGGCCGTTTGGCACGCGCTTCTTCCAGTAATTCAATACTCGTGCTGCGGCCCTCATCAGCGGCTCGCCTCTCCCACACGGGTTGTTCAGTGAGCTGCACGCGAATAAAAAGAGCTCTCTCTGCACACTCGTCAGAGCACCACTTCTCCAACTTGTCGCGAGGCACGATATCCATGCTGCGCCCTCGACCACCGGGTCCACTGCCTTTAGCCCCCCATTTGAATTGAAAGGTTTGATTCCGGCCTCTTTGATTGCGATACTCGCGCGGGCAGAGGCCGTAGCCGCAATTTCCCTCGTTATTGCGTTCCATGATGAGACTATCGTAGTCGCCGGTTCGGAAGATATGGAGGGCGGATTTAAAGGCGTGCGCATCCGCAGCTGAAGGCGCGGCTGGGTCGGCGGATGGAGAGGAAGGTAGCGAGAGTAGATCGATAATGCGGTCTAGGATCATGGTTTCGGCATCTTTCTGGGCCTGGATCTGGTGCGCATGTTGGAGGGCAACTCCCAGGTGTTGTGGAGTTGCGCGAGGCCGGCCTGATAGGTACTTTTCTTGCTCGTCATGGGACGGTTGGAGGGATGAACCGATCAGTTGCTCTGCGTTGACGGCGGCGTAGGCGGAAGGGAGAGAGGTTTTCAGGGAGGATCGGGAGGGACTTTGTTGTGTATCCATGCTGTAGGTTTGGTATGGACAGTCTCGGGGCTGGGATCTTGGGTGTGATTTGAGGCGGGGATATGCGTGAGGGAGGTCGAATTTTCTGGAGGTTCGGTCGGCGGAAGAGGCAAAATCGCGGGGAGAGAAATGTCGCCAATAAGAATGCCGACACTCTTGTTCTTCAAGCTTCTGACGTATTTCCTTGGGCACCGGTTTCGTATTTTGGGTAGGTAGTGGTTAGTTAGTCGCCGGAATTAAGAAATAGTAACTCGGTCGATCAAGGAGAACTGTATACAAAATGCTACAGAGTACTCTATGTATGGTTTTGTGAAAAAAAATATGTTACTCCATACTTCGTCATACGAAGATCATAGCTGATAGCTCGCAAGCCTACTAATGAGCGTGTCTCTAATTTGCTTCATATTATCAATACAAAAATACCAGTTCCTGTAACCTGGTCAAAGACATCGAGGATACGTGAATACTACTGTAATTATTCCCTCGGTTAGGATTGAGGCGTCGGGCGTTGGAAACCTTTGAAGCTTCGTTCCCCTAAGAGCCCTGCCAAGGCACCAAAGTATATACTACTTCTCGTATGAAATCAGAATTATCAAACACATCTGGTTTCACCATCTGTCCAGCCTGACCTTAAGCTGTCTGATATCAGTGTGCCCCATGTTGTACTGCTCAGTACCCTGGTTCTCTCATTAGCCGCCGATCGTCAGTGGAGCCTCTCTGTCTCCCTCATCCCGCCAAGTGACGACCACCTCACTACTTCATCCTTCCCACCGCAGCCCTCCTTTCCCTCTCCATCCGGTGTTTCTTGCGACGGCTGGTTTCCCTCTTGCATCGATTCCTCAATTCCAAGCTCCTCAGCGAGGCCCGCTCCCAGTTTACCTGGACTCTGTGAGTTCCATTCCAGCCCCTCTTGCCCTCCCCCTCATTTCCCCTAGGCACCACCCGACTCTCCGACACTTTCGTCATCCCAGACTAACCCGGACTGCCGACCACCTCCAAAAGGGAATTCAGTTTTGCACCAACCCCATATACCGCTGCATGCTGGAGGTATCTCGGCTAGTGTTTGACCCTGTACAGTTCCTCGCCCTGATCGCACCTCCCACACTTGTCGTTTAGCGTCCTTTCTACCCCGTCCCCTCCGAACCCAGGTGTCGACTGGCCAAATGTCCAATCCGCCCTTTACGGTCCGAGCGGTCTTCGAGTATGCGTCGGGCCACGATGACGACCTCAGCTTCCCAATCGGCCAAATCGTAACCGTCACCGCTGTCGAGGATGACGATTGGTACTACGGTGCATACACAGACGGCTCTGGAACTAAACAAGAGGGTATCTTCCCCAAAAACTTCGTCGAGCGATATGAGCCCCCTGCGCCTCCCCGACCGACACGCCCAAGCAGACCAAAGAAAGAGGCCGAGCCTGCCCCCGTGGAATCCCCTGTTGCTGTGACCGATAGCAAGCCGCAGGCGGAGCCCGAGGTTGCGGAGCAACCCGCCGTGGAAGAACAGGAACCAGTTTCCAAGCAGCCACCTCCCCCTCAGTCCCCGCCAGCGATCTCGAGTCCTGTGGCCGAAACCCCAACGTCGCCTAAACTGCCACCTCAAACGGCTAAACCGGCTCCTGCTCCTGCCGCGGCCACCGCTCCTCCACCCGTGGCCAAGTCATCAAAGCCCCCGCCTCCGACCGTTGCAGACAAGCCCTCGGGTTCGTCTTTCAAGGATCGTATCGCCGCCTTCAACCAGTCAGCTGCGGCGCCACTTGCCCCTTTCAAGCCCGGTGGTCCACGGCAGTCGACCTCGTTTGTCAAGAAACAATTCGTTGCCCCTCCTCCCAGCAAGGATTCCTTCGTGGCCCCACCAAGAGAGCCTGTTCCCAAAGTCTACAAGAGAGAGGAGGATCCCGATGTGAAGGAGCAACTTGCTCGTGAGCCACTAGTCCCGGAGACCCGTCCGCCCCCGCCTGCTCCGGTGCCTGCGCAAGAATCCGAAGAGGGCGCCGAGGATCAGCCGAAGCCGACTAGCCTGAAGGACCGCATTGCGGCCTTGCAAAAGCAGCAATTGGAGCAGGCCCAGCGCCATGCAGAGGCTGCGCAAAAGAAGGAGAAGCCTAAGCCTCCTAAGAAACCGGTTGAGCAACCCGCGGAGTCTGTCGAAGCCGAGGAGGAGCTCGAGACCTCTCCTGTTGAGGCCGTGGGAACAACCCGGGACGCTAGTGTTGATACATTGCGTGCCAAGGCACCTCAGGCACAGCCGACTCCCTTCTCTCCCTCAGAGGAAGTAGCAAGCGAGTCAAATGATGCTGACTACTCTGCTGCTGCCGACTCTGAGGATGCTGGAGAGACATCCACGAGCAAGGATGAAGAGGAGGAGCGTCCTCGTAAACAATCCACTCACACTATTGAGCAAAAGGGCGAGGAGGCAGACGTTGAAGAGGAGGAGGAGGAAGAGGAAGAGGAAGAAGAGGAAATGGACCCTGAAACCAAGCGCAGAATGGAACTTCGTGCCCGAATGGCGAAGATGAGTGGTGGTATGGGTATGATGGGACTCTTCGCGCCTCCTGGTGGCCTGCCGGGCATGGCTCCTCCTACAGGAGGCCGCAAACCTAAGACTCCTGGCGAATCTGAAAAGCGACTTGCCGAGCCCGAACCGACCTCTCCTCGTCATGCTCCTCCCGTGCCTTTGCCTGGAATGAACATCGGCACGAGGCCTGCCGTCGATGTGGAGAAGGAGGATGATGATGAGGAGCCCCTGGCGACCCCGATTTCTGAGCAACATCCTCCACGACAGGTACCAGATGTCGAGGAGGTCGTTCATGAAGGCCCCCCGCCACGCCGCTCTACTGATCGACCCCCTCCCGTCCCGCCTACCGGTGAGTCACATCAATTAATCCGTATAGGAAGGACTACATAACTGACAGTTCCTAAACAGAGCGCTCTGCTGCGGCTCCCCCAATGCCAGAGTCACGGCCCGTTCCACCTCCACCAGCACCAGTAGAAGAACCAGCTTCGCCGCCTCCAGTCCCAGGGGGTATGTTACATCCAACCTTTCTCTTCTATAACCGAACTTTCCTTCTCAAGACTCCGATATTAACTGCAGTATTAGGCCGCCCTGCTCCTCCTCCGCCTCGGCCTTCCACGGGCGACGAATCCGATGATGAACTATCAGTGCATGCAAAGAGCTTGTCCTTAGACGAGCCAGGTCAGGCACCCGTGGTGCCTGCACCAGCTATTCCTGACCGTTTGGATTCTCGGCGATCCTCAACGTACGACTCGACACCCCCCTTGGGCCCGACACCAACTGCCGAAAAGAGAGCAAGCCGCCCACCTCCTCCAATCCCGACTAATCCACCCATGCCCCCGGCACAGAGTCGTGCGCCGCCTCCACCACCACCAGGCCAACTTCGTCGACAATCCACAGTTGATAGCCGCGGGAGTGCCCCCCGACAGGCTGGGGAAGATGTTGAAGGAGAGGTTACGGAGTACGATGGAGATTACGACACTGATATCGCATCCGGAGCCAAGCACAAGGATGCTTTGAGGGCCCACGAGCGAGAGTCCAGCTTTGATGAGGGAACAATCACAGACGAGTATTCTCTTCAGTCACCTCGAAGCCCCCAGGAATCTCGTCTGCCCCCACCGCTCCCACCCACTGCTGCCCCTCGAGGAGTTCCGCCCCCGCCACCAAGCCAACCGCCTCGAAATGCTCGTGCTTCCATAGATACGCCAAGAGGTCCGCCTCCGCTCCCGCCAACTAGGGAGGCCCCTCGTGGTGGTGCTGAGGACGATGATGAATACGATCCTTTCAACTATTCTGCTCCTCAACATGGGCTGCCCACTTCTCCGCCCCCTCCTCCACCGCATGCCGTGAGCGAGGACTTTGATGACCTTTATGAGGCATCTCCAGTTCAAAGTCCCTCGACCGAGCAACCTCCGTCACTTCATGAAAAGCGACCTTCTCTGGCACCACCGCCCCCTCCCCAGAGTCAGGCTCCAGCCTTGCCTTCACCTTCTGCTGCCAGAAGCGGGCGGGCTTCCATGGATTTGATGCGTGCTCAGCGGCGATCGATGGACGTATCCCGTCCGTCCATTGACCAGGGCTTCATTGCCACTGAGGTTGACCTTGGAGAGAGTACCCTATGGTGGACTCAGCCCAAGACGACTCCTCCGGTTTTCCAGAACCGCAAGGATATTCTCTTTGAAGTTGAGGAATCTACCTCCACGAAACGGGGTGGCAAGACTACAGTGTCCAAAGACGTTTACGTTCTTTTCATCGACTACTCTCAAACCGTGGTGACGGTGCACTTTGATGCAAAGAACCCTGCAGATGCCACCCTTGAGCAGCGTCATGAACCTCCACCTCTCCAGCCCCGTCAGGATCAACTTGAGCAGGCTCACGTTCAGCATGGAAACCGAATCTCAGAGTCCGTTAACGCAATCCAAAACTCCACTGTCGGCGATGGTACTCCTTTCGGATTGATCCAGCATCTTCTGAACCCTCTGTCTGATGCGCTCCTCCCTGTCGGAACCCGTGCCTACGGCGCCCTGGTCTACTCAAACTTGGCCAACGCATCTGTCACGCAGAACGACGAGATCCGCGCTGGTGACATTGTCAGCTTCCGAAATGCTCGCTTCCAGGGTCACCGTGGTACTATGCACCAGAAGTACAGTGCCGAGGTGGGCAAACCCGACCACGTTGGCATCGTCGTTGACTGGGATGGCACCAAGAAGAAGATCCGCGCCTGGGAGCAGGGACGCGAGAGCAAGAAGGTCAAGATGGAGAGTTTCAAGCTGAATGATCTCCGCAGTGGCGAGTGCAAGGTCTGGCGTGTTATGCCGCGCAGCTGGGTGGGCTGGGAGTCTTCCAAATAAGCCGATCAACCTGATGCCCTCTCTATCTCGCATCTGGTATGACTTACGGCCGGACTCATTTACTGCCTCTTCTTATATTCGTCTCCACTATCTAACCCCCTACGTTGATGTTTTCCCTTGACCTTTTCCTTTTGCGTTTAAAACCTTCCTGTTTATGTGGTAATGAGATAGCCGGAATGGTTTGTTTTTGATGGAGAATTGAGCGAGCGTGCACACAACCTTTTCTTTGCGCCCCCCTTCTTCCCTATCTTACCTGTGGTAAATTCTGCATGACCCATGTTTTCCGCTCTGCTATAATTTCCATATTTTCCATTGCCCTGTATCTATTTGCAATGTATTCATTTCGATTCATTTCAGGCGACTGTAGACCAAGAGTATCAGACTAGCACAATATTTTCTATACATGACGTTTAAAGACTACATATTTATGATCCGAGCACGGAGAGACACATCGATTCTTCAATAATCATAGACAGAAGAGATACTCCAAGCAGAGTGGGGTTTTAGACCACAACGCCTCGGAGAGGGGCAAAAACTTATCGAAAACAAAAAAAGAATGGGACAAGCCAGGATCGAACTGGCGACTTCACGATAGCAGAAACTGGAGTTGTACTTCAGTCGTGCACTCTCCCAGCTGAGTTATTATCCCAATCTGTGATATCGTCGACTAGATTTGCGAACATGATCCTGTGCTAGACGGTGTCTCTTCCTGCGGCCAGTGCAGCTACCACGTGATTCATGCCTCAGGCCACCGATGAGAGGTGGCTGGCTATTTCCCCATTTGGCATCCACCGTCCGACTTCAATCTCCGCAACATCACAGCTTTCCTCAACACCTCCAAAATGGGTGGCGATCTGAATTTGAAGAAGTGAGTACCCGAAACCCTCCCACGCAAACCCCTACTACATGGTTTTCGGGTGAGATATCTGAAAGCAAGTCAACGTTGCTAACCTCGTCACAGGTCATGGCACCCATCGCTGCTCCGCAACCAGGAGCGCGTATGGCAGCAGGAAAAGCGCGCTCTAGACGAGCGCAAGAAGGTCGAACAACTGCGACGTGAACGCGAAGAAGAGCGCCAGATCCAGGAGCTCCAGCGCCTACAAGAAACCTCCGGCAAGACCGCGCCACAATCCCGAGTCGACTGGATGTACCAAGCCCCCTCCAGCTCCACGGGCCACTACTCCGAAGAGATGGAGGGATACCTGCTGGGCAAGCGACGTATCGACGGCATCTTATTGAAAAACGACGCCGACAACCAGAAGCTGGAGAAGGGTGCGGACGTGGTCGGGGCGAATGCGGCGGCTGGTCCGTCAGTCGGGTCTGCGCGCGATACCATGACGAAAGTTCTGAATGACCCGCTGCTTGAAGTCAAGAAGAGAGAACAGGCGGCTTATGAGGCTGCGGTTATGGAGGCTGCTCGGCGCAAGGAGAGGGAGGCTCGCCGGAAGGGCGATAGCGGTCGAGATAGTGGTCGAGACCGAGACCGGGATCGTCGTCATCGCGATCATGATTCGAAGCGTCGGCGATATAGTGATGAAGGAGAGGATGATCGCCGACGTAGTCATCATCGGAGCGAGCGTCGGCACCGATCTAGGTCCCCAGCTTCGCCGGAGCGATCCCACCGTAGACACCGCAGCGAGCGAGACCGTGAACACGACCGTGATGACCGTGATCGCCGAGAGGATCGACGCCGAGGTGATAATGCTCGATCCCGTCGAGACGACCGAGACCGCGACCGCGATGGTGAACGAGACCGCCGTGATGACCGCCGTGACTACAGAGAAAGAAGGAGCTCCTACACCAGTCAAACTCGAGACCGAGACTCGGGTCCCAAACGCGACCGTGATCAGGACAACGAGCGCGAGAGATCCCCACGACGTTCATCTCCCCGACGACGTTCCCCTATCATACACCAGGGCCAGGGCCGTAACGACCGTGGCAATGGAGACCGACGAGACTCCCCCGCCGAGACTACAATAATCGCCACGACTCATACAACCGAAACCGTGGGCCACCTCCTCCCCGCGCTGCGCCTAACAAGCCAGACCCCAAACAGCAAGAGGAGGAGCGCCTTCGCAAGCTTGCAGAAATGCAATCAAATGCAAACGAGCTTGAGGCAGAACGCCGCCAGCGAATTACTGAGCTTACTGCCAAAGAACAAGAGCAGAAGGAGGCAGATGATAAGCAGCGTTCTGACCGCGGTCAATTTATGTCCAAGGTACATCAGCGTGTGCAAGAAGACAGCCTGGACGAGCGCATCCGGCGCAGTCGTGGTGGACTGTCCAAGATGGAGGAGGATTGAGGATTCTGAGTCCAAGGTTCGGACCTGCGCCTCAACCAGTTCTCCGTAATTATAGGATGAACCTGTGCCTAGTAGGGCATTTTCTATGTTATGTATCAAATATCTTCAACTCGTATCCTTAGCGGTGGTTCCTTGGGTCGAATAATGCAAGCAAATAAAGCGTTATTTCTATGATATCTGCTTCTATACTTTGCCACAACTAGACTGCCTGTCTTAGTTTAATTGAAGCTGATCTATTGCATAATATTCTCCTGTCCATCACATGTCCAACTACTGCTCCTTGTTATAGATATTGTTATACCGTTCCAAAGCCTGAGCAGTGAGCACCTCACCCTCCACCCCCTGAAAACGCGCCGGATCCAAAGCCTTCACAACCCCCACATTACTATCAGAAATCCCCTCCTGACTTCCACGCAGAACCTCTCTCGCAATCAACTTCGCCGTCCCAGCAGCCGTAGTAACCCAAATTGCAGCACAAAGCCACAGATTACCAACATCAGACACTCTACCAGCCAGCGGCAGATTATCCGGCGTCACCGAGAAGATCCCATTAAACGGCTTCTTCTCCTCAAAACGATCCGAATCATCCTGACGTCCTTGTACTAGGAAGTCCCCTCCGTTCTTCAGATGCGAGGATGCTTCTGAGAGTACTTTGTCGAAGCTGGAGGGCCATGTCCCGATGGCTGATTGGTCGGGCTTCAGTTCGAGGGGAGCATGGTCGTAGCTACCCAGACCATCGTGGTCGCCGTGGTCTCGGGCGTAGACGTGGTGCTCTGGCCAGCGGACGAATGGATAGGGTTTTCCGAGGCGGACAGGTCGGGGAGGTGTAAATGTGTATGGGTGTGCAACTGGTATGATAGGGACTGGGAACTTGGTGATTGAGACTTCCTTGTCTCCTGTTAAGGAAGACGTCCAGATACCCGTGGCGAGGATGACAGTACTGCCTGTCAAATTGATATCCCCATCCGCAGTGCGTATAGCTTCAATCACTCCATTCTTGCGTGCAAACCCGACCACATCAACTTCCAAGAAATCCACACCTTTGGCACGAGCTTCCTGCGTATAATAAGACGTAATAAGCTGCGCATTCGCCGTCCCATCAGAAGGGAAATACAACCCCATCCTCACAGTCTCACGATCGATAAAATCCGGCGCCAGAGCGGCTGCATCCTCAGCCGAGATCATCTCAGCAGACAACCCCGCAGCACGAGCCTTCTCACATCGAGATTGTAGTGTCTGGACACCCGCTTCCGTGGACGCGAGCTCCAGTCCTCCGACGGTGTTAAATCCACCCGGGACGCTGAGGTACTCGGCCACAGTATCTCGAGCCAGTCGAGTTAGTACTGCCGACTCATTGAGTTGGCCCACGAAACCTGGTGCATGGCTTGTGGATCCTAGGGACTTTTTGAGGGATCGGTCGAGTAGTATGATGTGACGATCGCTGTCTGCTTTGGAGAGGTAGAATGCTAATGCAGCGCCGACTATGCCACCGCCCACGATGAAGATCCGTTTGGAGGACGGGTTGGTGTTTAGATCTTGGATTGAGAGGGTTGATTGCATGATGAAAGGTTTGATATTTCAAATTATTCAAATGGGATGGTCTAGCGATAGGGGTGGTACATGGGGATAGCCCGTTGAACTATATAGATTAGACCATGAGGCTATCAACTATAAATAACTCTAAAGGGCGTGGCATGTACCCGATATCGGCCTGTATATCGCCATGTGTATCCGCCTCCAGCCGAGACTGTGCGTGGTGAGTTCGTATTGGGGATAATCCACGTCATTTCCAAGACACGATACTGCAGAAATATATCTCGCGCCATTTGACCCACCGATGGAGGTGCCGGCTTTACTACCGGTTTAGGCTAGCATCTAGTAACATCAATTGAGGATACTCGTATTAGAATTCATTGGAAAGATTGGTAGATTGATCTAATAGATACATCGCGTTCCGAAGCTCGAGGAGAACAATTAGAGATGACAGAGCTGAATGTATTAGCCCTAGATTGAGGTGTCGTAACATCCACCTCCATAATGGCAAAATGTGCCAAGATTGTCATGAATTGGGATAATAACTCAGCTGGGAGAGTGCACGACTGAAGTACAACTCCAGTTTCTGCTATCGTGAAGTCGCCAGTTCGATCCTGGCTTGTCCCATTTCTTTTTGTTCTTGTCTCGGCTTCTCCAAAGCCGGACGCTATCCTGCATATACATAACCTCTTCTCTCTCGTAAAGGCTTCTTTTTTCCCAAAGTCACCTTCTCCTCATGATTGTATCACTAGGATACCGGGCAATCATATTGAACAGATCATGTAGCTTCAGTGCATATAGTGCACCGCGGTAATATTTCTGCCTGGGTAGAAACGCAGCATGATAAGGATTGGGGGCTAGGTAACTACATACCAGATAGTTCACCCCCACTTCTAGTAAGCACTGCCACATAGCCCCAGCATGACCTCAGTTTGAAGTGAATCCATATCAATGGCGCATAAGACAGGGCTCTGTCTGGATGGTGTTCACATTCAACTCAATATGAATGTGGTGGAGTGTAAACTCCTTGCAAGGTTAGGATGGCTTTAATGGTATCCCTCACTTAGACGTTTTATGTCGGAATCGGAGAATTCAATTCCAGTTTAAGCACGTCAGCAGGCGCTGATCTTACTTACTTGAAGCTAGTCAATTTGAGCGATGTTACGTCGAGTACTGATCAAGCTAGTGGAAGTTGAAAGACTCAAAGCAGAATTCATAGTTAGTTATATATGGGCTATCCGCTATCATCCTCGGGGAATCATGTCAACTCTGATTTTCCCTATCATTTCCACCATGCTTTAAATCCAAAGAGGTTCGACTTAGCTACATCATTCATTACGCCTGTCAACGTTTGGAAAGCAATATAGGACTACATCTCAAATATGACATTTGAGATTCTCCCCCTCGAGCCAGCGGACATACCGGAATGCTTTGCAGCAGCTCAAAAAGCTTTCGTCGAGTTTAGTCGCTTGATATTCAAGCCAGATCATCTATCAACCGAGTCCGCTGAGCTTCTTATCAAGAGTCGGATCCAGGGATTCAACAATAGAAACCTGCAATCACGAAATTTCAAGGCCGTTGATTGTGAGACAGGTACAATCATTGCCGCGGCACGGTGGAGGGTCTATCCAGAAGATGAGCTTTTGATCAAGAGCGTGGATGAAATCGTTGAGGCAAAGCTACAGCCCCGCGTGCCTGAATTGCGTGAAGATGTGGCCAGAGCATTCTATACGATGCTAAACCAGGGCAAGCGCGAGATAGCTGGAATTGAGAAAGATAAAGATGGAAGAACAGTTAAATTGATGCGCCGCGTGGAGTTGGAGTCCCTATTTACACATCCAAGCTACCAACGAAGAGGAGCTGCAAGGGCCCTTCTGCAACGGTGTATTCAAGAAGCTGACCTACTCGGCTTGGTTGTTTACCTTGAGGCGACCCAGGACGGAAAACCTCTCTATGAGAATTGTGGATTTGAAGCTATCAGAACCCACACGTTTGAGGCAGAGAAATTTGGAGGCGAAGGGGCGCATCAGTACACGGTATGTTTTGGCCCTAGCATGTTCCTGGTATGTGAGCTATTTCTGGCAAACGGTCCACTAATACTAGTAGTATATGGTGAGGTCACCAAAGGAGAGCTCTTCTATAGCTTCAAAATGATATTGGTAGCATGGAAGTGATCATTCTCACGGTGTTCCTCAAGATAGTCACGATAATTACAACCGCTCTCTCTCTTATGGTGACGATGCCTATGAAACCCGGAGGATCTACCTATGGAAAGAAAATTGGTAACATGTTCATACTGCCGGTAATTTCCTATTATACCTGTAACCTTGTACACTTCAATATGGATGAATGAATGATTCCCTTTAAGCCTGGACCCCCCCCAAGAGTTGATAATAAACCACCACCTTTTTACTAGAAAGGGTACAGATTCATGACATGGTCTCATAGTTATCTAATTGGTCATTAGCCCCGATGGCATGACCTCTGGGCGTACAGGGTCCATTCTCACAGTTTGCGTTCTGTAACACGCAGCACCGGCCAATGACTCGCACCTAGCCACGTGTTTGCGGTTTAATGGTAGTGCTTATAGGACAGTTCCATGTAATATTTGGAGGAGAGTGTGGCTTCGTGATCATGGCCTAGCACCTTCTCTCGCCATTGAAGAGCTCGTCGAAAAATGGCCTCGGCCTCTACGAACCGATGCTGGTTATAGAGGCAAAGACCAAGCTCATGAAGAGATTCGAGTGTGTGCTTATGAATATGACCTAGCACTTGCTCTCGCCCTTGAAGAGCTCGCCGAAACATGGCTTCGGCCACTTTGAACCGATGCAGATAAACGAGGCATACACCAAGCCAATGAACAGAATTGAGTGTGTCGCTATGATTATTACCTAGCACTTGCTCTCGCCCTTGGAGAGCTCGTTGAAACATAGCCACGGCCTCTGTGAGCCGATGCTGGTCATAGAGGGAAAGACCAAGCTCGTGAAGAGATTCGAGCGTGTGCTTATGATCATTACCTAGCACTTGCTCTCGCCCTTGGAGAGCTCGCCGAAACATAGCCTCAGCCTCTTTGAACCGATGCAGTTGACCGAGGCATACACCAAGCCAATGTACAGACCTGAGTGTATCCTTATGATCACTACCTAGCACTTCCTCTCGTCTTTGGAGAGCTTGTCGAAGCATAATCTCGGCTTCTCCGTGCCGATTCTGGTTTTGGAGGCATACTCCAAGCCAATAAACGGAATTGAGTGTGTCCCTATGATCATTACCTAACACTTGCTCTTGTCCCTGGAGAGCTCGTCGAAACATAGCCTCGGCCTCTTTGAACCGATGCTGGTTTTGGAGGCAGATGCTAAGCCAATAAACAGAATCGAGTGTGTCTTTATGATCATAGCCTAATTCTTTCTCCCGCCCATGAAGAGCTCGACGGAATATGCTCTCTGCCTTTTCGTTTTGATGCTGATTGACTAGTGAGAGAGCCCTCTCTTGCAGGACTTCGAAAAGGCAAAGGCTGGGCGTAAGGGTCCCGATTTGACTATCCATAGGCTGTGGTCTCGTAGTCCTCAGAGAAGAAGAAGAAGAAGAAGCCTCTCTCTGCTGTGCTGTACAGGTCTTCCCTTGGGTATAGTTTACCAGATATGGCGTTGTTATTGAATCAGGCATGCTGTGAATGACAGTCTGCGGCGCTTCTGTAGAAGATCTTGTATTCCATGACGCAAAACTTTCGGTTAACGTTGGAACTGGACTGGGAACCTGTGGTTTGTCTTCAAAGGGCGTTGTGGACTTTGGGGCAGGGATCACTGATTGTATCCACACGTTTGACAGAGCAGATGAAGCCGTTGTTCGATCATTGGGATAGGGGCACATAAGTGAAAGCAGAAAGTCGATGCCTTGTTGACTGACACCGACGTCCCTGAGCTTGGTGATGGGGAATTGGTGCTGGGCTTTGTAGCTTGCAAGCAATGCTGTAGTAAACGCAGGTTTTTTGGTGAGGATCTCGAATAGAATCTCTCCGAGGGCCCAAATGTCAGTGGCATACGCACTGCCCCGCTCAGTAAAGCCCCAAAGTTCAGGGGCAAAATATCTTGGGGTACCCTGTATCGTCGATGGCTTATGGCCCTCTTGTATGCGTTTGGTGAGACCAAAGTCTGCCAGCTTAATCCACCACTCAGCTGGAGGATGCGATTTAATGAGTATATTCTAGCCATTCGCTTTAGTGAAGGCTCTCATTTCCACACCTATAAGTGAACTTACCTCTGGTTTGAGGTCTCGGTGAGAAAACCCATTTTCATGCATCATATTCAGACCATCAAGAATCTGGTAGGCAATTTCTTTTACCTCATTCTCTGGCAGTGATGGCTTGTGATATAGATACGTGAACAGGTCGCCAATTTCGAGGTATTCCATTGCTATGAAGAGCTGGCCAGGCCCTTCGTACCAGCCGAATGACTTGACGAAGCATCGTTCATACTACTTCAATCAGCATGACTTGATCTTTCTCATAGATAATTAACATATAGAGACTAACACGAGAATGTGAGAACTTGGCAATTGCCTCCAACTCACGATTATAATCAATAGGCTCGAATCGCGTGTCCAAGTCAATCTGCTTGACGGCTCGGACTGGGCTACCGTGAGCTGTAACTCCTGATCGCCCACCTTTAATGCGCTTCTCTAGCCAGACGCTACCATATCCACCTTTTCCGATCCTTTTCTGCCGCTGCCAATGCTCCAATCTGATCACAAGGCGTTGTCCAGAAGTTGGGTCTGACTCCCGGAATGTATGGACGGTTTCCACTGCACTGTCCAGAAGAAAACGGGTTTCTAGCCTGGAATCTCGAATGAGATCTGATATTTGCGCCATTCAGACGTTCCTGTAAGCAGTTCACGCGTTGATAGTGTGGATGGGGATTTGTATTCGCTGCGGCTGAAAGGCGCCTAAAGGAGCGACCCCGCACGTCACCTGATATAATACTGCATGTTATAGACAGTTTTTGCCATGACTATTTCAATGTGGAACGAATATTGGAATACGGGGATATCAGTATTGAAAAAGTATTTCACTGTTTCCCGACACGGAAGGCAATAACAGGCGCCATGGTACAATCAGAAACATATCACTTATTAACCTGATATCAATGCGTTCTATCTACAATTATACCTCAGCAATCAAACCTACAGCAGCAGCAACTCGCCCGTAGCAGCACCGCCAGCATACTGTGGCTGATACCCCTGTTGCTGGTTCTGGGTGACCACAAACTGCGACTGAGGCGCGCCGCCGCTTCCTGCTCCACCGTCTCCACGTCCACCCAGATCCATCGCGGCCATGTGCTGAGAACCGATACCATTGAAGTAGCTATCGGCTGCATTAATAGCATTAGCACCAGCCCCACCACCAGTTGCGTTGGGGTCGAGCGGGAATGTCGGGGGAGGAGGGGCATTGATAGGGCTAATAGGGTTACCCGTCGTGGTGATGGTGGCGAGGCCGCTGTTGCTGGTTGATGCGGAAGCCATGCTGGCGGTAGGTGGGTTGTACTCTAGCATGCTAGCGGTACCGTCCTCGACCCGGGGCCGTTGCAAGGCTGGACTGTGTTGGAGTCTGCGAGGTCGTGCGGCGCGGAAGACCTGGTGAATGGGCTTGAGGTAGACCGTAGCCAGGGTGCCAACGTTGAGGCAAAGTTCTTCCAAAGTGCGTGGGTCAAGTTTCTCGCTCTCGGCTGTGATGGGGGGCTTCTGGCCCATGACAACTTGCTTGGCGGTGGCTGGGTCGGTGGACAGCAAACGCCAATACATGTATCCTCGATCACGGAGGTCGGGGTCATCAGTCTCTTCCGTGCACCACTTAAGTACCTGCGGAACGAGTTGTTGACCCTTGGTGGGCCGCTGGATGAACAGCTTGACGGTAGCCGTAAGCAGGGCCAGCTGCACTTCGACCGTTTCGTCGTGGAATGTGGCCAAGTAATCCTGTAGGAGCCCATCCGAGTTCTCAATACGATCTGCATACTGACCGATGATCCAGATGACGGCTGCCTTTGCTTCGGGCTCGTCAAGGTCGTCAATGTTGCGGATCACGTGGCTGATGATGCTCTCATACTGGTTGGGATACTTGCGGAAGATGTTGCGGATCACAACCGTTGCCTCTTGAACGATGTATGGAATCTTGGCGCCCACAAGCTCCAACAGCGTATCAATGCACTGCTTTGCAGCAGACTCGATCTTAATGGCCAGCTTTCCAATGGCGCGCACTGCCTTGCGAACGAAATGGACATCGATCTCCGTGGCATACTCTCGAAGCTCAGCCAGAACAATCGAGATATTGTCCTTCGTCGTCAACATGAACATCAACTCCAGCTTCGTCACCTTGACATAGATTGGGTCGTTGTAATTGCAGAAGAACACCCTGATATCGTTGCGCAGGACTTCCGGTCTTTTCTGCAGAATCAGGATAGCATTTCGAAGTGCCAGATACTGGACCTCTGGCGGTTTGGAGAGAAGTGTAACAAGAGGTGGTGATAGCTTGCGACATAACGAAGTGATGTGCTTTTCGTCGGCGATATAGTTCATAAGGTAGAGAATAACTCGGCAAGCAGTAAGAACGACAGCAGAATTTTGGTGAGAAAGGCGTGGGGCAACTCGCTCTGCCAGCAGGAGCGCCTCGGCAGTGTCCTGAGGCACATAAGACATCAAGGCCTCAAGGATATAACTTTGGCCCCATCTAGTTCTTCTGTTAGTGTGAATTTCAAAGTAATGTGGGTTGAGAGGATCATACTCAGAGCAGTCAGGCAAGATCGAAACTAGTTTTGAAGCGCTGACATAGTCGATGGTAAGAGAGATCGATTCACTGCGACCCCAGATATCGCACAAGGAGGCCAGAACGCTCGACACGACGGTCGGGTTCTCATCTTTCAACATCCGATTGAGCCGGTCAATCAAATCGGAGTTCTCGACCGTCTTCTTATCGTGCTCGTACAGCTTCGCGACGCAAAAGGCAGCTGTCTTACGAACATATGGATCGTTATCTTGCATCAGGCGCTTCAGCGGTTGGAACGTTGCCTCGACAAACTCGCGCACATGGACGTATGAAATGGTTCTTAGGGCGAGGGCGCGCACGAGCGGGTTTGTGTCTTCCATGTCCTATAAGCAACTGTTAAACATCCATCCTTCCCTGTGTCTCATCTTTGATATAGAAATCTCATACATCAACTAGAATCGGCAGCGCCTTCATCGCGACTTCGGGTTTCATTCTCGAGTAGTTGACCAGGAAGAGGAAGCACCTAGAGGACCTGTTAGCAAACGCGATCTCCATGGCAGAAGGTTGCCCCGCAGGCTGGCAGGCGCTTTCTATCCCAACATACATCTTCTTGATCTCCAAACTCGGTAGGTTCATGCACTCGATCACGTCGGGGAATAGCGCAACCATATCATTATTGCTCATGGTCATATTGGCGACGATCTTCTTCAAGGCGATCTTTTTGGCGGAGTAGTTCTTATCTTTCTTGCCGCCGCTATGAAGCTCCTGGCGCAACTCGGCGACCTTGCCCTGTGGAGTTTGAAGAGAGCGTGAGCCAAGGGGCGGAGCATATGGAGCGAAAGCGATAAACATGTGGAAACAAGCGCTAGGGTATAACAGTGTAGAAAAGCAAGAGGGTTGATCTTATCAAGACAAAGAGAGGAAGTTGGGCAGTCTGTCTCGGCACCCTGTCACATTTAAGACGAGCAGCGCATTGACAAGATGCGGGGAAGGTTGGCTTAAAGCCACAAATAGGCAAGTCGGACGATCAAGCCGAGTAGAAATCAATAGAGCTTATCACGTACCCTAGCGAACAGCTTTGCATCGCCTCCGGAACTCATGGCTGCTGTGTAGTCGAATCACACGAGCTTATTTCGGACTCCTTCTTTTTGGGGACTTTGGGCGTATCTGGCAGCCACCCAATCGATGACAGGCGATAGACGTGCAAGAGGAATGTATCGAGGGAATCGGGTTCAGTCAAGGCCGTACTGTTGAACAGTGCTAAAAATCGATCGTATTCGGACGTTTCGGGGATCGCGGCTTTGGAGGGGAATGTGGTCCTGTATGTCGAGAAAAGGGCGAGAGTCTTCACTGCACCACGACTGTGGCCCGGTCGGGGGAATCGGAAACAGGGAGGATCATTGACAGGACATAATTCGAGATTCCACGGGCAATTGACGGGCGTGGGATGAAGAGAAAAGGCGAGTGAGACAGGGACGCGGAGAGAAAGGAGAATCGAGGCCTAAGGCGGAGTGGCAGTGGAGAGGAAGAGCTGCGGAGGAAACCTCCTGGGAGGACCCGTCATCTTTCCCACTTTGTGATCTCCTCCCCACACCAACACATCGCAACTTCATCTCCCAGCCAGCTTGAATTAAATTTCTCTCTGGCATCTATTCACCATGTCGTCTGCTCTACCGCCGCCCCCTCCGCCGCAATGGGTGACCGCGATGAACTCGCCGCTGCCGCGTCCCACCAAAGCCGCCTCCAGCATCCCGGATCCACCAGGCTTCTCCAGCGGCCGGGGAGGTAAACAGGTGAGTTTCTAGATGTTATTTGCTGCTTGGATTGAGGACTTAAAGATCCTCCGATTTGTACTAGTGCTAACCTATACCAGCGCCAGCAAGAAAAGCAGCAACCTGTCGCGAAGAAGCCCGAAGAGACCGACGCTCTGAAGATGAAGAAGGCCTGGGAGATCGCCATCGCTCCGTCCAAGCAACTCCCCATGAACGGAATCATGATGTACATGTCCGGCAACAGCCTCCAGATTTTTAGCATCATGATGGTCTTCATGCTGTTCAAGGGCCCCATTCAGGGCTTGATCAACACCAATGCGGCGTTCGCCAAATACGAGACCCCCTCCACGCGCGGGCGCCTGGTGGCCGTTAAGCTGGTATATGTGTTGATGCAGTTCCTACTGCTGGCATTGGGCATCTGGAAAGTCAACGCGATGGGATTGTTACCGTATGTTTTGATACTGGGTGGTTCCCTTTTGGTGTTGGATACTGACATTTTCGGGCAGGACTACGAGATCGGATTGGCTCGCGTGGGAATCAGAGAGGCTGCCTTTGGAGAAAGCCTACTTTGCATTCAAGTGATAGGTGGTCATGAAGTGATTGATTGTAGCATAAGCGGAAGGGCACCTTTTGAGTTTAGATTTTTTTGGTTGTATTATGATTGATCAAACTCTTCTAATAGCAAGCAAGCAAAAAAGCACACCGCAGTATCTGATGCTTCAATAAGGGTATCGATATAGTTCCATGCAAATTCATAACGGCATTGTAAATGATCGCAAAGACACCCAGTGTTGGTTGGCCTATCTCATTATCGTTGGTCCACGTTCACTTCTCGCTCGTAGGGCTCGTCTCCGTTTCAAGTTTCTTGGCCTCTTCTTTCAGACGGCGCTCTTCACGCCATTTAGGTCCCTTGAAGATGACCAACAAAAGCAGCGGAGATGTGGACAACATAACCAGCGACACGAAAGTGAAACACCATCCACGGCCCATGGCTGCAAGCATAGGATCGATCAGAGCCGTTGCGCCAGCTCCGAGCAAGCATCGCACAATATTATTAGCAGCCGTCGCTTTAGCTGCCTGTGTCGGGTAGAAGTCTACCAGAATGGTACTGATAGTATTGAAAGCCCCGGTCAGTGTAAGGCCCATTAGAAACAGAATAGTGGTCGGAGCAGCCAGATGAACCCTGAAATTCAAGCACCACCCAAACGCCAGGATGGAAAGACTTCCAATTGTGAGCATCGGGAACGCAATCTGGAGGCGAGCTTTCTCGATTGGGAAATTTCTCAGGTCTGTATGGCGGTTTTTGGCGAGGGGGAATCCCCGTTGCTTCGCTATGCGGCGGTAATTGTAATCCAGGAACTTTCCGTTGAGTATGGACGCAATAGAAGCACCGAGTCCGAATGGGATATAGCACAGTCCAATCTGGAGATCGTCTAGACCGTATAGCTCGTTGAATATAGAGGGAATCGTGGCACTGACATCGTAGAAACCAGCGAAAAGGATGGCATTACATAGCAAAACGATGCTGGTATCCTTTTGGGCGACAATCGCCAATGTTTCTAAAGGATTAGGAAACCGTAGTTTCTGCTTAGGTGGGCTGGCGGGAGCTTCGATGCCTTCCTCGCGGGCTTTTCGCGCTTTGAGGTAACTGATCAAGGACATATTCCACTGTTGAGGAGGTTGTGAACCATCACCAACGACACCTCGTGCAGTCTCAGGGAAGAAGACCAAGAATGGAACCATGAAAGCACCCGAGAAGATGACTAGAAACCAGAAGATGGCTCTCCAGCCAAGATACTGCGAGAGTAGACCTCCAATGACCGGGCCAACTGACGGTCCTAAGAGAGAGCCAGCCGTGACGAAGCCCATGTAGGATCCACGTTCGGCCGCGGTGGCCACATCAGAGACGACCCCCGACGAAAGGGCGATCGTGGTACTGCTCCCTGCACTTTGCAGACATCGTAGGACAAAAAGGGCTGCATAGTTGTTCTGCAGGGCCAGCCCAATGTTGGCGGCGATGTAGATAGCGAAACACACGATATAGGCAGGCCGTCTTCCAGCTTTATCGGCAAAATCACCAATGAACATGGGCGATAGCCCTTGGAAAATCTGTTCCATTCAAGTTAGTTTCATACCTAGGCCGAAGTAAGACACGAGACCAACACACCATATAACTCGTCAGAGTCAAGTTGATCAGCGAGTTCGAGACGTGAAGATCTCGAGCTAGTGTGTTCAGAGCTGGAAAATAGATCTGGGACGACACAGGAGAGAAGAAACCAGCCCATGACGCCATGAAAACGATATATCGTCGCTGGCTAATCGTGAAGACCGAGTAGTCGACATCGGCGACATCCCCGCCATGATTCCCCGCATGGCGGCTTGTATCTCTCGCCGTTTCAACATCAGTTGTAGCCACAGCTTTCAAATTTGAAACTGGCGGAGTGCCCATTTCTCTGTCGCTCGGTACTGGCCGTCTCAGCGATGAGAACGGGCCAGCATTCCAGCTAGAAAATTTATAAAGAGCATAGTTGAGAAGCAGATCAAACCTGACTCGGTTTTAGCGCGACTTAACCCCATGTGGAAGGTATCGAATCAAGGTCCTGCCAAAATTTGCTGTGGTCCAGTCCTGTAGGATGTGTGGAGAAGAACGGACCTGTGCCGAGATGCCGAAAGGTTTACTCCGTACTTACTCCGTACTTACTCCGCACAGTAACTGTTGAGTGCTTATTCCGTAAAAAGGCGCCTTATCGGCGGGTCACTCCGACAAGCGAGACCTACCAAAACGAGAATTAGATGGTAAGCTCGGCGGGACTTGCAAACCTATAAGCATGTAGATGATAATGCGATAACTGAATGAGGTGGTATCTGCATTTATCCCAGTCCGAAGTCCGTTCGTCCGCTAGGTACTCACAGGGGATTTTTTTGAGAGTGAAGGTCACGAACTACAGTAGGCTATGTATTTCCAAGGCTCTGCCCGACGCAAAGCAAGTTTTGATTGTTTCCATGTAGATATACAACCCTCAACCTCGAGCCTTGACAGCCTCCCGACAGGCCTGCAAGAATATTTGACAAAACTCCCACACATCGGTATATGTATTGTACAAAGGTGCAGGAGCCACCCGAATGACATCAGGTTTCCTCTCATCAATGACCACGCCATGCTCCTCCAAATAGTGCAAGACATGGTCGAGAAGTCCAGGCTGGAGCCGCAAGCTTAGCTGAGCGCCTCGCTCTGTGGGATTAGATGGTGTGATAAGAGTGAAGGGCTTGTCCTCTGGGGCAGCATCCAGGGGATACTTGAGCAATAAATGCTCGAGATAGCCAGTAATTCGAAGGGATTTCCCCCGGATCGACTTCATCGTTACACGGTTGAAGATCTCAAGGGAGGCAACCACCGCGTTGATGTCCAGGACTGAGGGGTTGGAAAGCTGGAAGCCAGCAGCGCCGGGTTGGGGGACAAATTCTGAGAACTGTTAGCCGTCATGCTGGTAATGAGTGGATAAATATGGGTTTCTCACTGTTGTTCATTTGAAAGCGTGTCTGGAGATCACTACCCCACCAGCCTGACAGTCGAGGTCGGAAAGTCTCCTCGTTGTCTACCTGGCCATGACGCTCGTGCACAAACAATGCAGCCATACCGCCCGGTCCGCTGTTGAGATATTTGTAACTGCACCATGCTGCGAAATCGACGTCCCAATCGTGTAGACGTAGATCGACGTTGCCGGCGGCATGGGCGCAGTCCCAGCCAATCAATATGTCCTTGGAGTGAGCATGGGCTGTGATTTGTTGGATGTCAAAGTATTGGCCAGTATAGAATTGAATTGCAGACAAGAGGATCAGAGCGGTGCTGGAGGCATTTTCATCGATGACCTTGATGATCTGGTCGGTAGTGAGGATTGGGCGATCGGGGTTCTCAGGTTCAATCAGAACCATAGCCTCCTTTGGGTCCAACTTGTGGTGCAGGACCTGCGACTCGATTGCGTACTGATTCATGTTTGTCGTCAGTATATAGGAAGCTGGCCACTATATGTTGAAATGTGAATCACATACATGGTCACTGGGAAATGCTTTGCCTTCCAAGATGATCTTGTACTTCTCACTTGTTGGATGATAGAAGCTGGCCATAAGGAAGTGGAGATTCGCAGTGAGAGTACCCATCACAGCTACTTCTTTTTGAGAAGCACCCACGATTGGGGCCATCAGATTGGAAGCAGCAGTGTCAACATCGACGAATGGAGGGAGCAATTCATCTTCATGCGGTACAAAATGACCTGTTACACCCTTGGTAGCCCAGGTTCGCAGGTACTGCTCGATGTATCGTCGAGTGCTGCGAGGCTGAACACCAAGAGAGTTGCCGCATAGATAGATGGACCTCGCATCGGAAGCTTCGTCATAGCCTGTGAGAGGAAGAGTAAGTAAATGTATTGAGGTGGGGCACACACGAGGGCTTTGTCTGAATATACATACTCTGGTCTGCTGCTAATATCTTTCTCTTCAAATCTTGCTTGGATGGAATGATAAACTCGTCTCGGAATTGATGCAGAGGATCCTGTGCATCCAGAGCCTCGGCGTACTCCCGCGTGTAAGCTCTGATATCATCCTGGTAGTCAAGTGGGGGACCGGATTTGATATCGCGGAGATGCTGCCGCGAACCCATTTTGTGATATTTTAATCACGCCACAAGACGTCTGATTTTAAGATATCCGGTCAATATTTCGGAGCCAGTAATTTCAAGAACCGTACGACTCACTGGTCAACAGAATTCACTTCTCTTCCCCGCCAACTCCGGTCCCTTACCCTTTTCAGTATTCTGCCATCCTTCTCCGCTAGAGCTGACCAATCACACTGCTGCCGAACTGACTAACCCGCGGCCATCGGATGGAACGATGCGATAATTGATAATCCAACTTTCGTTTCGCCATCTCTCGAGCTCAGCGACTCTTGCACATATTCAGACATGTCGCAACCTCGTTTCACATCCACAGCCATGCGGCGGCTATCCCAGCAGCACAGCCGACTCTTCTCGACCTCCCAATCCGCTTTGCGCCTCTCCGCATCTTCCTCCGCCGGCCAAATCGCTGCCCGCCGACTTACAGCAGCTTCAGCAAGCGCAGCACCTATCCATAAGCCATTTATGCGGAGTTGTCTATACCGATCGCCTGTTCGCCAGTCCGTCGCCTCATTCTCTACCTCACCCACCCGTCTCGCCACCAAGGTTACGCAAAATCCGAGAACCGGAGATGACGGAGAGGCTCTTATGATCAGTATCTCCCCTCGCGCCGTGACGGTACGTGTATAATGGCTTCCTTTTGGTTATTTGGCTTTGGTATTTGCATGTCTACCCTCTATGTTTGAAGGTATGTGTTGGGGCGTGTGGCAAGCCGGCAGCTTGTCTGGAGACCTTGGGAACGAACATTGGGCTGTTGTCGGGGTTGGGTCCTCCATGAAATTGGTTGGATGCAATCACCTAGCACGGCTTGTGTCGGTTCTCCGAGGAATCTGACACATACGACCATAGGGTGTGGAGAACAGGGCTTCCCGTCCGCTCAGCCGTACTTAAGCCACACGCCGGCCAGTTAGTAGTATGGTGGGTGACCACATGCGAATCCTGGCTGTTGTATGTTTTTGTTTTTGCTGTTTTTTCCGAGCTCGCCTTTTGCCTTTTTTATTGATTGCTCTCGGATTATCATTTTTGCTATGAAACTCGCACTAATTGTCAATTATAACAGCGTCTTCGTGAAATCACCGACCCATCCTCCTCCCCCTCCGCTACCAAAGAAGAAAACCCCTACCATCATCTCCGCATCACTGTGACCAGCGGCGGCTGCCATGGTTTCCAATACCTGATGTCTCTCGAATCAGCAAACAAGATCGACGCCGAGGAGGATACCATCTTCGAAGGAGAGGCAGGTCCATCGGAAACTTCAACAAATGCCGCTGGCACGGCAAAGGTCATTATGGACGAGCCCTCGCTTGAACTACTGTCTGGCAGCACGGTCGACTACACCACCGAGCTGATCGGTAGCCAGTTTAAGATCGTGGACAACCCGCGGGCAACGAGTAACTGCGGTTGTGGCACGAGCTTTGACGTGATGGGCTGATCTGGGCCTGGTTCTCTACCAACAGGCTTCAAGGTCCAAGGTGGTTTTTTTCTATTTTGCGTGTACAGATACAGCATATCCATATTGGACAGATAGATTAATTTGCATTGTATACCCCTCCTCTCTATGATATTATCTACCTCGACCAAGAGTCGGAATGATCCCGGAGAAATGTAGTACCATAGTCAACAGTCGTTATTTCATGGGTTCTTCACGTATAGCGCATTAGATGAACACTCATGCAATCATTAAAATACAAAAAGTCATATCAAACAGACCTCCTAGCAACAACTGCAGTCTCATAACGCGCCAACCCAACATCCTCCAAAACATGCACCTCATCAAACACCGACTCTCGAAAAATAACCTCATGATCAATCCAATCTATCTTCGGCCCAAGCCACATAATAATCTTCACCTCCCCACCACCATATGTCTCAATATACCTAGAAATCAACTTTGGCTCCCTAGGATAAACAAACATCCAAGCCTTAGCCTCCTTCGCCCGTGCATAAAGATCCCAAGCACCAGCCGCAACATGCATATCTTCTTCGGCAATATACCGATTAACAGTCGAGGCTACCTCGACTCCTTCCACGGAGATTGATGCATTAGAGTGCGAAAGGAGGCCTTCTAAAAGGCCGGATCCGCTGCCGATTGAAAGTGTGAATGCGGGTTTTTTGGGGAGGAGGGTTGTCAGGGTTGTGAGTAGGTTTGTGGATATGGAGAGACAACAGTCTGGGAATCGACTGGGTGATGAGGAGAGTTGGGATGAGATTTGGGTGAGATCCATTGTGGGCTTTTGAATTTGGGGTTTAGTAGAGATATATCCATGGGAGACGGGAGGGAGATGAGACATCAAATTCAGGCACAAATGGGAATGAATTCGGACGCGGATTTACTGAGAGGCCGGCACATGAATGGAGCATCTGGGCTGTCTGCAATTATCGGGAAAGTTCAAAGAATCTTTAGTGGCTACTTGGGCTGATTTTAATGTTTAAACTACCATCAGAACATGGATTTGAGTTTTAATCGTTGATCTATGCATTTCATCAAGTCTCTTTTTTTCATCTACCTCAACACATACACTCACCGCGAGTGCATCATCCCCTTGGAAAAAGCAGAACCGCAGACCGGGGCAAATGTGAATCGTACGCCCTCCAAAGATATCGCGATAGCCCGACTTGATTTTAAAATCCAAAAGGACGAGTCCTCTGAGCCGACGAGGGACCAGGGACAAATAAACCAAGGAAAACAAAGATAAAGAAAAAGGCGTACAAAAACCAGCAACAGAAGGAAACAATGAGGTTAATATGAGGGGAAAGAAAACAAGGAGGGGAGCGGTTTAAAGAATATGAAAGAAAAAATTCATCTCGAGTCATGTACCGTTCTTTCTTGCATGTAGAGTCAGTCCAATGCTCTACCTTTTCACCCTCTCCAAAGACCTGTAAGCCAGGTCATGGGTTGCATAGCAAACCAGATATAGGAGAGAGGTGGTCGTTTGGGGGAGGCGCACCGCCTTAGTAGACGCGGGCAAGGTTGCGCAGGTACCAGTCCACCAAGCGGCGACCGGCCTTGGTCTCGCTGACGTGGATGAGGTCATCCTCGAGGGCGTAGTCGAGGTCGTTGGAGATAACGGCCTCACCATCGAGCAGACCACCCTCAACCCAGCGGATCTGGCGACTGCGCTGCTTGTTGACCAACAGCCACGAGCGGAGCTGCTCGGGCTCGACCTCGAGGAAGCCAGCCAACTTCTTCAAGTCCATGGTGGTGTAAAGCTTCAGGTAGGAGCGGATAGTGGGGTTGAACAGAGTGTTCTTGACCTCATCCATGAAGATGGCGGTGTGGTGGTCGACGGGGTCGACGTTGACGGCGGGGTTGTCGAAGTCAGGAGGAGTAGGGCTGATGAACTTGGGGCAAGCGGAGCGGAAGAGCTCCTGGAAGACGGGCAGAGCCTCGGGGCCGCCCTGCTGCATGCGGTGGAACTGCTCGCCGTACTTCTCGCGAACGGCGGAGTGGATGGTGTCGTCCAGGCGAGTGGGGTGGAGAGCGACACAGATGGCGATCAGGGCGTACATCTGGTCGTTCTTCTTGGCAATGGCATCGTAGTTGTTGCCGCCCTTCTGGAAGTTCTTCGTCCGGGAGACGTAGACCAGAATGTGGCTGAACATGCGGATGGCATCGGCATAACGACGCATCATCATGTAGGAGAAACCCACGTAGTAGTAGGTGGTGAAGTGGGCGGCCATCACACGGGCGAACATGGCCTTCTTGTTCATCTCGATGTCGTCGAGGGTCTTGATGGCGAGGCTGAAATCACCGAGCAGGCAGTGCACGCGCAGCAGGCCGATGATGGAGAAGTAACCCAGCATCTTGTACAGAGGGCGGGAACCGTACTCGCCAGCGAAGGCAACGGGGTCCTCACCGCGCTTGATGGCAGCGAGCTGCTCGTTGATCTGGGAGCGCTGGATGAGGGAGTAGAGCACATTCAGCACGGAATAGCAACCCCAGGTGTTGGGGTTCTCGCGGAGCACCTGAGCCTCTTCCTCGGAGGAACCGCTACGGGCGACACGGTTGCGATAGCGGCAGAACGACTCGAATTGGTAGATGAACTCATCAATAACATCCCAGGCCCAATAGTACTAGAATGAAAGCATCGAGTGTTAGTTTTATTCCCTTCATTGTTACGTAGCAGCTTGGTGACTGGTCCCATGAATGCCAAGCATCGGTTTTTCATTCATTGTTTGTCCGACCACCAAGCGATGAAATGACACAGCGGAGCACCTACCGAGGGAACCTCGAGATCGACGGGGCCCTCCGAGTTCAGGATGTAGTGGAAGAGACTGCAGTAGTTGTCGTAGCTGGCGAACTTGGTCTCGAGGGTCGCCTGGTATTCCAGCGGGGTAGCGGCGGCAGTCAGCTGTGCCTGGAGGTCCTGAGCCTGCGATCCACCGAGGGATGTCGTCCGGTCCAGATCGCTCATTCCATCCTCGAAGTTGACCTGCTCACGGTAGTCGTTAACGAGAGCCTCCTCCTCAACATCGGACTCGTCGTTCAGGCTTGGGCGCGCATTGACGCGGTCGTCGTAGGACATTGTGGGCGGTAAGGATTGTCGGAGGAGGAAAGGAGAGGACGAGGTGATTTTTTCTCGCGCCGAGGGAGGACGGCAAGGGCGGAAGGAAAGGTGATGGTGGTGGTGGTGGGGTTCACGTCCGTCGGCGGCCTGTGCGATTTGCCAAAGAAGTTGAATTTTGAGGGTTTTCGCTTCGGTGTTGTGCTTATCTTATCTGCGCATAAAGTCTGTGCTGACTCAGCGTTATGCTCAAATGTGCCTGTGGATTATCGAGGAATTGAACATGGAAATCATGATTATTCAAAAAAAGCAGGATGTCTCAAATTGAATCTGAACTAAATCATGCAAATAATCTTCAGTAGACGTTTTAAGCTACTTTTATCTTTGCATTGAATCACATTTGTCCAGTCACATTTGTCCAGAGTTAATCCACAATCATTCCGTAGTTCCTAGCTTGGCTTTAGCGCTATCTCCCTCATTTTCCAAGCCATGATATGGAGAAATCATGTCCCATCTTGCTCAATTCTTGAATTTCGAAAATGTTATTATTTCTCACAGGAGGCTTGATTGTTTTCGGCCTTCGCACCTCTGACATACAATACCACATCATCATCAAAATCATCATTTGCACCGTCTCTGCGTATGCACTCAGGAACCATTACAAGGCCTTTGTAGCTCTCGCCAGCTCTAACATAGCCCAGTCCTCGCCTTAAATTGCCGTTCCCAACTCGCAAATTGCTCTGGCATGATCGTGGGATAGTATATAGGCATATCAGACGGAAACGTCTTCTCGATCATACCCCAGCAGAGATCCGCCGCAAATTCAGGATGCAAGCTCAGAAACAAACACCCCTCCGTTGGGGCCATGAATATAGTCTGTCGCAGACCGGGCATATTGTTGAGCATCAGCTCGAGCACCATTTCCCTCAAGACGCTGTAGCTGCCACGGCGGCTGTATAGCTCGCCAATGATTTTGCTGATGGTGAATTGAGCCTCATACTCTTTTTTGAAAACTAGTTCGATTGTGAGTAGCTTTTCGAATGCTTTGCAGAATTCTGCCTCGGCTTTAACTTTCAGCTCGTCGATCATGAAGTAGTCTGCTTCGGCGTACACGAGGAGATGGAAGTAGACGGCGCTTTGGAAAAGTCGGTTATGGAGGGGCGCGGTGGTCTTTGGCCTGGCACTCATTCCGAAGAAGTGGAACACATTCTTGACTGAGAATCTTTTTCTTTTATTCGGGGGACGTTTCCATCGTGGAGATGCGGATTTACCGTCAAGGCTCGAATTCTCGGAACCTGAAGTTCGGAAGTTAGTCATTTCTAATGATCTGGAGTGTTCGTGGATCGGATACCATCAGAGTTGACGATCTCCTGCTTGTCTATTCTGAGTATCAGTATATGGTGTTGTCGACAGAGACAGAACATTGTATGATAGCTGTGTCATGTCAAAACATACCTGGAATCAGCGTGTAGTTCGCCGTGTACAGGTATTCCAAAACTTTCTCCACCAACATCGGGTCTCTGTCAGTAATTGTCAGGGTTCCGCAGGATTCCTGAAATTAATATTCTCGTCAGTGGAGCTCCACAGACCGGTCCGGCACCCACAACAATGCATACCCTGAACTTGCCATGAAAAGCTGCTTTGAAAAAACGCGACAGGTGACAAAGGACGATCTTATGCGCCAAGAAGACGGTATCCCTGCAAATGATTCTCACATCGCAAGATCGCGGGAAGAAGAAGCAGCTAAGATTGTCAAAGTCAATACTGACGCCCTCACTCGATGACACCGGCCCCCAAAACCATGAGGTACTTACTCTTCGATATGTTTTCGTATCATCCGCTCATTCATCGAGATCAAGAATGTGGAATCTGCCTGTCTCTGGGCCCAGGTTTTTCCCCACGGGGTGGTCCCAGGCTGAGTCCACCATTGCCATGGAGGTGGAGGTGGAGGTGTTGGGATACCAGCAGAAATGGAACTTGAAAAAGGTGGAGTCGTAGAAGCTGAAGGCGTGGACGTGGACCTCGAAAATGTGTATGGGATTATAGAACCCCAGAATGCCATGTTTTCGCCTGGGAAAGAAGTAAATCAAAGCCTCAAAGCAGAATAACAGAGTAAAAGAATAAGTGTATGGTGAAAACGAGAAGAGGCACGCGTGAGATAGATTGTTTTGGGGAATATCAAACCGTTTGAAGCGTGATGTACAGTCCCAGGCACTTGCCACATTGAAACTGCCACTACGCGATCAGTGACTAAGGCACCAACCTAAGCTATTGCTATCACATCTTATTGCTTAGAGTCTTTTACTCGGACAATAATTTCTCCTCTTTCTCTTTGTTAGACGTTGATGTTCTTCTATGTGGGCTCATTATCATATTCTCTTGGCACAGTGTAAGGTGCAAGTATAGATTGGAGATCAAGACTATGATATCCCAAAAAATGAGTTCTAAGTTTAATATGTAGCTGCTTAGTATAACAATTCAAGAAAGACATTTCATTTCAATAATTTAAGCGCAAGTTGGAGATCGTCTGTACGCAAGTATCATTGTTTTCGGATTTCCACTTGAGGCAGGCAGGTACACATCTTATGGCTTTTGTGTTACAATGACCACAACTTATATAGTGATAATTAGGTTTACTTGTATATAACTCCTAAGAATATAGAAGAGTAGAAACATTCTATTGTCAACGGCTAACTCAGATCAATCACGATGTAAATGGATAACAGGTAAATCAACGGAATAACAGATAAATCAGAGCAAAGCAGGTAAATCAACAGAACAACAAGTAAATCAACAAAATAACAGGTCAATAAACAGAAATTCAAACCAAAAGAGAAATGAGGCTATATCAATTCTCTATCTCACCCGTAATTCTTGGCCATCCGCAATTTAAGTAGAATTGGCCTCGGGAAGAGCATGGTAGCTAACGTCGTCGCTGCCAATCTGCCAGGTGCCACCCTTGGTGTCCTTGTTCTTGCTGCCGTAGCACTTGGAGTTGGTATCAGCCATCTTCATGAGATAGGTCTCACAGTCCGACTGGTTGGGAGTGTGGTCGCCATCCTTCATCTTGTTGTGGATTTCAACTAGAAACTAAGTCAGAGGATGCCATCCAAGGTTTTCAGTCAGGAAGCTTACAGTTAACAGCCGCAGGAACATCACCCTTCAGATAATAGCCGCCCTTGACGATGGCAGCGTGCTTTTGACCATGTCCAATAACCGTAGGCAGGCCATCCTGGCTGTGGGTAACGTGGTAGCAATACTGCTCGACGGCTGACCGGTAGCCCGAGTGACTCTTGCTCTTGTCATCCTCGATGGGCATCCAGTTTTTACCGCAGCTAGAGACGTAGTTGCTCTTACCACGCTTCTCAAGATCATCGGTGCCATCGTTGGTGAGACCCAGGTCGATAATCTCGCGCTTCTCAAGGTCTCCACCGCCCAGAGAAGAGACGCCGTAGTCAATTATCTCTCGACTGACAATGGAGGAAGGCTGCTGGAAGGAACTCGGAGCAGCGCTGACTGCGGTAGCCAGGAGGCCAAGAGGGAAAGCGATCTTGGAGAAATACATTGCGATTGATAGTAAGGAATTTGTAGACGATTGGAAGATGAGTCTTTGAGGTGTTGCTTTGGATAGATGTTTGATGCTGTTGGTGATGAAGATAGCAGAACACGGGGATATTTCCTTGAATTTATATTCCGCCGTTGAGCGATGTCTACTTCGATTATCGGCTAAAGGATGCCATTCCATTGCCTCTGCGCAGATCACCGGCATACTGGCAGCGTGCTTTGTGACTTCACCATTGCAATGCCACTCTATCCTGCCAAGAATTCATCCTGATGAGAATCAGAAAGTGATTCAGGGGGGTGTAAATGAATCCTTCGGCCCCTGTTGCTGTTGGTATTGGGGTCTACAGCAAGGCGTAATCGCATACATTTTAAGATCAGCGAAGCTTGAAATGCTGTATAATTCTATAAATGTATTCCCTAGCATATACTCTTCAGTTGGGGTCGACACATGTTTCATGTCTCTTGGCATATGTAGATGAAGAACCAGCCCCGCAGTATGATATGGCTAGAGTGAATTGCATGATAATATTTTCAAGGTTGTGTATAAAAATAAATAATGAAACAACGATTGCAATTAGTTCTGATTACTCGTGGCAGCCAAGCCAAGCCCCCACCCCCCTGGCCCTCTTGCTAACACGCCTGAGAAGAGAACCTATCCCCACAGTTTGATCTTGGCATGAATGCCGGCATTTCCACACCTTCAGACACAGCCTGCTCAAATCTGTGGGGCCAAGATGATTATATCGTTGAAATTGGTATACTGCTTTAACACATTCACTACTGAGCATCAATCGCTTCACCACCCGAAATAGCCCCATTCGAGTTGGGGGATCATCCTCCGACGCTTTCTCTTCTTCTCTTCAAAATTGCCTCAGAGGGGCCAAAATGATTGTATAGTCGAAGCTGACGTACTGATCTAAGGCATCCTCGAATTAGCAACAACCGCTTCAGCACCCGGAATAGCCCCATTGGAGTTGGGGGATCATCCTTCGACGACTTCTCTTCTATTCTCTAACATCGCGTCGATGGGGCCAAATCAGGGTCACTACTTGGAGTTTCGTTTTTCTGCACAACAGAATCTTGATATAAAGTGATGAAGGTGTGGTCAAAATCAACACCACAACTACCAGCCTCGCAATATCCGAAGTCCTCAAGCATTATCTGAATTCTATCAATATCTTCGTACTATTGTCAAGATGAAAGCCTTCAACAATATCCTCATCCTTCTCTTTGCCCTCCTCAATGTCTGCCTCGCAGCCCATCCCGCAGACCGCTTCCCTGACCAAAGCCAAGTCGACAAAGATAACTACGAAGCCATGACTCTAGCTGCTGCCGAAAAGGGCGTGCAGCTTCAAAACGGCAAACGATACGCCTTCCGCGAAAAATGGGCCCCTGTCTACGGGGAGTACAAGTGTCTGCCTGACTACTCGCATGTCCGCCTCATCGTAGGCCAGTTCTTCAATAGTGCCACACGGTCTGGACGTCAGGCCTTCGACGCCAAGGCCTACGAGATGATCAGCGACGAGGCCGAAACTAAGCTTGGCCAGACTCCAATCGGCGGAAAAGTGGAGTCCCAAGTCGACAATCTGTGGTGGGCGAACCATTATTTCAATGAGAAGAAGCAGCAATGGGTTAAAGTTAGCAAGCCGAGCAAATATGAGTATTTGGGAGAGACCACGGCGACGGATCAGTATATCACGAACCAAGGTATTTCAAAGAGCGATCTTTCTTGCTTATAAGCTCTGATTAAGGTGGCTAATATTTACAGGCCTGGCATATGCCCGCAATTGGCCCACATACAACCTTGCTACAAACAACTGCATGGTTTACACCAAGGAGGTGTGGAAGGACATCCACTAATCGGGCTACTCACCGAGGAGCTGGCTGGCCGAGATGAGAGTTTTGAGCATTAGGAGGATTGAGCTTGGATAGAATGTATCTTGAGATTTGGATTTTGTGGTCTATGTCTGATTTGTGCTGCCTTGTGGAATGAAGTGTAGTGGACTTGCAGAAATACATGTGCTTTCTATATGTGACCAATTAGCCCAATTCCACTTGAAACTGCAGCATTACGCTTGTTTATCTCATCCTGCCGAGTTTGAATATGCGTCATCGAAAAGATTCGTATCGATACCAAGATTTTATGGCAAATACACTGTGATCTTATCAAAGCTCGTGTGCAGAGCACTACTGTTAGAATCGAATCGTCACGGTTTAGAAGATAATCAGAATAAGAGAATAATCAAAGGTCCAATCACATTCTTGTTGAGCACTATTTCCATTCCCTTGAGTAACAAGCCGATGTAAAGGGTGACAGCTGACTCTGCTGGTTTGTCACTCCGGATTGAAAGGCTATGCTGAGAAGCAAAAGAGCCCAATAAAGCCCTTCGAACCAACTGCCAGAAAGACTGAACGGAAGATAAACCTCAAAGTTTACCCTTCTGCCATAGATCAACCAACTTCAGAATGAACCCCTGTTTCGCAAATTGCCAATAGGACTTCCGCTGCTCAGCCGTAGTGACCCCCCACCCAAGAGCCCAGCATGCCCCGACAGCTAAGGCCAAAGTGACTCTTTTGAAAAGGGAGTCACCACATACTGCGAGGACAAGAACAATACTAGCGAGAATGCTTCGCCAGAAAATCAGACTTGTGGAGGAAAGAGTCAAAGAGTCGGTTGTTGGCCCTGCGATATGCCATGTAAAGAAGAGCGTGCTCGTTACGATCGTAAAAGCAATCAATGAATCGGCGGTTTCCGTTAAGAGATTTGATGGGAGAATCAGAGATAATGGAGTATAGAGTGATCCGAGCTGACGGCACGTGGTAACCGTAAGAGCAATTGCTACAGCTCGTTGAAAGAAGATCAACATTGAAGATTCTTGCGCCATGATGATGAACTGAAGACTTGGAGCGTTAAGGGTAGGATTGACTTGGGGGCAAATGTACGAAAGATAACAGAAACTACGTCAAGAGAAAGTAAAGGTCAGGCGTCGGTGGCGGGGGCTGGGGCTGGAGATGAAACAACCTAACAAACGGCCCCCAAATCGGATTTTAACTACTGCGCACTAATAATAACGATGACACAAAAGTACAGCCAAATTGAAAGAGAAAATCAATGATAACTAAGCCACAACATGATAGTAGTTACTAGCACAATCCTTCAATCAGCAATAGAGCCCCCCACAATCACTGGCCCGGAGCAGGCCTGGCATTGAAAAAGACACATTGCACATTGTACACAAGATTGCAAGTATACGCACCCGCAACGCCAAAGCCCACTAGCACCAGTCCAGCGTACTCCTCCTCGCTCCACTCGTCTTTTTGCAGTGCAGGCCCAACTGCGAGAGCCCCCACGTTCAGGACTGATTTGGCAGCCAGGCAGCATACCTTACCATGGTCAACCCGACGATCGAGAGTGCCTGAGCTACCTGCCTCGCTCACATCGTAGACAATGGTCTCCTTGAAATCGGGATGGTTCAGAGAGCGCAGGTCTTCAGTGCTCCGGACAAGATGGTATGGAGCGTCACCTGCCAACAAGGCTCGTTTGTCGAGGAGATCAGGATTCTCTCGAATCGCGTCGAGTTGTGATCGATAAAAGGATTCTTCATTGGAGGACTCCCGCTTGGTGAGGCCGACGCGATGGAAGTAGTCATTGAGACACACATCAGCATTGCCGCTGCATGATGAGGTGCAGCAATGATCCTGAAAGACAAACTCGGTGCACTGGTCACGGCATACTTGGTATTCAGTGCTGCTAGGATTGAAGGCATCTTTGCATTTGTTGAAGCAGCCCAGACGGATCTTGTCCTCGTTCTGATTCAAGCACTTGCTGCAACCAGTTGCATCGACAAGCGAAGTAAAAATGGCTATACCTAGGAAGGACAAAAGTTGAAGACGCATTTTGTGTCACGACAAGTGATATAGAACTTGCGAAGTTGGGAACGCAATAATCAGTGATTGCTTCAAAATCAGACGCACGAGTAGATGCAAATGTCAGATTCGACGTCTTCTGCCGGGTTGAAATACCCAACGCGGTATCACGTCAAGTCTCTGACTCGATATCCTGAAACATTACAGGCATATCTCCTAGCCCCGTCAGACCGCTGCATATTGATAGTCCCGTGTCGATCTATTTCCCAAGACAAGTTCACGCGATCATGATTGCTGAAGGATCATTGCATGCTGAACGGCAATAAGGCATCAGCTAGTGGAAAGGGGCCATAAGGGGCCAGAAGTGCTTGGCATGGGGGTTATGTTGGGTTTTTGCCCCCAGCAGGGAGCTGATCAATGTCAAATTTAGACAAGGCAGATTTGACTGACCTCATTTTCTTTGTGCCTCTTATCAGATCAGCTGATCAATTGGTGTCAATCCATGCTCCATCCCGGGCATCCCTCCCCATCCGCACCTCTTCCCTTTCCCCGCCCCTCTCTCCGCCTCTCAATTCCCATCCATCATCCGTTTTCTGTCTCTGCTTCGTCAAACTCAAAGCCAAACGCCTATCTAGTAGTACTTGCGTACTTACGACAGTTGATTCAAATCTCAGTTATGGGTCAAACCGTGACCAAGGAACCTCCCACGGAGTTTCTCCCGCCAACCCAAACCCGCGGTATGGCCAATTTGGAGTCAAATATTGCATGTCAGAATATACTGACAGACGCCAGAGGAACTTCAGGAACGATTCAAATGGCGTTTAGCAAAATTCTATATGAGCGATGCTCAAAGTGAATGGTTTCAGACTATTTTCAACATTTTCTGCACCGAATCGGACTCAGCGAAATGTAAGGTCTAGACTCTACTATTGCTCAACTTCACAAGCTAACTTGCTACAGTCTGGACGGAAACCGATTTGGAAAATTTCATGACCAGCACTTTTCCTCCTGCTTTAGCCTCATTTGTTGCTGAAGCAGGCCCAATCGTGCACCGTTGCCTCCTGCGGCTGGGGTCGTTTCCGTATCACAATGATCCGCACCATACTCTATCTCCGGATGTGCTGCGTACAGCCATGATCATTTTGCTCGGACTGGACGGAAGAAAGCTTTTGGATCAGGATAACGACGAGGCATCACTCGTTTACCCAGATCGTCTCAGCACGAAACAACGAATTCTGTTGTTCCAGAGCATGGCAAAGCAGAAAGGGACCCCCGGATCATCTCGAGGCCCAGAAGAAGATTATCATCTTCAGAAAGCTCTTGACCTAATCACGTATGGGAACTTCAAGCGCAATAAGCGGTTCCCGACCGCAGTGACTGAAGGACCTGAATATCCCTCTATTGAACATTTTCCTTCGTCAAACTCCACATTGACGAGCGGATCGATCCCGGCAGAGGATTTCAGGCCCTTGCTTCGGTTGATGCTTCTTACTCAGTTGTATGTGGCCGGTATTGACCCAGATAACTTTACGTCTTCTCCGTCGGAGATCGAAGCAGCGACAGAGTGCCTATTGGCGGCATTTTTAAATGCTGCTGATTCACCCGCTGTGCCTTTTACGGCCTTTGACAACATCCTCGGCAATTCAATGGTGCGTATTAGCTGCTCTATGGGCAGCGAAGAACTATAAGCTAATCTCCAGCAGCAAAATACCTTTTTGGGTCTACCTCGAGTCCTCGGGCCTTTACGCTCGGTCAAAAGTTTTCCGTCCGCGACTCCCCCGTCATCAGTGACTGAAGCACAGAAAGTACTGAAAGAATTGTTCACGCCGACAGCCAAAACAGCGCCTCCTCCTAAGGGACTCCTCATGAGTCTCCCTCTTATGAGTCAGCTGTCGATGAGCTTGCCCCAAGACTTCCCCATCGAAACACCAGAAACGCTCTATTCTTCTCCGGAGGTAGATGTTAAGAGTGTGAAATCTTGCCTGTCCGTAACCAGAACAGCCAGGATCCTACTTGTGTCTGGAAAGGCGGGTCAAGAGGTTGCCATATTCGGCGCATACTTTCCCAAGAATTCATCACCTGCCGTCCCGAGAGTTATAGTTCAACTGTCACCAGTTCATCGAACGTTTCATGGTGCTCAAGAGCTAGACGCGTCTCAGAAAACCGAGTTTGAAGACAACTCGCATTTGACTGTTGGCCTTTCGGATATGACTTTTGTGTTGAGTGGGGACTCGGCAGCTGGCAGTTTTATCGCGCAATTCGGCAATGGTACCAGCCAAGAGTTTGCTGTTGATGCTGTAGAGGTTCTGAGCTTTGAGGGATCCATGGTCCGCGTCGATACTTTTGAATAGCCTTCATGCTATATCACTCTACTGAATTTCTACTTTGAATGTTGACAATGGGTTCTTATCCGCGCATCTTCGAAAATAGTAGACCTAGAGCTTTCTTGAAGCGACTGAAATACGGCTCCCGATCCATTTGCTAGAAATTAACTACCCAAACTAGCTCTTCTCTAGATAAAGATGGACAATTAGACCATTCTATCAAAAACACTGCATGACATTTGATGCGGGTGAGTGTGCTGAGAATCATGCCGGCCGTTATTTCGCTGAAAGAGATGCAATGTGTCCGGCACGTCATCAATGTGTGTGACTAGATGTAAACGATGCCCCAAGAATATCCTCATTATGCTGATGAAACATCCTCCGCCCCCAAAGCCCCCAACGGCATCATGTTCAACTCTGCACCGTTGGCCCCTAAATCGCCAGGGCGAAAGTCCTACATGAATCCTCCACTACGGTAAAAATAGAAAACCAAAAAAATTGGTCATTTACTATCAGGTTGGTTCAGATTGTTAGAATTAATTTACCGTTTTGTGTCAGCCTTGGGGTCCAGAAGTTATGGGTCAGTCCGATGTGAGCTCAGGCACCTTCGGCACCTTCATTCTGCGCTTATCTTATATGTCCGTCGATTTCCTTTCAGTAGGCAGGAGATTTACGAGATAAAATTTCTTTTCATGGTGTCCCTACGTTGAGAGATAAACTTGAGAGAAATATTGCAATCATGGTTGTGCCTCCGCTTTTCTACCCTCTTCCTTCTCGTCACTCGGATTCACTGAGCGACACAACTTTGGCAGATCGACAGCTCTCTGATCTCTCTAACAAATCTATACATCCTTGCTATAGAAATGATCAGGAGCGTCCTCGTCGGTGGCTTGTGAGCTTCAAATCAAAACTCAATCCTAAAGTCGTGGGCAAGAAGAAAGCCACACGGAATCGCCTTCTTGTTTCCCTCCTTCTTATCATCATTGTGGGTGGTATTGCTGTACTGTAGGTCTTTTTTTTATCCACCGATAAAGCGTTGATATTAACACATATTTCTCGCAGAGTGTGGTTCTCGCTCGTCCTTACACTGATTGATCGACTCAGACCCTCGGTCCCTTCGAATGGACTACAAAGAATTGTCCAGACATGGAAACAACCCTCGGATTCAGTCACTGCACTAAATCCCTGGCCAAAAGACTTCAGTCAAGGGATCACACCTGTATCCTGTCACTCGCATAATGACTACTGGCGTTCAGTCCCTCTATACGAGGCTATTGCAGCAGGATGTACAGGTGTAGAGGCGGATGTTTGGCTCGACGGCAACAGCCTTCTTGTTGGCCATCGGAAGAACTCTTTATCATCGGATCGTACACTAAACAGTCTTTACGTTGACCCATTGACAACAATGCTTTCCAACCTGAACACCAACTCATCCACGAATACCTCAGTTGGCATCTTCGACCTTGACCCCACGGCAACCCTCAGCCTCCTCATTGACATCAAGACAGACGGGAATGCCACATGGCCAGTCATCCTCCATCAACTAGCTCCCTTAATATCCGGCGGCTGGTTATCCTACTGGAATGGAACCAGCAAGACGCTAGTTCGCGGCCCTATCACCGTCGTCGGGACCGGAAATACATTATTCGATCAGGTAGTTGCAGAACACGATCGATACGTGTTCTTCGACGCCCCCCTGGACGAGATCTCGCAGAACTCTACATACACAACAGGAAACTCTTACTACGCCAGCGCCTCTTTGAAGAAAGCAGTCGGAACTGTATGGGCATGGGGCCCAACAGAAGACCAGAAGCGGACTATGGAGAAAATGATTAGCGCGGCTTCAGAAAGAGGCTTGGTCTCTCGGTTCTGGAGTATCCCTTCCTGGCCTGTGAGTCTGCGTATGAAACTCTGGCAATTTCTGGTTGACAGTAAAATCGGCATGTTGAATGTGGACGATGTGGTTCAGGCGACTAGATGGAATTGGGACTGGTGTATTGTGGCGGGGTTGGTGTTGTGTTAATGAACCTTGGGGGCGGATTCACGGATGAGCTCTTTGACCAAGGCTCTGTTAGGAGCACGAGACCCTTTCTTCAATTTACAGCCTTGTCTCACCTTCCCTGATCAGACAAGAAACCTAAAGAGTTAATTAACCATGGCTGGCTATACGAGTACATCCATTTTCTCCCCAGATTTAGCCCAGATCAATGAATTGCAGCCAATTTCACCATGTCCTAGGCAGACACTAGGTTATGTAGTCCTCTAAACTTCCTCAGACCACAAATTCACTGTGTCTGCAGATCACTTGAAGCCTGCAAGGAACCCACCCCTAGTAAATCACAGGTCCCAATATTACAACCCAAATCTACAATCATTATTCTTCATAGCTTGATCAGTCTCTATCTCATCTACCGCGCCTCTTTCGGCTATCATCGGCACGCTACCGTAAAGTGGATCCCGATCAATCCTTCGATTATCAGTTTCCCCCCGCTTGTTGTCATTGAAGGGCGTGCAACATCCCTGCCGCCCTAGTACGGTAGTACAAGATATCGCACAAATTTCTACAAGGGGCATCGTGTATGATAGTTTGACATGCAAGGCTCTCGTTTTGTAGATAAGTTACGAAGACTATACTTCCTGCAGCGTTCAATTCGATGGAAGCCGATAACGAAAATTTAAAGAATGTTCTTCCCGAGCGGCGAAATGGAGAAAAAAACTTTTTTCGGCTCGGCCTTGATAGTTCCCTGATTCAGGGCCCGGGGCAAACCGATGGACCATAAAATTACAGAGGATCCCTCAAGTTTTGCCTTTCAATTCCTACTCAATAATATACAAATCCAATTTCCAAGCGGCCTGCACACCGACTGTTACACTATCATTCCAATTGCATCAACTCCTTCTCCGGAGAAAACATATCGTTCCCCGCCCTACGACCTGATCTTGGTGACTCACATTGCGAGTTAATCCTAGACATTCTTCTTCAAAAAGCGAAGGAGTGCTCTGGTTATCAATCCTTCAAATCCAATTGAATCCCCTCAACCATATCGTCTCACACATTCACAATGGGTTCTATCGCACCCAATGTTGCCGAGCTGGATGGCTCCAACTTCAAGATCACTCGCTCCACTAACCTGCGGGATGTGCCTCTGCCTGGCTCCCCCGAGGAGTTGAGCCACTCTTACTGCACCGACCACATGGTCACCGTGCGATGGACTGTCAACAACGGCTGGGAAACCCCCGAAGTCAAGCCCTATCAGAACCTGAGCGTCCCGCCCACTGCTTCCTGCCTCCACTACGCCACCGAGTGCTTCGAGGGCATGAAGGTTTACCGCGGCTATGATGGCAAGCTGCGTCTGTTCCGCCCAGACCTGAACGGCGAGCGTCTGAACACCTCTTCTCAGCGCACATCGCTGCCTGGCTTCAAGTTCGATGAGATGAAGAAGCTGGTTGCCAAGTTGATGCAGATCGATGGCCCTCGTATGTGACTGCCTTGCTCTCCTCGCATGTAATCTTTTATTGACTAACACCTCTCTAGGCTGGCTTCCCAAGGATCGCCCCGGCTCGTTCCTGTACATCCGCCCTACCGTCATTGGTAACGGTCCTCACCTGGGTGTTCAGGTCCCCAAGGAAGCTCTCCTCTTCATCATTGCCGTCCCCTGGCCCGACTTCACCAAGATGAAGAAGGAAGGCGAGACCGTGTCCAAGGGCCTCAAGCTCTTCGCCTCCAGCCCCGACTCCATCCGTGCCTGGCCCGGTGGTTTCGGCTGGGCCAAGCTCGGCGCCAACTACGGCCCTTCTCTGCAGTCTCACGGTAAGGCTCAGGCCATGGGCTTCGACCAGATTCTCTGGCTCTTCGGCGAGGACCGCCAGGTCACCGAGGCCGGCGCTAGCAACTTCTTTATTATCTGGCACAATGCCGACACTGGTCGCCTGGAGCTTGTCACTGCTCCTTTGGAGAGCCAGCTGATCTTGCCTGGTGTGACTCGCCGCAGTGTGTTGGAGCTTGTGCGCGAGCGTCTGTCGGAGCAGTTTGTCGGCAAGCTTGCTCCGCTGCAGGTCGTTGAGCGGACTTTGACTATTTCCGAGATTGAGAAGGCTGCTCAGGAGGGTCGTATCCTTGAGTCTTTTGTTTCTGGCACTGCTGTAAGTTGATCGAGGACATATGATGACGGCATTCATGGGAACTAACAATGATTGTACAGTACTTCATCACTCCCGTTGCTATGATCCGCAATAATGATAACGATATCAGCACCCTCGGCAAGGATGGCGAGCCTGCTGGTTACGCTGCCCAGATCAAGTCTTGGTTGGAGGCCATTATGTACGGCAAGGAGGAGCACGACTGGGCCTACGTCGTTGAGGAGGAGGAATAGATATAGAGAGCTATCTATGCTCGATCTGACCCGATATCTGTCAGATCTTTCATTCTGGTGATTAGTGTTTAGATTTTGACGTTTGTTTATGAGCTATTGGGATTCATTGTGTACATAGTCTTCGGAGTCCAGGCATGAATAGAAACATAAAGGCGAACCCTTGTTATGAGAAGTGTCATTGTGTCGCCGAAAGTGGGAAGTGTCTATTATTTTATCTCGTAATCCTGAAAAAGCCGTGTGAGGCTGGTGAATGATAGATCTGCCAATCAATACCTCGTATCTTCGAGGTCCGAGGCCTCATCCTCTTCTTCCAGTTCCGCCACTGAAACATTATCATGTTCCTCCAAATCAACTATCATGGGAGCATATTCACCCGTTTCCTCATCTGCGTCATTATCGGCCATTTCCATCTCAATTTCCTCGCCATCTTCCAGTTGTAGCATTCCCCTTCTCACAATGGAGTCGCGCTTCAGCTCCCAATCATACTCCTCTTTAACCCATACTTCCAATTTGTCAAGCTCCGTCTTGACCATTGACTCAGTTCCCTGAGGAATGACTTCGTCAACCGATTGTCTAATCTTCGTGAGCAGATTGCGCAAGAATTCCCCTCCTTCATCACCATCGATCTCGAAGAGTCCGCCCTCGACATCGTCGCATCTTTCAAGTTGTCGTAGCAGCAAGCGAAGCACCTCACTCATAAACGCTTCTCTATCCATGATTGCTCGCCGACATGTCAAGATCAGCTCGAGCAGTCTTTTCCATTGCTGAAGACAGGAGAAGTTCATCATGGTCAATACCATGAGGAATGTGAATTGGAGCTCTCCGAGCAACTGTGCTTCACCAGTTCGCTCATCGACGGTGACCTCCCCCGGTACACGACTGGAGTACTTGAATACCAAATCACCCAAAGCCCAAGACTTATCCTGAGCAGCTTCTGTCCTTTCACGTCCGATAGCGCCTTCTCGCCACGTTCGCTTCAGATCTATAGGAAGGAAGCCGAACTCTTTTTCTTGCTCCAAAATCTTCCCTGAATTTGGCTCTTCTTCCACGGCCGGCGAGTCAACTCCGGGGATATGATCAGCATCGCGATTGGCCGTGCTGGCAGAAGTAACCATCCACCGCGGATGGCCATCGATATCCACCTCCGGATCGCCAATAATGCGTGACATAAGCTCAGGTGATAGCCGATCCGTAAGCTGTCGCCAATCTCTGCGCCCATCCTCCTCAGTTTCCTCATTTTCTTCAGCTTGACGGGCCTCAGCCGGCGCTGACCCGGGCTTATTCGACAACATAGCTGGGGATACCCGACTTCGAAACCGGAACAGTCCCCCGCTCTGCCAGAGCGCGCCCAGGTTTGCCTTGTAGCGCATAACCTCCTGACGATCCGCGTCATTGTCACCCGTCAACGAAGACAGTGACTCTGTCTGCGTGTCCCATTTCCAAATATAGATCTCCGGAGCAAGTGCTTGCGGCCCTTGCGCTACCACGAGCGCAGTCTCGTTGTCGCCTTTCCCCGCGCAGCTGATATCACCCACGTAGAACCATGCACCACATCGGAGCGAAAAGCTCTCTGTTGTACCGGTGTACAGAAAGTGCCAGCCTCTCGGTAGGTCTCTTATTCCGTGGAAATTTGCGGTGGAGGAGAATGCGACGAGGTCAATACCGACTAGGGTCTTTGGGGGGAGCTGGGGGAGGAGGATTGTCGGTGACGGCTGGTGGGATGGAGGCATTGTTGTTGACGGGGATCCTGGGCTTTCGGGTGTTGCAAGCTCGGTGTTTCCGGGGGTGTTAGGCAAATCGGAGTCGTGTGGGCAGGATCGAGGTGGTTTGCTTGAATAATTGTCCAACTGGGAGGACGCGGCGCGTCGCTGATGTCAAGTCCAGATGGAAAGGAGGGACGGTTCAAGGAGACATAGAACTGATGTTCTCGGACGAGCGAATGATTGTTCCCAGTCAAAGTAATGTGCAGGGAGTACGAGGAAGGTAACTCGCAATGTCTTGGTTGGAGGGGTTCTCACTCGAGATGTCGCATCTTTTTATCGCGGGGCGATAGCTCCCCGCACCTGATATCTGCGCCGAGTTCCTTGAAAATCGAGAAGTCTACAATTAGGTGCAACAATCCTCAAAGAGTACAAATATCTACGAATCTACGAAACGAATAATAATGATATATACTCAGACACAGTCAATTGATTCAAGTGGTCATAACAGACTACCTATGCCAACCGCTAAAACTGAGAAGAACTTTTCAGGGCATGAAAATATCTGAAGACCAGGCAATAAGGGCCGTTCTTCGCGTTTATTCCATCCACAAGTGCAAGTAGACCCTGCAGGAAGCCTCCAGTCCAGCCACGCAATGAAGTCGCAGTCGGAGAAGAAAGAGACCCCACACGTCTACAGACGACGACCGCGGCGACCACCCTTGCGACGAGTAGAGTCGGAGGGGGTGGGGGTCACGTCCTCGATACGGCCAATGCGCATGCCGGAACGGGCAAGGGCACGGAGGGCGGACTGGGCACCGGGACCAGGGGTCTTGGTGCCGTTACCACCAGTGGCACGGATCTTGATGTGGAGGGCGTTGATGCCGAGCTCCTTGCAGCGGACAGCGACGTCCTGAGCAGCCAGCATGGCGGCGTAGGGGGAGGACTCGTCACGGTCAGCCTTGACCTTCATACCACCGGTAACACGGACGATGGTTTCACGGCCGCTGTTAGAGATCATGTCAGCTAGAATTCTTCATTATGTTGTCCACATCGTTGAACGTCCCGCGGCGGCTGGGGCTTGGGGCCTCCAATGGAGTTGACCAGGCCGGGCGCAAACAGGCTTGTGGAGAAATCGGAAGAATAGGAACGTACGAAAGATCAGTGACGTGAACGAAGGTGTCGTTGAAGGAGGCGAAGATGCGGGCAACACCGAAAACGAGCTTGCCTGTTTCATGCGCAGATCGAGTTAGACTGACGATTTTCGAGATTGATCGGATCACACAAAAAGGTCGTTTTCAACGTACCATCACCAGCGAGGGGGCCGAGGGAGACGTTCTCCTTAGCGGCGGCGGGAGCCTTCTTGGGAGCCATTGCGAATGTATGGATGGGGGTTGTCGTGGATGGAATATGGAGGAGAAGAAGGAAAAGTTCGCAAAGTTGAAGATCGAAAAAAGTGGGTGTGTGCCCTCGCGTGCTGCTTCACGGTGATTGGCCCGAGAAGTCAGGCAAGCGAGTGGACCGAAGTTAACGCCTGAGGCAGAAATACGGCAGTAAAGTGGGTCTGTGGGCGGTGAGCCGGTCAGCTTCGCTTGCCTATTTAAAATTTTCTCTTCACTTCTCAACGTTGCTTCCCAACATTGCCAATTGTTCGTCACACTCTTCATCCACTCAATGGGAGCTGGAGTGATCAGACTGAGAACACATTGAGTTTTTCTACTAACTACCAGCCCACGTTTCGAGAGTCTAAGCTCTTGTGTGCCACGACGACGCTGCGAGCGAGAGTCACTGCCAGGATGGGACGCACCAAGCAGGATGCCTCAATCGGCATCATCGGTATGGGCGATATGGGCAAGATGTATTCCCAGCGCCTGAGCGATGCAGGATGGAGGTAAATCCCCACCCTTCCTCACCCGCTGTCTTTCTGTCGCGCCCTGACAGGAAGACGGCTGGCGACCAGCTTGAATGGTAAGCTCCTACTCCTCCTTATTCTGCTTCTTCACTTTCTCTCCCCTTTCCTCCAAATGATGACTTGAGTGCATTTGGCTCGAGCATGGTTTGGCGGTCACCTGCCACGCCATTCTGGTCGGTGGGTGATTGCTGGGCCGTCGATGATGTAAAATACTCGCTACCTTAAATTTTTCGTGTCTGAACTACTTGGAAAAACTTCTTCCATTTCTGCCTCACTCTTGCTGTTTCTCATCAAGACACGGTGCTAACGAGTGATTCTTGAATAGGCTTTTTCCATCTTCCACATGGAATTCCTGATCCTTGCTTCTGCAACCATGCTGAAGCGAAATGAGGAATATTTTTTACTAACATAAATACTATTATTTTCCCCCAAAGAATCAATGCGTGTGACAGACCTGAGAATTATGAATCTCTGCAACAAGAGTTCGCTTCTCAAGTACGTCTCCCGCTGGGACCATCATCCAGCCAGATACTCATATCGTATATTAGCCCTTGGTTACCATATTCCCGAATGGCCATCTCGTTTCCAGAATTAGCGACTTTATTCTTTACAGTGTAGAGGCCGGCGTCATCGACCGAGTCGTTGCACAGTACGGGCCATGTATGTTTTGCGACCCAGTTAAACCCCGTTTGCAAGGCCCAATTCAGGCTTCATATCCCCCTGAAAGGGAAAGGCATATCTTTTCTGACTCGACCATTTCAATTCAAAAGCTACCAAAGAGGGCGCCATCGTCGGTGGTCAGACCTCCTGCAAGGCCCCCGAGCTTGCAGCATTCGAAAAGCACCTGCCTTCTGACGTAGAGATCGTATCATGCCATTCGCTGCATGGACCCAAAGTGAATCCCAAGGGCCAGCCGTTGGTAGGGCACTACCCACGCCGCATTTCAATCCAGACTGGTCTTGGTCATTAACATGGCGTTAATCACAGGTCTTAATTCAACACCGGGCGTCGGACGAAAGCCTCCGATTTGTCGATGAGATCCTATCGTCGTTCGGATCCAAACATGTCTATCTCACCGGCGAAATGCACGATCGTATCACCGCCGACACGCAAGCCGTGACCCACGCTGCTTTTTTGAGTATGGGAACCGCATGGCAGGCCAACAACCAGTTTCCCTGGGAAATCTCGCGATGGGTTGGCGGCATCGAAAACGTCAAGATCAATATCACCCTCCGCATCTACTCGAACAAATGGCACGTCTATGCCGGTCTTGCTATCCTCAATCCGGCCGCCAAACAGCAGATTCGCCAGTATGCCGATTCCGTGACCGAACTATACAAGTTGATGATTGGAGGACACCGCGAGGAACTCAAGCGTCGGGTGAAGGCTGCCGGTGCCTCGGTGTTCAAGGAGGGTACGGAAGGACAAGATCTGTTGTTGAAGGATGAGGTGCTAGATCGCTTCTCTCTGTCCAACCAGACTCGAGAGAAGTCACCTCCAAATAGCCATTTGAGTCTTCTTGCCATTGTCGATTGTTGGTCGAAACTTGGCATCGTTCCCTATGACCATATGATTTGCTCCACGCCGGTACGTATCAAGCAGGTCGCTCATGCAAGTCGCCAGAATTTCTGTTTCTAATCCATTTGCAGCTTTTCCGTCTATGGCTCGGTGTGACCGAGTACCTATTCCGCAACCCCGAACTCCTGGATGAGGCCCTAGACACTGCCATTGATGATAATACTTTCCGCTCCGACGACCTCGAGTTTACATTTGCTGCACGGGTGAGTCTTGAATATGATACTTGGAAACTCGCTCTGCAGAAATATCCTTAGTGTGGATTGTGCTAACCTTTTCTAGGCATGGTCCGATTGCGTCTCCTTCGGTGACTTCGAGTCTTACCGGGATCGTTTCGAGCGGATTGCGCAGTACTTTGCTCCTCAATTCCCCGAGGCTGCCAAGCTTGGAAACGAAATGATGAAGACGATTCTGGAGAAGACTGAGAACAAATCTTAGTATCAGGGCGATGTACGATAGGTCTTGGGATATGCGGGGGTCTTATGCCACTGTATGATAGAAGCCAATACCCAGGAGAGGTGTTGGCTTCGATTTAGCGCTATGAAAACTTATTATATTCTTAATGCAACCTGACTGAATTACTTTTTCCCTACTGTTATTCCCAAGTAAGCCTGAATAAACCATATACAGATTCAATTAAGTTAGATACCCCATTGGAGTTGACCATCCGCCCCAATCCTTTACAACGCAAGAGCGAGCCCAAGGATACCAGCAGCACCTGCAATACCCGCAACAAGCCCTCCAGTAGCACCAGGCGCGCCACCAGTGGACGTCGACGTCCCCGCGATTTTCGACTTAGCGTCTGAGATCCGGACACAGTGACCCCCGTAATCACAGTTGTTGACGAGGAGGTGACAGATGGGGAAGCAGTAGTAGTAACCTCGGTTGCTTGGGCAAGGAGACTCAAATCCAACGCGACGATTTCAGAAGGCTCGACAGCCTTCTCGCTGGACAAAGCGTATTTGGCATCACTAGGCAGACGAGAATACCAGGCCGGCATTATCCCCTCACTCTCCCTCTCGTATTCAGCTTCCTCAAACGCCGCGTCCGTCTTGAGCCTCTCTTCCCAGGTGCTCGGGATCGCCGTTGCCAGGATTGATTTGAGCCAGCTTGGATATAATAAAGAGACCGTAAGGATCCCCTCCGAGGTAGCAGTAGGCAGAGCGGGCTCATCTGTCGGCGTAGAAGTCGCGGTTTTGACGACGACGTCGGTTGGGGTTACGGTTACTTCGCTTGTTTCAACCACGATGACGGGTGTATAGGCCGTCGCTGGGAGGACGAGGGGAAGAAGCCCGAAAAGCATGTTGAGTTGATGGAAAGAATTTAAACTGTTGTATATGTCTGGCCATGAAGGGTTTCGTGCCAGTCGGGATTGATCAAGGTGATATAGGTGAGAAATAACTCAATGTCGATACATCCATTCTCTTTCCATTCTTTTTTGGTGGTCAAGTCCGCTTTTCATATGGAGAGATTTCATCACCCCAGGGAGGCAGTTAGAAAACGAGCGTACCCGAAATTGTTCTAGGGCCCATCTCAGCAACGCCCATGGGGCTGTGGGCTACGCGTACAAGCGCCTCCAAGGCAGGTCATCACTTTTCGATCTAATGATTGACTCGGTTCCAGGACACCGTGCAGTGGCAGAGTCAAAAATAATAAAAAGGCTCGGGGGATGTCAACAAATCTTTGGCTGTCCCGAATGAACCCCTGCAAAGACATTTGTGCCTTGCTATCCAAAGCAATCTCCCGAGGGTGATTCTTCCCGACTGGGGTATTATGATTCTGTTCGTCAAGTTAAAATCGAGTCGGTGATCAAGCACATAAATTATGCACTAATTAGACAGTCCCATACTATCCATAAGAATAGAAAATAGATTTATCCCAAGGTGCCAGGATCTATTTCAAATTTGGTGCCTTGTCTTTCGGCATCCACTCCGTCTCGACTATGCGTGTTTAGCTAGCTGGGCTAGTACCTATATGTTACAATCCAGCCCTCAGGCACGACACACTAATGCGGGGGAAGACGTACTAAATCAATTGGATGTCAACTTACCATGGCAGTCATGAAGGAACACACCAATAGATTATTAGAGGATGACGGAACGGTATGTATGTAGTATTCAAGCTTGGCGGAGAACTAAGTTACCCCAGGGCCCCGGGCCCACGATAAGATGCCTTAGTCATCCATGTGTTTCTCGGTCGCGATCAGGCTGAACCGAAGTGAGTGGGACGAGCATCCGTGCAGATCGTCTGCGCTGTCTCATGTTCCTCTCTTCGTTGACTGCGGGTCAGTTGTGATGGTAACTATTGTTGTTCTCTGATCATCAGGACCTCGACCCGTGACACCGCGGAGCCCTTCCCCCTCCACGTCTCCTCCCTTACGCTCTCCCCCGGACACTCGAAACGAGCCCTTGCTCCACGACGAACCTCCTTCCCCTCTTCACCTCAATGCGGCGTCTCGAACGTTCGGACATTTGCGACAGGTGATAGATAGCCTTGGCGGCTAAATGGAGCTCTATGGCTTCCGGACATAACTCAGCGTTCTCCGCGTCCACCCAGCACCGCGCCTTGGGCGATGGTCGCTCCTCATTCAGTCAGGACGGCGGGTCGGGGGACGGGAGTTGGAATGATGGACTCTCGAAGATTGGACGAACTGGGCGATCAGGCTCCGGGGGAAGTGCCACGACTGGCACGAGAGGAGCCTCTTCGTTGGCGCCGTCCTTCGGCGGACCGGGGAGCTTCAGTGCGGAGCTCAAGAGCATGACCTCCCGGAGCGTCACACCACGACCTGACGGCACATACGGGCGACGAGCAAGCAGATCAATCGGCGAAGATGATCTCCCTACGACCGAAGAGCGCCAGGCCGTCATTCGAGACAAGATTGCGAAAGAGATGAAGATCAAGACTGGGACGGAGAACATGCTCGAGGCTCTGTTGGCAAAACCACCCAAACAGACCAAGGAACAACGCCTCAGGGTGGAGTCTGAATTGAGCTCCTCCAACCGCAAGTTGGCTGAGCTGCATCATGAGTTGGAAGAAGAGCTGCTTCGTGCGCAGGCGCCTGGCACGACTCCCCCTCGAAGCCGACTGTCTAGTCTCTTCCGAACAAGTCCTATGCGCTCACCGTCGCGAAACCCATTAAATATCGGACCAGAGTCTCTTGAGGATGATCAAGACGACGAAGAAGATGGAGACATGGAGTCGCCGACCTATGTCCTTTCGGAAACACTCCAGGCACTGGAAATCGAGGGCATGTCGCCTGATTTCTATGTCGAGCGTGCCAATAACTTAGTCGAATTGTTCAAGCGGCATCCCACTCTCAAGTACGACCTGGCATGGCCCGTCTTTGGCTTGCGTGTACAGGTGATGCTTCTTAGTGACAGCAAGGAGGAGGTTGCAGCCGGCTATCGGTTGACCCGCTACGCTATTGCGGACCGCAAGTCTCTCCAAACGATTCGAGCCCTACACACGGATGAGCTTGTAATCCTGTCACTTGTTAAGGAAAGCAAAGCAAGCATTGAGCGCGAGCAAGCCCTGAAGTTTGTGAGGGCTTTCCTCGACGTCAAGGACGGCGTAAAGGAAATATCTCGTGCCATAGTGCGCACAATTGTTTCTGTCGCCGAACACCACGATGACCGCCTACGGAACATATCTATCATGACATTGGCAGAGATTTTGGTCAAGGACCCTGAGCTTGTTGCTTCGGCGGGTGGATTTGCTGCCTTACACGATGCTCTCGCGGAAGGCACATTTGGCGCCTCGGAGAGTCTAATTTCGAGCTTTTTGCATGTCACCGATACCCCCCGGAGTCGGAAGTATCTCCAAGGATCTGAGCTAGAAGCTGTTCTGGCTCCTTTCACTGATTCACTAGCCGACACCTTGCGCAATGGACGATTGAAGTCTGCCGCGCGTGCAATTTCCGCAATGCTAAAGACCTGGCCGGGTCTGGTGATTCTCGCCAGGCACGAATTCAAGCCACTACACTCTCTCCTCGAATCCCTTCATTACCCTGATACCCAAGCTCGTGATTTGATTCTCGAGCTATTGTTCGATGCCTTGCGGATAAAGCCACCATCATGGTCATCTTCTTTCCTTGCCGGCAGAAGGCTCACAACTTATGGGCGAGTTTCAAATTTGCGGTCCGATACAGACTCCAAGAGCAACCGGACTTATCATGATAGTGGAACAAACAAGTTTGATCTTACGGCACACTTTTCGACTCTTATCCTGGCAGCTTTGATCGCGGCTGGCTTACCTCAGGCGCTCTCAGATCTTATTGAAGATGAGACTGATCTTTCGTTACGACGCAAAGCCACTCTTCTCCTTACCGAAGTTCTCAAAATGGCCCATCATTCGTTGCCAGCAGCCATCAGTGCAAACCTGCAGGTTCTTGCACACCTTCTTCCTCCTGCCATTCAATTCGACATGGAGAAACACGACGTCTCAACTTCGACGATCTTCCAGATCGAAAGCATCAACCGAACTTTGGCGCGCTCGGGCGGATATTCTGGTGGAGCGGGCCGATACAACTTGGATCCCGATCTGTCAGTCTCTTTGCTACCCGGTGAACAGGCCAAAGACAAACTCAGCCCATCCATGGACGAACAAACATTCCGAAACGCCATTCTAGAGACACACGTGTTGAATTCTGTCAACTATATGAAATGGAAATGGGACCTCATCCATCGTCTTGTTGAAGGTCCTCTCACAAACCCCAAACGAATGGATGAAGCGATCAAGGGCTCTAAATTCATGAAGCGTCTTCTTGGGTTCTACCGGCCCTTCAAATACAGATTCGCCATGGTCCCAAACACAAAACCGAACCAACGATATGTCCGAACAGGCTGCGCCTTGATGCGGACCCTCGTCATGTCTGCTGAGGGTATCAAATACCTGGCCGAGAACAAGTTCTTGCGGCAGGTTGCAGAGTGTTTGGCGCAATTGGACCGTATGAGTGGCCTGACTTCTGCATCTCCCTTGTTCTCACGAGAGCAAATGGTCAACACGCTGAGCGGTGGCTATTTTGCAATGCTGGGGACGCTAAGCGCCGATGCCAGTGGGTTGCTCATGATGGAAAGGTGGCACATGCTCAATATGTTCTATCACATCATTGAACTGCAAGACCGGAACGACTTGATTCAGACATTGCTCGGAAATATGGATTATAGCCGTGCAAGCCATCTTCGAGTCATGCTTTCAAAAGCCCTCACCATTGGCTCAAAAGACATACGAATCTTTGCTACAAAGCTCCTCCGGAAATATGCTGTCGGAGATGTCTCACTGTCACCGCAGATGGCCATTGGCAATGCAGAATGGGTCGTTAAGCTTCTTGTGACCCAGCTGTACGATCCCGACGTGACAGTCTGCCAAATTGCTGTAAAGATCCTCGAAGAGGCGTGCAACCAGCGTGATTATCTCGAGTTCGTGGTCAAGTGCCGCCCTTCCCTTGATCACCTGGGAGAAATTGGAGCCCCTCTTCTCCTCCGCTTCCTATCGACTTCTGTCGGCTATCACTATCTGGACGGCCTGGACTATATCACTCAAGAAATGGATGACTGGTTCCTCGGTCGGAACGACTCATATGTTGGCCTTGTGGAAGCCGCTCTGTCCCGTGCCTATGTCGACCAGCCACGGCGTAATAGTTTTGCGCCGGAGGACTTGGTCGACCTGCAAGATGTCGGCGTTGTCCCACCACACTTTTACCGTGAACTTGCTCGAACGGCTGAGGGGTGTAAGCTGCTTGAACAATCTGGGCACTTCAATGAGTTTGCCTGGACGATCCGCGATTTCCGCCTGGAGGAAGAAGACACCGAGGTCCTTCTCAAAGTCAAGGGGTGTCTTTGGGCTGTGGGCAATGTTGGATCCATGGAGCTTGGTGCGCCATTCTTAGAACCAGAGATTGTGCAGCGTATCGTGGCAATTGCTCTACGAGCTGGTGTCTTGACCATGCGAGGCACAGCTTTCTTCGTTTTGGGACTCATTTCCAGGAGCAAACACGGGTTGAGGGTGTTGCGAGATCTAGGATGGGACTCGGCTATTGATCAAAATGGCGAGTCGCTGGGTTTCTGTCTTCCAACGGATTTCCGCCAGCTTTTCTTGGTAAGATGGTAGACTCACCACTACTCTTTCACAAGCTAACTTAGTCAGATTTCTTTTCCTGGACGCCATCCTGATTCAAGACGTACTCCGCAACACAAACTCAAGGAAGCTACGACGGATCCCGATCCCGTCAATCAAAAGATCCTTAAACTCATGGTCGACATGGGAAATACCGTTCTGTCCAAGCGATCGGCGGGTGACTTGCACAGGTACAGTATTCTCACGGATTCGTTTCCCCTCTTATTGACAAGATCTAATGAATGACCCCTACAGCATGAAATCCAAGCAACCTGAACGATTCCACCAAGTCCATCTCTTCCGCAAAGCCCTTTGCATTCTCGAAAGCCATCATTACCGGTTACCAGCCCGACGCTTTGCTATAGACCTTTTCGACAAGAGCGTGATGAGGCGAATCGTCCTCGAAGAAGACTCCGAGTCCGATTCGGACTCATCCACATAGATTCATTCCATCGGATCTGCTGGATAGACCATTTTACATCCCCTTACCATCTTAACTTACCAAGCTCCCACATTGCAGGGACACAAGCCATTTCCTCAGTTACCCCTCCCACAGGACAAATTTGTGGCCTGTGAATCCTTACGCACTCGCGATCTAAGCAATCTCAGTATCTGATCACACGTTTTTGCATGGTGGCTAGTTAGTTGCCCGTGTGATATGGCGTTTCCTCTTCTCTTTTTGTTGCTGCTTCTGTGCATCTGTATCTGGCATGGCGGCGGTTTGGCCTTGGAAACGAGACACTATATGATATCAAATGCATATTATACACACTACCTGTAGGCTTACGACTCGTGTAGCCCATGTTTTGGACCAAAGTCTTGTGACATCAGCGCCTCCCTTGGTGGCGAGGACAAGCATCTTTCTACAGTAATACCCAGAATCTCTGCAGTAATCTCTGCAGGCTCACCCGAGGCTATAGTGACTCAATTCCTGAGGTTGAGTAAGCCAAGGGCCATAATTGAGCATTCGTGAGCCTTTCAATTTAGGTTCAAGCTGAACCTCGGACAAATTCCACGTGTGGCTGGCTCCTCCGCAAAAAGCTTCCATCGGGGAATTGATAGGGACACAACAGCTTTTTACTACTGGCACAACAATTATGTAATACCCGCATCACATAATCAATTTTGCCAAGAATCTTTACCATACATTACCGCAGCAACTGCATTACTTACCACTATAGCAACTACATTCTATCAACTACTACTACTATAAGAGCTTCTCTTTCTTCTACTGAGTCTCACTTTCGCTTCATTCTTCATCTGCTTCTTCATCTGCTTCTTCATCTGCTTCTTCATTCAATAATGGAGCCACCGAATGAAGAGGTCTTTGAGACTAGAGAGCAGCTAATTGCTTCTATACAGCAGCATACACTATCTCATGGCTACGCGATCACTACTATATCATCAAATCTAAGCAGGAATACCACCTTTGGTTGTGATAGAGGCGGTGTTTACTGTGATAGAATCAATGCCTTAGACAGTGCAAAGCGCCGGAAAACAAGCACTAAGCGAATTGGATGCCCTTTTCGTCTCTATGCGAAGAAGCTTAACAATGGTCAATGGGAGATCTAGGTCAGAAACTCTACTTATAACTATGAAGCTGATGATAATATGATTGGTTATTCTATAGCACGACGTCGACAGTTAACTAAAGATCAAAACTAGACTATCCAGTCTCTTTCTGATATCGGATCAAAGCCATAGTATATCCTTAGTCTAATACGAAAAGATCCTACTGTCCTAATTACACTAAGAGATATCTATAATATTTAAACAGACTTAAGACGCAAGAAGCTTGGAAATTATACACTGCTCGAATTTCTAAGAGAAACGCTTTAACAGAAAAATTGGAGATACAAATTTAAGCAGGATAGTGATGGCTATATCCTTTTCTTTATATTCGCTCACCCTGAATCAATTAGACTTGCTAACCAGTATAATAGGGTCTTTTTATTAGACTGCACTTATAAGACGAATCGATATAAGATGCCTCTTTTATATATTATCGGCCTTTCACTGTCGAATTTATCTTTTAGTATTGCTTTTTGCTTTATGCAAAATGAGCAGGAAGAGAGTTATAAGTGGACTCTACAAACCTTTTTTTCGTGGCTTAATCCTTTACCCTTTCCCCTAGTCCTTTGTACTGACAGAGACCTTGCTCTATTAGGTGCAATTAAAGTGATTTATCCGAAAAGTCCACACTTACTTTGCGTTTGGTATATAAATAAGAATGTGCTTGCAAAGACGAAGCAGTATTTCTCTTCGAATAACGAATTTGAAGCTTTTATACAATCGTGGAAAAGCCTTATTAATTCATCCACTACTTTTGAATATTAAGATTAACTAGCTAAGTTTGAGACTAATTTTAGTCAAATTGCCCCTGCTGCTCTTCGATATATAAAAAATACCTGGCTAACCTATAAAGAGATGTTTATTAGGGCGTGGGTAGGGCAATATCTTCATTTTGGAAATTGGGCAACCTCACGAGTAGAAGGCTCTTATGCTATTTTAAAAAAGTATATAGGGGGATCAACAGGTGATATACTCTTTGTTTTTGAACGAATTAACAATGCATTAGAAGCTTAACATTATAACCTTTCGTCTGATCTTGCAGAAGATCGGATTAGAACGCTAAATTTCTGCTTACACTTTCTCTATTCGAATATTACAAAGAGAATATCCCGATATTCAATATCCTTAATCTCTAATCAAGCTTCTATAGCTAAGAGAGCTACCCCTGAAGCACTACTATCTAACTGTACTAATATATTCACTAGGACAATGGGCCTTCTATGTGCTCACCGAATCGCTAGCTTATTATCAACACATCAGCTAATTCCATTAAGCGATATTCATCAATTCTGGCGAATCGATTATGATAATGAGGCATCAGAGTATCTGCCAATACTTGAGCCTATATTATCACTGCCACAAAGGAAACAAAACCAAGACAACACATCAGATCAAAGGGTTATCAAAAAGAAAGCGCTATCAAAGTGCTCGAATTGCGGAGAAATTGGCCATACAATTCGTTTATGCAGGGTATAATAGGCTATGTAAATAATATGAAATGGAATCAGTGAAAGAGAAGCTCTTATAGTAGTAGTAGTTGATAGAATGTAGTTGCTATAGTGGTAAGTAATGCAGTTGCTGCGGTAATGTATGGTAAAGATTCTTGGCAAAATTGATTATGTGATGCGGGTATTACATAATTGTTGTGCCAGTAGTAAAAAGCTGTTGTGTCCCTATCAATTCCCCTTCCATCGGTCCAGATTATCTAAAGTTGACCCGCTCTGATCGCCGATCCCCAACCTTCTAAGGACTCTCATCCCGACATCGCCCTCCACGCTCCTTCAACTACCGCCCCGAATGCATCGAAGAATTCAGACACCTGTAACTCCCGCCTGACAGTTCATTCCTGTGGACCCGGAGCCATGGAGAATGTAGATGCGCCCTCATCGCCGACCCCGCAGTTGGCAGATCCCGTTCTGACTTCCGCCGCGAGCTCCGACGTGTCGAGCTCCGAAGAGCATCTCCTCCGTATCCTCGACGCCCCCCATCTCGTCGTGCGTCTGATCCAGTGCCAGCACTGTTCTCGCCCTCTACACACTCCGCTCCGACTCCCATGCGGTAATACGATATGCCGATCGTGTCTACCGGCAGTTCGCCCCCGCACGGGCATCACATACCCAGTGGCGGAGGGCAGAGAAGAGGGATTTACATGCTACTGGGCAGGGACTAGCAATTGCGTTGGCGAGCATTGTGTAGGGGACTGCGGGGTAGATGTCGTATTGTCTAATGTGCTTGGGCTCTTCCAGGAGGCACTAGCATTTCCCATGACGCATGCCGAAGCGCCTGGAAATTCAGACGCTAGCGGTCGCATTGTTCATTGGAAGGTCGATCAGAAGGAAACAAACTCTATGGAGGCTCAGAGTGCCACTCTGAGTCAACGTGGGTGGCTATGGGGCTTGTACCTTCTCGCCTGGGAAGGCCAGCTTCCCTATAGAGCAACAGATGTCGTTTATGAAAGCTCCACAGAGAGCGCAGACGAGCTTATTCATCAGCAAGACGATCAGGTTCGCTTCGAGAAGCTCAGAGACAAGCTCCGTGCGGAAGTAGATTGCCAAGTCTGTTATTCTCTTATCTTGGACCCCCTGACGACTCCCTGCGGCCATACCTTTTGTCGAAAGTGCGTGGCGCGGGTTCTAGATCATACCGATCTGTGTCCGGTCTGCCGACGAAAGGTAGGCATGCCGGTTGCTGTTCAATCGGAGCCTTTGAATCGCACCATCACTCAGATCATCAATCACTTCTTTGCTGATCAGGTTGCGGCTCGGCGCGAGGCTGATGCAGAGGATGAGTCTGGAGGGGATCAGGAGAAAGATCTGCCCCTCTTTGTATGCACTCTATCGTTCCCGACTATGCCGACTTTCTTGCATATCTTCGAGCCTCGATATCGGCTCATGATTCGCCGTGTCGTGGAGAGTGGAAATGGCAAGTTTGGCATGGTCATGTATAACCGGCGGGGCCGAGAGCAGGGAGATGGACTAGGTAGTACGACCTTTATGCAATATGGCACCCTGCTCATGGTTGAACGCTATGAATTGTTGCCGGACGGACGCAGTCTCGTGATTGCTACGGGCGTATCACGATTCAAGGTCCTTGAGGCCGGCGAACTAGACGGCTATCATGTTGCGAAAACGGAGCGTGTTGATGACATCTCTTTGGCGGAGGAAGAGAGGCTGGAAGCAATGGAAACAGCGGCCTCTGCGATCCCAGATCCAACAGATCCAGTCACTACCGAACCTCCCTTGGATTCCATGTCGACCCAGGAACTCCTCGATCTCTCACGCGATTTTATTCGTAACCAGCGACAATCCGGTGCCCCATGGCTTCATCCACGTGTGATGCTGGCCTATGGGCCCGTCCCGACAGATGCGGCCCGCTTTCCTTGGTGGTTCGCCAGTATTTTGCCCATCGCTGAGGAAGAAAAATACCCCATTCTCTCGGCAGTAAGTGTCAGAGAGCGACTGAAGATCTCAGCGCGATGGGCTCGAGAGCTGGAATCTCGAGACTGGTAAGAATTTCTCTGTGCAGTTTGTGATATCGCAGCTAACATCGCCTGCTCAGGTCTACCCATTCATCACTCAACTCCGTCTTATGACTAGCCGTCCCCCTCCTCCTTCTTTGCCTCATACCGTTTGTTTTCAGGCCATTCTCCACTCTTCTGACCTCGATCACACCCAATATTTTCACGTCGTTCACGCCCTTCTCCCTCTCCATCTCAGTATCATTCGGTGGATCCCAGCCTCTGTCTCTGAACAGAAATCAAAATGAGCAAACAAACACACCTTCAACCCAGTCATCAGAAACTTATATCTCGCAGAAACTGGTTTTCGGGGTCTTCTTCGCCATATTCCTTGCGCAGGTGGGCGTCAACGTGTTGCAGATGGTGCGAGGTGGTCGACGGAGAAGACAAGCGATGGAATTACAATTTCCACAACCTCTTCCCCAGCTCAATCGAGGTCGAAATTGAGAGCTGGTGATGGGCTCTAACTAGAAAAGTCTCTTTTTATTCTTCAATCTGATCCTATACTGTCTAGGTAAGATAGTATAGGATCAGATTGAAGAATAGAAAGAGACTTGGGATTCATATCACTCTGCTCAGGAATTTAGATCCCTTATTTAATTCAGAAAGCGGGAGATTCTGGCAGTTTGTATTGGTGTCATTCAGTTCTGCTAGATTCTATATGATCTAGTTATCGGCGCCCAAGATCAATGACTAGGCCGGTTCCCAATTCCTGGTCTTGGGCTAATGAAATGCTATTGTACAGTGAGTTCCTGTTACCTCAGGGCGGGAGGTATTACGAACTTACCACGACTGTCATTACTTATGTACACAGTTTCCCATTTGTTCCCATTTTTGTATATATTAAAGACATCTTTTTTCGGCGCAATCAGGATCGGACAGATCTCACACGGACAGATCTCACACGGACAGATCTCACACGGACAGATCTCACACGGACAGATCTCACACGGACAGATCTCACACGGACAGATCTCACACGGACAGATCTCACACGGACAGATCTCACACGGACAGATCTCACACGGACAGATCTCACACGGACAAATCTCACACATATCTATTCGAATGTATTTAGGCACAGACAGTTTACAGCGCAAAAAGCACATTGTTCATATTACACAATGAAATATCAAATCAGGGGCCATTCTTACCCAATATCAAATTACGCGTCCTCATGCCATCACTTCAAGGTCGTGTCTTCATGCATGATCTCGTACTTGGATAAGAATGAATTATCGTCACGGTCGCGTCAACCTTTGCATCGGCTTACTTCAATCTTTATCTACCCCGCCATGATCTACGGCTACACTCACCCTCTTTTCGAAACCGTCCTTACTGAAGTTCCCTAGCCTGAAGATGCACAGCGCCGAAACTTCCTTCCTTATCGGCTTTGAAGGCACCGAGGTCACCACTGAGGCTAACTTTGAATTTCAGCTGCCAACAAAAACATGGATTGTCACTGAAAAGCTCGAAGAGGTCTCCCTCTTCATAAACCGGCACCTGGATACCGATGATAGTCTTAAGCCTAGATTTGCTGCGGGAAAGTTCCTGTGCTACTTAAAGGATGATGCTACTAAAGAGCCTGCTTTCATGCGAATCTATTACCAAATTCCTACCTCCGGTACTGAGCGGTCACCCTCTAAAGACCGAGCTGCTCAGGGAGTCCTACCTATTGAGCTTACGGAGTTGACGGCCTTTAAATCTCTTATGAAGCAGGCATGCCCTGTCGTTCCCCGTCTCCTAGGCTACCGAGAAGGAAAGCAGCCAGATGATGGAATCACTCCCGGAGGGTTTGCTACTACGATCGTCTGGGAGAAGGTTCCAGGGGTTCCATTATCGCAGAGGTTTTTTTGGAATCTCGATCAAAATCAACACGATGATATTCCGTTCCGAATTTCGCCGGGATTACGAGTAAGTGCATGTCCAGGGCTGTTGGCCACTAATCCCAGAGGCTAATTGATTGACAAGACAACTTGTACGGTGCGGCCTCCAGCCATTTCCAGCTACGTCTTCGAAGCTCGTCTACGACGAGTCTACCGGAAAGATATATGTGGAATAAGAGCTTCTTCAATCATGGTTAAGGATCCCAAAGATCTCACACTGAGCGGGCACTAACCCTCATGTTTTCTATAGGCATATCTCAGGATTTCGAATGGCTGTCCCTGTTGATAGCGGGCGTAAATGGGCAGATGTAAGCTTTGTCACATACGGGCTGGCGAAGGCACCTCGCAGGATGGATTGGTATGAACACGATGAAGAGTGGGAGAAATAAGTTGAAATGAGTTGGGCCATGGATACCTATCGTCGGCAGATCCATTGTCTTGTCCCGTTTTCTTTCACACCAGTACACCATAGCACTTTCTAGCTCTCGAGATGGCTTTTGGCTATCTGAAACCTTTCCCTTGAACAATCAAGCCACCTATAGACATGAGTTTCTAATTTTCTCCCAAAAATTGTGCCCTATATATCGTTGATCAACCTCGAATCACCTCACTCTAAACACTATCATATCCCACGCTATAAAGATAAGGCTTCCTATTAGCATAGTAATACTCAGTCTCCTGATTCTCGGGCAGAATACTATCTAGAATATAAGCTTCACCACCCGATCCGTACAGTCCGACACGTCCTGTCTGGAACTATTCCTATTAATTCTTATCTCCATTCCACCAACTACCCGCCTAATGTTCGTTTGCTTCTTTAATTGAGCGTTTCCAGAACATATCCAATCCCAACCCCTCAATTGACATTATGTTGCCTTCGTTTGCCCATTCCCGGCCCAACCACCCACTCCAGCAAAAGTATCAATTTCTCCCCCCATACATGTCCAAATTGAAAACTGCAAAAAAGGAATGATCTCAGGTTATCTGTAGGAATAGCCGAACGCGGGGGTCGAACCCGCAACCTTGAGATTAAGAGTCTCACGCTCTACCGATTGAGCTAGCCCGGCAGGGCTGGTTGAAGAGCGAGGAGTTTTATGGTACATGACCCAGTGTGTGGTGGGGATCCGCTGGAGTGGAGTTTGGCTCGGTTCCGGACTTTTGGAAAGATTACATAATGTCAGATGAAATGTGAGCGGCCTGATTGTTAGGGCAACAATGAGGCCTTGGCATTAATTTCACAGGGCACTCTAATTCGTGACTCCGTGGGTTAAGAACAGGTAAAAAGCCGGAACTGCGTTAGACTTAAATATTTGTATATCATAACGGGATGTGCTTTTCTCTAGGCCAGCAAACAAACACACCAAAAAAAAAAAAGGTCAAGCTTTACAGGACAGTGATTCGAGGATTACTCAGAACTGGGTACAGACGAGGACATGCATATAATGTTTGAACGGTAAAAATTAATTCTGAAACAGGTTTGATAACGCAGACAAAAGGAAATAAGAAATAAACACCTCTATATATAATCCAAACATTAAAGAAGATTAAAGAAGAGCGTCCTAGTTAATCAAACTTGCCTGTCTCTGCTCAGCTGGAAGAGGCTGGACCTTCTCGACTTTCTCGATGTTGTCCACCTTTTCCGGTTTCTCGTTAGAGAGAAATGCGGACCCCAAAAGATTGAAGGGATTGTTCACACGGAGAATCCAACAGTAGTACAACGTGAATCCAACAACTACAATCTCATCACGGGCAGCATCGTCGAAAGCCTTGGGTCCCAGCATCTCAATCTTTGCAAACTTCTTGACTGCCCACATATTGGCCGAGAACCTAGCCACAGGCTGTTGATTCTCGTCGACACAGATAAAGTCCCATGTCTTGAAGCCACTCTTACTCGTCCATGTCATCTTGGCCGGAGCGCCTGTATCGGAGAAAGTGGTAGACATGTGGGTGTAGACTGTACGTAGTCGTTTCTGGGCTTTGAGAGTTCCCTCGACACCGTGGAGCTGGTAGTCTGGACTGATGCTGATAGCGTGAACAGAGCCAGTAGCAATTGTTTGGCCGTTCTGAGGTGTCTTGAAGGTCAAATTGTTTGTGATAATGTTGCAATCGATAGTATAGAGTGGAGTTGGGTTTGATTCGTTGGCGTCCGTGATGAAAGTCTTGAGCTTTCGCCACTGGAAATCTACCGCCAAGGTGCGGGACTGAGAAGATGCCTCATGAGGGAGGGAGGTTGCAAGTTTTTGATCCATTTTGAGTTGAGGTATCTGAGAGACTTAGAAGGCTGAGACGATGATAGAAGTCAACCTCCATCGAGGAGAATTAAGCTACATTTTATATCTAATGCAGTCGCTATCACCCTCAAGCACAGCTGTATTACGATGCCAAGCATCTAACCGAATTGAGTCCTACGCACCGCTCTGATAACTTCAAAGGATGAGCTGGCTGCTGATCTCACCTCCTTGAACGTTAATTCAGTGGGGGCTGAGGCGCCTTGGCGTTTTAAGGTCCATAGAATTCAGCCCTGCCACGGCACCGAAGCCATGCCGCACAGATAGAAAAGAGATATCGAATCATATTTCGAAATCGACTGCGAGAACATGGATCAAACAGTTCCAAATGCCAAAGGGCGAAACTGCCAAGAACATGCGAGATAGCTTTAACCCAATTAGGCGGGACACGCCGCTAGAACTAATCAGCTTGCGAGGCTTAGCTTAATGATGTCATCTCTTCGATCGCAGATCGGCAGGGTCAAAGAGTGATGGCTTTAGGAGATGTCCGAATGAGCTTATTATTGTTCTGTGAGGGATTCTATTTGTGCTTAAAAATGAACCTTGATTTCTTAACAATAATGTGGTCACTAACGACCCCGCAACAACACAGTCCTCCCATTGCGTTTTTGTTTTCGAAGCATGGCTTATCGAAACTCTTGTCCAACCATCGCACGCGATGTATGAGATATGGGAGTTTGCCACAGGCCCCTTTTTAGTCCAAGCGATGCATATACGAGATCCTTGGCGCCACCATGGAGAGCCTTGGATAAGTGTTGATCGTTCGAAGGATCATGACACGTGGAAAGTGCTATGATTTTGTCCCTACGAGAAGAGGGGGCGACCATACTGGAATGCCAGGACCTAGTATATAGTTGGCGGAAGTATTGGTTGCTATACTGTCACTTCAAACAAAGTCCAGTAGGCATTCGTGCGTGGTCTTCTGATGCATGATCCTTACCAATTCATGTCTGAGCGAGATGAAAAGTGAAACATTGCTTCCTCTACAGGAGTTGACCCTGTTTCAACCGCTGCTAATTGAGTTATATTTGGAAATATCGAAAAAGAGCATCCGAACTTATCCATATACTTTCTCAAGCCGAGTTCCAGCCCTGGCAAGGGGATTATCTCCGAAGTATCTGAAACATTCATCAAATGCGCAAGTCAATCCATGTCTGGGCCATAAGCATCAAGAATGGTACTCATCACTCAGCCGGCCAACTGATCTATTTTGATAATGTCTTCTGCTAGGTGCAGCGCGACCGAGGTACTGGTGTTGCTACCGATGCTTTGAAGGCGTTGAATAATCCACTTCCGTGTGTCTTTGGTAGTGACCGCGCACTTCCCTACCATGTAGAGACCCCAAGTCAACATAGAACCACCTGAGATGTTGCCGCGGAAGGAGAGATCAACAGATGGGCGAGGATCAGATGGTGAAGATGCTAACTCCATAGCCTGGGGAATGGTAGCGAGAAAGTCGTTTCCCAGCTTCGACAAGGTTTGCAGCGTCTCTTGGAGCCTACGACTCATACTCCTCTGGAGGGCCGGTGCAAGATTTTGGCCGAGAATTGTGTTCAAGAGGAAACAAATTATCTCACAGAGAATCATCTGCAGGTTCCGGGAATTGTTCCAAACTCTGATCGCCCAGATGTCTCGGTAACGGTCAACTCGGCCATTGAGAATGATGGTTGGGTCTCCACGCGGCTCCTGGGTGGTTATATAAGGTTCTTCTATGGCCAGGCTCTCCACGGTGCGTTGAAAGTCATGCTCAATCAAAGTGGCTTCTTCCAGAAAGTCAGCGAAGGGGCCTTCTCCAGTAAACTTTCTCAAGGCGAAAAGAAGATTGGCGCATCGAGTGCCCAATACCCCTAGCTGCCAGAATGCACTAGCAGTGTCTGTATGACCGGCAGCCTCTTCCTGTAGCTCAAGCATATCTTGCGGAATTGGCTTGGTGCCATGAAGACTGGCAATTACCAGATCGGCGCGTACTTGATTGAACATCCGGATTGTAACTGGGCTAGAGAACTGGCCCTTACCCCGGGCAACCACTAGGGCTGCAGCGCCTTCGACATGTCGAACCCAAGTCTCAAAACCGGAGACTTGCTCAAACAACCCCAATGAGATCACTGACATCAAAGTGCTGTCTTTGACGGATTCCGCAGGCGATGCGAGCGCGGTGTTAATATTATGTATCGCCTCCAAATACTTCGCGCGTGCGTGGCTGGCTAGCTCGGGCTGTTGAGTTGAATTAGCCAACGTCACAAGCCCTACGGCTGCCAAGCTGGCCACTAGCGTTGGATGCTCGCCATCGTTCACATAGACGGACGGAATATAGTTTAGATATCCGCGTGAAGAAGACTGGCTGCCAATGACGAAGTTGCGGAGAAAATAATTGATGCCGATCTCGTCAGGACTGGGGCTCAGCCCACGGGTCGGCGAGGTGTCGTTGGCCCCAGCTGCCGTCGCGCTCCTTGCCCGTTTCTCCTTAGTGCGTTTGATGGTATGGTCAGTCTGGTCACGAAAGACAAGGTCCCATTCATCTCGGTACCCGGGGCATGCCTCGCGCATGCGGATGCACTGTCCGCAATGGGAAAGCTGTTGATCGCACTGCATCGAGACGGGTCATTGTTAGCATGAAGGTCGTAGACTGGGGATGAAAGGAAAATAAATCGTGAATACACACGCGTCTCTTGATAGCTCGACAGTTTCCACAACTCCTGGAGGTTCTTGCTCGACTTTTCTTCTGCGGAGACATTATTTAATCTTTGCGTTGAGCACTCTGATAAGAGACAACTAGATCTCAAAAGTGATCAACAAATAGCAGAATAAGGTTGAATATGAAACCTAATTATATCAACAAGCGATTGATCTTAAAGTGGCGTGATGACACAGCAGATGCTTGTTTTGAGTGAAGCCATGGGAAGCTCGAGCTGAGATGGCCCCAAATTCCAACAGCCTCCATTGGCCCCCAAACAGCCCCCAAGCCACGTCAGTGTATCAGGGGAGCTTGGGGGCCATTTGGAGACTCACCGGAGTCACCGCTGACAACATCATTGGATCAGTTAGTTATTGTTGGCTGCCCAGCCTAGAAGGATCTGCAAAGCATTCACCCAGGTTGATAGGCGAGTCATGCACAGCCTCCTAGGGCTGAACAGAGATGAAAGGAGAGCAGAGGAACTGGACGATGCTTGAGTGCCGGAGACCCACTATTCCTTAAATTACGCTAGTCCTATTTGGGTATCTGAGATGCTCTGCCAGTCAACGATCGAGGCATGGTTGATCTCGCAATGCTATACTATTTCGACAAGAGGCTTACATTTTGTTGAAATGATGGGTCGAAGAGCTCTCAAGAACATAAAAGGCGAGTGATTGCCTGGGCTTTGGATATGTACACTCCAAAATCTTTCTTCTATACAACACAGTCTTCCCGATCGCGGAGTACACCTTGAGCTATACTCCCACTACCGATCCCATACTACTATCACTTTTTACGAATCACAAAAAAAAAAAAAATGGGGACCGTGACTTACCGAGATGGCATTGCAATCCTCCAGCTTATCGCGTTCCCCGTGCTACTAGTTACAGCCCTCGTCATCTGGAAACGAACTGGCTGGAAGGCTGCGGGCAAAACATGGCGATTCGTCATCTCGCTCTCCCTTATTCGAATCATTGGCAGCATCTGCGCATTGTTAACGATCAATCACCCCACGGAAAACATCTACATTGCCGAGGCAGTATGCGAGCTTATCGGCATTGCGCCTCTGATGCTGGTCTACGTTGGGCTCTTGCGACAAATGTGAGTGAGCCAATGTGTACTATCTCCTTACGGAGTTTGATGAAAGGAGACTAACAAATGTTTGTTTTTGATAGTGACACGGAGCAGAGAATGCATCCCAAATTCTTAGGGGCGGTGGCCCTCGCCTGTTTTGTCGGCCTCATCCTCGGTATCGCAGGAATCAGTATCACTGATAACAGCACGGGTACCTTCCACGCAAATGGAATTGTCAAGGGAGCCATGGCAGTTTTCCTGGTTGTATTTGTTGTGGACCTTGCAATTACGGGTTGGCTATACTCCCAGCTTCGCTCAAAGTTGAGCGTCTTCCAGAAGAAGTTGTTCCTTGCAATTGTTCTTTCCTGGCCCTTCCTATTGGTTCGTCTGGTATACTCAGCGATTGGTGATTTCGCGGACGATTCGCGGTTTGCCATCCTGGTAGGAGATCCAACTATCTATCTGTGCATGGATGTCCTGGAGGAAATTATTGCCGTGTCTATTTGTGTGGGATTCGGATTGTCGGCTGTGCTTGGAATGAAACCAATGCAACAGGCTGGATACCGTGGAGTGAAGCCAGACTTGATACCTGGTGAGGTGTGAAAAGGTTTACTCATCGCAGATGAGGCTTGGATACATGCAAGTAGACCTGAGTGCCCGAGTGCTTTAGCGTGACCAATAATTTAAGGTGTGGATGGTGGCTGATCATCCGCCGTATTATTCCATATTCCTTCAACTTCTTTGAAGTTTTACATATTCGTTATTGATTTCTCATTGGTCAATGTCTCTGTACTTGAAAGAATTTTTATCCCCATAAAAGCTATGTAGAATGTAAACCACAGGCAGATTACATCCAAACGGTATGTATTACAAAACAGGATCCTAGTACCGAGGCTCGGACATGGACATTCTGCACTCGCTGGCTCGCACCTTGTAAGTTAAGCAGGGATAGCTCGTAAGTAACATGACGCTAAGTCTCTCGGATGCCGCGTTTTACCTATTCATCGCTTCTTTAGCCTCCAAGGTGAGATCAAGCATGTCTCAGAGCAGGGTCCAGACAAGGGTCCGGTGGGGGCGTAGTATCACCATAAGCATTAGCTTGGCATTAGCTTGATCCCTTTGACCTTGATCTCATCCGAGATATCCGGCCTTCAGAAACTCCTATATGTAGTTTTTCAGACAGATATTTTCTTTTATCAATTTTTACGGTGGTTGAGAAACAAATAGTTCATGTACTTTTGATATTTTAGATTCAAATCCCTGGTAAAGGTACAGCCGCGGAGACCCTCCAGTTGCTCCAAAGGAGGGGGTTTTTCCGGATTCAAATGGAATATCATGCCTGACGCCCTCTACAGACTTCCCAGCGGAAACAACTTCAACTTTCCATCACTATCTACAATGGCATCTCCACGCTTTTTGTTAACCCTCTTTCACCAACTCTTCAATACCTTCATCCATTCCACAGGAGATGGTCCACTACTTGCGCGACCTCATCGATTCCTACAAAAAGAACCCGCCCAAACAGATAATATTTTACTAGTAAGCAACTAACAAGGAAATTCTTATTCCTCCCGCAAAGGCTAATCAGCGTCAGATTCGATATATTGTTGGCCATGAGTTAATGTCTATCTTAATCCTTGAAACTGTGGAGAAGCAAACAAGTTTATTAAGGAGCCTCCCTCCAGCCGCCAACCGCTCCGAACCATCGCTGTCCTTTACCGTAGAGGCGGCGTCCGTTTTCTCCTTAATGGCATCGGTTCCGCCTATACCTACCGGGCGATGCAATACTCGGTGGTAAAACTATTGAGTTTTCTACTTCCCAGTCCCGTCGCGTATATTATTGCATCAGTCCTGCTAGCAGAGACCTATTTCTTCTGGACCGCGCGTACCATCCTTCCGCGCGACCAGGTACGCCTTGTGCCTGAACCCCGTGATCGCCAACGATGGAAAGCCCTAGTGGTTCCCACTTTGATCTATGCCGTGACCATTACGGCGATGACATATGTACCGGCTCTATTCGAGAATAGCCTCGCCCCACCGGAGGACGTCACGATAGTAGGGCTGTCATATATTGTGGGATCCGACATCCTGATAGCGGGGTTCATATATTGCCCAACTGTTTCTCCTCATTCCCTCCTACATAGTGTTAGTTTTGGTCCAGGTCAGTCTTTTACCACCTAACTGTGAGACGTTGGTCTTTACGTCGAGACAGCAGCGGCGGGGTCGACGGGTTGGGGAGATCTTTTCGGTTAACGGAGGACCACTACAAGCACAGGAGGCTGTGCGGATGGCTAGCGTGGCACGATTGCTCTGGTGTCTGGAATTGCATGGAAAGATGTGTTTATGTATAGTTGGGATTGCCGGTGTGGTGCATGTAGTGGTCTACTCTATGAAATAGAAATCTCCATACCTGGTTTCTTGATGCTCATGAAACTCTTCAAGAGCTAAGCCAGCAAATATCGCTTGCGTTGTGACGAGCCATAAGGACAGTTCGGAAACTACCTGTGCATTCAACGAAGCTATCAAGAACAAGAAGAAGAAGAAGAAGACCAGTAGGGAAGAGATAGCCTAAATAAATGGCAAACACTGCATATAGCCATCCCCACTTGCGTGTATACAAGTGCAGGTGGTGAGGAAAGTTCTTAAGGAAGACGAGCATTTCATTTTACAAATGATCTCGCCTTAAAGAGTGGACATCCTATAAGGCATAATGACTTACACAAATACCTGTGAAAGCCCCACCAGTTAAAGAAGCCCCGATACACATAGCGACCAATGTCAATGTATTAGAGGTACCTTTTGACCTTGTACGCGCCAGATAAAGGCTAGTGACAGCTCAAGTGTTTCGCGAGCCGCCCAGGGCGGGTGGCCCCCAAGCCGCCCCAATTCGCTATGTTAGCCTGCAGCAGGGGGCCAAACCTTATGAAACCCTGATCATTTCCGCTTATAGGAGGAAAATCAAGCATTTGCAGTGAGAACCTAGTCAAAGAAGAGGGGTTGACAGGGAGCCATTCCATTATATAGGAGACCCTTCCCTCAAGAAAGCCTACGTAAGATTAATCCTGCAGTAATGTCGAATTCCTGGGCAATTCAAACGCAACTGGCGACGTTACTTGCTCTCATTCTCATAGCTCTCGTCTCTTCAACGACAGCAGAATGTTACTGGCCGAACGGTAAAACTTCTGGGAACTATGTTGCCTGTCCTAATAGTAAGGTCTGCTGCCTCGAAGGCGAGGCTTGTCTCTCGATTGGCATCTGTTATGCGGCGAGATACAACACTGCATACCGCGGTGCCTGCACGGATTCATCGTGGCCAATCGCCGACTGCCCTCGAGCATGTTATACCTGTACGTATGACATCGCTAAGATAACTCGCGGTCGTTCTTCTTCCAAGGCTAACACCGTTACTCCTCTCTCTCTATAGCAATCCCGGGCCAGTGGGCCAATCTTTTGACATGTTCTGGCTCTGCAAGAGGAAATTTTACTTGCAGTACTGCAGTCGATGGCAAGACAGCCTGCGAGGAGAACGTGGAAACATGGCAGTGGGAGGGAGATAGTGGAGTTAATGTGACTGCGGCTCAGAATGGCATCTCGTCTACAGGCTTGGTATCCGACGCATCATCCGGCTCTACAACCAACTCAACTAACTCCACTGTATCCTCATCATCTTCCTCAACGAATGCCTTTGTATCAAGTTTGGGCAAAAGTACCTCGGATAAGTCGACAGTTGGCCTTGCAGTGGGACTGGGAGTCGGCCTCGGTGTACCTCTGGGACTGACTGTGTCGCTCCTGATATTCTACTGTCTTCGCGTACGAGGTCAGTCTGATTTTACTGGAGATGGCCGAGACGAGACATGGAACAAACCTGGGTACCGTCAGAGCCAAGTGATAAGCGTGCAGAGGAAACACCATGGGCCGTCGGAGTTGGAGGCTGAAAAAGATCCCTCGGAACTACACGGATAAAGTCTATGGATAGGCATATTCATAGGAGGGAGAGTTTCGTTACATTTATGTTGCTTTGAGAGGATATCATGATTGCGAGGTGAGGATTGTCGAAAATACGTGTCTCGGAAGGAATAGTCCTGTTCCTCAAATTTCTGCATGTAGATTGTGTGCTAGATCAAACTTATGATTGCAAATAGAACCTGTCCTTCGAGTCATTACCAGAGATGATGCTATGTGTACAAAATTCCCCTATGGTGTTGTCAGTTTATGAAGGAGCTTCACTAATTTGGACCCCCAAGTGAGTATGCATGAAAACTTGGTATCATTTCTTGCTTTTCCTATATCCGGTTTGTATGCTTGGGAGACTTTAGCCAATCAGGATCGTGATGTTTACTTACGTAAACGAGCCAGAACCGCGCCTTACCCAATTTGAAATGCGACCCGTCAGGTATCTTGGACATCTGCAATTCTACACAAATACGCCTTCCACAGATGATGAAGTTCCTGTGCCTTGAACAACAATGACCAATAAAAAGCCTTCTGACAAGGTATTTCCAATTACAACATTTATCTCCGACTTACCGACCAACCTCATCCCACAGCCTTCCTTCTCATCTTTGGAAAATGGCCCTCAAAGTCGACGCTTGGTCATTGTGGGCGACATACATGGGATGAGAAAATCCCTTGAGAACCTCCTAAAAAAAGTTGGATTCGACAAAGCCAAAGGGGATCATCTTATCTTGACCGGTGACATTACCAACAAAGGGCCTGATAGCTCTGGTGTTGTCGATTTAGCGATCAAGCTAGGCGCCAGCGCAGTCAGAGGCAATCACGATAATGCAGTCCTTGATGCGGCGGCTGAAGTAGCCACCAATGGTGGTGATTTTGAACTGTTCAAAAATTTGTTTGGTACCTCAAATACGTCTGAGCATACGACTCTATCCGAAGGCCCTGGGAAGACTGTATCTGCTGCCAACATTAAAACGCGACATGGCCCAACAACATATAATACGGCATCACAGCTTTCAGCGCATCAAATTGAATGGCTCGCCGCATTACCATTGATCTTGCGCATCCAGCTTCCACAGGATATACCGTCCTCCCTCGGCAACAATCTAGTTGTCGCACATGCGGGTCTCGTTCCTGGTGTCCCACTTGAAGAGCAGGAACCTCATTCTGTACTACATATGAGAAGTCTCACTCGAAAACTGGGTCAGGAAGATGAATTCACGCCAGATGAGTCATTTGGAGAAGAGGGCTGGGCTGCGGAATGGGACCGATGGCAAGAGAAGCTCGCATCACCGACTACGGTGGTATTCGGACACGATGCAAAACGCCGTTTGCAACTGGGCACATATACAATCGGCCTGGATACAGCATGTCTATATGGCCATCAATTAAGCGCTCTTGTGATCTCGGTTACCGACGCAGGGTTTGAGCATCAAATCATTCAAATGGACTGTGCTGATACACCTGTGGTTCCAACAGCCCCTGCCAAAGAAGATGACAAGACGACGGTTGATAAATAGTAGGCCATGGAATTCTCAAACTTATACAGACCCGTATAAAGAAGTCAATATCAAACTATTTTGAAATTCGCAAAGTAAACATGTTCATCCCAAAAGGGCGTAATTGAAACTGCTTATGTAATCTCGGTTTGGCGCGTCTCGGTCTCAACCAGCACGTCGAGGTCGCGCGCCTCACCATTCAAGGTCGATCCTCATCACAATCAAGTTAGCTGTCATTGTACCACATCTCGAATCTACTGTGCCAATGACAACAATTTCGCTCTCGCTAGCCCCGCCGGCGTTAGTACGGCTTCACGACGTGCTCATATGCTTGTCTAAATTCAGTGACACAGTCGCCATTGAAGCGGAGCATGATCTGGTAAACACCCTCCTTCTGAGTGAACCTTGAAGAAATCTCACTGATGAAATTGATCCAGCTTCGATTAAGTGCGTTGAACTCCACTAAGACCGCGTTTGCGTCGTTTGCGTGTGAGAGGGAGGTGTTTTTCGAGGCGTACTCTTTTACGGTGCGGCGGAGTGCGGCTAGTAATGGAGGGGATCGATTCTATTGTCAGATTCTTATCAAAGTGAGTACAATGAGTATTGAGAGTTGGAACCTTATCTAATCCGTCGGCCAGGCACTCTTGTCCATCTTCCGCGGAAGAGTCGACCGGAATAAAGACACTGCGGTTGAGCGATGTGACATGGAGCTTCACGAAGACCCGCAGCAAACAGAGTGTCGGTTGACAGTCAAGATGATATGCGGACTAGGTTTGTCCCCTCACTTGCACTTTTGGGCTCTTCTCCTTGGCCTAACAAATTCTCTTAGGCGTGATCAAGTCATACAAGCTCACCTACGAGCCTGCGTCAATTCAACACGCCGTCTTCGACAGAAGCAGAGCCACTAACCAGTGGACTGCAGACCCGCGATTTCTTAAGCAGGTCATTGAGCATTTTAGTCAGTCTGCAGAGCAGCTTGATATGTACTCTGACTCTGGCAAGGCGGTGTTTACGAGCTTTACGACGAAGATTATGGAAGGAAAAGGTACGAATAGGCCCCTGATATGTCCCTTTTCAACTATCAAAGTTCTTTGGAGATGGCTGACACAACCAAGAGGTTCTCAAATACCCCGTGCATACCTCTGTCGCCACGGACAAGCGCGACTTTGAAGAATTCCTAGTCGAGGACAACATGCATATCGCCATTAATCTTAAAGACTTCAAAGCCGCCGTTGCCCACGCCGAGACCGCAAATGCAACTATAACAGCCCGATACACCCAACCCTGCAAACCGCTCCAGCTAGCATACGACTATGAAGGTGTAAACGCCGAATTTACCATCATGACCCGCGGCGAGATCGACGGCGAGGCTGCACCGACCTCCTCACGTGCGGCGATCCGAGAACTCTCACAGCGACAAACACCCGCGGCGCCAATCTCAGTACGTCGAAACGAAACACCTCGCGAAGCCACTCAGAACCTGCAGATGCCCCCACCGCCGCCACGAGCACGATCAATTCGGCCGTTAAATGGGACATCAACGCAGGAGCATTTGTCGCGGTCGACGGCGAGCGAGAGGCCAAGTGCATCGGCTCTTTCGATGGAGTATGATAGTCTGTTTGTGCCGGCGGATGATGATCGCCAGTGGGACGAAATGAATGAGGAGGAAGAGGAGCCACAAGATATTCTGGGCTGGGATGCCAGTGGGCGACCGGATGCATTTGAGGGTACACTCCGAGATGAGGAGCCTGATTTCTCGAGGACGGGAAGTAAGACCATCCAAGAGGCGAAAGATGAGATGGGAATCCCACCGACACAGCGGATATCGCAGGTATGTTCTCGTTTTGAGTGGACCCCATTTTGCGGATGGCAGATGACAGTTGATAGGTCCGCGGATTTGGCCTTTTCGACTGAGATGCGTTTCAAGGCATGTTGGATCGATTCCTCACATCCAAGGCATGAATTGCCTTTCAACATTGAGGTCACTAGGTCATCACTCCGTAACAATCCAGCTCGTCGCACACCCAGCGCCGAGGCCTATGACTTTCTCACCACCGGCCAGAACATCATCCAGCGGGATCAAGCTGTACCGACCCGCAACGTTCCCTCGCTCATCCGTATCAGGTCCGCAATTCCCATGCTCCCCCCATCCAAAGGCAGCCACCGCGCCATCACGCATCAGCACAAGCACATGCTCGCTTCCAACAGCGAGTTTGGCAGGGGGTGGCAAGTTGTCAGGTGGGAGTTGGCCTCGATCATTGCGACCCCAGGCAATAAGAGGAACAGAATTGCGTTCTGCAGTGGAACTTTGGGAGGTAGCATGTATATAGATACCATGCCAGCTTGCTCCGATGCTCGAAAATCCCATAAGTCCTCCATTGCCACTTGAACCCATATCTCGTAGAGATTCTGGAACATCCAAAACACCCCATCGATTGGCCTTGTCTCCTAGGACACCAAACTCTCCTTTCCCGCGATCTCCACAGACAACACTGAACTCACGCCCACAAACCGCACTCTGAGCCGCAAATGGCATTCCCTCGACCTTGGCCGGAGACCAGATGATTTTCTGGTCTTTGAGAGTCTCGCCCAATTGACTTTTTCGCGAACCACCCCAGCCATAGACCTCGCCATTTGACAGAACAGCGATCGTATGACCCATTCCACTAGCCAGTGCAATGACGTTCGTACCCTGCGGTAGGAAGTCCGGAATAGACGATCCGGGCCGAATCACATTGTCACCAGGCGTGGAGGTAGATTGAAGCTGCAGACCCAATTCGCCTTTGGGGTTCGACCCCATAACGAACACCTTATCCTCGCGTACACCCATATCTGCAGATTTCTGAACACTCGCAACCAGGATACTTCCCTCCCACGTCGCAGACACGCACTTGAAGGTATCAATGCGAGACCCCGTTTCAGCATCCCTCAGAACAACCCTTCTGAAGCTTAGCAAATTTTCAGAATCAGGCGTGTCGAGACCACATCGGCCATCAGTGTTGCATCCAGCTGCATACACGCATCCGCTTTCTGTCAGCAGGAGCGTGTGGTTTCCTCCAGCGGCGATGTGGACGATGGCATCGCCTGTGGCTGGTGGTTCGTCAAAGAGGCATTGTGTTGGAGATGAGACGTCTTCTGTGTGACCGAGGGCTAGCTGACCGGAGCCATTTGAGCCGAACGCAAAGAGTTTCATTTTCCCCCCCTTTTCTGATAATTTAGAATTCCTGTATGAAGTAGTAGATGCGAGTCGATGAAAATAGTAGCGGGGCCTCCTTGTATGTCCGGCATTTCGTGTTACCGTCAAATGTACCGCCTACTGTATTTACTGGCTGAGGTTTAGCCGAGGCTCTACTTAGGTAATGTTTACTTTTTTACTTGAAGGTGGAAAGTATATGGACAGACAAACAGGACTCTCATCTCGAAAGTGAATACTTTTCTTGCAGTGGCCAATTACAGATTTGGCAAGGAATGATTCACATTTCTCCCGCAATGGCAGTGTGGTGCAATGCTCTTTATGGCCATGTTATCTCTGGCGCCTAATCCCTGCACTATGGCGCCAGCCTTGCGCCTCGAGTGTAACGTCAAAAAACTTCCCTTCCCTGGGCTGGTCAGGAACAGCTACCATTTCATTTACCCATGACTGGGCCCTTGAAGAGACCAATGATGGAAAAGAGTCCTCAAATTCTCAATCGCCGACGTCAAAAACGGTCCTGGGTGACCATTTTCGGGTCGGTAGCAGGCGTGGCAATCCTGGGCCTGACCGGGTTCCGTGGGTTGCCTACCCCAGCGCAACACTGGGTCTCTCATTCTGGATGTAAATCTCAGGATTCACCTTATGGATCATTCCCGCAAGAGAACGACCCCTTTCATTTCCTGCCCTGTACTGATGCGAGTCGTCCGCCGCCACTCGACGATCCAACCCCTCAGCAAACATGGGCAGCTCTTTTCGACCCCAATCCCAGCCATTGGAGCTGGGGGAGCAACAGCCGGGGCATCTACTTGTGTGGATACTTGGATCTCCCACTCGACTATCATAACGCTTCGGATACTCGGATAGTCCGCATTGCAGTGACCAAATTCCAGGTCGCCGGCCTCCCTCTGAAGAACGATTCTGATATCACCCCGACCAGCTACAAGAGTAAACGAACTCTCATCATCGAGCCGGGAGGCCCCGGTGGTAGTGGAACGTCTTATCTATGGGACACCGCAGAGGAAATGACCAAACGCTTCAGCGATGGACAACTCGATGCCCTCGGCTGGGATCCACGCGGTGTCAACGTCTCCCTTCCCTCGGCAGCATGTTACCCTCAAGATGCACACCGGGACCGCTGGTCACTCCTTGCACTCCGTTATCGCGAGGAAGCTCCACGGGCACAACTGGAGATGATGGACGCTATGAACAACGCTACGTTCTTTGCCTGCCAGCAACGACTGGGGGATTTTGGTCGTTTCGTCAGCACGGCAGTTGTGGCTCGTGATCTCGATGAGATTCGGAAAGCTCTTGGTGAAGAAGAAGTCACCGGGTACTTTGTCAGTTATGGGACTGGTATCGGTCAGACGTATGTCAACATGTTTCCTGATCGAGCGGGTCGTTTGATCCTCGATGGCACGGAGTATGTCAGGGATCATCGTCTTCTGGGAGGGTTTGGCTGGACCTCTCTTGACAATGCAACTGATGCTTGGCATGATGGGTTTTTGGGTGAGTGTATCAATGCCGGACCGGAGGCGTGTGCATTGGCACAACCTATCTCAGGCCAAGACGGACCCGTCACACTAGAACAACTGGAAAAGCGCATGACCCAACTCCTCTCGTCACTCCAAACTCGCCCCCAATCCGCATACACCGAATCAGGCGGTCCATCCCTAATCACTTACTCCGCTCTCGTGGAAAACATACTCTACCCAGCCATGTACAGACCCGCCAACTGGCCAAGCATCGCACAACTCCTCTACGACCTCGAAGCAGGAAACGCAACCCTAGCCGCCAACCAGCTAGACCTATCATGGAGCTCCCACTCCTCACACCCCACCTACCCACACACCCCATCCTCCTCCGAACTCGAACTCCTCGTAATCTGCTCCGACTCCTACGACGCGCCCATCCCAGACGGTCTCACCTGGTGGGACGAACTATGGGCAAACATGACCGCCCAGAGCTGGATGGCTGGTAACTCACGGTTCTTCGCGGTTTTCCCTTGTCGACACTATAATACCTACTGGGACGCTCCATCGGAAGTATATCGTGGTGATCTTAATAATACGCTTAAGACGCCGGTTCTCTTGATTGCTTCTCCGTATGATCCGGCGACACCGTTGCGCAATGGGAGGAGGCTTTTGGGTGAGATGGGTTCGAATGCGAGGTTGATTGTTCATCATGGGTATGGGCATAGTTCTAGGCGGGATCCGTCGGATTGTACGGATCGGGTGGTGAAGGCTTATATTAAGGATGGTGTTCTGCCTCATGAGCAGGAGACGGACTGCTATGCTAATAGGAGGCCTTATGTTGATAGCGCGGGGGATGAGAGTGTTTAAAGTGTGATGTGGTTGATCACTGACATATGATGGCTCAAAATCTATAGAGATCTTGAGGAAGCACATCTTCATGTCTTAAAACACAAAAATTGACATGTGTTTTATAGTAAAGTATTCAGTGCAAATACCACCATGCGGAGGTTTGATCGTTCAAGGGAAAGCAGATAGCCAAAGCCACCTCGGGAGCAAGAAAATGCTATTGAATGAACGATTCAGACTATAAATAGCCCAATTCAAAACTCCCACTCCTCCTCGTACTTGTACCAATCCGTCCTGCGAGGTGTCTTTACCAGTTCACACCCAACATAGCTTTTATGATTTAGATATTGACGTGATCGTGACAATTCTACTCCATATACTTCGATGATCTACACTCAAAACGGCCATGAGACTCTTTGTAGATCTGCCAGGACCTGTTTTTCACCTCCTGTGGTAAGGTTCAGGATAGTACTGTATCTCGAGCGGTAAGACTCTTGATTCTGCGAAGACAAAGGCAACAGCAGATTGTTCCTATTCACAAGCTTCAACTTTTCCTATCCGCACCTTCCACAAACAATCTTACAGCCGTTATAAGTGACATATATAACCACCATCTTAACTATAACAAAAACCGAGGCTTACAACCTCCATGATCAACATCACAATGGCCATTATTAGTCTATGTTTTGACATTCCCATCACATACGACCATAGGGTGTGGAGAACAGGGCTTCCCGTCCGCTCAGCCGTACTTAAGCCACACGCCGGCCAGTTAGTAGTATGGTGGGTGACCACATGCGAATCCTGGCTGTTGTATGTTTTTGTTTTTTGTTCTATTGCTATTTTTCATGATAGAATAGATGTTCGAGATCATCTTATCAGTCAGAAGATGAATGATATATAGGTAGTTTGGAGGTGAACATAAGTCAATGGGGCCCCAATGACCTGCCTTCTGAGTTTGGAAAATGAAACCTAGGCTGTCAAGAAAGACGGTGAGTTGCTTCCAGAACATCCAACCTGCTACGAAAGAAAAGAAGATTTGTTCGAAAGCCATGTAAAGCCATGTAAAGCCATGATCATTCCAAATGGGTATGTGAGAGGTATCAACGTCTAATTACAGACAGGTCAAAATGTGCCTGCACCATGCAACTCATGCAGCTCATGCAATGTCCAAACAGCAACGCAGCCAAGAGGTATATCCAAAAACAGGGGTTCAAAACAAGAAACAAGTGGGGGCCCCAGCCAAAAATGTCCCAATGGAAAGCAACAAAATAATAGCAATAATCAAGGAAAGCGTATAATCAAGGTTCTTAGCTTTTCAAAAGCCATGATAGAGAACCGGGCAAATGCAAATTTTTACTGTTTTTCAGTGGGCTTCTCGGTAGAGAAGGTCTCCTCGGAGCCAGACTCGGCAGCAGGGGGCAGACGGAAGTTGTCCTGCTTGCTGGGGGCAGTCTTCTCCATACCCTTGAACATGGGGCTGGTACGGTGGAAGTAGGTGTGGACGTGACCCTCGAGGAGAGTCTCGTCGGTGTCGAAGATCTCATCGCTCTTCTCCTTCTCAGCAAGGCGCTGGGCCATGAGAGCTTCCCACTCGGCACGGTACTCCTCAACCTTCTGCTGGTAATCCAGCTCGGCGTCGTAGAAGCGACACTTCTTCAGGACGAAGCGCTCGTACCAGGAAAGGTGCTTGGGGTGGACGGCGGGACCGTGGTAGTCCTCCTCACGACCCTCGCGGAGGCACTGCCAGCGGCGCTCCTGTTCCTTCAGGTCCAGACCAGTGGTATCGGGCAGGAAGGCCAGAGTGAGAAAAACACCGGCCAGACCGAACCAAGGCACGACGTAGAACTTGGTCTGGGTGTCGATGTAGTTGTAGAGGACGGAAGCCAACAGGGCACCGGCCTTACCGGCAGCGGCGGAGATACCGTGGGCAGTGGCACGGATAGGAGTGGGGAAGACCTCGGCAGCAACCAGGAAACTGACACAGTTGGGTCCGAACTGGTTGAAGAAGGAGCTGAGGAAGTACATAGTCTGGAACTCCTTGATGTGGGCCTCGGACTTGTAGTACTTGTAGTGGAAAGCGGGGACGACGAAGAGAACGAAGCACATCAGGAAACCGACGGTCTGCATCCACTTACGGCCGTACAGCTTGTTGTCGATCAGGAAGGACGCGAGGTAGTAACCGCACAGGGAGACACCGACGTTGACCAAGTTCCAGAGCCAGGTAGGCATAACGGAGCTGGTCTCGGGGGAGATAACCTTGATGAAGTCGCTCTGGAAGAGCTTGTTGCCATAGAAGAACACATCGTTGGCGAACCAACCACCGGCAGTGGCGAGCAGGCGAGGACCGAAGTACTTGAAGGTCAGGCGGAGAGATTCAACATCGTAACCAGTGACGGAAGCCTTCTTCTTGGCAGCAACCAGCTGCTTGGAGGCAGCCTTCATGTGGTAGGCACGGTAGTAGACCAGCCACAGGGTGCCCACAGCAGGGATAGCGAAGGAGACACGGTAGGTCCATTGAACGGCAACGGTGGAGTATGGGTTGTTGCCGCTGCCGTGGTGGAAGCAGAGCAGGAGGATGATCAGCAGAACCTGGTTGAAGAATTGACCCCAACCCTGCATCAAGAAAGCGCTGGTAACCTTGCGGCCACGGTGAAGACGGTCTTCCTTGGTCGAAATCTTGCCAGAGCCAATAGCGTTCTCCATACCGGAGGTGGCAGTCATGGGGTATTCACCACCTGTGGAACCAAATTAGCCGCGCGGTTCTTTCTATGTTGAGACGGGGGAAATCCGGGGAACGTACCAACACCAACAGAGTAGAAGAACAGGGACCAAGCGTAGCAAATGACCCAACCGTTCTGGGTAACGCCCCAGGCGGCAGTAAGCATAAGCAGACCAATGAACATGATAGTAGCATCCTGAATCAGACCCCAACGGCGGCCAATCCTGTGGCGGGAGTTAGTATGCACAAGTCTCTGACGCCAGAGAATCCAATTGGACCAGAAATGATCATGGCGTAAATTAGGCAAGGGCTTAAGCTTACCAGTCACCAACGAAACCAACCATGATCTGACCCACAATAATACCGATAATCTCCAGGTAATCGACGGCGTTCAGCCACTGCTTGTCACAGATCTTGTGATCGTTCCAGCAGGCCGGGAAAGTCTTCTGGAAGAGGGGCTTAATGTTTCCGATAGAGAACAAGACGTAACCCTCCAATCCGAGACCAGCACCGGGGAGAACCATGTTGCGGAAGTAGTACGAAACGGGGGACAAGGGGTCCTCCTTCATCATAGCCCAGATACTGGCAAGCTCGCTGCGAGCTTCCTTGGCATCGTACGAGCTGACGAACTTAATCTTCTCGCCCAGAGGCATATCGGCCCAGTACACACCGTCCGCATTGTAACTGTCATCGGGACGGATCAATTGATCAAAAGCACCCTTCTCGTGCGCGTCCATATCCTCCAGCGGGTTGTGAGTTCCCGTCATATCAGGCCCATGGGGGGCTCGAGGTCCAAAGTCGGTCATGGCGGCGATAACGACGATTGACTTCTCGTGGCTAACTCTCGGTGCTGCTTGGCGATGGCCGGCGAGTATTGGCAAGCCTTAACGAGGAGAGTCTACCGAATAAGGAGAGGTAGATAGTAGTCGTGATGACCACAAGAAAGGACGTGGCTGAAAGCCAAGGATGGCGATCTCGAGAGGTTTATATGCGACAGTGATGAGAGAGGGAAGAGGCGGAAGAAGAAGAGACCACGAGAGAAGAGAATGAGCAGGCGTGCTCGCAGGCTCGTTGCTGATAAGTCCAGTGGCGGGCTCCACTGAGAGGTCGTACTTTCCGTTGCCCGAAGAAAAAAAAAAAGTCTGCCGGGGCTAGAAGTGGCCCACATTAGGGGCGGGGGAGAATCCATTTGGACCAGTTTTGACCAGGTTGACCAGGGCCGGGTTCGAATTTGGCGAATGTATTGAGGATGGCGGAGTCTGGATGGGCAGGAGGAGAGACGCTGATTGACTCTCAGGGACTGCGGGCGGTGGTGCAGTGGACGAAAACAGCAGAAGTGGGGAAGAAGAAAAAAAGAAAAGAGATGGAAAAAGAGCGGTTGCAGGAAGAGCCGCCAGCCAATCAAGGGAGCACGTGGTGGCAGAATGTTGTTCTGCTGGATGAGATCTGCCGGACGGGGACCCACATAACCACAAAATGACCAGATGGATTACCAGTCAGGCGGGTTTCGGCCGGGGCATTCGACGAATTTTCGATGCTGACCGCCTGCCAAAAATAGCCGATCAACAGTGATAAGTGGGGCAACGGTTGGACACTCGTGGTCGGTTAGTCCGTCATCACATCCCTCCAGGGTAAGATCTGTGTGCTCAGCAGTACTCCGTACTAGGGATTCCTTCCTATCATTGCAATCGCCACCATCGCCCCAGTTCGTTCCTGAGGGAATATCTCGCTTACTATTGATGATCAGGGCGCAATGACTCTCCGCATAGGGCGTTGCTGGAAACCGTCCCTTACCGAGTGGCACTTCATGGCGCAACAGAGACTTCACCTCGGCTGCAGCGGTCTACCGATCCAGTATCTCGTCGCTTCAAGAGGCACAAATATGCACACGTGCCTTCCTGCCAAGATGAGCGAAGCGGGCTGGGCAGGAGAATGCCGGCCTAGAATCCTCGAGTGTGATAGGTTCAACCGGACACCTCGGAATTGTCAAGGACGCCAATCTCCAGTTCAAGAACGGCTCGCATCTTGTGGCTTTCTGTAACTGTGGCACAATCTGACATCAGGTCTGGTTTCAAGCGCGGAGTCCCGAGAAGAGCGCTGATGGTCATGCATGGCGTAACCGGGAAGGGTCTAGCCTGGATGAACCTAGGCGAAAATTGGAACGGAAGTGGAAACCAGATGCCAGTTTTAACTCCACGCTAATATCTGGGGGCACTGATCTTTCCTGTCCCTCACGGGCCAGTTAAATCCCCCGCTCTGCCCATGTGCGCGCTTCTTTGGACCTCTGCCGTTCCCTCGACTTTCCATTGACCAACCACAGTCCGCCAAGATCGACGACACTTCCAACCTGCCACTCCGGTCAGAACCACGCTGGACGACGCGTGCCGCAGGCTCTCGTTCCTGGCCCTTCCTTTCTGAGGTCCTCATCCGATCCTTCCTGGGGCCATACTCAATTTTGGCATATACAGAATATGCACTCCGACCTCGTATAGAGAACGGAGGATAGACCGATAGAGACCTTGTGACTGTCATCCACGATGCTTGGCAAAATTTAACGCCGAGCCAGTCAAGCGTCATTCCTGAGAGCATGCTTCGATATTATAACAATCCGAATATGGAGATTGAACCGCTCTATGCGCCGAGAGTGTGGCACTTCTCATATTACGATGGGCGCGATCTTAGCTAATGCTTGCCATTGCTTGACCGCGCCCCTTCGGTTCGAATGTGCCGTACCATGCACATCCAAGGCTACCAAGCAACTACAAGCCTTGACAAGTGCCGTGCGATCCATTACGGGGCAAGGGGGTGTTCCAGCTGCGCAAGCAGGTCAGCACGTGGGCAAACCACCGGTCCTGATCGTCGCAGCTTGTATGGCCCCCGACGAGCCCCGAGACAAGCTGGGCCAAGCGACTCCGTACAGCATTCTCGCACTCCTGTCCTGTACAGCGTCCTCGACACTCGACAGTGGTGAGAGTCTGATCCTTTGATGCAAGGATCACTCGCAGTGCCCGAATACGCCTTGCTGTCTTGAACTTCTAGAAGCCGGTTCGATCTCTCGGCGCCACTGAAGCTTCCTGCAGAGTAACCTGACGCATGACACACCCTCCGCCTGCAGATTGACTTTGGACCCGTCGCCGATGACGATTACGGGCGATTATTATTATATTTTGATTATTCTCAGGGGCTTGCGGCGTCGCCGGCGTGGTATCGGGACGATCCCAGCTTGGCGGTAGTCCACTCCTGCAGCTGCCTGGCCACCATCTCGCGGTTCGCGCATACGATCAACCACCCAATGAGGACCGTGGCGTGACACTTGGCTTGGAAGGATGGCTTCGTCCATGAATAGCTTGGCTGTGCTTGGCCAGAGATGAGGGCGCCACGCCATACCCCCTGCAAGCGCCGCGGTTACGTCTTTTTCTGTTCAAAAGTCCAGAAGCCTTCTAGAAGGTTGCCTGGTTTGGATGTTTCAGCCCATTCTGCCGCAGCCATGGAGGCGACTCAGGCTAGCAAGCTTTAGGGCTACTAAGAACGCCTTGGCCGGAAACAGCCGTCGGCATGATTCAGATTTCAATTTGGAAGCTGAACCTGATCCGAATCCTGAATCTGACCTGTCAAGTGCTGACGGAATCCTGATACCACAGTTCTCCCTACCTACGGATGAACCACGAGGCAATAGCCTATCTACTAGTGGTCACCACAACTCGCACCATTCAAGATCATTGTCTGGTGATTCTCTGGTCCCTTTCAGCCCTGTCCTATCACCAGATCCCCGTGTTATATCGTCTCGCTCGCGCTTTGAAGGGCAAACGCCCTTTCTGGGCGGCTGCGCTGCATCTCGCATGACCTGAATCGTCTAGACCTCGATCTTCGATGCCGCCTTGCCGAACGGGCGCGCCGTCGCCCGCTCGGGCGAGGGCTCCGAGGACGCTAGGCGTTGCCCGATGATCCCCGATGATCAAGTGGCTTGATGATGGCGGTGTTTTGCCTTTTATGGGGTGTAGTTCGTGGGATGGGGATCTGTGGTGAGCCGCGGGTGCCGGGGTGGGATGCTAACTTTAGGAGATATTGTAGGGTGAGTGATGTTATTGGGTTCGATATTGGATATTGCTTCGTAGTCGATCGTACTTTATTGAAGAGTCCTTTACCAGGTCGTCTAGCGTGGTGGATGGTTCTGGGAGTGTTGGTCACATTCCAGACTCCGGGACCTGCCAACCGCCCACTTTTGGATCTCTCCAACCTCCAGGTCACCTTACACCCAGGTACCCCAGTACTTAAGACGGAATACAATTAAACTACAATCATATCCATGAAGCTTTTTTACTCATGAATCAAACGTTAACGTCGATGAACAGCCGTGTGCTGGTGCGACTATGTCCACGACCAACCTAGCAACCCCCTGCGTTGGGGCTCAACACAGCGAGAAGCACAACTCAACATTTCCACCACCATCATAACATGAACTAATTCCCCGAAGTCTGGACATGATCCAGAAGAATCGCTTCTCTCATAAAACCCCAGGTTCGACTCTGACCAACCCTCCCACCAAGCTGCCTCCCACTGGCATGCAGAGGCTGGGAGCCTGGGACCATTAACATTCCACACGCAGGCCGGGGGAGGGGGGAGTCATAACTACCCCCAGACAGCCCCCGTCAAAATCCACACCAATCCCACCCATTCGCAGAGCCTCCAGACCCGCATATCTGCATATCGACGCGATAAGAGGACCCATCTTCCCTGATCTACCAGAATGGCAGGTAGAGGAGCAGGTATGAGCGGCATACCGCGGAGAATTCGTCTCGTGATCGCGCCGATGGGGATGCGTGATGTGATACTCTTTCCTGGGTACAGAGAGATGCGACAGCCCTCGGTGGGAATGGGGGCTTGGTTGTGGTATCTAGGTTGGTTTTGTTCTTGTGAGGAGGTATAAGAGTTTGATCGTGGGTGCTGGGAGAGCGTTGATGAAGATCTTGCCGGCTCTCAGTCTTTTGTGATATCATTGTTTCATTTGAATCTGGTTAGTCTCGTGATGTCTTGATGTAGGTTATTGATTCCTTGTGCTGATCATTGTCCTAATGGATAGGTTCATAGACCTTTGTTGATTTGAAGAAGGTCTGGTTGGTATTGGATCATTCATTCGATTGAGCGTCGACGACTCGATTGGCGTGTATACAAGCGCCTATCCAGCATTCGATATTAGCCTCGGCATCAATATCAACATCAGCATCAGTATTGACATCGGCATCGACATCAACCACCCACGATGATCGACCTCAAAAGCTTCTTCCCGACAATAACAGCGTTCATCGCATTCATTATCACACTTTGCTGTCTCTTCGCGGGAACACAAAAGAACCTCCTCGACAATGTCAATCTACTCACAGTACGTACCTGATTACACCCACCGACCAACACACTACACCTATACTACACACAACAACATCCAACCACCTCCAACAAACCCCTATACTAACCCTCTCCCAGCTCTACACCCCCGAAGGCTCCTCTCCCTCCCCCTACTTCACCACCACCACAACAACCACATCACCAGCCCACACATTCTACTCCGTCCACATAATGTCCTACTGCCAAGGAACCCTCGGGCCCCTACCCCCAGGCGCAACAGACCTCTACGGCACACGGAACGTAACAGCCTGTTCCAACCGAACAATTCTCTTCGCATTCGATCCCACAGCCGCCTGGCCGAAAGAAGTCACGCATGGACCGGCGTTAGAGTGGCCACGGGTTATCAGTGATGACTTCCATGCGTTCCGGATGACTAGTCGCGCTATGGCGGTGTTGTATATCATTGGTGTTGGGACGATGGGCACGGTGTTGTTGGTTAAGGGGGTTGAGGTTGCGACGAGGAAGAAGCAGTATGGGGTTTTTGAGTTTGGGTTTTTGGTGGTATGTTAATGACTTACCGTCTTTCTTTCTTTCTTTCGAGACGTCGGGTTTGACTTGACTTGGGCTTGGGCTTGGGCTTGGGCTTGGGCTTGGGCTTGGGCTTGGGCTTAGTTCTTCATGGTCTACTGCCCGAGCCTCAACCTGTGTCCTGCCCTGCCCTGCCCTGCCCTGCGCCCTGTCCTGTCTGGTCTTCATCGTGACCTCTACAGGCCTCTATCCTACGATGATCATCGAAGACGGATGAAGACAAAGATACAAGAAACGGCGCTAACAAGACAATATCTAGCTCGGTTCTCTCAGCATCAGCATCGCCTCGATAATCGCCACAGCACTCGCCTTCGAATTCGTCGCCCTGATCAACGCGCATGGCGATGGATCTGGTGTAACTGCCCGGTACGGCGACAAGTTCTTGGGCATGACATGGGCGTCGACGGGTTTGTTGATACTGGGTAGTTTGGTGAGTTTCAATAATGTGTTTGCGCAGGCTCCGGCGGCACCTGCGCCGTCGAAGGATGAGGAGGAGGGTTGATGTGGATAGGATGGGATGGATATAGAGATGGTGAGGAGGGGCTATTGAGGAAGGGGAATGGAATGAAATGGAAGAGAGAAAGAGGGAGGGGTTGCAAACGTGGAGGGTGAACACCGAGTGTTGGACGAACAACGGGAGCTCGCATCGGGAGAAACGGGACGAAGGCCGGGATGGAGATGCGAACCTCGTAACGAGTGAATTTTCTGTTTGTATTGAATGGTTTCACGACCACGACCAGGTATCTGCTGTATGTGTATGATCGGCTATGCCAGCAATGAGAATAAGAATACGGAGTATATTCAGCCCAACCTTGCAAATGTCTTCTTTGATGGATTCATCGAGTCATCCAATCGGCGAGCTAGAGGAAGAAACGAGGTCGAAATCTGGAGGAAGTTTCCGAGGCTTTTTTTTTGACATTTGAGGCATAAAGATAGAGAAGGTAGGGTCGTCGTTGATAGTCGCATATCCTGGTTGGTTGGTTGATTATAGGTTGGTGCCTGGATTGTGCGCCGTGCAGCCCGACGAGGCATTTCTGAGGTGAACGGATTGTGTTTTGTGATTTAACTGGTTGTATACTCCGTGATGAAGATTGGGCTGTTAGCTTGGTTGCGACGGAGTCTTCCGTATCTACATCCATTTTCTACCGTGATATTACTAGTCTACTATTGAGCTAGCCAGTCCTAGTTGAATGGTAGGAGGATCGACTAAGAATCCATAACGACCATACTAATTACACACTTCGCATCCCGCAATCTCAAACGAGGCAACTACCACGCTCGAGCCATCAAACCCTTAGCATCGTGAAATGTGAAAATAAATGGCGCAAGCCAACGCGTAAAGGCGTTGTCGGGAGCTCGGCCGGCGAGACTAGCCATTCACGATGCAGTTGCAGAACTTCATTTGATGCAATACAGATCCCGCTTAGACCCTCCTTAGCATCTATTAGCATCTATACAGTGATCCACATGTCAAAAAAGAAAGACTTGCATGTTTATTTACTTTTTCCATCCATGCCTACCGTAGGTCCATTTCTTCAAGCTCCATAGAATGGACTAGCCAGACCAGGAACGGAGATGAAGCGGACAAGGAATAACAACAACCTTGGAAGATACCTTGAAGATCCCACCCCATCGAAAATCATCGAAAACCCTCGTAGACTCGAGAAACAGTCAACCTCGGCAGGGTGGGAACCAATCCAACCCAAAAAGCAAAGAGAAAAAAATAAAATTGGGTCCTGGGGCCTGACACCCGTTCATCCGACGTCACCAGTTGTGGAGATGGAATCAACTGGTCGATCCCCAATGATAATACTCTATTTACACTTACAGTACTACTGTATGTAGTGATTTCCAGCCTCCAGGGCTGTGCTGTGACATCCCTCGTCGAGGCGTCTGCGTATCATCAGATAGGCATCCTGCATTCCCGCTTGGCATTTACACTATGCCCGTTTCTGGTTTTTCGGGATGGACAGGATAGGAGGGGTAGGGGTGTGTTTAGTGGTCTACAGGGCTACGCTACAGGGCTTAATGGTCTAGGACCACTGTACTCCGGACGGGCTAGGGTGCAGTTCTTGAGGCGTCCGCGATGGGTTTCGGCGGGCGGCCACGGGCGACCGCGGGCATCTACGGGGGCTTGGACGTCAATGGGCGTTAATAATGGTGATGATGACGATGATGAGGCATGAGCAGCTTGGTTCTATTAGTGGGGGGGGGGGGATATCGTCAGTGGGGGAGGGAAGAGGGAAATGAGGAAGATGTCATTGGCTTATTGGTTGGTAAGTCTAGACTAGACTCCATCGGGAACTCGTTCTGGCTGTGCTGTGGTTGTGTCAGTACGGAGGACGCCTCGTAGTGGTGTGTAGGGTAAAGGGTCCGTGCTTGGGCTTGGGATTCGTGGGTATTCATTTGTGGTAAGCGGTCTCGGTCTTAGTGCCAAGGCAGACCCATGGCCCAAATGGGCCTCCAGCATCTGCTCGTCATCATGGCTCGGCTTTGAGAGACAAGAAGAGGGCCCGAGAGGGGGAAAGATGAGGTTCAAGCGCGGAATGCGGAGAGAGCAGCTGGTGTAGTCCTAGACGTGGACCGCATACCTCCGTACTCCAGGTGGATTGGAGGTCTGGGCGGGATTTTCCGGGGCCTTTGCAACCGGTTAGGTACGGGTTACGGAGAGTACAGTCAGCTCGAGGAGTCATGAATAACGTTCAAGAGGTCATTGACTACTACTACTATTACGGACTGTTTGTTAGTCGTGTTAGGAGTGTTCAGCTCCGGCCCGATACTCTCGATGGCGAGGTTCTCTTCCGCTGCCTAATCCCTATTTAGGTTCGCCGGTGAAGTGAGGTGTTTTCCTCGGGTCGGGATGGGGATTTATTTTGGGGATTCTGGACGTGAAGGGTTGTAGATAGGAATAGTGATACTCAAATCCCTCCGCTACGTGACGCCGTGGTTGCCGTGTCGCCGTGGTCCCTGGGGGGCGCGCGAAATCATCGGGAAGTGAAACGCGCTGGGTGAGGGGATTCGGTGATTCGTCAAGGCCAAGTAAAGTGGGGGCTTGATTGAGATAGGATCATAGGTGGAAGCGGTTAGAATGGAGTTGTGTACTCCGTTTGGTTACTGGCAATAGTCTGGACTCTGACCGAGAGGGTTAGTCTGGGTAAGAAAGTGGACTAGGTCCCGGCGCGATTAGGGGGGAATGGTGGCATGTTACTGGTTCGGCGATTGGACTGGGACCAGGGGTGGCTATACTTGGTCTATACCTGGACTATACCAGCGGCGGTGCTGCAAAAGGGACGGGATATGTGGTTGCACGGTCAAAGCGGGGTGGTTACACTGAGCATAAATGGAATTGTGAATAGAAGGAAAGAAAGCAAGAAAGAAAGAAAGAAAGAATGGAGGGGAAAAGAATGAACATGCCAGTTAGACAGTTAACGTGTAGAATGTGAGGATGAGAATGTCGATATATCATGATGTTCTCATTCGACGGGGTGGGAAACAAGGCGGAGGCTGGTTCCGTGCGCCTCCCGAGGTCGATGAAGTCATCCCGGTTGAGAGAGACGAGAAGAGTGGAGCAGTACGGTCGTACTGTAGTATGATATAGTCGAGTAGAGTATAGTGTGGTAATCAGTAATAATCAGTTACTAACTATGACTATAGGTAATAGTGTGTACGAATATAATTAATACTCTAGTTAATACTATAGTATACGATAGTAAACTAGGGATGTATTATCCTGTATCTAAGAGTATACAGTGGGTATCCTATACACCGTCTACTATGATGATGTTACCCGTGCAAATGGAAGCCACGATTCCAGGCAAAACCATAATCGCGCTCTTTCCTCGTTTCCTTTCCAGCTGGAACCAAGTCCCAGTCCAACTTGCCCCTCCCCTGGTTTTATCATTTTCTGTTCTGCCCTGTCCTGCTTGCCTTCTTGGGAACGACACTTAAATACTTCTTCATTCCCCCCTCTTTTCATTCTTCCATTCATCATCTCCCCCTCCCATCCATCCCCCACTCTGCAAGATCAGCCACCCGCTCTTAGCACGTCACAAGACCTTTCCCCAGATCTTGTCTATCGGATCTGTCCTAGTCATCTTATCTTTGCTTCTTCTACCCCTCTTCACACTTCAGCCCTATCATCTTCATCCTCCATCATCATGGGTATGAAGGCGATTCACTTTGGCGGTGGTAACATCGGCCGTGGCTTTGTCGCCGAGTTCCTGCACACTGCAGGCTACGAGGTTGTCTTCATTGATGTCATGGACAGCATCATCAACGAGCTCCAAAATACCAAGTCCTACCAAGTCACCGAGGTCAGCGAGGGTGGTGAGACCACCAAGACCATCACCAACTACCGTGCCATCAACTCCAAGACCCATGAGCAAGATGTCATTCAAGAAATCTCCACTGCCGACATCGTCACCTGTGCCGTGGGTCCCAACATTCTGAAGTTCATTGCCCCCGTCATCGCCAAGGGCATTGATATCCGCTCAACCCCCAAGCCTCTGGCTGTCATTGCCTGTGAGAATATGATCGGTGCTACCGACACTCTCCGTGGCCACATCGAGTCCCACACCGACTCCGAGCGTCTCAAGACTATGGGCGAGCGTGCTCAGTACGCCAACTCTGCCATCGACCGCATTGTCCCCGCCCAGCCTCCTAACAGCGGCCTGAATGTGCGCATCGAGAAGTTCTACGAGTGGGTTGTCGAGAAGGCTCCCTTCGGCAGCGTTGGCCACCCAGACATTCCCGCCGTTCACTGGGTTGACCACCTGGAGCCCTACATTGAGCGCAAGCTGTTCACTGTCAACACCAGCCACGCCACCGCTGCCTACTACGGCCGCTACGCCGGCAAGAAGACCATTGCCGAGGCCATGCACGACTCTTACATCCGCGGTGTCGTCCGTGACGTGCTCAAGGAGACTGCCTCTCTCATCATTGACAAGCACGAGATCGAGGCTCAGGAGCAGCAAGACTACGTCGAGACCATCATCGCCCGTATCTCCAATCCTTACCTGGAAGACAGCGTCGAGCGTGTCGGCCGTGCCCCCATGCGCAAGCTTGGCCGCAAGGAGCGTTTCATCGGACCGGCCGCTCAACTTGCCGAGCGTGGCATGAAGTATGAGTCCCTTTTGGGTTCCGTCGAGATGGCCCTGCGTTTCCAGAACGTGGAGGGCGATGAAGAGAGCGTCGATCTCGCCAAGATTCTTAAGGAGAACTCGCCTGCCGACGCGACCGTCCAACTGACCGGATTGGAACGTACGCACCCATTGTTCTCGGCCGTTGTCAAGGTCGTGGACCAGGTGCAATCTGAGGCCAAGTATGTTATCCCCCTCCTCTCTACCTGCATCCCCACGCGGAGCAGACTCTACCCCCACTTTCTCCATGAATTTGCTAACATGTTGTTCTTCCTACAGGGAAACTGGCCAGCCCCGCATTTAGGCGCACTTGCACCATTCACATGGATTATATTTTACCTCGACAGCATGGGACTTGGCGAATACACGGCTTGTATTATGGAATTATGGAAATGGGAATGAGCCTCTTTTTCTTTTATGATTGTTTTGGTTTTTGGATATGAATTATGACCCCCCTTCACTACTGTGCAGTATGGATTAGCAACGGAATGAAACGTGTTTCAATATTTCTTAATAGTCGGTCATGGATGTATTACTTTACTGTATTGGGTTTAGTTCTGGCCGTAGTTCCCCGACCCATGCATTAGTGCCTGATGTACTCAGTACCTTGATAGGTAGCACTAACCCAGGTTCAGGTTCAGGTTCCTCAACCACATAATGTTCCTGACAGAGCCTGGCATTAGAATTGGCTGGAGGCCCTGCAGGTTTGCGGGTGCGGGATACCCCGGAGGAAATTGGATGTGGGTGGGGATGGGGATGGATTAGGCCTCGGTAAGGATTGCTCCGGAAGTGGATAGGACATGGAAGTGTTTAGCGTATCTCTTATCTTTGTGATTGAGAAGGAATGAAGGATTGTAAAATGAGATTTGAAGGATTGTCGGTATTGTGAGAGAATGGTTCGCATTTACTATGGTGTGGTGTGTAGATAGTAAAGTAGAATCCTGAATCTTGACTAGATGGGATGGGGACTAGGTTTGAATTTTTAGCCGGATGTGGCATGTTTCTTATCTGTAGTGTAAAGTGTCTGTTGAGCGTAGGGGGATTTAGACTTTGGACTTGGACGGAAATGAATTAATAGTGGGGTGTCATGTTAGATTGGTGGAAATTACTTTACAGCACATAAAGTAGTCATTGCTTTAGCCATAGTTAGCTGTCCAGTCTATGGTGGATGGTAGGTTATCCCCAGCCGTGGACATGAAGTAGTTGCTCAGACTATCCATCATGATAAGGCTTCCCTAGAATCTAACTGGCTAATTAGTTACTCCGCATGTGTTTCTCAGAGGATGCGGGGAAATGCAAATGAAAATAAAACCGTAGGAGCACGTTCTGGATGGATTGGTTCTCGGTGTTTTATTGTTTAGTTGGGTGTATCTCAAGGTTGTGCTACACTACTGTACATAATTTGGAGGATTTTTTATTGGTGGGTGAAATGGGGATATACTGTGCATATTTCCAGGATTGCAAATCCTGTCAGTGATATACCACGGCTTAGCTTTGTTGTAGAAAGTGAAGAGCATGTGCAGATGCTTTGATTATTATTGTGAGAGTTGGTTATGTTGCATAAAATCTTCTAGCCAGAGAGTAGTAGTGGACATCCCTGGCCAACTAGGGGAGTCATTATACATCATAAAGAGGTAAGATTGATCATATCGGAATTTTTCAGCCAGAGAGTGTAGTTCCTCAAAGACGTTGCCCGATTCAAGTGCCCACATCCTTACGACAATGTTGACTTATCTTTTCCCAGCTTTTTTAACATCTTGTCCACTGTATTATTCGAAACATTTGACAAGGCGAGGTATTCGGATTTTTTGATTTCCTTGGCGGAGTTCTCTCCTTCTCCAGGGCTATGAACCGCAAGTGTGTCTTTCATGACCTCTCTGTCCAAAATATCTTTAAAAATTTGTAGCTCGTCGTCGTTGAGTTTGAATTCTGAGTTGGCCTTGTCAATTTCTCTGTTAAGGCATGTTATAAGGCGCAGCTTCCTTCCATGGTCATCGTCCGCAGTAGTGATTGCGATTAGCACAAGGAGGCAGAAAAGGATAATGGGGCACTTCATTTTGTTTAGGCTTTATGCTGGAGGAGATAGGCTGTGGAAGAAACAAGGGTTGAAGAATTTAGTTTCATAAAACTGAGCAGCGAGTGGCGGAATGGCCAAGTATTAGATATCTAGAGAAATATCGTAAGGGATGATCTGCGGCAGCTTCAGAGCATTATGATATTTCTACTAAATGTCGACGATCTTAGATGATCTACTCGCGCGATCATAGTCGAGTGACGAAGCTGCCTTAATAGGAGAGGAGAAGCCGATCCATACTGACGATTGACGTAGAGGGTCGTGAGATACTGGACGATCTGCGCCATTCATTTCATAGTTCAAGTGGCTTGACTGCTTGAACAGAACCGTATATGCCGATCCGTGTGACCCTTTTGAGTCTACGGTAGTGGTAGTGTTACACGACTGAGGTCATAGATAGCAATCCAGCTACGAAATCACAACACTCAATTAAGTCAAATATTGATAAAGGCTGAAATTGCCTTTTTTTCCCCCTCAAACATGGCGAGTCACACTAAATAATAATATCAGATGATCAGGTTTTGAAAGAGTACATCTCTCTGATTCTACACATCTTAGGCAATAATAGTCACTATTGAACTATTTCACTGGGGGAAAAACCCAGTATAATAATCCCTCTTCCCAATCTCCACCCTCTCAGCCCTTAAAATCCCATAAGCAGTCGTAACATGGAAATAAACATTCGGCAACACAACCCGATGCGCATACCCCGCACAACTCATGTCAACAACGATCTCCGGCCCAAGCTGCGTCGGCTTCAAAACATCCGCTAACCCATTCACAGTCTCCTTATCTGCCTCATCCAGGGACTTCAACACCGTGTTAATGCGCTCGTAGCTCTGCGCAAAGGTTGTCGGGCTACCTTCGAATTTGACTGGTTCCCGGTTTGTTAGGCGGGCGACGAGGTTCTCGGAGAATTGGGTTGCGATCCGGATTTGGTCAGGGAGTGGATACATGTCCGGTGTTAGACGGGCGGAGAAGAAGGTTGCTTCGGTTTTGGCGGGGGAGGGGTCGTTGGAGGCTTTTTGGAGGATGTGGGTGAGGGTGCGGAGGAGGGATTGGAGGACGGGGATTGTGCCGTCGTAGAAGGTGTGAGTGGAGGTCATTTTGGTGGATTGGATTGAGTAGATGGATCCAGGTGTGGTCTGATTGAGAGTGTGAGGATAATAGGAGAGATTGAGGATTGTTTTGAGATTCGTGTTTATATGTAGAAATGTGTCCTTCCAGAGAGGTGGTGAGGTTAGAATTTGCTTGATTTGCAACGTCAGACGGAGTTTAACTAACTAGCCGAGAGACACCGAGTCGTTACATAAAAATGGGTCGCGTTGGGGGCCAAAAGGACGAGTGCGGAGAAAGTTGAATACGAGATATTATCATCTTCGGATTAGGACGCAATGCCACCTATGGACAGCTTCTAAACCATATTCCAGCTCAATGGTGAGGCATATAAACGGAGCTGGCTTCAGAAGCCACATTATCGCTTAGCTCTGAGCTCTTGGATTATCTACAAATCACAACGACTCGAATAAACAGGTTCCAATGTTGAGTAATCCACCCGGATATCACTGGAAGCCTCGCTCCCTCATTTTTTTTTACTATGCTATACTTCAATTCACCGGAACACGAACCTTCAGCCAATCATCCACCACCGCCATCGCAAGATCCCTCGAATCACCCAATCGAAGCCACAATTAAACACGCCCTTTAAACCTCTGTCCCTCAAAAGCACAGGCATGATAGGTCGGTAACACGGCATATAATCTTTCCGAATCAGTGCTAAATCCATGAATCAGGTTCTCTGCAATGGAGCCCGGGTTATCCATAAGATCGGCTGCGGCGTTGAAATTTGAGCCGTCGGGGTGATGACGGCTTGGATAATGGAGATGGAAGGTCCAGCTTACTTTAGGTGACTTTTGTCTGTTCCTAATAGGTGACGACGTGTGCACTGAACTGTGACGGGCTGGTCTATGTGACATGAGTTCTTCTATTCGAGGGAGCTCAAAGTCGTCTGTTGTTTTTGGAAGATGTCGAGACCTTTGATATCATTGCCCCCAGCCGCAATGGCCATCTGGTCGAGCGTGGTCGAGAAGTTAGTTGAAGAATTTGCATTTGTGTCTATAATTGTGGTGGTGATGAAGATAGAATGAAATACCTGGTTGTAGTTTAAGGCTATTTGAGTCACAGGAGATGAGCTACGCCACTTCTTCAGTACGCTGCTCTGGATTGATTGAGGTATGTTCTCAACTCTGATTGGATAGTCTCCCAGAAGTATTTCGAGATTCTGTTCTATGATTGGCCCGTCCCCGATCATTTCGTCTTCTGGGGCCAGTATATAGGAATATAGAGACTAACCCTTAAGCTACTGTAAGCATAGGCAAATCCCCGATCATGAATATACTGGCCACCTAAGAAAGCCTGATAGCTGATACGGGAAGATGTATATGTTTAGCATGGTCTTCGCGAGGCAAGTTAACAAACCTTCCATCAACATGATTCAAATTCGCACTCCACCAAGCCATCCTATAAGCCGGGGACTAGGAGGCTAGACACATCATCTAGGATACTCAGAGGTACCGAACGCTATATCGTCGGACCTATACAAAAGCTACCACCTGTGTTAACTCTCCGATTGCAAGGACGTGTCTGTGCAACTTACTCCAGACAGTAGATAGGCTCACGCCTTTTAATGGAAGGCAGGCTTTAAGCTGACCCTTTTCCGACGTAACCACTCGGATGTAACCCCCCATTCTATTTGGACTCTGTTGCGATATGAGGCATAAAATGACCGGGGGGAAAGCAGAAGTAGGAGGTGGATTGCTAGAGCACCTCGTGTGCAAGAGCTAATTCTCCGATGTCTACAATTTCGGATTTAAAATGGTGCAAAATTGAACATCGCTAGCTGTATAAAGTCGTAGGTTTTACCACCTCTGGATTGGTTCAGTTATATACTCCATTTTTCCCCACGAGTTACTACAGCCATGTTATTCTGATCATTCATATCACATAACTCTTAATCTCTAGGAACATTCAATATGCACACCCTCAAGTATGTCCTTCTCGCCATCTCTGGTGCAAGCCTTGTCTTCGCCAGTGCACCCCCGACTTTGACAAAACGCGCATCCTGGGTTGCAGCTTTCTACAAAGTATGTTCAGCTCTCGACTTACATTCTCAAACACTATATCAACCTAGTCTCCTAGAATAGTTGCTCCAAATCCGTCTCCCGGGAAAAGTCGTCGGCTCCGGTGAAAGAGCCTGCAGTCCTGTCGACGGTGCTGATTGTTTGAATGGAAGCCCGGACTTTCGTAGCGGATACATGGTCTGTGCCTATCATGGGGCGAATTGTGATGGATGGAGGACGGGTCTGGGTGACTCGGGGCTCTCTGGGCATGCTGTTATTTATGAGAATGGCTACGTTCAGTCTATTGTAAGTTGTTCTTGAGTGTTTAATTGATGTCTATTTCTATGCTCATTTTTTGGTTAGAACTCGTATAAGGTTATTTCGTCTGGGTCGTGCTAAGTTTCTATATCGAGCTAGTTGTAGCTCGGTTAGGGATAGTCACTGTAGTTATCCTATTATAGCCAATTCGCTGGTTGAGTGATAACGGCAGAGCATGAATTTTAAGCCTATACTTACTGTTGTTTGGCCATGTAACTACATTGAAGTACAAAATTTCCATAGTGTCATGTAAATCCCAAACTAAGAATGGATTTATGTTACTTGGGTAGCAATAGATCATCTAGAAGATCACGTAGCGTAACGATGGAGGACGGTAACTTTGATTGGTTTAGCCGTTAAAGGAGCTGTACATTGAAAGCCTCCTTGATAGATAGAGTATGTCAACACAACACCTTCTTTACAACTTGCTATCCTTCCAATCAGGCTTCCTCTTCTCCACAAAAGCCTTAAGTCCCTCCTTAATATTCTCCCCCTCATACAACCGCCGCACCCACGTCTCATTCAACATAACAGTCCCCTCCTCAGCACCGATCCCCTCCCATCCCAACTTAATCCCCTCCCGACTAACAAGCACAGCATCAGGACTATTCCCCGCAATCTCCGAAGCAACCTGCACTGCCCGTTCAACCACCTTCTTCGAAACAGCATCATCATCGAGTTTACCCCCAGCGCCCACACAATCATCCACGTTAACCACTTCATTGATCAGTCCCCATTTCTCTGCTTGTGCGGCAGAGTATGCCCGACCCGTCAGCGCCATCTCCATAGCCCGCTGTTTACCGACTGTTCGGACGAGACGGGGCAAGGCACCGGCCAGCGCGACGACTCCGCGCTTCACCTCGGGGAGACCCAGTGAGACGCGGGAGGCGGCGATGACCAGGTCAGAGTTGATCATCATTTCGGCGCCGCCGCCGAAGCAGAGGCCGTTGATGGCGCTGAGGACGGGTTTGCGGCCCTTGCGGCGGGATAGACCGCCAAAGCCGGAGGCTGGCATGGGGGATTTGGTGGTGTTTGATTGGGTGCTTTTGTTCCATTCTAAGAGGTGGTTAGATATGTTTTTGAAAATATATCGAGGATGTTTTGAATGTGTTAGACGGGCAAAACGGGGCAAAATGTTAGTTGCTGCGATAGTATATTACCTTTCAAATCCGCCCCGGCGCAAAAAGCTCTCCCCTTTCCGGTTAAGATACCGACCCGCAGACTGGGCTCATCATCCATCCATTCCCACACCTCGTGCAGCTCTGCATTGCCCTGTGAGTTGATGCAGTTCAGGTCGCGTGGCCGGTTGAGAGTCACTAGGAGGACGTGCGGAGCTGGGAAAGACAGCAGGGCATATTGGGTGGTTGGGGGTGGACGGGCGAAGTTTGGCATTGCTGCGGCTTGGGAAGATTTTTGAGGTTAGTGGGGTTTTTGGGCGAGTGTTGTATGAGGTTGTACAAGAGAGTTGAATTTTTGAGGTCAAGATGAAAGGAGGTTTGTAGGAGATTAGGAGTAAATGAGTGGGGGTTGGAGAGATCCCCGGCTGTTATTGCGGAGAAGAGAGTTGGAGATGCCGAGGGCCGATGTGGAGGTGAACCGGCACTGGTTGGAAGCAAACTGGAGTTCTGTCAGCCAACCTACTCGGATTCAAGATGATTACCGATCATTCTTCGAACCTTGAGTATATTGCGGCTTTGAACTTGTGTACCATAGATTCCTCATTAATCACATTTCATTACCACCAAATCTTGTTTATAGTACGCGAAGTAATATCTAGCTAGATGCCGAGGTGTACTGCCAAGCAAACTATGGCTGACTCTGTTTCTACTACTTGTACCAAAAAAGGCTACAAGCAGCATTTTATTATAATAATAATAATCATCATAATAATAATATCCAAACGGTCGGTTCAACCTGCAATACCTTCCAGGCTCCCTCGGTTTACGAACACAAACAAATAGACACCTTCCGTCGTGCAATTCCCCTTGTCCCCAAGTAAACGCCAAGGAAATCAAAAACGCTCCCGCAGCAAATCACTGGTAGATGTGAATATCCAGTTGGATAAGAAGAAGAATCAAACAAATCGATCTCTCTTGCATTGGTTGACTACATCTTGTTGATCCATCCGCTGTGCACCATGAAGTCGTAGATCCGGCTTGTCTTATTGCCCTCGATCTGGGGATGAATTAGCAAACACTCAAAAGGACAAAGGATCATTAGACCAGAGAAAGGGATAGTCTCACCTTGCAGATTGTACGGGCATCCTTTTTCTTCAGGCTGCCGCCCTGCTTCATGGCCTCTTTCAATAGGGTCTCCTTAACGACCAGGTACGGCTTAGGCATAAGATGCAGCACGTTGCACACTTCGATCTCTTCTGGGGTGAGCAGGTGAAGATCGGCCGCGCGGTCACTGTCCAGTTTCCATGGTGGGACTCCGCTGAGTGGCTGCACGATAAACTTAGTCTTCACCGGCGGTGCGGGCACAGCATCACCATTCGTCGCAAACATCAGGTCAAAGTCATTCATAGGCATATTGGCGGGATCAGGCTGCTTGTGAGGGTTGGCAGCCTTTTGAAGTCGAAGAGGCAACTCAGGGGTCGTGAGCTGGTTCGAGGAAGGCGGGGGATCAGCGGCTTGGGCTTGCTTGGGACGCGGGGTGGCAAAGCGATCAAACGATCCTTGAGGAACCATCCGCTGAGCACGCTGTTGCTTGTCCTGCTCAAACCTCTCACCGGCTTTGAGGTCACCGATGCCCATTTGCCGCCACTCCTGCAACTGTGAGATTGCCAAACGCAAATTGTGCTCATACTCCAGCCCCTTGTTCAGGTCATCAAAGTCCTTGTTATTCATCATGCGTGCCAACGGCTTGGCTTTGTGCAACAGGTCGCGCTCTTCTTTCGTGCGCTTCTTCTCCAGCGCGATGTTCTTGCGGTATTCCAACAAGTTATGCTCGAAGAGCACCTTCTTACGCTCTGTACGTGCCGTCAACCGCGAGTTGTAAATATCAACTACGGTCATCTTCAGCTCGGTCTCTGCATCAATCTCCCCGTTGGGGCCGATGCCAGCTCCGGGCTCGAAGGTCATGTGTTGCACCGCCTCCTCAGCATCATTGAGGAACTCAGTCTCAAACTCCAAACGACCAGGCATATATCCTTGCACTTCGTGGCATGCCGGTACACTGGCAGTTGGCTTTTGCTTAGGTGTTGTTGGTGGCGCCGCCTTGGCTGCCTCTTTGCGCTCTTCAATCCGACGCTTTTTACGCATCTGGAATTCTTCCTTTGAGATCGCATCTTGGAGGCTTCTATCCTCAGGATCGGCTCGATCGGGGAGTGGGAAGTTCGAGCTGTTCACATATGTGTCGATGTAATGGTCGCGTACCTCATCCTTAGTGCGGTAACCACCAATGTGGTCAGCGATATCGGCCCACGAGCCCAGACCATAAATCTCAGCTCCCTCAAGCAGGAGAAGCTCCTCATCCGCACCCCAGTCCGGCTGGAAGATCGGGACGGAGTTCTGTTCGATGACTTGGAAGGGGTGTGTAGGCGGGTCGTGGTTCTTGGAGCTCTCACCAGCGGCGAAGCAGGGGACACAGAGGTCGTATTCATGACAGGAAGGATGCGCGCAGGAAATTCTGACCTAAAAGATGAGTCGCAAGTCAGTCATCTGAATCTTCCGATTGCTTTCATCGTTTGATGTGTTGAGGTGAGCATACTGTTGATGTGACGTCGACCGAGCACACGTCGCAGTGGAACTTGGTGCCAGCTTCCGTGCCGCGTGAGGCGGTCTTTTTGCGTATTACACCCATCGATCCTTGACCGTTTTCATCCTCCACTAAATCCGATGCCGTCGCGAAATCCCAAAATCGCCCTCCAGAGATCTGAGAGGGCAACCACGGATGTTGGTTGAGCTGAGTTGGGTGAGAGGGGGCGGTTTCCGGGCCAAGGTGAGATCCTGGGGTAGAGATCTCCGCAGACCGGGTGGGGAGATGTTCCGAAACAGCGATGGAATTTACCAGGCAAAACTGGGCGAATGTGGTATTATCTGGTACGATTGCGGATGGTTGATGCTTGCCAAACGATTGGTCGTGATAAAATGACTCGATATTGTCTGGTATGGCGCGTTGTGGTTCCATTTTGGTGACCCTCCCTTCGCAAAGAGAAGTGTGGCGCCGGGTTGCACTGCCTCATTAGTGTGGCTGGTGCCTGCTCCATTCAGGAGACATGGGACTTATTAGTCAGCTTAGTAATCTGTGCGCAGCCCCTCTGGTAATACCGGTATTGTTATCAGGCACGGCCCTACGAGAGACTCAGCCAATCAGAGATCATAATCTGGTAATTGCTCGTAATTCTGATGACAGTCTGTCCGGCCTGAGGCCTCCAACGGGCTTCCCCTCCCGAGTTGCCCTCTCCTCTTACTTCTTCGATCAACCCTGAGGTCGTGGATTCTCTCATCTGGATCTTCCCCCTTTTCACTTTTGTGCTTTCTCTTCCGTCATTTCATATCCCCCTTCCCCGGTGCGTACAGAAGGTAAGCGTGGTTGTCGGTAATCGTGGCTTCTCGGCTGCGTGGCGCTGATCCTGTGTGGTCCCGGCCTCCATTATTTTGGGAACTTCGATGTTGACTTGTTGGTGGTTCAGGCTGTCTAACACAAACGCACTGCGGTCGACCCTCTTGGATCTTGATTCTCGTCTGCTCTGCGGTTCACTGGCCTTGACACCGCCATCATGTCCTGGAAGCTCACCAAAAGTATGTTCAGTTGGTCTCCCTATCTCTCCTTGTCCCTGTTACCCCCTCATCCCTCATTCCCCCTCGAAATGAGGGCCGCATGCCCCCCTCTCCACGGGGGGCATGTGAGGCTGGTATAACCTCGGTGGCAACCGCTAATTACTCTTTCTCTTAGAACTCAAGGAGACGCATCTGGCGCCCTTGACCAACACATTTGGTCGCTCATCCTCGACCTCCACAATCAAGGGTGATTCCAATGGCGCTGCTGGGGACGAGACACCGGTCGCTCCCCAGGCCCCCAGTGTCACTCCCACAGGTTCCATAAATGGCATTGGTATGGCATTCGATAAGGGGTAAAGTAGCAATTGAGTTTCATGGCTAATTTCTTACCCCGCAATGGTATAGCTGCCTCAGAGTCGCTCGTGTCTCCGCCCGTTGCCCCCGTGAAACCGGGCATCCTTATTGTGACCCTTCACGAAGGCACAGGATTTTCCTTGTCTCCTCATTACCAGCAAATCTTCAACTCCCATTTCCAAAATAACTCGTACGCGCCATCATCTTTGCGTCCGAGCACTTCTTCCTCGTCACACTCTTCCCACGGGCAAGCGGGCTCCTTCGTGCAGTCCACCCGGCCGCAGTCCACTAGCGGAGGCTTGAACGCTGCCCCGACTATCCACGGCCGTTATTCCAACAAATATCTCCCTTACGCCCTTCTTGATTTCGAAAAGAACCAGGTTTTCGTGGATGCCGTGTCGGGTACTCCCGAGGCCCCCTTGTGGGCGGGTGACAGCACTGCGTTCAAGTTTGATGTGTCCCGGAAGACCGAGCTGAACGTCCAGCTGTACCTCCGCAACCCAGCCGCCCGACCTGGCGCCGGTCGGAGTGAAGATATCTTCTTGGGTGCTACCAAGGTCCACCCCCGCTTTGAAGAGGCCGGCCAACCATATGTGGAGGATCCGAAGCTTAGCAAGAAGGAGAACCAGAAGGCGGCTGCCGCTCATGCGGAACAGGAACGTACCATGGGCCAGCTGGGTGCTGAGTGGCTGGACCTCCAGTTCGGTAGCGGCTCCATCAAGATCGGTGTGTCTTTCGTGGAGAACAGACAACGCAGTCTGAAGATGGAAGACTTTGACTTGTTAAAGGTCGTTGGCAAGGGAAGTTTCGGTAAAGTAATGCAGGTCATGTACGTCACTCTTGGCACGGTCTTTGTTTCATGTCAATCATTTTAACCGATTGCTAACCACTGTTTTATGAATCATGTAGGAAGAAAGATACCGGCCGGATCTACGCCCTCAAGACGATCCGCAAGGCTCACATCATCTCCCGATCCGAAGTCACCCACACCCTGGCAGAGCGATCTGTGCTGGCACAGATCAACAATCCTTTCATCGTTCCTCTGAAATTCTCCTTCCAGTCGCCGGAAAAGCTGTATCTTGTTCTGGCATTCGTCAATGGTGGAGAGTTGTTCCATCACCTGCAAAGGGAACAGCGATTCGATATCAATCGCGCCCGATTCTACACTGCAGAGCTGTTGTGTGCGCTTGAATGCCTGCACGGCTTCAAGGTCATCTACCGTGACCTTAAGCCCGAGAACATCCTCCTCGATTATACCGGTCACATCGCCCTCTGCGATTTCGGTCTCTGCAAATTGGACATGAAGGATGAGGACCGGACAAACAGTGAGTCGAAGCACTTTCTCATAATTCATCTCTCTCGGGCCTGTTTCGCTAACCAAATTTAGCCTTCTGTGGTACTCCTGAGTACCTTGCCCCCGAGCTGCTGCTTGGTAATGGATACACCAAGTCTGTCGATTGGTGGACACTCGGTGTTTTGCTCTACGAGATGTTGACGGGTCTGCCGCCGTTCTACGATGAGAACACCAATGAGATGTACCGCAAGATTTTGCAGGAGCCCTTGACCTTCCCCAGCAGTGACATTGTTCCCCCAGCTGCTCGGGATCTTCTTACGCGCCTGCTCGATCGCGATCCTCAGCGTCGCCTTGGTGCCAACGGTGCCGCAGAGATCAAGTCGCACCACTTCTTTGCTAACATTGACTGGCGCAAACTGCTTCAACGGAAGTACGAGCCCAGCTTCCGTCCCAATGTGGTATGTACACAAGAACCCAATCTTTTACTGAATCACTATCGCTCATTCTTTTTGTTCAGGTGGACGCTCGTGATACCGACAACTTTGACAAGGAGTTCACTGGCGAAATGCCCCAGGACTCCTACGTCGAAGGCCCTGCCCTATCCTCGACCATGCAGCAACAATTTGCTGGATGGTCTTACAACCGTCCAGTGGCTGGTCTCGGCGATGCGGGCGGCAGTGTCAAGGACCCGTCCTTTGGCAGCATCCCGGAGTAAAAGCAGGATCTCCTCCGGGCTACTACTAGCCTCAACAATTAGATCGAGAAATGAAAGGTGCGCGAGAAGGGCTTCATAGACACGATTCTCCTTTTGTACTGTGTTTTGTCTTGGTCCGCATACCACCAATCTTGATCATTTTCTTAGCTTTGTCCCAAGTTCCTCGCTTCCTCTCCCATGTTCTTTCTTGTTCCTCCCACCTCCCCCTTCATCACAAGGAGTCTGCGGCATTTTACTTCGAGGGTCTTTAACAGTTTCCGAGGCTGCACTGTTTGTTTCTGTTTCTTCCCTTGTCCTCGTCCCTTCTCATGCCTCACCACCCATGAGCGCTCTGGTTTGTCTTTTACCATTCCCATCTCAGCGTTCACCAACCCCAACACAGGCAGGTTCCTTTGCGCCCTTGTTTTCTCAACTTTTCTGTTTGATATTCTCAAGCGGTCATTACCTGTCTACTCGTGTCGTTTCTCTTGGTATCCGGTCCATTTTTCGGGTGCGAGATGTTCAATCCTTGGACAGAGTCTCGACGGACAACGCCAAGTCAATTTTACACTGGAATAAGATCATCATCCTTTAAATTGGATTTCATAGCGTAGCTGATTACATATACTCGGGGTCACCTAATTGACTCCTGCTGTCTAGAGTGGGCATCGGTACGTCCCCATGCTGCAAGCCTCCACGAACAACCTCACGCATGGCTTTCAACACAGAACCTAGAAAATACACTTGGGCAACCTCCAAGGCAAGAGACTTCATCATTGTATCTATCATTCAATCTCCGGCATTTCCCGCCAAGAAATGAAAACCTGTCACAGCGGGATTGGGATTACAGCAATAAAAAAAAAAGACCAAAATGGAACATGAAGAGGAATAAAAAAAATGAATAAAAACGAACAAGAAATGTCGGACACACGTTAAGACGCCGCTCGCGATTCAGCATTCAACAACCGATTTCGTCAATCGGAATCGGAATCGGAAACAAATAATAAAAAAGGGTAAATGCTCTATTCAACGCATTCTCGAGCCGTAACTGCCTTTGAATACAAACCGATCGATCTCCTCCGACAGATCCTTTTACTCCTCATCCTCAGCCTCATCCTCATCCTCAGCCTCATCCTCAGCCTCCTCCTCGGCCTCGGCCTCAGGTTCGTCTTCGGCTTCGGCTTCCTCCGCGGGGGCGCCGTTCGTGGCGGTCTCCTTCTCGTCATCGCCGTTGATATCGATCAAAGACTCGGATGAGGGGGGCTCGGGGACGACGCCCTCCTTCTCGAGGCGGATATACTCATCCCATTCGGGGAAGAGGTCGTCATCAGTGGAGATGATATCGGGGGCACCGGGTGGGACACCGATGAGGCGGGCCACCTTGGCCTTGCCCGCGCCCTCGAGGGAGGTCTTCCACTGGACAACAAGTTCGGGGGCACGAGAGGGCTTGTAGGTCTGAGCGAAGAGGACGGACTCGGCGAGGCGGTTGGTCTTCACGAGCAGGTCGATGCAGCCGTCCACGTCACCCCGGGACCAGAGTGTAGAGAAGGCGACGTTGTGCAGACCGGAGTCGGAGGCCTGGGCGGCCAGGGAGCGGAGACCCTCCCGGTTGTTGGAGGCAGTGTGCAGCAACAACAGGGAACCCACGTCCTTGGCGTGAGTGAAGCATTCCTGGGCCAGAGCGAGATTCCAGCTAGACAGGGCGGCGTCGCCGATGGCCTTCCACTTGTGCTCGACGTTAGCGACGCGAGCAATCTCGAGAGCTGTCTCGAGATCATTGAGAGACAAAGCTAGATCAAATCGGTGCTGTAATCAAACAAGTTAGTGAGATATGGTACAGATTGAGGAGATGATCCCGCAATTGGCGGACTTGCCTCTGGATCAGTTGCGACTTCAAGGGCCTGCTCCTTGTACCCTTGTCCCTCAAGGAAACGGGCAATCTTATTCATCTGGTCCTCAGGAACATCCTGGAGCACCTCGGCAGCAGCCTCGGTCTCATTCCGGAGGATGAGTGTCTCGTACTGGAGCACAGCGAGAGACAGAGCGAAGGAAACAACATTGACGTCCTTGTCGGCCAGGTAGATCCGTCCATCGCGGGGAAGATAGCCAAGGAGATACATAGGCTGGTCGAAGTGGGAAATGGTGTAGGTCTGATCACCCACAAGGTAGTTGAGGCGGTTGGTAGAGTTGGTGTAGATGAAGCAGTCACCAACCCACTCTCCGGTGCGAACAGTCTCGTTGATGGTAGCGACGAGCTCCATGGCCGCCTCAACACCATCCTCATCAGCCTCGCCATTGTTCATGCCCTCGATATAAGCTTCGCGAGAGTAGCGAAGAACGTAGAATGCATCCTCACAAGCGAGCGTCACCAACTCGCCAGACTCAGACCAATGAACCTATAGATAGAGGTTAGCTGACAGGTCTCGAGGGCAGCGCGAATAAACTTACGGATTTGGGGTCGGCCTCAATTCGGCGGACGAGGTTGCCAGACTCCCAATCGAACAGGCCAATGCCACCTTGGCCCTTAACACCGAGCAACACACCATCGCTAAGACCCTCCGCTTGGAATCCAACATCGAGACCACCAGGCTGCTCCTTGAAGTTCTTGAAGATCTTGACACTCGTTGCGGACTCACGGATGGCGTAATCATTGCTGTTGTCCTTGGAGCCCCAGGCGAAGTCCAGAGCGGAACCGAAGGCCTTGTTACGCCAGGCGAGAGCAGTATAAATAATATACTCTCCATCTCCACAAACGGAGACAAATCTGCCGTTAGGGTTATGCGAAAGTGTCTGGGGGTAGACCTCGCACTGTCCAAGGTCCTTTGTGGGGAGTGAAATGGGTTCCCCGTCCTTCACGCTAGCATCGCCCTTGATCACGGTAGAAACAACCTCGCTATGCCTGGCATAGATAACCTTTCCAGATCCATCCATTGAGACAGCGGGCTCCTCGCGACCCATCTTCACAACAACGGCACCATCATCGAAACCCATTGCGATTCCTTGCCGGCCTTGCTGGTAGGAGACACACCATGCCCGCTCCAGACCATAGCTGAGTGACTGCTCCAGACGATAGGTGTTGGCGTGCCAGATCTTAATTGTGCCATCTTCGGAACCGGAGATGATGACTGGAAGCTCGGGGTGGTAGCAAGCGAAAGACACATTGCTGGTGTGGCCTTCGAGAGTCGCAATGAGTGCCTTGGTGGTGTAATCCCAGATCTAGTAATTTTCAGGTCAGTACGCTTGTCGTTCCAACGAAGGTTCCAGTTCAATACTTGCTTACCTTGACAGTCTTGTCATCCGAGGTGGTAAGGAGGTATGGCTTGTCCGAGCCGGGGTAGTAATCCACGTGGTTCACACCTTTCGTCTCGTGGGCCTCCAGTGTGAAATTGGCGTGAGGGGAGCCGAGGTTCCAGATCTTTACGGTCCGATCCAAGCAGGCTGTGGCGAAAGTGTTTGTATCCTTCGGGTTGATGGACATACCCATCACGTAGTGGCTGTGACCCTCGAAGACCTGAACGCATTTCCAACCCTTCTCCCAGTCCCACAATCGCACGGTCATATCATCACTGGCGGTCAAAACGTAAGGCTGAGTAGGGTGAACAGCAATTGAACGAATGTAGTCCGGGTGAGCTTCGAAGGAGGTGATCTTTTCGGAGGTGTTGTAATTGTAGACACGGAGCTGGAAGTCATCCGAACCGCAGACAATCCAGTTCTTCCGCGCAATGAATCGACCGGCGCGGACGGGGACATCGGTGAGTTCGAATGTTTTGATGATGGACTAGGAAAGCCAGGTGTTAGCTATGCCAGGATCAGAGCAGCACAGAAGGCCTACCTGTGACTCGTATGACCAAATGTAGACGTGACCTGTTGGCGCGAAATTAGTCCATCTAGCACATCAGAGGTACCTCGCAGTTCCTCTTCCTAGACATACCGCTGTAAAGAGTAGTCAAGATCCATGGCTCCGTAGGGTGGAAGTCTATGATGCGAATAATAGTTAGATCGGTCTCGTTCAATTCCATGCGCACGAGCAAGTCATGAGCTTACCGATTCCCTTTACCCGCTCGGAGCGGGCAAAAAGCTGCCTCTGTAAGACACCAGTCCGTCAGCAATCCGCTCAATTTCATATTGCTGCATCTGCATCGCTATAGCATCTTCGGCCAGGCAGCTAAAGCCACCGCAATGTCTGTGTCTGCGTACCTTGACGTCGAGCCGCATGTTGTGTGGGGGGTGAGAGGAGTGTTTGTGTGGCGCGGTGTTGGGCCTGTGAGAGCGAGGGCGATTCCACGAGCCGCTCAGACAGCCCGAGTAAAGAGCGGTAAACGGGCCTCGAATTCAAAGAAGAGTATTTCGAGAATCACAAAGATTTCTCGTCTGGGGGAGAGCTGGAGGTCATTCAGGGACAATGTATGTGTCCACAAGGGATTCCCGCCGCCCCTCACCGCCTTCCGGGCGATTCGAGGCTCCCGCCGCATGGCTGTTGACCATGACCGCAGAGCAGAGTAAATAGCAAACGACTTGGAGAGTCAATGGCATTGAAATTAAGCCTTGTGCAATCTATATTTGTTTCTAGTTGATTCAACGTACACTGCTATTCAATTGCAGCCATATATCCCACAGTCAAAGCAATTTGAGGCAGAACTATAGTAACGCCCCATAGTAATTACATACTTCCGCATCTATGGAAACCCCCTGTCTCACCGCGCATATATCTTGCTTACTAGGTACTGGGACCATTGTTATATCCATGCGCGAGCGCAGCTACTGGGTTTCTGGGTGAAGACGCCGCCAATATAGGAGAAATTGGAACAGAACAAAAAAGTATTGGAACAACCTGCCCTCTAATAAATACAGAAACCGGGCCTTAAGCCCTTTTGAAAATCGCTTTAGTTTCCGCGCTCGAAATAAGTCCACTGACCAGGGACCGGCTTCTCCTCTAGCTCCTCCCAGCTGTATAACTTGTCAGTATACTGAAACAGAACTGCGAAATCAATGGCTTGTGGATACTCACACTTTAGCCTTGTAAAGCTCATCGGTCAGCTTGAGCTCTGCCTCAGCAACCTGGATGACCTCCTCGATGAGACCGGCACCGATCTTCTGCTCAATCTCGGACACCCTAAGGAACGGTGTTAGTTTATGAATAGATGACTGTCCGCCTAAATGAACCAGTCCACTTACTGCTCGGCCTCAAGGGCGGGCTCATTCTCCCAGGACATGTGAGACTCGTAGTGGTCTGCCTCAACCTTGGCGGCGGTAGAGCTGGACTCCTCGAGGATCTTCTGCCACTCGGCGGCTTCTTGCGGGGTACGGGCAGGACCCTCGGTCGTGCTAGACATGCCCTCGCCGTCCCATTCCTCGCCACGAGCATTGTCACTGCCATCGGCCTGCTGTGAGCCAACGTAGGCGAATGTGCCGTCAGAGCGCTGGAGCTGGGCGAATCGCTCGGGCTCGGCTCCAACAGTCTTCTTGACGCGCTCCAACCATTGCTCGAAACCCGGGGGCTTCTGCGACTCGACAATCTGGAGACGGTGGCGAGTCAGGGCTTCGACGGACTGGCGGTAGGCGGAGGACTCCGGGAAGTTAGACAGCTTCTGGAGGGTGGTGGTGTAGAGGTAGATCAGAGTCGGACGGGGGCTCGGGTGGGTGGTCAGGCCAGTCAATCCGGTGGGAGTGAAGGGCTCCAAGTACCGGGGCTTGACATTGGCCAAAAGCCGAAGTGTAGACCGCATTATGGCGTAGGGTAAAGGAGGAATTGAGGTTGGCAGCGCAAGTTGGGCCAGGGTGATGATGGAAAGGGAAGTCGAAGTCGGCCCGGAACGGATAAACTTGGGATCCCTCTCTCCAAGGCCAGACCTGGCAAGGGGAGCCACCTTTTCCTCCCTTATCTACACACACGCGCGCGCAAAAGTCTTATTTCTTTCGGACGCTGTGTTGTCTAATCTTATTCTTCTCAGGGCTCGGGGATTGGTCGTGCTTCCCGGTTGCTCTTTTTTCCTTTTTGGCTGGTTGACCAGCGTTCAACTTGAGCAAGTTTCGCCCCCCGTCCGATGTGCCACCTGTGACATTTCCGCGATCCTCCCTTTTTCGACCAACGTCTCTCGTTTTCAATTCAGCACCAGAGCCTCTCCCGGGGCTCGCCTACTCTCTCTTGGTTTCGTACCCGAGGTTTGAACCTCCTTTTCGATCACAATGAAGGTTTCCTGGTTTGGGTGGTCCCTCCTTTCACTGTTGGCCGTGCCTACATTAGCCGCGCCTTCAGAGTCGGGGACAAAGGTCGGCAACCGACTGGAAAAGCGCCGGAATAACCGTGGAATCGATGCCGAGGAACCCTCGATCTTTAATGGACTCGACGTGCCGCCGTTGCTCCAGTTGACGCCCGACAACTACGAGGAGCTGCTCAAAGATGGAACTTGGTCAGTGCCTTTCAGCATTGCAGAGCATCATCACAATTCTGCTTGCGACAATACTAACTATCGACAGGCTCGTCAAGCACTATTCGCCAACATGCGCCCACTGCAGAAAGGCTGCGCCTGCCTATCAGACCACATATGAGTACTACTATGTACGTGATCAGCGAGGAGTGTATCAATCAGGGTCTTCCAGCTAACATGCAACTATAGACTTCTAATCCCCTTTCTCCATCATCCGCCAAATCCCCCGACCCAAAGTCTCTGAATGGTTTTACCAAGTACTACAACTTCCACTTCGCTTCCATGAACTGTCTGGCCCACGGAGACCTGTGTGAGAAACTTGGTATTGGCGCATACCCGATCTTCGCGTTCTACGAGGAAGGTGTTCAAAAGGACAAGCATGTTGGTGCCAAATCGGTCGCGGACCTGAGCAAGCTTATTGAAGAGAAGCTCGAGGCGATCAGGCCTGGCTCTCGTCCCCCACAGGGCATTAAACTGCCCGAGGTTGGCGCACCTGGCGTCGACTCCTCCGCTGAACCCGACTCTCCCGTTGCCAAAGACAAGGATCCTCAGGCCGGCGCCCTGGCTGGCGAGAAGCAAAATGACCTGGTTGCCCAAAAGGCAGCGGACGCGTCTAGTGCGATGGAGACCAGCAAGCCGGGTAGCGTTGTCACTGTCAAGACCAAGCACAATGGACCTCCCCCTAACCCGCAAGGCCTTTCCGTCCCTCTCACTGCTGAGAGCTTTCAGAAGCTTGTAACTACGACTCAAGATCCGTGGTTCATCAAGTTCTACGCTCCCTGGTGTGGACACTGCCAGGCTATGGCTCCTAACTGGAAGGAGATGGCCAAGGAGATGAAGGATACTCTGAACATTGGTGAAGTTAACTGTGAAGTCGAGACCCGCCTGTGTGCGGATGCTCGAGTTGACGCATACCCCACCATCTACTTCTTCCGTGGCGGTCAGAGAGTCGAGTATACCGGTCTCCGTGGCCTGGGTGATCTACTCTCCTACACCAAGAAGGCTGTTGGCCCCGGTTCCGAGATTGAGGATGTCGATGCGGCCACTTTCAAGGAGTTGGAAGAGACCGAGGAGGTTCTTTTCTTGTATTTCTATGACCACGCGACCACCTCGGAGGATTTCAGGGCTATGGAGCGCCTCACACTCAGCCTTGTGGGTCATGCTCGGATCGTCAAGACTAGCAGCGCCGCTCTCGCCGAGCGCTTCAAGATCTCTACTTGGCCCCGCCTTCTGGTTGTCCGTGACACTCGGCCAAATTATTACAATGCTCTAGCCCCCAAGGATATGCGGGACTTCCGCCAGATGCTGTCCTGGATGCAGACTGTCTGGCTGCCGATCGTTCCGGAGCTCACAGCTTCGAATGCCCGGGAGATCATGGATGGCAAGTTCGTCGTGCTTGGCATTCTCAGCCGCCGCCGCTCCGACGATTTCAAGCAGTCCAAGCGTGAATTGAAGGAAGCTGCCTTTGAGTGGATGGACAAGCAAATTCAACTCTTCCGGCTGGAGCGCTCGGAACTCCGTGATGCCAAGCAGCTGCGTATTGAGGAAGCTGATGACCGCAATGACCAGCGCGCACTCCGGGCTGCGAAGAACATGCGTATTACTATCCGTGAGGATGAGAAGAAGCCTGTCGCATTCGCCTGGGTGGATGGTGACTTCTGGGAGCGCTGGCTGCGTACCACCTACGGTATTGATGTGGAACAAGGTGATCGTGTGATCATCAACGACGAAGATGTAATTTTTTCTCTCTTTGCCGTTTTTATCGGAAGTCCTGATGCTAACTTATTGCAGAACCGTCGTTACTGGGATACTGCCTCTAGCGGAGCTATGATTATGGCCTCGCGAACCTCCATCCTTGAGACCATCCCTCTCGTCATCGCATCCCCGCCTAAGCTGTCCCCCAAGTCTACTATCGGCACTTTCGAGACTTTCTTCTTCTACACTCGCTCTTTCCTCAGCAGCCACCCTATCCTCTTCTTCGTTTTCCTTGGTATTACCGTGGCTGTTGTCACCATCATCGGACGTGGACGACTCCTGCGCCGCGTTACCACCCGTGGTGGTATTATTGGCAATGCCAATGGCAGCGGTGGTTTCTTCCACCTCGATGGCAAGGAGGGATTCCTGAACGGAGGCTCGACCGGAAAGGTCGATTAATGAGACGCATGTACAGATCTGGTGTTTGGATGCGTTATTATAATTTCTTCACCTGTATTTGATTGATTCCAGGCTGTTTTTTTTTCTTTTTCCTGTGGTTTGTTTCCTGCTCCATACGGTTCTCCCATGAATCTTTTGTATGCCGACTTTGGGGGAGTTGAAGCACATATTTCCTAGTTCTGTTCTCATCCCTTTCTAGCTCGAATCCATGAAATTCTAGAAGATGATATGGCCTGTCTATAGATGTAGTTAAAGTGGCTCTATACTTCCTCTGCACAGAGTAGTGACACTTGATTGAACCAATCATGTGGCCTCCCAATGGTCGGGGCCCTTGAAGTCACGTGATCCCCACCCGGTTTTCGTCGACCACGATGTTGCAGCTCCGGTCCTTTCCTCGAGCAATTGTCCCACCTGCCCACGCTAACAACAATGGTATGTCTGATCTTGTCCTTCGCATCTAGGAGAGTCTGCAACTGTGTCTGTGTCGTCTGTCTGAGGTCGGGAGTCAGTGGTCGTGTTGGGCAGTGGCGCTTGCAGAAGCCCTCCAGACGGTCCACCGACAGTCCTCGGAATGAGCGCGGATGCGGTAGCAGGACCTAACAAGTGATTCAATGCTAACCATGCTTCTTTTCGATCAATAGGTCTTCACTCCCACTCTCCGCCGCGCCGCGGCCCAGGCCTCCACCTCCGCCTTTGCGCCCAAGTGAGATCACCCCATACTCCCAGTCCTCGGTTGTAGCATGATCCTCCGATGTGTTTCGCAATATCGGATTTCCGGCGACTCCTACATACTATTGAATGGAATGACGGACTGGCTTTCCTACGTTACGGTTCCAAGGCTTCTACGGTCGTGCCTGACTTGGTCTTTGGCCTCCTTTGGTGTTATGGAGACTGGCCCGGAGTCAAAGATCTTGCGGGCTCGGCTTCATATGGATTATGAATTGTTGCGACTAGATTTTCTGGATGGCCAGGCTAACAATCATTGCGCGACTGCAGGTACACCGTTCCCCGTATGGTTGCTGGCTTCACCATCCCCTCCGCTATCCAGGCGTAAGTCTTCCATAGTCCTTGGGCTAGGCCTCCTCCAGAGCCTTGATATTGCCATCATCTGTGTACTGACAATTGGCATCAGTGGTACTCTCGCTGCTAGCTTCGGCGTCTTCGCTGGCACCGCTGCCCTCTTCATGTTCGGCGAGGTCCCCCGTGTGCGCCGTGACATCCTCCAGCAGATTCCCGGTCTGGACACCTACTACGACCGCCGCATCGCCCCTGAGGACAACGTAAGTCCCGCTTCGCTCGATCTTTTCTTGCCTCTGGCTCCGTACTAACTCATATCAGCCCTTCTAAATTATTCGCGGTCGTACCTTGAGCGTCCATGCTAGTACTTTGATAATAGCGATGGCATAGAGTGGTCTCGAGGCTGTGTGTGTAGAATAGTGGTGAAGAGAAAGTTTCTTGTTTTTAATAGCACATAGAGGCAGCCGTTTCCAAGCCAAGCTGTGGTGATTTCATTTGTCGTCTTTGATCAGTATCAGTAGTATACGTATGACATCTAATGTACTCCGAAGAGATGGCACCCTCAGCCGTCCCTTCCCGACACGTAATATCCCCCTATAGAACTCAAAAGCAAGCCAGGTTAAAATGTAGAGAGTGTCTGATATGATGATGCCTTGACAAGTTGACATGACCATCCCGGGGGCACTTGACCAACTTGGGCAGGTCTACCCTTCCTTGCAGATAAGCCTTTTGTTTGGATGTCACGACTAGTCGTGTCATAATCGACCACACAGCCTCTTATCTCCTCTCCAGCTATCAACTCTCCTGATAAGACCAGCCAACCCAAAACACCAAACAAATGGAACAACGCCTCCTTCCAGTCTCACGCATGAACCTGCCCTGATGGGTTTGGAACTACTCGCCTAGCTCACAGGGGTAGCACGGATCCCAGCGGGCGCTCGAATGGAATCACGTCCGAGTGTTTGATCTCGTCGAATCACAAGACTCGCGTGCGGAGAAATTCCCAAATAACGCTGATCGCATTCGACGGGATGCGCCTATTGTGTACAATCGCAAGCTCAATTCCACGCCTGAGACCGGTCTATACTCTATCGCAGGGGGGTGATCTAATTTCTAACTCTCTACGCAAATGATAGTCTCCCGTTATCAACCGCGGCTGGGATTATATTGCGGAGAAAAACATGGTCAACCCCATTTGGATCTTGGGTGCCACGCTACTATTGGGTTATTCCCCCCCTTGTAGGCTTGTACCACCCCCTCTTCCAATCCCCTCCCGAGCAGACCCCTTCTAGTGCCATTCGGCTAGTCCCACGGGATCAGATACGCATGTTCCTTAGAAGTTAGTAGGCTCCAGATTCCCTTTAGATCGCTGATGGCGTTTTCTAATCGTCATGGGTCCCCGGAAATAAGTGCCAATCTACTACCTGCGTTGTGTGTCCTGCAGAGATAACCACTACCGGGTTTCGCATTGGCCTCCCCCTAACTTGATGAGCTGATAGACGGAGACCCCGACTCGATTTATAAATGCGACCTCGCCCTCCTCATAGCTGTGTTAGCTCGGGTCAATAACAAGAAAAAGAGGTCCCATTGTTGAATGGTCCTCACTGCTGGTTGCTATATCCAGTTCCTTTTCTCTAGTGTTTTACATAATATCCCTTTTTTGCGAATGATACGGACTACGCCGATATGGACACTAAACTATCTGAAACGACCACCTCCAAACGTCGCGTGTACGCTGATGCCAATCATGCTCCCGTTACGTCTGTCCTGCCCGATGGCGATGTGCCATATGCGGACCATGATATGGATGCCGATGAGCGGGTGATTATGGCACTTGGTTATAAGCAGGAGTTTAAGCGTGAATTCTCCCTGTGGACGACGTTCTGTGTCAGTTTTGCCGTTCTTGGCCTGTTGCCGTCTTTCGCGAGTACCCTGTACTATGGTATGTTCTCGTTTCCATGCACAAGATGTGGAATTGTCCACTAACTGAATTCTAGGAATGGGATATGCTGGTACGGCAGGCATGGTGTGGGGATGGATTATTGCTATGATCTTTATTCAGTGCGTTGCGATGTCAATGGCTGAGCTATGCTCGGCCATGCCGACGAGGTAAACAGGACCTTCATAAGTTACAGTCAGGGTCGTGGACCAGGCTAACATACTATTTCCTGTCTAGTGGCGGTCTCTACTACGCAGCAGCAGTCCTCGCACCTCCCGGCTACGGTCCTCTAGCTGCTTGGTTGACGGGATGGTCCAACTGGATTGGACAGATCACAGCAGCACCATCAGTAGACTATGCACTCTCTGCGATGATCCTAGCCGCCGTGTCTATCAGCAACCCCGACTACGTCCCAACGACATGGCAGACCTTCCTCTTGACTACGTTGATCATGATCATCCACGCAGCAATCAGCAGCATGCCCACTAAGCGCGTGGCCCAATTCAACTCTTACGGATCAACATTCAACATCATCGCACTGATTGCAACCATCATCGTTATCCCCGCCGTAGCCAAATCCGAGCCCAAGTTCACCCCCTCAAAGGAAGTCTGGGGCACCATCACAAACCAAACCGACTTCCCCGACGGCGTGGCCGTCCTCATGACCTTCGTCGGCGTCATCTGGACAATGTCCGGCTACGACTCTCCCTTCCACCTAAGCGAAGAATGCTCGAACGCCAACATCGCCTCCCCTCGCGCCATCGTCCTCACATCCGGCGTCGGCGGAGTAATGGGCTGGTTCCTCCAGCTCGTAGTAGCCTACACAGTCGTTGATATCAGCGCCGTCATCGACTCCGATCTCGGCCAACCCTGGGCATCCTATTTGCTCCAAGTGCTACCCCAAAAGGCAGCCCTGGGTATCCTGGGTCTAACCATCATCTGCGGTTTCTCCATGGGCCAGGGCTGCATGGTCGCCGCATCACGAGTAACATACGCCTACGCCCGCGACGACTGTTTCCCTCTCTCGCGAATCTGGAAACAAGTCAACCCTTACACCCAAACCCCCGTCAACGCGGTAATCCTCAACGCCGTGCTAGGAATACTAATGTGTCTCCTCATCCTTGCCGGCTCCGTCGCTATCGGCGCGTTATTCTCCATCGGCGCCATTGCGCAATTCGTCGCCTTCGCTATCCCCATTTTCATCCGGGTCTTTTTTGTGGGACATCGCTTCCGCAAGGGTCCTTGGCATTTGGGTCCGTTTGGGCCGTATATTGGCGGGTTGGGCGTTGCTTTTGTTCTGCTTATGGTGCCGATTTTGTGTTTGCCGAGTGTGACTAAGGGGGATTTGACGCCTGATTTGATGAATTGGACTTGTTTGGTGTATGGGGCGCCGATGCTGGCTGTGTTGATTTGGTGGGTTGTTGATGCGCGAAAGTGGTTTACTGGTCCGAAGGTTAATGTTGAGCATTCTATGCATGCCGTTGTTAGTGAGGGCATGGAGCCGGAGGAGCATGCTGATGCAGAGGTTACTACGACTTCGGCGAAATCCGCTGAGGATAAGTTGTAGTGTGATCTGGTATGGATGCTCTGACTTGTTGTGCGTGGAGTTTGGATGGATGATCGTTCTATGATATCTTCTTGACTGGTACATTACTATGTACCCTACTTAATGATACTGTTGTATATGAAGGAAACAACGGATATACCACACTAATCCTAATGACTTCTGAGAAACGGATGTGATCGTACACCAGATAATCTCATCTCGGGGACATTCAGGACTTTTGTCACTTAGAGGACTTCGGTTTTCCGAACCATCCACTGATACTTCGGCAAGACTATAGAGCCCACTGTATAAGCTGCAAACGTGGAGATCGAGATCACCAGATTCTGGGGTCTAATGGACCTTCTGGCAAAAGTACTCTGGAGCCAGACCCAGTGCCCCATCTCGCCGCGTTTTTGGGGCTGCGATGTGGCTCCCGAGATGGAGTTGTCAGGTGGGCTTACTCCACTGGCCCCAGGTGCTTAAATCCTCTTGGTATGTGGATGGATAGGATGGTGGATTTTCAACAAACTGCAATAAAGATCTTGAACACAAGATTATAGGGCGGATGGGATTTGCTTCGCTTCAGAATATAGAAATCCCGCTTCTGCAAACGGAACGTGTGCTTACCACCGAGAACCCTCGCAATATATATGTGCCCTTCTGAGGTATGTACCAGAGAGATATGCAATGTACCACTATTCAGGCACTGGATTATGAAACTAAACGTAAAAAGACAGAGAGGAAAAAGAAAACAAGAACTATGCTAGAATCTCCATACAGAGCCCACTTGTCTGCAAGCATCAGGTATGGCTGATCATCTCAGAAGTACCCAGGTACTTAAACACCCCCACGATAGCCCCCAAAAGCACCGAAACGAGCCCCTTAAAACGTACGCCGCCAGCGAGACAGGGCCTCGAAACAATTAAACATAGACCATCTAGCCCAAACCCATCCAATATTCCCTAATTACACCCATTACTACCACAAAATCAGGTACATCCTCCCTTGTATCAGTCAGTACCTGCGACGCTGGGATCTCCGAACGAATCCTGCGACTCGATCCACCGGTCCCCCTGGTCCCCACCAGCGGTGTGGTGGGCACTGGACATGGATGCAACGGAGAAATAAGTTCGATGGACACACAGATATGCTTAATCTAACTCCAGATGCAGAGAGGGGGGCCACCGCGCCAGAAGTCCAGCGGGAAGACGGGGCGTGTAAGTGGACATGCCCATCCCCATCCAAACAAATCCGCCCTGGCTGATGGCTCGCTCCCCCTGCCCCTGTCCCTGTCCGACACGAGGTGCACGACACGAGATAGGGGGCCCACCCGCCGGCTCGTTCAGTGGTTATTTATTCGTACCTTTATTTAGCATTTGTAGGGAGGAGGAGGAGGAGGAGGAGCCTCGGGGAAGGGGGCTTTGTTTTGCAGGAAACTTTACTTATTCCGGCGATTGCTATAGTGATTAATTAGGTAGTAGCTATGCCTCCTTACAACTAGCTTTTAACTGATTATTATTAAGGACTTACAGTATGTACGGCCAACTCCGTCTATAACATTGATAATTTCACATTCAAATCCGTTTTACCCGTGCGGGACAACGAACCTTCCGGGAGGGGGTTCAAACGCACGTCGTGGAATTAACTTACATCGTGCACTCAGATCCCGACTCTCCGGGGCGTGGGAAGTTTAAATTCCGCCATTGACTTTTTCTCTTTGCCTACTGAGGTTAAAACGGGAAGAGAATATTCACAGCCCTCTCTCTTCTCATGCAAACCGGTGAAAAACGTGTCGCGATTTCCGGCATTACCACGGTCGTATGCCGAGTTAGCCATGACTAAGACTTCATACTGTAGTTCGAGATACAGTAACTTGTGCATGACTTTGTAGTAGCAAATATTATCCAATTCGCCTTAGGCCTTAGGTAGATTACATTTGTCTATAGCAATTCATTCAAGCCACTCAGACTACTTTCTAGAGCCTAAAAAAGCGCAAATTCAATCTGCTGCCGTCCATCATGGGACCAAGTTGGACGGCTCATAGCCTCATTGCGCGCCGCGACCGATCGACACTTGTCAGGGGGCTTCTGCGACTGGCGAGTTCTGCCGAGGGATGATGTGTTGGTTCCTGAAAGTATCGGGGCAAGCGTCGCCACCACGATGTCTACGCAGTCATAATTTTCTTGGTTGTTCCTGATTCTCTTACGTTAGCCCTGCTTGCGGTACCATAGGAATTGAGGCCGATTAAGCGAGTGGAAAGCGGGTTCGAAATGAATTGAACCAGAAATGAGGTTTCATAGGGACGCTTTATGAGAGTGAATATTATAATTATAGCGAGTCATTATTGTTATTCTCGTTTCAAGGTGTCTCCCATGGATCTCCAAATGCGCCATTGTACTCACATGCTTCAGATGTGTATTACTGGTCTCTATTTTGCCGTCTTACAGCGCGTCAGAACAGAACAGGATCTCCCCGCCACCAACACTTTTCAACCGCCAGGGTTTTTACCTTAATTTACATAGTACTCGACGATACCCCGAATCGGAGGCACTACAGTATAATCTGCATAGCTACCTAGGAACCCCCACGGCTGGACGGGCAATGGCAAGATGGTACGATGGCCGTCAAATATCCTGCATCGTCTCAGGCTCCAATCATAAATGCCAGGCGTGGTCATGGGCGGCATGCACAGTTCAGGCAGCCATGGATAGGCGTTGGTGTCCCTGGTTACAAGCATTTGGGGTCGATGGCGCTGTAAGGAAACTGATGTCAGTAAGCAATACAGACGCAGTGTAAAGAATCTCCAAAAAGAAAAACAAGGGTGGTATTTTTGCAAATACTCATACGATTGAAATTACCACTATCGCCGAAAATGGAAAACATCTGGCAAAACTCATTCTGCAAACAGCCCGTCGTCCACGGTCGGCCCTTACTATGAACCGTTGCTTTGGCGCCTTGGATGATTTTCCTGGTACGTGCAATCACATGGAATTGTTCATCATACCTGCCCAGACATATAATTATAGACTATCGATCTGGCAATGGTTCGTTGTACAGTAGTGCTGGCGATTATCCGAAACCACATGACGCGGCTGGTGTAAGAAGGGGATAAGAGTTCTTGCATACTACTTACTTGGACTGTATCTCATTATCCGCCATGAATATTTTGGATTATTGCATTTAACTTCAACAATAATCATGATCATAATAATATTTAATTATCATCATATTCAAACTTCAGTCCTCAATTCAAGAATACGGTGTACGGAGAATAGATTTTGATTTGCCTGATAGTCATTCCCGAGTCCATGGTTCCAGCGGTTACGTGGTGGTCTACATGAACCTACTTTTTGAAAGTCAAAGAACATCAGCCGATTATCACTGACGATGACTCGGTCCGCTGTACGCCGTAATTCCGCACTGAAGACGCCCGATTATGTGAACCTGCTACCGCGACTATGAACCACTACTGTACAAGACTTTTCAACAATTGATACTCCTTTCAGTCTTCCTCTGCCCATCGCGGACTTGGCATCGCGCGGTGTCCCACTCCTCCGAGTCCTCCCCGACCGACTTGTTTTTCATTCCATTTGTTGCGCTCCACTTGTTCACCGCGTACCTGGAGAATGGAGGTCTCCGCCGTGCTGTCAGGTCCCGTCGCATCAGCCCCAGCCTGCGAATGTCATAGGCTCAAGGTTTGCTTTGTGATATTTTACCCTCATCCATTGGCATATACTTGGCATTCAATCAACCCATTCAGCGTCGTAGTTATTTCTTTAAAACCAGCAAATCTACGCACACCGTCATCAAACCGGTGCATATCCGAGGACCTTGGAGGCAAAACAAGCCCGCTAGCCGGTCATGGCCCGGTTTCTCGACAAAAATCGACTAGACTCAAGTCAACAATAACAGCGCCCAACCTATGAGGTGAGTGGCGCTCACGATCCTCTCGTCCGCTGGAGGCTGGGTGGAGCCATGATTGGCTGCAGGGGATCCTGAAACTCGGCGATCCGGACTTGGCTTTCTAAGTGCTTTCCGGCCTGTGCCGGCCATAGGCCTACTCTTACAGTGACTTGGAGTTCGGATGTGCTTTACTCAATACGGGTTGGGGGTGATCGGGTCGGAAGAGGGATTTTTTTAATCGGTTTAAAGTATATCTTTTTTTCTTGTGATTTTTTTTTTTTACTTTGCTATGATGATGTATGTGTTGTCGCGTTGTCTTGCCTATGAGGGCGACGTACATATCCGAGCTATGGCTGTATTCTTCAGTATTATTTTCTTTAATATTGTTGGTTACCACTATTGCCCTCGTGATGTCTTGCTAGTTCGGCCGAGATGGTAGACAACAAAAGGGCTTTCAGGCTTCAGCTGGCGGTGTGGTGGTGCTCAGGTAGGAAAGACTACTAGCTTAACTATAGACATACCCGGTAGTAGTGGTGGTACTCCATAATGTGGACGCTATGGAGCAGTAGTTCGGAGAATATGAAGCTATTCCACCAAAACGAGACTGGTGGCTGTCGATGGGGAAAAGACTAACTTGCTGAGGGAGGAGAGACGGGGGAGGGAAAGAGGGGCATGATCGACGCTGCGATCTGGCTGCTGGCATCAAAGACCGCTATTTCGTACAATTGCAATACTCGGCTTAACTACGGAGGGGACTTTGATGCCGCCCGGTGCTCACTAGCATCCCGGCTATCATAGCTTAACCAGCCTTCTGAGGAGCCCGTTCGGATAGCCGTACTGGCGGGGGACTGGTCGGCATATGGGGGCGAGGGATGCCAGGAACCAAGCTTTGAACGTAGGAAAATGCACCACAGTAGTATTCACTAAGCTTGCTGCCGATCCTGAGTGGAATAGGAGATCTCGGGACTCTATGGTAGCGATGTGATCTGCAGCCGACAAAGGAAAGCCGTTGGTACAGTAAAGCGATATATGAATTGCAGAAGTATATACACGGAGATACTCCGGAGAACGAGAGTTGACCTCGTCCATAACAACACCACAAAATGGGTCAATGTACTCCGTAAACTCACGAACATTATCAATTACGATGCACTACTATACTATAGTTCACTAACTCTTAGATGGTGAAGGGCCTAAGAAAACGAAGATTCGGAACAGCCTCACCGTAGTTTGCGGGATGGGCCACTATCTCGTGGACCGAACCATCTTTGGCCCCTCTCTTCTCTTCTTTTCTGCTCAAATTGTTCTGGTGGCTTTCCCCCTTTGGGAGTGGATCCTTTTCGGTCCCCCCCTCTTCTCCCTTTCAACCTTTCAACTCCCGGCTCCGTTGCCGACCAACAAACACTATAACTAATAACAACCCAAACTATGACTACGAAATGCTACTTCATGACGCCGCATTTTATTTAGTTCTCAGCGAGACTGCCTAAACTAGACTATCTTTCTCACCTGCCAGATTCAACACACCGTGATCGTGCATTAGTCGTCCAGCCACGCGCCAAAATGTCTGTGCCGGAAACCGCCAGGCGTGTTCAAGTTGGAAACATTGCCCGGGTGAATGAAGAAGGTTAAGCGAGGGACAGTCTTCCGAGGGATTTTGCACTGTGGCCGTTCCCGTCATACAAAATATACTCCGTACTCAGTAATAATAATAGTAATAGTGTATGTTGACAATTAAATGCTCTGGAATTATCAGGTATTATCATAATAATCATAGTACAGTAATAAAGACTAAATAATATTGATAAACCATTACGACTATGATTTTCCATCTGCTCGGCAAACTTTTAACCAGAACCATACACTTAATTCCCGTGGCTATTTTGTGGCTGCTTTTAATTATCATGACAGAAATTAATAGTTTAATAGTTTCATTATTGAGCGCGGTTGTCATCGGCATACATACGCCAAGGCTTTTCTGATAGTTTGGCGGAAATTTTGCAAAAGTCACGCGGTGGAGGGGGGGCGATGGTCAGATCCGATCAAATTTTTTGGATTTCTGCAGAACCCTGGTCGAAGCCTTTTGCCAGGTCCACAATCGAAGCGGGAGAAGCTCTTGCGAATTTCTTCGGTGGAGCATGGAGGGGCCAGGGACAGTGACCACTGACTAGGGGGGAGCATCAACTGTACATCCAAAACTACGGAGTTATATAATCGCAGACTACATAGCAACAGATATCTAATAACATTGTTTGTAGAATTCTGCAATTCAGGTTATTACCAGGATATGAATCCTTCTCCTACCCGACCGGATCAGCCTACCGGACTGAGACACCCTTTCGACTCAAGTTCCCGGCCTCTCTCTCTGTTTCCCCTCGGTTGAAATCATACCTGAAACCTTAGGTAAGAACCGAGGGTCGAGATTGTTCGGGGGCAAAAGTACAGTACATTAAAGGCCAAACCGCATTTAAACCCAAAACCTTCGTTGTGCCGTAATTGCAAAAAAAAAAAAAAAACACTAGCGAAAATCGGAGCCTATGCGAGGCCACGGAATTAACCACGCCACCCAATGGCAGCGCCTCATTCGACGTGGCTGGACATTATTTCGTACATTCCTTATCCTTCATCCCTCATTATTAGAGTACAGAGGGTGCTACTTCGTAACCAAAGACGGGTAACGGGTCAAAGTCAACCGCAAGTAGCCAGCTACAGTAGTACCTGTAGCTAGCTCAGAGGCTATAATTTGCGGAACCTATGCCCCTCGCCCCTCTTCATCCCGGGCCCCGTTCTTATGCAGCTGGAAGAGATCCGGGTCGAGGAGGGTTCTTTGGGGAAGGGGGATATCCGGTAGTCGGAGGGTTTAGCGTGGGAGGTGCAAAGGCCGTGGGCGGCTACTGCGCATCCGTGAAAGTATGTAGGGGGACGATGCAAGGCCGTTACAGAACCGGTGAAAAAAACAAATGCTGAATGATGTTGTTGTTATCTCCAACTTATCTTTGGATTCTGCGGTTAACAGTACTTGTAGAAACTCTGCAATTGATAGGCATTGAAGTACATATGGTTACTTGTCAGTAGTATGTGATACCTGATCTCTAAGTACTATTCTATTCCTCACAACAAATCCATCCCGCATGCAGCAGAACTCGGTATGCAGGATTGTTAAGAAAAAGGGCTAGAATTAGCACCATGCACAATGAGGTCTGCGCACCGTGAGCCAGCTCTTCTTCGGAGGGAATGACGTGCTTCCAACCTCGGGAGATCAAAGCGAACCGCAACGGTTAACAATTGACCAGTGATTTTGGATCACGGACAGACCAGTACCTAATCACTACAGTTGTTTGCTTACTACGAACAGCAACATAAGGCCTCGAGCACACTTGAACTTGGACCTCGACCGACCAAAGACCAGTCAAATAGCCCACAACCTAGATGCTGCTGCTACTGCTGCTCGAGCACCCTCCATCCCAGCTCTTCCCAATCCATCCCGATTCCAATCCCAATTCCTCCCGTCAAATCCCGGCCTTGACCCCCTGTCCTTTAATCCCAAGTAAGTAACCCGCTCAATCCCCCGTCCCCAATTCTCTCGATCGAGAAGTCGGACTTTTGTTGCACTACTTTACCAGTTGCAATTGGAGCTGGTGCTTTCTCCCTGCATGAGATGTGTGATCTGTTTACCTGCGGGGCTGTCAAGCCACTGCGGAGCCCAACAGCAGGCGTCAAGGAGGAGGAGCCAGGGGTGAGCAACCAACCCACTTCTCCAATTTTTGCTGGCTTGCTCCAGTGCGGGAGGGGGGAAGTATAGTTAATCAGATTACCGGTCTTGGATGGTGGAGTTAAATTGAGCAGCTTGAGTTAGAGTTAGTATATATAATTCTGAAATGGCTGTAACTGAAGTTTTTGAAAACATAACAACGCGCTTTTACTAGACATTGACTTGTACTCGAGTACTTTGGTTCAACACAATTCGTCAAGACTGTACTTTACAAATCTGACACGTTGAATAATTGGAGGCGCTGTGTGAGAATATCGACTCAACAATAATCCCATAGATTACCTACCCCTTTAGTACTAAGTCGATAATAGTGCTGAACGCAGGCACCGCGATCGGGGTGCGCGGATTGCGCATTACAGCAATTATGTACGATCGCCCTGAACGCGGCATGTGGCAATGGAGAAACCGTGCTATTGCTGGAGCCTTGTTTCCCCAGGGAGATACTCATCGGGTTGGAATTAATGTCCGTTCTACTTACTATTATAGCTGGGGGTCTAGAGGTCTAGACAACAGGACAAAAAGACCCGACACACGTCCAGAGTCGTCAGCGCATTTATTGCTGCGCCAAATCGGATAACATGATCTATCTTCCGATCGCCGTTTGCCCACGAGTCGCTAATAATAAGTGATATATAAGTACCTGTAGCCCCCCTGCTGGTAGCTGCGACCGGTACAGTCAGAGGCAACCATCTATTAAGGGAAATGACCTATCGACGGTAGGCAAAATGGGGATATTCTCTTGCCTTATGGAGACTGAATGGTGAAGTGATCTTAGTAAGACAGATTTATGGTCAGGATCTGTTAGTTATGGTGATCACAATTATGATAATATTCATAATGAAGATCATAGATTTAGTTACAATAATCACCAACAGTATTATCATGATTATTACTCTAGATGGACTATGCATTTCGGCAACCAGGACACGTAGTCTGCTGTTCGCGGCCATTCTTGGCCCGGGCTGTCTTCGGAAGACTCCCGGGCATATCGTCATCGCTGCCCGCGAAACCCGCCAACTCGCGCACTCCGAGGGCTTCCAGTTCTTACTGTATTCCGTAGTGACTCTGGATATTTTGTGCGTTTGAACTCACATATTGGTTATTATAATCAAATACATTTTGTTCTATTCTATTCTTTTCTAATTCTGGCTGGGTAACATTGGTAATTAAATAACCAAGAGGTGCTTCCAAAAAGTCCCATTATTTGGGTTGGTAACGGTGTTCTCCCTTGGGCCAGCGTACGTAAGCCATAGTATTCACATGTAATACACGACTGTAATTTTGCAATTCTCACCTGATTAGGATATCGCCTCTTGCCTCCCCGAGGAGTGATCGACTGGGACGGCTGCTTTTGCATTACTTTGGTTACTCGTCTGTATTGGTCTGCCCAGTCTTCGGTCTTCGGCCACTCGAATTTTTCATTATTCCATTTTCAGTTTTTTTTTTTTTCCGTTCATTTTTCCATTTGGCCTTTTTTTTTTCTTGTTCCATTTTTTCCCTCTTTGCGTATTTTTTCTCTTACCTGAACCTTGGCCGCCCCCCAATTAATCCTTTTTCCCTTTCCCTTCCTCTGCCCCCCCCAATTTTCTCCCCGTCCTGCGATCGAACTGTCTTTCCAGAGATTTTCTTTCCCTTTTCCCTTCTCTTCTCCCTCCCCCTTCAAATCTCATCTTCATCAACTCTTCCCGACTCGGTCCTTTTCGATCAATCTTATTTTCTTTGTTTCACCCAATTTTCCCATCAAATCCAGTCCATTGCCCTTTTCTCTTCCCGTCTTGACGCGCGAAGCAGATCTGACTAGTTGTTGTGCTGCGAGACCCACTTGCACGCCCGCTTCCCTGGTGGATACAGAACCCATCGCCGGTGACAACGTGCGGATAAAACACCAAGTTCCCACACGACTCTGACCTGGTGGGTGACCGTGGGGAATCAACTCCGATCAAGCCTTTCTTTCTTTCTTCACTCCTCCAACCTTCCTCTGGACGCTCACATCTTCTCGGTGGAGTCAGATCCTCTTGCCATTGAAGGCCCATCCTCTCCCCCGTGACCTTCAATTCAACCCTCGCCCTTTCCGCCTCGGGAAAATTTCAGTTGGGATCCAACAAGGAGCTTTTTGGAAAGAAAAAAAAAACGCGAAGGAAGTCAAGGAAACCTCGAGACCGACGTGTTCGATGATTACTGCGTGATCTCAACGCCTTCAAAAATCTATCCCGACAATTTTACTCTCTCCTTCTCTCGTCGACCCGTTCGGACCGAAAATCACGATGGATCCTCGTTCGCACCCTTCGCGTCCCCCGTCCACCAGCCTGCCCCAGGGCTCCACGCCTCTGTCATCGACACCCATCACCAGCATGCCGATGCCTCAGTACTCGATGCAGCCCCAGTATCCGGTCTCCCAGCCGCATACACTGCCTCCCCTCCAGCCGCATCATACTCAGTCGCCCGCGTCGCACCCCTACATGGGTCAGCCGTACCGACCGGACCTGTCGCGGTTCCCCGCATCGACTCACGACGTGTACGGAGCCTCGACGGCCTCTATCATGCCGCACACGACTGTCGGTAGTCATTCACCGTCGTTCCTTGCCCACCATAACCATCAGACACAGGCCCATCACAACCAGTCTTACCCTCCCCCTCCTAGCGGGTTGCCTCCCACGTCGGCCGCGCAGAGCTACCCGCAGCCTATTGCTCCGGCGCCCCCACGCGACCGTCGGGACTTCAATGGCATGCCTTCCGGTGCCTTCAGCTACTCTGATACCAAGTCCTGGGGCATGACACCTGATGTGAATGGCGCCAATGGTTCGCCTTATGGACCTCCCAAGGACCAGCCACGCACGCAGGTCGTGGGCTCTCAGGGCCGCCGTGGCATTCTCCCGAGTGTTCCGGGCCGCGCGACCCCGGTTGCCAACGGTGTCAATGGCTCCGCAAAGAGCACCACCATTCCCGCCAAGGATGCCGACGGAAAGTTCCCTTGCCCGCACTGCAACAAGACCTACCTGCACGCGAAGCACCTGAAGCGTCATCTGCTGCGCCGTAAGTGAAAACTCTCAAATTGGTCCACGGATCATCATCAAACGTATTACATGGCTAACGACGCGTCTTCTCTGGCCTATAGACACCGGTGATCGTCCTTACATGTGTGTCCTCTGCAAGGATACCTTCTCCCGCAGTGACATCTTGAAGCGTCACTTCCAGAAGTGCTCGATCCGTCGGGGTAACCCTACCGGCGCGACCCACCTGTCGCACCCCCACGCTCATCTCAAGCGTTCACAGCAACAGGCAGCCGCGGCGTCGGCGGCGGCTAACCCCGCTAAGCCTCTTCAGGATGAAGTCAGTAATTCCGTCCCATCTTCCAATGGCGTTATGAGTGCGCAGTTCGGCGATGGGGCCGTGAATGGCAACGGAATGGCCGGTGGCCGTCCCCAATTCACGGATCAGCAGCAGCATCTGGGCTATGCGATGGCGCCGGTCAACGGCATGAACCGTGGTCCTGGTGACCAAGCGTTCGCCGATCAGGCCGCGGCTCGCTCCTGGATGGCTGCCCCCAAGCAGAATCCGTATCTCATGCACCACCATGGTGCCGATGCCCATGGCCAGCAACTGAGTGTTGATCGTCCTCTTGAACAGGTAAAGCCCCTGGTCGTTCCTGACCACAAATACCCGGTGATGCCCGGTCACCCTGCGAGTCAGCCCGGTGTTGACTGGACAACTTTCCAGCACGGTGCCGACAACGGTTACATGAACCCCGTCTTCCCCCACTCCATGGCTACCGGCCAGGAGCCGATCCACGCCCCTGTCGATGTCGACCGCAAGTTCTACCCCGCCACCACCGCTGGCGGCCCCGAGAGCGGTATGAACGGTCTGTACTTGGCTTCGACTACTATGGGCGGTGATGGTAAGTGAACAACTTCGAGAGGTGATTCGAAACATTTACTAATATTGTTTGGGGAATTGTAGGCACCGTCCAGGCCGCGAGACAGTAAGCGGATCCTCCGATCAGAATGCAACACGATGAAACACGAGAAGAAACGAAAGGCGTCTCAGATTCTTGTCTACGAGGGACGTATCACTTAATTCAGGCTCATCTTCAGATCTGCCCGGGTTCGGTTGACCTTGCTTGCAAGTAAGCTGGCGCGTAACCACTTTCTTTTCGCCCGTTGTTTTCATTATTTCTTGTACCGTGCATCCTTGATGGGTTTTACTTTTACATCTTCCTTCCACCACCATCCATCCACTTTTCTTTTCTTTTATCTCTCTCTCCACTTCTTCCCTGGGTTTCCGATTTACCGATCCCATCCGGTGTGGGACCGCATCTCTTTTCTGCTTCGGGCGAGTTTGTGTTTTTCTCCAAACCTGGTGGTTGAACTGCGAGCCTTGGGTTGTTTCTTTATCTCCCCGACTGAGTGGGCAGATTGGTCTGGCGGGGTGGTTATCGTTCGGCGTCCACAAACTATAGACATGGGCATGTGTGTTGTTTCTTTTTGCGCGAATCTTGAACCAACAGAAAGAGAAAAAGCTGTTTTTGCGGGAAAGGCTACTGTCGACATTACCAGTTTTCCCACATTGTTCTTCAACATTGTCTTTGAACTGTTTGCCAGTGGTTGATCTTTGTTTTCTTTGGTTTTCTTTCTCGTTGTGCTATGCTTTCGTTGATCCTTTTATGTGTGTTGTTCTATCCTCTTTTTTTCCTTTCTGTCATTGTCGGGACTCGATTTTTTTTTTCCTCCTTGGGGGAGTGAAACTCCCGGTGCATCTGCATGGCCTCGTTCCTGTAAGTACGGTTGGCACGGCACGGACATAATGTGCGCCTCGGGCTCCTTGAGAGGTGATTTAGGGTGTTGTGCTGTTATTCTTTTTCCCTTATCATCCCAGGAGGGATCCTGTTCTACTTGAAAAGCATCTATTAGAAATAGACCCGATGAACCGTTTTCGATATTAAACTTGTGTCTGTTGATCTAAGTAAATTGTAGAGGATGATGGTGATGAAGTGACCCAAAGGACTCGGGACGTGCATACATAGCACAAGTACATAGTATGCATAGCATAGGTTAGTTTGCAGGTGGCTGCGGATATACGATCCCGAGATCTTCCTTCTAGCGTTACATGCAGGGCCGAAGAGATGGCTGGGATCATGTGTAGAGGATTGACTAGAGACTATTATGTACTGTTCCTAGAGTAGTGATAGTAAAGCAAAGACTTGTCCACTGTTACAACAAAGCGAAAGAGAGTATGTGTGTATACCATAGCAACGATAACCCTCAACTTGCCCCTCCTCTCTCTTCCTACCCCTCATCCAACTAGTCTAAACTAGTCTCAACTTGACTCCAGACACTAATAATACTTCGACTTACTATTCTCCGAAAACTCCCTGGTCGACGTCATGTCCATAATCCCCCACATCTGATTGGACCCACCGGGTCTCTGGGGGAGAATCTCGGGATCTTCCCATCGAGACTCTTCACCCCGCCCATACAAGTCCACCGATGACCACTGACTGTGTGACTGACTCCTCCTCCTCTTGAGCCTCGATTCGATTCGGATTAAAGGAAGGGATTTTCTTTCCTCGTTTGTCTTGTGAACGGTGCATAAAGAACCTTGTTGGAAGAGGACCAGATATACACCCTGGCGGGCCAGGCTGTTACAGTATTTAGTTTCCCCCCGCCCGCACCACTGGGGCCGAGCCAAAGTCATAGCCAAAGTCTGAATCATATCCGGTTCGAACGTCAACTCTTGTCTCGCCTCCGCCTTCATCACTATCACTACCACCCAACACCAACACCACCTCTGCACTTGAATATCGCCTGTCACCAAGACCAAGTCAAAGAAAGGACTGTCATCACTGCTACTGCTACTACAGCCCACCATGTCCACCAACAGACCTTTCCTCGCCAACTTCCTAGCCGCCTTCCGCGCCCAGTCCACCCTCAAAACCGCCTCCCAACAATCCACAACCTCCTCCTCTCTCTCCTCAGCACAAATCTCCACAAATGCTCGCACAATAGCCTCTAAACCGGGCCATCACCAACATCAGCCATCTTCATCCTCATCTTCACAACCCACACCTTCAACCTCTACTTCTACCTCGACCTCCGCATCTGCTGGTACAGCACCACCATCCACAACCACACAATCAAACCAATACCACTCCCACCACTACCACACCACAGAAACAACCACCTCCACACCACCAACCCCCTCAACATCCACATCCACACCAATCCCCATCTCCAGGGCCCCAGACCGCCAACGCCGCGGGAGTGACTCCTCTTCCGGCTCGGGCGGGTTCCGGGACGCGCTTGGCCCGGAGAAATGGTATATTGGGGGGAGGACGCCGGCGGGTGAAGAGAGGTTTTATCGGTTGGGGATGGTTACGAAGGGGGGTGGGAGGTTGGGGGTGGAGGGCGGGTAGGGAGTATTGATCAATTGAGTTTGTGAGATGGAGGGAGGGGGAGAAAATTTTAGAAAATGGAATGGAATGGTTTGGGTTTAGAGGAGATGAGAGAGGCGGGGAGAGATCTGGGTTTGCTTTGATTATGGGTTGGATTGGATTGGATTGGATTCCATGGAGGGTTCTTTGGGTTATGGGTTATGGATGCGAATGATACGGGGGCGGAGTTAAAGCAAAAAACGATACACGCAGAGCGTGGGACTCCTTTTTATTTTACCTACACTTTATGATTCTGTATGGATTGTTTCGACTGGTTTTTGGATTAAGCTAAGCTTTGCCTATAGATGCTTGGGGTATAGCTAGTTGGGGACTTCCTTTTGGATGACGGATTGCTGGTTAATGCGTCATGTTCAATAGCAGTATCACTGTCACTGTCACCATCCATTCTATCACGATATCTTGAATACCTATCCTGGTAGCGAGAATAGTCTCGATAGGTACTACAGGTACTATGGACTATATTGATTGTCTAGACGAATAGATATGGGATCTGTAACGATGATATTGGCTTTTGTGGAGGTGGATCCCCCATCAGCCGCAAGTGGATCCTATGTCCACTTTGTGGAGGGCAAGCTGGAGGTTGATGATCTGATGGTGTTTGTGTTTGTGTAAAGATATCCTGTGGTAGGCATTGTTGAGGTCAATATAGCTAGGTTCAGGAGGATTTGAAATTTAAGATTGGCTGGCCCTGGGGTGAAGTGCAGTGCGGAAACTCTTAATTAATCTGGTATATGGACAGGATACCTGATTTACATATTTGTCAATGAAAGACATGTCTGGTAGGATCATCTATTTCAAGTCAAGATTGGGTAGGTCGTGGTTGGTTGCTTGGTATACCAAAGGTACTAAGGATGCCTGCTCTGCTCTGTCCACTACCTGCAGTCGTCGCGTGCCCGCTCTATCGCTGTGGCCGGGCTTCTACCACTTCAAGGGATACCTATCGCTATAATCAGAGTTTCATATATTACTCCTATGAATTGGCTTGCGAGGTATCTTTTCATATCCAGGCCTTTCTAAGCGAAGCAATATTTAGTACATAGGTATCGCATTGATGGATGTTTTATTCTGCGGAGAGGTATTTGAGTATAGCAGACTATTAGTTTAAGAAACTAACTGTATTACAGAGTGTGTAGTGACTATACAGACTTCATGCATACCTAAATTTATCGATTCGTACTCTGAAATACTTTGAAACCAACAAGCAAAGGCACTTCAGCCGCATAGCCGTTTCGTCAGACCCATTATCACCTCAACTACCCTTCAACAGCTTACCATTAAAATCCGATAATACATGGATCTACTTTATCAGCAAATTCATTTAATCAGACATTTCTCTAAATGTCATACAGAAGATTCGCTACCATGACCTAAACCCAACACAGGCTAGCGTAAATTTCTGCCTGATTTCTGCCTGGACCCTGGATCTTATATCCGCCTCATCCGTGCAGATCTCAAAACAGCCAACCCTGAAAACAGAATGCTTCGTTGTCGATCATTTCTAAGCCTACAACGGCGCACCTTTTGTGCCAACAGTATCAAGATGAATTCCGTTGGCAATTGGTCCCTCCAAATGCCGGGCTTCAATCTGCCCCTGAATCACGCTCCGGACGTACAAGAATCTCTGCTTCACCCGCTATCATGTGCATGACTGAACTGACGAAACTACATAGGCAAATGTGCTTACGGAGGATATCTGGGGGTTTCCGAGTGCGCTGGACCCGGCACATATTGCATTTGGTTCTCTTAAGTAAGAAAGACTGAACTGTTTTGGTGGTGTTTTGAGGATTGACGAGAATTTTGTTACAGCCAGCTTGTTACTAAGAGGGAGATTATCATGATGCAAATTATGAATGTTATTACTGATAAACCGGAATGGGAGCGGAAGGTTTTCGATGAGCATATCATTGCCAAGTGGCGTGAGGAGGTTGCTCAGAGTGGACACGATGCCACGCCCAAGATGATGGATTGGATTGTCAAAGAGTTGCAGTGGAAGGCTGGGATTTTGGAGGAATCCGGGTTTGTGGAAGTTTTTGATGGCGGAGTCGTCAAATCTGATACCGTCATTTCGAAGGAGTTACAGGATGCGCTTAAAGAAGTGGTTGTCCCCTTTGAAAACGTTCCCGAGGAAGAGAGGGATTATCATCCGGGATCGGATAACAAGGTGGTCAATCTGGTCCATCCATCGCTTTTCCCGGTGATTTATGGACGCACGCATGTTCTTCCGGACCGGGCGATTGGCCTGGATGATTGTATCGACAGCATGGGTAAAGGCCAGTGGCTTCCCAGGCCAAAAGAAGAGGAGGCTATTCCAGACAAACATCCTTACGAATATCGAAATCAGCCGCATCCGCCTGTTTTGAGTACCAAGTTCCAGTGGTTGCCCTGTGATGTGAAGATCACCGAAGACGGTGGGTGTCAGATTCTGTCTTACATCAATAATGCTCACCCGGTCAAGCACCGCGCGCTATATGATGTCGTTGAGAAGATTCTCGCCCAGACAATACCTTTGTGGGAACAATCTTTGAGCGAGAAAGAATACAATACCAATCGAATCAAATATACCGGACAAGTTGAGTACGAGGACGATGGCTCGACTGAACCGCAATTCCCCGAGGGAGATGATGTCGAGGTTGAGGATGAGGACAAATATGGGGAGATTTTGGCTGCTTGGTACACTTCTCGGAAGATTGTCAAGCCTGAGCCGGGAGAATTCAAGGTCAGAGAGATAACAAAGGCGAATTTTTTGAAACATTTCCCCGAGGGGAAAATACAGGTTATCGTGAAACTGGCAAACATCGAGTTGGCGCCTGAGAAGCCCGCGTATGAAGGAGGGTCCTGGCACATTGAAGGGCAATTGGTGAGTACTTGTCCCAAAGACAGAACTATTTGCTAATGCCTTTAGAACGAACGCATCGCTGCATCAGCAATCTACTACTACGACTCCGAGAACATTACACCCAACTCCCTAGCATTCCGCCATCGAGGCATGAACGATATGGACGACATCTCCTACGAACAAGATCGACACGACTTCGTGCAACAAGTATACGGCTACCACGAAGACCTCGACAATTACAATGATGACTTGATCACGCAAGAACTGGGCAGCGTGGTCACCAAAGAAGGCCGTATTATAACATTCCCCAACACACTCCAGCATCAAGTCTCTCCATTCTCCCTGGCCGATGCATCAAAACCCGGCCACCGGAAGATCCTGGCACTATTCCTCGTTGATCCGCATACGCGAATTATCTCATCTGCGAATGTACCGCCGCAACGCGAGGATTGGAGACCAGCCACGAATAGCGGAGAAATTGTGAATACGATTACCATGGAGGAAGCCAAGGCTTATCGGGTTGAGCTTATGAAAGAGCGTGGCCTCAAGGCTGAAGAAAGTAATGCTCTATTTGAGATGGGTCATTTCCATCTCTGCGAACATTAACCGGGAATATCACATCATTCCCGATCAAGTCTTCAATTATCAGCAGCTACTACCAACACCCATGTACAAAACCCCCTCTCTACCCTCTAATCTAAATACACAACACAGCCTCAATAACCATCCATCACATCCCACCACTAATCCCCGGTTTAATCTGCGTCCCAAACTTCGCCTCAACGCCCCGAATAAACTTATCAGCCATCAGCTTCTGTATAATTGGCTGCGCATTATGATCCTCAAAGGCCTTTTTGCCGGTATATTGTTCGAAGAAGTAGAATATATGAGGTTGTTCGGTGTCACGGGTGAGACAGTAGTATATCACTCCTGGCTCGAATTGTGCGAGACGCGTTGTTTCGGCGTAGACTGCTTCCAGGGCGTCGGCGTGTTCGGGGTAGGCGTGGACGGTGCCGTAGATGCAGAATTCGGTTGCGGGGAGTGGGGGGATGGAGGTTAGGAAGTTTGGTTCTGAGTGTGAGGGTGAGGAGGTGGACATTGTGGATGTGGTTGGTTGGTTTTGTATAGTGGTTGATTGGTATTTGTATTTGGGTACTTGGATTGAGAGTTTTGAATGTGGAATGAGGTGGGCGGGAATGGTATTTGAGTCTTTTCGGTTTCCTTTACGGAGTATATCCTGAACTATTTTACGTGCTAAGCTTTTGGTTCTTATCTTTACAATAATAACAAGTGGGGGCCGCTTTACTGTTCATGATTCAACGTGACTCACCCGTGTCTAAGCGCGATTGGGAATGGTCGATGATCTGCTCTCATGCAACCTTAGAAGTCCATCATTCCACTGAGATCTTAATTGATGAGGCATATCACTTTCCGATTGAAAAGGGCTAATTATCTGTCAGGTATGACTGACTTTGATAGAGATTCACATATCCAATCTACAAGAAATCACCAACGATATGTCCACTCCCAAGATACCTCGCAAAATCAGTCAGACTATATACATGATCACTCACAGCACCTGCTGCGTCGTACAATGCAAAACACCTCCAGTCCGGGGCAATGCATTCACAGCAACCTGACAAACCCGTCTCTCAGGAACCAACTTCGCCAAAGTCTCCAACGCCTTAGCATCAGTCACCGCATCTCCAAACCTCGGAATAACAAGCCCCCCATTCGTGAAATAAAAATTCACATACGATGCCGCCGGCGCAACCTCCTCGCCCGGCACATCCCCCTTAACCAAATCCGGATCCGGCTCCTCAATATCATAAACCTGCAACTTGCGGCCCTGCGCATCAGTCGTGGTATCCAAGATGGCGCGCATCTCATTATACACATCCCAAAAGACCTGGTCACATTTGCGATGCGGTCTGCCTACCACAACCACACCGGGTCGAATGAAGCGTGCCTCGGCGTCGATGTGGTAATCTGTGATATCAAGGCCTTCCCGACCGGGAATCCAGATGAATTTTTTGATTCCGAGGAGACGGCGTAGTTCGGTTTCGATGGTTGATCGGGATAAACCTTCGTTTCGAGAGGGGACTGTCACGCTACTCTCCATCGCCATGAATGTTCCTTCGCCGTCCATTTCGATTCCTCCACCTTCGAGTCTCACGGCGGATATCACACGGGAAACGGGTGAGTCTGGATAAAGCTCGTTCTCAAGTTCCAGCACCCGCTGCGCAAACGCGGTGTTCTCCTTCCGCACTTCTTCGTCCATAATCGGCCAATCCGACTCTGCCTCTTCTTCTGCTGCTTCCTTCAACGCAGCAACCTTATCCGAACTGCTATTATAAATCTGCTCACCCACTTTATTCCCCCACTCGCAAAACCGGAAATCAATCGCATATCGCTTGCCATCGTCCTCGCCACGCACATACACGGGTCCCGTATCACGCACCCAGATATGATTCGTCGGCGCGGCGATGAGCCTGATACGATTTCTATGCTCCGCTGGTTCGGTAGCCATGCGTGCATCGACTAGTTTCTGCGCCCGTGCTTGGTCCTCGGGTCGGACGTGCAGACGAACTGGTTCGAAGGTCGCGATTGTGCCGGCTAGATCGACGATCTCGCGGCAGGTCCGGTCGTAGAGCGAGGGGAAGGTCGAGCAGTGGGATGGGAAGCTGAGGATTGTGGCGATATGGGGGGTTGTTTCGGCGAGGTAGGTGTATTTCTTGTTGGGGTTTGTTTCCGTGTGGAGGTTTCTCGTGGTGGTCGACATGGTGAAGGGAGTTATAGGAGAATTGCGACGTAGGAATTGAGTCTTGATCCCTCGTACGCGAGAAATTGAGAATCTTGATTGCTGGTGTAGGTGGTTTGTATAGCCCTAGATGGGGTTAGCTTTATCTTTTCACGGTCTTCTGGATACTGAGTGCAACTGGATAGCTACTCACGTCAATACAGGTCAGACGGGGTATATAGAAGCTTCGAACAGAGAAACTCGGGCGCGCAAGAGAGCGAGTTGTTGTATACAAAGCCTTCGACATTGAAGAGTATAGTATTAACATTCGATAAGTCCACGGCGGGACATGAAGTATTTAACCACTCGAGACCAAGGGTCATTCATCATGGCAAGTTATCTACCCGAAAGGGATGTTCCAAGCGATGATAAAGTTGTCGCAGGACATTCTGATTCGACCAGGAAGATCGCTGGTCCAATTGTGACGCCGGGTGATCCACTTTTCTCTCTCTGCTTCTCTAGTGGGCTGCCCGAATAGGCACTTATTTTGCGGCCTTAATGGTCCCGATACTCTTGCACTTCAATGGAATAGACTAGTGGATTATAGCCTGGTTAAGCTCTTTCAGTGGCTTACCCATTTGTCTTCTTAGCACTTCTATTGATCGAGTTGTAGGTAGTCATTGAAATATCGTCCTATCCTCAATGACGATAGGACTGGTGGACGATACTCCACAAAATCCACCCCAGAGGCGATCCAAGGAACACCCGCGGACACCGATTGGGTTCTCGGAGTCCGCGGGCCCGAGAGGAGTTCAATTATTCTCATGGCTTCAGACATCTGAATGCCCTGAATAGGAAGATCAATGGAGTCGGTGGTAATATGATGGATTGCCTTGTGAAACATTTTGATTTGATCTTCCAATTTTCAGTTACATTTGGAGGAGCTCGAGGAGGCAGAAGCGCCCGAGGACTCCGAAACGTGCACATCGCGGCACAGGAACTGTATTCGGTAGTGACTGGCCAGAGTCTTCCTCTAGTTCTTCCTATCCTATTATATTATTCTTTGATAGACTTTATGCTGAAGGCGCTGTCCTACATGTAGTGTTGCCTGAGGCAATAACCACCACCACATTCCTATAAAAGAGTCTCATTTCCCCGCGTTTCCTCTTCTCACACTCAAGCGCTAATGTGAAGAACTGACTTTCCATCGATTATCCAATATTCAGTGGCCATTTTCCCGTCTTCTGCTCCGATTTACCCCCTTATGCAGCATTTCTTTAGAGGTTACTACACATCTGCTCATGCCAAGGCACATTCAATGCTTTTACCTCACGCCTTTCCCTTCGGTAATATTCTCACTACGAATCACGCGAAGAGAATGGATCAAAGAGTTATTCGGCCTGGCAAAAGGCAGTGACTTCAGATTGAAAATAGGAGCGCAACGAGATGGTTTCACACCTGTTAGAAGCGAGCAGGTGAGATATACGATATACTTCATGGACCATAAGAGTTTCTCCTCTTGACCTTCGCGATTTATCTCAGATATATACCAGCGTATCAACTTATCCAGCAAAAGTTAACTGCAAACTGAACACTCTCTGATATAGAAAAACTCTCAATCAACCTTTCGAGTACCCAGCCAACGCCCGCTGTCCAATTCGCACCAGATCATCATTACTCAGGGTATCCTTCTCAAACCCACGAATAACCTGATCTAACAGCGCAGCCGCGATATCCGGCAAATCGATATGCGGGAGACCCGGGATCTCACGCTTCTCCGCACCCGGAGCATCGATGAGTCCCGGTTTCACGATGCAGGACTGAACAGTGCCTTGAGATTGTTCCGCGTAGTCGAGGATAAGTGTCTCCGTCTCACCCTAACACAGCGTTAGTATTTGGCGTCCGTCACCATATAGAACAGAGTCGAACTCTGGGAAGAAGCCAGGTAGGCGATTTTTGTTGTTTGCTCTGACTCGTATCCACATACCCGTAACAAGCCGTAATCAACCAGCCCATGATTTTGCAGTGCGGGGGGTATTTCAGCCCGACTACGAGGCGCAAAGTGTCCGCTCATGTAGATGAAGCGTAGTGGTTTTTCTTGGGGTGGGCGTAGGGTGTGGATGGTCTTGATAGCTGTGGTAGCGTAGTCGCGCGATATCTTACATGTTTCTTCCCACGGGACGGTGCTGAGTTTCATGGGTGTTACGGCGATGGTCCTGGTTAGCGGGTTATTAGCCTAGATCCCAGGGTGAAGTGTTTGTTACCTGGGTACTTAGAGGGAATATAGATCCAAGCTGACTAGGATGGGGATAGGTGGATCTTACCAGATACAAGCATCTGCATTTGCTAGTTCGCTCTTCACGCTATCGGGGTATTCCTCAAAGTTCTCGCAGGTAATTGATCTGAGCTTTGTTTTTGCAGCGTTAGAGTTGGCGTCTGCTGGTACTGTAGCCCCGCGTCGACCTAGGGCGATGATGGAGGTGATTGCTGGGTTCTTGAGAGCTTGAGAAAGTAATTCCGTAGCGACGAAGCCGGTTGAACCGCCGATTATGAGTTTCATGGTGATATGGTGTCCTTTTGTCGTGGCTTTGGAGGAGGATCAGGGTAAGAGTGCGGAGATAAGAAGTGCGATGGATGTGATGGTAAGTAAGCTTGAGATTGAATGGGACGCCTGAGGGGTGGAGCTCGGACCTTTTGGGCTTGTTGTGTCAGAAAAGATGTGGAAGATGTTATTGGATGTGTTTCTGCTTGGTTAGTTGTCGATAGTTGTTATTAAGATCGATGAGTAGAACATAGCATTGGAGGTACAGCTCCCAAGGGCCACGACATTTCTGGCCATGACATTCTCGTCTGGGGTGATCAAGTCAAATGAGCAGTCGCAGATAGGTACAAAAGAAGTCAATTATTCCTTGATTTGCTTGACTTACAGTCAATTATGCGAGTTAGTAGCCTGTAGTGTCAAGAGCGTCTCGAATATGAAGTTGAATAATCCATTGACCAGGACAGGAGTTCAGAGCGAGTCTTGAGAGTAATGATCAAACTCGATTATTATCTCCTCCCCGCGACTTTGTAATCATCCCCGCCTGTACAATCGCCTATCGGCTACAGCTACACGAGATAGCTGATCTCAACGCGTGGGATCGCATTTCCCCGCGACATCACAATCGGTGGAGATCGCCGACCGGAGAGAGTCGAGCTGTGCCTGAAATTCAAGGGGTTTGCTTTTCCAACGGGATTCGCAGTCAAAGCCCGTCAGAACCACCAAATCAGACCAGACAAGAGCAGCAGCGGGTGGGCACCGTGGGCTCGGACGCCGGAAATTCGGCGATCGGGAGTGGAAGATTGAGGCTGGTTGACTCCACTCTCAAGTGCGTCTGCATCAGGAAAAGGGTTGCCGAAGTCTGGGGAAGAAGTTCAACGCTTTCTTCTCATTTTTTCCTAGACTGGGAGAATATGGCCTGATCGTGTTAGTCATGGAGTGGCTCTGGAGTAACTAACTGCCTGTTAGATTTGTTGTTTCGTCTTGAAACTCGAGCATTGTGCAAAAGCACCACGGAGCCAAAGTGGTTCATTCGCAGGCCGATAAGATATTCGGTGGGGATCGGCCACTCGCGGCCATCGGAGGTGCCCGATGCTTGCGACTCGACTCGATTATTCTGGTCGCATCAGCCCATTTGACCACACCAAATAAATAGACTCGTCCGGCGCTGTTTTTTCTGGAGATCCGACCAGACTTGCTCTGCTTGATTCACTCGCGTCTATTAACCTCTTATCTGACAGCTCATCAATCTCCCTCTCTTGTCCTTCTTATCGTCACTCCGACTTATCTTTCCCTCCTACCGCCACCATGAGCAACCTCGCTGCTGCCCGCTACGGAAAGGACAATGTCCGCGTTTACAAGGTTCACCGTGATGAGAAGACCGGTGTTCAGACCGTTGTCGAGATGACCGTCTGCGTCCTGCTCGAGGGTGATATCGAGACCTCGTAAGTTGCTCCTTGCGCGTGCCTCCACTCTGAATCCGGCCCTCTCCGCGGAGAGTCCAACAGCTTGGAATTAAGCAATTAAGTAACTAACCAAAGCACAATTGTACAGCTACACCAAGGCCGACAACAGCGTCGTCGTTGCCACCGACTCCATCAAGAACACCATCTACATCACCGCCAAGCAGCAGCCCGTCACTCCCCCGGAGCTGTTCGGTTCCATCCTCGGCACACACTTCATCGAGAAGTACGCCCACATCCACGCCGCCCACGTCAACATCATCACCCACCGCTGGGTGCGCATGAACATCGACGGCAAGGCCCACCCCCACTCGTTCATCAAGGACAGCCCCGAGACCCGCAACGTCCAGGTCGACGTCATCGAGGGCAAGGGTATCGAGATCAACTCCTCCATCGACGGCCTGACCGTCCTCAAGAGCACCGGTTCCCAGTTCTGGGGCTTCGTCCGTGACGAGTTCACCACTCTCAAGGAGACTTGGGACCGTATTCTCAGCACCAAGGTTAATGCCAACTGGCAGTGGCGCCGCTTCGCTAGCCTGCACGATGTCAAGGCTAATGTTCACAACTTTGACTTTGCTTGGGAGACTGCCCGTAATACTACCTGCAAGACTTTTGCCGAGGATAACTCTGCTAGTGTGCAGGCTACTATGTACAAGATGGGTGAGCAGATTTTGGCTGCTGTGCCTCTGCTTGATACTGTCGAGTATGCGCTGCCTAACATTCACTACTTTGAGATTGGTATGTTTCACCCGCTACCCAAATATGCTTTAAAAAGACTCTTTCTAACGATTGTTTTCTCTTCGCAGATCTCAGCTGGCACAAGGGCATCAAGAACACCGGCAAGGACGCCGAGGTCTACGCTCCTCAGTCCGGTCCCAACGGCCTCATCAAGTGCACCGTGGCCCGTGGCCAGAAGGCCCGTCTGTAAACACTTTCCATATCGGGGATTTCCGAGCTCGGAGTTTCTAGCATGCTGTTTTCTTGTACATAATGTCATGTCTCTATATACCACTGGGCGTGCCACGTCACGACTCAATGTCAAACTTGGAACACATTTCTTCTATTTTCCATTTGTGAATTTGCTTTGCTATAAATACATGCCAGTGGGAATGAGCATAGAGGAAAGATAAGTAGAGGTAGATGAGGTAGATAGAACAGGGGGGAGATCAGAAACAATAAAAAAGCAGAAAAATGTCATTCCCAAATGTTGGACTCCACACCCATGCGCTTGCGGTTTTGGATCATAACGCAGAAAATAAATTACACGGACGGTTCCGGCTGGAACCCGGGGGTCAGCTTGTAGACTGTGAGACAGAGACGAGAGAAAGGGGAGGTAGGTAGGTGTCTATGCCGATGGCTTGGCCTCCTTGAAAGCCTCTTGGACCTCGGGGTGGTTCAGGACCGACTTGTTGCCAAACTTGACAATGTTCTCCTTGTAAGGATGCGCGAGGCCCTCGAAAGCTGCAGAACGGTTGTTAGATACCGATATATTTTCGATCATCTCCAGATCTCCGCGGACAAGAATACTACTCACTCTTCAGACGGGCCAACCGCGGCTCCTGAAGCCGGTTCTTGGGCAACATGCCCTTGACCGCGCGGCGCAGAACTTCACCACCGCCCCATTTCGCAAACATCTGATCCATCGTCATGCTTCTCAAGCTACCGGGGCGAGTCGTGTGTGTGTAGTACTTCTTCTGGAAGCGCTTCTTGCCGGTTGTTCGGAGATCGTGGCAGCCGGCGACGACGACGTAGTCACCGCAATCTGTCGAGGGATCGTAGATGGGCTTGTTCTTGCCCATCAGGACGAGGGCAATGGATGAGGCCAGACGGCCGAGGGAGCGAGGATCAGAGCCGGCGTCGACATAGTGCCATGCGCGCGAGTAGGCAAGACGGGTCTGGACATGACAAGGTTAGATATGGGGTATACTCGGGGGCATTGCGGCCACGGGGTTAGCAATTGCTGGTCCAGATAGAATGGACATACCTTTCCGACCGTCTGCGACATCTTGAAGATGTAGTGAATCCAAGAGGGATGAAGTCCGCGGTGATATAACGAATGCTCAAACAAACACGGATCACCGCAAAAGACCTGCCAACCCGCTCAACCCCGAACTTTCCTGCCGCTCATCTCCGCCGACCTGGATTCCCCACGTGACCAAGCCCTAAGCCATTTACAGCACTAACCATATTCGGACTAGCGCCCACTAAGCGAAACCCGCACGGAAGGGCAATTCAGGCGAATCGCCGTAGTGTGTGGGAATTCGTGGTCGACTTCTTTCCATCTCCCACGACAACACACTCCCTCCCCTATCGACACCGACAAGGGCCATATCACCCACCATGGCTTCTACCGCCCCGAGTGTGCAATGCTTCGGCAAGAAGAAGACGGGTAAGTCGACGCGATTTTATCCCGCGAATGTTTGAAGTGCGAGGAATGGTTTTGCTGATGATCGAAACTTGAAATAGCCACCGCTGTCGCCCACTGCAAGGTATGATGACGAAACCCTGACAATCAACGACGACTCGCTCTACGAATCATTGCGTCTATGGGAATATTACGGAGATCACATCGCCCGGAGGAATATTATCGCGAAGAAAATGTTGGAAAGGGAATATGACGAAAATAATGGACCGATTGTGAAGGACGTTGAAATTGTCGACGGGCGATGTGGAATACCGAAACACCATACGGCGCAATGATGAATCGATGCGAGTCAACGATTTCGGAATGAACGGCGTGCTGAGACTTTTTCGATTTATAGCAAGGCAAGGGCCTCATCAAGGTTAACGGCCAGCCCCTCTCCCTGGTCCAGCCCGAGATCCTGCGCTTCAAGGTACGATACTCTTCTTTCTCCCGCCCACCCACCACCACTGCCGCAACAACGAATGGAACAATCTTGCAAGAGTCGGAGATGAACACCAGGAGATGAAACCGGGAGCGGGGAATGGATATCAACCACTTCGAACTTTTTTTCTAACAATTCCTCTTCCACCATCTACAGGTCTACGAGCCCCTCCTGATCGTCGGCGCTGACAAGTTCGCCGGTGTCGACATCCGCGTCCGCGTCACCGGTGGTGGTCACACCTCCCAGGTCTACGCCATCCGTCAGGCCATCGCCAAGTCCATTGTCGCCTACTACCAGAAGTACGTCGATGAGCACTCCAAGAACCAGCTCAAGCAGGCCTTCGTCCAGTACGACCGCACCCTCCTGGTCGCCGACAACCGTCGCGCCGAGCCCAAGAAGTTCGGTGGTCGCGGTGCCCGCGCCCGTTACCAGAAGTCTTACCGTTAAATTCTCTTTTTATCTTTTTTCTCTTTTCCCCTCTGTCACATTTGTCTGTTTTGCATAGCGGGGAAAAAAGGAAAAGGAAATCACAAAAAAAAGGAATTTATCGGAAATCAAAAAACGGTGCTCTTTTACTTATTTTTCATGGGATCAAATCTCTGGGAGTCTAACTTCCATTACGAACTTGTTTTGTTTTCCATGGAAAAAAGGACTTCTGCGTTGTGGGTGGTTTAGCTGGGGGGTGATTTGATTGGGATGATCAGTCGAAACCGGTCCTCAACCCGGTGCCGGTGCTGGCTGGATGGATGTGAATTGTGTGTGGGTTGGGTGGGCTGATGGGATGGAACTTTATGAAATTTTCATTCCCAGATGTCTTCTTTTTGTTTTCACTGGCGCTGTTTTGTACGGCTGGAAAATATACCTAGCATAGGCCAGGAAACTCTGCTCAAATAACACCGGGTTTTTATGTTTGTTCAATAACGTTGGATCATATTGGCGTAGTTTTGAGGTGGAGTTGGTTAAGGTTATTAGGTCGAGGGTCTCTGCAGACTGCCACCTAGACATGCATGGCTTATGATGGCTCTCTTACTAGCACGCGCTACAACCTTATAGATTGCAGCAGCATATATAAGTTCTGAGGATATACCCCCATAACCTTGCTGTTTTAAACGGTTCAACGTCTGGCTGGAGCTTTATTCTGTGGATATCCGCATTTCCTTTATGGCAGATCTGTTCCTGGATCATCTACTCGGAGTCCTTCGTCCTTGAGGATGCTGCCAAGTAAACCCATTGCCTTTGTCAATGTGCTTTTGTTCAAATTCACTTTGAGACCTGCAGTCGAGTATCTCAAAGGCATTGTACGAGTAAGATGCAAAGTCAATTAACTGAAAAGACCCCATACTCGTCTATTCGACGTCCGTTATCGTCGCGGATACAGCCAATCAACTGGAAAACGGGCAAAATCTTCCGGTCTAAGACCGCTCTAATAGGCCCCCGGCTGTAAATCTGAAAGTATTCTTACCAGGGAGAATATTCGATACAAGACACCGGTTTGCAACTTTGTATTCGTGCTATTTTCCTCCAAATTTGCCATATCCATCCAAATTGAAACTTATTCACATCTCATCTGGCGTCCAATAAGGCTTCAAACCAGTGAGTCCCCAATCCAAAGAATGAATGTCTTTCCAAAAGAAAAAAGGTAGGGCTCCCGTTCACGCCTAAAGCTTTCCAGGCCAATGACCGTCCCATCCAAAGCACAAATGTCTCCCCCCGAAAACCGAGCAGAACCTCTCTCTTAGAGCCGCCCCTAAAGCTTCTAGTATTCTTCATCCTCGCCCAGATCGAATTCTCCCTGGGACAATACCTCGTACGGGTTGTAAACGGGGCTCTTGGGCTTCTTTGGGGCCTTGATAACGGGGTTGACAACACGAGAACGGCGAGAGCGAGAAAATGGCTTGGCACATTCGTCCTCAGAGAACGAAATGCGCATGCCTTTGTAGAAAGCCCGGGATCGCATGCAGGTGCGGGCATACAGAGCTCCGCCCACCGAGCTGGTCGAAATGTGTGCATTGCCTTTGGCGAAGGTAACGGAGATGATAGCCATGTTGTGGATGTGGTGCATATCACGTCGGATAATGGCCTCCGTGAGCTTGGGATTGATGTTTTCCAGGAGCAAATTGCGGCTGACGGTGCCTGCGATGGCTTGCTCGAGGACGTATCGCGGGGCGATGTAGCCGCGAGGAGCCCACTGAACAGTGGTCTGTGTATGATGAAAAATGATCAGAATGTTTGGTCTCCTGGAAAAGTGAACGGACGAATGTTCCAAGAACGGAGGGGAAAGGAAAACCAAACGGAAAGATGCTCAGTTATTGGGAGACTTACCAGGTGGCCTCCGACGTAGAACGGGGCAGACTGGGCGTGAACGAGGAATCCAGCGGCATCCTCGGAGCGAGCAAAAGTCACGTTGACCTGATTACTGGAGCGTTGGAGGAAGATCTGGATCAAAGCTCCGTCTCGAACGGCAGCGGCGACCTCGGCGTGGGTGACGCGAGCAGGAGGGAGAAGGATAACGGTGTGGTTGATGTTTTCACGGGCAACGAAATCATCGACGGATTCCGGGGTCATGTTGGCGCGAGTCTCGCCCAGGAAGGAATCGAGGCTCTCCATGTCGAAGCGATCCCAATCACCCAGGTCGCTGTCGACGTCGAGGTCAAGTTGACCGATCTCTGTTGTGAATTTGATGTTAACTTCGGTTTTGTAGCTTACAGCAAGATCCAAAGCTTTGATTAACATCTAAGATGAAACATATCAGCAGATGAGAGTCGAATTCTAGAGTGGCAATGTACTCACACCCTGTGTCACATTTGCAGCAAGTTTCGCAGCATTGATTCGCTCTGTAATGGAAATGTTAGTTCAAGGTATAGATCCATATTGAGCCTGTGCAAGCCCCCAACGGTAGTATACGGTAGATGCTCTTACTTAGTTCTTTTGAGTCTCGGAGCTATGAAGGTGTTAGCAATCAGAAAGGTCTCAAGAGACGAAAGCATGCGTGAATAAAGCGCAATAAAGATGGAAGATCTAGAGAAAGCAGGCTGGGGAAAGGGGGTGGGTGCTGTCCAGGAGCGTGAGCAGCTTACCAGCTGTGCGTAGTCCTCGACAGGGATCGTGACCGTTTTCGGGGAGGGAGTTAGTTCCTGAGCCATGACGGGCTTGATTTTTTTGAGGTTGACGGGCTTGTAGGATGCCATTGTGAAACGCTGGCGTCTCAAAATATCAGTAAGCCTTACGAGTTGGTGTGAGGCACGCGAGGCACGCGAGGCACGCGAGGCACGATGTTGATATTTGATGATCTTGAGGGGAAGGGTGACGGAAGGGTGGTGAAGGGTGGTGAAGAAGAGTGAGGATGTACGTACCAGTGGCAGGAGGATGTGTGATGGTAGGAGGAGGAGGAGAAGTCAGTATTTAAAGAATCCGGGGAAGAAAATCCGGGGACGGCTGCGCGCGATGAGGCGGATCTGATCTCAAGATGAATGTCCGGAAGGTTCTATTGGGGAAGGTCCGGAAGCCTCTATGGATGAGTCTGGAGGAGTCTTAGAGAAGTCCGGAACTTTTTGTGGAGGAAGGTCCGGAAGGTTCTACTGAGGAAGGTTTTATTGAGGAAGGTCCGGAACATTCTCTGAGAGACAGCCTACGGGACGGTTGCCTAAGAAGCGAGAGTAAAACGAAAAGTGAGACTCACCAAGTGAAGGCAACACTGGTATGTAGCGTTGAATGTAAGATCAATGAAGTGTGAGAGCGATGAGGAAGAATGATGAGTGAGAGATACGGGACGGATGGCATGAGACAACTTGGAAAAACACAAGAAATGGCCTGTTCACATGGAAAAGAAGATAGGTATGTGATGAAAATAGATATGTGATGAAATGATAAGAGAGGCACGAGGACGCATCGTAGTTATGTATTTTGTGATATCTGGAATTAGGATCCCAAATGATTAATTGCTATCCGTATTGAATGATTTCGACTTTACTGTGGTGGGTGATTTGAAGCATTGGAGTTTGACATGGGCTGCTACACCTGATCCCAGTTGTTAATGGGTTGATACCGTGTGTGAATTACGAACAGGTTAAGTTCTCCAGACAACCAATGAGAGGTCACACCAAACAGTGCTTAGGGACCTACATTGATATTGAACAAGGCAGTCTTTGATTGAAAAGGTATTTGTGTACTGCTCAGCCTCAATCTTTTTTGAACATGCCGCATGCCATCTTATCGCGGCTAAGGTGTCAATCATTATTTGAGGCTATTGAAAGAGAAAAATCACTGGATCTATACCCAAATCACACAGTAGAACCCATGATTAGTAGTTGAGACTTGGTTGAGAACAGCAAATATTCGAGACATTGACTCGATTTTATAGACGACGGCTAAGGCTACTCGCACACCAACTTGTGCTTTCACACGACGGGCTATTTTATTTTCGGATCTAGTAAATGACAGGTATATTGAGTACCTAGATAATCTCATAATGCCTATTAAGTCTTTTACTTTAGGTGCTATCAGAAAGACCGTTCAAAAGACACTCAGAACGAGCTTTCATAGAAGGTAAACTTAAAGTAAATATATCTATATAATAAAACCACTTCTCCAGTCTAGATAATGAGTATCTAGTGTACCCATTCTCCATTATATCCGAAAAAAGAATAGTCTGTCGTGCGAAAGCACAAGTTGGCGTGCGAGAAGCCTTAGCCTAGAGGATCCCTCCGATCTGATCTAAAGACTCATCAGGATGAGGACGTTACAATCAAAATACGTAGCAGAATTATTAAGAATTCAAAACTCAAAGTTCAAATACCATTTTCAAGCGTCGGGTACAACATTGGTGAAAACTAGTTGAAACTTCAAAATCATGTCATTGGATTAGAGGCCGAATGGAAAGAGGCAAATTAGGGCTGACATGTAAGGCCTGACAGCCTCAGGCATCAAGGCACCAAATCCTTACCTAAACCACTTTAACGCGTCCCGGTCGCGTCCCGTCGCGCGCTGCGTCCCCCGGGCGCGATCTCCCTTTGCTGCCCTCCCTTTCCCCACCAATTGTGGTTTCGAGTCCCACGCCAATTCATGGGCTTTTGGCCATAATCATACCCTCTACGATGCCGTCTTCTCGCGAGACGTTGGCGGAGCTGAGGGCCCTCCGTGCCGCCGGCAAGAAGCGTATCTCAACCTACGAAATCGAGGATCAAGGCGATATCTACGACGAGGTCGACGACGACGGCTATAAAAAAGTTATTCGCAGCCGCCTCGACCAAGACGACTTTGTTGTTGACGACAATGGCGAAGGATATGCTGACGATGGTCGAGAGGTGTGGAACGAGCGCACCGTGGAATATGACAGCGACGAGAGCGACGAATTGCCTGCCCGAGGCAAGGCTGCGAAGAGGAAGCGCGAGGAAGAGAAGCAGCGAAAGGATAAGATCAACAATGGTATCTCCAAGTACTTCAACAGTGGCACTGCCGCTTCGTCGGCCCCCAAGGCTAAGGTTAGTGTGCCGTCGGAAAGAATTTACACGGTTTGGAGCCGCTACTGACCATAGGCTCTAGCCAGTTGCTACTGCCGAGGATGACGCCTTCATGAAGGACCTCCTGGGTGAAGTCGACACAAATATCGTTTCCAACCACATTCCTACCCGAAACCTTGTCAAATCCGAGACACGGCGCAAAGTGCGCGTCCTTTCCCCTCCCTTGTCCGAAAGACGCCGCCGAGAATTGGTCGACAACAAAAGCGAGAACGATGTTCCCAGCTCTCCAGTCAAAGAGCAACCACCGCTACACTCCGATGATTTTGATGACGGCCCGCTTCCTCAGGTGGATGATGACGATATCGACATGGGCGATCCAATGCCCTCGTCTCCCATCAGCAAGGCGGTAGAGCGCAAGTCTACAGCGATCCCCGTCAAGAAAGAAGAGTCCGACGATGAGGATATTGATATGATGGACGTTGCAGAGGCTACGGTATCTTCGACTATTAAGGCTGCTAGCGTGAACATGACTGGCAGCCGCCCGCCGCCGAAGCTCAAGAAGGAGATCCTTCCCACCCCGGCCAGCTCCTCTCCAGCCAAGGTTGCCCCGGAAGTCATGGATGCTTCTTGGAATGATATTCAGAGCAAATTGAACGTGCTCAGCAGCCCAGCACCCGAGATGCGATCCTTCGGCAAATTGCGTGCCCAAGATGTTGTCGAGGAAGATGGCAGCTTGCGCATGTTCTGGCTGGACTACACCGAGGTCAACGGAAGTCTCTGTCTGTTCGGAAAAGTGAAGAACAAGCAAAATGGCTCCTATGCCAGTGCCTTCGTCAAGATCGACAACATCCTGCGGAAACTCTATTTCCTCCCTCGCGAATACCGACACAAGCAGGGAAGAGAGACCGAGGAGGAAGTTGACATGGAGGATGTCTACGGAGAGGTGGACGGGCTCATGTCACGGATGCGAGTTGGTATGCATAAAATCAAACCCTGCACTCGCAAGTACGCATTTGAGCTGTCCGGTGTTCCGAAGGAGGCCGAGTATCTCAAGTTGCTTTACCCATACGATAAGCCTGCCTTGCCTATGGAAACCAAGGGTGAGACCTACTCTCACGTCTTCGGTACAAACACATCTTTATTTGAACAGTTTGTGCTGTGGAAGAACATCATGGGTCCTTGCTGGCTCAGAATTGACGAGGCTGATTTCTCTGCCGTCAACAATGCATCCTGGTGCAAGTTCGAATGCCAGGCCTCGAAGCCAGCCCTGATCACACCGGTTCCAGAGACCGAGAATCTGGACACTCCACCATTGACGCTCATGAGTTTGTCTTTCCGCCATCAACTCAATGTGAAGGATAACAAGCAGGAAATTCTCATGGCAAGCGCCAGAGTTTATGAGAACATCTCTCTCACAGATACCACCTCTCCAGAAAAGCTTCCTTGCAAGACATTCACCGTCATGCGTCCTGCCGGATCCTCATATCCTATCCACTTTGACACCGAAACAAAAAAGCAGCGCGGTACCTTCATACTGGAGAAGAGCGAGCAGTTCTTGCTAAGCAAGTTCTTGGCCCTCTTTGAGAAGATGGATCCTGATGTAATCATGGGTCACCAGTTGCAGGATGTCGAACTTGGTATCCTTCTGAATCGCATGCGGGAGAAGAAGACACCTGGATGGCATCGTATTGGTCGACTGCGACGTGGCGAGTGGCCTAAGCTGAACCGAGGCGGCGGCGGCTTCTTCATCGAAAGACAGCTTATTGCCGGACGACTTCTCTGTGATGTCAGCAACGACATGGGCAAGTCTCTTATGATGAAGTGTCAATCGTGGAGTCTGTCAGAAATGTGTCAAATCTATCTTGGCGAGGGTAACAATCGTCAGGATCTGGATGTTGAAGCAGCCTTGAAGAGCTGGGCCTCAACAAAGGATGGCCTCATGAACCTTGTCAATCACTGCGATACCGACACCTACTTCATCGCCGCCCTAGTTTTGCGTCTGCAGATGCTCCCGCTTACCAAGGTGTTGACGAACATTGCCGGTAACTCGTGGGCACGAACACTTAGCGGTACTCGTGCGGAACGTAATGAGTACATTCTGCTTCACGAGTTCCACCGGAACAAGTACATCTGCCCGGACAAGTACTCCTCTCGCTTGCAAAAAGCCGAGGAGAAGATGCAGGATGGAGACGATGACGATGCGGCCGACAAGAAAAAGAAGGACAAGTACAAGGGTGGTCTCGTCTTTGAGCCCGAGAAGGGTCTCTATGATAGATTCATCCTGGTCATGGACTTCAACAGTCTGTACCCTAGTATCATCCAGGAGTACAACATTTGTTTCACAACCGTTGACCGGCAAGCAACTGTAAGTATTAATGCTTGATTTCATGAAGTAGCTCATACTGACCATGTTCGTTTTAGTCCGAAAACGAGAATGAGGAGGCGGTCCCCGAGATTCCATCTTCAGACCAGGAGCAGGGAATCCTGCCCCGACTCATTGCAACCTTGGTCGGTCGTCGACGTGAGGTGAAGAAGCTGATGAAGGACAAGCGTGCTACGCCCGAACAGCTTGCTCTATGGGATACGAAACAGCTTGCGTTCAAGCTCACGGCCAACTCCATGTACGGATGTTTGGGTTACACGCAGAGTCGATTCTACGCTCGTCCATTGGCTATGCTTACCACATTCAAGGGACGTGAGATTCTGCGGAGCACCAAGGAACTCGCTGAGAGCAAGCAGCTGCGTGTCATCTATGGTGATACTGATTCCGTCATGATCAACACCAACATGGATACTATCAGCGATGCCCTCAAAGTCGGCGAGGACTTTAAGAAATCTGTGAACGAGCGGTACCGTCTGCTTGAGATCGATATCGACAATGTCTTCCGACGACTTCTGTTGCATGCTAAGAAAAAGTATGCTGCTGTCAATCTGACAGAGGTCGACGGCAAGTACATTGAGAAGCTTGAAGTCAAGGGTCTCGACATGAAGCGTCGTGAATACTGCGCTCTTTCGAAGGAGGTGTCACAAAGGCTCCTGAATGAGATCCTCTCCGGCGAGGATCAAGAAGTTGTTCTCAACAAAGTTCATGACTACCTGCGTGAGCTTGCGGAGAAGATGAAGGAGTTTGCAGTTCCCGTTCAGAAATACGTGATCTACACGAAACTGTCCAAGAGCCCAGACCAATACCCCAACAAAGAGACCATGCCTCCGGCGCAGGTTGCGCTTCGTGACATTGCTCGAGGCAAGAATGTGCGACCAAACGACGTCATCTCATACATTGTCACGAGCGGCGACGCGGATACATCCTCTCTGCCGCCCGCCAAGCGATCATACAGCCCACAAGACGTTCTCAAACCCAATTCCGGACTCAAGCCCGATGTCGAGTTCTACCTGCTCAAGCAGATCTTCCCTCCCATCGAACGTCTCTGTGCCCCGATCCCCGGTACTGACGCTGTTCGCCTTGCCGCGTGTCTTGGTCTTGATGCTCGCAAATATCAGATCAACACTTCCAGCTCGAGCAAACAGCAGGACACCGAAATCTTCCCGCTGGAGTCACAAATTCCGGACTCTGTTCGCTTTGCTAACTCTGTGCGGTTGACCCTGAAATGTCGCTTCTGCAAGGAGCAGTCGGTGTTTGAGGGCCTCGCCGGCTCTCCTAAGATGTGTTCAGCAAACGGCGTCATTTGCTCTAACGAGGCCTGTCAAAAGCCGTTCGCCGTTTTGACCATCATTGCACAGGTGGAGAACCAGATTCGCGAACAGACCGCCCGATACTACGAGGGCTGGCTCGTATGTGATGACTCGGCATGCGGCAACCGCACACGCCAAATCAGCGTGTATGGCCACCGGTGCCTGGGTCCCCGCGGTCGTGCCGAGGGTTGTTCAGGTCGGATGGCCTACGAGTATAGCGAGAAGCAAATGTACAACCAGCTCCTCTACTTTGCTGGTCTTTGGGATGTGGACAAGGCCAAGGCTGCTGCCGCCAAGGAGACTGGGGAGAAGAAGGATAGCTTGGCGGCTCTTGCGGAGTTCAACCGGATCCGCTTTGGTACGATCAAGACCGTGGTGGATGGCTACCTGAAGAAGTGCGGTCGGCAGTGGGTTGAGATGGATACGCTTTTCCGCTTCATGATACAACAATAGCCCCAGTGGCGTATGACTCTTCTTTGGGAATTTGTACATAAGGATTATCAAGTTTTTTCTGGGCATGGTTTATGAGGAATCAAGTTGCGATGTTGAGTTTTGCATTAATATTCAGGGGTTTTGACATTAATGACTCATTACTTTTTTCTTACAGAATAGGTCTTCATCGTGTTGATTTTACAGTATGTTTTTCTTCTGTGATACTGTAGTTACATTGTCGGAGCCACCCGTTTCCACGCAGCACGCCCTACATGAACATCTTGTTGTACGCCCTAGTTCCACTTTTGGATGTGGCCAATCACAATGCCGGGCTTCAACTCGGGAACCCATCGGTTCCAGTCCGGCCAACGTGGGATGGACCCTATTCAGCCTATAACAGTGCCGGTTTGTCATTTCTTCAAAAAATTCGTGGCAGTCGACTCCACTCAAGATGCCATTTACCAAATTTTCCGCGGAGTAGAAAAGGCTCGACCACGCTGACTCTATAATTTTCGATGACTCTTCCAACTAAACAATTATTTCCCACCTGAATTCGCCTTTAAGTCTGTGAGATTCGAGGGTCTATCAACATGGCGACAACACAGACCGTCACGGTCAAGCACACAGGCTCTGAGTCTGTTGGCGAACGCCGCGTCTCGATGATTCGCATCGAGACGACCAGCGTCCGATCTCGCGAAAGCGAACGACATGAAGTCGATCAACAAGCTGCGCATATTTCCAAGTTGCGTAGCACAATTATCGTGTTCCAAATGTGCGGTAATACCATGTTGTCTAGTATCATCAACGGCCTTGTCACTGTTGGACTTCCTACGATCACAAAGGACCTCAACCTACCTTCTTCACTATCTTTCTGGCCGGTATCTGTATCCGGACTCTCAACTGCCTCGACCCTATTGTTGGCAGGATCATTGGCTGATGTCGTTGGTCCGCGATGGGTTGACCTAGTTGGCACTTTTGCGAGCGGCGCGTTGATGCTTGGGATGGGCTTTGCGAAGGAGGGTACTCAATTGGTTGCGATGCGTGCCATCCAGGGTGTTGGTCTCGCTCTTCACCTTGCATCTGCAGTGGGCATTGCGACCCAGGTCTTTCCGCAAGGAAAAAGCAGGAATATGGCTTTCGCGTGTCTTGGGATGGCTCAACCTGTTGGCTTCTGTCTTGGTCTCGTTCTGGGTGGAGTGTTTGTGGATACTGTCGGCTGGCGTGTTGGCTGGTATATCGCTGGTGGTGCAGCCCTCTTTCTGTCGTTTGTTGGGCTGTGGGCACTTCCTGGTAGTCCACATCCTCGCAAATTGGAAAATATTATGCATGATTTGAAGTACAAGATTGACTGGGTTGGGGCGCTGCTTGCGTCCGCTTTCATGGCGCTTCTTTGCTATTTGCTTGCGTAAGTCGAAAGTCAAGTTCGATTGGAGAATGATAAACTAACACCCAGACAAGAATCCTCAGCTCAAATGTGTATCGCATCAAGGAGACCGCCAGTATTGTGATCCTTTGTCTGGCCGCAATTGCGCTGCCTTCATTCGTCATATGGATCCATTACCAGGTTCGCCGTGGAAGGCCAGCACTTATTCCCAATTCCTTTTGGAGAAATGCAACTTTCTCGAGCATATGTGCTACCATTGCGCTCTCATTTGCGGTGATCAACTCCATGGAGCTCTTCGCCAGTCTGTTGTAAGTAGCCCTATCTCACACGGGCGACAAAACACCACTAATCTACTCCCAGCTTCCAAGAAATCCAGCAACTATCTGCCCTCCAAGCTTCCATTCGTATCCTTCCAAGTCTTGTTGTCGGCGTTCTCGTCCAAGTCACCGCAGGTTTCTTCGTCCACAGAGTACCCGCCATCTGGATCGTTGTACTTACCGCCGTTCTATGCTCACTCTCTCCTCTACTCATGGCCACAGCCCAGCCATCTTGGACATATTGGACAAATACCTTCGTGGCCCAACTCCTACAGCCAGTGAACTGCAATGCTCTCTTCACCGTTGGCTTGATCATTATTACAGATATTTTCCCAGAGGACACGAAAGCTCTTGCGGGCGCTGTATTCAACACTGCAGCACAATTCGGTACTGCTCTTGGATTTGCAATTCTGCAGGTCATTTCCTCGGTTGTTACTGAGAATAAAGAAGTCAACGAGGGTGAGGTTACTGCCCTGTTGGCAGGTTATCGGGCAAGCTTTTGGACCATGTTTGCTTTCATGATCCTCTGTACGGCTATTTCGGGGCTCGGTCTTCGGAAAACTGGGCGGATTGGATTGAAGCGTGATTAAGCTAGATCAGGACATTCTTTTTTAAATCAATCAAATTCTTTTGTATTTTAGTTCTAGATGTCGTAGGTGTCGCAAATTTATGATATCTTTCCACGAAAATCACGTGTAAGGCGCCATGGTGGATGTTGATTTTTAATTTTACGAGGTCGTAGAGCGGGGTTGCCGAGGGAGAATAAATTCATCTTTTTGGCCGTACTTCTAGCGTGACTCACGGCTATCCATTCCTTCCACAATCCTTGAAAGCACAAAAGAGCTATCAAAAATGTCACCAAGGGTCCTCATCTTCGGAGGAGGAAGCATTGGAGCAGTCCTCGCCTATTTACTCTCCAAGTCAATTGCAGCATCAGACATCGTCGTTGTCTGTCGGTCTAACTACGACGTTGTTGCCACGCATGGCTTCACAATTAATTCCACGGTCTTTGGAATGAACGAAAATGTTAAACCGATTGCGGTTCGATCGGTGACTGAGGCTGTTCAGGCGTATCCAGATGGATTTGACTATGTCTGCGTGGCAACCAAGGCAGTCGTCAACGGCACCATTTCGCAGCCTGAATTGATCAAACCTGTGGTTTCTGCGAAGACGACCATTGTACTGATGCAGAATGGCATCAACATCGAGGAGCCTTATAGAGCCTTGTTCCCGGATACGGCCATTGCGAGTGTCGTGATATACATGCCTTGCACACAAACTGCTCCTGGCGTGGTCTCGCATACTGTGTACGCGAAGTTCCTTCTGGGAACCTATCCAGCCAAATCTACTTCAGAACACAAGACCTCTACAGCACGCTTTGTGGAATTTCTGAAACAAGGCGGTGCATCCGCTGTTCACGAGGAAGATATTCAGCTAGCTCGATGGACGAAGCTGATAGTGAACGGGTCACAGAACCCCATATGCGCTCTTTCCCGACTACGCGATGTTCAATTTTTGGGCGCTGCACCAGGTGCCGCATCGTTTACCAGGAATTTGATGAGTGAGATTGCCAGCATCGCTCGAGCTGAGGGTTATAGCGAGGTTGATGACAGTGTTGTTGAACGTCAACTGGAATTGTCCACTTCGAGGGTCCCTCCAGGTGTGGAACCGAGTATGATGGCTGACGCTCTGTCTGGCCAACGGTTGGAGGTAGAGTCAATTGTTGGAAACACGCTGCGGATTGCGCAGAGTCATGGTGTGGATGTGCCAAGGTTGGAGACGATTTACTACTTGGCGAAGGGGCTTGATATGAGTTTCGCGATTCCCGAGGCGCTGCTGGGAGGCTCGAAAAATTAGATTGAAGATAGATAGAATTCCTAGAACCAGTTCTCATAAACATATGAACATCGAATAGAAGTTTGCTCAAGCAAAAAATCCTCCCATCAACTTCGAAAATAGGTTGTACAAGAAAGTGCATCGCAAAGTCCAATAATCCAGCATGTCAATAACTTAAACTAGTTCACATTCGACAGAACGGTACGCAACACCCTCGGCGACACACTGACTACATTGCCCTTGCCATCCAAATTGAACACAAACTCATCAATTCCCACATTGCCATAAACCCGTGAATCTAGAGTCACCCAGGAAATACAAGATGAGCTAAATGGCCCAACACCAGATGGTAGTGGAGGTGGGATCACAGCCCGGAATGAAAGTTGCCCTGGACTTTCTAGGCCCGTGGGATACAAACGAATATCAAGCATGGAAGGATCAGTAATCCCATTCAAAGCCATATAGCTTTGCAACATATTAGTGCCATTGTTGACCCAGCTTGTGACGACCAGAGCGGGTCCGTCGTCGGTGGTGATAGTAATGGAGGAATTCCCTGTACCCAGTGCATATGTACCCGCAAAACGGGCGTGTGCTTGGTTCTTTGCTGCTTGTTCAAGTGCAGGTAGCAGACTCTCGGCGACGAGATCTGACGCGAGAGCTAGAGATACGTGGGTGCTATTTCCAGCGCCGAGAAGCACGAAGCCAGCGTTATGGTCCGGGTCCAGAGATAGGACACAGGAGTATGTGCCAATATCTCCAGATTTGGTATAGAGATCAATCGGGCGCTCATTGCCGAATGATAGAATCTCCCAAGGCGCGCCAACGGCGTAATCAAGGGATGAAGTATGCGTGAGTGGTTTCAACCATCGTCTTGTGGTGGATCGAGGGAGAAGAGTGCTGTTGAGAATGGCGCGACCAAAAGTCGACATATCCTTTGCGGATGAGAAGATACCACCGGCGCTATGAAAATGTGAGCTCAATGACCAGAGTCGGGTATGAGACCTACCTACGGTGCCTCTTCACCAATATCGAAATCCCACCAATATTCACCTTGGTAGCTAGGAATCACACCAAGAGATGAACTGGGCGTAGTATAGAAGGTGTGAGCCATGTTGAGCGGCTTGGTTATTTTGTGTTTCAGAACCTTTTCAAAGTCTTCGCCGCCCGCAAGGGCCTCCACAACGTATCCGAGGATCTGAAAAGCTGCATTGGAGTAGATTGGAGTAGATGACGGAGGAACAATAGGATGAGACTGAAACAGCCCATCAAAAAATTCTAGCGAGATACAGATTAGTAGGGGCCAAGGATTCTAGGAAGATTCTTGACTCACGCTTTCTGCTACAAGGGTTTGGAACACCACAAGGTGGAACCTGCGCGGAAGAAAGAGTAGGAAATCCCAACGACTGAAGCAACGGAGCCTGCTCAGCAAGATCGAGAACACCGTCTAGGCGAGGTTAACTCAACTAGAAGTCTGAAAATTGATATAAATACTCACAATCTCTAGCAATACCCGCCAAGTGACTCGCTAGCTCTCCAACTGTGATATCATCCCAGTTGGTATAGTCATTCCCGTTGTTTCTTTTCGTGGAATTCCGCTGAATATCAGCAGCAGCCGCTTTGATCTCTGGGATATACTTTGAAATCGGGTCTTGCAGAGTCTTGAAACCGCTCTGGATCAGAATCAAAAACATCGGGAACATCTTAGACGTGCTGCCAATGCGGAAAACAGTGTTCTCATCGACCTTGCTCACGCCAAGGGTGGTATTAATTTCCTTGGCTGTATAAGCGTACGTGAGCAATGCATCGGAACTACTTGTGTCGAAGATTTCCAAGGACAAAGATGCCCCAGAGAATTTTCCTGCATTGCTAACATCCTGAAGGGTTTGAGTGATGTTTTTCAGTGCCGCCTGGACTGTGGCGTCGCTGGAGAGCCCTGTGGGAGCAGGCCAGCTTGGTCCAAGGAGAGGGCAAAGATGAACTGCATCTATAAGAGTAACTTGGAGCAGCAGTAACAGCAGCAACTCATGAAGAAACATTCTGAGGCGGGCCATAGGTCAGAACTCGAAGGCGTAAGAAGGCAAGGTAATCATAGGCAAATGAGAACTTGTGTTTAATGTTTCTCCTGGAAGAAATGGAAAACTTGTGGGCCCTGAACAGACAGACCCATCAATGGACAGAACGTTCAAATCATGTCAATTCTATGGGCTCTGAGCTATATAAATACCTAAGCTCTACGGTGCACGGGCGTCCAACAGATGGTATAGCGGCATAGCCTCGTTGGGAGAATTGATCTAAGATGGCCGGCTTCATTGGCCCAATCTAGCCAGTGGGTCGTCATCGTTACATGGCAGTCCGAGGCATGAACGGCTATTCAAGCCATTATTATGTCGCCAAGTGGTGTCATGGGTTTGTTTCCGGCTTTCTAGTTGCGCCTTAGCGAGGGCCCCTCAATCTATATGCCCAGTGGGAATCCTTCCGGACCCTGGCCAGGATTTAATACACATGAGAAACCCTCAATTACTGGTTGGCTTTTAGGTTACAGATACTATCTCGCTAGCCGCATTAGTGTGGCCATGGCGGCTCATTGCCTTTTTTGGCCCACTCTGTGTAGCACGAACTGTAGATCTTGAACGAGCGATCACGGATAGCCCTGGTTGAAAAAGTCATAGGTTCTTTGCATTTACTGAAGGAGTCAAATTTCTGTATCTATATCCAAACCTTCTCTTCTTTTCGAGAACCAGAATGCGAACCATTGCTGAATGCACAGGCCTCGAGACCCCGCTCAAACAAAGGAAAATAAGTTTGTGCTAGTCCCGGCTTTAGCTGCATATGTGACTATGCATATACATGGGATAATGGAAGCGATTGCCGCTGCTTTTACATATTACGGAGATCAGGCTCAGGCTCCCTGAGTAATTGTCAGCACCGGCTCATGAGGTTCTCGGTGATCTCGTCTATCATAGTCCATCCAGTCAAGTGATCACTCAGTGCCTGCTTGTAGGTATGTATGCACCCAATACTAATAATTAGTTATTGTCCACCAATCAGGAAGCTATCTTGTTTTCTTCTAGCCCACCCTAGAATATGCCAAACACCCTAGGGCCATATATTATTCTTAGACAATCAGTGCGATAATAGTAGTTGTGGGGTCTTCCTCTATTATTGTTTGAGTCCCGGTTGGATTATGGATAATACATCCCTGTATCCGAAGCTTAATTCCACGTCTTGGGACTAAAAGCCGGAAACCAGCTCACATGCGCACAAGACATGGGCCATAGCAAGAATTTCTTTTTTTTTGGGCTGCTCAATTTCAATCGAGATTTGAAAATCAAATCGCTGACTATACTGGACGCTTCGGTGCTAGGATTCATGATCCAGTGGGTCAGAAGCTTCATATTCCGTTGCTCTACCAGGTTATTATCATAGAAGCGATAAGTCGGAGGTTTGAGTATTTTCGAGCTTCGAAAACAAGTGCAAAACGAAGATTGCATTATATAAGACATCACTCGCTATCCATACCTTAGCTTTACTTAGCTTTAAGTACTGTCAGCTCCGGCGGTTCGGGTACGATTCACTCAGTCCAGAACTTCACGGCCAACATTTCCGGAGGAGGTATGACGTGACTGAGCTGGAGCTGATTAAATTGGTATATAATCAAATTCAATTTTAATGCCGTGTTCCACTTGCACTCAACGTGGGCAAAAATCGTTGCGGGCGGGGAAACCGTCACTAACCATTTAACGAACTCGGCGTTTCAGAGTTAGATGCGGGGATGGGGACGACATGGAAGGAGTCCGAGAAGATTGGCTGAATGACAACCCCTCATCCAACCCAAGCGTAGGTCTGTGCATTTCTCATAATTATGGTCAAGAGAATGATGGGTTTATCATTGGGGCATTATCGTTGGGAAATTAACCGGCCGGCAAAAATTAGCTGCGCCTCCTCCCACTCCCTATAAAGTACCACCAAAGTGAGCGTACTTACAACCCCACCAAGATTAATGAGATACAATATCAGGACATATCAGCTTTGAAAAGAGAGGACTGCGTTCAAAGCTCTGGCAATGAGTGACAATCAGGCAATTCTCGACGCCGCGGAATATGGAACTCGCAAATGCCCCTCAGGCTTCTCCGATCACTCGTTCAAGACAGACAGTGGCGTAGAGCTTGCTGTACGAATCTGGCCCGCTGATCCCCCCGTTCATGAGCCAGCTCCAGTTGTCTTTTACACCCACGGTGGCGGGTGGTTCGCAGGAAACCACTTCGCGCCGCTCCCATGGATGGAACCAGGCTTTCGACAGCGAGGATACCATATCGTCTCACACAACTACCGGCTCGGTCCGCAAGCAAGCTATGAAATGCAACTGCAGGATTCTATGGATGCCGTGAGCTGGTGCCGAGCCAATCTACCTTCCATACTTGGCACAGACAAGGTAGACGTGAGCCAGTTGATCCTCTGCGGCGAGTCAGGCGGCACTCTTCTGGCTGGACTCATGGGACACCATCTATCACCACCACCAAAGGCTGTCATCCTCGTTTATGGAATACTTGATCCAGCAGCGGCGTGGCCCATCCTAGCGCCGGTTCCCGAGAACTCTGGAGTCACGCCACCATGGGTTGGCGAGTTCTCTGATGCTGAGCTGGAGGAATTTCTAAAAGACCGAGATAAATCCAATGTCTTGACAGATGCACTATGGGCTGATGAGAACAAGACTACGTCCGAGCAGGTGTTGAGTAGATGCTGGAAGACCGACGTCCGCTTCACCCGTCGGATACGACTTCAGTCGGAGCTTCTCCAGTGGCGATCTGACATAGCTGCTCGTGTCGGTTCTTTTGTCAGATCTGTACGCCTAGGCTCGCTACATGCTGAGCGATTCGCGGATGAAGAAGACCTGGCTACATTTTTGCTATCTATGTCACCATCTCCGCTTCTCGAGACAAAGACATGGTATCCGCCCACAGCTTTCCTACACGGCGTGGCTGATAAGGCTGCTCCGGTCGCACAAAGCCAGGCAATGGCAAATCGCCTCAAAGCGATGAATGTACCGGTCGTCGAATGCTACGAGCCTAATGAAGATCATGTTTTCGATCACAAATATACCGTGAGTAGCCTCCGGCGTAGGCATCATGGTAGTATATGCGCTGATTAATGATGTAGGGCTCTGATGTGCCGGGATGGGATACATATATCCAGCCAATTCTGGATTTCTGCAACGAGCATATCAGGTAACTGCGGATATAGTCTTAGTATGGGTGTATCATGCGGTTGCCCGCACAGGCTAGAATACCTCCCCGAAAGATCGTCTCCCGGGAGTACTTTTCTTGATATAGGCGGACATGAGATCTTATATTCCTGTTATCCGCTTAATATAGTGAGAATAAGATGATTCCAAGCCCATAAAAGACCTTGAGTTATTTGGTAGGTGACAGTAGCTAGCGTGTCGCATTTTATTAAGCTCGCTTGCTCAGGTCACTCACTCAGGTCACTACCGGTACTCTCTAGACAGGCCTAGTAAAAGAACCGGATGCTCGGCAGGTCAGATTCAATGAGTATCAGGAGCGTGCTGAACTCTACTCTGTGAGCAAAAGCGGCAAGAGGGTGAGCACTACAACAGAAGGGAAGCGCCAAGGGTTGCTGGACATTTGGTACACGCTAAATAGGCTCTTATAGTCAGGCGTCCCAATTATCGAATCATCGGACGTCGGCCACAATGTGATAGGCATTTTTACTGCTTCGTTTTATTCTACTTACTCTTTAATCTCTGTCTTGTTCGGCTGCTAAGCCCAATTTGATTTCGACGAATCTCGCTCCTTGTCTTCCAAGATTGCGACCTGAGTCATGGGCAACTTTTACCGAATGCGCAGTCAAAGAAACTAACAAAGACAATTATTGCTTTCACAGTATCCTCGTGGTTAGATCTCAAAGAAACGATCACAAGATTTGAGATCTGGCCTTGATTCAAACCTTACCGCCCTCACTTGCAGCTGCGGCGCACTCGATCGCAGAAGGCTTCCCAGAAAGCTTAGATGAACATGCATGTGATCATTTGCTGGTGCTACGGTGCAGGGATCTAGGTACACGAGTAGTGAGGGCGGATATGCAACGTGATAGGTCCAGGAAGGTAATCTTGGTATAGGGAGAGGGCGACCCAGATTGTCGATGGAAGTACAGCCGGCATAAGCCTTCATGCATCCGCATACATCCTATCATGCCTTAGCATGGCTTTAATTAATAACACAAGTGAGTTGTCCGTCCACCGATCCAGATGTTGGGACATGAAAACAATATTTATCCGTAGACATATGAAAGAACCTATAGACAGGCTTCTAAAAGTCACTTGACTATAGGAAGCCTTAGAGGTAGCTTGAAGTTCTCTACTCAAAGCTAATGAGCACTCGACAAACTGTTATCATCCTCCAGCTAATAGAACACCTCTGATCGAGTTTACGTGGGACATCGTGATGTAAACAATAATCCACCGTGGGAATGCACAGAGCCGATCGATCGTATGCATGCCTCCAACAATAATTGGCAGCCCGAAATAGAATGATCATGGTTCGGATGTATTCCATGAAGGCAAGTAGATCCTCGAGGAAAAGAGTGTTGTTTTTGCTAAGGTTTCCACATCTAAGCGTGAGGATCCGACCGCAAAAAAAAAAAAACAGAAGGCAAAACGTGCAGACGACCGATTTCGGCTTATCGCTCTTATCGCATTTTTGCCCGCCAATCCCCCACCTCTCTTGACCTTCATCCTTCAACAAATCCAGCTTCTTGCCCGATTGGCTGTTAGAATCATGTCTGTCAAGCGGGTCCTAGTAATTGCAGGCTCCGACAGCTCTGGTGGCGCGTAAGTTGGCCTTCCTGGTACTCATTACCCTCCGAAACGGATTCAGCCCATTCTTGCCAAGTCCTTTCCTAGCCATCCGGGCATATACACTCATCGAACTACCACTAGAGAGAGGCTAATTCAGGCGATAGTGGCTTGGAGGCAGATCAAAGGGTTCTAGCTGCCCATGGCTGTTATGCTCTGACAGCTACTACGGGGTTGACTGCGCAGAACACACTGGGCGTGCAAGACATCTTCGTCGTCCCACCAGAGTTCGTGAGAAAGCAGATCAACGCAGGACTGGAAGATGTTGGCGCAGATGTAGTGAAGTTGGGTAAGTGATATTGAAGAATCTTCGATATTTGCGGCTCTTTGCTGACTTTTCTAAGGAATGCTCTCGTCTGCGGAGACGATTGATGTCATCGCCGAGACCTTACAAGCTCACAAAGTTCCCGCCATTGTGCTTGACCCGGTGAATAATAACAACGCCCAGTATTTGACATTGCCAATTCTAATGATTGCATAGGTGATGGTTTCAACCAGTGGATCTCAACTTCTCCCAGAGAAAGCTGTTGAAGGGCTTCGATTCAAATTGCTCCCCATGACTACTGTTCTGACTCCCAATATTCCCGAGGCTCAACTCCTCATCAAAGATTCTGGATCCGAGGTTCCTGAACCCGCAGATATCAGTGAAATGATTGATCTGGCCAGGCGAATTTGCTCCCTAGGCCCCAAAGCAGTCCTCCTGAAAGGAGGTCATCTTCCGCTTACCAAGGACCACAAGGTTGCAAAGAGCCCAGAGGAGTCGACTACTGTGATCGATGTCCTATATGATAGCGAGACTTCAACAACAACTTTGTTCGAGACAGACTATCTGGTATCAAAAAACACACATGGGACTGGTTGCTCCCTTGCTTCAGCAATCTCTGCCAACCTAGCCATGGGTAAGGACATGGTACGAGCCGTTCGCAGTGCCGTGCGGTTCGTCGAGGCAGGTATCAGGACCAGCGTGGACTTGGGTAAGGGCAGTGGGCCAATCAACCATTTCCACTCAATTTATACTATGCCATTTGCACCGTAAGACATGAATCCAAAATTCCTGGCTTCGAACGCTTTGCTGATCATCTTTACAGTGGTCGTTTCCTTGAGTACATCATGGACCGTCCAGATGTCCAGGGTGCGTGGGAAAAGTTCATCAAGCACGACTTTGTTGAAGGTATGGGACAAGGTACACTTCCTGTGGAGCGATTCAAAGAATATCTTGTCCAAGATTACCTCTACCTGGTATGACTTCCTCTCCGAGACATGCATGTCAATCCAGCAATATTGATAGATCAAATCACAGGTCCAATTTGCCCGCAGCAATGCCCTTGCTGCGTACAAGTCTTCCGAAATGGACTCAATAGCAGCAGTTAGTACACCTCTGTTCATGTGTGATATACCCATCTAACTAATGTGTTCCAGTCGGCGCAAATTGTTCTGCACATTCAGCGAGAGATGGCCCTTCACATTGACTACTGTGCTTCCTTTGGTCTTTCGAAGCAGGAGATGGAAGCTTCTCCAGAAACGATCGGTAAGAGACTTGCGTTTGTTCCATCGGTTATTGGCATGAGTTTTCTGATCTTGCTCTCTTTCATAAACAGCTTGCACTGCATACAGCCGATACATTCTTGACGTGGGCCAATCGGAGGATTGGCTTGCCCTTCAGATGGCTCTGGCTCCCTGTTTGATCGGCTACGGTACAATTGCTAGACGATTGCACTCTGACGAAAACACTCTCCGTCAAGGCAACCAGTATTGGAAATGGATTGAGAACTATGTCGCAGACGACTATACAGAAGCTGTTCGCCTCGGATCAGGTAAGAGAGTCTGCCTTCATTCTATGGGAATATATCTGAATAACCCTCTCCTCTTTGATAGCTTTATTGGAGAACCACGTGCAAAAGGTATCGCCCAGTCGCCTGGAGGAATTAATTCGGATTTTCATGCGGGCTACCGAGCTGGAAATCAGTTTCTGGGACATGGGGCTGAGCGACCAGAAGTATTGAACGGATCAGATAGCCGGCTAAAATCTATAGGAATCAAGGTCAATCCAAACACTGAAACAGAGATTTTATTCTAACTTTTCCCACATTCCTTCCATCGGGGTATCCGGCATTCGCCCGATCTTGAAAATTTAAAGAATAATTTCGTGTCGAACCACGGAAATCAGTCTAGGCCAATCACGTGTGTAAGCGTAGACATGGGTCAGGTAATGATGATTACATCTTTGATACAGCATTACGTGCAATTTTCTTACGATATTATCACGTGCATTATAAGATAGGTATGTGTTAGGTCATATCTAGATTACTTCTGATTACATGTATTGTAAGCACTCTTATCACGTGATTACTAGTCCGAAAGGAGTAACGTTTTTTTTTTGCCTCCTGGCAATATTATTTTTTTCGCCGCTCCCCTGGCGACGACTTTTTTTCGTTCCTTCCTTAAGTTCTCCACGAACTCATCTTTTATCACCCACCTATCCTCTTCTTTCTCTTCTCTCCCCTCCATCAACCCTCTTCACTCCTACATCCTCTCATCTCTTCCGCAACAAAAAAAAAACACGCACATCCATCATGTCTTACGGTGGTGGAAACTCCCGTGGTGGCGACTCCTATCGGTAAGTTGTTTTGCTTCATATTCGGACTCTCGAAGCTCGCATCATGATCCTATGCGCCTTGGTTTTGTCTCTCTACGACTTGTGGAGGCTTTGGACGTGTCTCGTCTGTTTTTCGAGTTCAGCGCGATGCTTATCGGTCGCTGTTGGGCTGAAAATCGACGATTCTGAGCCTTGCCACTTCCACGTCCACATCCCCTTGACTACGCAAACTTTTTCTCATCACCTTGCATCAATATGGATCTTTTGCTAACTTACTTTACTCATACAGCTCCCGTGGCGGCGACAACGGCTACTCCAACGGTGGTGGCTACTCCAACGGCGGCGGTTACTCCGGCGGTGGTTCTGGTGGCTACGGTGGTGGTGGTCGCGGCGGCTACGGCGGCGGCGGTGGTGGTTATGGCGGAGCTGGCGGAGCTGGCGGTGACCGTATGTCCAATCTCGGTGCTGGCCTCAAGACCCAGGACTGGGACTTGAACACTCTCCCCAAGTTCGAGAAGTCCTTCTACAAGGAGCACCCCGATGTCTCTGCCCGCTCCGATGCCGAGGTTGAGGCTTTCCGCAAGAAGCACGAGATGGCCGTCACTGGCCGTGGTGTCCCTCGCCCCGTCGAGACCTTCGATGAGGCTGGTTTCCCTGCCTACGTTCTGTCCGAGGTTAAAGCCCAGGGCTTCGAGCGTCCCACTTCCATTCAGTCTCAGGGTTGGCCCATGGCTCTCTCCGGACGTGACGTTGTCGGTATTGCCGAGACCGGTTCCGGAAAGACTCTGTCTTACTGTCTGCCCGCTATTGTTCACATCAACGCTCAGCCTCTCCTTGCCCCTGGTGATGGTCCCATCGTCCTCATCCTCGCTCCTACTCGTGAGCTGGCTGTCCAGATTCAGACCGAGATCAGCAAGTTCGGCAAGTCCTCTCGCATTCGCAACACCTGTGTCTACGGTGGTGTCCCCAAGGGTCCTCAAATTCGCGACTTGTCCCGTGGTGTCGAGGTCTGCATTGCTACACCCGGTCGTCTGATCGACATGCTCGAGGCTGGCCGCACCAACCTCCGCCGTGTTACCTACCTCGTCCTCGACGAGGCTGACCGCATGCTTGACATGGGTTTCGAGCCCCAAATTCGCAAGATCATTGGCCAGATTCGCCCTGACCGTCAGACCTGCATGTGGTCTGCTACTTGGCCCAAGGAGGTTCGTCAGCTAGCTAAGGACTTCCTGAACGACTACATCCAGGTCAACATTGGTTCCTTGGATCTGTCCGCCAACCACCGCATCACTCAAATCGTCGAGGTGATGTCCGACTTTGAGAAGCGTGACCGCATGATCAAGCACATGGAGAAGATCATGGAGGACCGCGGCAACAAGATTCTCATCTTCACTGGTACCAAGCGTATTGCCGACGAAATCACTCGCTTCCTCCGCCAGGACGGATGGCCCGCGCTCTGTATGTGATCCCTTCTTCAACCCTTACTCGTTGTTCCTTGTACTAACAATTCTTTTCCAGCTATTCACGGTGACAAGCAACAGCAAGAGCGTGACTGGGTCCTCAACGAATTCAAGCAGGGCAAGAGCCCCATCATGGTGGCCACCGATGTGGCTTCCCGTGGTATCGGTATGAACAAATTGCAACCCCATTTCCCCTCCCCCCTCCCCTATTGTGATCCCCTCCTGAAGGGGCCCTTGAAACCACTCACCCGTGTTGATGTTGAAGAACACAACGGCACGGTGCTCAACTCTCTCCCGAAGCATGTTGGTATAAACACGACTTCGTCCAGGCGGAAACTCGGGTCATCTCAAATGGTTCCTCTTGACCAGAGAGGACCTTGGACTCACGGTGCAGTGTCTCAGAAAGCAGGTCTGACAGGATTTCTCCGACTCCTTTGTTGCTGAAACTCGTAAGCGAGTTGGAGTCCCTTTCTCTCAGCGTTGTTCTTGATCTGTTTCAAAAAAAGCTGCATTTCCAAGGTTTCTCTTAGGACCACGATTTTACCGCCATCTCATGGACTTGCTTCCCCCGGGGACCTTCTTCCAAGAAGCTCCGATCCGAGAGCAGTGATGATGCATCCACGTCCTGCACGACTGTGAAAAAAGGGGTCTTCCTGTGGCCACGATTGCTTTCCCCCCAACTAATGGTTTCTATTTGCTAACCCAATATTTGAAAAGATGTGCGCGACATTACCCATGTCCTGAACTACGACTACCCTAACAACTCGGAGGACTATGTTCACCGTATTGGTCGTACTGGCCGTGCTGGTGCCAACGGTACCGCCATTACCTTCTTCACCACTGAAAGTAAGTTTATTGTGTCGAACACCCTTCTTCCATTTGCCTGCTTCTACAAGATATCTAACCATTTTTCCTCCTCGCAGACTCTAAGCAGGCTCGCGACTTGGTCACCATTCTCTCTGAGGCCAAGCAGCAGATTGACCCCCGTCTCGCCGAGATGGTTCGCTACAGCGGTGGTGGCGGCGGTGGTGGCCGCTGGGGTGGTCGTGGCCGTGGTGGTTGGGGTGGCCGTGGCCGCGGTGGCGGCGGCGGCGGCAACAGCTTCACTGCCTCTAACGCTGCTCCCCTCGGCGGTGCCCGTCGTTGGTAAACGAACAACAAAAAAGACGCCCTCTCCGTGTCCATGCCGCTCCCGTGCGGTACACGTGGAGCTGGCGCCCCTGCGTCCATGGTAGACTTCTTATGTTCTTGTTTCTCGATTTCCCTGCGTAATTCGGTTCGGACGGCGTTATTTTTCTATGTCATAGACAGCTCTTCATGATTCCTATCGGTGTCGATTTTCTGCTCTGTCGACGAGCTCCTCCCGGATCTTCGTTTACAGCTCGCAGCAAAGTTTTCTAGCTTGGACCTTTCCAGGCCAATTCATACCAGATCATTCATAAAAGTGTCTCTTTCTTCCTGTCTCGATGAACTGCTCCGCTGAACATGCCAATGTGTTAGTGCAGATTATATTGGATAACCAAATATTTTATTGTTACTCCCTCCAGAAAAATTGTCTTCATAGAAGAAACACGGTATCCACCTTAGACATGATGTAGTCATTGCCCAGTCTTTCAAGTTTACCAACTTACTCCTTCAACCAATCTTCGAGCTCCTCTGCCAAAATACGATGCACGTGGCTCGTCATATGCCCCGAATTAAACCAGAAGTACGTGTCCAATGATGTAGGACATCCATACGCCTTGTAATCAGTATCAATATCCGGCTGATTATATCCAGCACAGAAATTAGTCGTATTCACAATCCCATACTTAGCCGGCTCATCCAGCATCGCGCTCAACCGCGCATGCGCATCGAACACCCGCACTTCCACATCCCCCTTCTCCTTCCCGAACAGCTCTGCCTTTGTCACAAGTGCATCATTGTACCATGCTACCTGCGTCGCGTTAGGATGCGGTGTGCTCGTGGCTTGATTTCCCGGCGTACGGTCTAGCGGAGGCAGGTTCATGAGAAGATAGGACCTGTAGCCTAGATCGTAGAGTTCGTTTACGGAGGTGAATAGTGTGCGGGTAAGATTGCCGTAGAATGTTGGGAAATCTACGGTGTATTTGGAACTATCGCCGACGTCGTTGATGCCGATCCAGATTGCGATTAGGGATTTGGAGGGTGGGAGGAAGGTTTGGAGGACTGGAGCGGCGTAGGTTTTGAATTGGGTGATTTGGTTGACGAGGGAGACGGTGTAGTTATGGTGGAGGGGGGTGCTGTGTATAGGAGGTGAAGCGTTAGTATGTCTCGACTTGTATGTTTTGAGGAGTGATTGGATGTGTTGGGATATTTGGAAGGCGGGCATACGTACTATTCTGTTGAAATGTCTGCTCCCGCAAATGCAAAGTCCCAGAGCTGCTTTGAGCAGGTTCTCGGCGATGTCATGCCTGGCTTGAGACCGCATTTTGTGAGGTATTCGACCCAGTTGGGCCCTCCCTCTGCAGTTGCAGTCTGGATATGGTGTTAGATATTGCTTCTGCTTTGCGGATGATATACGATATTTGAACTGGGATGGTGGTTACTGACTTGATTTTGCACAATCTTGTTTGATAGCAGGGTCTGTGCATCATATGAAAAGTCCAATTGATCGCCGATGAAGCTGTAGTTCTGGTGTCCATGGGTTCCCTGGACGTAGGTATAGGAGTCACCGAATGCAATGCTGCATTGGATGTTATTGGCATGTTTCCAAACATTGGAGATGATGAAGTTATCAGGGACAGGCATTTACTAACAGTGACCTTTTGGACGACCAATCGAATTTATCCCTTGGTCTCGACGTTGGAGATGCTACGTTGAAGGCAGCAAAGGGGAGAAGAGCTAGGACAAGTTCTGAGGTCCAGAGCATGTTGCTGGTTCCAATGCAAGTCAGAATTGAATATAAACGATATTGTATAATTGCTGGCTTATGTGTTTTTAATTGCTCGCTTTCATTCGCCCGGCTTCCCCTCTCACTGCTTGGTACATTCTCTATTTATACAGTTTTATACAACCTACCATCCCCGGATGAATGGAACGTTGATGTTCTTAACCCCGCAATCGCTTCCAAGTCCGGGGTAATTGTATACGAAGACGGAATAATTTTTTCCGTGGGCCATGGCGTGCCGAAGTTTAAGGATAAATGTCTGTGTGAGCTTCTCCGTAGACGCACCCAGGGCTTGGGTATAGTATGGGTTATAGGTTGCTATCATCCATCGGGGGATAATAGTCCGGTTCATTGGAGTATGGGGAAATATGGCTTAAAGGAAGACGACGTGTGTACCGAGTAGACTAAACCTTTGCAATTTAGTCTAAGAAGTATGCTTTTCGAGTGGAAGAAAATAATTTTTGTTTCATCGCTCAGAGAAAGACAGCCTAAGTGCTACACTTATGGAGGGAATGGTTAAGAGGATTTGGTTGTTCGTGGCTGCGTCACCGTGAAATAGAACCCGTGATATATATATTCGCCAACAAGCATCAACACCAAGACAGTCTCTAACCTCTCTTGGATTAAGCGTCATGATCGCTCGATCCGTCGGCATTTACTCTGTACTAGGGTTACAAGACCCGTATGACGTCTAGCGTTTCATCTGAGATCACCAAGATACTAGTTCGTGGCCCATCCGTCAATGTTTATGCTTAATCGTCCCACTAGGAGGCTATGCTAGTGCTAGTGGATTCGACTATCTTAGTAGGTTTCACAGCATCATGGATTGTACTGTAGAATATAAAGAGCACGCTAATAGGGACAGTTGGGGGGAATATATCTATTGCTTTTGCTTAGATAGGTCTCAGTTGCTAGCAAGGGTTCGTATACACGTTGTCGACGAGAGTCATGAACGTACGGGGCCAAGAGACCTCATGTCAAACACCCGATTGAGATCATCATGATACCACATTTCTGTCAGTAATTAAAGTCATTGACACCTCATCAAGTATTTCTCTAAAACAAGGCCAGCACCCTGACTCGATAGGGAGGTATGATGATATGATAAGCGACCACAGGCAAGTCGAATAACATGCATGATGCAGACAGAGCACTCGAACCAAGCCCTCCTGCATTGCATCGCCGATCGCCACCAAAAACCGTACCGCGTGTCAACACCCTTGGAACCCACAGAGCATATGCAAAGTACTTGATACAACAGAAGAAAAAAGACGGACATCTGCGCCTACTGCCGAACGGATGCCATTCGCACATGCATTGGCTCCAAAGCTTTTCTTTCTCCTGCAACCACCACGCGCCCCAAAGGTTCCCGACTCAGCAACGTGCAGCATGTCCACCACAGTCTAAGACATCGATTCCATATGTCTGCATAGCCGCCGTTGACGTATTCAAATTACACCGTATTGATTATATTCTCATCTTCGACACTGCTCACCTAACAGAAGGACAGGGGGCGGATATGAGATGAACCAAAATAGAACTGAATATAACCGCCTCCTCAGTACTGGCTTGCATACAGTACTCTAGTCGTTTTCCAATTTCCAATTTCCAGTTTTCATATCCCCCGTCTCCCGGCTTTTCGGAAAGTCAGCGTGCGCATTGGGAGAAGGCCTGCATGAATCAAGCGGCCAGTCCGCCAGGATGGCCGGCGGACCCCGCGCCAGGATTGCCACTAGTGGAAGCGCTAGTAGTGTAACGGGTTTCCCCTGTCATGCAGTACTGAAGTAATTTTATGCAGACTCTGTGTATGTACTTGTATCAAGTACTTTGTACCATTTTGACTTTTGGATTGTTGTCTTTTAACCTCCTTCCTAACACGAGGCTGCGCTGGCCAGCTGTACAGAGCAGCCGTAGAACATGCATGGAAACATGGCTTCCTGCTAGGCTAATTCGGGTAATATCATTTAGATCTGGACTTATCACGAGGGGGGACTGTACCATGTACTTTGCATTAATATTATGATCGGGCTGTTCGACACCGTACCGAGTACGGAGGTACTGATCGGTTATTTGCTGGGACGTGCCCCCGATCCAATTGCCTCTACAATGTGCAGCCACAGGGTGGGAACTGGAAATGGCGAGCTGGGATTTCACATGGTCGTAACAGAACTCCACCAACGACCTACATACAGGCAATATAGGAAATTGGACCTGGCGAGATTGATATTGGATAAGTCGAATGATTTGGAGGCTTGGCAGCGGCTAGAAATTACCAGTGATCATCCATCTGATCCATTTTTTTGACCGTATGTTTTTTGCTTTGATTCATTATTGAATCATCTTTATCCTCATTGATGCACTCCGCTGGCTGTGTGAACAAGTTACAGTAGGATTGAACTTTACCCGGACTATTATGACCCCCTGTCTCTCGGGATTCGGATCCTTGACTGAAAGGACTTAGCCCAGTGGCTACAATTATTGCACGTTTTTGCTTTTGTCTTTCCTTTCCTTGTTTCTCATCCTTGTTCTGTTTCTACTGGACTTGGATAATTGGTTCCAATACTACATACTTCAATATTTATGACGGAGTACGGGGTAAATTATTTCCATATTTTTTTCTCTACGTCTACTCCAGACTATCTATCTGCATACAGTATTCTCATGCCAATCCAAACCTAACCTAACCCATCTCCACCTTGGGAGTCACTTGCCCATTCCGTGCCTCATCCTGTAACCGAGGAGGTGGCCACTCTCCGCACCCGCGCAATGGTTCTGCTGTGCTGTACTGTACAGTGGACATGGATAATGAATCCGGGAAGGGAACGAGGCTCCGGGGGGAACAATCGATAAGTTCCGTGATCATCAGCTGGGATGGTCGACCCGCGTCGCGCACGAGTCGTCATGATTCCTCCGAGGCGGTCTAACACGATCTGCCGAAGGATTAGGCGGGTAAGACTTACCATGTCTGGCGTAGCATCCCATCGAAAACTTTCGGGTCCGCACTGGCCATGGCCCCCAAAGCTCAAAAGTTCCAATGTGGACAGGCCGAGTGGGGACGGAGATTGCACGGAGTGGATCACGGAGAAAGAGGTCAGTTCAGTGGACTTTCCCTGAGCACGGGGCACGTCTCTATCCGATTTGGCCTGATTGCTAGCAGTATGTAGTTAGTCAGCTGAATTACTAACTGTCTTTGGAGTAGTTACAGAGTACGACACTTCGGCAAGAGGCTCAGGTGTTGTTGTACCCGAGGGATCAACCCCAGTTCCCACTAAAAAGTACTGACAGCTTAGGCGGTTGCTTTTCTCCCTCTTCACTGGGGGATCATCGCAAGGAAGGCCTAGAGGATATCAGATTGCTGCTAGTGCGTACCTCACCAACGGGCTGGTACCTATGTTGTTCATACAAAGTACAAGAATCCATAGTGAATGTAATTGTTCACACGTGTACAGATTACCTCCACTGCGTAGACTGAGTAATAACAATCTAAGTATTAAGACCCTCGTCTATGTCCCACTCGGCTGTCCTACTGCAGATACAAGACCGTGATCGTCCCCATCCAAGCTTTCTCCGGAGTATATCCGTGCCTCGACCAGTCCATATTGTGATTCTTCCACGCACGTGCTTGTCGGAATTTGTACTTGATAATTGGAGGGGTTGTTTCTCTCGAATTAACAGTACCGTATTATTTGCTCGTTAATTTGCCTCTCCCCCCTTATGTATGCATCTCTACTAATAAGCCACAGCCGCGGAAAGCGCCTCGCTAAGTGCAGGAAGGCTGTCTGAGCGATGCGAGTACGGTGAGATCAACCTTTCCCCCCTTCCGGCCTACCTTAATCTATGAAAGATTATTCCCACTCAAAGGACAAATACACCTTTGATTAAAGGTTCCGTCCATGCCAAGCATCGCCTTTCAATGCCGCCAACGCACTGATTCGATCGACAACCAGCATGCAGCTGTGGACATGGCGTGGACATGAAAACTGGGGACATGCTGGAGCCCACTTCGGAGGGATCGTCCGAGGTTACAGAGGTCCAGTTGAACCAAGTTGCGAAGTCTAGCATGACCTCCGTATCCCGCGTACTGGAGACCTGCGGCTGCGGCGTCCAATGGCAGAGATGCTATATGAATTTGATATTGATCATCCCGGGCGTTAAGAGTCCGGATATCCCGTAACCCAGTCGCGTTATAGTATTAACTGTACGAAGTATGGGCGTGTTCTTTCCCTGGTCCAGTCGGGATCTCCTCTCTTGTCTCTCTCCCATGGAGCTCTCCGCGGAGGTCCCACACAGAGCGGACGCGATAGGTAGCGGAGTCTGCCTAGATTGCCGACCGACCAGCGCTCCGCTAGGTCGGCCGTAGCTTGTCTCTGTCCATCTAGACCTGCGGTGTTTTCTTTGAACAAATCGAAGCTCGCAAGTCTTCCCATACCCGTTAGATGAATGTTGACGAAACAGTAAAAAAAACAAAAGCAAAACTTCAAATCGGGAATGTGGAGGGACATCGGTAAGCGCCCCCTGTGTCAAACCAGGCCCCCCTATTGTTTGCTTTGGCTGGAAGAGTGAGTGCTTTTTTCTCGCTTCACCGGCAGTGGATGAACAGGTTCCGCCTGCGCGGGGGTGAGATCCAGCCCGCCATGATTGGCCAATCATCGTGCGCATATAAAGAGAAAAGAGAAGAGCTGTTTTCCCGAGGTTGAAGACTTGCAGCAGTTCTGCATCTGGAGTTTGGATGAGTTTCCATATTCCCGTTTCTTTCCTATCTAAAATGACAGAAAAGGTTCCACTTTGAACTTGTATTTCCACAGGGAAAATAGTGGTATACACGTGAGATGTAGAACTAGGCCGGATCGAATCTATGGACCTGAATGAACCTCCTCTAATCTCCTCCGTAGATTACTAGATATAACATAATTATCCGTATACATGGTTAAGAAGATACCCTCAATGCCTACCAGAGTTGCAACTCGAACGGCTCACTTACT